GTTATTACTACTAGAGTTTTAATGTCGGATTTTGGTATCGCGAGTACTAGAATCCATTTTCTCTGGGATGGTGTCGCTAGGTTGGTCCCGACGACCTATGACACTCTTAGCGCTCGGTGGGTATAGTATACGTACCGTAGGCGTATATGGCATCGCGACCCCATTAATTTAGCATCCTAATAACTATGTCGAAGGCGAGTGTATATGAGACGCCGATCGATCAGCCTCATTAAGACAAGACGATGCGTATATAATCTATCGCTATTGTCGCGAATCTACGGGCAGTAAGTGGTAACTCGAATACGTCGGGCGTCGCGTCTCCACCAATGAAATACATTCATGTATTGAAGATCCGATAGGCCGCACTCTGATTGGTAGATCCTAGAAACACACTATGTTTCCCGACGTCCTAGGGGACGCGGGTGACGGAAACATAGTATGTTTACGAATCTCCTAATTGGCGTAGGGTTATACAATTTGTATGGTGGATGCGGTGCAAACACCGTGTCAATGATGGTCAGGGTAAGTCAGAACGAAAGCTATCAACGCGATGGTAACGTCTAGCTTGTGAACGAAGTTGAGTACGAGAGACTATGAACTGCTATGGAAGATGGAAGACTATATAGACATATGAGACTCGTAGCGCTCTGTTGCTCTGCTGCTCTGCCCCAGTGCAACAATACAGCAGTGCATTCTGAGATTGCCTCTTCTGGGAATCACGTGATATCACGTGATCTCATATCCCATGACCTTCGGCAATCCTTCCTAGTAAGTATGGTTGGATGTCATGCGTCCCTGATCGTGCATGAATCCTAACACCTTATAGTATATCTTTGGCACCACTAACAGACAGTATTATGCTTATTTGCTCAGTATATCTAAACATGACACGATAAGCTTGCCAAGCTGTAGGCGCTGTCTGCGCTTAAATACCTTCCGTGCCCATAGCATGGCCCCGTCGATGTCGCCGTCCTCCACACCCACAACTTGCATAGCGCCTAATGACCCGCCACGGACCAATTGCCAGGCTATCAAGAATGCCCTATAGGCGTACACCGCAACCCACGGGGGCTCTGAGTCTGGTGTCAGCGTAGCGTCGAGATAACACAAAAACCAGTCGACGTGTGGTTGAATTGTCTTTGCAGTGTTCGTTTCGACCAGGAATTCCCACGAAGGTGTTAGGTGTGTCGAATGTTCCAACACTGCATCTATACTTCCACCCACGATACCACCAGTGTGTGCCGGCGACCACATCAGTAGCTCAATCATAGCCATCTCCCAAGTTGCCTCGCACAACGCCGGGTGCGTCGATGTAACTGTTGCATCGTCATGCCGGATAAGAGGCCGGAGAGCTTCCAGTGACGACCTCAGTGGCTCGAACCTCTCAATGCAGAGCCTTCCCGTCATCGTTGACCAGCCGGTGATCTCGCGGGCGCTGGAAATCAAGAACTGCGCGATGTTGACCGCGCCGTACGGGTCAAAGGCTGGAAGGCAGTCGATATCCAGGTCGTCGGAGAGAAAGCGGCGCACAGCGTCTCCATACTGCACGGGGGGTCCAGACTGCCCATTCAGCAAACATCTATGCGCCCACTGTGCTGCCGATGTTGCTGTCCAACAGTTGTCTGGGCAAGGCAGCTCATGCTTGAATTCCAAATGCGAGAGCGAGCGGGGAATGGACAAGAGTTGGTACCAAAGTGCGTCAATCTGATGCATGGCAAAGAGTGTCCGCTTATAGGACTCGACCTTGACGAATTCCCGCCACAACGACTCTAGATCTTCGGTTGCCCCAGACTTCGGTGGGAGTGGCTGCATCAGTCGTTCTGAGCGCGCAAGGAAAATCATTTTAGAATGCATTCGAAGGCCATATGCCGAATTTTCGCCACAGAGGTACAACATGGCACATAGTTGAAGTAGCAGGTACGCTCGTGTCATGGTGAGACCGCGTGTCCAATCATCTACCTTCTCTTCCCTTGAGTCGACCAAGACACGAGCGCGGTGAAAGCAACGCACAGAGAGACTCACACCCGAATTTGTTGCATCGCCGGAGTCTGGATCCTCACCATGTTGATACGCGAGGCTCAGCATGCTCAGAACCAAGTAGTCGGCTGTCTGAGCGACGTCGAATGTCGGTTGGTGTAAAAAGGGGACATAGGGTGAGATGTGGCGGAAGTAGAGATCTACACCTCGCGCGATCTGCCAGGAAGAAGGAAACCAATCATCCCATAGAGGCCGCGACCGTAGATCCTTCGACGACAAGCTGTCCAGAGTCCGGGGATTGAAGTCACTGCTGAGCTGATTCGCACTGTATGCACGAGATGGCAAAGTCATCCCAGAATGGGTCGAGGTGCCGAGGTGATTCGAAGGGCTGAGAAGGGATGCACCCAAAAGGAGGCTCTGCTCTATGTCATTCGCATCTGGGATATGGTGGCCGACGTGTATCGACGTGCTGATCTGTGGTAACGTGGCTGCTTCAACTTGAGATCCGCCTCCATCGCCATTGGTAGTGTCGCTGCTCCCAACAGTCTCGTTGTCGTGGTGGCGTTGGCGATCCTGCTCGACTTGAGATTGCCCATACCGTGAGCTGGGCGATCTTGACTGTTGGCGAATCCAACTATGATGGTCTTCTGCAGCCGATTCAAACAGCCGAATCTCTCTTCGGGGCGATTGCGACCCTGTTGCATTCGACTCTGGCGTAGGTACCGATGGCTCACGCCGACGTCTCTTAGCAGCTCGTCCCTCGTCGTGCAGTGCGTGCAATTTCTTCATATGCCGACGCCGCAGGTCGGGGCGCGAGAAGGTCGTCGCGCAATACTCGCACCGAAGCGTGGCGTCCTCAGGTGAGCGTGAATGCAGCGCTGTATGACGTTTGAGGTTCTCATTGCGCGTGAAACGGACATGACAGACCTGGCATTGGAATGGCTGATAAGTCATATCCATGCTGATGCTGGAGGGAATGGCGATAGCGACAGACATGGCTGGCGTAAAAGCGACCACTTTGCCTCTATAACGGCGATGTTTGAGAAGTCGAGGAACGCGAACGACAGCGAGGGTGCACTGTAAATACAACAGATACAAGTCGAGATAAACGAAGTGGAGAGCTGTGAGATAAGGGATATGGACGGATCCCATTGGCCACCCCATACAATACGTCCCTTCCTACTGTATGGCCGAAACCGGGTGGGTATTTCCGTTATCATAAGATCTGGCTTCAATCGCCGACTCGCCGGAATATGTAATGTTGTGGCAACTCTTTACATAAGTATTTTACTTCTCCTCGTCCCGGAGATAGATAGGATTGAATTCAAAGATACAAGATTTGCTAAATTCTTCCCCAAATATACAGCTCCCAGCTTTCTGGAGAATCTCACGGATGAGCTCAGGATTTTATGGAGTGTATGACGGCAATGGGAAGCTTAATAGCCGAAGCGCCCTAGTAATCGAGATTTTGGAGCTTCCGTTAGAGTCAGAGATGCAAGCGCCAACTCAGGGCGATCATTCTCCTACCACGAAGACCTGGCAAACATCCCATGGAGAACCCCCAAGACGCCATAACAACCCGTGCTCATCGACCGCCAGACATCTCTCATAAAGAATGCACCGCCTTTTTTACACCGGGAGAACAACTTTGAGACCCATGTACTCTCGTTGTTGCATGAGCTTGCCGTTGACCAGAACTTGATCCGCGCCAATTCGATTGCGTACCGTATCGGTCGGGTCTGTAGCCGTGGCGATCTGGATCTCACGCCATTCACGATTGGTAGGTACAATTTGGCCCTGGAGTGTGCGCTTCCTGAACTCACTGTAGACTCCTTGGTCCTCGACACAGCCTTCTCGTTGGATAAGCGGTGAGGCTTAATATATCAGCACACGCGTTTATGATCCGTAATGATTACTTCACTCACCCTTTGCAGGCTCCATACGCAAATCGCCGACGGAACTGTTGAACAGCACCAAGGAGAGACGCTCTGACTGTAACTGATCGGCCGGTGGTTGGTAGACTCGATGGCGAGTAGCCTTGAAATGACCACCAGAAACGATCTCCAGGGTGTCACCGATGTTGATGACAAGTGCCCCAGGCTTATAAGGTACATAATACCACCGTTCGTCACGGCCCCAGATTTGGAGACACGAAATGGGCACGGAGAAGAGCAAGGTTGTTAAGCCAAAGTCGGTGTGACCGTGCATGCGGAGGCCCTTGGATGCGTCTTGTGTTTCCTTTTGGACGGGTCTGAAAAGTGCATGGCGAAAATATCCTTCGCCGGTTGGACTGCCGCGTGATTGAACGTTGTCCCATAAGTAGTCGTCGGGCAACTCGAGAACGCGAGAGAAGAGCGTGAGCAGTCGACGGTTGACTGACCTTGTCAGGTAGTTGCAAAAGGCCTCAATCTCGTCCATCAAAGGGTGTAGACAACTGGGGATTCGGTCCATATTTTGCCATTCCCGGGGATAGAAGTTGAATTGCTCGATGCCATCAGGAATGCCGCGGTGACGCTGTACGGTTGGAGTTAGGAGAGGTTAAGTCATGCAGGCACCGTTTCATCTCACCTTGAATCCATACGGATGTTTGTAACCAGACCACTTGCCCGTGTCAGGATCGAACAGAAGCCGTTCCTTGTCCTCTTCACTGATGTTGTTGTACAGATACTGGGCAATAGCAAATTGACGGTGCAGCTAAATCGAGAAACATTAACATCAATCCCGGTGCATTCGAAACTTCTGGAGCTGATTCTCACCTGCCCTAATGAGACACCATAGTTTTCGAGGAAAAGGAAACCATCCTCGCGAATGCCCCTTTTGACCTGCTTGATCAGGTCGTCAACAACAGCGGGGTCATCTGAATCAAGCAAGGACAAGTCAATCGATGTAAGGCTTGCAAAATTGTGCTTCTCCTTGGTGACAGGTGGTGGAACCCATTCTGGAACAAAGGGCTTCCCAGGGAGGTCAGCTGCGGGTGGATTGAAGGGAGCCGCAGGTGCCATGCTTTGATGTTTGCAAGAAATAAGTGTCTGCTTGAGTGAATGTACCCTTCTGGAGACGTTAGGTTTCACACCTCTCCAGATAATATATAGTAATATGTGGAATATAAAGTCGTTGTGTTTTCTGGACTATTTGCCTCCGATCACCGGATGAGCTCCATTGTCACCATAACAAGAATCAATGTGCCATGCTCACGTTCTATGTCTGGCCGCCTAATATGGTCGGTGGGTGTTGATACTTAGTGCCAGATCTCTCCTCTGATATGGATCATCCCGTTACTGAGAGAACTCCTCCTGCTCCTCCTGCTCCTCCATCCCAAAGGATATGTGTGTCTTATCGCACCAGAACACATCCTACCAGCACGAATCTCGTTGTTATTCCGAATGAGTGAGCTCCGCGTGCTGGGCATGGGGCTGAGTGAAAGTATGGGAGGAGCTCCCAATCTCCACTCGGGAGGAGCTCCTCCCACCATCGATCTGCGTATCTGGAGATGGGTTGATCGCCACATGTCACGCCCGATAAGCACTTGGCGTTACTCCAGTGAATTGTAAAGAGACCACATGGTTGAGAAAGCCTACTGCACTATTTCAAACTGTCATTTGCACTTCCAGCCACTTTCTGCATGTCCAACTTCTTTCGATATACTAGGGATTCTCTTGGCCATTTTCACGTCCCATTGAGCCTGTGGCCATGTCGAGAGAACTCATTTCCAGCGAGAAATTTCCCCCTAAGCCACACAACTGTGAGTGTTTTCTTAAGAGGCAGACCAAACCAATGGTCAAGGTAGTCAGTCACTGATGGGTAACAGGTCCGGCTGTAAAGGTTCCCGGTCTCGTGTTCTGTGCAGGCCAAACAGCAACAGGAGAAATCGAGCAGGCAACAGTAAGTCTGATCTCTGAGAGAAGTTGGCGTTATCGGACACATCCACTGAGGCGGACATCAGAGAACAGTCTTGCAGAACCTGAAAGAAATTCTTGAGCTTGCTGGATCGTCCCTTGAGAAGGTTGTCAAGTACAATGTATACCTCGCCGACATGAAGGACTTCGCTTCAATGAACAAGGTATACATAGATTTCTTGCCGAAGCCGATGCCATCGCGAACGTGTTTGCAGGCACTTCCTCCTGGTGATGGTACCGTCATTGAAATTGAATGCATTGCACAGGCATGAAACGGACTCGAGGCATACAAATCAAAGAATAACTGGGACGTTGCAAAGGGGTCCATAGTCGCTTCAGCCACAGGGCAAATAGATTGTTCAAAATGCTGGAATCTTTGAGGCAGTTTTGGGAGGTAGACAAGCATACCGATCAATTCAAGTAGAAACCTACAATACAAGAGACCAGTCTTTATTGCGAATTGATGGTTTATGATACGAGATATTGTGACTTTCGGAAACATCTCAACATATTCCAGTAGAGGGCCACATACTGACAAGCGAAGAGCAGTCAGAGACACACGCGTATAGCCATCTTACCCAAGCTTGGAGTATTCCAGTAGACCCGACTCTGTTATGTTCAGCGAATATATTTAGGAATTTTATGTCCTCATCGCTGCACCAAAGGCAGGGCTATTTGTAGCTTGACCATATATATTCCGCTCTTATTCCTTAATCTGAAGCCAGATCCACTGACATGAAACCATGGAAATGGGTTCAACTTTGTAGTTGTCTCATGATCGAGCAATTCCGAGTTCGGCTATATACCAATTCTGAATGGCCTTCGTGTCACCCGTCATAGCCACTGTGTCATACCTCTTTCTGGCCTCCTTCGCCAGCGCACCATCATTAACCATACGTCCGACCCATTTTCCGTTCTTTCGGCCTGCCGCAATGATCTTGTCAATCCCGTTGACAAACTCTTGCTCGTCTCCTCTCGCAGGTACATATCCGAGGAGAGATTGTGCAAGGTCGTTGGGTCCTATGAAGACGAGATCGACGCCGGGTACGGCAGCTATCTCATTGACATTCTCAACACCCTCCTGTGTCTCAATCTGGATCATGGTCAAGATGGTCTCGTTGGCGGATTTCATGTATTCTGGCGTGCTAAGACCGTGGGCGATGGCAGGGAAAGCTGAGCCTTGACCGCGCACGCCTTGTGGGGGGAACTTGGATGAGGCCACCACCTGCCGGGCCTCTTCAGCGGTATTTATCTGAGGAACCATGATGCCGTGCGCACCCGTATCGAGGGCACGTTTCACGATGTCGTGCGCTGGGCCGCGGACGCGAATGATGGGTGACACTCCCAATGCAGATATGGCTGCGACGGAGTTGTGCATGGCATCGTCTCCAATATGGCCATGCTCGCAATCAATTATAATGCCGTCGACTCCGGTTAAAGCCACAATCTGGGCCATTCGAACAGATGGCAGTGCCATAAATGTCATGACTGGATACTGTCCATTCCGTAGTTTGTTGAGTATTCTCAGTCGAGGATTCTGCACATCGGTTGTGTGAGGTGTGGGATAGGTGACTGTGTGTTTCGCCATACTGTCGTAAATAATGGAACTGCTAATAAAGTGAGGCGTGATCAAAGAATGAGACTTGAAGCTGTTGAAGGAAGTAGTCGAGGGCTGCGTTGAAGTAGGCCATTTGGTCTACATTGCCTCATGGACCACATCCCACCCATTCGAATGGTTTTTAACACCCAAGTATTCAGCATTTTCCCCACAAGGATTGTCCGGGAGGAGCGCTGGGCATGAAATTGGCCAAAGTGGAGGCGGACTGCTTCACCGGGAGGAGCTCCTCCCATACGATGTGCATGATCCTCCCTGTATCTCGGAATCCCAGTTCGTGTTGGTTGATTATTAGGCGGTGAGTTGTCCAATCAGGGCTCGCTCATATCAAGGTGCCAAGGGACGTTCCGGCACGTCCATATCTCAACTCCGTGCACAACAAGTTAACCCTCGCCGCAGCCGCGTCCGCTTCCACATGTGGCCTTACAGCCTTATGGGCGTGATAAGACTGGTGAGCTCCTCTCGCTCATGCCTTATCTCCAACCCGATACCATTTAGTATGGCTGTGAGTGATGCACAGTTATAAGTACTGACCCTCAGACTTGACAAAATGAGGGTACGATTTTGAACATCAGTCACTCTGCTCTTCAGCCCCTGTAAACAATCGGGGCCCTTTCAATTGTCACAAGTCTCGATCGCCGCAATGGCTACTACCAAACATTCTGGCGAGGAGAACGGAATCATCACCCTGGATTCCCACAAAGGCAACTTTTCAGGCGTTGCGGAGGACAATGTTTCTTCGCATGAAGGGAAAATCGAGCCACTTGACATGGTAGCCAGGCCCATGCCCGAAGCGCTTCGTGATCTCGATGAGGCTGAGATTCGGAGCCTTCAGCGGAAACTGGTCCGCAAGATTGATCTCGTCATCCTACCGACCATCGGCATCTTGTATATCTTGAACTACATTGACCGACAAAATCTGGCAGCGGCCAAGCTCCAGGGAATCACAACCGATCTCGACATAACCACAGAGCAATTTGCCACGGCGGTTTCGATCCTCTTTGTCGGGTACCTGCCTTTTCAGATCCCCAGCAACCTCCTCATCACCAAGATCTCTCGCCCAGGAATGTACATCTGTGTCGCAGTCATCATTTGGGGCGCCATCTCGGGTGCTACGGCGGCGGTGCATAACTATGGCCAACTCCTCGCTGTTCGGACCATTCTTGGCATTGTCGAAGCAGTCTTCTTCCCCGGGGCGATCTACTTCCTATCCGCCTGGTATACCAAACACGAACTCGGGAAGCGAATTGGGTTCCTGTATATTGCTCAACAGGTGGGCAATGCTTTCGGTGGTCTCTTTGCCGCGGCCATCGGCAAGCTCGATGGCACCCACGGAATCGCTGGGTGGAGGTGGTTGTTCATCGTCGAAGGTAGCGCTACCGTCGGTATTGGAACCATCTCTGCCTTTCTTATGCCTGAGTTCCCCCACAACAGTCGCATCCTCTCTCAGCGGGAGCGTGACCTTGCCGTGTGGCGAATCGAGTCCGAGTCCGGTGCAGCAGAGGGGTCCGAAAGAGAAAGCGTACTGCGTGGGTTTGCTAAAGCGCTGTCGGATCCCAAGCTGATTCTGCTTATCATTTGCAACATGTTGTCCCAGGCCCAGGGCTCGATCGCTAACTACTTTCCCACGCTCATCAATTCCCTCGGCTATGGATCAACCGACAGCTTGCTGCTGACTGCACCGCCATACGTTCTGGCGGGCTTTGTCTACTACGGGATCACCTTATGGTCCGATCGCAAGAACACGGTCTATCCAATCATCCTCGGCTGCATCTCGATCGCGATAACCATGTACATCATTCCCATGGCCACGACCAATGTTGGGGCGCGGTACTTCTCGATGATGATTCTTCCATTTTCGTCGGTAGGCCCGCAAATCCTCATGTACAAGACGATCAGTCTTCATCTCGCACGACCAATCTCGAAGCGGGCCGCCGCCTCGGCGCTGGTTAATGCCATCGGAGGTACGTCCAACATTTGGGCCTCATACCTATACTACCAAGCTCCACACTTCTATGCGGCGTTCGGCACGCTAATGGCCTGCGCCTTCTTGTTTGCGGGCACGATCACCTTCTACCGCTGGCTGGTTTTGCGCGAAAACAGACGACTTGATTCAGGAGATCCACAGCAGATTGCCAAGGTTATCCGTGGTGGTGTAACTGAGGAGATGGTGGGTTTGAACTGGCGATACGAGATGTATTGATGGCGCCAGAAGGACTCTGTGCTTACTAGAGGGATATCGGGCTGGCAGGTTAGATTTAGGACCTAGTGTGAGGCTCGTCGATAGACAGATCGATATACAGTACTTTGAGAGGTTCATATACTCCCGGTCTAGTACACAGCAACCTTAATATTGTGAAACTTTTATTATCTTCTATTCATACTTAATCCTGTTAAAGGATTGCTATCTCCTAGCCGTAGCCCTTATATTATATAAGGTTTGGTCACGATAGGCATCGTTGGGTTCAATATAGTATTAGGAGTTATAAGACCTACTGAGCGAAGCGAAGTAGGATAATCTTACTTTCGTTGAACAGTGGGAGTTTTGATCGTATCTACTCCTATCAACTTTTAAGTGGCGATCTCATCAGGGGGCACAGACTGGTTCGACGCCACCAACATGTTGGGTGGCCATTGCCCAGCATCAAAGTCGCAAGAAAACTCATGCACACCGGAGCCCACCACACAACGCGGACCTTCCTCTTCCACCGACAGAGCTCGTGGCGTTGTTTCCGAAGGAAGGGTAACGACTGCAGTTGAGTTTGGGGGGACCCTCAGGACCATATTGAACCGCCCATTCTCAGGCTTCCATTGCCAGGAGCAGGCAACTTGGCCGAACGGACCGTCAAAGCTCACATCTGCACTGGTGAGGTTTCCACCCGGGATAGGCCTGACGCCAATCACCTTCCAGCCGGGGTCCAATGGCATGATGCCTCCGACAGTAGTATGCAACCAGTCCGCTACAGCTCCGAGCGCATAATGGTTGAAACTTGTCATCTGCCCGGGATTAATATCCCCGTTCGGCAACATCGAGTCCCAGCGCTCCCAAATGGTTGTGGCACCCATCGTCACGGGATACATCCACGATGGGCACTTCTTCTCCAGGAGCATTCGGTATGCAAGCTGAGGATATCCAGCCGCCGTTAAGGCATGCGTAATGACCGGTGTACCCGCGAATCCGGTGGCAATACGGAATCTTCCATAGCGGACGAGCTTGTCGAGACTGGCAGCCGCAACTTGAAGTTGACCTTGATTTTTGTACAGTCCACCTTGGATGGCAAGTGATATACCGGTCTGGGAACATGACATCAGATTTCCTTCTGCAGTGATGTATTTGTATTGGAACCTTGCTTTGAGTCGCGCGGCATCTTCGGCGTGCGTCCTGGCAAGATCATCCTTACCCAATAATCCACAAATGCGTGAGAATGCTTCAGTCACACGGATTAGGTATGCATTTGCAACCATGATATTGTCAGTGCGAGCAGCTCCCGGATCATCTGACGGCGCAGCTGGATCCAACCAGTCGGCCAATTGCCACCTGTCGTTGTTCCACAGTCCATCGGCAGCACGGTCGATGCCCTCATCCAGCCAAGCTCGCATGCTTGCAAACTGTCGTTGGAGGATAGCCTTATCCGCGCTGTAGTCAAACAGAGTCTCCGGAGTCAAGACGACCACATCGTCCCAGACCGCCTGTGGCATATGCGGCCAATTTGGGGGTAACACGTCTGGAACAACAAGTGGTGGGATCCCACCTTTCCCTTCTTCCAGCTGCTCGGCGGCGACATCCTCCATCCAATTGCCGAGGAGACCCACGGAATCATACAAGAACAACGCGGTGGAAGAGAACACCTGTATGTCACCAGTCCATCCCAGCCGTTCGTCTCTCTGTGGACAATCTGTAGGAATTGAGAGAAAATTGCCTTTCATGGACCATACAACGTTTTGGTGGAGTCGGTTGACCGATGCGTTGGAACAATGAAAATAACCTCGTCGCTTCATATCACTGTGCATCACCAACGCCGAGATCTCGCTCTTGTCCGGGACTCCGGGCCAGCCTTCGATTTGCACGTAGCGGAATCCGTGGAAAGTATATTTCGGTGTCCAGTCCTTCATCACTCCACCAGACCCAATGATGATGTCTCTGGCTTTGGCACCTCGGAGGGGTCTGGTACCCAATTCACCATGCTCCATTACTTCGGCATGCTTGAATATCACTTCATGACCGGCTGGCAGCTGTAACGACTTGACCAGCAATTTTCCGACCAGATTCTGTCCAAAATCAATGATGACTTTGCCGCTTTTGCTGTGGAAGATGTTCTCCGGCGCTCTGCTTTCGATTACTCGGACAGGTGGAGCGTCAGGTAAGACAAGCTGTGATGATGGCCATGATATGGACCTGACCTTGCAGCTAGTGTTTGCTTTCAATGCAATCTCTGTATCCGTCCACTCAGTCTCCTCGCGATGGTCGTAAACTTCCCCATCATATATCCCACTGGATTGTAGAGCGCTCATGTAACAATTCCAAGTTTCATCAGACACCACTGTCTGAGTAGATGAGTCGCTGAAGCCGATTTCCAGCTGTGCGAGTACCGCAAGGTCCTCTCCGTAATAAAATCTCTTACCGCCTTTGAAGCCTAGTCGTCCAGCATACCAGCCCTCTGCGACCTCGACACCAACGACATTTCTCCCGTTGGGCACCAGAAGAGCAGACACATCAAGTACTCGGTAGTTCAGGCGATGCTTGTAACTAGTCCACCCGGGTGCCATGCATTCGTCGCTCGCGAGCTGCCCGTTGATATAGACATTGAACACACCCAACGCGGTGATGTAAAGTCTTGCACGTGCGAGTGTGGGTGTGTTTTCCAAATCGACACTTTTCCAGAATCGAACAGGCCTGAGGGTTCCGTGGCAATCCGTACTCAAGGTGGACGCAATGAAACTGGCGGTCCAATCACTCCTTTCCAGAAGGCCGGTTTCAACTGTAGAGGGTTCCGACCACGGGGTACTTTGTTCTTGAGACGGAGTCTCTGACGACTTCCCAAAGCACCGAACTCTTACAGTTGCCGAGGTTCGACTCTTTAGATGTTCGCCCGGCCATGCAACCAGGGTTGATTGATCACTTTTGATAGGGTAGGATGTTGGGTTTCCCGTTGTGGAAGGCTTGACCTCTAGCTCGTAGCCTGTTTGAATCCATCCTTTTGCAGTCTTGTCGCCATACAAAAACTTCCAGGAAAGTCTGGGCCTAGAGCAGCCTATTCCTAGGCTACTATGGTGATGCTCGAAGGTGACAGGTGATGGTGTTGGGGCAGTCATCCTTGGCTGCCAGAGAAAAAGGTCCGAAAAGTTTACTTTGTCTCCAGGGCAAGTACTGGGATCCTGAGGGTGTGGCTAAAGTATTATGAGTCTCGGACTATGTACTTGACAATGCCATGGCTGCAGACTGGGCGCTTCGGCGCATTGTTGGGCCGCAAACCAGAAGATTGCGCTTCTAGATTGACCGAAGGCGCTGACTAGTGCGCGACTGGGCCCATTGCCCCGAAACTGACCTCTGAAAGGTGGGGGCATGCGGGGAACGCTGACTGGAGAGTCGGGCCCATGGGGTGTGGGTTCTTCTTTCTTGCGTTGGCCTTGGTATTTCGTATTTGATTTTCTTCTCCCAACGAGACAGAAGAGTTCGGCGGAGTGCAGAGCGAAGCGGATCCCTGGTGGATACCTGGTTGATCTCAACCGAGTGCAGAGACGCGTTCCGCGAGGGCTGATGCGACCTCGCTTCCTGGGGTCCGGGGACCCCCTAACCCATCCCCGCTTGCTCTCCTAGTCATATGTACTAGTAGCTTGGGGGTCACCAGCTCTGAAGATTTAAGCTCGGGGTTGGGCAAACAATATATAAAACCTACAGAACATATCTTGCTATGATCCATATCATTGTCTCTTCAGGTCTGCACAGCATCCTTGCTAATACCACATCTCGCTTACAGGATGGCAAACTATCTTATTTTCCTTGTCGCCGTGGTCGCCGCCCTCGGCGGTATGATCTATGGATTTGACTCTGGTAAGAGCTCCTTGGGCAAGATCGTGATCAAAAAGCCTGACCGCGTGCTGCAGGGATCGTCGCCACAACTTTGGGACATGACACCTTCAAGGTGTACATGTATGGTCCATCTATGTCGAATCCGGCCTTGTCTGGCAAGTCGTCTTGTGTCTGGCCCTCAAGAAGAAACCAAATCTAACACGGAGGAAAAGGTGCTATTGTCTCGGTCTATAATGCCGGTCAGTCGGTGGGAGGCCTCTCGACAGGCTTCATGGCAGACAAAATCAGTCGGAAGTATACGATATTCGTGGCAGCCTTTTTGAGTAAGTCGACCGCCATGACTACGACCAGAATCACCCATTAACTCGCGCTTCAGCCGTTGTGGGTGCCATTCTTCAATGTGCTGCCGTCAACGTCGGCATGATGATTGCCGGGCGTCTGATTGCCGGGATGGGCTGCGGCCAGATTCTCAGTATTGTGCCCATCTATCTCGCCGAGGTCTCTCCGCCGAAAACTCGAGGCTTTCTCGTGGGTCTGCAGGGAATGCTGATCTCAATTGGCTTTGCACTTGCCAATTGGGTTGGATACGCTGGTTCCTTTGCTTCGGGTGATGCCCAGTGGCGCATCCCACTGGCCATGCAGCTTCCAGTCCCTGTCTTCCTTATGGGCGCCATCTTCTTCATCCCATTCACCCCGCGCTGGCTCGTCCAGCAAGATCGAGCAGACGAAGCAAGACAGGTTCTGCAGAGGCTCCACGGCGGTGATAGCAACTATTTGGCAAACCAAGAACTCGTCCAGATCAGAGAACAAATAAATCTCGAACGAGCACAAGGAAACATGAACTGGCTGGTTGCCCTATCCAAGATGTTCTCCAGGCAGTATGTTCGACGAACGCTCACAGCGGCTTTTATTATTGCCATGGGTCAGTTGAGTGGTTCGTCAGTCATCCAGAACTTTCAAAACATCTTCTATGCCGCAGTGGGTTTCACCGGGAAGACATCTCTCCTTATTAGCGGTGCCTACGGGATGATGGGAGTCATTGGCCAGGTCATCTACCTTACAGTTGTTGCTGACCGATGGCCGCGCACAACGACCTTATGGTCCGGATCCCTTGTTTTGTCCTGCATGATCAGCATCTGCATGGCACTGAGTTCCCAGTATGGCTCGACATCGAACGAGAATCAAACAGGTGCTCGAGCCGCCATCGCCTTCATCTTCTTATACTCAATGTCGTACGCCATCTTCTTCAACTCAATGGCATGTCTCACTGAGATCCCTCTTCCTGCTGTATTCCGAGATGAGACACTAACACCCGTGCTCCAGATCTGGGTAGTCCCTAGCGAGCTCTTTCCTTTCTTCCTCCGATCCAAAGGGTTGGCGTTCGCCGTGTTTGTCAAAGCTGTTGTGGCTATTGTCCTCTCACAGATCACCCCCATTGCTCTTGCCCATGTCGGCTGGAGGTCAGAATATCACCCTATCCCGCTTCAACATCGCGATGAACTAACGTTTTATGTACAGGTACTACTCTCTCTTCATTGCGACCAACTGTGCCGCCGCTATAATCTACTTTTTCTTCCTCCCAGAAACTGCAAGTCTCTCGTCCCAGTCCTACATTTTCCAACATGCTAACTCTTTGATTAGTCGGGCAAATCCATAGAGGAGATTGCAGAGCTCTTTGGAGACACCCTCGCCACGAATCATATCGGCGAAATTGATGTTGATGCTAAGGCGGCCGCGCCTTCGACTGTTGAACATGTAGAAGAGTACGATCTAGAAGAGAGCGCTCGGAAGGGTTGATTATTCTTATTCATCCATAGTACTAGCATTCGTCCTGGAATTCTCCTATACGTCGTCCTTCTCCCCGAGCAAGACCTAAACGTGGCGACACGGGGTGGGACGACCCCTGAGATCTTCTGTTCAGGCATTACATTGCCTACTTTGTTCCGCCGGCGGCCGTAGGATCTTCCCTCCCCCTGACAGCTGGAGTCCAGAAAAGGTCAAAGAAGTAGATCAAGGGATTGGTGGATTCTTAACAGATCCCAGATATAGAGAGTGACTGCCACTAGGGAAGATCGACTTCTGGTCAGATGGTTGCGGTTGCATTGCAAGATATGTGCTCCTTCTTTGGTAGATTATGGGATTCAAAGTAGATATAAGGCCGAGCAGGACCAGATGCTTGAAATTGTAGGCGAGACCTTTGTCCTCGGCCTCACGGATGGATACGTGGCAGACCTGGTGATTCTTTTCAACAAACTCGAACGTCTCAAGAACGACTTGCACAATCTCGTAACGCAGGTGAACGGCACAGAGACAGAACGAGCTAGCCACACCTCCAAAGCAGTTAATCTCGCAAGAGAGGCAACTCATATGGTCACGGCGATGAATGATCTTGCGATGCAACTCGCTGGTATGAGCCAAGCGCAACAACTGAGGCTGTGGACTTTGGCAGATTTCGAAAATGACTCTAGATCGATCGTGTTGACCTAGTTGACTTGGGAACTGGAAGTAGGAATATGTCGTGCCCGGTTTCATGATGAAGGTGATGCCGCGCTGTGTTTGTTGGTGGTAGAGGCTTCTGATGTCTATCAGCAAGACTGTATCATCTTTTCGAATGACTCGATTGATAAGGTGATTTGACCTGTCCTTGTTTTCCTACACGGGTATCACCCCGGGAAATACACCTGCTAATCAGAGCAAGTCTAGGCGGAGTTAGGCGTATTGGATCTCTCCCATGATATCCTATCGCTCTATCCCGCCGGAAAACATGGCAACGGTCGTGACTGCTGATTAGCGTGGTAGATCCATGATTATAAGTCAGTAACTATGAGATTGTCAAAACCAGGCCGAGGTTGCCTGCTCTCGTCTTTATGAGCAGTGTGAAAAAACTCCTCCGAATCACAGCTCCTACGGACAGACCTCGTATCCAGTGATGGCATCTGTGGCAGATGCAACACCCTTCCTTGGCGTAGCTCTGAACCGAGATCTTACCACATTGGCAGGACCTATTTTGGTGATATGGCTTTTGGTAGTATCGTATAGGGTAAGGTTATCGCTACCCGCGATTGAGTCCAGAGAAAATCAAATTAACTACATATAGTATGCCTACTGGACGAACATCCCGAAGATTGATGGTATTCCTGAGATTCCTGGGGCGAGGCCATTCCTTGGTCATCTCCATCTGCATGCCGGAGTGAGCAGCGTCAACGATGGGGCGCTCTGGGCATCTTGGGCAAAGAAGCATGATGCACCCATCTTTCAGATGAAATATGGCCAGATTCGAGTTGTGGTCGCCAATACATTTGCCGCCATCAGAGAAATATTTGTTACAAATGCACGTAAAACTTCGGATAGGCCGAGACAATATATGTTTGAGCAATACGTCGGTAAGCAAGACTGGCCTGCTCATCTTTTGTGGCTGATCATCTCAAGGATACGACCTTGGAACCCATTCCCTCGATGATAATTTCAAGCAACAACGGCTGGCCGGAATTGCCTCTGTCCAACCTCGGAAATGGCCCTTATTCTACGCTGGTTTTAATCGAGAAGCCGACAGACTTATCGCCAGCCTCGCTCAAGACGGAGAGTACGGGGCACAGCCGATGAACCCCTTCAGATACATGCAGCTGATGTCTATGAACCTATCCTTCCATATCACGTTCGACAAGCACTTCGATAACGCCCAAGATCCGTGGTTGAGAGACTATGTTGACAATGCGGTGAAGATCTCAAAGTAAGCCCGAGAGCTCCAGGGTTAGATGGTAGTACTAAAAACCGAGAAGGGTTCGGGGAGCTTCGAACACATACTCTGATTTCGTGCCGCTACTCCGATGGCACCCAAAGTATCGCAGAATGGGGCAGGAGGCACAAGCTGCATCACAGAAGAGATCTCGAATGATACAAGTTGTCCTTGAAGGCCTGAAGGAACGCATAGCGAAAGGAGAACAGCCTAATTGCATTGCAGCATCTGTGTTGGCTGACGAGAACAGCAAATTAAGTCTAGGTACTTTGATCCAATCCCTTTTCCAAGGTGAGGCTAACCACGCTACAGCTGGTGCAATTAAATGCTCAACATCCATGGTACAGGGAGGGCTTGAGAGCCTACCAGCTCATGTCCTCGCAGGAATGGGTGGGCTCACCTCGGCAGAAGGAATCAAAATACAAGAGAAGGCTTATCAAGCAATTCTTGAAACTTATCCCAATGGGGATGCTGCTGAACATGCCTTTACGGAAGAGAGTGTGCCATACATCGTGGCAATATATAAGGAGATCCTGCGCAACTATACTGTGTTGCCTTTCAGCCTGCCCCGTCAGGCTACCGAGGATATTCAGTTATCATCAGGTGCAATAATTCCCAAAGGGACAACATTGTACATGAATTCAGAGGGTGGGAACCATGGTAAGTACACACTGAAACTCCCAATGAGAGAGAAGGAAAGCTTATTACGGGGATGTCAGATGAAGCGCATTTCGGAGAGAACGCGGGCAAGTTCGATCCAGAGAGATGGTTACGCGATGACAAGCTTAACGAGTCTGGATACGCTACGATATCATATGGGGTGGGATCACGTCTTTGTCCAGCTTGGAATATTGCGAACCGGATGATGTACGGCCTGATCTTTCGGACGATTCTCGACTTTCAATTGCGTGCTGACGAGAGCGATCCACCTCCAAAATCATACCAAGAGTTTGGCGAAACTCCTGCCGGACATATCAACAAGCCGAAACAGTTTCGAGTACGATTCATCCCAAGAGACCCTGAAAGACTGAAGGTCAAAGTTGCGAGCATCAAGGCATAGCCGTTTCGAATATGCCTTTGAGAACTAGGGCGATGGGTCCGAAATATAGGTTGGACCTGCGCAGGATTACACAGTCTTTCTCGTTGTGAATACGCTGTTCTCGAATTAAATAGAGATGTTTGGCTCATGCCAATCTGGATGATCGAAAGCACGTTCCTCCGACCAATCAGGTTTTGTTACTGAGATGAGCCGGTCCGTCAGAGCCTTATCTGAAATACCTGAGCACTTTATCATTGACATCGTATTTGCAATCCACGCCTTACCCCCATTCATGAACGTGTTAATCCCTGATACTCCTACTCCCTCGTCCTCTGCGCATTGAGACCCCTCCAATACAAATCGGACAATGTCGAGGGCGACATTTGCCTGTGCCCGCTGTTACAAACGGAAACGGAAGGTACTGGACGTCGAACCTTTGAGTTGTGTATGATTAAACTGAGGTCTTCTTGCAGTGTGATAGCAAAATCCCTTCTTGTACCAACTGTATGAACGCCAATGCTCAATGTGTGGGCTTGGATCGCGCAACTGAACGATTTGCACCACGCAGGTAAGCATGCATCACTGCTAAATCCAAGACGATTTGCCAACACTTGACAGCCTTGTTCAATACCTGGAGGAGAACATTGCGAAGTACGAGAACGACTTGGGTCAGAATCACGCAGAGTCCGACGATACCGTGAGTCTCGGTACATATCATAATGATGGGACCACCAACAGCATTCACAACTCCAGCTCCCTGGATGATTACTTGGCACGAGTTGTCCGAAACGCCACCAGTAAGAGGATGCATAAAACATTGCATACTCTCCCTGGAGACTTTCTTTCTTCTACATTGTCAACGCCATCAAATCTTCCAGTTGAGACAGAGGGCAGGCTCAGTTCATACATACCCCGAGAGACAGTTCTCGAAACATCAAGCAGCATATTCAAACTTAACAGTATGCCTCTACAGGTTATCAACACGCTGGTAGATATCTTTATTGAGAAAATACGACCACAATATCCCTTTTACGACGAGGAAACCTTGAACTCTTTTCGTCAGTCTGTTATCCATCCAGGCGCAGAAGATTCTGAAGAGCCACGAGCCAAAGTCAGCCATTTCGCGGTTTCCATGATGATGGCTATCAGTGTCATGACCTCCAGAACCACAGACCTTGTCAAGCAGTCTGTTCTAGCTGAGTCATTGTACCGAGATGCACTGCTTTACTACGATCGTCTGGGTCCCAGTACACTGACAAAGTTGCAATGTACCATGTTGCTAGTTCTCTACTCCATATTTCGACCAGGCGATGTGAACATTTGGAACGTGAAGAGCCTTGCGATGCGCCTTGCAGTTGCCATGGGACTACATCGAGAAACCTGTGGCGTTGACGACGCTTTCGATGACTCGACAGCCGACCTTCGTAGAAGAATCTTCTGGACCGTATGTATAGTTGGAAGCCTGTACTGCGGACAAGCACTAATTGTTTGGCAGCTCTATTACTGGGACAGAGCAATATCAATTTCCTCACATCGGCCGCTCGGCATTGCCGACAATCATATCGACGTATCACTGCCATGTGTTCCAGCAGGTGACCGTGTCACAGCCAGATTCGTCAGGTCTCTCACGCTTCGCCAAATACAATCTGAAGTCTATTCGGTCAATTTCTTCGGCAAGAGTCTTGGAGACACTCCATACGAAACTTGGGTTGAGGCAACCGAGCAAAGACTGTCAAGCTGGGCTGACGAAGTTACCTCTCTTGGAGATCATGGATTCGATTTCTTTGAGTTTATAATCTCCACTGTCTTGCTTCATCGTGGGTTATTCATACTATTCCTTGCCTAGCCCTTGTGCTCACAGCCGATGCAGTGCATAGACCATCTCAAGCGAGGCCAGTGTTGGGCGAGAATGCCGTACTGGCATGCTTTGATGCTGCTGCTAGTATACTGCAGGGATACTGGAGAATGATAGTAAGGGGGTTTCTCAAATACGACTGGCACATGGCACACCAAGCATTTGAAGCAGGAATTGTTGTTCTTTATGTTCTGAGGCACTACAAGACGGTGCTTGAGTCGCATCGCACAACTGCCACCATTCTCGAGGTTGTCAACGGCTTCACCAACGTCTTTGTAAGTTCTATCTATCCTCACAAGCCAGGGTCCGGTTTATAACGAGTACTAGATGCTTCTTTCGAGACGCTGGCCAGCATCCATCAATGTCGAGGAGACTTACGAGCGCATTAAAATCAAAGTTCTGAAGCAATTCCTTGCTGGTAGATCCAGCGAAGCGGCACGCCTTGAAAATGATGAGCTGGATAGGCTTGTGAGGTGGGACGCACATCCGTGTATGTATACCGCTAGTGAAGAAGAGAAGATACACCAAGGCGCCTTCTCATTCCAAAGTCACAGCCAGGAACATGACTTGGGATTTTTGTCCTCAACTCAGAATCCCCAGCTACTAGGTGTACCAGCCACGTCTCTCAACTCGACATTAACAATTCACGTGTTCGACCCGTTGAGAACGAATCCTGTTGTTGCAAATCAAGATTTTACCGAGATGGCAGATTTCTGTGACATTGATTGGAATACTGCGAGGTTAGAGGCTTTCACTGATCCTAGTTTTCTGCATTGGGCAATGTAGTACGAACCATTGCAATGCTCGAAATCACTCTATCGAGACATCTCTTTTCCCTCCGATGCTTGGCTGATGGCGAAGACTTTGAAGCTAGAGGGACTGCTCACAATCCCACAAGGTCAAGTTTTGGACAGTTAGATAAGGTCGGCTAATTCCACATCAATGTTGATAGGCGTACATTCTGGAGATAGGGATGTTGGTACTTTCCCAAGCAGGGAAGGAAGCTCGGTCATTTCCACCACGAGCGGAATTAGTCCTGAAGGTGATCGCCTTATCTGCTTTGACTTGGACTTATCGCAACCTCATTCGGTATCGCCCACCCGAGTATCGACAAAATCCTCATTGGCCACCATTAAGGAGCCTACGAGATGGCACAGCGTCTCTCAGCTCCCTTCCTAAGGGTCCGAAGGTCCCATACCAAATACTGGGCTAGATCCAGGTGACTTTGCAAAAGGCCTGGGTGCCACCGAAAGTCCAACATTTGATCCATAGCGTGCTCCTGTGGCAGGGATGCCTTGCTTGACTGAATCCTTCCAGTAAGTCAAGACCAGCACGCCCAAGTGTATAGTGGAGGGGCAGCACCAGATATGAACCTCGAACAAACACACGAGCACTTGCGAGATGCCATCAAAACCATACCATCCTGCAATCGATGCCGGAAACGAAGAGTGAAATGTGATGACGGACTCCCCTCCTGCAGAAACTGCGCCAAAGCATCCGCAGAATGTAATTATCTCGACCATATTTTGGGTGAAGATATTCCCAGGAGCTATCTTCTATCACTTCTTGAGCGATTTGAGGAATTGCTGTCTCGTAGGCGCAACTCTCGCGGTACTACACGTTCTTCAACTAGTGCCGTGACAAGGGAAGCAACGCCGCCTGTTCCTGGCCTGGCATTCCCGATCAGAATTCGACTCCCATCCCTGCCACGGCAAAGCCATTGTGACGATATTCCAGTCTTTTGGGGTGCCACCAGCATCTTCTCACAGTTTAGTCGTCCAATGCTGGCTAACAGGATGCAAAAGCGGGAAAGGCTCGATCGGAAGCCAACATTATATGCGCCGGGGTTGTTCGAAGCCATCTATCCAGCATCAATTCTCCACTCCGTGGGTCTGACAGATCCAGGACATGGTCAATACTTACTGAACATCTACCAAAACTCGATCCATTGGCTATACCCCGTACTAAAAGACGACCATGCACAGCGTGATCTGGAGCGATCATATCAATGCCACAACCTGAACTCAGGCGCCGACTACTTGCTTAGAACCTACCTTGTGTTTGCCATATCATTGCGGCTACTGTCCAGAAACGATCCTCAACTCGCCGTCTCAGCAGGTGCATACTTTTCAATGGCGACTCGAGGACTTTCCATGGGAACATTGCACAATCCATCAACCTCAGCTCTTGAACTTCTCCTGCTTTTGTCCATCTACGTTCTGTTAGATGAGACAGCTGGCGAAATCTGGGATCTTGTGGGTTACTGTTCGAGGATGTGCGTCGAACTTGGTGCCGAGAGGAGTAGGACTACTGTTCATTTGTACCACGCAACGTACACTCTTGAAAGGTACGAGACTTTGACGCTTCCAAGGAATATGAAGCTAACAGGCTTACAGGGACGTTGGAATAGCATATGGCAGGACCATGGATTTGTCCGACTCTTTAGCCTCCGCGACACCAATGTCCGCAGACAACCAAGGCAGTCCGTTCTTACGGACATTCCAACTTGCCAGGATCAAGTCGTCCATTCATGGAATAATTTGTTCGACTCATCAAATGACCGCCGATACAGCAATGAGAGCCTGGGCACTAGACGTGAAGTCGAATCTTGAGACGTGGCGTTCCGAGAGTATAGGGTACCCTTCCACATCTCCGTCTTCTTTAACCTTCGAAAACGTGTCGAAATCCCGCCTCCAGCACGTATGTGACGAAGCCACACTGCTTTTGTTCTCCAGTCTACCGGACCCACACATCATCTTCCCTGACCTGCATTCCATTGCGAGCCGCTACATTAGACGGTGCCGATGGTTTTACGACAACCAGAGGCCGTCGATGGAATCGCCAAATGAAGGCTTATTCCCATTCTCCTGGATGTCCGCGCATAACATCACGCGTGCGGCACTGTTGCTACTAGAGTCTGGGGACTGGGCGCAAGACTCAGTCATTTATGCTGCAATTGGTTTGCTCAAAGAGCTTGACACCAGCCGCGATTCGTCACTGGTAATGATGCTGGAAGAATTGTTACACCACAAACAGTCGTCAAAAATGGACTCGGTCTAGACTATTGCTAGTTAGAACACGGACCTATCACTACATAATCTTTGCTACGTCCATGTTTTCCGAAGCTTCACAAGCTGCCCCTGTTTGCTTTATCCGACCATAGTCACCTACAGCGCATTAGCCCGATGAAGGACAGAGCTGGGTTGGTTGCTTTATTGAGATGGTGATTCATCCCCTGTCCCCGAGCAATGCCGTAGGTCCTGGACATTTTCTTGGCCACCTGATGTTCGAAGATGAAATATCCGGCGAAGACTGTCTACATGGCAGGGAACCATGAAGTGAATGGAATCAAGGGCCCGGCATACTTTGAGTACCTACATGGCTGAATGGTGGAGGTCTTTCTCTCACCTTGTAAAATGATGTTTTCTGGTCAACCCCTATTCTAAGTCGTAGAAGGGCATTAGAACGAGTCGAATACTAAGCCCTGGATAGTCCAACATGGGAGGCTATGCTTTGCTAACACTATGTGTTCTCACCCACAGGAAAACATTGCATACTAGAAACTTGTATGACATGGAAATTCTCACCATCCACCCTGCTCGTTGACCTATGAACAATGTACTTCCGGTCCTCTGTAATATCATCTTCTCCAACCCTCGTCTATCAAGTGAGCACAGTTTAAACCCGGTATCGGAAGTGAAGGTTCTCCATATCCGTCAAGTCCTCAAAGCCTTCCAGGGCTTCCCGTTCCACTTGTGTATGCAACTGTTTCTTGTCCCGAGCTTTGTTCTGCGCATAGACAAAAGCGGTATAGACGGCTTGAGTACCGAACCCAACCGCATAGCAAACCATCATACCTTTGAGTGCCGATGGGTATCGTGGAGCCTCTTGCTCGAAGAAGAGGTGAGGACCAGCAATGCTGCCTCCACAGAAGAAACTGTGTGGTGGTCAGGGAACTCCTTTCATTCCTGGGTAGTACAGATCCTAAAGACTTACATGAAATAGAGACCCAAGACGGTGGCTCGCTTCGTGTGTCCAGCAACGTTGGTCGCTGGGAGGGTCCAGCTCAGAATGATGGGGGAGCCGACAATGTTCTGACACCAGGCGCATGCAAGCAAGTTGTAACGATGAGTCACTGGAAGGGTCATCATCCCAGCCAGTCCGCCAATCCCAGGAATGACACTGACTATATGGTTGTGAGTGGGCGAATGGAACGATGATCAGGAGTGGGAGCACATACGCATCAGAGCCAATCCCATGCAGTTCTTCTTGGTCGACAGCCAGCCGAAGAAAAGCACACCAACCACCTCTAGCGCGCCAGCCGGGGTGGTGTAGAGGCTGGTCTTGAGGGCAGAAAATCCAAATCCTTTGATGATGGCTGTCTGGAAGCTTGAAACGCCTCCGTTAAGGATGCCGAAGGCGGCAGCCTGCACCATGAGGATCCAGGTCTTGGAATCCCAGAGGGCTTCTTTGACCTGATAAGCAAGAAACTTGGAGTGCTTGACCCCGCTGTTGTTATGAGAAACACGCCACACCGCAACGACGCGCTCGTATTCGTTCAGGCACTTCGCGTTATGAGGACCATCCGGCAGGTAGAGGATAATAACCACCGCCCAGGCCGTTGTGAGAGCCCCAACAACCTAGAGCAGTCAGCGTCATTCGGTTGAGTGACACGAGTTTACGCGGGACTCACAAGGTAGATCAGCTTCCAGTTCGGGACCGCAAGGCCACTGGCATGTCCAAGGCCATACGACAACAGTGCCCCGATGACAATGGAAACGCCATTCATACCCAGCCAGAAGGACGTCCTGAGCGGCTGCTCTTCTCGAGTGTACAACATCGAGGTCAAAATGACCCAAGCCGGAGAGACCATTGCTTCAACAGCACCTAAAAAGAATCGGATAACGACGAAGCCGGCAAAATTGTAAACCGCCCCTTGCAGCATACACAGGACACCCCAGACAACGAGAACGTAGCCGGCCAGCCGCCCGACAGGGTATTTCTGGATCAAGATATTCCACGGCCATGCAGCGGCGAGCCATCCAAAGTACAACGCAGAGGCAATCCAGGAATACTGGTCTCCCGTGATGTTGAGGTCCTTCTGCAAACCATAGCTGTTGGAATAGTTGAGCCTGCAAGGAATGTCAAGAATGCACTTTCTGTTGCCTCACAAATCGGTGGCTGTCCATACATACGTCGACTTGTCCAAAAAGCTCCACATGTAGGTGACCATCATCTACCCGCAGAAAGAGTTGTGAGCCTTCTGAGAGTGACCGTAGGTTATGCCACCAGAAGAAGACCTACCAGCGGCAGAACGAGGAAATCCAGCTTTCTGCGCACCTTGACCGAGTCCCTTTGAAGCTGGGCCGGGTCATACTGGAAAGACTTCTCGAAGAGGGCAAGGCCAACGTCGGCATCTTTGCCAATCCTGTCAACGATCTCATGCACTTGCCCTTGGATATCGTCATCGACAATTTGGCTGTCTTGGGTAGTGGTAGTCTCTGTCTTGATCTCCTTGGTTTCAGCCATTGTGTTTTCTGTCTTGTCCATGTTTTGGAAAGCATAGCACTGAAACAAAACCGTCCGGTCGGGCAGCTTTAAATAACACGAAAGCTACCATCTAGTATCTGCGCAGTACTATTCATCCATCTGCTGTGTGACAGTAATGGGTGATAAGGGTTGAGCGATTGTATCTCCATATCTTTCGCCAGTAGAGCTGATTCCTTATGTTCTCTTATCTGCCATATCCCATGGGAAACCTCGACCTTGATACTCGCACAAGTCCACGCAAACCCATCGGGTTATTCCGCACAACTCTGGAAAGTCGACACTCTTATAGCCGTCAGTTTGTTGCCTGGAGAATCCGCTTGGAACGTAGGCGGTCTTAGCGTTTCAAACATGATCATGGTCTAGTTGTCGAGGATTTTGTGATGGATTCACAATCCCACGTCATTCCGGAGCGGGATACCGGCTGGAGCGTAAGGTTTGGAGACATGGAAGTCCTAGTCATCTGAAGACACTCTATTTTGCGCGCAATGGAGTTTCCCAATCGCAGATAATACTAATGGTGAAGTATACCCAACGTATATTCCCTGGTCGAAGCATGTTTGAGTGGTGGGTTGCAAGGACCACAAAGTCCATTCTCTGGAACTCAGCGTGTTGAGGCCAAGGAGGCTAAGTTAGTAAGTCACCGCGCCTTTCCGCCAGGCTCGGGTTATTGCCTCCCTATGTAGGTAGCCGGTCGCCATCAATTAAGTAATGTCCATCACTTTTTTGCCCAAATTCAACCTCACCGACACCACCGTCTTGACTTTCACATCAAAACGACCAATTTATAAAGTTAGGGTTCTCCCTGCGAATCCCTGATCGAGGTGAAAGCCCTTATCCCACTCAGCCCATGAACGCCTCCCAGCCCTTTTCGTTCATGATATCAAGCCAGAATGCGTCTTCTCCTTGATCCATGCGCCTCCAAGTCTCAATCATTGTGTCGCGCATCCGATTCAAGGGCATGAAATGAAAAAAATGCATGAGCTTCTCGGCAAAATCCAGGGCGAATATCCGCAGGTCTGCTATGTTCGCCGGGGCGGAACGAAATTGGCAACATGGCTCCTCAAGCGGAACGCTGGCATCAGCTTCTGCGGACCTTGAATCGGGCAGAGGACGTAATTCTCCAGCAGCAATGATGAGTAGATGTGGAGTAAGCCCTAGAATACGAGAACTGCGATCGAAGCGGCTCAGGGTCTCAAGGACATGCAGGGCCAGATTGAACAAGTCCTGTTTTCGGCCCTTCTCGGGTTGGGCAGTTGTGGCACGACTATGCTGATCACTGGTGACCCCTTCGACGCCAGTTCGCGTAGCGGCTCCATGCCTAGACCTCAGAATGCCGGGAAACGTTCGATATATCAGAATCAGTATGGCGTCGCGATATGCGTCGTTGATGGCCACAAACCCGTTAAGGTCAACTTCTGGATCTTCTGGATCGGCGATCTCATGTCGAAAGTGAGTCTGGAGGTTGATAGCCTGCTCCTCGACCTCTCGTCCGGTGGCCTCCGAAACGAAATCGTGCAGGCTGTCGTCCAGTGGATCGCTGGTCTCCTTCTGTCTCACTATCCGCAGGGCTTGCGCATGACGGGCAACGCGTCCAAGCAATACTTGAGCCTCCGTAGAAATACCCGCCCAAGGATGTAAAAGAATTACCGAGTTATCCAATATCAGAGGCCCGATTCTGTCGACAGTTCCAAGATGCGGCGGAAGCTCAAGAAAGTGTTTCGAAGGATCGGAGACGAGTGTCAAAAGCATCCACCAATACGTTAAAGCTTGTTGGAAGAAAGCATTGTTGTTGCTATTGCTCTGCTCTTTGGCTTTCTTCATTGAGCTCATCCTCGTGACTGCCACCGCGACCGAGTAATAACGGATGCCCATATCGTTTGGATCGTGCCAAGAGCTGCTGACGCCCAGCAGTAGCAGCCCCAGTAGTAGTTCATTCAGACGGTCCGGGGTGAGACCGGCTGCAGCCTTGATCTCAGTGCCGAGCGCTCTTGACGCTTCCTTGCGCGCAAGTACTGCAATGGGCTTCAACTCCACCGTTTGCTTAGCAAGGCAAGCCGCTGAAAGACTCTGTGCAGCTGTGAAGGCGATGGCGGAATGTGGCCAGCGAGCCGACATGACGGTGCGAAAGGGGTTCTTTGGCCCGTCAAAAGTACACACAATGGTACAGACGTGATCAAAATAGTAATTCAATAGAATGGAAGGTGTGAAAGGCAGTTCGTGCGGAAGACCGATGAAGCGCACAGGCATAGGACTGCGCCGGGCGGCAAGAGACACACATTGTGACTCTTCCGCCAGCACGGAGGAGTCATTTTCCTCTAGTCCCTCCCAATGGTCGGAGGACACTGACGATGTACTGCGAACGGAACCGACTGATCTTAAAGCGAAGAAGTCGGCCGAAGTTCCAGAAGCCTGGGCTACAAGATCTCGTGCCGAATCACGGAACTCTGCAGCAGGATCGATACTCGAAGATCCGGCATTATGTACGTCAGGAGTTTGGCCGAAGATATCGTCGGCCATTGTCGCCGCGATTGCTAGTGTTTCCCATGGTGCAGTTTCGCTGGGCGTCGGCTGCTGTGGCAAGCAAGGTCGCCATGATGTCTGGTATCCATTGATGAACGGCGGAGACTGATTGATGCTGGTAATAGCTCTTTCTTTGACGAGACTGATCCCATCTCCTCGAGACTTTCGTTTTGGTTCGAGATGAGGCTTGCGCCATGTGAGCTGCTTGTCGTAGCCAGGACAAGCAATGCCGCGCCTTTGGCAATTGAGGCAAGCAGGCTGAGTCTCGTCACATTTTTTCTGCACTATTCGTCAGCTTGACCATAGCAGGGAGATATGATGGTGAAAGAAACGAACATGTCTCGTCTTGCAGGCCGGACATCCCGACCGAGCTCTCGTTTTCTTGCCATTCGAGGTCATGATGGTGGTATCATTAACATTCGCTGAGATAGCTCTTAATTAGCGCACCAGAGACACGCCTTGCGCCAGCAGCTGTAGCCATGCTGAACTAGCATCGCCGCCACACTATGATGAATGCAAAGCCACGTCGGAGTACCCGTGCACGAGCAAGATGAATGAAACATGCACTCGGATTGTGCACTGAACTAACATGCTTTGTGTCCTGCTGACGATGCGGAAGACGATTCGAGAAGAGAGGCTGAGATTAAGTTCGCGAAGTCGCCGATAGAGAGATTTATTAGCGATAGCGATAGAGACAATCCGGCACCTCTGAAGGATGATAGTAGTCACGTGTGGCCGTTATCTCGGGCGTACGGAATTCTCCATATCACAATAATTTCCCCTCGAGGACAATCGATAAAACGCGGCAAATATCGCCGCTTTCATCCTAGTTCCACAGAGCCCTTGCGCGCCCCTGGCACACTATCAAGTCGTTGCCGATACCCCACAAGACGTGGGAGCGCAAGGTGAGGATGTTGAACGATGTATTCGTTAAACTGAAAAAGGTTATCGACACCAGATTTTGGTACCACAAGGTTATATAGCGTTCGCAATCCCGTCTGACAGTATTGCTCCCTACAGATATCCTATGATGGGAGTCACCATATGATTCAAACAGATATACTTTGAAGTTGTCGCTCTGGCTGTAGAACGCAGAAGATGAGTCTCGCTGGGAAAATTGCAATCGTCACTGGCGGTAGCAGGGGCATTGGGGCTGGAATCGCCAAAGAGCTGGCCAAACGTGGCGCGAAAGTGCTCATCACTTATGTCGCCAACGCCGCAAAGGCAGATGCCGTGGTGGAGGGCATCAAAGCTGACGGGGGCGAGGCCCTGGCAGTCAAAGCAGATTGTACGGACAAGGCCGCACCAAAGGTGGTCGTCGATGCAGCGCTCAAGTTTGATGGCGGAATCGATATCATCATCAACAATGCCGGGGCCGGCGATGAAGCGTATCTTCAGGACGCCACATATGAACACTTTGAAAAAGTGGTCAACACCAACATGCGCTTTCCCCTGTTCCTGGTCCAGGCGGCGCTCCCATATCTTCGAAGAGGCGGGCGAATCGTGAGCATCGGCAGTGTCTGTGGCAGAGAAGGTGAGCTGAATCACACTGACGATACCCTGTCTAACCTGTGTGCAGGCTGGCCTAAGAACAGTGTCTATTGTGCCACCAAGGCTGCCCTGGAAGCATACGCCAGGGTATGGGCTGTCGAACTTGGCCACAAATATGGCGTGACGGTGAATAACGTGAATCCTGGACCCGTTGCCACCGACATGTGGGAGATGTAAGTATCTTTGGCTGTCCCAGATCCAGGAAGATGCTCTAACCACTGGCGCGCGCAGGGACACGACCGCGGAAACGCATGAAGCCATGTCAGATTACTTCAAGAAGACCACTTCAGAGCCTCGGGTCGGGTATGTTGAGGACATCGTTCCTATCGTTGCCTTCCTGTGCGAGGAAAGCGCACGCTGGGTTAATGGGTCGACTACTTGTGCGAATGGGGGTGCGTTGACGGTTTGAGGACGCGGTTAACAAGCCGAGAGAGCCGGGCCTGAGATGCGTTATCCCGCCGTTCTGAGACTTGGAGGTCGAGCCTGGGGATAAAAAAAGTGTCACACTAGAGCCCCCTTCTAGTACTTTCATACCCTCCTCCTACTCCCTCAATACTAAGCTTATAAGCAGTGTCTCTTCTTCTACTTAACTATACGCCTAGTAGTAATTATAGTAGTAAGTGCAGCAAGAGAGATAACAACTCCTATTACGCACATAGTTGAGGTGATGGGCAGTGCACCCTTTTTGGTGTGCCACGTATTTTGTCCCCAGGCTCGAGGTCTATAATCCCTCAACCCAGGCTGATGACCTGATTGACAATCCTCTGAACCCTCATATGATTGGAGTATCTCCTTCGAATTCATACGCCATGCACGATAATCACTGAATCTGGCCCACCAACCGTGTTGAATACGCTGCATACCCCGATTTGGCTGTGATAACCGCGCTCGTGTGATACGAAGCGTATGCCATGAGCACCTCCTTATCAATTACGCGACTGTCAAGTCGGATAGATGCCCCTTCGCAAGATACAGTCAGGCTACTGTGACAGCTAGTCTGCCGCCAAAGTATGCTACATCCGTATCTCAAGATTGCCGCCACAAACAAGTATAAGACTTCCGTTCGAAGACGGCCACTCTTGACATTCTCTCCAGAAATCAGCTGTCGCGGCTGCAATTATCAACCGAAATACTTTGGACTAAGCAGCCATGGGCTCGATGATGGAAACACCCAAGGTGCCGGTCTTCGATGCACGATCGGTGACCCCTGAAGAAGTTGTACAAGGCCTGATCCATGCTGGAGGTGCTGTTATCCGCAATGCGATGGACGTGGAAGATGTACACCAAATCGAGAAAGATATACGGCCTTGGTTGGAGAAGGACAAGCCATGGAAAGAAGGAGGGTTCTTCCCTGTTGAGACAAGACGTGCTTATGGTCTGGCCGGAAAATCGAAGACTTTCATCGAGAAGATGGTCAAGCAAGAGACCTTTCAAAAGGTGTGCGATATCATACTGTCCAAAACGAGCCCGGCATGGGTAGGGCAGAAGCGCGAAGTCAGCACGTCCAAACCTCAGCTCAATACTACCATCGCCTTTTCAATCGGACCTGGTGCCCACCGACAGGAGCTCCATCGCGATGACATGTAGGTCAACATGCACAATGCTATGGGTGGGCTGTGACTGATCTCTCTTGCAGGATACACCACAATTATCCCCTCAAAGGCATCACTGCTAGCGAATTTACCTTTGATCGTGAAGTTGGCATCGGATGGTTTGTGGCAGGCAAGAAAACGACACGAGCAAACGGTGCTACCCGGTTCATCCCTGGGTCTCATCTTTGGGACTCGGAGCTGCCTCCAGACGAATCTCAAGCTTTTTATGCTGAGTTGGAGCCGGGCGACGGATTTGTCATGCTCTCTTCGTGCTTCCATGCTGGTTCCGCGAACACCACGACGGATGAAGAACGACTGCTGTACTGCTGCTTCATGACCAAGGGCTATCTACGACAGGTATATTCATTGGTATCGGATGAGACGCTCCTACTAACAGGGTGTTCAGGAAGAAAACCAATACCTCGCCTCGGATCCTCAGGTCCTGAAGCAAATGTACGACAAAGAGACTCTGAAGGTAAGATTAAGCTGCCTGCTGCGGTGCTGCTACACTTTCAAACTGACGAAATGCAAACAGCTCATCGGTTACAACCTCAGCGCGCCGTTTTTGGGCTGGGTCAACCAGCTACCGCCGCTGAAGGTTCTCTTTGGCGCAGAACTGGAGGAGGCAGAAGACCTGTTCTAGGCGGCGACTTGAGCTGACGGTCTGGAGGAGGAGCATGAGACCCTGACCTGTAGACTTTGACACGGCTCTGGGAGCATGACTTCCGATCAAGGCAGCAAGGGCCGAGAAGTGGGGGTTGATTGATGATTGGATTTCTCGTACACCGATTAGGAGCTATGCCTATATAAATCAAAGCCTGTTCCGGGCTCCTGCACGGTTCTCGTCCCGGTGTCGATTTACTACAGCGACTATCCCATTGCCTTCGTGAGGCTGGTTTGAACTTACGAGCTCCGTATCGTCGAGGATCTCTATCACAGTGTTAGGAGTTTGGATAACACGTGGGTTATCTCGAACGTGGCGCATTTCGACCCCGCGTACCGCGTGCACTTTGACTCCGCTTTTCTCAATCAGCGATTCCAAGTGGACGAGCATCCGACACGATAAAGTGAGCGTGTAATATTTCCACATTCGATGAAAACTTAGATTAGAGCAGGGGTATCGCTAGACATGGACCCGAAGATAATTGACGCCTTATTCAGATCGTGTGCTATCTCAACGCCATCAGTCGGCACATTCAACAATCAACCCGTCCTGTTTTAATCTTGTCCAAGACAAGACTATCGTCATGCTCACTTCTTGTCGCGATAAGCAGGGCGTAGCACAAACGGTCCAGATACAACTTGGCGGGAGATAGGCCGGAAGTCCGCTGATCGAGCGGTTCAGCACTTCCTATATCTAGACCCAATTCCACCATACTGATACCTTGCAGTCTACCACTTCCTTACAACCTGCTGCCTTGCTTCCTTCATCATGGAGAAGGTGGATAATACTCCCAGGGACACTGTCGATTCGGTCGATCCGGTCCAGACTAACGAAGGCGGCGACGAGACACTTTCGGCAGACGAGATCTTGCTGCGTGCCCAAGGCCACAAAGGAGAACTACCACGCCAATTCTCTAGCTTCGCCGCTCTGTCCCTGGCCTTTGTTATCACCAACTCATGGATCGGGTTATGCGCCACATTTGTGACTCCCCTGATCTTAGGAGGAGGACCAATGGTCTTTTTCGGTGTCCTCGTCGCGGCGGTGGCATGTACTATTATCAGTTGGTGTCATCTCAAGGGATCGAATGGCCTCCTTGCTAACACTCTTCAAGCTGCCGGCTTAGCTGAACTGGCCTCAGCATATCCTTCCAGTGGTGGCCAGTACCATTTCGCTTTCATGGTATCTTCGGTCAAGGCCCGAGCGGCTGCCGCATTTGTGACAGGGTGGTTGAGCACGCTGGCGTGGTGCCTTACGTCTACCTCTGCCAGCATTTTTGACGGTAAGTCATGTGTGCCTGAGCTTCTGATGGAGATTCCGACCTGACCAGCAACGCACGTCAGCCCAGATGATCCTGGCACTAGCATCGTTCTATAATGCCGATTTTGCCCCGACACAGTGGCAGACCTACTTGATATTCCTCCTGATCACGATACTGGCCGCTCTGGTCGTGTGCTACGCGCCCAGATTGCTGCCCGCCCTGGAGAAATTCTTCTTTTGGTGCAGTCTTTCGGGGTTTCTTGTAGCCTTCATCACCATGTTGGCAGCGAGCCGGCACAAGGAGTCCGCCCATGTCGTTTTCGTGGAATACAACAACCAAAGCGGCTGGAGCGACGGTATGTCCTTCGTCATCGCTGTGGGGACATGCATGTACACCTTCCTTGCAACGGATGCAACGACCCATATTGCGGAAGTGAGTTTGCTGCACTCCCAACAACAACTGCCACATGAGACAGAACTCCACTGACACCACCCTAGGAAGTACCTGATCCAGGCCGCCACATTCCTCGAGTCATGATCTTGACTATGGTCATCGGTTTCGGCACGGTCATGCCATTCATACTGGCCATTCTTTTCTCCTCGAACGACCTTGATGCCATCAGCGCTTCGGCGCTTCCCATCCTGGAAGTCTACTATCAAGCCACGGGCAGTAAGGGCGCAGCTGCTTTTTTCACCTTCTGGATATTGCTGAACTACTTCGGCGCCACTATCAGCTGCCTAGCAACCTCGGGCCGTCTCACCTGGGCCTTCGCTCGTGACAATGGTCTCCCGTACTCGCACTTCTTTGCCAGAGTCCACCGAACGCTCGAGACCCCCATCAATGCCACTTTTGCGTGCGCAACTTTTGTTGTTCTGTACGGCCTGATCTACATCGGCTCCACCACGGCCTTCAACAGCATCATCAACATGTCCATCCTGGCTTTGAACGTGAGCTATGTTGTGCCTCAGGGCATTCTCCTATATCGTGGGCGCAACAAGGTGCTTCCGTCGCGGAGTTTCAAACTCGGACCTCTGGGCCCGTTCGTCAACGCCTTTTCTTGTGTATGGTGCACCTTCTACACCATCATCTTCTGCTTCCCAACCTTCCTGCCCGCCGAAGTGGGTAGCATGAACTACGTCAGTGTCGTCGTCGTTGGGATCATAGTGATCATTGCGGTGCTTTGGTATGGCGGGAAGAGAAAGACGTTTGTCGGACCTGTAAGTTGCTTTACCTTTCCTCATTTGCGTCTTGCCTTGATCCAGTGAGGATGGCGCTGATATGTTGTCCACTAGAACCTCAACTTCGAAGGCTTGGAAATTACCCAGGAGCATCTTCAAGAGATCCAAGGCCATGGTCACGGCCACCGTCACAGCGAGGTGCTAACTGATGCTGCATCCTCCAGCCAAAAGGCAGCCTGAGGCATGCTGTTGATTCCCGCGGCGATTTAGGTCAAAACCGATGAAATATAGCTGTGGATGGCGAGAACCTTATCCGTTCCTTAGCTGATAAATCTCCGAAAGAGCAGATTTAATATCATATGGGACTTTTATTCGCGCGAGGGCTGTATGTGTGGGACTCCAGTAGGCTTCTCTATCCATGTCTATAACTAACAATACAGCGCTAAGTCTACTAAATATCCTACTGTATCTTGGTGCAAGTCATATTTATTGATACATTTTCCAGCTATATCGCCAAGGGCACGCCGCTACGCACATGATATCAGCCCCCCTCTCTTCTATTTTCACCTCGTAAACTCTTCGATTCGGCCCAAGGCGTCCACGTGATGCCTTACCAAGTTATAGCAACCACGACCATCATAGAAATGATACCTACCACCAGAGAAGAGACGTTCTCCTGAGAAGCTGCACCGGTGTATTGAGCCATGTCACCGGTTCTCGAGGCGGTTCCGGTTCCGGTTCCGATCTCTGCGACCGTCTTCGTGGCCCAAGAGGTTCCAGAAGCCTTGGAGCTGGTGACGGTGTTTTGTAGCACAGGACTGATGACGACTGATGTCACGACAGCATTTTCTGACTGATGACTATTAGCGGACGTGACGATTCCGGCGACGTTGGTGACAGTAACAGTCTTCGAGGACCCTGCTGCAGTCTCTCCAGATTTGGCCGGGTTGGCATTTGTTGAGGCTGCACTGGGCACAGATTCGATGGCAGTGGAAGACACTTCAGGAGATGTCACTGTGCGAGTCGAAACTGAAACTGAAGACCATTCTTTCCACTTGTTGGAGGATTCGCCTTCACTGCCGGTGGTGGGAGCTGGGCCAATCGAGACAGTCGCCGTCAGTATATCCGAGGTAAGAGTCACGGGACAAACGGTGGTTGTGACTGAGATGACAATGGTGCTCACGGTGGTTGTCTGCGACACGACTGGGCACCGCGGGATTGTCGTTGGGCATGCCGTGATAGTTGTCAGTGTCGTCGTGTAGATAGTCGATGTTGTCCACTTTTGCGATGTTGGCCAAGGCTTGCCTGTCTCGAGAGGTCCGGTCAGTGAATCAGTGAATGGACTGGTAGTAGAGGCCCAGTCATCCCATGACGGAAGGTAATCAGTCACTCTTGAAGTGGGGCTGGAATCGATTCTACCTCCGGAAGGGGTGCTGGCGGACCACCAGTCGTTCCACAACCCAAGAGAGTCGTCGGTCTTAGTGACGGATGTCATTGTAGAGCTGGAGACACTGCCTGCCGGCCAAGTCGTATAACTTCCACTTGTCGTGCCAGGAACCGAGGTGGTGGCAGAGGCGGAGGCTGCCGTGCTTGTCTCCGAGACGGGAGAGGTATGAATGGTCGAGAGAGTCGAACGGGTAGTGCCTTCAATCGGTCCGACACTCACAATGTACGATGTTGTGGTTGAGCTGACTGGGACATCAGTTGCCGAAGTAACTCCCGTGCTTGACGCTGAAGTGGTGCCCCCAATCGGTCCTACACCCACGCCATGTGATGTTGTGGTGCTTGAGCTGACTGGGGCATCAGCTGACGAAGTAACTCCCGTGCTTGACGCTGAAGTGATGCTCGGAATGGCGTGGAACCCTGTGTTCGAGCTTGTAGTAGTGGTTGCCAGAGTAGAGGACGAAGATATACCGCCAGCAGTGCTCTGGGAACTTGTTTCCGAGGTCGCGGAAGTGGTTGCCGGTGCAGAGGAAGAGCCCATGATGCTTGACGTGCCAGCAAATGTTGTGGTGGTCCCCGTGGACCCCGAGGTCGTCGGACTCGCCGGTGTAGATCCTCCGGTGGAAGATAGAGTCGAACTCAGGATTGATGAGGACAAGGTTGAAACCGTACTGCTGGTCAAAGATGCCGAACTCGGTAATCCGGACGCTGTGTAAGCACTGAGCGAGGATATTATCGAAGTTGAAGCCGTGGTCAACGACGTAGGATTATCTGAAGTCGAGGTTGAGGTCGAGGTCGAGATCAAAGCGGTGGACGAAGTCGAAGACTCAGTTGTCGCCAAAGATGTGACCCTCGAGGAAGTCGAATACGTGGTGGTGGATGACTGGGAAGTTGAGGAGACTGTGCTGGCAAACATTGTAGTCGAGATCACCGCCAAAGTTGAAGTGGTCATCACCGAGGCACTCGTCGTTGTGGTCATGGTTGATGTAGCGGGATTTGTGGTCGTCGTTGCCAACACAGTAGAGCTGCTAGTGCTAAGAGTGGTCAGTGTGGTGCTGGTGCTAGTTCCACAGCGAGGATCGGGATTTGCCGTGGCTCCCAAGGTCACTGATGTACATCCATCGACTATTGCAGGGCCATGTCTCAGCAATCCGTCACTTGTTCCACAATAATAGAGTTCTGTCTTGTCGCCTGTCGTGCACACAAGTTCACCACCTTGAAGCTGGCAGACCAGATGGCTCCACGCGCCAGAGACGCGACTGGCAGTGTAGACGTAGACGAGACTGTTTGAGTTCGAATGTGCCGCTGCATAATAGACAGTAGACTGCCCTGGGGTCGTAATTTGCAAATAGTTTTCTCCTGTCAGTGCAAAGTCCAAGTTTGTATTGGTGCCCGCGAGATCCATGCCCAAAAAGTCGGAGAATCTGTACAACTCGTAGGTCTCACCCTCCATCGTTGCCTGCAGAATCAAGGGCGTCACTTCACAGCTCGCCGGGGCTGTTGTCGTAGTCGTGGTGGTTGTAGTCGTCGACGACATTGTCGTTGTGCTGGTCGTGCTGGACGTGATGGTTGGATTATCCCGGTCTCGCAGAATGTTGAACCAGGGCGACGTCTTGATCTGCCAATCATTCGGATTGTTGCGATCTCCAAACGTGCGCAACGCTCGTGCAAGGAGTTTAAACTGGCCACTGGGGATCTCAGTCCCATTGGCCAACACGCTGGATGACACAATGGTGAAAGATGAGTCGGCTACCCTGGGATACAAATATAATGGAAAGTCGATGATCTCGTCACTTAGCCCGGATGGACGTGTCCTGACCGAGCCAACCCACTTGTTCAGTCCCGGAACAAAGGGGTAAGCCCAATCAGTCTCATTCCAGTCACGCTCGACCAGCTAGAAGACACCGTGGTCAGCCTTTCCCAAACAGAATGATTGGCACAGACTCACATCGATACTGAGCTCGCGAGTGCTCCACAGGATGTTGAAGTATGGTTGTGGTATATCCGTATTATCCTCGAATGTGTAGTTGTGGCCTTCTTCCACGAGACCGCCGTACCCGCTGAGCATCAATGGAACATCTCGCTGCATTTCCCATGTGTCACTTGCGTAGATAGAGCCCTTGACACCTATCATCTCTTAGTGTGGACCAGCGGTTTTCACGGTGTTTGCTTACCCATGTACGTGACTTTGACCATCTCTCCGTTGTCGCCCACTAAGAGAATTCCTCCGCCGTAGACTGGTAACGTGTTTGCTGCTGGAAGCGGCGGCTCGACGAAGATTATAGAGAGTGTTGCCGTGCCGCCTGCTCCAACCGTGATGGTCTCCGCGGACAACGTCGCCTCCGCCACGTTGCCTTCTCCCGAGGTATAGCTTGGACTGCGCGAAACCCAGGCGTCTCCGGCGCCCTTGGACAGGATCGTGACTCCGGGCTGATGGACGACCTGGTAAGTGACCGCCTCGTCTCTTTGGTTTGAAATCACCACGGAATGAAAACTTTGAAAGTGGTCCGTGTCATTCAGATGGAGAACCGGGGGAGAGACTGTAGTCGTATATTCAACGACTTTGAATGCATCGATCAAGCCGGCGCCTTGTTGTGCGACAGAACTGGCCAAACCTTAGTGATTGCTGGCCAAAGAAAAATCCCACTTACGCCAAATTCTCAGTACCATCGGACGCTATCACGAAGTCGCCACTAGCGATTATCCTTTCACGAGCAATGTTCGCTGCTTCGTCGCCCAGTGCTCTCCTTCCACCTCGAGACTGAAAGAAGAGGGCTCCAACTCCGGCAATCTAGAGAAAGTTTCTCTGTAAGTGGTGGCGTAGAGGACTCTGGGGCAGGCACTTACATAAGGGCATGCCATGCTAGTACCTGAGTAGGTCGCATAGCTGCCTTGCGAGACTGGCCAAGTGGAGAAAATTGTACCGCCTGCTCTGGTCAGTTGAAACTCCTGATATTGTACTTGCCAATGTGGGCCTACCAGGAGCGGAAATTTCAGGCTTCATCCTGGCATCGAGCGTTGGGCCGAATGAGCTGAAGTAACTAATTCCACCGGCTCCTGATCCCGCTGCCTTCGGGAGAGCCACGGGAACATAGTCGTGAACGAATTCGTATGTGACTGTGAAGTTCTGCTCATGCTGCTCGAGCAGCCACTGACCATCTTCATACGTAATCAAAGCAACTGTAACCGCACGTTAATACATAAGCATGGCACTTGAACAAAGTCGGTGGCTCACATCCTGTAGCTTGGTCATCCCTGTATAGTGAGCGGTCGGGGACTTCCCACTCTGATCCCTCAAAGTTATAGTAAAAAACCCAGTTTACCCTACCGATAAGGACAGTATCCATGATCTGCCACACACAGCTTCCCCGGCTGAAAGGAGTCAGTAAATGTTCCGAGCAACATGGAAGTCTCACTCACGGCAGAATCACAATATCGTCGCTGCTAGGAGACGCGCTGTCGGGCAACGTGCAGCTGAGGTCCCTGGTGCCCTCAACCCAGTATGCTGAGTGATTGCCCTCAAGGGCAAATTCTCTTTGGTCCGAGCTCAAGTAGAGCTGCATCAAAGGTCAGAACTCTGCACTGGATATAGACTTGATCATCTTACAATTTCACGGGACTCGCCGCTGCTGGAGTGGGCAACTGTGTAGGCGCCAGTGTAGTTTTTATGTGAGACACTTCCAATTGCGAGAGAACCATACCCGTTACCGCCGCTGCTGGTATAAAAAGGGCCTGCGAATGATCAGTACATCCATGCAAAGGACAGTCTTCGGTTGCAAGGTCGGCCCTACCAGTTTCGCCAGCATTTCCGGCCGATATGGTCACAAGCCTACCAGCCTCATGAATGCTTGTGGCGACCATGGCGAAGGCAGTCTCAGCGAACCCTGCATTTGATCCCAGGGAGGCGGAGATAATATCCGCGCCTTCTTCGTACGCCTGCAGCATACCTGCGACAATGACATCCTCATATGCAGATCCCGAGCACCCAAACACTTTATACATACGCAAAGTTGCACCAGGGGCGACTCCGGGGACCAATTCGTAATTACTGCCGACGATACCAGACACATGTGTGCCATGGCCGTGGCAGTCAAACGGGTCGTCGTCTGGCACATAAGGAAGACCAACGTCATACTCGTCACCAACAAGATCGTATCCCTTGTCGATCTTGTAGCCTGGTCCAAAACCGCCACCGAGTGAGGGATGGGTATAGTCGACGCCACTATCGACGATAGCAACAATAACATCCTTACCATCATAGCCAAGAGAGTGGAGAAGGTTAACGTTTGTGTCATTGTGTGGGTTCCAGACGACATTTCCTCCTGGGGTGAAGCTAGACGCCTCGACTGGGAGAGTGAACAATCCAGCCTCCCATACCTTCTCAACTTCGGGCAATGCTCGTATTTCTTCAAGTGTTTTGTTGGTGGCGCCGGTCAGGTCAAACGAGGCACCATGAAAGACGGATGAGTCGAAGCTGAGAGCCGGTTCTGCCGACTGACCTGTGCTCTGGAGGGTGGTATAGAAGGCGCCCGTGTCCTAGATCATGCTGGAGTCAACACCTGGCTTCGTGCTGAGCCGTCCCCGAGACTTACAGCGGTGCCATCCCTCTTTTTGAACTTTTTAGACCCATAGCCGGAGAATTTGACGATGAACCTTCCCGTACGCGGTTGGATGGCAGCCTCGCCAGGCTCATTGCCGGAGTCTGACAAGACCTGACCAAAGACGGAGGAAAACAAGAGAAACAAAGAGAGGGAAAAGAGGGACTTCATCCTCAACGAGGATTCAAAGGAACGAACGACTCAAGCAGTCTGCGAAAGCGGGGCCAGCGGCCGAATTGGTTGTAAGTCAAACGAATGGACGAGACTTAGAGTCTCTTTACATGGGCACAACACACGATGCATTAACCGTGAGGCCCTGAAGCCTGTTATATCAACATTGTATCTGGCCCGATACCGGACACGCTCCCATAGCGCCATGAAGTCGAGATGCTGCGCTTCTTCTTCAGGCAGAGTATAGGTCATTTTTACCCGGAATTGGACTTCAGGATACGGGCTAATGAAAGCGTCTCATCACAAACGGGTGGTGGAGTCTGGTATGTTGTTTTGATGAAGGAAATCCTCTTTCAGGGGCTAGAGAGGATAAGCGTGTATCTCAAGTAATGTTGAGTTTTGTGAAATGAGACTCCTGCATAGGTGCTTGAGAGAGATATTCTGCGCGCTACTGATATCAAGAAAGAGCGCGCCTCACTTAGCTGGACCGGATGGATCTCGGTCAGAGGGGCACGGAAATGGCAATTGAGGCCAAGAATCATCGGGCGAGCTTTTTTGGATCACGGGGGTGGACAGAAAAGGGATCGCATCCGCACGTGGCTACAGGGGCCGGGTGGGTCATTGATGCATCTTGGAATCGCTCCGGAATTCGCCGGCACGCGTACCTGGATATGAACCAGAGCTCATGGTAGTAAAGTGAGTACCCATGCAAGATCGACCCCAGGGGTACAGCATGTTATATGCAGGCCAGCCACCAATGTACCACGAGGACGGTAAGTGTTGGATAGATGGACAATATGTCATGTCCGTACTTCCAATCTCTACATTAGAGGTACCTCACTGTAGCTTTGCTCTACAATTCAATTTGCATTGTGCCCAGAGGCTAGGAGCGCTTCTACAGGTGTCCTCAACTCACCACACATCCCAACTATTGATTGCATTGACCCTCATCCGAACCATTTTGATCAGATTAGATGGTTCGATAAGATTAGATTTTCGACCCGTTTGTCCTGTTCTATACTGGCCTCGACTTGGTATGGGTCATGCGCCGGCTTCGGCTTTGGTGACGATTGGCTTGAGGGGTTGCCAAGTTGGGGAGGATACCAATGTTTCATATCCGCATCAAGAGACAAGACGTTGCCAAGCCGACATGGTGAAGAACGCATCCTCCAGCCAAGGTCGAAGGGTTTTCATCGCTGCTCTGCGCCAAGGTCAATGGAAGATTGATGTACGTATGCACAATATTGCAAAGGTATTGATTCCAGATGAAGACAACTCAGGTGACAGCATGGCGTGGAGGAAATTATCCCAAGGGTGGTGCTCTGGCCACACGGTAAGTGGTATAAGGAAGCGGTTTTGCTCCTGGCATCTTTCCTTCAACTCTTGCAAGTTCAAACACCCTCACTCGTTGATCCGCTCGTTTTCAGAAACACAGTCTCTCGTTTATCTCATCACCATGCATTACTCCATTAGCTTGCTGGCATTTGCTGCCATCGGCCTCGCCTTTGAGTATCCCGACTTTGTTCCCCTCCATCGTCGTCAGGAGCCAGGCACTCCTCTATACGAATGTCACGCCAACTGCGGTATGTAACATCTACCCTCGAAGAACAACATGCAGTCCAACTGACTCTGTCTTTTCCAACAGGCGGTGTCATCACCCAGTCTCGCACGGAGGACTTCTGTAACGGCGACCTATTCAACAGCTACTACAGCGCCTGTATGACGTGTGCATTGACCTACGACATCTGGCAATACTACGGCAATAGTGTGACGACCGCTGGGGAGACTTGCGGCCTTGATACCACTCCAGAACCAGCTGCGGCCACAACCTCTGATGTCGCAACTCCAACCTCTGATGTGATCTCTGTGTCTGTCATTTCAGATGTCCCAGCTACCCCAGCGCCCACTCCATCCGAGACCACAACTGCGGTGACCAGCTCTGCGGTGACTGGAGGCGAATCGTCATCTGACATTGTCACTGCTTCGACCGGTGCAGACGCCACTTCGGCCTCCACTACCTCTTGGGTTTCCGCTACTTTGCCAGCCTCTTCGACTGGAGCAGACACCACTGCAGTGACCAGCTCTGCAGTGACTGGAGGTGAATCGGCATCTGATATTGTCACCGCTTCGATTGGAGCAGACACCACTTTGGCCTCTACTGCGACTTGGGTCTCCACCACTGTGGCAGCTTCTTCAACATATTCGAGTGTTAGCCCAGCCTTGTACACAGGAGCTGCCAGCATTAACGACGCCAAATATCCCTTGTGGTCCCTTGGGGCCTTGTTGGTGGCCTTTTTCTAAATGATGAAGCTACTGCTTGCAGTATGAACTTGCTGACACGCAAGCCAACTGAAGCATCCTCTTGAAGTACATCATGTCTATCTTTCTTCCTGTGCCTCAGGATAGTATGGTCGAAGTTCACGAACCATCTACCTTGACTTTTTGAGAATTACCGAAATGCAGAGCTTCAAGGGTGTCAGGTCTGCTAAGAGTTTGACAATATAGACTAGTGAGGCCGTTGGCACTTGCAGATAATCGGGTGATTGGTGGCGTTTAATGGAATGAAATATTTGATCAAGACCGTGACATGACTACAAATCAGCCTACAACTACTGTACTCCCGTAGCAACCAGACCTATAAACATACATATCGGCAATAGCTTGGTCACTATAGAATAATCCAGGGTCATGGATTATGCTCTGCCCACAATAAAGAAGACGACGACAACCATCGCGGCCATAATAATAAAAAGAGGTGCGAAGCCAGAGGATCCCACAGGTAAGAACTGATAACCCTACTCCAGCCTCCTTGGTGCCGACACTAAATCTACTTGCTATGGTTTATAGTTCTATTGACCTCAAATAATCAAGACACGCCATGCAAGACGCGTCACCATTTCTATAGTGTGCAAACGAGGCCTTTTTTGAACACCAATCGCCCGACTCAGCCAGGATGCCAACTTGTGTTAGCGTCTTATTGCACTCGCAAAGAAAGCTCGGCCATGGCTCACGCTCCTTGATCTCTGATCATGAAGGCTCAAAAATCTTATGTAGACCCATGCACTGTGAGAGCCTGATGGCGGCCGCCATGAGAGTAGCATTCAAATCACTGAAACCCAGGTTATGGGCGACTTTGGTAGAAAGGACCGCCGCTTGGACGGAATACACTGCAGGAGTAATCGATCCATCGCAAGAAGATATGGAGGGACAGAATTGCATCAAACCACTTTTAAGAACCTCCGGGAATAAAGGGTGTCTCTCATAGCCTCGAACAGCTGCCGTGGGACATGCTCGGCCATGGCTTTGGTATTAGTCCGCAAAAGCAAGTAGCTGCAATCTCATGGCACTTCAACTCACATATACCTAGAGTGTGTTGAAGTCTCACACTGTTCTGAACTGAGCATGTTGTGCTCTAGCTATTAGCACTGGAAGCGGATCTATTGAAAGAGACTCACACTCAATACCGGCAGATATTAAGCCATTCATAGGGATGCCGGTATGTGTTTGGACTCGAAAACACCTCGCACTGCTCGAGGAACGTCGCTGTATGCAGAATGCCATACCTGAGGAGACATATGGAATTTTACCAGCTTGACAGAGACTGGAATAGACAGCAACAGACCACTTTTCAAGGTCGTGATACCACTCCTGGGGTCGAGGAGACTTCTTACAGGACAAACGGATCACTTCTGACCGAGATCATTTCGGATGCGCGTCCTAGGGATAGCAACCTCCATCATGTCGACCACAGGCTAACCTTTCCAATGTAACCGTAGCAGCAGACACAGGTACCTTGTCTAGAGTCGTCGCTGAATCCCCAGGCTTCATTGACCGGTGTCCCGGTAGACAAGGATTTCCCTAGAGTCTGATCGTCTCGCCGTGCGCTGGCAGGCAGAATGATCTCATTGGACCAAGGGTGTCCAACTTCTAAAGCGCGTATTGTCAACGTAGCTTTGTGAGTGTTCCCTATAAGTGTGGGCGTATGGAATCAGTACTGGCTTTTCACAGTTCATATTCATGTCTTCGGAGGCCCCGGGACACCTATACGTATCGCTCTTCATTTCTTCGTGGAGTTGGCACCTAGCTAGACGACCCACGTTACACCCAGAGGTAACCGTAATGTAGGAGGGGAGTCCAAGACGGTTCAAAGGGTACTTTCTCAGCCGTTGAGTCGTGACTGACGTCTCATGGACCAATGGGGATCCGTTCTCCCGGATGAGCCTTGTTAACGAGTCTTTGGTGGGCCTTGATTGGTGGCTGTCCGATCTGCTTCACATGACACATGATTCCATGCCCCCCGTCGGTGCCGAACCTCTTTTCCTGTCGGCCTCAGCTTACACAGGCAGTCGCCAATGCTGTGTCTGTTCATCGCATTACGAGTAGGTAGGCTGCTGAAGCTCTTCAAATGTCATAGGAGCATGAAACGCGCTCTTCCGCACTAGCTAGACCCCAAGGCTTAGCAAATGGCTTGCCACGATCGGCGGTGTACGTGCACTACGCTATCAAAGTTCTCCTTATCGTTAATCTTAATCGTGGGGGAGTTTCTCGAACCAACCCCCACCAAGAAGCCTTATCAAGGGACTCTGACCTCGTGAAGCCAGCTTCGCTTCCTCATTCTCTCCCTCCAATTCACTCCAAGTCACTCCAAGTGCTTTACTCAGCGGACGTGGGTCGTATCAACGGGTGGGAGTACCTGATGTGGTCTCTGTCATGTCCATGACTTGGGTACGATCCGTCATGATTGCTGAAAATCACGTTCTGGCTGCTGTGTAGGTCGACAGACACCCTCCTCGTATCAGCCAACAGCCTCAAAAATGGCTGATATGTCAGTAACTGGAGCGAATCTACTAGCGAGTCGAGGTATTGCAGCTTCGTTCCCTCTTTTGACTTGGCCACCAACTGACTTACTGCCTGACTTGCTGCCCAGATTGCCGTACGTGCAAACGCAGAAGAATTTGCTGCGACCGTACTCTGCCCGCGTGCTGGAAGTGTGGTACCAGAAGCTTGCAGTGCCCAGGTTATACTTTGGACCTCAGATGGGTGAACGAAACAGCGAGAAGGACCAAGTCCAAAGGCAGCCACAATTCGCCCGAGCGCAACAATACGACAATATCTCATCATCGTCTACCGGGACTTGACAGCGATCAAACCCTGGTGCAGCCGCCGTATACGAGAGAGACTCATAAGCCAGAGCTTGACAAAACATACTCGTTGCTCAACCAACCAAATTACCTTGCTGGAATTCTCCCGGATTCCCTGTCCAGTCAGCTATTGTACCATTACAGCAGCGTTGTTGCTCCTCAGATGGTCTGGGTTGACTCGGTTCAGAACCCGTTTCGCCAACTAATCATTCCTCTGGCACTCCAATCGCCCGCGCTTATGATGGCGATACTATCATTCGCTGCCGGAGACATGTGGACCCGGTCACAGTCGATTCTGGACCCCATGTCGGGTTCCTACCGACTCATGAAACGATATCATCAAGGAGTCTTGAGCCTTCTGGCCAAGCACATGAAAGACGAGAACGAGCAGAAACGGGGATTGCCTGACCCTGCCCCATCCAAGGATTATGCAAGTCCAACACTGGCAGCGTTCATGCTTAGTTCGCTAAATGTCAAATTGGGAGACTCTCGGGCCTGGAGATTGCACGCACGGGCTACTTGGGCCATGATTGAGCATTGGAACGCTTGTGCCTCGAAATCACCTCCCTCGACCGACCAGACCAGAGTATTTGCACTACGGGAGGTGTATGCGTTCAAAGCTTGGGAGTCCGTCACTACATTTATACCTTTGGAATCGTTATATCGAAAGACCTCTGTGGTTGACGATGGAGGCCCCTTCATTAAGTATGTCAAAACAATCCTGACGCTATCTGACTTCGAACGGCGGAGGTTCGAAAACTGTGAGACCAGCAACGTCATTTCGCTCTCGGAGCTCAGAGTGTGGCTGGACGAAGCACAAAGCTCCAACAGAAGTTACGCAGCCCAAAACTGCCATTCTGTGGCGGCTCGGGAGTCCTTTGAACACGTCGTAGAGCTTTTCCACCACGCCGGCTTGCTTTACGGTTGCCAGATATTACCGGAAGAAGATGACGCGGACGGTTTTGCTGTGGCAGCACGAGTGAATCTCTTCAAGTATCTAGAGCAGATTGCAGTCACCGAGGTTATTGCCCAAGACCTGACTTGGCCTATATTCATTGCCGGGACCGAATGTCAAGGATGCCCAGAGAAGCAACGTCTTGTTGAAGAAAGATTGCAGGAGATCATGAAATTGAGTGGAGTTCTCGAGCGACCTAAGTTACTGACATTTCTGAAACATCTGTGGGTGCGGCAAGGTGAAACATATGGCAGCAGTTGGATTGACCTGGCTCGAACGTATGCCGCGAATGGGGAACCAATTCTGATAGTCTGAAGGAACCTGCTTTCCCTTTGTTGAGCGGAAAACTATTCAGTCTTGTCCAGGGTCTCATCTCTACAGATCAACCGTCTCGTCATCCTCGACTCCATACAAGACTCTCATTGGATCTTGATAATGGTAAAAGCCCACTCCTGGAGGGCTGATACCATATCCGAGAAGTCTTTTGACTTGGGTAGACAGCGACCTGGCTTGCTCTGGCGGAACCATGAGGTATTGATTTTCGGACTGTCGGTAATAGCCTTTGGTGAAGAACAAGCCGACGTTCTCTCGCACCTCGTCCCTGATTGAGGCGTCAGTTAGCTGGGGTCCGGAGGAAAAGTGATATCCGGCGATACTTACTTGGTGGTGTTTGCACCACCGCCATGGTAGGTATTCCCCAGGAACAGGAGAGCATCGCCAATCTCCATTTCGGCAGGCACGGCCTCATAGACCTCTGGCGCCCTCTCTGGACCCCAGGTATGGGATCTTGGAATGACCTGAGTGGCTCCATTCTCTTGGGTGATTTGCGTGATCGCCACTATGCAGCCAAGAAGGGCTGGGTGGTCGATGTTGCGTGTGTGTAAATCTCTAATGGCCAATGTCAGCGGGTCAGCGGGTGAAGATGGGAAGTATTTTCGGGTGCTAGCTTACGCATCATCCCGATGAAGCTCTTGTGCCCTGCCGCCAGGATTGACTCTGAAGGCTGTGGTCGAAGAGATCTGCGGCTTAGATGTCACAGTTCTCTGCTTTTTGCCGAGCCAAAAGGTATAGGTTGAAGTCAAAAGTGCATTCACAACCTCAATCAGGAGCGGAGTTGTCAGGTATTCGACGCATCCAGGAGAAATGGCCACCAATCCACTGGCTCTTTTGGTTGTCTCGGGAAAGAAACCCGTCGGATCGATGCGGTCGTTGTCAAAATGTGGTTTGAGTTCCTTTTTGATCTGAAGCGCCAGATCTTTGCTGATGAGATTTTTGACTATGATGCCACCATCACGTCGGATACCCTCGACTATTGCCGTCGGCGTGGTCAGCTCATCATTTGCGTCAAGTCGCACCAGCTGTGGCTTTTCAAAGGTGTTCGATATCTTGATAGTCCCATCAGTGGTGCCAGGGGCTTCTAGAGCGGTTGTCGACATGGCTGCAAGGTGTCTGGCGTGTTTGGAAAGACCGAACTGACCGATCCTTCAACATGGAGGCAACAAGGGCCTCTTATAGATTGAGACCCCTCCCAGCTCTCGAGCCCCCCGTGTTGATCCACAAATGCCGAGCCCAGAAACGGATTGCCTATCCTAACATGGTATATCGCAGCCTACGAGATATTCAGTCCAAGTGTGGTGACTGAGATACCCCCTGCTCCCATACGCCTTGATCGTGACAGGCTTCGAGTTTCTTATCGTCAAATCGTGTGGATGAAACTCCCTGTCCGGGCATGTTTATCCTCGGTCTTATTGCCCTGCTACAAAAACGATGTTCTTTCTCTGAACGCCATACCAAGATATCAAACTCGAGATACAGTGCCAGATATATCCGACCACACTAATACCAGAATAGGCTTAAATCTCTATCTCTTGCACTATTCGGGTTAATGACGTGGATCCACAAGGCGCGGTTGGCAAACGTCTATGTCAACGAGCAGTGTGCTTGACTTTCACCTGCCAACATGCCACTACACGTCTCCCTTGCTACCATTTCTTATCTCTGTCATGTAGTTTGCCTTGGAGAAGATGGAACAGCTGCCGAACCATCAACACCCAGGTGTATGGACTATAAGTACCACCTTCGAGAGCATGCAAAGCGACATTTTCAACTCCTACGATCATCCCAATTGACACAATGGAGGTTGCACCATCCTTAGCACCGGCGACACGCTTGACGGGACGGTTTGTGCCGAGGAAATCGGGAGTACTGATCGTGCTCGTTGTTCTATCATGTCTGGTGAACTCTATGGTGAGCCATCATGTTCTATGTCTTGATGCCTACAGCTCACCATCTTGATAGACAATGGGTTACGATGGAACCATGATGTACGTCTGGGTATAATCTGCCGATTGTGCAGAAGACTCATCTTCGTGTCAGGAACGGGCTTAACATCCTGCCCTCGTTTTACAACACCATCAGCTTGAACACCGCGGGCCAGTCTGTGAATACTGGCATCATTGTATGACGGCTATCCCTCCACTCATCTGCTGCAACTGACACGATGCTTCTCTTAGTGGGTCGGAGGATGTGTCGCCGCCCTGTTTTCCGGCCAAGTCATCGACCGATGGGGACGCAAGGCCGGTATGGCCTATGCTGTTGCTATATCATGCATTGGAATCCCACTCCAGGCTGCAGCTCAAAACTCCACAATGTTCATCATAGCCCGGCTGATTGTTGGTATCGGCGTTGGCTTGAGCTCGGTAGCCTGCCCGACCTACTGCTCTGAAGTGGCACCACTACGCTGGAGGGCTTTCTGTCTGGGGCTGTACTATGCCTTCTGGTATGGCGGAGGTCTGTTTGCATCCGGCTTGACGTACGGCACTGGCAGGATCCAGAGCTCTTGGGCATGGCGGCTTCCGTCCTTGCTCCAGCTTATTCCTGCCCTACTTTGCCTGGCAGTCTTGCCATTCATTCCGGAATCCCCGCGATGGTTAATGTATCACGATCGGGAGGCCGAAGCCCTGGAAGTGTTCGCAATTATGGCGGCAGACGGGGACGTTTCCGATCCTGTGGTTGTCACCCAATTTCGACAGGTTCATGAGACCGTCCTGTTCGAGAAAGAGCATAAGGCAAGCAATAACTGGCTGGATGCGGTGAAGACACACAACAATAGGAAAAGAATGTTGCTAGCATGCTCATGTGCTGTCATTGGAAACATGAGTGGGAGTGGCATCGTTTCGTGAGTTCGCCATAGCCCTCTTGTGCAACTTATCTGACGTCTACAGGTACTATCTAGGTACAATGCTCAGCCAAGCCGGAATCACCAACACGACCACTCAACTGCAGATCAACATTTACTTGTCTCTCTGGTGTCTATTCACTGCGACGCTTGGGACATGCTTTGCAGACAAGATAGGGCGGAAAAAGCTAGGTGCCGGCTCCATGGGCGCCTCTTTGGTGTTCCTGTACCTTGTCGGGGTGTTCACAAAACGTGAGTATGGCTATTATTTGAGAAAACCTCCACTCACATCATCTAGTGTACGGAACCGGAGACGACTGGTCAGGGACTCTGGCAACTGTGGCTTGCATTTTTCTCTATCAAGGTTTGAAACCCCATGTTATCGTGGTTCGGCAGTAACTGACCGCTCAAGGCGTTTACTCCTTCGGCTGGACGACTCTACTGGTTATGTATCCTCCGGAAGTGTTGAACTTCAGCTTACGAGGGAATGGAATGAGTATCTATACCTTCTTTTCCAACGGTGCTGCGTAAGTTGCCTGGCCTCGGACAAGGTAGAAAGCATGCTGACTCGGGCTAGCTGCGTCGTCACTTTCGCTTTTCCATTTGCTCTTGAAGCTATCGGATGGAAAACTTATATGATCAACGCATCCTGGGACGTCCTCGAGGTCCTATTCATTCTCTTCTTTTGGGTGGAGACCAGCAACAAGACACTTGAGGAAATCGACGTGCTTATCGATGGAGATGTCCATTTCGATGCCCCAACTCTCATGGCTGTGATGGTTGGTGATGCTGAGGTCAATCCGGACATAGTGTTGAAGAAGGATGCAATCGACGCGAAAGATACAAGTAAGCAGGCTATTGTTTCAGTTTGCTAGGGCTACAAAGGCTCTCGGTCAATGGATGGCGATTCTATAGAAGGCGGTACTGGATAGTGGTTTGCTACTCAATGGGCGGGAGAGGAATTACATGGCACTTTGACTTTACGACATTTATCATGCTCTGAAGCATGAGGCAACAATGACGAGGAAATTGTCGACTTGACGATAATATAACCTCAACATAACGAGCGCTATACACAGCAAGGCGATTACTTCAACCACCGAGAAATTATATCGTCTGGATTCAGCTGCGCGTAGTGAGCGCCATAATGCATACGCTATCTGGTCATTGATAAAACCCGTATCATCAACAGTCAAAGCGAGATCTTCTCACTCGACCGTGTCGGTTCGTTGGAAAGGACAGGTCTTCTCTGAAGCTATGGAGAAAGGAGGCCTCGAAACTTGTAGTCATTGCCTCAACATATGCCTTGCTTTCCGGGAGACAAAATGCCTGCAGGGTCAACACAATCCTGCATGATGGTCATTAGACGACAGTGAGCGTTTGACTTAGTGAACATACCGCTCATCTCTGAGTGAAGCCTCAATCCATATAATGTTTAGAATTGTATAAATTTAGCGACCAGATCTATTTATATTATTCCAGAAAGACAAACCCCTCTCCTCAGGATTGGTAGTCACTAATAAAGCTATTCAACAACCCATCAAGTCTTTCAGGTATTTCTCCCCCTGTTAGAGAAGTCACCCATTGCATCAAATCCCCTACATCCTCCGGACGAGGTTCCGTTGAAGCACTCTGCACCACTGACTCTCCACGCTCTCGACTATCCAGCATGCTCATAGTGCGACTGGCGAGCGCGTCAAAAATATCTCGATAGGGGGCTGCAGTCGTCCACCGCTCTGCCAGAAGTACCAATACGATTGTACAATCGTTGCAGGTGCTGCTTACCTGCCCAAGCCGACGTGACTCACGAGCCGCCGGCGATGTCCAAAGGCAATGGATATATGTCAACCCTGCGAGGAACAACTCATGGAGTGCCGCCCACGTGTAGCTTGTTGGTCTTCCAAGGAATTGGCGACGATAACAATGGCACATACGCTCAGCGGCTTCTAAACAGTCAATAAAAACGCTGTCTGGTGTTTCGTCTTTATGATCAGTGATTTGAACCCGATAAAGTTGTAGCAGAGTATAGTCATATTCGAGTCTGAACCAGTCAGGGGTTGTGAACAGTGCAAGTGTCTGGCCCGTCTCCGGGGCCTCCGGAGGAATTGACGCTCGCCATTGCTCCAGCTCGTTTCTCAGATGGTCAATACACTTCTGCTGTGCATCTTGGGTGGAGCTGCACGGGGCGACTTTTGAGTAAATCGAGGTATGGATCTGACCCAAAAGGCGCCGAATGCGGAAGGTAAGGATGGCTTTTGTCATACTTGTTGGCGGCTCAGATGATGACGTCCGTGGAGTACCGTATATTCCAGAGTTGGTGATGTAGGAGTCATCGATGTCCATAGGGTACTGTATACCAGCAAAGATGAGTTTGAGTCTTGGATCTCTCAGATGAAATCTTTGACATACCTCAGCGTCAACCTCTTGATAAGGTAGACCCAGCGGTCGACCCAGCATGACGGCAGCCTGACATTCCATCACATAAGCACACCAGAATACCCTCTTCCGTAACTCCATCTGTAATGGGTCTGCTGTAGCTGATCTTAACCGTCTAGCATCTCGGTGGTAACCAAGGTCGATGCATTGGCGTAGGGCCAGTCCAGCCAGCTTCCTGATCTGTGTAAGGGATCCACTCCTCCGTGACTGATTTGTACTTACCAATGTGATGTGCCGATAGATGATCGAACCGAATATACTGCACAACATAGTATCGCTTGTATTGCTTCAAGGTTGTCACGCGACAATATATGATCAACGTATAGCTGTGCCGAGATATATAATCGCTTAAGCCATGTCAGTGCTTCAAATGTATGTAAGATTTGGTTAGATGTATGCTGACCTCTGCAGAGTACTCCTCCGAGCTCGGCAAAAGCAAAGCGCCAATAGCATAAACCTGGGTCGTCAGCAACTATTCAAGACGCACCTGACGGGTATCTTATCTTACCATATTCAGAAAGAATAAAGCGACAGGGTTAGAGATAAGGCTGTTAAATCCTGAGGACGCGCTTGCAAGCGTTGCCTCCCATGATCTGAATGTCGGCTCATGTAAGAAAGGGTATTGAGAGTGAACATTTTGAAAATAGGCGTTGCTGAGTCGGATAGCTGTTTCATTCGTGGGCAATAAACATGGTGTAGGCAAGGTTGCCGAGCCCTCCTGATTTGGGATGCCTGTGGTCTCACTGCTGGGCTTTCGGAGAACCACCTGGCGGAGTGACGAGTTGATTACTCTGGAGAAAGCAAAGGTTGATGACGAACCCAGGTAGTGTGGTTCCGCCCCCGCTGCATTGAGACTGAGCAACCCAACCTGGGAGGCCAAGTCGTCAAGTCGATCATGCTCATCGTCATCTCTGAATTCGGTATATTGAGGTTCGACGGATTGTGTAGGTATCGTCGATGTGGGGGATTGAGCTTCCGGTCGAACAGCGTTATCTTCCAACAGATGGTCATCGGCCAGATCTGGGCGAGATTGCTTCAAAATCTGCTCGAGATATGCTACCCTTCTTTCCAAAAGCTCAAGATAATTGCGCGGTTGATATCTCTTGGTTGACGGATCTTCCACCATGCAAACTGTTGTACCGAGTTAGCATGGCAATGATGTAGCAATGAAAAGTCATCGAAATGGCTTGCTTTCGCACTGACCTATACCCCAACGATGACAATTCTCACATCCTGAGGGTTTGTCGTCACACTGTATCAACAATTAGTTCAATGTAGTCGAGCTAGAAATCGACTTGTCCTGCCTTCAGCTTCCTTTCCTTGCAGTTGATACACGCGATCAAGGTCCTGCCACTTGTGCGTGTGCGTTGGTTGGACCTAGAGGGTCGATCCTTAGGGATTCTGGCATTGTGTAGCATTTGGTGATGTATTGTCGTAGGTATGTCGTCTAATATCTGGACAATTTGGACTGCAGTGCTATCCCGCTGAATTCCGCCAGGTCTCTCGATGTGGAGGCAAAAGAATCAATACAGAGTACGGATGGATTGGGCAGAAACATATCGGATAGAAAGCCAAGATGTTACGTAATCGCACTATTTTGTATCTGTCGTACCAGTTCAGCAGCTTTACGGACGCCGCCTGCGAATTGATATAGGTTCGACCATCAATCAACAGCGTACACGAGCGACTACTTTTCAGATGAGAGAGGTCAATGGCGTATCGATCGTGCACATCTGCCGGACCAGACTCCAAAATATGCTAGATAGGGTACACGCTTCCAAATATCGAACTTCAACCCATTTTAAGGTGATATAGGGGCATTTGTGGAATTCGGAGCTAGCTTGCATCGTTTTGTATCGCAGGGCCTTCCGAGCAGAGGATGCTTGACTATTAGCTCCTCCTGGTCAGGTATTCCCTTGCCTTCCAGTGCCCGACAGTGGTTAACGTCCGCAGCGATCATAGGCGAGGGCCTGTGGAATGCTCCAATCGTTTCATACGTGATTGGGTGATTTGGAAGACGTCAGGCAATTGTGTGCTCTCCCAAGAGCCACCAGCCATCAGCTTTACCAATCCTGGTGCGGCAGTGAAGATGCGAGCCATTCCACTGTGAAAAGAGCGAACACTCGGGGTTAGTCAAGGGAAAGGCATAGGGCACTGGAGAGAAAATGGAATATTCAGACTTACTGTCCATGATGGCCAGCACAAACCCACTGGCCCGGTAGTCCTGGTACCTGCCCAACAAAGGGGACGCCATCGGCACTCTGGCCTCTTGTCAGTCGACCTCGTTGCTTTCCAGTGAGTCATTGAGTACTTACAAGACCAATTATACCACTCCAACTGTTGCTGTAGACCTGTTCAGATCCATTGGCACCGTCGGCCCAACCGACCAACTCGGATTCCGCAAAGTCCTTCACAGCTTGCGTGACGGCTTCGAAGTTTACCACGCCATCATCTGTGCATCTCTCGGGGTGCGTTTCTAACCATTTCCTAAATTGCAGTTGGCCAGGATTGCTGCCGCCGAATAAGGGGGAGCCATCACTGGTGCACCGAGGGTTGATGGTAAGCAGAGCCCGGTCAGGCAAAAGGACACCGTAGGAGTTTTGAAGGCCTTTATCCTTTTGGAAAGTCTTGGGAGGGTCAACTCTATTGCACATATGAGGTGTAGGGGTAATGAGTCCACGTAGCGACGGTTCGAGTGCGGAGCTGTATGCATTTGTTGCGTGGACGACCTGCGTGCACTCAATGTTGCCGCGATTCGTTTCAACAATCCATATACCTGAACTTCGAGGGCCTGGGGTCACTCGTACGACAGTAGTTCCAGTTTGGAGGTTCACGCCTTTCTTGAGGTTCTCGCGCATGATATGTGCTGCGAGCTTCCAAGGGTGGAGCGTGGATGCAGGCCAGGCATAGCACGCCTGAGCGTCTGCGATACGAGATATCTATACCGGTGTCAGCCGTGGTACATATGCTCTCTGAGTGGTCTGCGAACTTTGGCTGCTTCGGCCGGGTTGGCTGTAACTTTGATATGATCAACACGGCCACCAGCGGCCTTCAAGCGGTCGAACGAATCTTTTGAGGCCGCTGCCAGCTCGGGGGTAGTTGGAACGTCCAGCGTGTCACCGACCCAGAGCTCGCAATCGACGTTGTTTTCACGGACATATCTCACCACGTCAGACCATGTCTGATACTCATTTCGCAGGATCTAAGGTTTTTGCTGCTTTAGAAACGTCAAGCAGGTACAGTTGCAGAGTTCTCTACGCACCTTGAGTGCCTGCTCCGTACCAAACGTCTTTTCGTATTCTCTGAACCCGCGGTATTGGTCTGGCTTGCAATGTCCAGCGTTACGGCCAGTAGCACCTGAGCAAAACATGCGAGACTCAACCACGACCACACTCTTGTCTGGCCAGGTCGCAAGGCAGTGTTTTGCGACTGAGGTTCCGGTGATCTATCGCAAAGACAGCTGTTAGCGAGCCCCAGAAGAGCTGGTCCCCTGCACAGATGGAGCACGTACCCCAGACCCGATGATGACAATGTCTGCACTCGCGGGCAATTGAGGCGTTGTACGATGATGGAGAAGCGGATCGTTCTGCACGCTCAACAGCCAATGTGATAACGAGTATCCTTCCTGTTTGGGAAACCCAAAGCGGCTCGCAACTTGCGGAGGGCTTGTTGTTGGGGCTTCCTTAACAGGAGGCAGCTTTGGCTCTCCGGTCATCGTGGATGGCTCGGAGTCCGCTGAAGAGGTGCTGAGTGTCATGATAACCGGGTGCGATGGCTAACCCGAATGCAGGACTCGGCGATGTTTCGTGGGACATCCGTGAATAAATACCGATGAGATTGGCGGTGATCAAGACTCCACCATCTCCAGCGAACAGAGTCCAGTCATGAATCCGACTCCCAGCCCTCAAGCTGGCGGTGTTCTCCTATGAGCCTCCACATATCAATCACGCACCCGTCCGATTCGCGGGACAGCCCGACAGGCAATGGGTTTCTGCAATGCGTTAAGTCGTCGATGGCTGTTGCTTCAGGTCCCTTTGCCGCCACGTCGGCCCACTGTCCGGCACCGCCCGCCAATGAGACTGCTATGCCTTTATCAATAGCATGACCTTCCACGCGTTGGCTGTTGATCTTGATTTTGCCTCATGCCATACCATCATGCTTGTTTCAACAACTTCCTTTCTATCGAGCGGCAAACCCTGGGAATTGCCGCCAATGGGCGGGAGGAAACGTCGCAATCAGTTTCAATGGCCTCAGGAATATGTGGTTATAATCGGTGGCACTTTACCTGGGATCTTCTTTCCCTACGCTCGTTCAATCTGATACAGCATTGTCTTTCCTCTTGTTCCGAAGCAGAATCAAAATATCACTGGTCTTGTTGGCAGCCTTCACAATACCACCATGTCGGACCCTTTCACTCATGATGAGGCCGGCACCACGACCCTGTGGCCTCCTGGCACCGTACGACTCGAAGACCTTAACAGATCAGCCGGCAGAGACATAATTCTGCACCCAAGACCGACCACTGATCCAAACGATCCTCTGAACTGGCCAAATCGGCGCAAATATTGGAACTTTGGTTTGGCCGTTCTCTACGTCGCCATGGTTGCCGAGTTCATCAATGCCAGCACTCCAACCTGGGGCCCCATGAATAAGCAACTTGGATACAGCTACACGATCTTGAATGACAGCTACGCGGTGGGGTGTGCTGCCCTCGGTCTTGGTTCTCTCCTGCTTATCCCGGTTGCACTCAAATTTGGGCGTCGACCAGTATACATATTCAGTACTGTCCTTCAATTCGCTCTCAGCATCTGGTCCGCGAAAATGGAAACGGTGGCAGACCTAATGGTGATCAACATCTTGCAATGTTTCTTTGGGAGTCTTGCAGAAACCATTGTGCAGATGACAATTGCCGACCTGTTTTTTGTCCACCAAAGGGGAAGGATGAATGGTCTATATATATGGGTTTACCTCCTCGCCACCTATATGGGGTCTTTCATTGCTGGATACGTTGCCAAAGGCCAGGGTTGGCGCTGGGTTTGGTGGTGGAACGCGGTATTCTTTGGTGTCTGTGTTTTCATTGTGGTCTTTGGTTACGAAGAGACAAAGTACATCCCACCTCTCAATGCTTCGAGTCCACCGGCAGTCACTACCGAAATCGAGAACCCCCCAACCACCGCTTCACCCGAGCATCTGACGTCTGAGAAAGAAGCAAACATTGCGGAAGGGAATTCATCGATAGATGGTCCGACGAAAACTGGCTCTTCTCCCGTGCTGAAGCCGTCGTTGTCACTGCAAGCTAGCCGGGATGATCGGCCTGGAAACATCTACCACATTACCATCGATCCGAACATCCCTATGAAAACGTACTGGCAGAGGCTGGCGTTGACCACGACCACATCAGGTGCCGGTGTGCCACACAACTCCTTCATCCGCCACATGTATCAGCCCCTGATTCTCCTTGTTACCATCCCGGGCATTGGGTATGCTGCTCTCGTCTACGGCATCCTGGTTGGGTTAGGAGATATCATGTCAACCACACTGTCCACATATCTCCCTCAGGCGCCCTACAACTTCAATTCCGATCAGGTTGGGCTGATGGCTCTGCCTAGAATGATTGGAGTCTCCATAGGAGCTCTAGTTGTCGGCCCGATCAGCGACTGGTGGATTGTGTATTTCTCTCGCACGAAGAATGGAGGCGTCTACGATCCAGAGACACGACTATGGTGCATCATGCCATTCCTTCCCTTTATCCCAGCTGGAGCACTTCTTTTCGGCATCGGTCTCAGCCACCATGTAGCTTGGCCTGTTATTGCTGTTGGGCTGGCACTGTATAGTATTGGCCTCGCTGCGATCCAAAGTCTGGTTATAACATACGTCACCGACTCATACAAAGAGGTAAGCACCGGGCGCCTGTCCGGACGAAAAGTACTGACATTGAAGCAGGTCATTGGCGATGCACTGGTGGCTGTGACGGTTATACGAAACAGCTTCAGCACTGCATTTGTTTTCGCTTTGACCCCATGGGTTGCAGCTGTCAGCATCCAGTGGGTACTCGTCACTATTCTGCTTATCGCCTGCCTTATTCTATCCGGGTTAGGCATCTTCATCAAATATGGGAAGACCTTCCGAGACCGCTGTGCTGCAACATATGAGTATTATGCTCAGAGACAATACCAAGAACGAGTATGACCGCGAGGTGGCTTGGAAGTTGTGTGGACTTGAAAATCCGGTGGAAGAGGTTTCCGACCAGTCCCTGGCGCAAGATATGGTGTCCTGTAGGACCAGCAATATCCCGCAAAGAGGGACCCACCCGCTTATATACGACTGTAGCCATTCTTGACGACACAATCATCATTTCGAGGTCCGAGCAATGAATATTAAATACTGCCATACAACAAACCAATCACACTCAACCATCGAAAGCTGTTCATGCCCATTTTGTAAATGTTTTGGTCTGTAACCACCTTCCAAATCGAATAACACGGTGATCGAGCCTCGTGAAATAATCGGCAACCCATAAGACAGCAATTGTGGTGAGGATTGCACCAGGGAGGTAGGCAGGCAAGGACTCGCCGAGGTGGCGGGCGCGCCATGGGTCTAGAACACGTTCTAACAAAAAGTGGAAGACTGGTTTGTGCATGGCGTAGATTCCGAACGATATCTCACCCAAATATTGGGAGAGCCTCCACCTGAAGGGTCGCTGGAGTGTCGGATAGGAGTCGATGGAGAAGACGATGAGCGAGGCGCCAATGCTCAGCCAGAATGTGTACGAGGCGTCGCCATACCAGAACGGAATCATCCGGTGGAGTAACGGCCAGGGGAAATACAGAAGAGCCATCTGATCCAGGTTGAGCTCCTGGCCGATAAGGAACAAGCCCACCAGAAGAAGGACGACGTACCAAACGCGCCAGGCGATGGAGAGACCATGGCCTTTTTCGGTCGTCGATTTCTCGTCGGTTTCGCCTACGCCAACTACGGTGACCTGTTGCTGCATTGGAATGTGTCCTCCCAGGCGCTCGGGGTGTCGAGATAAGGATAGGTCGGCGATGAACATGCCGACGAGGAACTCGGAGATATAGACGACACGCCAGCAATAGGCGACCATGACGACGAGCCAGAGAAAGATCCTTCGGCCCCTGGTTGAAAGCTTGCATGCCGCGGCGCAGAAGACAAATAAGACAATACTGCCACGATATTCGATGGGAATCGTCCACATCTGCGGTAGATATCTTGTCCGGAGGACCCCTGGAGGGCTGGCGTAACCGCTGATATCGGCAAATGGATTACTTGCTCTTGCAAGATCCAAGATCCAGTCCCAGAGTTGGGCGAGAAAGCTGGGCTTGCGATCCACTTGGGGTGGAATCCACCATTGCAGCCGGACTTCCCAAAATGCGACGAAGGAGGCAATGCCCATCGACCCATATAGTCGGAGGTAGCGTCGAAATATCGATGAGGCCAGACTGTTAAGCAGCCGCTCTGCTTCGTGATTTCGCATCATTTTGAGCATTGAGTAGCTGAGGACGTAACCGGAAATAATGAAGAAGATAGCCACCATACCACCACCGCTGAAGAAGAGGATTCGAATGAAAGGTAACTGAAAGAACCTGTAGTGAATTGTCTGCGTCATTCCCCAGGCGTGGAATAAATAGACGAACATCGCAGCCCATCCTCGTAGTGCATCGATATATGCCGTAGGACGTAGACTTGTCTCTTCCCGGCGTTTACAGTGGCGCAGGGCATAGACAGGCAAAAGGATATGTATCAACCAATCTCGTACTTGCTTCCATCTTGTTGCCCACTTTGAAGCAGCTGGTGTGACTGACTCGGTGGGCGGATCGCCGTTGTTGCCTCTGCTGCTGGTTTCGTCCAGTAGAGGTACCGCCTGTTCCATTGTTGTTTTCGCAGTGGTCAAGAATCAGCTTCGACTGTTCTGACGAGGATCAGGAGGTCTTCACGTTGCTTCTCGCCATTGCTTTTATGTTGATCCCCTTTGGCTGCTTCGCCGTGGTACTTGACAAAAGGACAGTCACGTACCGGGGCGCAAGGGAAAGATAAATCTATCATTGGGGCCCCAGCGCCCAGCGCGCACTTTCAAAAGGGCTAGGGAGGCTCCTGACTCCTGCATCTGTTTAGTCGGTGCACGAATAGCTCTTTTGCTTTGGCCAACTGGAAGCTGTCACTCAAAACATGACTGTTGGAGAGATTAGGGACAGCCAAGGTCAGTCACCTTATCGTGCCTATCTGACACAAAAGTACGAGTGAGAATGGCTCCAGATTCCTTTGCATCAGCATAGGACAGTACTTCACACAAGCAGCCAGAACTGGGTGGCACTCATGTCGTTACTGTTATCATCGTTGACTGCTGCGGACACGTTCAACCGGCCAGCATGTTTGTCTTCACGCCATGTGTCTTTTGGCTTCCGTCTCATTTCTCAATCAGTACCACTAGTAGTAGTAGTACAGTCCGTAAATGTACCTATCTTCGGGGACTAGTAGTGACAATTTCCAGGATTGGCAGGCTAGGCACTTGGCGGACTGGTTGTAGTGCACTCATTAGGGATGCCCCTAATGGAGAGAGAATGAGGCCAATCTTCGAGCTTGATTGAAGGCGGCCTTCTTGCCGTTATACTCGCCATCGTCGTGTCATGCCACTTATGCTCCCGACCATCAACATACGACAAGGTGGTTGTCGCACCAGTAGAGATATATTGCCCTATTCGACTGACGACTTGCAGCGAGTGTTGGTCTGCTAGATGAGGACGATAAAGGGAGCAAGCACCTTGCACGGGCCCTTAGCTCGCCAGGTAGGCAAGCCACCTTACAAAGTAAGTGACACCGCATAAATGATATAGGTGCCGACCTGGTAGGTAAGCAGTCCGGAAGGTTGATACAATAGGCGTTCTCCTTCAACGTTGGTATACCTTAGGTACATGTACGTTGAAAGAATGTTTGAAGGGCGCCCCTCCCAACATCTGGCGGTGCCACTTATTTTGTAAGGTGGCTCGGTAGGGTCTTACCACTCGTCTCCTGCTGACAGTGCCACCATGGGCTTTTGCAGCTATTTGTCTCTTTGTGTCGCGTGAATAGCAGACCGAGTAGTGATGCCGTTGTGTTTCACAGGCGTAATTTATGCGTCGTTAGTGAGAGCAATCATTGCGATGATCGAGTATGAGGGCTGTTGAGTCAAGGCAGATGATTTCGTCTTCTTCACGATAATTGGTACCTAACACCCTCACTTGCTTTTGTCTCTCATCCCACCTCATTAATAGTTTGATATGCTGATTTGTCCCTGTACAGCGGGCTTTGTGCTAGGCATGAGACTTTGAAGTACTTACTAGCATGGAGAATTTGGACGATGATAGCGGCGAGAACTGCCAACCTCTTTGGCTCCATGAATACATTCGGTCCGACTTTCGAAGCCTCCATCTTGGTGCTCGAGGACTATATCAGACTTGGGAAGATTCCGCCCTCACTGGACCCTTCGCATGGGTGACGTATATTCTAATGCAAGATATGAAATCATCGGCGGGGCGCGATCGAGATCGTCCAAGAACCAACACACACTACCACACGCGGACGCGCGGGGAAGTGTCGGCAGGGACGAGACCATCCAAGGCGCGAAGATTGAACCGCTTGCCGGCAAGCAGACCCAGGGAGCGAGAAGAGACCCGGGAATCGATGTTGAGAACGTAGATGGTACCAGGATTCCTCCCCTGGGTGCTGTAAGGGAGACAACACCACCTCCCTAGATGACGAACACAATGCAACGACAGTTAGGCTCTGCTGTCTTGGCGAGCAGGTAGAAGGAAGACCAACAGCTGCTGGACCTCGAATCAACCTATTTGATGACTGCACAAATTTGTGTATCAAGTAAGCTCCTGGTGTGACCTTTTACAACCCTTGATCATTATGCTTTATGTCGTTAAGCCTTTCCTCTGGTGTCCTGAATCGGACAGGCCCTTGCAGAAGACCTACCGTTTGCGAAATGCGACATTGATATTCCGGGAAGCCAATGGGGAAGAGGGTAGCGAGATGAGAAAATCCGAAAATGGTTTCTTGAAGAGAGACACTGGCCCGTTCAAGCTAGACACTTTGGGATCGGATCTCTCGATTGGTGCACGATACTCCGGGCGTGAACGAAGAATATTTTCGCATAAATATGCTACATCAGGCTCAGCGCTTTCTGTTGCCGACAACCATGCATTTCTTTTTGACCTACCAGGAATCTGGAGTCGTGGTCTATTTCCGGACATAAGATCGATATTCAGGATCCCACATCTGAACTTTGACCCATTCCTCCAAGTCGTCGTCACTCTCGACAGGAATATCGGTTTCTTGTGCGTGACCTTCCTCCACGGCGGATCGGATAACAGCCATCGCTATCTTCATGCTGATACGCCTAGCATCTTCGACGTCGGGAACGAGTGCTTTCGAGGGATCTTGCAGTGCTGGTGCTTCCTTTGCTAATGCCGTAACAGCCGCCACAAGCATCTTATCTGTCACGAGTTTGGTCCGAGACAGAACTCCTCCCAGTCCGATCCCAGGAAAACAGACGGAGTTATTGCATTCGGCGATCGCAATCTTCTCGCCATTATGCTCGACTGGTGGGAATGGGGAACCAGTAGCAACTAGAGCACAGCCGTCGGTCCACTTGATGAGATCCTCTGGCTTAGCCTCATGCAGACGTGTGGGATTGCTCAAGGGGAAAATGATGGGGCGTTCAACGTGTTGTGCCATTTCTTGCACGACTTCCTTGGTGAAAGAATTCGGCTTAGTTGATGTGCCAATAAGAACATGCGGTTTGACTTCGGCGATGATCGCTTGTAGGGATTTTGTGTCTTTGCCTTTCCACTCAGACGATTTGTGAGCAAAGGGCTTCTGTGCGATCGAAAGCTCATCACCCATACTATCGAGCAAAAGACCTGCTTTGTCAATACACCTGATTGTCAGGTCAGCCTATGTTCGTAAGAAGTGGAGAGTCGACCAACCAGATCTGCCGCGCTACTTCATCTTTACTTTTGTTCGCTTCTGTCGCTATGGCAGCTTGGACCTGCTCGGCAATACCGCATCCAGCGGTGCCAGCGCCAAAGATGACCACGCGAAGTTCACTCAACTTAACCTTGCTGATACTCAGACCAGCCATGATGGCAGCTAGGGTCACACAACCGGTTCCTTGGATGTCGTCGTTGAACACCGCCATGTCATTGCGGTATCTGTCAAGCAGCCTCCGTGCATTGGTGACGCCAAAGTCTTCGAAATGGATGTAGGCCTTGGGATAGAGTTTCTTTGCTGTCTTCACGAATTTCTCGACAAAATCGTCGTAGGCTTGGCCTCGCACACGTTTGAATCGGTGACCAAGATAGAGAGAATCATTGAGGAGCTTTTCGTTGTCGGTTCCGGTATCAAGCACCACTGGAAGTGTTCTGTTCGGATGGAGACCAGCGCAGATAGTCATCAGAGCTAGCTTTGCAACGCTGATCAATATACCACCAACACCTTGATCGCCTATACCTAGGATCTCCTCTCCGTCACTCACGACAATGTAGTCCACTCCACCCTCGGGGTCATTGGGATTTAGAAATCTGCTGAGACGTTCTTCCACCTCATCAGGATGCTTGATACTCAAGAAACAACCATTTGGCCGTCGGAAGATGCGCGAATAATTTTCGATGGCATCCCCTTCAGTCGGTGTGTAAATGATGCTGAACATCTCCTTCATATGATCCTGGATCAGTCGATAATACAGAACGATGTTTTGTTCCGCCATCGATGTCATGAAGGTGTTCTTCTGGAGGTCATCGGGCTGGTTGCAATACTGCTGGTATGCTCTTGTCACCTGTTCGTCCAGCTTCTGGATGTTGGTGGGAAGAAGCCCCTTGAGACCAAAGTCCTCACGCTCTTGTATCGTGAAACATGTGCCTTTGTTGTAAAAAGGACTGTCCAGAAGCAGCCGCCCGGACAGCGGGACCTTTAGGGGTCCCTTGCTGGACAGAGGAAGATGGTCATATTTTCCCTTAACAGATGCCATGGTTCTGGAGAAGGTCTTGTGCCAGATCCGCCCACTTGATCTCATATCAGGTGTCTTGATTTTGGAGAGAAAATGTAATCAAGCTATTTGACCTTGATGATGAATTGCGTACAATACGAAAGCTGCGGGACAAACCGGTTCAAGGTTCATGAGTTGGCATAGCTTCACAAACGCGCCAGATTGAAATGGTGTCAAGCTCCGGAAAATGAAAGGATAGAATGACGGCAGGTACAATAACTTGAACAGATGGAGGAGCGGTTGGAAGTTCAAGTTGCAAGAAGTCTTCTGCAGTGACATGCAGATAGATTGTTAGGTGGCAGGTGGCATCGGGTTGTTGTGCCAATAACTGGCTCCTTACGTCACACCTCAATTCTCTGCCATTATTCCTGTCCGAATGATACTAGTAGTAATGCTTCGAGCATCCATCTGCCTCGAAGATGCCTCCAGCCTCAAATCCATGTACCTCTGCTTCGCTTATTGATTATCGCCATTGATATTGAATGCAGAACCCATGTCATGCCTTCCTGCCAACCGGATCTCAGCTGTGCTCAGAGCGTGGTGGTCTCGTTTGCCAAAGTCTGCCTTCGAGACCAACAATCATCAGGTCATTTCGCAGGGTCTTTGTGTCTCTGTCCCAACTTTTACGAGATTATGACTATGCCGTTGCCGGAGAGTGTCTAGTGCAGCCAGTCGTTGATGTGAAGAAGTTCTGTGATCGGCTTTGCGTGGTCACTTCCAACTGGCCCTGCGCAGTCCGGACCACCATGTATCCGTTCATCTTCTTGCAGTCGATTCCATCACTTCCCTACAATGCATTATTGCACCGGGAAATCCTCCCTGGCGCAGATCCGCGTGGGAAGGGGAGAGTCCGGCGGAGGTACAGGATACCTCCGCCCGCCCACACATCCATAGTGAGCTCGACGGATGCAAAAGCGGCAGATATATTCATTGAAACATAATTCGCGTCAGGTGTATTGTCCGAGATAATCGAGCTTGTTCAATGCCTTCGGAGCCAGCGCATTGTGCGAATAAATATGATCTGGCTGAAATTTCAACCTATGCGGGGAGAATTCGTTACTGTTCCCGGTTGAATCTGATTTCCAACATGTAAGCTCGGAAGGTGTTGAGTGTGGGAGCGCCGCGTAAGTCAATCATTTCTGTCGACGTTGCCGGCGAATCGTCCTTGAGCCATCAAACTCACTACCATAGCCGCTTCTTCGAGACTGGAAACACTCTTGACGTTGTCCTCACCGTCTGAAGACGGATCCTGGTCCCGGCGCAAGAGCAAAGCATCCAGGTCCGCACCCACTGCACCCAGGTAGTCCTTGGAATACTCGTCGCCAATGTGTATCCACGTGGTATCACCCACCTCATGACGCAGACACTCTGTCATACCCTTGTGAGGTGCGGAACTGGATGAATCGACGGCCTGTTCCGCGCGAGACCCGGGAATTGGAATAATGAGTTGCCGGGCTGCGAGCCAAATATTCATGTCTGGCTTCTCCGAGCCGGCCTCGTAACTCGTACAAAGGAAATCGAAATCATTGTCGGCGGCGAAATAGTCGACAAAAGGACTAGCCAAAAGCGCTTGGTAATCCTGGTTTCTGAAACGGGTGGCTGTCTCCGAGATGGACTGACCGAAGCTGATTTGAGGCAAGCTGGAAGGCCCTACCTTCAGATCGAAATCCTGCAGCACTAACCTAACGCGAGGATCAGAGTTGGTGATCACTCCGGTAACAATCAGGGGCCCCTCTGGATCATGATAATGGTCTTTCAGCATTCGCATCGTCTGCAAGAAAGGTTGAACATCCGGGTAGAGTTCATATGCTTCGCCCGATGAAAAGTGTCGGTAGAGACTGGCTCCCAAGTCCTGAGGGATATCTTCATCGTCCACTACTTCACGAAACGCTCGGTTGACAAGCTTTGTCCACCAGAGTTCCGGATCACGAAGCTTTCCCTTGCCGTAGTTCGGATAGGTTGTGTTGTAATGCTTGAAAGACGATCGAAAGGCGTGATCAAGCTTGTCAGAGTCGACATGCGTGCTCAAGCCGCATCGCTGAGCAACCTTCAGATATTGGGATGGAACAGGCTCTCGAAAGCGATACAAGGTGCCTAGTGCATCAAGCGTGACAACAAAGGTAGGGACTTTTCTGCGGTTGGTCAAAGCCTTGAAGGAGTCCTTCATGATGGCCCCAATCTTGAGCTGAGACATGCCAGCCTCGTTCCCCGACGCCAGCAAGGACGTCTGCGGCAGCTGCTATATCATATGTAACAGACTTCCGCGAGCGGTATTGATAAAACGGTCGAGCACAGAGGCGAATCTGAGAGATGTCTTATACCCTGAACGAGACGTCGTCCGTCATTCGAAGAGGTAAGAGGAAAGGTTGTTGTATCTTGATTGGTTGTGGCGAGCAATTTCTCACACTTTTAATTCACGCCCCTGTTTACGTCAGCATCGCTGAGGCAGCCTCGGACCGGCCGCCATTTTCGCGATCTGGACTCATGCAGACGAGCACAATTTGTAAACAGAATCGACCAACACTAACAAGTCCTTCACTCCCGCACCGTCGCCTCCGCCAAATATATGTTCGGCCGCCTTGTCGAAACTTCTCTCTACCTGCTACCAGCTATCATCAAGCGTCCGTCAAACTGTTTTCTTCAGCTTTCCGCCGCGCTGCCCGCACCTCCCTCCGATCCTCCCTCGGTCTTTCAGTTGCCGCATCGGCCGTGACACAGCAGAAGCCGCAGTCGCCTCTGACGAAGAAGTTCTCCTCGTCCTCGGTTCTAGCCATGGCACCTCATACAAAGGTGGCCATTGTTGGCTCTGGACCTGCCGGCCATACCGCTGCCATTTATCTTTCTCGTGCAGAACTCAAACCTGTCATGTATGAGGGAATGTTGGCTGGGGGCACAGCCGCCGGCGGGCAACTTACGACCACGACGGAAGTCGAGAATTACCCCGGTTTCTCCAAGGCTATTGGTGGTGCCGAGTTGATGGATGAGATGCGAGCGCAATCCCTGCGGTTTGGAACAGAGATCATCACCGAGACCATAACGAAGGTGGACCTGAAGTCGAAACCGTTCCGACTATGGAGAGAATATGAAGACGGGGATGCCGATGAACCCGCACACACAGCGGACGCAGTTATCATCGCGACAGGCGCCAACGCCAGGAGGCTGGATCTGCCTGGAGAGGAGAAATACTGGCAGAACGGCATATCTGCATGCGCCGTGTGTGACGGTGCGGTGCCGATCTTCAGGAACAAACCGCTCGTTGTTATTGGCGGTGGAGATTCCGCGGCAGAGGAGGCAATGTTTTTGACCAAATACGGCTCGCACGTTACGGTTCTTGTCCGAAAAGACAAACTGAGGGCATCGAAGACCATGGCCAAGCGCCTCCTTACGCACCCCAAGGTGACAGTGAAATTCAACCATGTGGCTGTGGAGGTACAAGGCGAGAACAAACCCAGAGGCCTGATGACTCACCTGAAAGTCAAGAACGTGGTCACAAGTGAAGAGGAGGTGCTTGAGGCCAATGGCCTGTTTTATGCAGTCGGACATGACCCAGCTACTGCGTTGGTCAAGGGTCAAGTTGACACCGACGAGGATGGCTACATCATCACCAAACCGGGCACAAGCTACACCAGCGTTCCCGGAGTCTTTGCTGCTGGCGATGTCCAGGACAAACGATACCGACAAGCGATCACAAGTGCAGGCAGTGGTTGTATGGCGGCGTTGGAGGCCGAAAAATACCTGGCCGACCTCGAAGATGACGAGCCCAATATCGAGAAAGAGACCCAGGCGAAGAAACCCAATGTCAATGGTGAGGCGGCACCGGAGTATCGGTCAAACCCACTTTTGTAATCTATGAACCTAGAGTATAGACATAGTTTGCCCCAAGATCTAGCAAGTCCATTTCTACCTTTTGCGTATTTTGGCCATCGACACCGTCTTGCACCGTCATGTAGTGATACAAAGATTAAGAAACACCCGAATGAGCACCAACATCAAGCGTGTCAACTCCTCCTCAAATACCAGCCAAAGGCGGCACTTTGCGTTAAATCGGAGAAGGGGCTCGGAACCTCGGCCAAGCCGGGCCTTGCGACAGGGTGTCTCAGATACACTGCCGCGCAAATCTTGTGGTTCACCTCGAGGTATCGGGGAATGAAAGCGAACGCACTCATATAGTCGCGAGGCATCCAGGGCGTCGCGTATGGCTTCGAGTCGTCCACCGGATTCTCATGCATTGACTGTAGAGCCGCAAGTAGCTCGTTGTACTCTCCGTCCGTGAGACTGTTCTCCTGTCCGTTTGCTCCTGACAACGCTTCATCCTTCTCATCCTTGTTAGATTGTTCTGCGCCGTCCTCGAGAGAGGTCCGCGAATCGTCTTGTGCCGAAGGGAGTGATGTGGTGCCAGCCTCCTTGTTCTGCCTCCGAATTTTCAGCTGATTCTGTAATTCTGCAAATTGTGCCTCTATGCTGTCTGTCAGGATTGTAGAAGACCCTGACCGGGAAAGCAGCCGTTGTATGGTCTTCGAGAACGCTCTCAGGTCCTGCTTTCGTTTCGCTCCCAGGTCTTGCTTCGTAGACGAGAGAATGCTCTTCGCCTGCGCTTTCAGATCCTTCAGGATTTCCCGAGGATCACGTTCGACATCAACATCGTCACGAGCCTGATCTTGCTCCGCCTCGGCTTCTCCGGCGACACCCTCGTTGTCTTCGGAAGTAATCTCTTCGCCTTCGGTCTCTTCGTCTGCGGCTTTCGGCTTCGGAGGCAATTTCGGCGAGCCAGTGGCAAACATCACCCGTTCTGGGAGTACTTGAAACATATCGCCGGGGTTCAGAAGATATCCGGGGTACCGCATCTACCGCATGTCAGCTTTGAGCCAATCGATGTCATCCCAACTGTGTAGCATACTTCTTTGCCATTGACCTTGACTGCGCCATGGACCACAAATTGCCTGGCTTGACGAGCACTGCTGGCGAACATGGCCCTGAAAATGGCGGTGTCTAGTCTCCGTTCCAGCGGCGCAAATGTCATTTGCATGTAAGGAATTGGCAATTCGCCTTTTTGCTTTCCCCTTGATCTTGACTTGGGCTCATCTCCTCTCTCTAGCCCTGATCCTCGCCCCGCCGACTCGAGCGCGCCGTCGTTCGAGGCGAGGTATTTAGCGTCCATGGGAACGACAGACCGGATCCGTGTATCGAACATTCGCACCCACTGTTTTTCCCGGACCTGCTCTCCATGATAGCTTCGTGAGGTGGATTTGGCCAGCCATTTCAGTTGGAAGAAGTTCTTCCACCGGTAAGAAGGTCTGGTAAGGCGAGATAAATTGTAGAGATTGTATTTGCTCCATGATTGTCGGATTTTCTGCCTCGGGCGTTAACATTGCTCCAGGCTCTGGTGAGAGTTCTTACCAGCTGATCCAGAAGATTCTTCTTCACCTTGAGCGGCGTCGTTGCCCTATTCCGCATCGTGAAGAGCCCGCCTGTTGTCTGGCTGACGCTAATATGGCATTGAGAACATACAACCAGGATAGAGGACTGGAAGTACTGCGCCAGTCAAAAGTTGCAGACCTCGAAATATGGCAGGTTTATCGGGACCGGCTTGGCACGTGATCATTTATCTCCGAGAGCCGCTCTCGGGAGGTCTCTTGAAGTTGGTCAAATTACTTACTCTGTACCTTCATAGGTACTATCTACCTTACCTAGGTAGGTCGATAATGTCTTCGCAACAATTTGTGAATCATAGTTCGAAAGTGTTGAGTGTACGGTGCAAAGGGTGCTCTGCACGAAGCAGGTAATCAAGCAGTTGCCAGGTATATCTATGATATCGACTTTGGTTCTCACGTCTCGCTTGAAACCCTCCAACATCAGCCCGAACTTTGGTACAAGAAAATGAACTTGCAAAGGTTCGATTAATCCCCCATTAGCGAAGGCGGGTTGGGAACTCAGAAACAGCTTCTTGGAGGGTCACAAGAGCACTTTGATATGCTATGCGCTGCTAGCTGTTGATCAAATTGTACTTTCTCCAGAAGTACTTACAGGTGCCGCCCAACGGCTCCTCTTTCGGCTTTTTATCTCGCGATGCGCGGTGGTGCTGTTCCAGTTCTCCCGGTACACCAGCGCGAGCATCCTTCGCCACTACGAAGGCCAAAAGCGGACAGCTTCTTCGCGTACCGCATAGCAGATCTTCGATCAATTCCAGGTCGTCCTAATTCGATGCTTTGTGATCCTGGAAAAAGACACCCGTAACATTTCTAGCTCCCTGCATAGTATCCACCATATTCCAACACCCAAACTCCTCGCTAACGTTATTGACAATGTTGTTCACCACAAGCTGGTCATCCCCCATGACTAGCCTTGCATTGTCTGCCAGAAATAGTCTGCATAGAACCACCGCGAGAATTTAGGGTCGATGTTGACAACGTGGACATCGCCTCTTTTGGTATTTCCAATCGTTGCTTTGTTGTAGTTGCCGGCCTCGTCTTGTTCGAGGCTGATTCCCAGTGATCTGTAGAGCCATAATCGTAATCTGCGCATAGTCAGTATCCAGGCTTAGATGTCGAAGACCCCAAAAGACATACACTGTTGGATCATCCGCTTCACGGGCACGGCGCATGTTCTCATCTCCCTCAACTCCTTGCTCCTCCAAGTCGGTTAATCGCATTTTCAGCCTCTCCAATTCCGCCTCCAGTCTCTCGCTCTCGGCTTCTAGCTCAGACGCCTGTTTCGCAACGCGGAACTTCTTGGTGTCGAGCTGCACAATCTCACTGGCATGCCTGCCGCTGTCATGACTTGAAAGAACTTCGCGGTGTTGAGAAGATAATGTTGCCAGCTGGCGGGATAGCTTTCTCAACACGGTGTCGGCATCTCGAATGCGTAGTTCGCGGGACTGTTGCAATGTTGATAATGAATCGTTAACGCGTGAAAGCGCGGCCTTGTCTGGGGCGATGTTGAAGTTCGAGACAGTAGCACGAATGAGCTGGAACGCAAGTCAACAGCAGTCCATGTCGTCTTGGGGGGAAAACCTACCGCGGCGGGATCTTCATCGAGAAGCATACTGGCAACTTAGATGGTAGCAGCACGAGTGTTGATGTTGAAGACGAGCGTAGCGAAAGTAATGCCCTCCCGCGCTGATGTTTGAGATTATCCAACCCTCTGTGTTGATGTGGTGGTTGCGAGGAGCAACAGGCGGAAGGCTGCACCGGGAAAACCACAGCTCCAGCCGTCGTCATCCCGACATGTCACCGTTCTGGCCGCCACATGCAAGTCACTGCGCCACATCTGCATACTCTACGAACTTGAACTCAGGTACAGTCTCAATACTCTCGATCCACTTGTGAAGAGGAAATTCATTGTCTTGTACAAATCTCAGCGAACTTCTTCGGAACTGAAGCTCCTCCTGCGGACCAAGTCCTCCAGAAACCTCCCGAACTGGCAATATGCCATCGAATCTGCCTTGTGAGTTGACAAGCTGCAACGAGAAGGTGGAAGGCTTGTGTTCGCTGATTCCCTACCAGATGCCGCAGATGCGGAAAGGTCAGTCCTGCGACTGTGATCAGGACTTCTCCCTCTGACAGCCCTATCGCAGCCCCCTGAAACCGGCGGAACTACAAGTACTTCGTGCGCAGTATGAAAAAGAAGGCGACTATGTTTCGGTGCAGACAAAATTTAACTATGCTTGGGTATCTGTGATTGCGCCCGCCACTGGGCTCCATGTTGGCTGACGGGTGAAGGGATTGATTAAATCGAACCAACGCGGTGACCAACAACTGGGCGTCCAACTCCTTTCGGACATCTTCAAGACGACACCGGAACGAAGGCGCGAGTGTTTATACTATCTCGCCTTGGGCAACTACAAGCTCGGGAATTATGCTGAAGCCAGACGGTACAACGATTTGTTACTAGAAAAAGAGCCTGGGAATCTGCAGGCTGCAAGCTTGAGACAGTTAATCGATGACAAGGTATCGAGAGAAGGGTTGATGGGTGTCGCGATTCTCGGCGGTGCTGCTGTGGTTGCTGGAATTGTTGGTGGTATGATTATGAAAGGGTCAAGAAGAAGGTGATTACTATCTGCTGCTGGCTAGTAGAGCGCAATACGGAGGCACGCATTGTGTGCTGTGTGTTGTGAGACAGAAATTCCAACTTCTTCAAACAAATACATGTTGCCTGGTTTGGAGTAGTATGGGGGACAAGTCTGGATGTAGTGGAAATGTGGCTGTACATTGTTACAAGGCATTTGAAAAAGCATGAATATGAACGGAGCAACGTCAGATCGATGGAAACATCGGTGGTTATCCGTCAAGACAACCTCGAAGTCAGCATGCGGTAAAGCCTACACTGACTTCCTGCATCTGAAGTGATACACCCAGACGCCAACCTGATTGATAGTTCAACAAAGGTGAACTGGATAGATGGTACGTCAACCGCCTACCAGTAGTGAAATACCAGCTCCTGCTCGACTTTGTGTTTGCGACCATGAACAATGCAGTAAACAGTCATCACCTTTAACGTTTGCTTGATCGCCGTCTATCCATTCCTAGGCTCCGCATCCTCTCCGTCCTAAGCCGTTTCATTTTCTTGCCGCCACACTTGCATTCAAGTGACTACTACTACCCCAGATCGAGACTTGGCCTTTATCCACCGAGCCGCCTGCCCCGGCGCATGACGCAGCCTTGACACCTAAAAACCACTGGTTTGATATCATCTTCCTTAGCATTATTTGTAACGGTCCATTCCTTTATGTCCCATCTCCACCATGGCAGACACGCGGAGACTGGAGGGTGAACGGGTCTTTTGTCACCAGTGCAACAATGAGTGGGAAAGAGCGCATGGAGGACTGACTTGTCCGAGATGCGAAGGCGACTTCACAGAGATCGTACGTGTTCTTGCCTCACCGGACGTGATGATACTAATAGACCCGAGCAGCTCGAACCACACACCACATCGACCGCGAGCCCGAGCAGGCAACAGGCTATCTCACCTCCTCCGCCAACTCTATCGCCCTTACAGCCTCTATTTGACCACAATCCATGGAGTGACGACCCAGACTCGCAGCCTCGGGATGGTTTCACGACATTCGAGTTCACAAGCAATCACGCGGGAGGGAGAATCTCTTTTACGACAAGATCGATGAGGAGCGGCAACATGGGAAGAAATGTAATTGATACCCTTGGTGAAGATGCGGCTGCCGATACGGAGACATTATTACTTACCAACGCGCTGATACTACAGACCCGAACCATGCCACCAAACCTATTCCGCCCTACACCGCCTCTTGGATACCCCGAAGATGACTTTGGGGGTCTTGGTGGACCCATGACACCAGGCAGTTTGCAAGAGTGAGTGCAATGGACAACTTCTAGGCGCCGACTGACATCCCAGTTTATTCTCCCTCATTCTGCAGTCGGTGCAGCCCGCGGCAGCTCTTCGCCCAGATGCTGACGGCACACGAGCCGCTGGCCAGCAACCGCACCCTTTCGATCTTTTGAGCCAGCTTTTCAATCCCGGAAACGCCCAGCATGGCGACGTGGTCTTTACACAAGAAGCCTTCGATCGGGTCATGACACAGCTGATGGATGAGAACCAGGCCGGTAATGCCCCTCCACCGGCGTCGGAAGATGCGATCAAATCACTCAAGAAGAAGCGCGTGGACCATGACATGTTGGGCAGTGACGGCATGGCCGAATGCTCGATATGCATGGACAATGTGGAACTGGGCGATGAAATGACTGTTCTACCGTGCAATCACTGGTTTCACGGGGATTGCGTGACGGCCTGGCTGAAAGAACACGACACATGCCCTCACTGTCGCAGGCCGATTTCGAACGCCAATGTACGCAACGAACAAACCTCTCCAAGACGAAGAATGAGTCGGCACCTCTCTCCGGTAATAAGCAGCCCTCAGGGCTTCGGTCCAGAAGGTAGTCGCCAGAATCCTGTGACTATACCAGAAAGTCCGACCGAGTCACAGCAATCGAGGCAGTCATACTATGGACGCCGACGAGAATCTGATTTGCAACCTTCCACTAGCGTGCGACAACCGAGAAGCCCGCAAGAAACAAGACGACATAGTTCGAGAGGAAATTCGGGAGGGAGTTCAGGAAGTCGAGGCAGCAGTACCGGAGGAGGTGTGACCGGTTGGATTAGGGATCATTTACCGTTCTCATGACGAGTTCCTGCTGCCGAAAAAATGCTGTGCGCTCAAATCTCGCCAGGAAGGTTGAGCATTGAGCAGGTCTCACTTGAAACAGGACAGCCGGTTTATACCTGAGGGTTAGCATCACTTCATTGATGCATATTGCTGGCCTCCTGACACCGAACTTGAGACAATTGGCCCCGACGTCCTAATGCACCTTTTGAAGATATCATGGACAGTCTCTTGCTGGCATTGATGAAAGATGATGCTGCATCTGGCGAAGAAGTCTTGGAAGGTTTGAGTGAAGCCTTTATTTAACGAATGACGCTCCTGGCGCACTAGGAGGGTTGCGCAATGACTTTGATGACCATGATCTGTAAAAACAGGTTTTGAGGACACTGTTGCTACACTGACGTTGAGAGTCATCGTCGACCATGCTACTTGTAGACATATTCCATGTATCTGGCCGATCACGTGCAGTCACCTGACCAGTAGAGGATCCTTCCAAGTCTTTCACATGCACAGCGCACCCTGCAGCGCACATGCATCACATGCTGATGCATCACATCATTATTTGCACTCTTCGGCATCAACTTCGGCCTTCCGAGTGCCTGCCTGACCAGATTCCGTGTCAGATCGCAATAATGGCTGATGCACTCTGGCCACTGGCCATGGTCAGCTGCTCCTCTCCGATCCTGACATCTGCCTCATCATTTCTTTCTGTTTATCATTTTCAGGACAAAGCAGTCGATGTCCGTGCTTGGTATGGCGTTCTCTTGTTTTGACTTATTCTAACCTGCCACCCTGTGCCTCAACTCTTAAAGTTAAGCCTCCTGCGCTCCTCGTGATGATAGGTATGCATTTGAGTTCCCTTCAACATCCAGATCGACTGACTGGAAACTGCAGACCATGTACTGGGCCGACCATCGTCACAGTTTCGCAAAGTTCAGGTCTTTGCAGTCGTCTCATTTTGGTCCTTGTATCTACTAAGGTGCGTCTCCTCGAGTCTCGCTTGTCATCCTCGCTCTAACACCTTCAAAGGGGGAATAAACATGGGCCTCCCATCTTTCGAAAGCTCTCCAGGAGCCTTTCCCAACGGCTGACTCCGTGGCGATCCGTGGTGCTCACCCTTCTCTGGCTATACATATGTCGAAACTTCGCAAAGCTAGTCGGCCTCGAGTCGCCTGAGCCACTGGCCAACCTATACAGCAGATCCTACTTCCGGGCAACATGGATCACTACAGGATTAGATGCCGGGTTTTGGACAGCCATGAGAATACGAAACAAGAGAATTAGGGATTTGGCGTCGATCATATTCACCGTCTATTATCTGATCGCGGCAGAACAAGCGGACGACAAGGTCCGAAAAGTAAGGGCCGTGCTGACTGTCGACCATCTGCGGGTATCATGGAACAAACCCAACACACCCTACCTCAAATGGCTGGGTGCGATGATGCGGCCGCGATTCACAAAGTACAACCCGAGGCGGATCAGGATCCCTCGGCCTAAGCAATCCAACTACAAAGAGCCCGTCGTCGCATGGATGTACTTTGACGGGTCGCTTGCCGAGCTCGAGGCGCAAGAAAACTTGGTCCTGGATATTCCTGGAGGCGGCTTCGTGGCAATGGATCCCCGGACAAGCGACGACAAGCTGCTTGCCTGGGCCGGGAGGACGGGACTCCCGGTCCTCAGTTTGGATTATCGCAAGGCTCCAGAATACCCGTACCCTTATGCGCTGAACGAATGTTTCGATGTCTACACTCAGATTGTGGCCACCCGGGGAAGATGCATTGGCATGAAACCCGAGTCGTGTCCAAGAATAGTCCTGACGGGCGATAGTGCCGGTGGCAATCTTGCTACCGGTACCACTTTTATGATTATCCAATCCAACCAAGCCAGGACATCTCGAGGGATTTTGCCATCTCCTGCCGGACTGGTGCTGTTGTATCCGGCGTTGGATATGAACATTGGAAGCTGGATGACTGACGATCAAATGGCACTGATCCGCAACCCGAGGACAGCAAAGAAGTATCGCAGCTTTATCAAGAGGAAGAGTGAAGATATCGACAGTCGCTATACTCCAACCACCCCCAGGCCTGGTGATGATGATGAGGATAGTCCCAACCGGGACTTCTTCGGATTTAGCAGTAAGGACAAAAAGGGCGTGTTCCAGGAAGATGGCCCAAACGCAGACGTCGAGGCACAGAAGCAGGCCATTGCAACGTCCAAACCACAACCCTTGAAGACAAGATTGGCGGTTTCTTCAATTATTTCCTATTTTGGCGACCGAATATTGACGCCCGAGATGATGCGGGCCATGATCATCCTCTACGTCGGTCCGTACAATCGGCCCGACTTTACGACGGATCACCTTCTCTGCCCGGCAGTGGCTCCAGAGAATCTCCTTGCCAAATTTCCAAAGACGTACTTCCTCACCGGCGAGCGAGATCCTTTGGTCGACGACACGGTCATTTTTGCAGGTCGACTTCGGCAAGCGAAGCTCCATCTGTTTCGAGAGCGACAAGAGGTTGGACTGGAGAAATCCACCGCAGAATTCGATGAAAAGGACCACGTGGAGGTGACACTGATCCCTGGTATTTCTCATGGCTTTGTGTCGTTTGTTTCGGTGTTTCCTGAAGGCTGGAAGCACATATTTCGCTGTGCGAATTGGATATTAGAGATCTTCGACAAGCCTCCCCATCAATTCGAAGGCCCGGCAATCGAGTCAAGGTTGCGAAACGGAACCCTTACTCAAGACTCCAACAGCAGCCTGGAACTGGCTTCCACCCAGTTGCGGCATCACCGTCGCACACCGACAGGGGAGAGCGTAGATGACGATGCCCCGCTCGTCATGTCGTCCTTGAGGGATGAAAGCTCCAAGTCTCCTTCCAAAGCCAAGGAGACGGTGCAAGACGAAAGGCACACCCGTGGTCGCGCAATCGGTGAGACAGGAAGCACCGAGAAAAGCAGGAGTAAGAGTCTGGTCTCACTGGGGAGTGAGGAAGACCTTCTTAAGCGTCGCATGAAAGGCTTGACCATCAGTCTGATGGGGACCAACCATACCTGAAGCAGTAAGATATGAGAAATGATTTTGAAGTTATGTATAGAGTACATACTACAATCTGATACCATGCGTCTTCCATGGCACAACATGACCAAAGGTCCGGGTCTGTGAATCCTAGTGGCTGAACCAGACAGGCTTGAAACCCTCCGCTAAGCCCCCGGCAACTTCTTACCGGAAGAACTGTCATAGAGGATCGCAGTAATAAAACGTAGCAAAGGTAGGGGATTCCTTCATCGTGAATGCAACCGAGGATAATCATGCGTTGCCAAATACACTGAGCACCTAGGAAGGCTGGCGAGATACGCATATCTTCCTACTCAACCCGCCCTGACTCACTCGAGCGCCGCACAGTTGTGCTCTTTGTTATGTCTGAAGATCCAACTGACCATAGAAAGGAGCACATCTGGTCAGTCATGCTTTCCGGAGAGAGCGATCCCTCGAAGAGACAAATGTCCCATGCATAATGTTGCCAGAACCAGGCCACCTCTCCCAATACGCTCCCACTGCCCAACATTGGAGCCCCTCGAAACGCGCGCAGTTGATTACTTCGGCGGATGATGTCTTTGTCAAACATCCACCACCACGACTTGAAGACCTTTTCGCCGATCTCCCAGTTCTGCTCGGAATAAGGATCGTTTTCAAAGATCCGCATCCCCTCGGCACTGTCTTCAAGATCATATACGAATTCGAAGAGCGCCGTTGGCAATGCTGCACTTGGTGGTCGAACTTCGGGCGGCTGAGAAAGTATCATGATCATCCTGTCGCGCACCGATGGCCAAGGTAACAGATCGATAATAGGGTGATGTGGTATCGACATTTGATTAGATGTCGGTCGGAGATTCACAGGCAAGTGGTTGAATTGAGCCATTGCTATGCCAGGCTCCGCAAAGGGCGAGAGTGAGGTGATCGACCAAATGAGATCCTGGACATTCAGTCGCCTGGCACTAGAGGCACAGCCGCTGAGCAGTTTCACCTCAGGCATGTCAAAATTTGCTTCGTCGGAAAACGAATACGGTGTAGTTGCCGCTGTAATGGATGATTTTGCTGCCTCCGATATCCTTCGTGCCACTGGTGCAGATATCAAAGACAAGGCTGCACTTCCACTTGAAGGAGAGCTCGTTCTACCCGATGGAGAGGTGCTTGCGGAGGCTGGATAGTAAAGCAAGGGGTCCCATAGGCACTGGTCCTCTGTCGAGAAGTTTAAAGTGTTCTCGGGAAAGACTGGCAGGTAATCTTGTTGAGAGACAACGGCCTCGGGTAGCCGGTCTCCATCGTAGACGCCAGGGACCAACGCTGATCCATCCTCATCCGACCAGGTGAGTCGTGATTCTGAATGAACCTGGGTCAGAGACTGAACCGAGTCAACATTGTGCGTCGTATGAACGTCTGCAGCGTCGCTCTGAGTCCTGGGCAAATCGAAGTCATCAGTTGTGTTTGCTTGTGCCCGGAGTCGTTCCAGCTGTTCCCTTCGTCGCTGTCGGTAACGCCGCTGAGCGAGGACGTTCAGGGCTCTCTTCCTCTCTGCTGCATCTTGTCCAAGTTGTGGGACGTCAAAATTCTCCGCCTTCCGTTTCGCCTCGCTTTCATTCTTCGTCATGCCTCGGTCACGGGCCATCTGAGGTCTGGAAGCAGGTTCTTCAAACGTTTTCCTTATAGTTTCATTTCTAGAATAAGGTGAAGTGGAAGAGTCTGTGACCATCGAATATATGGCGTTGTACCACGGTCAAGAAGTCAAGACCTTCCAACGTCCCCAATTCACTATGGCGTATGTTAGGAATATGCTGCGCAGATACCAGTCGGCGCCCGTTAGGTTGAATAGTGCTGCAGAGACAGAGGGAGAGCCAAAATATATCGAAGGATACAGACTTCGTAAACGGATGTAAGCACAGTAGATGGCCATTGAACTCCTTTTGATCCCGGGTTCCTCGAGGGAGGAGTCATGGAGCTGCCGACAGAACGACTACGCATAACGTTATGGTGAACCTTGACAGGGAACGTTCAACCAGAACCCCAGAGTCGGTTACTCTCCTCGGCTGAGACCTCATTGGCTCCCTCACGTCATGGAGGTGTTTGACGGATCAGTCTGCTACCCTCTGAGCTTGCCGTATTTGACGTATCTTTGCAGCTGAGTTAAGGGAGATATCATCATACTGTAGCCTTGCTGATAGGCACCCTGCTAATAGGCTCGTATGATTCGGCTCGATGCACCACACTCCTGTTGTCTATACGGCACCTCGGGCGGTCTCGTCTTGTCTGCTGACGGTCCCTTGCCTAGTAGGCGTGGGAGTTGGGCTGCCATCGCGATTGAACTCCCGTATCGTGGAGCTCACGCTACCCATGGGCCTGACTCTGCTCCCAACGAACCCCTTCCTGTTGCGTCCGGTGCGCCCACGACCGAGCCAATTCAACTTGAGCTGTCTGTTGAGCTCTTCCATCTTTCCCTGAGCATCGTCCCCTGACTGGATTGAACATAGGACTGACAGGCACTGGAGCATTCGGCCAACAGTCTCGGTGACCTGGGCCGATGAGCTATCGGTTGGTCTGGCCGCTGGTGGAGAACTAAAGGACTGAAAAGCCACGTCCTGCGCTGGATTGCTCACCACCGAGAGGTTCGAGGTTGCTCGAGACCTGCCGCCAGACCCCACGCTTCCCAGCAGCGTGCTGCTCTGAGAGTTGTAGCTGCCATACATCGGCTCGATGCCTTGCGCAGTGGCCGGTCTGTCACTACCCCCACTGTTCCCACGATTTCTATTGCCACCATCGAAATGTGACAAGGTCGCATTGATACTTTCAAGGCTGAGTCGAGAGAAAGTCGCTTTCAACACCTCAAACCGGGGAAGAACGATCATGTCTCGGAATGCAATGAGCAGGATTCGTCGCACTTCCAATTCTTCTCCGGCAGACACAGCGTAGCCGGCGCCGTCCCCAGCAGCAGGCGACGATGACAAAGTACTGCCGGTTTCAGCGCTTGGTAAAGCACCCCAAAATTCCGCTGCCAGTTTAGGACTGGTGAGTATGCTGCCTCTGCCTTTGAATTCTTGGTCCAGGGGAAGAAAGACCGCTTGCATGAACGGCAAAATGGAACCAAACACCAGAGTCCACATGCTCACTAGATGGGGAATGAGTCTGTCATCCGACACTTGGCGCAAAGTATGGTTGAGGCTGAGAAAACCGGTCTTCAGTAGATCTTCCAGATCTCCAATGATAATGCTGGGATCTCTTCTTTGAACGCACCTCTGCACGTGAATGGTGACCAGTTTGTTCAAGTCTTCCACCGCAATCCGCACCGCCTCACCTTCAAAGACGACGAGTATTTTGGCTCTGAGAAGGTCCCAGGCATCATCGGCTGACATATTGGATAGACCAAAACTTATACCCGCTTCTTTAACTTCGGTATATGAATTGAAATTGGTCACGGATGAGTTGGTGAAACTCGTGCCCAACGACGGCCATTCAGAGGTGTCGCTTTCGCCACGACTGTAAACAGGCTCAAGACTGGCGAGAGCATGAGCCTTCTCCTCTTTCTTCTTCTCTCGTAGGGCGCGGCCTCCATGTCGCAGGTCCAACCCCGAGACTGTCTTCGAGAAGCTGGAGGACGGTGCAGGGGAGGACGGAGCGAACGAGTAAAGTGATGATGGGTTGTTGATATCCACAGGTCGCGAATTCGAATTCGCGGATGACAAGGGTAGTGCATAGGATTCATCCTTGTCCTTCAGTTTTAGTTTCTGACGTAGGCCGTGATGTTTGTGTGCCTTGTCCTTTGCCTCTGAGAAAGAGACGATGGTTGATGACGATGGGTTAGCCATCTGATAGAGAGAGGAGTTGGTGGATGAGAGGGATTCAGCCAGACTTGTAGTCGAAGCATTCATGACCTTGGATAGACCGCTTGGGGCGTGTCTGTTGGGTGATGGTGGAGGTTTCTCCTTCGTTTCTTTGTCCTTGTCTCGTGATAGCACCATATGTTTTGGTCTAAATCTTTTCAACCCCTTCTTGGACTTTTCCTCTTCCATCAAGGATACTTGGCTCGATGAAGCAGCATTGCGCGGGAATACCACACTTGCTGCTGTGGCGGCCGCATTAGTACCCACCAAGCCGTTCCGGTATTGCTGGTCCAGAGCTGTAGGCGACGTTTGAGCGTCGTGAGAACCTGTCGAGCCCCGGCTTTCCCGACGAATCTCTTGCTGATTCTGCTCTTGCGGAGATGGCACAGTCTGGGATCTTCTGCGGTTGTGGTTGGCCGCATTCAGGTGTTGCATTGCAGCTTGCGCCGCAATCTGGGATGGCGTGAGGCCGTGCATGCCTGTGTTGTCGTGAAGGGCCGATTGGCTTGCAAGAGAGGCTGATGGCATCGATGGCTCGAAGTATCCCTGAGAGTGCTGCCGAGGGCGGTGCTTCTGAAGTTCACTTGGAGGAGCTAGGTTCTGTTTCGCAGTTCCATCTCGAGGCATGTATTGGGCGGACGGTCTCGTGTGGAAAGGCAGAGAGGTATTACTGATATTGTTATGTAACGAGAATTTGGGTAGCTGGTGGACATAGGGGGATCTTTTCACGACAGAGAGGCTCGAGGATGCCGAAGCGTCACTTCCGCTTGAGCCAGGCCGACTGCTCTGCTTCGACGTTGAACGGGATGGGTTTGGTGATACAGCGGCAGGAGGCACCGGCGACCGCAGACCGGCCCGACGAGGAGGAGGAGGCTCCATGTGCTCGGTGGTCGGAGAGCGAGGTGTTGACAAACTGACGGTGATCGTATGCTCTTGATGCCTTGTCAGTACACGGGGTTCGAATCTCGAGACTTCGGTTCGCAGGCATCAGGTCGACAGCGCATGCGCTGTGAATTGGAGGGGCCTCCAGGAGACATAGTAATAATAGGTGGGAGAGAAGAGTTTGCGTATCATGCCCATCAAAGGCTGTGGACTCTATCAGGGCCAAACGTGCCCAGGCAGCTGTGTCTGGTTAGACATGGAGGGTACCTGGTATGGTTTACAGAAGTTGATTGATGTTGGAGAGGCCTACTACTAGTGATCCACGCGCAGTTGTCCCTCGATATGAAGTCATCCCGAGACTCCTACTACAGCTACTACTACGGACTACTACTAGTACCACAACAATTCTGACTTCTGCACAAATCCAACCACTCCAGCCCATGTGAACCATCATTTTCAGTCTCGAAGCCATAAGTAAGCACCATGACGAACAGGACAGAACGCATGTCAGCCACTTTAAGCGCTACGTACCACTCTCCAACCGGTGACAGGACTTTTTGCCATAGTATAGCAGTGCCGCAGTCCGACGAAGGGCAGACTCCTGATACGCAAGCGAAGACCGAGTACTTATCATGCCTTAGAGCCTCGACCAAGGCACTGCAGGAAGAGGTCAATGGGTTTCTGACGGACAAGATGGAGGAAGATAATAAGTCTGGCGAGCGGGACAGTAAGATCTCTATCTCCAAGCGACAGCCAGACGACGAAGTAGAAGAGGAAAACTACGGTGACGAAGTTGCAGAAGACGAAAGCTGAGAAGGAGGCATATTGGACAACATTTGCTTAGCTTGGCCTATTCGGCGCAATGGGTATCTCAAATCGAATCAACGGAGCACTGGCTACTCGACATGGGCCGGCCGTCAGCTCTTGCCCGCAAGCTCATTCTGCTTGCGAACCGCACAACCAAGATGGACAACCGAGTTGCTGGGACATGTCAGCACGACTTCAGGGCGAAGTGCATGGGAGTGGACTTACTCGGGGAAAACACTGATGACGCTGCCGCCGAGACGCTTGTAGCAAACACCACAGACCCGGTCTTCGTCGATCCGAACCTTCCTCCCCCTACCTCCAGTTGGAGCGCCGTCACCGAGCAAGAGAGCGGCCTGCACACGCACAGCTTCCACTTTCCTCAGTGCTGCTGTTACCATGGAGTCATTCATGGTGCTATTTGCATTGCGGATACGTCCCCGAAAATAAAATTCGAGGTCTCGAACCGTCAACCCCTCGGGGATTAGTTCTAACGTGGAGCTTGCCGGTAGCCTGGGCCCATGGCGGGCCATCAATCCGATTGCCGGATCCCACAGGGCCTTTTCTCCTTTTGGGGGGTTCAAATAAAGATTCAGGAGGATATGATAGATCGAGGGACGTTCATCGACGGGATCGCTCGTTGATTTGCGCCGCGAAGGAGCCTTGCTGTTGTTCCTCAAGGTCTCTTCAAGATGGACCTGATTGCAATAATCCTCAGCCTTGGCTGGATCATGTAGCTTGAAGACATAGATTTCCAGCGCCTGCTTGTGGTTGCCCATCTTACTGAAGACCACGGCCCTGGCTTCGTAAAATAGAGGGTCGTCTCGAGGCAGCAAGTCCAGAATCTTCGCGGGAGAATATTGGTCAGACGTCCTCAACAATGTCAGGAACTTGTCGAGGACCTCCTCAGGGTTCTCGCGAGCGGGGTCTTTGAGCCGCTCAAGGTATAGAGCCAAAAGATGCTGATGTAAATCTGGCGTAAGGTCATTCCATTCGTCAATGACATGCTCCAGATACCTCTGGGCTAAGTCTTTGTCGATGGATTCTAGGAAATTCAGGACTCTCCGGCGTGGAAGCGACTCTGCATTTTCTGTATCACCGATGAAAATCTCCATGGCCAATTCTGGGTCGGTCTCCAAAGGCCATCGGGCGAACTCAAGGATCATGTCGATCAGTTCTGGTCCCAGGTTCTGTAGGTATAACACAGTCCTCTGAGGGCCGTGTAGTTCAGGGTCAATATCCTCTGTCTTCTCGGCCTGTCCGAACTTTCGTAGTCGCTCCAATGCCTGTCGATGTAGTCGTTTACCGTACAGAAACTCAATCAGGTCATTGTAGCGCTCGGTTTCTTCCAATCTGGCCATCACGACCTCTGGATCGCAAAAGTTGGGGATCCGGAATAGTGAACCAGCAAGTGAGGGTGTGGCATACATATGTGCTCTGAAAAGGGTAGTGTCCACAAATTTTGCCAGCGCCAGGATCTTATCTCCCAGGTCGACGTCGTCCAGTGTGGGAAGTCCCAGGAGGTATTCGGTCACTTGTCGAATGTCTTCCGACTGGGAGCTACTCTGAACTTCAGATAAAGTGCGTACAGACTGGTCTGGGTTGAAAAAGCGCTGTAGTCTGCGACGGACGTCTGCGAGGAAAGCCTGCAGCTCACGAACGGCTGTTTTGAGGTCCTTCTCAGGGAGGCTTTGGCTGTCGATGTTAACAACAGGCTCAGGACTATTGGCACTGGTGTCTTCCAGGCCAGAGGTAGATGTCTTTGCCTCAGGAGGAGAATCTTCGGTTGAGCCGGGTTTCTGGTGATTATCTTCGGTACTGGGAGGCTTTGTATCTGTGCTGTCGCTCTCAGATTTTGCTAGCCTCCCAGCTATAACTTCAGGATATAGCATGATGACACGCTCTGGTGGCGCGGATACTTCTCCAAACAGGTCCAATGCTTCTCGGAATCTCTTTTCGTCGAACAGCTTCTGAGCCTTTTGCATTTTGATCTCTCGTAGGCGCCCATTCTTGTTCTTGATCAAGGTTTCTTCGATCATGTCTAGGAGGCTGATTGCTTCGTCGAGGGAGCCGCTCTCAACTAGGGAGTCGATCTGGGCGTCATAGTTCAGACCCTGCATTCTCCAAACTGTCCGCTCACTAGACACGAAAAACCCCTTTCCTTGATGGGCTAAACTGATACTGGGGTTCGGGACTTGCAACAACACGGCACCGGGGAGGTCGATTGATTGGAGGAGTGTGAGGGTTTTAGGATTGCGAACTTCCAGAACCCCTTTGCTGGCATCTTGGAGAGCGAGAAGGTACGGGTATGAGTATCCCACTGCTGTAGGCGGTGTTCGCCACGGTATTTGTCTCCGGCCGATAGGTTCTCCATTTCGGTCAATAAAATGTGTATTGATGTCCTTCGCCAACAGCATCTCATCATCTCCAAGTCCCGTGGCGAGCGGCATCGGTACCATCGACCCCATCCCGATGTAGCTCATTGTCCCGCCCAGCCTGCTACTCTCCTGACCAGGAGCACCGCCTATACTGCCTGGGCCAACAATAGTCTTCACCTCTTCAGATTCAATGTTCACAAGGATATAGTTGGCACTGAGACCTGCGAGAATCTTGGTTCCGCTCGCCCACGTTAACGACTTAATGCTGCTGGACATTGGGATCTCTGCGGGATCGCCGTCGAGCTCTCCATCATGCCAGGACCATAATAGCAGCCTTCTCTTGACGGCAACAGCCAACCTACTGACCAATGTCGGGACACTGGTTGTGAGATCCTTTTCTATGTTGCTGGTCACTGCGAAAGTGGTCGCTCCTCTTGTTTTGGTCAATTGCTCAAGCAATTGGTATGTTCCAAGATCATGGATTGACACCAACCCATTGCTCAGCGATATCAGGATATTCGCTTCACGGAAAACGGCAAGCTGTTCTATCTTGTGCTTGGAGAACTTTTCGTATTCCCGAAGCAATTCAGAGGGTTTCGAAGACGTCGCTTCGTCGGCGGGCGCATCATGATTTTCGGAGCTTTCGTCAGCCTCGTTGGTCCTCGTGGAGGGACTTTTGATGCGATAGATGCGAAGTGCGCCTGTGTTGAGACCAACCAGGAGTTGGTCACTGTGTAAGAGAATGGACTCGATCTTGGACTTGTCTCGTGGTTTCAGCTCGACAATCGGCTGAGCGGTGAATGCTGACAACATGGAGGTGGCCTTTCGCCGAGCCCTCGAAGACTCGAAGAGCTAGCGTTCGACACAGTGAGCGGCCTTTTCCACACGAAAAGCGACTTGGAAAGCCGATGTTGACACTGCGTTACTGGTGGTAACACTGTTGTATCTCATGTATCCCAGGCGCAGACGGCGGAATGATAGACAAGCTCCGATTGGCCATAATGACCACCTACGCAAGGCTACGTCACTCTTCATGAACCACAAGGCTGAGGATTTCCGCAGGCATTTGTACCTGACTCTTAATCCAGCAGTCGACGTGATCTATATATGCCAGGATGTTGCTTAGAGCGTATGTACCTTGCACGCGCCAGGGGAACCCCTTATCTGGTCCTTGGTGTATCGTTCGAACCAGGGCGTTTGATGCTATTCTGGCTTGCTCATGTACTCAGTTCGAGTCTGTTCCCCTGAATATGTCGCCAGAGGGAGAATATATTCGCTACCACCTAGCTTTCCTATAAACCCAGATTCATCGTATCCTATATGCTCATTTATCAACAGTACTAGTAGTCCGTGAGAATTCATCGTTCAGCACAGCTACATCCATCCTGCGATTCATTCGTCGTTGAAGCCAACAAATCCTTAAGCCTCGCTGCCAGAGGAAGACGTGCAACCAACATCGCGACAAGAATCGGCCTGCCGGACAGTTGAACTCAATTGGTCACATCCTGGCGATTGTTTGACTCCTGAGGAGACCCTTCGTCGCTCTCCTCGGCTAGCTGGAGCGTAAGTTCGATCATGCCTAGTTCGCCATCAAGGTCTGCCAGGAGACGATCTATCTCGCTGAAGTCCTGCACTTCTTTGCTTGTTTGATCGAGGAGCTTTTGAATGGAATCGTTTTCTTTGGTTACGGCTTTGGTCTCCTGCCGCAGCCCATCCTCCTGCTTTGTTAGTGCTTTGGCATTGGCATGGATATTCTTCGCCCGGGCCTGCAGCTCGGCGTCGATGCTGGCACCGACAGAAGTAAGCGCCGCTTTGAAGGCGTCTTTAGCTTCGGCAGTGCGCTGTGTTGATGACACAGGGGACATTTGCGACGATAATGATGCTACCGACTGCGAAGTGACCGACATTTTCACTGGGAATTCTGTTAGACTCTAGCCTGTCATTGTTGACTCCATACTGCATCGACCTTTGTTGCGTGCACCCGCGATATCTGAAATGCCACAAGTGATCCGAGATAAGATGCGATGCACTATCCTTTTCCCAACCCTTCGAGAACTTGATAAGCCCAAATTGGTGGATGTTGTCAGCGCGGTCTGCGTTCAACGATGGAACTTGAAGGACGTGAAATCCTACCTACATGTACATCGGTATATTTATACTCGATCTTGGCGCCCCAAGTCGAAGTACCTGATATGGACTGTGGGATGGTCCTGAGCAATAAGACTGCTAATGCAGTCGTTTATATTCCGTTCCCCCACCTATCCAAAGGGTAACACTCCTCTTGCCGATGACAGACTCAGTTATGAAGTCCTGAATTTCTTGCTGCAAGTATACTCTTATAAGTAGTCCCGACCATTCTGACTGTCGGCAATATGTTTCATATACACAAGTTGTTGCTGACACTACGGGTATCATATCGTCCACGGCAAGCCAAGCCGGTGCATCTCAACAGCAAGCTGGAACAGATAGTCCAGGCTCTCACACTGGGTCTTGGCTTTCGCAACGGTTTCGCCCCAAACATAACTGAAAAGGTCAGCAACAAGAAAAAACTTGGGACAGGAAATCACGAACATTCCGTGGCGCCGCACCAGAACAGCGTAGGTATCTGGATATTGCTCCATCGCCTTCTCCAAGCTCTCAGTCAAGTCCTCTTCGAACGGCGTATTCTCGATGATGGGCACCCGGAGCGTATCGTGGAAGCCAAGCATTCCCTTCCCCGGACCTTTCGGAATGCCCTTGATCTGTTCGATGTTGCTGATCTCGAAACAGGCATCCTTGCCATGCATCTTTTCAACAAGAAGAGTCACCAGTACACACCACTGGGAATGTGAGTGAATGCAGCAGCCCGCCCCTCGTTCGAAAGCAGCGAGGAAGAGCGGCGTGCAAGCAGAGGGCTTAAGCTCATGAGGCTTCCGAATGTATTGTCTTGCGGACGGTGGATACTTGGGAGTTGGGTAAGAAAGGACAAACATATCACTGGGTTTGATGAGCTCCTTCTGCACACCCGAGGGAGCAATGTAGACATGTTCATCCATCCGAATACTGGTGCCTCCTCCAGTTCCAGTGACCCAACCTTGACAGGGGTCAGTTAATGGCTTCGTTCGGGACCTACCATCTTACCAAGGCTATAGAACTGTTTACACAGTCTAGGTATCAGGTTTGCAGGATGGTCTGGATCATCGGACTGAACCAAATGATCTTTGTTTGTCTCTGCCATGACTAACTCAAACTGGCGATCTATAGCCAGCGTCAGGGAACAGCTGGTCAAAAGATGCCACAAGAGAGATATTAGGTACTAGGTCAGGATGCAACTGGAAGAGAAAAAGGGAAAAAGACATGATTCACCCACGTGCGATGAAACTGTCAAATCACGTGCCGGATGCTGCTGTGAACAAGCCCCCCGCCTTCCTTTACAGTTGCACTATGCCCAATCTAGGACTAGTCTACTGCTAATTCGTACAGGCATCGACTGGCTCCGAATTTAGCCTGGCATCTGGCTTTCTGCGGTGGAGCACGCAGTAAAGGACACCTTTCTCTGACCTTCGAACTTGAGATATATCCCCGGAGAGTGGACATTCCTTTCAAACTCCTTCGCTTTTCAACCAGTCTTGTCCCTTCTCCTGCCAACTGTCATTAGACTGTCGTTCCATCAAGTGTGTGCCCGTCATGCGCTTCAACGCGGCAATTGCTCCGGCGCTGTATGCGTCGGCCCTCCTCGCCGGCAGCACGTTGGCACAAGAAGAAACTGAGCCATCTGCAACTGTGATTGAGCGCCCGGTTTTCACCGTGAGTCTTTAAACATCTCTCACGCTATTGACGATAACAACTGATGGTTGAATAGCCCACGACCCTCAAAGCCCCCTTCCTAGAGCAGTTCACCGATGACTGGGACACACGATGGACGCCCTCTCACGCGAAGAAGCAAGACTCCAAGAGCGATGAGGATTGGGCATACGTTGGTGAATGGTCGGTGGAAGAGCCAACCGTACTTCCAGGCATCATCGGTGACAAAGCACTGGTGGTGAAGAATGCAGCGGCGCATCATGCCATTTCCGCCAAGTTCCCTTCGGTCATCGACAACAAGGGGAAGACCCTGGTTGTCCAGTATGAGGTCAAGCTGCAAAATGGGCTTGAATGTGGAGGGGCATACATGAAATTGCTGCGTGAGAACAAGGAGTTACATGCTGAGGAATTCTCCAATGCCTCCCCATATGTTATCATGTTCGGTCCGGACAAGTGTGGAGCCACAAACAAGGTGAATTGATTTCGACAAGAGATCACGGACGCAGCATTCTTACACTTCCTAGGTTCACTTCATCTTCCAACACAAGAACCCCAAGACTGGCGAGTACGAAGAGAAGCACCTCAAGACTCCTCCTCAAGCCAAAATCAGCAAACTTACCACTCTTTACACTCTTATTGTCAACCCGGATAATACTTTCGAGTTGTTGATTGACAACAAGTCCGCCAAGAGTGGAAGTCTGCTGGAGGATTTCTCTCCTGCTGTCAATCCTCCGAAGGAGATTGATGATCCCAAAGATACGAAACCAGATGACTGGGTTGACCTCGCGCGCATCCCTGATCCCGATGCCACGAAGCCAGATGATTGGGACGAGGACCAGCCTTTCGAAGTCGTTGATGATGAGGCCGAGAAGCCGGACGACTGGCTTGAGGACGAACCAGCCACTATCCCTGATCCGGAGGCCGAGAAACCAGACGACTGGGACGATGAAGAAGATGGCGATTGGATTTCTCCTCAAGTCCCCAATCCAAAGTGTGAGGAAGCTTCAGGCTGCGGAAAGTGGGAGCCCCCCATGAAGAGAAATCCTTTGTACAAGGGCAAGTGGACTGCGCCGTATGTCGACAATCCAGCCTACAAGGGACCATGGGCACCACGCAAAATTCCCAACCCAGACTATTTCGAGGATAAAACTCCGGCCAACTTTGAGCCCATGGGAGCGGTATGTCTTCTAGTCCTGGTTCTCTCAAGACATTTTGCTGACTTATTAGATTGGTTTCGAAATCTGGACAATGCAATCGGACATCTCGTTCGACAACATCTATATTGGTCACTCAATTGAGGATGCTGCTGCTTTCCGAGCAGAAACATACGACGTTAAGCGACCCATTGAGGAAGCTGAAGAGGCCAAGACCAAGCCCAAGCCACAGGATACCCCCAAGTCGCCATCTGATCTCAAGTTCTTGGACGACCCCGTCACCTACGTTACGGAGAAGCTGGAGTTGTTCGTCACTCTTGTCAAGAAAGACCCTATTGAGGCCATTAGGTTCATGCCTGAAGTCGCTGGCGGCATCGGCGGAGTTGTCGCTCTTCTCATCGCTGTCATCGTTGGACTATCAAGCGCAGGCGCCTCTGCAGCCCCGAGCAAGGAGGACATCAAGAAGAGTGCTCAACAGGCCAAGGAAGCCGCCACCGATGCGAAAGAAAAGATCGTCGAGGCTGCGGCTAGCGGCGCAGACACGGTCAAGACGGAAGTCAACAAAAGAACCACGCGCTCAAGCGGAAGCGCAGAGTAACTGCACACACACTAGTTCCGTCGAACAAGACCTGGCAGTGATGGGAGCGGTACCATGACGGTACGACATGCTGGAAAGCGAAAAGTGCATTGAAGAGTTCAAAGTACGGTAGTCAGAACGGGAGAATGGCGTCAGAAACGAGCTTGCTCATCAAAATACCTATTTTGTAGAATAAATACTACGCATTCAGGTTGCCATATCTGCAGTACTTGGGTCCCATCTGATCGAGATCAGATCGACGAGGGCACTTTCTTGTTTACCTGGTACGTACTGTGTACGTATCAAGTCATACAGCGGCGCAACATCAAATCATTCGCCTGTTGGTGGTGATTGCGACCGTGGAGTCGCGGCGGATCTTCATTTGACCGGACAACTGACCCCTATGTGGTCTGGTCCCGTCCCTCTCCCATCCGATGATCCGTTACGATACCCAAGGGTTCGACAACAGGCCCTTAACGTAACTGTACTTTTAACGAAGAGAAGGATTGACACCACTTCGAGTTGGAGTTCCCAATAATCCTAAACGATGTCATGAACAACATTTTGTGCACATTAATAGCAGCCATATGCCCCTTGATATCTTGCATGGAACACAATCTTTTTGGTCTCAGCCTCACGAATGTGTGGGCATGGCGACCTGTTTCTCGGTCGCAAGAGCATCCTCTGCCCGCCACAGACTGGTAACAGTCTTCCACTGAGTGTAGAATCTGATACCATCCTTGCCGTAGAAGTTGGCCAAGCCGGTTCCGGCCACACTCTTCTTGTTGCCGGTGAAGCTGAACATGGGCAACGGGACGGGGATTGGGACGTTGATACCGATCTGGCCGGCCTCGAGCTCCTTCTGGAACAAGGAGGCGGTCGGACCGGAACGGGTGAAGATGGACGCTCCGTTACCGTAAGGGTTGGAGTTGATGAGAGATATGGCCTCCTCGGTAGTGTCCACATTCAAGCAGACGAGAACGGGGCCGAAAATCTCTTCGGTGTAGCACTTCATGTGAGGCTTAACATTGGTGATGATGGTGGGCGCAACCTGGACCAAGTTAGCTAAGGCTTTGCTTTGGTGGGAACGAGAAATCACGAGTCAACCTACCCAGTTGCCGTTGGGATACTTTGCGGGTGTCTTCCCTCGGCCATCTAGCAGAATAGTGGCCCCTTCCTCTTCAGCACTCTGGATCAAGTCCTCAACGCGTTTCTTGCTCTGGGGGCTGATCAATGGACCAAGATCAGCACCCTCTTCGAAGCCACCGTCGATGCGGAGGTTCTTTGCGCGTTCCGCCAACTCAGGAAGCCATTCCTTGGTCTCTCCGATCATAACGAGGGTGCTCAGAGCCATACACCGTTGGCCCGCAGCGCCGAAAGCGGCGCCAGCAATGGCGTTGAGAGCATGGTTCTTATTGCAATCAGGCAGGACAGCCGCGTGGTTCTTTGCGCCGAGGTTGGCCTGAACACGCTTACCTTGCGCCGAGCCTCGAGTGTAGATGTACTCACCCGCGCGGTTGCCTCCCACGAAAGAGATGGCCTTGATGGCGGGCTCATCAATGATGAAGTCAACCGTCTTGGCCGCTCCGTGGACGACGTTGACGACGCCATCGGGAAAGCCGGCCTCTTTGCAGAGCTCGGCAATGATCATGGTCGCACCCGGGTCTCGTTCACTGGGCTTGAGAATCAAGCAGTTGCCGGTGACGGTGGCCACGGGCACGCTCCAAAGAGGGATCATGGCGGGGAAGTTGAAAGGGCAGATGGCAGCGACCACACCCAACGGCTCGCGGTATGAACGGGTTTCCATATCTTTGGCCACTTCGATGACTTCTCCTGGTATTTGGGTCGTGATGCCACAAGCGGTCTCGCAAACTTGCAACCCACGAAGCACATCACCTTTTGCGTCGGCGAATGTTTTCCCCTGCTCGAGTGTGATGGATGTCGCCAACCGGTCCATGTTTTGCCGAATGAGATGCGTCAATCGGAAGATGACCTGCTGCCTGCTCATGATCGAGGTGGCTCGCCATTTCGGGAAAGCCTTCTTTGCCGACTCGACAGCGGCCTTCAACTCAGCATCGGTGGACTGGGGCACGCGGGTGACGAGGTTATTCGTGGCGGGGTCATGAAGGTCAATCCATGTCTGGGCCTGTGAGGGCACAAACTGGTTGTCAATGAAGTTGTGGATATCAACGATGTCGGAGAGCTGTTCGTGACTTTTGGGGTAATCGGCGACGGCGACGCCGGCAGCAGCCAAGTGGCGGGAGGTCGCGTGTAGCGGTCGCTTCGCAACGTGCTGTGCTGGCGACAGTCGGAGGGCGGTAGAGGCCAGCTGAGGCGCTCTTCTGCCTGAGAGCGCGGGCACAGCACGAAGAAGCGTGCGGCGTCCTGCCATAGCCATCTTGAAATGGGAATGGATGGAGCAGAATGGGTGAGGTTTAGGGTAGGTCGGCAAGATGGAAGTCGACGAGATCAACTGCGCCGGGGGCAGCAACGGGGAGGGGACGGGTGTCTGTTAAGTATTTAGCCCGCCGAATTGAAGCCCCTGTATCCCTGGAAGCCCTGGAAGGAGGATATCGCAGGGACGAGTAAGAAAGACAAACAACTGCGCACTCCTCCGCACCCCTCCGCACCCACCTTTGGCCCCTTTGGTCCTTATCCGCGCCTTTTTACATGTTCCACTGCAAGCGGGAGTGGATTCTCTGGTAGAAGTACCTCGGCCAGCAGGAGGTTGTGGATTGGTGGGTTGGTGCGATCGGAAAATGGCCGACGGAGGTTTCTTGGGATGAACAGCCAGTCCCTTTGGCAGCAGCATCTCATGTTGAGGCGGAGGACAGAGAATATAGGGAGAGGGAGAGGGAGAATCAGCAAGGCGGTAGGGACATCTTATAGTCCTCCTGGGCTCCTTTTACGCCTCCCACATGGCCTGAACAAGGCAGGATGCTGGTGCAGTGCCCCCGTGCTTCAAGTTGTATAGGTTTCTTAAGGTATAGGATATCTACCTACCTAGTATCTGTCTTGCTGTCTTTACTTCAACTTTACTTCACTCATAAGCCAGCGCCTCATCGTCCTCATCGTCCTCATCGTCTTCTTCCTTACCACGGAAATCATAGACCAGTCTGACGCGTTCCACGTTCCCCTTCTTCCACACGACCACACGCCTCGTGTGTCTGCGCTCGTCGTTGACCTCCTCGAAGCCCCAAGTCTGCTCGGCAATCCACTCGCCACCATCCACGTTGATGACCCAGCTCTGCACATGCTCGTCATCCAAGTACTTGGTCGGCGTGTGGCCATCTTTCAGCATCTCGGCTCGGAGAAAAGCTGCGTCTTCTTCTGACCCGGGGCCTTCCATGGATAACTCCCCGGTCTTCCACATCCGTGATTTCCCTTCAACTTTCCCAAAGATCCTGTCGGCATGGTCCCTAGTCTGCCAATCCAGTATGCGGTTCTCCTGGGTCGTTGCGAGGCCCGAGGCTACAGAAGTGGCGTCGATGTGGTAGAAAGCGTCGGGCTTGTATTCTTTGATCGTGATCTACTTTCTTGTCAGTGAAGACGGGTTCAATGGTGTTCAGGCCTTGACCCACCACCACTGTAGCAAGTCGTATGGCATGGCGGGTGAACCAGCTCAACCCTTGGAGGGTAAGCATCGCATCAACGTCGTCGGAGAGCGTCTTGTTCTGAAAATAGCTGTGAGACCGAAACTCATGGGGTCGCGACGGGCCAACTCACCATCACGAACGTGCCCGTTAGGTTGGTGCAAGTGATGTCTGGTGGCGCCGCCATGGCTATAGCTTGTGATGAGCGTTCTTTCCTACAATATGGGACCTGGATGTAGGCTTTTAGGCTGAGGGTGAGGGTGAGGATTATGGGAGAGGGAAAACAGAAGAGCTACCGGGGTCTTCTGAGATCTGACGGTGGTGGCATTGGGCGGCGCAATAATGAGTGCAGCACCGAAGCGACCTGCGATCCAATGTGCATCAATTCACCTCTTGCCTTAACAACGAAGAGGGTGCTCCTCGTACTTATTACTCTTGGAAAGTATCGATTCCTTCTCCTTGCCGACAAGGGTAAGCCGAGGGGCAGATTGAGAAACTGCCTGGCCACCATTGATATTCATCACTACTCCGTTCCGAGCTCACTGTTAATTGTGATGTGACTGCACCAGGTGGATCCATTCGCATGCCTCATCGTCAAAGCCCCGACCTGAACTACATACAACGCGGGGAACCCAAGTCACAAACAAAGGTACAGCCGCATCCCACGGCCTCCTTATTCTATTTGGCACATGTCTCCGCCACTGTTGGAGCTCGACCACAAGCTATCCTCATGAATTATCGACCGATGTTCTTGCTGCTGTGTCGTGGCTGGAGGCTTCACTCGTGCTCATCGATACCCAGCAATGTCAAGGTCGGAAAGGGTGCAATCATATTGTCGAGATGTTTCACGGTTCAAACAACGTAGAGCCATTGTGAGCCGCGGCCATATTTCAGGTTCACGATGTTCACGCGGATCAGGCAGATTTCTCTTCAGGCGCCTCATGGGCGTCATGGTACTCGTCGGAGTCGAACTTGTAAAGTTGAGGTGAAGTGAGCCCCTTGCGCTGACGAAAGGTCGTCTTGAACCAATATGGCAGTACCTGGGAGGTCTGATAATGCATATGTGTCCGCGTCGGCACGGCGAATACGTAGTCCAGTTCTTCGAGAGTACGTTGTTTGGTTTCGGGTAGCCACAGAAAGATCATGATAAACGCGATGACATTCAGACCGGCGTAGAACCCGAATGCACCCTGGGGGCTCAAGGCCTGAAGCATACGCGGAAAGGTGAGAGATAGAACTGAAGCCCAGAAGTTGTTGGTCGCCACAGCCCATGACATGCCCACCTCACGATGGGATAATGGGAAGACCTCGGCAGAGTAGGTGAAAGGAACAGGGCCTTCACCAGGTGAGTAGAAGGCATCGAAGAGGAAAATGAACAAGGCGATAAGGCCAAGGTGAGCATCACTGCTTTCCGGTACCCAGAAACAAAATCCGGCTGCCATTAGAGTCCAGCACATGTTTGGAAAGGTGAAGAGCAATAAAGCTCGTCGCCCAAAGGTGTCGATGGTCCATACGGCAGGCCAGGCGAAGACGAAGTTGACCAGTCCAAAGCCCCATGAAGCAAGGAGAGCCCCAGTGACGCTAGCTCCTGCGTTTGCAAACACAGTCGACGAGTAGAACGCAATGATGTTGATCCCACACATCTGCTGTGCAATCATAACGATGCCAGATGCCTGAGTGGCGCGTCGGATACGAGGGATTGTGAAAAGTTCGATGAATCGGATAAAGAAGTTCCCGCGGGTGGCGACAGCGGACTCCTCGACCAGAATATCCTCCTGGATCAACTGCGCATGTATGTAGTACAGATCTCGAGCAGCTTGAAGAGGGGTGTTTCGGAGACGTGACAAAGCCTTGTACGCTTTCTGATGTCTTCCCGGACCCTTTTCAGCCGTTAACCAAGCGGGAAATGACACAGGTTTGAGCGTGGACTTACTCTGCAGACTCATTGGATGTTAGTTGGGCGACGCTGGTCTTCCTCTTGGACTCATCGGCGAAGAGGACACTCTGCCGTCTGTTTCCAGGCGCTGCAGAATCCTTGAAGGTCGACATTGTTGCAGGCACTACTTAGCACGATCGCACGGGATAGAAGCAGACGACGCGCAAGTGGAAGTACTGAAGCGACGTTCAAACCCTCGTCTGGGAGGGGGACACGGTCACACTAGCAGTTGTAGCACATCTGAGGGAGATCTGAGATGACAGGGTACCAGTTGCATTTATACTTGTGAGGGCATTGAGAAGCGACGTGCTCTCCAACGTGTCACTAGCGGACCTACCTGGTAGTGACCTCCTCTTCACGACGTGCCTGCTGTAAAGCGAGCATGATACCCTGTGGCGGCCTCATATCCCAGCCTGTGAGGGGAGGAACAGTCTTGGTGTTCGAGACAGTTGTCACAAGTCGCAGGGTGGGCTTCGCCTTCTCGCATTGGTGTGCAGTGTCTGTGGTGTGTGGCAAGCATCACACGACAGTGAAGGGGGTGGTTCAACTGGCGCCACAAGCTTCGTAAGCACTTTCTTCAAGAGCCTCGATGTAACGAGTTGACGGTAGCCAGGCATTAGCCCAGCATGGTTCGACGAATGACTGGGTAATAGGACATGCAAGATGCTTCAGATGGTAGTGAAGGATCAAGGAGGGAGGGAGGGAGGAGGAGGAGGAGGAATGACTGCGGTGCGAGAGCAGACGGAGACTGCGTTGTTGGAATTTAATCTTAGCGTCCAACTCCCCCGCCATCTCCATCCTCCTCGCCATACTACTACATCTGTAATTAGCAGCAGCATCAACAGAAAATGTCCGGGGTAAATGCTGGTCGATCGGTTCCTAGGCATACTACCTACTGGTACGCAATGCCACTCTCCTAGCTCGGCATCTCCATCGATTGCATCCCTCAACGCAGCTTCTACATCGACAGAGGCCCTGGCATCCGTGGTCGCCAGCATTTGCCGCTCGAAGCCCGACGAACCACCCGAAACACTGCATGGCAAAGCCTTATTGCCGTCTGAAATTCTATCTATCCGCACACAGAGTCTCTCCTATCTACCCAATACATGCAGACACCTTCGGCAGGTTCGTCTCTAGGTAACAACAAGCCCAGCGGAGACACTCATGCAAAGCTTCATAAGTGCTTGGACAAGAACAAGAACAAATAAGGTCTTGGTAGACCTTAGGCCGTCCATACTAGTACTAGATAGTACAGGGAGTCGGTACGTACCTAAGTTATTTAGTAACCCCAGCCCATCCCCAGGGAGCCGACGAGGACAAGGATAGGAACCGTTGGTCCGTTTAACCCAGACACACCTGACCCTCACAGTGGTCGACTGGCTCGTATTCATCATGGACGTTAAATCTCACGACGACAGCAACAACACCTCCCTCTGCTGGGCCTCGGCACCAGCAATCGTGACTGAACTTGAAGCCGCCCTATCTTTAGCTTCTTCATGTTGAGGCGATCTCAATGCACAGCTCCGTCTATCGTCGTCTTGGTTGTAGCTTGACGCGATATCAAGACAGGGCTTCTACTCATTCGGTAGTAAGTTGCTACCGCTTCCTCACGCCAACAACAGAGGTGGGAACGAAGGAGACTCTCTACAGTAAGTGGCCTTGACTGCTCGAACACGGTTCCTCATTTTCAACTGTCGAACCAATCTTGTATAGGTTGAAAGGTCAACCTCAATTTTTTCTAATATTACAGGTACAAGAAGTCACAAACGCTTATTTTCATGACCACGAAGGTGACCGGATTCCGTTTGGGCCGCTAAAAATGTGGGCGGGTGCCGATCTCATCTCACCCTCCTGACTCGATGCTCATCTCGCCTTCTTTTTGCCCTACTGCGTTTCTCTTTGCCAGGCCCCAATGGTATGTCGCGCATCAGGAAAGACTGCGTGCGGATCAGGTAGTCATCAATATGACCGGACGGTTCGCCTTCAACCTGCGCTTCAGCCAGTGCCGTCTCAGTTGCGCCGAAAGGTCCTGGAGTCTGTGCATCGGCGGTCCCTGGCGTTGCGCTTGTTGTTTTGTCCTCGAAGTCTCCATCATCCGCGTGTTGAACTTCACGAGCAGCAACTTTTGCAGCAGTACGATCTTCTTGATCCTCTGCCTGCTCCAGGACCGCCAATTTACCCCTGGCGTTTCCGAGAACGCGGTCCATTGCGAGACCGGCAACGTCCTCTTCGGCATTGTCGTCGAGCATGTCCCGGTAGCTGAGTTTGTTCCTGTAATCCGTGGTGAAATCCCCTTCTTGGATCACGACATCGTCAAGCAATTGTTTCTGGTTGGCTTTCCGCAGGATGTTCGATTCGATGGTATGCTCGGACACGAACCGATAGATATGAACATCGCGCGTCTGTCCGATTCGATGAGCACGGTCTGTGCACTGCTTGTCCATGGCAGGATTCCAATCTAGATCGTAGAATATCACGGTGTCGGCTCCAGTCAGGTTGATTCCCAAGCCACCAGACCTCGACGAGAGGATGAACACCAGGATACGAGGGTCATTGTTGAACCGGTCCGTCAGGATTTGTCGCTGTTCAATCTTGGTGGCGCCGTCCAACCTCAGATATCGATGGCCGTGGATGTTCAAGAACTGCTCCAAGATGTCAAGGACCTTGGTCATCTGAGTGAAGATAAGAGCCCGGTGGCCACCCGCTTGCAATTGACGCAACAATTTGTCCAACCGTTGCAACTTGCCGCAATCATATTGCAGCAGGCGCTTATCGGGAAAAGCAATCGACAGCTTCATCTGAGCCAGATGGAATGGGTCCTGGTCACAAACCGCTTGAGCTTCCCTCATCGCAACGGCTCCGGCCTCTGTAACGACGATAGTGCTGAGATCTGTGGCGACAACGGCAGGCGTGACACAACCAAATTGCTGAACGAAGGGCTCCATCTGTTCCGACCTCGACTGGATTGAATGTACGAGGTTGGAGGAATGCATTGGCAACCCCTGGTCCCAGCGATTGGAAAGGGCTTTATGCGAAGCCAATTGTGACAATTGAGCGCTTGATGTACTGATGGCAAGTTGTTTGAGCAGGCCCCTGCCGTATATAGGGTGCTGGTGATGGCGGTAGGCTTCAAAGTACATCGTGCGATCCAATTCTTGAACCCGAGCTTTCCTTCCCACATTCTCAAGCGACCCGAGCACTCCTGCACGATTTTCCCCATGCCATACAGTATTCTTGGGAACCCTTTGACACTGGGAGTCTCGCAAAGCTTTCAGTTGGTGGTATGCATGTCGCTTGGTGGTCTCGATGACTTCGATCATTGACATCCGCTCCTCTGAGATGGGCGCCAGTTGCAGAAAGTCGAGATCTAGATTATCGGCGGCGTCAAGCATCAGCCGTCGACGTACTAACAGATCTTTGATCTCGAAGTTGGCGGCAACTGACTTGGGCATCGCGAAGGACGTGTTGATGGGACGCGTCTCGAACAGGTCCGGGTGATTGCAGACTTTTCGAAGCTGCATCAGAGCATTGATGATGGACAAATAGTTTCCCGAAGCAAGGGTCTCTCTTGTCGAAGCTCTCGACATGAAGCCGTCGTAGAGTTGCCGTTGACGCTTGGACAGCCGGCACAGCTCTACGTGTTCATATTTGAGCGGCATCTGCTTCTCGACGTCCGCCTTGAGTCTGCGGAGGAGGAACGGGCGAATGACCTTGTGCAGCTTCGCAACCTGCTGCTTGTCTTCCTGATCAAGCACCTGGCGCCCGTGTTCGAGAATGGACTCCACAGGCCTTTTGAACCACTCAGACCATTCCTTCAAGCCAGCGAAGGCATCATCCTCTCCATGATTTTCCTGACCGTAGTGGAGAAAGAACAACAACGACCATAGTTCAGTCAGATTGTTTTGGAGGGGTGTTCCAGTCAAGAGGAGGCGGGCTCTGGTGTTGAAAGTCATCATGGTTTGCCATCTTTCTGAGCGGAAGTTCTTGATGTTGTGAGCTTCGTCCAGGATCATATAATGCCACCTTCGCCTCTTGAATGAGTTTGCATCTTGTAATACGAGTTGATATGACGTGATGCAGACATTGAAACTGTCGTCGGCCATCCATCCACGTCTCTTTTGTTTCCTTTCCTCGAGACTGCCATAGTATGTCAGAATCTTGAAACCCGGCAAGAACTTTTTGAATTCCATTTCCCAATTCAGCATGACACTTGTTGGTACCACAATAAGATGGGGTCCCCAGACCTCATAGACTTCGGCAAGATGTGCTAATAATGCAATGCTCTGAATGGTCTTTCCAAGACCCATTTCGTCCGCAAGAATGCCATTCCTGCCGCTAGCATAGAGATCCGCAAGCCAGTCAAGCCCTTCGTGCTGATACTCTCGAAGAGTGCCTCGTAGGAGATGCGGTACGGGTGTTTTTATCGCCGACTGCTTGATCTCGGAGGGCGAAGTAGGTGGTGCGGAGTCCGCATGTGTGTCGATGGAAGATACCGACTCGGGTTCTGACACCTTCGTCGCCGTTGTGTGAGGTGATGTCTGTACGCTGAGCTCGAGGCTGACCGGGTCTTCCGATGCTGGGCGGATGGTGATGGCTTGTAGACTAGCAGACGCGGATGCATCCGTCATGTCTGTATCCTGGTTGTTCTGGGCTGGGCTCGCTTGCGTGTGCGTAAACGCATCCGTCGTCGGCTGATCCGCTTCCTGCTGACTTCCACCTTCTTGCACGGGATGATCCTCCAACACCTCCACCAGATTTTGACGAGTTTCAGAGTCGACTTGTTCAACAGGAGTGTCCCCATCGACGGTGGGTGCCATATCGGCGATCTCCTTCTTCGAGAACAACGACAGAAGCCCATTACGGGAACCGTCCTCTTCGCCTTCCTCGCTTTCGTCTTCGTCACCTTCACTTGCATCAGAATCCTCCGTGTCGAACTCGCTGTCCATTTCAGTTTCTGGGTCCGAGTCGTCGTCGGATTGCGCGCGGTTGTTCTCATGTTCATCCTCCTCCACTGCGGGAATCTCGTCATCTTCCTGGCTTCCTGTCGGTAAATCCGGCAGATTGCCGTATTTTTGCTTCAACTCTTCAACTGACATCTGTGCATCAAGATTATCTGCATCCAGCCCGGATTCAGAGCCACTCTCGCTTTCCGACATCTGCTCGCTATTTTCGGACTCGGATTCGGCGAGACCACTGTTGGAAGACATTTCCGTTTCACTATCCGTGGGTAACTCGTCTTGGTCCGCAACTCGGCTAAGCATCTGGTCGGTTCGATCCAATACCCGAGCAAGGTGACCCTTCATTTTGGCTTGCTGCAGCTCCTCATACTCCTTCTGCCGCATTGCATCGACCTCGGCTCTTACCGCTGTCCATAACTTGTCAACGTCCTTGGCCACTGCCCGATAGGAGGCAATGGCAGCTTCTCGCTTCTCTTGCTCAATCTCCTCCGGCGTCTTGACCTTGTTGCGTTTTCGTTTGTTTTCGACATACTTTTTCGCCTCGTGCGCCAGCAATTCGGCCTTTTTCCGGTGATCCCTGCTTTCTGCGCGCAGAAGGGTCCTAAAGTGGCACACATGCGCAAGAAGATGGTCGAGATGAGCGAACTGTCTCTTTGGTTCACTTTGCTTGTCGGGCAAGGTATTGGAGAGCCTTCTATCCAGAACCCCACCTCGCTGTTGCGCTTCTCTCACTCTTCGTCGTGCTATTGCCTCTTTCTTTATTTGATCTGGTGTCAAGGTGTCCTCCCCGGCTCTTGGTTCCAAGTCATCCCGTTCTAAAAACTCCTCTAAAGAAGCATACTTCTTGGGCAAGGGTATATTGGCAGGGGTCGCAATCGCCGGCTTCGGGAGCCTCACACGGAAGGTGACCTTTTGTATCGTTGGCGGCGAACATGTTCCCCTCGCCAGTGATGTTAGTCCATCGGAAGTGGCGGATCGATCGCTGTCGCCCTCCGAATCTAGATCCACCACTCCATTCGTGTAGATCTCCTGTTCTTGGAAGCCATTCACCTTCGGAGGCCCTGTACGCTGCGGACGGGGAACGGAGCGGCGGCGGGGAGACTTCGGACGGCGATTGTTTGAGGGTTTCGATCGTATACTCGGCTCTTTTGTATGTCTTTGCGCTTCTTCTACCTTGATGGGCTGCACAACCTCGGAATCGCGAATCTTCGGTGGGCGGCCAGGGCCACGTTTAATGACAGGCGGCGGGGTTTGCACTGTAGCTTTTGGTCTTTTTGGTGGCATATTGTATTGCGGCTTTGCTTGCTTTTGTCGCTCCTCTTTTACCTTTCCGAAAGCGGCGCGTGTCTGCCTCTTGGTTGACTGCGGCTGTAGCGCGAGGGGGACGACGTTGACTCTTCCCGATCTTCGTCGGCCATCTTCCACAAAGGTTGTTGGGCCTTCTGCCGCGACCCGTTTCCATGGCGGAGAAATGGGTCGAGGAGATGCCTTGTGGTCAGCGCCTGCAACTTTCCGCCTCTTTGCCGGGGGGCCGTCACTGTCATCGTGGCCAAGCAGATTGGCTTCCGGCCGAACTGGGGATGGAGGTCTGCCATCAACATTTGCTGTAGAACAGTCAGCTGGAAGTCTCAAGGCAGGCGTGTGTGATGAATCGTGCCTTGTTCCTGGGGGTTTGGATGAGATTCGCCAGTCGGGGGAGTATTCGGCATTTGGCGCGGTTTGCGATGCGGTGCCTTTCATGGCAAAATTGATCCTTAGAATAACAGCCAAGTGATGACGGGCATTTTCTATGAATGGGGAGAGATAATGGTCAATTCGCGTGGCAAAATGTTCCTCGCCCCGAGGATGACTGCCTGACGGAGTTTGAACGAGACCAGGACAGATTTGAGAGGTTGAGGTGGATATGAAGTACAGCCTGTTGTGAAAAATATCAGGTGGCAGAGGGGATGAAGCGCGCAGGAACGAGCGCCCACTTCACTGTAGCAGTTCAGCACTGTGTAAGTTGTACTGGGGGTGCAGTCAGTGCGTAATAATAAGAGAGTCTAGCTGATTGCTAGCAGAAGTAGGCTCCCTAGGCCTGCCTTCGCCTGCCTTCGCCTGCAGTGGGAGCTTCGCGGCCGGCTGATCTGTTAGGTACACCGCCAACGGGTGGCCAGCGTGGCGCCCAGCATTTTAATGAGTGTCCAGGCATTTTAGGCTACCTTAGGTCACTTAGTACGGTACTGACATTTACCTCTATTGCCAATCTCCAGCCTGAGAGCTACCCCCATCCGTAACCCAATCAAATCTTAGCATTATCGACCACTTCAGTTCATCAACGTCAAGTCAACCGCTCTTGAAGGACCATTCTGCATGCTTTGAATTGACCACAGCTGCTACACACTTTGCCGGCTCGTTCGGGGCCCTTCTGTTCTCAAACCAGCCTTCCAGATGTTTTCCCGACGAGCCTTGACCGTGGCCACAAGGTCCGCCCGCACCCTCACCCGTACTCAATCTCACATTCCTCGTGCTCAGTTTTCGGCCGCGCGATGTCTCAAGGCAGTTGGAGAGGTGGATGACCCGGAGATGGTACGATGATAACTTTACACTTCTCTCAAAAATGCATGCTGACACTGGCATCAAGAATGGTGGATACATTAACCCGCCTCGAGTCAAGCGACAATACCGCGATCCCTACGCCGACTGGGACGACAAGCAAGAGCGACGTAACTTCGGAGAACCTGTTCATGAAGATAACGAGGTCTTGGGCATATTCGCGCTGGAAGATTATAACCATATGACGACCTCTCAAGGGCTGCTGATGTGGGCGGGCTTTATTTCAGCGATCTTGGGTCTGAGCTACGCCGTTAAAGTGACATACCCAGGCAAACCAAGCACGCCAACTGAATATGCGGGAGGCTTGGATCGCGAGTTAGGAGGAGCAGGAGCTGTGCGGGTAGGTTCTAATCATCTCCGTGGGTTCTATAGCGGCTAACCATGTGGCAGGCTTTCCAGTCGGGCGATGAGATACAAGTATGAGTGTGGCTTCTAAAATAGCCTGTACTACCTTTGGGGTATCAAATACATCAGAATTGATGAATCTTATATTCTTGACCTTTTCTGCACGGCCGATTTCGATGTGCGATCCGAGTAAGAGAGCAGACAAACATGAAGATGAATTTCAAGCGGCGTTTACTACTGGAAATATGCCACCACCAGCAGTATGTTTGGCATTGCAACTCTCAGTTCGCATGTTCGTAATCGTGTATTGTGCTAGTTTCCAGCTCCTTCTGAATACAACAAGTGTTGGGCATGTTATCAGGGTGCGTACAACCAGACCACGTATTATGGCGAATTTCGGCCCCGGGTGTCTACAGAGGAAGAGATAACACCACAGATTTGAGGTTGTGATTGGGTCTGTTTACTGTCTTTCTGGTTGAAAGGGCGTTTGAAGGTACACGATAACACAGGATAGCTGAACGCTTGACGCATATCATCATCAGAATGCTATAGAAATACAGACCAACCCCTCTCCACGAACCAAGAAGAATACCCGCTTCAAGCGGGCAGGACTAGGACATATAATACAAGGGACACCCGCCAACGTGAGAAGAACTCCTGCCTCTAGGCTACCATCCACATCCCAGAGGCCACCGTGGCGACCATCACCCAATATCCACCGTAATTCATTGTGAGCCTCATGGCGGCACTGATCTCGCTTTCGCTGGAGGGATCAGTGCCACCAGGAGCGGTGGTGCCATTTGCCAGCGACCCATTGATATACGTATCGGCGGTGCCATTGCCGTAGTCGACAGTGCGAACGAGGCTGGAGTTCACCGGCTGGCCAGTGCCGTTGGAGACGACTTGGTCCAGAAACGTACTGTTGTCTGTAGGATCGCAACCGCAGACCTGATAGCGCTGACATAGGCAGGTCACATTGCTCGTCCTGTTCTGCCCGTCGTGATTCCAGGAGTAGTACATCGGGTATGGATAAGCGAAGACAGTGGCGTACAGCCAGATGCCGGGGAAGAAGGCCAGGGCTGTGATGGGCAGCGCGTAGGGTGCGATGCCTCTTGTCGGCGACCTTCCACCAGCGGTGTACGGCACTGTTGCGCCGCCAGCATATCTGTTTCCGTAGGTCTTCGGAGTGCCCGAACCGTCGCGCGTGCGACCTCCCGCGTTGGAACTGGAAGAAAAGGAATATGATGATGCCGGCCTTGAGCCACCCGACCCTCCTGAGCCGCTAGATCGTCCTCCACCGCTACTACTGCCGCCGCCTCCTCCCTTGCCGCCGCCGCCGCCTTTGCGCTTTTCCAATGTGTTGTATTGTTCGAGTGGCGAGACGTCGCGCACGGAGATTTCGGCAAGATGTGAGGAAGGTGGCGCGGTGGCGACGAGCGATGTCAGGTAGACGAGCCCGGTCAATGCGATGAGCTTCATGTTTGCGTCGTCAGTTGGGTGTACTGTCTGCGACAGATGTTTGGAGAACCGGTAGAGGATATAGGAGACTTGTTTCAGGTGCGCATGCGGTAGAAGGCAAGGATGGTCTGCTTATATCACTTGCGACAACCCCAGCACCATCACCGAGGCCGGGACAAACGGGACGGTGAACAGGAATGGGGAAGTGGATACGAAGGCTGATGCTGATCCTGAAGACCCGATTTGAGTTGATGATTATTAGAACGGCGAAGAGGAAAACATGAAGGAAGAAGTTCGCCTTGCCATGCGAAGGTCTGGATCGTGCAGTGTGTCTAGTTCCAAGCACTGCCCAAACAATTGACCATGCGTCTGGACGCAATTGGACACAACACTGATAATATTGTTAAATTATGACATGGTTGTTGTTCTTTGGAAGATCTGCCTTCAGTCCCTGACATCATGCCGTGTTGTATTACCATACTACCTGCTTTCTCGCACGTCACCAAAGAGTAGATCAAGGTCGTCCATTTTCATATACGAGGCACACGGGATGCTTCCACGCTTGTCGCCAGACAGATTGACTGGGCATGAGCTTATATACAGTTAAGCGTGCTGCAGCGCCGCCACCATGAAAGCTAACCCGACAGGGATGGATTCTCGTCTACCTGTCGGTCGAGGTGGTCTGGTGGAACATGTTGTACAGTTTCTTGGTCTGCCTACGCGCTCATATCTCGTCGAGTAGCTTCGTATCTGTCCATTGAGTCAGCAGCTTGATCAATCATTCATTGACTTCATCATGTAAGAGCATACCTCTTCCCTCTGAAGGCCCAGACACCCCAGTTTCCGCAACTTATATCCTGAGGATCCAGATCATTCAGATCCCATCTCAGTGACCGGAAGCGGTTCTCCCCGGGCTCCATAAGAAGATCGACCTCTCCAGAACACTTCTCCATTACCCACTGCCAGTCGCGCATCATATCCCACTCAGTATAGCCGGTGCATATAACCGGAATCTTCGTCTCCAGTAATTGCGGCAGGGTCTTTTCCCACTCAATCGACGACGCTGGGTGGCCTAGGCCAGGATGATATAACATGAAACAGTCGAAGTAAGGATCATAAGGATAAAACAAATTGGCCTCATGTAGGGTGTGGAAGTATTCCACGTAGGTGGTGATTTTCATCTTGGAAGACACGCGATCCTCGACAATCGCGCCAAAAGGATTCGATGGTGTCCGCTCTGGCAACGGAAATTCGGCGTCTCGGTTGGCCATGGATTCGGGTCCAATAAAAATGAGGTGGATTGAGGATAACGGGAAGAGATGTGATAGCTGAGTCCAAACTTCACGTGGCAATGAGGATTCGGCTCGGGCGCCCAGAATGAATATCCTGACTGGGGGGCTGGACAGTCTTAGGCCTTTGATGCCAGGCCCTTGACCAGTCTTTGGTGGATGAAGTGTATACCGCAGAGCTGTACATGTTAGCCGGAACCCAATACCCACGAATGTAAGCTGGCATACCTGACAAGCTCTTCAACCCCTCTGGCGTAAGCCTTCCACCTTTCCTGATATTATATGGGCTTAATTCGTGTAGCACACTTCCCAGCGTCAGAGGGTATGTCAGCAGTCGGGTGACCTGGCGCATGCTTCTCTCGTCGTTGATTGCCTCATATTGTCGGGTGTAAAAGTATGTATCCCAGTTCGTCATGTTCACCAAGATCTCATCGAGCTGAGGGCCAGGATATTCGAATTCTGGAAACCACCTTCCAGAGCGCAGGTCGTGATCATCTTCATTGATCTGTCTCAAAGTATCGCATATTTCAAGATGGGCTTCGAAGTCGTCTGCCCAGTGTTCTTCACTGCAATAGGTCGCGATACCGCAGTCGGGGCACTCAAAAGACACATGAGCGGGTGGCTGAGAGCTGACTCCGCTAACCTTACGAGCCTCAGGATCGTGTGGGGACATCGGCACTCTCGTCTGCTGGTGTACAGGATGAGGGCATAGCGCATGCTGCTTCATGAACCGTGCCCTCTGCCGTATCTCAGGGATGGGTGACTTGGAGAAGGGGTGGAAAAGGTTGTCTGGTTGAAGGACAACCCGTCCATGGGCGCGCCATTCGCCGTAATCGGTCGGCGGGATGTTGTGACGCTCGAAGTTGTCAGGTTCTTCAGCAGGTGCTGCGGCGGTAGAAACGACTCGCGACGATTGCTTGGGACCTCGTGACGGGACTGTCGTCGTCGCGTTGCCAGGCTTGAGGGATGTGTGGTAGAGGGCGGAGCTCGAAGCAAAGCTGCGGCTACCAGGTATATGTCGTGCGTATCTGGGGCCGGCCTGCCGTCCGCTTGAGCCGGACAGTGCTCTCACACATCTTAAGCAAGTATAAACGCCCTCCATGAATGGCGAGCGACGGAATCGGCAATGGCTCTGGAGTTTGGATACCAAACAGATCGAGTCTTGAAGAACTTGGTCTATCAGATGGATCAGGCCATTATTGCCCAATCGCCAAGCGTTGACATTTAGGCGTAGGAGAGGTCCTGTGATCGCCAGTAGTTGCATGGAGCCAGAGTAGTGCGGAGTGCAGAGAAGATTGGATCTTTTTCTACTTTTCATTTCTGCGAGCATTCTGGTTTTCAGACTTCTGTCGCACTGTCATCTGAATGTGATTCCTTGAAAAGTTCAACTATAACAAAAAAATCCTATAAACTATGCCAGTGGATGCTCGTTCATGGCTTCAGCGGCTGTCTGAATGCCCAATAGGGTTGTCCACAGCATCAACGCAACGTACACTTTCCAGCTGCTTGCTCACCCACAAGCTCTTCGAATCACTTCGAAGTCATGGCATGCAGACTCGCGTCATGCGAGCTTTGTGTGCTAGAGCTGGTGGATATATCACACTCGTTGCAAGAACAATTTCGGACCTTCATAGTTCAACTTTGACCTGGCCGTCTGGCTATTGTGGACAGGTTGACTCCTTGCGAACCTACATATCCAATCTTGAAAAGCCTTGGTATTTAATCTTGATGAAGAATAGTACAAGTACCTAGTATGGGGTGATCGTCTAGGTCATAACATCGTTTCTGCATATCGCTCTGAACGCTTCCAGGAAACCCAAAATCTAACCTCACTCAGAACAGCGCCTGCGCGTCATATCGAAAATTTAACGTGGAACAGTGGCTCCAAGACTTGTGTTTTGAAGCAAAGAAGCCACCTGTTCGGCTGTATACCCAAAGAAAACCGGTCCGTTGAAGACAATCTGTGGGCGATCCCGCTGGGGTTCCTTGGGTTCGTGAAGATCGGGCCGAGGCGCCTGTGCAGACGCTTTTGCTTGGCTGTGGTCGAAGGGGCACTTTGACTCTTTTTTCTTTTCTTCTCTGTGCGCGCTCTCCGATCGCGCCTTCACATGGGCACGGCCGTCTTCTGACTGCAAAGCACTGGGAGAAGGCTCGTTGCCCACCGGGACAGAAATGCCCCAAGGTCTGCTAGGAGATTCTCCAACGCGGACTTCCCGCAAGGGCTTTTCGAAATGTGACAGCCTTGCTTCGTCAGCTGCAGCGGTGTCGGCTGCGGCGGTGGTCTCCTGGACTTCGGGTGTCGGAGCGCTGCTAACGTTTTCCGCCCATTTCTCCACGGCATGAATTGAGCTTTTGTCTTGTTCTTCGATCCTGTCCTTCTCCGGTAGGTAAGCCTTGTGCTTGACTCCGAGCCCTTGTATCATGTTGACAAGACTGCCGTATTTGGCGTCAAGCTTCCGGGCGCTGTCTCCATTTTGCTGATATCTCCTGACACAAATTTCGTGGCTTCTAGGAATTTCATGCTTATGGTTTTCAAAATACTGGGCAACTTCTTCGGGAGAATGTCTGTCTAAGAAGCGAATGGGACACTGGCCGGCCCGTTGCTCGGTGTTGGGCGTTCTAGAAGAGACTTTATCTTGATGGAACTCAACGGCAATGGGATCCTCGTCGCTTAGGGCCTGGGAACGTTCATGCGATATTTTGGCGAACGGACAGCCCAACGTTCCGTGTATACCAGGCGTGGTGAAGTCTCGTTCTAAATCTTCCGGGTCCCGAGCTTTGTGCGCCACGGGACACCGACCACCGTTGGAATGGGGCTTCTGAGAATCTGTCATCTTGTAGCAACGTATGGCTAATTCTGCTTTCTGAATGGGAGAAGACAATTCCAAGTCGTAGGTAGAAGGAGGGATCTCGCGGATTTGCTTTGCGACGAGACTGTGTTGAACAGAGGGCTCGGAATGACTGCTATCCGCAGCTAGAAGTCTCTCGTACTGAATCACAATCATTAGTCCTCAATTACCCAGAAAGTAGACGGACAAGACGGGATTGAAGAAAGAGATAAATCAGGTAATACATGCAAAATGTCGCTCATCGCTGCAAAAGCAGCTCTTGATCTAGAGCTAATCAAAGATTCTCATCATGGAAAAAAGATGGTCGTCAGGGGCTGGAGGGCAAAGGGACACTCACCTCATCTGCAGCAAACTCGATTTTCTCCCTCAGCGTCTTCTCGTTCGTAATCTGGACACGCACACAGTTAAGCAATTCTTCGAATCCGGCGATCAGAGAGTCGGCGAGACGCGACAGGCGGTCGTCACATGAAGCTGACGCGATCATTAGGACTCAAGAGAGTCGAGAGGGGGAACTCGAGGTCAATTGAATCTTAGAACTTGCCAGATTCAGCGACAGGAGGTGGAATGATGAGAAAACAGCCAAGAAGATGAATGGACCGAAAGTCGGAGGATGCCTGGCACTGGCAGGATGCGGAACAATTTAAGTCCGGATTGATCATGTGATGACACTAACATTGATTTGGCTCTGATGATCAACCGAGGCACGCCTGCGCATCTGTATTCATTCCCCGCCAATTACCCGATTCCCACGGGTATTAGGTGCTATTAGTACAGTATTACCCCGGTCTCTGAGGCAAGATGAGCCGTCAAAAGTAAGTTGAATCAGTGTCTGTGGAGTTGGTTGTGCTTGTGCTTCTGCTTTTGTGTCCAAGTCAACCAAGCTCACCTGCGACGGAAATCTCGAACACGATGAAAGCCATACAGGTGACGAAATATGTCTCGGGACCTCAAGACCTCTCTGTGACCTCCCTACCCACGCCGTCCCCGCACGCGACGAAGTACCTGATCAAGATCCACGCTTGCGGAACGAACTTCTTCGATCTGCTCCAGATCCAAGGCAAATACCAGCATCAGCCGCCGCTACCATGGATCGCCGGCATGGAGTTTGCCGGTGTGGTCATCGCCACACCCAGCACGAACAAGGAAACCGTCGGTGCAGTGGCTAGCAGTCTGGATGGCACCGTGAGCACGTCGACAAAACATTCGTACAAGGTGGGCGATAGGGTATTTGGGGCCGTCCACGGAGCATATTCGACTCATATACTTGCTCCGGAAGACTCCCTTTTCCCCATTCCGCAGGGCTGGAGCTTCGCAGATGCTGCTGGGTTATACGTGACAACTCCCACTGCGTACGGGGCGTTGGTTGTTCGAGCGAAAACTCAGCCAGGGGAGTGGGTGCTTGTGCATGCCGGTGCCGGTGGCGTTGGCTTGTCAGCGGTGCAAATAGCAAAGGCGCTGGGGGCCACGGTGATTGCAACAGCCGGGTCAGAACGCAAGAGGCAGGTCTGTTTGGACTTTGGCGCCGACTATGTTGTGGATTACCGAGACAAGAGTTGGCCGCAAAAGGTCATAGCTCTTTGTGATAAACACCGGACAGGCAACGGCAAGCAGGGTGTGGACGTGGTGTACGACCCAGTTGGTAGGTATCCCCAAGCGAGGAGTGATGTCTCCGATCTGACATTTAATCAGGGATGATCGACCCTTCGATCAAATGCATAGCCTGGAATGGACGACTACTCGTGATCGGCTTCGCGGGCGGAACTATTGAGAAAGTGGCCTTGAACCGGGTCCTACTGAAGAACATCAGCATTGTAGGTCTACACTGGGGCATGTATGCCACTAAAGAGAAGAAGACGGTCCCCGAAGTGTGGAACGGTATCTTCGACCTCATCAACTCCGGCAAGTTGAGGGGCATCACCTATACCGACAGGCATTACAAGGGGCTGGAAAGTGTGCCAGCTGCTCTCATTGCCCTTGGAGCACGGGACACATGGGGTAAGGTAGTTGTTGAACTGGGGGCACAGGAGGGTGAAGAAGCCCAAAGTAAGCTGTAGAGTGGTTCCAGCTAGTAGGCTGCGAGGCAGACTCCTGTATAGACAAGCAGAAGCCTGCCGTGTTGTGCGGGGCCTTCCTGGCAGTGTTTGACAGTTTCAGGATTACTATTGTCAAGCTATATTTCTAGACTTGTCGGTTGATAATCAGCTCATTGAATCGCAACGGCCTCAATCTCGACGTCGACTCCCTTGGGCAATTCTCGGACCGCCACGCAGCTTCTTGCGGGCTTGTGGCCGAACCATTTTTCGTACTCGCCGTTCATCTCAGCAAAGAACTTCATGTCGGCCAAGAAGATCTAGAATAGGGTTGTGTTAGCGCCTTTGAACCAGAAGAAAATGTGCCCAACAGGCAGGCCAACACCATCTGTCGCCGTTCAAGTCGCACAAGTCCAAACAACAGACAGGGTCAACTCACGTTGACTTTGACAACCTTGGTCATTTCACTTCCCGCTGCCTCCACGATGGCTTTGATGTTCTTGCAGCACTGCTCGGTCTTCTGTGCAATGGAGCCCGACACTAATTGGCCGGTGCTGTCGGCGGGGATTTGGCCTGCGACCCAGATCTGACCCGCGGCTTTGATGGCCTGGCTGTATGGGCCAGAAGCTAAGAAGGGTCGAGGTTGGTCAGCTACGAAGGTCCTTGAAGTGCGGGTACATGACGGCTTCAGGAGGTGTTTGGGAAATATGTGCTACTCACGAGGGCAGGCATCCTTGGTCAGGACAGGAGTCAATCCGGACGACATATTGGCGGAAGATGAGTGGAAGAGATGCTGTCGATGTGTGACGGGTAGGACTCGAGAATTTAGACGTAAGAATGTGAGACGGCGTAGAGAGTTTCGTGCAAGAACTGGCATGGATGGGAAGAATGTGTTGAGCAGTGAGAAGTCCGACAACGGTGTCTGTCCGCAAGGCGTGGAGTTTTGATTGAAGCCGTGAGTGGGCCAGAGCTGACACAGGCACAGTGTGTAATGTAATGGTGGACTGCTCGCCGTAAATTCACGAGAAGTCCATGCCAAGACGAGGTTAAGATCTTGACTTGGACTTCTTCAAATGATACAGGTACGTACATACCTAGGTACTATACGGCATCACAGAGATTCCTACAAGTGGATAGGTACCTACTCTCTACAGTATCTCTTGTAAACATGCTCCTACCGGCTTGACGACTCTGTTTGCATAGCGGTCCGCTACGCCAACAGTCCCCTCCACGTTTCGCTAACAACTACCACTGCAGACTGCGATCTAGGGTCGTGGACAAGAAAGAATGCCACTGTTCTCCCCTAATGCCATCTGTCAGCATTCTCTTTACTGATTGGAAGTCTTAGTTCTCCAACCCCAGCTCTTTCAGGATCTTCTGGTTATGTTCTCCCACTCCCGGCACCTTGTCCATCCTCGGACGCAACCCCTCAGCGCCGTCATCCACATGAACGAACCCGGGCGGCAACGGCGCCGGTACGACGCCCTTGGGAGTGTCGACCTGCGTCCAGCGACGCCTGGCTCGAAGTTGAGGGTGGTCCCATACACCTCGCATGGTGTTGACGGCGGCATTAGCGATCGAGGCCTCCTCAAGCTTCGCCACAGCCTCGGACATAGTGTACTTGCTGAGGGCCTTGTAGATGAGGTCGCGGAGCTCGTCCCGGTTCTGGACACGCAACGAATTGTTGGCGAACCGCGTGTCGAGGGTCAAACTAGAGTCCTCGAGCACGATGCTGCAGAACTTGGCCCACTCGCGCTCGTTCTGGATGCCGAGCATGACGGAGCCGCCGTCGCCCGTCTCGAACGGCCCGTACGGGTAGATCGCCGCATGCGAGGCTCCGGCACGCGTCGGCGCTTGCGCACCGTCATAGGTGTAGTACAATGGAAAGCCCATCCACTCGACCATGCTTTCCAGCAAGGAGATGTCAAGCTTGCTGCCTTTCCCTGTCTTCTGCCGCAGCATCAATGCGGCGAGGATGTTGCTGTAGGCATACATGCCCGCCGCGATGTCGGCAATGGAAATACCCACTTTGGCAGGTTCGCTCTTGGTGCCGGTGATAGAGAGCATACCTGCCTCTGCTTGGACTAGGAGGTCATACGCCTTCTTCTTGCTATATGGCCCGTCCTGGCCGTACCCGAGATGTCGCATACGATCAGAGATGGATGACTGGCCTTGAGTTGCTCGTATGAAAGACCCAGGCGTGCGGTGGCTCCGGGAGCGAGGTTCTGGACCAGTACGTCCGCACGGGGAAGGAGCCTTTTCACAACCTCCAAGTCCTTGGGCGCTTTGAGGTCCAACGCCAGGCTTTCCTTCGACCGATTTGTCCATACGAAATGAGAGGCTAGTCCGTTGACCCGCGTGTCGTAGTCCCGTGCAAAGTCGCCTACCCCCGGACGCTCGATTTTGATCACCCGAGCCCCTTGATCGGCCAGTTGCCGGGTACAAAAAGGCGCCGCGATGGCCTGCTCGATACTCACAACCATGATCCCGTCCAGTGGCCTCGGGGACTGCGAGGCATTCTTGCTTGCCGGAGATGCAGATGACGAACTCGTGGATGATGCACGGTGACCTTGAATATTCAGAACATTGGTACCGACTGCTCTCCACTGAGGCCCACAAGCAGGCCAGTACTGCGTGCCTCGCAGCTCATTGATTCGGTTGAAGACTCTGCCTTCTCTCCGGGCTTGCAAGGTGACATTGATGTCCAGGCAAAACCGAAACCATTTGTTCCTCATACTTCTCAAGTCATATCACGCTGTCGAGGATGGCTTGCAATCCAGCCCAGCCAGCTTCAGAATTAAGTGAGGCACAAACCTGGTTTACGGGTTGTTGAAGCATCAGTTTTCTCGCAAGATGTATGGTTGGTGAGGATGGTCGACAATGTGAACTGCTAGGATCAGCACAAAAGGTTACGTGTTGTCGACACACGGAACAAGCTGGATGGCTCGTTAGATTGCGTTGACCCCTACGATCTCTCAATGGCCTCAAAAAGAAGCTGGGACGTCCTCTGACAATTGCACAGCGACCTCCCGTGAGGATACTGGGAGAGATGTTATGATAGGGTGGTATCGAGTCATGTCGGAACCTTGAACATCTCGGAACGACTTCCTCCTGCTAAGAAATTGGAGAAGCCGAGGAAGGCGGAAGTTTGTCGAAATGAGGAGTTATCTCCGTGTACGAATCGTATGGCCCAAACCTGGTAAGGGACCTGGACGTGATACGGAGAGGAGACGAGGCCGATTGGCAAGCGAATGTCTGTCAGTCCCGGTATCGGGCTAGGGCCTCACTACCTAAATCACTCCCGTATTATCCCTGTGGGATTAATACCTACCACCTGCTTTCCGTGGGACCTTGTGAGGCGCCACCTAGGCGAAGCGACTATTGTATCTCCAAAAACATGGCAGGTTGCTCCCCAGTAACGAGACACTTGAACGCCCACGCAAAGAGACAAAACAATCTGCCTAACAACATATGTGCTTCATGTCCTTGGTGGTCTGGGCAGGAAGGCGACATCATGTCCGCAGAATTGCTCCACGAAAAGTGCGTGATCCTCTTTGTAAAGACATTGGGAACAGTAGCATCTCGGTGACAGGTAGGCAAACATGGTTTACGACCGGGGGCTAATGCTTCCCACATCGTGCAAGTCCAAGTAATGCCGGCACTGCAGACAGCAAAGGAACTCCTCAAGGAATGCAGATTCGCCGGAAGCTATCATCAGAGGAATCACATTGAAAACAACTCGTCGAAGCCGATCCAGTACATGACATCGAGCCGCAGTAAGCCAAGCCGCATCTGATCGAAGCTTTTGCTCTGCACGCGAAGCGTATCTCGCCAGCTGTTCGCAATGGACATGGCGTCCGCTCGGAGATCAGGGGTTGGGGCTTGCACCACTAACAAGGCCACGAAACTCGTCACCAAGGGGAAGCCGATGCGTGACCAGGAATACCAGAATGCACCGAAGTCGAGCGAGTCCAGACCAGCGGTGAAGGAGACGACCAGTTTGGCGCAGTTGTGGGCCGCCGTCCGGGTGGCTACCCGGGCAGCTAACATGTCATCTGCGCTTCCCCCATCGATCGGCTTTCTGTCGACTTGACGAGTGGTTTCGACTGTCGGAGCCACGCCGCCACCGCTCCCGGGAGGGTTCGCCGCATGAGCATCCTTCTTGGACGGCGGTCCCAAGGGTCGAAGTAACGCTCGATACAGAAGGACCTCGAGGCTGAGGTACGCAAAGTGCAGAGCGGCTGTTGCGTCCATGGTCACGCCCGCCGTGGGAGCTTTCTCTGACTTGTTCCGCATCTGCAGTGGCGGAGGGAGTGATGAGTACCAATTCCGCAACTGCTCTCGCAAAGGTTTGGCGGCTTTGAGGGAAGAGGCGAAGTCGGTGGCAAGTCTCCGCGAAGCGCGAAGCGTACTGCTACATGTCAGTCTGCGTTACCATTGGCATGAAACAAAGATGTGACTCACTAGAAAGCTCGGTAGATATCATCGGCCGTCTGAGCCAACCGAGATAGGTATCTGAAATGCGTGCACTGCTCAACATGAGTAGGTGGCCACCACGCTGGCTGCTCCGGCACGAGGGCCGCAAGGTCGTCTTCAGTCACAAAATCTTCATCGTCCAGCTCGGATACGTCCCACTGTTCAGGACCAATGAGCGAAGGCCTTCCCAGCAGGAGACAGCGCCATTTCTCTTCTGTATACACAAGCCACCATAGTCTTCTCCTCAGGCGCTTTTCCCATGGTGGTATCAACCAATCACGGCAGTCAAGGTGAAGACCTAAAGAAGTGGCCAGTCCGACCAGGAAAGCCATGAACGACCATTTGAAGGGCGTATCGGCCGCTGCCTCAGAGCCTCTCCTGGCCTTCTGCAGATAGAGGAGGCCAGCTTGCAGAACAGACAGGCGGGGTGCTTGGATTTCGCGTGATATGTCTTCCAGTGCAATATGCCAGATCTGGTTTTCGGATGGCTTGTCGTAGACGTTTTGGACGCAGAGATGCGGATCATGACTGGCAAAAGGCAGGGCCGAAGCATAGACGGCGGCCAAAAGATGGGTTGGAATCTCACGCAGTGATGAAATCAACGGTTTCGGGAGGACCATTCTAGACACCGCCGGAAAATAAGGAAAGACGAACTTAAGATGTCTAGCAAAAAGTCAGTCTCTCTCCCGCGCAAGTCCCAGGATGCATCTTACAGGTTTATCAGTCGTATTCCATTCTCCGGACCAACAAGGGCGTCCAGTTCCTTCCGGAGCGCCTCTTGCGAAACATCAGGGCGAAAGGCGGTGTCCTTGCCTTCTTCCTGTGTGAGCTCCTCAGCTGTCATCATGAATTGTACAGGAACCTCGCCAAAGGCTTCCGCCGGCTGCTCGGCGGGGGTCCCGGCCGCTCGCTCATCGCCCCTTCGATCCAGTTGAGGTGGCTCTCGAGCATCGGCCGCCTTCCGGAAGTGGACCTTGAAGTACCTTCTTTCATGGTTCCCGTCGTATTTGATGTGCTTCAGGAGATATGGGTCGCTCTCCCCGGAGAGTCCGAAGTACTGCGCACTGAACCCTTCGATATCGTTGATCGAGCGGATCCTGGGTGATTGATCCCCACCAGGATTCGGCGCCTCGTCGATTGCTTGCATCAGGAGCTTTGTTGTGGGTGTATCAACATGATGCGGGCCTTCAGGGCCTATGGTGAGCTGAGTGGCAGCGGGCATCCAAGGAGGGCTGGGTTGGGCGCTAGTAGGATCCTCGCTTGGGCTCGCATGGTCGTCCTGCTCACAGAGGAAACGGACAAGTGAGTCAGGAGTGTCGCCAGGGGCGTCCAGCCTTGTGTGAGTATTGGTCCGAGCTGTGTCGAGTGGAGACAGTGTTGGAAAGGAGAACATGCCTGCGAGCGAATTCCAATTCGACATGTTAGACTGGGGATCATTCAGATCAGGAAGGCCGTCATCGAACTGAGAGAGGCTACGGAGGAAGTCAGAGTCCATGTCGGTTTCGCTCAATCTTCCTTCTAGTTTTCCTGTGGTAGGAGTGCCCGTTTGTGTGGTTGCGAGGTTGTCAGTGTCGCTCGTGCCGTCATATGTCCCAGTCCGAGCATTGTCGCCAAGTTTTCGCTTCTTCGCTGGAAGCTGGAGATAAGTACACTGGACGCCCGTCTTGCGACACAGATAGCATGGAGGCTCGGCGTCTACTCGACAGCATACTCGTCGTGTGCGACACAGATCGCATGGACGATGCCTTTTTGAGCGGTAAGGACGCTTTTGGCCGGCGTCATTAGGTACTGCTTCCATGTTCTTGCAGACTTGATCCGGATCAGGACGAGGAGATGATACGCAAGGCGTACTGCGAAGATGCTGGAAACGCCATGCCTGGGTCTGGCAAACTGATCAAAGTGGTTGAAAGATGTACCAGTCCTGGGGTTAAAGATCTCCAGTTGCCAAATATCTCATCGCATCGATATCTTTCTTCGCTCATTGGCCTTTTTGGCATAATACTCGACGTTCACCTCAGGCTCGGGTCAGTTCCGTCTCGAGTATTTCGGGCAGGCCGGGACGGAACGGAGATGTCCTATTCTTTGGCATCGAGGACGTCAGCATTGAGCATCCTGCCCGCTGTCCCAGACGTGCTTGAATTACCTATTAGTCACTAAGCGAGGAGCTTATCGTCGTTGGCGGGGGTTCTTCGGTCGTAGACTCTTACAAAAGCAATCCTTAAAAACTATAACATACCTGTCTCGAAGCGAGTCCGGGCCCGTCCAAAGATAGACCCGAATAGATCAGGTCCTTGCTCGCGTCTGGACCGATGCAGATGCGTTTTACCTGCCAGGGTCGATATCTTGAGCTGCCTTGCTCTGGGTGATATCAAGGAGATCGTAGAAGGTATCGTAGAAACCGCGTCTATGCCTATCGACTTCATTCTAGGGATGGCATAGTCGTGGAGGCCGTTGCAGACTTTCACGCATACCTGTTGGAGGCTTCGGCGCCGTACATACTTTTCAATGATCTTGGCTTCGAGTTGAGTGATACCGGGTCCTGAGGTGTTTGGACATCCAGCTTGTGTGGCCACCTCGCGTATCTCTTTAACGGGCTGGCAGTCGAGACTGTGGTGGAAACCATGCATGGGGCAGAGGACAAAGAACGAGGATGAAAGCTAGTGACGGCTGCCACCTTGCTTCCAGTCTGCGACTACATAGATATATACGAACCTTATCGTCCATGGGAGAACGTCGCCATTTCCCATGGCCCTTTGAATCTGGCGCATACGTGTTTCTATTGGAGTCTCTGCAGGTCTGCTACAGGCTGGGAGTAAAAGATTCATCCAAGCGGCCGCTCGACGGGCGTTCGAGTTGGTGGTTGATGGAGAAGACCGCAACAGTGTCAATCCACCACCTACTAGACGCTTAGATCAGAGATAAGGATATCTTTGGTACACTAGCTAGTAGTACTTAGTACTTAGTGACTACTTAGTGGCTAGGTACATAGATAGCACGACAGCCGAGGACTTGGCGCCAAGCAGGTCCGCTCCGAGTTCAAGTTCGAGTCCTCAGCTTCAAGTTCAACTTGAACAGGTCAACAGTGACCACTGGCAACATTTATTGCCAATGCTCACAGCGCAAGAATTAAAGGTCAAAACGGAGCCATCATCGACATCTTGCCTGCCAGGCTTATAGGTAGGGAAGAAAGAAGAGCGGGTTGGACAATATAGAGTTTGGACATGGATACCACGATCCAACAAAGCCAGCCTACACTTTATCCGCCACGCTCTCTCCCGTGGCCTCTCCCGGCATTTTGAAGACGACCTTGAGGACCTTCCGGGCCTCGAAGTCCTTGTAGGCCTGGGGCGCATCTTCCAAGGACATGGTCTTGCCGCACAGGAAGGCCACCTTCTTCTGTTCCTTGACGAGGATGGCCAGGGCATCTTCAAAGATACTGCGGACGGGACAGCGGCCAAAGGCCATGGTGACGTTCTTTCCATAGCAGAGCAGGCCGTTCAACGGGATCATCTCCGTATGCACGCCGATCGAGCTGATTTGGCCCCAAGGCCGAATCATGTCGAACGCGAGCATAAAGGCGTCCGTATGTCCGACCACCTCCAACACGACGTCGGCGCCGCGTCCGTCGCTGGCCGCTTTGATCTTCTCCGTCGGGTTGTCGTTGAGATTGATGGGGATGGCGCCGATTTTCTCCGCCTCGGCCAGACGCTCGGGCACGGAGTCGATGGCGTACACCTTCTTCACCATCGTCAGCGCGCAGGTAATGGCGCAGATGCCGACGGGCCCGCAGCCGATAACGACCGTGGTGAATTCATCGCGGTCTCGCTGCGGGAGATCCTTCAAGAAGCGTGCTGCGGCGAAATAGCCCGTGGGAAAGATGTCGGCCATTAAAACGAGCATTTCTTCGGGGATCCCTGAGTGACAACGGTAAGCGGGTCGTCCAGCAAATGCATTTCCTGCCGGGTCTAGATGCCCTACCTGTGGGTGCTTTGACACAGGTCGTCGCCGCCAACGGGACCCGGACGTACTCGGCCTGCCCGCCATCCACTGTATTGGCGGGCACCGAATTGCCAAAGAGTACCCCTTTGGTGCAGCGACTGGCTTGCCCGCGGACACAGTAGTAGCATTCCTGGCAGGCCGTGTAAAAGGGCACGACGACCTTGTCGCCAACCTTGAAGTTGTCGACCGCCTCACCCTTTTCGACAATGGTGCCCACAAATTCATGCCCACAGATAAAGTTCGGTGGACATTTTAGATGACCTCGATAGAAATGCAGATCGGAACCCTGCCGAGGGGAATCAGCCTGGCTAAAAGACTAAGGGCAACGGATCTGCTCACGCAAAGAGCGGTCGAAGACACTTTGAGGATGGCGTCGGTCGGCGCCTGGATCTTGGGTGTAGGTCTATCCTCAACCGCGACCTAGATGGAAACCCAGACATGGTCAGCTTCGCTGTTGTTTGGTGGTCGGCGAAGACTACCGTTGCCAAACAGTGGATCATACCTCGTAGTCACCCTTGAGAACGACCGCACGCATCGTGGCTGGAGGCATGATGGCGTCGATAGTCACGAAGTGAGTCCTGAATGTTGTCTGGGTGTTAGATACGAGATGCTTGCTCAAGTGACTGAGCTTTCAATTTATCAAGGAGCAGGATCGAGCTCGGCCCTGGGAAATCAATGACCCTGCTCTATTTATGGGGTCAGCTCCATCCGAAGCTCTGCTGCCACTAGGTCAGCTGTGCAGACAGATCGCCGGGTGCCACGACTGAAGAGACGAACAGCAGACGAACATTGCCGCGTTGGAGAAGCAAGCGATCGGAAGAGCGGGAATCGACAAAGGTTGTCATTCTCTTCCCCGCCTCAATGTGTAGAAGCCGCGGTTATTCCAGGACCCGGGACGCGGGGGACGAGGCTGAGTCACCGGCCCCCCAAACCACAGCCTCGTCGGTTGTTGCCGGAAAAGGGGGAAAGGGAAGAATCGGAAGCCAAACAGACATCGACCACGTCCTTACTACTAGTAACTGTACCGCCATTTCTTTTATACCTATGCTACAAGTCATCCCGTCAGGCCTGCTTGACCGTACGTTGTCATACCAATCGTGATCATTGCAGCTGTCGTACCTCGCCATATTCACACATTCTACAGTAGCGGCATGGATACACAATCCTCTCATCTGTTCGCCTGCTATTATTCATAATCATCATAAGCACTTCCGTCGTATCGTCTTCTCACGGCAATGCTCCCGGAAACACTGGTCAAATCCACGCCCGGCCGATCTTCCTCGCCATGGAATCTATCCTGTTGCTCGCCATCGGAGATTGCCCCCTCGTACGCTGAAGCATAAAAGAGAGCCTCTGGCGGCAAGTCTGCGGCCTCGTATGAGTTTTCGCTGGCCTGGCGAGGTCTCGGTGCCTCTGGCTGACTGTTACTGGCATATCTCGCTTGTTGACTGGGAAGGAGAGCCCTGCCCGTCGATGGAGATGTAACCTGGTTATACGTTGCGGCTGCACCAGCCATTTGCTGCCGGGCTGGATTTTTTGGACCCGGAGCGGGGACAAAATCAAAACTGGGCACTGATGCAGGAATCGAATTTCGGAATGGATTTCCCTGATCCTCATAGGGAGTCTCAGCCTCCCGCTCGTTCGTCGCCTTTTTAGCTAGCGGAATCGCAGACGTCGGTGTGGCTGTGGCAGTGTAGGACGTAGGAGTATCGTAATCGCTGTTGTTGGAGTATTCGTCCGGGTTAACAAGAGAAAGCCTAGGGGGTCCCCTAGGCGGAAGGTCAAGCTGAGACGCCTGGGGAGTGCGTTCACCGGATCGTGCTTCTGGGACTGCGTTTGGATCGAAGAACTTCTCATCCGTCATGTACGGGTTGACTCCCTCGTCGGCGTCATCGAATTTGCCCGTCGGCATCTCCACCACTCCCTCCGGTAGATTGTAAGGCTTGTCTTTTAGTGCAACTCCTGCATTACTGCCACCCGAGTTCCTTCCCTGACCTTCATAGACACCGGTGGGGTCGATCTGATAATGATTAGGCGGCAAGCTGAAAGGCAGTTCAGGAACGATGCTTGATCGGTTGGACGTCACATCTACCGAAGCATTGGCTTGATAGTCCGACGCCATTGAAGCCCTGGGTTGGTCCTGCTGATTGAAGCTCTTGCCCATGATACTTGTACCCTTGCGTACCGCCGGGACGCCCGATTCTTGCGCATCAGGACCATCGCCATCTCGAATCCCAAACTGCGCGATGGTGCGCAGCTTCCGAGTCACCCAGGACGCCAGAATCTTGCCGCGTTGTTTCTCTGAGAGGCGACTACGAGGAAAGTCACCCTCACCCACAAAGGCAACAATGTCGACGACGATTTGGTGTTCGTGAAGCACAGCATTGACAATAACCGGAACAATCGAAGCGAGATAGGCCTTGCGGAAGACCTCCACCAGAACCACCACCATGCCACCAGCCTGGAAAACAGCACAACCGCCAGGGGTAATATTGCGATGGCACTTCTCAATACTATTCTCGATGTCGATCGGGAAATGATTGAGTCCGTTGACCTCAAAAGTCTCACCGATACTGCCCAACACAAACAGAATCTGCATTTCCACTGGTTGATTTCCTGGACCGATTGGCCGCGTGACATTGTGAAGGAAGCCCAGATCACCAGTTCGAACGTATCTTGCGTTGGGATCGCCGCCTATGATCCGCCCATTGAATCGCTCCTCGTCGAAGATTTGTCTCGACATGTAGAAAGATTTGGCACATGCCTCAGACTGCACCCAGATCTCGCCGAATTCGCCAACGTGGCACAGCAGACAAGTTTCCGGGTTGACAACGGCGATGCGAGTGGATACAGGAACCATTCCTGAATCCTGCACGCACAAAGCAGTTGGGTCCGTGTCGGGATCCACGGGATAGACGAGACCCCTCCTGAGGGCGCGCACGTCCAGCCATAGCTCGATTGGTTCAATAGCCATGTAGCTTCGAGATGCTATCATTGGATTGAGAACGTGCGAGTAAATCGTATTGATTGCCGTCCTTTCTAGACCTGTTTGTGCAAAATGCAATCTCGCCTTGGAGAAGAGATCCAGGCGCGGTCTGCTCTCAGTGGCAATCATCAAGTTCTTGAGCTCGTGCAAGGAAAAGCCCTTACCAGCAACGTGGCTCATGGCAAAGTCCAGCATCTGGCTAGTGGCGTAGGTGTCCTTGACTTTATACCGCGATAAAGCCAGGAACAGCGACCCTGGATTTTGTGCGTAGTCGAGCGGCGATATCAGATAGGTGGTGCTTCCATTGTACACGCCCATCAACACAGTGTGTAAAAAGCCTATGCCAACAGTGCTCCTCACGCATGCAAGCACGGGTTTGGAGCTCGTCATTTGGCAAGTTTCCTTCTGGACCTTGCACATCCCCAAGATAGTATCATGTCCTAGCTGGACCGAAACTCGACGCTGATCTGGAGTCCAATATGTCCAGATGATGACGGGATTCGATGGAGAGATCCAGGAGCGGTTTATTGTGAGGCCCAAGTCTCTGCAGCCGTGCGATTGTTTGGCCGGTTTCGTTGTATTGTACACGCTGGGAATGTTGGTTTTGAGATACTGAGCGGATTGCTTCAGGTGCTGCGAGACAATTTTCTGTTTGAACAGGTGATCGACTTCTGTATTGCAAAGCACAGCTTTGACCCCCATGTCAGCGACTATGTGGAGAAAAGCCGGGGCATCTTCAGAGAGTCTGTTGACATCCAATGGTGCCACCGGGATGGCAATCGCTCCAAGAACCATGCAGGCATAGATAGAAAACACGTAGTCCTCAGAATGCGTGTACATCAGGATCAGGTGGTCGCTAGGTTTCACCTTGACTTTGTTTCGAAGGTACAAAGCCACTGCGGCGACTCGCTGATCAAACTTCTTCCACGTGAGGCCTTTGCCTTCTTTCCCTCGACCATCGATTGTACAATACGCAAGTTCATCTGCTTGCCGCGCCACCCGCCACTGCATGAGGTCAAAGATGTTCGTAAAATTGCTCAGGGCCGTCGAAGTACGATCATCGATGACTACTTCTCGAACGTCAACTCCGGACCATTGCGTTTCTTGTTCGTACAAGAGTTCATTTCGCGCGGCACTCGCATCTGGCGACCAGATGCCGCCACTGATGTCCTCTCCAAAAGGCAGATTTTGGACAGCTCGCTCCACGCCGAACTTCACATGGACACAAGGCAACGAGCCGTTGTCAAATTCCTTGCGACAGAGCATATTGCCGATCTCTCTGCGGCCGTTTTTTGTCACTCTAGGCAAAATCCCCGGAGCGGTGATCAAGACACAATACACCCTGAGGTGGTGCTCCTGATAGAGGATATCCATGGTCTTCTCCGCTAGAGAGTCAAGGAGCGCAATGTCAAGTTGTCTAGGCGGGCCGCCGGAGGAGATTGGGGCTGTTGATGCGGATGGCGATTCGAGAAGGACGATTGGTAGATGCTCGTCGTTGACAAAACAATCGAAGGCGGAACAGTCATGGATCTTGGGCACATTCCTCATGATGCTGAGGATGAGGTGTTGCACAAAGAAGTAACGATGTTCCTGAACGGCCACACCGTGTTCGACCCATTCGACCCTCTGCCTCAGCCGGTCCTCGTACAGTCCCAAAATATACACCTTGCCCTCGATGACAGCGCCGAGCAAGCCAGTACGGAGGAACTCGGGATCGATTGCCGTTGGTGTTGGATCACCCTCTCTGAAGCAATAAGGCCGAGCATGAAATATGGTCTCGGTGTGCTTGGGAAGCGCCCAAAATCCCCCCGAGAGCGAGGGTGAATCGACCCAGATTTCGCCAATGGAATTTGGTGAGCACAGGAGACCCGACTCCGGATCGACCACTGCCAAAGTAGCATCAGGAATCGGGTAGCCAAACGCTCCGCATCTCACGGCATTGGGGAACGAGCTGGCTTTTGCACGTGCCTCAGCACCCATGGCCAGCACTACGATGTCATTGGTCTTAAGAGCCTCTTTATCCAGAAGTACCTCTCCGAGGTCCTCAGTAGAACGCCCTTTGGGCGACGGCTTGATGCTGCCGCCTCCAATGAGACTACTGCCAAAGACAGATCGAGTGGCAGAGCTCTCATCTTCCTTCTTCTCCTCGACCCGTTGATCACGGTCCAGCTCGTGGCTCAAGGAACAGCCCATTCGCTCTTCACCGCCGAGCCAGTCGCGCATGCTGATGATCATGCCGCCATGTTCCGGCAGGCACAGCATTGGAGCCACGATTTCTCGTGCTCGGGGGTTGCGCAATGGCTTCAACCATCGGTCTGCCAGCAGCTCATGGAACTCCACGTCAACGGTCAAGGTATCGATCATGCATAGCTTAACACTGCTGAAATTAGGTTCGAAATTGCGTTTGAAATTCCGCGTCGTCATAGGATCCGCTTGGTAGTTGTAGACCGCACGCTTCAAGCCCGGATAGTCCGCCACCAATAACGTCGTCTTGTACTTCGTAATGAGGTTCGCGTAAAGCCCTGCAGTTTCGATTGCCCTCTGGTCGAGATAGATCACGGTGTGACCACCGTAGATGTTCAACAGCACTCCGAGAATCATCCCTATACTCTGCCTGGGATCCAAATAGCTCAGCATGATCTCACCATGTCTAGAGCCCGTGATCAAGTGGCCTTGCTTGTCACGGAGAGACGGGTTGAAGGTATCAGCCCGGGTGTTGCTCGTTGCCGAAGTGATCATCGCACTGAGGGTGGCCATCTGATGCATGATGGTCTTGTGGCTCAGGACGACGCCGCGGAGGTCACCCGTGGGAGCGGTCGAGAACTCGATGTATGCCAGATCAGGGACCACCAAAGGGAAGTCTTCGCCCTTTTTCTTGGGGTGATAGCTTCCGAACTCATTCGTTTTCCACCACTCAACCCCTCGGGGCCAGTTGAGTTTGGCTGCAGTGATATCTCGCTGGAAATTCTTCAAGTTGGCCTCCGTGGTTAGCGCCAGGTGGGCTTGCGTGGATGTCAGCACCACGTTGAGCCTGGCATAGTTTTTCAGGTCATTTATCGGCACTGCAACAACGCCTGCAATAAAACAGCCAAGTAGTGCCACTGTGAACTCGATGATCTCATTCTCCGTGTAGATGAGAGCAACGCGGTCCCCTTTGTATAAACTGCTCTTGTCCCGGATCACTTGAGCAACCTTTTCCGCCCTGCTGCACAACTTCTCCCATGTTATGGAGACAAGCTCTTTACCTTTTTGATCCAGCACCCAATAAGCCGCCTGCTTGGGATTTGTCTTCGCGCGATGGCGAAGCACTGCGGCGATATTCTCAAATCTCGACATCTCGATATGCGAGTCGTGAGGGTCACAAATGGCAAATGGAACTTCCCGAGGCTCCAGGGGCATCTGGTGGATCGCCGCACCTCCCTGAAGTTCCCCAGCACCCAAAAATGGAGGTACCGTTTGTGCAGTCGGTGAGGCCACCTCACTCTGCGAATACCTGTGAACGTTGCCGCCGTAGTTCTCCTGGTGTTCTTCTCGTTGTTGACCGGCAAAATCCGAGAAATAACCCTGCTGAGCCTCGAGCATGGTAGAATGGCGCGTGTCTGCGCCCGGAAAGTTCTGCTGGGGGTCAGGATTGAAGGCATAATTCTGGCTCAGTAGCGTCTGCGTGCGGGACTGATCGTTCGCGGTGAGCAGGGTTTCGTGCCGCTGATCATACGAGGCTTCCGAGAATGACCCAGACTGTATAGCCGGGGCCTCCCGCTCTTGGAATCTCTGAACATGGCTGGGCGGAGTTGCGCTGCGCCTAAGATCACTCGGGTATTCATCTCTGGGCATGGAAGTCTGTCGGTTCATGCTGGAGTAGCCCTCAGTCATCGTCCCATTCCTCGTCTGTTCGGTCACCGATCGACCGGTAAGAGCCGCGAGGGAAGCTGCTCTGGAGGCATCATTGGAGGCGGGATGATCGCTGTCGTCGGGGGAGTGTATCCGTAGTCCTCGCGGCTGCGATTGCAATGGCGGCGTTTGTTGGGGAGAGATGAATTGAGAAAGAATAAGGGTTCGTCGCTTCTCATAGCCTTTTCTTGTGATGTCTCCTTCCTCGAGCTCTTCGTCAAGCTTGCGCAGGGCTTCCTCAACCTCAGGATTGATGCCCGACATTTTTGCAACTCTTCATGTGTGGCAGGCTTCTGCGCGAAGCTCGGTTTTGCCGACGCCGCAGGAGAGACGATGATCGGAGGCAATGTAGACGGCAATCGGTGGACTAGAGCGCAGACAGCAACAACTAAGCGAGCGACAAGGAAAGCCGGCGAACCTGCAGCGACTCTCAATCTGTAACATTCATCATGACAGATGAAATGGATTCCAGAATCATAGGAGGTTGTTGCGCATGTGGGGAGGCGAGTTTGGGGGATGGGGGATGTTCGGCATCTAACCAACCCATCCCTCTACGAATAGGTACCTACCTACTCAAGAAGTAACATCGAATAAAAACCATTAGGAGGCCTCAGCCATCATAACCGAAACTGAATAGAATATCAAGCGCTTTGGTAGCCACCATATTTAGAACCACTATACGCGTTGGTTGCCGCCTCGTATATTTCTAGGTACTAAGATATCTAAGGTATTGCTGGATCTATCTTCACCCAAAGTAATGTCCAGAAATGCGCGCTGTCACTCGACTCACACCAGAAGCCAGGTATATCGAAATATATCGAAACATATCGACACATTATCCTCGATTGAGGCCCTTCAGCTTCAGCCTGCCTTGGCGCAAGATTGCGAATTTGGCAGCAGACGACATCATTGCATTCAATCTCCTTGATGCCATCGTTGATCATCATCATTGATAAAAAGCATTCGAACCAGGGAACATCTCTTGACAAGCCGAATTTCCGGGTACCGGTCGAAGCTGGTGTTCACCAAAAGGCCAGGGTTTTAGAAGGTCTGACCACAAAGGCTTCTGCGCAAGCTCGCTGCCTTACCGTCAATGCTGTTCTCACCGCGATACTTCTTGGGGTGCCCGCTCCACGTCACCGAACCATATAGAGCGCTAGCAAGTTACTCGTGGTGATGAGTACTGCAACCAGCACCCTCCATCTGGGGTCATTGTCGCTTGGAGAGCCAAGTTGTCCACCGAATAAGAATAGCATTCACTATTCGGATTGACTTTCCAGCAACGAATAAACGGGGGCGTTGAGCTTATCCCGGCCTCTGAGGAAGGTGAGCTCGATGACAAAGATGTAGCCGAGCAACACTCCCCCACATTTCTCTACCAGAGTACCGGCTGCTGCTGCAGAGCCGCCGGTGGCGATAAGATCGTCGACAATGAGGACTTTCTGGCCCGGCAAAATCGCGTCGCTTTGCATGGCGAAGGTATCGGTGCCGTACTCTTTCTGATATTCTGCTGTCTCAAGTTTACCGGGAAGCTTTCCAGCTTTTCTGACTGGCACGAAACCCGCTCCCAGTCGTAGCGCGAGCGTCGGTCCAAAGAGGAAACCCCTTGCGTCGAGTCCAACGATGACATCGGGAGTATTCTCAGGGCCGAAGCTGTCCAATACGAGTAGTTCGTATGCCCGGATAAGATCTTGGTGGAGGTTGTGAGAAGAAAATAGAGGAAGGATATCTTCGAACAAAATGCCTTTCTGCGCCGACCCTGTCAGTGGGTGTATTAAATGAGCAATTAGATCCGAACCTACCTTTGGAAAATCTGGATATGTCCTCAGTCCAGATTTCAGCCGGGCTGTCAGTTCCTGCAGCGCTTCAGGACTGGCGAGTTGGGAGGCTGTGAGGGTTAGCAAGGTTGCAGATCTCAGACGGCGGCCAGGCTCAGCATACTGGAGGTGGAGGCATTGGGCTCTGATCGCGAGGCGCCATGACTGGAGATGTTTTCTCCTGAGGGCGTCATGCTGGAAGAAAACCGCTGGACGAAAGAGCCGGGGAGACGAAGAATAAATATGGGACGAGGAAAAAAAGATGACAACAAAGAGCCGTTGCACAAGTACGAGAAGCGCAGGACGAATCAGTTGCGCATGCAAGGGCGTCCACTGTTGGGGAGGGATCTGGTGGAAAGACGGCGCCGAAATAGTACGCGGCGCTACTATTCCACACTGCAGCGAGTTGCCTGTGGTGTTCGAGAGTCGAGGAGGAGGAGGTCCAGGGCAGAGTGATAGATGGATGCAGTGCAGTGGGTGGTTGCATGAGAAAGTTACGAAGCAGTCAGCCTGCGCGACGCAGGAGAAATCTTAGCAGTTCGGTAACTTTTCCAGCACTCCAGTGACGTGATTTCTGGCGAGCAGCAGCTGTGGTAGCATCCCCGACACTTATCTCGACTCTTTCGGGCAGTGATGGGCGGCCATTGACCATCATTCAGCCAGCAGCAGCTTGCATGCTGCGACGACGAAGGAAGCCGTGGCATGTGTTGTTCACTGATAAACTGATACTGGCAGCAGTCGAGATGGGTCTGAGATAGGTACACACTGCATGGCAGTGGATGGAGGGACTTCCCAGGTAATTACTGCCATAGGACTCTGCGATAGAGAGTGGGATGGGTGCCGTGGGCCGCAGTCAACGCCGGGTAAGGCCAGAAGTGGGATGTTCCCACGATAGTACTAGAACTGACAAGGGACGGCGTCTGACGGGCTCACACCATTGAGGTCGTCCTAGGAGATGTGTATGTGTTGTGTATGGGTGGGATGGATGCCATGGATGTCAAAAGGTGTAGGTTGATCCAGTCACGATATGGCAGTCTGCGCCCTGAGACAGACCCTGCACCATTATTAGGTACCTACCTACCAGGTATCTTAGGTGATGAGTGACTACCATGTAGCTACAAGACCTACGGGTACCTAAGGTATGCGGTACCTCTCTGTCAGTTGCAACCCACCTACCTGTGTAGGTAGGTACGTATCTCAACCTATTACGATCCTGCCGTCGGCATGTGCATCTCATCCATCACACTGCGACAGCACTAGCAGCAATCAATCCACGACGCGAGCACTGAACAAGAAGCCTACAACAAACAGGGTATATTGTCAGCATTCCTGTCTTGGATTCGTACTCTTGTCCCCGCCAACCTGCGTCCGTAGATGCGCAACTTGTGTTCAGACAGCCGGTTGCCTTCCATCCACGCCGAGCCGTTTTACACCACATGTATCGTGAAATCGTTGAGCCGTCAAGCGAAATGGCGCAACGGCGATCCTCCTCGATCACCCTAAGCTTCCACGGTCGCTCGAGATCCCTGCTGTAAGAGGATATGTTCTAGATTGTATGATCAGAACTGCTGCACAACGTCGATCAGCTGCGATCCCAACCCTGACAGCTGCCTGTGCGTTTGTCTCGAATCCCAACCCTCTGCACTTATCCGAATACTCAAATGGGGACTCCACGGAAAATTACCCGCTGAGAGTTTCTCGCATATTGGGCAAAGGCGGCGAGGCAGATATTTGAAGTAGCGGTGACCAGGACGGCACTGTCAACAAGCACATTGTGATGGAACTACTGCAGCCAACAGAAGCCAGCCTCAACCTTGATCCTGGGCCGATGTCATACAAGAGAGCCCTTCATCCTGTTTCTCGAATGGCGGTCTATCATTATGAGTGCTGCGTAAGGTATGCGATTGTTCAACACATTCTGGTACGCCGAAGACTCTGACAGCACAACAATGAACCCTGGTAACGCCTCTCGCTGAGACCATATATGTATGTCCTCGAACGCTTCTCCGTGTCGAGACGACCTTTCGTGGCTGGCATTCGTCGCCACACCAGATATGAGAACATGAGATTGTGTCGTGTTCTCATTACGACCTTCTGTCGGCTACTGCAGAGTGTTGTGGCGCCAGCAGATAGAGTGTCTCGTGAAGACCCATGTGTGTTCGGCAATCGTGCTGTTGACTATAATCATGAATAAACAAGAGTGCTCAAGCCAATGCGCGCTATCCGAGGAAAAGGTGGAATTGTGAAAGAGGCTGCAGCATTCGAACTACTATCTGACCATCATGACAAGAAGTCTTGAACGCTGAGGACCTCCCGCGAGGCATATTAAATGTAGTTGTTGTTATAGGTAGTACTTGATACAATGTATATCGTGAATGCTTGATGCAGTCTGTACCGTCAACCACCCCACCAATCGAATTGGGGCGGTGAACACTTGCTCGGTTAAATATCGGTAGCAGTAATTCCTCCAGAAATAATTTCTCAAAAGTCCATGCTGAAAGATTGCAAGATCGTCCTCCTCAGACAGGCAGCACCACCAACACGGATTTCACAATGATTCAACCCACCGCAGCGGATGATTTTGTTCTGACCCTGTCGGACAATGAAGAGCTTCCGTTGAGCGAGTCGGAAAGCGACGAGTTGCAGACAACCACGCTCGCCTCGGGCACGAAGCGAAAACGGCACGAACCTGCAATCAAGACTGCCCTGCAGAACAAAAAGCAGAAAAAGCAATCGAAAAAGCAGGCCGAGCCCGAACGTGAAGAGTCGGTACCCCCTTCCGAAAGCGGAGACGAGCAAGGTGTTCAGGATGGGGCCATCGATCCAGATTTCGAGTTTGATGTAGGCGCCAATGGCATACTGGAAGACCTGGATGATTTTGATGGATGGGGAGAGGGGAAGGCAACGAACACGAACGGCGATGGCAAGAAGAAGGGCTTGGACATAGATGAGATCATCGCTCGCCGTGCCGCAAAGAAACAAAAGTCCCTCGCGTCTCAGAAGGCCGACAAAGAGCAGGACAATTCTCCTGCGGACAGTGACGACGAAGATATGGCCATACCTGACTTCGAGGACGATGAGCTTCTAGCCGAAGACACGTTCGGTGCCAATGCTGCCTCAGAGGATGAGGATGAAGCCTCGGCCGGGGAGGAGGATGGGGAAGAGGATGAAGATTCTGGAGAGGAAGCACAGGAAGACGAAAATGCTTCCGACGACGATTCGGTCGCTTCGCCTACCGCCCACCCCGACGACCTGGCTTCTGAGCACTCAGATAGCGAATCAGACACATCGACCTCGGATGCAGAGGAGCAGGCGAAACGAGCCGCGTTCTTTGCCCCTGAGGACAAAACGGCAACAGCACAAGTCAAATCCGCAGCTTCGTTTCAACAGTTCTCATTGTCCCGACCGATTCTGAAAGCCCTGGCGGCACTATCTTTCACCGCACCCACCCCGATTCAAGCCCGTGCCATTCCCGTCGCATTGCAGGGCTTGGACGTGGTTGGTTCTGCTGTGACAGGCTCTGGCAAGACTGCAGCATTCTTACTCCCAATCCTCGAACGTCTCCTTTATCGTCCGAGGAAAGTCCCTACAACCCGGGTGGCGATTCTGATGCCGACCCGTGAACTGGCCGTCCAATGTTACAGCGTTGCCACTGCCCTTGCGCGCTTTACGGACATTACATTTGCGCAAGTCGTTGGAGGCTTCTCCTTGAGAGAGCAGGAGGCCATCCTGAAGAAGCGACCCGACGTGGTCATCGCGACGCCAGGTAGATTCATCGACCACATGCGCAATTCCGCCAGCTTTGTGGTGGAGAACATTGAGATCCTGGTCTTGGATGAAGCAGACCGGATGTTGGAGACTGGATTCGAAGACGAGCTAAATGAGATCTTGAGAACCATCCCCAAGGGTCGGCAAACCATGCTCTTCTCTGCAACCATGACAGACAGTGTCGACAAACTCGTGAGAGTGGGAATGAATCGTCCCGTGCGGCTTTCGGTCGATGCGAAGAAAAGCACAACCGCGGGCCTGGTGCAAGAATTCGTTCGCCTACGTCCAGGCAGAGAAAACACAAGGTTGGCGACCCTGTGCATTTTGTGCAAGGATTTCTTCACCGAGCGGACTATTATCTTCTTTCGGCAGAAAAAGGAAGCCCATCGGGTTCGCATTGTCTTTGGACTGCTCGGTATCAAGGCCGGTGAACTTCACGGCAGCATGTCCCAAGAACAGCGTATCGGCGCCGTCAACTCGTTCCGCGAAGGCAAGACCACGCACCTCCTCGCGACTGATTTGGCCAGTCGAGGTCTGGACATCAAGAATGTCATGACGGTCGTGAACTACGAAGCGCCTCAGACGCATGAGATCTACGTCCACCGTGTTGGTCGCACTGCCCGTGCAGGCCGCTCCGGTCGGGCTTGCACCATAGCAGCCGAGCCAGACCGCAAGGTCGTCAGAGCGGCAGTGAAAAGTGCCAGGCAACAAGGCGCCAAGGTGGTGTCTCGGGCGGTAGAGGCGAAAGAGGTGGATGCGATGAATGCCCAAATTGAGGCGATGGAGTCGGAGATTGAAGAGATCCTCAAAGAGGAAAAGGATGAGAAACAACTTGCCCAAGTCGAAACGCAACTGACCCGGGGCGAGAATATTGTCAAGCACGAGGCTGAGATTCTTGCGCGGCCGAAGCGAACATGGTTCGAGACCGAAAAAGCCAAACTTGATGCCAAAGCCAGAGGACTTCTGGAGTTGAACGGCCCCAATGGTATCGTGAAGGTCAAGACCGACAAGAAGAAATTGAGCAACAAGGACAAGAAGCGACTCGACGACAAGAGGGAGAGAGTGGAAGGCAAGATGTGGCGGAAGGGCAAGGATAGCGAGGCCGCCGTGAAAAACGACAGGAGAGAGCGGAAGCTCGGAAAATCCAAGAGTAAAACAAAACCTAAGATGGGAAAGGGCAAGACGAGGAGATAGGAAAACATCCTAGTCCCCAATGCTATTTTTCAGAGACAATTGTTCATGGCTGTTTCTTCGCTCTGTGGTAGTGTTCGACTCATATATGACATGTCGCTCGTGGACTGAGAGGATATTGTGACATTGAACATCGATCTGACTCAACGAGGCCAGAATTCCTCCCATCGTGCTACTTGCCAGATACACTTGTCATTGATGACGCCTCTGCCGGAGCATACATGCACCGTAGTGTCCGGCTCGAGTCTTTTCCTCGCAGGGCATCGACTTGATTTGGAGAGGCGCACTCATGGCTTGGGACAGGTGAGTGTTCCCTTGGTGGCACAGGCTGGCATTAAGAGCCGCGCCCACATGGTGTTCGTATATCCGGCCTGTGTCCAGAACCATGAAGCCCACGGATGCGAACCCATTGCTCGTAGCACTTCTGTGTTCGGACGATGAAAAGCGGCTGGCCTGCGCTGGCAAACCTGGATGGGGATCTACTTGTGAGCCGCTGGTTTTAATTTGCCTTGCTTGATCAGATCATCCACCTTTGGTGGCAGAACAAGTCCGCTTCTATCATTTCGCTTATAGAAATCAGCAACTACCTGGGCCGTCTTGGCAGGTTGGTCCTCTTGAATGAAATGGCCTGCCTCTGGGAAAACCTGAAGCTGGTATTTGCCTGATCTTGGGTCAGTTCCAGTAGGGTGGCAGATGCGGCGATTTTGACCATATAAACATACCTTGCATTTGCCCGATCATGAGCTCTTTGTCGAGCCTATCGGTCCCGGCAAGAAGTAGCAGCTTCCCTCCTCGAGACTCAAGGAACTTCTTCGAAAGGCCAATGAACCAGCCTTCCCAAAATGGTTTTGTGGAGGCCAAATCAGTGCGCCATGACCATGTATCGTGTGTCTTGGACTCTATAAGAAGGGGTGGGACAGAAACCCTTGCTGAGGTAGTGTTTCGTATTGTTCGAGATTTGAGATGCCATTCAATTCCGGAAGCAAGTGAAGGGAATGACTTCGGTCTTGTCGAGAGATAGGTGTCCATACTGCGTAGAGCATCCATGGCAGAGCCTTCCACGACGTCCAATACGCCGTATGCCAGAAGAGAATTACCCAACAGCCGTTCATGAGCCACCTCGGTCACAACGGCGCCTCCAAGACTGTGACCAACGAGCACGATATCAGGCAAGGCAGCCCATTTCATCTGTGCCTTGACCGCGTTGACCACGAAAGCCACGTCTTCAGCCAACGTGGTCAAGCTCAAGTCTTGGACAGATAAAGGGGCGCCTGTGGAGGTTGCGGTCCTGGTCTGTCCGTGGCCTCTAGCATCCAACGATAAGACGCCAGCATTGGGGATCAATTTCAGAAACTCCGCGGTGAATGCAGCGAATGACAATCCCGAAGATCCGGCGCCATGGTGAGTGACGATCATCGGACCGGAAGACGAAGGCGGAGTTAGATATACATGATGAAGGATGGTCTCGGAGGGTGTCTTCTGCTCCAAGAAGAGTTCCTGCGAGAAGAAATCGTCCCAGGGGAGCGGCCCTGAGCGAGACCGGTTGGTGGCACTAGACAAAACAGATCAGCGAGATGGGAAGATGGAACGAATATGGAGCTCCATGCCTTTTTGGTTTCTCGAACAGATTCCGACTAGGCGATGGGACTATCGTGCCGGTGGACGAGGCGGAGGAGGCGGATGAGGAAGAGTCATTTGGCGATACGGGACGGATCTCGAGCGAGTCCTCCGGCGTGCCATCCTCTCCGTCAGCAATAAGAGGAGGTTCTGGAGGGAGACGAGAGAGGTGGGCACGTGCAAAAGAGCGTTGAAGCTCGCTCATGATGGACCCCTGTGGTAGATGGAAGGTGTAGGATGCAGTGGTTGTAGTTAGGCACGCTCCCATACAAGGCTGAACTTCACATATGCGGAACTGACAGCGGTTCGATGCTTGTGGCGCTGTCTGGTGATCTTCATCATGGGGGAGCGGGTGGGATGGATGGATGGAGGAGAGCGAGGCTCGATCTATCTACAAGGATGGCCGTCTACGAGCCGATGGCGCAGGCAGGCTCCAAAAACGCCAGACGAGCAGCTCACAGGCGGTGGCCGGGGCCAATGAGGCCTAGGGAGCCTAGCCAGGCGTCCACAGACTGACGACGATCTTTGGGGCCAACCGAATCTACCTTTTAGGTGTAATCACCACCTGCTGGTGTCTACCCCAGTTAAAGATAGGCCTGGATCTCTCTCCTTTGTACATCAAGAACCAGCTTCAAGGATTCCACGCTGAATTTGCCCCCGATGCCGCGGAGACATGCATCCAGCACCAGCCACACTGCACCAATCCACATTCTGGCCAACGAATCATGCCACTCTCGACGTGGATATGGCATCCGCCAGGTGAACAAGCTGGACACTGGCAGTTCATGCGACCAACTTCAAGTTGAACACGGCGAGATTCTGCTAGGGATCCCTGTGAAGCACAGCATGCCTTCTGATGATGGCGGGCACTGCCTCTGGGGCATCTGAGCCCCTTCCAATTATTTATTTAGCTTGGCCTCCTTAGCCCCGCCTGCGGTGTGCTGCCATTAGCTCGCTTTACATAATGACGTCGTGGTTAATCCATCAGCTATTGTCGCCTTCGTCTTCCAGCAAGATTGACCTTCCCGTTGTCCCATCACCAGAATATTGTTTTCAGTTGTTGCTCCTCTCTTCCGCCGTTAAGCTGAGTTGATTTTTTTTAGCTTCTTCTAATGAGAATGAGCCCTGGCAAGCATCTCGTCTACTTCGAATAATCCCGGCCAATAATCTATACTTCTGGGCAGTCTGGGATATTCTCCAAGCCTTCCTCAAAACTGTTTCAACTGCACATCGGTTGTCCTTCGTTTCGCCGGTTCTTCGCCCTTCTCATACTTCGCCATGGTGTCTCTCTGGGGAAGTGGCAAGAAAGATGACGACGAGCGTGACGATCAAGACGACCACCAAGTAGAAGACGAGACTGACCAGCGCGCAACCTCATCTCGTAGCCAACCCGCGAGACCTTCAGACGATGCCAACGAACGGACCAGGCTATTGCCTCGCCATGAGCAAGGTGTGGGCTATCTGAGTCCTGATGATCCAGCTGTCAGTCTTCTGTTTGTCCCTCCTCGAGTTCTAGCACAGCTAACTGGCGGCCAGGTCTCGCCGTACAACCTGTGGAGTGTTCGGGCTCTACGATGGTTTGAAGTCCTCTTTCTGATGATCAGCTGCCTTTGGTGGGTATTGCTGTTCATCTCCATCTTTGTCAGCCCTCCGCAAATGCACTCGAGAGGATCGGGCTTCTTCGATGTCGCCTATACCACCTTGACAATCGGCAATATCCTGACCGCCCTCCTATTCTTCGCCACCCCTTCGGCTGCAATGAGCATTCTGAGCATGGCTATCTCGGTGCTACTGCTGATTGACATGATCATCATTCTGGCTGTCTCTCGGATTAGGGCCGAAGAAGGCTGGATTGGGATCGCCTCTGTGATTTGGGCTGCGCTGATCGGCTTCTACAATGTTGTGACGAACAGAACCGTCAAATGGGGCAAAGCTGAGGAAGAAGAACGTCTCACTGGTCGGCAAGAGACGCGACGGACACTCCGAGAATGGTGTGCAGTGTTCACAGCCACGTTTCTGATGACCGTTTACGTTGTCATTGCTATCTTGCTTACTGCGACCCTCGTATTACGTTCAAGAGATGCAACCCTCCCCGCTCCAGGCAAGCGTTACCTTGTCGACGGCGATAAATACCGCGTGCACTTGGCATGTGTCGGCCAGCAGACATTTACACCTGACGGCAAACCCAAGCCCACCGTTCTACTCGAGGGAGGTTACATGCCTGTCGAACACACGTTCCAACCATGGGTGCATGAAACATACGAAAATGGTACAATTGATCGCTATTGTTATTGGGACCGACCAGGGCTGGCGTGGTCCGACAACGCGCCCTCTCCACACTCTGCCGGAATGTCTGCGGACGCCATCTCAGAGGCGTTGGCAATTTCAGGGGAAGACGGGCCCTGGATCTTGGTCTCCGCTGGTATTGGCACCGTGTACAGTCGAGTCTTCTCTGCCAGGCATCCTCGGGTGATTGCAGGCATGATGTTCATTGACGGACTGCACGAAGATCTCCTCTATAAAATCGCTAGCCCCGGACGAGGATTCATTTTGTGGGGACGTGGCATCATCTCACCTCTTGGTCTCGATCGGCTAGCTGGGGCTCTCTTCAAGGGGCGTACGAAAGAAGACCGTGTCTACGGCAGATCATCATACCAGGGGGGCAAATTCCTCAAGAACAAGTTGCAAGAGAATCTCGTTGCTGATTCACTGACTAAAAACGAGGTTGTCAGTGCCCGAAACATCCAGGACCCCAAGGTGCCATTGGTTGTGGTGACCTCGGGGGTCCATCTCCGGCGGGACAAGGACTGGGAACGAAAGCAGGAAGATATCACGAAAGTGACGGAGAATTTGGTGGCATGGGACATCGTGAAAGGTGCGCCGCCCGAGGAGATATGGAGATCGCCGGAAGGAAGGCAGATCATGGAGAAGCGGCTGGGTCAATTGTATAAAGGTCATTAAACGGCCTCATGTACCGGGACCGTCACAAACAGCTGGTGTGAAGGCTGAAGTCGATATGTTTGATTATAAGTAACACTATGGCGTCGAGAGGGTTGGACGAATGCGACGACAGCAGCACGGCGTGGCATCTTTTTGTATGGGGTTGTTTTCCCTCCGGCAACCAAAAATATCTATTAGCTCTTTGTTGGGTTCGTTCCTTGACTCAAACAGCCAAACCTTTGGTAGTGAAACGGGTGGCGAGGCTGCATATGGACAGGATTCCGATCCTCAGATATCCTCGAATACCTAAGGGGCAGTTTCACTTTTATAGTACGCACTGACAAGGCTGCGTTGCAAGGGGAAGTATGCCGAAGAGGCCATGACGCAACAGTCGGAGCCTGCACCCTGTGCACCCACTACGTACCTTACCTTACTACTATAGTTCGGGCATCGATTTGATTCGGACTGCGCCATTCGGACTTCATTCGCAAACAGAGCGCCAGCGGTATATTGTGAATTTCAAGTTGTTGATCAAACACCTGCTTATCCTTCAATTAGGTGCATTACAAAGCCCCTCTGAATCCCGGACCGTTTGCTTCCTACCTCTTCGAAACCAACCACCATCCGCCACCTGCCCTTCATATTGATGCCGTTCGTCTACACCATCTCGTCTTGAGGCCGCTTCCCGGTAGCTCGTCTCATCTCATCCCCCATCTCCTGAACACCCACCGACCTTCGGCGGAGGTCATCAACAAGATACAGATAAGATGTTGTTAAGATTTGAATCCAAATGGGGACAGTTCCGGCTGAACGTCGAACCCGACCAAAAGTTCTCCTCTTTAAGCAGCCAGGTGAGACTGTTTTCACGCAAGAGGAATTACTGTCAACTGACTTCTGTTGTAGATCTTGGACCACCTGCCTCCAAATACCGATGCCTCCTCTATCACTCTGAGCAATAAGCCCATTAGCTCTAAGCCAGACCCTGAACGTGAGCGTCGCCTGGTCGATCTGCCTGGGGTGGAGCTGCGGCAAGTTGGTCTTAAACATGGCGACAAGCTGTATCTTGGTTTCTCGGAAGCACAAACCCTCTCCAACGGGCACACAAACGGCGACCACCCCCCGGCGCCTCGACGGTTGAACGGAACCATCGCACTGCCCAACGCAAACGAGCCCGTTATTGCTCCCACAGTTACGGCGCCAACGTCAATACGAAATCCTTGGGAAGTGGTTAAACAATCCACGCTTGATGATCGGTTGGACAAGGCTGACGGGAAGATACCACGACCCAGAGATGCCAGGATGTGTCGACATGGCCCCAAGGGCATGTGTGATCATTGCCAGCCATGGGAGCCCTATGACAAGAAGTATCTGGAGGAGAAAAAGATCAAGCACCTCTCCTTCCACGCCTACCTGCGTAAGATCAACTCTGCTACCAACAAGCCAGAACTCAAAAGCTCCTATATGCCGCCCCTCTCAGAACCATACTACCGCGTGAAAAAGGATTGTCCATCGGGTCATCCACCGTGGCCGGAGGGAATCTGTACCAAGTGTCAGCCTAGTGCCATCACGCTCCAGCCCCAAGAGTTCCGAATGGTGGATCACGTGGAATTCGCATCCGCAGACATGGTGGACAAATTGATCGATTACTGGCGGAAGTCTGGCAGCCAGCGGCTTGGTTTTCTATACGGCCGATATGAAGAATACACCGAGGTACCGCTTGGTGTCAAAGCAGTAGTGGAAGCCATCTATGAACCGCCCCAAATGTGTGAGGTTGATGGCCTCACGTTGTTAGACTGGGACAATGAAAAGGACGTGGATGAAGTGGCGAGTTTGTGTGGACTCGAACGCGTTGGCGTGATTTTCACGGACCTGCTGTCTCCCGAAGATGGCGAAGGGCAGGCTGTTTGCAAGCGACACATCGACTCCTACTTTCTCTCCTCCTTGGAGATTGTGTTTGCCGCACGTCTCCAGGCCAAATACCCTAAACCTTCGAAGTGGAGCGACACTGGCAGGTTCGGCTCCAACTTCGTCACATGTGTCGTTACTGGCGATGAGGACCAGAGCATAACCATCAACGCCTATCAAACGTCTAACGCAGCGGTCGAAATGGTGCGAGCAGACATTGTTGAGCCCTCGGCGGATCCCTCTTTGATGCTTGTCCAGTCTGAAGAAGATGAGGTCGATGGCAGGAGGACTCGATACATTCCAGAAGTATTTTATCGCCGAATCAACGAATACGGTGCCAATGTGCAAGAGAATGCAAAGCCGGCATTTCCAGTGGAGTATTTATTGGTGTCGCTGACTGCTGGCATGCCTATAACACCAAATCCGCTTTTCAAAGCCAACAAATTCCCCGTTGAAAATCGAGAAGCTGTGGCAGAAGGGCAAGATCCTCGAGATGTTGCCAAACAACTCCGTTCATCCTCGTCTGTCGACGCCGTCTCCGACTTCCACTTGCTCTGCTTCCTCCACGGCATGGAGGTGTTTGGCAAGGTAAGCACAACCTTAGTTGACGCTGTCTCCCGCTAACAACAATATAGGATGAGGAAGTGCTGCTCTGCAACGTGGCAACGAAGCGTGATCAGGTCGACGCCATCCACCTGACCGAATCTTCCGGCTGGAGTACCCTGATGGCAATACTCGAATCATATGGTGAGCGGCCCTTGAAGCGCCCGTGGGCCTTGGACTCGGAGGAAGACTACAGCCCCGGGAGTCCGTCAGAAAACCTGGCTAAGCGATTCAAACAGGCGGCTAGCCTCGAGCGCTAGGAGTGCAGCATGAACGACTGGGACCCTCTTAGGATCAGTCCGATGACAGCTTCTCATAGCGAACAGAACGTGCATGACTGCCGTAGAGTAAGGCTTTGCATCGAGAATAACGACCGGCTAGATGATACCAGGGAGTCGGGGAGGGTGGCTGCAAGAGGCCCAGAGATAGGATACCCATGTCTGAGCAGATACGATTCGAGGCACTACGGAGGTAGTGATCGTCGCAATGACCGTTCTGGAGTGACCAGAAGCATCTTGAGCAGGGGATCGACGCTGAAACCAGGCTAGATAGTGAACCATGGCCGAAGACACCATAACAACCATACTACCTGGTAGGCAGTGGCTTCGGCCAAAGCAAGGCGTCCCTGAGTAGGTAGCTAAAGGTAATCAAGCAAGTGGGTGAGCATACCGTTTTTGTGTCTGTATCATTACAATGATGGGATCGAGTACAGCTTGATTGTAGGAGAAGAACTGCTACCGCCCTTCCGCTGATCTCTCGGGATGTACTCTGTAGTGCCAGTGGCTGTGTCAACATAAGTGGGTGGTGTCTTATGGTGTTGGACAAGGATGGGGTCTAGCCTAAGATGATGATCCTTCTAGAAGGTTTGTTTACAGCAGGCATGTCTGTGAGTAACGCTATAGGGCTTAGGTGGCCTAGCAGAAGCCCATGTCCACCTGAGGCAGGCATCTGCCGATAGGTAAAGGCCCCCTAGCCTCCCAAGGTCCATCGCAAGCATAAGGGTTTGGAATTGTTCACCGCCGTGAGGTATCTGGCAGAAATATGAGTGGGCATACCTGAAGTACCTAGGTACCTACCTGTAGTAATACGTATGCCGGTCAACCTGGCCTCTGAAATAAAATGATAATGGCAGGCCACTGCACTGCATGGAAAAGGCGTGCTGTCAGTCAGATCTGCCCTCCAACCGTTGAACGATGCAGTGGACGCTGGAACAGGGCTCCCCTAGGCTCCCCTAGGCCTCCTGCTCCGCATTTTCAGGTGACCAGAAAGAAGCCTTCAGCCTTCTAGATCCACAGGCGGCAGCGCCAATTGTCGACTTGGAGGCCACTAATTGAAACCCACCGGGAAACCAAGCCTGAACAGTGCATAGCAGCAGCAATTAGACAGTAGGTGAATGCACTGTCTACTACTAGTACGACAGTCAACTACCAGTCCCATCGACCATCGACCGTCCACGCTCGGCCCTTCTGCTTCCTCACTCATCATTGCTGCTGCTGCTGCTGCTTGCTGCTACTACCGTCACCACCACCACCAACACCACCACCACCACCATTACCATTCCCACCGTGCCGCCGACGCCACAACATTGCTCATTATTGTCACGACCTTCCTCTAAGCTCAACCTCGTCGCGTCCATACCATCACATCTCTTTGATACTGGGCAAACTCTCCTCCCAGGCCGTCCCATCGTCGTTCGTCTTTGTCCATTGGTATATCGGACTTGTTACGTTTCGTCAGACCTCCCAGCTTCCACTGGTCCCCCGCGACAGCTGCAACTGTCCGACGAGTCGAAAGGTTGACAGCTGCAGGCTGCCTACCATCCCACTTCCTACTTTCCTCCTCCGAGTCCCCCGGTTCGAGACCGCGCGACCAGGCTTCTTTGTTCTCCTTACGCTGGGTGTACTCTGTCGGGCTGTCGCAATACTCTTGAGGCAGCCAGCGACGGGTCATCCCCAACCGCAGGTGGCCGACCACTCGAAGCTTCCGGTAACAGATTGCCTTGCGCGCCATGCATTCTCCCTAAGCGCACATCAGCATCGACATTCCGCCGAGAGGGCCACCGTTTGTCTCGAGTCACCTGTTCGCGTATCCAACGACAGTCATATAATTCAATTTGGCTGCCCTTTTACCACACTATGGCCTCGTAAACTTTCAAGAGCGAGGGTGTCTTTTCCATTCATAAGCCCACAATCATGGATCCGGCTGCGTGTCGAGTTGTCTACATTGATGAGCGGTTCAACACAGAGAGGTGGATTTCGAGAGAAGGGCTGTCTCCGGTTTCGCCGCGAAGGAGAGGCTCGGAATTCGAGTTCCTACACTTGCCTGCGGACTTACAGAGCAATATCAGCGCCTTCCTCTCCGTTTTCAACCAAGGTGAGCATATCTGTTGTTTTGACTTCTCTTCCCAGCTGACTCAGGTTCCCAGTGTACGTGTGCAGCTCCGGACGGGCGTTCTCTACGAAACTCTCCGAGCTCCATGAACAAGTCAAGCTTGATTGCACACCGATTCTGGCATGCTTTGATGTTGGATCAGAGTCGAAGCACGAATATTTGAGGTCCAACGCACGGTTCTCGCCATCGGCCGATTCTCCGTTGCCTTCGCCCGGCCTGCTCCGGAGGGAAATCACTTTCTCGTCCGAGTCGGATGAATCATATGGTCTCCAACTGCTGTCCCGGATTGCATCTGATCTCCAGGTCGACGAAGGAGTCAAGCTGATCATTCCAGTCGCCATCGTCCAGCCCAGGCGAAGGAACTCACATAATGAAATTCTTGACGAGGTTCATCGAAAGGAGGTGTTGGGGATGCGATTCGGTCCAGAGTCGGAGTCGGAAGGGGATGCGCTTGATGATTCGTCGGACATCATTGATGCCCAGCTTATGCTGCAGTGCCTTGACGCCGGAGCCCTGGACGTGGTCAGAAGCCCCCTTGACAAGGCAGGGATCATGGGCCTTACCGTTCATGCCTATCGGATCTATAAGGATGCGAAGAAAGAGCAAACGGGTTTCATGGCAATGGCGCGGAGAATGCGTAAACAATCATGGGTGGGCATGGAGGAGGAGAAGCCGTATGCCTACCTGCGAGAGGCCATGGTCAAGAAGTTGTTGAAGGGGATCTGTGAGCCCCAGAACATCATAGAAGATTATCAACACCGCGGCCTCTTTGTACAAGAGGCTCGGAAGGCGGCCGTCGCCAAAGCCATTGCCGGTTGGGACTTTTGTGGGCACGACTTCACGGAAGATGAGCTGGTCTATGCTGGGTACTTCATGCTGAACCATGCCTTGCAGATGGATGCCATAGAGAAGTGGCGCTTGAGTCGGGGTAAGTCTGTTGTATCTCTTGTTGGGTGTCTGTCTAACTTGCTTCTCAGACGAATTGCTGCACTTCATGCAAGGGTGTCGGGTCGCGTACAACTCCTTTGTCCTCTACCACAACTTCAGACATGCCGTGGATGTCCTACAATCGGTGTTTCACTTCCTCGTTCAGATTGGGGCTCTCCCACCATATCCTGCCGGCGCCGAGCCGCCCCCATTTTCAGACAAGAAGTCGCCTGCCGCTCATCTACTCGGACCATTCGAAGCCCTGACCTTGTTGATTTCGGCGATTGGACACGATGTCGGCCATCCTGGCGTCAACAATATGTTCTTGGTCAAGCTGAACGCTCCTTTGGCTCAACTGTACAACGACCAGTCGGTACTGGAGGCCTTTCACTGTGCTGCGTACTCTCAGATTCTCCGACGCCATTGGCCTGTCGCATTCCAGGACAAAGCTCTGCGCAAACTCATGATCAGCACCATCCTCGCCACCGATATGGGCATCCACTCCGATTATATGCAACAACTGGGCAACCTGCAGGAAAAGATCCACGAGACCCAGGCTACTGACGGGTGGGCCCCAAAGGACATTGACTGGGCCCGGACGTTGACATGTGCGCTGTTAATCAAGTGCGCCGACATCAGCAACGTGGTAAGTCACGGAACCCCTCCTATTGGCACCTTCACCATCTGACCAATCTAGGCGCGGCCCTGGTCAGTAGCAGAGAAATGGACATTCCTGCTTCAGGAGGAATTTGCACATCAAGGTCAAATGGAACAAGCTGTTGGAATGGAGACTGCCCTCTTTGGTGGCCCTCCGGAATTGGGAAACATGCTGAAGCTGGCTAATGGCCAGATTGGGTTCATGACCATCTTTGCGCATCCACTTTTCTCCAACGTCGCCGACATAATCCCAGCTATGCGCTTTGCCGCCGACGAGATCCTAACAAACAAGGGGGTTTGGTTTACCCGGGCGGAACATGAAAAGAGGCTGCAAATGCTGCAGAAAGGCACCCGCCCTGGCGAAGGCGGTTCAGTATCTCCCAGGACGCGGAGCCCCAATGGTCGACGGGGACTGGCCGAAAATGGTAGCGACAGACCGCATCAGCTTCCATCCTCTCCGCTGCGCGGCCGCGCAGATGGCCTGGAGGAGCCCCAAAATGTCGGCGAACAAACGCGCGGTCGAAGAACTGAACATGCCACTGCAGGTGACAGCTCTGAGCCGTCATCATTAGCAGCGGTTGCAGGAGTCAGTCTGCCTACAAACGATCCCACAGTCCGCGGCCCACCGATACGGACAGAGACCCGTGCCATGGAAAGGCCGGTCGATCATGACCTCTCCAGCGCCCACGGTAGTGGAAATCCAACCGAGCACAACACTCCAAGGCTCTCTGCATCGGGTGAAGAAGCACTTTCGCCAGAATCCAGCCGGGCATTCACAGACGGAAGAAGGGACAATGCGATCTCGATGCGCGCAGGAAGTGAAGCTATTCCACCGGAGGCTCTGAAGGCCGATAAGCAGGAGATATCAGATGCCGAGGCCCTCTCCAGGTTCAACTTTGCAACATCAAACCTAGACGAGCCTGTGCGAATGTATGATCCATCGCAAGCATATCCCGCAGGTCACGCCAACGCTCGAGCCAGTGCCCCGGCCAGCAATCTGGGTCTTAAGCACGCCAAAATTAACGCCACACACGAGGCTCGGCAGACCAGATCAGCGCAGAGCGAACATACCACAAGCACAACTCTAAGGGGTGGTGCAGAGGATAGTGCCATCACCCCAAGCCAGAGCACGGAGGCGACGAGTTACACGTCCGACAGAAGTGTCGAGCTGACACGCAATCAGACTGACTTCCAAACCATGCGGAATCGTTCGACGAGCGCCCCAATACAGCCAGCTGCGGCAGAGTTGAGCCCTAGTTTCAGTGTGGGGAGCAATAGCGCCGCCAGCGGCGACAGCAGCAAAGTCGATGTACATGCGACAATTCTCAGCAATGGAGATATGGGCGAAGGCCCTTTAATGGATCGAAGCCCCATCAGCAAGACGATTGGTCGACGGCGTAGCAGACTGAAGCTGGGTCTGGCTTTCTGGAAACGAAACCGGAGTGAAAAGACTGTCGGGGAAGAAGGCCGTCCCGACAGTCAAGGCAGCTGATGCAGGCATCATGAACAGCTACCTATGCTCACAGCTCTCAAAAAGGCTGGCTGAGTAAATTCGGTCGTGTTCACAGCGTCACATGGCTATGATGGATTACGGCGTCTGGAGGTTCTTTCGACTTCCGGCGGCTGTGTTGTGAATTTTTTTTCCCCTTAAAGGACATATCAAAATGTGGATGAAAGGAATCCGTGGCGTCCGTGCCGCCTTGTCACGTCTGTCATATCGGGGGTGGTGCGGCTTTTCTGCAGGGGCTTTAATCTTGCTTGTTTGTGTTGATTTATAATGGACATTATGCACGCACACACACACCCTCTCTCTCAGTCACCCACAGTCACAGTCACAGTCACAGGTACGGCTGGCTATGGTTGAGGCTGCGGATGTCGCCCAGGGAGAGTAAAGAGCATGCATAGCGGTTCTGGGGGCTCCAGCACGAGGAGTTGAACTCATTGTTATGATATGTTTGGCAGGTCAGATGAGATGGCGGCAGGACACGAAGGGACGCATGGGTCAAATGATGGACCCGTCAGCAATGGCTACTGGCTAGGTATATTGGGAGAGTGCTGTATACGAATGTATGTTTTTATGAGACAGAAAATGGGAGGGCGAGGAAGAGGAAGAGGAAACGCGTGCATCAGGGCAGGGCAGGGCACAGCACATTTCACCTACCTACCATACATCTTTGAAAGCAAGGAATCAGAATCAATTGAACAAGCTGAGGCACACTATACTGTCCGAGGTCAGGTTGTGAGAGTGAGAGTAACGAGCAGAGACAGACAGACACACAGACTGTCTCGAGGAGCAACCTGTATTGTCACTGATACTAGGACGAGTGAGTTTATATACCTCTACCTCGGAACCCAAGTACATCTCCCAAGCATTGGAAATACATGTACTGCAGTATACATGTGTCGACCAGATGGATATGACGAGTGTGGTGATTACTATCCATGTACATAAGTAGTAGTATTCCATTCCAAGCCAGCCTTCCTCGTACGACGATCATAGATACCTTAGACAGACAAGAAAAGAGCCTTGTCGCTGTCGCCGGCGGGCATGAACACAAACAAAAGTCCCCTGAGAAAGAGACGCTCCTTTGCTGTAGTAGTAGCCCTACTACGCAGTACACACCAGTTCGTGGTCTCTGTGTTTCAGCTGATACTAGTAAGGTAGATACTATAGGTACCTACCTATCCAAGAGCGCTGCGGAATTGTTTCAACAAGCCATTCTCCGGCCCGCGCCACGCTTTCTCGATCGATCTGCCCACCGAGCCTCGTCTACTAGTGGTAGTAGTAGGAGGAACTGAGGATGAAGCAGAGCCTTTCTGGCGAGGCTGAACCTTGTCCGGCTCCGACGACTCGTTCGCAACTTGAACAAGACTGTCGACGGCGTCTTCATCTTGGAGTTTGCCGGCATCCCATTCCCTGGGCTCGCCTTTTCTCCGCCACTTGACATGCTGTATGTCCGGGTCGCCGTCGCCGTCGCGCATTGTTTGTCTGCTGGATGCGCTTTTCCACCGCTCGATTTCGTCTTCGTCGAACCCGGCCTCGCGCATGCGGTCGGCCTGCTTGGTTCGCCAGGCGCGACGGTCGCGAAGCGCTTCGAGGGCGTCTTCCCAGTCGTCGCCAGGGTCGCGGCTTCGGCCTCGGCCTCCAGGAGGAGAAGAGTCATCTTCTTTTTCGTCAACATCAAGAGTAGGGTCGTATGCTGCGGAGAAATGGACATCGATGTTTGATCTGTGGGGTTGAGGCCCACGGTTGAATCCGCGACCTCTTCTGATCGTGGTCGTATCATTGAGTGGATCTGGCCCGATCAGCGAGGAGAGAGGATCTGAAGATGCAGACGATTTGTCAGATGAGGCGCTTCGACTGCGACGATTTCGGCGGCGACTCTTTCGATACCGTGGGGGTTCTTTGTCAATGTTATCGTTTGCTTGCGCCGGTTCGACCGCGAAGTCCTCATGGGAATGATGATGCCGGCTCTTTCTTTTCGGATCTGGCAGTGACGCTTGCTCGTTTTCTTTTTGTGGCTGCCGGCTCCGTGATCTCGATCGAGATGACAGTCTGTTTGATGACTTGTGGCGGTGGCGGTGGGATATTCTCCTGGAATGCCTATCGTCCTCACTGGAGTAGTCATGGCTGTGTCTCGTCTTGGGCCGCCGTCGTGATTGTTCATGCACACCGCTTCCGCGCTCGGGACTCCGGCTCCTCCTGTGACTCCTCTCCTCCTCGTACCGAGTATGCCGTGTTCGTGTTCGTTTCTGGTGCTCGTGCTGGCCATCGTCGCTCGCTCGTGCGTTCTCTGTGCCATCCTCCCTTTCTCGATGGTGCTGCCGCCGCGGTGTCGTTCGGCGGGCAGTATCGCCTGCAGATACGCTCGATCCATCGGCGTCCCTGAGTCTCCTCAGACGTATCCTTGCCTCGAGTTCTTCCTTTTTCTTCAGAGCCGCATTGTGGTTGTCGGCTTCGCGTACCAGAGTTTTGAGGAAGCGCGTGTTCGGTTTCGGAGCTGCATTGGCCGGCCTGATGCGATGAACAAGCCGTATCAGCTTCCGTTGATCCTCTATATGTTCTGCATAGATGAGAAGGTAGGGCAAGAAGCTCACCGTTGGCCCGTCAAAGCATACGTGCCCTGCGCCGCGTACCGGAGGGAACTCTTGCGAGCATCTTCGGCGAGCAGTCTCGCGACATAGTCATCGTCGTCGAGGCTTGCAGCATTGTTAGACATCGTGCGCCGAGTCTATGGCTGCTGTTAACATGTCGTCGTCCCTCATGGAGCCGTCGTCGTCGCAACTTACCTTGCAGAAAGAAAGATGAACATGGGGTGTCGCGGAGAGCGAAGCAAAGTGACGCTCGTAGTGCTCGGCAAACCTTCCTCCTATCGACGAAGAGCACAATGGATTCTACTCTATACTCCGAGTCTGTCGTCTCGAGTATCTCGTCCGCGATGGCACCCGGTTCTCCTCCCGCTGCTGCGGTGTCCTCCCAGCTTCCAACATCGCCGATAATGTACCTCGACGTCGCTATACCCTCCCAGTCTCGAGCGATCTTAACCTTGACGCCTATACTCTCGATGTCGACTCGGAGAAAAGGAGCAGGGAAACACGTCCGTCGTCCATAACATGCGTAGGGAAGGGTCATTGTCAAGTCCTGAACAAGAGGGCTGAATGCATGTGTCAAGAGCGCGTCTACTGAAAGGCGAGTTGGTTGGGAAACAGGCGAGCACAGAGAGAGATGGACGTAAAACATATCGACTTGTGGCGACGAAGCCTCAGTACCGGTCTGGGAATGATCTAATCGTCTAGAATTCTCTATCTATACATTTGTTGTCCCACATTCCGCTGCGCGTTCCGATCAACACAATTCTATCATGTACAGCCTCTCAGGCATCCACGACCCTCGTCCCTCGTCACACTCATACTACTGGATAAGGCACAAAGGCCACGCTTTCAATGTCGACGAAGCCATAGTTGTTGGGATCTCCAGAGGCCATCTTCTGACCCCATTTGGCCATATCTTTCAAGAAGGCGTCGACGTTCTCCTGCTTCGACATATCAATCGGCACACCGCCTTTGCCCATTTGTCTCATCTGAGACCCGGCGATGACAGTGGTCAGGCCGAAATCGTCTTGGTCGACCTTTTGATTGATGATACCCGTGATCTTGCCTTCGACAATATCCTTCGCGATGAATGGTTCCTGGGCTGCGGGTCTGCCGAGGCCAACGCCATCGACTGTCTTGAGAGCGTTCACCATTCCCGTAACGGTCTTGAACCCACCGGTGACATACGTCTTGGTCCTTGTGAGCCCGGGCGTGATCTTCTCGGCGAACTCCAGGAAGAAATTCTCACGCTTCCTGGTACTCTCGCGCTTGTAAACGAATCCCGGGGACTGGTAGGTACCACCGCTCAGCTCCACGAAGTCGAAAGTGGCTTCCTCCAGCAACGTGCATAGTTCTTTGGCCTCGTCGGGAGTGAAGCCACCGTCTTGGAACTCTACCGAGTTGATCTTGATTCCTAAGACGAAGGAGGCCGGAAGCTTTTGGCGGATCGAGTTTGCAATTTCGATGATGAGTCGGGCCCGATTGCGCAGGGACCCGCCGTACTCGTCCGTTCTCTTGTTGGTTGTCAGTGACAAGAACTGGGCGAGCAGGTAGCCGTGTGCACCATGCAGTTCGAGGCCGTCAAATCCAGCTTTGGAAAGGAACTCGGCGGCATGCGTGAAACGGTTGACGACGTCCTTGATTTCGTCGTGGGTGGCTGCGTGCGGCTTCGCAAATTTCATGCCCATGACATTCCCGGCAAGATGAACATCGCTTGCCGAGATCGGGTCTGGGTTGATGCTCTCTTCCACCTGCCGACCTGGATGGCTAACCTGTGCCAGGATCAGACTGCCGTGGGCCTTGGCTTTGGTGGCCAGCTCTTTAAATGCCTCGAACCTTTCCCCTTCAAATGGAGCATCCAAAGGAATGATCGGGTTACCCTTGGCTTCCAACTGGTGATAGTCGAGCATGACATTGCCGGTCAAGCACACTCCATATTGTCCCTCGCCCCATCGTTCGTAGAGGCGAATCAAGTTTGATGAAGGTACGCCTCTTTTTTCCTTGTGTACCGCGTCCCAAGAGGATAATCGTTCGGTCATGGCCGCCTTGAGGAATCGGTTCTGGGCTGTCCGTCCACTGAATTCGAAGTGTAATGGCTGGGCCAGAGGGGAGGCATCTTTGATCTCTGACGAATAACGGTCGGACATGGTGAGCAGCAAGGGTTTCACGGTCTATACTGTTTACAGGAGGTCTATTGGAATAGCGCACTGGAATGAAATATAGCGTATGTTGGCTGGACTTACGGATTTCCCGGGACGAGCCTGACCACATTTATACCTGGTATTCATGGAGAATCTCCGAGAAGAACCAAGAACGGGCCCCTTCTTTCAATGTCACTAGACCGCAAGTAGGAGGTTATCACCATATGGGTAAATGGTCCGAGATCCGTCCGGTGAATTTTTTATGGCGCGTCATTGATGCCCTGGGCAGATCTGTGCCTGTTGATCCGCGGACGAAAATGGACGAGCCGCCTGGATTTGTAAGATACACGGATAGACAACAGGTGACGGGATGTTCGGTAGATGGAGGAATGGAAGAAGCGGGCGGATGTGGAACCCGGGAGATACTCTGCCAAGGATGCTGCGATAGTAGCACATGATACTACAGGTACCCGCTGATTATGTAACCATCACTACGGTGAAACTTAGCCTCTCGGCGCCCCTAAGCCACAATGTCATGTGGCTAACATGTGACCACCACCGGACCGCCGCTCACATATTGGTCTTTGTATGTTGACATATCGATGTGGTTGATGGTCGCCGTCTCCTCAAAGACATAGGAAGTCAGAGTCATGGAGTGTATGGTCCAGAAGACGACCATTACCATCGTAGGAATCAACACCGTTGGTTGCAAGTCGCACATCTGGTCTGACAATTGGTGGCAATCGTGTTGAGGCCAGCGGTCGACACGATCTATACCAAGTAAGCATGTATGGGTGTCAGGAGAACGTCATTGTATGATTGACCAAGAACATGCGAGGGAAAACAGGCAGCCGATACACACTGTCAAAGGCATGAAAAGGGCACCGGGCGGCCACCATAGCATCAAAATCAATGAGAGACGAGATCACGTGAAAGCATGGTTTGTGTTCAATTTATTGATGCAAAAGCCCGTAAGCACTCCTAGATCCCACGGCTCACAGCTGATCATTCTTGTACAGCTTCTTGTCCCGGCCAAACTGCCGCTCCACCTCCGGCAGGGTCCGACTCCCGTCGGAGAAGCTCAAGTCGTCGATGACAGCCTTGGCCTTCTCGAAGAACGACATCTGGATCATGTTCTGGATTGACGAGCGCAGAATGATCATTTCAACGCCCTTCCACTTCGAGGAGCGCGAGGCTGCCTTGGCAGCAGTGTTCAAAGCCGCAGAGAAAGCAGCAGAGGCATTGGGGCCGGAGGAGGGAGGTGGAGCGCGACTGGCGCCAACGAGGTTGTTTTGTGCCCGAGTCTTCATTGTATCCAAAGGATACGTCTATAAAACAGGTTAGCAGACGACTCAATGGGGGAAAGAAGGTGAAAAGGGGTAAAAACGTACCACGACCCAGGCGCCAACGCCGCAGATTGCCCCTGCCACTGCCACAGAACCAGCCGGATTTGCGGTCTCGGCGCCGTAGTATGAGTTCAATGACTGCTTGGTTGCCTCGTAGACGCCAAAATAGATGCCACTGCCAATGACATCGCGAAGCAAGTGAAGACGGAAGCCAGTCCACAAGCCCAAAACTCCCTGTCGTGCGATGACGCGCTTCATTGACATCCAAGAGCTGACTCTGCCAAAATTCTTGTCTCCTCCTGCTCCAAGACCAGTATTGTTGCCTTTTGAGGCCATGAGAACGGAAGTTTGGGTAGCATTCTTGATCAATTCGACAGGAGCTATCTCCAGATTAGCATTCTTTCGTTGCCTGGAAGCTTGGCTAAACGTACTGAGGGCAACAGCAGTGACACCACCAGAGACCATGCCTGCGCCAGTAAAGCAAGTCATGGTAGATAGATCAGGATAGGTGCCTGGCTTGTTGACATGTTGCAGGGGAGATCGACCAGTGACGGATTCTATCCAACTGTCGAGGGTGTATTTGGCCTTTCGATAGATCGAGAAACCCAGGGCTCTTGACACAGTGATTGAAACCAGCGGAGTCAGGGTACCTGGATAAGAAGATCAGCCTTGTCGCTCTTTTGAAGACCAGAGGGAGCTGCCATACCTGCCCAGAAGCCACGAAGACCTTCAGTAGTGTAGGTGTATTTGGTTGCTTGAAAAGCGTTTCGGAAGTGGTGTCTTTTCTTGGTCAGTATCATCTGTAAACGGTATCTCAGGGGTCACATACGATTGCATTCGAACCTTGATGTTTTCCAAAGGAGCCTGGCTGCCGCGTCAGTCTTGTTCTCCAGCAAGGGCCTTTTGGGTTAGAGGTCACTTACGCCTGCGGCAACAGCCAAAGCGCATGCGGGAGCCGATGAAAGGACCTGTCTGTACTTCTTTGCGTAGTAGATCCGGGTATCCTTGGAGTTCCAGGTAGTATCCAGCTTCGCTGGAGGAGCCATGGCTAAGGGTGGTTGAGATGATTTTGATGGAAGTTTGGAAGTTGGATCATGGTCAAGAGGTAAAGTATCGTGTTGTTTATTGGCATGGCTCATGCCGAGACGATCCAAGTCAACAAACCACTCTATGATGTCGTTGCATGAATAGACGCCGCGGTTGAATAGGTATTGTATTGTTCAAGACACAATTGGGCTGCGGAACCCGATGGAACGCAAGAAGACCTCTCAATCACATGAGAAGATCCCTCTGCGTTCCACACTCCATGACACACTCCTTATTTATGAACGTCTTTTCCCATTGTAGAAACAAGCTTGAAAGGACGATCGATAGGAGAGCACACGATCAGTTCCTGGATATGGCACCGACGCGTTCGACTGAACTAGCTTCCTCTGACTCAAACGGACAGAGGTAGGACTTTGTTCAGCGGATTTCCTCAAGCTGATTCGCCGTCCGATCTTCTTTCAATATGGTGGGAGCAGTATGGGAGCTTTCAGGGCCCAGCCTGGATGCCTCGAAAGGAGCTGTAATACCCAAGTCGCAAAGAAGCTATTCAGCTCTGTAATTCTCCGCGAGAAGGGGGCATCAGGCTAAACGTAGCAGGACTTCGGTTTGGCAATGGAGGGTATCGACAGAGGAGGGAAAGGGGAGGACAGAGAGTCTCGCAATGGAGACAACAATGATGGAAGGAAATGTTCTTGCGCGAACGAGAAACACGCCAGAAATAGAGTCTGTCTCCTCTCTTTCTAACCCTGCTCTGGACTGGACTGTCTGTCTGTCTCGAGCGCTCTCTCTCTCTCTCTCTCTGGTCTCTGACTCTCGTTTGTTGTCTGGTCTTGCTCTGCGCAGGAGGGATCGAGAGTAGTAGTGGGAGATAGACAGCAAGATGTGGGGTGAAAGGGGAATGGTTGGTGGGATGGACCGAGCACAAGCGGGCCAGACGAGTGCCAATGCAGTCATTATCATCGAACCACAAGACACAGCAGATGGCAGACGAACAAAGCAGTGACGTAGGGGAGACCTGCCTTTGCCTTTGCTCACAGGTGCTGGATCCCAACTGGGGTTGCGTAAGGGGCAAGGGTTTAGAGGGGTCTCCAGGTTTGGGGGACTGTGGCCGCCCATGGCACCACTCCATCCCTGACACTCACCGATTGCTCGTTGGTCGATGGTCTAGCCTTCAAGTTCTTCCTTGCCATACACGAAGAGTGCAGGAATAAATATGTAGTAGGATGTGGTCATTACCTTATATCAGCTGCATGTTTGTACGGACCACTGAGAGGGGACTGCCACTCTGTTCGCCATGCCATGCTGTGTGAGGGTGCGTCACGATATGCAGTGGACGGTAGTGATTATTCATTGTCGACGGTCAGACAACTTGAACGGGATATGATTTATTGAATTGGTTGTGCTGCTAGACAAGAAACGGAGCATCAAAAAGGCGTGCGGACGCCAGATGCATGCCAGCAGCCGGCAACTACGCTCACTGGCCATCATCCGCACCTATATCCATAGAGTGGGTTGCTGTTTACAGGTAGGTACCCAGTCCACCTGGGGAGGGGAGCCTGAGGGAGTCTGGAGAGCCTCGGATATTTCGCTAGGTACCTAAGGTACCCAATAGTCTAGTACTTTAGGCGGCCTCCCCGCAATTTGAGGTGGCTAAGGGTGGGTGCCATAAATGCAATTGGAGGTGCCTCCAGGCCCATCGGCTGCGGTGATGCGACAGACTCGAGCTCAACCTTGAACCTCAAAGCCGAGGATGTCGGGCAATTGAATTCTACACCACCACTGCACCGCTTGTCGACACCAGTTACTACAACTACTGTATACGCGCAGATAAGATGCCCAATCCTGAACCTTTTTCATCATCTATCCCTCCAGCTTTGTGCTTTCCATTGCAACCAGGATAACTAACCTTCAAACACCGCTCCCTGCGTCTCGTTGAGCCTCTTCCAGCACCCAAGTTACCACTATGCCTCGCAGACAGCCAGCGCCCGCCTATGTCCTGGGTGTGGGCATGACCAAGTTCATCAAGCCACGCGGAAAAGTTGATTACACTGAACTGGGCTTCGAAGCCGGGATCAAGGCCATGCTCGATGCTCAAATCAACTACGACGAGGTTGACCAGGGCGTCGCTTGCTATTGCTACGGCGACTCGACCTGCGGCCAACGTGTCTTCTATCAATTCGGCATGACCCAGATCCCCATCTACAATGTCAACAACAACTGCAGTACCGGGAGTACGGGCTTGAACATGGCTCGACAAGCCATTGCGTACGGCGCCGCCGACTGTGTCCTTGTCATCGGCTTCGAGAAGATGAACCCTGGCAGTCTCCAAGCCTACTTCAACGACCGGGAGAACCCTACCGGCACCACCAATGCCATGTTGAAGGCCACCAGGGGCGTCACCAATGCACCCGGCGCCGCTCAGCTCTTTGGTAACGCCGGTCAAGAGTACATTGAAAAGTATGGCGCCGCCCCACAAGACTTTGCCGAAGTCGCACGCGTCAACCACGAACACAGCAAGAGAAACCCGTATTCCCAGTTCCAAGACGAGTATACTTTGGATCAGATCTTGAAGGCCCCCATGATCCATCCACCCCTGACAAAGCTGCAATGCTGCCCGACCTCAGACGGCGGTGCCGCGGCCGTCGTGGTATCTCAGGACTTCCTCGACAAACGCCCGCATCTGAAGTCGCAGGCGGTCTTGATCGCCGGCCAGCAGATGGCCACCGACTCTCCAGAGCTTTTCAGCCGATCGGCCATGGACCTCGTCGGATATCAAATGTCGGTGTATGCCGGCAAGAAGGCCATGGAGGAGGCAGGCATCACGCCTGACGATGTCAAGGTTGTCGAACTTCACGACTGCTTCAGTGCCAATGAGATGTGTGTGATTGATGCTCTCGGATTATGTCCCGGAGGTAAAGCACATGAGCTCGTCCGACAGGGCGATATCACATACGGCGGGAAGTATGTCATCAATCCATCTGGCGGCCTGATTTCCAAGGGTCACCCTCTCGGTAAGTGACCTTCTTTCCTGCTCAACCTAGAGACCATGAGCTGACCTCTCAACAGGAGCCACTGGCCTCGCTCAATGCGCCGAACTGACATGGCACCTTCGAGGATGGGCCAACAACCGTCTCGCCAATGACACAAAGTACTGCTTGCAGCACAATCTGGGTCTCGGCGGCGCGGTGGTTGTCACCGTATACAAGCGTGCAGACGGCAAAGCCGCTATCCCGGTGTCGGATCAGGAGGTTGGCAATGCTAATGGCCTTGGATATAACCCGGCCACGGAGGCCAAAGGCTTCACCCCTGAGCAGGTCAAGCGGACGGTCAGCCAGAAGAAGTACTCAGACTGGGCAGTGCAGGACGTGCCGGCCAAAGTACAGGCCAGGTTCTGAGTCGGATGTTTGCGTTTGGCTACGACCGTAATGTGTGAATGTTGATTGAACTGTTATAGCGATGACCCATCACAGCTCTATATTCTGAGAAGCTCTTCCATCCCCAGACCTGCTATATACCTTGTGCATTGGTGTCGTGATGTTCGGCAAGCAATACCTGGCATCCAATGTAGCGCTGGGAGTGTCGATACCGGCCTCGTTGTCTTTTGGCTTGCCTGGCTCAATGTCGCGTTGCTAACTGGTAGCAGAGCGTCCGGCGCATTCAAGACACCATTATGGGTTGCATTGATGCTCCTGCTGTTCCCCCTTCAGGATCCGGCTCAGCACCATACAAATAGCATCGCCGAGTTGTTTCGTGGTTGCACAGCCACCAAGATCGGCGCTGCGGATTTCCAGGCCGCCTATATCCTTGCCATCCAGGACCTTCTGGACCGCGGCTTCGATGGTGGTGGCCTCGGGAGCGAGGCCGAACGAATATCTGAGCATCATTGCCGCGGAGAGGATCTGGGCGGTGGGATTGACCATGCCCTTTCTCGCAATGTCGGGCGCGGAGCCATGGACGGGCTCGTAGATGCCGTTGCAACGATTGACGCCGTCGGGAATGCCGCAGAGACTGGCGCTGGGGAAGACACCGAGCGTGCCGACCACGCCGCCGGCCTGGTCCGAGAGCATGTCACCAAAGGTGTTGTCCGTGTGGATGACGCCGTTGAACATGCGCGGGTTCTTGACCATCAGCATGCTCAGGCTGTCTGCGAGCTGGTGGCGGAGCTCGATGTGCGGGAATTCCTGCGCAAACGCCTGGCTCGTCACCCGTTGCCACAGCCGGCCGGACGCAAGCACGTTGGCCTTGTCGCTCGACCAGACCGTCGCGGGCCCTTCGGGGCATTGGCCCGTCCCGAGGCCGTCTTTGCCCATGGTCGGTGCCAGCGCCGCGGCCACTCGCGCGCACCGCTCCACCTCATCGCGCCGGTATGCCCACGAGTCGCTGGCGAAGTCGGCCTCTTCGACTTTCTGGCCGAAAGACGCGCCGCCGCAGTTCTCCCGGAGGAGGATGAAGTTGGTGCCTTCCGCGATCGCTGGTTTCAGTGGTGACAGCGGGATCAGCGAGCGCGAATAGAACGTGCACGGTCGGATGTTGGCGAATGCGTCGAGATGTTGTCGGAGCCGAAGCAGACCGGACTCGGGGTTGGGGTAGGTCGTGCCCCTGAAGCAGAGAGAGAGCGGATGTTAGCCCGAGCTCGATGTTGAACTGATTGAGCCTCAAGCATCCAGGAGACTAAAAGGACCTAGAGCAGCCTCAATGGCATGGGATCGGACAACATGAATAGCTCTGCCGTCACAAGCGCAACAACCAAACACGGTATCAAACTCGTGTCCAAACATACAAAACTCACCATTCCGGCCCACCCACGCTGCCGAACAAGACAGCATCGCTCTCCTCTTTCGCAATCCTCAACACCTCGTCCGTGATCGGCGTGCCGTGCCGGTTGATACTACACCCACCGGCGATCTGGTGATTATACACGAACTTGATTTTCCCCACGGACGAGGTCTGCACCACGTCCAGGACGCGCAGGGCTTCGACCATGACTTCAGGTCCGACATGGTCGCCGGGGAGGACGAGGATGCGGAATGTCTGCGGCGTCGAACTGGGATCGGAAGAGGGGCTTGTAGTTGGAGCAGCCATCTTTGAGTGAGTGAGAATGATCTGGATGAGCCGATGCTTAGATGACCCGGGATGATGACTGGGTTGGAGAGATATAGGTGTTTCCGACACTCAGTAGATCAATACGTAGTTGATATAGGCACAGAATTGCTCGAAAGAGGTCAACCACCCCAGGGTAGACTCAGGTGATAGATATTCCAGCCAGTCCATCCTCACCGTTGCTTTCTCTCCTCCCCTTTTCCACTCCAGTCTCAGACTTTCTACCGGTTCTTCCCCGCCCTTCACGAGACTGCGGATTCTCCAGTTCCAAGTTGGAGAAAAGACCAAACATGGCGATACGTACCAAAGTCCAGTCCGAGGTAACTGACTGCAGTTGTCCCTCTTTTCCACCTCCGATCGCGGAAGGTCTGATTGACTGAATATGCCCGGTCAGTTGTACAGAGTAGAGTTGTCTGGCCATGGTTTGACTTATCGCCGACTCTGACACTGACAAGATCATGCATGCGGTGTTTCCATGAATCACATTGGTCTCGTCCCCTACATCCAGACTGATTCCATTAACAACATATAAACCCACCGCTTCCTACCCGTCACATGACTATGCAATCCCGGTCTGGCCTCTGCATATTCCCCGGCCTCGAAGGTCCTCCGCCGTCGCCGCCTACAGCACCCTGCGGGACATCCAACCCTTGCATCCGCTGAGGACCGTAGTACTGCGCCGTCTCATTATATGCACTCGTCCGTCGTGCAGCGTGTCTCCTCCCTACGACAGCATTAGGGCCAGGGGGATGAGGGTCGACTGTCGAGGCTGATGTATGGCTGATCGTGCCGCTGAGTTGCGTGTTGGACGCCATGGGACTGGGGTCGGCCGAAGGGTGAAGAGGGCTTCCGACCGGAGGTATGTATGGTCGTCCCTTGGCTGCTTCTTCGTATGCCGGTGGAGCGTCGTCCACAAGAGCGTCCGCGGGTCGATTTACCCCTGGATTGGTGGTGTGCGACGTCCGCGGTGGTATCACCGGTCGAGCTTCAGCCTGTGGTCGTCTCGACACAGGGGTCGCCGCTGCCGGCCTCCTTTGGCTGTTGTTGCCAGGAGGGTTGGCGCTGCTTCGACGTCGATTTCTTTCCGCCCGCTGCCGCTGCTCTTCTTCTTCTTGAAGTTGCAAAGCCATGGCGAAATCGGCGTCATGTTGTTCTTGTTGCTGTTGAGGCGAAAGTGGAGCAACGGAACCGGTGCCCGGAGCAGACAAAAGCTGGGATGATCGACGAGCCGCGGGATGTCTGGACTCCTCGTCTTCAACGGCATTATGACTGACGGGCATGAAGTCGCCCGAAAAGAACTCGTTGCGTTGCCCGCTGATATCGACCAGACTTTCCCAGATGATCTCGTCTCGGTCGGCGTATCCGGCATCCGTGATCAAGGTGAAGATCTGAGCGCTTTCTGGGTGTTTGTATACCGTGCTAAAATGGTCATTTCGGAACATAATAGCAAAGGAGCCCGCTGACAACGACTCTCGCACAGCCTCCAATCCCGTCGGAGTGAGTTGCGTGGGATACGTCTTCAGGAAGTTCTTGATCGAATTGATGTCTTCCCACAAATTCTGTTCTTCCTGCGACAATCCTTGATTGCTTAGCTTGTATTCCAATTCTTCTTCACCAAACAGCAAAGCTTGGGCATCCTCATACGTGGGAGCCGATCGAGCAAATGCTCTCGCAGCATCGGACCCAGGTTCGGGGAGCCAGCCATGGACCAAAGGCACCGAAAAGGCAGCATACAGTTTCATGTCTGTGGTGCTCTCGAAAGTCCCGTGTTTCCCCTCGGATCTTCCATATTCCGGGGGTTGAAGGCCTGAATCATCCAAATCCATCAGATTGGGCGGCTGTGTCGATGCCGGGACGAATCTGGGATTGGCATTCATGCCAGTACGTAGACGCATCAGAAACTCGTTCAACTCGTCGACATCCGGGAGACTTTGTCCGACGGCCTCCCCAGCACGGGACAACAACTCGTCCATCAAGGTCTCAATGATGAGTCCGAGCGTGACTTGCTCCCGAGACCGAAGTGCATTATCCAATGCGGCCTGGGATGCGTCCTTTGCTCCCAGTATCAGAGCATTCACCAGGGCAAGAAGAGGACAAGGTCCGTTCTTGTTCTGGGTCAACATGGCGGACCTCCGTAGTTTGCGAGAGTGATGGTCAAACCAGTTGAAGTGTTTGATCTGATATGTCTCACTCCTCTGCTCAACCATCCTGGCAACCTCCTCCTCCGAGGGAGCCGTTGTGCGTACCAACGGCCTCGGTGGCTTTGGCGGAGGCGGCCCATCTGGTGGATCGAAATGATCGGTGCTAGTCTGTTCGATCGGGCGGGTTGGAAGAGGGGGCCCAGTCTCACCGTCGCTGTCTAGCAAAGATGGCTCATCGCGTGGTTCTGATCCAAGATGAACCGCATTCGGTAACGTTGCTAACTCATCTCCCAACGACACCGCTCCACTCTCTTGTTCGCGGTCTAATAACTCCTCGGTGTAATTCGAGACTTGCTTTTGTGAAGGTGAAAATGGGATGGGGGATGGCGTGGGAGGTACAAGATGTAGGTTCGAAGCCCAGGGATTTTCCATCTGTTCTTTTGCTGGGGAGACCGGTATTAAAGGGGGCTGTTTACTGAAAGGCGAAAGGCGTCCTGCTGGCGGAGGGGGTGGAGGAGCCTGTGGCATCGGAGGCGACACCACCTGCTTTTCCCCAGCCCAGCTCCCTGCTGACGTCTGGGCCTCTTCTGGTCTCTGGTGGGCCGAGAAATCTGGCATTCCGCTGGTCGCAAAGGACAAGGACTGGAGCTGGCTTGTGGGATACGACGCGTCTCCTCTGTCAGGTTCTTTGCCCTTTGCCAACTCGGTTTCGCTTTCCTGGCGCTCCCAGCCTCGCCTTCCCCACATGCCATCTTCGACTGTTGAGGAGGAGGGTCGTCTGAAAGGATTGTTTGAGGCAAGCTGGGAGGCCGTTTCGAAACTCGGTCTCGAAGGTTGAGGAGGTGATACTGTCCCAACTGGCTTTCTCCTGATTCCGGGAGACCTTTCAGGGGGCTCTCCATCGCCCTCCGAGTTCCTATTGGTATCCACTAGTGGTAGAGTCGAGCCTGGCTTTAGGGGACTTTTCCCGCCCTCCTCTTGTTCCTCCTCATCAGAGTCTTCCCAGAAATCCTTAGACCTTTGGCTGTCCAGCGAAGACCTCGGCGTATCTTCTTGTGACCGACCAGCCCGAAGAATCTGCGGGACATTCGGCTGAGGTTGGCTTCCTGGTGCAGGGGGGCTATCTTCAGCGGTACGTGGTGGACCTGGCCTCAGAATGTCTGGCAGTGGCCTATCCGACCTCAGCTCGTTGGCTGGAGCATCGAACCACGGGTTCTCTACACTCTGGAAGCCGAACGTGCCTTGAGGGTCTGTATGCCGTTGTGTAGAAGGTGGAATGGGATAAACATCGGCTGAGGCAGGGACTGAACCGGTGTGCTGTGAATCGGCGGAGAAGGATGGTTGACGCGGTGGACTGGCAGGATATGGCAGCGACATCTTACGCATGACCATGATAGGCCACGGGGAGGAGATCGCAAAGCACAGGCACAGGCACAAGACTGCAGATTATTAGAGAAAGAATGAAGGCCGGGTGGTGAGATCTTGTTGTATGGTTTGGGAATGCGGTTGGCTGCCTGCGCCCCCTTCACATGATACTGGTGGTGGTAGTACAGTAGCCGCAGTCAAACCGGTAGGCATCAGTGCGCTCTCCCCTTTCCTCGACAGTGATGGGAGAATAGATTGACGCTCGACGCAGAGCAAGACAGAGTCACGGGAAGATCACAGTCGGGGTCGAGTTAGAGTGAGGGTCATGGGAGAGGAGGGTAGTAGGATAGTAGTAGGATAGAGGATGTGAACGCGGGAAGGCTGCGTTGGTTGCGGAGTTGAGGGAGTGAGCAGTACGTAGTAACAGCAGCCGCAGGTTATCGCAGATTATCTTATCGAAAGTGGTTGATTGCAATTCAGTTCTCAGTTTGTCGGCGTCTTTATTTTACTCTCTTGCTTCTTGGAAATTTATTACCCTCCCGTTCTCTTCTTACACACTTCGCTGCCTCAGACACGAGGAGTCTCAATCGAGGTCTCTTCACCGCTCCATTTTATTACGTTGGTATCTCTCTTCCTGCGCCCGTCGGCCCACTGTGCAGCCACTCCTCTTGACCATCTTACCCACCGAGCTACCTACAGGTATTGTTAGCCGCCGATGACGTACCACGGCAGGGATACAAGAATATCTGCTAGGGAACCCAGCTAAGGAGGACGTGGGACCCAAGAGGTGTTCTAGCAAGAGGTGATGCAGATACTAGTACCAAGTTCAACCTTTGCCTGCGGTGGCTGTGCTCCTCGTCACTTCGTCCTCGCTGTCGGTCGAACGCCTTTTATAGAGCAGGCAACACTATTATGGTACTATTATGGTGCTTGTTGCCAATGGCGGGCTATATAGCGCAATCGTGTTTTGCAATCGTGTTGCCGCCTGTTGCTCGATCCAAGTCAATGTGCAATCTTACCTCAGGTAGCCTCCCTTGTTTTTGTCACCGCATCAGGACTCATCTGTTGTCCTAATACTGATGCACATACACTGATCATGTCGCCTTCGAACAACCACCAATCCCATTCCCACAAGCACAAAGATGGCCATCGACTTCGCTGCTCCATCACAGCCCTGGGAATGACGCCATCCCCTGCTGGAGAAAAGATCTCCATACATCAAGAGACAATACCAACGACAACCCAATCCATGTAATCCCCAATCATTCATCCACTCGGCCAAACAGGTACAGTGCCATCCTACAGGGAACAAACCTGTGGCCATTCTACTCCGGTCACATACAGAAAGCAAACATCTAAAGGTACATTCATCCACACTAAGTGAGCTTCTTCCGGGAAAGCCCAACTCATCTTATCCCGCATTGAGATCAATGGTACAGACGCAGACAAACACACACAAATGTCTCGTGGCAAATCAGCGTCTATCTTCCCGCCTCGGCTCTCCACCTTGGCTCAAGGCACGGAAATGCCCTGCAGCTCCAGGATGTAGACCACGAGGCTGTGGCTGTTGTTGGAGATGAACATGTTGCAGCGGATGCTGTGGTGGCTGGGTCGTGCTCGGCGCCTGATGAGAGGGTGGTGGAGCCGCTCCACCCTGAACCTGACCCTGATACGGAGGCTGGTGCTGGTGTCGAGGCTGATGTTGAGGTTGGTGAAGGTGTTGTTGCTGTTGCTGTTGCTGTTGCTGTTGCTGTTGCTGTTGCTGTTGCTGTTGCTGCTGCTGCTGCTGCAGGTGTTGATGATGTTGGTGCTGGTGAGTCAGTGGGGTACCCAGGCTTCCAGGACCGGGGCCTGTGTAATGTGAATGAGAATGAGTGTGCGCATGTGGTGGTGTGAAGGTTCGGGGAATCTCGCGCTGCGCGAATGCCATATGTCCCTGATTAGCTGCAGAACCCATTTGATTCTGGCGCGACACCGCTAGCGAAGGGTGCTGTTCGATACCGTAGACATCTCGCCTCAGCTGCTGCTGCTGCTGCTCGCGGTCCCGATCTCGATCTCGATCGCGCTGGGCCATCTCCAGTTCTCGATGTCGATGTAGCTGTCTTTCATGCTCCCGCTGTTGCTCCTGCTTTTGCTGGCTCTGTTGCGCCATGTGTTGTTGAATCGTCAGACGGGGTTGGTAATCAAGGGACGAGGGCCCTCTTTGGTGAAGACCCGGTCCAAGCGTAGCGCTTACCGATTGTGCATGGCCGGGTACCGCCTGCTGTAGTCCTATCGAAGGGGTAGTGCTCTGCGCGGAGGGAGCATTGGGATATCCAAGGGATGTGACCCGGGAGTGCTGCGACGAGCCCGAGGTCGACCGATATTGCTGCCCCGGTTGTGAAGGCTGTTGAGGCGGTGGCGAGGGTGCATGTGGCATCTGGTTGATTTGCCCCAAGAGTGACCGTCGGTGGTCCAGTGCAGCACGTTCTAGACTTCTAGGAGTCTCACCTCGCACCGGACCCAAGGGCGCCTCACTTCTCGGAGGAACCAAAGAGTAGTGTCCTGGGCCAGGAGATTGATGGTGAGTTCGTTGTTCAGCGGGACCACCTTGAGTCCGCGGGTCGAACCGGTCCATCCAAGACTCGTTACTCGGCGCACTAACTGGTGTGGCGGAGAACCCACTCGGATACTCCTGACTTGCTTGTTGAGCAGCTGCAGTCTGGGAAAGACCGCCATGTCCATATGGCCCTCTCACCGATCTGGTGACCGACAGATCATCAGGGACCGTCTGACTGCGGGACGGTTGCAAAAGAGGCTGAGGAGCGGACACAGGTGCAACCTGCGGTGAAATCATGGACTGTCGTTTTGCTGCATCGAGCGACGGGCGTTTTGGCGGAGGATCGGGCGGATCGTCATTGAGGAGACCAAACACATTTGAACGCTTTCCGGTGGGTTTGGAATGGTCGGCTGGGGGCGGCGCGGAAGCAGGCTGAGGCATGTCGCCCCGTAGAGGTTGAGAGGCGGGAATCGGTGTCGGTGCGGGCGCTGGAGAAATGGCTGGCCCCGGTCCGTACAGGGCACGTTGATTTTCGGGGCGACGCAGGGAGGACAGATCCTGGGGTGTCTCCATAGCTACATGACCTGGAGTGGCTGCGCTTCCGGTGCGGCTGTGGCTCGGTCGAAACACATGTTGCTGGTCATGAATATCGCTTTGCAAATGCGGACCCTGGGCTAACTGGACCGGAACACCTTGCGGTCGCTGCTGTGGTTGGTTCAAGGCTTCCCGTTGTCCGAGGACAGTGTGCGTAAGAGTCGACATAGGAGCTGGCTGGCTTAAGTCGGGTTGAGGAGCATCTTGAGAACGCTGAGGGTGTATCTGAGCCGGAATATCGTTCAACGATACCCGGAGTGGTTGGCGTGAAGGAGGAAAGGCGAGATTGTCATCCTGAAAGACTCCAGGTCTCGGACCATGCAAGTGTTTTGGTCCGTATAAGGATGCGCGATCATGTGCCAATCTTGGAACCTCTTCGGCCTTTGCTAGCGGTGCTCCCGACATGGGGGTTTCAGATATGACTTCTCGGATGGAGCGAGGCTTCATGACTACCTCACCCACTGCGGTTCTTTCCACAGTGCTGCGGTGCACGTCTTCAATGATGCCTTGCTGAACCGCTGACACCGCAGTTTCCGTGTCAGCCATGGCCTGCTCGATTTGTGTTGTATGACGACCCATTGGAGCCAGCGCCGACGTTGCCTCATATCGACGTTTCGGCGGAGCGATTGGACTTGGTGGTTGCCCTGGTATATTGCCAGCCATCCTCATCTGATCACCCTTCTGTGCAAGTCTCTCGAAGTCGTCTTTTCCATCGTTCAACTGCCGAAGGAAGTAATTCTTGATCTGCAACGAGTTAGTCCTAGTACTATTACGTTTGACCACGACTTACCATAGTCACGCTCTTCGTCTTCATGAACTCCGCTATGGCTGCATAGTCGTGCCCGAAATATGCCAGGAGGACCGGGAATTTATGCTGTTCAGGCACCGACCAATAGCTTGTCACTTGAGATGCCGCCGGGGTCTGGACCACCGGCGGCATAGGAGTCATAGGCGTCATATCAGAGGCAGGATATTGTGGCACTCCAACCTCGGCTGTGCGCTGTAGTTGGGAAACAGGCGCCGGCTCCTGTCTGATGGGAACATTTTCCGCGGTAATAATGGCCCGGACTTTCTCCGCCTTCGCGGCAGCGGGAGGCTTGCCCGCCGAACCCTCAGCAGCATTCAGAAGTAGAGCTTGCTGGTCAGCTTGTATCTGTGCTTTGGTTCTACGGTTTCTGGTAGCAATGCCGGCCTTGCGCCCGCGCGTTGTCTTCGTCGGTCCTGGTTCTGCACTGCCATCCTTTCCAGCGGCGGTGGGTTTCCTGGATTGCGGTGCGGGAGTTGAGGAATCAGCTTCGCTGGCAGCGTCTCCAAACGTGGGCGCGGCTGCTCGTCGTGGCCTCCCACTATCCGTAACGGCAACGGGCGCCGCGTCTGGATCGTTGCGGTAGTCTAGTTCCGACATGAGGGCTGTCGACCGGGGTTTCGTCGCGGCCCTACCGCGCTTCTTCCTGGGTTGAGATCGCCTCCAAAGGTCTTTGTAGCGCGCTTGGGTCTTGGTTAGGTAGTAATGAACAATGCAATCCTGATACGTCCTTCCCGGGATAGACTCGGCAATCTTCCCCCATTTCTTCGGGTACTGGCAGTACGCTGCAATGAAGAGGGTCTGCTCTTCTTCGTTGAAGTCATCCTCTGGGGGGAGGTAACGAAACACATCCAAGGCAAGTTCTGCCGGTATCAGGCCATTCGTGTCCTCAAACCTGGATAGCTCAATGTCCGCAGGTTTCATCATGGGAGGGATGACAGCCTCCAGATCGTAATTCGGCAGAGAGCTGGAGTTGGCTTCTCGCTCTCTTCTTTCCTCCTCTTCTTTCAGTGACTGTTGCGACATGAGGATGGCAGCCTGGAGATCTGCCTCTGTAGTATTCCTAGCTCCTCGAGTACGCTCGTGGGTTAATGAAGGAGTGACTGATGCTGTAGCGGACGGTGCAGGGGAGGCCGGGGCTGGGCTAGCCTGCAGCTCGCGTCTCTCTTGTTCTAGGTGAATAACCCCCTGTTTCCACAAAGAGTACTTCCGCCGAAATTCAGCATGCATGTCCTCAAGGTCGCTCCTCCAGTCCCAGGCGCTTCGTTCAAATTCTTGTTGCAGAAGAATCGAGATGGCCTCATGTTCAACTTCGTCGTCCGATTCTTCGAATACAATTCTTTGAGGTGGGCCTACCCTCAAGTACGGTAGGTCTTCGATTGGTGGGGTGGGGATGGGGTTCACGTGTGGCTGCTTGAGCGGTCTCCCTTTAGGATAAGGGCGCTGTTCTTCCTCATGGTCCAACCTAGCTTCGTCTTCCTGTGAAGCACGGTCTGGTGACGGAAGACCGGCAGAGATACCAACAGGCGCCAGTATTCCTTCTTCTTCCTCTTGTTTGGTGGCAGCCACAGGTGGTGAAGGTGGACGTGTCACAGCCTCCTTCAAAACCATCTCAAGGAACTGCAATTTGATAAGGAGAGCCACGATGGCCTCGTCTTGTAGTAGCGGAGGAGGCATTCGAGCCTCAAGCACAGCCATCTCTTGTCGGAATCTTTCTTCCAATTCTGCATAGTACTCTTCATCAAATGAGTCGTCCTCTGCCTCATCTTCGTCCTCGCTTGATGCAGGCACCGACATCTCCACATCAGCTGGCTGCTGCTCTTGGCTGACAGACTCTTTGGGAGAGGGTGAAGTAGGTTTCGCTTCCCGGGGTGGAGGACTTGTTGATAATAGGCCTTTGGGCCCTGAAGGTGCCGATGGAATAGGACCAAGAGAAGTCAATGGTCCTTTCACCTTCTCTGCAGCACTGTGGAATGCAGTCTGCTGCCTCGGACCTGTAGGAATAGTGACTGACCTATCGCGCGCTTCGGGCTGATAGGGCTTGTTTGACGCGTTTATTGCTGATGGCTTGGGTTTATATTCTGGGGAAACCCAAATCTTTGAACCAGTCCCTGGTAGCGGTCTAGCCGTTTCTCTGTCGAGACGGGGTCCGGTTGGTATTGCAGGGGTCCTCACATCTGGTATTGAGGATTTGGCAGATTCTCGTGAGACAGTAGGAGCAAGAGCAGAACCGATTGGTTCAGTTGATGACAATCTTTGTCTGTAAGGAGGGGCTGTGGTCGATCGAGGGCCAGACGGGACGTTCGGTGGCATAGCGCGGTCTGCAGCCGGAGCTGTAGGGGGTTTGGGATCTGCAATTGAGTCATCTTTCTTGACAGACACCTCAGCCGAGGTATTGCTAGCAACTGGAGTAAGACTAGGTCGATGAGGACGTGAGACTGGGTCAGGGCGAGGCCAAGAGTCATGGTGTTGTGCAGCCTTTACACTTTGGCCCGGTGTTGCTGTGATAGACGTTCTTGCGGCCTTCGGCCCACTAGGCGGCTGGAAAACGGACGATGAGCTTGTCGTGGTGTCAGCTTTGGGGCCCTGAGGCCTAACTGGAGCAGCTCTCTCGGTCGCAGATGTGGTAGTAGAAGGCAAAGAGGGCGGAGGACCATAGTCGAGGGCAGCAACAGCAGAAGACTGTTGTATAGTCTGGGCGGGTTCACGTCGAGATGGATCCGTCCTGGGTCCGCCAAAATAGTCGGCTTGCTCCTCGTCGCGCCGCCCCTCGCGCATAGAGCCCGTAGGGGTTGGAGCAGCCGAAGGTCTTCGAGCGACGTCAATGACAGGCCTTCCGGGCCGATCAGCGACAGCGGCGGCGGGGATGGTGGTAATCCCACTGGATGTGCCCACAGAGCTCTTGCCGGGTGACTGCTCTCTTGGCCAGAGATCGTGATCACGGCCTCTCGAATCGCGCTCTCTGCTACGATCATACTCTCGGCGGTCGTAGCGGTCTGCACGATCGCCATCTGAAGGAAGCGGGCGGCCTCGGTCGAAGTCACGCTCCCGCCAACCGTCTCTGGACCGACTACGGGGATGGAAGAGGTCACGATCTCTGTCTCCAACAAAGGAATTTCTTCCTCTACCCCTATCCCAATCACCCCTTCCCCTTCCACGCCCTAAGCCACCTCGTGCTGCTGGAGCGTAGTACGAAGATGCCGACTCTGATTGCCGAACAAACGTGGAGGGGATAGATTCGCGAGAATCCCTCCGCGGACGGAGGGGTGAGGCAGACCGATCTCTACCGGCATAGGGTCTGCCATCCCTTGCAGAAGTTAAATCGCGGTCGCGCCTGGGCCAATCCACTCGGTCGTCAGCATCTCGGCCTCGATAGGATGGTGGTCCTGGACGGGCATCACGATCACGATCACGGTCCCGATCGCGATCCCACGTGTCAGCATTGCGAGCAGGGAGACCTCCGCGTCCACGGGATGCAAAAGAATAGGGAAAGGCCCCACTCCCACCGCCGCCAGCACCCCCGCGAAACTCGGCTTTCGGACCGCGAGGAGGGGGCCGATCTGATGAGGGCGAGACGAGATCTGCTTGACCCCTGTAGGAAGAACCTAGCGAGCTGTAGGTAGTGGAAGGTCTGCGATCATATCGAGGCGGAGAGCGATCCCTGGCTGGAGGAGGATATCTCGACGACATAAGCGAATAGACGTTGTCTGATATTAGATAAGCCGGACAAACACTAACCCGATCGGGGCTGGGACATCACGTGCTCCAGCTGGCGGAGATCCGGGTGGACGTGGAAAGTTGGAAGTGGCTTTAGTCGCAGGTCGCAGGTCGCAAGTTGCAGGTCTGATCGTGCTAGTGGAACGCCCCTTGGCCCCCAGGCTGTGTCCAGTGGTGGAGAGCGTTTCAATGAATGGGCGCAGATTATTCGGCCGTCGTCGAGATGCCACGCTGCGCTTTTTGCCGCCACACTGCTGCCACACTGCTGCCACACAGGGCTTCTTGAACCACGCCAAATGCCTGCCTGTCCCAGCGATATCGTACTGGCAAGCTAATGCCTCGTCTTTCCAGGTTCGCTCTGTCTGGCCAAAAGCCTACTGCGGAAGCCACACGCAGACAGAATCCCAGACAATAAGGTCAGGCTCACCTTGCCTCCACCCGATTCATACCGCGGTGGTAGTTCGAAACGTGACCTGGCCCAGAGCTGGAAAGACCCTCTCTCTGTATCAGCCAACCAGTCGATGGTTTTCCTTTGCCGAGAAATCACCCTGCAAACAGGCCGCCCAAGGCAAAACTAGACACGTTATCAATGACCGCGCAAGGGACTGCGCGTATCAATGTGAAGGTTGAGATGTTGGGCTTGATGAGATAAATTGATAATTCGCACGTCCGGCGCGTGGTCGAGGCTTCGATTGGTGGCAGAACGAGAAGTACGCTCTCCTCGGTCTGGGGAGAACAACTCGTAACCCTGTTTCAGACAGCAATAATGATCGAAATGCCGGCTTTTGGTGCACGACACGAAGGATAGCGTGCCCGCGGATGACTGGAGGAGGATGCGCGATGCGGTTGATCGGTACAGGAACGTCGACGGGTAGACTCGAGAAGAAGGATTGTAAAGTCCAGGAGGGAAAGAAGACGAAAGAGAGGGTCAGACAGCAGAAGCGCTTGAAAGGTTTAGCTGCGGTTAGCCGCCGATCCAGCAGCAGTACTAGGCGGCGTGCCAGATTTGCATTGCGCACTGAGGTCTAGGCGCGGTGAACGGTGGTCAAGCGGTGACACCTAGAGTTTGTTGTTATTACAACCGAAGGCTTCAGCTATTGGGTGCCAAAGTTGAGAAACACCAATGTAAATACGGGCTCATTACCGGATGCTTGGGTCCCCAAGGTCTTGGTGAGTGCTGGGAAGGGCCGCCACTGGCCAGCTGGGAGAGGGCCCGAGGGAGCGAATCGAGGAGCGGCAGGGGCGAAGGAGGCTCATGAGGCCGCCTTATTAAGCCGTCGATTAAGCTCTGCGGGCGCCCAGATCCCAGTTTGCCGGTTAGAAGAAAAAATTCCCCAGGCTGTAAATGACGTTGCCACGAGGTGTCGGAAACATTTTATGCCTCGACAACTTGAGGAACAAACCATGACCTCGCTTTTCCATCCCACCATTATGTCGATGCGATGACTGCACCGCTGCCACCCCGCATCGCATCACATCACACCAGCAAGAGACGGTAAATATGGGTTCTGCACCGCCGACGAAAGCCACCGAGGCCGTCCTGGTTCCCTCGGAGCCTGTCGCAGAGGACGCCAAGCAGGTCAAGGGCATAGATTGGTTGTCCCTACCAGCGGAACAACGAAGCATCATCTCCGATTTTGTCGAGCAGCTCACGCAGCAAGGCTTCCAGTCTAGCTCAATAGGCGATGCCATACGTATCATCAATGACATGGTCGGTCTTAACCCGCCTCCACCCACCACTGATGAACAACAAGCAGTTCTGACCCCTTCCAGAGATCATGGCGAGACCCGGAGACAGGTGAGAAGACGACCATCTTCTTGGGTTACACGTCGAACATGATTTCTTCGGGCCTGCGCGACACGTTTCGCTATCTCGTACAGCACCGCCACGTGGCCGCAATTGTCACGACGGCGGGCGGTGTTGAGGAAGACTTCATCAAATGTCTGGCTCCCACGTATTTGGGTTCCTTCTCCGCATCGGGAGCTGCATTACGGGCCAAAGGACTGAATCGCATTGGCAACCTGGTCGTTCCCAACAACAACTACTGCGCCTTCGAAGATTGGCTCATTCCCATTCTCGACAAAATGCTGGCCGAGCAAGAGGAAGAGTATACCCGTACCGGAGAACGATTTCTGTGGACTCCCAGTAGAATCATTCATCGACTGGGCAAAGAAATCAACGACGAATCGTCGGTGTATTATTGGGCGTACAAAAATGATATCCCGGTCTTTTGTCCCGCCTTGACCGACGGCAGTTTGGGCGACATGATCTATTTCCATTCTTTCAAAGCCTCACCACTGCATCTTGGGATCGACATTGCCAGGGACATTCGAAAAATCAACACGATTGCGGTGCGAGCGAAAAGGGCAGGTATGATCATCCTAGGCGGTGGCGTGGTGAAGCATCACATTGCAAATGCGTGCCTCATGCGGAATGGCGCCGAAAGTGCGGTGTATATCAATACGGCACAGGAATTTGACGGTAGCGATGCCGGCGCCAGACCAGACGAGGCCGTCAGTTGGGGCAAGATCAAGGTAGACGGGGAAAGCGTCAAGGTAAGCAGAGAGACCACCCCTATTATGAGAGCCGTCCTGATTGTTCATACAGGTCTACGTGGAAGCTACCGTAGCTTTTCCTCTGATTGTGGCAAGCACTTTTGCTAGGCCGTAGACATAATGCCATCTTTTTGGGCCCTCCTTTGCAATCGACAATCTTCACATGCTAGGAAGAGTAAGCTGCCTGAATATTAAGTGTACAAACCGTGACTCTTTCCTCTCGGCGGACAGATCACAGGCACCTATGGCATATTCTTTTTAGACCGTTTAGGAGCGGGTCAGTCAGGCTGTGGTGCCAGTGGCTGGGAAGTTGAGGCTTGGGGGGTTAAGTTTGCCTGCAGTGGTGGTCATTTGGTGCACAAGCACAAGGGCCTGCGAACCAATGGAACGGCATATTGACCAAGAGCCCAAGACGATGACAGTGCCAGTATGCTGTAGATTTGGACAGCATGCCAGCAATGGTGGCTTCACATGGACGCATCAAGGAGTCAAAGTGTGATTTGGCCCAAAAGGCGGGTCCGCTGAGCCTCACGAAGTGCTCAAAGAGCTGGCCGGTGGAAACACGGGCAAGGATCAGCTGGTATTCATCGTCTCTTTGAGTGTAGCGCCGGCATCCCCAAGTTGAAGTCAGTATGCAGGGCTTAGGAGGCCTAAGGAGCCTGAGATACCACATGAGATTTAGGTACTCTCATCAATTGTGCCTGGTATACAGAGTAGTAGATTGAAGGTGTGGCTAGGGAGAGCCTAATAAGGCGCCTAGGGAGCCCAAGCCCGTGGGGAGCATCCATCACTACTGCATACTAGCACTAGTAGTACTAGCTTAGGCCCCAGGATGTGAGCAACTTGGACCCTGGACATACTCCCACACTGGCAGTACGTAGTACGTAGGTACCTACCTTACCTACCTGGTAGTAAACGCTTCCGATAAGTTGGCTGCGGACAAGGCGAAACCACACTGGTTGCCTGCAGTGTGTCTTTGTATGCCGTTGCCTGTTTGATGAGTCTGCGATGAGTCCTTTCTCCCACCGGTGAGATCCCTTATGCACTAGACAGATCTCTTTGAGTACTGTGTGCACATTCACTGTCGAATGTTTGTCTATATCATTCACTGCTGCCATTGCGCAGGCTGATTGTCCCTCTCTGCCCTCTTTCGCTTAGTGACAACTATCAGCCTCATCTCACCTTTGTTGACCGGCCTTTGAACATGTAGCATCTCTGGTTTTGGTTGTCTTCCACGTTCGCGTTCGTTTGGTTCCTTACCTCTACGCATTCTAGATACCTATTAGCTGGACATCTGTTCTCTCCTCTGCTCTCCAACCATGGCGACCTCACAGAACCCTGGCGGACCGGTATTGATTCAGCATACGCCTCCTCCTCATGCTCTAAGTCCCGAAGTCAGTGTCGTTCCCATCACCGCCTTTGGTGCAGAACCTCATGCACACCACTCGCCTCCTTTGCCAGAAGCTACTACCGGTCCTGCGATCGCCCCCACGTCCCACCCCCGGCCGTCTGCCCCCGAGTTGACCACTGTTGCCACTGAGTTGCTTGATACAGAGATGGCAGATACCCCTCTCACTCGTCCTCGTACCCTGGCGGACCCAGTCCGACATACAGATATAGAATCCTTACCCTCGCAAGAACAGCGCCCCATTACTGAGGAGCCGCCCGGCGTGGGTGCCGATATCCCAGAACAGTTGGAGGAGGAAGCCCAAATCGAGAGTCAAGGAACAGAGCATGTGGACCAAGAGTCGAGTGACGGATCGAGCCAGGAGTGGGGGCAAGAATCTCATATCCCTCCACCGCCTCAAGCCGATTTGCAGCACTCTAGACGTGATGTTCCGATATGGGTGACATGGGAAGATGACTCCTCCACTCCTACTGAAGATGAACTGGAAGAACTAGCATTGAGAGAGGCCAGAGGAACAGAGCTGAATGCCTTGGATGTGTCTAGTGTGGAGAAGCGCGTCTATCAAGATGTCGATGACCCGGAACAGCGGCCTGTCAAGAAGCTGAGGCTGAGTTGGATCTTAAAAGGTGTCAGAGGCACTAGAGACAACCCCAATTACGCCAGAGTCATGGTTTCTCCAGTCGCAGAGGTGGATGGGAACTACTGGCAGATCAAGTTCTACCCGAGGGGGAACAAATGCTCTTCCTTGAGTGCTTACATCAGATGCAGCAGGACTCCTCCCAAAGCGGCTGCAGACATCCCTGAGGGCACCTTTTCGTTCTTTGCAGGGCCGCCAGAGGCGGAGCTCGGGGCCGGGGCTATTCCATCACAAACATTCACCATAGGGACCGGCTTGAGAGGCAATGGTGTCGCTACATCAACAGACTCCAGCGCATCCTCAGATTCTCACAAGCCAGATGATAACCACTCCTCCGGGTACCCTAGTACCAGTGTCCACCAGGGCACTGACAGCGACTTGCGAGACATGACAGATGGCGGTGTATCCATTGGAGAAGATTGGCGTGTTCCTGCACAGCTGGGAATGGTGATGTACAATCCAGAGGAGCCACGAACTTGCACGTATATGTCTTCCCAGCATCAGTTCGCAAAGTCCAACGATGACTGGGGATGGACAAACTTTGTCGGTCCTTGGAGCGAGATCCACGTTCGTCAGCATCTACAACGGCAACCCCTGCTGCAAAATGATACTATTGCCATCGATGCCTACATCCGCATCTTCGACGATCCCAGCCAAGCCCTCTGGTGGCACTCCTCTGACACAGAACCCCAGTGGGACTCAAAGTCGCTGGCCGGCTACTACCCCATGGGTACTCCTCCTCTTTACCACAGCCCTGCTGTCGCTGGGATGACTGCATGGCTTCTCCTTGCCCCATTTCGTCAGGTCATTCAGGGAGTCAATGCAGGGGCCTGGCGACAGAATTCGCAAACACCTCCCAGACCAGTCATATGTGAACTGCAAAAGATCCTATTCTTGATGCGCTCACTGAAGAAAGAACGTGAGACTTATGTGGACGTTTACCCTGCAATCCACGCAATCAAGGAGCTATGTGAAACCTACAGTGATGTCAAAACATTTTGGGAGGTGCTCCGGAGAACAGTCGAGCTTGAATTAGGGGGTGACCATACGTCGCTGGAACGGTTGAGCAGCATCTTTGACACTCCAGACGGCCCCATCTCCCTGCCGCCGCTACCGGTCCAGGGGGTGAGGGACATTCAACAAGGTCTCGAACACGCGCTGGTAAATGCCAAATTCAAGGGCCGTCTCCCCAATTTCTTACCACTTTTCCTGGCTCGTCAACGGTTTGACGAAACTGCGAGAGAGTGGAAGTTACTGCGTGACCGTGTTGTCATGAATGAAGAGCTAGACGTCTCAAAATACTGCGGAGATGGTGAGCCGGCACATTATACTCTCTACGGCTTCGTGGTCCACGTTGGGGACAGAAATTCGGGCCGATTCTACAGCGTCCTACGTCCGGATGGGCCTGGCACCAAATGGCTTGCTTTTGAGGATGGTGACGGAAATAAGATTTTCTCATTCACCCGAAAACGCATTCAGGAATTTGAAGGGCTCGAGGGGCGGGCATTGAGGGACTCCAATCCCACAGGCCAGACGGCGTACATGACGATGTACATCAACACTAGCTGTCTACACGAATATTTGCCTGGCAAGTTGGAGCCATACAAACTTCCCAGATGGCTGGTTCCTCATCTCCAGTCTCAATACCAGGATGGTGTTGTAATCCTCGAGGATGATTCAATCACTAAAGATTCGGATTATATCGACGTTGAGGTTCATTCTGATGAGGGTATCATGGGACGGGATGGTCTTTTGGACATGTTCACCATCCAACAGCAGTGTCGCCAAGAAGGAAAATCTTACGTCTTGCGCTCGCCGAGGTCCGCAACGTTTCAGGAGTTGAGGCATCAATTGTCTGCGATGCTCAACCTTGCAGAATCGGACAGCATCTGCCTTTTCTTTCTGAGGTACATCGGTACTGGACTACACCAGAGTGCACGTATGCTCCCCGTTAACTTGCACGACCTTGTCTTTGGGGGAGGTCTAATGGACCAGCCGTTGTGCCTGTGGATGTCGATTCTCAAAACCAAGGAGGAGTTTGAACATTTTGCCAAACATGACCACGCGTGTGACAGACAGCCAGCCCAAGCCACGCCGCCATCCGGGACTAGTCCAGGCGACATGATCAACAGTGTAGATGCCGCGGAGTCCGACAATGCTGACGAAGAGCAAATGGCAGCTTCCGATGCTGAGCAGGCGTCGATACGTGCCGCCGTTGTTGCCGACGTTGAGCGCATCGCGGCAGGTCTTGGCCAGCCCATATCTACTCTAGCGGATATGAGTGACCCAGATACGCCCATGCAAATGGAGAGTCTCCCTCCCACAGCTGAGGAGAATCTTACACGCCCTGTACCGCACGGTCACTGGATTGATGTGGCAGCACATCAGGGCGAAGTCTTTGTAGGCAGCGAAGGCGGCGGTGATGAGAGCGCCCAGTCATATGACGGGGGTGTTATTGTGGCATCGGGCATTGCAGCCGGAGCAGAGGTCACTGTTATGGACGTTGGTGCTAACGTGGAAGGGGCCACCAACGCATCGTCCAATTTGTCTGGACCAGCATCTACGGATATTCAAGCCAGCCTTGAGTGTATCTATGGCCTAATCCAGTTTTTCGACGTGGAGAAGCAAAATTTCATAGTCCGAAGCCGCTTCTTTGCACGACGTGGCAGCCGCGTGAGAGATGTTGTACGCAGAAGCATGGGCTGGCCGGCCGAGAAGGAATTCAACGTCTGGCGCCGAGAGTCAGCGGTCCAAGGGGTCATTGTGGAGCGTGACGAAACGTTCAAAGACCATAGCTTCGATCACAGTACGGATGTCATTGTTGGTGAAACACTTTCGGACGCCCAAATCAAAGTAATTCACCAGCAGGGCAAGTATTCGGATCCCTTTGACTTGTCGTCATATCTTCGCATGGTGGAACGAAAGCATCCAGTTGCATCCAAGACGACAAGTGAACCTGTCGAGCTGGCCGATTTCGGAAGCGACTACTACAAAGGGCCTCTCGTCAACGGTCGAGCTCATGGTGAGAATTGCTTGTGCATCAGCTCTTCAGGAGAGAGGTATGAAGGACCGCTTATCTGCAACAAGAGATGCGGCAAAGGAGGCAAGATGACATATCGCAACGGGGACACGTATGATGGCGAGTGGGATGACGATGAACGCCATGGTCAGGGCACGTTTGTGGAACACAGAACAGGCAACAAGTACGTGGGCGGCTTTGAATATGGGAAGCGATGGGGGATGGGGACGACCTACTGGCAAGTCGCCGACGAGCAGGCAGACCTCTGCCAGATCTGCTACAGCCAGGAGATCGACGCCTTGTTCTTCGATTGTGGACACGTCTGTTCTTGCGTCGAGTGCGCCAAGCAATGCGAAATCTGTCCTATCTGCAGGAAGACTGTGAAGCAAGTGGTCAAGATGTTCCGTGCATGAGCTGCCAAATGAAGGGCACCGGGGAGGGGGGCAGGAGAGACACAGACATACATCTCATCCAAGGAATGAAGCCCTGGAGAGAGGACGGAATTGGCGGACAGGGGCAAAACTGAATCCTGAAAATGGGATGGTCTGATATGTGATGCAGCACGGCTTTTTGCTTCTCTCTTGGTTGGCGTTTGGCTTGCCTTTTTTGGCGTTAGGTTGGTACGAAGAGACCGGGCAAGAAGCAAACAAAATTGCGGCACTTGCAGACGACCCGAGACGACGGTATGAATCTGGAATTTGAGCTACAGCTTGGATTTGCATACAACTCACGAGAGCGAAATGGAATTTCAAGGCGCGTCTCTTGCTTGTTATTTTGGAGTGTTTGGAGTCTCTCGGCGCTACCTACCTACTACAGTATGTACCTGCAGTAACCTTTAATGATAAGTACCTGATCTCAGCGACGAGGCTCTGATAATGCCAGCCTGACCTGGCCTGACCTGATATGTCCCCAGGCCAACAAGCATCTCTCTTTTCTTTTCTGCCTCTTTTGCACCTGGTACCTTCGAAAGATGGCCACACAAGGCAGACAAGACGTAGCACTGGCAGATGCGGGTCAATCGACGGAGCATCTCGTTGGCAATCTACATGATCAGTTGAGCTGGTTGATAGCAGCAAGAACAGGGGCAGGGCCTGAAAGGCATGGACCACTGATGGAAGGGTATCGTGCATGAATTGCTATCAAAGCATCAGGTGCCAATGGTAAACAGAGCACGAGGATGCAAGGCCCAACACCGAGCTCAGCTCAGACATGTATGCCCTCAACCCTCTCGGGTCCTCACCTAGTCCTCGGCTCCTCTCAAACCATCGCTAGCAGAATTGAAGAAGATAAAAGGTGGTGGACGAAAGAAATATCGATCTTGTCCCATCCTGCTGCCACCCAGCAAACCATGAGTAGTTCGTGTCGACGTGCCAATACCATAGTGGTGTGTCATGACTCGTGTACCAGGTACTTCTGAAATCCCACATGTGGAAACGTTCCCCTTGGATCCGCCGCGAGATAGCGTAATGCAAGGGGCAGGACGATGATGAACCAGAGCCAGCACCCCAATGATATAGGGCGGTGTTCTTGTCCCTCCGTTCTTCCCTCACCCTTACGTATTGCCCATACAACAGTGCTGTCCTGAAGTCGTTAAAGCATGATTTGACTCAATTTGCTGCAGACAGCATCCTTCCATGGGTGGTTCGACGCCCACTAACATAATCCGATAATATTTCGGGTGAATATTGCGTGTGTCAGTACACTGATTGCATAGACGGCCGTTAACGAACCCGGGTTTGGAGAGAAATTGGGATGCCACCGGTACTTTGTCTTGGTGCCGACGGCAAACCGCTTATCGAGATTCCCCTACGATTCAGACGACTCGTCCGCCATCGCTCATAGAACTAGGATATGTCAGTCGAGGCCCGCTCAGCTTGCCTGAGGCCACTTACCACTTCTCGGCTTGCCTCTCGCAACTCTGATCGCCACTCCCCAAAGATGGCATCTTTCAGCTTGACAAAGTCACAGTGGTCGGGGTTGTAAGGGTTGGCGAAACCCCAAGGGAATTGTCGACCGACGGGTCCATCTTTCGAATCGAGAGAATATTTGTCCGGACTGATGATTGACCAAGGGACGTAACCACTCTCAAAGGTAGGATCCATCGTGGATAAGTTGGACGCTTGACGTTTGTGACTGATTGGGCGTTTCATATTTGAAATGGATCGGTCTGCGGCGGAATCGTCACTCCTTGAAGCCGTACCACTGTCAGAATCATCCACACTACTGTTGCCGTCCTCGTCACGCTCATCAAGTCTGTCATCATCGGAAACTTCGGCTTCGAAACTCAAAGCTTCGAGGGGGTCAAGTCCCGCTTTCCTCAGGCTTTGGCCGACTTTGTGTTTGAGATATGACATGTGAGCGGTCGTGATTGTGTCTGCTTTGCTGATGACCGGTATCACCGTAGTCTTGCTGGAAAGGGTTCTCATCACTTGAATGTCGAAATCCTCATCGAGCGCGCCGACAATTCGAACAGGCTTGCCAATTTGGACGGTGTCAACTCCGTTGCTGCCTCCCTGCAAAGCGTTGATATTGGCATCGAGTCTGGATGGATCCAAGATCAAGAAGACACAGTGGATGTGTGTATCTCTGGACCCGGGGGCACGAACCACCTTCATCTCTTCAATGAACGTGTCGTCAAACTTGCTTTCTACAAAATTGCTCATATCCCTCAATTGGAGGTCGACAACGCCTTTGTCCAGACCTTGCGAGTCCCATAATGTCAACCCGACACGTTCGTTATCGACTTCAATTTCTTGGTAATGGCGCACAAAGTTAGGATTCGCTCTCGCCGACGACGGAGGAGTCTCGCCCTCGGAGGCTCGATGCGCTCGCTTTTGTGGAGGCAGAGCTAAAGTTCTTTCGAGGAAATTGAGAAACGATGTTTTGCCGGAGTTGCGGGCGCCGATGATCAAGACATTGTACGGGGTTGGGTCCTTACGACGTCGGACTCTGCGAGGGGAGTTGATGCTAGAGATGGTTGAGGTTGCGTAGGAATACCGCCCACCTGATCAGCCATAGTCCTGTCAGTGATGCAATCCCGTCTGTCGAGATGGTTCAAGTCCACTTACGGTGGGTCATGCTCTCAGTCCGAGCGTACGGATCGACGACTTCCTTTTCTTTTTGTTCAGGCAAAGGTGGCACTGGAGGAGTATGTCCTGTGCCATTTGTGTGCCCTGCAGAAGCAGAGTGCGGAATGTTATTGTCACCACCGAAGGTCTGGATGCCGAGAGGTTGCGGGGTGTAGCCTGGAAGGCGTGGCGGAGACTGGGTGACTTTCACAGATTCCTCCATCTCGCCATGTTTCTTCTTCAATCGGCCGCTGGAGCTTTTGCGGTCACCGAGAGCCTCTCCACTCTTTGATCGAAAGAGACGAGATCCAAGGCTGGTACTCCGACGACTGGAGGTGTGCGACTCGTTGCGGGAGATGGGAGCAGGAGAATTCATCGTGTCGGAACGCCGATATGGACTTTCGGACGATGGAAGGCGCTGACGTGAGGAAGAAGTGCTACTACTAGTACTTATAGCGACTGGCCGAGTATGCGGCTTCTCGACACGCGGTCATTCGTTGAGGCAATGCAACCAGTCGCGGACTCGCTCGAAACTGGTAGCAGGGGCGACCAGCGCAGGCTGCTGCTCCGATAGTGAATGTGATCTCTGCTGCGCAACAGATGATGCTGGGCTGGATGATGAGGCGGGGAAAAGCCAAAACCACCCGATGGCTGCGATTGAGGGAAGGCGAGGTCCAAACCGAACCAGGAGAGGTTGGGAGTCGAAGTTTGTATGACTGAACGCAGAGTGAGTGGTTGGTGTGGTGTGTGGTTTGTGGTTTGCTGCTTCAGGGTTGCCAGTTGTGTTTTTCCAGGAATCCCCTGCCCGGGGAATAGCGACTTATGGGGTAAGTTTGAAGGGCCGCGTGGTGGATGTTCGGAGCTCTAAAGGCCTAAGGTGCCTAGGGTGCCCCTCCTAAGCCTGTTCCTGTCACCCGCGAGCCTGCCTAAGCCTGCACTTCTTACCTTAGCCTAGGGCCCTGCCTTGGTACCTTGGTAGTCAGGCGTTCTGCAAGGCTGGAGGACAGCAAGCCCACCCACCCGATTTCTCCCTGCGGGCCTCAACTGTCCGAGCCGCTGTCCGACCGTCGATCGTCCGAAGTCAATCGAGAGAGAAAGAGGAAAGTAACCTGGTAGAAAAGAGATAGGCAAAGCATCCACGTCGCGGCTGGGGATACATACGTGTTGCCGGACAGGATATCGAGAGAGAATGAGCAAGCAAGCAAGCACCAGGACGGACTCCCACGCCTCGCCCTATCTTTTCCTCTCCCAGTTCGTCTACAACTCTCTTCGTGCCGTTCCCCTACTCGGTTTTGTTCTCTGATGTCCAATCTCATCAGTGGGTGAGAAATATTCAGGGGAAGTGGTTCTCATGCTTGTTTCAGATTACTTGTTAAACACTAGCCAGATAACTAAACCGCTTTCCGTCGACTCGCTCACTCGAACTCGTCCCTTTGACTTTCCGCCGTCGATTCTGCTCGCCGTTCTGGATCTTCTAGCTCTGGACAGCGCAGTCAGACCCTGTGTGCCGGCACCCTGTCCCTGACACAATCATCCATGTTGCCACGCTAAGCAACCTCTAGGTCTGCCCCTCTTTGCAACTGACTGCCTGGCGCAGACTTTCCTCATCCGTGATGGCTGATTAGCCCCATTCGTGGTTCGGAGTATGTAGGTAAACCGTGATTTTCACTTCACATGTCGCCTGGAGCCCCTGGTCTGCCCACACTGGTGAATTCTCGATCTCACAAAGCATCTTGCGGAAACTATCCTCCAGACCTGGTCGAATCAAAATGTTCGAATCGGTACTCATCCACGGGAAGGAAGCAATGGCGTAGTGGAACACTCTGCCATTGAAGCTCCACTCCCACGATTTCAAAACGAAGGTAATGAGCTTATCCAAGTCGTCACAATCTCTAAGTGTGGTGGGGGTTGAAGCGCCAGGAAAACCGTCTAGCCAGACTCGCAATGTTGTTCGAGCATGATCACTTTGTGTGGTGCCGCAAAGCTTAGTCGATGCACTGCAGTCGTCGAAAGAGACCGACCGGCGACGCTTTCTAATCTTTGAGCTCATGGTTGTAACCTTTTCGGAGCCTGTAGTCGATCTTCTGGCCCTCTTTCTGGCCGGTCGCTCTGGAGTGTCGGCAATGTCGTGCTGGACTGCTTCTTCAATTGTCTCAACCTTCACATCCTTCCCGCCGCTCTGAACCAAGTTGTGTTGATGCTTCTCAAACTTGAAGGGGCGAGTCTGCTGAATTGTTCCCTTCCGGAGTGCTCGGCCAGGCTGGCTTTTTGCACCATCCTGCTCCGTGTCGCTAGGGCGAGTTTGTCGGACGTTCGAACTACCTCGTAGAGTACGTCGATCATTCGTGGGACCAGCTCTGGCACCGCGGCGTTTCGTGTTGCCACGGTTGACCTGGCGATTTCGACGCAATACTGGGGGAGGCGTCGCCGCTGTGCCGCTCAATGTGCGGGAAGACATGCTTCGAGTGCTGTGAGACCCATCGCCGGTTCGGAGGGAATGGTGTGAGGGGATTATTGAAGTACTCGCCGAGGGTTGTTGGGAGGTTTGACGGCCCTCGTCTTGTTCAGCACCTTCAGGGCCACCTGATAATCAGCTTCTGCCTTGACTTCCGAACTCGAAGCAGGAGATTGTTGACTCTTCTCGACTCTCCAAGGAACCCCAATCAGAATCGTCGATTTCCTCCTCCGAATCGACTTTCCTTGAATAAGGGGTCGACGGAAAGTTGTGAGCAGGCATGTCGGCAACTTTTTCGAGAAGAGGTGGACTGTTGAGCGAGACGAGAAGGGTTTGGGAGTGAGGGAGGAAATGAAGAGGGGAGACAGTGATCGTTGGGGAGGAGTCGCCCGGTGAAGGACTTCTGGAAATTGAATACAGGCGCGGCATCATCAGTGAATCAAGAGTCTTCTGTGCATATAACGCAGAGAATTTCATCGAGTTCGCTGCCGCCGAGCCACAAATTAGCCGCCGACACACGGAGGGAAGAAACGCGCGGCGTGGTCTTCAGCAGGTAGACCAGACCGTCGGCAGACCAGGCCAGGGCAGTGCAATGCAATGGAGGCAACTAGGACAGTTCAGATGCATCGATTCTTGAAAGACTCGATATTAGAAAAAGTCGGACAAATGCACTCGGAGCGGTGAATAACAAGGAAGGTGCGATTTCCCAAACAAGACGCGCCTGCCTTCAACATTGCAACTGCCCATAGCCAAAAGCAACGTCCTCGTTCACTTCGAGTCGCTACTCTGGCTTCCTTGCTCCCTATTCTTCTCATGCTCGAGTTTCTCCGCATAGAGATAGCCCAAATCAAGCGGGACTCGCTCCCCCAGCCACGTTGCTCTCTGGCTATGGGCCCTCAGTTCATCACCATCATCAGTGTTGGGGTGGACGAGAGCGGAGAGAGGTCCCCGATTGATAACCAGCCAAGGTATGAAGGCCCCAAACTGCGCCGGTGTGAAGACATTGACCTCGAACATGGCAATGGTGTGCGGTCCCACAGGGTGGTCCCAGAAACGGTATATTCTTTGCGCACCGGAGTCATCAGTATAACAGCCACTTGAATGTTGTTGGCATCGACACTATCCTTACCTCAATTCAGGAAACTCTCTGCGGATCCTCTCCCATAGTGCTCTTGCAAATTCGGTCTGCTCCGCATTCCTGGTGTGGTAGTAGATATGAATGTCGAATCCTCCTCTACGTCCATTAGTGACGCCCGAAGTGAACCGTTGATACGCCTCGCTGAGGACGCCTGTTTCGGGATTTTTGAGAGATTTGCCATCCTCGCTCAACTCATTGGGAAGCGGCGGGAGGTTCGCATAGCCCTCCAACGGCGACGGATATTTGTACAGAAACGTATCTGACATTGCAACAAAGGAAAATCGTCAAAGCTGGAAGATATTGCCTCGCCGTACGCTACAATGAATATTGGAAAACAAGTGTTCGATGAAATCGAGTCCGACCAGAAAAATGCGATACGATGAAGCAGACTATGAACCGTCTGATATACATACGGTGTGAGGTTATTTAAGCGTCAATTACATAATCTGAGTCTGGTGTTGCGTGGTTGGTTCAATAACGAAACCACAAAGGCGCGGAAATCTTCCGGACACTTTTCTGATACAATTGATAATATTTTCATTCTCCACGAGCCCAAACTCTTACTGAACCGTCACCCTTGAGCTGATAAAGCCACTCGGCGTCGACCAGATCCTGTACATGGTTTTTGTCTTGTCCTTCGTTCGGACCAAACTCTATACTATCGTCGCCTCCTCTGCTTACTCTGATGACGCCAGAGATGTCATTTGCACTTCCCGTGTCCAGCCCTCGCAGCTGAAACAGCCACCGCGTCGAGTGTGCAAGGCTTGTAATGAAATGTGCATGGTTGCGCTCCAACGGCGTACCTGCATCCGGACTCGTGGTCGAAGAAGAATGCAGTAAAGGGGAGTCCGCCTGGCAGGCCAACATCAAAGCATGGCATTTCGACCGAAGAGTGGCCAAGAAGGACTGTAACTCCACGGTCGAGATTGCGGGTTGCGACGCCAGGAGGAAATCGATGCCATCGATATAAATGGTGGGCCTTCCGGCGGCAGGAGAGAAGGACCTTGTGGCGGCTGCCGTAGGAATTCGGGGTGTAAGAGCTCCTCCCCTCGCGGAGCCGGTGGTGGACGTGGATGAGGATAGAGGCGTAGCAGACGAGCCCGTTGAGGGTGTAGAGATAGACGGCGTTTTCAGAACGCCATCCAAGGCATCCCTGATGTCCTTCAACGCCATACTCTTGAGTCTCGTCGTCGGTAACTGTTGTGGATCGGATTCGGCAGTGGCAGAACCTGTGCTCATCGTACTCGACGTGGTTCCGCCTGCGAGGCCGTCGATATATCTGACTCGCCTGCTCTTCAACAGGGAGGGCAGATCTAGACCCTACTCTAACCCATCAGCGAGTTCTGAGTAAGCACTTCCGCATTCGAAACAAAGAGACTTCGAGTGACATTCTCTGCATGGCCCAAGTCCGTTTCGCGCGACCGAGAAAAGAGCCATATAGGCTCTTCCAGTCTTCTTGATCGGGAATTGAGGCAAAGCCAGGGCAGAAAACAGGGCTATAGAACGCGTGAGATCCTGTTCATCCTGTTGCAAACGTACCATCTTCTTCCCCATCTCGGTCCACAGGCTCAGTGGTCTGAGCAGACTCACGAAAATGACTTCATGGCCCGTCTGCTCGGTGTGTCTCGCGGAGTCCTCGACGCCGTAGAGGCCCGCGTACAATAGGCGCAAGCAGAGCCATGGCGCCGGCGTGCTGAGGACGGATGTCACAAGCGTCTGAGAATCAGGTGTGAGACAGTCGGCAATGTAGGCCGCCAGTGGTGCTGGTATGGAAGACGGCATCACACACTTTTCAGTCCATGTGTGATATCTTTTGTGTGATTGTTGACCGGGTTGAAAGATGTCCTGAAAGATATCTTAGGTGTGTTGCAACCTTTCAATCTGAGAATTGGTCGTGCGAAAATGGACTGGAGAGTTTAAGTCTCATTTGCGTGCGATTGCTTCTCACGCATTACTTTATGATTATGACAATTTGGCCCTGAGGAAATTGCCCGTCAAAAACACTTACCATAGAACTCATCTGGCTTCATCCCTAAATGGTTTGTACGGTGATGCAACAAAATTGACGACAGAGATTGTTGTCGATTACATGCAGAAGAAGATGGATTTGGATTTCAGTTTTCTTAGTTTTTCGCTGAATTTATGCCAGTCCGAAGAATCCATGCGGTAGGCATCCCACGATATGCCATGCCATCCCATGCTGGACAATAGCCAGAGAAAGACCACAAATCTCTATGCGACGCCAGGGCTCCATCCAGCAGCATGTGGACGAGCAAAGGCTTTCCTTTTGTGCATGTCCGCAAAGCGCATTCCTTGCCGTCCGCAACATCGGTCCATCCCTCATCAATTCATCGCCATTGTGTGGTGTGGCCTTGAAGCTTTCGGCGCCACCTCACCACAACTCTTCTCTGGTCGAGTACCTGTCCTTGCGACGCGTACTCTCGATTGACTTCAAAGACGCAAAGGACAAACTTGAAAGAATCCTTCAAATCTATGCCTTGGCGGGTCCCCGCGCTCCCTTGGGTGCACCATTGCGGAATCCGTTCTTGAATTTACTGTTTCAGGGCAAATCGTTAGCCAAATTGTTCGTGATGCAAATCTTTAGCGCGAACGAATCCTTCCATAGGCGATGAGTCTTTCCCTTTCGGAACCTTGGTGTTGACATCCATCTCTTCAACTCTAGCCCAAATTCTCGACACCGGCGTGCGGCACAAAGTGTGTCATGATTGGGATTCTTACCGAGCAACGATAGACAGCGACCTCATGCGGCCAGTGCCGGTGGTCTTGCGTCTCTTGGCCTTCTCGCTCCATTCGTATTTCCGGGTTTTGGCAGCAGGGTACTATTGAGACAGCAATGCGTTAATTTCTCTGTACCACTTCAAGTCGAGGCCGTGAGGCAAGGATTGGGGGATCATCGTACTCCGCAGTTTGCGCAGGTGTGCTTCTGAATATGAAGGCTTCGGCGACCGCATCTGTCCGGGTTGTTTAGTACGCAAATCCTCCTCGAGTTGGTAGAATATCATCACGAACCTCCGGCAGAGAGTATGCGTCTTGTTGTGCCCTACACCAAAAGCGTCAGAAAACCCCTCCAATCGTCCAAATGCGTGAGGTCTTCGATGGGTGCGTACGCTTTCCGAAAGAACTCGTTCCCTTCGTCATCTTGACCGGTTATCCGACGAAACGTTCTGTATCGAGGTCAGTCGTTGTGTGAGAGAGTCAAGCAGGAGTGCGATGGCGTACGGGAATTTGCTGGTTGTTGTAACGGAAAGGCCTGTTTTGACGAGGTGGGAGGTAGCACTTCAAACACTCCTAGATCTTGAAGTTTGCGGCGGCCGGGCACGGTGGGCGCAGTTTGTGGGCGCCAAGATTTGATGGTTGCCAAGGCCAGAACAGCCAGAGAATTGATCACATGACTCAGCCTTTTCGGTGAAAATTGACACGTATGATTGGCCAGGACAAAACAACAGCCTTGTGCCCAATCTGACGTTATTACTGGCTACTTGTTTGGAAGTCGAAATTGATTCATTTTGCAGAGCATTTCATGTGAAGGGTTCATGTCTTTCTAACCCCTTCACTCAGTTGCAGGTACACAGACTTTCCAGCCCCATTTATCCTTGACCATCCTTCAAGCCCGTACTCTATCCCACCGCAACGGTGATCGCTTCAATCTCCATGAAGGAGTTCCCGCGCGCAGTGCAGGGGTGGTTATTGCCGGGGTTCCAGTCGGTGGTGCAAAGCTACTGACTAGACAAGTGCATGCACTGCTGACCCTCTTGTCGTCCTTTGGGCAACCGCCCAAGAATGTAGGAACAGCAGCGGCATTAGATCCCTTGGTGGAATATGTTGAACAGAAAGCCAACATCGAGGAAGAATACCGAGCATCGATCATGTTTCGCAAGCAATTATCCTGGTTGCGTATCATCTTTGAGGCAGATGCTGGCGTAGCCGGACTGACCTTGTCAGGGGAGGAGATCGAAGAGTGGACAGGAGTGACGGAAGGGGCCGTTCCTTGAGTATTAGAAGCTGCAGTCTTTGTAGTCGGTGCTGACGATGTAGAGATGGCCGGGCTCGAAGGTGCCGTAGGGCCGGTCATGGCTGGTGTCGTGGCCTTGGTGGGACTGACCGTGACATTTTCGCTACTAACAGGCTCAGAGCTGGAGCCAGAAGTATCCGACGAATTACTAGCTGAGGCTGCCGTCGTGGGTGTGGAACCGGGCTGGCTGCTGGACGCGGGACAGCTTGATGATGCCTTTGAGCCTGAATCAACAGCATGTCCAGTGCTAGACGCGGCAGCTGAAATCGAAGATGCAGCTGCAGTTGTGGATGTGGAATCGTCAGATGCTGTCCCGGTAGGTGAGGCAGACATAGCGCCGGGCGTTGTCGATTGGGAACTCGTCTGATCTGAGGCCGCACTTTGCGTGCTAGACGCGGCAGATGCAGAGACTTGGCCTGGGAGATTCAAGTTTTGTCCAATCTGCAACTTGTCCCAGTCAAGACCAGGATTTGCTGCCTTGAGATCGTCAAAGGTGAAACCGAGCTTCGTGGCAATAGCATAGCCATAATCACCAGCAACCACGGTGTAGGAAGTGGGAAGCGGTAACTGTACTGAGGCACTGTTGGGTGTCGGGCTAGACATCACTGAAGTGTTCAAGCTTGAACTGGTTATCACCGCCGAAATCGTAGATACAGAGCTCGAGCTTGTTGATGGACTGCTTGAAGAAGCTGGCGCACTAGAATTGTCCGCTGTCGAGGTTGTTGACGTCAGTGTAATCGATGAGATGGTGGAAGAAACAACTGTGACGGTGGATGTAGAAGATGTGGAATTGCTGCTGGGAGATGGAGAACGGTTAGAGGTCGCCGAAGGTGAAGATGTGCTTGAAGACATTGTACAATTTCCACCTGGCACATTGAGGGCCTGTCCCACAAGCAAGGTGTCCCAATTCAAGTTGGCATTCGCAGTCTTGAGAGCATCAAAAGCAACTCCTAGGGTCTTCGCGATCTTGTAGCCATCATCCCCTTGGACAACAGCATAGGTACACGGCAGATTGTTGGTAATGGTTTGGTTCGTACACAGCACGGACTTGTAAGTGCCATCGAAGGGACTGGGATATTGCCAACTAGAGCAAGGGTTTGGAGTGGTGACCTTGACGGACTTGACATAGGCCGAAAACGGCGCCTGGCTGAAATTGGTGTATCCTCCTCCCCATGCAACAGTTGCTCCGTTGTTGTCCGGATCTCCTGCGCACCAAACGCCAAGATGGAGGCGAGATGGACTTTGGGGGAATTGGTACTCGCCGGAAGTGGCGTGGGTGTTTTTCAAGGTCCGAACGTTTTGTCCATCAATCGACCAAATCAGAGCGTCAGGGCTCCAGTCCAGGGCATAAGTATGGAATTGATCTTGCGGAGCATTTACCGCTGGTGTTGTACCTCTGTCGTAGTATCCTGTGACACCTTTTCCGAAGAAATTCGTCTGGACCTTGCCATTCGCTCCTGCGAAATTGTTACCTGAAAACTCCCAGTCGATTTCGTCCATGTCATCCGACATCATGACTGCACCGGTAATGATGCCAGCTCCAGGTGCCGCCTTCAGAACCACTTCGATGCGGCCAAAGAGGACATAGAAACGAGACCAAATGTACGGGGCATCGTATCGTTTAGCAAAAGTGAAATTTGCACCATTGGGGGCGCCATAATCGACTTTGGCAAAGTCGGCAAGGATCCAATCTGATGGGGTGGTAGTCTGTTGCGCGAAATCCATAGAATACGTGCTGCTTGGTATGCCGGGAATCACTGGACATGGGCCTGGTACAAGCACACGAGGTCAGCCATCGCTCACGGTAATGGTCAGATGGTCACTCACCGTTCAGGGGGTTACAGGTGTCTGCGCTTGCATGGCGAAGGAGGGCAGCCAATGCGACGAACGCAGGACACAGGTAAAGGGAGACCGCCATAGTCGGTCAACGAGAAATTCACAGTATCAGTGGAAAAGAAGAGGTATGAGGATGGAAACTTCTGGGAAAGCAGTAGCCGGATGATGAATATAGGAGAAGAGCAGACAATAATCCTCAGATGATATTGATCTGCCTGTAGACAATGAAACTGGCACAACTCCATCTCGCAGGAGTGTGAATTGACAACAAAGAGAACATGACAATGGAGAGGCCGTTTGCGCACAACGCCTCAATAATGGTCCATCATCATACTGAAGCGCGTTATTTCAACTGCTGGCGGAAGAACATGGCTGTCTGGAGGCCCTGAACCCCATCGGTGTCAAACAGTTTGAAGCTGAACTTTGTTGATTGGCTCCTGTTCATGGGCGTCAAGCCAGGACTCGCGCCTTTCCACACTTAGGAGCGAGAACACTCGGTCTTGCTGAAGGCAGACATAATGCCCTACAGCCAGACACCTCGACACGAGTTGTGTCACATTTGCAGCATTAGGGATGGAGAGTTGAGAAGATGGAAAGATGATTGAAAGCGAGAGTGGATTTGGCTTTTCATCGACCGGGATTTTCTCGGGACTGTCGCTCCGCCGAGCCCGCTTCCCGCCGCCGCTAAACTTTCGCGTTGTGTCTAAGCCGTAAAGAGAAATGCGCAAATATGTTAGCTACTTCGTGCGTTAAATGTCTATTTCACTACATCCCCCTTTAGGCGACTTCCAGCGCATATTACCCAAATGCGGACCAATCTTGGAGGAAGCGCCCCTTCTTTCCAGCCTACATCTCTCAAGGGATAACACAGACACCCGTCGCGGCAAAATCCGCCACTAAATTCGTGGCCAACATCACCCCCAAACAAGCCCCTGGAGAGCACGATATCTCCGTACGCAAACCCACTCTTGTCGACGTGACCGTGGACTGGGAACAGGGAGTCGGAGTCGCTGCACAGATCTCAATGATCTGGACCCTGTACTCGGTGAATGGGACAATGGCGGTGAAGGTTAACTGAACAGGGTCCACTGTGAAGGCTGCAGAGGTAGCTGTTGACTGAGTGGTTGTGCTAAGGATGACTGGAAGAGTGCTGCTTGTGCTCCCCAGAACGGTGGTTGGCAATGGCGACGTCGTCATCATCCCGTCCGAGCTGGTGGTCGTGGTGGTACGTACGGGATCGATTGAAGGGCCATCAGTCGGCGCTCCAGAAAAAGTCGGATCCGGCTGCGGCGTCGCAAATATCTGCCCATCAGGGCCGAGGATAAGCAACGCCGAATCTTGGACATCTGTGTAACAGCCGCTGTTAACGCAAGCCTTCGAATGCACCACATACGCATTGCCTATGGTGTTGGCTGTATAAGGGCGGGTTCGTGGAAATAGGGAAGCTTACTTCCTTCTTCGTCCGCAAAAAGCGTACCAGAAACATCTGAATACTGCGTGCACAATCCAGGCGCCCCATCACTTGGCCCATTGAACGTTATCCCCAAGCAGGATCCTGGCGTATTGGCGCGGTTGTAATCGACACAGGTGCTAATGCAGGAGCTGAAGTTGGCCACATTTTCCTGCGATAGGATGTCCCCGTTGTAATTTGTGGAACATTGGAGTTGCCATGTGTAGTTTCGGGGTGTGACATAGAAGTAGCCATCAAAATCATCGCATTTCGGGACAGTCGTGATAGGAGGTGGTGATTGTCGCAACTCAAGCTACCGGTCGTCAGCGCCGCCCAGGACTCGAGCTTAGCTTCACATCTATGTACATACCATCGATGCATCCTTCCAATGTTTGCCTTCACCAGCAGGGGCAGGTAGCGCTCTGGTTAGATGGCTTGACTTGGAAACACCATATCGGCCCACGTGAATAGTGGCGGAGGCAGGACGGCCGCGGGCTAGCAGGGTCGAAACAAGGACGGCGATGAGGAGCTGCATCTTCGACGACGATGAAGAAAGAGGAAGAGAAGGCGATCTCGTCTTGCGACACGTTTGGAGAACGATTTCATGTTGTTTCTGCACGTCCCTGCATTCATGTCAGCATTGGAATGTGGTTCTGTTCGATGGCGTACCTACACATATCAGGCAGCCCTCCGGCCACTGTCAAACTCAATGACTGTGATCATAATTGCGAGATTTCTGCAGTCCCAAAAGATGATACCCAGCTGAAGGACTGAAAAGGTCAGGTGCATGCCGCTGTCTATGTGCGTGGATAGCGCTCCAGGCAATGCGAGATAGACAGTGTTTGTCAGAGACAAGCTGCCTGGCGGCTTTGAATAGCCTCAAGCGACCTGGTATACAACATCTCCATTCTGGGGCTTGACCAGAAGTCCCGTCAATATACGGTATTGACCGTGGCAGAAAGCCTTTTCAGGTGCATCCACACGAATTATGACAGACGAAACGACCAGAAGCAGAGAATGAGAGGACGAGCGTCCGTCGTGGAGAAGTACTCTCTAGAAATCAGCCTCGCCTGCTGGACGGTCCAGGCGCAGAGACTAGAAGTAGTAGCAGCAGACAGCCGGGCCCAAGCAACCGGGATCCCACTTTGCACATTGTGGCTGGGCCTAAGGTCATAGGAGCCTTGTCAAGTGTCCAATCGCGCAACATGAATCACCACTGACCCTCCACTTCGGCACTCTTTGTCCGTTGCGAAACAGCAAGGAAATCTCAGCCTCTCTAGCTGTGCCATCAACGATCCGTCGAGTCACCTTCCCTACAGGCCCACCGGTGGACCTGTATTGTAGCAAAACACAGAGTTTTTAAATCTCTGTTCGGCCGCGTCAGCCTGGAGATCGTGGAGAGTAAAAAGCAGCATATAGCTACCTACCTCGCTCCACCCTGTAGGCAGAATGACAGGGGATTTTGGCTGCCTCAAGATCCGTCGCTGGCGGACCGGCTGTTCCAGTACCGCGACACAGCCTTCCGCGCTGTCTCATTCTGATATTCGGATCGTGCTCTGTAGTGGTTGAAGACGGCGAACTCGAGGTCGTTCATGACATAAGTATTTGGTTGCGCCTGGATGTTACGCCATATCTGTGAGAGGGCGCGCTCCAGTATTCGAAGGACTTGAGGATCAATGCGACCGGTTGGACTGTTCTGCGCAATATGCAAGGCTTGTCTGACTGTCATCTCCACTGTCCGGGACATATCTTGAATACTTCAAAGACTTTGCGATGGGGAAAAGGTGACCTTGCACCGGTCAGGGAGAAGGTATCTATTCCCAGTGGATAGGGTGAGGATGCATTGCAGGGGAAGAAGGTGTCCTTCGCGGCGCTTTTCAAGACCGAGGAACAGCCTCGTAGATGAGAAGCAGCCAGCAGGTTCAGACAGCTGGCCGGTGACAAGATGGCCGTGCGAGGAAAGCAAGGAGAGCAAGCCTTTCTGGTAAAACGAACGATATGGAGGCCCGACCGATGTGCAGTGTATCATGGACTCAAATGGCCTCCGCCATGTTAAACGAAGCAAGTAGGTGACTTCTGCAGTGGAGAGCTTTGACCTCAGCCCTCATCCTCCAAGCCCCAGGTATACACAGTGGGCTTGCTGGCAAGAGAATTGTTGTACGCACACCTGAGTCTGGTTCTCCGAAACGCTGTTCGTCGAGAACATGACCTACATAGTCTTCCTGTCACACCTTGGGTTAGCTGTGAGCGTTCCCGGCTGCACCCTCGGGAGTTGGTGCATCCAATCTGCTGAGGCGCCAACCGTGACCGGCTGTCATTCGTCGCGCCCGGCTTCCTGTGAGGTTGGGTAGTAATAGTCTAGTACGGTTAGGCTGTCCAGGCAGCTAGCATTGGGCTTGGGGACGCAATGATGCGGCTGGTTCAATACGGGAATGCAAGAGGGATGCTGACAATGTCAAATGAAGGTAGTTTGCATACCATGAGAGTCGGTACGCCCGTTAGAAGAGAAGTCAACTCTGGTCCACCTTTGGCAGCGGGCTGACGCGATGTGACCGTTCCCAGATGATTGAGGTTTAGCAGCACGAGAGCGGTGGACCAACACTCAGCGCCGGGCGTGTTGGTGCAGGCTACCCTCTGGGGTCCGTACTCGAGCGGTTTGGCCCCTTGCCAGTCCAGGACTTGTGTGCTTGCGTTCCAGTTGATGAGCAAATGCATCTAATGCACAAGCACTAGAGGCCGTTGGTCTCGTGAGTTGTGATTGATATCGATCCAGGAGACTAAGGGACCCACTTCCAGTGCGTCCGACTATCGCGTTCGCTCCGCGACCATGCGAAAGGGAGGGCATCCTGTTCTTTGGGCGACGGTGGGGGAAAGGCCCAATAGCACAACCGGGATGATGCTCGTCACACCCGATTCTGCCATTAGCCGAACCGGCCCGAATAGAGTTTCATGGCGCCAGATGCCAGATATCATCCGAGCCAGGCGTGGAGTATCCAGGAAACTGATGCTCCCTCATCCTACACTGCGCAAGATCTTCCTTGTTTCGGACTTCTTCTTCCGTCCAGGGAGTCGGTGACTCTCAAAGACTCTATATCAAGGGTCCACCAGAAGCGAGAATAGGTAGGTAGTCTTCCATTCACAACCTTGCGCGCCTCCGAGCATTGATACCCGGGAGTGTCCTCCATGCGTCGGGACTGTGCAGTGAGCTGCAATTTCTAGGCCTGGGAGGTGTGTCTGTGAGCTCAAGACCAGCATATCCTTGGCCCGGGTACCGAATCTGAAGCCAACGAAAGAGAGCTAGAGATGTACATCCTCTGTTTTCACCAAGGAAATGTGACATGATGGAACGCTAGATTGCTAAAATTCTTTCATTCGACTAAGCGAGGAGACGATAATCATCGAGCAGACAACGCAGAGCTATGGTCTCTTGAATCTCGAGCGTACGGCTCGATCAGATCAGAATTGCGATACTTTGACTGGGTGCGCGAGGAGCGGGCCGCCCAGTGCGGCTTGGGCTTTGCGTCTAAGCGATTGAAAATGCTTTTTGTTGTACGTATGTTCGTTTCTTAGGAGCATATTGCTGGTCTGAAGACCTCTCGTTGGGCCACCTGTTTCCGGGAAAGGGACATGCGCCTGTGTTGAGATGCTGACAAACAGTTACCCTTGTGCATGGCTCCATCAACATATACGCCGTGGGCGAATCCACTGTACGAAAGCCCCCGAAATATGCATTGAGAGAATGACATTGCAGGGCATTGCATCGCGCCGTTGACTTGAAGGGTCGCTTTTGTTCACCAAATGCAGTCTCTTAGCTTCATCGAACAGCTGCCGGGCCCTCGTGCCAAGGCTGAGTGTGGTAGGAGAAGCCACCCAAGTGAACAGAGACATTTCGGGACCTGATTATGCAGCTGGGGCCATTACATCGGCAAGCCTGTATTGGAGAGACAGGAGCAGGGGAGCGCTGGCACTGCTGGCATCAAAGAGTGGTGTGATAGTCGGTGTTGTGTCATCCCTTTTGCCTTCGACGTCGTCATTAACTCGTTCATCATAGGCTCCTCAGTTGGGAAATGGGCCGTGATATCCGTTGTCCTGAACGGGACGCTGCGCAGAGCTTGGGCAGGTGTGCATCACAGTGGTAGGGACAAGGCAGGCCAACTCTGCTTGGCTAATTACCTGAACGCTCTGCTACCATTTGCTGTATTGGGGCAGATATGGGGAGCACTGCGGGTATCCAGCAGTGAGGAATTTGAGAGTCACACCCAGATACGAAGGGGCCAGCATCGCAAAATATGAAACAGTGTCAATATCAATGCAGTGCGATGTGAACCCTGAACAAAATGACCGGCATTTGATCGTCCTGGGTAAAGTTCCAGGAAGACATGGTGCAGCTTGAATGCACAGCTGAAAGGGGGCGACCCGTGTAGGAAACGCCTGTGTCTGTCGTTCAGCTGCATGACTCAAAAGGACGATAGCATTTGAGCGCTTGGAAGGACGCGAGCAAGGCCAGCCTAAGCTGGTACGTCCTCGTCGATCCTCGATCTCTATGGCCAAACAGCATCAAGAGATGAGTGTATGTTGGTGATCAGCTCTCTATCAGCAATCACCCTTGCTACCGGCGCAGCAATAATCCATGCCAGAACGACCTCCGGAGTACTTAGTACCGTTTCCGCGTCGGTGGAGTTGTGTCCAGTAGAGAGTTCGCGTAAGAGTGGAATAATGATGTACTGCCCGTCACCGGGTCAGTCACACATGTCCATCACCAGGTGGGGAGCTGTGGTAGAGACTCCGAGAGGCACGTTGAATCCCACATGCCGCGAGCAATCGTATCGTACAGATTACCACTGTCTCATAATGGCGTTTGGAGCAACCACTGTAGATCCAGCGGGTCGTTTCCCCTGGCCCTTGGTATTCGGCTCAGAGTCTGGGGCGAGCTGAATGGGGTTGAGTCTGGCACCCTCCATTGCATTTCAACGGGCGTGAACAGGGGTTCTCCATGTTCTTTCCCATTGCCCTCGACATCACCAAACAAATAGAACCAGCTGCCTCGTTGGAGGTCGAATATGAGTGCTACGCGTGACCAGCGTCGGTAATCCGACTACTCTTCTCGACCTAGTGCTGGTGGAGGACTGAGGTGTCAATTCCTGAACCGTTGCAAGTATCAGCCTCTTCCACGATCTGTTTTCGAACAAGGGTGAGAAGCGAGGGGCAGCGGCATGGTGTCCCGGATCGAGTTCCCTCCACTTACAGGGTGGGCCATTGCGCGTCTGGAGATTAATGTGCTCACAACTGATCCCTCGATGATCGCTACTCCACGGATTTATGGACTCGACCGGACCGCGACTCGACCGGACGGTACTTACTTCCCCAAAAACGTGCCACATGGTATCCCATTACCCTCTTCCCCCGTACAGGCCCGAGGTCGTGGGAAATGGCTTAAGAAGTATGGCTTCTGGCTGTTGAGGTGCAAAGTCAAATCTCAGGAACCGTCTAGAACGTGGCAATGGACAAGGCCGGCTCCGGGAAAAGTCGGCTCTATTCTTCTGGCATTCAGTGTCGAGATGGAAAACACCAAGCAGTGGCAACAAGGACGACGGAAGTTCCGTCGGAAACGGGACATGGCTCCTTTGGCGGAGCGTCACACGTTGTGATGGTATACCGTAGGACCAAATGATGCGACTTCCCAATCAGACAATTGTCCCGCCACTTGACCACGCCATACAGGAGTCCATGCCATCAGAACGATTTGACATCCCTGTCCACCAGCACCCGCACCAAGCGAAGCACAACCAACGGCAGACCTTGCATTCTCGGGAGCGATCCTTTCAAGTTTAGCAAGGTCTGGTCTCTGCCACTGCATGCGAAGACAATCGATCGTTTGGGACACCCAAACTCTATTGCCCGGTCGATGACGATGCGCTGAATATGTCTTGATCCTTGCAAACCCCGACAGCGGTGCCTTGACGGGACTTTTGTCCATGGTCACACTGCAATGAACTATCTGTGTCCTTGTGCGTTGTGTTTGTTCGCCCGCACATAGACTTTGTGGCAACGAGCCAATCGCGAAGCAAGCTGGCCGGAGGACATAGTAGTCGACCCAAAGCAGGGCCCTGTTATCGTTGATGCCTGCTTCCTTGACCCAGCTTGCACCAAGAGTTGTTGACAGGTTGCGAAGGCCATTTGCGCAGATCACTCCAGCCATGGGAAGTTCTCCTCGCATGAGAGGCACCTCTCAGATGCATCTCATGCGGTCATGTCCGGAACTTCCACTGTGGGAACGGATGCTGTCAAGCTATCATAGGGTAGCTTAAGCCACCGTGCAACAAAAGCTTCGATGTCCCGTCCATACCTAGGTACCTGCTAGGTGGGTACGTAGGTAGGTATGTAGTTAGGTAGGAGACACGTTCCGTGAGGTGACAAGGTGGTTTGGCGCTACCTGTCACGAACTTGAAAGCTCTTGAAAACTAGCGCTGTTAGTAGTAGGAGCGTGAGCACGTTTATCTGCAAGAATAACACTGCAGGTGCCTACCTAAGACAGGTAGGTAAGGTAGGTACCTACCTAGGTAGGTACGTGGGTCGTTTCTTGAGGCGAGGTTTCCAGGATTACTAGCGTGGAGGATAGTCGTACTAGGTAAGCTAGTATTATAACTGTGACAGATCCTTGACAGTTTAACGTGGGTTATCTTAACCTAGACTGGCAGATCCCCGCTAGATGCAACTGCTGGGACGATGTTGGGGTCAGATGCCTGTGGGTTTGCCGGGCCGAGATAGCATGAGGAACTACGTACTAGTAGTAACACTGAAGCTTTTTTCTCTGGATTAGCTGAAAAGTCCCAGAACTGAACAAGAGATACAAATTACCTAGTCCTCCCCCACCAGGTTACCTGTCCTTCACTGAACGTGCCTCTCCACACGACATTACTGTAGTGCCACAGGAATAACAACTCCGAAGAATATAGTTGGCCTGCCAGGAGCACGCCAATGACGCGGGTGCTTCATGAATGGCTGACGAGGCTGCAGCATCCGAAAAATGTTGAGCACCTTGGTCCATAATGTCTTGCATCCAGGGAAATGAGCCAGTCGTTGTGACCGGCGTAACTTCCTTTGACGGCGATAGTATCTTGCGCCTCGTTCCAGCTCTTAGGGCTCGATAGCCATTCAAGTTCCCCATGAGCACTGGAAAAGTAATTCCACTGTTGAGAAGTGGCAATGTGGAAACATGGTGGCCTGATTTCGTGTGCACCCAGGTCCCAGTCTATCCATGAGCCGACTGGACACCATCGTTTCTGGCAATAGTCCCGTCTTGAAAGGAGGTCATGGCAGCGTGTGGGTTGTTCAGAAATTCGATAGCTGACTGTGATGCTGCGGCGGTGGAAGGAGTGGTCGTCCGAAATAAGGAGAAAAGTAGAAGTCGGGTCGATCTACCTCTCCAATAAAGGATCTGCGTGGTGGAGCAGAACGCTGCCACAACCGTTGATTCGTCCGGGCAACGATCCTGACGCATTCACATGCTAGTACCTCAGGGAAGCAAGTTGATGACGAGATCACATGATGGATCGGGTAAACCTAGGTAGGTTGGTAACGTATATATACTATCAAAGCTTGAGCAGCTCGGATCCGATGTGAAGCCGTCAAGCTGGAATTGCACAGAGGAACTTGAAGTCCAACAGCGAGCAAGTGGCCCTTGCCATTACATTGTAAGGTAACTGGAAGGTACTATTTGGTACGTACCTGACCTAATTACGGTTTTACGGAACTAGGTACCGTACCTCAGTCGCTACTACCTACCTATGGTAGTAGTACCTGGGGCACTATTGTTGGTGGGTCCTGGTGGTGAGTCGATCTCCAAGCGAGCCAGATAATCAATCAACCACCGTCGGAAAAAACACCAGCAACAACAGTAGAGAAGCCTGGAAACCTGGACTGTTCTATCATCTTTGTAATTGGTGCGGATTGTGGTACCAGCCTCACGGTACGTACCTAGAAGCACCACAGTTCTACTGCTTTTCTTTGCTAGGGCGGCTCCAGGCTTTTGCAAGCACACCAGCGTGGTACCTAACTTATCTAGATGCCTTAGGTATATAGTAGGTACCTAGTTAAGTGGGCGGATGGGTGGCTGGGTAGATTCATATGGATCATTATGGGACAAACATTCACCTAAGGCAGGTACGTACTGCGCACGCATACGTATCTAATGTAGGTAGTTCACCTCAATGGGAAATTATTTACCTAATAAGGGAAGTACTCGCAAGGGCTTTAGCAATAGAGCATTCGAGTCTCGTCCGAATGTCCCCGTCTTGGTTTATTAGAGCCCCTTCAACTCTTTGCGGGCCTGCAGTCTTCGCAACCTTGCTGGTTTTTTGTCGTCCTCAGTTAGCTTTCTTTACACACCAGTTGGCGTCAAGCTCTGGAGCAGTCCTACGCCTCATTGCCGCTCCCTTTGCAGGTCCTCTTTATTGTTCGCCTAGAACTGAGTCGTCTGCTCAAACACTGTCGAAAACATCCTGGGAGTGCGACTCTCATAGACCCGAGTCACATATAGAGTTCGTACACCGTGGCCTTCTGGCTACGGGAAACTCTCACACTCCGCCTCCATGATTGCCCTCTACACCTACCTCGTCGTCCTCGTCCTGTACAAAAGCCCGTTGTCTAACATCTGCGCAGCCGGCGTCAGGTGCACCTGGTGGTCCCTCCTCGATTGCTGGCTCTGAGGCGAATCTCCCTGAAAGCCGGAACGAGCCCTGATTGCTCCTGCAGAATGCTCTCCTCCTGTCAGCATCAACATGTCATAGTACTTCATCTTCTTGATCGACTTTACTACGTTTCACCATCTTTGAGTACCGGGATCTCATCTCGATGGCTCTTAGGTGGAGGAACAGGGTTGTGGAAAGGGTGCCTGACCAAAGATACTTCTAAGATTACATATATATCATTGATGACGCGGGCCATCCGACCTGACAAGAGCTTGCGTGAGTGACGACTCCCTAGCTATCACCGCGATATACTCATTACCATGAACCTCACATACCAGCACCACCATAAAGGTGCAGTCCAGTTGCGAGCATGATCCACCCTTGAGTGAATCCAAAACTCACTCCTCACACTTACGATATGATTACTCCCGTTGGAGCATCAGACTTCGACATCCAGCCAACCGCCGAGCCTGCTACACGACCCGTTCCTACAGCGCGTTGCAACCGCTTCGCCCGCGTCGCACACCTCGTGGATAAACGATAGGTCAGGGACTATGAGAAGAGGACAAATAAAGTATCCGAGAGGAGTGCAATTTGAAGCTCAAGCCTCGTCATGGCAATCATGTCCAACCGGTACAGCTTACTGGCTGGAGAACACCGCGCTGTTGCGACATCGTCTCTGGTTCGGCTGGTTCAACCAGACCCTTCGCCATTCCATTCCATGCTCGGATGCTCGGAGCATTGCCCAGCAGAAAAGGTAGGGGCAAGGGGTTTATAAAGTGTAACGCAACTTCACCGTCAGGATCTTCAGAAACATGGGACCTTTTTGGGTGCGAGAAACATTCTGGTCAACAATCACAAAGGCACCCTTTGTTTTCCTTTTGAAACAGACCACTGATTTGTAGCCGGTGCACGAGGCAACCAGTACGAGGGCCTTGAATAGTTGATTCCTGTGGGCGATGACGGAGATCACCTAGTCCCTTTGCCGTTAGCAAGGGCGCTGCCGAGGGCGTTTCGTTAATCGAGAGGCACTCCTCGTCGAAGGATACTTCATGAAAGCTCTATTTGGCATTACAGAAAGGATTGAATAGAGCCGCGCCTCTGAACGGAGAGGATATTGAGACATACCATAACGGTTACTGCTATACCCCATGCAATACAGGGTTTGGGCGACGCAACCATCGCGTGCAAAATGGCCGGCCGGCACACGGACTCACCTTCACATGTTTGAACAATGCCACTGCAAGTCAAATGCCGCCTCGAGGACCCTAGACACTGCCAGTCTAAAACATATGCTCTGTGCTCTGGCAGAGGCGGACACCGCAGTGTTCGTTCCAAGATGAGTACACGGCAAACTGAGCCTTCTGCAGCGTTTGACTATCCCTATTCAGGGCTCAAGCTAAACTATACAGACAGTTGATGGCGACCAGTACGTTCCAGCCAAAAATGTACCGTAAGTACTGAACTATTTCAACCGAATATCGTTTCCGGAATATCTGGGCCGCCCTTGACACCATGTTCTATACGACTTTGGTCAGCCCCCTTCGATTAGCAGTGGTGGTTATATTCATGATGTATTTGGCCACAGAAGAAGATCTCTTGGGGAATTCCTACAGATGGGAACTGTTTCACCGCAGTGACCTGTTGTTGACCTTTTCAAGGACTGAGACTCAGAGACATGGGCTACGCGGGATGGCCCAGCCGTCCACCGAAGTCCGAAGAAACCCTACCTACCACGCGGCCTAGGGCAGAATATCTACGCTTCATCTACTGTCTCGGACAAAGGTTTTGCAGACGGAGGATGGGATCGTAATATCATTTTCGTGTCTGTTTATTGTGCCACTCCAGCGGGCCTGAGCTTCTTCCTCCCGCAGAGAGAGCTATCAACAGAATATTTCGGTCAGCTGGTGGTCGTGTCGTCCTTTTTGCTGTGGCAAACTTTAGAGATTGGTGTCGCATTGACTGTGTACAAATAGACGTTTCCCAGCGTAGAATCACGTCACAAGAGAGTTTACACGTCTTTGGCATACAGGTTGGGACCACGCTGTGGATGGTTCTGGAAGGGTTAAGCGTGCGGCACATTGCGTGTTAGGCTGTTTATTGACAAGCACCTAACCTGAAGTGGCCGGGATGCAATAACACTGTAGAGAGAGAACGACAGGGGCTTGATACTCAGTCAGCTGCGGTCGAGCCAACTGGACATATCACGCTTGAGGCCGCTGCAGTGCAACCACACCAGATACGCGAGATCGAGGAGTGCCTGTGCGCGCTTTCAAACTGTCAATTGTCAATCAATGGGCCGGTGACAGCTCGACTAGCTGGACGTCGATTCGGTCCATAAAGAGGGATCGTGTCTCGAGTCAAACAGAGTTCCCAGTTGAACATGCAGTGTGACCTAAAGATCGCTGGCGCCATCGCCGGGTAAGGAGATTGAAGCCGAATTGCTGTTAAAGAGCTGGCCAGTTCTTAACGGTGGCCCAGCACGAGGGAGTTGGTGTCGAAGTTCAATGGCCCAGCCACATACGGGATGCACCCGGAAGACATCCGAGGTGCCGAAGCATCTCTTTTCAAGCTGGTAATCCAGGCGTAAGGCCGCCTTTGCTTGCATCGTTTGAGAAACCATACAGGGAGTGGCCGGCCATGGCAGCTCCAGGGGCAATGCTCTGCCGTATTGTGCCAAGACCTGTAACAGGGAGGAGCATACCTCACGCGGGTGGCACAACGAGGCTAGAACCTCAACTTCTCATGTCCCTTCGCCTCATGGTCCGTTTCATCTATGCCGTGTCACCACAGGTATCAGAGCACATCGCGCTATGAGGATTCCCACTCGGGATTTTGGGAAGAAGCACCGTATCTAATGCTTTGCATTGGTCCATGACTCGAGACTCGCCACTGCTCTTAGTTCCCATCGGGCGTCAGCAATCCATCGTGAAACTCGAGATGGTCTACTATTTCAAGTCCACTGCGGTTGACCCCCCTGCCTTTATTTATGTGGGAAAAGATAAAGTGGAAAGTATGTTTTCGCCGAGGACACCACGAGCTATTGGTTCTGACCGAAGGGCAGACGAGGATTTGATCAAATTCGGCTGGGACGAAGATGTTTGGTACGAGGTCTCCCAACCCACGTAGACAGAAGCTTTCGACTCATGTTGTTTTTTTGCACAGGGTATTTCGGTGGACTGGCTCCGATCGCTTCGTTTGCTGATGCTTGTTAGTTTCATGTGGACAATCATTCAAGTGCACATGTGTACCTCCGACTGAAACCCGGCGATTCGTGGACATCTATTGCCCCAGCTCTCTTGGAGGATTGCGCCCAGCTGACAAAAGCAAACTCCATTGAAGGTAAGCTCCGCATGGGAACAGGGAACGATTATTGTGGTTACTAGCATGCATGCGCTGCAGGCAACAAGAAAGACAATGTCACAATCATCTACACACCATGGTCGAACCTCAGAAAGGATGCCTCCATGGCCACAGGCCAAGTCTCTTTCCATGACCCCAAGAAGGTCAAGAAAGTTCATGTTGCCGTACGTCAGAACACCATCGTCAACCGGCTAAACAAGACCAAGGTGGAAAAGTTCCCCGATCTACAGGCCGAGAGAGAAGCGGACCTCAGGGAGAAGCGGAAAGCCGAGCGAATCCAGCGTGAGCAGCAGAAGGCAAAAGAACGGGAGGAGAGAATGCACCGGGAAGAACTGAGATGGCAGAAAGACCATGCTTACGACGACATAATGCGGGAGGAGGAGATGGTGAGCAATCAAGACCAAGACTCCAGGTTCTTCGAGGACGATTTCATGTGATGGAGAAGCACAGAAAAACAAGAGTGCAAGGCAGTATACTCTGTACTCACCCTTTGTGATGGTCGATATCTGCGAAATCCAATGCGCAGTCTTTTTCTGGCGAAACCAACGTGGGTGATTGAATCAGGGGTATCGTCTGTGCCTGTGCGGCAGCCACTGGCCTCGTACCAGTACGTATAAAATAATTGTATTTATGCAGATTAGGTGTCTCTGATGGCCCCCGCAGTGAGATTAGGCGAGGTCCAAGTTGTGCAGGGCCTGGGCACCAGCCACAGTGACTTGGCGTCGTCAACCCCTGACTTCCAGATGTACAGAGTTAGTACGGCCCTAACACGACTTAGTAGTACTCGGCGTACTACGTACTACGAAGGTACTATATCATCTATCGACCTACCTACGTAACATGGGTGCTGCGTCCTTCCCAACATCCCAAATATCCAAACACCCAACACCCAATATCCTAATGAACCCTCACACAGATTCCAGTTGGCCTCAGCAAGCAAGCTTTCATTCCAAGACTACTAGTTCTATTATTTGTTTCCTCCGACCCTAGATCAAGTCACTGTGACTACCTGCGTCGGGCGATACACCCACCTATCCTTCCACTCTTTGTGCATTGGTCTCACTTGCGCCAAAGATTCGGCATTGATCCCCCGACGTCTCGACCGAGACATTCTCCGTTGCATTCCCGCTATCCAGGTCACAGAAGAGTTCTTTCAATCGTCCTAGTCCTCGACTCCGACTCATGGCTTCAACGGAGAGCCCAGCGCGCGCTCATGGTATCCAGTCGCACCACCTCTTCTTCTCCTCTCAACTGCTGACCACAAATTTAGATCGGCATGTCCGCCGCCGTCCCTTTACAACGTGGATGCGCAGGCTCGCGAACCTCAAGACCCTTCATGTCGATTCGAGCGAGACCCTTCCTAGCCCGAAGCGATCCAATCTCCCCATGACGATCAAATCCAAGAAGGGCAACATTGCGAAGAATAATCCCTATCCTTTGTCGTCACGGCCCGAAGCCCATAATCCCGGCCATCTGTCCTTCACGGCTCCTCTATCGTCCCAAAGATCAAGACATAGCTCCATTTCGCAGAGTAAGCAGTCGATGTCTGTCTCCCACGATAGCCAGGCTGGCAACAAGTCGAAAGCTCCTACTTTAGCTACACAGGCAGAGACGGCAATGTCAGATGCTGCTCCATCGGGTGTAGGAACCAGTGCTACGGCCGCTAAAACCGATGGCGGAAGGGACAGCACATTCTCGTCTCCTGCCCCTTCGGTGCGGTCTATGGCGACCACTTTGACAACCGTTCAATCTATCGCACCAGGACACAACAATCCCACGGGTCCCATGATGACAAACACTTCTACCACCAGCAATGTGACGCCGCACTATGGCGGGCCACCTGCCACTGCAGTCCCGGCACATCTTGCACCTCATGCGCACCCGACTACCTACCATTCTGCAACTGCCAATAACATGCTCACGGATGACGCCTCAATTCTGACCTTGGCATCCTCCTCGAAACGGCGCCGGCGAAATTCAGTGGATACCAATGCCTCCATGAAGGCTCTTGCCCCAGCGTCTATGTTTGGTGGGAGTCGCGAATCCCTTCCTCTTTCTGTTCTGTCCGGCACCGTCATCCACCCTACCACGGACAGTTCGTCGATTCGAGAAGGCAGTGGCGCCGTCCACGCGCGCTCCAACTTCAGCGCCGAACGTGCCAGTTTGATTTCGGCGTCCGGCGTCACCGCTCCCGCCCTGGCAAGCGAGCGCAACAGTTACATCGGCAGCAAGTACGGCGATGGCGCTAGCGTGCGCAGTGGCCTCCTGGGCGGAGGTCATGGGCAGACTGACAGCATGAGCGGCAGCATCGGCGGATATCGCGAGAAGGAAAGGGAAAGAGAGCGTGAGAAGGACCGGGAAAATGGAATGGTCACTGCGCCGACAAGCCCACTGGTTGATGGGCCCGGTGGGGGATCCCAATACACTTCGGCTCTCGGGGAATTGGGCAAGGAGAAAGCCGGTCAAATCGATGCCTAAGATACTGGGGAGAGACAGGTTGGCGGCGAGAGTGGCTGGGATAGTAGGAAATCTACTGCGGTTCTCGGCGCTTCGCATGGACTTGTGGACACATAAGAACGAAAGGTTCACGGCACAAGACCTTCAATCAACGGCGCAACAAAATGCAACAGCTCCGTAATATGGATCGTCGTGGCATCGCAGGATAGGGGAGGATGAGTGGATGAGTGAGTTGATGTGACTTCAGTGCCTGGCTTGCACATGGCTGTGAGCGAGCATGGCTACCGGCGCTTTTCTTCGGCGAGAGACGATATTGTTTGCATCTCGGGGCTGGCCTATCGGTGTAAGAGGAACTATGATACCCCCTTCTTTCTTTTTTATGAAAAGTTGTCGAGGCTCCAGGGCAGGGAATGCGGAGCTGGTATGTCGGTGTGGGTAAAACATGCGGCAGGAATGGCCACCTTCATGGCTATGTTTGTGCTTGTGCTTGCGCTTGTGCCTTTGCTTATGACTATGGCTACGGCTACCTATGTACTATTATTGATTGAAGTGGCAGGCATCGAAATGGCCTGGCCGGACCGCACTGCACCCGCGATACTAGTATCGTGATATGCGCACGGTAGGGGGCAGTCATCGGATAGAGAACAAACAAAAGCTACTGGGACGTTTCAAGCATACCCACTTATGGTATACCATGCAGCTCGTACACTAGCAGAGTACTATGTTGAAGGAGCGATGCATCTTCTATTGATTGAGAAGGCACGCGTGCCATTGACAGGAAAGATAGCCGGTACTTGTAACTAGTACGCGTGTAACATGGACGTCCATTTTCTTCATGACTTCAAGACCAGCTTGGGTGGAAGCAGAGTCTGTGAATGCAGATACCAGGAATGGCGATCAATCCGCATTCGTGGCTAGTCTTTATCAGGTGCAATAGATTCGACCTTGGACATTGACCCGTTCATTCCTTCATGGCCGCTCTGTGCAGCGAGGCGAAGAGCGGATGAGGATGATGCCCATGCCATCGCCATCATGTGCGTCCGGAAGGCTGTCGGTTTCTGTCGGAAATAGTTGAGTGCTCATGGTGGACTGACTCATGGCAAGCCCCGTGTAAGCTGATGCTCCTGTGCCAGCAATCAGTCGTGATGCAAAGCCGTGAGGTGCTTCAAGGCCTTCTAGAAAGCTATTGCGCCCTCGTTGTAGCGCGTTCTCCTCGGCAAGGGCACTGCCGATGTTTGTTTTTCCGAGACCGACGCAGTGAGAGGCAATGCAGCGCTGGGAGGTCCAGAGCAAGGGCATGACGGCCGGCCGGCCAGCCAGCCAGCTGATACCGCCCAAGAATGCCCTGAAAGACTTCGACAAATAAGTGTCTCAGCTCTCAAGGAAGAGCCTTGTTCGAAGAAGGGTGCCCGCGATATTGGCACTCTTCGAGCAGAGCAAAAAGACGAAGGAATGGAAATTGATGTCGTTCTTTTGCGGCATTTTCTTTTCCACTTCCAAAGTGCGAAAGACTGTAGATGATATAGATGGTCACTGTTTCGCCTAATCACGGGGTGTTTAGCTTGTTGGTTCGACGCCTGTGGACCTCTTTTCAGGTATGATATTGAGTCAAGATTCTGGTCCTGTGGCAAAAGAACTGATTGCTATATTGCGTGTCTTTCCTGTTTCAGTCTCCGAAATACACCAAAACGAGCGTCGTTGAGATTGGGCATGGTCCAGGAGTGCACTGAGTGCCCTGCTCAAACCGTTGAACTTCAATGAGAGGGGGCAATGATGGATATATCGATTTAAACAAAACAACTGATAGGCAGCGTTATCAGGGGGCCAATGCAAATATCAATGACACTTCAGAGAAGAGGTGACATAGATCGCTGGCCAGTCATGATTCTGTAGAACTGAGCGGCCAGTGAAACTGTGTCATTGTGTTGTTCCTAAGTCAGTAAGATCGTTATGCATCACATAAGTCATGTCGACACTCGCTAGCAGTTTCTAACATGTCTTGAGCACACCGCAACCATCACGGCGGAATTAGGCTTAAAACTGATCTGCCACAACATGTCAGTACGAAAGCCCCACGGCTGTGGAAGAGGGACCAAAACCAACCTAATGTCATGCTCATGCTGACATCCGTGTTCTCAACCATCTGGGTGAACTCCTCGAAGCTGATCTTCCCGTCGCCATCCTTGTCAGCCTCCATAATAGTCTTGTCCACGATCTGCTGAAGCTGCTGATCTTTCAAATTACTCCCGACCATCATCTTGAGCACGATAAACAACTCTCCATTAGAGATGTAGCCGTCTCGATCGATGTCGTAGACTTTGAACGCGAACTTGAGTTTCTCTTCTTTGTTGCCCTTGGACGAGAAGGCCGACAGACCCAGGACGAACTCTTGAAAGTCCACGTCGCCTCCACCGTCTTCGTCGAAGATAGCGATCATTCTGCCGACATTGTTAGAGATGCACGGGCGAACGACCAGCAACTGCCGATGCGGAGAGTGTGTACCTCGTGGCCAAGGGGTTGGAGGATACTTGTGGTAACGACAAGAACTCTTCTCTCTCAATGGTACCGCTGTTGTCCTGTCCCATACCATCAGTGCCGTCAAGGTAAAGTTATTTGGCGCAGTGTGTACCTTGTCCAGTTTCATGAACCTCTTCCGCAGTCTGTCTACTTCATCTCGATCGACTAAAGCGGTCGCTGTCAGCACCCACTCACTTGGCCCTCCGGCGTAGTGTTTGGTCGAATGCGCCTGCGCAGGGTCCTGGATGGGAGAGGCTCAAACGCACAGTTGGAGAAAGAGACAATGTTGTCAAGGATTTGAGAGCCGGTGACAGTCTGCCTTCTGCGAGCGTCGTAGAGCGCGGCATTGTTGGGTTCGGCGATGGTGCCGGCTTGAGCGCCGTATGCTGGCGTAGCCATAATGGGAGTCGAAGGCCGTCAGGAGAGAGGATCGATTGAGGTGGGGAGCAGATACTACGGCGACACGGGAGTTTGCAAGGACGAAATAGCGTCAACAATGAAAGAATCAGAGTGGTCAATTCTGTTGGTAAAGGATGAGTAGGTATTGAAGAAACTATCTGGCAGATAAGTGAGTGAGTGTATGCGCGGCTGATGAGAGCAAGAGATGGACCCCGGACTCAGATGGTTGTTGTGGTAGTACCGCCCGCCTTCGCCTTCGCCCTCATCTTGAACTGCGTACTAACCTGCAGCGAAGGCTGAAAGGTGCAAGGCCGTCACACAGCACTAGCCACAGGGCCTCTAGCCACAATATCAAGTGATCTAGACTGGTCATGTTGCGCCACAGTGAGCTAGAACTGAAACGGGCAACAATTCAGGGGCACGCCAAGAGGGAAAATCTTGCACAACCGCATGGCACCACACCAACGACTGGAATGGATTGTAAAAGCTGAAATGTCACACACCGAGGCCACGGTTGATGATACCCTTTGATGATAACCTCACACTTGGATGCAGGGTCATCTAAGGTACCAAACTTTCTGGCTTACTACCTGTAAGCAGGTAATAATGGGCGAGTTGTGTGGCCGGATGATTCGCTAGCTGCTTTATGCTCCTCCGTAGTGCATTTGGTGGTCCAAAGTAGTGCCAGACACAGGTGCATTTGGCTCTCCTCCTACCATTCCAATATTACAGAGGGACCTCCTAGCCAGCACCTATTAGGGTGCCTAGCAATAGCCACGACCAGGTGGTCTGTAGGCTTGTTGCCGTGTGGTTCCTTACCTAGATCCATACCTCTAGGTGCTTTCGGCAGGGTGCCCGAGCGTTAGTTAGCAATCGCTGTCACGCCTGGAGCCTCACTCTGTAGGCAGGAAATTGTTGTGCATCACCCAACTCCTTTCAGCCATAGGTCATCATAATCATCATTCTGTCACTCTCACTCTCACTCACAGCACTCAGACTGCACTGACTGCACTGCGCCATCTCTGAGCTTATCCCTCCCGCCTACTGAGAGTGCATCTCCTTCCCCCCACGCTTCCCAACCTGCAAACCTGCACTTTTCACTCCCTCACACACGCTCAACCACCGCACCCAGCTGCAGCTGCAAAATCCTTCAACCATCAAAAACGTCCACACCCCACGACTTTATTATCGTTCTGAGACGATAGTTCATCTCAGTGCATCAAGCGCTACATTCTCATGCTGGTTTGCTGAATTATTGACCACTTCTACTCTACTTTTGGGTGTGGTGGTGCTCCGGCCGGCGTTGGTCCTCCTTCATGAGGTTGTCGCCTAAAAGCGTCCATGTCGCGCGCGGCAGGCAGGCACACCCGCCCCAAGAAACTCAACGCCAAACAAAATGTCCCGATCTTTCGTGAGGATCAAGTCGATTCTCTCGTCGACTATGACCTCCAACGTGCTGCAATAGAAACTGGTGTTGAAAAGGCTGAGGAATCGGTATGTGGCCGCCTGCAGCCCGTTTTGAATTCCCTTCGTGCCCTGTTCAATTCTGCTTCATCTTCTTGTCGCTCTGTCCTCTTCCTCTTGCTTAGTCACCACCGCGCCTTGGCAAAACACCCTCCGGATCTCCCACCCACTCCGTCCCCATGCTAACCAGTCATGCTTCACAGGAATACCATCTTCAACAAGCCATAAAAGCAGCTGAGGCGAACAAAGCCGACACCAAACCCAAAGATGCTTACATTCCCACTCCACCTACCGTTGCCAGTGATATTCAGTATGACGTTCTGTATCCCAAGGGGTTCCAGCAACCTGCAACGTACATCCGCTTTTCAGCCACAGTCGAAGACTGTTCTGGAGTGGCATATTGCATGGATGAAGAGGATGAGGCTGCATGGAAATCCATGAATAGCAACTTACCTCCTGGACAGCCGCCTTGCACGGAAGATCAATTCGAAGAGGTCATGAACTTTTTCGAAGAGACCGCTCAGGCGAAGCAACCGTTTGCCGCTGTCGACAATCCTCCCGTCTTACCTTTAGAAGAGCTGCAAGAACAGTTCGATGAGGACACACCTGCCCACGTTCGCATCCTTTCCCAGTATGTATATGACCACTGGAAAACCAGGCGCACAGCCACTGGTAATCGTCCGTTGGCTCCTCGTCTGAAATTCGAGACCGGTCAAGAATCCGACGACTCAGACCCGTATGTATGCTTCAGAAGAAGAGAGCTGCGCCAGATCCGCAAGACGAGGAATCGCGATGCTCAGAGCGCCGAAAAGCTGCGCAAATTGCGGCTTGAGCTTGAAACTGCCCGCGGCATGCTGCTGATGGTCAAGAGAAGAGAACTGCTGCGTAAAGAATGTCTCGAAGTCGACCGGCAGCTGTTCGAGCAACGGCTTGCCTTCAGAGACACCAAGAGAAAGTTGGGCATCAAAGGCGATGAAGAACTTCTCGTCAACCAAAAGGTAAATCTTGCCGCTCCGAGCAAGAGAGTTTCCCAGACTTACCTAGCCGCGCAGAAGCAGAAATTGCCACCCGGCATGACCGCCAACCAAGCCGCCCTCGCGCAACAATTGCGGATGCCTATGGCACCTGGTCCGGGCCCTGAACTCCGCACACTGGAGGATGTCACCGCTGCTAGAGAACGTGAGATCCAAAAAGAGATCCAAACCAATATCGAAAAACACATCAGATGGAATGAAGGCTTCGTCGACAAGACCATGACGCCACTCACCCCGGAGCACGAAGAAGACTATCCATCGCCGGATGGCCTCTTCAGAGAAGCCATGGCTGCGACCGAGTATCTTCCCACACCACCTGCTAGCATCTCGGATGATGAGGCGCAGCAACCACGTGAAGGTTCGGATGTGGTGATGAAGGATGTGTCACGGCCTTCCACACCTTTCCGCTACGCCAGTCCCGGTGACGACGAGACCGTTGGGCACATGCCATCTTTCCGGCGGAGGATGGGTAGAGGTGGACGCATTATGATCGATCGCAAACTTCCTCGGATGAAGCGAGACTTTTCGGGAGATGATAGATTCAAATTCGACTCCGATGATGAGGAAGTGCGGGATGTCGAACCGTCGGAAGAATCTATGTTCCCTCGATTAGTTCAGCGAGCATACCTTCTGGGCAACGCTCGGCCAACCGATGCTCAAGCAATGTCAGCCAGAAGAGCTCAACTCGAGACCGGTGGTCCGAGTCAGTCACCTGCGCCCCCCAACCCGCAAGTGACACCCGTACCTTCTTGAATGTTCCGGTTCTTGGAAAAATTTTTTGCGGCCGTCATCGAGAGCACAATTCAAAAACTCTCGTCTCAACGCTCGGGTGAAGTTCGACCTTGTCAGCGTTACCGGGCCACTTGGATGCAGCTCACGGTTTGCCAACCGCGAGGAGCGGTGTTGTTTTTGCAGATACTCATTGTACATATTATCGAGGCCAGCGCCTCTGTCATTCCAGATAATGACTATTCGAACTCAAGACGTCATCGATGCTTTTCTTTTTTCGCTGCCTTTTCTGAAAGGATCTCCGTGTTGGAATCGTACTTTCGCTTGGACTGGCCAACGGCCAGTTCTTCGGACTTTTGCTTGATGTGGGACTGGCATAGGATAATCAACTGCCGCAGAACCTCTTTTTCGCCCATTCTGACCTGGAGTGCCATAGAGTATCGCCGTGGGTCACAAGCGGCTGGCACGGTAGAGGTTGTGGAGTTGGAGTGCAATGCATCCAGGATGGCCTGGTCCGCTTCATGACTAGTGCCATACTCTGACAACTTCTTGGTGAGCACCGCTTGTAGCAGGGCGGCTTCCTCGATTGTGACTGCGTCCTTCGGCTTCTTGACGGCTTTGGCGTCATTTTCGTGTACACAGAGCGCTCGCAGAAGCATGTGTAGCTGCCCAGACAGGGTGTCTTCCAGGCGCCGCACATTTGGATCGGGCCGGGGAATGGAATAACCATCGTCAATGAGACCGATTTCATCAAGCTGCTGCTCACGGTCTAGCCATGCTTTATTCTCCTTGTTGTGTTTCTTCCCAGCCACCTCCAGGAGAAGGTGATGTGAGAACTCGACGACATCAAATTGGGCATAGTTGTCGGTGGTGTACCCATACATTCGAACAAGGTCAGAGCGTGGCAAGGGGCCGTAATCATTGAAAATCTGCTCGCCTGCAGATATTGGCTTGGTGGCCTTCATGACAAGATAGTCCGTTTCTTGAAACAGGCGAGCCTGTTGTTAATGGAGGTCAGCCTTATTCCAATATTTGTGTGAGTGCGTGGGCTCAACGAACGTTATTTCTGTCGGCATCCGCATTCAGCATATCAGCGAAGGGCACCATGCCCTTAAACGGCTCGTCTTCATCGTCCTCTTCAAAGTCGTCCTCAGACGAGGCGTCGCCATCATCGGGTTTCGGGTCGTCCCTGTCGATATCAAAAGCGTATGCCATGATCAAGCTGCCAGCCATATGTGCAAGCTTGATCAGCTCCGCAGTTCGTTCGGATGGGGTGGCTCCGGGGACAGGAAACAGACCAGGATGTGCTAGCATGACAGGGATGATGGTCTGCCGCCACAACTCCTCAGCCTGCTCTCTTCCAATCTTGTGGACTACTGCACTGGCTTGTAACTCGGCGAGCTCAGCACTGTTCCAAAACATAAGAGTATCGAAAGTGGTAGGAAGGACTTTGAAGTATGGGTGCCATGGAGATTTGTCTTTCCGAAGGAATTCATAGATTATGGTGACAATCAAGGGTGGCCATGCTCCGGTGTCTTCCAGGGACTGGAGAACTGAAGGTGGGATGTTTGATGTCGTCGTCGTGAGCACCATTGATCGAGGCACTGCGAACAGCTCCTCGTCTTCCGCGATGTCTTGTATCGCCACTAAGCAATGGTCATCAGCACCCGAGTCAGCAGAGAAGTAAGATGAGCGTACCGGCTGCTCTCCCAGCGTTTGTCCTCCTCAGATCCCGCAACTGCACCTTGTGACTTAGCCGAGTTCCATCAGCCGCGGTGAACCAGTGGACGAACTCGGCGCTGGATTGATCAAAGTCCATGCCGTCCGCACTCAGGGGGGAAATCCCCATGACAAACGAAGTCCTTTTACAGACCAAAAGCAAACCAGACGAAGGATCTGCTTGCACGGGAAACTGAGCGGATTTGACAGAGAGTGGTAAGAGAGCGTTCGTTGTAGTGGGAGGACTCGAAGTCATTCGAAGGACACCGCTTTGCGCGCCAAGCGATCGGCTTTTTGGAACAAGCGACGCAGTCTCTGTCTCCGCACAGATTACTAAGCGGGGAACGCGAACGGACTGCGCCATTCATAAAGTTGTTCTGTCCATCCCACTGGCACGTCATGGAATCCTCTTCGAGGTTTGCAGCGTAGAGCCTCGTGGTACTAGTAACGATTTCCTCAACCAACAAGCGCAACCTGCCACCCCTGCTGGCTCAGTTCAGGCAAAATCCCGCGGTCTGTCGGTCGTCCACAATGATTGCCATCGGCCTTGAAGGCTCTGCCAACAAGCTGGGGGTTGGCGTGATCCTACAGCCCTCCAAAGGCGGCCCAGCGCAAATCTTGTCCAATATCAGAGACACCTATGTCTCGCCTCCGGGAGAAGGGTTTCTTCCCAAGGACACGGCCAAGCATCATCGTGCTCATGTCGCACGCCTAGTCAAGCAAGCACTGACCCAAGCTGGCGTGAGGATCCAGGATGTTGACTGTATTTGCTACACCAAAGGACCTGGAATGGGGGCTCCATTACAAAGTGTGGCTGTGGCGGCGAGAACATTGAGCATCTTGTGGAACAAGCCTCTGGTCGGCGTCAATCACTGCGTTGGCCACATTGAGATGGGGCGAGAGATTACCGGAGCAGCTAACCCTGTTGTTTTATATGTTTCAGGCGGCAATACGCAAGTCATCGCTTACAGTACCCAGCGGTATCGCATATTTGGGGAGGCTCTGGATATTGCGGTTGGGAACTGCCTTGACAGATTCGCGCGGACACTGAACATCTCGAATGACCCTGCTCCCGGCTACAACATTGAGCAGCTGGCGAAGAAAGGAAGAGTGTTGGTGGACCTTCCGTACGCGGTCAAGGGAATGGATTGTTCATTTAGCGGAATTCTTGCCCAGGTCGACGAACTTGCTGGCCAGATGAAAGCGGGCACCCTAAAAGATCCCAGCACCGGTGACGCAGTCACTCCCGAGGATCTCTGCTTCTCTCTACAGGAGACTGTTTTTGCCATGCTTGTGGAGATCACCGAGAGAGCCATGGCTCATGTTGGCTCTAAGCAGGTGCTTATTGTCGGCGGCGTAGGTTGCAATGAGAGACTACAGGATATGATGGGGACCATGGCAAGGGACAGAGGTGGTAGCGTCTACGCTACCGACGAAAGATTCTGCATTGACAATGGTATCATGATCGCTCACGCCGGTCTCCTCGCTTATCGAACCGGCTTCGAAACTCCTCTAGAGGAGAGCACCTGCACACAAAGATTTCGAACAGACGATGTCCATGTCGCGTGGAGAGAAGACTGAAACCGAACAAAACGACCATGCTTGCCCAGCACTCCTTCCCGACCATCGGAACCACGCAATCAAGACGGGTCCCGGCTCCTCGTTTAATCGTCCAATCATGAAATCGTTGATACCCGAAATGCAAAAGACCAGAGCCGCATGGCTCAGCAGTCCATTCGTCGACGTTATTGAGCTGCCTGGAATTGGGGCACTGGCTTGAACGATATTGTGGTTACATACTACGCCACAACGGTTAGTGACTTCTTACGCAACCGTTCTGAGAATCTTACCTTTTTCTTGTACCGCGTGGTGACACTTGTTGCCAGCACCCCGTTCTTAACGCTGCTGGTCATGAGATGATTCAAAACTGTGTGGTTGGGCAGTGTTAGGACGCTGTTATCGTCCTTCACTGGGAGGAGACCGTTCAGAATCGACCTGCTCAGGAAAAGAGGTAGAGCTGGTGGCGCTGGCGCTTCTTGAATGACTCGCACTGCGTTGTGATACCGGACGTCGTCTTCCGGAAGATCAACATCAACCAAAGCTTGTGGGACGAGCTGTCGAAAATCGCCGGAAGGGATCTCTTCGGCTTGGGGCTCCACCAACCCAGTATCCTCAGGCGTCTGATCACCAGATCGACCATGTTCATGCTCGGACAGGGCGAGAACCGTTGATTTACCGCCATGCTGAGTGCTCTCTCTCCTGGGCTTTGTAAGGTCTTCTGTCGCAATTTCGATATAATTGACTAGAAAGTTGTTGAAGTCGACCGCAGTTGGAAGATCTGGGCTTGTGACCATCTCGCCGTCTACTACGAATTTGAGATGATGTGTCCCTGATGGAAGGTTGATTGTGGTGAACATGCCAGGGCCATTCTTTCTGTTGTCATGTTAGCGGGCTATCGCAAGGTGTGCCGGGAAAACATGTACGAATCTGGGCTGAAGGAATGACAATATGTCTTGAGGGACGAGGACTGGCCGATCCCAGGTGTTTGCCGGTATGGTAGAGTGGAAAGATTGGCGTGTCTCAGAAAAACAACAAAGGAATTCCCGGAACGTACCTCGGATGAAGCCTGTATTTCTTTTCCCAATTGGCAAAAGTGCCCGTGACGTAGACTTTGTTTCCGCCATGGTTCCATTCGATGACAGTAGGAACGGTTTGAGCGGTAGCAGTATCCACGGCAAATGGCTGCAGCTCCTCTCCCACCTCTTCCTCAGATTGCGTGGTGGTACTCAGCATGGAACTTTTCCTGGTCGTCTGAGGCTCGATAGCGGAGAGAGGCTCGTCCGTCTCGAAGATTGGGACGTCCGCATTTCCTCGATCGACTGGCAACAGAGCAGGCGATTCCGGGATAGGTACATCTGCGATAGGAAGAGGGAGGCGGGGAGGCCGCAACTGAGCGATCGGCGTATATCGTCGGTCCTGGTAGGTGTTGTTGGGTTCTTCGACAGATTCCTCAGCTGAATCCTGCTTGCTTCTTGACATGGGCACGTCGACTGGGCCTGATGCCTTTGGCACGGGCACAGGCGGCTGATGTTTTGGTCGTTGTTCCAACTCATTTCTCTTCTCGCGTGAGGCTCTCGAGGATGACCTCTCCACCTTGGCGGATCTGGCATGTTGATCTGGCGATGAGGCTTGAAGATATTGCTGCAAGGCAGGCTTTTCCAGATGTTGGGAAGTCGTTTGCGCAACGGCGGTGTCCTTTGTCGCGGAAGGGTCGACAGGAGTTGACCGGCCTTGAGACAGGGCCTGAATCGAGACTCTACGGGAGATCTTCCGGTCTTTGTCTGCTGGAGGAGCACCGCCAGCTCTCGAAGTCGACCCTTTCTCTGAGGACTGTTGCTGGCCCATTTTGGCTGGCGCAGTTGAGTTTCAATCGAGATTCGACTGTCGTGCGACACGTGGTGGGTAGGGAAATGAGGCCCAAGGCGGGCCACGTCAGGGAGATAGGAAGTCTGAGGAGAACTTCGTGGGCTCCAGATAAATTAGCATCCGGTGTTTCAATTCCAAGAAAGGCGACCCTGGAGCTGGAGGAGAGCGAAGAATGTAAGGGAGAGTCGTAGGCAATTATGCATTCCCCAAGCCTGAGTTTGTGGTGACGTCCCAGTACTAGTGGTAAAGTCACCGGGCCAGGTATTTATTGAGACGGGGAACGGAGGGAGAGGGGCGCTAGGTGCAAAGCAACAAGAGGTTGCGCTAGGTCCTGGGATAAGAGCTGGGAGAGAGTTTTAGTTAAACGTCAGTGAATATGCCATGGCATCTGCAGCTTAAACAAAGGAGCCTAGGGCCTGAGGAGCCCACGTTATTAGCCTCCCGGAGGCTTTATTGGGGAGACCATGGGCGGAAGTGTGGGGAGGGCTTTTGGGACCAGAGGGCGTCTCTCTGTGATCCAATAATGGTGATGACAGCAACCACCAAAGTCCCTAAAGTCTGACCACAACACAATTCATTGACTTGTTCCTCCCCTGTCCCTCATATCGCACCTTTGGCAGGTTACACAACACATGACTTTGAATAACTTAAAGCTGGGTCGACCATTCATCGACATCCCTTCATCCATCAACCGTCTCTTGGATCATGATTCAATCGAGGGGATGCCGACCGACTCAAAGAGGCATCATTGGGTCGCCATCACAACCACCGTGCTTTACTATGCAGTCTATCCTTTTTACCTGGTGCTGAGGGCGCTATGGTACATTTTGGTATTGCTATCAACTCCTTTTGTGTCCATTGGACGCGTTTTAGGGCATATTTCATTGATTCCATGGCGCATTTTTGCACGTTTCGAGGTCGGTCACTCCGCTCAACTCACGGGTCCGACTGACATCTTCACAGGCAGTCTGGTATTTTTTGGGTTGCGCAATCTTGCTCGGAATCCTTCTCGGGCTCATTTTGCATTTCACCATGCTGGGATTCGTCGTGCTTTTCGACCTCGACCGCAAAACTTCCCCGCAACCGATCCCACCGAAGGGACATGATGCTATATCTTACAGGAAGGCGAGAGAAGCAAAGAAGCAGAAGCTGGAAGAACAACGAAGGCAAGCTGTGCAGGCCAGGTTGATCGCCTCCCAGCCTCTGATTCAAGCAGTCGGGAGAGACGTCCGCAAGATCCCGCTCTCTGGGCCATCTAGCAGTCCGTTGAGCCCAAGTCTTTCTGGACCTGGCAGACCAGGTCTCCTGCAGGAGACCATTCTCGAGCACAGTGAAGAAGACGACACAGAGTCTGTATTCTAGGACACGTGTGGAGGTCGGCGTAACCCTGCTGTGACCAGAGCTTGCTGGAAGAGATCTTTGCATCTGACTCGACTTCCCAATCTCGCGCATAATAGAAAAGCGCCGCTCAGTTTACGGTGTAAGCTGTACGTCTCCTCTGGAGGCGGCGCCAACCTCTCTCTCAGCATGACAGGGATGAGGCCACGAACACGGTCGGTGATTGTCTGGTTCTCGAAGTTGTAAAGATCAGGGGCAGAGTCCATGAAAGGTTCGGCAAGCGTCATGACCGAGTCAATGTGAGCATTCATCATAGGCTTGGATTCATAGCCGGTGAGGTAGCCTAGTTGTATCGACAGGTCTCTGCAAGCAATGCGGTCTTTTCTGGAAGCTGCGTCCAGAACCTTGGTGTAGAGCTCAATGAAGGTTGCCGGATATTCCCTTGACGCTCCGAAGTCCAGCAGCTCCAGCTTGTTCGTTCTGGCATTATAGAGGAAATTGGTCCAGTTCGGATCTGTCTGCATGTACCTGAACTCGGTGATCTCTCTCAAGCACAGGCGCAGGATCTGCGTTCCAATCCAGTCTTTTTGCTCCTGTGTAAAGTTCCGTATCTTGGTGACGGCGACTCCTTCCATGCGTTCCATCGTCAGAACCTGCTTCCCAGATGCCTCATCAATGATTTCCGGGACGGTAAAGACCTCTTGATCATCTGCCAGCAGCCGTCGGAACCGTTTCGCGGCTTCAGCCTCCCGCACATAGTCGCATTCCCATCCCAACTCGGTACGGGCGTTGGCAATGGTTCTGTCCAAGTACAGCCCCTTTGGTAACAAGCGAGACGCGGTCAGGAGTAACGAGAGATTGTTGAGATCGGAGGATATTGAATCGGCCACACCCGGATACTGAACTTTGACGGCAACTCGGCGTCCATCTTTCAAGACGGCCCCATGTACTTGGCCAATGGAGGCAGCAGCCATCGGACGCTCCTCGAACTCCTCGAATAAAGCACGCCAATTGGGACCCAGGTTGGTGGCGATCACTACGTCTCGTTGCGAGGCGGGCATGTAGTCCGCACTGTCTTGAACGCGCTGGAGCACTTCATGGATGGGCTTGGGTAGTAGCTTTGCGTCTTGAAAGCTCATCATTTGGCCCAACTTCAAGGCAGCGCCTCGCATTTTGGACAATTTCGCGACCAGACGTTCCATGTTCGCGGCGCTCAGCATCACAGACCCATCTGGGCCGCCTGATCGACTGATACTTTCACTGACTGCTCCAAACGCCATCGACGCCGCTAGTCCCCCATACTCAAAAAGACGGCCAAATCTCGTTGCTGGGATCTTCGACTCACGCATCTGGTATGGCTGCACATTTCGCGCTGGCGGTGTCTAGAGCATCTGTCAGCTGATCAGTCAGAGTCATCCATATTGGATGGTATACCAGACTTACTTTGACCTTCTGTGCGTCTCTGGCCATATCAGCGGCCAACTCTCGAATGCTGTCCGTCTCCCCATTTGACCTCTGTTGCGGATTGAGTCTTGTTGTATGAAACTGCCGCTTGCCTCCCGGGCCATAGCCTGAATGTCCTGTCTTTTTGGCTAGAAGTTTGGCATGTTTGGGATTGTGAAAGAGCTGAGCCAGTTGCTCTTCCGTAGGCTCCGACTCAATCTGCTTTGAACCGGAGTAGTACACATCAGCGTTGATGCCTGGAGGAATGTGGGAATCCCCTGCTTGAACGTCATTCTCGGTCTTGGGGACGCGAACGCGAGGTAGAGCTGATAGGACTGGCTTCACACTGTCTGGTGGTTGGTAGAAGATATCTTGTTCTTGGCCAACTGCGAACTCCGCGCCGTCCTCCTGGGGTTTAGGCGGTTCGGCTGTCTGTGCTGGTATTTGATCCTCGGACAGGCGTTGCAGTTTCCTGGCTGCATCTGGAGACAGGGAGCTGTCCAAGGAAGGTTCCGGTATCGTTGATTTGGTGGACGACTTCACTTGCAAGTCTTGACCTGCTTTGTCCCCATTTCCGACTGGATGTTGCGCTGTCTCTCCCGCAGGTCTTCCACTGAAACTCATGCCGTCGCCCGCCTCTTTCCCATTTGAGGTATTTTCTGGAGATATTGTCCCATCTGGCAATGTGACCGTTGTCGGCGTTGCTTGTTCGACATTCAAATCATTTGTGGGAGGCGGTTGGGCGGGTGAGTTCTGCTCAGAAGGCTCGTAGAAATGATCTTGGTAGATGCCTTCTTTCGCGGTCTTTGGAGGACTCTGTGATGAGGCGAAGCGGGAGACAGCCGTGGATAGTATGGGAAGCCCCTGCCTCTTCAGAGCCTTCGCCACAGACGAGGTCTGCCCATAGAGTTTGACTTGGGACAGTCTGATGTCGAAATGCTTCGAGACCACTTTTCGCGAGGCGTTGAAGAGCGCGACAACGTCGAGGATTCTTTTGCCCGACATGACTGAAGGATCTGTCAGAATTCCATGCTCAATACAGCTGAGACACGCAACAGGAAAACACGCAGATGTCCCACTGTTGCGACGTGGAGGTGGTCAATTGAGAGACGAGAAGAGAAGCATCATCGATTGTCGAACTGAAGGACGCACTCGAGGGTTTTCGTTGTCACTCGGAGCTACCGAACCTTCTCCGCACAGCCATTCAGCCTTATAGTAGTAGTATATCTACTGAGATACTCTATACCTACCAGGTAACTACGTACTACTGTATAACTCGCTCCGTACAAGCTGTTCGCTCCAGACACCTTAGACAGCTTCTGGAGCCTATGTGGCAGGATCGTCCATACTATGTGAAAGACCCTGCTGCCAATCGTTTCCACGATGGATGCCCGTGATGCAGAGACACTTCGCGGGCGGATCTTGGATCTCGAGACCCAGCTTCAAACCACCAAGGCTCTGCTTCGGCGCATAGAGGGATCAAAGTTGGGATCTCAAGTCATCGGGAGTACACCCTTCACTGCCCAGGTCTCTCTTCCGTTGGGCCCTTCGACACACAACCTGATGCTCCTGTCAGACTCAGCCTTACCGCTGGGGTCATTCGCATATTCCAACGGGTTGGAGTCTTTCCTCGCCCACCACAAGCCCATCCAGTCCGGCCAACCGCAGCTGTCTTTATTCCACAAATTCCTGAAACTATCCCTTCAATCTGTTGCATATACAACTGTCCCATACGCCGTCGCCGCCTTCCGCGACCCATTGGATCTGATGGACCTGGACAATGACCTGGATGCTTCAACGCCGTGTAACGTGGCGCGAAGAGCCAGCATCGCCCAGGGCCGCGCTCTTTTGAGTGTCTGGGAAAAGGCATTTGCAGCCCCGGCCAAAGCTCACCGCCTCGAGGACTCCGAGGCGGCCGCTGCGATCGAGGTCTTTGCCAGGGACCTGAAAATCGGAGTCTTGTCCTCGGATCCTCTCAAAGTGAATGGGCATCTCGCACCGTTATGGGGCGTGGTTTGTCTTGCTCTCGGGCTGAACCTAGAAGAATCCGGGTACCTGTTCCTGCTTAACCATGCCAAAGCTGTTCTGAGCGCAGCAGTGAGAGCTTCGGTCATGGGACCATATATGGCACAAACCATCCTCGCAGGCCACGATCTACAGGATCTAATTCGCCACAGCTTGGAAAGAGTCTGGTTCCTACAGCCTGAAGATGCCGGGCAGGTCGTACCAACTCTGGATTTGTGGGTGGGAAGACATGAGATGCTGTACAGCCGAATCTTCAACTCATGAGCACTTCCTCAACTATGCTGGAGCCAATCCAAAACTCAGAACGTCTGGTATCGCAGGATACTCCGACCAACAGCATACATGATCCTGCCATGTGGCAGCAAGACGATTGATTTCGTGGAGGAGAGAAATCCAACATCAGGAATCATCCACAGAATCCCAATTCGGAGGCGGCTACAGCCGACAGGCTGCGGAGAGCCATCCACGACATTGGGAGACAAGGGTGCACTCCGCTGCTAGCATGGTGATACTCATGATTCCCGCCATGCAAGCCCCGCGTCTGCTGGTTTGTTTCAAACATCGACAGAATCTCGCCCGGAACAGGTATGACAATCGGCGCTATGAAAGACAGCTTCGGTGAACCATCTGCCACACGACATCCGCAATGCTCGTCCACTACCCCGACTACATGTTCCTTACGTGTTAGGCGTTATCAGAGATATACTGACGCCTTGAGAGATATATACCGTGTCACTTGTTGTGCAAGATGGCAATGCATGACGGAGTAAAAGTAATCTATTGGGTATAGCACGGCCAGGGGCTAGGAGTGTCGACACAACGTCGTACTGCCCTCACGGCTCTGAGCTTCACCAAGATATCCTCCTTTATGGTCATCTTCTAAAAGGGTATCTCACAAGCGTTTTATAGCAGCATTATTGATAGACCTCTTCGATAGGGCCGATCCTCTCCTCAACACCTTCCATAGGTATTCTTCCTTTCTTTCCTTGTCTTCCCCGTCCGAGGGGCTCCTTCTTGCGCAATTGGCCTTGCTTTCTCGCCGGTGCGGTAACTGTCGCCACAGCTCCCCGGGCAAGATGTGCGATATGTTCTTGACGACCTGTGGCCCCCGTATCATTGCTCTCAGCACCATCAATGTGATCACGATCCCTTTCTGTCGATGGCAACGCAATGTCGGCACTATCAACGACGTATCCCTCGTTCGCACGCCGGCGTTCATCCTCCTCCCGTAGTCTCTTCTCTTCAGCGTCCAGCTCTGCTTGCAGGGCAGCCGGATCCTCAAATTGCTGGTTCGTCAGCATTGAGTATTCGTCGATATCCACCGGCTCTTTTGCTGCCACTGATCGTTTCACCCGAACCGGATGTGCTCGTTCCTCGATGAGGAACTTTAGTTTGATCTGTTTACGATCTAGGGACGGGAAGAGATTGGCTATCATGCTGAAATCGGTTCCAAACATTCGTAAGCCCTTGTAGAACAGTTCTGTCTGCTCATCGTCCCACCGCGTCCCACGCCGTCGACCGGCGTGTTTCCCCAAGGTCCCTTGGTGAACGTATTTGTAAATACGGTCATCTTCAAGTGCAACATCTGCATCTTTGATCACGGCCTGCTCCACACCGGCACCGAATGCAACTTCTCGAGACTCGGCTGCGACGACAATCTGCCCGTTGACGATGATTTGCTGAGGGACATGTACCTGACTCTCTTCAACAGGGGCGTCCTGATTCGAGGTCAAGATTTGTCTTCCATGCTTTCTCTGTGCAGCGGCTTCTCTTCGTCGTTCAACCTCCTCTTGCCTTCGTCGCTTGATATCTTCCCAGTTCTGTTGCATTTTCTTTTCGGTTTCGGACTTTTTCCCCAGTTTGTTGTCCCTCACGAGATCACCCATGGAAATTTCTTCGGGATCAATACTGCGTTCTTCGGCATCCTCAGGCGTCGGAAGTCGTGACAGACGACGTTGCCTGCCACGTCCACTCCCACCTACAGCATTCTCGACCACTTGACGAGCAATGTCTTCGATCGCTTGTGCTCGTTGCTGTTTTCTCCGAGTCCCTTTTCGCCTCGTTGGTTCGTATATCTCTGCCTCGCTTACGTCTTCATCCGGAGACTCCGTTTCCGTCGTCGATACCGCAGCGCGAGTTGAGCGTGGCCTTAGGGATCTCGCGCTGTTTTCGATGGAATGTGCAAGTTCCGATACAGCGGCAGCCTGACTGGTCGCATCTTGCAACAATGCCTCGGATGTTCTTGATTCGCTTCGTCTGTGTCGCGGACTACTCCTGAGTATAAGCGGCGTGTTCTCGGTCAATGGCGGTGTAACTCTAGACTCTGTTTCATTGTTTGTTTCAGTTGGGTGTGTAATCTTCTGCCTCTTGTTCGAACGTCCTGGGGATTGTTCAGGACTCTCTTCTCCTGTGTCGATCGCGTGGTTCGAAACTTCGGATGGTGCTGGAGTTAATTCATTCGTGCGGCATCTTCTAGGCGCGGTGGATGCCCCAGAGGTGGTAATAACAGGGATGGAGAGGGTCCTGACAGGACTTGTTGTAAGGTGAACGGGGTGAATGATGGTGGCATCGGGGCCCGCGCTGCTGGGCACAATCACTTCAACCGCATCAACTGGTGTGGGAGCGGTTATACTTGGCGATGCTTCTGGGGAAGATCTAGCGACAGTCTCCAGGGGAACAGAGAGCGGCACAGATGTCTCGACGGGCGCTGAGCTCGGGGGAATCTCAGTCGACTCGAGAATCGGCTGCGCCTGAGCTGGTACCTGAGTGTCACTTGTGGCCAAATGTGCCTCAGTTCCATGCTGTTCCTTAGGGCGCTTGACAACTTGACCATCATCAGGTGTCACAGTCCGGTCTGCGTGGCCCCGTTCGCTTTCAGTCACAGTCAGGCTTTCGTCCACAGTCCGGTTTTCGGTCACTGTTCGGGCTTCGGTCACAGTCCTTTCCTCGACGACGTCCTGGATATCCGTTGCACTCTGGCTTTCAGGTGTCAATGACGGGGGAGCAGCGGGTCGTGCGGGATGTCTTTGCACATTGCGTCTCGGGGCGGTCTTGGGTGTGATCTTTTGTCCGGGCTTACGGACGACGGAACTGAATGTAGACATGGAGAAGAGTTGCGCGATGGTAGATCTACCAGGCGGTTGGTGCACTGATCCTCAGATCGCCGGGGACAACATTGTGATTGAGACAATAGACCATTGATTGTCGTTGTCTCTGATCTACTTGGATACTAGAAAATGTTCCCCGCGGTCAACGCGAGGCTGGGATGGGCGCATGTGGCAAACATGCCAAGGCTCGGTTTGCACTATTATCCTAAAACGCATTAGCAGCATCCGGCTTCAAACTTGGACTTTCAACTTCCTCGCCTCTTACTCCGACTTTCACTTTGTTCAATCACTGACAAGACCACCTACACGACACCGTCGACGTTGTCCGCCAACTCCAGCTTCTAGAGGTTGCTTGTGCCGGAAAGCCAAGCACTTTTCGCGCCATAGGACTGATGACGGCCGTCGAATCCCTCCCCCCTTCCCTTTCTCAGCCGAGTATAGTCAAGATGGAAGAGCGCAAACGACCAAGTCCGTACGACCAGGTCGAATCCGCGCCTCCGCTGAAGAGGCAGGCCACTTCCGCTAATGGCGCATCCAAGTCCCACAAGGATGATGACATGCCATGGAAGGATGATCTCGAGGTAAGACCACCGTGAATTTGGGGGTTGACCCGAACCCATTCGGCTGCACGGAACTAACGCGCCTGTCTGAGCAGAGATTCCAAAAGGACGCGATTTATCGGCAAATGCAGGAATATCGCAGGGAGAAGAATACCCTTGAGTCACAGTTAAAAGAGATGCGGAAAAGGGCGCGATATCATGATGATCACCTCCGTATCATTGATGCTTGGTTTCAACAAGTAATTGACGAGGTCAAGGTTATTGCCCAAGGAGATGATGATGTAGATATGGACTCGTCGTCTCTTCCCTCCTCTCTTCTCTTTGCGGACCACGAACAGTTCGAAGAGCATCTGCGCAGCCGTTCAAAAGAAATCAAAGCTGTGATATCAAGGTTGTTTGGGCCCAGCAGGTCGCATTCACCCGATGTTACAGAGTTGCAGTCGAGGATATCTCGACTGCTGGCAGCGGAGAAAAATCATGTGGTGGAACTATCCAGACTACAAGCCGAGAAAGAGGATCTGGAATATCGGCTTGAAAATGCGTCCTTACGATATATGATGGCCGAAAAGAAGATTGACAGAGCCAAAAGTGTGACGGTGGCGAAACTCGAGAAGCAGGCATTGTTGGGTGCAACAAAACCTGCAACGGAAGAGGGAGGTCCAGTAAAGCGAGAAGAAAGCGCTGTCAACGGCACAACCGATCATTCCGAGGAGCTTGCGGAACTAGAAAAGGAATTGAACAAGACCGTGGCGACATCTGAGAAACAGAAGCAGCAGCTTGAACGGCTGGAAGAAGAAAACGCCAAGTTAAACGCTCAGTTGACGGAATTGTCGACCAAGTCTGTCGTTTTGACGGAGGAAGATTATGCGAAAACTGAGCTGTTTAAGCAGTTAAAATCCCAGCACGAGGATGTGATCAAGCGGATCAACAACCTTGAAGCTACCAACACTCAGCTCAGAGAGGAGGCACAAAGGCTCAGATCAGAAAGAACCACATTTCAACTTCAGCTGGAAAACGAGGCTCGCGTCGCCGTAACGGAGAAAGAGTCGCTACTCGCTGCGTCAGAGGCCAACCTAGCCAGGATTCGACACAACCGAGATGAGCTGTTGGCTGATTTGGCGATAAAAAAGGCCACCCTGGAGCAAGATCAGGAAGCCGTGAAGAAGATCTCCGATTTGACCTCAGCTCAAGAGGATCGTATCAAGGCTTTAGAATCCGAAAATGTGCGGTTGAGCACGCAGGCGAGTGAAATGGCTGTGGATAATTCCGAACTGGATGCCCTCGGTGTCGAAGAGCTGCGTGGCAAGTACTCGGAGTTGGAAAAGAAGTACAATCTGTTGAACGGCGAACTTGCGTCAATGTCCACAGCGTACCAAAAGACCACTCGACTCGCTTCTCAGAAAGTGTCGGAATATGCTGCGCTGGAAGAGAAAGTCCTGCGGCTCTCGGCGGAGAAGGCTAAGGCCGACCAGAAATTCTTTGCTGCCATGAAGAGCAAAGAAACCCGAGATGGCGAAATCCGGACCCTGCGCTTGCAGAACACGAAATCTGCAGAGGCTGTGTCTCAATTGAAAGAAGCCGAAAATGCGACTCGAGCGCTTCTGGCGACAATGGAAAAGCAATTGTCTGAAACCAGGGATGCATTGACGCACAAGACGAACGAGCATCGGACCGTCCAGCAACAGAACATCACGCAGGGATTGGAAGTTTCGAGGCTGAATGGCCAACTGACGGAGCTGAAGAATCTGCTAGTCGCCAAAGATTCGAAATTTGCCACGGTTTCCAGTCTCTGCCGGGCTGCGGAGCTGGAGGTGGAAGAGCTGAAAACCACGCTCAAGGATACCAGAAGAAGTCTCGAGTCCTGGAAGAGCAAGAGCGGCCAGTCCGAACAATACGAGATGCTTCGACAATTTGCGTACTGCAATATCTGCAAACGCGCGTTGAAGAACACCGTGATCAAGACATGCGGCCACACTTTTTGCAATGAGTGTGTCGAGGAACGACTGACATCAAGGTCGCGGAAATGCCCGAATTGCGGAAAGTCGTTCGGCAGCAACGATCACATGCGGATAACCCTCTAAGGCATCCGAGTGCCCTATTCCGGCCGAAATCTCTGCCTCGAATTGCTTCCTGGCACGCGGAGTTGCAGGTGTCTCTTTCCCCGATTGTCAGGACTTTTGAGCGTTTCTATCTGTACGAACATCTTCAATCGACATCGACTGTCGACAATTGTGGTGGGCACAGTAGGTCTTGAGCTTAATCGAGCTCCAAGGGCTGGTTGTTGGACACCGTGATCGTGCCGCAACATGAGATGGAACGTTTTTGTGGTGTAGTGGCAGGGATGAACTCCTATCATATATGTTTGGATGTACATCATCAAGCATGGCGCTTGAGCATGGGCCATACCACGTCCGCAACCGTGACTGTGTGGAAAGGGTCGCCGGCTGCTGTAGCGTCTTCCCGATCGGATTCAAAGGGAGGGTCATGCGTATCCGTCAACAGCAGGCCCGCCTTAGTAGATCTTGTGCATGGTCATTGAGACATTTTGAGCTGTATTGCGAGTGATGCTGGTGGCACTCCTGTAGGGCGGTAGAAAGGTAGCCTTGTCCCTGTCCCGCAGGAAGCCACCGCAGGGCATAGGCTAGACAGAGGTTTACAAATGAAAGAGTCAAACTTCCATCCTCGTACCTTCCCATACTAGTACATGGCTTCTCCTTTCTTCAGTCGTCCAGATCCATATGCTCGACTTTGATGGAACGTATAGATGTCCGCTGCCCCTCAACAGAACCGAGATCGTGCTCAACCTCTGTCGCTAGATTTTCGTCATTGTCATCATCGTCATCTCCCTCTCTGTAGCCCTCTGCATCGGCGTCATCGTCATCGTCTTCCCCATCCCTGTCGGCCTCACCCTCGCCATCGTCATCTTCGGCCGTCTTTTCCTCGTGGCCCTCCAGGGGCGGGAAGCTGAGATGTTTCCAATCTTCAATCTCCTCGATGATGCTCTTCAGCCGGTCGCGGATACTGTCGACGGCGTAACTGCCCAACAGCAGCCTCAAGGGCGGGTAGCGACAATGGCCGAGCTGCCAGATGAGTTCGGCGGCCTTCACGACGCTGGTTGGTTGATTGTCGCCGATCCAGTGCAGGGTACGTTGGGCGTGGGCCGCGGGGGCGTCTTTGCCCATGTATGGCTCCGAGGCCTTGGCCACCTTGAAGTGGCCGAACATGGGCAGCCGCTGACCGTTGGCCATGACGTGCACGTCGTCACGGCGCAGATGGGCCGGCTGGACGAGCGTCGCGTTGATGCTGAACTGGTCCACTTCGTACAGCATGCTTTCGATCAGTCCTTCCACCGCGTACTTGGTCGCGCAGTAGGGACCAAGCCCCGGCACGCCCAGGGCGCCCGATGTGCTGCTGAAGACCAGATACCGGCCAGACTGACGTTTGCGGAAATAGGGCAACGATAGCTGGATGATGTTGAGCGTGCCCATAAAGTTGGTCTCGAACTGGTTGCGGATCTCGTGCTCGTCTTGGTCCTCGCACGCCCCTATGACCCCGTACCCAGCACAGTTGGCGATGATGTCGATACGGCCGAAATGCTTTATCGTCTTGTCAATCGCGCTGGCTACAGTCTCCCGGATCCGTACGTCGCATAACAGTCCAAGGTACCGGTCCGGGTCGTCATGCCAGTTCTCCATAGAGGAGGGTGTGTCTTCGAGCGATTGCCCAACAGCACTGACGATGTCGCCATGAGATAGTGCCGTTTTGGTCACCGATCGGCCCATGTGGCCTGTGGCGCCGAAAATGAGCCAAATTTTCTGTTTGGGCGGATTCGAGGCAGACGGCGGGTCGGCTGTGCTGGGAAGGGAGAGTTTCGCAAGGTCTGCATTGCTGGCATTCGGCGACCGGCGCGTGGATGGTGACCAGGTTGCCAGGCTCTGTTCGCTGGTGGTGGGAGCCTTCAATTCGTCCATTCTTGATAGTGGTGGTGGGTTCGGCTTTTGATATGATGTGCCCCCCTAGTGCGGCAGCAGCCTCGTCTGTTGTCAATACGCCACGCGGCTGCAAATGAGACAAGCTACCCCTCAAGCTGCAATTGTGCTCATTCAAACGTGACAGGCTGGTTAAAGAAGGGCAGTTCCATGGAACTGTGAATCGGAGCGCCTCGATCAATGACCGCACGCTCTGGTGGTCTGGACCATCACCATCATCATCCTCTGGGTATATATCTCTGGATGGCGGAATTCAGTGGGAATTGGGTGGGCTGTCAAGTAGCAGTAGTAGTTAGGTACCTAGGTAAGCATAAGACCAGGTGAAATGGTCTACCCTTATGAGTGCCGACGATCGGTCATGGATCCTTTGGCAAGTGCTTACTACACCATGGTTAGGGTGGAAGGATGCATGGATAAGAGTAGTAGGGGACATGATGTTGCTTCAATGTGTGAAGTGCAAGGCCTGGCATATCCCAGGACCAAGTGTCGTGCCTTTACAAGCGACGCGGTTGGCTGGGAACTCCTCCACACACAGAGCGAAGGAATTTTAATTCTTTTGACTGGCGGGCGCAGTCAGTGGATAGGGGGCGAGGCGGATGGGTGGATGGATGGAGGCAATAATGAAAAATGGGTGATGATGGATGATGGATGATGGATTCGTCCCCCGCAGTAAGACTCGGGAAGCGGGAGCTTGAAATAATGGCACTGCGGCGGCTGGCTGTTGGTCCCCGATTGCGCAAGAGGCGCCAACGACGGTGCGATGATTTTCTCTAACTCTCTCACAATTTATAGAAGCCTTCCGAAGATTTGTCGAACGTGCAGAAGTCTTACTTCAACATATACATTGTACAACATCCTTTCAACTACCTCGTCTCCCAGGTTTAACGCCCTCGAGTTCTGTCTCAGAGCCATTCGGTCTGCACTTTATAAATTTATCACACTAAACCAGCCCAGTCACGATGAAGGCATACTGGTACGACAACCAAGAGGTATGTGTGTTGTCGACGTTCTGAGCCTCACCAGTCGCAGGTGTCGCAACCCCATTCTATGCCCTGTTATTTGGCTTTCGCCTCTAACATCGTTCAGGGTGACCAGCGCCTCGCCCACGATTCCGGCCGCGAAGTCCCCGAATCATACCTGAGCGCCCTCGGTGTCCTGTACCATCACTGCCCCGATGTCTCGACCGTCGACGACATCGCTAAAGAGCGTCATTACAAGAATCGCGATGTGATTACTGTTTCCCCAAGTGCCATGGGCGAGGTGTACGAAGATAAAGTGAAGATGTTCTTCCACGAACATTTGCATGAAGATGAGGAGATCAGATATATTCGTGACGGCGCTGGGTATTTCGATGTCAGGAGCCAAGACGATGACTGGGTGCGCATCAGGCTTGAAAAGGACGATTTGATCATCTTGCCTGCTGGCATATACCACCGTTTTACCACTGACGACAACAATGTGAGTGGAGGCAACCAGATAGGGAGGATGTCTTGTCTCGCACTCGACCATACTGACAGATTCGACAGTACATCAAGGCCATGCGATTGTTCCAGGACGAGCCCAAGTGGACACCGTTGAACCGGGGTCCCGACACTGATATCAACACTCACCGGAAGACATACCTTCAAACAACCGGCAGTGCGCCAGTCTCCGTGGCCTGATAGATGTGCGTGTTTGTGGTGGTGACCCGGCTTTGGACGGCTTAGGAGATGGATATCGAAGAATGGTCGATTGCCATGTGTTATGAATGTAGAAACTGTGTGAAATTGCATAGCATTATCTGAGCGATTCAAAATTGTCATCCGGATTCAACAATGGCCAAAGTTCGCCTTTCCAACCCGGCCTCACTGCAAGAAAATACACAGACAGGCGGACTTTGCACATCAGGCATGAGTACTTTCCCGACACGATCCAAGTCTTCGATGAACCCTGTCAAGAGCGCATGGCTCATGGCTAAAATGCAGCGTGGAAGATCCCGTCGCGTTCCATGCCTTCATCTATGCAACAATGTTACACTTCCTGCATGCGTACAACGGCTGCAAGATCATAGACTCGCGACATGGTCAACCTACACATCAATATTCTCACCGGTCTGCCATCCGACGCGCTGCTCATGGCTGCTATGATCGTTTCAATCCATGATTCCCGATTGTATGCAGTACACCCAAAGGTCCATCCGGCCTCTCCTCCTGCCGAGGCCCAATTCCTTCATGTGCATGGAAATATGGTCGACGCAGAGGGGCATGTCCGGGGTGCATCATGCCACTGGTTGCGGAGAAAAGCGGGCTCGACAGCTTTGAGCTTTGTAGATTGACTGATACCATTACACTGTATTGCAGGTTCCTGCTTTCAATGGCCGACACTGGAGTCGATTCCTTCCGGTCTCCGGCGGTGGAAACCAGTACGTAACCAACGTTGGACTTTGGGGGATGACATCTTTCCGGACAGCGAGAACGGGCATACATGAAGGCTCGATCATGACTGCTGCGAAACGAACAGCGGAATGGTCTGCTCTGGTACGCTGCCTCGAACCGTCCTTGCCTGACAAGTCACTGCATGGCGAGATCATGGTTGCAGGCCATGCCCTTCCCAAGCCTGTGCACGAATGCTATCAAAGGCAGCAGCAGGTCACTTCGTCTTGACGATCAAATCTTAAGGAGGGAGCGCACCGGGCATCATTTTTGCAGGCTGAGATGTTGGCGTATCATCCTGTTCGATCACTTGGCTGTTAGAGCGGACATGGTTAGATCGTAATCTCAAGCCTTCGAATATTCTTTCCGTCTCTTCTTGAGAAGGAAAATCGTCTTCCAGCCTCGACTCTTTGTGGTTGATAAAGGATGACGGTCGGTGTTCGTCTCCAGTTGCTGGCCGGTCGTCGTCTTGGCCGTCTCTCACCCTCACTTTTCCCATACGCGGCCAGAGGCCGGGCAATGGGACGACTTGAACCCTTGGCTCCACAACCCTCTCCTCGAACCAAGCCTGCACTCTTGCTTCGACCAATTGTGCAACCTTAGGCACATCCTGCAGCCGGGTCCGCGAACCGATCAAGCTTCTGACAGACAGCTCGAGACGGTAGTCAGGGAGGAAAGAGAAGGCGAGACTGGTTTGTGGCTTGCCGGCCGTTGAGCCTGGCTTTTTCGTGCCAGCATGTTCGTCCTCAGAGGCGGGAACAAAGCTGATTGAAAGTGTGCCAGAAAATCTGACCACGGAGACAGAGAGAGCGACTGGAAGGACAGCAGAAAATGGCTTTGGGTAGTTGAGTATCAGAGCAGTCTCGATTGCCAATGTGAGGTTATCGTCGGACAAATCCACGTCCATTAGAGCCTGTAATCTTCCGCCGGTGGTACTCGATGCCTCATCCTCGACAGCAATGACTCTTACGTTGCTGAAGATAGGAAACTCCTCACCCAGAGATATCTCGGTGATTTTGATGTTGTCTATGTAGGACGGTCTCTTTTCAGGATCATTGATTGCCGCTTCCAGGCTGGCAACAATTGTAGGCTTGCCTCCGGAAGAAGTGTCTCTCAGGTTGTATGCGGTCTGTCGGTATTGTGCTATGGTCTGGGCGAGCAGAACGTTGAACCAGTCCAAGCTCTCGGGTTGGTGAGTAGAATGCTGGTGTCTGCCATGACTTCGCCCGGGAATCTGGTAATAGGTCTTTCGTAGGATCGAGGCGATATCTGTCGCGCTAGTAGGAACAGGCCGAAGCACGTTGGTGGCACTGGCCTGGTTGCGTAGAGACTGCGGATGGGAACTCTTTGAAGAAGCCAGACTGTGCAAAGAAGGGGCACGAATATGTTTGGGCGCTCGACCTGAGGCTCTCGAGGGCGGCGGAGGAGCTTCGCCGAAGATGAAGAATTTGATGAAACAGAAGATGAGGATAACGATCGAGACCTGGCCCAGGAGGAGGCCGTGAGTAAAGGTCAATCCCGAGGACATGGTGGTATGCGGATCGAGGACTGATCCATTACGGGAACCTAGAGTTGTTCAAGATTGAATCCATTGGCAGAGACGGGAAACGCAGAGACATATGAGAACAATGGAGGGTCAACGATTGTATTGCATGAGATGGTGAGCGGGAGCAACAATTCAATGCTGGTGTAGCTCGACTGGACCTGAGCTGACGCGCAGTTGAACGCACATGAAGTAGGTAGGTATTGGAGTCAAGGTATAACGTCATTCATTTCCCATTGTCACATTGTGTATTTTAATAACTTTTCTCCGCCGATTCGCCCCAAAGCGTGGCCAGGACAATGAGTTGGTTAACACTACCTAGGTATGTGCAGAAACGTACTACTAGGTACTACACTGGCAGTTGAGGAACGCGTCTTATAGGCCGGTTAGGTTCATGGTATTCAACACAGTCGTTGTGACGCCCGAGTTCGTTCCTACTCCCTGCAATCCCAGGCTCTACTGCCATCGAGCTTTACAAGTTAAGAGAACTTCGAACCCTTGCCATAGATTTCAGCCAGCATAAGGCGATGAGGGCTTTTGGACTATGGTCGTCTTCTGTTACATTGGCCCCCACAAGCATCAGATCCAACATTTGATCAAGCAAGCAACAATATCTCAGCAGGAACCTTGGAGTGTCCCAAACAGGTTCATGGCATGTGATAACAACCATATGATCGATCTTCATTCTGACTCCTCCCATGATATCTGCGCGCAACGGTTGAATGGATCGAGTCTGATCGCTATAGACTGTTTCGACGCTTATCTCCCGCCACCACAATTCTTTCAGGCAAAGGGCAAACATCCTCTCAGCGCCTGTGGTGGTCCTCGGTTGTCTCGTTCGCAACCGTACATTGTCGTACTCCGTTGACACAGGTACAAGCAAAGTGGATGCTGCCAGGGAATGGTTGAAATCAATTCCACTCGTCAGCAATCACGTTTTGCGCCAGTTCCAGGTTCCCACTATAGTCGATAGCCACATCGACGAGCGAAACACCCTCATACGCCAGCGCCTCCTTGAGCACGCTTTCGACTTGCGACGAATCACTGAGGCGGAACCCCTTGGCTCCAAAAGCGTCCGCAAATTTGACAAAGTCGACTCCACCGAGCTTGACGCCGCTGCTACGCCCGTATTTCATGACTTCCTGGAACTCGACCATGTTGAACGACTCGTCGTTCCAGATGAAGTGCGTAATGTTGCATTTCTGTTGCACGGCTGTCGAAAGTTCCTGAGATGAAAACATGAAGCCGCCGTCACCGCTGAGGGAGACGACTTTCTCGGAACATGGTGGTGTTTGAGTCAATGAGGCTGCGATTGCCCAGGGGAGTGCGACGCCTAGAGTTTGTTCTGCGAAAATCAGGCAAGTCAGATATATTCTTTGGGTGTATCAATGGCATATCCTCCATGAGAGAAGGGAGGATTAAGTATTGAGAAGATTAATGTCTTTACTTCGGAGGAAAGTGGCACTCGTAATAAAGACGTTGATCAACGGATGGCAGAAGGAAAGGGCTAAAAGAGGGATCAAAACTTACGGCCATCCGAACACAGCAGACGACGAGGCTCGTATGCGAAGAAATATCTCATCATGTAGATGTACACGGAGCCGACGTCGACGCAAACAGTGGTATCTTTGGACACAAGCCCTTGGAGGACGGTGATGAACTGTAACGGATGAACTGGCCCTGAAGTGCGTTTGACCTCGGGCCGGTCTTGCCACGACTTGTATTCCCGGGTGAGATCTCCGGTGAGTGTGGAGATGGAGGAATCCGAGATCCCATTGAGGTTTTGTGAAAGGTAGAGGACGTTCTCAGCAATCGACCCAACCAACTCGGATACGGGCCGGTAGTAGACGCCGTAGTCGGATGCGTGGAAGTCGATGTGTACGATCCTTTTATCACCGTGCGGGTTCCATGCAAAGGCGTCGTATTCGACAGGGTCATAGCCGACTGCGAGAATCAGGTCTGATTTGGCGAGTAGCTTGTCCCCGACTTGGTTCCGGAATAGACCCACTCGACCGTAGAAGAGATGGACGAGGTCTTGGGGCACTGCACCGGCGGCTTGGAATGTCTCAATAGTCGGTAGCGGGAATTTGGATAGCAGCTCTCGTATAGCAGTGACGACTTTGGGATGGCTGGCTCTCATGCCGAGGAAGAGGACCGGCAATTGCGCGCTCTCGATCAACTTCGCCACGAAATCGAGCCGGCTGGTCGGCGCAGGGCCGTAGCTTGGAGGATCGAAAGCGGTGGGCGTGAACGGAGAGATGTTGGATCGGGCCTTAGCCACGTCTTGTGGAATGGATATGACTGCGGCCCCCTTTGGTGAGGAGCCTGCTGTTCTGAATGCGTTCAACACCACTTCCGCTGCTTGATCTTCGACGTCTATGTTAACTGCGAACTTGGATGTCGGGCCAAGGATGTCGAGAGCTTTCATGTTCTGGTGTGTGCGATGCGTGTTCATGGCTCGAGGAACCGAGCCGATGAGTGCCACTACCGGGTCTCCCTCTGTTGTGGCTGTCACAAGTCCAGTGGCCAGATTCGAAGCTCCCGGACCCGAGGTTGCTATGCAGACTCCTGGGGTGCCTGTGATCCGACCAACTGCGGCGGCCATCATGGCGGCATTCTGCTCATGGCGGGCCACGATCAGCTTGATCTCCGGATGGTCTTGGAGACAGTCGTAGAGTTTGTCAATTTTGGCCCCAGGGACTTTGCTCTCACAGGATCAGTAGCTATCCAGCTCGAGTTCAGGAGACGGAAGACGACGAAACAACATTGAGATACATGTGGATTGCTTGGAGCGACGAGGCACGGAAGGGTAAGTTTCAGCATGGCTGTCAGTAGAGCAGGTCGACTCACCGCCGAAGACAACGCGGACACCGGCGTTGTAGAGACTGTTGACGATGATCTGGGCCACAGTATCTTCAGCCATTTCGGGATTCAAGCTCTAGGGGTTGATCGCCAGCTGTCAGCCAAAGTTAACTCTAGACAGCGAAGAAAAAAGGCTCGTCTGATCCAACAAGTCTAACAGCAACAGTAGTGGGTTTCAGACACGTTCATAGTCTCTCGCCAATTAACTTAAAGGTATATGTATTCTAACGTTGCTTGAGAGAGAGACAGGACTTTTATGTCTCCGTGAGAATCACAGAGTGTGAAGTCGACGAGGCTGGATGACGTAATCCAGGAAATGGAATTTGCTGCCTGTCATTGGCTGCTTCTGAACGTCGAGCTGCCGCCCGGGCCACTTCAAGTTCCCAACCTCCACCTCCTTTTCCGCAGGCATCCGCTGAAATTAGAAGCATCTCGTTCTGCGGTCTACTGATACTCAACGGGCACAGGACGTCAGTGGCTGTTGGGGCGCAAAGAACAATAGTCGTTGCAGACAGACCGACATAACACCGAAGCCGCTACCTCTACCGATCATGGCACCCAACGAGATCTACCAGTACTCGCTGGTTAACGCGCTGATGTCAGGCGTCTCCGACAGCGGTATTACAGCAGCTCAGCTCATCGAGAAGGGTAATCAAGGTCTAGGGACTTTCGTGCGCATAGAGGGTGAGCTTCTGCTCCTTGACGGCGCGGTTTACCAGTTGCTAGCCGAAGGGAAGATCCGCGTGGCCTCGCCGACAGACCAGATCCCTTACGCGGTAAGCACACATTTTGAGCCGCAGCACACAGTGACAGGTGAAGGCGCCCGGCTGGAGAACAAGGAGGCACTTGATGTGGTGCTGGAACGCTACAACAACCATGCAAGCAATCTTTTCATGTCGTACCGAGTGGAAGGCCACTTCCGGCGAGTTAAGTGCCGCACAGTCAAGGGTCAGGAGTATGAAGGCCAATCACTCGCCGAGCTAGGGAAGAAGCAGTTCGTCGCCGAGTATAGTGACATCGAAGGTACCATTGTGGGATTCCGCTCACCTCGGACGTGGCAAGGGTTTTTTGTGGCCGGTGAGCATATGCACTTCATCGACAAAGATAGGAAAGCTGGAGGTCATGTGCTGGAGCTCGAGGCCGATGATGTTCGTATTGGCATCGCCACGATCAACAATCTCCATATTGAGCTGCCCACCTCAGACAAGTTCAATTCGGCTGTGATGACGACAGATGATGTAGGATTGAAATCTGTGGAAGGTTGACGCTACATCGATACGTTGTCAGAGGGTTCTCGCAGGCGGGACGAATATTGTACAGCTCGGGAATTGCTACCATACATGAATAAAGTCGCGGACACCGGTGGCAGTGGCAGTGGCATCGCCAGCTGGAAATTCCAGGAGAGTCAGAACCGAGGAATTCGCAAACGAGATATGGAAGCAGATGTCTTTCGAGACACCGGTTATGATCAGAACTGTGCTCGGATATATGCTTCGAGGAGACGCGGTGGTAGACAACTGGACGTGATATTTGTACGATGGGCTAGGAAGCATTGCGAGCACCTTGGGCCGCTCAAGGGATGGGGAGAGGGACTGAAAGCCGGGCTGTTGTGAACTTGGTACTTGACGAACAAGACTAAAAACGTCTCTGATATCTTTCTTCCCGTTCAGAGATGGTGCTGGGGATGAAGGCACCTATCTCGAGATGATTGTGCTCAAGCCCGACCATCATACACAGAGGCGATATGGTCGATACTCGCTTTCGTAGAGCCACACTTCCTTGTCGATGCTGAGGACCACGGTCGCGCAGTCTACACCGTATCCCATATCATCGGCTGAAGAGATGAGATGCTTTTCGCAGGCAAGGGCTTGACCATCGACCTGGTATCTTCTGCCCCCAGGCACCGTTGGGCCAAGGCTGTCATACTGCCGGCAAGCAACATCTCAATCGGCGAATGAATGCAGAGGGCAGGATTTGAGGACCTTGACAATGTTGAAAATGCAAGTCCAACCAAATATCAAAATCGTGGTCCTGTAACTTCATCTTACCACTTGGACGCTCCTTCCCAAACAAATTGAAGCAGCAGCGAAACGATACGGTGTGAAGTCACGCTGAACGTGAGGTAGGCCAATGTTATTATTTGACGGCAGATACTTCCATAGAGGATTCGTATGAAGCGTCGAGGCCTGCTTCAAATGATTCCTTCTCTACGAAAGTAGTGGACCATGATTGCCCTGCCAACGATATCTCTTATTCGATGCGCCGCAGTCTCTACTGCATAACCGTCCGGTGCTCCTGACAATCAACCATCCGTGTATGTGGCTCGGGCACACTCTGTTTGCGCTTGGCTGCTATGTTCTCAAGGCTGTCGCTCTGCCTGTGGTGGAACGGCTGTGACCTTGCTCGTGTTCGAGAAACATTCTTTGTCGGTGTCGTCTCTTGCTCATACGCAGCACGATTGCGTAGTCTGTGGCTGTCGACTGACTCATCGCGCTCTGGTTCCTCAATCGGCGGATTGTTGTGTTTGTCCAGCTCGTCCGCATTGGAGGTACGTCGGTCCAGGGGACATCTGCCATGATCGGTGGACACAGACCCAATGGAGAATAGTCTGGACTTGGTCGGCAGTGAGAATTGAGACTTCAGATCGTCTTCCTCAATATACATGGACCAGAGGACGTTGCTGTTTTTTCTGGCCCAGTCACTTGGCTCTCGCTCGGCCACTGTGTCCCCTTCCTTGGCTGGTTGGACATGCCGAGATGCGAGCTGAGGTACGAGTTTCCCGCCCCTCAACTTGGTCCAAAGCTTAGCCAGCACAAAGAGCACGCCCAGAAATAGGACAGTTGAGGAGATTGCAAGGACGATGACGGCAGTAGTGAGTGACTTCGATGTCAGCTCACGAGTTTGGAGCGGTTGCGCTGGGGTACGGAAAGGACCGGCACTGGCAACCATATCGATCACCTGGACGGGTGCCATTTGAAAAGGTTCGAAAGGCAGACCGAGTATAAGCTTGCTTGGGGTGCGAAGTGGGCTGCCTTGGTGTTGTCGACTGGGAACTTTGATAAGGAGTGTGAAGTGCAAAGTGCGCACAAAGGAACGTAAATGAGCGTCGTTGATAGATCGTAAAGGCTTCAGGAGTGTGCCTCTGGCGTTCGGCGTATTATATGTTCATCTGACCGTGCTGGCGCGTAATGGCAAGGGATGGAACCCGCGAAGCCATGCGCGTCACATTCCAGTCAACCGCAGTTCGCGGCGGCTGGACAGCCTTCGCACCTGCTCATGGAACGTGAATACTCAGATCTGATGGCCCAAGCAAGTTCAGTCACTTGACCGGCACTGCTGAAGTAAAGCTATTTGGATGCTTTAAGTATGAATTTCAAAGGTGACAGAACCAGAAGCCATCAGACCTTTTCACAGCACAACGTCCCTGCATAAACCGTGCATACTTCGCAGGGCTAGAACACAATCAATGAGCCATTCAGTCCGACCGCCGTAGTAATGGGTGAGACAGAAGGGTGTCAATGTTGACGGAGATGTTCGACCGGCGTGTCCCTAGGTATCGAAAATCCAGACTGTTGAGTGGTGACACCGGACTCAGATGCTCGGAGAGGTCCACAGTTGGCACCGTCTGAACCGCACCGGCGGCACTGGCCCTCGTGTAGCAAGTATAATCACTCCAACGATGTTCATTGAGGCGTGGTGCCCTCTCACAAGGTCGCGCCGCCTGATCATCTGCAACGTCGTCTGGCGGAGAAGGGTGTCGGGAATAAGGCGGAGGTCGATCGAGATATTCGGGAGGGAGGGCAACTGCGATCGCGACACGCAAGTCCTGAAGCCTTGGATCGGGCGCACTCCCATGTGCACTCGACCTTGGAGGATCATACAAATCTTGGTCCGAACGTCGGCGCAATAGGCGAGAATCTTGAGATCTAGGGCACGCAAGCCGTGAGGTGCCCTGCCGTTCAGAGGCTGGTGATGGTGAAGTTGTTCGCGGAAGCTGAATATGGCGAGGAGGGGTACCGGGAAGAGGAAGGCTTGGGCGATAGGGCGACACGACTCGCACTCCCGCCTTTTGAACTGGGCGATATTCGGCCGGCACATTGTCCCAGTCACTCACTGTGAAGCCTGCTGAGGTGAAACCCGACAATTGCCTGCAGGGTGGACATTGTCGTGATTCCGATCTATGGTACTTGAATAAACCGTTCCCCCATGAGCACATGGCGAAACGCCCTCAAACCCCTGATTATCCTGTCAAACCGACCAAAGAGGAAGACATGGAATGGTTGTCTATCTCTGTTCCAGGTTTATAGATGATGTCTGCTGAGCATGAAAACTCAGACCAAGAATATATGTCCCCGAGGCTGTGCTCTCAAAGAACGCTATGATGTTAATATAGCGTCAGAGGAAAGGTCGTTCGAAGCGCTAGCTCGAGGCAAGCCAGCTACTGGTCAGCAGAGGGGCAGATCAGAGTCCACCATGAATTCGTGAGGATGGCCCCGTCTGCACTAGAAGTGCTGACGACCATGCTATCGAGGTAGCTGATAGCAGGAAAACTTTGGTCATCGACCGCCAGCCCATCCTCAACACGAAGGATTTTGTGGGCCGGCATTGTACCGTAGCAGATTGAGAGAAACTGGCGGGCGGGTAGTGAGTGACCTTCGCGATGATCCGGACCGAAGGATCGCAGGCGTGCTCTTGTAGTGTCAGGCCCTAGTAAGCGAAGGATTCCTTTTCTATAGCCTACATGTAAGAAAGACGCAATTGATCGATACCGTGATCGCCTGCACAGTAGGCGTCATGTAGTACACCGTACTCGATTCTCAAACGGCTTCCGCCTGGGTTGTTCAGTCTTGTTGCGAGAGAAGCCTCCAAGCCACCATGAGACAAGGAGTGTGGCAAGCGGCGCCGAGCTCTCTTTCGGCATTCGTGAAGTGGAGTCCAATGCCGAAGAGATCATCGCACGGAAGACTTGTCTCGTGCGGTTAGGCCTGACCAAGCTGAGAAATGTTAATGTTGAGTATCTGGCGATGATCCCAATTCTGAGGCGCAAGCACAATGGTCGTTGGGGTCCAAAAGCTTTTTGAAAGCGAACCTGCATGTGGAGACACGGTCTGGAGTCTCCGATTCTGCCGGCACAACGATGGATCGTACGAGCGGGCTACTTCAGCTAGTAGCAAGCGGAATTGCGACGGATAGGTATATCGGACTTGTATAGTCGTAGCCATGGCTGCAAATATGTGCTTACTTGATAGTAAATCATCGGTGTGGGTGAAATGCCCATGCTTTGCTGGGGTGAGTATTCATTGAGCGTCGCTATCTTGTAGCACCCGTGCTCGGGATGAAGTACGTAGAGGCAGATGATGATGCGCAGCAAGCAACCTTTTATAGTGGGCCTAGGACATCTTCATCCACATTCTGATGCGAGGCTAGCCGTCAGTGATAAAGAGCCTGGATGGTAAGAGGATGTTGGTACGCGGCGCAGCGCACTGAGACCAAAGAGCATCAAGTACAGCCCTCAATTAATCACTCCTCTCTTCGACATGATTTGGAGGGCGGTTCTGTAATTGTGCTGTCCGCACGTCACTCAGGGCCTAATGCGGAGTTTTGTTAATCGCAACTGAACTGATGACTGAGCAGGCCATGCGATGACATTGAGGACCGAGATGATTGTTGGAATCTGGCAAATCCTAAGGGAAGAGCCATGTTTCATGTAGACGATGTGTAGGCAGATCCAGGGGCTGGTCGCGACTCGGGGGCTGAGGCGGAGTGTTCACCAGCGCAGCTATTGGCCAGTAAGGCGTGTGGGACCCGCGGCTTGGCAGATTCTAATTTCAGCGACGTGCAATTTCCTAAACATCAGCTTTCACCCCAAGACTGGCCATGTATCGATAATAATGACTATAAGCCTGACCGCGGGTGGATGACAGTTGACGTTACCCACTATGCCCGCTTATCGGCATTTCCCCTGAATGGCTTTTTGGTTGGGGGCGAGTATCAAAGACCACTGCAGGTATGATTTTCTACGCGAATGTGGAGGAACAAGATGGCAGAGAGAACAGTACTTCCGGTTGAAACAACAGGTGTTACGCAATGCAGCTACACTGATCTAGCCAGCATCTCCTTGATGCGTCCAAAGTATATGCAAAGAATTCCATCCCCAATCATGGTGTTTCCCCCTATGGCGATTGCAGCCTGATTACGAAAGGGCAGGCCCCTCTATTCATCATCCCCACACATACTCCTGACTTGCGTGAGGCGGTCCTCGCTGCTGCTGCTGCAAAAGGCCATCGGAATCGTGACAAAGAATCAAACGCGCGAATGATGTCAAGTCGCTTATGCGATGACCAAAGCGGCAGCGGCGGCAAGACCGGCAAGAGCGAAAGAGCCAGCGTTGGCAGAGGCAGCACCAGTGTAGGCAGCTGGTGCAACAGGCGAGGAGCTGAGAACTTGATTAGCATGCCTCCAAAGGCAACATTGGTATCATGGGAAAAGACTCACCTGTAAGTCCAGGCACCAGTGGATGCTGGGGCAACAGGGGTGGCTGCAGAAGAGCCGGCAGGCCAGAATGGTGTCTCGGTGACAGCAGCGACTGGGGTGCTGCTGACGACGGTGACGCTGCTCCACTCAGCCCAGGTCTCGGTGGAGGCGGCGGCGACAGGGGCAACGGGGGTGCTGCTGCTGCTGATGGTGACGGTGCTCCAGTCGCCCCAGGTCTCAGAGGAAGCGGCGGCAACTGGCTCAACGGGAGTGCTGCTGATGGTAACAGTGCTCCAGTCACCCCAGGTCTCAGTGGATGCGGCGGCAACGGGAGCAACGGGGGTGCTGCTGCTGCTGATGGTGACGGTGCTCCAGTCGCCCCAGACCTCGGAGGAGGTAGAGGTGCTGGCTGGCTCGACAGCTGCGGCGGTGGTGCTGGCCCAGTCACCCCAGACCTCGGTGTCGGTGGCCTTGGCCGCGTAAGGGCAGTCGGTGACGGTCGGGCCGCAAGAGGTGATGGTAACGTCAACGACGTCGGTAATGGTGCTGGTCGCAGCCGAGGCAACGGCAACAATGCCGGCGGCGATGGCGATGGAGGAGCGCATTTTGCTGGTTGTGTTGTTCAAGTTTCGAATTATCGGAACCGGGAAAAAGGGCTTCGTGGAAGCGAGGAGAGCGTCGAGGTAGATTATTTAACGAAAGTGGTGGAGCTGAACCTGAAAGAGTGGACGACCGGAGTCAAGGCTTTTTGTGTATACCGAAGGCGCAGCTTGAGTACTGAAGAAAAGGTCGAAGGCACTGGGCAGCGGGAGGTTCTTGTAGTGCTGTTGGTGTCCCGGGAGATTGAGGCCCGGGCGAAGCGAACAGTGGGTTGATTGGAGCCAGATTGGGTGGACATGGCTGATAGTGGCTAGACATGGTGCGAGATCAACTGGGCTTCGGGAGATTGCGATCTGGAGAAGCCCAAGTGAACAGACAGCCGACAGGGGTTATAGGGGGACAAGAGCAGCCACTAGCGACAGAGCAGGACAAACCTATGGACGAGCTTGAGGCTCAACTTACTCAGCGGCGTTGAGATTAAGGCTGCGGCACTCGTCGCTGTCCCGGAGCAGACATGGCAACTAAGCGGTTAGGCGGTACATGTGAGCGCCACCATCAGGTTACACGGGAGAGCTAGAAGCTCGCAAACTGCCGCATATAGTTTAGGGGATGGTCGTGCGGTCAACAACAGCCCGTTGTTTGGGGTGCTGAAGCGCCAGAGCAATGGGGGAAAAGTGGATAAACTTGACAAGAAAAGAAAAGGAGAGTCCCATAGTAAATTTGATGCGTGGTCCGGTCGCTGTCTAGCCAGAGCTTCTCCAGGTGACGCGCGGGCGCTTCGGTGGACACAGACCACAGCACGTAGGAGGAATACGTAGTATGGATTCGTAGTAGGGGATGGGAGGATCTCGGCTCTCTGGTCTGGATGGCAAGTTGTGCGACAAGCGCAGCAGACTCGCGATGGTGCAATTCTTTTCCCATATGCATACCATGCACTTACGCATCCACGTATCCATTTGGTGTCAGTACGTAGGTAGCAATCAAGCTTGGAAATGATACACCGATCCAGATGGAGGAATTGGGGAGTTTCACACTGGCACTGGCCTCGCTTTCAGGGGTATTTTGGCTTTCCTAATTGGTCCATAGCGGGGCCTTGGCAACCCCCGAACAGCAACGGGCATCGAGTCCGTTACTCAACCTCGTCGATTGCTCTCCCGCGAAGATCGTCCTCCCTGATTTATTACCGTCGGTCTTGTAAATCTCGTTTGAAGATTGAACTGTGGCATTCTGGCCCTTGGCCTCCATTTAGGCGGCTCCAGTGCCCATGAGTATTCAGCCTCATAGAGTGCGACATGCGCGAAGTGGGTGAGTGTTGTTTGGTACGTTTGCCATCAGGGGTAATGGATACCTATGTTATAGGGGGCAGTGGAGAGCGCAGAAACCACGAGAGTTGTAGTGGCCCTATGGACTATTCCCTTTTACTAGGACATCTGCTGAACGTGTGAGGCACGGGCAAGTTTCTTCAGGCCCTATGTCCAGGACTATCCTCTGTGGCTTACTTGCTTGTTTCTTACTCATCTCCAGCTGGGCTGTTATTCAAGTGTCACTCAAAAAACCTACGCGTTAGGACCTATTAATCTACAAAGCCTGGTACTGACACTTTCGAGACTCCAGAACACCAAGATCCAACTATGATTTGACTCCAGTCACGCGTCGTTTCCGACGTACAGTGTATTTGCGTTGTGCGTGTTAGACGGGACGTGTGGGATATGTCAACTGTCAGCTGCACTTTGATTTGTACTGAAGTCTACCACGTCCATCCTGGTCCAGAAACGATGTGGCATATGAAGACCGTGCTATCACCTATCGATCGATGAAAGAGCTCGGATCTTTTGCTGCTCACGCTTCGACCACAGCCACCTGCTCATTCCACCTGAAAGCTCCACGGCTCTGCCAGTTTGATTGTTTTTCTGAGACTGCAGGCTCGTCAAGGCCACCGACGCATCCAGTCTCCCAGCTCTACATGGTTACCGGAGGAACAGCATCTGCCAACAACGTAATGCCTAGGGCTGTCCCCTCATGTCTCGGAGAACTACAAGGCTGTGCTTTTGGAACGTCACGAGGTATTGTCGATCTCGAATGGTCTCTTCTGACAGTGTTGGCCACACGATGAAAACATTGGTTCTGTCCAGTTGGCGAGCGCTTTGATTTGGACACAAGTACGAAGGCAAACTGGAAAAAACGGCAGTCCTGCTGCCAATTTATGCAAAGTCCTACAGATTGCATTTCGGCATGCAAATGCAACAGCTTCCGGTGAGATAGACATGGATCGCTACCTTGACGGACGCGCAAGCAAATTGCTCATCGCGGCCTATCGGAGATGCTTGGAAGATATTTGGTATCTGGGTGGAAGGCCGCTAGTATGTGGACGGTGAGATCAACGCCGGTGTCCTTTTCACCTCAATACTCCAAATGCCAGCACAAGATGTTCCATGGCTGTGCTGTTCGCCCTCAATCGGGGCTGGGGAAGACGTTGACCTCTCATGGACCGAAGCAATCTTGCCGGGATACGCCTTGGCCAAATATGTTTGGTCTTGTCGAAGCCGATTACCGAATGAGACGGATATAATGCAATCGGTTCGCTTCTGTCCACGCGTCTGGCGCTACGGTTATGACTGCTCATGATCTGACCTCCACTGCGACCTTGATCATAACGAATGACCAAAGTACGAGTTTGTGGAAGATGCTGACAACAATAAATGGCCATGTCCGACGTCGCTGTCAAGACCTTCAATGATCAGGTAGGAATACATACCATGAACTTACTCGGACAGGGACGGTTTCACATTCCATCTAATGCTTATGGAAAAAACCGACCTTGTCGGACTCATTGTTTGTTCTCACTGTTTATTATGTTACGACGACGGCGCCCCGACATGCCATGAATACGCACCCGAAGGAAGGTCAAGATGGTTGCTGAACTCTGTTGTGCTGTGTTGCTTTCTTGACTTGGTCGATCACAATGCCTTTGCCATAGCACATCACAGCACAGTCGTTCCATCGTGCCCCGAGTCGCAATACTCAGGCTCGCCGATGGTGCGATTGACATGGCTTCTGGTGGGCGGTGAAGGCGCCATAGAATTGCATGCTAGTCGGTCAACCCAAAGAGGTGGCGGTAGCAGTGCATTTCAGGCCACGGTATATGCGAAACAAAACTGTCTTGCTCCGCCATCAGTACGCATGCACTACTCGGACTCCAAGGCGTTCAGTCCATCGCTGTTATCCTGCATCAGCTTGTGTCGGAATGTATCGACGACATGGACGGAGCAGGCGGCTACGCTCTCGCGTTGGCCGAATTGCCCCCTGCTGCTGTCACAACAGGCAGTGAAATTGCAGTGACCCTAATCTAGTGGCATGCTCGAAATGACAGAACGGCGCAGGTAACAAGGGCGGTGCCAACGTCGTTCATTGGGATGACGACTCGGACCTGCTGCTGGTAGAGCGTCAGCAACAATAAGCTATGGTTACAGCAAGGCCGCGAAGAAAGAAGAATACAAGTTCGTGCGCATGTCTTTCCCCCATCAGTTGAGGACTACTTTGAAGCGCAGGCACCACGAACCCAGAACCAGCTCGGGAACCTTGGATCACTCCATCCTCGCTCAAGCCCTTCGCCTTCTCACCGTCTTGCATGCCAGAACAGCTCCCGCACCATTTTGACCATGCTTGGTTGCGGACATCCTTGAGGAAAACTCATCACAAGCCGACCAACTGTCATGTAGTGAACAACAGCAGGAGATTGCAGCAAGACTTGTTTTTAGTAGGCAATCCAATCACGCCTCGGCTTGGTACCCTTCGTTTCCCCTTGGGCGTTTCACTTCGCTTGCGAGCAGAGATGGTAAGGATTTCATCAGCGAGTTTCGCGCTCTCGACCTTGCCAGGACGCCGCCACGGGACAATACCCTCGACGAGGGATATTCTCTCGGAAGGCACCCGAGACTCCGATAATCGATCTTGATGTCGCCAGAGTGAACTTCGAACACAACATACAGTCCACTCAACATCAGGTCAAGCCATTATGTCCTACGACTTTTTGCTGATAGTTTCAACCCGGTTTACCGCAGGCGTTCGATGCTTAACGCCGCTTACCAGAGCCCAAGGCACCTGCCATTCGGTGGGACGCTGGAGGAGACTTTGATCAGGGTGAATCAATCCAGAAGCACCGCCAGTGCTCCTCAGAAAGTAGAGCGATTAAGCAAGCCAGGATAACTGCTTCGCAATCGTCACGCAAGCTCGATACTCCGAGGACATTGCGCCGACGCTTCTCAAGATTTCAAAATTCATAAGTACAAGCGGTACCGAAGCAGGATTCGCTAGTTGACCTGGTCCTCGTGGAAGCTGGTGACAGCGGTAAAATCAAAGTGGCAAGGAGGACTAGTCCTGTGATATGCACACGACGATTATGTGAAACCACTGCGTCACCCAGCTATGTTGGAGGCTATGTTGGAAGAGGATGATTCAACCCATCTTGAAAGGTACCTCCCTGCCACTGGCACCACGTTGACTCTGGACACTGTTCTGTAGTACAGAGTGGTCTCGGACTTGCTTTGTTTCTGCGCCCCTGACCTCATTCGTCCGGGATGGCGACCGAGTTCCGGGTCTATTAGTAGCTCGCTTGATATCTCCGGATGTGGCGCGCTCTCCGGCTCTAGGACAGATGTGTAGTACGACGAGCGAGCAACAACAACATACTGCAGTGCAGTGCAGTAGTGTGTGATTGTCAGGGACCCCCGAGCAACATCTTTGACTAAGGCATAGTATAGTACTGCCCGATGAAACCACTCAACTCATTTTTGTTGAGCGAGCAAGAGTGAGACTTTCCACCCCGCAAAGTTAGTAGAGAGTAGCACTAACCTAGTAGAGCTTGCCCCTGTCTTAGCGGATGCCTCGGAGCCAATGAATCCGCCTTGGCCACGCGGGAGAGGAATCCGGATGTTTAGAGACGTCATCTATCCGACCACAAGCCCTGTCTTGACCTCATGTCCCGCGCGGCAATTCTGCTGTCAACCCACGATCTTGGTCCGGAGCCAGCCTCGCCTCTTTTCACAGCATCATCGACTTCCGTCAGTCGGCCCTTTCTCGCGCCCCCGCTTGCTGCCGCATTGGAAAGCATTTTCCACCCTCTCGTCGCTTGGACGGATCATGACGCCAGGGCTGCTTCGTTGAACCACAACCCTGCCTTCATGGCTCTCCATTGGGGCGTATCCTGCTTCCGAACCTCGGCGGCTCTGAAATATTGGATGCGGAAGCCCTAGCGGTAGGAAATCATTCAATATTGCGTACCTACATTAGCAATTCTGTGACATCTGTTTTGGGGCCTGAGGTCATTTGCTCGCCGCTAGCCCAGCCAGAAAATGTTTATATGCGTGGCTTGAGTCTTGCGAGGGACGGCGACAGCTCTTCCTGATAGTGCACGTTCTCTACACAAGCTCGCAATCATGAAGTCGGGCTCGATCGTCTTCCTCAGCCTCGGGGCTCTTGCAGCTGCCGCCCCCCAGGTCACGCTCACTCCACTCAGTGGTCCTATTCCTCCAGTTCGGAGTTCAGAGGTTACCGGACCGACGTCTCATGGACCTTTCTCGGGCACTCCTACCGTCACTGGAGCCTTGTCTCGTCCTGCGACTGCAATGTCCATAGCCCCAGCTGGTTCGCCTGTTGTCACATACACTAACGATAATGGCGACCTCCAAGCGACCTATATGCCGGTGCCATACCAACCTGCCGGTGGCCAAGGTCTCAACGGCACCACCCCATACTACCATCCGCTATCCGACTTCGACTACGAGTCACTCACTTTGGCCTTGTACCAAGAATGGATCGAGTTGGATCTTTTCCACAACGGTCTTGCTCGATTCTCGGTCCAGGACTTCGAGGCTGCAGGCCTTACGGCGGAGGATCGGTTCCTGATCGAATTCATGGCAGACCAAGAAGTCGGTCATGCGACTCTGTTGAGCAACATCCTGGGGCCTGCTGCGCCACCTCAGTGCACGTACAACGTAAGTTGACCCCTCCTACCATCTCTACGCCCGAAACTCTCACGTGTTCGTGATACACGATTTCAGCCTCGTCCCAACATCTGCGATACACGTACTGACTCTTTTCTCTTCAACAGTATCCGTACAACACTGTGCGAGAGTTCATCGACTTCTGCCAGAAGTTGACACGCTTTGGCGAGTCCGGCGTCTATGGGTTCCTTGGACACCTGGATTCTCGCGAATCCGCCACGCTTTTGCTCCAGTCCATCTCCACCGAAGCTAGACAACAACTCATCTTCCGCCAGTTCGACGGCCTCTTCCCCATGCCTGTCTGGTTCGAGGTTGGCGTGCCGCAGTCGTTCGCTTGTATGAGACCCTTTTAGTCGTTTTGTGGTGCTTTTTGACTGATTTTTGATAGGGACTTTGTTGGCACCTTATATCTCTAGTTGTCCGGCGAACACGACTCGCTTGGCTTGGCAAAACTTCCCTTCTCTGACGATCTTGAATCAGCCAAACCCTGCAAAGACGAACCCGAACTTGGGAACTCCTCAGCCGGCCACAGGCTCGAACCCCTTGAACAGCAGCGGCATTGCTGACAGTAATCGATGCATCCATGCCTCAGGAGAGTCATCAGATTGTGGCCCAGCCATCAGTCAAAACCGCTCCATTCCTCTGTCCTATCCCGGACGTCCGATTCATCTATCCTGGGGTAACGTCAACCAAACCGTGGGCCCAAACAACAGCTATGTCACGAGTCGCTCGCCTTTGGCTGACGCGCCTCGCTACGCGATGTTTTTGTCGCAACTCAATGCCACCTACGTCCCGCTCCTCAACATCAGCGGGAATACAGCCTCTGTCATCCAGCCGAACATGAGCACGTTTGCAGGAGATCCAGCAGTTAACGGCACAATTTTCATCTCAGTTGTCAGCCAGAATCCCTACGTGACACCTTTCAACGTCAGCATGGTGCTTCCATATGTTTGGGCAGGGCCTAGTTTATACCAGGCCGGTTAAGTGGGTGTGGATGTTGTTGAAGAGGGTTTGGGTAATGGGGTATGGGACATTGTCATAAGCAACAATTGAGCTTGAAAAGCGACAAGAGTTGCATTGTACGCCTTACCAGGAGCAAGTCAGAGATATAGCGACAAAAAATGCTTACAGGCGAATAGTAATAGTAAAGGATAATATCAGGACAATAGTATATTTGTACCCAAAGGTTTGGCTCATCAGTCATTTATTCGTCGATTATTCAGGTGTAATGGATATTGCCCTTGACAGATCACTTCTGAAGTGGCAGTATAATATATGTGCAGGTCATATCATATCACCCTCCCTGGCCCGGTTCCAGTCGTTGTCAAATCTGGCCCACCCGCCCATCTCTGGCTCTGCCTGCATCTTCATTTCATGCACGACGAAATCATAGGTCCCCTCACGGGGCTCCTGGCCCTGACACACATTGCCACCCATAGCGATGTTCAAGAGAACCACGAAATCAGCCATGCGTCTCGCCCCCTGCGGGATCGGAGCCTTCATGACAGCGCGGCCGTCAATCCACCACAGGAGCCGGCCCTGGCCGGACGCATCGTCCTGTTGCCACGCGAACTCGAAGCGCACCGGTCGGCCTTGTTGCATGCCCTGGACGAACGTGCCGACCACGCGGTGCTTGTTCTTGTCCTGGGGCGTGTAATAGCCCCAATGCAAGCACGAGTGATTGATGCCGTCGCCGTTCCAGGTCTCGGCAATATCGACCTCGCCATCCGTCGGCCACGCAAACGGCTCAAACGGCAGCAGCCAGAACGCGGGCCAGATGCCACCGGCGCAGGGCAGCGTCAGAGTCGCGATCAGGCTGCCGCGCGAACGAGCCAGGCGTTGTCGCGAGACCAGGCGTGCCGAGGTGAATTTCCTCGAAGGATTTGGGTTTCTAGGTTGTGCAATGGCGCGAAGGACCAGCAGATTGTTTGGGGTGCTAACAATATTGGGTCAGGAGCCTGAAGAGGGACATGGGGTGCGAGGGTCGACGCAACCCACCGACGTCGACTTACTAGAATGAGTTTGCTGCCTCGTCCGTATAGAACTGCTTCTCGTTGTTTCCCCAGCCGTTGTTGTTCCCCAGCTTATGCTCCCACTCGGCACCCACGGGAGTGGAAGGGTCGAAGTGAGGTTGCCAGTAGACTGCCGGTCCAGGATTGTTGGGCCGGGTGCTCTGAGGAACTGGCGGCGGCGCTTGTTGTTGGTATTGGTGTTGAAGCCCGCCCTGATTGTAAGGCTGCGGTGGCTGCCCGGAATACTGACTCTGCTGCTGTTGCTGGTATCCTTGGCCAGGATAGTTTGACTGTGATTGGGGAGGGGGCTGTTGCTGAGAATGTTCATTGAAGAGTCTCTGACCCTCTTGTTGCAAGTCCTTCAACTGTGCTTTCAGTGCCGAGAAGCTGCTTTTGAAAGGCATTGTGGCAATGCTCTCTGCGGCAAGTAGAAGGATGGATTATATAACAAGCTTGCTAGCTTCAACACTGAGGCAGAGACTTCCGTTGAAGCTGGGGTTTGGTCCGGAGGCTTGCGGGATTACGTCTTTGCCTGGTGACCTAGATATTCAGAGATATATACGAGTGCTCTACTTCAAAACAAGTGCGGCGATATCAGCTCACAAAATGCTGGTACAAGCTAACAAGTGGTGAATAAGATGAGGATGGATGTAGTTGATCGATATACGTACCGTTGTCCCATTGTACCATTGTTGTACGTGCTCTCGGCGCCAAATACTTCGGTGTAAAATTGTTCCGTCTCCGCCTGCGGACCCAAGTGAATTCAACGGAGGATATTGTGACAATAATGATGATATTAATTGTACTATCAGAGTACCTGTTACAAGGTGTTTCTTCGACCTCGACAACTTCCTTTAACCGTTTCGTTTCCATATCCATCTATAAGTCTCTGACAATGGACGACTACTGAAATCCAATCAAGCATGATCCCTCCATACCTCCGCATAAATCCAGACCTTTCCTTCATCATTCCTCAATATCCATCGCAGTCTAGCTTCTCCCATCCATCAGTCTCGACACCAGCTCCTGGACGACTTTGACGTCCTGCTGGCCTGGAATAATGATCCTGTTGAGCTTCCCCAGGTCGACCTACCAACTCCAATACTGATGCCGCACGCGAATGCCCCGCGCGCTATATCATATTCATCCGCCATCTTCCCCAACACCGCTTCGATACATTGAACTCTCCTTTCGACTGTGCTCCTCGCACGTCTCCTTCTCTTTTCCGTACTGTCGGTTTTGGAATACCTGGGTTCCTCCATGTTCAGACGCACAAGCAAGTCCTTTCTGGGCTGGAGTTGTTTGAGGATTGATAACGCGTGGTTACGTGTCATCCCTTCCCATCCATATTTCTTCGTTACTGTCACCACGAACGCCGAAAGAGAGGCAAATGCTGTGATATTGCCGAGGGTTGCCAGGGTCCAGCGCGCCGGTTGCTGAGTGAATGTCGGATACTGAACCATCTGCGCGGTGATGAATTGCGAAAGAGGGCTTGGCTTCCGCGCGGAAGACGCTGTTTTGCTACCTGTCGTCGATCTCCTCGCGAACCTCGCAGAACCGTGTCCATCTTTTCTTCCCAGATATGATTCGTCGAAATGGTGCTTGCGCAGTTGCAGTTTCCGGCCGTTGATGTTGACTATCCTGGTGTTCTGTATTCGCTCCAATTTGCTGCTATGCTCTTCGTCGGCAGAGTGATATGCTCGCATCCAAATCGCTCGTTCGCCCTCTATTCCTCTACCTGGTGGTGCTGGCACTATGACGTGCGTCGAGGTTTGGTTTGTTGAGCAAGATGCCCGAGGCTGGCCCAACCATCCCCACGTGGCGGTGGTTCCATGCAATTGTCTTTCGGCTCGTCCAAGAAGTTGTGAGAGTGTTTCCTTTCTACTTTCACTGTATCGTGCTCCAGGGTCGTTGACAACGATCATATATTGCTGAATGTCTTGCAGAATCATTTCCCAGAAGATCTTTGGGCCGTCGGAGCCATAGACGTCGGCAAATTTCCATAGGCTCGGCCAGAATTTGTTATATGTACCGTGGGTGCAGAGCCGGGGTGCGGGCTGCTTTGGAGGCCAGCATGGTTCACACCGACATGATACAAAGATTGAGCTCCAAGCCTTGTCGACCTGCGATTCGATGTTGCTGCTGTATGGCTGCAACACACTGGGCTCAATATGGACCGGTTGTTCAGCCTGTTGGAATGTGCTGCTTCTCTTTTGTGGGAACCAGCTGAAAATGCTATGCTTTGATGTCTTCTGGCTGGCTGTTGCTTTGGGTCTGAACCTGATGCTGCTGGTCGGCATGCTGAAGCGGTCATCCACGTGTATGCTGGCCGTCCACGGAAACATGGCCCCCGATATTCCTGAGTCGAAAGGCAAGTTTGGAAGTGGTGCTTGCAGAACCATGCTGAAATGGCGTGCTGAAGCAGTCACTGGTGTCTGGAAGTAGGGGTCTGACCTGGCGAACGAGGTTTTGCTTCTATGCTGCTGCTGACGATGACTTTAGAAACAGCTTCCCATATCTCAGACGAGGCTCCAGAGTAAAGTGATCCTACCACAGATTGATTGACAATGATGAAGAAAGAGAACTACTGGTGGTGTTTTCAAAGCCGACAAGAGCGTCTTTTGTTTCTGAGGAACCATCCTTTGACAAAGCAACACCTTGGAGTCGAACCATGGTACTGGGACAAGTGGCTCACTCTGGCTGGCTGACCCTTGAGACTCCAGAGGACCGTTAAACCTTCTGCATGGTGGGCGCCCCCAGGTGAGGACCTCTGAATCGAACAAGGTCACAATGTCAACGGTGTGTACTCTGACCCTAACTGTTGCTGCTAGTGAGTACGAGTTGGAAACCGCCCTCAAGTCCAAATTAGCCAGTTGTGTCGAATAAACGCAGTCCACCAGCATTATCAACGCCCTGAATGGAAGACTACGCTTTGAAACCGGTGCCCGCACGCCTGTTAGTTCATGAAGCCATGGCAGTCTGGTAAAGTCGCCGCTCGGGCGCTAAACATGCTCTAGCAACTATCTGAAGAATTCGTACACGAGGTCTATCAGAGCCTCTACAGACAGCTCAGAGCCGCTTACTACTCCTCAGAAATTTCAACAAGCGCCTCCTCCACTCCGTCCCCCTCTCCGTCTCTCTCCTGCTCAGCAATCTGGTCGGCCCGCAGGAGCCCCCAGCGCTTCAGAACTGCGGCCTCAGCCTCCGCCCGAACACGCGTCCTCTCCTCCTTGGTAAACCCATCCGGGTCACCGCCGTCGCTGTCCTCTTCCTCCTCCTTGTCCCCCGGCCCGACCTCCCACGCCTCTTTCTTGGGCGCCCCAGCCATGCCCTCGGTGAGGAGGTATGGCTCGCGGAAGACGAGCGCCCTCAACGACTGGATGGCCCCTTTGATTGTCACGCACGTAGGGCAGCACAGCTTCTGGCTCCCCCAGGGCGTCTCGGTGGAGACATTGCACCAGGTTTGGTCCGAGTCGATGTATTTTTGACAGTAATTGTACATGGCCAATTTGCAGGACACGCATTGGAACTTGAAGCACATTTTGCCGGTCTCTTGTTTGTCTGACAGTGAATAAAGCGCTCGAAGGTGTCCTTAGGAAGTGTTCTTGGAGGAAGTTCGGCCGCGGCTCGACTTTTTGAATTGCACAGGGGATGCTTCAAACGGATGGCAAAAGGGTAGGGAGTCTAGCTTCGGATGGTAGGTGTCGGCTCGAGGTTTCGCAAGATGCGCTGCTGTCGTGACTCTGCTCTCGAAAGAAGCTGCGCTGGATCGATGAAACAAGAACAGCTCCTCGCAATGCTCCTTGGACAGGATTTCTCGAGTATGTGTTGGATTGACTCTGAGTAAAGGAATTTGGTTTGTTTGGCCTGTTTACTCGGCTCTCTCACGCAAGGAAGGACAGGGAGGAGAGCAAGTGGACGTGATGATACACTGACACTGACACGAATGTGGCGTATGGTGTATGGTCGGTAGTGGCTGTCCTGTGGTTTAATTTGGATCAACGAAGTTGATTGCGCAGGAGGAGTTGGTCAACGGTATGCTGGGCGGGTTTCTCAAAGGGCTGTAAGACGTATGAGCGTGTCTCGGAACGGAACCGTACAGCTTTGTTTTATGCAACTGCTAACGTGTGATAGATGTGGTGAGAGAGGTAGACGAGGGTGGCAGTGCTGGAGAGGATGGAAGGACCGGTGTTGGGACTCCTGTGTTGAGCTTCTGTCCTGATGCTCACGTGTTAGCAAAGGGTCAGGCAGGACACAGGGCCTGTGAGCACATGTACCCAACCGAGTTCAGTGAGAGTCTCTGTTTTCAACGGTCTTTGACAGGGCCATGATTCCCGTCCACGGTGAGCTTACCAGCAACTATCTTTGTGCTGTCAAATGAATGATCTAGCAGCAAGGAAGCAAACAATACGATGTGATATTGGGAAGAACAGGCACAGAGAGAAAGGGAAGAACGGGATTAGAGGATGGACTGCACAAGAACAGCGCCCAAGTCATCTGGATGCGTGCTGAATTCACACTATGCCGACGAGGTTAGAGCAAACGCAGCCGACGACGACAATGATAAAGACGTTGCGCCAGAACTGCTGTCGCCATGACGATGAGCGGTATCTTGAATCAGATGGCGCAGGAGAAGGACCTATGAAGTGTCTGGCAGCCATGATCATTCATGTGCATCCTGGGACTGTTCATTGTGGTATCAATACGGCTACAGGGGATTCAAATCCAGGCTGGATGGCTTGCGAAGCCGTCTGTGGAATGGTTATAATCAGGGAACAAATCTTTACCTGAGTCTGTTCCGTTCCACTGCTCTCAGGTGTTGCATTTCAGGATCGCCTTTGGGGTTTCTACCGCATATTGATATTGTCCGGGGTATCTGAGGCGGGTGGAAACTACAAGGACAGATTTGAGAGATGCTCGATGCATGTATATGGCCGTAATGAATTCATCTTGCAATGAGCAGGAACAGAGGAATGCTCATAGACCCCCAATATGTAGCATAAGTAGAAAGGGGCATACTAAATAAGAAGTCCCAGTTGATGATCGGGTCGTCTAACATTTCAGGTCTAAACCGTGAGCAGCCCCGTGCCATGCCAGCCTGACGTGGCTGACGAGGCTGACGAGGCTGAGAGTGTTGTGGCGTATTATGTGACAATTGGCACATGCCTGTGGCGCCATGGTCTCCAAGTCTCTGCCACATCTCAACCGCCATAGTTGTTGGAGCCTCCCTCATACCATCTTCATCTCTTCCTCTCATCGTGATTCTCTATACTGTGTCATCATGGCTAGCTGTATTGTCCTCATGGTGTGTCCCAAGTAAACAAAGTATACTTTCCGAAGCCTCTTCCACTCAACTTTCGGCCTCTTGCGTCCACGAAACATCATCATGGCCGAAGTCGAGAACCACTTTACCGTCTTCATCCGTCTCCCCTTCAACCGAGGCGAGTTCATCGATCCTCCTCCTGTAGCATGGTCCGCTGCGAAAGAGCGCGCTCTATGGGACATCTTATCTCGACAAGCCAAGGGCAACGAGATCGACTGGAGGTCACTGTCGGAAAGATTCGAGGTCACTCAGCCTTTCCTCTTGCAGCAAGCGGCATGGCTCTACGAGAGACAGCTGTCCCAGGTGCGAGCTCAGATGCGTCGTGTAGGTAACAGACAATCTGCCACACCCTCACCGGCGCCTGGATCGACGACAGCAAGCATGGTCGGTGGACAGACGATGAAACGAGCCGGCAGCGGCGGATCACGTGTGCCCTCCCGTCTATCTACCCAGGCCCTTGGAAGTCCAGCGACCGGAGCCGGAGGAGACAGTACTCCAGGGACACCTGCTAAGAGCAGATCATCGCTCCCGTTCCGCAACCCCTCCGGTGCTGGTGCTGCCGTTGCCTCCCAGACCAGAGCTATGCCGGGCACGTCCAGGCCCATATCTCGACAGTCATTCAAGGACCCCGATGCTCCAGCATATGTATCACAGTCCAGACGGGGAAGTATTCAGCATCAACTCTCAAGATCGCCAGGCCAAACGAGGACGGTGCAGCCCCAATCCTCGGATTCCGAGGATGAGATGACCCAATCGCGCATCACTGCCCGCCGGCCAAATCCCTCATCCGTCCACCGGCGAGCCCTGTCTCTCCGCAAAGACCTACAGCCCCAGCGTGGCAGTCCTGCAAACACCAGCCATTTGAATGCTCCGCGAACACAAGCCTCGGATGATGAGGATGACAACGACGACGATGCACCTTCCTTCCTTCCCTTCGCCACGCCTCTATCAGAAACCAAAGGCCGTCCATCGTCGTTTTCGCATCAAGACCCAAGCGCAACCTTGCGAGGCGCACCCAATATCCAACCAGCCACTACGTCACAATCAACAGCCATGTGGCGTATGGCATCTGAACGCGTTGATTCTCCAACAATCGAGCCACCAACTCCTGTGCAAACTCACCGACCTCAATCTCGGGGCCTGCCACCATCAACATCTTTACCTTCTGCAGTCACACAAGCACAGACACAGGGATCATCACAAGTACAAGCATTCAGACAATCCAAGCCTGCAACATCCGATCAGCCGCCATCGGTCGTGGCTGAGCGTCGTTTGACAACGCCTAACCCGAACCCCCTATCCCCTCCGCATCGTGCGCTCATGCAGTCTTCGCCACGGGGCCATATAGGTCCAGGCTCGGACACGTCGCCTAGTATGGGCTCGTCCTTCTCTGACTTAGACGATGCGAGTGTGACGCAGAGCGCACTGGAAGAGGCCCTCCTCAGCGGGATGGGCAACACGACCATGACGATACCTGGCGGCGGTGGCGTTGCCGGGAGAGTGAGCGGGATTAGTCAAGCTCTCAGGAGTCGATACTTTGAGGCTCGGGGAGATGGGCAGCAAAGAGGAGGTGGAGGTGGAGGGGTCAGTGAGAGGTAGAATCGTCGAGCCGTGAGAAAGAGGCTGATATTCTCTGCTTTGTGGTTCAGCGTATCTTGGTGAATGATAGTCGGCAATCAGCTCGCAGCTCGAATACTCGGTCGAGAAGGGAATAACGTCTTACAGAATGTCCTACGCCGTTTGACGAAGTTGCCCAACCATTGGTTTCCTTCTATCGGCCTTCCAGCAAAGAGGTCTACGATGATGAAGGGCCCAAGGACAAGCTAGGTAAAGCGGTATGATGTCCCATGGCAAGCAAGCCACAAGTCGAGCAGTCGAGCAACCAAAGATCAGAATTAATATATACGTAAGCCAATACCGAAGTGATGGTAATACTGCTTGCACACATTGGCCCAATCCTGTACTTGCTCCATGACCAATAAACAACGTACATGTTCCTCAAACCGTCATCCTTAACATACACACGAGGAAGTGAAAAGCATAAAGTAGGTACTTTACAGAAAAGGTCCATCCAAAACAACCCAACCAACCTACACGTCATCTCTCATCCCCAAGTCCACGGGAGCCCTTTTGGCCTTACTCGAGCCAAACCTGCTGGGAACCACCTGCGAGCCAGGGTCCATGGCATGTCCCCAACCCCGGACGCCGCGCCTCTTGTGCTTGTCCACATGTCTGGCCCGATCGGGATCGGCCTTCATGTACTCGACCACACGCTGTGCGGCGACACGTCGTTTTTTGAGTCCATCGTCCACGTCTGCAGTAGGATTGGTCGTCTGCCACTGTTGGAACAAAGTGCATGTGTTGGAGACCGAGTCAGGGATTTGGATCTGAGCCAGCTCGTCCGGCCGCTCGAGCAGCATAATACCCAGTCCCGCGCTCAGGTGCCATGCGACATGGCAGTGGAAAGGCCACACGCCCGGGTTGTCCTGCTCGTACTGCAGCACCATATATGTCGGGTTGGTCTGATTCGCGCCGGCCCATAGCATACGGACGTCCCGTCGCTGCGGGTTCGACGGGTTGGTAATGGTGCCGTCCCACGTGCCAAAGCCTTCCGCTAGAACTTGGAAGTCGTGCCCATGGATGTGCATGGGATGAGGCGCGGGGCTGTTGTTGATGACAATGATCCGCACAGTGCCGTTGGTGCCCATATTGTAGATCTGGCGTTCTACTGGGAGAGAGGCAGCTTGTGCTTGCAGGCCGGCGAACAGAATGGGAGCGTCTAGATTGCCCATGTAGGATACGCCGTCAATCGTCCAGTGAAAAGCCCCTGTACTGTTGGTCGCAATGCCGATAGTTAGAGTGATTGTGGTATCAGCCTGGGCGGCTGCGATGGCGTACGCAGGCACGGTGCTGCCGAGCGGGTCGTTGGCGCACATCAAGTTGGCGGGCACGGCGGCTCCTGTACTGGTGGGCGCAACGGTGGGATCGATGCCGGAATAGTAGATGATGGCTCGACCATCAGGACCATTAGTTTCACCACATCCGGGGGAGTTGTGAGCACGGAGCCAGTAGGATCCCGGGGTAGCATTGGCCGTGACGAGCACGTCCACACGCTGGCCGACGCCGATAGTGACGAATTCTGCTTGATATGGCTGGACAGGCACGAAGTCATTGGCGATGACAGTCATTGTATGGCCGTCGACGGAGATGGTCTCAAAGGCAGATGCTCCGGTGTTGACAAACCGGAGCCGATGTGTCTTGCCTGGTTGAAACTCGTACGATGCAAATGGGACCACACTGCAAGGCTTGCCGTCGGTCACATTGGCACAAGGATATTGGCCGACACCGCCGACAAGATTTGAGTCCGAGAAGGGCCGGAAGGGCGGTCCACCGCTGGTTGGGCTCAAGACGAGGTCGACGATATGGTTGTAAGTATCGTGAAACCAATCGGTCACCAAGATTGGGCCCAAGTCCACATCATAATCACTCTCATGGGGGCCATGAATGACAATCGGCCCATGGACACCTGCAGTGTATTGTGCCGAATAATGGCTGTGATACCACGAGGTACCATATTCATCGGCACGGAATCGGTAGGTAAAATTGGAGCCGGGGACGATAGGGCATTGTGAAACTGTGCTGACGCCGTCGAAGTACGGTGTGCCGGGTTGATTCAAGCCATGCCAATGCATCGTGGTCAGATCTTCAGGACCATAGATGTCATTGTAGACGTTGACTTCGATCCTGAAATCTCTCAGAAATTGCAGCCACAGGCTCTGTCCGACTTCTTACCAGTCGCCCCAATTCGCCTCGATCAACGGACCGGGATACTGCCCATTGACGACTATCGTAGGCACTTGCACCCCATCAGGCGCCAGTGTCGCCCGAGAAATAGTGAAGTTATAGTATCTTGTAGCGCCTGCTCCAGTCAGTCTCGTTGCAATATCAGCGACGTATCACCCACCAGTGTCGGGCATATCTTTCTGCGGGTGAGATCCAGTGACAGTTTTATCGGACCACGGACAGTCGCCTCCCTAGAGAATCAGTGCATAGTTCGTCTTGACGGACGGTAACACTTACTCCCATCCATTTGTCCAGATTCCCAAGGACGCCTCTGGTTAGTGCAGTACCCAGAAGGGCAGCACGAAGTACTGGTTTCATGTCTGAATTTCAGCGAGCCGGAAGGAGCAATAGAGGGAGCACCGGATAGATTCGGTCTGTGCAACATTGGGAAAATACCTCTCGTCTTATATCAACACCGAGTCAGATCTGGCCTCCAATGCTGTCTTAGGTACAGTCAGACCGGCCGGCGATCCAGCAAGAGACATTTATAGACAGTGGTCAGTGGTCACCAAGCCTGCAGCAATCACCACTCTCGAGGAATGCGGCTGAGGCAGACTCTCGTATTTGAGGAAATAAACGGTTGAGGGTGAACTCGGCCATCCTCCCAGCATTCACCACGGAAATCTTGTCCATGTCATCTTTCAAATCGACGAAGAAACATCGCACAAGATGTAAACATCCTGACCCAGCCCCAGGGTTGCAACAACACGGTCGTAAGGTCTCTAGCAGGAGTGACGAGCGTCAACGATGTACTTGGGTACTTGGCAGTTGGAATGTCTGGCATGTTTTCGTGGAGACGTCGGTGGTGCAAACGAACGAGGCCAGGCAAGTCCGTAAGACTGGATATAGTGCGACATTGCATTTCCCAGGGGAGAAGTTGACAAAGCCACCGCGACTGCTGGCCAGATGTCAGATAATAGTAGGAAGAGAACTCAACAGCCTGCCACACTTACGGGTCGTAGATGTTGGCTGATTGTCAGCTATAAGGGCCCCAGGTCCTCATCCTGGGAGCTGAACGACTCTGGGATATCAGAGATGGACAAAGATCCAGCAAGGTTATCATGACAGGCCTGCCCCAGGTCCGTCTCACGCGAGGCCGTCTACATGATCGACAGCTCGTGGGAAACGGAAACGGAAACGGAAACTTGAGGTAGGTGTGTATTACCTAAGTACCTGCGGAGTGACGACATGGTCAGCATGTAAGAGTAATCCTTCGCGTCCGGAAGGATTTCTCACACTCCCGGTATGGGAGCCTGAAGGAGGCATCTGAAGGCCAGCGGAAGGAAGATATCAGTTCGTAGTCCTACAGATTCTGTGGTCATGCCATAGCGGACTTTTCTCCACAGACACCCCATTGGACAATAGTCAGCGTCGGTTCCTGGCGGCTGAGTGCGAGAAGGAGCTGATCTCGCAGCATCGATAGCAGCCTGACTGTCCAATCTGGGAAGCATTACAGAAGACAGAGCGTCCCTCGTTGTTCTGGAATGTGAGGAAGTCGACAGCAAGGCCGATCATTCCGGGGGTACTTTTATACAATTATATGTCACATGTCGGCAGGATGAGATCTCCTTGACCTGGTTATATCTTTTCCGGCGAGCATAAAGTCCGCTTCTTCATCTCCCACCTGCCAAGACGGTTTCAGAGCGAATTCAGATTGTTGTGATGCTCCGGCACAATCACTGACCATGGACAGTAACGGCAGTCCCAGACAGGGGAACACTGATCATACTCTTGGGACATAGTCAGTGCCGAAAGACACACCGCTGGACAAAAGCGTTGAATCTGAGCCTCGCCATCTAGTAGACAGCATGTCGACATGAGGAACTCAACCGCGCCGAGCCTGTCCACCATGTAGTCGCCCCGACTGGCAACCGTTAAGAAGCTGGGGCTAGTGCCTCCGGCAAAGAGGCTTGCTCAGGGCGATCCCCCTGATGCTCATATGCGGGAGCTATGACTCACGCCCATTCTTTGGGGTGTTTGAGGATTTCCATCAGCTCCTTTTCTTTCTCATAGTTCTGATCTGACTCTTCATCCGCGGTCTCTTGTACGCCAGTGCCGCAGACGGGATGCATATATTCCCACCGAGCGGTCAGTGGCAGACTCATCAATATACTTTCAACTCGCGCGCCAGGGGTGCGAAGTCCGAAGCTAGTGCCTCGGTCATTGATGAGGTTGAATTCGACGTATCTGCCTCGTCGGATCTGTTGCCACAGCTTTTGTTCAGGCAAGTACGGCATATCCTTGCGCCTCTTGATGATTGGTAGATATGCGGGCAAGAACGATTCGAGACTGCTGACCACGAATTGGAAAATGTCTTCTTGTGGATTTTTCGAAGTGGGTTGAGCAGTTGCGTCCAAGTCATCGAAGAAGATACCGCCGATCCCTCGTGATTCGTTTCGATGGGGTATTCTGAAATACTCGTCGCACCACTTTTTGAATCTTGGATAATAGTCCTTGTCATGCTTGTCACAAGCAGCCTTGATAGTCTTGTGGAAATGTGCTGCATCTTCCTCGAACAGATAGGAAGGTGTCAGGTCTGTGCCGCCTCCAAACCACCAGTTTTGCTGCGATGTGCCCGTTGCATTGATGGGGTCTCGAGGGTCGGAGGTTTCGAAGTATCGATAGTTCAGGTGGACGGTGGGTGCCATAGGATTATGCGGATGAAGAACAAGAGAGATTCCTGCTGCAAAGAAATTCAACGTTTCCACATCTGAGTCGACAAAAGATTTATGGTCCGCGCGCATTTTTTCGATAGCAGGACGAGGCAGCTCGCCATAGACAATGCTGGTGTTGACGCCGGCCTTTTCGAATACGTTCCCGTCTTGAAGTACACAGGACGTTCCGCCTCCACCGTGCGGTCTCGCCCATTCGTCACGTTTGAACTTGCTACCATCAATGTTCTCCAAAGCAAATACTATGCGGTTCTGATGCTCCTGGATCAAAGCCTCCATTCGCAGGCGCATGGGCGACTTGCGTGTGATTTTAGTCCTTCTCTTGGTGACCTCATCGACTTCGGCCAACGACACTTGTTGCACAGGCGGTGAATCATTCGCGGCAACATGCCCGGGCTGCACGAGATAGATAGACACGCCGACCAAGACAGCGCCGAGGGACGTGACTAGATACGGATGCCATATCGTTCGACGAGACTGCGGAAACGAGGCCAAAGAGGGGGACGTTCGAGTAGAGCTAGTTGTATAGGAGCGAGGGCATAATGAAGACTGTCGTCGAGGAACTGCGGCTCCGAATCTCGTCGCATGCATGGCTCGAAAAGAGCCCCATGATGGTCTGGAGAAAGACATGGTTGTCCGAGACTTCCCCTTGATCCCCAACGAAACGAGTGTCGGTGACGATGTCAATACATTTTCGGCATAAAAAGGAGGGTAGGGCAGAAATTATGGCAGTCATTGGGATATATAAAAAGCCACGACCTATTAGTTAGGTAGTTTCACCGGGTTAAGGCTGGATCTTGAGGGCGTTCTCGTCTCCTGCGCGGAGCGGGATATGTCTCCACCGACACGTGACGGCACTCGCTCACACCACCAAACACGTGTAGCAACGCATTGCCACTCTACCTCTCTGGCCATAGCATTGTCAATGGACACTGTAGCTCAGAGCCTTGCAGGAGCGAATTAAGACTGCGGCAGCCATGACGGTGTCACCAGGCTAGATCGCAACAAAGCCCGGGTACAAAGGCGTCAGTTTGAGCTTACATTCCAGTTCGCTTGTGATCAATGCGCCTCATGCCGTTCTTAGCATAATGACGTTGTCCACAGTCATTTTATATAACGGCAACGTTCAATGGTCGTCAACAGCTACCTGATGATTGGACTCATCAGCAGCCTTGATCAGAGCCAATCTCTTGACGCTGGCCAGTGCCACCTGACAGCCAATAGTAGTGGTCCCTTCCTATCACGCTGGTCTTAGAGAGAGTACGGCGCAGTTCAGGTACAGCGAGGTGCAAGCTCCGGACGCTGGGAATCGTTGCTGGGAATCTCTCGGTTTCAGACGAACTGTGGGACAGAGTCCCATCTGCTCCTCCGTACTACTATTACTCACCCGTGACCTGCACTAGTACGACTGACGACTGACCGCGGGTTGTTGCGCCCGCACCTGCGCCCGCGCCCGCGCCTGCCCACCGCTTGACGACTCCGCCGCCGCCGCCGCCTGGAACCTCATCTCCTACACCGACCAGCCATCCTCGCTCATCCATTCCATCTTCACCACAATCCACCTTTGGCCTTATTCTCGAGTCCTTGTATCTCGGCCCAGACAAGAAAGTACCCTACAACAAAGTTCTGATAACATCCTCCATCATGCGTTCCAAGTTCAAGGACGAACATCCCTTCGAGAAGCGCAAGGCAGAAGCCGAACGCATTCGCCAGAAGTACGCCGACCGCATCCCTGTAAGGCTCACAATATCTTGTCTTGATGGCACGCGAGACGATTCCCCTTGCTAACTATCTTTTAGGTCATCTGTGAGAAGGTCGAGAAATCCGACATTGCCACCATCGATAAGAAGAAGTACCTCGTCCCTGCAGACCTGACCGTCGGCCAATTCGTCTATGTTATTCGCAAGCGAATCAAGCTTAGCCCGGAGAAAGCCATCTTCATCTTCGTCGATGAAGTCCTGCCTCCTACTGCCGCGCTCATGAGCAGTATCTACGAAGAGCACAAGGATGAAGACGGTTTTCTATACATCACGTATGTGGAGCCCCGCCTTCTATTGTGATCGTTGCACAGACTAATAAACTATCAGTTACTCCGGTGAAAACACCTTTGGCGAATCCTGAGCGAGCGAGAGTCTTCGGAACCATGCATACGCGTTGATACCGCCAAAGGACCTCACGATGTACTGACTCGACCATCGGGACAATGATCTTTGCTTAATGCCGGCGTTGGACTGTCCACATTTCTTTCCCAGAAGCTGAAGCATACACGAAAGGAGAGACTTGAGTTGAATTGCAAGTGAGACATTAGTGACGAGCTGAGGAGCTCTCGAACGCTGGATACTGGCGGGACTCATGTTTCCTCAATGAACAATGCCGATGTCCTTTCTCCTGATGCTGAGAGATGTTGCTGCTGTCGTTTCTGTGGCCCTGCTTGAACTTGCAAGAAGATAGCTGGACTCGGTGCTGGTGTTCGACTCGTGTTCGACTCGTGTCCTCTGGGCCTGACCATCAACATGTGCTGGACTCTGTAGCAGAACATTAGGACAGGTTTTCAAACTACGACCATTGCCCCGGCCATGCTATGTCCTAATTCTCACGTAGCACACCCCATCTATGTCCTGATACATTTGGCTGTTCTGTTCCGTGCTGCGCTCGTTGTTGTTTGCGTCATTCGATGGCAGCCTGATGGGGCCGGCCCCCAGTGCGGGTCACGTGCATGAACAGCCAGCAGTACGGGGCTTGCAGTCCAGTAGTGGCAGATGCAACCACAGTGCAACCGTCAGGTACCTTATCTCATCCCCGCCATTTTGTATTCCTGTTGCTCCTCAACCTTACCATCTACCATCTACCGCAGTGACTTATCTTGTTGCAATGCAGGGATCGAAGGTTTACATCTTGATGAATGTCCGCCTGGGCATATTGGGCTAAGATCCGTGTTCCACAATGCGACGCATTTCCCATCGAGCATCTCTTGTCCCGCCTGGGAAGTTTTGATGCCACTCTCAATGCATTTATGGATCAGGTCCTGCGGTTCTCTCTATGGTTCCTCCACACAAACACAAGGGATGTCCTGTCCTTCCTAGCCGAAGTCTATCGTGCATCTCAATGAGCAAGATTCACCTCCGTCCTCTCGAGTTGCTCTTGTCATTACAGAACCGTAGCACTACAATCGACATTCCAATTCCACTTCGCATACTACCCCAGCCACGAGAGACCGTCAAAGAACATCATTGATACCATAGGTGAGCCGGGAAGAGGATCTCGAAATGTGGCTGGCTTCGTACAACGGCTCTACGTCAAGACCATCAACCGTTGAAGATCATTCTGCCGGCAAATCCTTGTTGATCCTGCAGATTCTACGGACTGCGGCTTATCATTGCGCTTGATTGACCTCGATATCGCAACAGTCAATCTACGGACATCGAAGCCTCGACCGAGAAGTCGTCAAGGCGACCGAGACATGCAGGGTTGTGCCGTCCCATGATTCATCACGGTGCTGTTTGGCCAATACTCCTGCACATACTATTTTCATCTACATGTAGCCAAGCTTCTGGACCTCTTGACTTGCTACTGCCCCAGACAGTTCCCAACGTCTCCTCAACAGAGTGCAGCATGCACAGAATGCTCAGGATTGCCGTGGTCTATTCTGATATTGTCGTTTGTTTCTAGTGGATGATCCCCGACAGTTGCTACGGACCTGAGTGAGTTCGTGCATCTCCGACGCCCGACCCCAGTCAGGGATCTATCGCCATGAGGAAGCTCGACGATCGACGAGTGCCGGCTGTTGTTGACGAGCGCAGATCAGGGCAAGGCCAACGCCGGCGTACATAAACCTCTGCAAGTCCACCCCCTCGTTGGTTATCCCTGAAGCCATCTCAATCTTCTTGAGACTACTCATCCCTTAACCATGTGTCAAATCGAGGTTCTTGCTCGCGCGGTCAGCGCACAGACGGAGATTCTGACCAAGTCATGGCATGCGAACGAATTTCACGGGCTCGCATCACCCGAAGGTCGGCGCACCACCATCCCCCCTCTTGATGAGACGGGCGAGGAGGCGAGAAATCAACTCATTACGACTTTGAGAGAACTGGAGCAGCTTGTCCTTGGGCCCAAGGATACCATGCAGACTCTCTATTACAAGGTAAGCCTGCTCGTCTTGCGGATCGACGGTCGTTTCTTTACTGAAGCGCATCATAGAGTGCCGAAGCGGGAGTAGTGCAGGCTCTTTGCAGCCTGCAAGTTCCAAGATATGTTCCTTTGGAGGGATCGATCTCTTACGCCGATTTGTCGGCGAAAGTTGGCGTTTCGGCGGACCGTCTCAAACATCTTGTTCGGATTGCCGCCGTGTGCTCCAACTATCTTGCCGAAACCGAGACAGGAGAAGTTAAACACAGCAACAATTCGATCATCTGGCAACTGGACCCTTTGATGGCGAACGGCATGGAAGTGATGCTTGATCATCTACCGAGTGCATCGTTCCGACTGGGTGACGTGTGCACTGAGGATCCGACTGACGAGAAGGAGGCCGTGTGCGGCTTCAGCCTGGCACGCAACCAGCCACTTTATGAATACCTGGAGAGCAATCCTGACCAAGGTCGCCGATTTGCAGCACATATGCGCGCTCAAGCCGCGCAGCAAGGTGACGCGGCGATTCAGGGGTGCTATGACTGGCACTCGCTCCAAGGGAAGACGTTGGTTGATGTAAGTACTCACACATACGGCTTGTTTTGACCCATTGACCAACCATTGTGGCATAGTGTGGTGGCTCGTTTGGCTCTGTGGCTACTGCGATTGTGCGCAAAGAACCTGGTATCCGATGCGTCGTGCAGGATCTTCCGAAAGTGGTCAACTCGGCCGTCACCGCTACGCTCAAGGACCCTAACTTCCCGCACGAGTCGGTCAGTTTCCAGGCACATTCGTTTCTGGAACCTCAGCCGACGGTGGCCGATGTGTATCTCTTCCGCATGGTCTTCCACAATTGGTGTGATGCGGGGGCTCGTCGAATTGTGCAAGCGCTGCGACCAGCACTGCGCCCTGGAGCCCGTGTGATCTGTGTTGAATATGTAATGCCGCCCATGGGGTCGGGACCGATTTACGCGGAGCTGGCCACGCGCAGACTGGACAATGTCATGTTCTCCCTCATGAAAGGCAAGGTGCGGGAGTTGAGCGAGTTCAAGCAGCTCTTTGAATCCGCCGAACCCAACCTGGTGTTCAAAAGCTTCAAGCCTGGCCAGTTGCGGGCGACCCACGACCCCAGGTGTCACTCTGTTCTGGAATGGGTGTACGAGCCTAAAGGCACGGTGAACAATGAGGGAGGGATGGCTGAACATCTTGAGAATGTCTCGACTGCTTGATGCAAGCTGGTGGCTTATCCGAAGGGATGACTGGTGACCTCCATCACGGAAAGGCTTGCAGAGGTTGAAAAGGGATGTTGGTACGCATGTACGTATCTTGATTACTGTCAATGACTACGTAATTCCGATTTGCGGCCTATAGCTACAAATCATGGACGATATCTCATCTACTGGTACGTAGTACCGCTCGCTCATTTGGAGGTAGTGACTCCATACCGAACGGAACGGGCATAAATTGATGTGATGGTGACCATATATAAGGTACCTTGAAGGGTGATTTTGTGTGTCTTACTCATACGTTGCACGGCTTGGTACTAATCCTCGAAATATTCTCTCACTGCCCCGATGAACAGGCTGATCCCGCTTTGCAGATCGGTCATCGGTCATCAACATGCATCACCCGGCTGGTACGGTTTTCAAATCATGAATTATATATATGTATATATACATACCTATAGTATGTACCATGTAGGTAGACAAACGTGTGGTTGAACGCCTGGGTGGGACGACAAACTGACAGGATTCAAGCCTGTGTACACTCACTGCACGTACTGTGGTCCGTTGCTCGAACGAGAAGACCTACCTTAGATCAAATAAATTGAATCAATACTCTGTCCTATGTACCACCTGAGGAACACCTATGTTTTAGTAGGGAGGCTCAGAATTGCCCAGGCACCATTTGTGGCCAACCATCGGTAGAAGTTTCATCGCCTTCTAATCATCCATCCGATCGCTTATTACAAAGTACCTTCCTAAAGGGAAAAACTCTTCCATCGCCATCTCTGCTCTCATCAACCTCAACCTCGATCTCGATTCCCTCCTCGACCTCTCATCCCCGCTATCCTCCCTCCAACTGACGACCGCGGCCTGATTTGTCCTTCCAGACCATCATCCCACTATCCCAACAAGTCTCATCCCGATCGTCGCCTGACATACGAGGCTACCACAGTATCTTCCATAGCCACTTCGGAGGCGCAACACAGTCGTTACTTGTTCAACACCCCAACTACCCTTGTCTTCTGAAGCTATTGATCGATCCGCTCAATCATGTCCCGCTCTGGTGGTCAAGAATGAAGAATAGTGACAACACCAACCCCAACCCGGCCTATCTCTTCGTAAACAAGACCCAAAAGTCCAAGTCTCTTTCCAAAAGCGATGGCGCCGTTGCCAAACAGATCAATCGCCACGCACAGCACTTTCGAAGCCGCAAGGTCGACGTCCGAAAGCTCAACTCGGCTCTCTCCGACTCATCCTCGGCTCGTCGGATCGCCCGCGACGGATGGCATCGAATAGAAAGCCTTGAAGAGTAAGTCGTCCCTAGCATTCTCCTCGCCTGACACGGCCTCCCCCATCAGCCTGATTGACCATCCTTCCGCAGCCTTGCCGCCGAGTCATCATCTCCCGCATCAAGCTCCCACATCGACAATACACCCGCGGCTCCGTCGGGCCCAGTCGATGGCCACAATGCTGCGCCGTTCTCGCCGTTCATTGCGAATCTAACTTCCCACATCCGACCATCACCCTCGTCGTCAGCAACGTCCGCATCACGTAGCGTCAGTGGCATCCAGGCTTCTTCCGACTCGCCTGACGGAGACCAGGATCAACTGGAGAATGGAGATGACCTGCAGCTGTCGTCTGTTTATAGGGCTAACTTCACCGCTTACGACTGCGTGGATCCTTTTGGCATCACTCCGATCCAAGTCACCACCAAGATTCACAGCATTCTGCAGTACACCCTCCGGATCTACCCCTACTCGGGTAACAATTACAAACTGGCTCATTTACCCGCACATGTGCGCTCGACCATCTCTCGATTCCCCATTGGCGAGGTGCTTGACCGCAGTGTCTATAAGGAACATCACCTTTACGCCGTCATGGCCGGAATGGTCGCTCGGTTGAAGTATTGCTTTGATGTCTCCATCTTTGGCGACGACGCGGATGAACTTCGAGCTACTGCGTCATATTATATCCGCAAGGAACTGATCCGCGCTTCCCGGACAGGTGATCTCGACAAACAGACCATTTTGGACATTCTGTTCCTGGTGGTCAACGAAGTGCAGTACGGTCGTTATGATGATGCAAGGAAACACCTTCAGATTGTGGGGAAGCTATTCCATCTGCTCAATCACAGAGAGCACCTCGATCGTTGGATTTCTGAGACCGCTGCCCACGTAGACAATCAACTCGCTCTGACTACTGCCACCCACCCAGTCATCAAGAGGAGCTTCGATCCCGGTCCTATGTTGCCCGAGCGGATGGCCACGCTCCGCAGAGAGGCCCTCAGAATGCGCTACACTGGCTCCCCCCAACCGCTTTCTATGGCGTCGCGCGGTCCCAAGGCTTCACTGGGCCTGACCGATACCATTGCCGATCTTGCGGAGACGCTGGATTTGCGCATGGGAACGCAATTCGCTCAAGGCCTCAAAATCGGGCTGTTCCCCGGGAGAATGGGCACCGTCGTTTCCGATCTGGTGGACTGTATCGAAATTGCCAAAGTGGTGTGGCTGTCTCCTCTGGCAGTCTGCTTCGATGCGGAATGGTTATGCAGAAAGGCCCGAGCGGTCCTGCGTGCCTTGGTCTTCATGGCGCCCGAAAATCACGAAGGCGTGTCGGACATTGACACCGGTACTGAATGTTTGAGGATCTGCCTGATGATTTTGATGACGCATGCCTGTACCCTGGTGGGCTTCCAGACAGCCAAAGCCAATTCGAGACGTCTCCAAAAGGCCAAAAAAGCTGCTTTGGCCGTATGGTGTCCTCCTATAGGCTGGACGGAAGACTGTGTACCCTTGGATCCGACAAGGCGCCTGCCAGTCTTTGAGGAAACTCAAGCTGCTCTGGGCTTGTGGGGGGCTCTGATCGGCGTCTGGTCGGCGCAAGGTCTCCCAGAGCAAGAATGGTTCACGGTCCGGGCGGTCAACATGAGTCGATATCTTGGCTACACTACCTACGAGGATCTGCACAACCATATGGCGCAATATCTCTACTCCAGTTCGTTCCAAGAACACAGTCTACGAACGGTGGCACAGCGACTCCAGTTTCCGCCCACCAACCAATACAGCGAGAGAGCGGCCTGAAGCAACGTCAGCAACCCGTCAGATTACTTGATTACTTAATCGTCGACCAGTACCAACATGCGGGGGTTTGTCTTTCGATGATGGAACCGGATGTCAATGTCCGCATAAACACGCGACCACCGTCCTGGCGTGCGCTGTTGCCTCCCATCACGTTGCCGGAATACCCAGCGCCGCTGTAGTCTTCTGAAGCTGTGGCGGGCAAACAGAAAGAATCACGGTGTTCACGCGTGCTTCGGCCAACAGAGCTACTGCCCTACCCAGCCATGTCAGTGAGGCCTCGCGGACCAGCCGCCGACCCTGCACTCCTGCCGTCGAGCCATCCCTCGAACCCTTATGGTCTCAGCCCGGCGATGTTCCAAGCCAACTCGCTGTCCCCCAAAGTCACCGCAACGCATGTGTTCTTCCTCGGCGCCGAGTCATCCGATCCCCACTGCTGCTTGACTCAGTGGTATCCTTCTCCATTCCACGCGCCTCGCCTGCACAGCACAATTGCCAACGAGGAATCGTCTGATTACGTCTTGTTTCCGACGGCGGAGCATTACATGATGTACCAGAAGGCAATCGTCATGTCGGACCACGAGTCAGCTGCGCAGATCCTCAAGCATCCGCACCCAAGCGAAGCCAAACAACTCGGCAGGGAGGTGCGGAATTTCGACGGCGAGAAATGGAAAAAGCATGCCGAACGGGCGGTCGAAGAAGCCAATTGGGCAAAATTCACCCAGTGCGAAGATCTGGGGACCCTGCTGTTGAACACTGGGGACAAAATGCTTGTTGAAGCTAGGTGAGTGAGTGCCTTTCAAATGCTTCCGTATTGGATTGTGCGTGGCATTGTTGGCAATGCTCTCGCTGGTGCCTACAGGCTACAACCTCCCATGTTCTGTATATAACAGAAGTACTATATACATACATTTGCACATTCATACATACTGCAACAAGGGGTGGTTGATTGTCGATGGACACTACACTCTGTTCCTACAGCACATTGTCGGTGCTTGTACTGGCCGTCGAGGCCCGCATATCTCCTACTGAGCGTTCGTTACTCTCTTGCTGGGTTCTATATGGCCTTCACCTCGTGCGCTTGGGTTTCGCTAAGGCGCAAGTGTCGAAATTGGTGATGGACTATTGCTCTGCGGTTGACGATTCAAGTGGCTACCGGTTTGATTCCATCTGCCCATTCTTGTCAAAAAAGCTGGTCGTTGTTGATATATGTGCGGCTGTTCGTTGCTTGCATTTGGGAATCATCTTCGACATCGGGAAACCCCCTCGCTCGTCTGTGGTGGAGGAACCATCTCTCTAACCTACCCATTTTGGGCTGTGTCATTACAGTCCCGAAGACAAGACCTGGGGCATCGGCTTCGATGCTCGCAGCGCCGAAGGCCGAGAAAGTGAATGGGGCGAGAATCGGGTTGGAAAGATCCTGATGCGTGTGCGGGGTCGGTTGAGAGCTGAAAACAGGTAGTCGCCCGTGGTGTGGAACGATGACAAAGAAGACAAGAAGGGGAAAAACAGGTGGGTTGGGTTGGGATGGCGAGGAGAACTACATACAAGAACCAGCAAGTGGGTGATGGTCAGTTTGAGGTGTAAGGTTGTCCTACTTGTATATTCTGTTCCATGTGAGACGTGCTGGAGTAAGCAGCAATAAGGACTCACAGCACGAGGCTCCTGGAACATGCAAGGCTCCTCCAGAACGGTCGTACGGGTGCTCGCGGATTCATCATGAACAGCGGTATCCAACTATAGTGGATCGCAGCTGTGTAATGACCATGACCAGAGGAGACAGATTCGCCAGAGCCAGCAGTGGTATGTCTACTCGTAGCTGAAGGTAAACATGGCTCAACTGCTTGCCCCAAAAGGGGTCTCCAATATCTCGTCTCCGTGACGTCAGATTTATTGATGTGGAACGCGTTCAAGTTGTCGATCAAAGAAACTTGAACGGCTGCGATTGCGTCTGCAATTGTTGGGCCGGAACTTGTTACCATGTCGTGCGACCCAAAGATCTGATGTATTGATCTTGCTACCTAGTACAGAGTAGTTACTTCAGATGATCCGATTACCGAGATTCGTAATACCCTTTCTTCCTTACAGCAATCGTTTCAAGGCTCAAGAGCCTGCTCATCGCATCCAACATGTCATGCTAATACAGGATCAATCATAGATGAGGATGGTGCGTACACTCAAGACCTGCCGCTCTACTCTACTAACTCTGTACAGGCTTCGCTCCTCCGGCAGATTGTGGCAAGTCCACGCATCAAACATCAAGAGTCTAACCTGGACTTATGCTATGTGACAGACTACAGTGAGTTGGGTCTCCAACTAGGGTTCCTACATGTAGCCACCGTGCTAATGTTCCCAGTTGTTGTCACTTCGGGGCCAAGTTCAGTCTGGCCGAAGAAAGCTTATCGAAACCCTCTGGATCAGCTCGTTGGCTTCCTGGACAAGAAACATGGACAGGACTGGGCGATCTTTGAATTCCGGGCCGAAGGCACTGGCTACCCTGACTCCGAGGTATACAACAGAGTCCACCACTTCCCCTGGCCTGACCACCATCCACCACCGTTTGCCATCATACCCAATATCATGGCTGCTATGCGGAATTGGATTCAACGGCTTGATGAAGACACGGGCGATGACTGCGAGCAGAAGAAGAAAAGAGTGGCCGTCATACACTGCAAGGCTGGCAAGGGCAGAAGTGGGACTGTCGTATGCTCATACTTGATCAGCGAGGAAGGCTGGAAAACAGAAGACGCCCTCGAACGCTTCACCGCCCGGCGCATGCGAGCAGGATTTGGACCGGGTGTGAGCATACCCAGTCAGCTGCGTTGGGTCGGATATGTTGATCGCTGGGCGAACGAGATGGGCAAGACATACGTGGAACGACCTGTCGAAATAGTCGAAGTCCATGTTTATGGTCTACGCGACGGAGTCAAGGTGTCGTTGGAGGGATATATCGAGAATGGCCGCCGCATACAGCACTTTCACACCTTCAGCCGGCAAGAGAAGACGGTGGTGGAAGATGGCAACAACTCCCCTCTCACTTCAAATGGCCTCCCTGAGCGCACGCTTAGCTCCAAGGAAGACGATGAAATTCTGAGCAGTCCGGTGCAAGCGACTCCTCAATCCTCCACCTTCAATCTCAATCACCCATCTTCCGGGTCTACACAATCAGTTATCCTCAAACCCTTATCGCCGGTAATCCTCCCCACGAGCGATATCAACCTAGACTTTGAGCGGCGCAACAAGGCTGGCTATGCCGGGTTTACTGTGGTTACCTCTATTGCGCACGTATGGTTCAATGCTTACTTCGAGGGAGGCCACGAAGGTCATGATTCCGGGGTCTTTGCGATTGATTGGGATGCCATGGATGGCATCAAAGGTAGCTCTAGGAAAGGCACCAAGGCCCTGGACCGGGTAAAAGTGGTCTGGAAGTATGCAGCCAAGGAAGGTGATGCTACGCCACTCCACCGGCTGGTTACAGAACCCAGAGAAGGTGAGCCTGTCCCGGAAAGCCAACCCGCGGATTGGCGCGGAGAAGAGGTTGAGGGTGCGCATCTCACTAAAGGGGTTGAGGTCGATCATTCAGGAGGCGCCGCCCTCACTGTAGGAGCAATGATCGACCAAGGGGCAGAGTCCTTGGGCAGGCGACTGGGTCTGCGAAAATCGGATCCTGGCAGTACCGATATGAGTCGTGCATCCAGTCCCGTCGAAGAGGACATGGCTCCTCTACGCAAGAACACCGAGATACGGAAAGCAGAGGAATCCGAGGATGAGGGTGTCAAGGTCTGTGGCCCAGGCGGTGAAGATGAAGTCTCATATGACGAGATATCGTCCAAGCACCGCGCGGACACGACGACTCCAACTCAAGACAAGACACCGAATATTAGGAGTTCTACTCTAGACTAGAAAGTATAGGAGTAGAAGGAGCAGCTTCTTTGCATATAAGAATGTAACGTATACGGTCTGACTGAATATCGAAGAACAATGTCACCAACTCCGCGTTACCCACTGCAGTGCCAGCCACTGATGACGTAAACAGCATTTCGGCCAGCGCAGTGGCCAGAGACGCGTCTAATAATGCGGTTCAGTGAGTGGTGCAGCGTGGCCAGTAGCGATGGTCCACCACTGGCACAGCACTGCATCTTCGTCTAAAAGCTGGGCAGAAGGAGAAACTACCGCCAGCCTGACCGCCTGGTTGTTTGAATCCTCTTCAAACAGGCGAACGATTGCCCTTCCCTTGGGATTTAGCAATTGTGGTCCTGGACCTGATACATCTTATCATGGCTTCACGCGATGGCGATCGACCCTATAAAGTGGTCTATTCCACCCGTACCCGAGATCCAACTTCCAATGATGATCAAGATTTCCGCCAAAGATCCCGCCGCGACTACGGCTATGAGTACGACTATGCGCCAGGCAAATCTTACTCGCGTGGCTCGCGCGACGACAGATCCGATGTCGACGGACGATCTCGGGCCAGCGGGCAAAGCTATTCGGAGCCAGCTTCAATGACATCGGTAGGGAGCACCACCAAAATTAAATATGAGGTGGGTAGGGACCGAAACTCTGATGTCTATGTCAAACGACCCAACGCTCTAGTCATCGAGCGTCCACGTGATACTGGACGTTCGGAGTACGAAGTTCTTCGACCGGAGAGGGGTGAAGACGGGTCCTACGTGGTTGACATTGGAGGTGGACGTGCCCGCGACTACCGCAACCGCGACTTGGACAGTTACGACATTCCCTCACGTCCGCGCTACAATGAGACGCGTTCTGCGGCGCCCAGGGCCCTAAGGGATGATGATGCTGCCACATATGATCTACCTCGATCGGGAGGTCGGGTTCGAACGATCAACCGCTATGACTATCAAGATGTCGAAATTGTGGAGGATGCAGATGATGAGCCGAGATATCGACAAAGTCGGGGACCAGAGGCTCCTGTTGACGATGCAGCCCCTCTCCGGCGCCGGAAAAGTGCACTGCGAGGGAGGAACAATACTCCTCCCGCAGTGTTGGAGCGGAGACGATCTCAGAGTGTGGGCTTCCATCGAGACCAAGTCAGCTCTCACGACGCCAGCGAACAGCGCCACGAACGGCCTGGCGCTGAGGCACGCATCGCGGGCCGATACCTAAGAGATCGTGCGGACAGTGATGATTACACGGATGACTATAGGGACTCGGGCGGGATCCGACCCAGAGGCGACTACAACCCTCAACGCAACGACTTACGATTGAATGAATACGAATATGACAACGACCGAAGAACATACACTGAAGAGACGATGCGACGATACGAATATGAAGATGATCAACGACCGGCCGACCCTGTGAGGCCTCGATATGCCGAACCCACCCGCCGTGCCCAGCGCGAGGTCGATGATCGTGCGGCGTACACTGGGTATGATGTCAAAAGTAGGCGTGAATATTACAGGTAGCGGTAAATGTCAGGCCTTGGATCCTTACGCGTGAATTCACTGTCTACGAGAATGCATCTCTCGGGCTAGTTCCTGCCTTGAAGCAATATCACTACCTGAATTTCGGAATTTTTCACCACGCAAAGATGTAAATCATTCAGAGACTGACTCTTACCCGACCTGGCTCGCCGATCCCGCTCAATATATCCCAACTGCGCGTCGCCGACACCCCCTTTGAGCGCCCATTCCGTTGGCCTGAGTATCTGAACCCTGAGATTCGACTTTACCCTGGGCGCACGACCTGCCTCTCCCAGGGCCCGATCACAGTTCATTGTCCCAGGTCGCTACTAATCGGCAATGAGTTCCTTGGAGCCAACCAATATCTCGGCGCCCGCTTTCTTCTCCTGGAATGAGTCACGTTCCGAGTCAACCTTCCCTGCTTCAACATCTCCAGTTTGTGCTTTTGACGGTGGGTAAACTGCTTCATCAATCTTGGCCGGGCCGACGTCCGAGACATATTTGCAGATGATGTAATACACCAGCCCACTGACGGTGAAGCTATAGAGGCATGAGAAGGTATAAATCTTCCAGGCACCTCCAACATCGAGGTTGTTGTCAATGGACTTTGAAAATCCTGGAAGCAGTGGAGCGACCGCGACGAAAAAAGCAACAAAGGCCCTCCAGTTGACGCCGATCTTCGAATATCGATAGATGCCATGGCCATTGTACAACTCGTGGATGTTGAGCTTCTTGTCGACGATCAGGTAATAGTGGCAGCACATTGTCCCGCACACGGCACCCATGAACATGCTGTATCCCGATAAAAAGGCGAGTAGGCCGCTGGCGTTCTTGATGATCTGCCATGGATTCGAGATCACACAGAAGAGGGAGATGATCCAGGTGGCGCGGAGTATGTTGATGTACTTCGGGCACAATCCAGAAACGTCATTGGAGAATGGATATGTGCCTGCCGCGATTTGGTTGCCGATGGTCGCAAGCATGAAGCTCAATCCCGTGAAGAACTTGGCTGCTCGCGAATCAAATTTGGCTACCACAGCCGGCATGTACCACTCGAACTCGCCCCAAAGATAGCTGTGGGCGGAGGTGACGAATATTGGAGTTAATGCCCCGAGAGTGCCAATGATAGGAAGAGCAAAGAATTGGTTGTATCCCGCCAAGTTGTTCTTACTGAAGCGTGCAAAGTCAGGGAAATTGACTGCCATGGAACTGAAGAGCCCGATGATGACATTGAGCGCCGTCAGAGAAGAGTAGGCCGTGTTCATGTATGACGAGGTCATCTTCGCATGGCCTGTCACCAAAGGGCCGCCACCGTGGGTAACAATGGCTCCCCAAAGGAAAAGGGCCAAAAATGTTGGGGGGACCACGATGCCCTTGACCAAGAAAAGGATGCGAAGCTTCTTGATGGGCATCGACGCAAGGATCGTCTGGAAGAACCAGTAGATGAACTGAGGACGGTTAGCTACTCGATATCTGGCTGTTAGCTGTGGCACTCACAAAAGTAAGCAGCCCAGCAGAGGTGATGTTGGCACTCTCGGGCAGATGGTTCGGGAAGTTGGCAAAACTCGGCCAGATTGCCGTGATACAGTTGCCGAGGAAGTCACCGGCCTGTACACACAAGATGGCAGTCCAGAGCATGCAGACGAAGCTAAGTATTGCCGGTCAGTGTCAACGTGACGAACGGCCCAAAGCACCTGTGCTGTTGCAGCGACCACGACTTACCTTCGAAGGACGATCACTGGATAGCTGCCATACATTCCGAAGATGGATCGGACAAGAACCGGGAAGGGAATGCTATACCGAGCACCCATCTTACCGGTCAAGGTCAAGGCTGCGGAACAGAGTGCAAATCCACAAAAGACTATGGGGATCGTCTCACGCGCGGTGAACCCCAAACTCATGACCGAAGACACAGTGGAGGCCAATGGAGGAGCAAGCATGTCACTTGTCCAGTATGCCTGTTGTGCCTGTCAGGAGGATGGCGCTCGGAGGAGGTGACTTGTTCCAACATACCCAATAGTCCTGTGAGGTCGAGGTGTCAGTCATGAATGGCGCCATAACGAAGAACGGGTCGTCACTTACCAGAGCACCCCAGGTACGGTCTTCTGGTTTGACAGGGTCAAGATCCGGGTTAGACCAACGTGCATCTTGATAGACGCCCTTTTCCATGGACACCTGCCAATGTAGGTGAGGCTCAACCTTGGCCTTGATATGGCTAGGAGAGAGGAGCCTTGGAGAGAAACGTTTTGCGGACAAGTTCACCATATTGCTTTCCTTGGCAGCCTTGAGCACGAGACAGGTTCGAAGAAGTTGAAATTGTGAGATGCCATTTCCCTCACGACCTCAGAGGAGGACGAGGATCTATATACACGGCACTCAGCTCGTGGTGTAGAGTCTCTTCGGCCTCGAAGCTGGAAGATTTCTCAGATAACGAATACATGGTGATGTATCTCGAGAACGCCACAAGGCGACGAGGAGATAGGCACGACGGCGGCCGTGGAGGGCCGTCGACCATGTGGGCGGCGAAGGTGGTCTCGCAAATCTGGGGATCAGTATCCGGGGTATACTAGTGGTTAATCCCCATGGCTCAGCCCGAGATATATCAAGATAGAGCTGCATGAGGTGCAGCGGTGCAGATAAAACCGCCCGCCGGGAACAAAGGAGCCGGCGGCGACGGCCATCACCAAACAGGTGGACTGGCCGTCAGCAGCTTACAATACCGCCGTAGGCACACCAGCTAATCTCCGGATTCAGGACCTTGGGGCCGAAATATTACCAATGAACCGATACGGATCTAGCCTGTTTCGGCACCCTTCAGGGTCCTAGCCTTATCTGCTATCACTGTTTACATATCTATCGAATCTTGCTGTATCAAGGTTGAGCTTTCTTTCCGTAGTCTCACAGCCCCGAGCATATGCTACTAGTATGCGCCTTGATAGACAATACGGGCAGTGAGGTCCCATTCCTTGCAGCCCAAGTGGCCGCTTGAGCGCCGAAAGCCGCAGCCGCGATGATCAAGTACTTTCATCTGGCTTAAAACCCCCGGACTTCTACTACTGTAAGTGTGCACGTCTCAACTTTTTACCTACCTATCCAAACCCGCGAGGATACCGAGTATCTGACGGTGAAGTTGAGACCCGAGAAGACAACTATGGGCGAATCTAAGTATGAGCCGGGCGTGCTCACTGTGGAGGCAAAGCCCTATTCCTTTACCTTCCCAATGAAAACCACTGCGTTACTCGTCATCGATATGCAACGAGACTTTATATGCAGTGGAGGTTTCGGAGAAATCCAAGGAGGTAATCTTAAGGCAGTACAGGATTCAGTTGCCCCAACTAAGGCGCTGCTCAACGCATGTCGCAACGCAGGGCTGCAAATCTTCCATACCAGGGAAGGACAAGTTCCTTCTCTGGCTGACTGTCCTTCGTCCAAACTCATTCGCCAATCAGCCTCACCGGCCAATACCCAGCATCTGAAAGTCATTGGAGACAAGGGCGAAATGGGCCGCCTCTTGGTTCGTGGAGAGTTTGGGCATGATATTGTTGATGAGCTGCAGCCACTGGCATCGGAAGTGGTCATCGACAAGCCTGGAAAAGGATCGTTCTGGAACACACCAATCCTTCATAGACTGAAGGCCCAAGGGATCACTCATCTCCTGGTCGCCGGCGTCACAACCGAGTGTTGCTTCACCACTACCATCAGAGAGGCCAACGACCGAGGGTTCGAGTGCTGTGGCATTCTGCAGTGCACGGCGGGTTATAACGCCGCGCTCGCCACAGCCTCGCTGGGCATGATCTATTGGTCACAGGGCTTGTTCGGATTTGTCGCAGAGCTCCAGCCTGTTCTCGACGCGCTTTCTCCCTGGCAGAAATTGAGCAATGATACCAGCACACCGCCTCAAACGCCCCCAGTGTGGGATGGCAATCTTGGAATTGCTGACCTGCAGACGTCTTACAAGAATGGCTTGTCTCCAGCAGAGCTAGCTAACGTCTTGTATGATCGAATTGAGAAATATGACCTCGTCAATCCGGCTGTGTGGATAAAGCGGCAGTCACGCGACGATGTTCTGGCCTCAGCCCGGCGTCTGATGGAACTCTACCCTGATCGAAACTCCTTGCCGCCGTTGTTCGGCGTCCCGTTCACGGTCAAGGATTCGATTGACGTCCAAGGGATTGAGACCACGACAGCATGTCCACCCTTGGCATTCATGGCCACCAAATCCGCGGCATGCTACCAAAAAGTCATTGGCCAGGGGGGACTGTATCTGGGTAAGGTCAACCTGGACCAGTTGGCAACGGGCCTGAGCGGGTGCAGGAGCCCCTATGGAATTACCCATTCAGTTTTCAGTGATACACACATATCTGGGGGCAGCAGCAGCGGGAGTTGTGTCAGCGTTGGGGCCGACTTGGTAGGTCAATCATGCAGTTTCGTCCTGCACTCATGTGTCCATGCTGACCATCATGATCTAGGCGACATTTTCTCTCGCGACAGACACTGCTGGCTCTGGACGGGTGCCTGCTGGATTCAACGGGGTGGTTGGGTTCAAACCGACTCGAGGCTTGGTGTCGTTTGCCGGTGTCACCCCAGCTTGTTTGTCGTTGGATTGCATTGCCTTGATCGCCCGGACCGTAGAAGATGCGCGCACGCTGTGGCAGGTTTGCGAAGGATACGACGAAAACGACCGATACTCTCGAGACACCTTCCCCGCTGAAAGACATGTCAACGCGCTGGGCAGTCAGCGTGACACGTTTCAGTTTGGCATCCCACCACCGGAGGTTCTCGAGATCTGTTCGCCCACCTACCGCAAGTTATTCACAGAAGCCGTACAACGCTTGCAGAGCATGGGTGGACGTCTGGTGCCCGTTGACTGGACTCCGTTCCAGGCAGCAGGGGATTTGTTATACGGAGGCACCTTCGTCTCCGAGAGACTTGCCAGTCTGCCTGAAGACTTCTTAGAGAAGAACAGAACACGCCTGCACCCGGTTATCGTGGAGCTGTTTGACCAAGTTGTCGCACGACAAAGCACGGCGGTCCAATTGTTCCGCGAGCTACAAACCAAAGCTCGGTGCACACAACAAGCCACAGCGCAGTTCGCATCCGCAGACAAGCTAGGAATCGACGTCTTGGTGGTGCCAACCACACCAGAACATCCTACCATCGAAGCCATGCTGGGCGATCCCATCAAACTGAATGCGAAGATGGGCACCTTTACTCATTTTGGCAATGTGTTGGATCTCTGTGCAGTGGCTTCACCGGCGGGGTCGTACCTCGAGAGCGAGGCTGGACCGCAGCTCCCGTTCGGCATCACTTTCTTGGGCAGCCGATGCACCGACAGTGAGGTGCTACGTATAGCTGGTCGGTTCCAAGAGATGATGACGCGGGAGGCTTCTTGAAGTCAGGACCACACTGACCTCAGGCCTGATAGGGGTAGGGAACCCGGGAGATTCCTAGACTACCACCATCACCAAACATTGGCCCTATCTACGGTATATCATTCTTGTACCGACGTAGCATTGTATATCTTGTTGTAGGGGTTCGATATTTATCATTATGTTATTTCAGTAGTGGTGATAACCTTCGGATCAGGCACGACGGAGTTGTGATAAAGCTCAGCTGCTTTCACTTGTCACTGCCGCCCATCCCACCCACACGTGACCTGATATAGAGGTTCGGCTGGCCAATGGATCGCTGGCAGCTTATCTCGTCGACAGCACTCGATCGCAAATTCTTACTCAATCAATTGCTGCCTCATTCGCTATACATGCTCGCTACGACCCAGTCTGCCAGTCGACGCTGGGTTCCGCCATGCACGTCCCCGGCCCAATGCCAGATCCGCCGATAGTGGTAGTGAGTGTATCTGCCCCTGGGAGTAGTCTCCCGACAACGGGATTGGCATGTCCCATCTATGGTACAATCCCCACTGCATCCTCACTTGAAGAAATCCGACACTTCACTACTACGTAGCATGTACCGACCGCATGACTGGAGTCTATCCCGAACCCTGGTTGCATCGGACATATCGATCAAAAGGGACCAACATACCGTGGACGTCAGGAGTCCTGCGCCTACGCCGACGCCTACTCGTATTCATTTATGTGCCCTTGATAGTGGACACCCAGCAGAAGCAACCCCGGCCAGACCTTCAAGCCAGCAGATATCAATCCAAACAGTAATGCTTCTGACTGGGATTGCCCAAGGTCGCCAATAATAAAAGACCCTGATTATCATCAGGCCCGGTTGTCTCCATCAAGAATCATGCTATCAACCATGCCACACCCTTTCCAACAGCTCCAGCAGCTCCAACACCCGCCCGATCAGTTTCATGCCGACTCTGGCGGTAGCAGTGGGAGTCTGTCCAGTATGAGCTCGCCCGCCATGGCCTCCCGCGCTGGCGATAACACAGCCAACATCCGACCGGATCGGCCGTGTGACGGCTGTCGCCGTCGCAAGAGTCGCTGCGTCATCAATGCCGACGCCGTCTCCTGTGTGATGTGCCAGTTCCACCGGCAGGCCTGTACTTTCATCGAAGAAGCGGCGCCGAGGAGACGCAAACAGACGAACCCTGTTGCAGTATCCCCCGATACCACCACCGCTACTTCGGGAGCTTCCCTAGCTCGACACAGACGAACGTGAGGCTATTCCACCCCTCCCCCCTAAGGGCCAACCCACTCCTCTTCAAGCCAGGCTTGACTCCAGTTCATATCTGCATGTTTGTCCCCTATCATGAAGCTAAGTAGATAACAGAGACCTGGATGGCAATGGTCATGCCCCACGACGGCAATCTGGTGAATCCATTCCAACCGGCCCCGTCATCGACGATTATGCCAAATTGCAGGGAGAGTCGTTGTTGAAGAAAACCCTTGGGTATGTTGTGAACCGTCGCCAGTTCTGCCTTCAATGCCTTTCCTAACCTCCCCGCCGCGGCTGACCTCCATGGCTAGCCTGCAAACCCACCGCTATGCAAAGTACATTGGTCCGACCGATGAGCATGACTTTGCACTTCTGGATTTGAGACTGTACGACGATATCAAGGGCGAGTCTCCTGCCGACCAGGGATCCTTTCGCAAAGTCGGCCCCAACGAGTTTTTCCATCAGTATGCCGATGCGGACTCTCCCAATCACTTCCGAGAGATTGAAGAGCTTGACAACATCGAGCGCATCGTTGCACCTCATGGTGAAGCTCTGATCAAGCTCTATTTCCGCATCGTCCATCCCAGCTTTCCCATACTCCACAAGAAGGTGTTTCTGGAGAAGTACGGGCGGACATATCGGGAGTTTTCACCCCCCTTACTCGCCGCCGTCTACATCCTTGCCTTGAACTGGTGGTCCTACAGTGCCGAACTGGCCAAGTCGCTCAAACCTGACGTCGCCCACCTGGAAGACATCGCTTACCGGACGTTACAAGATGTATCGCACCGGGCCAAATTGTCAACGGTGCAAGCGGGGCTGCTACTCCTTCAGCGACCGGGCAGTAATCAGGCGTGGCAGTTAACGTCCCAACTGGTCGCCATCGGGCAAGACCTGGGCCTTCATCTGGACTGTTCGAATTGGCGAATACCTTTGTGGGAACGGGGTCTCCGGAAGCGGTTGGCGTGGGCGCTTTACATGCAGGACACCTGGTCTGCCTTGATCTACGGACGGCCGCCACACATTTCCTCGACGAATTGGGCAGTACAGCCTGTGACTGGCAGTGATTTCCCGGAGAGTGCGGCAGATGAAGACGAGGAGGACGGCAGCACGGAAGTGGAAAAGGGTCGCACACTGTTCAGTGCCATGATCACCCTGACCAAGATGCTTACCGAAGTCCTCGAAGGGCTATACTCGTCCAAGGCGGAAATGGAGGTGAAGAACGCCTACGACACCACCAAAGCCATCCTCGAAAGAGCCAAACCCATCCAACTCAAGCTTCGATCGTGGTATGCTGATATGCCCGAAGTCCTCCGGATGGATGCGACCAAAGTGGGCAAGTTGAGCTCGGTCGGCTATCTACATCTTGCGTACTTTGCCACGGAAATCACCCTACATCGGCGAGTGATTCGGTCTTTATCGCACAGCACCGACCCATACTTGGTCCAGATCTGTCGGTCAGCAGCCAAGGCCAGGCTCATCAGCGCCATGGACTTTTTCAACCGGCTGAAGCCCGAGCATCTTCAGTCCTTCTGGTATTTCGCGTCCAAGTTCAACTTTGCGCTCATTGGCACATTTGCCGGCCTCTGCTTTGTCACCTCGGTCAGCCAGGAAGAAGCCGAATTCTACCGCCGACGACTACAAGAGTACCGCTGGACGTTGCGGGTGTCCAACAAGAGTGCCGAGTTTCTAGAGATTGCCAGTGGCATCCTGGAATCAGCCGTGGGCGCACTGTTGAAAGCGGCCGACAGTATCGACAGTCGACGCCTTGCATTTCCCATGCTTCAACAACAGGCGGTAGAAGAGGATGCTACGATGGACGCCTTCTATCAGGGCACCCACGAGGAGTACTACGACACACCCATGGAACCTTGAGAGAGCGCACAACTGTCCTGGGAAGCAATCCCGCGCATCAACCGCATTACGCATCCGACGTAACGCTACTGGAAAGCTGTTACTAAGGATAACTCGCATTCCATAAACGGACTGCATATCCGAGGCTGAGAAGGCCGAACCGGCAGCAGATCAGATCCACATGGCTTGAAGGACGTGGCCGCCCTGATTGCAAGTTGGAAATACGAAATGTCACACGATACAGCACCATCTGAGCGGCCATGTCCGATTTCCGGTCCGAGAGACTTCTCACTGAACGTATCTCGCCGCCTGAACATGGCATGTCGGATACAAAGCAACCCCAAGTCATCGCATGTCTGGACGCACTACGGATTGCTCCGTCCATCACCGACCTAGCTCAATCAGTTGATGGAGTTTGAGGGTCGTTGACTCGTGCCTCCACGGTCCTTCATCACTATGACACCGGTTGATCGTCCGTATGACTGACCGCATTCTAGCATACATCTGCAAGTCACTGGATCTTCTTGTCGCACTCGCCATGTTGACTGAGCAGGTTAATGGAGCTTTTCTTGACGATTTATCCTGTCGCAGTCCTCAGGAGAGATGGAGGCCGACAGTCCTACCAGTAGGAGTGCTCCTGTCGTCGCCATGAGCCCATGTTTGGCTGGACCAGTGGCTATCTCACAGGTGTTCCCATCATTGGCTATCATCTCCAGCGTCTGGAATTGGTGACGCCGATCGAAGCAAGACAGTCGCCCAATCTGGCGGGGTCGATAGGTCCTCGGAGGCGAGCGACCTTCTCCCCCGGCCGCCGTCCTCCTGCAGCTACGACGTCTGTTTCGGTCGCAAGGCTGAAGATGGGCACAGGAGTGAACGAGAGGGTATGAGAGCGATCATGAATCAATGAATATGTGACCGGGCCTTGGAAAAAGTCGGGGATTCATTCTGGCATGGAGTTGGATTTGAAACGTCTGGGCTATTATTGGACTGTATGGCCGGCGAGGAGGACAGTATTGCTGAACGCCTGGTTGATGAAAGATCATCACAATCGAATCTGCTCTGCCAATCCCCCCTCCAGCCATCTGGCCTGTCTATCTAAGCCTTTTGATCCACCACATTCATTCCATCTACTTGCGCTTGCGTGTGTTCTTATCTGCTATATCCCTCCAAATCACCTCGTCTTTTTTTATATTGTTCGTGTAGGTGTAGCATGCACTGGGCCGAAGCCGTAACTCAGTGTTGCGTTCCCAACGCGTCCGAAGCAAGTCAGTCCTGTCAGCCCACACACGACCCTGGCGACTCGACCAGCTGACAGGCGGCTATACATTGGCTTGACATCCCGACTGAAGACATGCACATCTCCACCAGGGTCGGCCCCGGACTCCTCGGGCGCCGTGAAGCTGCAATGCAGAAGCCATGCCAACGTTCATGCCAATGCCAACTTCCCCCGCAGTCTCTGTGTTGCATTGGCTTCGGTCTCCAAAGAGAGCTCGCCTACTAGTCCCCCGGCATGCATGATCACGTATCCAGAAATGCTCAAAGATTCTTTTTTAGATCGGTGTTGGTGCAGCCTGACTTAAGTTCTCCCCCTTTCTGCTTTCTGGATAATGGGTGGCATCTGCTCGTAATGTGGCTTTAAATGTACAGGAATACGAACACGCAGCATTCCTCCCTAGATCAGGTAGTCACACGACACTACTACCCGGCTTGAAACTGTATTCAGTCCTTATTCTTGTCTGTCTAAAGGAGGTAATGTAGCCAGGATTGATTCAGTAAGTCATTACACCCTCGGCCTTAGTGCTGGTGTTGTTTGTTATGGCTTTTGACGCACAGCCATTTGCCCAGGAAGTACAGTCCTAGGATGTGGATGCATGACCTGTCTGTGTAACCATAAATATCCCTTATGCTTTGGCGGAATCAAGGCATTGTCTGTGAATCTGCACAAGTCGTTGTGATATCCTATGATATTAATAATGTGTTGAATGAGAAGAGGCTGTCTATTAACTAGATATTCTGCATAACGGGGATAATGTCCATGCTGGTTAGTAATAATGAGTTGGACCATATGAACATAAGCCAGTCGTCACGATGCACGGAGGGTGGGGCGCACGGCACATAACGCACCACAGCCTCGGGACGCTGGAGTCAACGTGAAGTATATAATACGAGGAGGACGATGCTGAGACAACTGACTGACTGATTAACCTGAGAACCGACCGCTAAGGATCTATCAATCACTCACTGGTCGTTGCGAAACTCATCGGTGTCGGATTAGCAAGACCACATTTGACAAGCCTCGAAGCCAGTCAAGCCTGCTCGAACCCCGATCGAATCACGCTTGTTGTTCGTGCACATTCTCACCATGGCAATCGAGATCCAAGGCACGGCCGACGCCGCGTTTGAGGGTCTGCGCACGTTGATGCAGGAGCAGGTCGCCTCGGGAGAGGAACTCGGCGCTTCCATCGTCATCAACGTCGCCGGCAAGAACGTCGTCGACCTGTGGGGCGGATATGCGGATGAAGGACGCACGCAGCCATGGACCAAGGACACCATCACCCACATCTGGTCGTCGACCAAGACAGTGGCCGCTCTGGCAACCCTGATCCTCGTCGACCGCGGTCTGTTGGACCTCGAGGCCCCCGTATCCAAATATTGGCCCGAATTTGGGGCCGAGGGCAAAAAGGACGTCGTGTTGGTCAAACATGTGCTGTCACACACCTCGGGCGTGTCCGGGTGGGAGAAGCCGATGACGATCCAGGACCTCTACGACTGGGACAAGGCGACGTCGCGCCTGGCAGCCCAAAAGCCCTGGTGGACGCCGGGGTCCGGGTCGGGGTACCACTCGCTCAACTACGGCCATTTGCTGGGGGAGCTGGTGCGGCGAGTCACCGGCAAGTCGCTCAGGGACTTTGTGCGCGAGGAAATGGCCGGCCCGCTCGGGGCGGATTTGCAGATCGGTGCCGCCGAGAAGGACTGGCCGCGCATCTCGCCCGTCGTGCCTCCGCCCCCATCGGGCTTCGACCTCAGCAAGATGGATCCCGAGTCGATCATGGCCAAGACCTTTGGTACTCCGCTCGTCGATGCCGCCTACTCTTGGACCCCGGAATGGCGCCGTGCCGAGATCCCCGCGGTCAATGGCCACTCCCACGCGCGCGGCCTGGCTCGCATTCTCTCGTCGATCACACTGGGAGGGTCGGTTGACGGGGTCAAGCTCTTGTCGCCGGAGACCATTGAACGCATCTTTGAGGTCCAGGCCGACGGCGTAGATCATGTGCTGAGCATCCCCATGCGCTATGGTATCGGCTTCGGCCTGGCCGGTGGTGCTTCAGCACAGTCTGTGGGCTGGCTGCCTTCGGGGAAGGTCTGTTTCTGGGGCGGCTGGGGCGGCAGTCTCATCGTCATGGACCTCGATCGCCAAATCACCTTCTCGTATGTCATGAACAAGATGGGCATGGGCATCCTCGGCTCCACGAGGACGGAGGCATATATCAAGGTCGCCTACAAGGCGCTGGGCGTGGAAGGGTATTGAATGGCCCTTATGCGGTTAATGAAGGGCGCGGGCGAAAGATATCAGGGAAGAATGGCACGATATGGTGCATTGTCGACGCATCCAGAGCAGCAGCATGGCCCACAGTGTGGTGGTGGTCATCGTCAAGAAATATGATGATAAGAGGAGGACTCAGTCGGTCAGACAACCATGAATGGGCTTGTGCCGCTTGAACAGGTGAAGCCCACAACCTTCGATCAATGCGAACGTGGTGCAGACAGAACGATATCATAATACCAACCTACTACCCTGCCAGATAACATCGTAGTGACAAGTTTCCGCTTTCACAACAGCGCAAAGACACCGCGATGACAAATGGGTAATAAACTGCCAACTGCCGACCATCGGATCAGACCAATGGCATAAAGCTTTGTGTCTGACCCAAAGTTAAATAATGTTCTGGAGGGAGATTTCTGCTGGCGACTAGTGTTTTTGTCAAGGCGCCGTCAGACAAGACCAGTTTTGAATCAGGGTCACGATGGCATCAACATGCATTGTGACGATGGATGGACAAAAGACAGGCCGGATCCTGCGATGAAATCATCAAGTCCATGAGCAGCGATAGCACGCAGCCAGGGATCATGCACCACCAACACATGAGTTGCCAGTCATAAATAAACATGTGCGTCGTCGCATCCCAGCACCCTCTCGAGCCATCCTCCTCCCTCATCCGACGATTGAAGTGTGCAGAAGGAGAATGGTGCTGGAGCCCCGGCTGACCGAGGAGGCTGGCCAACATGGACAGGAGGGGGACCAGCTCGATGTCAATACCACTCCTGACCAAGATGCGGTAGGCGGAAACCCCATTCAGCCTCTCGACACAGACAAAGAGGCAGGAGCGCCTGGCGATGATGCATCGCTGGAGCGCACCCGGTCCATTGCCTCGACGCTTTCACTTCCTCGAGAGATCCTCTTCGTGGGCATCATCTGTCTGGCGCAGTTCACCACGCAGGTCGGTCTCGGACAGACGCTGTTCATCCTGCCCGTCATAGGCCGCAGCTTCCACATCACCGACCCAAGCCAACTGAGTTGGTTGATCGCCGGCTACAGCTTGACCGTCGGCACTTTCATCGTCATCAGCGGGCGGCTGGGCGACATCTTTGGATACAAGCGAATGCTCATGGTTGGCTTCAGTTGGTATGCCATCTGGTCCATGGTCGCCGGGTTGAGTGTGTACTCGAATCATGTCCTGTTCGTCTTTGCCCGCGTCTTGCAAGGGATTGGACCGGCCATCACGCTCCCCAACGGCGTCGCTCTGCTGGGGTCAACCTACCCTCCAGGGCCGAGGAAGGACATGGTATTTGCACTCTTCGGTGCTTGTGCGCCAGGTACGTTGCTCGCAAGTTCCAGTGATGATGGCCTGGAACGTTGGACAAGCACATTGACATGCCAACCCTTCCAGGTGGTTCAATCGTCGGCGGTGCCTTTGCGGGCGTATTCGCCCTGACCTGGTGGCCATGGGCGTTCTTCAGTCTGGCCATCACTCTCGTAGTTATTGTGGTCCTTGCGAGTCTTATCATTCCTGATCCTCCCAAGAAACCAGAGTACAAGGCTCACTCCATGCGAGACAAGCTCGAGCTGCTTGATCTGCCCGGGGCCGTTGTTGGCATCACAGCTCTCGTCCTCTTCAACTTTGCGTGGAACCAGGCCCCGATCGTGGGCTGGCAAAAGGCTTACGTCTATGTGACCATGATATTGGGCCTTTTGTTGATGCCGTTATTCTTCTACATTGAGTTTCGAGTCTCGCCATCTCCACTGGTCCCCTTCGAAGCCCTCACTGTCGAGGTCGGGTTTGTGCTTGCATGTATCGTATGCGGGTGGTCATCATTTGGTAAGTTTTCACTCTTCAGCCGCGGCTCCTCGGCTGAGGCGAACCTGTGTAGGCATCTGGGTCTTCTATCTGGTCAGTTTTCTAGAACATCTACGCGGAGCATCTCCGCTGCTCGCCGTCGCCTACATGAGCCCTGTGGCCGTCTCAGGCGCTCTCGCCTCGGTGTGCACCGGTCTCATCCTCTCCAGGATGCGCGCTGCCTGGGTCATGGTGATAGCTCTGGCGGCCTTCACGGTCGGACAGATCCTGGTTGCCACAGTGCCCGTGGATCAGACTTACTGGGCTCAGACCTTCGTCTGTACGATCATAATCCCTTGGTGAGTACACTGATCCTTTGGAGGGCTTCCAACACGGTCAAAGACACTCTGATCTAACCCTTCTCCCACAGGGGTATGGACATGTCCTTCCCAGCAGCAACCCTGATTCTATCCAATTCGGTAAGCAAAGAACATCAAGGCATTGCGGCAAGTCTGGTCAACACCATTGTCAACTACAGCATCTCCTTGGGCTTGGGATTTGCTGGCACAGTTGAGGTGCACGTTAACAACGGCGGCCGAACACCGCAAGATATTCTGCATGGTTATCGTGGAGCATGGTACCTAGGGACGGGCCTCGCTGGTCTTGGAATGGTCATAAGCGCCGTTTTCCTTGCGAGAGCATACTGGAAGGATCGCAATGGTGTTCGTTCAGGATAGAATCCATTCAGCAGGAGCTGCTCCTATACTCTGGCTCGGATCGCAGCAAATGCTTCCACATGCTCCGCTTCACAGGGCGCTCCCGTTGCGTCTCTCGACACATGACAAAGACCATCAAGTCGTCTCCTGCAAGCTCCAACAGCAATGCCCACACAGCCGTGACCGTCTTCTCTCTCTTACCCTGATAGGACACAACCAAGCTACACGCTACACGAGTGGAACAATCTGTCCTGAAAGTCCGCCTACTGCCCTTCGATGATTGGCATTGTCCTGATTGTCTTTCCAGAAATCAGATGTCCCATGTGCAGCCACGCAACGACAATGTCTTCTTGTCCTAATGTTTCACCTATCGATCTACCACCTTCTAATAATGATAGTGTGTATAGTCTGAGTTCTCTGTCCAAAGAAGATCACTTCTAGTGACAAAGTCCTGCTTGTTCAAGTGTCTCATTCCACCACCTCAACTCAACAAACATGCCATTGTTCCAATGTCTCACATCACTGCCTCGCACTCTTCACAGTCCCTGGATCTGTCGTCCATATCTATCTTATCCTACTCGCAATTATGCATTGGTTCTTCACACAACATCAACCACCCCCAGTCTCGCTTGCTTACAACTGCTCTGACTTGGACCTCAACATCAATCACAATAGCAATCTCGACTTGCTTTCCCCTACAAATCGAAACACGCGCACACACACAGAGAAAGAGACGGTGAGAGAGAACTGGCAATCAATTGATCCAGCACCGTCAACCCCCGGCAACACAGTCAATATCTAACGTTTGCCTCAACCCTTTTGACTCTAATCACAGGCATTGAACGAGCGAGGAAAAACAAAGCAAGAATGTGTACTCATACCCCACAAACTGCTTCTGGTGGTAGTGCTAGTGCTGGCGCAGGAAGTCAGGCCAGTCCTCAAGCCTTGCTCATTACCGCCGGTAGCAGACCTGCAATGGCCCCCGAGCCACTGTCAAAGCCAAGTTCGCATCCCATTCCCGATCGTGAACCGGGCTGGATCACTTGTCCGTACTGTGGCGATGGGCATGATCCGACCGAAGCATGCATCGCGTGAGCTGCAATCGGTTGGCCCCGGGATTCCACATCTCACCATTCTGCTTACCTGCTCCTGGCCGGATCCGCTGCGGCAAGAGAGCTGGCTGGCCCACCTCTGCTTGTGCGATATCAGCCAGGTTCAGACAATGGTCTGCATGGATGGAGCTCTGTGGAGTGCTCGGATCGCCCGACCATGAGAAACGCCCCAGACATATAGCTGCAAGCATTGGGCAGCAGGTCGCATAGACGCTCCATACGGGATGTGAGACGGGTGAAGGACCCAGATATTGTTGAATGAAAGCCTGCAAACATAGGAACACAACAACGAAGAGTACAATTGGTTGCAGAACAAAACAAAATGATCAAAGGAAACAATCGAGCAAAAAGTATTCTTTGTTGCGCGTTATTCATCATGTGGGACATGCCCAACGACTTCAGTCCGAGTCTCGTATTGCAATTTCGTTCTCATTCCAGCGTTCTGCCAGTTTGCATCAACGACCAAAAGCACCAAGTCCAAAGGCTTGCGTTCGCTCCAGGATTCATTCGGTGTGCCAGCACAATGCATAACTGCTTGCTCAGCGCTCCGGTCCATGCTCATGTCGATTCGTGGACTACCCAGGGTGTCTCCCATCCATATCCCGCTAACGCCCATATCGCTAAATGCATGCACTTCGTTCGTACGCGTAGTCGTTGCCATTCCACTGACTCTTCATTGCCTCTGTAAGCATCATGTACCGAGGTGAACCAGACCACTCATACATCGCCTAACTGACATGTTGCTGCACAGCCTCCCTAGGCACGATGCCCTGAGCGACGAAAATGTCTATCAGGCCCTGCAGCGGCTCCATGTCCTTCTTTGGCAAGAGGTCGTAATACATAGCAACAGTGATGAAGTGGACGAAGCAACTGTTGAGGTCAAGGTGTCGGTTGATGTGCCAAAACGGGTGATCCCAGTGGCAGTGATACAAATGAGCGTAGCATCGGAACATCTGCTTGATAATGCTCTTGACATCTTGCAGGAAGTTTTGCGGGAATCCTGAAGACTTCCCAACCCACTCGTCCTGATTGCCAGCAAGAGAGGTGAGAGACTGATTCAAAGTGGTAGGACCAGCGGGGATAGGGGACGTCGCCGAGCCCGGGGTTGAGCTGGTATCCCCAGAAGCGTATGCAGTGCTGGCAACACTCATTGGTGGTTCGGTAGGGAAGACCTTCTCGTCGTGGATCTTGCCGACAATCCATCGCTGAACTCGAACAATGTATGATGGCGCGGGGATCTTGGCTGGCCTTCCATTCTCGAGCCAGGTGTATGTGAGACTAGAAGTTTATTAGCATCAGCCGCGTCTACGAATCCAATAGCATACCGTCCGGCAGACATGGTAGGGCAGCCAGCTTCATTGCATAGCGCCATTCCAGTGTTCGTGTCCACCTCTTGAATAACGAGAATCATGCTGGTGAGCAATCTATTCATCTCCACCACTGTGTAGATCGTCAGCTTCGCACGCCAGGGCCTGGTGGAAACAACATACGCTGATGGGCCAGCCATTCTCCAAGCTCGACATTTTTTGGCTGCGCAGCCAAGGTCAAAAAGTTCCCCTTGACTGAGCACTTCGCGTATTTCTCGTTCAAAAACTTCTTCGGTTCTTGTTCAGTGTAGGAATTCTCTTGACTGAAGTTCGACGATAGTGAGGGAGAGTTGGCCAGGGGTGGCATAGGCGGCGCCTGCTGCAGGCTCGATTGTGATACATTGTATTGAGCCTTGAGATTTTGGGTGCTTTTGGTATTGCCTCTGGTGAAACCTTGACGACTGAGAATGGGGTCAGCAATCTTGACTATTTCAAACATGCTTGTGGACATCCATTGACATCTTCGGCTTTTTCTAGGTTTCCTCTGCGCATGCACCAGATACAGGGGCGGTGGGCGAGTGGACCGACAAGTGGTGCAAGTGAATGCTGAGAGACAGAGGGATCATATACTCACACGCTTTGAAAGAATGTTGCCATCTCCACGCCGAAGAGGTTCTTCACTTGGTTGCGACTTCACCTTGGGACACTGAATTGGACGTGATAGAGTGTGGTTGTTGGTGGAAAAGGAGTTGGAACACAGGAGTGAAGGGTGAGGATCATATGAAAGTCGGAGACGGCGAGAGCGGCCAATGAAACCAAGGTTCCCCTGAGGCAAGATACCCGACACCTGAGGAAGCCTCCTAAGCCCTTGCACGCTAACCTCTCCGGGCAGTTGTCACTAACTTCTCTCCAGCAGACTGCGGTCTGGTCTAGTACTGGCGTCCTTTTCACCTCTGGGCGTGCCTGCAACTCTTCTACAGACACCACTTGGACTTCTGATTCTGACCGGCTCAGGTGGTTCGCAGCATCGACCCTGTTCGCAGACACCGCAGGTGATCTTCGCGCTCTGTGTGCAGACGGAAAACCCTACACCATAGCGTCTACTCTTCGGGTGAACCTACCGTCAAGATGTCTGCGGAGGTGGAGTCTGTACCTCACAACGGGAGTTTGGAAGGCGAAGACTCACCTCATGCCCTGAACGGTGATGACGCGTCAGAGGACGATGGAGATCTCTTCGGCGATGATGATGAAGAGCTGGACCAAGTACAAAATGAGTAGGTCCAACCTATACTCTCCTACACATATGTACTAATTGAAAAGCCCGCACCGAAAGCTCGACGATTCCGAACTTGACTCTGGCGATGACGAAGGCCGAGCAGATCGGCTTGCAGCAACCGTGGAGGATCATGAGGCAATGTACGAAGAGCAGAAACAGTTGAAGCTCCTAGACGTGGACATGGCCAGAATCAAACCACCGGAGGGACAAGAGGTATACAGCCATCACACCGTCTATTTTTCAAATGATCATCCACTGACTGTTGGCACTAGCTCTACTTGCTCAACATGCCACCCTTTCTCGGCATCAAGCATCGCAACTTCGTCCCTGCCACCTATGAACCTCCCAAACAACCCCACGATGGGCGCGATCCAGAAGTCGACCCAACGGCCAAATTTTCCCCCTTCTCCACCGCAGCAAGCACCATATTCTGGCGTCGCGACCCCAAGGATCAAGAGTCCTTACAATCAAACACTCGCATCATTCGCTGGTCGGACGGGAGCTTGACGCTCCAGATTGCTTCATCGCCCAAGGATCATTACCGAATATCCACCACAGCTCTTAGACAGGAGTGGCCCAGGACATCGGGATCATCTCAGGCAGCCTATGATGCGAACAAAGACTCACATAACTACCTGGCAGCACCGCATGCGACAGCTGGAGTTGACCTGCAGATAATAGCACCGTTCGACGCGTCGATGAAGATTCAACCAACAGGAGACCTGGCAGACGAATCTGTTCTGAAGCTTCAACAATCGCTTGCCGCGGCCACACAAATGCACGACCCATTGGCCAGCCTGAAACAAGTCAAAGAAGACCCGGAGCTTGCTAAGAAAGCGGCGGAGATGTTCGAGAAGGAGCGGTCACGGGCCAGTCGCAAACGCGAGGCCGCCGAGGATCGTTTGCTGATGCGCAGAGATCGTGTGCTCGGCCGTGCAGGAATCGGACGTCTTGGTGGGGCAGGCCTCAGCGTGGCAGGGCTCGAAGACGATGACGGCATGCCCCTGGCTCGTGGCAAGAAGAGCACCAACGCCCGACGCCGCAGAGCTAACCGCCGCGGTGACATTTATTCGGACGACGAGGACGAGAACATGCCGCGCAGCCGGGGCCGTGAGGATGAGTACGATCGCGAAGACGACTTCTTGGCTGCCAGTGACGAAGAGCCCGAAATCTACGAAGATGGCGATGCGGAGGAGGTTGAGGCCGAGGAAGACGATGATCCAGATGTGGATGACCTGGAGATCGAAGGGCGCGAGACAGTCATTGAGAACCGTACCCGCGGCGGAAACGAGCGTGACAGACGGGAAAGGGATCGTGACAGGGCCAGAGACCGAGAATCCACGCCGAAGCGTGCCGCCAGCGACGACGAAGGTGGAGCCGACCCTGCTCCAGCGGGCACGCCGCAAGCCCGGAAGAAGAGACGTGTTATTGACGATGACGAGGATGAGGAGTGAGATTTTCTCACGTCGGCACCGACTCGGCGATCTCATTTTGCAATGTCACCTGCTCCGTTACTTTCCGGTTGTCGTTGCATCTTAAAACATAAGTGAGACTCTGTAAAGCTGTCTCACGCACAGGGGATTGGCGAAAAATCAGACTCGGCGCAGCACGCCGGAACAGGGCAGGACTCGGCATAATGCTCCATGCGCAGTGCACGACAATGTAACATGCCCGGAGCTCTCTCTGCGCTGGTCCAACTCAAAGGTGCTTGCTCTTGATACTGCAGCAAATACATATGAGGAAGGGCAGATATGTTCTACGCCTGCATGTTCTTTCAGTCGGCCCTGCTGGTCTCTTCGCCAGTTGCCCACTTTATACGGTCAATGTCAATCACCAGAAGAAGGCCTGAAACATGAAAGTTTTGATTAAAGATTGGCCCAGCTGCCTTCTGCGTGCATTGCCATCTCAGATCCAGTGACAGCACCGAGCTATAATTGTTTTCAAGTGGGACTGACATTGCAATGCCTTGTTAAGAGTTTCTCTTTTGCCTCTTCTCATTATTCTATTCGCAAGACCGACAACGCTGATGAGTAACAGCGGATGGTCTCATTTCCTTCCCATCATCCCGTCATACACGTAAATTTGATAAGTACATAGATGATATTTAGTGCACAGACAACCGTACATCCGGTCTAGACAGGTTCGAGTCTATCGCGGCACAATCGTCACGACACGTAGACATCCGAGTTCTGAATGCGAAGCCATACAGTACTCCGACCATCACTTCAAGTTCGACTTTCCATTCGTAGAGGGGTCGTGATGTCCAAAGCGCTAACTGAGCAAGTTTCTCAGGCTGGGACTGGCACTTGCACCTGGTCCATCTCTCCTGTCGTCTCTAAGCACTGGTCCACTAGCCGGGGTGTGTGGTCGTTGTTTGGGACTCTCAGGGAAAATCCGCGCGCCGAACCTCGGTGTCCCCGTCATTTCCGCGCTTGTCTGCCTTGATTGTGGCCGTGCAGTCTGCTCAGATGCTGCTTGGGCAATTTGAGCTAGAGACTGCACGGATGGCGACAGCCTAACCACAGCTGGGACGGAGGGAGGTGGAGGCGGCGGTGGCGGTTGTTGGGCGTTGAGTCCTGGACCATAGTTCCTTGCGGACGATGCGTGTGATGCTGCAAAGCCATTGACGGGAGAGCCAGGAGTGGGTTGACGTGGTGGATCAAGGGGAAATGGTCGGGACAACATACTCGAAGGCCCGAGACCGAGATGAGACGAGGGGACTGTTGCCCTTTCTGGAACATAGCGTGGAGGTGAAGGAGGACGGGGCCACTGCGGAATCCGCGACGGTGGAAGATGGTGATGATGTGTAGACAGTGAATAGGGGCCTTGAGAGGGAGAATGCTGAGAGAGAGGACCGGTGGCTGGTGGTGGCGGCGGAGGTGGAGGAGGTGCACCTGAATACGACGACGTTTGAGATGGTCTGCTGTACGGAGACTGATATTCAGGCGTTGGAGCCGGTTGGTACAGCGGTGGCTGCTCGTAAGGTCGAGGTACAGGAGGGGGAGAAGGATGGCGTGCTGGGCGCATGCCGGGAGACGACCACTGAGGGGGAGCTGAGGCGGCATTCGACCAATGGGGGTGATGGGAGACTGGGGGCCCATGGGGATGAGAATGCGAATGTGGCTGCGATGGTGTTTCCACTGGAGGTCGAGTGATGGGCGGAAAGACCGTTGGCGGTGGAGGCAGGGGCTGGTATGTTACCGACTCCGAAGCAGGTTCTGCTGGTGGATAGGCGAATGGCTCTGGCGCTTGTTCCGAAGGAACTCTCTCTCGAGGTTTGACTTGCGATGGAGAGGACGGCGGTGTTCGCCTTAGCACATGGCATTTGTGGCATTGATACATGATTTTGCTGCCGCCATCGACGAGTGCTCCCAACACATTGCTTTCAGCAGGCTCCGGTTTCACGATGCCGTTGGTCATCAGGGTATCCCGAGAACCGTCGTTCGCGGCGTGGTCGCAGGCCAGCTCCGGCTGTCCTCCATTTGCAGCCGGTAAGACCGGCTCTGTTTGAGCAAGCGGCCACCAGCGGGGACTGGTATCTACGAGACAAGTGCAGCATTTTTTCAAGCCATTCGTCTGGTTGGAACCTGTTGGAGCAATGTTTGTCTCACTGGGTACATTGTCAGGTTCTCGTGGCGAATCTGCCCCTGGGGACGACCTGATACTCGGGACACCTGTGCGATCTGCATGCGCAATGACACCGTTCGCGCCATTCGCGGCTGAGCTGCGTCTCGGAGGCTGGTTTACAGGCACAGAGCTGGGCAGATTTGCACAAAACTGTGCCGCTCTCCTCACGGTCCCTGTGGTTGAATTGTCGACTTGCTTGTAAGTGCGGGCGAACAATTGCATTGCACTCACCCCTGCCTCTGTTGGTTCGAGCATGTTGTGCACAATAGTCGGTGGGGGGTGGGTTGGGCACCAAATTCCAGCCGTGACAACGCCAACCTCGCCTTGAAGCTTCATCACGTTCACCGTATCACGACGGGTACTCTTGACAGGGGCCACATCGAAACCGAAGATGTAATCTGCTTGATGGGCACAACCGACGTGAAAATATGCGCTGCAGTTTGACTGGTGGCATTTGACGGTGGGATATCCCGTCTGCTTGCATATTTTGCAAGGCGGCTCGAACCGTTCGGGAGGAATGAAGCCAACACCCTCGGCATCATCAAGCAATTCGGAGTTGCCAAACTTGATTTCCTTGGTCCAGAGAGCACAAGTAATGTGAACCCAATTGTTCCAGGCCGTTCGTTTGAGAGCTTCGCGGGGGTTGACCGGGCGACCTGCAGCCTCTTGTTCCATGCGCCATCGACGGCTGGCCTCCTGGATGATTTCCTTCTCGATGCGTTCCTTTTCCCGGTCCCGATCGGTCTTCCTTTTATGGGATGGCTTCATGGGTTCCATGAGATCCTGGGCCGTAAACTTGACGGGACATAGAACGCACTCATAAGTCGTCGACACCTGCAGGTTGTGGTCGTTCCTGCACATGTCACAAAACCAAGGTTTCGTGTTCGTCTTTGATCCTACCCCGTAACATGACCCATGTACGTGGAGGCGGCAGTCGCGACATTTCAGCAATTCCTGTCCGGGCACCTCGATGACGCGGCAAACTGCACATGGATGGACCTTGACCTTTGGAGGATCTGGTTCGATCGGCGGAGGCTCCTGTGGCTTCTCGGGAACCTTCTTCTTTTCAGCGATAGCAACGTCCGGAGTCCCGTGCGCTCCATCACGATCAGTTCTGCCTTTCTTCTTCGGCGGCTCATCGGGTTGTATTATGTTCTGGGGCACTTCCAGGCCGGCTTTGTTGACCTCATCGACTGCTCGTGGAGGAATAGGATCCCCGGACATTTGGTGTGCTTCCAGGATGAGACGCAACAATTCTTCGTCAACCTTTCGCTTAGCTGCCCGGCTGCCTGAAGATGCGATCTTCTTGGAAACTTCTTCAATGTCCTCGTACTGGACGGCATATTTTCGCCACAGGTATGCGCACCTACCACACAGGGCCAGTGTGAGCCACTGACTCTTGTCTTTGCTGTTTTTCGCAGCCTGATCTTTAGGAACCAGAGTACCCGGAGGCGTGCCCGGCGCCCGTCGCCATTGACGCGAATGATGACTACCACAGAACTTGCAAAGGAATCCCCGCTTCTTCTGCGCCGCTTTCTCCTCGTCGAAAGCAGAATCGTCCTTGTCATCAGCGACGTCGTCCAACAGCTTTGGTGCATTTCCGTCTTTGTCGGTTCGTTTCGAGTCTCTCTTGGAACGTCGCCCTTCGTAGTTGCCCCAGATCTGTCGACCTCTTTCGGTCTTCTTCCACATGTAGTAGAAACGAACGATTCGCCACTCCTTCACACTTGTGCCCACATGACGAGATACAGCATGGAGTTCGCTACCGTACTTCGCAACTCCTTCCTCAAACCGCTTGATCTCCTCCCGGTTCAGATCAGGCTGTTTCAGATCACTTCTCAAGGAAAGTCCTTTCATGGCTTCCAACGCTTTTTCGACATCGTACCTATTCTCCTGCAGCTTCTCGATGGCTTTGGTGAGGAAATCGACCGAGGAGTCCAGTAGATTATACTGGGCCGCAATCGGCTTGACTTTTCGCATGTAGTCATCTACCAGCTCTTCTGCATTTTCTGGTTTCACAGAGTCCGCGCCACCCCTTTCCGAGAACTGTCCCGGTTCCGGCATCTTGAATATCAACTGAGCAGTATGCTCCTTTTTGCCTTTGATCTCAACTGGCTCATCCTGTCCTCGAGGAACGTAACCCACGGGTTCATCCACGACCCACTTCGGACGTTTCAGGCGCTGGTCCTTGTCTGTGTCAGTGCCAGTATCTTTCACTGGTTTGCCACCCTTCTGATGATGGGAGTTTTTCAGGTATTTGCGCTTGATCTCTGCAGGTTTCACCAATTCCACCGGACGTCCGTGCCAGACATTGACGTTCGCTTGGTGACGAGGGCCTAATCTGGAGCTCGCACGAGGATAGATCCGGTCGTCGTAGTCTAGAGCATCTTCTGCGCGCGCATGGATTCCCAAATACCTCCAAGGCCAGAGATTTGCTTGGGCGACTTGTGCTGGGGTCGGTGGTGGGTTTGGCTCTGGACCAATACTGCTGTCGCGGGTCTCCTGGCCCTTGGGGTGGGTGTCGTCGTCGTCATCCTCCATCAAATCATCATCATCCAGAGGCCCAATGTCCGAACCCGCGGGTGTATTGCGAGAATCCATCTTCAACTCCTGTGCTCGGCTGCAGGCTGCGCAAGCCCAGGCGAAACCTCTCGCGGGTTTCTTCAATAACGGCGGCCTTACGCATTGCATGTGGTATGTTCTTTTGCAAACGGCGCAGTCTACCGAGTCATGATTGCTGGCGAATTGCTCGCACTTGGTGCATTTCTTGCTCTCGCTAGTCAGTTCGCGACCACGCCCAACCTCGACTAGAACGAACTTCCATCGTTGGTCAAGAACTGTCTTTACGTGTTGAGGAACATTGACCACTCGGTGGGTGGGTATCACCTCGTAGTATCGGTGCATGTAACGATCGTAAAGCTTGTCAAACCAAAACGAGTCCGGCTTACTTCGATACTCGTCCATGTTGGAGATTTCGGACAAATGATGAATGTTGCATTTGCCACGGAGTGAAGTCAGGGGACAAGTATCCGAATGCATCGAGGCGAAGACTACACGCGTGTCTTGCACCCGCCGGAGAATGTCTTTGGGGCGATAGTACCAGTTGACTCGCATAGCCTCGACGGGTCCTGTTGGGTCGGTTTTGGGATGCAAGAATTCCATGATCCGCGCAAGGTAGTAGGGCTCGCCTGGAGGCTCACAAACCAAATAGACGTGATCTTGAAACTGGGTTAGTCGGCGTCGTCAGAGGAAAGATTGTACCTACCATTTGCTTGTACAGTGGTCCCATCGTCGGCCACCAGTTGCTTCTTTTCATTGAGTCTCTGTCCACACTTGGAAAAGCTCATCATATTCGTCTCGACGTAACCCTTGAAAGGCACAGACGTAGTCTGTCGCGAACGTGAGGCACCACCCATGTTCGAGTGTGCTGCCCCTGTATGTTGACTCCCTGGCTGTTTCCTCTTCTTGGAAGGGGCAGGGGCGCTGGCTGGCAGCGGAGTAGACGGACGACTTGCGGCGGCGCTCTCAGACCGCTGTTCAGCGTTCAGATGATTGATGGCGGCGAAGCCTGAAGACATAGGCTGGTGTTCGCTGTTTGCCGCCGACGCCCTCTTACTCGTGCGACCGACTTTGTGCGTGGGTTCTAAATCCAAGTCCAACTCCTTGTCCTCTGCATAATTGATACGGGCGCCACCGGCGCGATTCCTTGAGCGAGTGCCGTATGGCCCAAGGTTGGAGCCATCACCGTTTTCGACTGGTGGGGGTTGTGAGGAGGACGAGGCGGTGGCGGTCATGGGTTGGGATTGGGGGGTGTCGAGGGAGAGCGCAGGTTCGGGTGCAGGAGAAACATCCATACTGCTCGTGGGTACGCTTGGCACGGCATCCCTCTGGAGAAGCGAAGGTGCATCTGATTCCTCCCTTGAGCGAGACTCCGACAGCGCCGCGGCAACCGGGAGGGTTTCGAGAGCTGACATGGTGAGTCAAGTAGGATCTAGGCCAGGCGAGGCGTGCGCGGGTGGTTCGATATCGTCAGGCCCGACTTTATCGCATGGCGACTTTGGATTGGAGGAGGGACGGGTGGTCTTCGCTGGGTTACGAGGATGCTCGGCAGGCAGCTATTGACCTAGACAGGACGTGGGCGTCAATCTGTAGAGCACCGGACGGAATGCTATCGTGGATAGTACTGCAACGCCATAAAGATCAAAAGAGTCGAGCGGGAAGTGAGGACGGCGAGGAAGGTGGAAGAGAATTGCCGACCAAGTGCTAGGCGGCGGAAGGTGGGCGATATATCAAAGTAAGGGCACGCGCCTAGAGTAGGGTGACCAGTCCGGCGTGTGGGTTAGCGCTTCTATTGGTAGTTGGATGGGGCCGCTGAGCTGGCGTAACTCTGTAAACACGCGGTCGGTGCAAGGCGAAAGCTGATGAATCGACAAACGCGTGCTGAGAGGCACAAAGGGGGACAAATCCAATCCAGGTCTCCGTTAGTGCCGAGGAGGTGAACAAGAGGGAAGAAAGCAAGGTGAAGGAAGAAGAGAGGAGGAGATCCCTGAAGAAGGGAAGGTCAAAAGAGGGAGGGAAGAAAAGATGGGGAAGGACAGAACTCGGCAAGGAAAGAAAATAATACTGGGTAGTATGTGCCAGTAGCAGCAGCAATAGCAGTACGTATGAAGTTAAGTTCGAAATTAGTCGTCAAGACAGGCTAGCAAGTACGCAGTACGTGGCATTCGAGGGCGTACTCCTAGTAGTAGCCAGCCCAGAGTTTTTCTGGTTTGCGACTTGGTTAGCATGAGGAAAGGGAAACTCAGACGGCGATCGATCTGTCACAGGCTCCTGTGATCAGGGCAAGGCGTGGCCAGTAAATCTGTGACGGGGACAGCGAACACAACGGCCAGTGAGTTGAGTTGGCGGACGTGGATTTGATCATTCCTGCAGGTAATCATCACAGAAATCGTAGTGGTGGGAAGGCATAGTAATTAGAGTAGTTCTGTTCAAGCCGAACCGTGTGACATGGGTATGGCATCAGGCAAGGTAAGGTCCCCCTACCTACCTAGGTACCTACGCTTCGGTTGATGGGGCCACTGACAGTGTGCGCTCGCGCCCAGTGGAGATGATTTGAGACTGAGGACCGAGTTGTCGGATGACACGGATATAAAATATAACCAAGCATAATGTACCAAGGTACTAGTAGATAGTAGTGTTGTAGGTAGTTGCAGATGGTAGGTAGGTGGTAGATGGTCGTATGAGGACAAATTGCAACATTATTCTGACAGACTCGGAGGTCCGAAATGGCTCGTCAGAAGCAGTCGACACCCTTAGTAAGTGACATCGTACTCTACTGAGCTCATGATCTGAGAGAAGACGATCGTTCCTTTCACAGCAAACCATTAGAAGGTCCTCGGGTTAGGTTCGGCTTCTTTGGATGGTTTGATATGGGTGAAAGATGGATGAGGATGGAGGTTTGCCACGGCATCTGTTCAAGTTGTGGTTGAAGTTCAGTTGGCACAACTGCACCTGCCACTGCAGTGTGTGCCGGGCCCATCTGCCACTAGTGACCAGCTGTAACCAGCAGGAGCCCTGCACAGTCTCCCCACTAGTTCGCAAGTGGTTAGCAATATCGGGGGCTCATTGGGTCCTTTTAGTGCCCGGAGATCTTGGCGTCACCTGACCGCCGCCTGCAACGGAGTGGCTTCTCTAAATTTGACCACATCTCTCTGCGAACTCCTCTACCACCCTGCTCGACAATGCCCTCATTCAAGCCTAAAAGCACATACCGAACTCATGGAACGACTGATTTGTCCCTTCTACTTGTTTGCAATGATTATTCTACGCACATCAGCCATTGTAACGCTCGGTGGGGGACTGGTCGCCTTCTTGCCTGTAGTGATTACTACATCACTTTAGCTGGCCAGTTTCAAGGACACCACTCGGAAAAACACTCATTACAAGCACAGCTGTCTCCACACCTCTGCTTCAATACTAGCTGACTGCCTTTCCTATCTTTGTGTCGGCAAAGTCATCATCAACTGTTCTTTCATATGTAACTCCGTGCGCGCCTTCCCTGTCTTCTGAGAAACCTGCTTTGTATCCTCGGGCGGTCAGAATCTCATAGATAAATGGCTCTTTTTTGGGCTGAGGGTTGATCACATTACACGGACCATACTATTTAAGTCACAATTGTGGTTGACTTCCAGGCTCTCGTTGCGCCATTGCTTGAGAAGCTGCAATCGTAGTAACTTCAGTTCCAGTCAGCTGGAGGGGCTTGGCGCCGGGCCAGCCCTCAGATAGGCGTGATCTAGGGGTTGCACTAGTCATTTTTCGGTTCGCTTACTTTCCTTCACGTGTCAGTGGCGCCTTCCTAAAACTGGACAGCCTCGTTGCTGCATGTTGATATGCCTCCTTTTTGGAATTCACGTCTTCCAAGGGCGCCACTTCAACGCACTTATTTGTCTTCACGCCTACAGCGCTCCGGTGTTCGAGAAGCGTTTGTACCCAGTAAGCATCTAGTCGTTCCTGGAACTCTTGAGCCGACCTGATAGTCATGTTTCAAACCTGACGTACCAATGGCGACCGCATGGCCCAGATCTGCCGTTGTCTACGGCCAACCTACCACACTCGACTTGGCTCGTAATCAGACCTACAGAACAGGCTCGAAGCGGCCAGGTGAGAGCGTCCAGAGCATACAGAGGATTGCCCCAAATCACGACCGCTTCTCGTTGCCACAAGTGCCGTTGGAAGGGCTACCGGGCCCGGTACAGGAATCTCCTTCGCCACTTCTACAGGCTAGCCCTATTCTCCCACCAGTGAATGAGACCCTTGAAGGAGCTCGCACTTTTGTCGATGGCCAACCGCTCCCCTTGCGCGCTGTTATATCATCCACGCCTGGCCCCTCGCAAAATCCTCTCCTCACTCTTCGACATCCCGTCTATGGCCTTCCGCCCAAACTGGTCGAGAATTTGGAGGCGTTGGGAGTCCATGCAATTTACCCCTGGCAATCTTCGTGTCTGCTGAGAAGAGGCTTGTTAACGGGGGAGCAGAACTTGGTCTACACAGCGCCCACGGGCGGCGGCAAGTCTTTGGTAGCGGACGTTCTCCTCCTCAAACGTGTCATTGAGAATCCCGGAAAGAAAGGAATTCTAGTACTTCCCTATGTTGCTCTGGTACAAGAGAAGTCAAAGTGGCTACGCTTTTTGGTAGAAGGAGTTTCCAAGAATGTTGACGAAGTACCTGACGGCATCCCCAACCCTACATGGCGTCGGCCCAGTAGCGTGGTATGCGTGAGTGGTTTCTTCGGCGGCAGCAGGGCAGCGATTAACTGGTCAGACTGTGATGTTGCAGTGTGCACCATTGAGAAGGCAAATTCATTGGTGAATGCCGCTGTCGAGGAAGGCAAGGATGCAGAGATTGCAGTCCTAGTTCTCGATGAGTTGCACATGCTCAACGACGAGCATCGTGGCTATCTGATGGAACTACTGGCCACCAAATTGATGTCGTTAGAGTCTCCTGTTCAGATCGTGGGCATGAGCGCCACGCTGCCAAACCCACAACTTCTAGCCAAGTGGTTGAATGCCAAATATTACATCGCAAAATATCGGCCCGTCCCCATCGAAGAACACCTAGTGTATGACCATGCCATCTATCCCACAGCAAATGCCAAAGAGTTCTTTCGGACGGCCACGCAACTAACTGCAGGCGATGCAGTCCCAACACAGCGGCCACAGCCACGACGGACAATTTCCAAATCTGAACATCAAGAATTCCAGAATCCACTTTCCAACGCAGTCGTCGCACTAGCTGTTGAGACTGCTCTTGCGGGTCATGGAGCGCTGGTATTCTGTAGCAGCCGCCTGGGGGTGGAAAGAACTGCATCGTTGATTAGTGACGCATTGCCTGTCAACGACCTTGATCAGGAGATCTTAAACCAACGGCAGGATCTCCTGGCATCGCTACATGCACTCCCGAGCGGCTTCGAGGCCACCTTTTCCAAAACTCTTCCCCGTGGAGTCGGTTTCCACCATGCAGGCTTAACTATCGAAGAACGAACATTGGTCGCATCGGCGTATGACACCGGCATACTCAGAGTTATGGTTGCCACATGCAGTCTTGCTGCGGGTATCAACCTGCCGGCTCGCAGAGTCATACTGAACGGAGCTCGCATGGGGCGGGACCTGGTAGGGCCTGCGATGCTTCTCCAGATGCGAGGACGAGCTGGTCGCAAAGGAAAGGACGAGGTTGGAGAGACCTACTTGTGCTGTCAGAAGTCCGATCTTGAGGCAGTGGCGCAACTGCTCGAAGCGGAGATGCCTCCTGTTGAAAGCTGTTTGACTCCGGAGAAACGAGGGGTGAAGAGGGCCCTTCTCGAAGTCATTGGTGTTCGAATGGCATCTAGCAAAAGTGCGCTCGATCATTCTGTTTGTTCGTCCTTGCTCTGGCACACAGCGGAGCATAGTGTCGTCGCGGAGATGGTTGATAAGGCCACCAAGGAGCTGCTCGAAAGCGGACTGATCCAACTCGCCGATCACGAAAACTGCCTTGAGCCGACCAGGCTCGGTACGGCCGTGGTAGCCTCGGCGCTCAGTCCCGAAGGCGGGATATTTGTTCATTCCGAATTGCGTCGTGCGCTTGAATCATTTGTGATGGACGGTGGACATGCACATTTTCTATCTGTTCACACCTGTCCAGACCAGCGGACTGGCGGAGATATCTTGGCCTACTTTCCGCAACGAACTCGACTCACTAGATGAAAGTGGCTTGAGAGCGATCCGGCTCATTGGGGTTAGTCCAGCGTTGGTCAATCGTCTTGCCAACAGCGGCGGTGACCTGAAGGAAAACAACCCCGACGAGATCCGATTAGCACGGGTGTATCGAAGAACGTACTCGGCTTTTCAACTGCGCGACCTCTGTAACGAGATCTCCGTGCACGAAATAAGTATTAAATATTCCGTACCACGTGGACACATCCAGACCCTGGCCCAGACTTGTCATGGGTTCGCGGCGGGGATGATCAAGTTCTGTGACAGGATGGGTTGGGGCATGCTGGCTGCGGTGCTTGAGCATATGCTGGATCGACTCCGGGCCGGGGCGAAGGCGGATCTGCTTGAAATGGCCCAGGTTGCTTTTATCAAAAGTAGGATGGCACGGATCTTTTGGGAAAATGGGTTCAAAAGTGTTCGCGCTCTGGGAGAGGCAGATCCTCAGAGCCTGGTTCCTGTCATGATGCAGGCCCAGGCAAGAAAGATGAGATTACAGGGCGAGGCAGCGGAGAAATTCAAAGAGAAGCTGCTTGCAAGGGCAGAGATCATCGTCAACAGTGCAACCAGAGTCCGGGAGAGACAGCAGCAAGTTGAGTGGGAAGAAGAATGAGTTCCTAATAGCGGGATCTGGTCGATCCATGAGGCGTCTTCGGCTCGTTTAAAGATTTGATCTTTTGCATGCGCACGAAGTGCTCTTATAGACTACAATTGGCCGGGAAATCGGCGCATGCACGATGGGGCCGACCACGGCAGGCCGATGCTTCGGAGGATCAAGGGGCATGGCGAATTGAGAGCTTTGCGAGTGGCGAGCAAATGTGGACAAAAGCGTTCGCCTTACAAGCATTTGAATGAAGTGTTCAAGTTTCTCAGCGTTGCAGAGCATTCCTCGCTGTATAGCGATCTTACCAAAGAAATACAAACGATGCACAGGCTGACAAACTGAGCTGCCGAAGGGGACCCAAGAATGGTGAGAGCAGCTTACTAACGGGCATCGTTCAGTTCCGCACTGCGCAAGGCTCCGGTCTCCTTTGATTGGTCGTGGCAAATTCTCTGTCAGCTTTTCATAAGCACCTGCATGCAAGTGGATCGCGGGGAATCCCAGGGAGAGATTGGCCTGCCTGCTGAGCCTGGAGCGATGGCCGCGGCGAGCTGCCGGCGAAACACCCTCGTTCGACTAACATCGTGCTGCAATAGGCAGCTAGGACACGAGTAACTCTGTAATTACTGTAGTTAGGTAGGTCGTTGTGGTAGCTGTGGTGGCATTACGAGTCAAGCGGCCAACAGAGGTGATACGATACAATAAGGTAGGACCTCTGGTGCTGATCATTCGAGCTTCACGGTCGGTCCACAAGCAGGTACCGAGCCCCGCCCAATTAATGGTCGCATCATTGGAACCTTAAGGCACCTGCTCAGGCACTTTATTCGCTGACTGGTCATAGCTCTAACAATACAATACCTGTCAGGTACCAGCGAGACCAGCTACGTCCGAGTAGTTTTCTTCTTTGGAGCGCTTCTGGTCCATGCAGGAATCAATAGTGGGGCAGATGATCTGTAATGATAAAGTAATCCTGTGTACAGCCCCAGTTCGTATTGATAAGGATTGTCCTGGAAACCTGACACAGCTCGCCCCCTGTTCCTCCTCCATCCGGGAGTTTGCTAGTGTCAGTCTGCCACTGCAGAACCAGAGCCCGCTTGGCATTAGATACAAAAGCATCGCCGCATTCTCCAGTCTCCGTGGATTTTCTCTCGTCTTCCTCGCACATCAAGCTACCTTCTCAATCCCATACCGAGACCTCTACTAGTTCTTCCCACACAGAACCTTTCAAGCAGATCAATCACTGTTCGTCATGGCTCCCAAGGTCGCCATCATCTACGTACGTCGGCCTGCCGTGGTTCCGGCAACTCTACCTACTGCTCGTTATGCATGCTAACGTCTGCAAACAGTACTCCATGTATGGGCATATCGCCCAACTGGCCCATGCTGAGAAGAAGGGTGTCGAGGAGGCCGGTGGCTCGGCTGATCTCTACCAGTAAGTCCATCAGCCTGTCGCATGCCAGACCATCTTCGAGACTCTTTGGCCCGGAAGCTGACGGCACACTTTGCGCACCGTGTTTAGAATCCCAGAGACTCTGCCTGGAGAAGTTCTTGGCAAGATGCACGCACCAGGCCCGGCCAAGGACGTGCCCTTCATCACCCCCGAGATCCTGGCGACCTACGACGCCTTCTTGTTCGGTATCCCAACCCGCTACGGCACGTACTCCGCGCAATGGAAGAGCTTCATCGACCAGTTGGGTCAACTGTGGATGACCGGTGGCCTGCACGGCAAATACTTTGGCGTGTTCGTCAGCACCGGCACCATGGGAGGTGGCCAGGAGACCACGGCCATGCAGGCACTGAGCAGCTGGGTCCACCAGGGTATGATCTACGTTCCTCTCGGATACGCCAAGACCTTCGGCCTCCTCGCCGATCTGTCCGAGGTCCGTGGTGGCACCCCATGGGGGGCGGGTACCTTCGCCGCCGGTGACGGCAGCCGACAGCCCTCCGGAAAGGAGATCGAGCTCGCCACTGCCCAGGGCAAATACTTCTACGAGACTGTCGCCAAGGTCAACTTCGCATGACTAGATGGCAGTGCCGCTGGAAAGCCCGCTCCGGCTCCCGCCGCTGCGACGGAGAAGGTGCAACGACAGAACAATGCTCCCACAACATCCTCCGCCAAGCCAACGACTCAGGCAGGGACTCCGTCCCAGCGTCTGCAGACCGATGACAAGGAGGAGAGTGGCCCTTGTGGTTTGCCCAAGAAGTGTGTCATCCTATGATCTCATGGGCGATGCAATGCAAGGATGAATCATATACTATACCCCATTAAGAGCAATAAAAGGAATACCATTATGGAAGGAAATATACCAGGAACCCCTAACTAAATCTTCGATACCACTACATTGAACCAACTTGAAATAGCGAGATAGCGAGAACTAATTTAAATGGAACTTGAGCCATTCTGGCCGAGTGTTTTGCGCTTGTTTCTTCCGCTCCCCTTGTTGTGATGCCTACAGGGACAACACCTTTTCTTGTATAGTGTCGGATAGTTCCTGCATACAGTTCATGCTAGTCGAATTCCTTCATCTATTCCGAATTATCCAATTATCCAAGGATGACAACTCTGCTTTAGGTCTCCAGTAACGGTGGGCTTACATCCAGGCTCCGCATGACCGTCTTTGCATGGCCGACTATTCTGAGGCATAAATGTTCGTCACCGTTCGCGAGAGTCTCGTCTTCACATCGTTTCAGCTCTATCTGCGTCATGCCAGCTGTGTGCCCTTCAGAAAGGTCGCCGGTCATTCGGGCAGGAAATTCGTCAGATCCTGGCTCCAGGCCGTGCCATTGTCTTTGGCGTCTCTCCAGAGCACTACACAGATCATTTAGTGTGTAAGAAGGTCTGGGCGTGGTCGGCTTGGCCGGAACTGGTGAGCCTGGAGGCGTGGGGACTGGGGCATCGCCAAAAACGTGCGCGCGCACCAGTCTGTATCCGAATGTACGCCATTCCAGGTCTTCCTCGATGGACATCGACCTAGGAGTCCATGATGTATGGGCGGATGTGGACGAATCCGCCTCGCCATCAGGACCCGGTGTAGGTCTTGTCGGTCGCAAGAACCCTTCCCCGTCTGTACTTGTGCCGAACCCACTTTTCAGATCGGCTGCCGTTGCCTTTCTCACCCGTTGCCATTGGTCTGCTAGGATGGTAATCAGCATACCGCACAGCATGACGTTCTGCGAGCCGGACTGGAACTTCTGCGGGCATACTTCGCAGTATACCGCCCCGCGCCCGGTACGATGCGCGCCGAGCAGTGTGTCTATTGTGCCTGATGATACAGGGAAGGCACTGAGCGTCGATAACGTGGACAGAGTGAGGTATAAATTCGGCAGGCACGGACAGTCGGGGATTGCGGGTAGCTGTGCAAGTGAGTTTGGGTCTGCATCGAGATCGATGACCGCCCCGGCTCCCATATAGAATGTATCATTTCCATCTGTCCCAGGGAAGAAATTTGCAGGAGACTGTGGCGACCGGTTCTCCTTTCGATGGTTGTCTTGCACGAGCATGGGCAGCATAGTCATGTCTGAAAAGTCCGGCCATTGAGACACGTCAGTGTTGTACGACGTGGTCGCTGTAGCCATTCCTGCAGCGAGACCATCGACCGGCGCCGTCGCAAGCCCATCATACAGCAACGTGCTGTCGGAGTCTCTGGTCGCGGAATCACTGCCGCTGTCTCGACAGGGCGGTGATCTGGGATGTGTTTGGGCTCTGGCCTGGATATGGGAGTGCTTGATGGCTTGACTTATCGGTGCGCTGCAGATGTCCTCGAAGTTTGCGGTTTCGATCGTCAAGGCAGGTAGTTCTGCGTCAACCTGTCCGACCGTTGTCTGAAGAGGCTGCAGTGTTGGGAGAGGGGGTTGTACTGGTAGTGCCGACTGATGAATAGCAGGAATGTAATTCCCCGTCGCCTCTATCGAAGTATTATTCAGGTGTCCTGGAGTGTCATTCACCTTCCGTCTCTTGCGCGGACGTCCCATCTGTTTCTGAGCGGAATAGTGACAAATCAGCTGGTGCTTGAGGCATCGTTCGCAGCCGCTCGGCTCGCCTGAACACTTTAGTTTTCGTTTCCCTGGAGCGTAGCAGATTGTAAGTGTAAGTCAAGCCATCTCTACTAATGCAATATGAGCTACCAGAAGGGGCCAGAGAGACAGACTGCATTCGTCGCAAGCGGCATGCCTTCTCACCATTGGATCGGCGTCGAAGGCTGCGCTGTACGCTGGCGTCTCTAACTCCGCGAGATCGGGCACCGAGTCAGTGGTCGCAAAGACCTTTGCGACCGGATATTCGCCAAACTTCTTGCGGAATATCGTCGCGGTGACTGCATGCGCCATTTCCGACGATCGACCGGGCTCAATGGCAATACTGGCAAAGCCGGTTCTGAGGGAGGACGAGAGGATCTTGCATTCTGTAAACCGCAGGCATCCGCCGAGGTTGAATTGTGTGAACTGCAATATCGCTTACATAATCGCACTATTAAGTGGGGGTACCATCGGCGACACGGCTTTTCACCTCCGAACAAAAAGTCCAAAAATTTCCAGCCTGCGCTTTTGAAATTGCTCTTTATACCAAGGCAGAAAGCGTTTCTAACCACGAAGCATTATGGGCGAGTCAAAGAAGCGAAAGGCCGTTACCAAGGACGTGGAGGAAGACGCTGCCATTGTTTCTGGTGACGAGTTCGACTTTGGCCAGTTGGACGGTTCTCTCTCCGACGACGATTCCGCCAGTGGAAGTGATGCAGAGAGTTTGACAAGCGGGGCGGAAGATGACAGTGATGCTGTTTCAATTGGAAGTGATGAGGTCCCATGGGAGGAAAAGGTTGAAAGCGGCCTCTTAACAAGCAAACAAGATGGAGGGTCTGTCACTGTGGATATTGGAGCGGGAGAGAATGATGCTCCAGGCAAAGACCAAGAAGCAGAAAAATCCGAAGACGAAACGCCGAACTACAGAATTGTCAAAGATGCAAACGGCAACGACAGATATGAATACGACGAGATTGATCCTGGAGAAGACTCGGACTACTCTGTCCCAGACGGAGAGGCCAACACGATCGGCGATATTCCATTGTCGTTCTACGATTCCTATCCCCACATTGGCTACAACATCAATGGGAAGAAGATCATGAGACCGGCAAAAGGAGAAGCGTTGGATGCACTTCTTGAAAGTATCGAAATTCCCAAGGGATGGACTGGCTTGAGCGACCCGTCAACGGGAAAGCCTCTGCAACTTTCGCAGCAGGAACTGGAACTTTTGAAAAAGGTGCAAATGAACGAAGTTGCAACGGACGGATATGACCCATACGAGCCCACGGTGGAATGGTTTACTAGCAAGACGGAGACCATGCCGCTGACTTCAGCCCCGGAGCCCAAAAGACGGTTTGTCCCATCCAAGCACGAGGCAAAAAGAGTGATGAAGATTGTTCAAGCTATCCGGGAAGGACGCATTCTGCCATACAAGCCTCCCAAGGAAGAGGAGGCCGAAGAGGACGAAGTCCCGAACTATGACATTTGGGCCGATGAACAGCCCAGACCGGATCATGCCATGCATATGCCGGCGCCAAAGCTTCCACCGCCAGGCTTCGACGAAAGTTACCATCCCCCGCCGGAGTACCTGCCGGATAAAAAGGAGAAGGAAGAGTGGGAGAAACGGGAAGAGGAGGACCGAGAGAAGGACTATCTTCCAACGGACTATTCTTCATTACGAAAGGTTCCGGGATATGGGCGCTTTCTCAAAGAGAAGTTCGAGCGCTGCCTCGATTTGTATCTTGCTCCACGTGTTCGTCGAACCAAGCTCAACATTGACCCGGAGTCCTTGTTACCGAAGCTGCCAAGTCCTGATGAACTGCGCCCGTTCCCTACCCATGAGGCCGGTCGGTTCCATGGTCACAAAGGTCGTGTACGATCATTGGCCATCGACCCTTCTGGACAATACCTGGCAAGTGGTGGCGATGATGGCACAGTGCGCGTGTGGACTTTGATGCCCCAACGCGAGGTCTGGTCAGTTTCAGTTGGGCCAGAGAATGCTGTTAACGTTGTCCGATGGCGGCCCGGAAAGGACACTCCCATTTTAGCAGCATGTGCTGGGGATGACATCTATCTGTGTGTTCCCCGTCTGGGAACCGATGCTGGCCCGGAAGCAGAAGCGGCCCAAGCCGTGCTGGATGCTGGCTGGGGTTATGCGGCATCGGAAAGCAACACGCCTAAATCATCCCTCGTCAAGTGGAGTCGACCATCTTCGACTCAGAGAGAACAGGGTGTCGCCATCGTCATCCACCTTGGACATACAGCCAAAACCTTATCCTTCCATTCCAGCGGAAACCATTTCGTTACTATCTGCCCCGCCACTACGGTTCCCGCGTCGCAAGCAATTGCTATACATACCGTTTCCAAGCATCAAACGCAGCTGCCCTTTCGAAAGCGACTGAAGGGCGGGGGGAGCCCCCAGGTTGCCCACTTTCACCCAAGCAAGCCCATCTTGTTTGTTGCCAACCAGCGGGTCATTCGAGCATACGACTTGTCTAAACAGTCTTTGCTGAAAATCATTCAACCGGGTGCTAGATGGATTAGCAGCTTTGATGTCCATCCGACCAGCTCATCAACGGCGGGCTCTGATAACCTCATTGTTGGATCTTACGACCGGAGGTTGTTGTGGATGGACCTTGATCTGTCACCACGACCGTACAAGACGCTGCGTTTCCATGAAAAGGCCATCCGAACTGTGCGGTTCCATCCCGCCACGAACAGATATCCGCTGTTCGCCGACGGCAGTGATGACGGGAGCATCCAAGTCTTCCACGGACAGGTTACAAGTGATATGATGAGCAATGCGCAGATTGTTCCTCTGAAGGTCCTACGTGGACATAAGGTCACGGGAGGGCTGGGTGTGATGGATCTGGACTGGCACCCTCAACATCCATGGCTGGTGAGTGCTGGTGGCGATGGCACATGCCGACTATGGGTATCGTGAAAAAAAGTATGTAGTTATGGCAATGAAAATATTTCAATTCATAGAGCCCTCGTGCGTGAGGCTTTGCAACTGTAGGGGTTGACCTGTAATTGTTACCTACTAACTCGAGGAGGTGAAGAAATGAAAGTCACGTGAATTCGCGATTTGCGGACGCGTCTGCCTCGATGATGATTTAAATCGCGTGTATTCTGTAGCGACTTGTAAAGCGGCACCATTTATTAGAGGCGCGCCTAGTACGTTGACCAACTTCCAGTTGTTTACCACATTACTGCCATCTCAACCACGAATGTCATCCCCCAGCTAACACTGCAATTGCGAGACTATATCAGCAGGGCCTGGGCCTGTGATGCGTACATGATGCCGGCGTAAGTGCACTGACTATCATGCAGCTATGTAAAGCTGACCGGTTTCGAGCGTTGGAGATCAACACAAGCAGAATAACAGCCATAGCGCGAACCCTTTCGAAGAGCAGAAGCCACGGATCTCAGAATACACAGCACAAGAGATTGCCACATTACAGAGCCGACTGAACAAGCAATTAGGTCCGGAATATATATCAGCACGCGCCGGCCCCGGTGGCTCCAGAGTCCATTACCTTGCTGCCGACAAGGCCATTAGTCTCGCAAATCAAGTGTTCGGGTTCAATGGCTGGAGCAGTTCAATCCAAAACATCCAGATCGATTTCGTGGACGAAAACCCTCAGACAGGGAAAATCACCCTTGGGCTGTCGGTCATCGTGCGAGTCACCTTGAAAGATGGCACTCATCATGAAGACATCGGCTATGGGCAGATTGAGAATTGCAAGGGCAAGGCCGCTGCTTTCGAAAAAGCCAAAAAAGAGGGAACTACAGACGCGTTGAAGCGAGCGCTGAGGAATTTTGGCAACGTGTTGGGAAATTGTGTTTACGACAAAACATACCTCGCCCAAGTCACGAAGATGAAGGTTGGAGCGCCGAAGTGGGATCCAAATACGCTGTATCGCCACTCGGACTTCGCCATCAAGAAGGAAGAGGAAGAGACTAAGCCAAGTCTTCCCGCTCCGGTGCAAGGGTCTGCTGCTGAATTTGACGATACCTTTGACGTGGAGGATTTTGAGGTGGCAGACTTCGATGGGATTGATGTCGAACATCCGGACGAGGTGGCGTTGCCCGCAGAGCCAGCAGGTGCAAAACCAGGACCAGCTAATGCCGCTCCAGACCGGAGGCCGCCGCCATCCAAACAAGATTTAAATACACCATCCAAAGCACCTCTAGTGCATGGGCCGCCGTCACGAGCCGTGCCACCGAGACCAGCTCAGGTCGCTGGTTCCTCCAATATCATACCCCAGCCCTTGCCTGGACAACGCCCTTCAGCGGCAACGGGACCATCCAACAAGCCGATGCTGGGAACAGAACAGCGGGCTAATCAGAATGACATCTCGCGGTCCTCCTCTCCCACCATGCCTGCACAGCATTTCGCCAATCAAGCCAACGGGCAAGGCTTTTCTGCAGCGGCAAATGCTCATCGTACTGCCGGCTTTTACTCTGCCAAGGCTGCTGGCATTATAGACGAGAACAATAACGTCGTTGCCGCCGTTCCAGCCGCGGTGCCCAAATTCAATCCTCACGCTGAGAGCCCATCGATACGCAAGACTTCCGGCGTGAACCACAACAAATCCATTCCGTTGAAACGTGATCTCACCCCGGACACCACTACGTTGGCAACGAACATCATCAACCCGCAGGCTGATCTAAGTAGGAGGGTCGGTGCGCCAGGTGCCACCGCTCCACTGGCAGTAGCAAGAGGACCAAGTACTTCCGCATACAGACCGCCCACGAGGCGTGGACCAGAACCAATCAGTGGTCCACTCCAAAACTCGGTAGAGACGGGCAGCGGAGATCGCGCACAGCAGACGGCGAGAAGAGCACCACTTGGTGATATGAGCAATCTCCAGCATACCGCGACGGCCATTACAACAGATGGGGTTGACGCAAAAAGACAGAAGGTCATGGACCCGGGGCAAAATGCAATACATGAAAGGACGAGCAATGATCTTGGTGATGAATGACGTGAAAAGGTCCAAATATAGATGACCTTTGGCATATTTGCCTGCGCTATCAGGCACTTTGCACCGCATGGCGAACATGATGGGAGTCTGAGCCTCGCAACGTCTTCAATTTGAGACGATATCTGTTCTGTGGCGTAGAGTAGAGTCTGGAGCGTGGCGTCTCAATATCATTATCTGTTAAGTCAATGACGAGAGGCCAACACGAAAGAGCAAAATCCTTGCTGGGTGCTTCGTGCAAAAACAAAGCAAGTGAAGACAGTCCTGAATAAGAGACAATCGTGAGTTCCATGAATCTGACTGTCATCTTGCATGACTCACGATCCTTTGGCAATGCGAAAATCCCGAGTCAGGCAGCACAGCCTTGTATTGTATACGTGTTGGTCTCATAAGGCTCGCATGACGACGTACTTAAGTAAACTTGCAATGTGTCCGCGGAGGGCCCCTACTCTGTAGGTAGGCAACTTTTGGGATGCACTGTATCCATTTGTTGATCAGTGAGAAACTTGCTGTAAGCCTGACCACAACGCGCATTGATCGCGGCTACGTATTATCGTCTTCCGAGTGATACCGACCTGTCGACGGATGCCCAGCACTTTTCATACAGAATTACTTCCCATTTAGGAAAGGTGGTTGAGGTCCGCCCCGGGAAGATCTTACTGAAAAACACATACCCACATACCTTTATAACCTATAGTCTTATCTCTCTCGTGGGGAAGCGTGTCCTGTAGCGTCACCTCACTAATGTATACACAAGGTAGGTGATGCCGGGTGAGCGGAAGCCAACACAACCATTTCCTCTGTTATCCTGTTTGTTCACAACACCCACGGCTGAACTCGACTCTGTCGACTACATACACCATACAATACATGGCTCTATTTCACTGGAGTCATCCAATCCTCTCCTCTTGGCAGAGACGCCCGAGTCTTGCAGTCACTCATGGAGAAATCAAGATTCACTTGGGCGGCCCCAACCCGTCGGCTCGCTTGGCGGTGGAGAGACATTGATTACAAGGTGATATGCAGAATACAGGTCCATATATTATGCTCTTGCAGCGTCTGGCTTTCCTCCATCCGGCAGGTCCAATGTATGCCCATCTTGTACTGCAACCTACTAATCTAGATCGAATGCCGATGTCTTCTTGATAACGGATATAAGCGTCCTTTGGGGTGGGAATGAGGGGAGGACTTGCATTCGATGTGGGTGAGCCTTGAACAAGGTCGTCACCAGGCACAGCATGCTCCCCAGACCATGTTCTCCCTCAGTCACTGGAGTCCCAAGTGGGAGAGAAATACTGAGACGATAAGAGCTGCTTGCTTTCCAGTGAGTACGGGAAACTCTTCATCCACTTGTATCTCCTGTCGAGCGACTGGCGTTCCAAAATGGCCGGGCGTCTTATATTGTCGGCTACTTTCCTGTCTACTGTCATCGCGGCATCTTTGCCTCTCCATCTCCACGTGAAGCGTGCTGTGGACTCAGGCCTTGCTAACGTTCACATTTCATATAATGAAATCCTTCACTCGCCGGTGGCTTTCACTTACGGCCCTTGTCTGGCCAAGGCTCCAGGAGAGTCCCATCATTTAGTCGGTCGCTCCAAGTCGTGCGATCATGACCGACTGCTGTGGAAGGTGCCGGAGGACGCGCCTACGGGACATTGCTTGTCTGCATGGGATGACAAACAGAGTCTGGTCGGCCGGAGCGATCCCATCGCCATCGCACCAAACCGCAGGACCACCCGGAGACGTCTGAGGAAGCGACAAGAAGACTTTAGCATTCCGATGGACAATTCAAGTGGCATCGATGCCGAGGGGCCCTGGTTCGACGGAGTGGCACTCTTACAGGATAAGGAGATTAGTGTGGTCAACGTCCAGGAGGCGAAATCAAAAGAAATAGCCATTGTCGGGGCGGGCATGGCTGGCTTGATGACATGGTTGGCCTTGAACCAATCGGGCATGTCGAACTTGAGCTTGATCGAAGCCAGTCAGCGCTTGGGAGGAAGAGTGCACACAGCTTACTTTGGAGACCCGAGTGAACGGCAGTATCAAGAAATGGGCCCCATGCGATTTCCCCTCTCCATTACATCTTCAGAGACCAACGAGACGCTCCAGATCCAAGACCACCGTATCGTGTTTGATCTTGCTGCAGAGGTCAACCGGTTGAACAGCGACGACGCCAACTTCACCGTCGATTTTATCAAGTGGTACCAAACCAGTCCCAACGGCCTTTACTATGTCAATGGAGCACGCAAGCCCAACGGCCAAGTCCCGACCGTCTCAGAGATACGAGCCAACTCCTCACTTCTTGGGCCATCCTCGTCGCAGGTAGACCCTAAACTAGACGAGCTGACCGACGTCCTCGACAACGTCATCTCCAATGAGACTTTCATCGAACAGGTGGCTAGGAACGTATACAAGGCACACAAAACCTTCCTCGACCAAGGACTAGGTGGCCTCGGTGGGGATGATTGGTCCGAGTTTGCGTACGTCCACAACTATCTCAACTACGCACTCAACGACACATTCGTTGGCATCGGCGACGCTGGCACGGAAGGCTTCTGGGACAATCTGTACGAGTCCATGTACTTTGCCGCGACGGACTGGCGGACCATTGACGGTGGCCTGACCCGTCTACCGTCGGCGTTTCATCCGCTGGTTGACAGCATCACCTACATGAATCGTAAGATCCAGCGAGTGCAGTACAACGATACAACCCAGCGGGTCACCCTGCAGTGGAAAACGGATCCGCTGGATCGCACGTTCCAGAACGCCAGCTACGATCTAGCCGTCGTGACTGTCCCCATGCCGTTGGTCAGGACGTGGCGGCTGCCCGGATTTTCGGAGCTCTTGACCACGGCCATTGACACGTATCCTTACGAGCAGGTGTGTAAGGTGGCGTTGCAGTTTCAGACGCGCTTCTGGGAGCACTTCGCCCAACCTATCTACGGATCATGCAGCACAACCACCGACATACCTGGCATCGGCAGTATCTGCTATCCCAGCTACGACATCAACTCCACCGGGCCGGGGGTAATGCTTGCCAGCTACACGTCGTCCGACGACGGATTGCGCTGGGCGTCCATCCCCGAGGAAGTCCATGTCAACTATGTGGTTGACGCCATGGCTGAAATCCACGGGCAGGTCGTCTACGACCAGTACACGGGTAACTACAACCGCCGGTGCTGGGTGCTGGACCAGTACGAGACCATCAGCTGGGCGAGTCCGGATGTCGGCATGAGGAAGGCGTTCATTCCGGCTTTCTTCAAGACGGAGAAAGGGATCGTCATGAGTGGCGAGGGTACCAGCTATACGAGCTCCTGGATCTCGAGTGCTTTGGAGAGTGGTGTCCGGGCTGCGACACAGGTCTTGCTTGAGCTCGGCTTGGTGGATGAAGCGAAGGCGGTGGTTGAAAAGTGGATGGCCCGATGGATAGATGTTTAGGTTGGCCGGCAGTAGAGGCTGGTTCCTGGGAAAGCCTTTAGAAGATAGATCAAAGGCCAGTATAGCAAATATTGACCAGCCGTACGCACAAACTCATCAGAGTGTTGCTAGTCAGCAGAACTCTTCAGGATGCCGAAGCCAGAAATGAAGAATCATCCGTCTAAGAGGTGGCCGTCCGGGAGACACACTCGTCTTCAATTGTCTATACTATATTGCGAGTCGACAGGGCCATACATAATATTTGCTTTGTGAGTCGTCATCAACGTGGTGCATCGTCTCAACGAGAGCCAGTTTGCAACGTCGTGCCAGTCTCTCATCAAGCACCAGCGTCTACGTCTGAGCTCGTCTTCTCGACATAATCAGCGAATTCCTTCAGATCCTGGAACCGCCAGGCATACCCGACCAGTTTCTTGTCCAGAGCCATCTTACTCTCGGCCTCCTTGCCCCATCTCGGCCCATCTCCGACCAGCCAGACACTACTCAGCCCGAGCCTTTTGGCGGGGGCTTGATCGTGGCCCAGGCTCTGGGCGACGTGCAAAATCTTGTCTTTCCCGACGCCATGTCTGGCGCAATACTCGACCAGCGTCTCGAGTTTAGCCTCGTCGGCCTGTTTGGCGTCGTCGCCGAAATCCTCCGCCGTAAACACCTTCCACCAGTCCACATGACCCAGACCACTGACCGGGCTCGAGGCCGTGATCGACCAAGCGTAGCGGTCGACATTGGACAGCGCCACGAGCCGATAATGCTTGCTCAGCTGCTTGAGTGCGTTCAACGTCCCCGGAAACGTGGGCCAGCTGGCGATCACGGCATCACTGCCGAACCGCTCGGCGTCTTCTTCGGTCGACGCCACGTCCAGGTCGGAAGCGATGCGGCGCCATATCTCGCGGAGGATCTTGTCGAAGCGCTTCACGGGCTTCTCCAGTTTGATCGCATCCTCGTGCCGCTGGAAGAGCTTGAGGAACTCGACGGATCCGACGGTAGCCGAGTCGCGGATGGTCGTTGATAAGGGTGTCGAGTCGAGATAAGGCGATGACGAAGGTAAGCGTGAGAGTAAGGGTCGGAAAGCAGCCAGGATGTGTGCTTTGTACTCGACCAGGGTGCCGTAGATGTCGAAGGACAGCACTTGATATTGCAGCAGGGGGAGTGGAGGGACGGTGGGTTCTGGCATGGGAAGCGCCATCTTCAATGCCGCCGTCAAGTCTGGATTGACGCTGTGTCAGAGTTATACTCCCTTTGAACGAAACGCTTTGAGGAAAAGGCCTTCAATCAGATTAAACAGGTTCTTGCGCTCGACGTAATTGGCCTGAAAACGATGGTAGATGGCTCGGGTTTGACGAGGAGGCAGTACGTAGACACCGGAAGAGCGTGAGAGGGTGAGGGGAATTATTGAGGCACGTCTCCGGACCGCTACGGTCAGGACTTCGACCTCCCTTAACAAGTAACCCGAGTTTGTAAGAGTTCAATACGCCGGAATGAAAAGAGTAGCCTCTCTATGTGGTCTCGCTGTGCTCGCGGTATTCAGTCCTTCAGCACACCTCCGTAGGGATTTTGAAGACCTCTATCCGAAACCAGCCTCGACCAGGGGACCCCTAACATTCAACCCAGCGAGGTCCTGAACCCCTTGTTCGCCCGCTTGCTTCTCCGAACCGGCGTCCCATCTTTCTGCTTCACATTACTGCTTATCTCAACATAGAGCACCTGCTGTTCGATCTTCTCGACTGCTGCAGCGACCTTGCCTTTGGCCGTTTGCTGTACTGCCTTCTTATGGGCCGCTTCTTGGCCCCGAGCAGCCCCAGCCGCACCAGCAGTGGCCACAGCTTCCTTCTCTGTCTTCTTCGCCTGTTCCACAAATTTCCCGACCGATGCCGTCGGTTGGCGGGCTGCCGTGACTTTCCTGCTCTTGGCTTTCGTGGAAGAGCTTGCCTTAGTTGTTGCAGAGGCTGTCACAGCTCTCTTGTCGATCTTGGCCCCCTGAACGGCAGATTTCCTTCTCTCCCCACGTTTGGGCTGTCTCAGCGGACCATTGCTGGCCGGAATTGGAGGAACTGCTGGTCTTTCGGGAGACTGCGTTCGACTGCGTCCCGGCTGCAGCATCGACGGAGGGAGAGAGACTTGTCGGCCAAAGGACGGTTGTGCGGGACCGCCTGGAGCGTCTCGCATAACCACGTCTGCGCCATGCCTGGAGAGCGGTGATGGCGTGGCAGAGCGGTCTTCATACGCAGGTGTCGACTCACGTTGCCAGTTTGGACGCGGGAACTCTCGCTCAACACTTTGTCGGACATAATCTTGGAGCACTTGGTACGAGTATGGTGTGAATGTTCCTGACTCTGGAGGTGGGCGAGGTGTATCCGGTCGACTCATGGATATCTGGGATGGCCGATTGCCAGAACTTGCCGGTGTCATTGCCCCTGTTTGGTCACTTGAAGATGATTCGCCAATCAGTTCTGACAACGTCAAGTGTGCCGGCCGGTTGTCCTGGCTTCTCTCTGGGCTGGGAGCAATATTGAGTGGCCGGCTCGGCGGAACAGACATAGAAGGGTATGGCAGGGTCGGAGGATTATCCCTCGAAACTTCCGCGGATATCTTGTCGTTTTTCCCTCTGATCGCAGTCGACGAAGCCGATGAGACAGCCTTGCCGCAACTGCAGAACCCCAAAGGGCATTGACACAATGCACCATTCGAGCAAGAGCATGCTCCAGTCGAGGTCTGGTCTTTCGCCTGCCCAACAGATGTCGGCCAGGCTGCCTCTGGCTCTTCACAAGCTTTGTGCCCCGGTTTGGCAGACTCGCGTAGTCTCTCGCGAAGGTGGAACATCAGCAAGGCTTCATTTCTCTCTTGCTGTGTCATAACTGGCCTCTTTCGGAGTACTTCCTCTTCAAATCGTCTGATACTGTCGTTGTTTATTCCCCATATGAAGTTCCTTTGGACAGCAAATGTGCCATCCCCAGCCGAAAGCAAATCGCCATCCGGGATGCTGTCATGTGCTGAGACTGGCGGCTCTGAGGCTTGATCTGACTTTCCAGCTCCACGTGCCGACATGGACGAAGTTTGACTGCCATCGCTGTGGCCTATATGTCCAGGACAATTGCTACCGCCGCATTCTCCCGCTGAACACAGGTATGCCGTCTCTGTCGCGCTTGACTCTGGATGCTCCTGAGCTTGTCCATGGCTCGCATGATGTTCATGGCAATCCGTGCAAGCGCAGAGTCCAGGAAGACAGACACACGTCTGATGATGACCTCGACCACCACAAATTTCTACTTCCGCATCCTCAGAGCGCCATTTCCTCTGTGCTTCGGCTGTCAATTGTTTCGCATCCTCGATATGATTGCAACCTAGAAATTCGCAGAAGAGGGGATGACAAGTACACTGTCCTCTGACACAGCCGCAGGGGCAGTTGCGAGGCTTGTCTGACTCGGTCGACTGGGTATCCACATTCGACAGTGCTCGGACTTGTTCGCGGGCATAGTCGTGCTGCTCCCGGGAAAGCTCTGGCTGGACCTGTGCCAACGCACCATGGAAAGCAGCGTCTCCAAACCGAGACACCTGCGTTTCGTATGGCGAGGTACTGTCGGCTCGGAAGTCTTCTGACATGCGATTAGGTTCAGCCCCGTACTGGGAGTAGTCAGGTGTCTGCTCCCGGAAATCGTTATCAGTTTCTGGTGAGCCTGCTCGCTCTGTCTTGATGGTGAGCGATTGCTGCTCCGGAGGGCTTCGCAAATGAGGACGATATTGTGTTTGATAGGGCGCTGGAAGCTGTCCATCTTGAAGCGAGCGCCACGGATCAACCTGTTGTCCATCTTCTCTGTCTCCATGGGCCCCTGTTCTTGGTCCTGTTTCTCCCGCCCGGTTATTTTCGAGCGGAAGCCCATGTTCGACGTCAGGGTGCCAAGTGTAGTAGTTTGACCGTTGGAGGATGGGGACCCCATCCATTATGTAGCCGTCGTTGTTGTGAGCCGGCCTCCCATTGCTCCAGTCGTATTGGTGAATGGCATTCAGCATGCGTTCGCTCGTTGATGAAGGGTTCAGTGACGAGGTGAGGGATGGAGGTAGGTACGGTTCAAATAACCCTAGAGTTTCTGAGATCGACTTTGGAAAGAAGCCGGCCCGCATCTCAGGCTGTATCTGCTGTGATACGTCTTGTATGTCTTCAATTCCTTCTTGCTTTATCTGCGGGCTTCGCTTGGACGATTCCCCCAGCACACCGGAATGAAATTCCTCCTCTAGCCATCCGGACGGCATGCTGCGTTGATACAGTTGATCTAGAGCACTCTCGGCAGACCACTGTGATCGGATGATCTCTGGAGGACTGGTGGCTGGTGGCGATTGCGTCTGCGAGCCGTCGTCGTAGTCCGAATCGTTTTGTACTGGGAACTTCGTCGCCGGATCTGAGGATAAAAACATGGCTTGAAGGCTGGTGTAGAGATCAACAAGCAAGAGACCAAACAAAACGGATGGTAAGATCTGCTCTGACGACTGTTGCCACAGTGTCTGTGCGTGGTGAGGGTTGAGGAATGTAGAATGAAATTAGCACCGAGGAACGCATCCACAAGATAAAAGACGGACTCGCTGGCCTTCAGGACCGAGTGTCATGTGTGGGCTCGGAAGTCTTCTGCGCTTCTGCGGTGACTTGGTTTCGATTCAGCGGACTCGACTCGAATGTTGGTCAATCATTCATAGACTGATGGCCATTGTTGGGAGTAAAGAAGTATAGTATTAACATGCCGCCGAATGTTCTGCTGCTGCTGCTGCAAGGAAGCTAAGTGTGAATGCTGTGTCACACTGGGTAAGTGAAAGAGTCAAAAGGAGGAAAGGAAACACGGAAGCAGAATCTGAGATCTGTCTATGAATAAGACGCAGGATGTGACAATTGAGCACTTGCACGTTGTACGACCATTTTCTGCGCTTCTCCCTTACCTACCTTGCTCGACTTGACCGGTCTTTGTCTTAGAAGTATGCTGCGATCTACTCAGATGCGTTAACGTAAGTATTGTCACGTATACATGTGACCAGGTCTAGTGAAACACCAAGTCGGCGCACATATTTTTCCCCTTGTCAGCAGGCGTTGAAGAGTCTTGCCCGCAGGTATGGTTCAAGTAATCTTGTGAATATTAAGGCTCAGCAGCGCTGTCCATGGTATTGTTGACTCCAGATAGCTTGTCACTTTCGGGTAATAGACATGTGTCCTCGATGTGAAAGGAATCTGCACTGATGCGAGGTCCAGATTGCCTATAAACCACTCACCAAGCTCCAGATTGTCGCTTCAGACGACCCGGTACATTGCTGCTCCGAGGCCTAAGGATCATAAGCCTAAGCCTGCACGCAACACATCGTAGACCGAGAGGCGATATCCCTCGCACAAACTTTCTCCGTTTTGTGGGGAAGGTTGAGGCTGACACCCCCTTGGTGAAAGGTATATAACTGGTGCGGACTGTTCAGTTGGGGCTTCGGCAGATGCAGAAATGAAGGTGGAGTCATCTGCCGAAGAACTGTGATTCTGGATCAGTATTATTGCTCACTCTGAACATGTAGTCCACTTCAGAAGTGTAGCAGATAGCTCAAGGAACCCTTCACAAACAACTATTGGCGGTAAAAGCCGGGCAGTTTGATGCCTCAGCACCATGCCTGGCCTATTAGTGACACCCGAGATGAAGTTCAAGACCCTCAAGATTAAGAAGCTCCATCCAACCTTCGCTGCCGAGATTGGAGGGGTCGAATTCGACAAACCGATTCCGAACGATGTGTTCCAAGAGATCCTGGCAGCTTCTGCAAAGGTACTTGCCGATAGAAGGGCGTCAATCCCTGTGTTCATCCAACTGCCGCCGACCCTGTTGTTGTTTCGTCAGTATGGCGTAATTGTATTCCGGAAGACTGGGCTCGATGACACTGGGCATGTCGAATTCTCTCGTCGGTTCGGCAGATTGGACGACATGAGGCCATACATGACGGACGGCAGCGAACCTCAATACGGGTATTATGAGCTCTTCGATGCAGGGAATATCGATCCGAACACAGGCTCGGTCCTGCAGCCTGACAGCCCGCGCGCCCAGTATAACAAAGGCAACGCTCTGTTCCATATCGACTCTTCCTTCAACAACCCCCGGCGGGTGTCATATTCCATCCTGAAAGCCCACGAACTGCCACCCGCAGGTACGGGCGGCAACACTGGTTTCGCGGATACCCGGACCGCTTTCGAAGAACTGAATCCTCAATTGAAGACCGAATTGTTGGAGCATGACTACATCGGTGCCCACTCACTGTACTCCTCACGCAAAAAGGCAGCGCCTGAGTATTTCAAGGATGTCGATGTTAAAAAACTCTCCATGCATAAGCATCGTATTGTGCAGAACCACGAGCCTTCAGGTCGAATGACCCTGTATATCGCTGCTCATATGGACCACATCGAAAATCTTCCACCACAGAAGTCAAGGGAATTGATAGAGAAGCTCGTGACACACGCAACGCAGGAAAGTACGTTGTGAGTGTTCCTTGGAATGACCCCGGGGACTTGGTCATTTGGGACAACACGTGAGTGCGACATGGATCCTGGATCGAAATCAATCGTGGCGCTAACATTCCGACAGCTGCGTCATGCACCGAGTCGAGGGCGGTTCGTTTGAAGGGCAATATAGAAGAGATTTGCGCAGAACCGCTGTACACGACGACAGCAGTGAGGCTTAGGCGCTGAATAAGCCAGCAGACGGAAGACCTAGGTTTGAGCTCTACGCGCTGTAGTGCGCGTGCTGAGGTCTGCTGTTTAGCCAAGGCCGGGTCTCATAGTTTTGCTGAGGTCTCAATGGCTGCCCAAGACTCATTGACATAAAGACGAGGCTCCTTTCAGGACATGGCCTGTAAGCTGGAGAGCTCCGGAGCCGTACGAGGTGGCACTAGAGTAGAGCCATGGAGGCTGATGGTATCGCCCATTGAGCAGACCATGCAAATCCAGTAATTGGCCCAAAAAGCCACAAGGCGCGACAGAACCTCGTCAACGTCATCAAATCGTTTGATGAGAACCATGGGCGTTGCGTAGCCTTGAGCAAGATGGTTCTTGTGTTGAAAGTACGCTGGTAAGAAGTGTCCAGCGTACTTGGGTCTATGTCAACACGTCGAGACCCTTCCCCCCGAGAGGCGCACCAAGCGCTGTAGACAGCATAGTGGGTATACCTATGCACGGATTCTGATAGGACGTAAAGCTTTTGAGATATGACAGATCATCCGGGAGCAAACCACTGCATGTTTGTAAAGCTCCCATAAGACGGTGGGACTGCAGACTCGAGGCCAGGCTGCAACTTCCGCAAGGCTGGGTCTTGGCAGACTTACGTAACCAGCTTGAGGTCCGGCGCGGGCACTGCAAGTCCGAGCACCACGAGCATCGTGCACACCCATGCAGCCACTCTCCCTCGTCGTCGTCGCAAACAACTGAATTCAACGCTACCGACACCTCCGTTGACTGCTCCTAAAACCATTCCACCCTCATTTCTCTCCATCGTCAGGTCTACCGCCGTCGCGTGACAGCCGCAAGATCGATCCCCGGCTCCAACAGCGTCGGGGCAGCGACACTCAAAAAACCCCTCTGACCGCATACAGTCCGTTGGGAAAGAGGAATAGTCATGGCCAACATCAACTGGCGGACGATAGACGTCGATGCCTACGACCCTGAGTCGGCAACGAACTTCCCCCTCACAACACTGGTACCCGCCAACCTTCCAGCACCCTCTACCTCGGCCGAGTCAGCACAGATCGGTCAACAGGTCCGCCAACTCCTCCGCGCCGGGGACAGCGTCGGCGCACTTCAGTCAGCTCTCGAAACTGCTCCGCTGGCCGGTGATGAAGGAGCGAAACAAGTCCACCTCGCAACCGTGTTGGAAGTGTTACAAGGCATAAGACAGAGCGAAGTCCACAGGATATTGGCCGAGATGTTAAACCAACCCGGAGGCGCGGCACTGGGCGACACTCTGATGAAATACATCTATAAAGGCATGGCCAGTGGGGCAGGCGGGAGTGGGAGTAAAGGCATGAGTCCCCAAGTTACGGGTACGGGTACCGGGTTTAGTCAGATACATGGAAGGCATTTCGGGGAGGGTGGAGGCGGCCAGGTCATGAGTGTTCTCCTCAGTTGGCATGAGAAATTGACAGAAGCGGTGGGCGTTGGTGGGATTGTCAGGGTCATGTCGGATCGACGCACGGTATGAGATAAAGTGACAAAAAGCAGAGACACAATGCTGCCCACCACCTCCTAAGCTCGACACAACTGTGTGAGTGCGTTGGGGCTCGGGGCTCGGGGCTCGATAAAGCTCCACCAAAAAGCCCAAGGGTTAGATAGAAGCAAACCCACAGAGCTGGAAAAAGAGATCTACACATAGGGCATGGGCTGAGTCAATATGCTCATAACTTGGGTATCGAAAAACTGAAGTCCCAACCTTGCGAGGCGCAGTTGTTATTGCACCTGAATGACGAGGAAACGGGCGGTGATCAACGGGTCAGCAAGCGACTCTCCCAATGCCAACGACCATCCAGTAATTCAACTCCCTCTTTCCATCGTCGATATCGTCGCCCTCATCCAGTCTAGTGTCTCTTTTGCGTCGTTCCATACCCGCCTCGTCGTCCGTGACCGTCCATTCAAGCCTCACACGAATAGGTATCTCGATCACGTCCTCATCCTCGTCCAACTCCTCGCTCTGCTGCCGGACGATACTGGCGGGGATAATCTCAAGGACGACGCTGGCCCAGTTCCTGCCCTGATCGTAAAGTTTGCCAGCGACCTGCTCTCCTCCAGCGATATTCCCCGTGCCCCGGTCCGGCTGGTTGTTGTTGCTGAGAGCGTCATCCCAGGCATCGCTGTTTTTCCCCAACCGGAACTGTGGGCAGAGTATAGTTACTCGGTGACCGTGGCGGCCGGGCGTCACGCTGGGAGTGCCAAGGCTGACACTGACATCGTCGAATAGTGGGTTACGGAGCGTCATGATGAACTGCACTGGCTTGCCAGGGGTCAGGATCACATCACCTCCATCAGGACCTGGAGGTGGAAGTCCACCCGCGATGGGAAGCGGTTTTATTGTCACAAAGGGGACGTAGTTCAGCGCAATTAATTTGATGCGGTAGCGTGCCGAGCTGATCTTGAGCTCAGGCCGGGCGAGGATGTGCTTGCAGGTAGCGCAGCGTTTGGATCGTTTGGTCCGCATCAACGTCGGCATGGGTCGCAGTTCAGACACTTTGAGGGCAGCTGGGTTCCCGATGAAAGAAGGGTATTGGAAAGCTCGCTGCGATGCCGTGACTGTTTCATCGTAGTCAATTCTCGGCGACTGGGACTCGACACCAGAATCTCTCGATGCGGCCAACGCAAATCCCTCGCTGGCTGACCGTGCCTCTCGCATTACAGTGAGTTTCTGCCGGGCCCTTATTGTAGCGCCTTCTTTGTTTGTGTATAGGTTCATGATCCGTTGCAGGGACGAAGGTGATGAATAGGCCATGTCAAGGGCTGATGTCGAGAAAGTGGCGTCCGTGGCAGAGGATTCTGTGATTTGCTCCTTGTAGAATGTTTTCAAGGCATTGAATCTGGCTGTCGGGTCTAATGGAGTGGCTGATACCGAGTCTTCCTTCGGGTCCGCAATCTCATCCCGATCAGCCGGTGACAGAGGAGGCCGAGAAAGAGAAGACTTGCGGGCATAGTCGGCTTGATAAGAATATGGCGAATGCACTGTCGCGGCCTTCTGCTCGCCTCCATTTGCTATCTCATCCAGCTGCCCGCGGATGCCGGTGGGCTTGTCGAATTTGATGCCCACATCCAATGTGCTCCACATGCAGTAATTGCAGTTCAAGATGAAAGGGCCGTTCTTCGGGTCACCCACTGAGGCGGTGATCATCTGAGACGTACATATAGGGCAGTGAAAACAGTTCCTCGGACACCTGTTTCCTTCACCCCTTACCATCACCTTAGGACTTTCAAAGAGGCAGTCTGGACAGTATGTGGCATTGATCTCCTCAGTTACACACCGGGGGCATTTGATCTCATGGCACTCTTCGCAGTACAACAAATGCTCAGGGGGGAAGAGGGAGAAGGCCGAACGGGGGTGTCGAGGGTCAAAAGTCTCCTCGTCATCTTGGATCTCCTGGTCAAGTTCGACATCTCTCGATGAGCGTTTAGATGTCAATTCTCTGTTCGATACATCTGAGCAGGGGCATGAGATGAAAATGTAGGGAAAAGGAAGAGCCATATTGTCGGCTAGCGAGGTGCGCTCAGATCATGGAGGAACTCAGCAGTGACGGGCCATCATCGGCATGACGCAAGTCTTTTCAAAACTGCTACGCGCGTGGCCCTGGGTCATCCTCCTCTGAATTCTGTCACAGGATCGTACATCTCATGAATAGAGAGGTAACTACTCTGTGGTGCAGCAGTCCGTACATAGTAGTGATCATTCGGCGGAGTTTCCGTTTTCTAATCTGACTTGTTATTAGCTGAGTAGCTAACTGTTTCAGGAATAGCTTATAAACAGTGCTGTCTTTGCTTCAAGATGGAGAGATCCAAAGAGAGGCTGTCTCAGATGCAGGATGGCTCTACTTCATCAAATATCTCTGTTGTCCTTCAGACTTGAAGACTTGTACTCTGCGCAGATACTCTCATGGTGCCTTCTCCTGTAGCTAGCTCCCTTCATACATGCCTCTCGGCATTAGTCACGACAATGTTACCATTCGAGCCCGCTCATTTCTCATCTAATGGTTGCAAGCCCATCTTTGAGGGCCCAATAACCTGGCTTCCATATTTGCTGAATCGACTGCCATGGATGGGACAGTCCCAGCTCTTTTCGTCGTTGTTCCAACATACCACGCCCTTCAAGTGCGGACACAACGCGCTAAGCCTGGTGACCTTGCCATTCTTATCTTTGTACACGGCTTCGGGAATGGAGGTTGTTGGGTTCAAGACGCCACCTTGATCAAAGGCTAGGTCTTCGATGTCGTTGATATCCGACTGCAGGAATCGCTTGTATTGAGCGTTGATTTGGATGTCATGCTGCAAGATGTCCGGTGCTTTGCTCATAAGCGTCGTCTTGCGGTTTTGGGGATCGTACACCTTGGCCCACGGATTCTCAACTCCCTGAATCTCATCCGCGATGAGTTTTCCAGCAAGCACTCCATGAGTGAGTCCATTGCCCGAATCGCCCGTGACCGTGTAGGTGCGTTTGCACCCTGGCTTTTTCCCGATAAAGGCCATGTAATCAACAGGTTCGAAGATCTGACCTGACCACTTGTAGTCCACCGAACCGGCCTTGGTGAATCGTTCCCGGGCCCAAGTCTCCAATTCCTTGTACCGCTCATCCCATTCATCTTCTTGGCCGACTTTGTGATCGCAGCCTCCAACGACCATGTAGTCCCATTCATCATCACACTCAGTCATGCGGACATACTTGTATTGCTCTGCTTGATCGTAGATCAGACAATCTTCCACGCTACCTTTAGGAATGCGGATGGCGATGCAGTAAGTCCGATTATACTCCATCTGGACAATCAAGCTCAGTTTCTGCAGCGGCACGCAGGTGGCTTCAACTGCGTGGCTACATGTGACTTTGTGACCGTTTTCAGTCTCGACAACAACCTTGTCTGATCCGAAATGGACGTCAGTTAGGGGGACACTGACGCCCTTTTCGTCAATCGAAACCATCCGCGTGCGCGTGTAGCATCCGAAGTTGCTCTGTCTCTCCAGCCAATTCAGCACGCCGTTGAGGTATTTTGTAGGGTGGAATGTCGCCTGACCGCTGAATATGGCAGCATCGCGCTGGTCGATCGGACCGTCCCAGCCGGGGATCGCTGCACCCTCGACAAACTTGCCGTCCAGTCCTAACTCCCGAGCAATCTTGACCTCTTCCTTCAGTTCCTTGATCTCGTCGTCATGCTCTTTTGTTCCCTTGGGATACTGTGAGATGTTGTAGGCCTTGAGCTTGCGATAACTGCAATCGATACCAAGCTCCTTGCAAACTTCGCCCACGTGGTCAATGGCCCAACCATGTGATTCAGCGGCTATTTTAGCCCCGTCTCGACCAAACGTGGAGGCGATTTGGCTATAGCCATCGTCGAGATCCGAGGACAAGTGACCGGACGTGCGACTCGTTTCCCCTGCGAGTCGTCAGCTTGTGTGCTTTAGACACAATACGGCAGTGCGTCCCATGCCAGGGGAGGACAGCATCGGCTGAAGTGTCAACTCACCTGATATTGCATCTCTGGCTTCAATCATAACCACTTTGAAATCTCTCTCTACAAGTTGTTTGGCAATGGAAATGCCAGAGATTCCAGATCCAATAATGCAGACATCCGCTTCCAAGTCCTTGTCCAATTGTCGAAACTCGGGTCGATTGATGTATGGGTCTTTATGTATCCACACTGGATCATGCTGGCCCGAGGTTCTCAGGAACTGCTCATCTTCTGTCACAGTTGCCATGGTTCGTGATGGTGTATCGAAGCGAAGATGTCTTCTCGTAGACTTGCTCTGAAACGTCAACGATCTGTAGAATAGCTGGCTGCCGATTTTCCGAGTCAGAGCCCAACGCGGTCTGTTGCTACGAACAAGGGCGCGAGAGAACGCGTTGGGAGGTGGAAGCCTGGTGCAGGTGAAACTCAATTGAAGCCGGCCGTAAGTGTGAGCCATGATCTGGCTTGTTGCTTCAGCAGGGCCACAAGGCTTGGTTAAGTACCAAGGTAGTAGTGATGTACACTAACATCATGACAGCGGCCATTGGCGCCAGCGTCAGGAGTCAGGTGTGTTGATGTGACGACATGGGTGCTCGTCCGAGGCTCGATGTGTGCAATACTACTACCTAGTAGTTGTCATAGATTCGAGCGGGAAGATGATCCGGCTGAGGTGCCCGGACATGATGATCAAATACTTAGTAGGTGATGCGTCCAGGCAGTGGCTCGCGCTACGGAAGTCCTTCCACACTGGCACTGCACTGGTAAGTCTGCTGATGGAAGAGTCAGATAGTATCTCGTCTCCTATTGCAATATCATGGAGCCTTCTGGATCCTCATCCAAGCAAGCTACAGCTATTGTCAGTGACAAGGAGGGCTGGACCAGGTTGCATGTTTATTGAAAAACATAGGTGACGTTTGTTTGAACTTTTGGGTGGGGGCTGCTTGGGGATCAACCCCGCAAACTTGCAACGACTACTAGTAACGACGTATCAAATTTCAGCGTGATGATGGATACTGAGCAAATAGAAACAAGATGATTGGCGCAAGGCCAAAGTCCACTACCTAGGTAGAGAATAACCCCTGTACCTTTCTTTTCATGTATCCTTATCCGAATATCACAAAGAAAGGAACAAAAATACCGCTGGGGATGACGTTCCATGCCGAACGGTGTGCAAATGCTGCCTGCGTACAATGCTCGACTCCATGCTTCTTGCTCAATATGTGAAGTTTAGGAAGACGCGAGAAACCAGGATAGAATTCCTTGCAGACGGTATCAAATCTCATGACTAAAGCTTGCCGATCGTGTCCTCCTCTCGTGGGAACTTCCTGAAAAGATCTCCCAATTTGTCGATGGGGGCGGCAAGAAACCCTACGAGCGTTTCGAAGGGTGGCTTGTCTGGTGCCATAGGATGGCTGCGCGTTGGGACGAACAGCTTAGTCCTGGCGAAACTTTTGGCCAAGGAGTCACCCTCGTTCTCTGGTAGCGCTTTTTCGAGGGCTGGAAGGTCATGCTGTTCCTCTTCTTCAATATGTTTGGTTAGGGTGGACCACAGAGAGTCCAGAGTTGAGTGGAACTTGTCATCCGAAGGGGCCAAACCCTGGAACTCATAGAGATATTCTTTCACCTTAATAAAAGTCAGCCTCATCTCAGTGAAGACAGAGAAGAAGGCGCAAGGTATACCTTCTGATGCTCATCCCGGTCCTTCTGGGCCATGTCTTTGCCACCGTCCACGTATTTCTCCATCGCCGGGTACACGACAAGCTCTTCACCTATGGAATGCCGAGCAAGTTCCCACGTAAACTGGTTCTGGTAGCGCGTCTTAGTGTCGTCGTCTTTGGCTTCCTTAATCTTAACGTAGAATTGTTTGAGCTCGGAATGGTCGTGTTTGATGACACTCATGATGGAACCCCCCTGAATACCGGATATTGTCGATTTGCTGATCTTGTCCTCGATGGAAGGACCGGTGGTAGACTTGAATCTTGGGCGGAACATTGTTCTCAGGCATGGAACGGAGATGGCAGGCGTGTCCGTGCGCAAAGGAGCAGCACAGCATGGCCGCTGTCGCCCAAAATTTGAGGCTGAAGTCGCCAGAATACGTCGAGCAGGAGACATATTTGGGAAGCTTGACTGTCGTTCCTCTGGCAGGTTGGGGGCAACGGCAGCATACTATATCTCTCAGCAATGGGAGGAACTTTATGACCCCAGTCATATTGTCCTTGGTGACAATGTTGGTAATTCTTGATAAACCATTGGTGGAACAATCACCCTCAATGGCCGTCTGACGTCGTGCAATCATTGCAGATTGAACATATCAAGAGGTAAGGGCAACCTACCTCAGCTACCTGCAACAGAAGAGCCAATATTAGAGTTGAAGCGTCACTGTATCACTCCCCTGATCTCTTGTCCGGCAAAGCGGAGGTTTGAGGAGAGGGACCAAGAAGCCATCATACGTCTGATGACACTGCCAGCTTCACGTTGGAACCAACTTCCGTCCAAGAGACGCGCGACATTCATTTGGGCAATACCAACTGAAGATGCTCTGCAGATGGCAGCCCGGAGTAAGTGAGACACATGGTAGGCAGTGGTTAGGTATGTGTTAGCAAAACCTGGGACGGTTTAATGTGGCCCCGTACTACGGCTCAAGGCGGCGTCATTTTCAAAGGCTAGTGAGGCCTAGTAGTAAGGGATGCGAAACGAGCATTAAAGGCGGCGTGATTACTTGATAAGCTCGGGCATCGAGGATTTATGGTTGACATCAACAGGGTGCATTTCAAGCGCAGGTTGGGTTCGTCTCCCGCAAAGCCAGACATTGACTTGTCTGAGCACAAGAGCAGGCGCTCCCTTAACATGATGCCACATACAATTCGGCCCTGGCTGTCGCGCTCAGCTTTGCACCGGCCGTCGACCATTTGCAGACGTTACGCAATCCAGGCGCCCGGTAGGCCAACCCTCGAGATCTTCAACGACAATGTAAAGTATCTACAGAAAGAGCGAGCGGCCGCCAACGTGGAATACAGCCGACATGTCGACTACCTCAAGGATGAAGTCGCACGGAGGCTGGTGGATCGCCTTCTTGACATCGACCGACAATTCCCCCAAGTGCTTGATCTAGGTGCCAACAGCTGCCACATTGCCCGAGCACTCTCGAGGCCGCCTCTCATTGCGCCAGAGATCCCTGAGGTCCCAGAAAAGGCCAAAATCCCACTCTCCGAGCGCGTCAAACACCTCACCTGCGTAGAAATATCGCCCACCACGCTTCACAGAGACGACTCACTGCCAGCGCCCACGGTGCCTATCACGCAGACTGTTCTGCCCTCTCTGGAGGCCCTTCCTTACGATGCCAATACGTTCGACGCCGTGTTATCCTCCTTGTCTCTCCACTGGATCAACGACCTCCCTTCAGTACTATCCACGATCAACAATATCCTCAAACCAGACGCTCCCTTCCTCGCCGCCATGTTTGGTGGAGACACGCTATTTGAGCTACGTTCATCGCTGCAACTGGCCGACCTGGAACGCCGCGGCGGTGTTTCACCACACATATCCCCTCTGGCGGATGTCCGGGACGTGGGAAACCTGCTGGGACGGGCCGGCTTCAAGCTGCTCACGGTGGACGTGGACGACATCATAGTCGAATACCCAGACACTTTTGCACTAATGACTGATATCCAAGCAATGGGCGAGGGAAATGCGATCCTCAAGTCGGGCGGCGGGCCCCTCAGCCGAGATGTGTTGCTTGCAAATGAAGCCATATACAGAGAACTGCACTGCCAGGAGGACGAAAGGGATAGAATACCCGCAACCTTTCGAGTGATCTACATGATCGGGTGGAAAGCTAGCCCAGACCAGCCACAACCGTTGGAAAGGGGCAGCGGAAAGGTCAACATCAAAGATATACTTGGTGGAGGCGACCTGGGCCTGTAACAATAGTACATGTACAGAATGACTGGACGACAATGCGAATTCCGCGACTAAACCTCCTGTGCTAGCTTTAGGCCGGAGCAGAGTAGAAGCCCGAAAGACATTGTTTTTTGAAGCTCTGATTGGATTGGATCAATATTTGCGCTCTTCGTTGCGTCTAGCATAATGCTACCTTTGCATGCCACAAATTGGAACCATTTTCATGCAAAGTGATAAACCGTGCCACCACCGGCATGCACCACTCTGGAATTGGTCGTGCATCTTCATTTTGTCACTTCCAGCCGCCACCTGTCCGTATGCAGTCACCGCTTCCTGCCTTTGGCATGCATCTAGTAATCCGCACCGCTGCTCATGGGGAACTCGAAGCCACAAACACGGCCCGTAAGCTTTCGGTAGACCTCAGAGTAGGTGTCGAGTCTGTAGTCCACACCACCACGCTCCTTCTCGTCGAGGATGACCTTCAACAGCTTGCTTCCATCCTCCTTGGTTCGAAGTCGCTTTCCGACAATCTCGACGGGGTACACAACATCCTCGAGGATGGCGTTGTGGACGGCGGTCAAAGTTCTGCTGCGAGGACGCTTTTGGGTCTGCGTGGTGCGAGATCGGTTGGAGCGCTTGGGGCGGGGCAGAATGCGGCGCGAAGCGATGAAGATGACATGGCGGTCGGAAAACTTCTTCTCGAGCTCACGGGTCAGGCGTTGCTGAACCTTGTGGAATCCGGACAGAAGAGGGACGGGGACGAAGACAACAATGGCGCGTTTGCCGTGGCCGACTTCGAGCTGTATATTTGATACCACGTTAGTCTTCCCGTTCTTTTATTTGATCGACACCATTTCTTGCTCAAGGGGATAATTCTGAGCGGCAAGGATGGTCGTACCTCGCGAGCAGAGACAAACTGGAGCGGTCTCAGGGCCGACTTCAGGTCTGGGATGTTGGTCTCGAGTTCATACAGGGCGGTTGCGATGCTGGTTTCCAGCTCAGAGGGGTTCTGCCTCGAAGGGCTGTTGTGAGCGATCTTGTTCAGGGCCGGTTGAGACATGATTGCGACTGGAAGGACTGCGAATACTTCTCCAATCGCTAATTGTCTCGAATTTGCAGAAGTGGTGCTGAGTTGATCCTACAGTCGACACGCTTGACTTTCAACGGTTGCGGTGGAAAGCCAAGGCCTGTATTTGAGCGCCAAGATTTTCGTAGCCCTAATCTCCGAAAAGAGAAGTTTCGCCTAGCCGCTGAATAGCTGTCCGTATAGTGCGCTGGATAAACCGTATACTTCACTGTAGTATAGGGCTGCACTATCCCTACTGCGAAGCATCTACCTGAGTACGCAGCATCGACTTTCTCGCGCCTTGCGCCCTCCCCGAAGTCACAAGGCGAGAAGGGTTGATTCCCAAGCGTCATTGACCAGCACTGGCATACGATACTACGCGCCCGGGTCACAATATCCTCTGACTAATGGCATAGAACGTCGTTCCCTGTGCAACGAGCACTGAAGCCTTGAGACGAGGTCTTCATTTCATTAAGAACAACCTATCTTTATTGACTCGCTTACCTCTACCCCTACCCCTTTTCTGTCTGCAATAGGTGAATTCGCATTCCGAACAGTCTGCTCCCGCCGTCCGGGTTGCCGTTTCAAATAGCAACAATGGTAGGCACGGATATGTTTGTGGGGGTTAGGGCGGGCCAGATCCGAGAAATGCCTGACGCAGTATCCCTGAGGCACACGTTGAGCGTGTGTACAATCTGAACCCTGCAGACCCCGAAGTCCAAGGAAAGCCACCTGTTGTCGGACAGTCGAGAGAGAAAGATAGAGAGTATGTACAGTCTAGGCCATCAGCGGCTTGACGACCACATTTCGCAGTGCCTGGCTGGTCATCTGATATCTAGGTGTATCTATCAATAGCTATCCCTCTCCAACCACTTAGCGCTGGCCTCGTAGAGCCTCTTGATCTGCTGTCCACCATCACAGGCAAGGAACGTCTCTGCCCAACCCAGGCCGTCCATCATCCTAATCCAACTAACCACGATGAAGTCAGCATAGCAGGGCTCCTGGCCCTGCAGGTACGGACCCGAAGCATTCTCATCCAACATGTCACCTATCTGTTTGATCGTGGGTCTGGCCTGGTCCAGCGCTTGGTCGGCACCCTTATGGTACTCGTCCAGAGCCATGCCGAGGCTGGTCTCACGCGAGGGCACATAGTACTTCTGCGACGCTGGGTTGAGGAACACCTTGGGGACGAGTGGGACGAAGATGGGCATGATCTGCCCCAGCAGTTTGCCCACCAGCGCCTCAATACGCGCCTGATACGGTGATTCCAGATGCAGTGCCGGATCTGGGTACTCTGATTCCAGAACGTCCGCAATCTTGCGTGAGTCCATCACGTATCGGCCGTCAGGCAGACGGATTGTCGGCGTTGTATATGTGAACCCGGTCTCGTTCCGGGGGATGCCACTGGTTAGACCAAAGGAGAACCGTCAGCAAGCTAGTGTCTTTGAGCTCCAGTGTTCGATGGATTAAGACTAGGCCGCGTTGCAAGCTACATCCTAAGAAACCCAGTACTTCATGAAACAGACATGCCGCGTTGCGGTCGACAATGTGCTTAATCGGTTTTCAGACGACCACTCACAATTTCTTGAATGTCGGTTCAATATCGGGATACTCGATCCACTCCGTCTTATATGGGATCCCTTTGTAGTTGAGGAGGAGCCGAGCTGGAGGATAATGGCAATTAGTCTTATACACAAGTTGTTTCCTTGATCAAAGATCCTCACTCTTCCATGTGTTCAAGCTCCAGCTTTTCCCTTGCCGGGACGGCAGGTCGTAGAATATAACCTCGTTCGACATTGTGTTACGGGCGAGCGGTGTCGGCTACCCCTGTCGTTCTGTTTGTCTTGAAGATACGATCAGATAAGCACCTCTATCAAAAGAGACCGGTAAATATTGTTTCTGGATACTAAGCAGTAGAACACTGCTCTGAAACTCGTACAAAGGAGAGATGAACAGTATGAACACTCGAAAGGCTCTCGGACCCATGCAACCACAATTATTAATGGCGAAAAACCTCAATCCGATGCACGTATTGATAACTGCTAGCTAACCCTCGGCGGCCCGACTACCTATCAACGGAAACGGAGTCGGACCGTAGCTTCGTACCGATATCTATCGACATCGTGCATCAGCCTTACTCAATTCACCCTTTGGTATCTACGTACTTACATATTGAGTACTTCATGCCGATGTGTTCTTTTGACGTGTTTCCACATCACATCCTTCCAATCATACATTTCGAAAATGCTCAGATAAATTTTCGTATTCGCCTATGAAATAATATAACATATTCCTCGCCAGGTGCTATATATAATACAGGACATAAGCGCTCAACTCCGCGCTTTTTCAATATCATATCATCCGTCTAATCACCAAGGCCAGCTTTACCATCACCGTCAGCGTCCTTGCGAGGGTTCAGACGATCCAACAAGCTCGGCTTAGTCTTGGTACCTCCTTCGACACCGCTGTTAAGGCCGGAACTATGTTTGCTGCCGGTGTCGTTGACATATTCACCGCGACGACCTTCATTGAGCCCGCCAACACCAGAATCGGCAGTCCGGTGAGAGTTTGAAGTAGAGGTACTTCCACCGGTAGTGAGACCACCGGTGTGACCAGTAGTCTTACCAGTCTCATGCAGACCAAGCTGGTGCAGGTCGGTTTGCAACTTCTCGTTGTAAGGACGCGGGGGACCATCATATTCTTCGTGGGTCTCATGTCTTCCACCGCGAAGAACTCCGCCAGATTGCGTAAACTCCTCAAGAGTCTTCGTAGGCAGAGCAGAGAGACCATGATGCTCACTCGCAGCGTGATGTGTCCTGAACATGGTTAGCACTGGTAGGTGGAAGAAATGCGAATGCAACTTACTCATGAACTGGGATGGTGGTGTGGACAACCTCGGGCTGAATGGTCTCTTTGTGGACAACCGGCACCACAGTCTCATGGACGTGATGGTGGACATGCTCGCCAGTGACGGCAGGGGCGGCTGATCGTGTCTCACGCACATTTTCGACCCTCTTGGTGTCCTTGAAGTGGCCGAGTTCGGCCTCTATCTTCTGTTTGACGTGTCCTTCATTCTCATGGTGGAATTCTCGGTGTTCAGTTGGAAGGACATTATGTGTGTGCTTCTCTGGAAGCTGCTCCCTGTGTTCAAGGGGCTGGACAGTGGTGTGGTAATGGTGTTGGTGGACTTCACGGTCAATAGCCTGTTGAGCTTCCTCATGTCGAACAGGCTTGACGGTCTCCCGTGTGACGACGGGGTTGACTGTTTCATCCACGGTAGTGTGATGGCCCCGATTCGAGGTGAATTTATTCACGGCGGCTTTGGCGGCTTCCATTGTAATTGTGTTGTTGATGGTGACTGTGGGATAGAATTGGAACAAGATGGTGGTAGAAGATAGTGCTTTGGGTTGATGTGCAGCAGAGACGAAGGAGGACATCTTAATTTATGCTTTCCGGCCATCACCTGGATAATGACACGCATGGTGACCAGGGTATGAGATAATGTGTAGATGGTTGTGATATCATCCTAGACATCACTGAGCAACCAGCCAGTCACCTTGGAACTTTGACGTCCTCAAACAAGATATTCGTGCATGACACCGATCGATAGGTGATGGACTGCGGTTATCTCATGCCATCTCCACGTCGATCCAGATGTGGTGGCTTGAGCTCAACCCCATACTGGAATGCAATAAATATTGAGGTCATATTGGACCCTGGCCTGTGCCCGCACAGAACAAGGTCGAGCTGAAGCCCCAATGTTGCTCCTGTAAGCGCTCTGATGGCCTGCCTTTCGTCATGCCGCTGCAAAGGTGGCAGCTGAGGAGGAAAAGTGCAATAAATCTTTGGGCAGGCGGGGAATTGCAGCCGTGACGGGCCAGGACATAACCTCCATCTGGAATGATTGGGTTTCCACGAAAGCTTGCATCGGTAGGAATCCACTTCCCAGACTTGGGCAGGGACAATGACGAGATCGGCTGGAAAGAGACGACATGGCAGCTGCTCTGTTCATTGCAATATTGTCTCAGTGCGTCATGATGCACTTTTGTGATGGAGAAATGGAGTTGAACAGATGTCGAAATTGTGGCGAGCAGGAGCAATTGAAGTCAAAGCTACCGACGCGAGATGGTCTTTTCAGGAGCAAAGCCACAACAAGGGTCCTAAGGCCCCACGGTCCAACGGTCCAACGCTGGCCGTTTTGGGCACCCCTGTGCCAACTTTGTGAGCAGCGAGACCAGAGATTTGCGAGGCACTGCAGTCCGATCTGGCTGCCAGAGCATGTGTTGTTTTCACTCATTTAGGCTTCAGTGATCTTTGCTCAGAACAGTCGCTCCTGCGGTTGCTATGCTATGCGGTGCGTGAGGGGTCCATCGTACGAGTAGGCATCTTGCAGAAGCGAAGCCAACCACTACTTAGTATTGAACGGAGCTTGGAGCAGACACCATGCTGAGAACAGGGTCTGGATCTAGTTTGTTATCTGACCTAATTCAGTCTCGCTTGAACATGTATTGTGATCTTGCCAATCGCCTCACACAGACACTGGTCACAATTTGGTCTAGGGGGAACTGAAGGTGCATTTGGAGCCAATAGGGGAGCCCCCGGGCACCGTACCATGCAGTGAGCGATGTGTTATGCCAACCACTTTGCCTACCCTTTCTAGCTGGGGGTATTCGTCTCGTGGGCTCTTACCCGGAACGAGCAGCCGACCAGGCTTGCTTGTCAGCCAACGAAACATAGGAGATTCTAGAACCCGGTCCCTGCGGTGCATGGCTAGAAAGGAGAAGCGTGCAGTAGTAGTAGTGGGCGGTCTTGTGGACGAAAAAGTTGGTTTGACCTTCTGGTAGTATGTCTGACGCGCCAGTCGCCCGTGCTTCGTAGCAACAAATGCATCACCATGCTGAATTGACGGCTCGAGATGTCACTGACAGCAGCGAGTGGGTGGTGTGGCTGGAGCGTCAAGGACAAGGGACCGACTTCCTCGGCGGGTGCAATAATAATGGCAGCAGGTCTTCTCTGTACGTCATGTATAAACTTGATCCTCATCGAAGCCACAGCAGAGACAATTTGAAGGGCACATCTAGGCCCGGCAGTAAATGCAAGCATCACGACCACAGACTAGTAAGCTTCAGTAACTTGAATATCACAACTGTTCATCCATGGCGAGCTGCTGCCTCTATCATTGATCATGTTGTTCTTCATCCAAGTCGATCCCCTTCCCGCTCGAGGAGCCGCCTCCAGAAACATTCTTCGTTACGCCCATTGAGGACCTCGGCCAGCACATCGGGTATGGCCGAAGCCTTTCGCACGACCCACGGACAACCATTTCATCACGACGGATTGACAGCCTTGCCACAACTGCGCGAGCAGGCCATTCCCCAGCGTTCGTCCTCGCTAAGCAAAAGTACCCGGCCGCTGACAGCCGGTTTACCGCCATCTACCAAAGGACATATTCAGCCCGTGGACGACGGCAGGATTGCCTCGACGCCCAACGCCATTCTTCCCATCAGGCGCAAACCGATCCCGTCCGAGGTTGCACCAAAAGGTGATTCGGGAGGGGAACTGTCATCGTCACCATCATCTGCTTCGGCTAGGTCCACCAGCCCTCCACAAGCGTCCTCCTCCACAACCAGCCAGAGGACACCACGTCATTTTCCTCTTGCGCCGAACGACCCTTCTCCATTAAACCCGTTATACCACATCCCATCCACAAGCACTCCTGGCAGCAAGCATACCATGTCATCCGATGCTGCCAGCTCTCCCACACGGTTGAACAACTCCCAATCCAACGAACATTTCATCCTTCCACCAGGATTCAGACCTGGGAAAAGCGCGCGTACATATGTTGAGGAAACCATACTCCCCGCTGTGACTCAGGAAGTGGTGAAGAATCAGACTACGGAGATTGTACAAGAAAACATTATACGCCACATCCATGTGCATCACTATTACACGTACGTCCAGCCGATTAGGGCTGTCGAGATCCTACCTGCTCGACATTTCGTGATTGACGAAAAGACGGGTCAAAAGGTGGAGGTCGCAGCGCCCGAGGGGTGGGAAATGCCTACTTCAATGCAGCCAACCAAGCCCGATCTCAGCGGCCTAGAACCGGAGAGCAGACATTATCTCGTGGACGAGGAGCATCCAAAAGGCGTTTCTGAGCCGCCGCCAACGGATGAAAAGCCAAAGAGTCCCCAAGAACTCAAATCCATTGCTCGAGTAACCCATGCTACAAAATGGTCTCCCTTTCCGAAAGCATAGTGACGCACGACGTATACGAAGCCGTCAGGTTTGCATGCCCGGCTGCTTTCCTCAGGAATATGGTTGGCAAAATTGAATGCATTCATGCATAAAAAAACCCGGCCAGTCCCATGCGAGCTCTTTCCTGCACGGCGCGGTGATGGTCTATCATAGGAGCAACAAAGTGGTTGGAAAGCCCCTCGCATTCCAAGTCTGTGAGAAGATATGATGCACGGAAGAGCCAGATGACATGTGAGAAGGGCAAGCCACATCCCTGCCCAAAGGTTATGCATGGTGCTGCTTTGGGCCCGACCGTTCTCATATTCGCAAAACGGGGACAGATCGACCAAGCAACCCGCTGCATGCAAGGCTGCGTGATGGATTTAACAACAGGGAACGAAGATTGAGGGTGGAAGGGCGCATGCTTGTTCCTGCGCCCACCGCAGCGCACGCCCTGACCGAACGCTCAACCGCTGACTCCGAACTCGACGTGACAGTGCGTATAGCAAGCACAGCATGCGTTTGAAGATCACGACTCGTATATTTTGATCACGCCTTGATCTTTTGCCAAGGGATCTTACCCGGCCGGAAAGGCCTTAACCATTACCCTCTTGTTCCGACCCTGTCTAGCGAGCACGGTCGAGGGGGAGCCGAGCAACGGTTATGAGAAAGGTGTTTATGCTTCTTTACATAAAAGATGATGGCTGAGGAAGCTACGTTGTCATGCCGCATGATGAGCAAGAGATCTTACATAATAATATGCTCGTACCGTGTAATTCCATGACCCTTTACTCACTCGGATCTCATTTGGGTTTGCTTATTGATTGTAGTGATAGAATACAACGCGAGCTGTGGCGCCAGACGTTGTAAGAGACCGTCCAAAGTCAACTACTCTAAAGAGGCTTTCGAGCTCATGCTCAGTATCATCAGTAGAAAGGTTCATCACCCCCTATTCCACGTAACCCCCTTAAACTCCATGCACGAAATCAACCCTTGCCCCCCCGCTGATGATCGGTACGAAAGTACCTGATACGGAACACGCTGTAGGCGTATATATTAGCACAAACGACGGCATCAGCCTCATTCTCATTGATAACAGGATCACAATCACCGATCTCGGTCGACCGGGGTTTGCCTCCAGAGTGTTTCGCCGCTCAAGCGGTTGACGCTTGCACTGAGATTTCTCCAAGCAGACTGTCGACCTCGGCCTGGTTGCTGACCTGCGACAGAGCCCCCGAGTAACTGGGCATCAGCATCGTGTCCTCGTTCGACATCTTCGTCGACGTCCCCGCGCATCTCGCCTTCTCGAGCTGCAGAAAGAATTGGAATCGCAGCACTGGGCTCTTCGTTGCTGGTTTGGGCCACGCGGTCTTGGATGTCATCACTCGTCTGCCCACCCTCGATCGTCTCATCATCGAAACGTGCCAGGCTCGCGTGCGCTAGGCTCCTGACCACATCGCCCTTGCATATCGGACACGTCCGACGACGGTTCACAAGCCAAGGTGTAATGCACTCTGCATGGAACTCATGGCCGCACGGGAGGGACATGACTTGGCTTTCGCCGTCAACGTAATCTTCAAGACAGACAACACATTCAAGCTGCCGGCCGGTGTAACGCTTCCGCTTGGCCAACTTGGTTGCCGCCTTCTCTGTGGGACTTCTGGATTGAGGCGGACTGTCGGCAGCTGCGGCGGGGAAGATGCCAGTGGTGGTTTGAGAACGCGGTCGAGGTCTCTGGGAACCGTTTTGCGTGCTCGACATCAGCAGGGGAGATGTGGGCGAAGAGCCATCCGGTGACGCTACCTGGGACGAAGTGGTGGACGAGGCCGCGGAAATTGTATGGTAAGTGCGCACTGGTAACCGCTCAACAACGGATTTTGGTGCTCGCCATCTCCGTCGTCGAATTCGTGAGCGAAGGAGCAACAACCCGTATACGACCGTCAGAGTGACAAGAGGGCTAACAACGAGCACAAGGAGAGTGTCGAAGAACGGGCTCGTGGAAACACTGGTCGGCGTCAGAGTCACCCACAGCCCTGGGAGTAGCTCGTCTTCTCCACCCAATGGCCGAGGAATGCTCTCCCCCTTTCGGACTTTGTTCTCGATTCCGTCATTAGATTCGCCTTTCTGGGAGGGGTCTTGAGCTGGCGCCTCCGATTTGAAAAAGTCCAGCCACGAACCACGTCCTGGGACTTTCTCTTGACCACTATCAGCGGTACTAGAGTCATGTCGTACTCGTCCATTTGCGCGGTGAAAGCGGTTGGGAGGATTCGACTTCTCGTAATCATACTCGCCGCTCCCGGGAGTTATGCTGCCACCTTTGAGACTTGCCTCCGGATCAGTCGAGGCTTTGACGGTATTCGAAATATCCCCAGGCGCATCTTTTTCGTTCTTCATCCTTGTATTTGCGTTTGCATCGGCTGAGCTTAATGTGGGTTTGGGCGCCACGAGATCGCTGTCTCGCCAGTCTTGAACGCCTATCACGAAGTCGTCTCCTCCAATTCTTTTAGATGTTGTATATTTGGCCTTCAATGCGGATGTCGACATGGTGCCGACGTTGGCCGCCGTACCGGCCTTGTTTATTGGCTTCTGGCTGAGCTCATCGTCCCAGTCTTCTACCAACACCCAGTCTATGTTGCCGCTGCTGGGCGGTCGACGGCTATCCTCACCATGTGAGAATGGAGAGTTCTCGCTCAACCCTACCTTAGAAAGCACACTATTCACCCAGTTATTGTCTTTTGGCGCGGTGTCGCTTCCACTTCCTCCAGCCGGCACAATAGTCGGCTGTTTTGTGCCCGGTTTGGTTGATGTGAAGACTGGTCTGCCGGCCTCTTGCTTTCGGTTCGCACCCTTGTCGGGGGTTTGTGACCCCTTCGGCGGTTTGTCAGACCCCTTGACAACAGCCTCCTCATCATCTCCCAATTCTGGTGGAACAAGGGAGGAGAGCAAATGCGCCGAAGTGTATGACGTGAACACGGCAGGAATCGTCACGTTTGATGTGTCGCCTTTGGCATACATAATCGTCAACTGTCCTCCTCGTTCGTTATCTCCAACGATGAGGGCAACGCCGCCACGACGTTGCGCCCATTTGACCTTCTCCAAGAATCCACAGCCGCCTCGACTTAGCATCACGATCTTTCCTGCAATGTCTGCACTTTCTTGCAACGACTCGATGTCGGCATGTGTAGCCGCCTTCGTTTTGTCCAATGGGTCTATGTTTGCAGGTTCACCCGGCTGACCAGGAGTAGCGGGGTTCGAATCGGCGAGAGGATGGTGTAGATAATCATCAGTTCCATCATCGGCAGGTAGCAGGCCGTCCGTAGTTGTGGACCCATCTCCTTCGGCCTCATTTGACTGTCTGGATGATTGTAGATCTCGAGGTTGTTTAGACTTGATTTGACCCTTGCCGACTGTTGGTAAATTCTGTATCCGCTTAGAAGCTTCCTCTTCCCAGCCTGGTACATCCGAACAACCCAACTCCCAGCCAACAATATGAATGTTCTCCTCTTTCAGTAAAGCATCGTCTCCGAATCCTTTTCCTACCCACAGTTGGCCACTGAGACCTTTCGATGGGAGACCAGGGCCGAAAGCGGCGGGCCTAGCCAGGAAGAAAGTCGAGTTGTCGTTGGTTAAACTGATGACGGCGGACGGCGGGAACAGGGAGGAGGGGGTCGAGAAGGAGAATAAGGCCCGCAGGCGACTCGACCTAGTCGTGGACCGAGCATGGAATGAATCTTGAGCACTTTCATCGGAGGCAGAAAATATGGACCAGCAAGTCAACCCTATGGGCAGAGCGACGAAGAACACCAGCAGCAGTAGGAAGCGGAGAGGACGCATGCTGTAGGGGTTGTTTGGCCAACGTCCGGGCAAGTGCTTAAGGAGAGAGGAACTGAATCGCCATGCGGCCGAGCGGTGGACAAGGCCAGCAGTGAGCGAAGAAGTCTAGGCGGCACAGATGATCCACGTCAATTGTTCTTTGAAAGGCTAGAAAACGAGGGTAGTCGGGCTGAGTTGTATAAGGTAGATAGATGGTAGACACTTGTATGTACTAGTAGCCTGGCCAAGTTTTGCCTCACGGATCATGGAGCCTGAGGCATGGAGTGCCGGTGGAGGCAGCGGTGAGGTCACGTGAGCGGTCAGAGACATCGTTTCAACGGGAAGTCCGCCGGCGGATGTCGTGGAAGATGGTGATGCAAATCCGGGACAACCGCATGTACTTACCTACTACCTTACCTTAGGTATACTACTAGTAGTGCTTGTTTGCCCTGGAGCCTTTGTTCATGGACGTATTCGAACTGCGCCCTTAATTACAGGTAAGGTCGCTCTCCGTTCGGGTGCAGTATACGCTCCATTAAAGGTCATGTATGGCACCTATGTCCATCGCCCCCTAGCGATCGAAACGTCCGGCAGACGACGCGTGTAGTTACATTGCGTATAGCGTCTAAATTGATAACATTTGAGTTTGAGGATGATTGAACGTCCGAAAATCCAGCTCAAATACCAGCCCCCTATTGCGGCATACTACCCAGATGACACCACAGCGATGAGCCCGCCAGCTGCCTCCGCTGCACACGCGTGTCGCTCGTCCATCATTACGAGTTCGTAAGGCGTTCTCCCATCTGGGGGAGGTCCAGAACCGCCAAAGATAACCCTCTTAGTAACTGGTTTGGCGCGGATTTGGCGAAGCCGTTTAGCTGATTGGGGCCAGCGGGTTGCCACTTTGGCGGGCGCTATGAAGGAGCGTTCCCCAAGTGAGGCTAAGGAGGCCTATGGAGAGAGTCTCCATCTGCCTCTTTCGTCATGCCAACCTCGACTCGCGGGCCCCCAGGCGATGCACATCGTCGTCTATGGTGTCAAACCCCATGTTCATCTTCAAACTCCATCACCATTACCCCAGTCATCTGGTACATGGTAGTTGCTGCGATGCCATCTGTGGGCTCCTCGTGCCGTCCGCCCCGTCTACCTAATGCGAATCAGCCTTTTCTCGAGGCTGGGGGCTCGTCCATGACACGTCGTTGATCGGCTATCCCTTGTCTCTCGCCTCTTGGGATGTCTCCTGCGGCACAATGTCTTCTGCTATTGCCCCTACGAAGCATACCATCGTCAGGAGTTCGTTCCTGGCTGATTTTGCTTCTCCATACCACCATTGGACACTTTCCATACTGAGCGTTGAGGCTTTTGGGCATACATAACGTTGTGGCACAAATAGCATAGTGAGCTTTGTCTTCGAGCCGCTCCTTCCCTCCTCGGAGGCTCCTTCCTTGCGGCCACTTTATTCTGGTACTGCGCGGAGCAGTCGCGGGCAGTCATGGACAACCTTCAAGTGAAATCTGGCTTCCTGCCAGGCTTGTTCAATAGCAAACGCAAAAGCAAGGGAAAACAGTCAATATCTGAAGAGGACGAGAAGATGCCAGCGCCAAAGCCGAGTTCGTTCTTTACAAGATTGCCAGATGGGCCTCGAAACCACTTCATCGCCATGGCTGGAGAATTCGTCGGCACCTTTCTCTTCCTGTCAGCATGCCACCATCATCTCTACAGCCTGTGCTGACAGTCTTTTTACAGGTTCTTAGCATTCGCAGGCACACAAGTAGCCAACACTCCTCAGACAACAACTGGTAGTACCAGCACCAATCTGCCTCAAGGCCCGAATCCCGCGCAGCTCCTCTACATCAGCCTGTGCTTCGGCTTCTCCCTCGCGGTCAATGCCTGGATATTCTTCAGAATCTCCGGTGGCCTCTTCAATCCAGCCGTGAGTGGCACGAAAGTATCGGTCAAGACCGGAAGAATAACATTACGCAGGTTACACTAGGTCTGTGTCTGGTCGGTGCAGTACCATTCTTTCGTGGTGGACTGGTCTTCATCGCTCAGATGTTAGGCGCCATGGCCTCTGCAGGAATAGTGAAAGCTCTGTTCCCTGGTCCTCTAGCAGTCACCACCTCCCTTAGTGGGGGAACAAGCAAGGCACGGGGCCTTTTCATTGAGATGGTTAGTCGATCTTCGAAGTTCCGAACCCAAAACTAACGACGAAGACAGTTTCTCACAGCGCAGCTGGTCTTCACTATCTTCATGCTAGCTGTAGGTCCCTTTATTTGCTTTTGAAGCATCCGGGTCACTGCTAACTCGTTCGGTATCTAGGCCGAGAAACACAAAGGCACATTCCTAGCACCTGTTGGAATTGGGTTGTCTTTGTTCATCGCGGAACTTGCCGGTAAAGGGAATATCATGAAGCTGTGTACAAGTCAGGCTGACCTTCCGAAGGGGTCTACTATACGGGGGGCTCCTTGAACCCAGCTCGAAGCTTCGGTCCTTGTGTTGCCAACCTTTCTTTTCCCAGCGAACACTGGATCTACTGGGTTGGCCCTCTATTAGGATCACTCCTCGCTTCGGGATTCTTCTGGTTCATCAAGAGCGCCGAATACCAAACTGCTAATCCTGGTCAAGACTTCGACGATCTCGAGGCCACTGCATACCGTCCGGAGGAAGACTTGACGCGGCCTGTTGTTAGTCCCACTGCTGTGCTCGAACCCGTCGCATCCCGGGACGGGGCCTCAAGAAACTCCAAAGATGGTCGGTCAATCTCGCCCTTACCACCTCGAGCTGCCTACGGTGGGTTCAACTCCGGTGAAGGCGACGCCGGTGATATCGATAGTTCCGTGGCAGTTCACCATAGGACCACATTGGGCTCCTGAACGCCGATATCTTTATTTCTCCGGAACTCAAACCCCACTGCACCTTCGCCGACGACAGTTGTCTCCAATCCATCTTGCCAAATATGGACGCATTTCCTCCTTGTACTAGCGATGCTTCTTGTCATGATGATACCAGAATGCTATTCTCTATATTAAGCGGGTCTGCTCACTTTTCGCTGGGCCTTCCTGGCTCAGGGTCCTCGGATAGGATCTGGGGGAATCTGGAATAAGCGAATATGTTCCAGCAGTCGCTAGTTCCATGAATTTGTTGCATGAATCAAGCGAATCGTTACATTTGTTAGGAGCATAGATTGGTAGGAAAACACCGCATATTACCAGGTACCTAGGTAGGTATTGTTCACATGGTACAAGGATTCGTAATATTGTCATAGACCTGTTGAAACCCAAACCAGACTGTGTTTATCAATTAATTCCAGACTTTTATAAAGCTGTCGTCAAAGACTGAATGCCTCAACTGGAGTTTCATTGCAGCTTCATGCCCAACTCTCTGACTGAGCCTGAGCACTTCATACCCTTGAAACATCAGAGTAGCAATAAGCTAACACGGCCATTAAGTCCCATACATTTCCTATCATCCATGGCTGTTCAGCAGGTCTCGCTGCCACTTCATGCTCCCCATCCTAACCATAGCCCCAGTCAGCCTGGAGCTGTCCCAATAGGTCATGCTGCAGCGTTGACATGCCAGTAATAGCAAATCCTGGAGAAATGCCCTCCTCCCGAGCAAAGACATTGCGTGACGCGAGTAGTGCCCTACATAGACAACCAAGGATTCGCTTTGCACAGTAGTAGCACTTGGATACCAAGTGTACATTGGCCCAGCTGCAGAAGACAAGCGTCTACGACGAGTCCAGCTTGCCCCGTAATGTAGCCCACTTCAGGCTGGGGTTCGTCGGAGCCCTGAGCGTGCATGTATCGCGTAACTATTCCCTTTCCCACGAGCCTCGTGCTGTGCTTTGCTTTCAGCAGCGTGGCAATGGTCCTGGTTCCATCAGTATTACACGTCCTTCATCGGCCTTGTGGGACAAGCTGGATGCGGAATCGATTTCTGCTTGATTCCCGCCTTGAGCGATAAGGCTAAGTGCATCTAGGCTCGGTGAGGAGCTGCTCCAATATTGTGGCCGTTCCATGCTAAACAAGATCACTCGTCACAGTTTCTCTTTCACGATTTGTACTTGTTGTGGATCTGGCGAATCTGCTCTTGCACATTCGGCGGTGGCTGCTGTGGAGTACCAGCACCAGAGCCCGGATACGTGGCAGGGTTTGAAGGGTCGCCGGCACCGTCCATGCGCATGCGCTTGCGCCTCTCTTCATCTTCCTGCTCGCCCAGCACCCTTGCTGCCGCCTCGGCCACAGGGTCGGCGGATGACCCAGTGCCGTCGGTCTTGGCGCGCAGACGCTTCAGGTTCGCGGCGACATCGGTGCCGCCCAGGTTGGTGGTCGAGAATCGCGAGGCAGCTTTGGATTGCTGCTCCTTCCAGCGCGGATCGAGCAATTCAATGCGCAAATGCGCGTCAAGCTCTGCAACAGGGATTTGTTGGCCGCAGTTCGGACACAGCGCTGTTGCGGCGCGGGCCGCACGTTGTTGTGCCCGCGGAACGTAGTCGGACTTGATACGCATGGGAGGCTGGCCCGGGACCGGAGACGCTGTCGATGGCGGTGGTCGAGGAGCTGGGACAGTAGCCGGGGGGAGGATGTTTGGTGAGGGCACAGCGGCAGCGGGTGCAGGCGAAGGTTGGGACGGCATCGGCGATGGCGCGTACGTGTGCACTGGTACTTCAGGAGCCCATCCATTGTTTTGTGGCTGCGGTTGCGGATGCGCATAGGCTTCGCTGTAGCTTCCTGTGTAGGCATAACCGTTCATGTCATCGGTAGGCATGGCTTCTTCAATACGCATATCCGGTCGAGACAGACTCATCATCGCCTTCTGTTCCAGACTGGCGCTCTGAAGATCGTTGAGTGTGGTTGGGGGAGGGAGCTCGGCCTGTTCGTCCGCCTCTGTGAAAAGTACTGTCTCAACAACCACGAAGTCATGCCAGTCGATCTGGGCATATTCCAATCGCTCGGCCTCTTCTGCTTCTTCCTTCTTCTGCTTCTGAGTCTCTTGCCACTTCACGTACTCCGAGCGCTTCTTTGCGAGGTTGAGTGTGCGGAAGCGGTCTTGTATGTTGGCCTGAAGCACTTGAATACGGGCCTGTTCCGCCTTTTGGCCTTCTGGTCCTGTCTGCAGAAGGGTTGTGTATTGGTCCACCAGCCGCTGGAAGAAATTATATAGCGAATGTTGAGGCCGCAGAAAGTCAAACTGGTAATTCCGTGCTTCTCGCTGCGACAAGGCCGTCATCCAGCTCTTCCCCTTGCGCGCAACATGTAGAGCGGTCAGTTTGACTACCTCAAGATCCAAAGCGCTGATATTCGGCATCCGAGCACTGAACTCGAACTCTGGAGATGGTTCTGGGCCTTTTGGTTTTTCGGGAGCCGGGGTGGCATCCCCAGCTCTTCCTGCCGAAACCGCAGTTCCTCGTCCTGATCGTATTTCTGACAGTCGCCATTGATAGAAGGGCGCATAGGCATCATTGGGCGTAAGAAAGGAAAATTTCGAGTTCGCTTGTTCTTTTTCGCGAATGCGGTCTTCAAAGACGGGGCCATTTCGAGCCACATATCCTGCTGTCTTCTCGATGATCGCTCTGATATCCTTTGGTGGCAGGACGATACCCTCGGGGGGCTTTGAGGCCGCCTCTGGCAACTCTGGAATTGCTCCGGGTTGTGCCATTGTTCCTGCAGGTTGGATGCTCGGTGCACGAGAGTGCAGTGCGCCCTCCACGGATATTTCTCCTCGCCCGCAGATCAGGACTGTACGTATCTGAGTTTCGGATTCTGCGCAGGTTTGACTGCTGGGATGGGCGGAAAGTAGTAGCGCCCAGATTGCATGAGTAGGAAATGGGTATGATACAGATCAGAGAATCTCGAAAAGTGCCTTGTTGAGAGAATAGAACGACCTGCGAACTTTGTCCGTTTCTGGGGTCACGAACTGTGGCTAGTGATTGCCAGTGGCGGTGCTTTGGGTCGTCTGTATCAATTAGAAGGAGCCTAGGGTAGCCCCTTAGGTTAGTAGGGTGGCTTGCCTTGCCGCGCCATAGCAGTCAGGTTACGCGAAATCTTTACTTGGGGAACGCGCATCTGCCACCACTACTGACTGACAGCCCAATTCGAGCGCAGCTGCGGAGGCACAAGAACAACTTGTCCTGTCTGTCTGTTACTCCTGAGTCTTTCTGTCCAGCATTTCATCCCTTTGCCTTTTTCTTGCCTTTATGTTCTTCTCCAATCCTCTCACTGAGGTTGATTGACCGCCTAATGGTTCTTTTCGCACTTCTAGTCTCTCGTTGACCCAAGTTTCTCCTGCTTACTAGGGCGGAACTCCCACAGCCCGTCCCGAATCCGGACAGCCTCGTCTACAAATTTCACCACCACTGTGACGTGTACCTCTCAGAACACCGGGCTCCCTTGAGGGCTCCATCCGAGTTGTGTCATTATGGCCTATACTCCGTCAAAAAAGAATGTCGCTGCACAGAAGGCGAGCCGCCCGGCTTCGCATAATGATACGGCCATGACCGGGGCCGCTCCGCCCAAGAAGAAGAGTTATGCATCGGAAGGAGTGACAGACAATGATGTGTTTCTTTTACCTGCCTCTGACTACCAGATCATGGGTTTGTTGACCATTGTGGCTGCTGTGGTTCGCTTGTTCAGGATCTACCTGCCGACCAGTGTGGTCTTTGACGAAGTTCAGTAAGTTGCCAAAGCAGATCGAAAACCGGACTGTGTTCTAATGAAGTGACAGCTTTGGTGGCTTTGCTACAAAGTATATCAAGGGCAAATTCTTCATGGACGTCCATCCTCCTCTGGCAAAACTCCTCATCACTCTCGCAGGCTGGGCCGCCGGTTTCAAAGGGGATTTTGACTTCAAAGATATTGGGAAGGACTACCTTGAGCCCCAGGTCCCATATGTTGCAATGCGCATGGTGCCAGCTGTTCTTGGAGTCCTGACCATTCCTACCATGTTCTTGACATTGAAGGCGGCCGGGTGTAAAACAATCACCGCCTGTCTAGGAGCCGGACTCCTCATCTTCGAAAATGGCTTGGTGACACAATCCAGACTGATTCTTCTGGACTCGCCCCTCGTCATTTGCACGGCTTTCACAGCCCTCGCTTGGACTTGCTTCACAAACCAGCATGAACTGGGACCCGAACGGGCTTTTGATGCCAGCTGGTGGTTCTGGCTTGCAGCAACAGGCCTTGGTCTCGGGGCAACAGTCAGTGTTAAATGGGTCGGTCTCTTCACCATTGCCTGGGTAGGCAGTTTGACGGTCCTGCAACTGTGGGTTCTGCTCGGCGACTATGTCAATGTCACTCCGAGAAAGTGGTTTAAACACTTATTCGCTCGCGTGTTTTGCCTCATTGTCATTCCTATTGCCTTTTACGTCGGCATGTTTGGGATTCATTTCCTGTGCTTGGTCAATCCGGGAGACGGAGACGGATTCATGTCATCGGAATTCCAGGCAACGTTGAACAATAAAGGAATGGCAGACACTCCTGCAGACGTGGCGTTTGGTAGTGAGGTAACACTCCGACATCAGAACACACAAGGTGGTTACCTACACTCTCATCCACACATGTACCCTACTGGGAGCAAACAACAACAGGTTACGCTGTATCCTCACAAGGACGAAAACAACATCTTCTTGATTGAGAATCAGACCCAACCCCTCGACGCGGAGAATGTGACCATTCCCGGACCTCGCGCGTGGGCTGAGTTACCCCCTACATGGATTAAGGATGGCGATGTTATCCGGCTTTACCACATCATGACTCACCGTCGTATTCATTCTCACGATGTTCGACCTCCAGTCACTGAGGCGGAGTGGCAGAACGAAGTCACTGCTTACGGCTACGAGGGGTTTGAAGGAGACGCCAACGACCTGTTCCGAGTGGAAATCATCAAGTCCATGTCTGATGGGGAAGAAGCAAAGACCAGGTTGAGAACAATCCAGAGCAAATTCAGACTCGTCCATGTCATGACCGGTTGTGTGCTATTCTCTCACAAGGTTAAATTGCCAGACTGGGGGTTTGAACAACAAGAGGTGACCTGTGCCAAAGGAGGTACTCTGCCGAACAGCGTCTGGTATATTGAACAAAACTGGCACCCACAATTGGGCGACGATGTTGAGAAGGTCAACTACAAGGACCCCGGATTCCTGGGCAAGTTCTGGGAATTGCAGAAGGTTATGTGGAAAACCAATGCTGGCCTCGTTGAGTCACATGCATGGGACTCTCGACCTGACTCGTGGCCGATTTTGAGACGCGGTATCAACTTCTGGGGCAAAGACCATCGCCAGATCTATCTACTCGGAAACCCTGCCATTTGGTGGCCTTCGACGCTGGCAATCTTGACATATGTCATCTTCAAGGGCATTGCTATCCTCCGATGGCAGCGCAGCTGCAACGACTACTCAGACGTCACCTTCAAACGCTTCGATTACGAAATCGGACAAACCGTCCTAGGTTGGGCATTCCACTATTTCCCCTTCTTCTTGATGGCACGACAATTGTTTTTGCACCACTATTTCCCGGCTCTTTACTTCTCCATCATGGCCATGTGCCAGATCTTCGACTTTGTCACCAATCGAATTGCAATTTTTGGCTTGAAGAAGTATCCCGAGATCGGCCGCACCATTGCTGTGCTTTTTGTTGCATTTGCAATAGTCGTCTTCACTTTGTATGCCCCGTTGGCTTACGGCAGTCCTTGGACACAAGATCAATGCAGAAAGGTGAAGCTTTTCGACACATGGGACTTCGACTGCAATACGTTCCACACAGATGTGAGTTGCATAGGCGATCTGGGAGCTGATCTTACTAACTGTCAATAGTATGCGAAATATTCAACGCCTCTCCCGTCGTTTGGAGATGTCACTCCAACAGTACCCTCGGCTCAAGTGCCGTCCGATAGGAAGGACGACCCATCCGCGGTCACCCCTCAAGTTGGCGAAGGCAGTGTGATTGCCAAGGAGGAGCATGTGGAGTATCGCGATCAGAATGGCAATCTGTTGGACGAAACTCAGGTAGCTGCGCTGATGGCTGAGGGCAAAGCATCCTTCCAGACCAAGTACGAAACACGCACAAGGATGGTGGACGAGTACGGAAATGAAGTCAATCCTTCGGGAGTTGCGCCAGACCACCCAGATGTAGAGGGACAGAACCCGTCGACGAAAGGAGTTCCAGAGGAAGAAGCAAGGAGTCAACCCGCTGATGCTAAAGCAGGCGGTTCCGTGAAGAAGGAAGATGATGGGAAAGCTAAGCCTGCCAGTGATGCCAGTGAGGCGACCAAGTAGATACTTGAGCAACTGGTACAGAGATGGGTTACAATAACGGCAGTTCCTAGTGCAATGACAAAAAGAGTACAATGAACTTAAGGATACGTAGAAGTGTATACAATGGATGGCTAGACCCTACCGGTTGGGTCAATAACAACTGCGTAGCTCGCTAGGTCCTACCTAGTACCAACGATGAACGCCCCGTTTTGTTATTATACTACAGAGCGTTTGGTGGTTGTAGCAGGCGTAAACAACTGGGGGATCCAAGACTCAGGGTCCCGCAAACAATCGCGCCCCTACTAGCAACGTACCAAAACATGGCCGTCGAACACCTCGCTGCCGTCCATTCAACCTGGTCTTCACCACAAACCAACATCGAGCCGCGTATCACTTCTTTCCATCGCGTTCCAGACCCTGCCACTTCCTTGACTGTCACTGTCGTGCTTGAAGTTTCTGCCGCTTGTATAGTTCTGACCGCGCCCGCTTTCGACTCGTCATTCCGCCCAACTGCACATACAGATCATGGGGGAATCAAGGTATGCAACCTGCACATCTACAAGCGAATGGGCAGAGAGAGAGTGTGTGTCTTCTCTGAGCTGTGCTAATTTGCTGTAGGCAGGAGTTGCTCGCCTGGCTCAATGGACTCCTTCAGCTCAACATCACCAAAGTCGAGCAATGCGGCACAGGGTATGTTGCAGACGGGAGATCATTTCAGATCCTGGCTGATGATCAATTCTGACAGTGCCGCGCTATGCCAACTCTTCGATTCCATCTTCCGTACGTTGCTCTGAAAGACTTCCACTCCTAGTTACGACGACTCGCGATGACGGAACATGGAAAATTGTGGCTTGATGCTGATAGATGATGGTGCAGTTGACATTCCGATGAGCCGGGTGAAATTCAACGTCAACACAGAATATGCATACATACAGAATTTCAAAATCCTACAGAGTATGTCTCACCATACAGAAGGCACTACATCGAGCTTGTGTCTTCTGCGCGTGGTAGCTTCTAACCTCGTTCTCCCACAGATTGCTTTACCAAACATGGCATCGATCGAACCGTCCCAGTCGAGTCTTTGGTCAAGTGCAAGATGCAAGACAACCTGGAGTTTCTACAGTGGTCAAAGAGGTTTTGGGACCAATACTTTCCCGGGCACGATTACGACGCGGTCGCGCGGAGAAAGGGAGCCGGCGCGCCAGCAGCACCAGCCCCGGCCGCCGCAAGAACCAGCACTGGCACGAGCACTACACGAAAACCTGGCACTACCCCTGTGAACCGAACAGCCCCTCGGGCTATTGGAGCTTCCACGGCCGGCACGACAGCCCTGAAGCAAGAGAACGAGCAGCTGAAGGAGGCGATTGCCGGCTTGGAGAAGGAAAGAGATTTCTACTTCAGCAAACTCCGCGACATTGAACTGTTGCTTCAGACGGCAGTTGAGCAAGATCCAGCGATAGAGGAAGACGAAAATGGATTGGTGAAGAACATCCAAGCCATACTCTATAGCACAGAGGAAGGATTCGAGATTCCCGATGTGGAGGCCAATGGTGCCGAAGAGCCGGAGACTTTTTAAAGGAGACTTGGGCGCAGCCGACACTGAGGGGGCACCGACGAGACCACGACGAGATTCTATTCCACCGCAATGGGTGTGGCCTTTTGCCGTGGTGACTTGTTTTGCACTTCGGAAACAGAGGCATGAGAATTAGTCCCATGATACGACAGCTTGAAAGAAAGGACGAAATCGGGGGTGGTTGGTTTGGCACGATTGACTATCAAAAGCTGAGCGCGTGGATGGAACACGGTTCCAGGTACAACTTGAGTTCCTTGGTGACAACAGGCAGTATTCAAACATCCCATTGTGCTGCGACCTGCAAAGATTCCCCAGCTCCTCACAATCACTGTGTACGAAGAAGCAGAGGTGGTCAGCATAGCTCAGGTACCTTATCCATGACCGGGATGCGTCTGGCTGTTGCACGCCCCATACTATTCTCTCTCCCATTGACTATGCAAAGCAGCTGCAGTTTGATCGTGTATTGTCCACAGGAGCCGTACGCTGCTTGAGATCCGGTATCGAAGTGAGGAGCAACAACAACACCAACCAACGCCTGATGGAGCTTATGTTTATAACATAAGGTACTTTCGCAACCAATATCTTCTCAGGCAAAGTAGTAGTAAGGCCAAGGAAGGCCAAGGAGATACGTGATCAGAAGGTCATGATCCTTGTGAGTACTTACATGCCATTTGTTCCCTGGTTTAAAAGGGGTGGGGAAGGGGGGTGTTTCGCTTTGCTTTCAGCCTCGCCATTCATTTCTACATACATATAATATTCTTCCGTTGATCATCGGTTGGCCCCCCGCTCTCGATGTTCTGAGCGACTAACGCTGTATGCTGGTTGTCTGTCATATGGCGGGACATCTTCACGTGTAGGTACATAGTACTACCTATGTAAATATGGCTGATATGAGGGAGATTGTGAGCAGTGAGTGGTACTGCTGGAGACAGTCACAATTTTTTTATTTATTTAGGACAGGTAGGCATCTCGGCAGGTAGGTAAGCCGGTTGCGTTGGGTTGCTCTAGAAGGGAATTCATTCAATGCATTTTCATAATCCCAGTGGAAGCATCGTGTTTCTCTGCGGTCCATGTCTAACATAAGATATGATCCTCGCCAACCCTCGTTTCGACTTGAGCCCCAGTGCAGAAATCATAGCTGACAAGGATAAATACTCCATTTCTTGGCCTCGGACACAGTGCTTGAAGCAGCGCGCTCGCAAAAGGATGCTTTCTATATGATTGGAGCTCGATACCAAAACTACAGTCCGCACATTCCAACACCGCCGGACCTTGCAGCGCCACTGCCACCACGGACAAGCGCAAGCAGACTGTTTGCGGCTTCTCCCTTGACCACACTACTAGTCGGGCCGCCAGGGCGGTACGGGTTCCTTGCCTGTGAGGTATTGGCTCGGTCACCGAGGTCGAGGTCATGACGGCCTGCCGATACCGGTACCGACACGGGACTAGATAGCCGCACAGGTGTCTTGGGCTCACCGCGAAGGGCTGTTCGGTTTCCGTTTCCGTTTCCGTTTCCGGCTTCACCAACCGTCTGACCAGCGCGTGGCTGTGCAGCTGCCAATACCGGCGGACTGCTGGGAATGGTGGCATGTTGGAGCTGATTGCTGAAATGCGGCTGGCCTGTCTCTGTTTCCGAGAAACCGTGATTCCAGCGCGCCGAGAAGGCGGTCGGGGCGATCGTGGGCATCGGCAGACTCGATAGCGTCCTGGGTTTGGGCTTGGGGTCCATTGTCGCGCGTGCTCGTGCCATGGCAACTCTGGTCTCGGGCGTCATGGCGAGTCCCGGCTCTCCTCCCCTCAGAGTAGAAGACGAGCTCGGAGACGACGACGAGATTGCTGGCATGTCCGGAGACGACGAACGAGCTTTTGGGATCTGAAGACGCGCAAAAGGCCGCGAGACTTGGTTTGTTTGGATCTTGAAGATGGCCAGTTGAAGGCGAGTGCGAAGGGTCTCTGCTTTCTGGACGGTGGCTGTCAGCCATCCACGCGCTTGAGACTCAAAAGTCTAAATCATGGTACTCACCTCCAGAAGCATTTCCTTCCTGATGTCCTCTCGGGTTTTCGGTCGCTGGTCCTTAACCACTTCCTCTTCTTCGATCATTTGCATGTTATCCTCGTCTTGGGACGAATGGTTGTTCTCGAAATCAATCAGACTCGACATGCTCAGGCTGATTTGAGAGCCTTCCTGGTTCAGGCTCGGTCGTAGTGCCGGCACTAGTTGCGACGTGTTTTGAGGAAGAGTGATGGCATGCTAGAGGGAGTCTATTATTAGCCTGGCTCTTTTCTGCCGTCAACATTGTATGCAGTGTATGCGTGCGTACCATTGTGTCCAAAGTCTGTTGGCTGGGTTCTTCATGTATCTCAAACTGGGGCTCGACTTGGGATGTCTCTTCTTGCGACGGGCGAAAAGACGAGAACACCACAGTATTAGGTGTGGATTTGTATGGTTCCGCTGTCATTCTGTAGTTTTCCGGTTCGGAAAGGCTGTCGCTCAGGATCTCCGTCATCTGGGACATGGGATGGGGCAATCGAGAGTCTTGCGAGCCTTGTATTTCATCGTCATTCGTCTCGTCTATTTTTCTCTTCTGTCCTGCACGCGCGCTGACGGGCGAAAGAGGACGCTTCGAGGTCGGCCGCTGCACGAAGGGACTGGCGGCGTTCTCCAAACCAACAGTGCCCTTTCGGGGGGACTGTGTCGGTAGAAGCGCGTTGGGGTCTTTCTCGCCGAGGACGCGTCGAGCAGGAGAGGTCGCTGGATCCATTTTGAGCAAAAAGAGTGCTGTTCCAAATGAGAAGAGAGACTCGTAGATGTAGTACCCGTGGTAGGTCTGAATGGAACGGCACTGAGTATATGGATACACCTGATTGATGGGGAAATGCGCAAAGATGAGTTCTCGAACGAGGGCAGACCAAACAAACGGCTTGGATGCAAGGATTGATGAAGCAGACGAGCAGATGAACAGACTCCGATAGGCAATAAGGAATGAATCGACCAAATGGTCTGCAGCTCTAAATAGCAGACGCGAGGGAACAAAGGAGCAAGCCCGACAGTGGGATATCAAGTCGCGGTGTCACGTCCGTCGGTGAATGGATGCTGTGGATGCACAACACGAACATGGCGAAATACGAGTACACGGTACAGTGGAGGTACAGTAACATGTCACGGCCAGCCTCGTCGTCAAGGCCAATCATATGTGACAATCCTAACTACAGCCTACTGCAACCTGGTTAGAGCCGACCCGCATTTCACCGTACGGGCAGCGATTGGTGTTCCCCCGCAGACTATTCTGTAAAGGGTTTAAGTCGGCCTTGTCCCTGAATTTAGCGAGCCACGTCAAGCGGGTTTTGAGCCGTACGTGTTAAGCCAGACGCGACGGCCCTCCACATAAGGTGGCTCTGCACAAACGCGGAGACACTGGAATTAACATTCAGGAGAGAAACAATCTCACACCCCAAACTTCTCAAAAGGTGAAGCATTAGATGGCAAAATACTCCTTATTGATGGTCGCGCATGGCGTACGTCTTGTCTTCATGCTATAGTTCCGGAACGACAGCTTCAGCCTCTGCTCGTTCTGCATCCAATACACTCTGGACATCCACCTCTTTCACCAAACTATCATCCAAAAACTTCAAGCCATCGGCGGCTCGGCCGTTGCAGGCTTGTCCTAGTGCCAAAAATGCAAAATGACCACCTACCACAGGTCGTGCGAAGAAGCTGGGGCCAGGGAAACCTCCTTGACCCTCCGTGTTGTGCAAATCCGTCAATGGGCGGTCGGTGGCCGTCTCGTTGACCCATTTAGCAACCGACTGCAAGATCTCGGCTCTTACCTTGGGCGCAACAACGGCCATAGCAAAGAACTCCCAATCCGTCTTGGTGTAGAGATGCCTTGAGTCCAGTGGGAGTCCATACTTTTGCCGAACCGAGTAATACCAGTCGCTCTGCAACTGGTAAATATGCTTCGGCACAAAACCCGCTTTATCGCCAGCAATATCCTTCAGCGGATTCTGAGCCTTGTACCGGCCACCAATGCTGGTACTTCTCTGTGCAGAGTCTTCTTCGCCCAAGTGGAAGCACAGCAAGCTGTCTGCAAAGAGGTTGTATGTGGTCGTCCATGAACCGTACCAGTCATATGCAAGTTTTGCGTGCGTCTTGTCCCGGGAGATTCCATAATCTTCCCACTTTGCAATGAATTCTTCCGAGATGTTGTTATAGATCTTGACATCCTCGGCATTGTTGACCAGGGCAGCAAGGCCGGCCATAGCTTTGATGCCAATGATCCCTTTGAGAGCAAGGTTCGTCTGTAAGGCCAGCCATCCAGCGAAGTCATCTGTTGACAACTGGTTGTGAGGCTCCAAGGAGAATTCCACAAGGTAACTAGTCCACTGTTTCCACAATGAATAACTTCTGCTAACCCATTTCTTGGCTCGATCTACACTGTCTGCTCCTCCAACCCAAGGTACATCGATGTAGTTGATTCCGTCCTGCTGTCCCACTGCCAAAGGAGCAATGTTATCACTGGAGTCTGGCGCGTGCATCGGTTGCCAGGAGGATGAAACAGAGGTGTTCGCCCCGTTCTTCAAAGAGTTGGCCAGTGCCAGGCCCATGATGAGAATGTTTCCACATTCCTCCACGGGCATGTACTCGTCTCGTCCTAGTGGATGACCAGTTGCATTAGGGAAATGTGTGCCCAGATCGTGCATGGCATATTTGTTCGGGTACTGCCCACTAAGCATGTGCTCAATCAATGGTTCAAGGAGATATCCAAGCCACCGCGGGTTTGAGTACAGGAAGAACGGGAATGCTGGGAAGATAACATCAATGGTCTGGAAGTTTCCGTTGGACGAGATCTCTTTGAGGAACAAGATTGGATCATCCGGAGTGCCTGAAAAGCTTGTGGCTCCAAGCACTTGCCGAGCAGAGAGGGCCACAATGTCAACATAGTCCTCCGAACCAGATTTGTACGCATCAACGGCAAGCTGGGCGGAGTAGTTCGTTGCCAGTAACTTTGCCTGTGGGAAATCCAAAAAGTGGAAGGTGAGGAGGTGGCTGACGGTTGGGAAGTACGACTCCCAGAGCGGTCGCATGAGAGTCAAGCCCCGGGCAGACGCGAACTGCACAACAGGATCTTGGATGTGAGCCACCGTGAACGTAACGCTTTCCTCATGCACCGAGTTGGTGCTGACATTCATGGCAAACGATTTGGAAAATGCAAACACTGGTTCGTCATCCATGATGGAACGGAACCGATTGTCCATAGAGTCCTGAAGGGTACCGGTCCTCGAGAAGCGCTGCCGTAATAGCGCCGATGTGCCCGCTTCATGCCGGACGTTCGACGGACCGGAAAAGTGCAGCGTCCCCCATTCCGAGCGATCTTGATATTCGGTGAAGAGCTGTTCGACTTCTCTTTTGACCTCCCATGTTATGAATCCGGGGTCCATACCATCCAACGCTGTATGAGTAAGGGCCCACACGATCTTGCTTCCTCGGTCCCCACTGACCCAGAGGCCATTGAGATCCAGGTAGACATCCACAGGCACATTGCCGTGGACGTGGACGGTAATATAACTTGCGGGAATGGACTGTCGAACAGTCGATGTAGGGGTTATAGGAGAGAGGAAGGACAGGGTGATATCCAGCTTGCTGGAGGAGGAGTATGAGGAAGGGAGAGGAAGGGAGTATGACAGGTTCGTGGTGGACGCATCGTACTGAGCGCCTTGGTATATAGGGTTGGACAGGATATAACTGCCGGAGTAGCATTAGCTCTAGTATGCGATTCAAGAGGCTCAGCCTTTCTGTACCTATCATCATCCTTCCGCAGTGAATCTTGAGGTCTTCCCAGCAATGGATACACCGTCCTCTGCCCAGGGATACTGGCCATGACGGACAATCCAACCTCCTGGCCAGTCCAAAACATGGGCCATTTGTCCCACGGCACATCTCTTGCATTGGCCAGCCACGTACTCAGATAGGGATTCCGTACAATCAGAGGGAGCACGGGAGGAGTTAATCGGGAACATTGCACAAGGGGCACAACGGCAGCCAGCAGGACTGCCAATGCGGAAACCAGCCGCATGATGGGGTCGAACATAGAAGATATTCAACACAACGACGAGCAGTAAAGAAACGATGTACAGCACCAGAAGCTCACAGCGAAGAAGATAAGAAACAAGAACCGCTGGAGCACATTGAAGTGCTACACTGGCAAGTAATGTGGAGGAGAGGCAGTGAGAGAGACGAGAGACGCAAAGACGCAAGAGAACAAAAGCGCAGGCTGTCCAGGTTGCAATAGTGGTCAGCCGATCAGCCAAATGATGCCCAGTGCTGCACCGGCTTGCAAATGACGGCATCTGTCGTTGAGGCTAGGGGCCAGGGCGCAGTCAGAACACTGGCTAGAACGGGTTTTAGCTGCTATCAGAGTACGTACTACTACTATAGTAGTAGTCTTTACTGCTAGCAGGTAGCTGGCAGGTACTATTTGTTCGTCTTCGACCATCCACGAGCGCCTCCAGTCCTCCTCTATCCGGTACTGCGGATGCTCCAGTCAGTGATACAGAGTACCTAGGTACAGATCTGCCGCACGGCAAGGCGGGCACCTTCATCCATCCCCTCACAGTCCGAGTCATGGTCGGGAACCCGTCTGCGGCCATTCGCGCTATGCCTGTTCCTATTATTGAAACTTGATACAGAGAACCTCAATGCGAGGACACTCATCGACACGGACAATGAACCCGGCAGAGATCTGACTAGGGATGATTGTGAATCCAAGATGCTGAGTGCGGAGGATAGAGAAGACCCAATCCGCCTCATGCTCCTGACCCATCAGGATTAGTTGCTGACCCAGTTCATTGCCTTCTGCAGAACGGTGTGTCACAACGAAGACCTCATTGGCTACATGATTCTGGCCCTTCGAATGTTTGCCATGCCCTGGCAAAGTACCTGCACACTCTGTGGCCTCTAATATACGTCTAATGGCGCCTCCTTCCTCTTCTCATGAAGCTGCTTTTCGAGTATATTGTATCGAAGACGGTTGACTTCGATGGACGTTCAAAATAAAGAGGCCGTCCTCGTCCCCGAAGCTGGCTCGTCGGCCGCGGCCAACGACATAGAGAAACAGGAAAGCCGCCAACATGCAGACCTTCACACGTCTGTATTCAAGAGTCTCGGTATTATTGATCGCTTCCTGGCGCTATGGATCTTCCTTGCCATGCTCATCGGCATCCTCTTGGGGAACTTCGTCCCTAGCACTGGCCCCGCCCTGCAAAGAGGCGAGTTCGTGGGCGTATCTATTCCCATCGGTATAGGCCCCTCTTGTAATGGACCGTCTCCGACCAGACACAGCTAACACTGACCGTAGCAATCGGACTACTGGTCATGATGTACCCCATCCTCTGCAAAGTCCGGTTCGAGACGCTGCATCATTCATTCCGACAAAGGACGCTGTGGGTGCAGATTGGATTCAGCGTTGTCGTCAATTGGCTCATCGCACCTTTCTTCATGGTACTATATGCCCCACTGTCCCCAAACATTGGCAGTGGATGCTGATGATGACCAGCTCGCACTTGCCTGGGCATTCCTTCCTGATGAGCCCGGCCTACGCGAAGGTCTGATCCTGGTCGGAATTGCAAGATGCATTGCCATGGTCTTGATCTGGACCGGACTTGCTGGCGGTGACGGAGAATACTGCGCCATCCTTGTCGCTATCAACTCTCTGCTGCAGATGGTCTTATTCGCCCCACTGGCGGTATTCTTCATCCGAGTCATCAGCCAGACTTCAGAGTCGATCGACGTCGAGTATGGCCCGGTTGCAAAGAGCGTCGGCGTGTTCCTGGGCATTCCCCTTGCTGCCGCCATCGTCACACGCTTCACACTTCGCAACCTAGCCGGCAAAGAGTGGTACGAAAAGTTTCTGAAGTGGATAGGCCCGCTCTCTCTCATTGGGCTCCTCTTTACCATCATTGTCTTATTTGGGTCGCAAGGTCGGCGTGTCGTCCACCAAATCGTCTCTGTTGTGAGAGTTGCGGCGCCTCTGATCGTCTACTTCGCCGTCATATTCTTGTCCTCGCTGTTCGTGACCAGAAAATTGGGATTTGGCTACCGACTCGCCTGCACGCAGAGCTTCACCGCAGCCAGCAACAACTTCGAGTTGGCCATCGCAGTGGCAATCGCAACGTATGGCGTCAACAGTGACCAAGCACTGGCGGCAACCGTGGGTCCTCTAGTGGAAGTCCCGGTTCTGCTGGGCCTGGTCTACGTTATCAAATGGATAGGGAGAAGCAAGAATTGGGCGGCCTAGACGGAGGTGGTTTTCGGCGCTTTGGACCGATATCTTTTCAGAATTGTGGCAGCGGCGACTCCATTTCGTTCAATACCTGGAACAGGACCTGACTGCTAACCCGACAACCCAGCCCTGGTGCAGTGGGTCGGCTGAATGCTGTGGCTAGGCGGGCCTCGAGTCCTTGCATTTGCACCGGCGTTGGACCGTACTGTTCGATCGTGGATTTTGCTATCGAACATAAAACCGTGTTGCCATTGTCTGGCAGTAGAGGCCCGTTTGCTGGGACTTGGAAGGCGTCGCAGGAAAAGGAGCTGTCGCTGGACACAGATGACGCATCCGTATCATAGCCAACGAGCCATTCCTGAAAAAGACCGAGTGAAGTGCTCGGCAGCTGAGCCAGTGCTGCTGGAGTGGGAAATGAGGGCGAGGAAAAGTCGTGTTGAATGGCGTCCTCGGAGTGTGTGCCCACCGTTAGAGCATTGTGAGCGCTTTGAGACCCTTGAAGAGACAAAGGAAAGGAGGATTCCACATAGCAGGCTTGTTCTTCCAATACTGGTTGGAGTGCGCTATACACAGTCTGGCAGGCCGGCTGTTCTGTTGACTGCAACTTGGGTTTCAGAAGTCGTGAAGAAGCATCCGAGGCTTGACCCCGGCAAGGCTGAGGACCCGACTGAGGACCCGTCCTGCCAGCGGATCCCACTAGGTCGGGATCGAATCCAGCCGATTTTAAAAGATTCCGCAACCGGGCATTCTCCGCTTGAAGGTCCGCAAATGCGGCTCGTTGTAGAGCGGCCTCGCGACAAGTACTGTGACACTCGTTCAGGCGCCGTTGGAGGTCCGTCTGATACTGCCGCCGCCGCGCACGGCTGCGTCGCTGGTTATCACGAACCCGCTCCTGTTTAGACCGGGAGTCCCCGGGCGTAGCGTTGTCTCCAGAAGCCATCAGCGCCCTTGGAGAGCCGCGCCCTCGAATATGTGACGAGCGAGACGGGTGATCGACGTGTGGTCTACGCCGCACTTCCTGCAGCAATAGGAGACGTGCAGGCTCCAGTAGAAGCTGCCGTGGCAGGCAAGATGGAAACCCGACGCGTGGGATCTTAGCTCTAGATTAGAATTAAAGTGATTGAGACGATGAAAGATAGTACGTATTAATGGTGGTATCACAGCTGAGGTTTAAAGCCACTGATTGTGGATTGTGGATCACGCGGAATCGATTATGTCATCGTCATCTTACCACGAGTCGCTATAGTACTACGAGTACCTACGTAGTACCATGCTACTGACTACACCCAGTTGATGGCTGTGAAGACGAGCGAACTCCAGGGAGAGCATGAGAGGAAAAAGAAATCTACATTGCCTTGGGCAAGACGGACTCGACCAAATGGGCCGATAGAACCAGGAAAATGGATGGTTATTCTGTTCGGTCGATCCAGAACAGCATCATGACTTAGCAAGCCTCAAACACGGCCGTGGCCATTTACAACTTGGACTGCCCTCCGCTCACGCGGTTCAGCTGCAAGGGATCCCTCTCCTCCAGACCATAGTGCCGGAGCAGCTCTCGAGTTTTCTCTTTCTGCGCCTGGATCCGTTTCAACAACGCCGGCCCACGCTTGTTCTCATTCCGACCGAGTTGCAGCATATGGACTTCATCTGGCCCGTCAACAATCCTCATAGTTCGACCGCTGGCCCACATGTTCGCCAGCGGCGTGTCCTGAGACACCCCGGCACCGCCGTAAGCCTGGATGGCCCGGTCGAGCACGTCCAGCAGCATATTGGGGACTTGGATCTTGACCTCGGCGATCTCCTTCAGGGCGTCTTTGGCGTTGGACTGGTCGATCTTAATGGCGGCGTTCAGCACGGACAGACGGGCCGAGTCGATTTCGATGCGCGATTTGGCCACGCGCTCCAGCATGATTCCGTGCTCGTAGAGCTGCTTGCCGAACGGTTTCTTCGCGGGATCGTTGATCCGTGCCAGGAACAACTCCAGGGCTTTCTCGGCCTATATGACGCTATCAGTGGTCGGGCTCATGGCGTATATCGCTCAAGAACATAACAACAGGTCGAGACTTACCGCGCCTACGGATCTCATGGCGTGGTGGATCCTGCCTGGACCCAGCCGGCCTTGGATCACCTCGAACCCACGGCCTTCGCCTAGAATTAAGTTGCTCTTGTGGACTCTGACATTGTCGAAGATGACGTGACCGTGTCCGTGAGGGGCGTCGTCAAATCCAATGACAGACAGCATTCGCTTGATGGTGATGCCGGGCGTGTCGGCGGGTACGAGCACGACGGACTGTTGTTTGTAGACGTTCGGGTTGGTTGGGTCCGTCTTGCCCAGGGCAATGTAGATCTTGCAGCGTCTGTCCCCGGCGCCGCTGGACCACCATTTCTGTTGTTGTTAAGTCACGTCAATGAGGCGCCTAGGAGCAGGGGTCGAGCACGAAGCTGGAGGCGAACACATACCTGTCCGTTCAGAACATAGTAGTCTCCATCCTTTTTAATGTCCAGCTCGATATTGGTGGCATCACTGCTGGCGACTTGCGGCTCGGTCATGAGGAAAGCCGACCGGATCTCGCCGTTCAACAACGGCACCAGCCACTTCTTCTTCTGCTCTTCGGTGCCGTACTTGGCAAAGACCTCCATGTTGCCCGTGTCCGGCGCGGCACAGTTGGTGGCCTCGCTGGCGGTGAAGCTCTTTCCCAGATACTCGGCCATCAGGCCGTACTCGAGGTTACTGAAGCCGGCGCCCTCCTTGAAATGGTTCTTGGGCAGGAACATGTTCCACAGGCCCAGCTTCCTGGCCTTGACTTTCAGATCCTCAATGACTCTGGGATGCGAGTCGAAGCGGTTGACGGTGCCTTCGCCGATCTGTTGTCTGAAGACGGCGTCGGCGGGAATACATTCTTCCTCGACGAATTTCTCGACCTAGACGAAGAAAACACATATACATGGTTGGCATTTCCATTCTGGTGAACGCCGACGGCAAAAAACAACCGGATAGACAAGCGCGGGAGTAGTATTTACCAGATCTAACGTCTTCTTAGCCCGTTCGCTCACGAAAGGCCTGGCAATCACCGGTATCTTCTCTGACGCGGGGATATGGCCTTTGGCACTGTTGAGTAGGTAGGGGACCGACATGTTTGCGTAGCTTGCTCGCTCAAGGAACAAGTGGATTGAGGAGAAAGGCCGGACACTGGACGAGATGGAGAAGGAACAGTTATGTCCCAAGGATACAGAAAGTTCAATGGGGGATGAAGAGAAGAATCAACATGTAGGAGCAAGTAGTCGATGATTTGATGAGCAGGGTCATGAAGTGAGCTGCTTATTATTACTACTAGTCGTAGCCGTCCATCTGTTGCGTTGTTGACTCGACTCGCCGCATCCGAGAGCCGAGGCTGATGCTTCCAGCTCCGGGCGGAGAAAGAGACGAACAACTTGAAACACCCTCCACCACTGGACAACAGCCACGACTAAACTCTGGGGACCAACCTCCTCTGTGCACTGGCGATTCCACCGTAAAAACAATCCCCAATTCCCCCTCGAATCTGCCCACACCGTGACCTGATTGCTCCAGATTGCCGTCCTTTACCCCAGAATCACCAACACCCAAGGTTCCGTCGTACCAGCTTCGCGATATCTATTTGTTAACTCCCACAAGTCTCATACGATGAGATTTCATTCAATCACGCCACACTCCCCGGATAACATTACGCCCTGAAACTAGGTCTCGCCTGATGCCATGGATCCCGGCTTGGACGAATCATTTCAAATGGGGATAACTTTACATACCCCAACGAGCCTGAAGTTATAGGGAGAATGGTGCCATAAGATACCTCGATTTTCGAACATCTAGCAAGAGTCTTGTCTCTGGTCTATTGGACTAGACATTCCGATCCTTCTAGGTGTCTTCATAGAAGTAGGAATATCTCCATGACGTTTGTGGCGGCGCTAGAGAGACGTCCAACGCGGAGGGAGGCTTTGGCAGCTTCGAACCGGCAAACAATCATAGGAGACGATCGGTAGGACCACATGGTGGCCCGCAGTCAGCTTGCGAAAGCACAACGCCGGTGCCTCCACCCTGCATTTATCGTGCAGGGATCCTCTACCGGTTTACCCTTCAAGGGTAACCTCGGAATCCTTGGCCCTTTCGATGATCGCCGGCGGCTTGGAGATGTTCTGTCGGAAGATGTGTCGCTTGATGAAGTAAGGCAGCCAGACCCGCAGCTCGTAGGAGATGAAACTTTTCGTGGGCACCGAAAAGACCTCTGCCGAAGTCAAGTGTCAGCAGGAAGATCAACTGAAGTCGGCTCAAGGCCCAGGGGGCCGGACGGGGAGGGGGTTCACTTACGGTCCAGCTCTTCCAGGGTGAGCTGCTTGGTCTCTCGAACGAAACAGAAGATCATGAACCAGGCGATCAGGTTGAGTCCAGCATAGAACCCGACTAGAGTTGGATTGTCAGTGTATCGCCACAGGCAAGAGGAATTTGGCAACTGCAAGAGTTCACTTACAAGCTCCCGTGGGGGTCATGACGGTCTTCATTCGAGGGAAGGTCAAACTGAGGATACCAGCTATTGCAGAAGAGACAATTGTTAGTGGAAACTTTCCGAGGATAAGTCTGGAGGATGCTTACCGAAGGTGTTGTTGATGCAGACGGCCCAAGCCATTCCTTGCTCTCGCTGGATGGTAGGGAACACCTCGGCGGAGTATTGGAAAGCGACAGGGCCTTCACCCAGAGAGTAGCAGATGGTGAAGAGGTAGACGAATCTAGCCGAAAAACAATAATCAGTCACATGCAGTAAACACAAGAATACTCCCATGGCCACTTACAAGACAACCGGTCCAATCTGTTCGCCCCGGCTACCCGATGTGTTGAGAAGAGACAGACCAGCGGCCAATAGGAAGATGCACATGAGTGGGAAGGTCTGTACAAGACAAATGATCAGTTATCTCGAGTCGCAAATGCTCCAGCCAAAGGGAGGGACTCACTGCCAAAGTCAAGGTTCTTCGACCTTTGGTGTCAATGAGGAACAGAGTGGGGATCGTGGAAACGACTTGAACGGCTCCATAGCCCAGAGACGCATACAAGGCCTGAGTAGCCGTGTAGCCGACGTCTTCGAAGATTGTTGAGCTGTAGAAGGAAATGACTGCAAGGTGTCAGATCTGATCATTTGGCACGAGTCCAATGGAGGGATGACTTACTGTTGATGCCGCACATCTGTTGGGCAATCATGACGGTCGAGGCACCATAGTTGGCTCGCCTGATTCGAGGCACGGCGAAACAGTCCCACAGACGGCCGAAATAGCCTTCACCAGCGGCCTCTCGAAGTTCCACCTCGTAGATGACCCACGAGTAGTAGTAGTCCCTGGCGGCGATGATGGGATGGGCTCGCAAGCGCTTCATCGATTTGAAGGCTTGTACGTGCTTGCCGTGCTTCATGAGCCAACGAGGTGACTCGGGACAGAAGAAGATGCCGATCATGAGGATGAACGAAGGGATAAAGGCCGAACCGAGTTGCAGGCGCCAGGATATGGCACCAGTGTCTTTGACAATGACGTTGGCACAGAAACCTAGGAAGATACCTGTGGGCGAACAGTCAGCATGTGCATCAAGCGTGGCGACGAAAGAGTAAGCAGCTCACCAGCCACGACCCAGAGTTGCCAGAACATGACCAGGGCACCTCGAATCCTAGCCGGCGCCATCTCCGCAGAGTAGATGGGCACCGTTGCGTTCTTTGCACCGATACCGATACCCATGACGAACCGGGCAGCGAAGAGTCCTTGCCATGATTGCGCGAAGGCGGATCCGATGGGCGTCGCGGTGAGACAGCAGGCAGTGATGAAGATCTCGCCTCTTCGTCCAAAGTAGTGGTTGAGAGGGTCGACGATGAAAGCACCGCTGTGTTCAAGGTCAGTCACCCAATGTTTGTACGAGCGATGGGACAGCAGCACTGAACAAGGTTATACTCACATAAGACCGGCGGTCAAGAAAATGATGGCATTGATGATTCCGACAATCCACTCGTCTTTTCCAGGACCATCGATGCCAAATTCCTGTGGGAAGGACAGGTTGGCGCCGTTGGATCCCGTCTGATCCCATCCCTGCGTGGCTGCTCCGACGGCACACAAGGAGATCGAGTACCAGAGCATGGCAGGGCCGTGCCATTTGTGGTCTCTCTCGTAGATGAGTGCAGCGCGCTCTTCGTCGTCAAGCTCGGCCACCGTCTCGAACCTCTCTTGGTCACGCGCAACGAGAGCAGCGCGCCCAAGCAGAGCGGCGTGCTCGGCCAGCCCATGCGACTCGGCAAAAGCCCGCGCATTGGCGACGGTCTCCTCTGGGGTGCTCCGCTGTGAGAGAGAAGAGAGTCAGCGTCAATGCGCGACACAAGGACAGGAGACTGTCTGGTCAAGTGTTGATCGCGCCAAACTCACCTTCAGGGGGTTCTCGACGATGTTGAGAGCAGCATGTTTGCGGTGCCCACCCGTAGCCTCAGGGGCGACCTTCCTCTCATGGTGGGAGACGTCGGCGAAGATCTCTGGAGAGGTTTTCTTCTCCATGGTGCTTGAGCGGGATCCAATATCTGGACAGAGTCAACACGTAATCAGGCTTCCTGTCTCTATAGCGACTCTTGCGAGGGAGAAAAGGATCGGTACCATTCGACTGGGGGCACGCATGGTTTATAGTAGCCGCGGCGCCTGACAAGGCCGTGGGGACCTGTTCACGGACGACCTTCGGCGGAACAGGTAACTTCCTCGTCACATCCTTCTCGCCATCATCTCAACCTTGTAAAAGTACACACAGCACTCCACGTTACAGATGTTGATATGGGGCAGCCCGCAGATTGCCCAGAGAATGAATAGAGCGTCCGGAGTAACATGTGGGTATTGGAGGACCAATGGGGGAAAATATAAGAGCTCACTAGTCCTAATATGGACTACTATATGCAGCTAAAGTGTATGCATGAACGCCAAGACATCACAGAGTAACATGCAACATCAAGGGGCACGTCGACTGGCGAATCATAACGCGTCATCTTGGGAATGAGGATCTACCTTGGAACATGTGACACGAAATTGGGCGGTGCGGCTCGATCGCCGCTCGACAGACAATTGACGTCATTTTACCTTGACGGTCAACGGCGCAAAGGCCGAACATCCAATCACTTGGGCTGAAACCGCGGATCATCCTCGGCATCTGACTTGGAGTTTGATTGAGCAGATGAGTGTACAAGTAGTAGTGATAGTAGCAGGTACTAAATGCACTTTGACTTTTGCACATGTCGACTTCTGTCTCTGGCCTTTGTTGTGCAGTGTCCCATGGCCCTTCATGCCTTCACTCTGCGAAAAACTTACCAATAAATTCTTGGATATATGTTCGCCTTTGCGCCCAAGCACCTGTAAGACGGACTCGTTGTCATACATGTTATTTAGCATCGATTCGCATACTGCTACCTAGAATGCAGGTCGTGCTAGTATTGCCCCCAAACCCCCATGTTTGCTCCACGAAACTCGATTGGGGTAACCCCCGACGTTTAGTTGACTTTGGTGGAAGGCCTGACTTTTCTCCACAGCGGTCTGCTGACCACACGGCTGAACCTTGTATAAGCTGATCTGCCTTCTACCTGGCACTCAAGTCATTCTCTACAAGTTGTAGTCGGGTCCAATATGACCGAGGTTGCCGAATTATCCGAGGGAGACGGCCTATCTAGCGTGTACTGCATAGGTAAAAAGCCACGGCAGGTCCTCACTGTTCGCCAGAGGTATGCGAGCTGACGCCATAAATGTCCTGTGGCTTGAATTGCGAAGTACTAGGGGCACAACAAGGCTGGAATAATGACAAGGTGAGAAGGTAAGGTACCTAAGGTACCTAGTAGGTACTACACCTAAAGCATTCAAGACCGCTGAACACGTGACATTCATACACGTGACGGCCTGCACGTGATGGATCGATCTGGGAGCTTTTTCTCGCTTCTGAGCCTGTTTGGCGATGACGCTGCAATAATGACTTTTTGCCTTGACCTCCGCAGTCTGGGAGTCCAGCAAATTCAATCTCCATTTCCACCTGCGTACAATCGGCGCCGCTGGTCGCATCAGAAACCTTCCTTAATCACCTCACGTTGTACATTATTCTGCGCTCCTCCCTTCTTTTCCATTAAAACTGCATTTTTGTCTTGCGCCCTTGCGCAACGTTCATGACATTTCCTACCACCAGCTCCAAGCCTTTCCAGGTGGACCCCAAAGCAGAAGAGAATCTTTTGCCTCAGGCCCGAGAGACAGGGCTGGTGGTTCCGGAAGGTCAATCGAAAAATGCGCCTTCGATAGCGAAGGACGGGCCCGTGGCTAAACCATGGGCTCATTTCGTGGCAGGCGGGTGCGTTACGGCAGCTCCAGACAGCCTTGAGGCAAACTGACTAGTATCCCAGTATCGGTGGTATGACGGCAGCTGCCCTGACCTGTCCCCTGGATGTCCTGAAGACACGTCTACAATCCGACTACTACCAAGCACAGTTAAACGCTCTACATGCGAAACATCCTTTGCCACAAAAGACCACTCTCCTCTCTCTTCCCCGAAGTGCATATTTCCATCTCGCCGAGACCTTACAAATCCTACGGTCGATACACCAGCATGAAGGGTTCCGGGCGCTTTTCCGCGGCCTAGGCGCGAATCTGATCGGCGTTGTCCCGGCACGGAGCATTAATTTTTACGTTTATGGCAATGGCAAGCGAATACTGAATGATCACTTCAACCCCGAAGGTCGTGAAAATGTATGGAGCATCCACCTTGTGGCGGCAGCCACGGCAGGCATCCTCACAGGCACCGCCACGAATCCAATCTGGTTAGTGAAGACGAGGTTGCAACTGGACAAGAACAATGCGAGTCACGACCCAAATCATGGGCGCCAATACAAGAACAGCTGGGACTGTATCAAGCAGACCGTCCGGCACGAAGGCATCAGGGGACTGTATCGCGGCTTGACAGCTTCGTATCTCGGAGTCACGGAATCGACGCTGCAATGGGTCATGTATGAGCGGATGAAATTGTCTCTGGCGAGACGAGAAGCCAAAAGACTAGCCACTCCAGGCTATCAGCGGACATGGCTTGACAACACCGAGGAATGGGCTGGCAAGTTCAGCGCGGCTGCAGGCGCCAAACTTGTCGCTGCTGTTCTTACATATCCCCACGAAGTGGTAAGGACGAGATTAAGACAGGCGCCGACCATCACCACCGAAACCGGCAAGGTTACGGTCAAATATACTGGGCTCGTCCAGTGCTTCAAAGTGGTGGCCAAGGAAGAGGGCATGGCCGGGTTATATGGTGGCATGACACCGCATTTGCTGAGGGTCGTACCCAGTGCGGCCATCATGTTTGGAATGTAAGTTGACCAGTCTCGGATCTATATGCACACACTGACTCAATGTGTCAGGTACGAGATCATTCTCCGCCTCTTCGGTACGACTCCTTAATATCATGTCGACGGCCGCCGCGTCGGCGTCGATTGTCTGTACAACATTTGCTTCAGTGTCATGGAGGACATATGACCGTGCCCATACCCATTACATGGGAGGCAGTCCTCCCAGCTCGTCCTGAGAGACAGGAGAACCCCCAATATTCTGCATGAGAACAGGCGTCAATGGGTTGGCTAGGAAGATGCGTTTCTGATAAAAGAGATACCCTGCTCCCTACTTTGTACCATGGTACAACACATTCATCTGCCGCACCGCAAGAGACGATAGATTCTAGCGTGGGAAGCTTCCTGCAAATGCCACGTCTAGTAGAGTGTTGACAAGCCTCTCATCATACCCGTTTCTCTCCCCGTAGCGCTAGGAAGACGATCGTAGATCAACATCAGCATCAGAGACATGAAGGCCGGTGCGGACTACCCTGCAACATGTGCCTGTGCCAGAAATACAAATACAAGTCGCGCTGTTATCTGGGTCGAATTGACTGATGAAACTTCCATGAGTTTTGGAGCCTGGAAACTTGGCGTGACGTTTATTTACATTTTCCGAGTTGAGCGATCAGAGCGCGAGTCTCCAAAGATCCCAACCGCACCTTGTGTAACCACATCGTATTGTGTACAAGACCCCTTCGTGCTCCGAATGCACCCTGCGCACCTCCAGCTCTGAAATCCGACTCTTACACACTAACGGAGCTTTCAAAATGGCAACGTCCGTCGACTACCATGCGACGTTGGCGAGTCTGCGCGCGCAACAATCCGCGCGACCGCTCTCGATCCTCGCGCTCGCCGAACCCTTAGCCGCGTCGTCGTCGTCGCGGCACGAGAATGAATCACAATCACCACCAGCCACGGCTGGTACGCGATCTCAGTCACAAGCTCACCAACGGCCATCAGATGTCTCATCAACCTCAGCATCGCAAGGCGCATCCGACCTCAACCTGGCGGACCCAGACCCATCGCTCCTCACCCCGGCCTTTCTCTCCGCCGACCTAGCACACTACAAAGACCTGTTCTCGAAACTACGGTTCAGCTACCTCGAGCAAGTGACCAAGGAGAAATACCTGCGCAGCATCGTCGGCGATCCGCCCTTGGTGGTCAGCCACGGCGACAACCTCGCGCTCGAGGACAAGTTGAGCGCGATGAAGGCGGAGCTACAGACGAAAAAGGGCGGCGTGGACGCCCTGGTTGCGGAAATGGAACGGCAAGCGCGTCTCCTGGCTCAGCGGTACGATGGCGTCACGCGAGGTCTGGAGGTGTTGGACCGCGTGCCCCGCGAACTCGACGAGCTGAGACAAGAGGTCGCGGAGATCCAGGCTTTGATTGCGGAGCGGAAGAGAGAGCAGAGGCGGAACGGCGACGGTGCTGAGGTTGACGATGATGCAGACGAGAACGATGAGGAGGACCCGCGCCTGAACATGGCTCTTGAACCGATGCAGATGGCGCTTCACGAGCAGGAGGAGCGTAACGCCGAGCTGGATCGCCAGATCGATCTCCTGCAGCGCCAGATGCCGGCTAAAGACCGCGAGGTCGAGAAGATGGATCGCGAACTCGCTGAGCTCGAGAAGAGGCGGAACGAGACCACAAGACTGGCTGTCGATTTGCGCCGGCGTCGGGAACATGGCGGGCGTGATGAGATGGAGGAGTTGGGGAGGTGGTATCGTGGCTCGGAGACGGTGTTGAGAGGTGTCTTGGGCTTAGGTGTCGAAGGATCATGACCTTGGATCAAGAGTCACGGCTCGTCTTCACCGGCTTGGTGATGATGGCTGGCGCAACAACTTCGTCCATACTTGCCCATATTACAATTCGACGATGGCTGCATTGGTGTCGGCCCGAGAATGACCCAGGCTTCTACAACTGGTGGAAGTGGCTTTCTGTTGTGCATTTGTTACGGGTTGACGTTTTTGTCTGTGATCAATGGTGCACTGACTACCGGTTGAGTACTTGGGAGCGTGGAGTTGGGGCGTGAACTTGGAATACCCATTCGGTGTTGTCAGAGTCTCAGTGTTTTCTGAGTGATCATATGGTAGTATGAATCATGAAGGCATAACTGAAAAGAGCCTACGATAATGGTATGGCGACTCATATTTAAGCTTTTTCGGTGGTAGAAATTCTGCATTATCTACCTACCTAACTGGCCGAATCCAGCCGGATGAACAAACAGCATTCCGAGGATTCACCTGTCCCAGGTAGCGGATTGTTCGTTTTTGGATCTTCTGGGATCAGTCTTCCCTTCCGACTTGGCTTTCTTTGACCAGATCAGATTTGGATCTGCACTGAATCATCGATTGACCCGAGGCTTGGCCCCGTGATCTAATCACCAAGATTTTCTCTCCCCTGGGTCGGACACTTCGGCGACCATCCATGCAAGGAAACTCCCCGTTCGATAACTTAACCGACCCGCCTAAGGCATTGCATCGTCTATTCCTCGTCATCACCCTCCTCCTCGCCCTCCTCATCCTTCTTCTCCGCGGCTCTGGCCTTCTTTCTTCGGACACGACCAGGACGGCCGCCGCCGAAGGGACTGGTGAGAGCGAAATCGATATGCTTCTGGCTGTCGAGACGGACGACGAAGCTGGGGACGTTGACGATCTGCTTGCCGACACGGATGTGGCGCTGCTTGATGAGCACACGGGCGTGGTGAATCGACTTGGCCAGACCGAGCTTGTAGACGCAAGTCTGCAGACGACGCTCCAAAAAGTCCTCGACCTTCAGGGCAAGCACGTAATCGAGCTTCATGCGCGACTCGTCGAGCACACCGACACGCACGAGACGGCGAATCAGGGCATTGCCTTCGAAAAGACGCTTGGGGTCCTTCTCGTCGAGCGTCAAAAGTTGACTGGATAGCACGAAGAATGTCAGTCAAATAGTCCATACAGCCTGTTTCAACACATGCCCAGATATTCGAGGCCTGCTACGTCCCCAAGGAAAAGGTGTCTTCTCATACCGGGCAGCACGACGGATCTTGGATAGAGTAAGCTGGACACGCCAGACTTCACGCTTGTTGCGCAGGCCATATTCGCCGACAATCTTCAATTCGGAATCACTGTAGAGCAAAAGCCAGACGGCGTTAGGAAAATGGTTATCTCAGACATGAGGCACAGGCAAGCTGATGCTCAGTGGCCAGGAGACACGTACAGACGGGCCGACTCGAATGCTGTAGAGAATCTCTGTTAGTCTTTTCGGCTCCTCCAATGCTTTTCTTTTCGTTTCATCGCAGGGACTTACGTCGACGGGGGACCTTGTAGGTCTTGGAGTAGGATCGCGGCGCCATGATTGCGATGCAAGTCGTGCAGTCACAATCAAAAACGAGGTCGACACGATCGAAGGAAGGGAGAAGGTGGTGTTGTCGCTGCGACGGATTTGACTCGTGCAGAGGAAGTGCGTTGATTGCGAAAATGAGGGATGGAACTTGGGCTTCGCTGGGGCGAGTCTTGGCAATCGCACACAAAAACTGAAGCTGGAATTTCCAGTCGCTCCAGTCAACTGCAGTGCCGTGACTTGCAATTCAATTCGCCGCCAGTTTCACAGTGTGGCCCACGGTCTTGGCATTTGCACTTTCTGCGAGAGTTGAGTCGAAACTGCGCAGCAACGACAGTGTCTGATACAACACCTCTCACCACTCTCGTCGTTTTCCCTCTCCAGTCGACAAGTTTGCCTCGAACCACTCCGGCACAATGGGTCACTCTGGAGGTCTCCGATCCGGCACGCGATATGCGTTCAGCCGTGACTTTCGCAAGAAGGTACGAAATGATTCCGCGCAGTCAATCGAAGATGGACATGGCAAAGAAATCAAGGGGGAAGGGCCGGGCTGACTCTCTTGCGATTTTAATAGGGCGCAATCCACCTGTCGACATACCTGAAAACCTACCGCGTCGGAGATATCGTCGACATCAAGGCCAACGGTGCCGTCCAGAAGGGTGTATGTATTCTCCCACCTATCCCTAGGCAAACACACAAAAAGCCTGCACCAACGATCCAATCCGTCGGACGCCGAGGAGATCATTAAAAAGACACGGAGAGGCTGACATGTTGGGGATTTTCGCTTTTTCTAGATGCCATACAAGGTCTACCACGGAAAGACCGGTGTCGTGTACAACGTGACCAAATCCGCCGTCGGCGTCATCATCAACAAGAAGGTCGGCAACCGATACATGGAGAAGCGAGTCAACGTCCGCCTCGAGCACGTTAACCACTCGAGATCGAGAGACGAATGTAAGCTGAAGTTGCCCGCACAATACCATTGTTGGGAGTGCAAGCATCAGAGGAGGAAGGATATAACAGAAACATATGCTAATGTTGTTCTGCTGCAGTCTTGAACAGAGTCAAGTCCAACGCCCAGCGCCGTCGTGAAGCCAAGGAGAAGGGCGAGTCCGTCCAGCTCAAGCGCCAGCCCGTTGGCCCTCGTGCGGCGCACGTCGTCGAATTCACCGAAGTCGAGTCTCTCGCTGCCCAGCCTTACGATACCCACATCTAAACGAAGCCACTTTCAATCTTTGGGTGGTGGTCGACGGTTCATGTTTGTGGGGTGTGCGTGGGGCTTGAGGAGTTGAAAAGTCGAAGTCGTGCCAGTTTCGTGTCGTGCGAGCTTTTCCTGTCCTTGGACTGAGACTTGCGGACCGCACATGGGCTGGAGAGTGCCTGAAAGTTGATACAGACCCTCATGCAGGCTGGGGGTGGATTGAGCGACCCGAGTTGATCCCAATACTCTGAAGCGCATCAAGCGGCAGACGGGATGTGGAAAGTGTTCGAGGCGAGGGGAACTGGGCCTCTGTGATGAGCATTTCCAATGCCGGTGGACGATGGCATGCAATCCCATTTTTCATAAAAGGGCTACGATCAATACCAAGCAAAACTTGTTCACGCATTTGTCTCATGTCTTCCCCATCATTGACATCCACTGCTAGACATTGTAGCAGTCCTCGAGCATTACGAAGTAGCCACGCTACACTGCTTCCACAACGCCGCAGACGAATACTGCCTTCTGTTGGAATTGAAGAGCAACGCAGATTCTACAGCACGACAATTGACTTAATGTTTTCAAAACTTTTGCATGCTGGCATTTTCTCAACTAACATATGTAAACTCCAGGCGGGTCAAGAGAGTGTCGCTTGACTCATTCGTCATGGCTTGCTCGTAGCACTCTGCATAAATCGAATGCGCCTGAAAATGCGCCACCAATTCCATTCGCAATGCCGTGGGATATCATGAGCAACAGCGCCGTAACATGCCATGCAGAGAAGACAGGGAAAAGAAAGCAAAAACTAAAAAGGGTGGAAAGAACATGCTTTTCGAGCGCCTGGCTTCGCTCAACGCCCGTGGCTCCATATCGCCGAAGAAACGCCCGAAAACGAGCCTGTCGACTGTTCACAGCCCGGATCGTGTTGTGCCGTTGCATTGTATTCGACGTTAAAACGTGAAGTCGTCCTCGTCGTCATCGCCGGCCACAAGCGCGCCATCAGCGGCGTAAGCCGGATCATCAAACTCGAGAGTTGTAGCGGCTTGTGTCTTGACCTTGTTGCGCTCCAAGTCTTGCGAAGCACTGGAGGTGCTAGGGCCCAAGTCTACCAAAAGCGAGGACTTGACATGCGGCTTGGACAGGGCTGAATGAGGTGGAAAGATGTCGTCCGGAGTGGCAGAGGCGCTTCCAGTGCTGGAGAACATTGAGTTGATTGCGGAAGAGACGACAGAGCTATCCTCAGATGCAGGTAGCTCCTCGGAGAGTTTGAGCTTAGCAGTTCTCACGGATCTGGGAGGCAGTAGCATGGTCAAGGAAGATTGCTTTGGCGTTGTCGAGTCTCTGGCCGCGATGGTGGTCGAGGCCGTTGTCAACTCTGGTGCTGTGGCTTTGGTCGTCGCTTCGTCCGTCTCCTCTATGAGCAGATCACCTGGAAAGACGTTCTCATCACTGATGTTGATTGTTGCTGGCACGTAAGGATCTGGCAGATGTTCTCCGAGATACATGAAGTTACCATAGCCGCGGTCTCTGTCGTGCGGCTCAAAGGCGGCAGCAAAATCGTCGTGTTGCTGAGGAAGAGTGGCAAAGGGTCGGGGCCCGAGGGAGCCTTGCTGCATCTGATCGTACTCGAGGAATGTATTCCTGGCGATCCTTCCCAGGACATCCTGAAGAATCCAAGGGAAGCTGATGAAGGGCATTTCTCCCGATTTGGAGGCGGCAGAGGGGCTAGCATTGCCCTGGTTGGACAAATGTTCGCCTGTCTCGGTAGAGTGATAACGCTGCTCATGAGCCTTGAGGACTTCATCATATGTGATGTGATACGCTGCCAAAGCCATGGGCATAAGGTTCTCGAACTCACGTCCCCCGGCCTCGTCCACAAAGACTTCGTAATACTGCTCTTTCAGTGTCTTCGCATGTTGGCCGATCTCCTCGTGGAACTTGAAGTCCCGGGCGGCTTTGCTGTGGTGGAGCACGAAGGTAGACCACACTTCGAATTCGGTGCTGATCTGATGTTGGGCCATGATTCTTCGCATACTTTCGTCGTAACTCTTCTTCAGTCCGCGTACCAGAACCATGATCGGCTCCGCAGGAGGAGGATGCGTCAATATGCGTTGGTCGAATGATCCTTCCCAGTTCGGTTCGAATGCCACCCTCTCAACCGCATCGTACAATTGGCCCAGAATCTTGTGCGATCTGTATTGTGGCGATCTCTTCTTCTCCATAAAATGCGGCCATCTGGTCCGTTCCAGCTCTCGGGGCATCTCGGCCGGAACCCCCGTTTTCGGATAATCAACGGCCTTGGAATGTAGGTTGACAAGCTCGAGGCACTGGCTACTTCTGATCCCTTCGTTGAGGAAGTCCGCGGCCGCGAGATGTGCATGAGCTATCCTTCCCAGAAAGTCGTTCTGCATATAATCACAAAAGAAGTTGATGATGTCCTCGTTGGTGATCTTCGCCTTTGTGATGGGTTCAGGCGCCTCGTAACTGAAGGGTTCCGCATCCCACACTAAAGGTATCAGGTCGGGATCCCAGATCACCACGTAGTCATCACCGTCAAGGTCACCGCCAGAGCACATGCTGGGAAGATCACGATCACCTGTTGATGGCATGACAACGACGTCGCAAAGATGGTGCAACTCGACTAGGTTGACAGCTTTGACCACGCGGATATCTCCTCGGTGCAAGGATGGGTTACGAGCAACGATGCAAACGCCTTCCAAAATCTCTCGTTGCCCAGTCTGCTGGTTGGTGTATTGGAGAAATATTTCCGGTAATCGATCTTCTCTCACCTGTTGACTAAGGTTCTTGGATGGTGGGATTTTGCTTGTGTACCCCTTCAACTTGCTAGTCTCATCCACGACGCCCAACACGAATGCTCCTTGAGGTACAGGGATCTTTGCTTTCTCTTTGAGATATTTGAGCGTCCAGGCCCGGTACAGCCGCAGAAGGGATGTGACGAATACCTCGTTAGTTTGTCGAAAGCCATCTTCAATCATTGAAGCGATGGCGACGGTCGCAAGATTGGGATCCACATTGTCACGTAAGGCACGTAGTGCAGCTGTGTCGTCGACCATTGCACGATCCAGTGCCTTGATACAATCCTCCTGCTTCTGTAAGAAGGCCTCGTCTGGCACACCAAGATCTGACAGGACCAGAATCAGCTGGCGGTTGAGGAACGGCTGCCAGAATTCCGAGACACGAATGATCTCCAATTCGTCGGAGTCACATTGGAATTTGTATTGACTCGGTCGGATCTTGATATCGACGCCAGGCAGTGTCGTGTCGACCACGAGTACCCCTTTGCAACCACCAAGCCGAAATTGAAATGCCGATGGCACCGGACCCTTGAGGTTGAGACTTGAAGAGACGAGCTGGGCACAGACGGTTGAGATCTTGCCCACACCATCCGTGAAATTGTACTTTTCATTTGTGATATCTTTATCAGGATCCTTATTGAAGTTCCGCTTGCTGACAACCGAGACTGCTTTGGTCGTTGAGAAACACTGACCCATTCGGGCCGCTCGCTTTGCCACAACCTGTTCGCGGTCGAAGACACCCATGGCTTTTCGAATCGTGTTGGGGCTGATATGAGGGTTGCGGGTAGTTGCAAAGAAATAGGCGCCATGCTCTCGGAGTTGCGAGTTACCCCATGCCAGGAACTCATAATGTCGGTCGCCGATGACGATACCTTGCTTCAAGGTACGTCGGACTCTGTCGAAGATAAGTCTCATTCTGCCGTTGGTGGCTGGATACAATCTCGTCCGTCCACGGTATGAGTCGTCCTCGAATCGGACTCGCAGGAACCGATCGCTGTAGCGCTGGTACTTCCGGATGATGCGGTTGGTAATCTCCACAGAAGGAGTATGGTAAAGTACCCCCGTCGCCGTGACTGTGGCATGATGGATTTCCCTACAGTTGGCAGGCAGTGCACGGGCTCGGACGGGTTTAGTGTATCGGAGGTCCTTGAAGATGTGCATTGGGTCGTAAACTCGCTGCTGGTGAGAGTCGACGTGGATAAGCATCTGCTTAGCCCGCTGCAATGGCATATTCGAGAGCTGCTGTAGAAATGCCTGGTTGATAGTGTATTCGTTGAGCCAACCCTGGGAAATGCAGACTTCTAGCTGGTAGCGCAACTCAAAGGGAAGATAGATAGCAGACAGCTGCTCGGTTAGGGAGGTTGATCGGTGGGTCAATCCATCGAGCAGATTCCAGAGAGGGGCATCTCCGGGCGGACCTGTGACCACCTGAAATGTAGGATTCTGGGTTACGGGGACATTGAAGTCTTCAAGAGCTTTGACGAACTGTCGGACCGGAGAGGTCGGGGAGTTTGAGCTGCTGGAGTCGATGGTGAGACGGAAGGTAGTCCAACGCGCAATGTTAATGCTGTTATGGAGCTTCTGAATGGACACAGGACTGTTGTCGATCAAATTGTAACTCTCCTTGTCGTCCACGATATCTGTCTGTCGAGACCATGTATCGTCCGCAGTCCATCTGTGAGACTTGGGATCGTGGCTCATCTGCATGGCCTCCTTCAGCTGTCGGGAGTACCACGGTGGGTTCTTGAGATGGAAAACCAGGAATGTGGTGGGACCTTGGGGTATCTCGCACATGGAGAACTGATCATCGAGAGCAACAAAGAAGCGGTAGTCCCGTGCCGTGGACTTGCCCTTGGACTTCATGACAACCGAGAAATGGACCTCAATTTCCAGTCGGTCAAGGTTTAGGAACAGCTTGACAGCAGCAGGATCGCGCTTGGTAGCTTTGATCACCATCAAGTTGGGACGTTCCAAGTAGCCAAAGTCAATGGCCTTCCCATTCAAGGTCATCTCCGGGCTGTACTTGATACCTCTGCGCACAGGGCTTTCGACAGAACGCATGGAAAGTTGGTTGTTGGCAAGCAGGACTCTGACCCGGTGGTTGCCATCACCCTGGGGCTCTCGAAGCTGGAACTCAATGCCATTTCTGTAGTAAGTTGAATCCCACGGGGCTCTTCGAGGAGGCGGTGGCCTGCGACGGAGTCAGTAATGTAAGTGCGGATATGGAGATTTCGTACTTGAAAGTGACCAGAGCCGTCCTGGCAAATACTCCTTGTGGTGTTTCCTCGATGCGGATGAAGTCGACTTTACCAAAGCGATGAAGGTTCTTGTGGATATCGTAGGTGGTGGTGCCAGGAGGCAAATTGGGAACGAAGACCCTCACAGACGGCCATGTTCTCCAATCCTCATCTCTTGCGGGAGGCCGACCCTGAGGTGGTGGAACTGGTCTCGAGCCAGATCGGCTGACGGCCAATCGTCGAGAATCCATTATGGGACAATGATCTTGTAGCCAGGGCAGCCTGCCATGCCTTGAGAAGAGACTTCGATCTCAGATGCAGGCGAACGGAAGACGTCCAGTGCCAAAGAGGAGAAGGCAAGGTGATGTGAGAGGAGTAGTAAATGCTGAAAGAGAGGGAATGAGGAGAGAAGGGAAGTGTTGTGATTCAAGTTGAAGTTGCTGTCACGGTCGGTCAACGTTGAATCTCAAGTTAGAAGGTCAAGGAGCCGATCTAGCGGGCGGGAGCAGCCTGTACCCGTCAGATACCGAACCTTAGCGGCTGGGCAGTGATAAACACTCAGCTGTGGTTAAGGTAAAGAGGAAGGTACCAGGCTGATATGAGGAAGGAAGAGGAGCTTGTGCTATGTAGTGAGAGAACAGGCTGGAGAAGCAGAAAATGCGACGAGTTGAGAGTTGAAGTTGAGAGTTGAAGTTGTGGTTGAAGTTGTGGTTGAAGTTGTGGTTGTGGTTGTGGGTGGGTGGGCAGACTGCGTTGGAGGGGTTGCGTGCACCGCTGCGTCCTTTATTTACCCTCTTTGTTTTCACAGGGTGATCAAGTGAAGTAAGACACCAGAAGTCAAGGAGACGGGAGTTGCAAGCAGATCTGTGGGATCCCGTAACAAGCAACAAGTGCTGTTGGTTGTTCACAGCAAACGACCAGCAGGGAAGGATGAAGCGTGCGGACGTATAAAAGCCCCCTGTAAATGAGATTCAATGGCGAAGAGATTTCTTACCAGCCTCGCAACAACTGCTATCAACTCTTCAAACCATCTCTTTCTTCAATAAGCATATTGCATCACTGCTGTACTAGATTCACAACGTCATGCAGATGTCCACGGTAGCATCGGAAGTCACCCTCTGACCATACCATACGCTGGGAAGGGACAAGGGATTATCACTGCAGGAGATTTCCAAAGCTGTTCAAGATGATATACTACAGAAGTACCGCTATGTGCACAGGCACAGATACAAGAGACCATCTCGATTGCCGAGCCAGTTCTTAGATCACACATTCTGTAGGTATATGTACTTTTGTACACCAGGCGTTTGACCAGGCACACAGACGTCTAGGACAGGGGATGCGGCAAACAGATCTACCTAGGTAATTGGTTGCTCGACTGACCATAACTCATCAAAGATCACCCCCATCAACTGCAGTGAGGATCCTCCAGATGTATCCAGATATATCCCAAAAGGTGATTTAAGAGACAAACACGCCTGGCTGTCTACTCTGGAGTCTGTAACGCCATCTGCGGGCAGCTCCGAGCCCCGGGTTCTGCTGCCGGACAAGGGGAATCAGACCCCAAGCACGCAATATCGTGGACAGTAAACGGAGAAAAAGAAAACCCCAAACTCCAGGGGTCGGCGTTGTTCCCGAGGTAGTAGAGCAATGATGATATACTAGTAGTCTACATCTTCGCCATCTGCTGTAGCACTGCTTTTCCAATCCATGTGGCTCTTGTGCTAATAACCCATCCAACAATTATGGCGGGGAAGATGCGATGCGGCTTGCAGTTGCTTGAACCATGGACTCAGCGCACCATCGCCTCCACAACAACTCGTCCCACGGCATGCCGAGTGCCGCTCCCATCGCAGCCGGGAAAGGGATTCAGGCAAGCACGTAGTGGCAGAAGGACCTATTCATCATCCAAAGCCACCGCAGCAGAGCTACAAGCAAGACCTCATCTTCCCATATGGACGACAAGCAGGGTGTTGCTCCTCGCCGGTGCACTGGCTTCGATCGGCTATGTGGTCGGCGTGAACGATGCGGGCAGCCACGTCGACGAGCTGCATCCTCGCCAGCCCAGACTTCCCAAATATGCGTCAAAAAAGGAAATGGACAAGGCGATCGATGAGCTTCGTCAACTTTTCGGTGAAGACGCCATCAGCACCGACGACGAAACCCTCCAAGCCCACGGTTACTCGGAGTGGTCGTCGATCAACATCGACCAACTACCAGTGGCAGTGGCATATCCCAAGAGCACCGAAGAAGTGTCCCAGATCGCCAAAGTCGCATGCAAGTACAAAATCCCCATGATCCCCTATTCCGGCGGCTCGTCCCTGGAAGCCAACTTCTCGGCTCCCTTCGGCGGCATCAGCATCGACTTTGCGTTCATGGACCAGATCCTGGCCGTGCACGACGACGACATGGATGTGGTGGTGCAGCCGGCGGTGTCGTGGATGGACTTGAACCAGAAGCTGCAGTCCAGAGGCCTATTCTTTCCCGTGGATCCTGGCCCATCGGCCAAAATCGGCGGTATGGTCGGCACGTCGTGTAGCGGGACCAACGCCTTTCGCTACGGCACGATGAAGGACTGGGTAATCAATCTCACCGTGGTGCTGCCGGACGGCCGGATCATCAAGACCAGACGGAGACCTCGCAAGACCTCTGCCGGCTATAACCTCACCGGCCTCTTTGTCGGCGCCGAAGGCACTCTGGGGATTGTGACTGAAGCCACTCTCAAGCTGGCCGTCGTCCCTCCCGAAACCAAGGTCGCGGTCGTGACGTTCCCGACCATTCGAGACGCGGCCGCCGCCGCCATGCAGGTGATCCGCTCCGGCGTCCCCGTAGCGGCGATGGAGATCATGGACGATGTGCAAATGTCGGTTGTCAACAGGGCCGGAGGAACCAACAGGACTTGGAAGGAGGTGCCCACGCTCTTCTTCAAGTTTGCCGGCACCCCGGCCAGTGTACAGGACAACATCAAGATGACCACTCGCATCGTCAAGAACAACCAAGCCAAAGACTTCATCTACGCAAAAGACGACGTCGAGGCCCACGATCTGTGGAAGGCCCGCAAAGAAGCCTTGTGGAGCATGTTGTCCTTGCGCCGCCCAGGTGATGAAGTATGGTCTACCGACGTGGCTGTCCCTATCTCAAGACTGCCAGATATTGTTGGTAAGTTGTTCGAATTCAACAACCTCTTTCTCACGTCAGCATCATCTCTTTCTGACCGATTGACTGACTGATCCCGCTCGTTCCACAGATAAAACGAAAGAGGAACTCGACGACCTCGGTCTTTTCGCCAGCGTCCTTGGCCACATCGGCGACGGCAACTTCCACACCTCGATCATGTACAACCGCAAAGACCCTGTCGAGAGAGAACGCGTGGAGCATGTCGTGCATAACATGGTCCATCGGGCTTTGGAAATGGTATGTTCGGCTCTTCCCTCCTCTGTGCTTCCTCTTTTGCTTTGCTTGTGTGCTCGCAACCTTCTCTACCGCCAAGAATAAGAACATCCTTTCCTTGTGTGCTCGCAACCTTTCTACCCCCAAGAATAACGAATATCTTTTCCTGACCATGATTGTTTTCCATTCTCCAGGAAGGCACCTGCACCGGCGAACACGGCGTCGGCCTAGGCAAGAAGGAAAGCCTCGTCGAAGAATTGGGCCTCGACACCATCGGCGTCATGCAGACTCTCAAGCGCAGCCTGGATCCGCACTGGTTGATGAACCCGGGCAAAATCTTTGAAGCCGTCAATGCCGACAAGACGAAAAATCAACCCCAAGCCACGGCGGCGTCGACGCTCGACAGACCGAGCAACAAACAATAAAATACCACCATAATACATCGCATGTCATCGAAAGCATTTCAGATTTCTGCTGAGCAAACCCATGATAGCAGCACCGATGACCGGGCAGCCAACCTACCACCCACTATATTCTGGCACAGCCATAATGTCCCTGTCCCAGTCCCGGAATTAGCAGGTCTGATGACGAGCTGCACACCACCACGCGGATCCTACGCTTCGGGATTCATCGTTGATGGTGACAGAGGCGTACATACATCATACCCTTGCTTCTACCGATTCGGTCGGTTCTCAAAAAGAGGCCGGCCTCCAATGTCAGGAAACCGTGGGCGGCTGAAGTCATGTGGGTAGTTTATCCCCATCCATCAAGACTTGACTCATTGGTGGTGGAGGTGGGCCGAATTCGGTCTTGGACGACAGATCAACAGTCTCGTGCATCCATCGGGACGACTTGCTGATTCTGAAATCCGGAGGCGGACGGGCAGGTAAATAAAAAATCATGATGACATGGTACGCTCGGGCTCGAGGTCGAGCTTGATGTTGGAAATATCAGTCCGCGCTGTTTGTTGGGTGGGCTATGATCTCCGAGTTAATGGCGGACTTCTCGATTCTTTCCTCGGGAATGCATTTGAAGCATGGGACGGCAAAAGTGACCTGTTGAGCCTCGACTTGACATAATGTTTGACATGTCCGAAAAGCAATCAGGAGGATCAATCATTGGGGACACTGCACATCTGCCAACACGAACTTCTGGTCAAGCGTGTCTCAGTCCGTCCTTGTTTGCGCCGAAAAGCTGTTTCCATTGCAAATATGAAAAGTCTATCTCACTTCCTACTCAACTATCTCAAAGTTGTGACCAGTCTCGTCTACCTGTACCTCCTGTCCAAGCAATCTCCAGAAGTGGGATAGCCCTTGCTGGACTCAAATTAATTATGTCAAAGTTCTGTATGGGTATATGGGCATGTGTTCGTGAGTATGTTCCGTCTATGTCGTTGGTCTGAATGTAGCACAGACTGGAAGTGTGAAAGTCAAATTCAAGCTTGGAATAAAGTCTTCTCCAGCTTCCGTATGAGGTTGACGCAGGGCGTGTCGACAACCCGCAGAAAGATGTCCGCCGTCCAGATCACCACGATGACGATGACGACCGAAGACTTGAGAAAGGAAAGCTCGAATTGACGCATTATCTCTGGCGTTTCAATTTCCGGAGTTCGTGGGAGGATCTGCGAACATGAATATAATGTTAGCTATGCTATCCGCCATTATAATCAATCAGGGTTGAGTTGCAGCAGAATTCGGCATTTGGGAGTAACTGCAGCGGCAATCAAACCGGTCAAGTTGAGTCCATATCGTCATGTTCCGTTCTGGGAACATGATAAAACGGTTGTCTCGAAGTCATGAATGGAATTTCGTGCGGAAAGGCTTGGGTCTGGACTTGCTTACCGAGTACCCTAATGTATGAATGACCGGTCCATGCATAACGTACAGCGGAAAGCTGATCTTGCCGAGATACTGAATGACAGACCAACAGAAGACTCTTCGGCGGAGAAACTCCAAGTGACACGTTGACCAGATGATCAGTATGGCGCCGACAGTTGGCCAGAAGCGGTGCATCTCCTTAAATTGCACGGGAATGAGGCGAGTGAGAGTGATATAGCCGGGTGTTGCATGGCCTGTGGCGTCTGGATAAGACAGCAAAAAGAGCGAGAGAAGGAACGTCGTAAAGTAAAAGGCTTTGGCGAACAGCCCTGATCGTTGCGGTGTAGTCACTGTGGTCGGGCAAGGCAGGTCCACCGCCTTCGAGGTTCGTGTAATGTCCAATTCAGCAATCACCATACCGGCCCAGAATGGCCATAGTTCCCACCTGGTCCATGAGACACCCCATATCATGAGCGCCGTCAGTGTCGAAATCCGTAGTCTAGTCGACATCCTTGCGACCATCACCTGCGTTAGGAATAGGGCCATGCTGCAGCGAAATTCCACAGGAATGGTCCACAGATGCCTGTCGAGTTCCACCGAGCCAGCATACAGAGACCAGTCAAAAACATCGACAAATATCAGCATTTGCTGCATCCAGTCTGTGAATTGCAGCCATAGGTTCGGCTGGGTGTAGCAGTGGTCTTCAGGAATGGTCCGCATCTGACTGGCAAAGTCTTCAGTGAGCTTGTAAAGGTTGAGTTGCGCCAGGCAGACCACAAGGAGCGTTGACGCGAAACAGGGCAGGAAGAGACGCAGTGCGCGACGAAAGACCGAAGAACTCATCGTGTTCATCAATTGTTCGGTTTGTCGTGAGCGCATCAGTTTGATCGGTTTGTAGCCGAGGACGTAGCCAGAAATGACGAAGAATATCGCCACCATTGGAGGACCGGAGTATAGCAAACGAACGACGGGAAGCCGTAGGAAGCCTTTGTAGGTCTCTGTGTTTTGGCGCTCGGTTTCTGTTTCTGGGTTCGCGCCCCAGGCATGGCCGGTATCAAAACTTCCGTATGTCAGATGGCAGATGAAGACGACAAAGGCTGCGAGGCCACGCATGCCGTCGAGGAACGCGGTTGGAGAGACCTTGTCGGTCGAAGACTGTGCATTTTGCTGTCGCGGTTGAAGGAAACTGGGGAGGATGAGGTTGAATAGATTCATTATTGACCGGGCGAGAAATCTGAAGGAAAGGCATGGCGTAGTGACAAGGTACCGAGGCGGGTTCAGCCACGCGGCGGCTTGCGCCGTCTCCTCGTCGAGGTAAGAGTCGTGCTTCTCATTCAGGAGACCGACATGCGATCCCTCGGTGCTGGGCCGTGAAGAGCTGCTGCAGGACGAGGCCATGGTTGTCGGCCGAGGCCGTGAGCATCTCAGACGCGGGCAGAGGATAGAATACTTCTTGCTAACCAACTTGAAGTTCAAACAACAAAAGGGGCAAGAGAAGGTGAAGTCGCAACCCGACAGAATTCCCAAACGACCACGTCAGCTACAACATACGGGGAACTCAGGGATACACACGAGTCGCCCGTGCAACGGTCATGTTAATCTGGAGCAGGGGTGGGATAGTCGTGATTCTCCACAAATCCAAAGTTTGCAAAGTGTCACGACGATCGCTTCGAGTTTCGAATGCTCTGAGACAGCGGTAGCCCCCAGTGACAGATTGTGGAAACAGCCACCGAAGCGCTCATTGGCATCGGGCCAGGAAGGCTCTGGGCGGGAAGTGGCCAACAAGGCTTGTTTCCCTTTCATGATCGCCAGGGGCTTGAGCGTTCTTTTGCTCCGAGTTCTCACATGTCGCAACTGAGACCGGCCGTTCAATAGTGCGGGTTTAGGGGAGTGCACGATCCTTCTCTCCGAGTGCTTCTCTTTTGTAGCCGCAGAGGGCACATGCCGGGATGCGTTCTTCGACAGTTTTGGCAGCATTTGATGCTGATGAAGATTTTAATGAAGCGTTGTCTGAATTGAGGCGCCGCTGTTGATCATGTTTCACTCTGCGACCAACAAGTAACGCGGAGCATATAGGCCACTAAACAAGCCACGTCACGAGTGGTGTAGGAGATCTAGTCTATCATGTGAGCCACACATAGACTGCCCACCTGTGTCCAAAGTAGAATGTTTGCCGAGAAGCAGGATTCGCTCCTCGCGAGCCCCTTTTTCCGTCCCTTTCCTGCCCAGCTGACGGCATGGTCTTGGACAATCAAGACTGGCTGGTTGATGGTATGGAAGCAGCAGATTGAGGCTGCCCTCGATTGATTCTACATGTTTTCATTCCTCTGCCTCAAGCACGCTGGCTACTGCCTTTAGCAATGCCTATATACCTTCTCCTCCCTGGCCCATGCCACCTGATGCGCTGCGAGAGACCATTTACTGTATACAAAGACAACCCAGCTACGACACCTAGGATGGTAACCTTGGCCCAGGACGCAAACAGGGCTTTACTTTCACCCAACATACTAGTACACCATGACATCTCGGGGTTCCAGGACAACCCAAGTTTGGTGTCGTTCGTTGACGTCCTCAGACGCCGTGTACTTGCTCAATGATATCCGTCTCGACAATTGGGCCATTGTACCTTCCTCGTAGGTATCCAAAATAGCTTCCCACTCCAATGAGCATGGTTCCTCCCCAGAGCAGGCACGACCAGTTCATGCTTTGAAGAGTCAGACCGGTGCGTACAGAAGGAAAGAAGCTGAATATCATGACGATGACAATCCAAACAAGTCCAAAGACGTTGCAGAAAATCCCCAGCCCTCGGCCCAATGTCCAAGGCCCATAGTGGATGGACGACGGATCCAAAATCTTCTTCTGCAGCAACAGGACCATGGGCAACGTATAGCTCCCGAGATATCCAGACACGACCAACGATGCGACTGCATTGAAAGCGGCCGAAGAGCCGATATTGATCAGCCCTAGCAGCAAGGTGATGACCACTGACACTCCCACCGAGTACAGAGGCAACTTGGTTCGAGGCTCTACCCGAGAAATAAATCGTGAACCAGGGAGCCCGTTGTCCCGAGCGAAAGCCCACATCATTCGCGACGCTGCGGCCAGCACTGCGATCGTGGCGAAGATCATCAACGAAAGGACAATCGCACTCATGGCGGTGGCTCCACCATTCGATCTGACAGCCTGGTAAAAGATCTCGATGAATGGGAAGCCTGTAGGAGTCGAAAGGGCATCGTCAATGTCACCGATGCAGAACAGGATCGCGATCAGCATACAAAACCCCATTGTGCCGTTCAAGGCGATCGAAGCCACCAGCGAATGAGGCACAACAGTGGAAGCATTTCGGATCTCCTCGCTCATATGGATCGCTCCATCCGCCCCGATGAAAGCAAACACTGTCGTGATGAGGCCAACAAAGAAAGACGTTCCCTTGTCGTATCCCCCGTTGCTGAGATACAGGACAAATACATCATGGGCATTACCATGAGGGGCAAGGTAGACCAGAGTGATCAGCACCCCAAAGAAGCCCACGATATGCACAATCAGCACGGCACCTTCCACCTTTGGAAGCTGATGCGCCAGGTAGGTGTTGAAGAGCATCGCCAACAAAATGACGGAGTACAGAAGAAGAGTACCGTGCCATCGCTGGAAGTCATAAGTTGGATAGTTGAGCACCAGCAGACCCTGAATGATGGTGCCCCCTAGGTAAGCTGCTGATGCCAAGCAGGCTTGCCACGCCAGAACGGATTGCCATCCTGTGATGAAAGAGAGGAAGTTTCGGCATGATTTCGGGGCGAACAGAAATGTCCAGTGGTACTGACCGCCTGCGGTCGGAGCCCTGCTGCCAGTCAGACACAGACCATGGTTCTTCCTGAAGACTTACATTGATACCATTTCAGCAAGTGAAGCAACGACTGTGAAATAGCCCAGCCAGCAAAACAGGTATCCATAGATGAGGCCTGCTGGTCCACCGTCGGTCAATCCGTACACGAAGACTGTCAGAAGACCTTCCCAGGTGATCATCAAGGTGCAAGAAAACCCCAGCATGCTCATGAAGCCAAAGTTGCGCTGTCACAAGAGTCAGAGGCCGCTTGCAGATTCAAGAAAACATTCACCGCCTCACCCGGAGTTCTTGACGTTTCCCAAGCCTCGCCATCTCCTGTTCATCTCGATTGACTGATTTCTCTCCAACATGATTGGGATCATCCGAAGAGACTTTGGAGTGGTAGATCTCTGAGGCGAGCTTGCTGCCGCCCTTCATTGCGTACGTGTCTCCCATCTTTGCGTTGTCGACCAAAGTGATCAGCTGGAAAGCAGGCTATTGCTATTGATTTGTAGTAGCAAACGGGAGTCTGTTCGAGCTAGAGCGTGAGGATGGTTCCGGCAGTCTTACAGTTGTGGGACGTCCTGATCTTGGATGAAGGAGACTCGAAAGACACAAGAATGGCGGTTTCCAGTGAACGGGTGAGAATACAGTGGTTCCCAAAGTGTGGACTGGCTAGCTGGTAACACGCGAAGGGCAGATCAAAGACAGTATCTCATCCGAGCTCTGGACCTCGCAAGGAAAAGAGGCCTGATATGAGACGGCGGTGCAATCCCTGCTCACAATGCGAAAGCCTCCCTGGACAAGTCCTCTGGATGCCCACTGCATGTGGCTCGCAGGCAGGTGGTTGCCGGCTAACGCGACGATCATGTCGCCGGGTAAGGATCTGACGCGGGATACAGCACCAGCGAAGCCAAAACTATGCGACCGGGGCGTTTTGCTCTAGTCAACCGTGACTTTCACAGGGAATTACACCCTTCAACAGCAGAGTGAACGCGGGCAAGTGCCGAACTATGGCTTTCTACCGAAGGGGTCGAGACCGAACAAGACACCGATTCTTGACTTTCGCGGACCATTGCTAGTTGGGTTCTCCCCAACCTCATTACCTCTGATGACCATAAGGAGTGCGAAACGACAACTTCGTACTGCAGTTTTTGTGGCGGACAATATGCAACGCTTCCCCTGAGACGACATGGATTGCTACTCGATTTGGCCCTGGTTGCTGCACATAATCTCCGGCATCTAAGGAGCAGACGCAGGCCACACGTGAGCGCTTGCTCCCGGAGACTACGTATTCGTGCTCGAGGAGGCGTCTGATTGTGATTTGAGGACTAGAGCCTCGCCAGCAGCCAACGCAAAACACTCTACAAAACTCTCACCATTAGCCTCGAGCTTAAGCATGATGACCCTGCACACTGCTGCATACTGCCGCGCGAGTCGAAGTCACTCTGGGTAGACAAGACGTTTGCCAGGCACCAACGCGTTGTGCCAGCCAGGTTTGGTCAGTACCATGTGCTCCGGGAATTGGGCCTATAACAGTCAATAACAAATCATGGAACGTCTGTCGTATCAACCGCGGATGAATTGCTGAGGATGTGCCAACCCCGGCGTTGCATCCATAACTGACTGTCACACGAGTCGATCGTTCACCTTCCCCATTTCCATGTCTACACGAGATTGTTCATCCCCTGGCAGCATGGATCCTGAGTCGCTGATCATCCAAATGCCACGATCAAAAAGACGTCGCAGATCAGAGGAATGGACCTTATGAACCGATATCACTCTTACTACACATGCATTTTTACAATTGAAGCTGACACCAGAGGCAGCCACTCTCTACCCTTGACACATTCAAAGACATAGTCGAATCAGATGATATACCATTTTTTGGAAGCACCTCGGTAACATGCAAGCCCTCGAAGCCTGCTTGCGAGTGCGTAGCTCTCTCCAATGAAGCCCGGCGTGCGCTCGCGGTTCGCGGAGCTTTCTGCCCAAGGGGTTCTAGTGGAAGAGAGAGGGTTTGCGGCGTTGTGTTATGTATGTGGCTTGCTGCATGCACGTCCGGGGTAGGGTCTGTTACCTTGTCGGAAGATAAGAATGAATTGGGCCGTTCCATACGAATCTTTGGTCCCTGACCGAGGCGATCTACGCCGCCTGTTATCACTTATCGCATCATCCTCCTAGGTCCCCGGATCAAGCCAGGGCTTTGCTCTGTAGCTGTGCCTGGCATGGACGACTGATCTGGACGCATTACGATTGAGATTGTCCTTTCTGTCCGCTTGTGAAACGGGCCTGAAAGTCACAGGCGTCGATGTGCACGCACGACGACCCGACAGCGAGATAAGCTCTCCCGAAACTGAAAATCGACCCCGAATCTCAGGAACGGACATGTATGATGCAGGTCCCGACGACACCCCAGGGTTCCGTGGCGCAGGTGCCCCAGGTATGTAGTAGATTTGGCCAAAATATACCATATCACTTTACAAGAGGACTTGATTGTACGTACATACCGGAAAAGCGAGACCGCATTACCCCAGAGGATGATGAGACCCTCAGTCGGTCCCACATCTACACTGGTTCGAAACCACACATTTAGCCCCGTCCCCGGTGCAAGTCCATTTTCTCCAAGCTCGAAGCGTTACATGCATTTTCTGATCAAGCACGCAACCTTGTACAGGGTGACGGGTTGAGATACTGATCGATCACATGTTACTCCATGATCGACCAGCAACGGGATACTAGGCTTGATGTTACGCAGTCCGGAGGATGGAAGTCACTATCTTAGTGTCGTAACCACCACGGTCGATCCAACAATCATCGCCGCCATACACCCAGCCCCGTGTCCGGGGAGCCTGAAGCCGCTCGCTCCCCCGTACGCAACGCGGGTGCAGGAATGTCGTTCATCCTCGTATCTGTCGACTGTGGGCCGCCCTAGCGGACGCTAAAGTGAAGGGATAAGGGGATATAACCAGACATTTATACTTCTACGTCCTTTCAGGGAGGGTGCGCCTCTGTCTCGCTTTTCTTAGCGGGAAAGCTTCATGCAAGCCTAACCTGCAAGGTCATCTTCGGCTCGTGTCAAAGACACTCCGGTCTCCGTTCTGCCCTGCGAAGCACGGTCGGGAGGATGATTGAGTTGGGGCGAGACAGGCTTTAGCAGTCTGGCCATGCCAACCTTGGAGGCCAGGAATTGGTTATGCTCAGAGTGAGAGTCGAACGGACATGACCCAGAGACATCCCCAGTCAACAAGTGTGGCCAGGTACCCGGGTTCTTATTGCCTCACTCTCTTGCTAACATGTGGTAGATAGCAAGATCCTGGTAGTCGCAGACCATCCATCGGTTCCCAGAGTGAACTTTATCACATTTCATGCTGCGTCGCATCGCATGCAGCAGGACCAACCCTTTTCAAGATCCCATGTCTGAATTCCAACAAGAGTGCCGTCTTCGTCCAGGTCCCTCTTCGCCATGGCCAACGACACTGTCCATACTCTTTCATTTCAGTTCATTTCCGTCGCAAAGAACCTACAAATGAATTGAACTCAACTCTGCCCGGCGAGATAACAGTCCGGTCAATCCCAATCGCGACACGAGCAGCTCCCAGAATCATGGCCCCCCTTCATTCATTGATTGCGCGCGTACCCTCGATTTCCACGACGCAGAAAGGCCCTGTGGTGAACTTGGTATCTTGGATTGCCATGACTACCATGTGTCTGGCGGTAGTGACCGTGTTGGTTAGCAAACTTATCGTTCTTCGACGACTGGTCTGGACAGACAGCATCATCATTGCAGCCATGGTAAGAGAGGTTCCGATTGACCGACCACTGCACATAGTCTTCTGACATTCATTCGTTACTTGCGCGCAAATAGCTTTCATCCATTGGATTCGCCGTTGTCATCAACAACCAAGTCAGTCATGGACTTGGCTCGAAGGTGTCAACCATATCGAACGGTGACTACGACGGCTTCCAGAAGGCCGAATATGCATGGAACATCCTGTACATCGTCAGCCTTTCCCTGGCCAAGCTGTCGACACTGTCGCTCCTGCTGGCTCTCGCGCCGTCCAAACGCTATCGCATCCCCATGCTGGCCGTGGGCAGTGTGGTCGTTCTTTGGGCTCTGAGCTCGAGCCTGGCCAGCGCATTCCAATGCAACTTCCCACATTCATACCTCATCACGACGAACGTATGTTTCGACCAAACAGCATTCTGGATCGCCACGGGGATTGTGGACATCCTGACCGACGTCGCGATCATGGGAATGCCGATCTACCTGGTATACAACCTGCAGCTTCCACGGCAGAAGAAAGTGGCCGTATGCTTTGCATTCTCCTTCCGCGTCGGCGCCGTCGGCTGCACGATTTGGCGCCTGTGCGAGGTGCACGTGCTATTCAACCGCAGGTCCGATATCACTTTCCACAGCTGGCTGCCGACGATCGCGACCATCCTGGAGGTCTTTGCCGGCGTCTTCGCGGCTTGTGTCCCGCACCTGCGGCCCTTCATGGACTCCATTCAGGCCGGGTACCTGTCCGGCATGATCCAGGACAGCGACGGCCGCTTTGGCTACGGCAACGACAGTTACCTGATGGGCAAGATGGCGCAGAGCAAGCTGGCCTCCCAAGTCCGAAGCCAGGCTCTCAAAAGTGATTTCGACGCCAAGGCCGAGGCCGAGGCTGAGGCTGATACCTACGTGCGTAACGACCCGCGTCATGGTGGTGGTGGTGGTGGTGATGATGATGGATCCTTCGATCTCCCACGTCAGGGGGCCAGAGTCGGCATAGGGCGTGCCATCACAAGCTCCAACCGTGTCGTTGCCAATGGCAGAGTGTCTGCTGCGAGCAAGGCTGAGAAAGAGAATCTCGGACCTGCTCTCACGACCAGAGCGAGAGCTCGGGCGAGGAGTGAGAGTATTGCTTCCGACGGGGGTGGTAGCCACGGCAGCGACGGTAGCAAAGCAATGATCATCAAGACCACCAAAGAATGGACTGTCAGCTATCAGGATGTCTGAACTTGATCGAGTGAGGAAATGGCTGGTCTGGTTCAAGGTTGTTTGGCGTCAGTTTCGTCGGCTTGCGCTGGTGATGCGCTCGGTTGGGTTGGGTCGGTCTAGGAAAAGGGGTCACCGGAGACGAGAGCCTCTCGTGAGCAGATTCTGTCCTGCTCTACGGTCGTCTGGGTCCTGGTCTCGACCTCCACGACCTGCAGCCTTGTACTAGACATCAAGCTCAGGGGTATGAACCGTGCCTGTCATTGCGAACTCTAGGTTAGGCCTTAGATCTGCGAGGGTGCCGGACCGTTTTAGACATGATATTTTGAGAAGGTGATGCCACGAAAGGTAAGTTCCACGAAAGAACAAAGACAACGCTTGCGAGCTTTGATGTCAGACCTCTGGGGACATGATTGATATGTACGAGATGTGTGTGCCATATGGTTAGAGATAACATGACCCTGGCTTTTTATGACTGCCTCAGCCTCATTCGGAGGATCCAATGCGCCATTTCGTTAGACGGATGGAACAGCAGTTTCAGGATCGATGGAATCTGTACGATTTCCTGTCTTTTGGACATGTTGCCTTTTCTTTCCATCGCTCTGCTTCTTGCAATACGTTGGGGATGGCGCTGGTTTCTCTTCATCGTACAGTGGTCTTCATGATGCATGGTCTGTTCCACACGAACCCTTCCAGACGGAGTTGTTGTACCTTACATGTGTATGCGCCATGAGCGGACAAAATAGCCATCGAGACAAACCGGTAGGGGGATTCTCAAGGCTGAGGTAGTGAGTGCGTACTCCGCGAAGTCTTAGCTAGTGGACTAGCTGTCGACGCAGCTGATGTTCCAAACAAAGACGCAAACTGATAGGGGTATTCTCTCTTGATTCTTCCTCAGCGCCAGTGCCAGAGCCAATTGAGTGTTGTTGTAGAGAGGGTGCTGTGTGCCACATAAGGGATCGAATCACATCATCCGGCAGCGACGTTAGGAAACTGACCCCGTATGCAAGGCCAGCGTCCTCATATTGCGAAGTATATACCATCTCCGTCGCGAATGTCATCGAGCAGGAATTGGTCATTAAGTAAGCTGTAACAGCCGGCAGGAGCGTAGGGCCCCTTCGCGCAAGTTGCAGAGATGCGGCATGCCGAACTGGGTGCTCTGAGCCAACCTGGCCCGCTGCGATCATAATCAGACATGAAAATGGCCCTCGACCGACTGTGCAGTAAGCAGAACGCAATGCGCTAGTGTTAAATGATCGCGCCGAAGGGCATGGACGTGTATAAGGAGAAAACAAACCCAGGACCCATCGAGACAAGACAACGATCCGACGACTGACACGTCTCTCCCCATCCTAGTAGGGACCCATGGTCAGTCTGCTGAGTATTTGATGACCTTCCTTTCCTTGACTAAAAAAGATCCAGGAAATGCAGCGACCACATGTCACCGGTTCCTGGTCAGTGGAGCAGGATTGATTGATGGAGCGCTTCTAGACCCCTGCTCCCTGCTACCTCTGAGCCTCACGTGCTGTCAAAAACTTTGGAAGGACGGTTGCTTAGCCAATCGTCCACCGGGGACAGTCTGTGATTTCAAAGGTGAGTCCGAGTTCTGACCAGGGGAGAGCGGAAGGCGGATATGGAGTGGATCTGGCTGTCCACCGAACCCGATCTTGATTGGGGAGCCTGGTGACAGTGAGGAGGCTAGCGAGGGAGACGGAATTCAATATCAGCTGACACTGTGACAGAATCAAGCCACTTCACGCCCACAACGATGTGACGGGGGATCCCATCGCGGCCCCTGAGGCTGGACACGGACGACCACTTCAACTTCGAGGTGAAGTCCCTGTCGGACCGCCTGACGAGCCTGGTCGACGGCCGGCGCGGCTGGCGTCATGGCTCAGTACTAGTATCTGGCCCATCTCGAATCATAGAGACTCCCAGGGAACCTCGTCGCCGTCGCCGTCGCCGTCCTTCTTCCGGCTGCTCAACCGAGGGTCGGATCGATTACTATGCACTGACCCGCGGCATTCAGGAACAAACGACTGCCGCGACTGAACTTTGTGCTCTGACCGAGTCTTACTAACTGCCATAGCACTGCCTGTCATACTCCTGTCGATCAGAGAGATGGGCGGTGGTGCTCTGTGTCCAGGGCTTGGCCGACTCAATCGGGCTTCAAACCATCTGCCCTCGAAGAGCCTCATCATCTATTCTTGATTTAATCACTATATGGCAATACCCGAAAGGCTATTCCCTAGGTCTTCGGGCCGTTCAAAAACATGTGCAGGCCTCAGGATATGTCTGAAGTCAACATCTAGCCATGGTGCTTGATAATACGGCGTCCGTATTCTCACGCCTCCTCCCCACGGGGACAAGAGATGGATGGATTTTCCAAATACCCATAAAATTTTTGGAGCTGTACTGCTTCCGTCTCCCCCCGGAAGGCCCAGCAGGAACTTGTCGTCATATAGTCAGATGACCAGCCTTTATAATGCTGACATTCGCAGGGGAATGCTGAGATAGCCAGCCTCCGCGCTCTTCCGGGAGGCTCGGTTTGCTGTTCTCGACCATTCGACGTCTCCCACAACGGCGGACTCAAGCGCAAAACTGTTTCACACGCTTCCAATGCGACCTAGACGTGAATCAAGCTTGACCTGGTCACTCGATAGTCGACGCCTGAGCCACAAAGCTTGACTTCATCCGGTCCGAGATCCATCCTCTGCAGCTATCGGCTGACTTCCTCGGCAACCACGGCGCACACGCTACGACGGGGACCGTATTGTCACTGTAACTTGTGATTCCTCGTGACAGTGGAGCCCGGAGAAGAGCCTTGTTCAGACGTCACAACATCGAACCCAGCACAGCACAGGCCTCGTGCGGACAACTGGACCTGGACCTGGAGAAATCCCTCACCGGGGTGTACCATTGGCTCCCATACCCACCAACCCCGTGCTTCACCCAAGGCTTTAGTCCCAATCCGCTGGCCTCCGCTTGTTGTGCGAGGTAACATAACGAGACAACCTCGTCCACGTGTGCTTCCATGGTTTTCCCTGGCGGACGTCCGTCCCAAGAATATAAGGCCCATGCCTCTCCCGTCTGGAGAACGCCACTTCCAACTCAAGTTCAAACACACAAACCTCAATAGAACAAACATACAAACAACATTATGGGCCACCTCAAGGCTCCGAAGCTCAGGCTGTCCCGCGAGTCGTTCGGCCTTACCAACCATGTCTATTACGACCAATATGACCCGAAGAAGGGCGGCCGGCAGGACTCGAGGAAGTCCATGGCCAACCTGGATTACTCACCCTTGAAACGAGTAACCTGGCAGTCCTTCTGGATGGGCTGTCTCATCTCCATGGGAGGTCTAATCTTTGGCTACGATACTGGTCAGATCAGTGGTTTTTTGGAGATGCCAGATTTCCGAGAAAGATTTGGCCAGCGTCACGATGACGGAACATATTATTTCAGCAACGTCCGGTCAGGTCTCATTGTGTCACTGGTATGCTAATTGGCCCTTGTTCCTTCACATTGTTTTGTGGCCAAGCTAACATTTGTATAGCTTTCAATCGGTACCTTGATTGGTGCTTTGGTCGCCGCTCCCGTTGCCGATAGCATTGGCAGAAGACTGAGTGTCACCGTATGGAGTATCATCTTCGGCATCGGTAACATCGTTATGATCTCGTCAGATCGGCACTGGTATCAGATGATGATGGGCAGATGGGTTGCTGGTCTCGGTGTCGGCGCCCTGTCCCTGATTGTGCCCATGTATATGTGTAAGCAACCGATCCATCCTACCATCAAGTTTTCTCCTGTACTGACTTTGTATCGCAGCTGAAACCGCACCTCGTCATATCCGTGGTGCTTTGATCAGTGAATACCAGCTATTCGTGAGTGCTCACCGGTTTCCCCAGTGTTTCCGTCGCATTACTGACTGTCGTTTCAAACAGATCACCCTTGGTATTTTCCTCGCCGCTTGCATCAACTTCGGCACCTATGAACACCAACGGGGCAATTCCGGCTCATGGAGAATTCCCATGGGTGTTGGCTTCCTTTGGCCCATGATCCTCGGTGGCGGCATCCTTCTATTCCCCGACACGCCCCGTTATCTCTACCGCAAGGGACGAGTAGAAGAGGCCAAGCAGGTCATGCTTAAGGTCTACGGCGCTCCCCCGAACCACTACAGCGTACACGTCGAACTGGAGGAAATCGGTGCTCAGCTCCGCGCCGAAGCGCGCAAGGAAGGTGTCATACGCGAATGGATCCACATGTGGTCTGCACCCAAGATGGCCTACCGTATCATCCTGGGCATGGCTCTGCAAACGTTCCAGCAACTGACGGGCGCCAACTACTTCTTCTACTACGGCACCACGATCTTCCGAGCCACGGGCATCAACAACTCGTTCGTCACCCAGATGATCTTGAACGGCATCAACTTCGGCACCACCTTCTACGGCCTGTACATCGTCGAGCACTACGGTCGTCGCAAGTCGCTCATCGTCGGCTCCTGCTGGATGTTCATGATGTTCATGATCTTCGCCAGCGTCGGACATTTCTCCCTGAACCGCGACGACCCACCAGCCACCGAGTCGAGCGGAACCGCCATGATTGTCATTGCCTCGTTCTTCATCTTCGGCTTCGCCACCACGTGGGGCCCCATGATCTGGACCATCGGCGGTGAGTTGTATCCTTCGCGCTACCGGGCCAAGGCCATGGCCCTGGCCACCGCCGCCAACTGGCTCTGGAACTTCTTGATCGCCTTCTTCACCCCCTTCATCACCGGCGACATCGACTTCCTTTACGGCTACGTCTTCGCCGGCTGCAACCTGATCGGCATGCTTCTCGTCTACTTCTTCGTCATGGAGGGTCAGGGTCGTACCCTGGAAGAACTCGATGCCATGTACATCCTCGGCGTCAAGCCCTGGAAGAGTTCAACCTGGGTCGCTCCTCCGCCGGAAGAGATCGCCGCCATCCGGAGACGCGCGGGAACCCATGAAGACGTCGCCGAGGCCGGAGAGGCTGGAACCAACCCGGCCACCGCCCCGGTCCGCCCCAGCGAGGATGAAGCAAGCACAGAAAAGGAGGCTGAGCATCGCGAATAAGCCAAAACCATCGCCATTGTGATGCCCTTTTTTTTCGTTTCACTACTAAGCGATGATTTCATATGTTTTTGCTTGGAGACGCAAGGCGTCCTTTAATCATATGTCGCCACTGGCTGTGCGGCATAGAGAGAGAGAGAGAGAGAGAGAGAGAGAGAGAGAGAGAGAGAGAGAGAGAGAAAGGAGACAAGGGAAGAGAGAGAAGCAGAAGTTTGAGAAAATGTGACTGCATCAAGGGACACCAGAGGAGTCTCTCTGCGTGGGGGAGAAAGGGGAGGCCTGTCTGCGTGTGGATGAACGTGGCCCAACACTTGTTGTACGAGTGTTGTGATTGTGGTTGTTGTCACGATACCCACCCTACGCATACCTGGCCTTCCAAGGTACGATCGTTACGACAATGTCTCTCTGTACACTATTATTGGGTGTCTGTCCTGTCGACGACACGGATCTGTACATTTCTGGGTGTTGGTAGTTATGACTACTTGACCTAATGATAATGTGGAAAACTGAAACAAATTGAAAGAATTTCCCACTTATACATCAAACGAAAGAACATTTCAATTTCAAATTCATGAGTCAACCTCAACGCAGCAGAGTAGCACGGGACCTAGGGTTCGTGTCGAGAGTCAAGTTGACTTCGCAAGGGACGTCCCTAGCATCCTGCCAGCCTTGTCATATGGTTGCTGTTCAGCCTAGCGAACCCTTCCTCGACTCAAAGTCAAGCTTTGGGTGCTGGGGAGAAATGTTTGTGCGGCCCTCCAATGAAAGACGCAGGAGGTCTGCTGGGGGTATTGTATGTTTGGGCCTCAAGACAGCGCCGCTTCCAAAGGCGATACGAGATGTCTCGTCAGGTACTGTAGGTGGTCCCTTTTACCTAATCTCTGAGGTGTTCTTAGGCCCCTGGCCTCCTGGGGCCTCCCTAGCCTTAACCATCCCAGGATCCCTATGCCCCCGGAGATCCTTGAGGCTTGGGAGGCGTCTCCGCCGTTATCTGCGTGACATCAACCAAGAGCCCTAAGCTTAAAATGCAATTGTTGGTTGTTCACGGCATCAAGTGGATGTTTGGTGTCGATGGAGCCTTTGCATGTATTGAAGTACTATTCACTGCCCACTTATGTTCCATGACTTTCCTCCCTCTGGGCCTGTATACACTGTACAGTGCAGCCATCATGAAGAACAAGCTTTGCAGCGGCCTCTCTATGGGACTTGGCTTGGTCTCTTGAATTCGAAGTACTTGGTTGACGATCTATGGCTGTTTCTATCTCTATATGCGCACACTAGTATCTGCTTCTCCCGGGGAAGTGGAACTGAACCCCTGGGTTCAATCCACACTCGCACAACGCGGCCTTCCTTCTTGACTCGGCTTGAAAATCAGGACAAGGACGGCACGAAAGAACATGGTCCCAGTTCAGGGCTGAAAACGGAATCTAGGATCTCTGGTGCTGGTGACCCCAACGGTGACATATTCTTCCTTGCCATAGATATTGTCCCGGCGACGATTTTCGTACCGCATCCACGTCGAGTAGGTGAAGGAGATGACCAGCGCCACCCCAGACATGGCCGCATTGACTGCCAGCGCCGTGATGTACCTGGGAGCCTCGTCCGTGAAGAAGATATTACTGGCAATGAGGCCGGCGGCGTTGCCACACGCGATGACAATGCCCGAGGTCAGCGCGCGCGCGTTGAGATTGGTGATGTTGGTGACGGTCCATGCCGTGCCGAGCGGGCTGGTCGGATAAGCCTAGGAAAGAAAGAGTGAATGTCAACCAGAAGTCCTGTGGATAATTGAATGCCGCCGATAGGAGGATGGGGAGGGTGAGGAGTCAAGACGCACGCCAGCGGTCATGAAAAAGATTGCCATGTACGCAATCCCTTTCTGCTTTTCCACGTCAATCGTGGCCAGGATGATGTAGCCGATCAAGCTGAAACTCAACCCGATGGCGATATGATAGCCTCGTTCACGGAAGTGGTCTGATGACACGCACAGGGCGACGAGAATCACCGCAGCGACAAGGGCGGGGGCAACAGTATACTGCGAAACATGAGGAGTCAGTCTTTGGAATATAAAGGATAAAGGATAGAAGATACAAGATACAAGATTCACATACCAAGTTCGTCTTGACCACCGAGTATTGCAGCCGAGCTGTGATGATGGCGAGAAAGTTGCCGTTGGAACTGACCAGGATGCCCGCGGTGCACATGAGAACCATACGGATGTAGATGTGGGGGCTTTTGAATTCGGACAGGGCCTCGGACCACACAAACCGGTTCTCGATGTACTCGACGGAATCCAGAAGGATGCGTTGTTCGGCCACGTCTTTCTCCTGTTCCGTGAGGAAGAAGGCCTTCCGCGGAGACTCCGGTAGGACGACGAGGGCAATCGATGCGATCAGCACGGTCAAACAGCCTTCCAGGATGAACAGGTATGCCCAGCTAAAGAGCTTTCCATCCTTGATCTGGAACATGCCGAAAGCGAGGAGGCCTCCAAACGCCGAGGCCGCCACTGAAGCGGCATAGAAGATGCCGATGCGAGCGGCGAGCTCGCTCCGAGTATACCAAGTCGACAAATAGTACACCACCCTAGCAGAGCCGGTCAGTTGCTTTTACTCGATGGCTTTGAACGTGCCAAGGTAGAGAACATACGAAGTCAGAAAGCCGGCTTCGAAGATTCCAACCATGATCCTGCAGGTCATGAGGCCGCCGAAATTCTTGACTGACGCGGTAGTAGCAGACGCCGTACCGAAACACATCATCATGCCGGGGAGACTGTATCGCGCGGTGACTTTCTTGGTCACCATGCCGGAAGCAGGGCCGAATATGACAAAGAACACATAGTAGAACGTCAGAACTAGGTTGTACTGATTGCCCTTGAGGTGTAGATCGCGCGACAGCCCATCCGTCTGAGCGTTACCCATGTTGCTTCTGTCCAGAGAGCTGTACATGTCGTCAGCATGGGGGAAGAGTATGATCAGGGGGAAGTGTTGTTGTGCCACAGTGCCACTCACTTGAACAGGTACATCACGGCAAGCATGGGAAGTAGGATGAAGTCGGCTTTGCGTTTGAGAGACCGGACCACCGTGGCATCGAGCGTGTCGAGCGAGTTGGCGGCTTCACCGACGGCAACGCTCGCCGACTCTGCATCGACCGTTGTGGTCTTTTCAGCGCCGGACGCTGCCTGCGACTCGAAGAGTTTGCTCATTTTGACGGCCTCCAGTAGTGAGGATCGAAGCGCACAATGGCATTAGGAAATGGACGTGGCCATCATTCATGACTTTATCTTTCTGGTCAAGACGACTGAATCCTGGGCGTCAAGATAGGACAGCGATCATCCTGTAGCGACGGCCTAGATAGCAGATAGGCCTGGTTTGGGAATATCAGTCTACTATAGAGCGACAGATAGGAAGCCCCGAAGTGGAACAGATCTTGAAAAGCTGCATTTGGCTGGACGCCCTTTGATGTGGACCCCCCGATTGAATATCCATCCTCCATCCTACGGCCGTCAGCCAACCAGAGACACGGAGGTTGGATGCCGCCAATCAGAAGCGACGCCGACATGCTGATAGGGCTCCCCCTTGCCTGTATGCTTTGGCCATCCGTCGGCGTCCCGACTCAGGTAAAGAATGTTATTATATTATATATGGATCGGATTCAAACAGTGTTCGATCCAAGGCAAGGAGCCATTCGACATTCGACATCTCCCACCATGGTTGCTGAGGTAAAGCGATTACCGATTCCAGAGAAATATCTCCCTGGGCTCGACCCTGAGTTTCGTAAACTGTGGGACGAGCATGGCGCGTATACCACAAGGGCCGACGAAAGACCAGTGGAAGAGTATCGCGAAAACCCAGCGAGCCTGAGCTTTACATATCCCGTCTGGGCTGGTACGACCCTTCCCGGGCAGGACTCTATTCAAAGACTCACCGTTTCCCATCAGGCCCGCAAGTGTTCAACGTGCGTGACTGGAAGGTGCCAGTGTCCAACCCCGATGGCGAAGTCACCGTTCGTGTGTATACTCCTCAGGGGCCGGGCCCTTTTCCTGTCCATATCAACACCCACGGAGGTAAGATCCTGTTAGGCGACAGGTGTGCTGTCCAGACTCCCTTTGCTGACGATTTTCTCCTTAGGAGGCTGGACAGTCGGCGGGCTTGGTTCGGAGGCTGCGTGGTGTCGCGAAATGTGTAACCGCGCGGGCATAGTGGTTGTCGACGTGGATTATCGACTCTCGCCTGAAGTGCGCTTCCCAGTGGCCCTATACGACTCCTGGACAGCGATTAAATGGGTAGGCACGAAAAACAGATGCGCAAACACGGCATATAATCAGCGGCTGATCAGATGATAGGTGATTTCCCATGCCGCCGAGCTGAATGTCAAGCCAGAGAGTCTTTCCTTTGGGGGGCTTTCCGCCGGTGGTCAGATGAGTGCTGTAATGGCTCACTTTGCACGGGACGAAGGCATCGACGTCAAACTCCAACTCTTGACCGTCGGCGCCTTTGACTTCCGACAGGTGCCTGCCACCGGCAAAGACATTGAGGGCCCCGTGCCTTATGAGAGCTTTGTCACTTACAAGGATGTGCCTTGGGGACCCTTGGGAAGGCTGCAGTGGTTCCTCGATCACTGGATCGGGACTGACCCAGGTAAGTCGATCCAGTCCGTGGAAGTGTATGCTTCTTGTTGCCGAAACCAGTGCTCCGGCTTACCCATGGAGATAGAAGTGCGCGAGAAGACGTTCAACGACTGGCGGTGTTCCCCGGTCCTGGCACCATCTTTTCAGAACCTTGCCCCTGCTTTCATCGTCACCGCCGAGTTCGACCCCGGCCGAGATGAGGCAGAGTATTACGGGACACTGTTGCGTGAGGCTGGAAACGACGTGGTCATCAAGAGGTATCCGGGCATGCCTCACGCGTTTGCCCACTACAACCATCCTGAAAGAGGTCTTTCCTTGAGTCGAGAGTATATCAAGGACACGGCGGCCGCCCTTGTCCGGGCACATGGACTGGCACCTTAGTCAAAGGTTTCGTAGTAGGATAGTAGGAGAGACTGTAACCCACATGACCTCGACGTGACGATCTGGCCCCTTGGACTGCCACTTGTCACTTCCCCTGTGCGCACAATCCTCTGCCCATCTTGGCTCGTCGTGCCACAAGAGCCGTCTATCTGGAGTTAGTACGAAAAGGCGATAGGCCTTCTTGGGCCCATTAAAGCAGCTTTCCAGGGGCAGAGCTATAGGCTCAATGTCAATAAGAATGCTGTCGCGTACAGCAACGTACAACTTAAATTGTTGCACTCTGATGCGCTGTGCCCACCTGTACTCCCCTAAGTTCATCACATAAGATTTCACGTGATTAAGGCTTGGCCTCAGGTACTATAACCGTACTAGTAGTATCTATTCGGACCTCATCTGTCCGACTTTATACGAGTCTTCGACCCTTGTTTGTGACCTTCTTGATGCCCTCTCGCACAGTAATGCAATCGTCAGTGGCCACCCAGAGACAACAGCATGCTAGACGCTTCAGTCGTCCAGGTTACCGAATTGATTCGCTCCGAGGAAGAGTTGTGCAGGTCTCATGTCTCCTCCGGCAGTGACGGGCTCCCGACGATACATGAGCAAATCTCAACGTGCCTGTGACTTTTGCCGGTCTCGTCGAGCAGCCTGTCGTGTCGAGAACTCTCTGCCTTGTCGCCAGTGTCGGTTGCATGGCCGCGATTGCACTTTCGACAAGGGTTCTGCGCCGAGGAAACCTCGCAGGGCAGAGCCTACAGTTGCCACAGGAGTCGTGCACGATGGCCCAGGACAAACGCTCGAATCACGTGGACAAATTCAGAGACAGCCAACTGAAGTCATGCCTGCTGGTAATGCCGGGCAACATGTTCGTCTCGGGGTCTTCTCCAGTGCTGTCGACCACACCGAGCACAATGCCGAATTCTTTCTCGGCGACAATTGGGCATCAGCAGAGCCGATACTGGCAGATTTTTCAGCCGAAGATCAGCATTCGGATAGTAATGCACATGCTGCACTGGATTCAGCGATGGGCCAGAACACCTTGAATGAGCTCTTCGCCGAGATGCCTGATCTAAACGCTGATATTGGACCGCACGCGCTCGATGACGCTCTCATCGGTCACTTCGTCGGGCCAACCGGTGAGCAGGATCCGAATATACTTCGACGATACCGCTTCAACGAGAATAATGAGATATGGTTCAAGAAACTCGCAACACGTCTTACATCCGAGGGTCCGGATCCGACGCTTTGGATGCTTTCATTGCCAGAAGCGCAGAGAGACAACGAAGCTGGCCCTGTCTCAGCCGCCCATCCTTCGGTCCTAGAAGAGCGGGCCGAACTGGAGACCCTTGTTGCCCCGGACGTAGGAGATCGTCTGATCAAGCTGTGAGACCTGTTCTGCCTATTTACCGGAGGATCCAGAGCGCTTATCTCGGCCAGGTTTATGAAACTCATCGTCCCTCATTTCCCCATTTTCTCCAGTGAATCTCTGCCCCAGTCGTCCGACGCTCCCGTCCATCTTCTTGCCGCGATATATTTGATCACTGATCCATTCTTCGCTCAAGATGATTATCTATGCATCCAAGTTGTCTACACTCGACCTCAACCACGGCAACTCTGGGAAATCGCCTGGAGATCTTTCAACAGAAACATTCACAAAGCATCGATTAATATGGTACAGACTGCGATCATCCTTCTATTGAGTCCGCCGCTGGACCCCCTGAGTCCTGAGATACCATTCAGGTGGGCCTTGGTCGGAACTCTGGTCTCGATGTCGGAGACATTGGGTCTTCACCTCGACCCTGCTGACTGGAACATACCACAGCACCAAATAAGCCTGCGCCGCCGCCTGTCTTGGGTTGTATTCGCTTTGGATACCTGGCTTGCCTTAGCCCTAGGACGGCCAACCCGAATATCCAAGGAAAACTGGATGCTGGACCATCTGGAAGGAAGCAATCTTGGAAGCACGACCTCTGAAGTTGCCGAACATCCTTTTGCCCTGGAGTTCTCAAAGATAACTGGTATCATCGGTTCTGTGCTCCGAAAACTTTTGTGAGCCCTTCCCTGCCATCGAAAAATACACGCTGGCAAGCAATGACAGTGCAGCTAATCGAGAGCTTACTTAGCACCCTGAGAGCGAGCGCGACTTTAGCCACTGATTTTCGTCAGACACTTGAAACTGTGCGTCCGCTGCTCGTCGACCTTTCCGCCTGGCATAACGAATTGCCAGCATCAGCAAAGTTCTCCCTCCACGAAGTGCAACAGTCCACCGACTCGACGCAGCCGCGAAGCCAACTCCAGCTGGCATACTACGCGGCGAGAATATCAATTATTCGAGCATTACTACGATCATTCGACAACCCACAGGTAGACTTCTTCATCATTGAGGGTGATAGAGACGAGTTCAATGAAGCTCGCCGACGATGTCGCGACGCGGCGAAAACCTGCCTCGTGTCCGTGATCGATTTTATGTCTTCGCTGACCGGGCGAGATTTTGAACAGTTTTGGCCATCGTGGACCAGTACCCTCTTTTCAACCGTGTCATACTTGGCCATACTGCTTGTCGTGACCTCGGCAGAGGTCAACGAGGCCGGTCAGTATAAGTTTCTTCTCAACAAGTTACGGCGAGTCCTGCGCACGCAATCTCGATTCTTTGAGCCAATGCGGCTGGCCAGTCTTCGGCTGGACGCCCATTTCTGGCGTGGACTCGACAATGTCTTCAACATGGACCCACGTCTTGGTTGTTCCTTTGACGAACTGGTCGAGGTCCCCTATCTGACTGCAGAGCCTGAATGAAGAGCGACTGGAGATTTATTGTTGGATGATGGCTACAATCTACTTTCATGACGCGTTATTTGCTCGATGTCCTGCCTCACCAGAGCGACGGCGTTGAGGGCTATTTCCATACCGGCTTGGTAACCGGTTGCCCCAGCTCCATGGTTTGGTCTCAGGCCAGTGGCCGCCGCGGCAATTTCAACAGCAGGATCCATCAGCTACAGCAGCAGTTCTTGCGCTCTCTGCCTGATTGATTCCGACTTTTCTCCCACCACCTCACCTGTTCGGACGCGCCTGTCCATGTATCCGCCCACGATCACTTGGATCCGGGAGTTCGATCCAGTCTGTCGACTTGATGATCTAACGATGGGATGCGCTCGCCGAGAGGCCCGCCGTCGGCTGTCCACTCGGACAACAAGTTCTGCTTCCGGCCGCCCGGACATTTCGAGGCACTCGTCTTCGGATAAATGGGATAGCTGGGCTTGAATTGTACAGCAGCACCAAGTCGGTTATCTCATGACAACCAATGGGATTAGTGCTGGCCTGACCGAGCCAGCCATCTCAGCCAGGATGGAATTCTAGATTCGCCTCATCCCTCCATAGCTGCCTTCTCGTTCTGGTCTGCCTCTTCGAGGTGATTCTTTGTTTGCCGTTTCCTGCAAACAGGTTGCCTGGATATTACAATATCCTAAGATGGAGGGGAGGACGAGTAGCCTCCCGTCGTCGGTGCAACAGAAGAGCGCCGTGGAATCTCGGGAGGAGCATCGGCGGGAACGTCCATCCTACCTCGCACCTCCCCAGTTGTTATTGGGGCGCACCCCCCTTGTCGCTCAATCGACAGAGTTCCTCGCGAGGTATGCAAAGGTGGGCTGACCCGTCATACTTGATGCTTGAGCCACTCATATTCCAAGATCACGCGATAGCATCGTTCCTCTTGTCTGGCGTGAAGGTTGCCGCTTCTCTGGTCCGGAGCACCGTCTCCCGGTACGCATCCAGTGTCTCGCACACTGCTTGCAGCCGTCTGTCGGCACCGTAATCCAGAATGTTCTTAATCGCTCGGGAAGCCGCTCGAATACCATTTGAATCGCGCAGAAGATGCTGAGACAATCCCTCAACATGGAAGCTATGTTGCTCTCCTTCAGCCGGAGCTCCCAGCCAGTGTACGTTTATCCGAGCTAACTCATGGTCCAAGCTGATCGAGAAGTACCGTGGCTCTTGGTAGTCAAAACTTTCCAGTCCGAAGCTGCGCTGGATTAGATCCAGATGGCCATTCAAGGCAATAGCGCCGGCGCCGGCGGCTTGGTTCGTTGCGACATAGTGGGTTCCGTTTTTAGCCTGCGATTTGAACTCGATCTCGAGAAATGGAAATCGAACCTTCTGGTCCGGGACGGCATAGCTTCGGCCGAACTGGTCGTCCACAAGAAGATCGATGGTAAAGAGTTGGTTGCTGGTGAAGGCTTCCTCGGAATATCCGAAAACGAGATCTGGTTTGGGTTTAGGCATGGGAAGGGGGTTGGCCAAACTTGCCGCGTTGAGCGGGACAGGGACTGAATTGCACCAATGTTGGTCGGTACTCCTCCCCAATCTCTGGTCAGGGAGCTCCTTCATCGCAGGAATGATGTCGCGGGCAAGCTCGTTGATGATGACACTTTCCGCTTCATTTCGGAGGCGACGACACTTATCCCTCAACTTCTGGACCGTGACGTCGTCCATCTCAGGAGAGGTTCGTGAGCGTGATATGATTCTCTGCGCTCTCGAGATCAATTCCGATGGGGGATCGGCGCGCTCAATGAAGATGTTGCGATAGCGTAAGGACTCCTAATAATCCGCATCATGCACGCTTGCCACCGATTTCTCGGACCTGCTGGAGCTAGATATTCTGCCTTCAGAAACATCCCTAGTGGGCGGAAAGGCGGGAGCAGGCTTGCGTGGCATATTGACGACTGCCTGGCCAAGTCGGGATTCGGCCTGTGTCAACGTTCTGCGAGACCAGAATGACTCTTCCAGCCAGCTTTCAATGAACTCCTCCTTGTTGAGAGGTCTGGTTCTCGCCTCGGTGTATTGTGCCAGTCCACGTCTTGGTTTCGCCGGGTGATTCGATTCGTCTTCATGAATCTCGCAAGTTTGCCGTTTAGCTGTACAGGAAAGATTAGCAACACTGTTGATTGAGGTCATTGATGTAACTAACTGCTTTTGTGCACTTCTGGTTGTGGCGGTGATGCCGTGAACAGGCCTTTGTCCTCCTCTGGACGGTGTTGGTGTTGGTCTTGCGTGACTCCTCTTCTCTGCAGTTGTGATAGACTCCTCTCTCGTTTCTTTACCTTTGCTGTTCGTTGTGTGGCTGTGAATCGTCTCTCCTGCAGCCGAAGGCTTTTGCGAGTTGGCTTGGGAGGTTCTCTGTGTGTGTTTTGCGGACGTTGGTTCGCTTTAGTAACATCAGTCAAAGAGAAAACAACAAGTAATGATCACAACACGAATGGAGCAAACCGACAGCTCTTCTCTAGTCTTTGACTCTTCCGCTGGTGGTGTACGACATCTTTGTCTTTGTCTTTGTCTTTGTCTCGGTCTCGGTCTCGGTCTCGGTCTCTGTCTATGTCTTCGTTCTTGGTAGAACCTTGCCGTTTCCCTGTAGTCATTCGGTCAGGCTGGGTTCTCGGTGACGGACAGGGCTTTTCCCACGGCTTGAGCAATCAGGCGGTATCAGCTGCTGGCCTGGGCTATTGTGGCCACTGTGCACTGCGTCTGTGTCCCGCGTCACAACAGCCACGGCCATTATAACGACTGTTGACAGAGAAAATGAAGGTGGGGTCTGCTTTCTGTGCCTATAGCCAACGCAAGGCTGTACTAGTAGAAAAGCCAAACCGTGGGGTTCCATGCGGAGATACAACGATTGATAAACACGCCAGAGGGGTCTTGTCGGGCCAGTTGATTGTTTGTTTTGGCTATACCTAATTTGCGGTGTCGATACATTCTTGCTATCACATAGTACGACAGAAGTACCTACCTACCTACCTAACTACTAGGTAGTATGTACCTAGGTACTTAACGGTATGCTCTCCTATTTATACGCTAGTATTACGCCTACTGTGTTAGGGCCGCACTAGCTTGACTAATTAGGTATAGCCGTGAAAGGCCTCTAAGCCGCGCGCCAAGCCCACGACCATGCCTGAACAGGCAAGACCACCAACCTCAATGGCAGTGGCGGTGGTTTTGCTGCAACTTGAACCACTTCAATTGCTACAACCAGAGCCTCGTATCGACCTTCTGTGGTTTTACTCTGCTCTCTCCACAGAGTCAGGCTTCACTACAAGCCTTGGTGCTTGTCAAGTCACTTCAACTGGCACACCTACGCTGAAGTATATATGGAAGACAGCGGGAAGACCCCTACGCGGCAAGATATCCCGGGAAACAGATGTCTTAGCGTGCGTTGACCCGGAATGATCAAGTCGGCGTAGCACTCCGGCTGTACATATCACAGCCGATAAGGCTTCTAGTCCGGTCATGACAAGACGCCGCTATGTCGCAAAAACGTCCCTATGATGACTCTGGCTCGTCACCTGGACGTCGGTCTTCACATCCACGTGTGGCGAGGACCAAAGCCTGTGAGTCCAGTGATCCCGCTTCACAATGCCTCCGTTCGGTTTGGCTCTGACTCAACAGGCATGGAATGTCGAAGACATAAAATCAAATGCGAGGTCAAAGTGGGCGAGAGCTCCTGTACCAAATGTCTCCGAGGCGGCATCGAGTGCATCTTCCAAGACCTGACGCAAAAGTTCCAGGAGGAGGACGCTTTGTAAGTGCGTCAACAACAGGTTCAGACAGGCCACTCATGCATTGACAGGTGGAAAGCCCACGCAGACCTGGAACTGGACCAGATGCGCGCAGCGATTCAACACCTTCTCAAGCACAATCACCTTCCGGATCTTTCAACGTATCATACAGCCTCGGCCGCTGCCAGCCCAGCAAATCCAGCCTCGACCTCAACCCTGATTGTTCCGCCCATGGACATGACACGCGAGAACTCCCAAGAACCCCAATCCCGCGATGATCCTGGCCTTGTACCGGCTCCAATGAGCAGCTTGTACGACCTGACTCGCCTCAGAACTCTGCGAAGCTCGGTATTATGGAGACAGAATGCCAACATGCTGGATGACGATTTCATCTCACAAGGCATCATCTCCGTGGAGGACGCCGAGTATCTTTTCTCTCTATATCTACAAAATATCAACCAGCTTCTGTGGGGCGGTGTCTTACTCCCACATCAAACCTTGACCTCAGTCAGACGATCATCAACGATGCTTACCGCTGCCGTCCTCACCATCGCTGCTTTACACGTATCCGACGGCGACCGGCTCCTTCAAAAATGCTACAGCATCTTCGTGTCGCTTGTCAGTAACACCTGTCTAGCGCGGCATCACACACTCGACGATGTCCGAGCACTCTGCCTAGGAGCTTTCTACCTCTCCAACCTCAGCTGGAAACTGTCCGGCATGGCTGTGCGTCTAGCGGGGGAGATGAATCTTCATCAGTCATTCCAGAAACTCACCCGCGCTCAACCTAATCAACACGAATGCGTCAGACTCTGGTATGCATTGTATGTCTGCGAGCATCATTTCAGTATCGCATACGGGAGACCACCTATCATCGGGGACGATGTGGCTGTGAGAAACGTAGAAAGGTTCTTGGAGAGCCCGGCCACCGTCCCAGGTGACGTCCGGCTGTGTGCGCAAGTTGCCCTTTTCCGGATCCTCACTGAAGCATACATGGAGTATGGTAGCGACTCCGAGCAGCCTTTAGGCGAGCAGGATTTTGAACGACTCCGTTTGTTCAACTTTGCCGTCGAGCAGTGGAGACTGACCTGGCAAGTCAGGTCTGCCGACAGCGTGGAACTCGGCTCGTATCCATCTAAAGGAGTTGTCTTGTACTACCATTTCGCGCGTTTCCAGCTGAACTCTCTGGCTCTGAGAGCGGTGGCAGGACCAGACAGTCCGCTCGTCGAGCCGCTGACTTATGACCGTCGGGAAGCTGCCAACATTGCCATCTCAGCCGCGACCAGTACATTGACGCTCATTCTCGAGGAGCACGACTTACGTCGAGCCATGTCGGGCGTGCCCATTTTCACATACACTATGGTGGCGTTCTGCGCGACTTTCCTATTGAAAATGGCCATGAAGTGGAGCAATACCACATCTCCTACCACGGGCAGTTGGAGTCAAGAGACGTCAAATCTGGGATTGAATTTCAGTATCGGACAGGTCATTGGGCTCATTCGCAAGTCCGCCGACTTCCTAGCTGAAGTTTCAGAGACACTGAGTGAGAAACATCTGACGAGACACATCGTCGCCGGAATCCGCTATCTACTGAAGAAGTTTGATACGGACACAGAGCTGCCTCACCGAGATGGGATTCATGATTATCCACCAAGCCGTATCCAGCAGCCTTTCGTTAGTGGTATGGATGCCTCGAACAATGCGGCCGACAGCATGAACGGCAACTATAACTTTTATGACTTGGTTGGCTCTTATGGATTCGGATTCGACGAGTCATATCTCGGACAGGTCGAAGCTCATGACCCCGACTTATGGTCGTATACCTGAAGAATGTGCTTGTCCACTTCTACAAACACCCTTTGAAGTGTATACAGACAAGACTAATGGTCGAGGTCCAGTCCTCGTTATACGGGAAAGTCTCGATACGGAGCCTGACTCCCGTTTTGTCCCACACATTAACGTTGAGGGACTCTTAAGTGCACTCTAGTGCACAGCGGGAAGCTGTGTACACCTGCGGAGATGCTGTTTGCCAAAGCATCGGCAGAGAGACGTTCTTCAATGTTCACGGTGGATTTGCGCCAACTTATCGGTGCCGGCCTCCATCGTCCGAAAATCAGCATGTCTAAGCATGGCATCAGCATTGGTTTTGTGACACCGCCGTACTGTACACTACTGTACACCAATTCCCCGCGCTCCGAGCCTCCACAAGCCCCTTGAATCTCTCGGCGGCGGAGGACACGGGGTGAATGACTCGCGGAGATGCACTACCTGCTCTGGCTTCGCATCCCCCCTCCCCGATCGGACTTTGGTCGAACGCAGCGACCTGTTCTGTTCTCTCAGCCTTGTCAGGATTCCACGACGCCCAAGGTAGTATCGATTTGCACAACGTACGCGGAAGCTGACCTCGTGCGGATTTCTCCCGTCCAGCTAGTCACCGAGGCGATGGGAGCAACGCCCGAAACAACTATGGCGCAGGGGAGATTCTGTGCGAGTACCTGATCAACGACTACACCGACGAGTGCGGGTGGCCTCAAACAGTTCCGTGAGCAGGTAACTCGCGACTCAGTGACGAGCTCAACATCAAAATGTTCGGGACGCAGTGGACTGAATCAGAACTTCGGCACAGCAACAACATAATATCATAATATTGTTTGAAGTCATCCATTGCTTTTCAAAAATCATCCACTACTTTCGCGCATCTCTGTTTTACTTGACCATTCCATTCAGCTTATTGCCATTGCCAGACTCTATGCCTTCCCCGTCGACCCCATCCAGTCCATATACTGTTCAATAGCCTTCTGCATAGCCGCAGTCCCCTCCTCAATCAGGGTAGTCAAGGGGGCCTTGCCAGCCTTCTCCTGCAAGACCTTGACAAAGTGATCATTCATAGCATCATTGAGATTGACTTTGGCCACGCCGCAAGCAATGACCTTCTGCAACAGTTCCTCCTGGAAATGCGCGCCCGCGGCCCCATGCAGGACCAAATGGACCCGATCGCCGACCTGTTTGTGGATACTTTTCAACCGGTCAAAATCCAGCTGGGGCCCCTTGGAACCGTACTTGCCATGGACGTTCCCGAATGCCGGGGCCAGCCAGTCGATGCCCAGGGCGACAAACTCCTCGGCCTGGTCTGGCGTGGTCAGCAGGCCCTGCAGCGCCAGGTCGGCCGTGTCGCCAACGCCGTCCTCGCCGCCCTCGATGCGCCCGGGCTCGGCCTCGGTGATGATGCCCCGGTCATTGCAGTACTTGACCAGCTCGCGCGTCTTCTGGAAATTCTCCTCCTTCTCGTAGTGGCTCATGTCCACCATGATCCCGTCGAACCCGCCCAGGTCGGCCGCCCGCTTCACGATCTCGGGACTCTGCGCGTGATCCATGTGCACCGCTACCGGCACGCTCGCGGTGTTGGCTGCCTCGGCCGCCGCATGTACCAGCAACCCACTGGCGAATGTCACTGCCCAGGGAAACAGCTGGATGATGACAGGCGACTGTTTGGCTTCGGCGGCTCGCACGCTGGCGAGGATCGCTTCCACGTTGTAGCAGCACATGGCCGGCACCGCGTAGCCTTCACGAGCGGCTTTGGCGACGATCTTGATCGCTCGGTTTTGGCTGAGGTCCGGCATGGTGATCGGCTGGGATGGGGGGTGTTTGATGGCTTGCGGTATTGATAGCGTGTAGTCTTTGTCTGAGTAACAACTATCCACCCCAGAGGTAGGTGTGTTCTTGGTTGCACGTCCAAGTCTTAGGACAGATGATCTTGGATCTGGCTGTCGACTTGATGTTGATGTTCGGACGACACGCCGACGTAACGAGCCCTTGATGTTCGGGGGGTTTGCGGGGGAATTAAAGGCGATAAAATCGGTCTCTGATGTCCCGAAGTGTTGTTCAGCTTGATATGTAATTCGATGATTCGACGTGAACTGACTCGACTTCACGTTCAGCGCACTTCAAGCCAACCAAGTCTTTTGAATCACTACTACTTACTAGCTTCGAGATGCGTGTTTGGAAGATCTAAATAGAATTCGATGCTGAGAAGAAATGAACTCTTTAGCCTCCCGCGCCGCACGCCGGCACTTGACTCGGCCATACTCCGATGTTCTCGGCGTATTCGCCGACCATCGAGGGCTGGTGGGCCGTAGGTCCCAATCGAGAAGGGAAGGTACCTACGTAGGACCATAATTAACAACCGTTACCAAGGACAAAAGGGACGTAGCACGTAATGTATATAGTCAATCGAGCACTCCTTAGACACTTGCTTCCATGATGCTGGGCGGCTGTCCGCTGCAGGAAGAGAAGACGCTGTTCAATCGCCGCCGAGGTTTGGATATCGATCCACCTTCACATTGAAGTCAGGGGCACATCCCATATGCGCACAGCATCACCATCAACAGCGGCAAGCATGATCTGATGTCTCAAGTCCTCCCAGACCACCATTCGAAATCCTGCGATCCCACTCACCGAGTTGCCATCCTCTTCGTCGGTGGGTTTCTCAGTCGTCGAATCTTGATCAACGCCCTCCCTGGCAAACCTCCACTTCCGCTCCTCAACCAAGTCATACACCTCAGCAGATCCATCGCCACTTGTGAAGATGACGACCTTGCGCCCACGGTCCACGAACCGGACAAGACTGGTCTCAAGCATACGAGACATAAATCGAAGGTGCTGCTCTGTCATGTTTCTGATGCGGTCCACGCCGAGTTGACGTTCTTGGATCACGGTCTGCGTCTCAATATCAAACAGCAGCACTTTCCCGCCCTGGCGTCCACCCACGCAAAGAAGACCGTGGCTGCCGTCATTGTCGAGATGCCAATCGAGCGCCCGATACCACTGTCGCCCACTATCATGCGTGAAGAGCGTGGTGCCGTGGCTGAGATTGTAGACATGGATTGTGCCGTCGCCGCAGGTCGCGGCGAAGAAGCGCGAGTCGGGCGAGAAGCCGCCTGTCCAGTTCTGCCCGGAGGTTTCGAACGTGTATTTGAGCTTCAACAGCGGTTCCGACGCAGTAGAAGGGTTTGTCGAATCCCGGCCGCCTTCAGGGCTCCACTGCCACGTCCAGATGCGCACGGTCTTGTCCCAGGATACAGAGCCAATGAGGGTTTCGTCAGCGTTGAAACCGGTCCAGACGATCGAATCGGTGTGGCCGGCGAGGGTGGCTACGTCTTTGTGGTCCGCCATGGCGTGTATTTTGACGGTCCACCTGTCGTCTTTGTCGTTCGACCGAGGTCGGTCGCCAGGTAGATATAGCATGCATTTGCCTGAGGGGCTGAATGGCTTGGCCTGGAACGAGGTGACGAGGCGGCCATGTAGTTGTGGGCAGTCGATGATGCTGTGCTTCGCGAGCGCTTGTCTGATTAGGGGTATGAATACATTGCTCAGCGCAGTCACTTCGGTCTCGTCCAGGGAGATCGCGGTGAGCTTCGATCCCACAGCTTGCGCGGCCGCGACACTCAGGGCAGCGACGCTATCTGCGTCGTCTTCAGCGAGGTCGACTTTCGAAGCTTGATCCTTCAAATTCCAAATTATGATCGTTGGGTCCGTGGGCGTGGATCCGGCATACATGTTCATCGCTGCCGAGACCAGCGTGTTCGAGTCCCCGGGTTGAAAGGCTAGAGCGTCAACTCTGGAGTCGGGTCCGCGAAGAACCTGCTGTACGGAAAACGTCTCGGTTTCGACGACGTGGATTTCGTTCTGGACCCCGATCGCGAGATACTTGCCATCGTCGCTGACGACAGCCACATTCGGCTGCTGGTCATCGAATGTCAATTTGTGCTCCTCGTCACCCCAGCGACGGTACCCGCCATCCTGGGCGTACGGATACCGTTCACCTGAGGAGGTCAAGAATTCCTTTTCCAAGGAATACCGGTAATCCTGATGGAAGTCTTTGCTGGAGTAACGCATCTCAGTCCAAACAGACTCAGAGAGAAGTCTGACTAGGCAACTCGAGATTAGAGAAATCAGTGTTCCTCATCTCATTTTTTGTCAATGGGTCAATCGCATTCTCAGGCAGAACCGTCCTGATGTGATGACGGCTGCCTAGTACCTACCGTAGTACGTCGTAGGTGGTGGACTGATTGTGGCCATCCACCACCAAGCTTCTGATCACCGATCGTCACGTGCTATCGATGAGTACGACGCCGACGCCACACCAGGCCGCCATCAATGGGCAACTGAAGGAGGCAAGTTCTTGAAGATCATCACTTTTTGTTATCACCTCTCAACCGGCGTCAGACTGAACAGCCGGATCTTCGGGCGTTCCAGCGTGTCGTCTGATTGGCTGGAGTGGATAAAAGTGGACCAGAATCCCCCCAGGAGGAAAGTCCGTTTACGGAATATGTTCCCACCGGACAGGCTTACCTGTTCGGTAAAGCCGAGGGGCGACACCTCGAAACGAGGAACCCAATTGCCTGACGCCCTCTCGTCAACATGCTCTCTTCTCAATCCGTTGGAGGCAGGCAAATTCCAGCTGCTAGCCTGGCACTGCTACGAAGCAGCCCCATCACAATGGCCACCTTTGTTAACACATCCGGTCCGCCAGACCATTCTTCTGGCAGTGGCCTCGGCTCGAACAGGGTCGCCGCAGCATGCCGGCGATGTCGGCGACAAAAATTGAAGGTGACATTGCTTGTACCCTCACATCTGGCATTGAAGCTAAGTCGAGCCTGCATGACAGTGTGACGTCCAAAAGCCTTGCACGCTCTGTAAGAGAGCTGGAGCCGAATGCACGCTTGCTGAACCACCGCACTGGAGGTTGTACCAACGCGATAATGTCAAAGAACAGTATGCCTCGAGGGCAAAGGCCACCGAAGGACGGCGCTCTAAAAGACCTCGCTACAATGCCACCAGACCTGGTGAAGTTTCCATCTCTCAAGCCCAGAACACGCGCGTTGGGAACGCCAGCGCGCCACCAGATCCTCCTGACCATGCATTTATGGAAGAGAGCTCCGACCCGACGGCCCTCACGCCCGAGACCCCTTGGAACTCGAGTTCGACTATAGGGCTTGTGGAAGAGGTCTGAGATAGTACCCGACCGGTGAATACACTCACGCTGACATGAAGCCATGGCAGGCGTTCCAATACCACGATTCCAATGCACCCCCAAACTCGCAGACTTCAGCCTTCTCTGCGACTAAATGGAAGAATGCTGACGGGTTCGTCTTTCCTCCCCAAAGGCCGAGAAAGCAAAGGCATCTTACTCGTAAAGCAGTCTTACGTCTTCAAGACCAGGGAAACAACCGAGACAGAAGGCCAAACCGTCGCGTGCTTCTACTCCGAGTACACTAGAATTCCTGTCGCTGTTACCAGACGAAGAGCCAGCTACATTAATCCTGGACACATATTTCGATCGCGTCCACTGGTTCACGCTAATATTCCACCAAGGGGATTTTCGCGACAAGTTTGGACGACTTTATGCCGGTCGCAACGAGCCAAGGGCAGGAAAGCCTGCCGAATCGTTCGGCTTTGTGAGTACGCTCCTGGCGGCTTTTGTCATTGCACTCCAGCATTCCGGTGTCTACCGCAAGGAGCTGCTTCGTCAATACGGCGTCGAGGCGGACTCCCTGAAGAAACGGATGCTAAGCTCGCTAAGAACGAGGTTACTGGATATCTTGTCCCTCGGGTCCATGGAAGCGGTGCAGACCTGCGTCCTGCTCGGAAGCTACTACCTATATCAGGGACAGCCCGAATTGGCTTGGCCAATATGCGGTTGCGGTTTACGGATCGCCCAGGCTCTGCATCTGTACCGAAAGATGGCCATGGATACACACCCCTCTTCCTCTAGAGCATCTGTTGCTCATTATGCCGAGAGTCGAAAGCGGACGTGGTGGGCTGTGTATGAGATTGAGACTATATGTTCGATGTTGTACGGCTATCCGTTGAGCATCTCGGACAACGACTGCGACATAGAATATCTGGATCCCCACGCGAATCAGTCAATCCATGGACGTCTAGCTGACCACCACCAGCCGCCTTCCTCGACAGGAGCCGCCACTCTTTTGTCGTACAAAGCTCACATGTCAAAGTTGTCCGTCATCATTCGAACAGCCCTCACCGATATCTACGGCGGTGGCGGTCAGCATTCAGGGGTCCCCGCCACGTCAATCGGCAATCGGACTTCGCGTTTGCAGCAACTTGCTCTGAAAGTGGCGGAACTGGATGACAGGTTGCGTAAATGGCAGGAGGAACTTCCGCATAGACTCAGATTCGAGGATGTCGCCCAGGTCACGAGGTCCAATTATCTTCAGGTAGGCGAAATCGATTCGGATATTGGAGCCAGCGGCGAAAAGTTTGAAAATCACATATTCCAATTGCAGGCGCTGGCTCTGAAGCTGGCCTACGAAAATGCGAGGATCTTGGTGCATCGACCTCTTCTGTCGTACAAGATTACCACTCCCAGCATCCCTCCCGAAGAGAGTGGACGATCACTTGAGGGGCCACAGCCGTTCTCTCAGGAAACAGATCCGTTTTCACATTCGGTCCGGGTTTGCCGAGATGCCGCTCTCCAGACGTCGAGGGTTGGAAGTCACCTGGCCTTCTCGTGGGTTTCGATTAGTTATGCTGCTGCCTTTTCCAGCATGCATCTCTTCACAGCCGGCGTCACCCTGTGCATCATGACGAGCCTCGAGCCTCTGAGCTTACAGGCGCACGAATCCAAGATTGGGATCCACCGGTTGATGGCAATGCAACTGTCCTTGAAGGAAACTTCTATTATGGCCGCGCAGGGGCTTGCCATTCTTCAGCAGCTCGCTGGACTGACGTTGCAGAAAGAAATGAACCAGATGTTCAACCTAGAAAACCCGAAACCGCCGTGTCCACAGAGACCGAGCTCGGAGGAGCAGCGGCAGGCAAGTCACTCAAGTCAACGATACGAAGTCTTGTCTGAAAACGCAAACCCAGGCGCATGGTTTGGTAACGCTCACTCAGATGTCAATAGTTTCCCCCCTGTGTTGGAGTCGTCGCCCTCGCAGGCAGAACAGAACGAGATTGAATTGTTTGAGGGCGAGGGGTCACAGCTTTCACACCATGCTGTCCCGTTAACCTTTGACGCTGACGTGGATGAGAACCCAGATGTGGCTCGAACACTTTTGGACTTGGAACATGGTAGGTTTAATGGATTCCTCCTCCATATATCCGATCTTGTAGTTTTCTAAACATAGTCATAGTTATGAACGTCTTTCCTGGACTGGCAGATGCTCAAGGCCACGATAGCCTCGATTACGGCAGCCTCCTGCCTTTCGACAATACTTATGTGGACCAGGAACAGGGATGGATATGGGGATATGACTTCTTCCAGAATGGTTGAGACGGCTGGAATGAATACAACGATGGAAAATGTGTGACTTGCTCAAAGGGCATTGTGGTGGACTAGCTAGAAAGTCTAGATTGTGATTTTGGGGCAACAGGCCTACGCTATAGCCAGAAGCCAGCAGGCTGGGACCCCGGACAATGCTTGCAGTATTTCGGGACAATCACTCGGCCAATCAATAACCTCCAGACTGTCCATCGGGAATGGGCTTGAAGCTGACGGTGGTGGGCTCGTCGGTGATGCCTCGCTTCCCCGCCTCTTCCAACATGGCGACGGTGGCGGTGGCGCCAATCCTCGTGACGCCGAGGGTCATGACGTGCAGGAGGTCGTCCAGGCTGCGAATCCCCCCGGCGGCCTTGATCTGGACACTCGGCTTGCAGTGCTGCCTCATCAGCTTGAGGTGCGGCACGGTGGCACCTTTGTAGTTGTACTGGCCGTCGGGCTGCTTCACGAAGCCGTAGCCGGTCGAGGTCTTGACGAACGCGACGTCGAGGTCGGAGCAGATCCGACACAGCCGCACGATATGTTCGTCCCGCAGATAGTCGTTCTCGAAGATGATCTTCAAGACGGCCCCCTCGCGCACGACGGCCTCGTTGACAAGTCGGATCTCCTCCTCGACATACTCCCAATCCCCGCCCAAGGCTTTTCCGATGTTGATGACCATGTCGACCTCCTGGCCTCCGGCCCGCGCGGCAGCTGCCGCCTCCTGCACTTTGATTGCCGTCGTGCTGTTGCCGTGCGGGAACCCTATCACCGGACACACGCGCACACTGGTGCCTTGGAGCTGTCGCTTGGCCAGCGGCACCAGGTAAGGCTTGACGCAGGCCGTGGCGACGTTGTATTTCTTCGCGATTTCCAGTCCCGCCAGAATGTCCTGGTCCGTCATGGTCGGGTGCAGCAGGGAGTGGTCGATCATCTTGCCCAGCTGGGCGAGCGTCACGGTGATTGTGTGCCTGTTGGAGTTGGGAGGTCCATTGGTCGAGGATTGGCCCGAAGCTGTCGTATACATGTTTTCAGCAGCGAATATTGGTGCGAACCAAAGCCTGGTGGTAGACCGTTGAAAGGTCAGAATTCGATTCAATAGATCAAGTACTGTAACCTTAGGTACAGGCAAATGGTATTTTCGAGGCGTGCAGGGCAACAGGGTAATATATAGAATTATCTGTAGGGCTGGCAATGCACGAGAGGTTTGGAATTGCCGCAATCGCCACCGTGATTTGGGTGTCATTCGTGCGTCCTCGTCCTCGGTACAGAGATCCTTGCAGGCAGGTACTTGTTTCGTCTTCCCATGGCGTGGCCGTTGCGGGTGTAGCATCAAGAAGCATACCATAACCATACAGTGGAGCCATCTACTTTGGGGGGATATTACCCAATTCGGTAACTTCCTCCGGTGGAGCCATCATCGACATACATCCTCATCCCTCTCCTGACATCCCACCGGATCATCTGGAGACAAAGTTCTGTCCGGATCTGCGCAGCGTTGAGACGGTGGTGCTGACAGCCTGACATGACTCTGGGCGTGCAGCCCCCGATGTCTAAAACCACAGAAGTAGATCATTGCCCACGACCCTGTGTTGAACGTACTGGAAGCACCTCCATTGGCATACGATGCGATTTAATCGGAGGGAATCCTTGGTACGGATGAATGGACATTTCGATGAGGTTCTCGGCTTGAATTGAAGCTCGCTCTCTCATTAGCTGCAAATAGAGCCACTACCAAGGCCTGGTGATTCTCTTGCTGTCATATACTTCTAGTTGCTCACTGCACAGTTATGGAAGGCGTGGAAGGTGTTGAAAAGGCGCAGGCCAACGCACGCTCCTGGCCCAGCTAGCCTGAATTGAAATCTACCACTAACCGGCCTCGTACATTTCCCGCGCGCAATCTCGACACGGCTTCCGGTAAGCGATCGATGGGAACGCGCTCATATATCGGGTTCAGCAGACCTCGGGCTGCGAAAGCCAAAGCGTCGCTCGTATCTCTCAATGAACCCGTCAACGTGCCAACGACCTTGAGGTTTCGTAGGATCAGGTACATCGGGTCGTCTCCGGCGATCGTGGTTCCCAAGGGAGGCATCCCGACACACATGATCCTACCCCCGATGCGGGCCATCCTGGTTGCCGCCGCGTACGCGCTGGGCGATGTGGCGGTGACGAAGACACCATGTGCGCCCTTCCCGTCGGCTATCCTCACGACCTCGTCAACAATGTTTTTGGTGGCCTGGAAGTCGACATAGGCTTCACAGCCAAGCTGAAGACACAAGGCTTGTTTGTCGGTTCCGCCATCGACCCCAATCACCCTCATGCCCATGGCTTTGGCGAGCTGAACTCCCATGTGGCCCACGCCACCGCCGGCTCCGATGATCGCGGCCCATTCGCCGGGTTTGACGGCAGATTCTGCGAGCTGAAGATGACGAGGTCAGCTACGCCGAAAGCCCTGAATACCTTGGCCTGGTAAGATTGGCTGGTCCTTACCGATCTATACATCGTAGACCCGCTGCACATGATCGGACCAGCGGCAAAGTCATCCACCTCTGGCGGGATTCGAGTAGTGTATTTTGCTGGGCTGAGGATATATTCTTGGTATGTGCCTGAAGACGGACGGGTCAGGAATCAGTAGGTACTAAGGCCCGACACAGACCGGCCTTTGTGGATGTGGAAGAGAAGAAACCTACCAGGGACGTTCAACCCAGTGGAGATTGCTCGAGCACAGTGGCATTCCAGAGTGCTCAAACACAATTCACAAGACATGCAAGTGTCCCACGTGGGCTTGACACCGCCACGGTCGCCGACGTTCCAGTCCGTCACACCTTCACCGAGCGCGACGACGACCCCGGCACCTTCATGGCCGGGCGATCTGACTCCATAATCGCCCATGCGCGGAAGCGGTAGATCTTCCAGCATGTAGTGAATGTCGCTATAGCAGATGCCGGTGGCGTTGAGTTTGAGCAAGAGTTGCCCGGGACCTGCGACCAAAATGTCAGCCTTTCTTTTGCGATCGTCTAGAGTGTCGAGACTGCACAAACCCGGTTGAGGCACTGGTACCTCTTCGACCGCCAGTTCAAACGCCTGTCCATGGCGTTTAACAACGCCAGCCTTGCACGTTGGCGGGATTGAGTGAACAGATGTACTCATTGCAGATTTCAGCTTGTATGGCTATTGACATGATTCAGATGGCGGTCCCTGTCTTTATGATGTCTCAATAGACTGTCGCCCACAGAAGCCTCCAAATTCCAATAGAAACTTAAGGGAGTGTGACTCAGTGCAGAAGCCCATTTTACAACGTGTAGGCTGGTGATTTAGCGCAGACACTCCTCGGATCGGTGCCACCGTTGGGTGTGGGGGCTCCGTTTGGGGGCCCGGGTCGTACAAACTAGGAGAGAAGTCCCGCCGGCAGGGAACAAAACGGGGAAAGGGAATGAGGACACTGAACGGGGCCAGACTCCCAGTGTGTTGACGGCATGGGTGTCGATCCACCTTGAGGTCGTGTGATATATGATACCTGTAGAAAGATGAACCTTGAAGCTATGCTGACGGTCACGCATGCCGGTCTCCGCCCGACCCTGGAGACCCCGTATCCGCAAACCAAAGCGGAGATGATGGAATGGTCCACTCGACGAAAGTCTGGGTAACCTGGAGACTTGACTGTACTCCGCCGTGACCAAGATTGATATTGTGATAGGCGTAGGTACGGAGTAAAGACGTCTCGACGACATTGTTACAACCACTGCAAGGAACTGTTTCGCCCAACGCTGGACGTGAAGTGAGGTGTTAGTTTCCGGTCTACATGCTACCGGAACCACTTTCATGTTTGGTAGGGAGCCTAACTGCGTGTTCTCCTTATAGTATAACGACGTGGTTCCTATTCCCAGTATACATTATATACTGTCTAATTCAGGGCTCATTATAGATGATGCAAAACCCTGTCCTGGCGTCCGGTATGAAAATTCCGCTCTTGCTTCTGCACGATATTACTTGCACTTGCCCAGCATCACACAAAGGCAACCCTACTAGTAGTTGCCAGTGATAACTTTGTTGCACCGTTGCTCCTGACATCAGATGATGGCGTTCATAATTCATTCAACATTCAACCCACAATTCATCCACCTTATCCCGTCCACATCATCCCGTCCACATCATCCCATCCATTCATCCCATCCGTTCATCCCATCCATTCATCCCGTGCGACGCAATGTACAATCCCTCCCCGAGCAGACAATTGTCCTTATGAAGGACTGCTTCTGCGGGGACTACGTCTCTGCTGACCTGGTTTGGAGCCGGCCTTTGGATCCTTCACTTTCCGCTGCGGCAGGGTCGGTTTGAGATCATCTTCTTCAGTCACCTTGCACAGCTGCTCGAGCTGGGCCTGTGATATGGCGAAACGTCTTCCCGAGTACAAGGAGTCAGCACTTGAAAGCCACTTGAGTATTACCTTTATAGCATATCTCTCAGCCACCTTGAACCACTCGACATGCTGCTTTTTGCAAGCGTTGCAATAGGGTTCATACACCCTATAATCTTTCAGTTCGGCATGGATGAGGGACTCAATTCGATGCAGGTGTCGGACTCGCAATTCTAGTCCTTGTTCCTGCGGGAGATGTCGTTCAAGGTTGTATTTGCACTGGCTTCTCCACTCCCGGAGTCGACTTGCGACGTCTTTGGCACGGCCGATTTTCACGTATCCAAAGTTTCCTGGATGCCAGAACATGTAGATATACCCGCTGCGGTCCATGTCAGTCGGAGTCAATGGTTTGACAAGTGTCTGGCGAATCAGTTCCGCGGCAGACATATTCCTGGTCTTCATAGACCCCTCATACTTGATGAAGCTATGGTTGAGGTGATCCGAGAGTTTGGATGTTGCGTGAACCTTGGCGTGATGCTCGACTACGGACACGGTGGCATGACCGCCAGGAGTGCTGTGGTCAGCGTTGCTCGAAACTGAGATTGTTGTGGCGGCTCGAGTGGTCTGTCCAGGAAGGGAGAATCTTTGACTGTGAACGGCATCGAAAACATTAACCGAGGATGCAAGGATTTGGTGCACGGAGTCACGATCCTCCTGGCTCATCTCTTTCATCTCCTTGCTCAGAGGGCTCATTAGCGCCTCAACCCAAAATTGAATCATGCTGGTGGCCATGCTGGCAGCGCCTCTGGCTTCGTGTGCATCGATGGCTTTCACCTCATCAATCTCCCACCAAGAGGCGGACAATTCTTTCAAGAGAGTCTGGGCACTCTTCTGATGCGTGTGTCGGCACGTAACCTGGCCCACAAGTGTTGAGATGCGCTGTGCAACAGCAGAATGGTCGAATGGACGCTTGGGTGACGAAATACCTCCCAACAGATTGCTGGCCTGGATTCCGGTCAGCCCTCCAGCATTCTTGTTCTTGCACCTCTCGCCGTTGGTCTTGTTGGTAGCCACACATTTGGATGGATCAGCTCGCAGCCTGTCAACTGTATCGATGGGCAGAATCTTCGAAAGCATCGTGGGCAATCCCCATACTGTCGTCAGTGATATTGCCTGCTTGACAGGGTTCAGAGCTGATATAGGTGTATTGGCCTCCCTTGTCGGCCCAGCTACGGGTTCCAGGCTAGACCAGAATGTAAGGTCTTCGGCCTTGACGGTATTTGCATCGGACGAGGTAGTGGCAGTTGCCGTATACGTGCTAGAAGCAGCATAGTACTGGCCAGTCGATCGTAGTGCCGGGTTGGATTGCCTCCCGTTTACGGTTGTCGTGAAAAACTCCTCGGTCTGGAGTCTGGTCGTGAGCATGGATAGCTTTGAAGGGTTATCACACCAGGAACGTGGTTCTTTCGAGTCAACGCTGGAGCCTAAGGTAGAAGCCGCATTGGGCGAGTGTCCGCCTTGAGCTGTTCCATCGCTGGCATCTCTTGGACCATATCCCTTGCGCTCTGGCGGATATAACTGACCACGCTTGAGACCTGGGTGTGGCTTTTTCTCGTCATCGTCATGATCATTATCGCCCAATTCATGCAGAGATGTATCAGGTATGGCCCGAATGGGGCCCTGTGGGACGGTTGTACCCTTTGTACGAGTGGCGAGCGGCGAACCGGGGAGGAAGACACCACCATCATCCGTATCAGAATGGTAGTTTGGAGTAGGGGGGTCCTCTGTAGCTGGCGGGGATTCGTCCCAGGTCAAACCGGGAGTTGTAGGGCAGGAAGTATCGTACCCCTTGTGAAGTACTCCATCAGGAGTTGACGGGGGGGTACGTTTGAACGCTCGTGCACTGTATGAAGCAGTCAAACGGCTCTTAGGAGTCAAGTACTGACGTTTCCGAGGGGAAGCCATGGCGCACACCAGGAAGGGTGGCCATCATGCCAGGATTGCAGCAATGCAGCCTTTTAAGCTCTTTCTCGCTGTAGGCTGAGCAAGCCGGTTACAAGGCCAGCTACCCAGAGAGTGGCAGGGCATGCTGTCGCTGTTCGGCGCTAGATCAGCCACTTACCATCTTCGAAGCGCGCAACAACGAGCCGATAAGAAGGGGTAGGCATCTTTCCTAGATGAGAGCATTCAGCTGCTCAATCCTCCCGCTCGATGTGGAAAGCGCGACGTGGATGTAACGCCCTATTCTTCTTCCCTGGCGCTCAAGCTTCACTCTGGCCGGGGCCATCGCGGACTTGAAGCCATGAGCAGAGTAGTAGTTGACGCTGAGGAGCATTTAGGGTAATAACTTCAACTTGAAGAGACGGCCCCCAATTTGGATGCCAAGGTCGGTGCATCGGCCTATCGGGGAAGCGGGCTTCCGGCTGCCGGCGGCTGGACGAAGCTACTTTGAACCTCGAGTGCAACCGTATTTTTTCTTCCTACTTTGCATCGATGCTACACAAAATCAACGGCGTCGAAGCCATTCCACCCTCCCTGTACGTGCTCTGAAACTCCTAACAACGCAGGGGAACACTCGAGCAGTGCTCTCCTAAGCCCTACCTGCAACGGAAGCTACAGACGTTTGGGGGCCGACGAGCTGGGTTCTCATACGTGACAAAGCCATGTCAAGTACGAAATAACACTTCGCGTACTGCCATCACGATCACGAATATGCCATACCGACGTTGGAGCCTGGTCATATTCAGCCTATATGCACACACATAAAGCACCAAAATTGTGTCTTCTGATTTTTGTAGGTATCTGGCTGGTCGGTCTCGCCAGATGAGACGCCGGTTGGACGCCCAAGGGCGCTTATGAACTTCAGCGCTCGACGATACCTGACTCGGGCATCACTACTTCACAGTGTGCATTGCATATTGCGACTCTGAGACAGGCGCAGCTACATCGCTGATAAGGTGCTGCTCGAACTATGAAAAGGACCCAAAGGTCCTCTCATGGGTCAGTCGCCTGCATCCTTGCATGTTCCATGTACTCGTTGCACAGCCTCACCGGCCACACACAGCCTACTATGGGGAGCAGGCTCTGAGCCGAAGACGGCGTCCCGAAAATGCAGGTGGTTGGGCCATGAAAACAACTAGGGACGCAGAAACCTGCCAAATCCTCGAACTGTTCTCGCAGCATCCCAGCCTTCTTTCTCCATCTGCGCTGGATCTTCTACCCACGGTGATGAAGGAATCTGGACGCATGTGTGCACGAATAAATGGGTTTCCAGCTTGGAGCTGGCAGTGCCTCAAACCGGTCTCTAACCGTATCCAAACTGCTTGCTCAAGTGGCTAATACGAAAAGTTTTCGAGAAGTCAACATAGCTTGCCATGACCGGGGACTTGCCACAAGCACAGCGTTACGCAGCTATATCCTATCCCGGCCAGCAGCTTCAGGTCACGTTGGCGCGAAGATTCCTAGACACTCCTTCATCATTCTCTGAGGTACCAATTTACAACAAAGATCACAACGGTACAATGTTCCATCCTAGAATGGCCGGACCACTGAAGAGTCCTGAAAACAGGCGTCGATTGCGTCAGGTCCCAAGAGCCGCTCGACGATCGTATTGAACACCACATGAAGTCATGATACTGATGGTCATCTAAAGGCCTCTGCCAATAAGAGGTATGCGACAGTTTCTCACCAAGCCACTCAGGCAAGCATCCATATCCTATTTCCCATTTCCAACTTCCCGTTCTGTTCCGCTATCCGTGCCATGCAGAAAGATGCTCTACAAAACCCCAGACCTTGCTGTCCCTGTTTTGCGTTTAGCGATCCAGAAATTCAAAGAACCTTCCACGCATCCCTGATCTCCCCCGACGTCGCGACATGCGCCGTGGTCGGCAAGACATGTGTGACCAGCATGGCATGCAATCCCGGGACGAGGTCGAAACAAGCATCCTCAACTACGGTGACGATGAAACCGCGATCCGTCGCGGCGCGGGCCGTACTCAACACCGTTCCTGACGTGGTGATCCCGCAGAGAATAAGTGACTTGATGCCTCGAGTGCGCAGCATCTCCAAGAGCCCTCTGACTCCAGCGCTGATACCAGTCCCGGTTGACGCAGGACGGTTATTTCTCGATCTCGAGCTTGAGCTTGGGTCTGGGCCTCTGCGTGCTCAAAGATCCCAGGCTTATTGATATTCCCCATCGCAACGCCAACACCGCCAGCATCGAATGGTGCAATTCTAGGACCAGAACCAGGACCACCGCCCGCACGGCCACTAATATTACTCATAACAGTATCCTTCCCAGTCTCACCACCGTCATCCTTCGGCGCAAGACCTTCAACCTCCCAGCCCAACCAGGCCTCCTTGGCCAGTTTCTCCTGATAAAACATCTTCCATTTCCCAGCCAACTTGCTCCAAGCCGGTGGACGCACGCCTGGAGCCGTATCGATCAGACAATGAAACACACTCATGCCGCGCTGGAGGGCCCAGTCGTGCATCTGGCTCGCGATCTTGACCACGCTGGGTCCGGCGTCGCCGAGCCGTGCCATGCTCAGGTTCTGGTAGTCGATCACCAACAGGGCCGTTTCTGCGGGAGACACAGATAGAGGCGAGCTGGGGTCGAAAGACGAGGACGAGGACGAGGACGATGGGAAGGCGAATGCCGGTCTGGCCCAGGATGTCATGGCTGTGGCTGTTGGGAGTGTCGGACAGATTGTTCGATGGAAGAGCGAACTTGAAGACTGCCTCCCTTCCTTTGGTCTGGGTTCTACCGAAGACGGTGCCGGACGTGAAAGTCAAGAATGGGAAGGTATAGGTGCACACACCCCACCACTCGAGGATACGGTGTATTTCTCTCTTTTCTCTCGCTTAGTACAAAACTCTCATCTATTTCGAGTCTTTCGACTCGTCTCCCGGGGGACCCTTTATCCCTCTTACTTCCGCGCAATGGTCAGAGACTTGTATCGAGATATACGTACCGATTGCCTATTGCGTCGGGCCGGGATTGAACAGCTAGATCTCTCAGCACAGCAACCGTCTAAATCCCGGCACAGCAACTGTATAGATTCTACCACAGCAACCGTACCAGCAGTATAGAAAGCTAGGCTTGGGCAGTGGGTACCGGTGTTTATTCAGCTGCAATTCGCAAGTTGCCACTCACAAGAATTATTGTTCTCTCTCCATCATCGCAGACCACGAACACTTCTCCTCTCCAGTGGACGAGTGTTCGGTATATGCAGCAGCAGCAGCAGCAGCAGAGGCGGGGGAGAGAATGAATGGACTTTGTCGGACACGGAGATAAGAGGACGACGGATTGCATAAACCCCGAAGAACCCACCAACACTGCACTACACTGCACAGCCTTTGGTCATCACAGCTTTTGGTCTTGTGGTCTTGGTCACGGTCATGGCGCGCTGAAGATTCAACTACTGTTATGTGCCCGGTGGGTGACCTGGGGAAGAAGAGAGTTACACCTACCCAGTGTCAGTCCAATGCTATTCTTTCTCGGAGCGGCGTTACCATCGGTCTTTACAGGACTCGACGCCGGAAAGGCTGGCAGTAGTATTCAGTTGTTCGAAACAGCTATCAGATGAATGGCCAGTATAGATCAGAGTTGTACGAGATGGTTGTCCGATATTATATATACCTCATGGAGATGCAGATCGAGTATCATTTCTCACTGGTGTTCTCTGTGTCGTAATGCTTCGGAGTGAAGACGATCCCGACTGTGTATACTGTACAGTGTACATCCATGTACCCGGGCACTGCATGGAACCCATACACCCATGCAAACCCTAAATGCACCCCTTGGTGCCGAATCGTGGCGACAAAGCTCGCTCTGTTGCTAAAGTCGCTCAGGCTCAAAAATGCGCTTTTGATACACTGTATCCCATCTCGTGCAAATGACATTGACTCCAAACCAAGATGGGTATCAAAAGCTGCCGTATTCCCAAGGCATCCACTAAACGCCATGCAAAAGGCTCAACGACGACCACGCCATGCGATCCTTGCCGACTGGACCTGAGGAGAGAGGAGCTGCGTCCATGGCGAAGCTGCGAGACGCCGTTTCCATGCTTCTGACCGAATGAAGTTGAATACCCCTTCGACGATCCTCCTGCATGACCACCAATGTGTGCGCCAAACATGAAAACATGGCTCAATATGGTTGATCCGTTTCTCCGAGGCCGTTGCCCTCTTCTCTGGAACAAGCCCAGGGTGCGTAGGGTAGTGTCATAAGGCACAGTTTCGCAGATTGCGAAGGGAGACGCATTCACGGATCTCTTTCGTCCAGTAGCAGAGGGTCTGCTTCTTCGTGATCGTACTCACGAATGCTCCTCACAGCAGCAGATCGTGAGCGGGCTCGGAAGTCGAATAGGTTTAAAAGACGCGGAAGCCGGTGGGATCGCGCAAACCGAGGGAGCCGCGCAAGCCTGGGGAATCGGTCGAACTTGGGGATTCGCACAAGTCGGGGAAACCTCCAAAACAAGAAACCGAGGCTGGCGAAGGCGAACATAAGGAGTAGAGTCGTCCAGAATAATACCTGGGCTGTGTTAGCATAAAAACGCGCAAAGTCAAATCGGCAGACGGAAGGGGAGACAATACTTACAGATGAAGACCGATGCGCCCTGACAACAGCTGAATAGGCCATTACACCCTTCGCAGCGTCCAAGGCTGCGACTCTTGCATAGCCATGGTGCTTGCCAAGCAAGAACCTTGTCTCGAAGCCATTGCGATTCAACTCTTGAATGGTCACGAAGTCGTCATCTTTGGCTTCCGCTGACTTGGCCATCTCCAACCTCCACCCTGTGACCTCGGTGGCTCCGTTCCAGCTGACATACACCTTCCCATTCTTGACTTTCACGTCCGGCACGGTCTTCGGTCTTCCGACCCAGCGACTCTTGAAGACACGGTAGGATTTGACCAATCCGAAGTCGAGGATCTCATAGGCGAAGTAGGGTGCCCAATGTGCGCCGCACAGCACCTGACCGTCCCGTGAGAACTCGATGTAGGTGGGCGAATTGCCATACCCGACCAGCACATTGCCAGTTTCTGGAAGCACCTGCACGGAGCCCTGGGATACGTTGAGAATCTTATCTGGGTGCACGTATGTCTGTAAAAGGCGGGCAGTCATATTTTTCAAGTCGAGTTGGATTAGCATGCCCTTGCTGTGACTGGATGGGCTATGAAAGACGTTGTTGGCGTGGTTGTCGAAAAGAGATATCGTACCGTTGCCCTGCCACGTGACATGGTGTTGCCATGCGAAATCAGTCGCGCCGTTCAGATCTTCAAAATCGTTATTCTTGCCGCCGAGTTGCCACAGGATTTCGCCCGTTTTGCCGCTGACGCACACCACCGCATGCATGTATCGCGCGGAGATGATATAGTCTCCCGAGTCGATCTTGTCCACACTGTTGATGTGGAAGAAGTCAAAGGCGTCCTTCTTCGATTTGCCATGTCCATCCTTCATATTAGGCTTGCTGAATACATCGCTCATGCGGATGTGATCTGAGGCACGCCATTCAAACAGCATCTCCCCCGTCTCGATGTCGATCTCTTGGAACAGACCATCCTGGATCCAACAACTCTTGCCCAGCCCCAATTCAGTACAATCGGCTTTATGTTTGTGGTATATCGTAATGAGCGCCGTGCCCTGCGGGGTGAGGCGAAATTCGTGCGAGTCTCCTTTGAGGCCCTGGCCATGTGGGAATATTCGGTAGGCGACTTCGTAGGACGAGTTAAGCTAAGAGACCGTCAGAAATGCCTCCATGAACACCGCATGGAAAATGAAGCGCAGGCTTACAAGCACATAAGATTTCTTGGGAACACCTTTTGGGCGTTTATGCTTCTCGGTCTTGGTCCAAAATGTCAAGTATTCCTCTCCCTTGAATCTCTGCACCTTGAAGTTCATGGACTGTTCAAACTGGTTGTTGTCCATCCATATCAATTGACCATTCGCGTCTAGCATGACCGGACCCCGTGCCTGGCCCTTGACGGCCGGGCCCCTCGGTGTAAAGAGTAGGCTTCCCGGATCGCATCGTGCATCCCATTGTGTTATCTTCGGCAAGGGCGCCTCAAGGTCGACCGAGTGGAAACGCTGACGAGGATAGAGGCCATAGAAACCCAGATCGTAGGCATTGAACCACGATGCAGTCACCCACGGCGCGGGGAGAACAGCCAGGAGCAGGGAAAGCCGCATGATACCGATAGGTTTGAAGCGGAGGTAGGAATGAAAAAAGAGAAACCGGGGAACGCACTGTCAAAGTCAACGAACAATCCGAATAAACATGACTGATCGATCCATCAGCCGGATGGGTCCGGAACTAATTTGTTCAACGGTCATCACTTGTCCAGCGAATGCGGCGACATTGAGGCCTCCGTGTTACCAACCACTGGCACTTTGATCCGTAAGACGTCTGCAACGGACGAATGACGGCGAGCCGGACACTTGGGGCCATGGGAGCGAATCTTTCATCAGCACTGCAACTTCCCAAAGGATGCTGGGAAGGCCGCAATGCCGGCTCGGAGGCACCTGGTCTGCCTGCCATGTCGCGTGCAATGTATCAATCAATAATCGATCTCACTTCGCTGGCGCGCTGCTGCACTGGCAGACTCTAATCTTCTGCAACACATGGACCAGCGGGTGGCCTAGGTCCCGGTGAATCTTTCATAAAACCGGGACTTGGGCGTGATTCAGCCTAGCTCTGCAGAACAAGCAGGCGCTAGTTGTACAAGCCTTTTTAACCGCTAGTACTAATAGGCTTAAACCACCTAAATCAGGAGTTTACCATCTTCACGGCAGTGGATGAATCCGAGTCCCCGGCTTCGAACGCGACTCCATCCGAGTCCCAGGGGGCCGCTTATTACTTACGGCCGGTGATTAGTCATCCACAAGGGAGGATGGCGGACAATTTCCTCTGTGGGACCTTGAGTAGTACTACGGCGTCTTCATTTGAAGGCTCCAAAGGAGGTACGTATCCCTAATATTCTCCTCGCGACAACCACGAAGGTGATGATGAGTGATGAGCTTATGAGAAGTAAGCTGGTCAGAGGAGATGAGCGGTGTGCACAGTATTATTGTGTACCTAAGGTGCTACCTACAGGTGGCGCACAGGTGAGCGAACGCCGCGGTGATGAGTAATCACGTGTCCTGGGGCCGGAGAAGATTTCAGCGTTTCAAGGCCACTACTGCAGTGGTCGTGGGGTCCAACTTGAAGTTCAAGTTGCTTCGCTCGAGCCGCCAAGGCTGCAAGTTTTTGCCTCCCGCCGATGGCGGCCAGAGCGTCACGTGCAACACCCTTGACCACTTCAACGGTGAGTCAACGCAAAAAGTTCGCCTCGTCTTGATGCCATTATTGCTGCGGTCAAGCTTCACAAGACTAAAAGGCTCGCCCGACTGCATTCAACTTTTGGAGGCCAGGTTGCTGTCAGCCGAGACCCTACAGCTAGGTAGGAAATTGGGCGCATGAAAACTTAAGAAAATAATCTCCTCCAACATGGCATCAAAAGAGTCACAAGGCAAGAAGAAATGTGCCGTACTAGGCGCGACTGGTATGATCATTGATGCATTTATAAGATCGCGTTGCTGATGTAACAAGGCTCTGTCGGACAACGATTCATTCTGCTGTTAGCCGACCATCCTACGCTACATCTTCAAGCAGTCGGAGCCTCGTCAAGATCTACCGGAAAGCTCTATAAAGATGCTGTGCGGTGGAAGCAGGCGAGACCCATGTCAGCAGAACTAGCCAACCTCGAGGTCCGAGAATGTAAAGCCAGCAACTTTACAGATTGCGACTTGGTCTTCTCTGGTCTGGATAGCGACGTCGCCGGCGACGTTGGTACGTGTTACTTAGCATCCCAGTCACGACTCAGAACTGACCTTTTCCAGAAATGGAGTTCCTGAAGGCCGAGCTTCCTGTTTTTTCCAATGCAAAGAATTACAGAAGAGATCCGATCGTGCCTCTCGTGGTGCCTACGGTCAATTTGTCGCATCTAGGTCTCATCCCCCATCAACGGAAACACTTTGGCCTGAAGAAGGGGTTTCTAGTCTGCAACTCCAACTGCGCCGTTATTGGCATAGTGATACCGTTTGCGGCCCTGCAAGCCAAATTTGGACCCGTCGAGGACGTCGAAGTCTTCACGGAGCAAGCAGTGTCAGGGGCTGGATACCCGGGAGTTCCAAGCATGGATATCATGGACAACGTCATTCCATACATCGCCGGCGAAGAAGACAAACTCGAAACAGAAGCACAGAAGATTCTCGGCTCCATCAACTCAGAAGCAACAGCTTTTGAGGAGCAGAAAGGACTCACGGTGGGCGCCACGTGCACACGCGTCGGTGTTACGGACGGTCATATGGCTTTCGTCTCTTTGAGGTTCAAACAGAGACCGCCACCAAGTGCCGAGCAAGTCAAACAAGCCCTGAGGGAATATGTGGCGGATGCGCAGAAGCTGGGATGTCCATCTGCCCCAGAGAAGGCCATAGTTGTTTTTGACGAACCGGACAGACCTCAACCACGACTTGACCGAGATATTTCGGGTGGCTACGCTGTCAGTGTGGGACGAGTTCGCGAGACCGCCAAAGGGTCGCATTTCGACATCCGATTTGCTGCATTGAGCCATAATACAGTCATTGGCGCAGCAGGGTCTTCGATACTGAATGCGGAGGCTGCCATCATCCAAGGCCTGATATAGAAATCGCAGTGAATTTGTGAAGGCGAGGAAGGGGCTTGCCGGACAGCCATGTCTAAAAATTGCTTCATCTAACTAGAAGCATACCGAATCATTCTGGGTGGCTGTCATTGAAATTGCTCAGTTGTGTTAGACCTTCTGGAGAAGCTGAAGTCGATGTGGATGTCGGCTCCCACTGCAGTGCAGTCTGGTGCAGTGAACTCCATGATTTCAAATGACCCAATAGATGGTCTTTTGACTGAACCGCCCAAACAGGATTAGTTTAATAAAATCTTGGCACACTTGCTACCACTGCACTTTTCAAAATTACCTAGATCCTCGCAGTTCGCAAGACACAACTTGTATCCCTTTCAGACAACATTAGATCAAGATGGGTCGCGGTCCAAAGAAGCATCAGAAACGCCTCAGTGCGCCTTCGCACTGGCTGTTGGACAAGCTCTCGGGCGCCTACGCCCCGAAGGCGTCTCCTGGGCCTCACGTATGATCAATTGTTCGAAGTCGAAAGTCGCAACCTGCTAACCTGATGGTAGAAAACCCGCGACTGTCTCCCCTTGATCATTTTCCTTCGAAACCGCCTCAAGTACTCGCTGAACAACCGTGAGACCACTGCGATCTTGATGCAACGTCTCATCAAGGTCGATGGCAAGGTTCGCACTGATATCACCTACCCGGCGGGTTTCATGGATGTGATTTCCATCGACAAGACTGGCGAGCACTTCCGTCTGGTCTACGACACCAAGGGTCGTTTCGCCGTCCACCGCATCGAACAAGCCGAGGCAGAATACAAACTCGGCAAGGTTAAGAGAGTCCAAGTCGGCAAAGGAGGAATCCCATACTTGGTTACGCATGATGCTCGCACGTAAGTGTTGCCTGCGTCTATCAGCCGTTGGGCCAAGATTTGGTTGGAAAAATCTGTGATGAGGAAAGCTGATGGGTTTATAGTATCCGATACCCCGACCCGGCCATCAAGGTCAACGACACCGTCAAGATCGACCTCACCACGGGAAAGATCACTGACTTCATCCGATTCGACACTGGTGTGATCGCCATGGTTACTGGTGGTCGTAACATGGGCCGTGTTGGTGTCATCACCCACCGTGAGAGACACGATGGTGGTTTCAACATTGTCCACATCAAGGATGCCATTGACAACTCTTTCGCTACCCGGGAAAGCAACGTTTTCATCATTGGCAAGGAGAAGCCATGGGTTTCTCTGCCCAAGGGCAAGGGTGTTAAGGTACGATTTGGATCAATCACGGAATTCATGTTCCTTGCTAACATTTTTTACAGTTGTCTATCGCCGAAGAGAGAGATCGTCGCCGGGCTGTTCAGTTGGCCAGCGCCAGAGCGTAGAGTGTTTCAAATCGTTTGAAACTATCATGCAGCTACTGGGGAGGCAAAAGGTGTTTAGGATGACAGCATGAAGATAGCCGTGCTGCGCACAACGATCATAGCTCCAGCCATCCAGTGCTAGGAGGCTAATGAAGTCAAGATTTCCACCCTACTTGGGTCAAATGGGAAAACAAGATACCCACACTCTCAAACCTCCAGACTCCCTCTCCTTTCCGTACATTCCTCTGCTGGCTACTCTCAATCATGTTGTAACTTGACTGTCCCATATGATAATACCCTGCTTGACCAGCACCGCTGGTCGAAGGTGTTATGCAGAGCTAATGTCGCATCATATGCTCCATACGAGCAGATGTTTCGTGCAATTGTGTGTAATATCCCATAAATGCCACTTACCCTATTGACGGTGGCCCAAGTTCGAATGTCTGCGAGGGCTGTAGCAACCAGACCATTCTGACGTCTCGTTTGTGTGTGTTGTCTGTCGGGAGCAGTGCCCATTCTTCCAGGGTACATAAGCTGGGTAATATGAACCCAATCATTATATAAATATTGCGCAGTCTCAGCTTGTACACTGGCCGACGAGGTGGATTCTAGGGCAAGTAGCTTCAGGACACCAGATAGCATACTGCGACTGCAAAGACGGCTTAGTTGATCCTCACATTGTCTGTTGCATTAACTGACCATGGCCTTTTGCGTCTCGTATGACGGGCCGCTGAGAGTGAATAACAACGAGATGGTAACACACTTTGGCAGAGGTAACAAGGGTATAATGCCCTTCTCGTAGCCCAAATCGTATCTGTAAGCACTAAGCACCATCTCTAGGCTTGACTAGAATACTGTAATAACTCATAAAGCAGAAGAAAGGTCACTGTGAGGCGACTGAGATGCTCAACCTGGTACTGCCAGCGTTCGCTTAAACATCGGACCCGCCGTTGAATGCCAAGGCCGTTGTTTGTTGACAGACTTCCCCGATGCGGATATATCTGATCATCTTCCTCAGGTTGCGCAGTCTAGATTCAAGTTGTCGCATTGCATCGTCTCCTCTGTTTCCTTTCCATATACTCCTTTCGCGACAACATCTTAACAACGCAGAGATAATAGTCACTGCAGTCGTAATACAGCAATGGCCGTGCCGACGGCCACGGATAACGACCTCATCAATTTCGAGATAATAGAGACCCATAAGGAGAACATCCAGTCTTTGCCCGGAGGACGGTCAGCAAAGCAGCTGGCCTCCATCCTATCGCCTCTCCCTACAAGCAAAGCAGTCGGGGCAAATACGCTACCAACATTGGAAGAGACCAAGACACTCAATGACGCCATCCGGCAGGAATATGAAATTGAGCTTCAATCAATAGCAGACTCAGACGACCCTCTGGATATCTACGACCGATATGTGAAATGGACGCTGAACGCATATCCATCTGCGCAGGCGACACCACAATCACAACTGCTGCCTCTTCTTGAGCGCGCGACAAAAGCCTTCCTTATGTCTCCCCACTACAAGAATGACCCACGGTATCTGAAGCTATGGCTACATTATATTCGCTTCTTCTCCGACAGTCCACGAGAGACCTTTGCCTTTCTTTCGCGTCATGGGATCGGCGAGGGTTTGGGGTTGTTCTATGAGGAATTTGCGGCATGGTTGGAGAGCGCTGGCAGATGGTTACAGGCAGATGAAGTCTACAAGATGGGCATTGACAAGGAGGCCAGGCCGACGGAGAGACTCGTGCGAAAATATGGCCAATTCCAACGACGATTCGAAGCCAGGCCACAGACAGACAACGAACCAAGTTCGCCGGCTCTTCCGACAGTTCGACCCGCGCTGGCCGCGAAGATCGATCCTTTCGCATCCGCCCATCACGGTGACGATTCACAAGCAGCTCGCCAGCAATCCAGTGCAAGAAGTACCTCGGGAACGAGTGCACGTACTGGGAAGCCGAAGATGGCCATTTTTTCGGATGCAGATAGTGCCGCCCCTGCACCGACCAATGCTGCGGCCAGTACAACCAAGGGCTGGGATAGTATTGGGTCAATGAGAGAACGAAAGAAGGAGAACACAATCGAGGCCCGACCTTGGGCAGGGGAGAAATTGAAGGCAGGTGGCAAAGTTGGGACGGTGCCCAAGATGGAGATCTTCAAAGACCCGGTATGATTGATCTTCCTTTCTGCATCTAGGATGGAATGAATATTCAATGCCAATCTTCTTTTTCTGTATTGTTACCATACACATATACATGTTTTCCAAAAGGCACCTACTAACCGTCTTCTGCGCAATAGTCCCGGGAGCTTGGGCAGCAATCACAGGCTTCAAAAGAGAGAAGTGAGGCTGTCAATCCTCGTACCGGCCGGGCAGAGCGGGTGTACGTCAACATCGAGGCCATTTACCCCCCTCACAGCGATGAGGAGTTCAGTTTCGAAGAGCTTCGAGCCATGTCGCGAGGCTGGGCACAGAAGAGCTGGAGAGCCGACAAGCCATCTCCTCAATCGTCGTTTGATCCTTTGAAAAGCACGTCGGGAAATAGCGTGGTCTCAGTCTCAGCCTCGCCAAAGCCGATATCGAAATCGAAATCGAAACCAGCTAGGTCAGAAGAGCCAGAAGACGTCGAGAATTTGAGCCAATCCTTTCGGCAAAAGATCGACCTGAACAGCGATACCCCCAGTCTCAGCATACATGATGTATCCACACAATCTATGGTTGGAATGCCGGAGCCAAGCATAGCACGACAGTCACAAAACCCGACCAAGAAGGAAAAGAAGCTCAAAATCAGAGAGGTCAAACAAGAGACTGTGACTGTTAAGACACGGCTCGAATCGCCTACAGGCAGGAAGCTGAAAAGAAAGAATTCCGGCACGGCAGAACCCACCATGACATTCCATTCCAAAGCAGCTACAAATGAGATATACGACATGTTTAACCAGCCACTCCGTAGAACCGAGATAGCGAAAGACGACACACAGAGCGGCGACGACGCCGAATTTACCGAGGGCGACGTTGACGATGGATATAGTACCACTGGGGATGGCGAGAGTACCGGCACTGGTCGCGTGTCTGAGCCTGGTAGTGAGTTTGGGGAGGACACCGCGTCTTCGCTGCAGCACGACATCACCAGCACGCAGAGCCAGAATGAAAGCCAAGCTGACACTGTTTCCTCCTGGTCTGACTTTACCTCCAGCAAGCACGTGCCTCACCTTGCTTCAGTTTCTAAGCATTCTACTAAGAACAAAGGAACGGTGTCAGGGTCATCAAGCAAAGGTCAAGGCAAGTCCAAGCTCAAGAACAAACATCGACGTGTCTTGAGTGAGGATCTGACTGAGAGCATGGACTCGTCAAGTCAGAATCCCACTCAAACTTCCGGGCTTGGAGGCCTTGATACCCAGGCCATTGCTGCCATTGTCGGTGGGAGCTTTGACGACATGGACACCAAAGCCATTGCTATGCTTGCTGGTGATCTTTGTGACGAGGACAATGAGGAAGATACAAACCTGAGCCAGATCCAGGGTGAGCAGGATCAGGGCGCGGGCGCGGGCGCGGGCGCAAACATAGGTGCACCGGCAGAAGCAGGAATGGCACAACGTACCAAAGAGGACAAGGAAAACGACGACAACACCTCTCAGAAGGACGACAACAACAACCACAATAACGTGACCACCCCGGTTGAAGACATGTTCACAGAGATTACCCACAAACCTCACTTCATCCCACTGCCACCGGAGGATTATGAGCCCACCCCCATCCGACCCTACCGGGATCCAGCCTTGGTTGCTCACAACAAGTTGCCCTTCATGACGCCGATTGTGGAGAGAACGGAGAGCTCGCTTGCCCCTTCGACCGTCTTCAATGATCCAGACTACTTCAACTCCAAGACCCCTAGCCGATCAGCCAAAGATGAATTCGAGAGCCCTTTCAGGGTGACGGCAGACGATCTCCTGTTAAGCAGTCCACAAGAACCCATCACACCCGCCCCTTGTACTAAGAGAACGTTCACTCAGACTGGTGCCACAGAGGAGGAGGACACCGAGGTCTCACGACCCAAGAAGGCATTCAATCAGACGAAAGAGCAAACCTCAGCTGCATCTTCAAAGGCTGAGAAGAGTCGGACACCTTCCAAGGTCGACGACAGTGTCTTCAAAACTCCTGCCATTCCAGACAGATCTCCTGAAAAGCGCATCCTCCAACCTTCAAGAGTCCACAAAGGATCGATTGTGGCCGACCTGCAATGCAACCCCTGTGACGAGGCCGTGCGCCAGCAAATCCTGGCTGCCGTCCACCCACCTCTGTCTTCCTACACCGGATTTCATGACCACTCGGATCAGGTGTACAACCGCTACCAGGCTCTCAAGTCATATGGGGACAAGTTAATCAAGAGCAAGGCCAAGGCAAGTCCAAGAAAGAGCCAGAGCGACAAGACATCGAACAAGGCCGTTCCGCCCATCCTCAAGTTCCCAGGAAGTACTCGTGTTTATGCGGTCAAGCGACAACTGGGCGAGGGAGCCTTTGCACCAGTCTACCTGGTCGACAGCTACAATCCCAGCGAGAGCGCCATCGCGGATGAGGACGTGTACGGCGACGTCGACGGCGAAAGCGATGACAAAGAAAACATCAGCCCGAAGTTGGCAACGACGAAATCGAGCCGTCAAGAACTCGAGGCTCTCAAAACCGAAGCTCCACCCGGTACACTTGTCTGGGAATTCCACATCCTGCGCCTGGTCCGTCAGCGTCTGGGTCCCGCGTCGCGCAGCATGGAGTCCATCATCCTGGCGCACGAATGCCATCTGTACCGCGACGAAGCGTACATAGTGCTGTCGTACAGTCCGCAAGGCACGCTGTTGGATCTGGTCAACCTAGCCCGAAACGAGAACGTCAAAGCCGGCAAACCGGCAGAAGGCCTGGACGAGGCATTGGCCATGTGGTTTGCCGTGGAGCTGCTGCGCACGCTGGAAGACCTACACCGGGTGGGGATCCTGCATGGCGATCTGAAAGGCGACAACTGTCTCGTCCGCTTTGACTCCTCTGTCGAGCTCTCCGGCCCGTTCGACCCGGCAGGCAGCCACGGCTGGAATGGCAAGGGGTTGACACTGATCGATTTCGGCCGCGGCATTGACGTGCGCATGTTCCGTGGCCACGCGCAGTTCATTGCCGACTGGCCGTCGTGTGCGCAGGACTGTGCGGAGATTCGGGAGTGTCGGCCGTGGAAATGGCAGATCGACTACCACGGCGCGGCGGGCGTCATCCATAGTCTGTTGTTTGGCAAGTACATTGAGACGGTGCCGGCCAACAACACTGCTGCAGCCGGATTGAGCGGCGGCGGCGGCGGCGGCGGTTTGGGCCCGGGACAGAGGAAGGAGTGGAGACTGAAAGAGAACTTCAAGCGGTACTGGGAGAAGGAGCTCTGGACGGAGGTGTTTGCGGTGCTCTTGAATCCTGCTTCTGTCGTCGATAGGGAGGAGATGCCAATCCAGAGAAACCTCAAGCGCGTCCGGGTCAAGATGGAGGAGTGGTTGATGGAGGAAGGGGAGCGTGGCGGCCGCGATCTGAGAGCTAGTCTGAGGAAGATGGAGAGACTGGTTACTGCGAAGTGACTGGCAATGTTGACAAGCGTTGGTGTTCGTCGTTCTGGTCGTCGTCGTTGCCGCCGTCGGTCTTCTTTCGGATTCATTGGATTGGATTCGACAGATGGGCAGCTCATGCGCGACTTGGACAGACAAGTACCTGGACTGGACTGGACGACATGGCATCACGTGGAATGGCGCGGAGTTGAGTTGAGTTGGATGTTCTATGCAGGGGTGGTCGTCGTTGTGCCCATATCAAAGCTTGAAGCGAGCAAGGCGTTGGCGGTGTTGAGAGTACATACTTCATTCAGATGGCGTACCGACCTTGAGATAGATACCACAGGGTACTGGAGCTTCCGCTAGGTGGAACATGAATTCCAATATGTTTGGTCGTTCTGACTTGAATGGTCCATGGTTTCGTTTGGACACGGTGTTGATTCATCACGACGTCGAAACCGGGGACAGCCATTGCAGTCGTACTACTAGTAGGTCCTGCCAGATGTAGTGGAACGAGCAGTCACCTGGCTGGATGGGGAATGCCATGCATTAAATCCATCCATCTATCACAGGATTGTAGCACAAAGTAAGTAGATCAACTATCGTCGTCGACTGATATCAACTCTCGAGTGTCGACCACCACAAAGGTCAAACCAGGCCAGCAAGGGAAATCAAGACATTGAACTCGAGAGGAGGCCGTGTACTACTCGTATGGCACTCATCCGTACATAGAGGTAGAAGAGGTAGTTCCACTCCGCTCGGCTCTTCCATCCGATCGTTATCCGGTCCAGTCCATAGTAGTATTATAGACATATTCCCCATCCAAACTTCCAGTATCCAGTATCCATATCCCATATCTGTCCCACTCACTCGCAGCGGGGATCCCCATTCCTCATCATCTACTACGTAGTAACTAACGCACCTACTCCTCCTCCTACGTACTACTACGTACAATCCTATCGTTTCCATCTTCGATTGTTGAATCTCCGAAACGAACCCGGGTGAAGGTCAGACCATCTCACCTTACCTACTGACCTGAGGTACCACATAGCTGACCCTACCTTACCCTACCCTACACATCCTCTCCCGGTCTGCCGTTGTGGTCTTGTCAAGCGATAGAGCAGACTAATATCAGTTGCGATCGATCACCTTCAGCGACTCATCGTCCTTCATCTCTCCAACACTCCAAGAACGCGCCTAACCAACTACCATCCTACGAAGTCCATCATCATCCGAGTGCTTCAGCTATCGCATCCAATACAGAATCACCGGACCGTTCAGCTTTGCCTCCATTACCTTAGCGAGCATATGCACCGCGCGCGCCAGCGACGAGGGACACACCAGGGGGGAGCCGGGTGATTAAATATTCGCAGTCGAACTCGCGGAACGGGATGCTTAGGATTGATATCGATTTCCATACTGGGACTGCTGCGCTCGTTCGTCGTTACGACTACTGCCGCTGTTGACACGGGCAACTTGGTGGTCACTTTTCTCCGGCATTTCTCGCTTGACTATATCGTCACCGGGAGGATTGTCCTGTTCGTGACACACCTATACACTTTGTTCCGTGGTCGGGAGAGCCGGGTAGAAAGATATAAGAGAGTGGACGACGTACAACGCAGAAGGGCATCTTACACCCTCTCGACATTGCGGACTCATACCACCTGCTTCGAGATCTGCGCCACCCAAACGAGCCACATCACGCCCAATCTCCGCCAGGAAATACCCCCGAATCGGAAATCGCAACGGCCGTGACGAGTCCTCGCCGATCGAATCGCGCAAAGGACACGAGTGACTTGGACCTTCGAGTACCAAAGCCAAATCAAAGACATATAAAACATAAAATTGAAAATATGGGTGACGCCGGCCCACCGAGTCCACCGCCAGGCTTGACCGATGATGCTGCGCCGTTCGGGACGATAGACTCCCAGGATGCGCCCCCGCTGAGGGAGGTCAAAGTCCTTGTTACAGGTTTCGGGGTAGGTGAATCCTCTCTTCTTATGTCCCCTGGAGTCTCATCTATGGCGTTTCTCTTGCGTACTCCCTTCGATGGCGCTTCAATATTCCCTTGGTACTTCATTCATAGACCCATGTCTCTTCGGCGATTTCTCTTAGCACCATGTTCGAGGAGTGAAGCCTCAGGCTCGTTCGCGAGTTACTGTTAGGTCTCGATTGGGAGCCTCCATGATTGAAAGAAGAACCCCCGGGCTCAACTCATTGCGATACGTGGTTGAGGGGTCGAACAAACGGAAGGACGATGCGACGTTTGCACCGTTGTCTGTCCAATTCGCTGTGTCAAGCGCCGCGCCTTGAAGGAATCCTGAACGCCCTCGTTATCTTTCCTAGATCGCTTCATGGCTGGTTTACTAACATGCACCTGAACAGCCTTTCAAATCCTTCCTCATCAACCCGTCATGGCTGATTGCCTCCGCTCTTCCTGACGAACTATATCCCAGTCCGTCGTCGTCGAAGTCGTCGAAGTCGTCGAAGTCGGCAGCATATAAAATTACCATTATAGTCAATCCATCGCCCGTTCGCGTCTCCTACGGCACAGTATCCGAGATCATGCCGGCATTGATATCTCAACACGACCCGGACTTCATTCTGCACATCGGTGTGGCAGGCGGACGTGACTGCTATTCTCTGGAGACCCGAGCCCATCGCGACGGATACCGGATAAAGGACGTCGACGACACCGATGGCTTCAGCCATGGTGAGAGTCTCTGGAAGAAAGAAGGGGTACCGGACGTCTTGCTTGTGGGTTGGGACGAAGCGGATGTGCTGAGCAGATGGGAACGCGGAGTGGAAGCCGGCCTCAACGAGCGAGGGTTTCTGGGTCCTGTACCACAGACCAACTCGGTAGCGTCAACTTCTACTACTACCACCACCACCACCTTTTCTTCCTTGTCGTCACAAGCCAACAATGTCAATGTCAATGTGAACTCGATATGGGGTCCAGGCACCACCGCCGCCAATGTCGCTGCCGCAGTTGCCACGGCGAGGGCGCAAGAGAACAGACGAAGGGGCGTGGTGAAATTATCGCGCGACGCCGGCCGGTTTTTGTGCGAGTATGCTCTTTTCGAAAGCTTGAGTGTACGCTGGCTCGATGCCCATCGGTATAAACACCCGCATTTACACCCGCACCTACTTCCCGAGGCGGACGGACATGCGTTGTCAACACCAGAAGCAAAAGCAGAAGCGAAAGCAGAAGCAGAAGCAGAAGCAGCTCCGTCATTGGCATCGCACCAAGACTCGCAGTCTTCGATAACAACATCCACATCAACGACTTTTCCATCTCAAGCAACAAACGAGTTCCAGTCCCAGTCCAATCTCGCACCTGAAGGGCAAGCATCATCGAATCCTAACCAAAACCTCAATCCCGGCGAGCCCGAAGAGACCCGCAAGAAACAACTCGCCCTCGAGCGGCTGGGAAAAGTCGCGTTTTTGCATGTCCCAGGCTGGACGGGCGTCGAAGACATCAACCGAGGCGTGCTTATCGCCGAAGAAGCGATCCGCGCGCTCGTGGCGAGTTGGGAAGATGGGTTTCGCAGAACCGTGGGTGGAAGTGGAGGTGGAGGGATCGGAGTATCTGCTGCTGCTATGGGTGCGCCGTTGCCACAGCTGGACGGAACAGCTTTCACCAGTCAGCATTCCGAGTCTTATGGTCTCGCTCACACTCCCGCTCAAGATGCGGCCGGGTTTATATCTGGAGGTGGTGCCGGTGGGATTGAGACTGGCAAGACTGAAGGGATCAACTGGGCGGCGTGATCTTGAATTGTTGTCTGCCGACTTTGACCTTTGAGTTTCAGCGAGGGCATTGCTGTCACAAGACTCTGGTCTATCAGACGACACGGCGGATGTGTCTCTGCCTAATTCATATAATCAGCATCGGGTAGACTACAGGACTAGTTTGTCAACATGTTACATAAGCCAGCGACATACCTCAGGTATTCAAGGGACGTCAGCATGAGCACGAACATGGGCACGAACGTGAGAGTCAGAGCAGGCAGTTTATGCTCGGTACTAGTATATAATCAAGCACTCCGGATAGCTATTTCTCTCTTCACCATTCGAGCTGCTGTTGATAATAGAACCCCGTCGGATGTGCAGTTTCGCAACAGTATACTACTACCTACCTAACTGTACGGTACACATCCTGTAGCTAAGTACTAGTACCTAGGTAGGGATCTACCTTTCTTGACCATTTGATTCCAAAGGTCTGATACGACACTAGTATCGCAGATGGAGGATCTAAGATCCGAGATAGAAGTCGAGTATGACCAAGGACGAAATCCCCTTGACTACCTACCTAGGTATATAAGGATGGTCTGGGTGAGATGATCTTTTCTTATGAGCTCTTCTTCAGGTAGAACTCCCATGGGGATGAGACTGCAAACGGCACACGGCGAATTGCAGTTGGGTCTCTTTTTCATAGATACCTAGGTACATAGACATCAACATGACTTATTACTCACCCAATGTCCTCGGAGCTACAAGAGTAGGGACTTTCTATATATCGACAATCACAATCGACAATCGACAATCGACAATCGACAATCGACGCGTCGGGAGTCTGCCATGAATGGCAAATCAAGTCCTCTATTGCAGTGGCTGAGTAGAAAAGCAATGTAGACATTTGACATGTCATAAATAGCATGTATGATGCTGTCCTTTTTTTGACAGCGCCGCCAGAATGACTATGCCGGCATTTCTTGTCAAGTTCAAGTTGCTTCCCAATCACCTACCGTACCCTTGCCTTTTCCTGTATCGTATCGACAACGTGTCGTTCTTGTCTGAGGCGATCATCAAGAGGTTTGGCATGCAGTCCTAGTAGTGGGCTAAGATCGCGAGCGGCAGTCCCGTCCCGCCCCAAAAGGCGACTCCATCACCTACAGCCAGGCATTACTGAAGGTACTCATATCCAACCTCCAACCACATTCTGGCCTTCATGAGGACCCGTGGGATGTTGTTGATACGATGCCCTAAGTACATACTGGGTATGTTTCCTTGAAGGTTACCTACCTGTACCTACCTAAGGTAATTATCGGAATGATAAGTCAAGTCTCCTGTGAGCTAGGGCCAGAGGATCAGTGAGCGGAAATCGAAAGATAACCCCGGCCTCGATGTCGAGCGCCCGGGCTGCATCGTGGTCGAAGCAGATCGAGGCTCGAAGCGGTCGATCATACTGTCGTACGTAGAAGCAAGACCTCACCTGCAATCAGCGACAGGTTTCAAGCAGGATAAAGAAAGCGGGCAGAGCGGAGCGCTCCGAACATGCACGGTGTCCTGTGTAGTTGCTGAGGCCTCGAGGGTCGTGTTGGGAGTTGGTTAGCCTTGCAGTATGCATGGTTTGTGTCCCGAAGCAGCACCCCAAGATAGATCAAGCCCAGATTTCCGGGTTTCCAACCCTTCTCAATCCCCCTGATTCTGCAAGCAAGGGAGAGATGTTCGGAACATATCCATGGCTTCGGAAGAGAATTGTCTGGGTCTGCAAGGGGAGACGGAGACGGAGAGAGACAATAAAAATAAACCCCCGACAAAGGGATTGTTCATTGATGATCCCTGTTTGCCTTGCCGTGACAGGTAATGAAGGAGGGAGGGAGTCCACCTCTTGAACTACTATCCCGCTGTTTATTTATCTTGAGATGCTTCATATCCTCGACTCTTCGCCGGGACAACAGCCGGCATGGAGTTTCGTGGATGGAGAAGTGAGGTCATGTATAGGGAGGGGATTGGAATTCCAGCCAGGAGCCAAGGGTGACATTAAATCCCAGATGGATATATCATGCATGAAGGGAAGGTTGTTGAAGCCTGAATCCTTGTCAGAAGGGTTTGATGTAATGATCAAGGCATTGCTGAGAGCGTGGAATCGATCGAGGTTCAAGTTTGTGCGACGTTGTGGCGTCTTGTTCGTGGCTATATGGGGAAGTAGGAGCAAGAGGAAATCATTGGCCAAAAGAAACGCAAGGAAGTGGATTGGCTGGGAGAGCAGCCAACCAGAAGACCTTTCACTCGATTAGCGTGTCACCTACGCGTTGTTAGTTTCTGACAGCTTGACGCGTCAGTTTGGCTTGCAAGAACGACGAACCAGAAAGCACACGACCATCGGCTCACTGCTGTCAGAAGAGCTGGAATCCCTGGGTATGCAGCTTCAAGGATTTGGCCAGCATCTGGCCAGCAAGTATATCTAACCATGACCTTGCGTCCGCCACAAACTCAGCTTGCATTGATCGTGCCAGCACGTATTCATAGCAGAAAAGTGGACGAGGTGGTAGAACATGTGGCCTTGACAGTGGCAGTAGTAGAGCGCGAGTCTGTGCTCCGCAGTGCAGCCAGAGCAGGACAAGCCGTTGAGAGCAAGCAGCTGTGCAATAGTAGTACGTGTACACGGTATACGATGATGGAAGTGAGAGTAGTCGTTGTTGTTACCGACTGTTGTGTTGTCGGCTGACTCGAGCGTGTTTGACGTGCAGCCAGTGGAGGAGGGTTCAGTAGAGGAGGGTTCTGTAGAGGTGGGTTCAACGAAGACAAAACATCGAGACGGGTGATGACCAGGATCGACGAGAAGGGCGGGTGTTCGAAGCAAAGGCGAGGATGATAGAATCCACTTGGGCGCAGGTGAGACAAGGACGAGGGCGTGGAGGATGAGGTCGGATTGGAAGACGTGAGGAGGATGCACAGAGTTGGTAGAGCGTCAGAAGAGCAACTTGACGACGCCTTTAACCACTGCCTGCGCCTGCGCCTGCATTGCTGGGTATCACGTATCATTTCTACGCCTGCGCTCTACTTTTACACACGCCTCTATTCTCCTCTTCTTCTCTTCATCTTCGTGACTTGAACCTCAATTCATACTATTCTCATCAGTCCTCCTCCTCATCCTCATCCTCCTCTACGACATCACCTGCATTGTTTGTTTGTTGTGACTCCGCCTGTCACGTCCTGCGTCCTTCACCCTTCGCCTCCCTAAACCAACCCGTTCCGCTCCACTTTGCCTCACTGCGCCAGTCGTCGAGTGACGGGCATAACAGCCAAAGAGCCGGACTTGCTGCCACCTACAGGCTACTTCTACTGCAGCGCACGCCCCTCTTGTCTCTTCCTCTTTGCTGGGCTCCTCTCTTGGGGAACAACAGGCTCTTCAGGTCCGTTCCAAGCGCCAGATCTGACTTTGACCTCCCCCCCTGGAACCCGGGAGTGCTGGACTTTGGCAGTTCCTTGGATGACTTGGCTTGTCACACACTGCATTTCTTGTCACTACCACCACCACCACTGAACTGACGGCCGGAGTCTGTCCCTCGCCTACACCTGCGAAAATATCCACCAAGCTGCCAGTGACCGACCTCTGCCACTGCCACTGCCAGTGTCAGTCCAGTGCCGCGCCCATTGACGCTGCGAAACTCGTCCATTCTTCCTCTCAACTCCCGCTCTCGCCTCCTCCAAACGCTCCCGTCCATCCACCTTTCAACATTCCAGTCCATCCACCACCAACAAACTCTTTTCTTCCTTCACGTCAATCGGTAAACAAGCAAAACATACAAACCGGCGTGCAGACTCGACTACGATTGTTTTCGAACACTTCTTCCACTCCTCTTTGATAATCAACGTGGTCCTGTTCCATCACCTATACTAGTTGCAGCAGTCACGGCACCCCCGGTCAAGCCCCAATAACTTCCCTGCGCCCTCCCCAGCCACCGCCATTTTGCAACTCGCACTCTTCACTCTTCGCCTGCAGTCCTCAAGCCTGCGCGTCCTCCAACACGAGTGTCTTGTCGCAATCCACCACCACCACTGACTTACAATCGCCCTCACCTCGAACCTCTTGAGACATTTTTTCTCCGTCGATTGACATACATCTCACCTTCGTAACACCGCGACGCTGTCGATTCATTTCCACCGCGCGTTTTTCGATCCGGCCGACCGCATACCCGCATAGCCGAATCGACGCGCGCGCGCACACAGCATGAACCCGTGAACTCTTCACATACGGACCAGACCTGCAGGATTCTGGTCTTTGCAGCTTTCATCACACCCTGCGGCCGCAGATCGAGTCCTAATCCAGCTTTGCGCGCCCCGTCGCGACCATGGCCGACCGCCAAACCTCTCCTACTCTCATGGCTTCTTCGGCGCAACGCAAGCCACATATGTCCATAACACTGCCTCGCAACTTCGCTCCGTTACGACTTGATGCTGGCGATGACCCAAGAACACCGGATCAGACCTTCGCCGAGCTCAAGCTACCTCCTCCACCCCGTCACTCGACCTGCCGAATTCGACGCACGAGAATCGACCTGGACGGGTTCCAGGCGCGTAATAACGCGCTTCCGGCTACACTCTTCGCTTCAGACATCCCTATTCCTTCCAGCGCCCAGTCTACAAAGACCGAGTTCCACCTGGATGCCGAACTTCCCCTACCGTCGATTGAAACACACTCTGTTCTGGCCAGACCACCCTATACCTACAGTATGACCGACCCTTCGCCCATCGACAACCTTAGACTGTCAACATTCAGAGACTCACAACTTCCACGGACACCTCTATCACAAACTAAGGCTGTTTCGGCGGAATACAAGCACAGTGCATGGGATATGCATCGGTCATCGTCAGAGTGTTCCATTCGATCCGACTCGTCCGAGTATTCATCAGAAACATTCACAACTCGTCCTACTTCGTTTGATGGCAGTGCCACAAGCCCCGATCTGGAATCACAGGATCCGTTTTGCCAAACCAAAGTCAACATCATCCCGGACACTCCCTCGAGAAGAAGCAAGAAGTTACGGATCAACACACTCATGTCCAAGGGCAACGTCCAGTGGAGTATTGAGATGGACAACCATTTGTTCAATGTCTATCAAATGTATCTGGCCGATCCCACCGTCACACCTTTCAAGACCGTGCCAGGAAGCATTCCCCCCACAGGCGTCTGTCATCGAGTGGCCAGAAGGGCCAAAGAAACATGGCCCAAAGCAAGCAGAATCTCCCGCCCGCTCATTCGGAGATACAAGATGCGAAATGTCATTGAAAGCCGCAACTTTGTCAGAGACAGAACCCCGGAACCCAATGATTTTCTGCGAACGGACCACAATGATGCAAGAAATGCCTGGCCATCGGAGTCGGCTACAAGAAGACGACTGAAACAATTATGCAAGGAGAAATTCACCATTTCTGCCCATTATCAACGACTACGCGAATCGAGGAGTCCTTCACCCTTCCATGAACAATTTACACGACGACCCTCGTCGAGACTGACTCGGTCCATGTCTCAACAGGCTGATCCTGAAGCATCCACTATCTACGCCACAAGAGAACTTGGGATTTCCCTTGTGGCCAGTGGAGCAACGGCCCCTTTGGCTCAGCTAGTGACCGGGGAGTCTCCTCCAACCGAGCAGATGTCGGATGATTGGTTCAACACTCCCATCAACAACACCTCCGACGCCATGTCCTTGACAACTCCCGCGGGCTTGGGCATCGAGACGGAAGCAGACAAGCTGAAGGTTGCCAGCAACATTCCACGTCTCGCATCACCGTTCAATTACAGCACTTGGAATGGTTCCAGCAATAACAACCCAAAGCATCGTCGACATATCAGTCACAATCAATTTGGAACGATCCATGCCACTGGGTCCAGATTGTTGTCGCCGTTCAAGTTGGAACATGACGTGTCGCTCAATGTCAACAAGCGACGTGCGCAGCACAATTTGGAAGACGAGTTGAGCCCGAGCGGGAGCAATATCAGCAACAAACTAGGCACCAATCTGAATCTAGATGTCCCCACACCGACTACGTTCGAGGCTCCAAAACCCGAAGCTCGACCAGAGTTGACCTTTACGGGAGTGGGCGACATTAGCCAACGGAGAATACGCGTTCGAAGTCGAGGTGCGACGTTAGGTGCTGTGAACAATCGGGAACAAATTGAACGAATGTTCACTCCACCCACGTTGCATACCCCTGACACGCCGGATGAGTCCGGCATTCCACCTGTCCCAGCTTTGCCTCCATCTCTCGCAGCTTTGGCACATCCTGTGAGGCCTACTGTTTCTTCCAGCCTTGCTCCTCCTGAGGTCGACCCGACACAGAAACGCCTGGGAAGTCCATTCGAGCTTGATCCGACCAAGAGAAGCTATCGAGCAAAGAACCCCCGACATGTGCCGAGCCTAAGCGATCCTTTCATCAACACCACTGCATTTGCAACCATGCCCAGTCATGGACACACCAGTAGCATGAGCATTGGAGAGAGATTGGCCATGTTCAGCACTTTCCATCCTAGTCATTATCAGCGACAGGTGTCGAATTTACCGCCGAAAGATGATCCTTTCACATGATTGAAAATGATAGCATCTTGGACTGGGACTTCTTTTGGACAAGAACCGGTATATGACGACATGGTGTCTGCTCCAGGAGGGCCATTTTGATGTCGGGGCAAGATCCGTTCTACTCTGGTCTGGGTCAGGTACCCTGAATGGCGTTGAATCGGGTTCCTCGTTCGTCTTGGATTGCAGTCTGGTTTGAGCGATGAAGGAGTTTGTCGAGGTGATTTACGTTTTGCACAGCATTGCATTTCGCGATTACGAGAGTTGGCTTTTGCATGGTGGGGAAGGCGAGCCTGCAGCACTCACAGAAAAAGCACACGGTCAAAGGCCAAGAAACAAGCATTGAGAGTGAGGTGAACAGACAAAACTCCAGATCGGGCTTATGGCAACACAGAGAGAGATGACGAATGGTCATGGTACATGATAGGAGTCTTCCCCTTGAGCTCCCAGGTGGTTATTTCCGTGCATTTGGTGTTCTGGCTTGCATTGGTCCAGGGTTGACGGGTTTGATCTGGACGAAATGACACGACACTGAGGAAAGACCATGTCCCAGAGGATCAATAGCGAAGTCTGCAATGGTGATCGATCGAGGCCGGTAATCGCAAAGGCTAGATGAGTTGCAGCATTACGAGATGACGAACTTCTTGACATTAAGCAATTGACAACGAATCAATGAGCATTCATTCCATATTTGTATCGTTTTTCTCTTTTCATATTCTGTAGGAGAGGTTCTATTGCTGTTGCTGTTGCTGCTGTTGCTTGATGCTGCAGCCTCGCCGCAGCTGACATGATTGCTCACGCCATAGTGGGATTCTTTAATCGACTCTTGAAACCAGTGTGAACGTCATGTTGCCCCATGTCTCCGGACGAAGGATTCTGTAAGATGGCGATGCCAATGCTCGATCGACACAGTATCGTGGACAAGAGCGTACCAGACGACATGTGAGTGTCAGGACCCGTTATATCTCAGAAGAGATGACCAGCCCATCTTTGAAGTGACAGCTCTGTTCAGCTTTACATTTCATACCTCTACATCTCGATACTTAGGTCCTGTCCACCGCAGGCAAAGCACACCGAGAACAAGTCTGTGACCGTTCATTCTCATTCTCGTCTATTCCCAACGGTCCAATTCGGCGACCTACTGGAGTCAAGGAATTGAGATACAATGGAATCATGGATGGGGCCACCCGCTTCTCGTTGGGAGCAAACTACGTCTCCCCGGTCTGGTTTGAAAGCTGGTTCAATACCACGGAGGGCGTTGATTCGTCTATATGGGCTTCATGAAGCCCTATCCTGCCGCTACTGGAACCGGCCACCTGGCGAACGAGATCGGTCTGGAGTCGAATGCCATTCTCGACGAAGCTGATTCGTGCAAGTGGCCTATACTGGTGGATACTGGATCTCGCTTTGACCTTTTGGCAACGGGCAATATCAACTAAAAACCCACCCGGTCTCTTTTTTCCCCTGTCGTTTCCCACCAAACAATTGCAATTGGGACCTGAGGCCACTCGGCACCTATGCTGAGATATGGAGGTTCGAAATCTCTGTTCGAGGTGGCCGACCAATGCGATGGCCATGGTGATGCCCCATAATGCCCTAGATCGAAGACTTGCCCCTGGCCTTACGAAGGAATGGTTCCTATGCTGGGGGGTTAGGAGTCCAGTGTCCAACTTTAAGCCCTGGTCTCGTCCCGGTTTTCGAGCTCGAAGTCGAAGTCGAAGTCGAGGTCGTCAAGTCTGATGTGCTAAAACCTTCCCCGGACTTTTCAGACCTCGTGCAGTGCTGGTCCAAGCCCAAGCCCAAGTTCCCTTCCCAGACCGCGACCGCGTCGCCAGGTGTCTTGTCTTTATTCGGTCAAATTACTATTGTCACGATACACAGGAAAGCAGACCCCGGGACTGGGATCTTTCTTGATTCCCTCTGTCACCTTGTCCCCCAGAAGACGGCGTGAGTGCATGTCAGGACCGACATGGCGCTCTCACCGGCAACTGTTCGGTTTCTGGTACGTTGTGTTGTCCCCTGACTGTTGATATCACGGTTTACTGTCTGTTTGTGTCTGGTCCCCCTTTCAATGCTATCATTTACCAAAGTGTCTATTTCTGACCACTCTTAACTCTCTTCTACCAGATCGTCCTATTCGTCGCTCTCGGCTCCCTGACCTACGGCTACTGCAGCAGCATCATCGCGACGACGCTCGGGCAGCCATCGTTCATTGCCTACTTCGAGCTCGACGCGCGCTCCAACGCGACCGACCTGACGGGCGCGATCAACGGGCTGTTCCAAGCGGGCGGGCTGATCGGCTGTCTCTCGATCATCAAGACGCCGGACCTGCTGGGCCGGCGAAAGGCGCTGCTTCTGTATGCGATCATCACGGTGATCGGCGGCGCCCTGCAAGCCGGCAGCGTCAACATCGGCATGTACCTGGCGATGCGGTTCGTGACGGGCGTCGGCGTCGGCGCCCTGGTCGGCCTGGTGCCCCTGTACCAGTCGGAGATCGCGCCGCCGCGCATCCGCGGCCTGCTCGTCGGCATGCACGGCGTGCTGATCTGTTTCGGCTACGCATGCGCCAGCTGGATCGGGCTGGGCTTCTACTTCGTGCACGCCAGCGGCGCGCAGTGGCGGCTGCCGCTGGCCATCCAGTGTCTGCCGCCCTTGCTGCTGGCCCTGGGCGTGCTGTTCCTACCAGAATCCCCGCGCTGGCTGCTCGACCATGACCGCGTGGACGAGGCGTACAAGTCGTTCAAGGCCGTGCGGGCCGAAAGCAGCGACGCCATGCTCAACGACGAGCCGGCTGTTCGTGCCGAGTTCAAGCTGTTGCGCGGCCAGCTGCTGCATGAGAAACAGGCCGACTTGTCGCTGTGGTCGTTGTTCCGTCTGCCGCATTTTCGGAAGAGATGTCTGGTCGGTTGGTTGGCCATGTTTGGATGTCAGGGGACAGCGACGCTGGTTATTAATAGTGAGTTTTTTCTTGTCTTGCGTCTTCTCTTGTCTTGACTCTCCTCTTCTTCTTTTCGTTCTCGTTCTCTTCCTTCCCATTTGTCTCGAGCAGTTGTGGTCCATTGTGCCGGATTCATGATATCTCACTGCGGAATCCGAGGAGAGAAAACGAAATACAAATCCTGTTTCCCTTTCCCTTATCCCATAAGGGAATCCATTACTGATCCTTTTTTTTGTATCAGATTACGGTCCCTCCCTCTACGCCTCTCTCGGCTTCACGACCGTCCAACAACTCCTGATCCAAGGCGGCTGGATCACCGTCTCGCCCTTCGGCAACCTGATCAACTCGCTGGTGGTTGACCGCCTCGGCCGCACGCGCATGCTGATGGTCGGATTCGCGGGCTGCATCCTCGCCCTCGTCGGCGAATGCATAACCGTGTCCGTCTTCCAGCGCACGAACTCGCACGGATCCGCCAGCGCGGCCGTTTTCTTCCTGTTTCTGCACATCGCTTGCTTCTCCGCCTGCTGCGACGCCACCAGCTACGTCTACGCCTCGGAGATCTTCCCGACCCCCGTGCGCGCCAAGGGCCTGGCCGTGTCGATTTCGGGTCTGTTCATCGCCACGATTGTCTTTCTGCAGGCCGCCCCGTCGGCGTTCAAGGACGTCGGCTGGAAATATTATCTCGTCTTCGTCGTGCTGACCACCCTGATTTTCTTTGTCGTTTGGCTCTATTTCCCCGAGACGAAGGGGAGGTCGTTGGAGGATATTGGTCAGGTCTTTGGCGATTCGGTGGAGCCGTTGACGAATGTCGATGGGAGCGGGGAGAAGATCCGAGATGATGAGGCGGATGAAAATGGAGATGATGACAGCAATAGTTTCGGCGATCGGGACCAGGTTGGGAAGACGGCTGCGCATCGGGGCGAGGAGATTCATATCACTGAGAAGTACTGATTTGATTTGGTTTCCTCTCTTCTGTATCGGACCCCGTTGAGAAGGCTGACTTGGGGTTTTCCCTGTTCGCGTTCGGGGCATGTTTCACTATGGACGTCTTACCTTCGAATGTCCAAGATGTCTGGTATTTCGATGGATGTGGACGGCGGTCAGGGGTCGTATGACTGATTAACTTGACTTGACTTGAACTATACTGCTAGCTTGTTGTCTTGGAAAGGGACTGCCTGTCCTCACCAAGCAAGTCAGGTTAGGCGTTAGTGTTAGGATCATGGACTCAGCTTACTGCCTCGCCAAAGGGAGACGTGAACAAGATATACAGATATACAGATATACCTATTTCTACACATGAAGTGTATCTAAAGTAAAATCCTCGTTTGTTAAGTAAGCCAGGCCACTTAGAAACCGCGAGCATCGAGTCAGATATCCCAAGGTCGTTGGGAGCCAATGAATGAAAAGAAGAAGACACATGGTGGATGGCATATTTTTTTTGCATTCTGCACAAACACATGGCAGAAATCGATGGTCTAAGGCGTCAGGTCAAGACAAGGCATCATATCTGTCTCATGAATCCCGTAAGGAAGTTTGCTGCATGTGCTTGCCATAACCAAACCTGCTCGAGCAAGGCTGCAGCCCCATGACGATGTGGTCCTCAATTAGCCAACTTCTCTCTCGCAGCCTGACACAAATTGTTCCAGTCGGTGAAAAGTCCTGGCGAAATATGGCATCTCTTATCGGTCAGCTGCTTCACCCTGGTGGAGGCATAAATGTCCACCACGTCCTTGACATGGCTCTTGTTGGCTTTGACAAGAGCTTTGACCAGAAGAATGCTCGTCTGACTGGCTGCGTTGGAATGGACATTCGAAGACTCCTTTGCCGCTTCGACATGGACAGCTCGGAGGATGTCAAGAGCGTGAGCGACCTGAGATTCCGTGCTCAGGTCTGGAACGTTGATGAACCCCTTGGCTCGCGAGCAGAACAGTTGCAGGATGGCGTAGGTTCGATCGGCGAGTTGCTTGGTCCGCGTGGTCCTCATGAGCGTCAAGAGAGGCAAGATCAAGTCGACAGTCAAGGGATTCTGCTGTTGATGCTTCAGGTATGACTCGATCAGGTCAAGCACGCGATTCTTGAAATTGACCACGTTTTCCTTCGCATCTTTGGCCGCCTTCTTTTTGTTTTTGTTCTGTTCCTCGTTCCGCGCACGGAAGACCTCGGCCAGCTTCGAATCCAGCTCCATCATTTCGTCGTCGTCCATGTCCGAGTCGGAAGAATCGGAGCTGTCGGAAGCCGCGGCCACATCGTTCTGGTCGAGCCTGCGGGTGCCGAGGGCAGATGCCAGGGCGGCGTCGAACTTGGCCAGTTCTTCGTCTTCATCGTCGTCTTCGCCTTCTTCGGATTCGTCGTCTGCCGTCTCGTCGTTTGACTCTGCAGATGAGGACGTGCCTTCAGAGGCATCCTCCTGCGCGATAGATTCGACCTCGACGTCCGAATCCATCTCGTCCGAGTCCGAGTCCGGACTCGTGCCATCCTCCATGACGACATCTTCTGCTTGAAACATTTCTTGCTGGCCTTCAACGTTCTCCTTAGTCTCCAGAACACGACACAATGACTCGAGACCTTGGGCGGTGATATGCGGCGCAAAGGCATCGAAGATTTCGATCGAGATCCGCCGGAGGAACTTTGACGGCTTGGACGAGAAACTGAGGATTATCTCGACAATGGCATCGATCGAGTCGGGTTGCTGCTGTTGTTGAAGCAGATCCTGCAATATCTCCACGGCGTCTGTCTCACCGAGATAGATCTGGAAAAGGGCCAGAGAATATAGGAGACACAAGCCATCTGCGAATGTTGGAAAACTCTCCACAGCACTGTCTTTGGCAACATCTCCACTCTTGCGGCGTTCGCGTTCCGCAGATTTCTTGACAGGGTGTTGCTTGGAGGTGGTGAAAGTTGTGGGCATGCTCGTAAGCTTGTGCCAGCCCTGTTGAACGATGTTCCGAATATCATCCTCAAACATTGATGCTTCCGATTTTCCCTTCTTCTCAAGTTGGTAGATAGAGAGGACGGCATGATGAAAGATGTCAGCCCCAACTCGACCCAGTCTCAGAGCTTGTTCAAAAGCCAAAGCAAGGCGTTCCTTCATGAATTCGCGTGCTCCCGGGAGTATGCTGGCTTTGAAGACACTTTCCGGTTTTGTCGAAAGATCCGGGCGGGTGACTTCTACCGCCCAACCATCCAAGATCAATTTGGCAAGCTCAGTTCCTTCATCATCGGGATCAACTGGGATGTCTGTTTTTGCCTTTTGTTCTGAACGTCGCAGCAATGTCGCCACAATCTTGAACTCTAAGCCGATGAGTGTTTTTTGCCGCATCAAGACGGCCTTTTGGTCCTCTTCAGGCGGCGAGTCCAGCAAAAGAAGTGCATGTAGAGTCAAGAAGGCAGCTTCAAGAACCTTGGGATCGTTCACGTCCAGCACACTTTGTAAAGTCTTGGATTTCGTAAGCTGGTCAAAGTCACCGTAGGAGACGCTGTCCAGAAGGGCTTTAATACAAGCTCCCGTCAATCCATGAGAAGGCCTTTTAAGGTCACTGGGGGATAGGCGAGTGTGGAATATTTGAGAGAGTCTCATGGCATGTCTCTGAAGAAATCTTTCCGGACTCTTCAAAGAATTGACGAAACAGCGCGTCGCTTGAGGTGTAAATGTGTGTTGCAACACTGCTTGAGGCGCGCTCTCGAACACCTTTCTCCAAACAGCGAAACCCCACGCTTTTCTCTCAGTGCTGCTGGAGGGTGAGAACAGGCTTTCTATCACCATGTCAGTTGGAACGTAGGAGGAGTGGAATCTCACTTACTGTCAACAACCGTGTCCCAGAACAGCTCAAAAGAGATTCGGTGCTTGTTGCTTTTGGCATCATCTCGAAACAGTTCATTCGAAACGATGTCCCAAGCGAAGTGCAGATTGGCTGACCATCTAGCAGAACCTTGGGCTTCCAGCTCCGTGTCCTGGTCCGAGTGTGACCGGGCATCTTTGAGGATATCGGCGAGGACGTCCACATCCTTCTTGGCCAACGGATCGCCGTGTTTCCAGACAGACTTTGGCAGCTTCGCGTTGGGAAACAGCCTCTCTGCCGTCAGCCATACGGCGACGCCCTCAGGGGTGCGAACGAGTTTGTGCTCGGCCATTTTCTCGATGATAGCAACCACAAACTCGTCCGGCAGATTGACGCGAGTAGACACCAGACCGTTGACCAAGATCCAGCCACATTCTTGCCGGAGCCAGGGCTTCCTCGTTGCCACACCGCAGATCAAATCCAACAGACGCTTCCAAACCGACAGATCTGGGTTCTTCAACAGCAAGCCTGACTTGAACACGGCGTCGGCTCCAAACACTCGTCCAAAGTAGTGATCGCGTTCATCCTGACCGCTTGTACCGCTTTCAGGCACGGTTTGAGTCTCGAGGATGTCCAGGATCCCAGAAGCCGTCAAAGCATCCTCCGAATCTGCTTCCAACGTCGAACTCAATTGGGAAAGCAATTCAGTCAAAGCGACTGAGAAACCGAGCCGAGCAGCCTTGCGTCCACTGCATAACCCACGGAACAGACGTGTTAGGATGGTTCGGGTTTGCTCGTTATTGGTGACGCCGGGCTTGAAGATTTTCGAGACCAGAGTATGAGCTGCCTTGAGACGGACAGACTCGACATCATCGGCCAGGTGTTCGTAGACCGTGACGAGTTCGAGGTCGACTTCCCTCTTTCGCTTCTTCGACATCTTGACTGCGTTTGGAGTTGACTTGGACATCTTGCATTGAGGCCTCAGAAAAAAGTTGCTGTCGGTCTATGACTTTTTTATGCCAAGGCTCCGATGGCCGACTGCGGGGAGGAGCAGGGGAAGTCGGTGATTGGCTCCAGGGAATGCTGCGATAGCACTCTAATAATTTATACAGTAGTCAGGTACCTAAATACTCTAGTACTAAGACTAAACCGTCACTGCCACGAGACCGAGGCCGGGACCGGGAATCCTAGCATGACAGGCATCGTGGCACTGCATCTGACTGAGGAAAGTTCCAGACGACACAACTGCGAACTACAACTGCGAACTACCAACTGCGAACTACAATTGTGAACTGTGAACTGCGACCATCTGGACTTCAACCAAACACCACTGCAACACCACCACGCCTTCTACAACCTGAACCTACCAACCTAGATCCTTGCGACAGCAATAACAACAGCTTCCCGTCCCCTACTTCCCGTCCCCTACATCGTATCAATAGTATTCCAGCACTCCTACCATCGCCTGGCTTGACTGCGCACACGCAACCCACCCTCGATCACCCCCACCACCACCTACCTACAAACACATACCGCAATTCAAACCATGCAAGCCTTACCCGAACCGCGACAACAGACATTCGAGGAGATCTATGGCCCGCCCGAAAACTTTCTAGAGATAGAGGTACGTCCACATCCACCCCGGGGCAAGCTTTCCTCGTCGCTATAGCTTGATGACTCCCCCCTCTTCCATTCTCTGTCCCCGGGTTTCCCTCTTCCTCTTTCCTCGATACCTCCGCGAGGAGTTCAATCCACACACTGCTGGCAGCAAGCGCTGCGAGAACGAACCAAGCCCGGACTGACCAAAGAACAATGGTGAAACAAACAGGTCAAGAACCCGCAGACCCACGGCTCCTCTCCGCGAAACATGTATACCTCGTATGAAATCCACACGCGCACCAACATCCCCGCCTTCAAGCTGCGGCATTCCGTTGTGCGCCGCCGATATTCCGACTTCGAGTACTTCCGAGACATTCTGGAGCGGGAGAGTGCCAGAGTCACCATCCCTCCACTGCCCGGCAAGGTGTTCACCAACCGATTCTCCGACGACGTGATTGAACATCGAAGAGAAGGACTGCAGCGTTTCTTACAGATTGTTGCGGGACACCCGCTGCTGCAAACGGGGAGTAAAGTCCTCGGTGCATTCATACAAGGTGAGTCGTTGTTTTGTCAATCCAAGAAATGGCATATCTCACGCCATTTTGCGCCGGTCATTGAGTGCCACCCTCATTCTGACAAAAGTCTGACCTGTTCTTTAGATCCGAATTGGGACCGCAATGCATGGTGATGTTGGAACTATTTTGTTAGGGCTGGAAGCTGGAGTTCGAGTACAAGTCCAATTCCAGTTCCAAGTCCGAGTTGGCTTCGGCCGGCAGTCTAATGATATCGACGAGGGCTGCAACCCGGGAGGGAAACATCAAAATAAAAGGATATCTGACCAATAACGAGACCAGACCAATCCAATCCAATCCAGTACGGTAATATACGGCATGGTACAATCCGATCACATTCACATGAATTAGTTGAGACAGGAGCAGCGGGGATTTGTACCACTCGCTCTCTCGCGCTATCCCTCAGTCCCTTTGCAGCACTGTTCCCTTGTGGTTCGTTCGCTCTTACCATATCCTTTTTCCCCCCGAGAGAGGAGAGTCTTCGGTCGAGCAACAGGGCCTCTGAAAGATGTGCGACGGATGTGGACCACCGGAAAGCGGATGGACACTGAGCAGGCTGTATCGATAGCATACGGCGACGGGAAATACCAATATGCATATGCCCGCCCAGCCATGTGCAGTTGCAGTTAGACAGATAGCAAGCTCTTTTCATTGGAACTGGGTTCTCTGTTCCACAAACTTAAGAGTCTACATAGGGCCTTCTTGATTCGAAAAAGCCCTGGGAGAGACTTGTAGGGTAAGGGTAAGGGTGAGGGTCGCTTTGGTCTGGTCTGCTCTGCTGTGCTATGCTCTGTGCCGTCCATTCCCATGGATACCTACCGCCGTGTACGTGTATGATCTTACGAGGGTACTTCCATCTATAACGTATTCTTTTTTCCCTTTCTTTTCTTGAGTTCTCTTCTACCTCGCATACCTGGATTTTCGCTACTACCTACCTACCTATCTACTTACCTAGCTATCTACTTACCTAGCTATCTACTTACCTAGCTATCTACTTACCCTACCTAGCTACTTCGTCGATGGATGGATAGATAGATCGACGAGACAGATGGGATATAGGTTCCAGAAAGGGAATTGTATACCTACCCACTTACTTACGCCCCAACGCTCAGTGTTGCTCAGCCTCGCCGCGAGATCATGACTCACCACCTAATTACTCCCTATGTACTACTACTACTACTTACGTACTAAGACATGTACTAGTATGTGAGCTGACTCTCATCTGTGCCATTGCACTCGAACTCTGAAGCCCTGGCCGTTATAGATACCTGAATGCCTACCTCCCTAGGTACTACTGGTATTATGGCCCAGAAAAGTCAACCTGCACCTTTTATTCGCGGCCGAGCAATTCATTCATGTTCATTCACCCGTATTCAACCCACTAGACTCAACTCAGCAGCGGGAGAGAATAAGAATGGACTCCTGATCTAAGGAGGGCGGATAGGGGATGTTCAGCCTCGTGTGGGGACGGGGACTTTTCCAATCTATCCTCGAGTCTCAACACGCCACCTACTACCTACTACTCCTACTATCTGGTACCTACTGATCACCGACTCGTTCTCGTGGACAGCTAGCTTGGTACTCGACATGAGATCTATTTCGTCAAAACAATCGTGTCACAACACTCGAGAGGACCATCCAATCCTACTAAGCCACTACGCCGACAGGACCAAAGATGCACAGCCTCGCATGGCATTGGGGAATGGGGACTTTCCAAAGCTACTCCCACCACGCTACCTACTATCTACCAATCTCCGTCTCGTGGACATCTAGCTGGATACTCTCTCTATGTTGGTTGGATCAATTTCGTCAAGATAATCATCTATTGATACCCAAAAGAACCATCAAATACTCCTACTACTACCATGCCTCAGGGGCCCAGACCAAGAATGAAATCGGCCTTTTATAACCCAAAACCAACGCCCATTGTCGCCTTCAGGGTGTCGACTCCCCTGTTCCGTCCGAGCTGCACACATCCCTCCCCCTGCAATCATCTATTTCTCCTTTGCGGCTCTTCTGCTTCGGGGTCCAAGTGCTCTCTGAATCTCGTACTCCTGAAAGCCTCCCACTCCGGTTTCTCGGTATCCACCCTTCTGGTATTCGCTGGGCATACCGCTCCAGATCTCCGAGTCTTGCAACTTTCAAAGATCAACGAGCTGCATTGTTGGCACAACTGAAAGGCTTGTTGGTGGCTCCGTTGTGGACCATGCTTGAAATGCTGGCATACAGTCCGACAACGCACTGTAGATGAATTCCAATATTAGCATTGTTCACCTCATTCTGAAACCATGATCCAAACTCACCAGGATGGCTCCAACCCCGATGTTCAACAGGTTGACCAGTAACAACATGGTCTTGCTGAAACTCCAACCATTTCGGGGTACAACCTTCCACCTCTGGCCGTTCCTCGTCAGGTTCATCTTGATCCAAAACATGCCGCTCAATCCCAGGGTGAACCAACTGGCGAACAGAGCACTGGTCAAGCCCAACAAATCACTGAAGACGGGAACGGCTTCCGCGATGACCCACGCCCCCAGCCAGGACCCCGTGCAAATGCCCACCCAGATGCCATACGATTTCCACGTCTTTTGGTGCATGAGATCTTCCGAATGGTCCCGGAGCAGTCTGACATACAGGTACTTGACACCCACGTGCCCATTGACCACTCCGGCAATGACAATGGTGGGGATTGCAACGCCATACGCGACCTTCTTGACGACATCACTGGCACTGTCCAGGGCTGGACTAGCCACTCGATCCCCAGCATAGTAGTACACCACCACCGCGGTGATGATGTACATGCTGATGTCGCTGCATTGTAAAAAGGCCAGCGCTTTGGGGAAGTCCCGAGGATTCTTCAACTCCGAAATAAAGGTGAAAAAGGCAACATGTCCTGCGTAGGCAAAGACCATGTTGGCAACTGCCAAAAATCCGGTAGAAAAAGACAGATTATCTTCTGGCCAGAGTCGGACGGTGAGAACCTCATGTCCGTCAACAAGTCTCATGCCTGGCTTGGTGATGCTGACTCCGATCATGGTGATCATCACCGCCCCGATGATGCTGATGAAGCTGGCAACGGAATAGTAGGAAAGATTCTTGAGTGTCCGGGGAAGGGTAAAGACCAGACTGAGGATGGTCCCAACCACCATCCAAATGATGGTACAGGCACCATGCTCCGTGATGGCGTTCATCATGATGGAAAAGGTCAGGATATGACTGCCCATGATGAAGACATAGAACAAAAATTGACCCCATCCGAGGATCTCGCCGCCCCAACGACCAAAAAGCACCTCCCCAGCACATCCCATCGAATGAATGTGAGGATAGCGAATCTTGAATTGGCCAATGACATATCCGGAGTAGGAAGCCATGGCACCCAGACACACCAGGAGGATCAAACCTGGGACTATCCCAAGGGTAGCCATGGCCCTGGGAAGCGAAAGGATTCCCAAAGAGATGGTCTCGGCAACCATCACCATCCCAGCTTGCCTACAACGGTGTCAGCATCATAGTCTAGACCCAAGGTCTTTTAGACGAGAACATACCACCAGACCATCGACTTGTACTCGACTCCACCTTCAATACGGCTGGTCATCGGATCCAAAGTTTGTTCCCCAGCTTCAGTGCCAGCTGTCATGAAACAGTCAATACAACTCTCATTCCTTCAATCGTATCCATTTCACCACCTACCATCTTTCTTTTCCGGGTCCGCAATGTTACTGCCACCAAGCACTGCATTGGCCGCCCCATCACTTGTCGAGGTGTCGCGGGAGGTTTCGTTGACCTTGGTCTGGGGGGTCTTTTGTTCTTTCGGCCCTTGATTGAAGTAGGTAGAGATAGACTGCAACATGAGGCCACGGCGCCATGAGGCGCTGGAGGGACTGCTGAAGACCATGATGTGATAGGACCCAAGCAGCGAGAACAGGAGAAACCGGGAAGCTTCCGAAGGAGTCAGTAGCACGCTCCAGGTCGGCTGGAAATGTCTCCCACAGTGGCAGAGCTTAGCTTAGAGATGGAATGTCGATAATGTATTTGGTAAAACAATGAGTAAAGGGTATACCTGCTCCTCGACGCATGCGGGAAGAATCTCGAAGCAGGTGTGGGGAAGAGAATCAGGAGGAAGAAAAGGAAGAGAGCAACAGACAAGAATACCGTCCTATTTATGGGGACTCGTAAAAGTGTTGGTTGAATTGTGGGCGTAGATAGATATAAAAAGCATTCCGGACTGTCGGTATCGAAACAGACTCGCCGTTGGTGAACCAAGCACAGTACCTGGGCAGGCACCATACAAGTTGCGGTCACAAGGCAACAACTCCCGATCGACAAGAGCTATCGCGAGGTTTCCACGGGAATGCAAAACACTAATACATAGCAGTCGAGAAAACACGATAGACGATGAACTCGTGTGCCCAGGCTCGACGCGGTGGTGGCCCTTTGACTTTGGGGCGTTAACACACGTAGCCTCGTGCTGCGTGCTGATCGAGTGCGGACAGGTTGCCAGATCCAGGCTGTGATGACTGGTATAATGCGACCGGCAAATACGCCCGGTATAGCGGAGGAAAGCTTTAGCTGTTGGCCGGAGAATCTTGCCCCATTACAGGGTTGTGTCCAGGACTCAGCTTAGAATCAGTCTCCAGGGTGTCCGCTGGCCCATCTGGGAAGTGGTCAGCAGGTTGAGATGGGATCGGCGACAACAACACTTACTATGTCTTGAATACAACTTTCGTTCATACTCGTCGGCAAATCTGGCCTTGCCGCTCTCGACGTCCTTTCTTGACACGCCCAGTTTGCTCTTGGGCAGGCCCATCGACGCCAAAAACGCGACACTTTCCTTCCACTCCAAGTCCTTGCGTTTCTTATCCCACTTCAATTCTTCGGCCATCAGATCGATAACCTGCGGCAATGCTTCCAATGCCGCTTGCGCATTCAGGAATGCCAGTCGTGTCCTCCGAGCGATCACGTCGACGGCACGTTGAGCGAATTCGTGTCGAACCGCATACCGCACCTCCCCGTCAATGTACGGATATAGAGGCGAGATGCGTTTACCTCGCACAGGGAACCTCTGATCGGTGGGACTTGACAGTGCGGCCACAGTCCAAGCACGATCTCCATAGGCCTCTGCAAGGTGTTTGGCCACCTCGGTCTCGATGCCAAAGTGTTGGATTAGGTTGATGAAAAGCGTTTTCGAGTATCCATGCGCACCCACCAGTCGAACCTGATGTGTCTGGCAGGTCCCGTCGAGCGGCGCAGCGTCATCAATCATCTCGGTTCCACTGATTCTCGTCGGCGTGACAATGGGCTGCGTCTGGAGGTGGAAATGCTTGATGGCTTCATCCACGGCGTCCTCTGCCATTTGACGATACGTTGTCCATTTCCCACCCGCACATGTCAGGAGACCAGATTCGGAGACTGTGACGAGGTGGTTCCGCACCAGCGACTCGGTGTTTTTCGCCTTGGGATCTTTGACCAAGGGGCGAATACCGGACCAAGCAGCCAGTACATCGCCGCGTCGCACATTGATATCGGGAGACAGATAACCTTGGATCTCATTCAAAATCCAGTTGATCTCGTCTTCTCCGGCTATCGGCTGTGCAGTGATATTGCACGGCGCATCAGTAGTGCCGGCGATCGTATTGCCCTGCCACGGTAGGAAGAAGATGACACGACCGTCCGAGGTGGCGGGATCGATCAAACCCATCGTGTTCTTCTGGGGGCTATAGTAACCCGGCAGGACCACATGTACACCAGAACTTGGAGCCACAATCTCTTGCGCCTTCGGGTCGTCCATTTTGCGGATGGAGTCACAGAACGGTCCAGTCGCGTTGACGACCCCCTTTGCGCGGATGGTGATTGGAGCTGCCGACTTCCCGTTCTTATCCGCAATCACGTCGCGGACGATGGCGCCGTTCAACTTGCCGTTCTCGTCCTTTGTCAAACTCGTCACTTCCATATGATTGACGACAGTGGCCCCCCAAAGCGCAGCCGTGGCGGCAATAGAAACGTTCATTCGGCTGTCATTATGCGCTCCATCGTAGTACACGAGGGCGCCCACCAGGTTGTCCTTCTTCAACATGGGGAATGCATCCAAAGCCTTGCTCTTGGTCAAAAAGTAACTCGTCTCAATGCCTTCACTGCCTGCGAGGAGATCATATAGTTTGGTGCCCGCCCAGAAGTAAGGAGCCTGCCACCAGACTTGCAACGGGATCATGATAGGAAGCCACATGGAGAGATGAGGCGCCGTATCGAGAAAGTATTTCCTTTCCCGCAACGCTTCCTTGACCAAGGCATACTGGTTGTAGTCGAGTTCCCAGACCGCTTTTTCGAGATAGCGGACACCGCCATGGACAAGCTTCGTACTCTTGCTGCTTGTGCCGGCGGCAAAGTCATCGCGCTCGACCAGCGCGACCTTCAGCCCTCGAGTCACAGCATCCAGAGCGATACCAGATCCCGTGGCTCCACCACCGATAACCAAGAGGTCATATGGTTCTCCGGCTTCTTGATCTTTCGGCAATTGTGTCTCCTTGTCGTCGGTTGTCGCGCCTCTTAATCGATCAAAACTGTTTTTCAATTGCTGGGTGATAGGTGTTTCGGGCGCCGAGCCAACCAAACCACCACTTTTCCTCAGGTCGGCGATCTGCTCGTCGCGGGACTTGATCAAGGGGAATGTAGGAGGAATAATGGTCCCATCCTTGGTGCGTGGGGTCGGGACAAGAGCACCCTGAGAGCCGGGCACGTTGATGGGACGGTAGGATATGTAGACCACGGCTCCGCCAACCCCAGCCAGCGCCGCTGCGGAATATAGGAGGGGCTTGAGATATCGACGGGCTCGGGGAGAACGACCGGCCGAGGCCATGTCTGGCAGTATCAGGAAGGTTGAGGCTTCGCGATATCAGGCGGGCGGGTTTGCCGGAGATGGGGATTGCGACAGGACGTCGACGAGTGAGTGATATGGTTGATGGTTTATTGTAGCAGCTCAATCCACGCCGGCTGCCATTCCCCGGACTTGAACAGTGGGGTTACGAAGAGACGCTGATGGCGGCTCAGGAGAGCTGGGTTGAGTTGGGAGTCGGGCAACGGAGTAGTAGAGGCGGCCGCATCGAAGCGACAGTACTGAGGACAGAGGAGGAGCGGCAGAAGTGAAGGGAGCCATGAGAAGCAGATGTGGAGGGTGTTCAAGCCTACACCCACACACACACACACACACTCTCTCTCTCTCTCTCTCCACCGGTCTCGCCGGGAAGAAGGGCAGAGACGAGACGAGACGATCTCGTTTCGCTCATAGCGAGATCCAGTGATAGAGAAGCTGTCGAGCCCATCAGCGTCATAGTTCGTTCTTTTGGACCCACGAACCCATGGTCTCTCTCCCTCGGTGCGCTACTCTGTAGTATGTCGTGTATGTCTCCCGCTGCAACTCGGCATGCTGATATCCGAATCCATATGCACGGGCGGCAGCAGTGACCATCTTGATCCTTGCCATTGGGCGCCTCTTTCGCGACTCCTTGTCTCGTTCCCCGGTATATGCACATTGCCAGTCCATATGAAGGAAGCGTGACACTTTTGAGGGACCAAAGGGTCCGTCTACTACTACAGTTCCGGGAGACTCTGACATGTGCTTCTTGTCTTCAATTCATCACTTTTGGTCCTGGTAATAATATGCATACTATGAAAGAGCTTTTGATCGAGAACACAAATGGCCTCACTCTTTCCCGGAGATGGCGACTATACAAAAGTCCACAACTGTCTCCTAAAGTAGTTGAAGTTTCAAGTCACTTTTGTTCGTCCTGTCCTGTCCGTCATTGCTCACTGAACGCTGCAGGAGCCGTGACAATTCAGGACTTTTGCGACTGACCATTGATGTCCTCCGCCTTCCTTTCCAAAAGATCGATGTCGATCCGGTTGGCCGAGACACTGCCGGCATTGGGTTCCATGTTCAATTTGGAAGGCGCGGGAACCGAGTCTGCTGTCATGGATGATCTCAGGGGACTGCTGGGGGTATCTGATGCATTCAGATTTAACCGTTCGAGAGCTTGTAACTCAGCGTCTGAGAAATGAGGCGTATGCTTCGGTCGGAATGGGACGGGAGTAGAAACTCGCGAGGTTAGGAACTGCAGACATGGTCAGCTTCATCATTTAACGACCCTTCCCCAGCTAGATTCATACCGAGCTAGCAGCGCTCAGAAGCGCAATCAAAGATGCTTGGACGACATCCTCATGGATACCAACGCCCCATACTTTCTCGTGCGAGCCACTGGCGGTGCATTCGATATAGGTGGCGGCTTTGACCTCTCGGCCTTCACCGATGGCATGTTCCTTGTAGTCGGCGACGTCAAGATCGATTCCCAGGGAGTGAAGCGCGTTAGCCAACGATGAGATCGCTCCATTGCCCACGCCCACGACAGGATGCTGGATTCCGTCGATAGCGATAATCCCGGCAAACTGACGTTTCGCAGTCGATGTATTCTGAGCGGGAGCAGCCGTCTGTGGCGGTTGGCCGACTGACGATTTCATCGTGGGTGCAGGGGACGTTGTCCTGACCGCCGTGATGTTGTAGTCGACCAGTGTAAACCTCGGGTTCTTCTTGAGATGATACGACTCTTCGAACAGAGCCTGGATTTCTCGCGGCAGCAATTCCCGCCCCTTCGCATCCGCTTCTTTCTGCACAATTTTGCTGAATGCGACCTGAAGTCCACGAGGCAGATCCAGTTCGAGACTACGTTGGATAATCCAGGCAACACCACCCTTGCCAGATTGCGAGTTCACCCGGATCACCGCTTCGTAGGTTCGACCAAGGTCTTGAGGATCGAGGGGCAAGTAAGGGACCTCCCATGGGTCCTGTTGGCCCAGACCTTTGTTTTTGCGAACCTGAAACCCTTTCTTGATGGCGTCTTGGTGAGAGCCGCTGAAGGCGCAGACGACCAATTGCCCGCCATACGGCCATCGCTCATTCACGGGTATCTTGGTGGATTCTTCACAAACGCGGATGACCTTGCCAATGTCGCTAAAGTCCACGTTGGGCCAGATGCCCTGAGTATAAAGATTCAGTGCCAGAGTGACCAGGTCCACATTCCCAGTTCGCTCTCCGTTTCCGAACAAGGTTCCTTCGACTCTTTCCGCACCAGCCATCTGCGCCAACTCTGCCGCGGCCACTGCGCAGCCGCGATCATTGTGGGGATGGACCGAAATACAGAACTTTTCGCGTTCTGTCATATGAGTGCTGAAATACTCCACCTGGTCGGCGAAAACATTAGGAGTCGACATCTCGACGGTGGCGGGAAGGTTGAAAATTAGTTTGGCGTCTTCAGTGGGACCCCATGCTTCCTTGACTGCCTCACAGATCCGGACGGCGAACTCGGGCGAGGTATCTGAGAAGGTCTCCGGGCTAAACTCATAAAGCCATTCTGTGCCTGCCTGACTCGGGTCGTCTTTCGTAAGGGATCGAGCGAGCTTGGTGCATTTAACAGCCAATGCGATGCTTTCGTCTTCCGTCATGCCAAACACAATTCTCCTGAAGCAGTCGCTTGTAGCAAGGTATAAATGAAGAATGGCTTTCTTTGCACCTCTCAGGGACTCGACGGTTCTCCGGATCAGATCTTCACGACAGGGAGACAACACCTGTAGCCAGACGTCGTCCGGGACCACTCCGGGCGTTTCGACTAGGCTTCTCGTAAAGTCATAGTCGGTCTGTGAGGCAGAGGGGAACGAGACTTCGATTTCCTTGTAGCCCAACTCGACGAGCATTTTGAAGAAGCGTAGCTTTTGTTCACCATCCTGGAGACCAGTCAGCCACGTCGCCGACCTTTTGAACTCTCATCATACCATAGGATCGGGCAAGCTCTGGTTGCCATCTCGCAGATCGGTAGCAAGCCACCGGGGAGGCTTTTCGTTGGTTTTGGAGGGCCATTGTCGATTGGGGAGATCAAGAGGTTTGAACTTCCGGTATTTCTTCCACGGTTCACGTAGCCTGTCATTGAAGCATCAGCAGGACTCCATCAAGACGAAGGCGGCGTAGATCGTACATCGGCATCTTCGGCGAAGCGTGCAAAACGAACCGTATGCGCTGATGAAATGCCGCGGTTGGTTCGGCGGGCGTTCAATGATAGGACTGGGCCAGGGTCGGAGAGCGAGGTATATGGAGGTGTAATGTCTGGTCAACCCTTCTGCACTTCAAGACTCAAGTATAAGAGAGTGTTTGACGACGTGAGATGAGTCACTGTAAGAACTCTCGCTCCGGCCTGCGAAATGCGGATTGCGCCTCGACACAAAAGTTTTGAGGCGGGGGCAAAAGATGATGGTAGCGGCACGGTCAATCTACCTGATTGGTGGGCAAGATACTTGCTAGTATCATACTAGCACATACTAGCACGAATGAAGTAAGTATACCGGTTATTCCTATCTGGGGGAGACACAATCGGCCCGCATGTAAACGACAATATGCGCAGCTTTGATATAGTACTTCATGCCCTTAACGGTGTTTCTCCTCTGTACGGAGTACAATCGAGCAATGCCTGTCACCTGTAGCTAAACAAGAGCCCGCAAGACTCGGACAATCCGAGGTCCGGGAACGCCCTCCACCGCTCAACCCGCTCAATCCTGCCCTCTTCGTTGCCCATCCACACAGCAATATCAAAAGAGGATCTGGAAAGAATGCTCTACAAATAAGGGCCATCCTGGACCCCGTGCTCGTCCCCTCGGCCAGTCTCCAGTCGTAGTTGGTGCCTCTGCCTCTGCCTTACTATTTCGCACTGCGTCTCCTTCCTGTATTTCCCCTACTCATCATTCAGTGCCACGACAATTCTTGTCGGCGTGTTGTGTTTGAGACCTGCCTCCAGTCCTGCTCCTGATGTCGAAGAGTCAATGACCACGTGTATTGGATCCTGCGTCTTTCCAATTCCTACTGATGGAGATGCAGGCCCACGCTTGCGTTTCGACGCATTTGAGGTGGACCTTTGCCGTTGGGCGTTCATGGACAGCGACTTCATACCGATGGGAACCAAAGGGCCGCTGCCATCTTTGCCAGCCCATTCACGAGGCAACACTGGACTGATGTCGTGCTTGATGCTCTCCTTCACTGGTCCGGACGTGCTCCTGATGCTGCTGTCGGAGTATGTTCGACGCCGCTGTTCCCTTTTCTGCAGCCGGAGAGGCCAGTAACTGTCGCTCGGATCACGGCGGCCAGGTGGACCATCGAGTCTGATCATCTGCCGTGTTCCTGCTCCATCCTTGATCAATGGTGATTGTGGACGGCTCTGATCTGACAACGAGCGTGGAGTGTTGGTTGGTGCATGGGTACCCCTGACTGGGCTGTGTGAAGCACTGAGCACTTGCAACAATTCCTCCTGCCTAGCAGGGCTCAGAGCCTGCACGATTTCTTGCGGATTTGCCTCGTTCATATGCCTGAGAAAGTTTGCTCGGGGAAAGCTTACCCCGGACATCTCGGTGCATCCACCACTGGTCTCAGTCTTGTTGGAAGTATAATCTGGCATGGGAAGGTCGTGGCTCGTCGATCTCAGTTGTAGCCGCCACTGCTGTGACGAAATAGGTTGTGGACAAATGAACGGGTCTTCACAGGTCACCGTACCTCCCACAAGCTCTCGACGTTCGGGAGACTCCTTGTCTGAGAGGGGGAAAGTCGAGGCTTTGCTGACCGGATCAGACTGTAGATCCGAGAATGTCTGTGCATTTAGTAGTCTCTGGAAACCGTCGAGCCCACTTGATAGTGGTTTACCACCGCGAATTGCCGCTGCGGGACGAAGGGGCGAATGTGAATGGGCTTCGTGACCCGAAACTGGTGGTAGTCGAGATCCGATCGGTCCCGGTCGAGGAACTCTCTTGGACAGCCTCGCAAAGATTTTTGTGTTTGGCCACGCGATATTGGAAAATTCGAGGATATCTACTTGCGTCAATCCTGCGAGCTCGTCCTGTCTCGATGCCCAACCTACTTTGTGGTGCGTGTTGAAAGGAGAATACGACAACATCTCGTAGCCGGTCAAACATCGTATCAGCCGGCGCTGGAGGGGTTATATCTCGCAAGACCCCTTCCGAGATGATTACCTTGACACGGCCGAGAGATTCACCGGGTTCCCAGTGGGGTTGTTGAAGGATCTCTTTGTGGAAGGCAGGAAAGCGAAGACGCTGGTCTCCATGTTCTAAAACATTAGCTTTCAGACATGGCATGGGGGATCACTCCAACCTGAATCGCCTAACCAATATTAGCACCTTCGTAGCAGTGTCCACCGACCGATTTTCACATACCGATGACTTCAGGCCAAGTTCCCCCCTCGAACGTGCGGTGACTGCACCTTTTGGTCAGTGAGTGATTCGCTACATGCTCTTGACAGTCATACGCAGCCAGCACTCCGTCAATGTACACCCGAGCTCGAAAGAGGACCGATTCATCGGGTGTCTTGTAGTTCAGCAGGAGATTGGAAGGCTTTGGCTTGTCCCAGCAGTGGATTGAAACACGGAATGCTGCGCCGCGCTCAAGGCTTGCTACGAACGAGGTCAGGACAGGAACAACGGTCATGGACTCGAAGGAATTGCGGTCAGTGTCGATCGCCGGTAGGACAGTAGAGAACCCGGGATCTGTTGCTCGTGAGAATTGGCCCACACATGGCGTCTTCGACGACTTACTCTGCTCCAATCCGTAACATTTCGTGTCGAATTCCTGAATTGGCACTCTCGAGCTGCCAGGAAACATGAGAACGTCCCAATTCTGATACCGCATTGTGGCACATCAGTGTTGCGTATCAGCCCGTACAGGAGAGAATAAACTGGTCAACGGGGAAGAGAGAGTATCAAGAAGAGCATCGGGCGGGCAAGGCGATAGGCGCGATTACCATTTAGAGTCTCCGCCAAGTTAGCAGCGAGAGAGCCGAACTGCCAATATAGAAGGAACGCTGGTTTCGCAAGATCCAGAGAAGGAGCGAAGGACCTGGCATGGAGTAGCAACAACTGCGTCGAGACTGCCACAGGAGCCCCCGGGTTGGCCATATGGTTTGCGGGTAATAATAGATAACCTGATATTCAAGGAATATTCTTGACGCAAGTACGAGTAATGCTGCTCACAAGGCAAAGTCAACCGCAATCACGATCAGGCGCCTTTGCCTTCCTATGGCCACGCCACCACATGCGACCGCGTAGAGTATGTCCAATCAAAAGTCAATCAATCATTTTCGTCTGGAAAAACGGGTATTGTAACCAACAACGAAAGTGCTCCAGTGGGTAAAGATGGCATCTTCCAACAGCCCTGGATGTCTCGCACCCATTCCGTGACAGGCACAAGTGCTCCATCAAACGCCAAATGATTAGTAGATGTTACAGGGCTTCCAGACGTCCATTATTCGCCAGTTGCGTCCAGGCTGAAGTCGCCGCCCACTCCAATGGCACCGTCAAAGTTGAACGTGTCGTCGTTTGTCGTGTTAAGGAAGCTGTCGAAGTCGAAGTTCTCTAGCACGTCGCTGTTTTCCAGAGTGCTGAAATCAAGATTGAAGTTCTGATCAGGTCCATTAAACTCGGAGAACGCATTCGGCTGAGAGATGTCTGGCTGGTGCATCTGAGGCTGGGCGGGAGGTAAGGCCTGGTTTGGCGGAGCGGCTTGGTTGTTGTTTTGCATGCCAGGGCCCGCAGCTTTGCCGGCAGAATTGAATCCTGCTGGATGGACCGGGGTGATAGGAGTCGACGGCGTTGGAGTGGCGGGAGGCTCGTTCTCGGAGCTGGGAGCGTTGGCAGTGGAGTTCTTCTTTGCGGGCCGCTTCTTGGGGTTGTCATCCTTGGCCTTCTTCGCCTTGGGATTGGGTTTGTTCGTTGTCGACGGAGTTGGTGGGGCATTGCCGCTGGGCGGCGACGCGGGCTGGTTGCGTTGGGCGTTGTTGCCAGCAGGGGCTTGAGGAGGGGGCATTTCATTTCTTTGACCTGGGGTGCCCATCGGTTGAGGCTGGCCTTGAGAGGGTTGCTGGACCATAGGCTGACCTCCTTGAAACTGTTGTGCCATGCGGCTTTGTTGTTGCTGCCGTGCCATCGATTGTTGTGCCATCGATTGTTGCATCTCCATGGAGGTCGGTGGCCGCATGTTTGGCCCCCCAGGTCCTACCATGCCCTGATTATCCTTCATGAACATGGCCGGGTTGAAATCTGATGTCGGCATCCCATTCATGAAGTTCATGGGAGCAGGTGATCTTCCTGCCATCGCTTCTGCTGCCGAAGGTGAACCAGGCAGACCACCAAGTTGAGGAGTTCGCTTCATCTGATCCACAGGGTTGGGTGAAGTCCCGGTCCGGCTGTTAGGCGACATACCACCAGCCTGCATGCCGACCATGGGAGCGCCATCTCTATTGACAGCATTGTCCTGTTCTTGTCGCGCCATCATGAGCCTCTTCTTGTTTTGTTGCTCAAGCAACATCAACTGCATTTGATAGTCTTGCAAAGCATGGTTCCCACTCTGGCCACCTCCTGGAGTCCCTTGCATTTGCTGACCGGCCATCCTTTGGTTGTACATTTCCATTTGCATATTGTCGCTAAACTGGGGGTTGATGCCCTGCATCATCGGAGATCCGGCATTGCCCATGTTCATCATTCCATTGGCCATACCAGCCTTTGCGACGTTAGTGTTGTTGGCCGACAGTCGGCGACATTGGCATGACTTACCTGCATAGGCTTTTGGGGCATCCCGCCATTCTGTCGAAACTGGGCATTGTTCATGTTCGGATTGAACGCATTCTGGATCATCATGTTCTGAGGTGGCACGTTGGGGATTCCTGCCCGCACATTAGGCATCATGCCACCGTTGAACTGTTGACCTTCGAGTCGTGGTCTCTTGGACGGAGACCCACCGTTCTCCCCTTCAGCTGGTGAAGAGGTGCGACCGTTCATCTCCACATCACCCTGATCTCGTTGCATTTGTTGATGCTGCTGCTGAAGCATGGCGGCTTTGTTCATTTGCATTTGTTGCATTTGTTGCGGAGTCCTAGGCCACGTCAGTATTCCGAGTTTGGGGAAGCAGGCCTATGTCCTACATTTGTTTTGTCATATCTCTTGAAACATTGCCGTTCAACAGATTATTGCGCATGTTTGCACGCATGGCAAACTGGTTGGAATTCACCATGCCGGGCCGCGCAAGGTTCTGGTTCTGCTGATTTTCGCGCATCCGTTGCATATTCTGCGCAACATTAGCAAAACGGTCAGTCATCATGGTTTTGGGCAACGTACCTGGTGCTGGATCAAATACTGCGCGGCAGGACCCAGTGCCTGAGCTTGACCGCTCTGCATTTTACTCGATCGTTGATGGGCGGTAAACAGGTCGGAGAAGATACTGAACCACTCGAAGAGAAATCCGATGCCTGGTGTGTTCGTATCTCCGACATGCATAGGACGCGGGAGATCGTCCGGAATGTCCTCCTTGACATCTGTATCCATGCCATCACCATCAACGCCATTTACCTCCGCGTCTTTGCGGCGGCCAGGGCTCTGCTTGATGGGCGGCTTGGTACGGATTTCGAACTTCTCTTCACGCAACAAACTCCTGGCAATATCGTAGTGGCCCAGTTTCAAGAAATACTCGTAGATGTAAGTGTTCAACTGAGCCTTGACTTGCTCCGGCGAGGAGCTGCTGTTGTTGTTGTTCGCTTGGGTGGCTGGGCTGCCGTTGTTCATCATATTCATTCCACCGCCGACCGGTCCTCCAGCCATTGCTGCAGGATTCATGCCGGCCATGTTCATCTTGGACTGAAGTACAGTTCACCCAGGTCGCTCGCGCTGAGGGGATGAAGACGAGAGCCGTAAGAGAGTGGTGGAGGGTGTTCGCAGGAGATTGTCAGGTGGGTCGGGGGGGAATGATCCAAGCAGTTGTGACGGGCGTGCGGAGAGTCGGTCGCGCAAACCGACGACGACTTCAGACGGCAGGAGAAAGCTTCATTTTCCGGATGGGCAGCGACGTGAATATGACTGGAATATAGTTGATGATGGTAGAATCTGATGCGGCTGAGATGGAGAATACAAGGTAGGTAGTTTCAGAGGTCCTTAACGAAACGCGACCGCCACAAATTATCGATGGGCTAGCGAGCCGGGTAAGACTGGGAGCGCGAGCAGGCGGAATACAGCGCAGCTCGGAAAGGGACTCGTCTCAGTGTCGATGGCCAATATCTAGCGATGCAAAGCGATGCAGGTGAGTGAGAAAGGTCAAAGGTCGGGGGCAGACGACGACGACAATGACTATGACAACGATGGAGAGCACGAGATGTAGCGCCAGACGAAAAGTGGAAGGACTGATGGGGTGACCGCTGGGCGCTGGGCGTGAAAAAGCAGAGGCTCGAAATTATTGTGGTGAACGACAGGTGGTTTAAGGCTGCGCAGCCGGGGACTGCGCCTGACAACGGCGGGTGCCAGACACTGCACTGCAGACAGGGCCGGGCAGCTTGAGGACCTCAGGGCGCAGGGAGCAGGGCCAGCGGGCAGGGCAGGGCAGGGCACTTGCGAGAGACTCGGGGGGAGAGGAGGGAAAGGCACAGGACAGCGAAGTGCTGAGGAGGCAATCTGACCCTGACACTGACCAATCAGAGACGCTGCTGCTCCAGCCCTACAGCCAGGGCCCCGCGTATCCTGCAGCACGCTTTTCCTATAACGGGGCTACCAATGGTGGGGTGCTTGGCAACCGAAGGACGACCTCACCTCAAACACCTCACGCATATTAATCCGACAAATATAATAAAATGCATCAACGCCCGAACCACACCCAAACTGTGCTACCAGTGGTTCAAGAGGGAATAAACTCTTGCATTCTGGCGGACTCGTCGGGTCGTCCTCGACCTCACCCTTTAATCCAGTGTCTTGTCAAAACTGTCCGTAACCCTCGATTCACGACTGAAACTGCCTCAGGGGTTGAGCAAGGCTTACTACGTCCAGTGTTGACCGAGCGGAAAAGGGGGCGCGACACGTGACTTGCCGACCACGCATATACAGAGTAGAACATGGGTGTCTAGAATGACTTAGGGTCTCGTCTTCGGACCGCTTGATGTCGTTGTGCTTTCGAGCAAGCTATTCGTCGTCCGGTGGCATCTCGTCTTCAGTGTATCGGAGTAGAGTGACCCTCATTTCTGTAACATCGTTGCCTCGGAGGACGTCGCTCACAAAGCGAGCCTCGATGGACATTTGGACCTGTAACGGTAAGTTGATAATGTTGGCGACACATATAGGCGACTCTTCCATACCATTTCCAATGCTCCACGTAGAATACCACAAAATATGTTCGAGAACCACAGCTCATCCTGAGCTCTTCCATCATCAGGAAGTTCGACAAAGTCGGCCAAGGGGTTTTCGTCAAACAAAAGCGAGAATTGCTTATTGTCCGCAGTCCAGTTGGTGACAGTTGGGGTGATGTTGAGGAAGATCTTGAAGCCGACCTTCTCCCTGTTTAGTCTCAGGGAGAAGATAGGGAGATGTGCACAGCATACCTTGGAGATCATCTCTGCAGTATCCCTAAAATTACCACAGCGACCGATGTTTGACTTTGCCAGGAAGTCCTCTATGAGGCGCATGCCGATATTGTATCCCATCTTGTCGAGCTGCTGGTTGACTTGGACATAATCGTACTCGTAGTCGGTACACAATTGAGCGACAACAGTGCCGTAAGTGAGAGTGACCAGCTCGGCATTGACTTTATCGACTCGCGTCCTAGAGGGGTGAGTGCGATGATCTCTGTTTAGAGGAGACGACTCACTTCCACACCCTGTGCTTCGTCAGTTGTGTCGGGTACAGGCTCCACGCAAGGCTGGCTTACTCTTCGCCCACCCGGGCTGCTTTCTGGCCAGACGCCATGCAGTTTGATGATTAGGATCACCTGGACACTATCATCTCCGAACAAAGGCGGACATTGATCTTGCAAGCACCAAAGATGTTGCTAGATTTGCACGTCCTGATGGCATTCCTTTGATTGATGGGAAGGAAGGCATCGGGCCTCGACGTCAACTCCCAGGCTTCTCACCGTTGGAATGATGCCAAGCCCAGTGGGGACATGTCCGGATTATATGATTTTCCGGCTCCGACCAAAAAGTTCAAGATGCTCGCCTAGTAGACAAACTTGAAGAAACATTGGGGATTAAGTCGACAACTGTCCCGGACACACCTGGCCGACTCTCGCCCTCTTTTCTTCGCTAGCCGTTGTGATGGCCTCGATCAAACGACAAGCGTCCGACAGCTTTAGCCAGCCAGGGGCCTTGGTGAAGAGACAAAAGTCTAGTTCAGACCTCAATGATACTCAGGCCCTCACAATCGGCGCGAGAGATCAGAATGGCACTCTTGTGCCTTCTGTAGGTCTTCTCCCTCTGCGGTCAATAGTCAGCGCTGACAATGTTATTCTAGGCTCTCCGGACGAGCGCACTCCCCGCGCCCATTATGGAATTGACAGGTGCGCACCATCTTTCTCGGTCGGACAGGCGCAGCTAAAGCCATTTAGGTCACTCCGGCGAGATATTTGCAGCCAGGTTCGATCCTACCGGTCAACACATTGCCTCAGGGTCTATGGACCGGTCGATAAGTATGCATGCGACGCGGATGCTGGCAAGGCGAATTCTAACAAGGAGTGCTAGTGTTGTGGAATACCTACGGACAATGCGAAAACTATGGAATAATGACGGGTCACAAGGGTGCCGTACTGGACTTGCAGTGGTCCCGAGATTCCAAGATAATATATTCTGCTTCTGCAGACATGACAGTGGCAAGCTGGGACCTCGAAACTGGACTGAGGATACGCAAGCATGTCGGTCACGAGGAGGTCATAAATTGCTTGGACCTTAGCAGACGGGGTCAAGACCTGCTGCTGAGTGGTAGCGACGATGGCTGCATAGGAATCTGGGATCCTCGGCAAAAAGCCGCCGTCGACTATATCGAGACCGAATTCCCAATTACTGCGATAGCCATGGCTGAACAAGGTCACGAAATTTATTCTGGAGGGATCGACAACGACATCAAGGTTTGGGATGCTCGTAAGATGGAGGTCACATACACGCTGAGTGGCCATGGCGACACCATCACCTCGCTGGAAGTCTCACCAGACTCACAAACGTTGCTCTCCAATTCCCACGACTCGACGGTACGAACTTGGGACATCAGGCCGTTTGCACCTGTGGATCGGGCCGTGCGTGTCTACGACGGTGCGCCAGCGGGATTCGAAAAGAACTTGATCCGTGCAAGCTGGAGTCCGAAAGGAGATAAAATCTGTGCCGGGTCGGGCGACCGTACAGTGGTGGTGTGGGACGCTCGATCCGCCAAACTACTGTATAAATTGCCTGGCCACAAGGGAACGGTCAATGATGTACGGTTTTCGCCGACTGAAGAACCCATCAGTGAGTACACCACCATGATTCGCATGATTCTTGTCAGAGGTGTGGCTAATAGAATCAGTTGTTTCTGCTTCGACCGATCGGAATCTTATGCTGGGTGAGCTCGGAAGGTGATCAAACCCAGCCGGATACTGTTCGTCCACCGTCTCGAGCTTCGCTTGCGACACCGCGGAAGAAACAATGGAGTCCGCATCAGCGCTATAACATGAGGTAACATCCTTCTGGGACGCTGTTATATCGTCAGAAGCATGTATCGGTTGAAGACCACACCACGCACTCTCAGAGCCGACCAAATGTTGACCGACTCAGAGCCGAAATCCGGCCGTTTGACGCGAGAGCGGTCTTTTACAGACATCGGCGTGCCTGCATAACGAGAGGACAAACGGCAATTAGTACTTGGAGCCCTTGCCGATGTGTGAGGCGTTCATCCCCCGCCACAGTATTGAGCCTGGGTCTATATCATAGCGCCAAGACAGCCAGACTCTCCCCCATCGCAAAAGCTGCGATAGCCAGGACTGTGAAGGGTCATCGTGTTAGTGGCAATGGTGACAATGGGGTGCGATACACCCATGAGCAGTTGTCGCTGGATTGGCCGAGGTCAAGAATTGGTTGGAGATGGAAATCCGCCAAGGGTTGCGACCATACAACACGGAGACGCCCCTCGAAGCCGTCCATGTTTCAGGTCGCGTCCCGATTCTGACCAGCTCATCGACGTGTCTTGTTATATACCTTGAAAAAGAAAGGATGCAGTCAACAAACGCATCACGCTCCATTGAATTCCCGACTTGAAGATGGCGAATGACAGCCTGTCAAGTCTTCCAATTATGCTGGTTAGGTGCCGGATATTGTTTCACTCCCTCAACTGCACCCTGCATTTGACAATCAATATCGACCAATCTGCACCAGTCGGCCATCCTTGTTGGCCGACTTTCTGCAGGTGACCAAGATGTATTGTTTGCCCATCGCAGCCTCTGGTTGGGAAAGTGGTCAGATGTGAGACTGATGTTGACACGGCCCGTGTACGTTCTATTGTTTTGTTTTATGGTCATCGCGTTTGGTGAAGTAGTTATCCCAACTGCTCTTATCTTCACTGCATGGCATGTTAGTCTCTGTATCGTATAGGGCAGTCTCCGTGTCTTTCATCCATCTCCCTTGAAGTCGAGAAAAACAGCACTCACCACGAACCTCACATACTTGCCAGCCCACGATAGTTGCTTCTGGGCAGAATAGACCACGCATGAAGCACCGTCAAACCATCGCTCTTCTCGCGTGATTGGCGATATAGCACAATGAGCGGGATATCGCGTCTATGGCGACCAAGTCAAGGGCAAGGGCAAGCCAGTGCTCCAGACTCGCCCAGCGGTCCTGGGAAGACGTTTTTGGTTCCGCTGTTCCTGTCGACGTCGCAGCCGTCGGCTCGCAACAATATGTTCACCGATGGTGACGGACCCGCGAGTCCCCGATCCAGGACCTCTACACGTTCCGTGATCGAGTCTTCCCCCTCGATCTACTCCGGTGTCCGACCCCTATCCCTACCGTTGGATGCTCGAACAGAGAACTCCGACATGTACGGCAACGGCGTACGAGGGAGCCACAATACCAACAGACATAGAGAGCATCTCGACACAGCGCCGAATCAGTCCCAAACTGACTCAGCTCCCATCTCAGAGCGTTCGACAACAAGATCCGGGTCAGAACGAAGCGGCAGCCGGAGCAACCACTCGTCGAGTCGTGGCGCCAGGCGACACGTCAAGCTGTCGAGGAAGACGTTCCGTCATCCACGAGTCAATGCGAAAGCAAGAATCAGTTTCGCTTTTGGCGTCACTCTACTGTTCGCTCTGGTGATCTGTGAGTTATCGCCCTCCCGTCGTGACCTCCTTCTCATGGCTGACGCTTTGAAGATCTGGTGCTCGCCATCACTGGTGTTGCGCGTAATACCATGTTCCACGTGCTCTCGATTCTGTTGATCTTGACCCTGACGGGGGTTTTCTGTCACCAACTGATCCGCATGTTCATGTTGATGCGTCGACGGCCGAGAAGACCTCGACACGGGCGGAGCAACAAGGCTAGACACGGACATACAAGAAATCAAACATGTGCGCGATCTCGGGGCTGGACACGTGCAAGCACAAGCACAAGCGAACAGTCCGGGCCGCTGGAAGAACTACCTCCGGAAAAGCCAATCCAGATCTTCATGGCGACTGATGACAATCTGGGCCCGGATGTGGAAGCACTGGCATGGCAACCGACCATACGCCCGCCGCCACCAGTCTACGGCAACTTTCGGGCCAGTATGGTGAGTACAATGGTGCTTGTTGGCGCTCCAATTTCAATGGTATTGGGTAAACTGCTAACACTGGTCTTTCTATCAGCGATTGAACCCAGACTTCGTTCACCTGAAGCACGTCCCTCCCTCACCACTGACTCCGACTTACGATGAAGCGGTGATACAAGTCCAACGAGCCATGGGGTATCGACCACCAAGCTATATCTCGGAAAGTGGTGTGACGGAATTTATTGAGACACGGACCAAAGATGTGGATGCCGCTCTCGAAAACATCCATCCATTGGAACGCGAGCGAATGCGAACATTTGCAGCGGAAGCTCTTGAGGGCAATACCATATCTCGTCTCTAGCCAGTACATAACGTGATCGACATGTGAGCATCCTGCACGAATTATTCCACATGTAGCAACTTGAAGTCTATCTTCACCTCTGCCCAACTCCTGCCTAAGGATTTTCAACCATACGAATGATCAATGAGTCAGAATACGGTTGTATTGATTTAGGATGCTTCCATTTGAACTATGGAACTATTTAGAACCGAAGTTCCTGTCGAGTTCAATGCAAAATGCATCATTTTCTTCTTCCTGCCATTGCAATGATGGCTTCAGACCAGGGGTATCATAGGGTATCTTGTTGATCAAAATCTAAGTTCCACCCAATTCCACTCAGACTTCTTCTGATTGACGGACAGAAATCTAGTGCTTAGCAGCCTCCTTGTAGACATCGGCCTTGCGGTCGTGAGTCTGCTCATCGAACTTGTCGGAGATAGCATCACCAGCGGCCTGGGCGCGAGTGGTGACCTTGGCGTCACTGTCTTTGGCGACGTTCTTATTGGCTTCCTTGGAGGCGGTCGCCCCGGTACCCTGGATGGACTCGGAGACGTAGTTTGCTGCGTTCCTGCACAAGTCTGTTAGTAAAAAGGCTCAAAGCAGGGCGGTTGGCAGTCTGCCCCGCGGTAGGGTCGAGCAGAGTATCGACTTACTTGATGGTATCCATTGTGAATGGAGTGGTAGTCGTAGACTTGGATTTGATTGTTTGAGGAGGGATGTACTGTAAAGTCTTTGAAGTTTGGAGATGGTCTTGAAGGATGATTTCTGCAAGGGAAAGACAGAGGGATTGGACTGTTTTTATACACAATTGTCTACCCCTCGCAAGCGTGGGAAAATGCGTCGTTGTCACCTGTGAGTGGTCTTGTTCCGCGTGCAAACTCTCAAACAAACAGCATGAACGTCATCGGCCGCAGCGTGACGTCACTACTCACCAATCATAATCTCTCTAGCAGATCCATCCCCAAACCCCGTGATCCGACTGTGGCACTTGCTTGGCATGTTTGGAGGCTGGTGGCCGTGGCGCAGCAGAGTGACGTCGTTGCAGCCTCCATCCCACCGATCCTGATCTTCTTTTCTCCATCTCTCTCCGAGTTTTTGTCCCTTTCTTCAAGTCCCTCAAGAGTCGTTCCGATCCCATCTTCACACTTAATCCCGCGCTACTATTCCGCCTATCTTTTCCTGTCGAATCAGGTCACTTGAGTCCCCCACATCGTTCCGATCTCCAATCTCTCTTCTTGTCTCCTGCATGTTCTTTGAGATCGGGGTCCATCGTCATCTTCATCCCCGTCATAGCCAAGCCATCTTGCACGTGGTCGTCATCTCGATTCTGCTTCGGTCGCGACCCTTAGGTAAACGGGGAGAGATGTGTCTGTCCAGTCCCTTTCCACCCCATCTCACCCCCATCACTGCGAGATCTCGTCCCTCTGACGACGCAGCTGAGGGATTATCTTGAAGCTGGTTCTCCTAAGGCAAATATCCTCATAACCAAAAGAATGAAAATGAGGGGAATGTGCTTGTCCAATTGAATCTCATGTTCATACCTCAACCAACCTCGGACGCCTCTTACAAACTCAGGAATCAATGCTACAGCCCAGCAACACAGTCGGTGAGATGTTGAACTCTATTATAACTGAGCGCGGAATGTGTTTTCCTCAACCCACTCCTTGACCTATTACTCTTTTTCTTCCAGGTAGGTGGAATACAACAGCGCAATTTAGGCAGTCACTAGTTCCGCCCGCTTCGTTATACTAAAGCTGGACGCTCTCACGAATCACACAGATTGAGCCAGACACGTGCCTGGAGCAATGCACAGCGATGTTTTGCTATGGCGAAATTCAAGCTCTATTAAAGATGATTGAAGACGCTGTGAAAAGTCAATCATCATATGCTATTCATGTTTCGTTCCCTCATTCTTTTGGCGAGCAGACTGACCTTCGTTTCCATCTGACCCCTGAGTCTGCCAATCACAATTGTGTATATCATACAATTTTTAATTACAACCAATCACAATGGCTATCAAGAAGCATATGCTCCTGGCCACTCTCTTTGCAAGCCTGACATGGGCATTCCCTAAGCCACCACTTGGCACTGCTGTCAACACGACTACGTGTAACGGTCAGACATTCGTTTATGAGGCGCTCGCAGGGTACGGCTTCGTCCCCTCTAATTCGCGGGACAAGTTTGGCGACACTGCCGGAGGCTTCGGTAGCAGTGCAGCCATCGACCAGACGTCTTGGAAAGTGGACAAATCAGGTGTCTACTCTGGCATTCTCTGGGCTCTCCCCGATCGCGGTTGGAACACGGAAGGCACATTGAACTTCCAGCCAAGAATCCACAAGTTCGCAATCACATTCAGACCAGACTACACATCTACTGCAAACGATCCCAGCGCGCCGAATCTCCACCTGGAGTTGCTCGACACGATTCGGTTCACCGACCCATTTGGAGCACCTCTAACAGGTCTGGATGCGGACGCTCACGGACCTTACCTCACTTTTCCGGGCTTTCCCCCTCTCCCTTCTGCCACCTATACAGGCGATGGCTTCGGAGGCAACGGGGTTGGAGGAAGACGTGTTTCCCTTGACTCCGAAGGTCTGGTTCTCTCCCCGGACGGCAGCTTTTGGGTTTCTGACGAATATGGCCCGTTCATTTACCATTTTGCTCCTTCTGGTCGTATGCTTTCAGCCATTCAACCACCGCCAGCTCTTATTCCCGAACGCAATGGAACCGAATCATTCTCGGCCGCAAGTCCGCCGAGATACGACCCCGATCTGGAAACCCTGCCAAAGAACAATCCTACTGGGCGTGACAACAATCAGGGCTTCGAAGGGCTCACGGTCTCTCACGACAACAGAAACTTATATGCCTTGATGCAGTCTGCTTTGAACCAGGAGGGTGGACTCAATAGCACCACCCGGGTCTACACCCGTCTCTTACATTACGACATCTCGAATCCCTTCAGGCCGGAGTACAAGGCCGAGTACGTCCTTCCCCTTCCCAAAGATCCAGCTGGACGGGTGGCGGCACAATCCGAAATCCACTTCGTCAGTCCAACCCAGTTTCTCGTCCTTGCCCGTGACTCCAACCGTGGACATGGGCAGAAGAACAGCGATTCACGGTATCGGCATGTAGATGTCTACGACATCTCCAAGGCCACTGATATACGTGGTCCTGCTTACGATTGCCCCAGCTGTGCGGTGGCATCTGTCGACGGTGTTCTTGACTCGGACATTGTTCCTGCCACTTATTGCTCCTGGCTCGATTACAATGTCAACTCTCAACTCAACCGGTTCGGCCTGCACAACGGAGGAGACCAGGATGCCCAACTGCTGAACGAGAAATGGGAGAGCATTGCCTTAGCCGCTGTCCAGCCACCCGAGAAAGGCTGCATTGATGGACATCCAGCGACCAACGGAGAATATTTCCTTTTCAGTCTGAGTGACAACGACTTCATCACGCAAAATGGCTTCATGAATGGTGGTGAGCTTCCCTATGCGGATGCAAGTGGGTACAACTTGGACAACCAGGTTTTGGTTTTCAAGGTGAAGCTACCTATCCCTTGATCCGCTTTGGGATGACAGCATCGAACGACCATCTACCAGGAGACAAAGAGTTCGATGGAGTGGCGAGGCATGCGTAGGTTAGGCCCTGGGGAAGTTGGGGTAGACCATAGTCATCTACGCTCTCAGGCTGTGCTAATATTATATATATAATATGAGGCAAATACATATTGATAATGGAATGGAAGAAAACGGGAAAAGAATGGTTAGAGAAAAATCGACTTGGCGAAGTCTGCTGTGAATCTAGGTTTATTCGTGAGTCGTGACCCGAGTGGCACTGGATCTTATATCAAAATTCGTTGCTGTCTCACCACTCTCCTCAACCAAACATACCACCAATCAACTTCATATATGTATAATACCGCCACCACGCAACTGAGGACAATCAGGAGATTATTTGCATACTCCAATCCTCGGCCAAGGTAGGTTGTCTAAGGTACGTAAACTGCTTGACCAGGGGAACACTACCTTTAAGAAGTACTCTACTATTCATCCCGCGGTATTTCTCTCCTTCTTTCCCATCTTACAGTACGTTACCAAGACATCACGCAACCTCACCTCATGACAGACATCTATCTCATATTGCCCCACGTCTCGACGCTCTCAGCTCGATTGAGTTTGATTGAGTTTGAAATTCTCGACCTCCCTAAACCCGGGGCAGTACGGCTGTCATGATCTGCTTGATACCCACACTTTCGGGACCACTGACCAGGGTACAGCGCTGTACTACGACGTGTCTACCCACCACGGCAATACAGAATATATGTACGTGGATTACGGACACTCGGAAGTAGTCTCCAAAACATTGTTTCTATCTGGCGGAGGAAGCCAAATGAGGTCCTAAAGCCTACCATGTCGACAAACCCTTCTACTGAATGAACATATCGAATCAGCGCTCGAAGCGAAAACGAACTGTACACGTCCTCAAGTCAACGGGATAATAAACCCTTATTGGGCCTCGACGGGCGCCCCAGACTCTGAACCTTGGAGGATCAACAACTCCCGCTACGACGCTCCAGCAACATCCGACTCCCAGGTACGACAAGCCACGACGCTACACCCTATCGTATCGACAATGGACTCGCCAGGCATTGCAAGTTGGGACTTTGCCTACCCAAGCGGCAAATGCTCTGTCTTGTCAAGCAGCAAGAACAAGAGCAGGAACTTCAACATGAACATGAACAGGAATATAGATATGAACTGTATCGTGGCCCCCACCAGACCAAAAAGATGTCTTGCCCAACAGCAAGGGCAACGGCCCAGACAATGTGTGGCCGTTGACAAAGAGAAAGAGATGACTGAAGACAAGGAAGGAGAGCGGCATGTCATGACAGTGACCGGGAACAATGTCAACAATGACCAAGGTACACCCCCTGAGGCGAAACACCACTCTCAGGCATCAACCAATACCACCACCACCACCACCACCACCACCACTACCACCGACTTGCACAACTCACCGAAAACACAACAACATAGCAGCCATGCCAGCTCAAACACAAACTCGAACTCGAACTCGAATTCGCACCCTCACCATCACCATGAACCACGAACATATCTTCTGTCATCGCCTACCATCGAATCAATCATAACCTCACATACCTATATGACCATCTCAACGCTGCTGATGACTCCCGACACACAACTCATATACCTCGTCCCGCAGCACCATATCATGAGCAGTCGAGTCTGTGAGATCTCTCGGTTTCCTCGAGCCCAGGGCAGCGGGATCCAGGTGCTGCCTGTGCCGGAGCAGTTTGAACTGAGGGCCAGCACGAGACGTACTTTTGACAAGTCAAGCTGTGAGTGCAAGTCTCGACAACAGCCGAAGCGCAGCGAAAGGAAACGGACAAATTGTAATGAAAAGACAGCAAGCAGAACGTTGATCGATGGAGAGACAGACATGAATTGCAACAAGAGACCGAAAGAAATGATGCAGAATCAGGACGAGACTGTGGCCGAAGATGCTGACTGTGAGGATGACGAGGAGGAGGACGACGATGATATATGTTGTGGCGGTACTTGTGAAATGTCGACAACAAGAACAACAAGAGCAGCAGCAGCAGCAGCAGCAACAACAACCGACTTTCCACCCAGGTCTGCACCAGGCCGCAATAGTGTCGTCGACATCAACCGGCTCGTTCATGGCGACTCGATAAATCCCAACAACGAAAACGATAACGATAAAGACGAAGACGAAGACGACGAAAGACTAGCTGTCAATGAAGTCGTCCGCAAAGTCATGAGATATACGAGAACAAGGGCCTTTGATGGATACATGGCCTTCGAGAACGATAGGGCTAGTTGGACGTTTTTGGAGAGGGTGGGTGTAGGCGTCAAGAATGCGGCGCGGAAGGGTCACTGAAGGAGGGAAGGATGGATATGGTTTTACTCTGGCTCATGATGAAGGGATGTCTCTCTCTCCCTCCCTCTCTTGAGTCTCTGGGTACATCTTTCTATACCTTGTCTTTAAGTGCGGGAGGTTTGTACCGGATGTGTATAAGTATAAGTATGTGATTCTATGAAGGTATGACTATATAGAAGTATGACAGTATAGATTATGACAATGTGAAAGTCGAGAGATCATCAAACTATACGGTCTAAAGTGATGATGCGAGAGGGCAATAACAATATATGTTGAATCTTGATATACGACCAAATAGATCGAAACAATGTACCACAGTATTCTCTTCCATGGTGTACCAAAACAGTGAGGCCGTTGAATGCTATGATCAATCCCTACCTTATTCGTTCTGACGAAGCCATACCAGGACATATGAACAATGACTTTATAACTTTATAACCGAACAGAGAGGATCGTCGATCCTATCCTCCGAAGCAGCCAGAACGAAGCAGAGCACAAGTAACAAGACAGGAGAGCGAAAACCACAGGACCATCTGGGTTACAGAAGGAGAGGATCGTAATTCTCCTTCTCCTTCTCCTTGTCTGTTCTTATAGATAGACCAATCCCTCCTTCCCCTTACGGACGAGGCTGGGTATCAAGATCTCGATTCTCATCAGTAGGTTCTCTACCATGCCGGGTATGCTATGCTATGCAACGAACTCGAATCCAATCCAACCAAACCAAACCCACCTAGCATCACGAATCCCACTCGTCTCTGCCATCCAGCTCGAATTCTCAGACTGCTCTTGGTTGATTCCCCTTTTCACTTCTTCTTTTTCACTTCTTCCTTTTACTCCACCTCCAGCTCCAATGCCGAGTAGGATCCCTCCTCATCTCCTCCCACGCCACAAGATCAGGCGCATCCGGCCCCAGTCGCAGTCTGATCGCCTCGATCGCTAGATCGAGATACTTCTGCACTCCCCTCAGACTCCCCGCCGCACTGTACGCCAGAGCAGCATGACAATATGCCGGGTCGAGATACCCGTGCAGCCCTTCGTCCAAGTAGACCTTGATCAACCGTTCCGCTAGTTTGATCCGATTACCAGGCACAGACCCAGACCCAATCCCTGTCACAATGCCGCTCGAGTCCAAGTCCGAATCAGAGTCTGATGTCGCCGTCCAGTCCGCCAGAATGGCTTGTAGAGCATTGATCTCTGCGATCGCCGCGTCTGGGGCATCTTCTCGTCGTTGTCGTTCAATACTACATCGTGCGCAGGCACATGTGAAGCCGAAAAACTGCTTCAAATATCTCTGCCTCGTCGCGTAGTTGTCTAGTGGATTGGTGTAGGCGATGGTGATTTCTTCGTTGCGGCCGATCGGACGCACGGCGTAGACGCGGTGGATGAGTTGAGTCGTGTCGATTTGGAATTGTGCGTTGGGATTGCATGCGTGGTTGATTCGTGATGGTTCGGGAATTACGGCGAGATGTTGTGGAAGAGGATGAGGAGGAGGAGGAGATGCTGCGTCCTCAGTGGCAGCACTTTCAGCATCAGCTGCTGCTGTATTCTTCTTTTTCTTTCGAGACCCGACAGTACCTGGAAATAATACTCCAAACGTATTGGCGCTGGCTATGTCTTGCACGACGATCCTAGGATCGCCGTACACAGTTGCGAGCCGTAGATAAGACTCTCTCGTCGGTTCAGGTAGCTGGTTGATCGCGAGTTGGAGGAACTTCTCGCGCTCAGAAGGTAGCAGAGTGTTTTCCGAGTATGCGATCAACACGGGCGTGTATGCTGTGATGAGGTCGCCGCGACGGAGGTCCTTTTTCGCAAACATTCCCATGCCCTTGTTGGTAGTGGAGCGCGTGTACCAAGTCACCTGGAACTCATTGACCTCGTGGCGCACCGGGGGAATATTGGTGTTGGGAATTTTGTTGGCTTCGTTGGCTTTGTTGGCTTTGCTGTGGTCGCGGTCGTGATCGTTGTCGTGATCGTTGTCGTGATCGTGAAACGGTGCAAGTTCCGCAATCTGTTCTGCAATTCGGGGAGTCGTGAACAGTGAGATCCCCCTTCCTCGGGCGAAGGAGATATTCGTGTACACGCAGAGCTCGCTGCCCAGGGAATCAAGCTTGGAAGTACAAGCTGGTGGATATGACCATGGACCATGTGCAAAGCTGTTGGTGTCGGTATCGATGCTGGTGTCAGGTTCAGCCTTGGTGTCGTCAGTCTCAGATATGAGGTCCAGCTGGCCAGACTGCAAAAGCTGCTCAAAGGCGACCTGATAGACAGGGTCATGAGTGTCCGCCGTGGCAGTGGCAGTGGCCGAGACGAGGCCGAATGCCAGGCTGATTGAGATCAATGTTGACCACGTGTTTTTCATGTTTCTGGGAGGATTCGTTTCGAAGGGATCCCGGATCCTGACATTGTTATAACAAAATCAAACAGGTAGATCCCGAGTCTTCGAATAAGTAGATCCCAAGTCCTCAAACAAGCCGGTACCAAGCCCAGTTCATTTTCAGTTCAAATGTGGGAGAGGAGTCGAATCCCCTTTCCTCTCGGCGGCGCTGGAGAGACTGGGAGACCAGAACGGCGACGATATCTGTAGCGGTCACGGTCACGGTATCATTGTCGTCGAGATTGGCTTCAGACGTGTTGACGGGTAGCCTTGACCTTGACTTTGACCTACCTGTTTCCCATCCCCGCATTGGCCAGTGGTTGCCCAGCCTGCCCAGCCACTATGTGTGAAGGGAGCAGATTAGCATCCATATCCAGATTCCATAGTAGTAGTGGTGATTGACAATGGGCAAAAGTGTGGACTTGGACGGTGGGTGCCATTCTGGGAGTGGGATCGATGGATCGAGATGCTAAAGGCCAATGCCACCAGACGAGATTGATGCCCTTTGGAAGCTAAGACCCTGAGCCCCTGAGCCTCTGAAATGGGGACGAGAGTAATCATCCTAAACACGAAGACGCCGTGCAGACGAAGACCGGCCCCCAGGCAGAATACAAGATTTCATCTTCCCTGGTACGCTCTTGAAGTATATAAGTATATAAAGTATATCCCCTTTGTCACTGGCCAGCAGCGTGCCCATGAGTTTATATCAGGAGAGCCATATCATCCCCTCCAACCCTACCAGTATCTTCAACATACCTGGTATACAGCCCAAGGAATCCATCCATCATCACCTTGGCCGATCAGCCAACTCGTTGCCGCTCCCGCTCCCGCTACTGCTCTGGACCAAAGCAACACAAAACTCAGCACACAAGCGTCCCTCAGGCGTCTTCATCTGGGTCCAGACATCGCGCATGACGGCATCCTCGACGGTCCGACCATAGCGATCGCCGAAGACGGCCTTGACCTTCTCAAGATGCCTTGGCTCCCAATGCATGCGGACCAAGCGCGAGATCAACAACTCGGTGCGCTCCTTGCCCGGCGCGGTCTCGCTAATAGCCTGATGCAGCAACAGAGCGTCACGCATGGGCCGATTGAGCGCGCCATTGAGGATATGCGCAAGGGTCTCGCCGACCAAGTTCCGCGACTTGACAATCATCTGCCGAGCAAAGTTGACGCGGTAGGTGCGTTCAAACAGCCTCAAGACCTCGCGCAGGTGGGCGTCGCTACGCAGCACGATGATCTTGATCATATCGGTCTCGCCGCCCGGCGAATCCAGCGCGGCCGCCAGCTCGTGCACGTCGTCGCGGACCAGTCTGATGTCGAGGGCCGAAGACTCCGGCATGCGGCGCTCCTCGAGCGCCAGCAGGATAGCCATGCGGAATTTGTCGGCCCGGAGTTCGGTGCGGATGCATTTGTCCAGGTCGTCGCTGTATTTCTTGTCTTTGAAGCAGTTCTTGATCTCGCGGATGTCGCTGTTGCTGCGGCCCATCAGACTCTCGATCAGCAGCTCCCGCCGCGACGCCCCGCCTTGGTACCATGAATTGGCCCAGTACGCTTCGCTTTCCCAGCGGCCCAGGGCCGTCGCGTACGCGGCTTTGCCGAGATTCCCGGGAACACGCATCTTGATGTGTTTGGCCATGTTGATCCCCTGGCCGCTCACTTTGGCGTGGTTCTTGTATTCCGCCCGCAGCGCGAGGAGGTCGTCCGTCGACAGATAGGGCAGGATCTGGATCAAGGGCCGCGGGTCGGCGGCGTGCCGCGTGCCGGATAGCGCGGCTGCGATCCGCTGTGCGTCTTCGGTCGGGTCGTAGAAGGATACCACCTTCTTATTCTTCCTTTCCCCGTTCCCGCCGGTGGACATGATGCTCACGTTGGAGTTGGCCCGGTCTCGTCTACCGCCTGGCTCGCGGATTTCGTAGCTCGTCGTCGTGGCTTCGAGATTGGACATGCCGCGTGGTCGGACTTCATGTGAGCTGCTGCCGTCACGGTTGCTGCTTCGTTTGGGATCTGTGCTGATCTTCTGCTTTTCCCTCTCCAGCTGGCGGATCTTGCGCTTGAGGTCAGCGTGTGCATCGTCGGAGTCGGAGTCGGAGTCGTCTTGGTCCAACTCTAGGTCTAGATCAGATAGTTCGGAATCATCCCTGTGCTGCTTCGCCAGGGCTAATGGCGAGGGCATAGGCGAGATGGATTGGTATGTTCCCTTATAAGCTTCCAGCAGAGGCGACGCGGGTGGCCTCCCGCCATTGTGGGAATTGTGCCTGGCAACTCCTAACGTAGCAGCTCCTAGAGTGGCTCCGCCGACAGCTAGAGCAGACATTCTCTTGGTCACGTCCTCCGGCGAAGAGCCATATTTGTCCTCGCGGTATTTCTTGTCTCGCGCATCGTAGGTGTCATCATAGTATTTCTTTCCCTTGGGTTCTCGTGTCTCATATTTATCTTCGTGATATCGTTTGTCTTTGAGTTCACGCCTGTCAAAGCTGTCTCGGTGGTACTCTTTGTCCTTGGACGGCCTCGAACGGTCGTACTCCGGTTTTCGTTCGGCATACTGGGCAGGAACGGCTTTGGAGCTCTCCTTGTATTTGTACGAAGCTTCCTTGCCTACCTCTGCGTACTTGTATTGGTCCAGTTCGGCATATCTTGTTCCTGCCACGGCTGCTGAAGGTGGTGCATATCGAGGATCCGGACCAACATAGCTGCTGTGACGAGAGTCTTGAGGTCGCGTATCTGCATGCCCATACGAACTCCGTCCAGTCTGGGGTATATGGCGGTCATCATCGTCTGACGCACTGTCTCCAGAATGTGCGTAACGGGTTCTGCTGGGCTTGTGTCTGTGCCGGTCGGAGTCGCTGTCCGACTTCTTCTTGGACCTGTCATATCTGCTGCTGTTGTCGTCCGAAACCGACACATCTCGTCTACGAGACTGGGGCTCCAACCTCGATGACCCATGTCTATCACCCTTATCGCTGTCATCTGCATACTTCGAAGGCCTAGCCCCCCTGCGTCGGTCGTCCTCCTCATCAGATTCGTAGTATTTCTTGCTCGACTTCTTTTCCTTGTATCTGCGATCATCCTCTGACTCCGTTTCGGGATATGAGTAATTCTTACTCTGGCGCCGAGATTCTCTGATATCGTAGGACTCCCGGGCGTCGTGTGAGCGCGATCTCGATCGGTCTCCGTCGCGGCCACTGGGAGATTTCGATCTGGACCGACGGTCGCCGCGGACCTCTAGCATTGAGGACATTTTCAAGGGCTGAGTTCGACCTGCTCTGTCTGGTAGCAATCACTAAAACTCGCAAGAATCTGAAGAGGGGAATGATGGACAGGGACGCGCCAGCAAGTCATCGGGGCGCTTTCACGAAATTGGCCGGTTGGAGCCCGCCATCTTCGACATTGCGGCTGAAACACAAATTGGTGGCCTCGCTAAAATAGGCCCCCAACTTGAACTTACCTTGAACCGCTGCATTAGGGGCCGCTTCAGACATGTTACGGAGAGCTAGAAAGGGCTCTTGTTGAAGACAGGGTCAGTTGGCAGTGTTCAATTCTCGTCGAGTATGGCGTGTCAGCAAATACCCCAGGAAGATCTGTCAAATCGTTGAAGGCAAAGGCGACCATCACCGTTGCTCAGACCCCTTTTCCCCAGATGCGCCTATTGAAAGCTTCTTCACCACTCATAAATCACGATGCCCTCGACCGAACCCCGCAAACCTTCCACTCCTGTCCATTGCTTCCGACGGCACCAGATGGCCCGATAGGTGCCAGTGGTGGTTCCAAACATGAAGCTCTCCCCGCGGTAGGGTGGTACAAGAACAGACCTGCTTCGGCGGTCATAATAAGCTGCTGGTAAGACAAAATGCTCCAGGTGGGTGATTTGAAGCTCAGGATAAATCCCCTTTGGCGTGAAAGCAAACAAGATGATTCTCCGTCGTTCGCTACGCTTGTTCTCAAATTCATCAGCGACCCATAGACTCGCTGGGCTGACATGCACGCGCACCCTCCGGACCCTTCCCCAGTTCTCCCTCGAGAACAAGACCTGCGTTGTGACCGGTTCAGCAAGAGGTCTGGGAAAGGAGTTTCTGACTGCATTTGCCCTGTCTGGCGCCCGGGGAGCATGCGTCGACTTGTCTCTCAAAGACTGTGAATCGTCCATTTCATCAATAGTATCGCACGTCCAGTCGAGCTATCCGAGCGACCCTGCTCCCGATCTACGAGCTTATGAATGCAATGCAACGATCGAAAATGATGTCAAGTCGACGTGGGCCAGAATTGTGGACGACTTCGGCAAGGTTGATGTGCTTGTCACGGCCGCTGGCATTGTCGACAACGTGGAGGCCGAAAACTACGAGTATGCGCGATGGCGGAAGATGATGGACGTCAACCTGGATGGCACGTGGCTGTTTGCACGCGAGGCAGGCCAGCATATGCTGAAGCACAACATCCAGGGTTCCATCATCTTGATCGCCAGCATGTCGGCAACCATCTGTGTACGTCCGCAGAAACAGGCTGCTTACAATGCCTCCAAAGGAGCCGTCAAGATGCTGTCCAAGAGTCTGGCCACTGAGTGGGCGTCGAGAGGTATCAGAGTGAACAGCTTGAGTCCGGGATACATGAAGACCGATTTGATCAAGGGACTGCTGGAGCACGAAGGTAAAGAACTGGTTGGGTCATGGGAGAAGAATATTCCCATGGGGAGAATGGCAGAGCCACACGAGCTACAAGGGACGATTGTCTGGATGGCTTCGGACGCCTCGAGCTATTTGAACGGGAGCGATGTGGTAAGTGCCCACGCTGGTGTCTAGATGGTGTGAGTTTGCTATTGCTGACCATGTACCTGTCTAGATCGTTGATGGAGGATATACTTGTTGGTAGTGCTGTTGTGGACATCTATCTGGCAATGTTATGATGGTGGACGGGGTAGCAGACACTCTTATGGCTTCCCCATCGGATCCCCTGCTTTGAACAGCCCTCTCTAGTTGGATGATCTGGCATGTAGGACTGACTGTAAGCTTTACGAATCAGCGAAGTCCCTCACTGGCCCAGTTAGAAGAGACCGACAAAAGTGGCCAGTACCTACGTGGATTGTCTCACAACACTAGGCAATACAGATTCAGGCATTCATGTCTGTTTCATCGTGTGATGAGCTATTTGCATAGCCCATGTTCAACATGAAATCTATCTAGCGTAATTGGTCTTGACTCTTGACACAGCCTTGTCATGTGACCGTGCTCTTTTCAGTACCCATGCTCAGTCAAGAGAAGCAAGTATTGCAAGATGCAAGATGGCCCGACTTGACGTACTCGCGGAGAGAACCCAAGGCAAAGAGGGAGGAGGGAACGCTGATATGACATGACTGTAACGGAAAAACATCGCTAGTCGAAGAAAAAGAAAGAGAAAGAATGGGTTTTATCCCATTTGCCTCTAGTTTTCCAATGTCGCTCACTGTCACTGCCACTAAACACTGGACCCTGGAACAAAAGTACGAAGTACGAAGCACCTAAGTACAGCGTCGGCTTGTATAGAACCAGAATCTGCACCTTTGGACCTGCTTGGACCAGATTCGTTGGTATCAAGTGGCAAGTGCCCAGCCGGAAAGTGAAATCGAAATCGAAAGCGAAAGCGAAAGGCATCAACATGCCTCAAAATACGAACGGAAAAGGGATAGTGTACGACGAGTATGCGGCGACTTGAACCTGAACATGGGACCCACTGACCCAGATTCAGTAAGGAGGTGGAGATGGAGATGGAAGAGGAGTGGAGTTGACGGCAATGTAAGGATTGCACGTTCGTTGATTTGGTTTTGGCATTCGAAGGAAGAAGTAGAGCAGGAACAGAATGAATCAGATTGGAGAGAGAGATGGACACTCACTCACTTACTCATCTGTGCCATGCTCACCACACAGGTAGATCCCTAACAGGGTGTCCTTGAACAGTCCACAATCCACAGTCAACCCAACCCAACCTAGTCTAGTCGAGGGTTGGTAGCGGATAACATTGTATCTGCTGCTTCAGACCAAACCCAACTCAACTCAACTCAACTCATAGCAAAACCGAAGACTGAGTAGCGAGCAATCAAGCATGTGACATGGATATCTAAGACGCACATCTGACTGGACAACAACCGGAGACTGGTCGACCGAGAAATCAGGATGGAAGGCTCGTTCGGATTCACCTCCGACTCCCGTATCTCTCCACGGTTCACTCCAGGTTCGGACTTCGGATCTGTAGCGGTGGCGCTCGTCTCTTTCTCTCCGTCCTGTTATGGCGTCTGGGGAGGCATTCAATGTTGAATGTCATGTAGACATATATGACATATATGACATGTAGACGGATGATGGTAATCGGGATGCCAGTTGCCAGTTGCCAGTGGACAGTAGACATAATGAGCTAACAGACAGACGTCCGACTTCCACCACTGCCACTGTCTCAGGAAGACCCCTGACGTTCTTGACATTTGATTCTGGCTCAACCACTTGAAGGGCACCCTTACCTTGTTATGTCGAAAACTTGCCGGGGAATCGAGATGAATAGGTAACATGGTTCCCAAACTGTCCGTTCGCAGCTAGTGAAGTCTTGCTCTTGCTTGACCGAGACAAGAAACAGCATGCGCGGTCTCTCAGCAAGTGGTTGGAAGACATATCCACGTTCTTTCCCCTTCCCCCGTATGCTTGCCTCTTTTGCACCGGGTGCCCTGCCCATTGCCCAACCACTGGCGACTTGTAAGCTGAGAAGGCAAACGAGAAAAGAACAAACAGATCCACCCTACGCCCGACGAGCATGCCAAGACGAACCCGTAACGCCACAAGTATTGATGGAATCCTGCTCCTCTCCCACACCACAGTCAAAGACCGGTATGTGTGGCCTGCGTTGTAGGCATGATCCATGCAGCTGTAAGGGGAGGGGGGAGGTTAGTCTATTTGCTCGGATTGTTCTGGTTCCCCTCCTCGAAGCACTCGTCGAAACGATGAACAGCCATCCCCGAACCTCTAGGTAGGTTTCCGTCTCATCGGGGAGCATGTGATCTCACTTTCGAAAGGTCTTAGGTCTATCCGAACCGACACTGTTGCTCCGATCACTCAAAAAAGTCGCTCACCTTCGACTTGCGAATCAGCTCTGGGTCAGAGTTCAAAGGGGGCCCAGTACCATGGTTCTGCCAGCTGTAGAAGGGTATATGGCCGGGTCATATGATAATGCCCTGGCTGGAAGACTGTAGAAATAACAGTTGAACGGGTCAATCGAAGAAGGTTTCAAAGCTATGGAGAACTTGATGATGGTGGATGATGATGATGTATTGTGAGTCCGAGTCTCAACGTCAGTAGTTACCGAACTCTGGTGCAACGTCAAAGTTTCGCCGACGCAAAACCTAGAACCTAGGAACCAGAACCCATTGTTCAATTCAAGGACCCCAGCAGTGCAAAAGTACAATGTTTGACAGGTCACAGTGGCGACGGAAAACCGCCTACCGCTTTGGAAATTGAGATTCTTTGGAACCGTCGGGAATCTGTGGATGAGATTGACCCTGACGCGGACACTGACACTGAAAAGCACTGTGACAGCTTTGAAGGGAGACACTGACGAGACATCCATCCCTTTGAGGATTTGGTGGCTCGGACAGCAATCAGGGCGAGAGAGTGGTGTGATGCTTTGGCTTGGATTGACGAAAACAACCCTGGAGGCTGGACCCATCAACCGGCGGGCGATACCAGACTTGGTCGCACCGACCCAGCCCTCCATGGCAACATGTCGCCTGACCACAGTCACAGTCACAGTCACCATCACATTCTCAACCTAAATGCCGCGGGCACACTTGAGAGCATGGATTTACCTGGGAGATGCCTTTCTATCATCCCGACTCTCGAGCCTTCCATTGGTTCCCGAGACGCTGGATCGCCCATTCACAGGGAGCAGCCGACGCTATCCAACATGAAGAAGGGATAAGAAGCGCGATGCTTGGTGGCTTGACACTTCTGCTGCGTGAGAGGTTCGCTTCTGTAGCTGAGACTAGTCACCATCCCCAGCTAGGTAAGGGTACAAACATATGGCCCGGGCGGCGTCAAACAGAGATAGAGAGAGAGACCGAAGAGTGTTGATGCTGAACCGAAAAGACGGTATGACCTTCAGGCTCAGACACTCGGTCTGGCAAGCATGACGACGAACTCGTCAGATTCACCTCCTACTATATGTTGTGGGTGTCACAGTGTAGTCTTTCTGGCTCCGGATGGCCCGGCCCTCATCTTCCCTGCTCTTCATCCAAGCCAAGCTACTGCGATTGTTGCCATGATGGTCTGCCTCTATTAGATAGCGTGAGCAACCCCCTAGCATTTATGCATGTGAAAACAGCTTGCAGAGATAGGGTTGGCTGGCGAGCAATCAAGTCTGCAGTATCTTGTCTCAGGCAGAAGTACACTTGTTCGCACTAGGGTCCAGATCTGGGCCTTCCTGACAGCGTCTGCATTCGTCGGTGGGTGGCTATCAAGCGCAACACTACTGTTCGGACGTCGAACCAGATGAATAAACATGCACACTAGCCATCAAAGAGGTGGAGGCCAGCCGTCGGCGCTGGGTGCTCATGAAGAGGACAGTCAGATCAATAATGGAGTCGATTGTGGCGACCCCTGTACCATTCCTCAAGGATCCTGGTCCGCCCGCAGATGAGGCGACATCATAACTTGTTGACCTGTTGACTGCCTGTCGGCAGATGCGATCCGAAAGGATTAGACGGCTGTCTTCCTCTCAAGATGATCTTTGTGGTGTGATTTCGCCTCGCGATCCAGGAGTCCATCCGGTTTGCGGACGCCTTGCCCCAGTGATCGAGCCACTCACCCTTCATCCTTCAAGAAACCCCCAAGCTGTAGGATGCTGAAGCATGAGGAGTCCGGTTAGCAACCAATAAAAGGAAGACCATGACTCCAAACAAAGCCAGTGAGGAATCCACTATTGCACGAATAGACTAGGATTCCTGGGCTCCGCCGTCGCACGAACAGTTCTGAACCCTGTGAAGAGAAGATAGTCTGCATCATTCATTATCAACAACAAACCCTTTGGGCATAGCAAGGCGCCGCGACTGGACGGGGGCAGGAGCCCATCGACGGCGACCTGAGAAGGATATGTATACTGCATCCTCCTCGACTGAGAACCAAACTGTCGGGTCGAAGTTGGGCATTATTTAAGCCCCCGTGGGCCTATGCCCACGGAGGGGAACACACCCGTCTCCCATCACTCACTCTTGCCTTGCTCATAGAGTCGTACCTCTGTCCTTCTCACAAGCTTGTCTGTTTGACCTAGACAGCCTGCCCAAATTAACACAAGGGGTTTTGGACAGCTCCTCACCTTCGAATCACCGCTGTGTCCTTCACCATGGGATGCCACAAAGACCGTGATGCACAAAAAAAGAGCAAACAGAGCAAACGACGAGTCAACACAATGAGTATCGACAACATCTTGAACGACATCGATCCCTCGGAACTCAACCAACGTAACCCGTCCAGAGACAAATACCGCAAGGAAGAAGGCATCTTCATCTGGTACAATCGCAATGACCTTGGATGCTCCTGGAGCCGGGTCCAGGACAATTTCGCTCGCCAGTTTCACAAACGCAGAGGAAAGGGAGGGCTCCAGTGCAAGTTTTATCGTGTACTCGACGAATATGGAGTGCAAAAGGTCAGAGTTCAATGCCGAGGAGGCCTTTGCAGACCCCAAGACCGGGCAGCATGGGGTGTTATTGTCAAAACATCGATTAGGTATTGGTGGATGCTGCCGTGCCACCAAAACATACCATCTTTGCCGAAGTGCAGGCTCTGATACGTTTATGAGGTCTCGGGATGATTATCGGCGTTGTCATTAGAGCCTGGATGGGTTCGGAGCTCTGCTACGCTGCCACGCACGTTGGCCATCTTTCGAGGAGGTTGTCTGAGATTCGGCCGCTTCACCTCTTTCGGTCCCTTCACCACTTGTTGTTGGCCTCATTCTCGATGTCGTCGGGGTCACTGCCAAAAGTCTCATCATCGGATCCATATTGGCGGTACTTGTAGGCATTATAGCCATACTCGTCGTCGGAACTGACTTCATCCTCTGGGTAATCATTGGCAGGGTTGTCCTCAGCTGGTAAAGTCAGTGAGCTTCTTATAGGCATCAATCCTGAATCCATTGACGTACCATTTGAATCTTCGTCATCCCAATCAGTCTCGTCTTCACTGTCAACATATTTCTGCCATAGGTCTTCATCTTCCTCTTCGATGACCAACACCCCGACGTTGTTCAGCCCAGCAATACTCATTGGATCCGGGGTCTTATCATCGTTCCGGACACGAACATATGTTTCATACACATAGTTATCTTCGCGATCCTTGGAAGTCACCACCTTGTCTCTCTCATTGGAAGCTGGGAGCAGTTTCGACAACTCTTCAGCTTCAGCCAATTGCTTGATCTCAGGATCGAGCTCCATCGCCAATGCGGCAAGCTCGTCCGCGAGCTGGTCTGAATCATGATCCCAGGTGCTAGGGTGGTCTCTAATTGATGTTCCCTTCTTCACCATCTGGTTCTCTGCCTGAAGGAAAGTATTTGTGGGCGTTCTTTTGGATGCTGCCAGGCTTTCGATCTTCGACGTCTGCCCATCTGACCCCTCGGATCCGCTCTTTCCGTCCTGCAGGAGATCCAATACACTGTCGACGGGTTTGCTTTTGTAAAGAGGATTCCCTTCGTGGCTAAATGTGGCACCGTGTTTTTCGACAAATGTCGCAAGCGGAGGCCGGATCGAACTGTTCTGCTTCCGAATCCCACCAGAAGAATTTGGGCTTAACACTGAAGATAGATGGCGGGTGAGGTGGAAGCGGCGGGCGTGTGAGAGACCTTCACTTGTTAGAGGGGTGGGCGGGGCGGATCGGCTGCCTGCGTTGGCAGGAGGAACCTCCTCCTCGTCGGGCTTGGTTGCTTTCGCCGGTAACGAGTCGTCCGCCTTCTCCTTGAGTTTGGCCTTCAAGATTTCATAGTCTCTTTTCTCATCGCCTGGTGAGGTCCATCGAACAGTAGGAATTCCGGGGACGGAAGGCTGTGGGGCAAGAGGGCTGTTCACTCGCTGGGAGATGGGCGCAATGATCTCGTCTCGAAGTCGCTGGAAATAGAAGTCGGTTACTCTTCGTTTCTTGTCCGGAGCAGTGCCGTGTTCAAGAACTGTCCACGTTAGGCCCCTTCTGCTACAGCGACCGGGGTGAAGGAGAACTTACACAGAGTGTCCACCGGTTCGTCAGAGCGTCTGCGCTTGACGCTGATGCGTTCAGGGACAAGAGACATGTTGACGGGGACAAAGGCGCAGGATCACGATGAGGACAAGTTGATGGATGGGTTGTGAACGTAGAGGCACGGAGTTGAACTGATGTCGATTTATTGTGACATTTTAAGTTTTGGTTCCGCGAGGCTTTTATTGACTTCCAAACTATGAGCTGCGGTGGTGCCCTCCTACTCCTCCACCACCACCACCACCACCACCACCACCACCTCATCATCCTCCTCCTCCTCCGGCCCCGCAATCCACTTCGCGTCTTTCTTTGCCTCCAATTCGATCACTTCGATCCTGCCAACAACCATAAAGGCTCTGGTCACAGGGGTGCCCGTTACACAGCATGAAACTCTCGACCAGGGAGGCAAATGACAACATGAACATTGCAGGCACATCAACATCACCCTGGGCCAACTGATGCGCTACAGGGTTGGCATAGGGATCGTCCCTGGTGCCAGCCTGGTCCTCTGCCTCCGCCCCCAAGGCGTCAGCACCTAGAACGAGAGACATGCCAGCATATTTACAGACAAAAGATGAAAGTCATGTCATTCTCGCTTCATGAAAAGCGTTAGCCTTGTTTTTGTACATCGTTTTGTCTTTCGACCTTCGACCGCCTGGGCCCTTGTGCTGCTTCCTCAATTGTGCCAGGAGAAAGAGTCTGTCCAAGAAGGTCAGTTCGCTTCCCATCTGACCTCGTTGACCATGAAATGCACAATTTTTCGTCCCGTGGATCTTGCTAATTCCCGACTTGAGCAGTCGTGGTTCTATCGCCTAGTTTCTCCATCGAGCGACAGCACGCGTCCACGGTCAACAAGTGCACGACGTTTCCTTTGGGCAATCGTGGACAGATGCTACCCGTTCATGGTGAAAGCAAGAACTAACTAGCAAATCCGTCCAAAAAGCAACCCCTAGCCCGGAGACTTGCGATACCCCAGCTGACGTGAGGGTGCAGCTCCTTGCCCCTTTTTTGCTATTCCTGAATTGGAACACCCACTGGCCTGCATATTCAGAGGTATTGCACACCAAAAACATGATGTATGCTTCGCCAAGGTGGAAATTATCTCCACAGCCACCGTTTAATCACACACAGAGGACTGACGAGGGCATGAAACCGTCTTGGGACCACAGCAATGGCCCAGTCTTGGCTAAATAGGATGGAGCAGGTGCAGAGAAAATGTTCATTGCTCGCGCCGGTTATCTCTGCTGAGAAAGGTTAGAGAGTTGAAAAGGATACAGTTCAGGATTTACTCACCCTACGCCCGCGGCCTCCGGAGTGGACTGTCTGCATTGGAGGCGTGAAGAAGAATTGTTGTTGAGGGTAGTTGTACATGTTATTGGGCATGTTCTGCGGATAGTTTTGACCAGGAAATCCTGCTGCTGAGCCAATGACGGGACTCATCTGTGCAGAAAACGACAGTGGTGATGATGAGGGATTTTGCAAGGGACGGAATGGATCAACAGAGGAAGGAGGTGTAGCAAAGCCAGCATAGCCACCCGGCAAGTATCCAGCATTTGCTCGTGGAGCCGGATTAGGGTAATTTGGATATTGCGTTTGAGGCGTCATTTGCTGGTATGGCGGTTGAGTGTATGGCTGCTGTGCCTGGAACCCGTTCATGCTGTATGGCGCATAGGCAAATGAATCAGCTGACCCGGTTCTGATGGGGCTCATTCCACTTTCGAAAGCATTGCCATTGACATGAGGTGCATATGCACCGTTAAATTGTCGGGGATAGTGCTGATGCGAATGATGTCCAGCTCCGGGGGCTTGCTGTGGGTGATTGATGGGGCGGCCTCGATCATTGACCGTCGGGTGTGCATGTGGAGCATATTGCGGTGCCGGAGGCTGGTTAGGTCGCAACGACAGGCCAACTTCATCCATGATTCTTTTGTAACCCTGATTTGGTTGCGCGTTGATCTTAGTGAGCACTCTAGACACGCTTTGCATTACTTCTGGCCTCATGTTATCGTCCAGGAATGGTGTCGTCAAGATCTTGAAGATCAGTGTCACACCTGACGTTTGATCGCAGAGGATTTGTTCGAGAATAGTGTCGTTGGGGCTGAAAAACAAGGCCTTCAGTACCATATCCCTTGCTTCTGGCTCATTTCTTTGGTTGATGACCTTCAAGACGGTCAGGTAGGCGACTTTGTGCGAGCAAAGCTGAATCAAGTGAGGGATCAATCTCGGTGCAAGCACATATCGTCGATGCGGAAAGGTACAGGTGTCGAGGAGCCATGTCAGCAATAGTGCACCATTAGCATTTTGAGCAAGCTGCACACTATGTAATGCGATTGCTGCAGCCATCAGGCGCTGTTGGTTCTTGGTGGAATGATGAGATTCCAAGCATGCACGCATGGCTCTGGCACCAAATCGACCTTGTGCGATTTCCCAGAGTTGACTGAGCATGGTTTCGAAGATGAAGTCATTGTAAGGCGCACCGAACCGAAGACAACACTGGAGTACGTAGTTCCCGTACTGATCGAGGAAGAGGGGAACGGTGTAGGGGCGAATTGAGTCAACAATCATCCGTATCTGCGTTTCGGTCTTGCACACGTCGATGATTTTTTGAGCGGCCCAAGTGCCGTTTTTATGCACTCCAATTTCGGCCAGATGAGGTGCAATATACGTCAACATCTGTTCCTTGGTCTGTTCCGAGCAGTATTCAAAGAGTTTCTGAACCACTGTGTTCCCAAGATAGTCTGACGCGAGTTCAGCAATTTCAGGCAACATGTCGATGGCGATCTGCTCAATCTCTTGCAGTCCGCATGCTCCGTTATCAATTCGTTTGCGGATGTCTCGCAGCCTTGGAGCATCGTAGATCCTCGTAGGACTTGGCTCCGGAACCGGTGGAATTTCTTTTTCTATTTGCTGAAAACTGATGGCACTCTCGATGTTGGCGGAGATCGATTGTACGTCTGATGGCTGCCCACCAAATTCCATGACGATCTGTGAGAACTCGGGTTTCAATTCAGTCAAACGCTCAGCAGCTGGCAAGGAAAGGGTCTGCTGATCATTGTCCGGACTTGCTGGACTGCTCTTGCCCTCCCTGGATTGTGAGATGTCAAGCATGTCACTCAGACCGTTGGAACCCGGAGGAGTGGCGTCCTGGTTCGGTGTGAGGGAGACAGAGGCATTTGGAGCTTTAGCAAACCCAATTCTCACAGGGCCAGCGCCAGGGAAGATCTCTTTGCCATTGAGGAGGTGACGAGCACGGACAGCCGCTTCCACAGACTCGAAGTTAACGAACCCACAGTTTTTATGCGTGAGCACCCTTGTAGACTCGATTGGTCCGTATCGACTGAAGATGGCGTCCAAGGAAGACATTGTGGTAGAATTGGGGATCGAGCCGATCCACAAAGACCGCGAGACCTGAATTTCGGGATCGTCCATGCCCTCATATGACATAGCATTCTCGCCGATATTCAACCCCTGCAGAGCATCGGAGAGGGAAGGCTCATCCATGCCATTCGGTCCATGGATGTCAAAATCCATGTTGAGGGCATCAGCATCTTGGTGAACCAGGTTCCGCAGCGAGGTGCGCTGTGGGGTTTCGACCAAGCCTGCAGTGCGGGCGCGTGGGCGTGCAGCATTGGCATTCACAGCAAATGCCTGTACAGCTTGGTTATGAAGCCGCACCTTCTCCTGGACGCGTTCGTACTCGGCTTCCAGAGCGGCCGCTGCGGATGGAGTCAAAGCTCCACCAGAGTACATAGCATGACCATGTTCACCCTCATGACCTTCGGCACCGTACTTTGGCTGCGTATTGACAGAGAAAGATCTGAAGCGACCGGAGTTACGCATACCAAAATTGGCCAGTACGTCAGACAAGTTAGAGTTCTGACCGCGAGAAGGATCGCTCGCATCATGACGAAGTGCCTCCGACAATCTTGAGTGTGACGGAGGCTCGGCGAGTCCGAGATAATCAAGAGTACGGACTCCCGAGTCAGACATGCCATCCTTGGACAAACCAAACTGCTGAGGAGAAGTGGGATCTTCGGCGGAACTGATACTTGTGAGAGTCGCAGCACGGGTTCTCGAGCTCCATCCGCCGCTGAAAGCACCTTGACCGAAGGAGTTTGAAGTTCCCAGCAAGCTTGCCCGCTGAGGCATGCTACCTGCGCGGAGTCTGGACAGAAGAGCAGAATTGGCCGGATTTGTAGGGTTTGAGGCAGTCGAGTAGAACGCTGTCTCCGCCGCAGAGGTCGATCCCGGTCGGAAAGGGCTGGTTGAGGGAGTAGGGCGGGATGTTTTCGAGGTTAGGACATTGACTCCATTGATAGTCCCTACAGGAGATATTCTTGACGGAAGGGTTCCAGCTCGACCTCGCCTGGCAGGACTGTTGATACCGGTCTCTGTCAGGGGAACCAGGTCTGGAAAGCCATCTTGATTAGGAGACTCGGGTATCTCGAAGAGCGGGGTGGACGTCCCGCTCGTAGGAGGACCCCAGATGTTGGAAGAAAGAGAAGCGGTCTGAGATTGCAATTCGCGCGTGCGTTTGGGGAAGAGTCGGGAGGTCTGTTCGTGAAGAGGAGAGCCCGCTCCTCCTCTGGCGCTCGACAAGCCTGCAAGTCCTGATGAGGATTTTGCACTACCGAATGGGGATATGGTGCTCGGAACGGTGGGAGGCTCTGGAATTGTGTTCAATCCCGACAAGTTTAGGTTAAGCTGCCCATCTGGCCTGGACGTCGGAGCCATGGCAAGTCAATGGCTGCAATATCAGATCAATCCAGCCTATGAGGGTTATCGCTGACCCTTCACAAGCAGCGATCAAGCTTTGAATTATATGTCCTTCTTCTTTCTTTGTCCGGCCTTCCAGATAGATGTTATCTCAAACACAAGGAGAGTAGAGAGGTTTGTAGAAGGACCTCGGGGCCAATTCAAATCAGGTCGCTGTGACCTGTGCGACGTCGAAAGTGTATCCACGGGGATTTGGCAGAAATATGATGAAAGGGTATATTTCGACCCAATCGACAACGTAATATGTCAAAGAGGACAAAGAGCTGTAGGGCAACGGCTGTTACGGCTGCTCGGATGGATGGTCTTGAGAAGAACAACGAGCTCGGAGAGGAAGGACGAACTGGACACTAGGCTTCGAGGCTGACGAGCATGGCTGCTAAGGAGAGGTGGTATTAGAGAAGAATAAAACAAACATGGAGAGAATCGAAACAGCACTCCAGGGCTGGACAGACATTAGAGAGCAAGATGGGAAGTCAGGATGAAAGGTGAACTCAAAGAGTGGTGGATGGATGGGTCTCAATTAGGGGGCAGACTGCAGAGCTGCAGGCCAGGAGCGTAAGAGGGAAATAAATGTAGGTACAAGTTGGTAGTAAGGTGAGTGAGGTACGTACCTCCCACGTAGTACGTACTATCTGACATGTCTGGTTGCTTGTACGCTACGCAGTACTATCACCAACCACTACGGGTGTACTGCTTCTGTTCTTATGCCTGTCTATAACGTTGTCGTCGTCGTCCTCCTACGCTTGAAGCTGCTATGGTAGTAGATTAAGTCGAGCGCAGGATCTTGCTAGACAATACATCACACTACACGATCCTTCACCAGACACTGGCAGCTTGTTGCGCCGCGCCCTCCATCCACCGCAGCCATCGCGGGAAGCGCACTCATACGACGCGTGTTGCTCACCAGCCTTCCCTCGCCCAACCATATTGTCCAGACCAATACTAGTCTAGTCAAGATACTGGGAGGTGACACTACAATAGTAAAGAGCCGAACAGAAATCACGCCGCTGCATATGAAGGAGTTTTATAATGGCTATCCTCTGTCTGTTCACCACGCCATTCAATTTCAACCGCGTATCCTAGTGCCAAGTTCCTTGCTCAATATGACCGATCACCTGCTGCTGCTGCTGCACAGTAAAATTCTCACCGCTGCCCCAGATTTGCAAGCTACCAGCCCTCTGGCTGACAGTACCAGGATAGTCTTCCTGACCTTGGGTGCCGGAGAGCAATGACACGCAGTCATTCGGGCTCTGATCGTGTTGACAGAGATCCTGAAACACTGGCGTCCGGCTCAAACAACCAACCATAATCCTTGTACCTGCATCCTCCACACTTGTCAAGGCCGCTTCCACCTGCGGCCGACGTGTCGAGGGAGGAGGGCGCGAAAGTTGCAGTCTGCACGGTGCACCCTGGTCTGCGGACCGCAGGGACATGAGAAACTTGAACCGTGAAGAATAACCCCTGAATGCTGCATCGACTCTTTTCGTAACTGACCAGAACAGAATGATAGGTATTTCCATGCCCGGCAGCCTATCAGGCAATTCAAAGTCGAGGCCTGACCCTTCTGGTATGCCTTAGCTGCTCTTGTCACCAACGCGCGTCATATTTGTTCACGGTCCCTGATGTCAGCCATGTGAGGATGATAGAAGATCATATTCTAGGTACAAACATCACAAGGGAATAGTGCAATGGCTGGACCTCATCCATAAAGGCGGTTGCAGCTCCAGGGACGGCTATTCGGCTTTTGAGACCGTGGTAACATGTTCCGCATGGGAAGACAACATGCCCAATTGCTCCGTGTCAGCGCTGCTACAAGCATGAAGCATGAAGCAATGCTTGCAGAAACGAGGCAAGCTGAAGCTTGCGGGCTGCGAGTATGGAATACTACTGGAGCGGCCACCCGCAACTATCACTTCCCTCGGCGCTTCATCTGGGTGCTGTGCACGAGAGACGCCGCGGCCTCAGCAATAGGACAGCTCTTGCCTCAGACGGGACATACGACCGCCATGAAGCTTGCTGGTCAGTCAAGACTGCGGGTCTTAACCAGCTCCAACACAAGTCCAGCCAGCTGAAGCAAACGTCCGTCTTCGAGCCAATGTTGTTGCCAACGCGATTGGAGGGCCGCATTGGAAAGAAGCAAGAAGATGGCCACAATGCTTTGGAGCCCAAGGTGAGCAGTTTGGCACTGTGAGCGGTCTGGAGGCCTGAGCTCCCAGGGTTGTTTAGAATACTGGCATTTGAATCTTGAGTTTAGTTGCCTCAATCCTCGATCCTCAATCTCCAGGCTCCATTAATCCAGTGACGACCTGCGGTAGGGAGCTCAGCTCCCTTGGTTTTCAAAGTTGTACAGTGTAATGCCAAATCTTGACTCAGCTGCTCCATGCTTTCCATGTAACTATTTTTCTCTTGTCGATTGGGCTGATTTTTGGGGAGGGTGGCTTCGCTACGGCTGTGAACGAGGGAATGCAGAAATGCGGAGGCACTGGACGATTGATCACTTTCTCGCGACTGGCAGTTGTTTGAAAGGAGATCATCAGGGCCGAGAAGGCCGGGATCCGGGGGCCAGGTAACGTCCAGGGCGTCTTCACCCGGTAGTTGTTTTCAGACCTGTCTGGATGAAGCCGTACAAGCATCACCGTAAATCTGAAACTCAAGAAGCAGGTACCAAGACTGTGAGATTTGTCCAACAGAGACAACGACGCATCGCAGGAGATCAAAGGCATACAGAAATCATGCTTGTATCATGAGTGTCCCCTCATCTATAGTAGCGTAGTAGAGAGGCGAGGCTGTCTTGATCTGCAGCCGTAGCCGTGGTGGCTCGAACGCGTCTAGTTGCTCGTATCTTCGTCTCGTCGTGCGTACCTGGATGGATATTCTCGACTCCGAACCCCAGTCGCTCTTTCTCGAGACCACAGAATTCAGCCACAAAGATCCCCTTCAAGTCACTGTCTTGACAGCATTTTCTGTCCGTCCTAGATTTGCTGTCTTCTTGCCAATCTAGAAGACATCGCCCCATGCCTACATTCACACCCCGCCGTTCTGTTGCAGCTTCGAAAACGCAGCTAATCTGGTACATATCTCGACCTTTTCTATTCGGCAATGACCATCTCCAGTCAGCATGAATGGTATCACCGAGCCGTTACCTGGCCTCCTTGACGATCCGCAATTCCAGATAACTGACCTGCCTGCTCTGACCGACTTCCAAATCGCTCCTCTCCGCAATCCTGCTCCGACTCGTCATGGAAACATCCCGCTACCGCTGGAGCCGGGGCCCGGGAACATCCTCAATACTCGGACGACTAAGTCGCTCTCGGCAGAGCACAGTGAGAAAAGGAGGGCCCCGAAGATCACACCAAATGATGTCCTGCTGGCTCGGGAATCCAAAAAGCCACATTTGGCCATCAGCGAACTACTAGAGGATAACGACGGTCAAGAGATTGCACCAACACAACTACCGTCCTTCATCAGCCTCTCCGTGGTCGAGAAATCACCAATACAAGCGCCCGCTGCTCTGGAATACCCTCACTTCCAGAAGCGTCTGAGAGTCGACCTGGACAATGAGCACATGTCGCTGGATTTGATCCGGCGACTTCCTCGACCGGCACAAAAAGATGAGCGACAAAAGAGACCGGCCCCAATGCTCCCGGCTATGGTGACGGGACTACATGAGCCACCACCATCCGCAGCGCTGCTCCCTTCCATTGATGTCGAGTCTAGGCCGGGACTCTCACGGGCGAACACCACGTCCAAGATCCATGTCAAGGATATGTTGACTCAGTCCGACCAGCATGTAGCGTCACTGCCGACAGCGCCTTCGACAGTTCATCCTGACCAAGATCCAGCCGCTTCCAGACCATACAGCGGTGTCCATGGGCTCTCCTCCCAGGAAGTGGAAGTAATGCCGGCCGCCACAGGGGCATCCATAGCGTCGACACCTTGGAAAGATAATAAGCCTCGGCGTGCTCGGCGGAAATGGTCAGAGGAGGAAACGAAGGACCTTCTGGCTGGGGTGAGGAAGTACGGGATCGGCAAATGGAAGCAAATCCTTGATGATCCATCCTTCAGTTTCAGTGATCGCAGCTCGGTTGACCTCAAGGATCGATATCGGGTGTGCGCAAACAACGATTCCGTCCCAAAGGCCGATACCCTTTCTGTTCGAACTCCCCCTGGCGCGGATCTGTCATCTGGTACTGAAGCTTCAGGGGCCGCGCAAGAGTCCACCGCCGTTGACAATTCTGCCACCTCCATGTCACCTTCGGATCTAGGCCATTCTTTCAAAAGGCGCCGTAAACGCCGAGCATGGACTGCGCTGGAGGATGCCAACTTGCTGAAAGGAGTGGCAAAACATGGGTTTCAATGGACCACCATTCATGACGACGTTGAGCTGGACTTACAGCATCGGCGAGCCACGGATTTACGGGATCGGATTCGTACCAAGTACCCTGACGGGTATAAGCACGCCGAAAGCGCACCGCTAAGATCAGACATGAAAAGGGCAGAAAAGGTCGGGGTGGGTCAGAGCTCGACGACCTGTAGTGTTGGAGTCAGTAGCTCCGGCACTTCTTCTGCAAAGAGCTCGATCATAACAACGTCAATCCCTGACGCAGCCACTTACGCGCGGCCCAACTCTGATCCTCTGTCACAAGCTCATCCTGGAAATGAACCGACCAAAACGCCGGCTTCATGCGCAAGCGTGACAATGTTGATTCACAGCACTGAGAGGGATGGAGAAATGATCAGAGACAAGGAGAAGGACAGAGACAAAGATTGGGACAGGGAGAAGGGAGGAGAGAGAGACCAGCAGCCTGGCGTCACATTACCGAGCTTCACGCTTGATGTTGAGGATGACATGGATTGGGAGGATAACAGGCTACCTCCATTGCATGAGTGGGATGAGATTGGCATCTGATACAGAAAGTGAGGTATCATCTGGGAACGGGCAGCATGAGCACCAGCAACAGCAACAGTGGCTGCCGGTTACTCCACGGGCAGGGTTGGGAAGACTTTTCGGGTTACATTTTCTTTTTGTCGGGTTCTCGGATTGGAGCTGGACCGGCCCAACGTGGTGGGAACAAAAGTACACTTTTCATGATACCCCCTTTCTGTTTCACGACTTTGTTTCTGTTTCGGAAGACTTGGGATTTGGGATTGGGATCGGAAACGAATGTGGAATTACTACTTATTTCGAACTAAAGAGAAAGAGATTCACGGCGACGTCCAGGCGGCGGGAATACTGTTGTACGATATATATGACGGGGACCAGACACATACGGAGCGCTCCGATAAGGGCAGAGGCGCCTTCATTTCGTCGGTTTAGGGGCATGATGGAGGTGAAGGGACCTTGCGATCGTTGATATACTGGGACACACCTACCTTAGCAACATGCCCTAGAAAGAGTGGTGGTCATCAGTAGGGTATCTAGGCAGGTAGAGAGGCGTCGAGCCACTGGAGGAGGTTGACGAGGCTGAAGCATCCCGGAGTCGCCGCTCTCGTGCTCTGTGTCGGCAGTTCATCGCGGGAACGAACACAGGCACAGGGCAGGGCAGGGGGCAAATGATGAATGAGGACACGGAGCTGGCGAGGGAGAGAGGCTACTAGGGTCTGGGATCAATCAAGATATACCGTTGGTCGTGAGAGTATCCGATACCCAACCCTCCCCGCAAATCCCAGTGCGTTGAAAATCTGGGGTTTCGGATGAGTTCCAAGTGCAAGGCGAGGTTGAGGGTAGAAGGTGGAGGGAGTAGCAGGAGGCAAGGTATATGACTACATCCATTCCACCTACTATCGACGATATCTTTGTAGGAAGTCTATATGCCCTGCCAGTCTATGTAACTGTGGAATATCCTCCAAGTTTCTTCACCAGCACAGCAACGAAGGAGAATTCGACTGCGAAATCCTCATCTGTTTGAACAACTCCGCCAGCAAGGAACCAAACAGTCCATGTTACCTACCTCCCTCCCTACCTAACTACCTACTCAGGCGGATGATTCCCTCGCCACGAACGATCACTTGATGTTTCGATGATGGCTAACAGCTATCGATCCCACCTGATTTCGACGACTGACTGACTGCGTGGTTTGCCATTCGTCTTGCACTCGGCACCTACGTCCGTGTCTTTGTTTCCGCTCCCCGTTGCCGCAGTCTGATGCTCGACGCCAACTACCGCCCCAGTCAAAGAAGGAGGGACTTGGTATGCTATAGCTTCGCGCAGTCAAGGAGACGGAGCCACTGACAGATGTGCACAGGACCGTGGGAGTCTGGTTATGGTATGTCCCTCGTGCTAAATCGAACTGCCATTAAGCAACATGGTCTGTCCAATCCTTGATCGACAATTACACCATCGCCCGTCACCGTCCGTCCTTTTTTATTCCGTCCCCCGCATAGGTACGAAGGAAAGCCCCAGCGGTCTGACAACTCTTGGGTAGACGGTTGGTCCCCAACTATGAAGACCGAGGAAAGAAGGTGAAAATCGTCTCTACAGTGCAGCTCGTGCGATCAAAAGATAAGACAAAGATGGTGAACTTCGAGATGATGGCAACGAACGACGTGGTGGTTTACTATCTGCCAGGTAGGGTACCGGCCTGTGGGACAGATCAATCAATACCCCGTACCAATCCGCCGGGCATCTTGGGCGATTTTGGAGACACGCATCGCAATCGCCTATTCTCTCTCATCTAAATCGCGTCAGGCCCGCAAAAGAATCGGGGCAACCGGTCGTTACCGCGTGGCAGCCAGTCACTGTCGACCCCATGACTGGCTGCTCTCCTCCACCAACAACAAGTGCTCATGTTACAGAGACTCTGTGCAGGCTCGGGAGCCCCGAAGCCCCGGCGCACCGTCTCCATTCTTTCCGACCAAGTCTCGACGGCCTGCCCTCTGCTCCCGACATTCACTCCCGGGTCCAGAAGTGGTACGCCGAACGCTATAACACTTCTCCGGTGTTAGGTGAGAGAGGTGCTGGCGCCAAATGGTACTTGGAGTCGGCAGTCAGTTCTACGATGCCACTTCGTACCACTCTTTGGTGCTCAGTATTTGACCACTTCAATAACTTCGGGAACGCATCACGGCAATCACTGCAACTGCCTGTTTACCGAGCCTTTGTTCTGCTATATCCATTTCTTTTCTCTTTCTCTTTCCTCTTCCTTTCTCTTGACTGTCAATTCTGGAGCGTGCTCACTTTGATCGATAGACTGTGTTCGCTACACCCCCGAGACCGCCTAGAATTCTGTTTGTCCAACGTCCGGCAATTTTCCTACGCTCACCAAACCGACGCGACGCCCCAAGTGACAACCTTTTGAACTTTCGTGGAGGGGCTCACTATTCTACTTTTCCTACTCCAATTTCTGATCATTTATATTGGGGATATACGGTCTGTCAGTGGCCTTTGGCTTGATAATATCTGCCATTTCAACACGATTCTATCTGCAGCCGCGGTCATCTACTTGACCACTTCTTGCCGTGTCGCCCGATATCGGCATTCCAACTATCGCATCGGAACACCCGATCTTGTCTACGGTTCTTTTGCGTTCCCTGAATTCCGCACTGCGGTGTTCCTCGGATTTACCCCAGATTTCGTCTCAATTCTTGCGTCATTCAACCTAGATCAAAAAGCCATCCATACACGATTTGGGCAGGGTTGGTTTGTCGCTGTGCAGTTCTTGTCGCCAACATTCCGGAACATTGGGCAATAGCAGACGGGCTGCAACAGAAAAGATGGCCAAAGTTCAGCTCAATGTCGGTATCATTGGAGCCGGTCTAGGTGGGCTCGCCGCCGCCATCGGCATCGCCCGAGCTGGGCATAAAGTCACGATACTCGAACAAGCACCCCAGCTTGGTGAGGTATGTTGCCATCTTTTTGAATCACACCCCAAATTCCATGTCGCTCAATTCACCTAACATGCCCCTCTGCACAGGTCGGAGCAGGAATCCAAATCCCTCCCAACAGCACCCGAATTCTGGCTCGATGGGGACTACTACCGGCCCTCGAGAAGGTTTCTGTGCGTCCCAACAACTTCATCATTCGCTCGTACCATGACGGCAAGATTCTCTCGACGCAACCATTAATTCCCTACTGTGAAGAGCGATACGGTCATCCGTACCTCCACATCCACCGCGCAGACTACCACCGAATCCTGGTGGACGAAGCGTTCCGCCTCGGCGTGACCATCCAACTCGACAGTTTCGTGACGGCCATCGACTTCGAACGGCCAGCGGTACACATCCGAAACCGGGCGGAACCATTTCTCGCCGACCTGATCATCGGCGCCGACGGCCTGAAGAGCATCTGTCGCGAAGCACTGCTCGGCCGACCCGACCCGCCCCATCTCACAGGCGACCTGGCGTACCGCATCACCGTGCCGGCCGACAAGATGAGAGTGCACCCGCTGCTGGCGGAGTTAGTGGCCGTCCCGAACATCAACTACTGGATGGGCCCGGACATGCACGTGGTCTGCTACCTCCTCAAAGGGGGCAACCTGTATAATATCGTGATCATCTCTCCCGACAACCTGCCGGAAATGGTTAACCAGCAGAAAGCCGACCTGAAGGAAATGAACGACCTGTTCGTCAACTGGGACCCGCAACTGCAAGCCCTGCTGTCCCTGTGTACAGACACTTCCAAGTGGCGCCTGCAGAACTCGCGCGAGATGATCAGCTGGTCCCACCCGTCGGGCCGCTTCACGCTGCTCGGCGACGCCTGCCACGCCACCCTGCCCTACCTGGCCCAGGGCGCCGCGCAGGCCGTCGAGGACGGCGCCGTGCTGGGCCACCTGTTCGAGAAGATCGAGCATGCCCATCAACTGCCCGACCTGCTGACCATCTACGAGGCCGTGCGCAAACCGCGCACCACCCGCGTCGTCCAGGGCAGTTCGCACCTGGGCCAGAAGATCTTTCACCTGCACGACGGCCCGCGCCAGATGGAACGCGATCGCCAGCTCGTCGAGTTCCAGCCCGACCCGTTCGAAGGGTACCAGAACCGCTGGCGCGATCCCGTCTTTCAGCCGTTCTTGTTCGGCTATGATGCCCAACAGGTCGTCGAGGATGCTTGGGCCGTTTATCAGCAGGGGAAATTCCCGGGGACCATGGGGCGGTTCGCCACACAGCAACAAAACAAGAGCTTGGTGGAGGAGGGCAGAGGCGAGGTGGCGGAGTTGCGTCGCAATGAGGCCAGATTATAAAGATTCGTCGCGAATACTGAGGGAGGCCAGCCTTCAGAGTGTTTGATGTCATTTTCGTGAGAAGCAGAGTATGAATACATGAGATATCTCAGTCTCAAAACTTCCTGTCTGGAAGGAGACAACTATCTCCCTAGACTATCTCCCTAGACTACCTCCCTAGACTACCTCCCTAGACTACCTCCCTAGAGAATACTATCCCGCTGTGTATGATACCTTCGGCATACTGACAGTATTGAACGTCTCATCTCCTCTAGACAGAGAGAAAGGAGCAACGGATTCTAGAATTGTGTAAACATAAACACAAACACAAATTCAGATCAGCTTAGACCAGACCAGACCGGATCAGACCCCGAGAGCAGCATTTCTGTAGCTATGAACTAGTATATCAGAGTCCTTTATCACCGTTCTCATCATCCTCAATCATTATTCACTCCTCGTGGTTTATTTGCCTTGATGTCTTCTGGTTTTTTCCTTTTCAACCTGCTATGCTATCTACCTTGCAAGTCTCCCTTCCAAACCACCCAACCCTCCCCTCCATAATCTCAAGGCCTCCTGGGAACAGGATACCCCGCCTGTCCGGGCCGATTGTTCTGGCCGCCGAACCGGATTCCCATGTCAGGAGACCAGACGCCTCCGCCGCCGATGGTGCCGCCGGAGACGCCGCCGACCGGCAATGGCGCGGTTGAGGAGGAAGGGGATGATGCCGCTGCTGCTGGTGGAGGAACAATGGTCCTGGTTGGGACGGGTGCGCTTATGCCTTCTTGATCGTTGATCGGTTGACGTTGGATCTGAGGTTGAAGTTGAGCCTGGGCCTGAGCCTGAGCTTGAGCATAGGCCTGAATTGTATGTTGTTGCGGTTGCTGTTGCTGTTGAGGAGGATGTCGACTACTGCTTCTCGTCTGTGGGTGCGCTTGGGTCTGCTGTGGTAGAGGCTGCTGCTGCTGTACTACCTGATTCTGGTTCTGGTTCTGGTTCTGACTCTGGCCAGTCAACTCCCGTCTCGTCTCTTCCAAGTTCAATCGACCCATATCTTGACTGGCGAATTCGGATTCGAGCTGACTAGCCTCGACCCTCCGCTGGGCGACTTGGGCTTTACAGCTCTCCCTAAACCGCGTGACATGGCCGGCGAGATCGTTGTAGAATTTCCGGCCCGTGTCCAGATTGCTGATGAGTTCTTTATATTTGGCGTAGCCCGTCTCGAGGGCCTGGAGAGCCTTCTGGCGGTCTCGCGTCGTACTGGTGTCGCCGCGCCGGGCTTCCATAAACGCCTTATTGGCCTCCCGCAAGCGAGCCACGACCTGGTCTTGTTCTTCTTGATCCATGTCCAGCGCTTGTCGGTCGGGCTCGTAGGCCGCGAGACGGGTTTCGAAGAGTTTCTCAAACTGGCCCGGCTCGATCTTCTGCATTGGATATTCGCGCTCCAAACGCGCCGCTTCGGCGAGCAGAGCTGGGCCAATATTGTCGGCGTTGGTTTTTTCTTTCAGTGCGTTGATGCGACTCTTTCGTCGTGTTTCTAGTCGAGACACCTCGTTGAGACAGCTTCTGAGGCGAGACGCGGCTTGTTCGATGGCTGGGGTCATGGCCACTTGATCGGACGAGGGGACGAAGCGCTCCAGGTCTCGATTCGTGCCTGTCAGGATTCGAAGAATGTGTTCATTCTCCCGGAACTTGGACTGCACCAGATTGTCACTCGACGCGGCTGAATTGAGATAGGTCTGTAGTTCCTTGGACGTCTGGTACAGCTTCGCCAGCGCGGTCGTGGATGGCGGACGATCCCACCTGTCCGTGCCGTACTTTGCACGTAGCCTGTCGTCTTCGGTCTTTTCCGCCTCAAGCAGCGCCAACCCTTCCTGATAGATCGAAAGATCGTTCGTCTTCAGCTTGGTGGTATCGTCGATGGCCCTCTTGATTCGATACAACGCGTCTTGTTGTCGAAGCTCTTCTGCTTTTGACACCAAACTGCCCGGCAAGCCCAACGGTTTCTCCAGCGCCTGCAATGAGCCAGGTAAGTCGAGCGACTGTAGCACTTCTCGCAATCGGGCAGTCATGGCCTCGAGATCCGCAATGATGGATTGATGGACAAGCCGGTCCCTGCGATCTGCGTAGATCGAAGCAGCTTGATGCACCGCATACGGCACGAGCTTTTCGAACAGTGGCCTCCCAAAGGCTTGACCCTCCCCGAGTAAAGAAATACCGTTCGCAACATCTGACGGTGTTTTGGCGGCCACCATGTTCGTCCGATCCAATATTCGCAGCTCTGATTTCGGTGTGGGCGCCTGGAGGTAGATCATGTCGTTGTCCCTTTCAGCTCTTTTCAACTCTTCCGCCACTCTTGTCTTCAGACCGTTCAAATCTCCCAGCACCGTGGCGTTGATCCATCTGGCTTCCTGCAGTCCCTCGTTCACGCAAGCAATACTATCTCTTAGCCGAGCCACTTCCTCTCCATACTGTTTGCTCTGCAGACAATATCGAGACTGGCGAAACTGCGCCGCGGCAGCAAAGTGATGGTGTTTGGCTTGGAAATGATGGATCCATTCGGCACTGACTGCCCGAGACTGTCGAGCTGCATCCGCCGCGAAGACGTAGTAGTCGGAAACCTTTGCGGCCAGTTTTGCAACCGTCCCGTCCGACATGTTCTTCTTGATCGTGATCTGCCAGAAGCACTCTTGCGCCTGAGCCAGGCATAGTTGTTGTAGACTGTCCAACGTTATATCGTCCATATCTTCTGGTGGTGTCGATCGCATGTCCGGCAGTACCTCCGTGCGCATGAATGAAAACGTGCCCGCTGCGGCTACAAAATACTCAGCCGCGGCCTTGAGTCCTTCAATGGTCGTTCGGTTCGTCCCACAGGCCAACTGCGAGTATAGAGCCGCCAGGTTGAACAGGATGTTGGCCAGCTCAAATCGGAGGTTGTTCTGTATCACCGCCGTGGCCCTGTCATAGCCCAGCGCCGGGTACCAAGGAAAATCCACGCCGATGTCTATAGGGAACTTCCCACCAAGGTAGCGTAGTTGGGCGGCATATTGAGCCAACCGTTTGATCCCACTGACATGCGGTTCAAGAACGGTGATGGCATCGGCACGGAGGCGGTCGATTTCGCGCAGATCGTCTGCGAACATGGCAGGGGATTGTTCATATTTGCTGGAAATGTATTGTTTGATGGCAGAGGAGAGGTCGACAGGGTGGGTGCGTCGGAACGGAATCTCGAGGACGTTTCTGGTCATGTTAGCAGGAGAATTACATTGCCAAAACGAACAACTTTACGAGGCCATGGCATAGAAGCAGGTCAGGTGTCAGCAAAGCGGAGGAGTAAGCAACAGCATCAAGCAAGCTTCTGTGCTGACGTCGACGTCGACGTCGACTATGGTTGTGGTTGTGGTTGTGATGCAGGCTGGATGTTGTATGATGCATCCGATGCCATACGCTGCGATGCTTTTCTTGCTTGCAGCCTCATCAGCCTTGCGTGACGTCAATCCCTAGCCAACCATCGCGAAGTCACGTGTATTGAGTCACGTGAAGAGACCTTCTCAGCCTCGTCGGCCATCAGATAAATATTCAGTCCATCAATGGTACGACAACCTGTATCCATCCACAGTATTTGCAGCCAGAGTGGGATCTACCGTTTGGTTGGACGGTTCAACTAACGACCTTCACGGTACCTATAGATCATGCAGTCTGCTTGGTCTCAGAGCAGTCTATAACGCTTATCAGCTCGGCTTACGCCCGACGATTGCAGCGCAAACGCGCCGAACTCCGCCATGAGATCGGAGCAGATGGCGCCATGTGACAGCAAGCCACAGCAAAAGAGAATTAGGAAGGGGAATGCCGTTGACTTACCACCATTCATGCTATCACCACGCTATCACTGGTCACTCCCTCCGCCTTTGTGCTCGGCAATGATTGCGCGCTCCTCCATGACCATCAGGACCCGTCCAGACCCTAATCATCCATCTATCATATCATAACCCGACCACCCCTCTTTATCGGTATATACGTTCCTTTTGGGGTTGGACAATACTAGGGGTCCCAATTTTGTTTTCAAGCTTTGTAAAACAAAAGAGACCTGAGTGTGATTATAGGCTTTTCAAACTCCAGCCTCGACTCGATCTGAACGTATCTTGAGCGTATCTCACGATTTTCACGATTTTCACGATTTTCTGCACCCAAAAATGGCACCCTCTGCAATCAGCGACCTCCTGCCTTCGGGCCCGTTGACTTCCAAGTCCGTGGCTCCGGAGAAGCAGCACCATGCCCACGGCATGCAGGACAAATCTCCCCTGGCAGCCATCTCGCACGGCGACGTGATGTTGGCCGGTGTGCCTACGTTCGATGACATGGCCAAGAAGCGCCAGTGGCAGCTGGAACACATGGCCGCAGTGTTCCGCCACTGGGCTCGCGAGGGATATGTCGAGGGCATCTCGGGTCATATCAGTGTCCGAGATCCTGAGGATCATGATGTGTTCTGGACGAACCGTAAGTTTCGGAGTCATACACATGACAATCTCTACACCTTTTCACATACAGTTACAACTTTCCCCATTCCACCACTCTCAAGCAGTCCTCGTCCCTTTTCTGCGCTCCGAGAGATGAAGAGTTGAAACGATGCTTTGCAATGCCAAACAAGTGTATGTATGTGCCGATCGCTAACTCTCGTTCTTCTGTCCTTTCTAGCTCTCGGCGTCCACTTCGGTCTCTTGAAAGCAAGCGACATGATCGCCGTCAATCTTGAAGGCAAAGTCGTCGGAGGCAACCGTACCCGTCCGCCCAACGCCGCCGGCTTCTTGATCCACAGCGAATGCCACAAGGCCAGACCCGACGTGGTGGCCGTCTGCCATGCCCATACTGTCTACGGCAAGGCGTGGAGTGTGTTTGGCAGACCCATTGAAATGTTGACGCGTAAGTGCTTGCAAGCCGGCAACTAGCACAGAATTCCACGTCGTTGCGGCCAAACATCCCCCCTCCAGGAAAATCATTTCTAACTCTCAAATCGTATATAGAGGACTCGTGCAAATTCTACAAAGCCCACTCCGTCTACAACTCCTTCGGTGGCGTCGTGTTTGCCAGCGAGGAAGGCGCCCAAATCGCCCAAGCGCTAGGCCCGACCAACAAAGCCTGCATCCTGCGCAACCACGGACTCTTGACTGTCGGCAAAACCGTCGACGAGGCGGCTTTCCTGTTCCTGTCTCTCGAACACGCGTGCCAGGGCCAGTTGCTTGCCGAGGCGGCTGCACAGGGCGGCAAGATCGAGAAGGTGCTCATTTCGGACGAAGAGGCGGACTATACCAACCGCATGGAGAGTGATTCGGAGACCTGCTATGCCGAATTCCAGGCTTATTATGACTGGGAGGAGTATCATAGCAAAGGGGATTTCAAGAACTAAAAGTAAACACCGACAACAACCAAGAACAGATGGAAACTGTCGAATTTACTGATATGATATAAAACTTCTGTTGATTGATGGTGGATGGGAAGGGGAGTGAACGAGTGAACGTTTGAGACGAGGAAAAATATGTCAGATACAGGATGGTTGTCGGAGTCGGATTGAGAGATGAGAGAAAAGAGACTCCGTTGTAATCGTGCTATATAGGAATGCAAGCGTGGCAATTCACTCTTTGATATCACTTCCGAAGTTCGGATATGGATATAGGAAACCAAAAGCACATCATGTTCCATACAAATCTTGGAAGTGCTTCGGTTGTGGAGTTGCTAGTGACGGGTCTGGCTCGTGGATGAACAATCTTCTCGGCCAGAGCTGCAAGCGGAGAACCTGCACGCTGTCGATATTGCTCAGTCCGGGGTCGTCGAGTTCATGTTGGTTGGGTCGAGCAAGACGGTTATAAGAAGTGTGCTTTCATGCCCGCCTTTCGCTTCTTCTGTTCTGAGCGATGGGTCGATCGGTGTGTTCTATGGCCTCGTCCCAATGACGAGAGGCTAATGATGATGATAGTGATGAGGTCGGTGAGAGTCGTCGGATGATAATAGAGTTGATATCTTGAATAATGCTCGATGATGGCGCGCGCAGCTTTCTGACTGCAAAATATTCGTTCCTGTTGGGGGTCGACCCATGGACTAGTGTAGACATGTCAAAGCACACAGGTTGAGTATCCGGGCAAGAGCCATTCCAACCAAGTATGCGTCCAATTGCGATTGAGGGGAAGCCTGAAACGGCTGATTCGGTTGGATACTGGGGGTGACGGATTGAATTGCTCCAGTTGGTTCTCAAACCTGTCGATGCAATCAGTCTTCGAGCCACCACTTCGGCCGGTCCATAAGGTCTGATGATCGATTCAATCTGATTGTCGGACCATTCAAGTCGAATGGTTATCGGGATGGTGGGAATCCATAGACTGGAGGTGATGGATTCAGTCGACTCTTCGTGACAATCGGTCCGATGGATCCTCGTGCAGTCCACGCCAGTTCTCCAGGGAGGTAATGGACGCGCGATGGTGTTCGTTCGTCCCGTCACGGGTTCTCCAGCACGCACCTTTCCAGCACGCACCTTTCCATCAGTGATATAGCCACCAACCCCCAATCTTCTATCATTCTTCCTCCTCTCAGTCCCTACTCCACCCTTCTCCCCTTTCCTTCTTCACTCATCTTCTCCCCATCCATTCAAAGTCCACGTAATAGCACAAGTGACCAAAACCCATCTAGACAAAAACCCGCACAACGCCGCCCTCCAAAGCGTGGTCCGCTCCCACTTCGGGCGCCTCCCGACCCCAGCAGTCCATAGGATAGTGGCGATCAATAGAGGCGAGGAAGCTTGACAAGCGAGGATCAAAGCTTTTTGCAACTCCGGATGTGCTCGGCCGAATGCCGTGTTGTTGTCTTCGTCGGCGCCTGGTGATGAACGTTGTTGTTGGGGAGGAGGAGGAGGCATCGTTGTGTTACTTCTCCTTTTACTTCTCACTCTCCGCGGGGTTTGATTGAGACCTATTCGGTGCCCGCGGGGTCTGTATATGTATCTGGTTCAAGAGTCCAGTAGGCGTGAGCTGATTCCCTGTTTCGTCCGCGATCGATATCCTGCACCCCCTACTGGAGGAAGAGAGTCTTCCTAAGGGGAGCGAGGATTTCCACTCGAAGTCTCGGATTGCACAGAATTTGTGTCCTCCCAATGATACGTCCAGAGGGCCCTGGGCACAGTATAGTAGGCTGCTGGCATAGGTTTAGTTCACTTCGTGTAGTGTCGGTGATGGTTGATGCGTCAACGTTCGCAGCATCGCCGCGTCTTGTTTGCAGGCGCAAGTGGCAATTTACAATGCAATCCGGCTGTGCTGTAGGTGATGGTTCACTTGAGGGTTTCCATGGTGAAGGTGATATGTGAGGATAGTATCTCAACTCAGTGAAATCCAGGAGAGTCGTGAAGGTGTCACCAAACTAACGATGTCATCGCTTATGTCAGCATTGACGTCTTCATTTCGCATCACGTGCACCAGATAGAATGGAGTTCTACCACAGTAACAATAACGTCGTAGAGCACAAGTAGATACTCTGTAGAGACTATTCTCTGTATTCTTATCTTCTGGGAGGTCTAACTGCAACTGATGAAATGTGAGCAACATCACATCAGTGCAGATGTTGTCCGTCAAAAAGGCTCCAATGAGCATCATCTATTGCCCCTACTAGTACGCCTGAGGTCTATCCCGTTTCTATGCTCTTGAAACCCATATCCCATATCCCAAATAAGCCAAACATCTTGCATTTGGATCAAAAGAGGGTTCTCGAAGTCTGTTGACCAACCGGACACGGCAGGGCACTCTCTCCATTCTGAACCACCTTCACCATCCGAACCCTTCCTCGAAGAAATCTAGGTTTATGCCTCTGTCAAGCATCACCCGGGACACCCGCCTGACTTCGTCCGCGAGCCCACCACCAGCGCAGACACTGACACCAATACACCCCACTTTTCGAGCAGCTTCGAGGCCTATCAGTTCTTCCACATTAGGTCTGCCGCGTGACATGCGGACCATATCGCTAGGACTTCGAATAGACTGGCTCAGACCGGCGCGGGTGACGTAGAGGAGGATCGTGAGGACCTCCCTCCGGCCTTCCATGCCCAGGATCTCGTGCATCCACGAGCTGATCCAATCGAGACACTCGGTGCTGGGAATGACCCAGACCAAGGTGATTCTTCGGGTGGCCACGGTGCCTTGGCTGTAGCCGTGCACGAGGTCCCTCACATATCCCAGTTGATGGGTGATGCCGACGCCACTTGCAAAGAGGATCACCGTGCCATAGCTAGCCATGCTTCGCTCATTGCCGTAGGGTCCTTCGATGAGTGCACCGAGCGAAACAGCACTGTCGGTGTTGCGGGCATGGTGCCACAATTTCTGTGTCAACCCTGTGTGCTTCTTGACAATCAGTGAAACAGTGTGGTCTCGGGAGAATTCTTCCGCCTCCGCCAACCTGGCGCGAACGATTGGGTTCTTTTCATTGTACTCGGAACGGACAGAGCCAGATCTTGTCAAATGATCTTCCGTCTCAAGTCCAGACCAGGCCACAGAGAACGGATGAGCCGTCCAGAGACCAAGCGCCGGGAGTGTCAGGTACAGAGATTGACCGGGTCGATACGTCCAGGGCCGAGGAGTCGTGATAGTGATCTTGACCGCTCCGGCTGGGAGAGGCTCGACTGTGGCGGTCGATCCGCCTCTTCCTAGGCTGCGATATAGTAAAGTGGCGAGTCTGAATCCTCTCGAGGCACCCCAGATGATGATGGCCCCTAGAAGGAGATTCTTCTGGGGAAGACTATTCAACTGCAGGTGCCGCCAGAGAAACACCATGACCATGAGTGCGAGGACAAAATGGAAATGCAGGAAGAACTCGTAGGACAAGCTTCGAAACACCTTGGGGCTCTGAAGTAGCATCACCGTGAATCCAATCGTGGCAATCAGCCCGCTATAGATGAATGGGCTCTGCATCGATATCTTCACAGCTCCCCAGCCTTTTGACTGCACTTTCCCGATGAGCCAGCAGAGGGTGTGAACGATGGCTTGCAGGACGGCCACGCGGCCAAACCAACGGTGCATCAAGTTGAAGGTGTCATATGATATGTCCAGCAACCATATCAGAGGATTCTTCACGCTGGCCATCACCATAATAGGGATCAGATTCACCACCGACAAAGTCCCGGTCCGATTTCTCAAGATAGGTAGCACTTCAAGTTGGGCATCAGACCAGGGAATGTTCCAGGTGCAGGCGAATACATTGGCAGCGATGACCAGGAATAGGAAGATTGCTTGAAACCGAGACGGTATGGAACCGAAATTGACGTGTCGAGAGAATTTCAACTCTCTTGCTCGCCGGTAAAACAAAATTGGGGCGTAGACTATGTTGCTCTTCACAAGAGACATGACAGGCGAGGTCGTGGAGTAGTAGCGAAGTGACCCATCTCCGCCCATGGACGCAAGGTGTCGGAGATGGGCATTGATTCGAGCTACAGTGACCCAGGCCAAGAGTAGAGCAACGACAGCGAGCAGAGACCAGAGATAATTGTGTCCGAGACTTTTGTTGAGCATATTCAAGTACTGCTGCGTCGCATTGTTCTGGTATTGGGAGGAGCCCCCGGAACTCGTCGAGTTGCTGGTGGCAGATGGCTGGGCTGCCATCACGATTGATGCCAATGTGGCAAGATAGAAGGCAAACATGGCGGTGGTTGTACGTCCAGACGAACAAAGAAGAGAAACGCTGCCGCAGCGCGAGGAGACAAAGACAAGTCCAGCCTGTCAATCAAAGGGAAAAGGGCCGCAGAAGGTCACAGAGCCCGTCCTCCGGAGAAAACAGAAAGTGAGATGTGAAAGGTGACAACCACACAGTCCTTTATGAGTCTGGCATGTTGGCACGGGATATTCATTCACTTCGACCACCGGGCGTGTCCAAGATTGCTTGATATAACGAACTCACCTAGACCGTGGCATTTGCAGGGTATCATGTGGAGCCTCGCAATTTTCTGAAACGACAGGATGGCGTGTCGACCAGGTTGGTCCTTGTTATCAAGGTCGGGTCTACCCAGCCAGACAGGGATCGGATACCTGGTTGAATATCCTCAGGACAGCCCTCCACATGCAAGAATGTCCGGTGTCGCACGGCAAATAAGGAAAACGCAAGAGCTACCATACCACGCAGGTGAAAGGGCAAACGTAGGACACGGCTCAACGGCGCCTAAAAAGTCCGATCAGTGAGAATTCACTGATCATAGAAGCTCAGAGCATAGCGGCGTCGGCGTCTCGAGGGATCAAAGTCTGGAGGAATGTGGTCGCTGATATACCACAGTAGAATGCACAGGGGAGAAAGTGTGGGTGCGGAATGGGGATTGAGTGCCTGGTATGATGACTGGGGACGAAACTAATGGTGGCCGCGTTGAACAGGAGTAGCCCAGTATGAAATGTAGGAGGGTAGTGACGAGTGTACACAGTAGAGTAGAGAATGCCCATAGCACCTGATGGTGGAGATGAAGGAGGTAAAAGGACTGAGCGTGAGAGTGAACAGTGACTCTCTCAGCTGTTCGCGGTGAAATTCATTCATTGTACAGCCTCGTTGTAAAGTCCGTGGCACTGGCTTGGCACTTTCTTGGCTCGTGGTTGAGAAAAAGGTGCCTGCCAAGCCCCCATACGTTGTTGTTATTGGCTGCTGGCCTTGTCCCACAAAATCCGACCAATGACGGGATCCGAAGTCCGGTTCGGATATCAATCCATGGCCGTCCTCTCACCCTATCATCTTATCAATCTCGGCCTCATCTCCCGTCTCAGTCCTGCATACCACTGCATCAGCTTCCGGAATCTGAAACAGTACCGGTCCAGTCGCAATACAACTCCAAAGCTAGCATGGTATCCGGCTTCTAGCCTCCGACTTGACTTTCTTCCTCCGTCAACAAAGAAATACGTATTTGCCGGAATGTTTTCCTTCTCTAACCGTAATCACTGACAGTTGGAGGATCGTCATCGGACAGTCCCCTTCCAAATGCGATGTGATGCTTGGCCCCCTTGTCTAACGTTGCACGGTCCGGCCACACTCAAGTAGACGTCTGTTAGGGAATGCAGACTGTGCTCCGGGGACACTCTAGGAACGCGTCACCTGCGAGGGACGCTGAAACATAGGCGGACAGGGGATCATATCATGCTATTTCCATCTCTGCCAGACATACAGGTACAAACAAGTCTACACCAGCAAGCTTAATTCGTCCTCAGACTCTTCCTCGGTGGTATGCGAATGACGCGGCCCATGCTTCGGCGGGTTGGCAAAGGTGCTGAAACTAACATGGCGCCTTGGCCTCTTCTTGTACTCGAAATCTCCGTCCCAGTGGACTTCCAGGTCGGAGGGGGCACTCTTACGCTTCATCCGCTTTCCCGGGACGGACTTCTCATCACTCGCGATAAGTTCGAGAGCCCGTCGATGGCCCTCGGTGGAGGCTTTGAGATTTTCAGCACAATGGTCCTCTGCGATGGTGCAGATGGCATCGGCAGTTGTGGTTTCAATATCCTTCTTCTTGAGTTTGGCGAGCGTTGCCGGTGTTCTGGCAATCCACTCTTCGATCGCTTCATCCCAGCGATAACCAACTTTCATTTGCTTGCTCGCCGGCGTGCGAGGTTCTGTAACTCTCTTCTCCATCTTCGCTTGGGATTTCTTGTGGACGTTCGAGGCCCACTTCAGTATCGCATCGTCGTCATGATGTTCGGCTGCGTAATCCATCGCGGCGTCTGCACTAACCACAGCTAACAAAACTTCCAATGTTTTGCACCCTCCACAATCCAATAACAACAGCCGTTGGACCAGACTCTGAAACTCCTCCAAGCCCAGATTCTGCGCCAGAAGGGCTAAGACAAAATGCGCAGACAGTGGTCTCCATGCTTCCCTGGCGCATGACTCCATGCTATATAATAGCGATTCGAAACTGTCGAGCAGATTCTCTGGTGGACGGCGACCATTCAACATCAACAAGCAGATGTTGCAGAAGAAGAAGAGAGCCACAAGGTATAGCTGATACTCGGTCATGGCAAAATTCTGGTCGAGTTCGTAGAGTATCTGAGCTCTCTTTGATATCCGTTCTATCTTCAAATCGACTCCCTCAACCATGCCCTGGCCATGCGCGGTCGTGAGCAACAGTGTAAATCCCATGTGGAGTCGGTTCCATACATGCTCAGACAAAGGGTGGTGTTCATTTGGCTCCCTTGCGACGTCAGGCACGACAGTCGCAACAACATTCTGTTTCCGTATCTTGCTGTAGAGATCAGGCACGGGCTGTCCCAGAGACAAAGCCCCAATGTATATTGCCTCAAGTAGCTCGGAAGGATCCTTCGGCGATAAGTGACATACATGACATACTTTCCATTGCATTGCCAGCCGCATCAAATGGGCCAGCCTTATGGATCGAGATACGATTGCGACAGAATCATGGCTTCTCTGCAACGCGAGGAGTGTCCAGTCTATGCTCATGCGTTGTCGCACCTGCTCTAGCCCCGAACGCTGAGCCGAAGCCTCAATGTAGAGCGGCAAATCATGGTATCTTGCGCCAGGCTCGCAACTATGCAGGTGCATGTTGACTAGGGCCTGAAGGATGGCAGGCCCGATGTCAGAGAAAACGGGGTTGTCATAGGATCGGAGGACAAGGTCCAAGGCGACACCTTCTGGCAATGTTCCTGTTTCGACCAGGTTGGCCAGCATATGGACCCCACAGGCTCGGGTCACACTTCTTAGTTGGGGCCATCCGACCTTTGGATCCCCAAAATAGTCCTCGAGGTCTTCCAGTTGGGATCCAATCGCATCGAATTGACCGTTGAACCCGTCGTTGTGAGCGTCACATTGCCTCTGTTGTTCAACCATGTCCTTTGACAGCTTGTGGAGACACGTGTCCAGCAGAGACCTTGCACCTCGCTCCGCGCGTTCGACAGTAACTTCTTTCTCGACCTCAGGCCATTCTGCGGGACGTGCATGGTCAGAAGTTGCGACCAGAAATGTAGTGACGGTGGATGTCGTCGTCGCGATGATCCGTTCATATTCGGCGGCAAGATGTATAGTACGGGGAGTCCATTTAGGTGCTCGAGTATCATTTCCTGTTGTTTCATAGTCCCCAACACGGCCTGGAACAGGCTCCTTGGAGCGTCTTCTCGGGCATGTGGTGCGACTGGCCTTGCGAGCAGGTAGGATTTCAACACCAGACTCTGCAGGGAATGCGGGGATGGTCCTCTTCTTCGGCGTTTTGGTTGTTGACCGAGAAGCGGACGACGACTGGAGCGCCGGCTTGAGAGATTCGGGGTGCTTGCCACGCATCATGTATGTCCTCTTCAACCTTTGCTTCTTCTCGCCATTGTTCCTGGCAAGCCAGTCTGGCTGTGTCTCCCCTGCAGGCTCCTTCTCTCGACTCCCGGGCACCCCGTCCTCTGTTTCATCCTCTTCTTGCGCGGCCAGGTAGGCCTTGTGCCACTTCTCCAGCCGATGCACGAAGGAGGTCAACTGCCGGAGGGTTCGGTTGCATCTAGACGTGGTCCAGGGCGCAGGGACGGGTCTGGTTAGCACAGTATCCTTGGTGTTCACTCGCGGCATTGCATAGCCGGCCAGTAATTGATGAATAGGGCGGCCGTATGAAGATGTATATTTATTGTAGTACGTGTGAAGATACAAGCAGATCCCAGAGCCACGATCCAGCCATCAGCAGTGGAAGCCACATGCAGCGATGGTCGAGTAGCAGGGTCAGCGGCGGTTTGTTTATTCACAGTCTCCATATTTCTGAACAACGGTGTCTCATTGGTTCGTCGTGAGACGCGTCGCCAGATTGGGATAAATGAGCTACTATACTCTCTGGACTCTATATATGAGGCAGGTCTTTGTCTAGGTAGGAGATACCTTATGTGTTCTGTCTAAGCAGTCCTAGCCATCGATGGATAATTCTTACCCTTCCTTCATTGGTGATGGATTGCAACGACAGACATGTTGGACATCTTCAGTCCTTGATGTTCGTCACAGTGCATCCTGTCCAGTAGCTGCCCAGCTAGTCCAAACATGTACAGTCCTCCGGACAGCTATGGCTGCTTGATCAGCTACAATGACGATGCTGATCAGCAACGTATGTGATGTGGCCATGCCTTCGAAGACTGTCGAACACCAGGTGTACCTACCTCTTAGCTGTATACGTAGATGTCGGCCAACCTGCCTCTTGCATCAATCCCAACAATACATAAACAACAGTCAGCAGCAGCACGGAACAAGATCCGCTTGCACCAAGTTCCTCACGTGCTGCGAACCTTATTAGTATGAGATTTTTCTTAGTGGATCCTGCTTTGATAAGCGGGCGATTCTCTATCCATGGATCTGTGCTACCTTTATCACCCTATTTATCGTGTATGTAGGTATGTACACAGCACCTTCTTTGCCTACAGACTACGTACTATCCGTGTACAGAGTACGGCAACACTGTCTCATCCACGTCCGTCGCATGCCATTCTCCATATAGTCCAGTAGTAGTAGTACCTTGAGTGGCACTCCCACTTCCCAACGGCCCCTGAATACGCTTCCCAAAGAAAAAAGACTCCTTAGGTCAGCCAGCCTTATAGTTTTGTCATGCATTACATGGCCTTCCAAGCTGCATCCACAACATGGCCCAGAACAGACACGTCAATAACAAACGGAAGGGCTTAGGGCAGAACGTCCCCCTGTCTCCGCCGCCGACAGAGCAAAACTTCGAACCCTAGTAAGGTAATAAACAGCGAGCGAGCCGATACGTTCCTTTTCTCCATGTGCATTTGGCGCCCAGCCCTAGGCAGGGACAACGACCACTTATCTCGATATTCTTACCTACCTAGGAGGCCGGGAAGATCCTTCGGGGCTTACGTACTGTCGTACCTACTCGGTAACCTATCCGTCAAAACGTGCAGAGCGTAGTCAAGCGAATCCATCCGAGAGTGGGACCCCTCGAGCTGAGAGTGGGTATAGGGATCGGTAGGGACGTGGATAGCGGTGAACTGCCGCACAACCAGCAGGGGATGCATTGAGTTGAGTTGAGGTAAGCCTTGCCAATCAATCAATATCAGTCGAGCCACTCCCGTTTAGTGGAGACCGGATATCGATTTGGGTTGCCTAGCTCTTGCTCGATCCCTCGTTGGGAAGCCGATGTGGACGGAGCACAGACTGCCTCGCTCTTAAGATACTACTAAGTATTGGAAGATTTTCGTTTTCTCCAATCCGCATGATACGTATTTGTTTGTTTCATCCATTCTTCCTATACAGTATATCTTTTTGAGATTTGTTTTGTCTCGCAAAGTTGCTTGGATGTTGTCCCAGAACGCGTTATACATTTCATCGCTCTGGGAAGAGAACCACAACGTCACGGTTCAGGCTCGAGAACGCGCCGGTTTCTCGGCATTTATCACAACAAAGTCGCGTGCAAGGCTGACAAGACTCGAATCGGGCGGGTCGTTGTCGTCCATTTCTCAAGGTCCCGGACGCGAACATACCTGTCTCTCTTGATCATAAGAGGAAGGGAGACTGTGGTCGGACCAAGCGAATACGAGGGGGTTCTGTTTGGTGATATCGTGCGCCGTTACCACCTGATCAAGTGCATCAGATCATGCCCGAAACACAAGACCACTCTCAATCGCGAGCGGCGCCGGATGGCTCGTCAGCCTCATCCCCCTCGACAGCCGTTGCTGCAGACGACCAATTCCACGAAAAGCCGTTGGACTCTTCGGGGGGCTCAACAGACGGGCCCGCCCACCAGCCGCCCCCGACAAGCGGTATCGACAGGTCGGACGTGCTCCCTGTTCCCATCAACACCATTTCGAGAGACAGCCGAGACCTTGCACGCCATGAGACGGCCACGAGGTCGTCGATGCAGCGACAGACCAGCCTGGCACAGACTGTCTCTCGAATACCCACCGCGACCAAACCCCCCGAGTTCTCCCTCTTGCACGAGATCCTGTTCGTGAGCATCATCTGCCTCGGCCAGCTGTTGACCCAAGCAGCCCTGGCGCAGTCCATTGCACCGCTGCACATCATCGGCCGGACATTCCACACCACCAATCCGGGACAACTGTCGTGGCTGCCCGCCGCATTCTCGTTGACCGTGGGCACATGGATCTTACCCGCGGGACGATGGGGCGATCTGTACGGACACAAGAAACTGTTTGTGATCGGCTATTTCTGGTTCGCGATCTGGTCGGCCGTCGCCGGGTTCAGTGCCTTCTCCCACTCGTTGGTCTTCTTCGCCTTTTGTCGCGCCATGCAAGGCATCGGCCCGGCCTTGCTGCTTCCGAATGGCATTGCCGTGCTGAGTCGCACCTATCCCCCGGGCCCGAGGAAGAATATGGCTCTGAGTCTCTTCGGCGCGACCGCCCCAGGCGGGTATCTCATGGGAGCCGTGTTCTCCGGCATTTTCGCCGAGCTGGTCTGGTGGCCATGGACCTACTGGGTCTGCGGCATGGTCTCTGCACTGGCTGGCGTCATGGTCATCTTCGTGGTGCCTCACATGCCTGTGGCAGGCAGCAAGCCCGGCTGGAAGGAACTGGACGCCATGGGCACTTGTCTCGGCGTGGTCGGCTTGATCTTGTTCAATTTCGCCTGGAACCAAGGCCCGGCGGCCGGTTGGGACAAGGTGTACGTGTACGTCCTGTTGATTGTCGGCGTCATCTTCTTGGTCGTGTTTGCCTGGTACGAAAAGTACAAGGCTGCGTTCCCCCTGGTTCCGGTCTCGGCCTTCACCACTGATACCAGGTTGGTCTTTGGCTGTGTTGCGTGCGGATGGGCCTCTTTTGGTATCTGGGTCTTTTATCTCTGGTAAGTCAACAGTCCTCTCCATCCGCTGGTTCCCCACTCTTGCTGATATTGGGCTTCATAGGCAATTTTTTGAGGTATTGCGTGGCCAGAGCATCTTAACTTCCGCCTCTCAGATCGTCCCTACCGCTATTTCCGGCTTCATTGCAGCCATCTGCACCGGCTATCTGATAGGAAAAATGCAACCCGGGTTCATCATGTTGTTCAGCATGTTGTCATTCTTGACCGGCACCATTTTGCTTGCAACCATGCCCGTCGGGCAGATTTATTGGGCCCAGACTTTTGTCTCCACCATTGTCACCTGCTGGGGCATGGATATGAGCTTCCCCAGCGCTGTCATTGTGCTGTCGAACCACATGCCGCCGGAGCACCAAGGCCTGGCTGCATCCCTTGTCAACACGGTCATCAACTATAGCATTTCCATAGGCCTGGGTATCGCCGGGACGGTGGAAGTTCATGTCAACGACGGCGGAAAAGACTTGCTGAAGGGCTATCGAGGAGCATGGTACTTGGGCATTGGCCTTGATTCGATGGGTGTCCTGCTCGCCATATGCCTCATCTTCTCCTGGAGGGCGAGTATAAAGGCCAAGGAACGGGCGGACCTGGAGAAGGTGCAGGCTTAACCGATAGCTGAAAATGTATTCTTACTTACGTTGACACTAGTTATAAAGGTGTCATCTGCTCATCATATGGATTTCCTCGTTTCGTTACAGCTCGTGGCGGGTCAGAGCAGGTCAAGCATAGCGTTGCCTCTCTGCCTGTCCTAGATATTGTGTCTAGAACTAGGCTACCCGGCCTGTCCACAAATCATTGCGTGGACCTATCGTAGTTTGCCCAGCCCTCACTGACTCTCGAATCACCAACCGAACCTCCTGTGGGACTTCGATCGGCCCCGATGACTCGGCCCTGCAATGTCGACTTCGACCAGGGACGATGTTGCCAACGAACATCAGTTGGGACACTGGCCGCAGGACGCTAAGTGATGCTGTCACCAGCGGAATCGCGGCGTGGAAGAGATCATGTGGGAGTGTTAGGATCATTCCGAGTCTGACGCTGATCCGGCACCACCATCTTCGTCCTCGGGCTGCATATCGGCATGCTTAAGCCCTTCATTCAAAGCATATTCTTCCCTGATGAGTATGCTGCGAAGCTCCTCCGTCCGGGGAGTACATAACTCTGCAGGTTTCCTACCATGCCCGTCTTTCACTCGGGGATCGCCTCCGGCATCGATCAACATCTTGGCCATGGCCTCACCGAGCTCGACTTCTCGTTCATTGGCATACCGGACCGCACAGTGGATTGGCGTCTCCTTGTCCCTTCGTGTCAAGGGGTCGCATTCGAGGTACTCGACATTCAGCAGCTCATCCATAACGTCATCTGAACCACCCGTCAGTCCAGTCCTCTTAAGATATTCCAAGCACAAGTCTTACATGCTCCGTAGTTCGCGCAGACATGCAACAGATGATTGCCCATGGTGTCCGTCGCCGTATTGAAGAATTCTGCTATTTCTTCCTTGCTCTTTTTACCACTCATGTCCTTTAACACTTCATGGAATAACTCGACATTGTCCCTTCGGCAGGCTTCCAGTATTTGCTCCTTCGGTGACGCACCCTGTATAACTGTCAGACTAGTTCGAGACAGCGGGCTTAGAATGCTCACATCTTCGTCAGCCATACCGACTGGTGTAGAATCCGATCTAAGCTGTATAACGAGACGGACTCTCCTTGCCCGTGGCCGGAACCTGGGTATATGAAGTTGAGGTTCAACGAGGAGGGATCCCAGACTGTTGCGGGAAGATTGGGAATTAAGATACCTAGGCGAAGAGACGGGTAAAGTCTCGCGGTTCGTGGGCCACTCTAGATAGATTTATTGCTCTCGAGAACCGTCCGCTGCCCGGCTGGAAAGATGACTTGGTAAATGCGTGGTGTAGACACGAAATCCCTCGACTGCGGCCTCCGAGTCGACCTTACAACCGCCAAGGCCGCCGTGCCGCGGTGGACCACTGACGTGCAGGGAGCCTCAGCCTTGTTTCAAGTTGAACCTTGACCGTGAGGCTGCCTCCCTTATGCCGGGCTTGAGCCTCGCCCGTCTCACCGAATGCACACTTGGGACTACTCGTTACAGCACAATCAAGAGTTCAAAAAGTCAGTGTACTTTTGAGTTGATGTGCGCAAGTGTACTTGTGCGCGGTGTGCCAGTGGTAAGGACCTGTGCCATACCTGTGCACCGAGCTTATTTCGCAAGCCATGCGATTGCTCCGCAGTAAGACGCTCAAGATCCACCCAGTATGGCGAATCATTAATTCGGTCAGCGATCCTTGAAACCGATCGATTTTATGAATGCGCCCGTGAAGAATGCGACTTACACCTTAAGATTCATAGCACTTAGGCTCTTTCCTGTGCTCATGAGCTCGCCGCAATGCCTCCGACCTGTGAGTAGCAAGAAAAGCTCCGTTAACGACCTACTGACCATTTACCTTAGTCTGCCCATATTGTTGCAACTGTTTAACGATCGCGAGGGCGCCGGGGACCCGACAGCACCCTCAAGGCCTCAATGCCTTCACCTGCCGAACATGCCCCTATCAGTTTGTCCTTGATAAGCCGTACTATGAGCGTACATACATGAAAAAGAAACAACTGGACGATATCCTGGGCGAGGATGAGTCTGATTTGCCGATCAACGAAGGTACTGAACGCAGCAGCGAAAGACATGACCACAGCGAGCCGACTAACAATTACTACCAGTTCCTGGAGGCTGTCCGAATGAAAAGTGCGATTCGAAGAAGGCCTACTTCTACCAACTACAAACCAGAAGCGCTGATGAACCCCCAACCTCGTTCTTCAAGGTATGGTGCTATCCCACGCAATCGTTCAACATATTGATATCCTTTAGTGTGTTGAATGCGGGAAACAATGGAGAGAATACTAGATGTGGCTGCGCATACTATTTGAAGAAACTCCCAGCCAGCCCTCGACCTGCGCTTGGGTCAAAAAGTCTCCTATGCTACGGCACATTATATATCAGTCCGAACTTGCGCATCCAGCGACGGTATGGCATGCACTCCTCTCGCCCAGTCGCAGTCATGTGGTAGCGACCGCATATGCCACCAAACCTTACACAGCCTAACACTACGGTCCATCCAAAACGACTCATCCAAAACGACATCGACACCCTCGAATACAGAGTGGGGAAGCAGTCGAGTCAGAGTTTTATGTGAAGACAGGCAGAAGGCATGGGCAAGCCGTGGTCGCCGCGAGGGGAGGCGAATAATCAGGTCTGTGAATGCCACAGACAACACCCGTTTCAAGTTCGGCATCTTGCGCCGGAAGGAATGGCCTGATCGCAGAGATAATTTCTGTTGGACTGTTGGGCTGGCGGATCGAATGACTCACAAGTCCGAGATGCACATGCCCGCAGATGTTAGGAACTACCTCGTACTAGGAGAAGTCCCAGATTCGCCCCGGCAAGGCTATGGCAAGGCTGAGGTGAATGAGCATAGCAACGTGTACAGAGTAGTAGTTAGCTGCCTGGTAGATATGGAAGGTTCTCTACACTACTATTTATGAACTGATCTATAATCGTCGCCACAAGCACCAGAGCCTTGAGCACAAATTCTGTCGGAGGCGAAAAAGGTGGGTAAAAGTACAGAGTAATGTATGTACTATGCAGATCTAGCAATTCTGGCCTGAGCTTCTGGATGCCACCCCTAAGGACCCCTCCAATTGCAGGCAGGCAGAAGACGGAGTTGACCAGCAACGACCTGGAACTGGTGGGCTAAGGAGGCTGTCAGAGCATGTGGTGGGGCTTGGGCGGCAAGGCAAAAACCGTCCGCCAAGCCCTGTCGTCCTGCGCAGCCTACAAAATCTTTCACACACTCCACCTACTCGGTTTCCTCTTCCTTCGTCGCTCAGTAAGTTCTTCATCCATCCCCTACATTTTCCCCATCAATCAAATACTGACCGAATCTCAGCACCTCTACGCAAGCCGTGGTATCTGAGCATTCTCTCTGAACTCTTCTAGTATCTGCCACAGAACTACAAGACTTCAAACAAGACAAGACAAAACCAAACAACCGTCGCCATGGGGTAAGCAAAACTCTTCCAGCCTGCGCTTGGAGCAGCGCATTGGCGCTGATGACTTGGTGTCAATATCAATGGACATCGCTGACATGTTATCCTTCTCTACAGTAAAGAAAAGACTCATATCAACGTCGTTGTCATCGGACACGTCGATTCCGGCAAGTCCACCACCACTGGTAAGAGAAAAATGAAAAAAGACGCTGGGAAACACCACACTCACACATGCCAGGTCACTTGATCTACAAGTGCGGTGGTATTGACAAGCGTACCATCGAGAAGTTCGAGAAGGTATGTGACCTCTGATTCCTCCCTTGTTACAGTCATCGTCGCTCTTATCGCTACTCCTATCCAATTTTTCTTGGTGGGGGAGGGGTGAGAGAGCACACGTGACGCAATCCTTGTTATTCAAAAAGGCGGTAAGCTGATGGGACGCCACACAGGAAGCCGCCGAGTTGGGCAAGGGTTCGTTCAAGTATGCCTGGGTTTTGGACAAACTGAAGGCCGAGCGTGAGCGTGGTATCACCATCGATATCGCCCTCTGGAAGTTCGAGACCCCCAAGTACTATGTCACCGTCATCGACGCCCCTGGTCATCGTGACTTCATCAAGAACATGATCACTGGTACCTCCCAGGCCGACTGCGCCATTCTCATCATTGCCGCCGGTACTGGTGAGTTCGAGGCCGGTATCTCCAAGGACGGTCAGACCCGTGAGCACGCTCTGCTCGCCTACACCCTGGGTGTCAAGCAGCTCATCGTCGCCATCAACAAGATGGACACCACCAAGTGGTCCGAGGATCGTTTCAACGAAATCATCAAGGAGACTTCCAACTTCATCAAGAAGGTCGGCTACAACCCCAAGTCTGTTCCGTTCGTCCCCATCTCTGGCTTCAACGGCGACAACATGATCGACGTCTCCAGCAACTGCCCTTGGTACAAGGGTTGGGAGAAGGAGACCAAGGCTGGCAAGGCCACCGGCAAGACTCTCCTCGAGGCCATTGACGCCATCGACCCTCCTTCTCGTCCCACCGATAAGCCTCTCCGTCTTCCTCTCCAGGATGTCTACAAGATCTCCGGTATTGGGACGGTTCCGGTCGGTCGTGTTGAGACTGGTATCATCAAGGCCGGTATGGTCGTTACCTTCGCTCCCGCCAACGTCACCACTGAAGTGAAGTCCGTCGAGATGCACCACGAACAGCTCGTCGAGGGTGTTCCAGGTGACAACGTTGGCTTCAACGTCAAGAACGTCTCCGTCAAGGAAGTGCGTCGTGGTAACGTTGCTGGTGACTCCAAGAACGACCCTCCCAAGGGTGCCGAGTCCTTCAACGCCCAGGTCATCGTCCTGAACCACCCTGGTCAGATCGGTGCTGGTTACGCCCCAGTCTTGGATTGCCACACTGCCCACATTGCCTGCAAGTTCGCCGAGCTCCTCGAGAAGATCGACCGTCGTACCGGAAAGTCCATTGAGGACCACCCCAAGTTCATCAAGTCCGGTGATGCTGCCATCGTCAAGATGGTTCCCAGCAAGCCCATGTGTGTTGAGGCTTTCACCGACTACCCACCTCTTGGTCGTTTCGCCGTCCGTGACATGCGTCAAACTGTCGCTGTCGGTGTCATCAAGTCTGTTGTCAAGGTATGTTTTTCGCCCCCCTTTTTTCCTTTTCTCTTCCCACCTTCTACCACCACCACCCAAGATGTCTTTCAGATGCTAACAACCTCTACAGGCCGACAAAGCAGCTGGAAAGGTCACGAAGGCCGCCATCAAGGCGACCGGAAAGAAATAGACGTGTGGAGAATGGCACGTTGGGTTTCAATGGGCACTCGGGTCTTAGTCAAATGCTTCGGAAGCTTGGCTGGTCGATGAGCTGAGGATCGGAGACCGGAGGACGTGGACAATGCAGAAGACCATTGTGTCGATAGAGCTAGACAAGAACCTACTAGGATCCAGATGGCTCTCAATACTTATCTGCCAAACCAGGGTTTACGATATCGGAGTAACACGGTTGTAACACGATCTCCATAGCCAAGACCTATTCCCAAAACCAGTGGCTATTTACGGATAGTTCTCGTAGAGTCTCTTTGTTCTACTAACGCATCGCTACCGTGCGAGATATAACTGGCCAAAGAAGGCGATGAATTAGGGAGGGAGGGAGCAATCGGCAACAAAATTCAACATTGGGACTCTGGGCTGGAATTGATGGCATTACCTTACCGAGATTGTATACTACGGCACTGTCTGAAACCCGCGTTTAGTTAGGCTTGGCGATCTTGGTAGGGAAAATACCTAGATTACGATACTGTAGTTTCTAGGCACTCTCCAGATAGGTACTCTCTAGATAGGCGCTGTGCCCGTTGAAACCCAACGTGCCATCCGCCACACATCTACTTCTTTGAGCTGTCTTTTACCGCCGCTTAGGCGCTCTCTATAGGTGCTAAAAGGTACCCGCGAGCACCTACGATTATCTACAAGTGAGTACCCGCGAGTCCTCGCGAGTACGCGACGGATATATAGAATTATTTACCAATAAGAGGAGACTACCTACCTGGAGAGTGCCTAGAAGATACCTACAGGTAGATAGAGACGTACCTACCTACCTAGCGAGGAGGTAGGTAAGGTATTACGGATAGTTACGACGCTAAGCTTCTTTTGTTAAACCAGGGTATCAATCAGCACTGTCAACACCCTCTTTACCTTGCACACCCCGGCTTTCTCGATATGCAGTGGGGAAACAGTTTAGTGTTCGTTGCCTATGCCGGCACGCTCGCTTGATTGTTAAAGTCTTTGGGACAAGGAGGTCCTACGCTTCTACGTATTCCAGCGATGTGCTCTTACGCCGAGTCACGCAGATGAATTGTTTTAAGCTACGGGGTGGACTTCCTGTACCAAAGCCCGAAGCAACCGAGAGGAGGACATAATTGAAGTTTGGTTTGTCCAGGCTTGGTGTAGGACTACATATTACGTGGAAGAAGCGGGAGTTAATGTTATTTTCCGTCCAGGCATTAGAAGGATCTGAAAACCTCGCCACGAACTTTCTCAATGATTCTCGCCACGAGCTTGTCCGCGGTAAGATAGGCGTCTGGTGCCACGTTAGCGGCAAGTTAACAAGTTGGCCGTCGACTTCAGCCCATCGCCCAAGGTTTACCTCGCCTTCCTCTGTCGCCTCGCTGCAAAAGACAGTTTTGTCCAGCTCAATCATGATGGCTGGCACGGTCTTTGAGATGAACTTGGCAGCCAGAAACGCATCAAAAGACAGTGGTACCCGGTAGAAACAGGCCTTGATCACTCCACGTGATCCAACACGCCGTAGGCGTCCTAGAGCTTGTATGTAGCTGCCTTGGCTTGACCATTCCATCCAGAAGCCTCAGTTTGACCATTCCATCCAGATGCCTCAGCTTGACCATTCCATCCAGATGCAGCTCGTTTGACAAGGCCAGCTGGCTGTATGTTGTTGCACCTCCGAGGTATGCAGCGAGACTGGAATTGGTTGGCTGGGGCATCATCCGGTTCAGCCCATCGACAATTGCTCGGAGGTCCCGATCGAGATTCGCTGTGACTTGACGCTGGGCTAGGCTGGCACGATCTTCATCCGAGATCTTGTACTTTTTGTCCTCTGAGATGCTTTGGGCGTGATTGCTGAAGAGACGGAACAGAATATTTTGCGACAATGGCCCGTCCTTGGCCAACGGACTCTTGATTGCCTGGACATCCGCGCGAGTCACATTTCCCATAAGCTTGTTGGCCCTAACCTGCAGCTCGTCGATGTACTGCATGATCTGGGCCGGATGAGTGGGTGGTGAGCCTCAGCTTGACCATTCCATCCAGATGCTTCAGCCTGATCATTCCATCCAGATGCCTCGGTCTGATTAGCCCATGCAGCTTCGGTGTCCTTTGCTGGCATCGAGGCTCTGGTCTCCCCATCAGCAGCAGTAGGAATATCATCCTTTTCGACAGGAGCCTCATCGCATGCGGCAGCAGCTTCTGCTTCTTCCTTGGCCAACTTGTCTGCAAGCCGCTTCTTTTGTCAAGGAGAAACCGGTTGGTCCGCGTTCCATACAGGCTTCTCCAAGTAGTCAAGAATGGTCATGTTCTGAAGGACCCAAGACTGGAAGGCGAAAGGTTGCTCTGGAGTGGAGTAGCGACAAGCGGGCATCATAGGACGACCTCCCACACTCTTTCCTGTAGTCACCATCGCCACACGATATGCCTTGAGCCAGAGCATCAGTTCTTTCAAGCCACAATTACCTTTGATAGGTAGGTCGTCGATCTCGTGCGATGAGCCCATCACCACGAGTCCATCTCTCGCTCTGGAGAGCAGCACGCACAATCGATGGACATCTGCCATGAAACCGGCTCCTTCTCCCACCAGAATGTCGGCAATCACATACGTGAATTCCTTGCCAATCAGTGAGTCGACGGTTCCAATATGCAGTTGTTCAATGAATGGCGACAGGGACAGATCGAGTTGCATTGAGGCCTTTGCAGAGCTGTAGATGTTTCTCTGTGCCGCATATCCAGTAATCAAAGCGATGGTAGGGCGTGATGGCAATTTGAGCAGTTCCACGGCCATATTGATGGTGTTGACTGCGAAGAGGTCATTGTATGATTGCACTTTGAGCCTCCTCTCTTGCCGACATTGTTAAGCGCAACTTTCTCGTGATCTAGGAAGACCACTGTTGAGGATTTGATTCCTCATCTCGAGAAAGTTCAGGTCTTGAACGCCTTCTGTGCACCACGGTATTGCTGGCGTACTCCTTCGCTGTTTTCAATGTTGCCATCATAAACCAATCCGTCGACCACGCCTGAGATCTGTGGTGCCATACGTGCTTGCTGGTACAGACAAGCGTAAGGGAATCCGAGGATCTGCAGTCTTGAATGCATAGGTAGATGCAACTCTTTCGCGAAGACCGACTCCTTTGGGCTGACCATCATAGGCGGTACCAAATGTAATCTGTCTCCCATCAAGACAGGGAAAGAGTAGTTGGGCATCCGCAAAGCGAGGATTGGTAGGAGGTTCTCATCCTTCTCATGTGAGGCTTGGTCGACAATGATGCCGACGGCTCTCGGTGCGATGGCTTCTTGGATCAGTTTAGTCCCGGCCATGTAGGTCGTCATGATGACGAGTGATGCACTCTCTAATCGGCCTCGGTCTCGATGGAATGGGCGAACTGTAAATTCTGGAATGCCGTATGCTGATATGTATATATATACTCTCTCAATGACCCCTCAGAGTGTGTTACTCTGGTGACGATGGCGGTCGGTCATGCTCGTTGAGTGAGAATAGAGAGGATCCATGCTTCGATGAGACCAGCTCAGATGGATGGAGAAGCAAAAAAAGATTGGAAAGAGGAGGGAGAGGCATGGCTTTATACCTCCAGCACAAGGGCAAACCGGGCCTCAAGTCAAGTTTTCAAGCGTAGAGTCACGCCAAACATCACCAGTCTGTGTGGTAAATGGTTGATCCTGAAACTTGGACTGACACCTGCAGAGGAGTCATGTCCAAACTCACTACCTAGGTGGTCTGGGTGGTGAGTGGTTGATGCCGAAACTGTCGCAGATTGAAGACGCTTGAAACCAGTGGTGACAATCAGCATATGAGTCTGTCAAGATCGTGGGGTGGTTGTTTCAACTTTCAGCCTCGTCACCATACACCGTCACATCTCGGGTCGTGTGAATCTGTGATGCAGGGTATGTGACACAACGGGGCGCTCTGAATCGCAGATCTTAGGTGAATAGAAGAGCCTTGAATAATCTGTGGAGAGGCAGAGGCAACCACATGGAAATGGGCAGTCAATGCCGGAACGACACGAGGATGGCTGAGGTCTTCGCATGCTGTAGATCGGTGTCATCTGAAGCATAGCACTCTCCAGACCCATTCCCTCCAACCCCGCCGTTTAGGATTGTGGGAGAGTCCCCGTATTGTTCCCAGCCTCCTCGTTTCATTGTCCAGCTCACGCTTGGCTTGTTATGCAGAATACTGTTTGCTGCTACCTGCATCGACAAGCTCTCAGCAACCGAGTAACTTGCATTAGCGACGCCTGGGAGCCGGCGATATCGTAACATTGCTCAGGTTCATTGCAATGCGGAGAGTGGACGGGGCTGTATTGACCCTCAATCGCTGCGGTGTCGATGCACCCGAGGTCCCTGCCTGGCGAGCTTTTCGAAAGTTTCCGGCAAGTCCAATATTGACACAACAATACCGTCTTGACTGAGAGTTTCGCAACGGCCTCCTTTGGTCGAAGCGAAAAATAGCCATGTGCAGGCCAGCAATGAGCTCGTTGTCATGTAAGGGCCATTGATATCGCGAGGATCTTGCAGAAGTGCATACATACTTTTTCGGCCCCAAGATCGAACGGGTTTGTACCTTTTTGGGCAGGGGAAAACGGTCGAGCGCGGTCGGAGCAGTTTTCTGTTTGTTTCTCACATCCGCAAAGACGTAAGACATATAGACAGAGTCAACCATCCTGCCGCATCACTTGGATTGGATGGAGTTGCCTTGGGCATCTGTTTCCTTGTTCGCGCGCCACACGCCTTCCTGCACCTCGCCCGTGTCGGCAAACCACTCTCTCTTCCAGATCTCCGCTCTGGCTTTGACCCTTTCCAGAATCTCTTCGGCGCCCGTCCAACCACTGGCACGATGTCCGCTGCTCACCGAGACCGCGATGCTCTCCTCTTCGACTTTGACCTCTCCCAAACGATGAACTATCACAACCTTTTCGAGTCCATGTTTCTTCTGTACATCTTCGGCAATGGCATACAGGGATTTGAGGGCGAGAGACGGATAAGCCGAGTAAGAGAGGCGGGAGACCGGCCGAGAGTCGAAGTTGTCGCGGGTAGTGCCTAGAAACAGGACATTGGCGCCAGCTTTGGGAGAGCGGGTGAAGCGGAGGTAGGCTGGGACGTCAAGAGGGTCGTAGACTAGAGAGATGTAGATTGTTTCTGACGATAGTGTTTGGGGGAAGTTGGAGGGATCGAGGATTGAGGACGTCTGCGACGACGGTTGCTTGGAGGGAACGGCAGGTGAGCTTTCCGTAGCCATTGCCGCAATTTCTTCAGCTGAGTGGTGTTGTTGCAAACCAACGACCAGCCAAAAAGATCGTCTGCAAGCGGAGTTCAAATCAAAGGTGCTTTTTATTCTCAGTGCTGGTCACCGTTTATGAAAATCATTGCAACGCCACACATGGGCCTCTGCGGACATTTGCGAGTTGACGCACTCGCTCACAGGAGTATCACGGCCAAAAGTTCAAGCACGGCGGTTGAGAGATTCCCCTTCAAGATGTGATGAATCGAATCTGGCGGTGCAAAGAGAAAAAGTGAACACTCCGTTGAAGTCACGGACGCAGGCAACCTACCAGGTCCCTCCTGCCTCCAACGGTACGTCATTCAAGGAGCCTTCATCAGCACCTTTCAACCTCTGGTGCGGTGCCCAAGTTGAAATGAATACTTCTGGGCGCAGACAACAACTACTGCAGTGTGGGTGGTGCTTAAGACGCCACTGCAGTTATTGATTCAATTGCATCTCGACCCCAGCGACATGCTCTCTGGCATCGCCCATTTTTTATTCATGGATCGACCTTACTACTGCCGCGGGCCCTTGGCTCTTTGTCTAGCTGCCCGAACCTCTATCGAAAAGAAAAGAAAGGTTTCAACATCTTTTTCATTCGCTACTCCAGATCCTCCACCACTGGCACATCCCACTCACCTCTCCAAATATCCCGATCCGCCAGAAAATCCGTCTTCCTCCCACCTCAACTGGAGCCACGTCCACTCTTCACCGCCTGGCTTTCCATCAGACTTTCCACTCATACCAGCCATGATGTGCAATTTATGCTGTCTAAGACCTCCCCTGCATCGTCCGTTCCCCTGTTCAAGCAATTTGCCTGCCTAAAAGAGAACTCCATTCACCAGCAATACAATTGAAGTGGCTGGGAAGCAATAGGATTGGCCTGTCGTGATATGTAAGATGGGAGACGGCGTGATCTTGAAAGTCGAGGCTAGTTCGAGGCTCGCATAGGCGTAACCTCTGTTCATTTTTGTTTCTGTTGTACATTCTATCTTCCTATTCAGACATATCGAGTACAGCTTCTGGAAAGTGGAGTTTATGTAGACCCGTAGACCCGTATACCCATGCCGTGCACCGTCGCCATGCCGCAGACCTGGTAAAAGACGATCATGCCAAAGGTTTTCTGCGTCGCGTACACCAAGTCCAAAAAGCAGTAATGCTGGTCTTGGACCTCATCACAAATATATTGTCCGATTCCTTCATTTCGCTTCGTTCGAAGCTGCCTGTTTCTCAGTAAGATATGGCAGCGGCGTCCTGTCAATCGGCTTGCCATCTTTCTTCCAGTCTCTGATATGCTGGAGGACAATGGCTGCAGCACTCTCCGGCGTGTCTTGTCGGCCAATACATTCGACGAAATCCCCCTCCGGATCCATCACGTAAAAGTAGATACTGTGGTCCACCAGGTAATCTTCCTCACCCGGCTCCAACTTGGGCGGCGTGGAGAAATATACCCGGTATTGTTTGCACACATCTTTGGTTTGCTGCCAGGTACCGACCAGGCCCATTATCGCAGGATGGAATTCAGCAAGATACGTCCGTAAAACTTCCGGAGTATCGCGGTTGGGATCGCAAGAGATGAAGATGGGCCGCACCGCGTTGGGCTCCTTCTCTTGTAGAATGTCTAGTGCTGCGCCCATCTTGTCGAGTTCGTCAGGGCAAATATCTGGACAGTGGGTGAAGCCGAAATATATCTGCAGAAATGACATTGTTAGGGAGACACTTCCAGAGACGAGACGAGATTAGACCACCGTACCAATGAGTATTTCCCCAAGAGATCCGTCTCCGTAAAATCGTTCCCATTGACATCTTTCAATGTGAACGGACCGCCAACTTTCGGCTTGCCGTAGCCCTTGCTCATCTCCACGATCCGCTTTCGCTCCAGCCGCGCCTTCTCGTACTGGAAGTAAAACACCATGGCCGCGCCGACTCCGACGAAGAGGGCCGCTGATCTAAATGAGAATGGCTGTCTCGGAAAGTCAGACAGGGCGAAGACGTACCGCGGATGAAAATACGTACGCCTGTTTGGTGGTACAATTTGTCTCCAGCCTTCATTCTGGGATTTGATCCCGAGAACTGACGGGACTGAACGCATCGTGATGACAGAGCCTGTCGCCGTCCAGGTCGTGCCGTTCTGGAGAGTGGTCTGATCGTGGTGTAAGCTTCGCTGCGTCCACAGCTGGAGGCAAAGGACTGCGTCGCAAGCCGGCGCATGGCTTGCCGAAGAGGAGGTAGCTGTGTAGACATGATGGCAGACGGTCAATGAGCGAAATGGATGTTGTCGAGACTGATGGTAGATTTTATCGGAGCGACGCTTCACGCAACTTGAAGCCGCATTGGCGGAGATGTCGGCTACGGCGGAGCACTTACCGTTTATACCGCATAGCAGAGCAGAGCAGGAGCATCGTCTGCGAGTTTCTTACATGTCGTATTACTGATCATAGGGTTGCGTGTAGGTAATCGCTTCGAATATTGACATTTCCAGGGGACTCGAAGGAAATGTCCTGATATGTGCAAGGCGGCCACCTCCTTTTTGGTCTCAGCCTCGTCCGCCACGGGCCGGTTCGATTCTTGCGGTAACGCAACCAACAGGAGTACATACAGTAAATATACTCTGCGGAAGAAGGTTGAAGCTCGTTCCAGTTGTCCTTATATGACGTTGGTTTAGAGACCCATGAACTACGTACTAAGACTGTTCAGACATGATTGTAATGTGCTGCCTAGTGACATGGATCGCGCTCAACGCCATGCCATTGCCAATACTATCTGCGCGTATACGATACAATGATTGACTGGGTTTCATCCCAACAATCTCTCGAGCCCTTCCCTAACGGCTAGCCACCATCTGTGGTGATTTGGCGACTGGGTTCTCTCTTTGAATCCTCTGATCGTGTCTATGGGTCGTTGTGCCTTGACTTGATCCTCACTGAAGAAGCTGCCGTGGAGACCATAGCTGACTCGCTGTGTCAGGTAGACACGCCCCACGACGGCCTTCATGTCCTTTGCATCAATGATCCACAATTCACTCACTGCATCTGGCCGACAATCACCCCGAGAGTCGAGCTGAGACTCATCGAAAACATAGGTCAGAAGCCAGCCATCATCTTCCTGAATGCCACCACGTCTCGGAACGAAGCGCGGTTCCTGAGCATACCATCCTGCAGGCATGCGGAAGACGGAGATTGGATCGTCCGGGTCTTTTGAGGCGATAACTTCTTCCACGGATCGCATGTCCACACAGCCGGTGATGGGTCGCATGTGGGGGTCTTTCTTGCCTTGTTTGATCAGAGTCCCGGCATCGATCTTGACAAGACAGTCAATTTTGACCGCTCGACCAAGAGCAGCACCGAAGGAACCTTCAGAACTTGAACACCCGTAGATATATCTGGTCTCGCCCATTGCTCTGTCGTCCCGTGTGCTAGGAAACTCGAATGATATTGCGCTTAGGGCGAACTGGTAGTTGATGACATTGCGTGTTGGGTTGGCGAGAGAGAATTGGTAATAGTATAATCGGCACTGGTCCTCCTCGCTCTCAACGTCAATGGAAGTCGGTTGAGGGGCAGCAATGTCACCAGCGGCAAAGACCAGCGAAGCTGAGGTCAGTCGACAGGCCAGCATATTGACAACAGCAGTCCTGCCCATCCCTGTCTCTTTATCTGTGGATTGATCGTCCCAGGTGTTCGCAGTATGAAAGATACAACATGCGTCCGTCTCGTACCAACGTATCTGACGAGGACAGTACCTGGAAAAGACTCCAAAGCGCGATTTGGAGGTTGGATCGTAAGCCACCACGGGTTTGTTCTTTGCGAGATTCAGCGGATCCAGAGACAATGGGAGATCCATAATGACGGTGTGCTCCAAAGATACACCAAAGTCGTGCATCATCTTAGCTGACGTTATGCCTGGGATGGGGGCGTTGAGAATCCTCGTGGGCCTCGCCAGGGGCGTCGAAGATATGGCAGGCGGGTGAGCCGCAGGAATTATTGAATAGTGTACATATGGGGGCACAAAAGTGGAATGAAAGAGTACCAGCTCTCCCGTACTTGGGTCGACTCGGGGATGCGCCGTGGTCCACTCCTTCATGAATCCCAGCAGTCCGTCACCCCCGAATCCTGAACCCTCCTCTCCGCCGACCTCACCGACAGCTTTCTTTCCGTTGTACCAGCCCACGGTCTCCAGGCCCGGGAGAGCGATGCGCATCGGTGGACCGGATTCGCAAGTGGCAAGCGCCCGCCCATCATGATATAGTATGCCAGTGTTGGAGACACTGATTTTCTTGATGGCCTGTGTCGAACCCGGGAGTCGAGATAGTATCACCAGCAAGATGGTTCGAAAGACCAGGAGAATGATCGTGAACAGGGATGACAGAGGATTGACGAGTGTCGCGATGCTTGGTAGGATAGGGAGCCGAAGGGACGTGGAGGAGGATGTGAAAAGGAATAGGTCGGTGAGAACGTATTGATTAACACACTCGGGCTGTATTCCATCTGGTGTCCTTGTAAAGGTCACCCCATTGAGCATTCCGTCACCATCAAACCAGTGGGCATCTCGACCGAGGTCCTCGTTAGACACAGGATTGCCTCCGTTGCGAACATACTCGCCCCCATGTAGCTCGTCTGGTATTGTGCCCGAGTATCTACAAGGCGTCAGAGGTTGGCTCTGGCGCACAGGAGCAAAGTTTCCGCCCAGGTATGGGTGTGGATGGCTTCTCTTGCGCTTTCGAGTGTTGAAGGGGGACATTATCTGTTGGTATGAGTGACAGTGGTCCTCAGAGGACGTCTACCCAACGACAACGGCGAGGACGTTTGGTGTTAGGCAGCGAAGATGGGACTAGATGATGTGACAAGTCGAACAAGGTTCGTCAAAGGTTTTGTTCTGGTCATGACAGCAGGAGCTTGTCGAAACGACGGTCTCCGTTCCCGAGGTAGCGCAGATCACCCGTCAGAGAACAGGGAGGACTTCTCTCGGAAGATAGTAATCGTTGACAGGATACTACTACTCAAAAGACCCCCACACACACGGTACAGTAATGTGCGAGAAGGATGAGGCAGAGAGGGAACTCACATGTCAAGAAAGGTATTGGGAGTGAACTGATTCACATGGGTGAGGGCAAACCACATGATGTAGCCATTACAGCTACCACCACTTTAGCATGAGAACCTGGTCTGCCCAAGCGGAGCAAGCTTGTATCATGACTCAAGTCACATAGAAGCTTGGGACTGCCCAGTAGTACCCAGGTAGTAATGGAGTTCGCGATAGTACTGGTATTGGGAGGAGAGCGCAGGCGAGGGGAAGTCGGAGTCGGGGAGAAACGAATCCTGGCAGATGATGCTTGGATCTCAAACAGGAAGGCTAAGCGAAGGTGGGACCGAACAAAAAGTCTATGTCGTCATGAAGAAACCGATACAGTATCTTTGCCGAGGAAGATCTACTGCTGCTTTAATCGGCCACTCGCAGCCGCTGATTCGGCCATTGTCCCCACCGACAGCCTCGCCAGCCCTTGAAGCAGCCTGCTCTCCTATCAATTCAAGTCGTGATAACAACATCCTCTTCGTGGCTTGCCCACCCCAGTCCTCAGTGCTATAATCATCTTGGAATACTACTACCCAGAGTACGACTAGTAGTTATGGTAATAATAGATCGCGTCATGACATGCACGTCGTCAAATTTCATGGTGTCCCATCAAAAGCCGTCCTCCCTCAACCTTGCACGAGCCTCTTCGAACCTTTCCGCTCTCTGAACCCCTTCGAAGCACTGGCATCGTCCCTCTTCCCGCACATCCAACGTCACCTTAGCTGCTGACCGTGTCGGATATATTCTGCCCTATGGCTACTCCGGCAAGTCAACGTTGAGCCATCAATCCTTAATCGTGCCCTTTTATTGTGCTTGATGCCAACTACGGACACTGTTCGCGTCAAGCCCGATGTACGACTATGCGCAAGTGTATGTGTTGTCCTTGATACTTGAGACACCTGTGGCCGGCATTATACTCACATCTACATTGCCGACCATAGCCACGTCAAATACACCATCCCTCCGGCCATAGTTCTGACTATAGTCCTCGCTCCCCTCTTCACGCGGCGGGACATCTTCAAAATATGTTTTCTACTGGTTGTGGCTGTGGCCTACACGATTCCATGGTATGCGAGCAAAAAGGGTCTCGTTTCAGTCTAGATGCTGATACTGTTTCAGGGATTCGTACCTAATCACAACTGGAGTTTGGAGTATGATCAACCACCTCAGCCCGGGGTTCATTCTGTACTGACTGCTTTAAGCCTATCCCTCAGATGTTATTGTGGGACCGACAGTGTTTGATATCCCGGCCGAAGAGTTGTTCTTTTTCATAATCCAGACATATATTGTTAGTGCACCTTCCCCATCCTATGACTATCTCTTCTCACCGTGCGAAAGACCGCTTGTCTACAGATCCTGCTGAGTAAATCAGTTGTTACGGCAACTTATCTGCACAACGAGGCCGATGGTCAAGATCCAGTCGGCAGATCATTGAAGAAACGCAAACGGGTTGGCCAAGTCATTCTGTCATTATGTTCGATACTTCCACTCTTCATGCGAGGTGGCCATGCTACAGGCACATATATGAAACTCATCCTTGTATGGGCCGGGCCTGTTCTATTCATGCTTTGGACGTTTGCATATCAGCTCCTCCTGACGTTCTCATGGTCCAAGACATGGTTGCCGATAATGCTGCCAACCCTCTACCTCTGGGTCATTGATACGCTCGCTCTGCGCCGAGGTACCTGGTGCATTGAGTCAGGCACTAAGCTCGGTATTCAGGTATGGCCTCATTTGGACATTGAAGAGGCTGTTTTCTTCTTGATGACCAACACTCTGGTCGTCTGTGGTTCAATTGCGTACGACAACGCCGCTGCGGTCCTGGATGCTTTCCCCAGCACGTTTGCCGTCGTACCAGGCATACCGTCGCCTGCACTCTTGCTCAAGGGTATTTTCCTGTCTACGTCCAAATATGACATCGCGCGCATTCGAGGGTTACAAAATGCGCTAGAAGTGCTTGCGCGGAAGAGTCGGTCTTTCTACCTTGCATCCGGGGTTTTTGCTGGACGGCTGAGGATAGACCTGATCTTACTCTACGCCTTCTGCAGAGTAGCAGACGATCTGATCGACGATGCACCGTCTGCTGAGGAGGCAGACAGCTGGGTAAAACATTTTTCGAATTTCTTGGACACGGCTTACTCCCCAAAATATGACCGAGCCCGGTTCGAGCAGGCTCTGGCCCCCTTCCCGGCCAAGGCACAGTCCATCTTGGTACTCCTGCCAACCGACAAATTGCCCCCACAGCCTCTATACTCGCTGCTCGATGGCTTTCGTATGGACCAGCGGTTCTTCAGAAAAGGGCCGAACCAGGATCCGCCTATACAGACTTTTGCTGACCTGGAGCGTTATGCATCCTGCGTGGCAGCAACTATTGGAGAACTGTGCTTGAGCCTCGTTTATCAACATGACCCCGACCATCTCACAGACGAGACAACCAAGCAAAAGTGTGTCGCAGCTGGAGGTGAAATGGGAAGAGCGCTGCAATATATCAACATTGTGCGAGATGTAACAACCGACGCTCAATCAGGGAGATGCTATATCCCAAACGAATGGTTCAACAAGTCCTCGGCTTCTTCTCCTGTCAAGCACAATGAGGAAGTGGCTCGTCACCGCAAGCGGATCCTGGACATTGCTTTTGCCATCTACGCTGAAAATCGGGACGCGATCGAGGAGCTCCCTCGGTACGCACGAGATGGAATTCGTGTTGCTGTGGAGAGCTACATGGAGATTGGGAGAGTCATGCGTGACCGAATGCAGGAGGGCAAGCCGTTAGATTTCACGGGCGGCGGGAAGAAAGGAAGGGCCAGCGTACCCAAATGGACAAGAATATGGGTGGGTTGGAGGACCATGGCAGGCTGGAGAGGTTCAGCCTGATCAAAACAAACTTGAAAGAGTTGTTCTGTTGATTTGTATATATATTTCTTTATGATCATCGCTCTCCTCACCGGCCCCAGTCGCTTATGCCCGCGATGGGATGCGGGGATGATTCGCAGAGCAGGGGACAAGCCAGATCAATAATGCAGTATCTCCTCCCATCACACTCGGAGTTCGTAGTATGCTCACTTCTCAACATCGAATGTATTTGCTTTCTTCCCTCTCGATCTCGACGAGAAGGAGTTTGCTGAAAGCTGGGCAGTGGCTTAACGCACCGCCACCAGCCAGTATGGCAATTCATCGCTAAAAAGTCATGGTGTCATCGACTTTGACAGACTCAGACGGCCACATCCTTAACCATGTGAAGCCTGTGCTGCACCGCCCATCTCTGGGCTTCATAATTGTCACAGATAAAGACGAGCCATGAGCAAGCCGAAAAGCGTGGTGATCATAGGTAAGCCCCGGCCAAGATGATACATATTGTCCCTCAAGTCTGACCCCTTCTTTGAAGGCGCCGGCGCTGGTGGCATCGCGAGTGCAGCGCGACTTGCCAAAGCAGGCTTCCGAGTAACAGTGCTGGAGAAGAACGACTTCACCGGCGGTCGATGCAGCCTGATTCACGATGACGGGTATCGATTCGACCAAGGTCCCTCGCTACTCCTGCTTCCCGATCTCTTTCGAGAAACCTTTGCCGACCTAGACACGTCCCTCGAAGCGGAAGGAGTGGAATTGTTCAAGTGTGAGCCAAACTACAATGTCTGGTTCCGCGATGGCGAGTGCATCGAGCTCTCCACCGACACGGCGAAGATGAAGAAGACGATCGAGCGCTGGGAAGGCAAGGATGGTTTCGAGCGATACCTGGCTTGGATGCGAGAGGCGCATGTCCACTACGAGGCCAGCGTGGTCAACGTCCTCAGGAAGAACTTCTCGAACATGCTTGCCATGGTCAGGCCGAGCTTCTTGCCCTACCTGCTGGCCCTTCATCCGTTTGACAGCATATGGAATCGGGCAGCACAATACTTTAAGACCGAGAGAATGCGACGAGCGTTCACTTTCGGAAGCATGTACATGGGTATGAGCCCGTTCGAGGCTCCCGGCACGTATAGTCTTCTTCAATATACGGAACTGGCTGAAGGGATATGGTAAGTTGGCAATGCAGCACAATCATGAGGACAGAACGCTCAATGATATTGCAGGTATCCGAAGGGTGGATTCCACAGAGTCCTCGATGCGCTAGTCAAAGTTGGCGAGCGACTCGGTGTTGAATACAGACTCTCGACCTCCGTGTCACAGGTCAACATGGACAGATATTCGAAGCGGGCTTCTGGTGTGACGCTGGCCACCGGGGAGATCATCAATGCCGACATTGTTCTTGTCAATGCGGATCTCGTCTACGCCTACAACGAGTTATTGCCTCCCTCCTCGGCGGCCTCCTCGCTGTCAAAGAAGCCGGCTTCGTGCTCAAGCATTTCCTTCTATTGTGAGTGCAAGGCCCCGAACCTCAAGAGATCGCGGGATTGACAAGGCTAGGGTCCATGGACAAGGTCATTCCTGAGCTCCAGACGCATAATGTCTTCTTGGCAGAAGACTATCAGGACAGTTTCGACGACATCTTCAAGCGGCAGCAGATCCCGAAGGAACCTTCCTTCTACGTCAACGTACCCTCGCGCGTGGACCCAAGCGCGGCGCCCGCCGGTCATGACGGTGTAGTTGTTCTCGTCCCATGTGGTCATTTGCTGGAGGGGAAGGCCGACCGAGGCCTGGATCCCCAGAATGCTCAGGACTGGGAGGCCATGATATCCAAGGCCCGAACCGCCGTCTTCGAGACAGTACGCCTGCGCACAGGGGCAGACCTCGAATCGCATGTGATCCACGAGATCATCAACACGCCAGCGTCGTGGAAGGAGAGTTTCAATCTGGACAAAGGAGCGATCCTGGGACTAAGCCACTCTTTCTTCAATGTTCTCAGCTTCAGACCCGGCACGAAACACGCTGATCTACAAAATCTGTACTTTGTTGGAGCCAGCACCCATCCAGGAACCGGTGTGCCTATCGTGCTTGTCGGCAGTAAACTTACCACGGGGCAAATCCTCGATGATCTGGGCATCAGCAAACCGTGGTCCGAGGGCGGTCATCAGCGCAGAATAGTCAGTGATCTGGACCGTTGGGGAAAGACGCCTATAGACCTTGCCCGGGGGTTTTATCTGCTGGCCCTGGTCCTGGCGGTGGTATTGTCTTTGATCTTCCTCCGATAGAAGGAGTCTTGTTTGTGATTTGTTTTGATAGACAGCCGGCATCATGGACTTTGGATTAGATCGTGGATGTCATGTCTATGCAACATCTATTTGACTCGCGTAAGTGCCTTGTAACTAAGCGTAGTATGCGCAGAAATGTTTCCGCTACTAGTACTCGTGTGTGTGGGAAAATGATATCCCATAGTATTGCAGTACTGCTTCCTACCTAGGTACGTATGTACTAAGAAGTGGAGCGGATGAAGTCAGCCTTTTTAGTAACCACTCCCACGGTATTGAGGTATGAAGTATATCAGCCCAGAGTAGTAATCTGTGGTCAGCACCTAACCACTACTAAGGCAATCCATACCGTCTTATTGATCGGTAGGAAACGCCCGGAAGCCAAAATCCTTGCCAACGGGACCGGAAGCCGATTTCCTCGACTGACAGCTGCTCATCTCGATCTGGTAGCCTTACTCCCTGCCGTCTTCAAACCAATCTTTGCGGCTGGAGCCTCGCTCCGAGAGATCGCCATGACTAAGGCCTGCAACATGACAAAGTCTGTCAGTCTTCTGGTCACGCGGAAGAGGCAGCTTGCTGGCTATTGGCGCGGCTGAACGACCGTTGGACTCCCTCTCCGCCCAATGCCGGAAGGGCGTATATGGTGGATGGTGGATGGTGGATGGTGGATGCATGGGCTCGATATCGTCTCTCTGTCAGGTATGGATCGCAACATCTACCGCATTCCATTGTCGCATGAGTCAAGCATGACTGCGGGAATTACTAAGACCAGTATTACCTGAGCTGCTCTGTACAGGGAGGGTACTCTGTAGACAGACATGCAGAGAATTCCGACCACATCCGGCGGGCCCCATGGAAAATCGTGGAAGATCATTCATCCCCAAGGCTCCGCTACAGCAACGGCGGACAAATCTCATGCCACCACATCATTCCACCCGAGCAAGCGCAGCCTTAACGGTGGCCTTGACGGTGGGAAATCCCGTCTGATAGTGGAGAGGTTTTCTCTTGCAGAGGTTAGAAGCAGCCGGAATGAGCCAGTCACAGGTATGTTTCATGTCCAACTCGAGCAATTCTGTGTTTCCATGGGCCGTGCGTTGGCCGTTTTGTGACATCGACCCTATCCCGACGAGAACCCAGTCTGTCTTCAGCCTGAGATGGAGCAGATAGAGCCTTGTCGCTGGAGACGGACGGAACACTTGACCCGGGTTCGTCTGCGAAAAGGGGGTGTGGTGTGGAAGGAAGCTTGCAGAAGCTTGTCTCTGCGGTTTTTGCGAGAGCAATTTTCCAATGGAAGCCTTCGATCGGTTCTTACGGCATTGGATCGGAATGAAAAGTTTCTGCAAGTTTCTGCATCAGCAGAGAGGTGCATCGATGAGGACGAAGTCTATCGCAGGGTGACCAGTCCAGACCAGTCCCGGATCGACGTCACCCTTTGCTCTGTGCTCGTTGTTCTGTCCACCAGCCAGCTATATTAGACGCCTCCCTCTCTTCCGGACGATATGGACAGACAACGAGTCAATCAAGTTTCGATTTGCGCCATACAAGAGCCTCTCCCCTGTTCGCGAGAACCCACGCCACCGCTCTCACCACTCTAAAGCAACTGCCACCACCACCGCCTCCCAACTGCTCGCCTTCTTCACACTTTCAGCCTCAACAGCCCCAAACACACCGCCATCGCAATGGGTAACCACGCGCTCACTCTCAATGGCTTCACCAACACCGTCACGACCAACAACCACATCACGTCCCGTGGTAGTGACTGGTACTTCACGGTCAGCGCCGTGATGGCCACCGCCATGCTCTGCGTGATGGGCCTGTCGTTCACCAAGCCGCGTTCTCAACGGTTGTTCCACTACATGTTGGCCTCGCTCTTGCTCGTCTCCGGCGTCGCCTACTTCGCCGAGGGTTCCAACCTCGGCTGGACCGCGATCCAGGTAGAATGGGACCGCCACGACCCCAAGGTGCACGGCAACATGCGCCAGATCTTCTACGTCCGATACATTGACTACTTCATCACCACGCCCTTGTTGCTGTCGACGCTTCTGCTGGCCTCTGGTCTCCCTACCCCAACCATCCTGTATGTTCTGATGATGGACGTTGTCATGGTGATCATGGGTCTCGTGGGCGCCCTGGTCAAGAGCACCTACAAGTGGGGTATGTACATCTCCGTTGCCTTTTTGTTTTTCCCTTTGCTTTTCGAGTTGTCATTCCCCAGTGGGCCCTTAAAATCATACGTGATCGGGACATAGTGAGGTGACTAACATAGTTTATTCTAGGCTTCTACACTTTCGGCCTCACCGCATTCTGCTTCATCGCCTTCTCTGTAGTCTGGGAAGGCCGTGTCTATGCGCGCGCTCTTGGTGCGGACATCCTCAGGAACTACACCGTGGCCAGCGCCTGGCTGATGATCATCTGGCTTGTCTACCCGGTTGCCTGGGGTGTCAGCGAAGGCGGCAATGTCATTCCTCCCGACTCCGAGGCCATCACGTATGGTGTGCTTGATATCCTGACGAAGCGTAAGTCATGTCCAATCCAGTGGATATCTATCCAACTCGTGCTAACATTTCCCCAAACAGCCGTCTTTGCTGCCTTGTTCCTCTGGGGCATTCGCTCTGTCGACCTCACCCGTCTCGGCCTCAACATCCGCGATGTCACTCTCGCTCCCGGTGCTGGTGCCGGTGAGAAGCAAGCCACAGCTGCTCCCGACGCTGGTGTCGCTCCTGCTGCTGGCACCACCCCTGCCACCACTGTGTAAAAAGGCAGACATGACATGAGCCAGAGCACAGTTGCTTGATGTCCTCGTCTTGCCAAAAGTCAATCTTCCCCGGCACATGGGTCAACGGGCATCTGTCATCTCCTCGGTTCTCATGATGAATATCCCCCCATTTTCTGACAAAGGGGGTCGCATTCTGTTCTTCACCTCCCATCACCTCGCGAGGCGCGACACACGGTCACTCATTTTATCTGGATTTATTTGGAGAGAGCGTGGTTTTGATAACCACCCATGCCACCTAATACTCACTAATCACTAATTAATTGCCATCTATATCGCATCGGAGTCGGCAAGGACGACAAAGACAAAGCAGGAACCGAGCTGGAAGAGCCACGACTCCCTAACGATGACGGTGACGATGAGGATGACGATACGCTACGAATGTTCATGTCACGCCGCGACGAGATACCCACCACCACATGCATGCATATACATACATCCTCTCCGCTGATACCATGTACGAGCACCTACCTGTCCAGCACTACTTGGGACATTGTTTGAGTGTTGTTTTGTGTGCGCCATTGTACCACCTCTACCGACAGTCCTTGAGGCAGCCTCTCCTTTTCCCCAATACCCAGATAGAGCGAGTGTGGTTGTTAGGTATATATCCTATGGTTATTTAGGTAATCCAGTAATTAATTCTCCACATAATATTTTGACAGTTCTTGAATCTTCAGACACTGTTTGCTGCTTCTCCTTTTCGGCTTGTTTGGTATGGAAGAAACGCGAGTCTACGCGACTGGCTGAGCTAGGCATTCCGAACTCTGGAAAAGGGGTAGGCGGGTGTGTGGATATATAGATTGGATGAGTGTAGTGAGGAGCCATCCCCAACTTCTTATGTTCAATTAATAAATAAGGTGGGCAGCAATCAAAAAGTACAATTTCTTCAAGTGGGTATTGAACCACGTTGGTATGGATTATCCGTATGGACTGTTGTGCAAATCGGGACTGACGAGACTGGTCATGGTTCCATGGATCTTCGAAGCATCCCCTCATGTGCATATCACTGTGTGGTACTAGTCCGTAAATATATATATGTTACTTTGTTGGGTTCGCGATATGCCGTGGCACTACGTAGCTCCTTTCGTTGCCATGGAGCAAGGGAGAGGGTGCAGGTAAGACGAGGCACGAGCAGAAAGAGGGTTCGTTCGTGCTGTACGGTACCGACGACGTCTTCATGCCATGCTGGTTGCGCAGAGCTAGAGACTACACGGAGTCTTGGACCCTGGTCTCGACCTCTCCTCTGCTGCGCTGCGCTGCGATCAATGCATCGATTGCGAGTTTTCGGTAACACGAGGGTTCAAGGGCAGAGCCGAAGAGCCAGAAGCGAAGCAAGTCCACACGCACACATGCGCTCACTAGTAGTGAGTGTGGCGAAGGAACTGGTGGTAGGAGCTCGAGCTTCGAACGGGCCGGCCACGAGGCTCTGTCGCAACTTGCTAGAACTGGAACTGGAACTGGAAGAGTCGTTGAGCAGCTTCGAACCATGCGTGGCCCGTGGACGGTGGGTGGATTTTGAGCAGCCGGCAGTCAGCTTCTAAAACGGTCACCGTGCTCTGGATGGGACAATCATGGGCGGACGTCTGTAAAGGTATCAGTATCAGTCGATTAGGGCCTGAGTTGCCAGGGCAAGATTGCTCTCACAAGTCGCCGGAGGTTCGAGATTGTGGGTGCCAAGCACAGTGGTGGGCGAAAGAAGCTCGAGAGTCCCAGTTGGGAAATGCGCACCATCGCAGGCGTCTGCACGGGACTCTCTTCATTTTACTTTTCTCTGTACCAAGTTACCACCTGGGAGCACGCTATAATATCTGGCAGACCATCTACATCGATGGTGTCCCCACTGAGGGACGTCTAGGTCGTCTTTGACATTCACGTTTGATGAGGAAGCCTTCAACCGTTGGATTCTCCATTTGACCAACTGACGAACAGCTGACTTCCACAGTACTGCTTCATCCTGCCTAGACCGCGCTCGAATCTTTGCTCAAGATCCAGCCAGGTCGTAAACACTTCCAGCAAGCTGCACTTCCTCCTGTCGCGGAATGGCAGATTTCAAAAACCGTCCCGTTCTGTGACCAGCCGTTATTTGGGCCACGGTTGACTGCCGCTGAAGTCGACGGGACCATGTACGGTACACGTCAAACTTCGCGGCCATGATAGCCAGCGAGGTTTGTCGCACACAGCGCTGGCGGGACAATTTACGTCTGGGAGATGGGAACTAAGCTGGTCGCAAGCTGGTCAAATTGGCGAAGTAACACCGGCGGTTGCAAATGGGGTTCTAGGGCGAGGAGCATGCCGACCTCAACGAGCCAACAACGTCCCCCCGAACCAACCAAAAGCACCAGAAGAGAATGGTCCAGTCGCCGGACACGATTAGGACGAAATAGAAGAGAAAGCGCTCCGCATCTGCCAGGGCCCGAAATCTGGTTGCTTTCCCAACTTTCCACCGATGTCGTTTGGACGAATGGGCGGCCGAGCGCATTTGCAGACTGGGTCAGCAAATTTTTGTGACCGGGGTCTCTTGCAGATGAGGTTTCCAATGAGTTTCGCGCGTTCCTGACTACCACGGGACTAAGTCGCCCTCTAATCTGGAGCCGGGCGACCTTGGCCGTCGCTCGGGAAATTTGGCATGGCTGGCATTGGCCGGCGGTGGAAGACAGGCGAGGGTCAGCAAATGACAGCAGGGGCATGGTCCAGTCACAGGCCCTGCTGCTGTCCGGGCCACTCTCCATCGGCTCCACGATCAACGCTGCCTCAAATCAATCACCCAGGCAAATCAGTTGCAGCTGGTCGATTCGACCTCGTCGCCGCCGTCTGCTTTGGTGATGGTTCGCAATCTGCTGCTGGGTGTGACCACTGACCACCGACCATGCTGCGTGGCTGCCAGGCCAGCGGTCCACCAGGATCCATCCAATATCGTCTTCCAGTGGCACTAACTACCCTTGCCCTTCAGAGCCTTCCCCCAGGCGCCACATATACTTGTGTGCTTCCCTGCTCATGTTCATGCTTGGACCTCTTGTCTTCCTCGCCCCCAAAGTCCAAAGTCGCAAGATAGCGTCCTGCTGTCGCACGAGTTGCTGAGCTCCCTCTCGGTCTGTCCATCAGTCGCTTCAATCCTTCTCGAGCAGTGCTCGCTCATACCGTCGTCGCGCGCAACGCCTCTAAGCAACAACACAGCATCCACGAGCATCCAACAGGATCAGCATACACTCATTTGGCGCCATCAGAGCATCGCCGTCTGGAAGGGAGGATATACGTACTGTATCGTCTCAGCTGTCCCCGGTCGCATAGACTCGCAACGGCATTCTCGCTTCAAGAACCTCTTCTACCACCAACATGCGCTTCACAACGGTATTCGCAGCAATTGCGCTGCTGCTGGCCCCCGCGGCTCTGGCAGATGAGCCTGCTGGCGACTGGGAAGCCGACACCACAGTCACGATCTATTCATCCTACACAAACACGCTCACTGTCACCAAGACTCTTACCTATGCGGCTGCCATTGCAACCACCAACACCACCAGCACAACCAGCACAATCAGCACATGGTCAGTTCAGCCAACTGGTTGGAACGTGACTTCCTCGAGCACATACGTTCCCGTAACGACCATCCACAAGCCTACTCTTACATCCATCCTCACCTCAGCTGCTGCTTCTTCTTCTTCTTCTTCTTCCGAGACCACAGCAGCACCAACATTCGCTGCAGCCACCGGAGCCGCAAGCATACAAGAGATCAACATGGCAGTGGCAGCTTTTGCCGGTGCCGCCGCCTTGGTCTGGGGTTCGTTATGACGAGAGGGCTTCTGAGTTTTTCCATGCCGAAGTCTTTGGAGTGTCAGGTTGACACAAGGTGTCATATCTTCGCACCCCATTTTTGTTCTTGACTGAGTCAATAGTCTCGGCTAGCACCAGCTTGCTGGACCCGAGACGTCTACATTCTTATCGTTCGCATTTTCATCTCTGGGAGAGTTTGGAGGACTTTTTGTTTTCGGACGACTTTGAACCATTGATGGACCGCAGCCGGTCTTCTTCTTTGTGTGTTTGGTCCACAGTTGGATTGTTGGGTTGTTGGATTGGCAGGGAGTGTGGCCATCGCCTGGGGCGCAGATGACTCGACCTGACACTCAACCAGAGAGTGTCGGGTCAATGTCGTTGGCTATGGAGTTAGCGGTCTGCGGTGTCGCTTTGCAAGCGATCGGAGGAAGCCGAGAAGAGCATCTAGTGGTCATTATTCTGTGACTTCGTGAACGGGTCTGAAAAGGAAGGGAAGCGTGGTTTGGAGTTTGTTTATATACCCAGCCTTGCAACGACCGACACGAAGACTTCTTTTGCTGTGTTCAATATGAAATCAAATCTCTATCCAATGTTCTACTTCCTCCAGCTGCCATCCTCTAAGTGCCATAGACCGCAGTCACTATACTCAAGAGTATCCTTTCACCAGGGAGAAGGGCCATGTCGTCGAGATACAGCGTCTTCCAAGTATGCATTTTGACCCTAACAAACAAAAACAAGCCACCTACGCGCCCGCTATCAGGGTCTCCCATCCAAGATACGTCCTTCGCAGACTCAGCGGAAGTGTGGTCTGTATCGATCGCGTTCCTCGACATCAAGCCTGCATAATCAAAGTGTCTGGCTCTTTCGAATCTGGCCGTCGAACAAACCCGCTTGCTCGGTGCTGGTGGCCCATGCTACATCGGTGACGCAGTCACACCAAATGAAATTGAAATGAATTTCAAATGGCGTAATTGTTCGGCCCGTGTCCCGCTGTCATGGACGTCGCTGATAGTTTATCTCTCGGATGCTGGGTGTTTGATAGATTCGACATCGGCGATATGGCGCGATTGGCAGCACAAGACAAGTAAACCAGCCCCGGCTCCTGTACATACAATGCCAGTGAGTTGCGCGTCGGTGAGCTATGGCAGTGCGTGTCTGTCAATACTAAGTGCCTGCTCTTCGAGTTGGTGTTCAAGTTGTTGACGATTGTCATGGTATCTACCTATAAACGTACATGGATGGCTGTGGGCACTGACTGGCAAAAGCATCTGCGCCGGCGATCCACTCGCGCACTGCACGCGACAGCTGAACCACCACGCGTCTGTCTCTCACAACTTGAACTCGCCTCACTCTCTCGACTACAGTCCGCACCAGCATCATAGCTCACACGGACGTGACTCGAGACCTCCGACTACTAGTACACTCATTCTCAGTCCGGGCCACCCTGCCGGCCCTGTCACTCATTCTAGAGTCTGCTGCATCGTTCATCGTTATCTGTGTACGTGTACACACTTTCATACCCCAGCAACCGATACACCTCGTCGCGCTCTGACGCGCCCCCAACACTCTTTTTGCCCTCCAGCTTCAGCAAGACGTCATGGACGATCTCGATCTTCCCCCAGTCCCCCAGTCTGCTCGCAGGGCAGCTCAGACACCGCCTCGGCCTTCGTTTCTGCTCTCCCGCAAACGGACTCGTGCAGACTACGACGACGAGCCACCTGCCACCTCGAGCGATCCGGCGTTTTTCTCGAGCGACGAGCAGGCACCGGGCGCCGAGAACTATGTCGTCGTCGACAAGCGGAAGAAACGCACCTACAAGGGCTCCTGGTGGGAGCGGCACCCTGTCAAGGAAGGGAGCAGGCACAGTACACGGAAACGCGAGTTTCAGAGGAACTATGACTCGGGTATTTTCATGGCCAGTGAGGGGTCTGAGGAGTCGGAAGAACCCTTGTCCAGCGACTCTTTCTCCATGGAGGAGGAGTTGGTCAGAGACCAGCAAAGAGCGAACGAGAAGAGTCAAACACAGCCACATCTGTATGGAAGTGCTTCTGGACCGGGCCAGTCTCATGGCACACCAAGGTTAAAATTTCCGCCCCACACCACGCCCACTATGCCCAAGGAGCATGAACATGTGTGCGAGATCGTCCGGCAATGCTTGGAGACGGGCAAGGAAGATGTGGACTTGTCGTAAGTTGTCCTCCAGGAGTATGTTCCGGGAAGATGTATTGACGTCCAGCACAGTTCCATGTCTCTATCCAGCCTGCCGTCCGAAATCACCACGCTCCAAACACTCAGCAAGCAAGACGAAATCGTGCCCGGTATGCTCGACATCGGCACCGACCTGGAGCCACATCTGCGTTTGTATCTGGGCAACAACCTATTCACCAAGGTTCCCACGCCGATTCTCGAGTTGCGGAACCTGCGTGTCCTGTCACTCCGGCAGAACAACCTGACATCCATCGCACCCGGCATTCGGGAACTGGTTAATCTGGAAGACCTAAACGTGGCCGGGAACAACTTGACCGAGTTGCCCTTTGAGGTCCTCGAGCTGATGAGATTCCACAAGTTGCACCAGCTCAGGACTGAACCGAACCCATGGAAACGGATCCAACCTCCAGTCGAAAAGGTCCTGGAAACCCCCCTTCCAGCCTCCCATGACCAACGACCCTCGCCGCACACCCAGTTGGATTTCATTCTGGAAGGATCTTCACAACGTCACAACGGGTCCGACCTCAATGTTGAGAGAGGCTTCGGCAAAGTGCCCTCGTTGACCGAGATGGTTCTGCGACTGCTGGCCAAAATCAACGTGCAGTCCAAGATCGACTTGAGGAGTTTCATGCCGCCAGACTCGCCCAGCACTGTCCTCCGCGACTTGGGCATCCTTGTCAATCAGCCCGACCGGAGATGCACAACTTGTAGACGGCCGATCGTGCTGGCTGGCAAGGAGTGGATTGAGTGGTGGGTCATCGTGGACAACGCTCAGTCGGCCTCGGCCCAGCGCCGTCCTTCCCTTCCATTCAGACGTGTCCAATGCTGGCACGGCTGTCGTGGCACAAAGGCTTCACTGCCTGAAGAGCCGCTGAGGCAAATCGAGTCTCTACGATTGGAGAGCGCGGCTTCGGTGCAGGCCTGACTCGTAAGGTCGCAACGAAATCGCTGGACAACGTCGCGCAGGAGTCAGACGTCAAATGAACCTCGGGTAGTGGCGCAATCGAGGTCGCGAGTGCGTGCTGGTACTGGTACTCATTCCAAGAGGTGGACAAGATTTATGATGTACAATTGTGGTTTGTAGCAATACTTTCCCAGCAAAAAAGGCTCGAACCAAGAAGCAGTTCATGTAGAACAGAGAGAGCCTTGGAATGTGTCTCGAATTTTCAATCGATGCCTGAGGCAATCGCCTTCGCTCAAGAGCCATGATCCTAGTTTGTCTTTGTCTCGTAGTCTAACAGTAATCGCCATAGTAGTGTGATTGCGCTCAACTTCAATGTGCAGTTGCAGTGCTTCAAGCTCCATGATGCTCGTGTGGCGGCTAGCTGGCCAGAAAAGCCAGGAAAGCCACACTACCCATGCCATGCAGTCCAGTCCAGTCCAGTCCACTTCAGTCCAGCTCAGTCTTCCATCCACAGCCTTGCTGAAGAATCTCGCATAGCAGGCACAGTGGTCACACTGGCAACATCATCATATCATGCTCCATGTCTCATTGGTATGGCTCAATACCATCCGGGCCCTTTGCATGGCTCTTTTCAATTCTGCAATGCGGTAAAAGAGCGTATCTCGATTCTCCAGCCACACTGTGCACACACACAGAGCCATACCCAGTGGCAGATGTCATTGATTCTCGTTCCGCTCCTCTCTTCAACTTGTTTCCTTGGCCATCAATCCCTTGCTTGGTGTCTTGTCTTCCATCTCAGCTCTGCCCATCCGCATGCCCATATGCCCGCTCATGCATCGGATCCGACGGCTCATATGCAAAGTCCCTCGTGGCAGACTTGCCCACGATGCGCCGATCAATCTCCGCGGCATAGTTGGACAGGGAACACTGCGCACGCCCAAAGAGGTGGATGGCCCGATCGCCCGGGTTGGTGCACAGGTTGAGCCGGGAGTCTGGATCGGAGAAGTATGCTTTCTCGATCTTTGATTCTGGGGGAGACGTCGTGCTGGACTCAAGATCGTTGGTCATGGAGCGGTGGTCCATGCCATCGCTGGACAGCTCGCTGGAGGCAGGGGCGACGTCATGCTCTTCATTGTCATCGTCGTCATTGGCATCACGGTCGACTTCAGAGCCAGTCAAGGCACTGTCGGTTTCTGGGCTGGTGGCGACCGGGAGCGGATCGTGCAAATCCAGCTTTTCAACATGCTGGACGACGCTGTGCAGATCGTAGGCTGAGGCGTCGTTGTTGGCGGCGGGTTCTTTGTTGTCTTGTCTCAGATTCAGTTTTGACTTCACACGCACATGACTATGGCTTGGTTGTGGGCTCGCTTTTGTAGGGGATCGAGACAAAGATCGCTTCAGGGCTCTGATTGGGGAGAGTTTGTTCAGGCCTTTGATGTCTGGCATGCTGCGAGATGGTGGGATTGGTGCCATGATGAGGAACGTCAGTCAAAGGCTGGATCTGTGAGGAGAGAGGAGGTATGAGACACACGAGATCGCTGCTTGTTGATGAGTAGGCGAGTTGGTGAGGTGAAGAGATGGTCGACAGTGAGAGGAAGAGACAAGAGAAGGTTGTGATTGTGAAATCACAAACGTGTGTGCTGTGTGTGCGTGTATATAGACCCGCGCCCTCTTCATGCTCGGCGATACCATCGCGCTGAGGCAGAACTCTTGTGTTATTGAGTGTGCCGTATATCATGCCCGCAGCTGTGTGCAAGATGCAAGTGTCTTCAGGAGTATAAGCGATGTCCATGCTGTCTGTTGTCTCTGGTCAAGCTGCAAACAACGACATATGTTTGCCAATTGATGGATCACATATCATTCCAATCTTGAAAGCATTACTCGGTCCATGAACAGTGTGCATTACCGTTAGGAAGCAGATGAAGTCGGATATCGGAAAAGCTGGAATGGCCATCGTTGTTGGACCCTGTCATGACATTCTTGCTCGTCTTCGGGGTATCTCGAATCGTTAAGTCATAACATGCTCTCGCTGCATTTCAAACAAATCATCGTTCAAAGAAACCACCATCGCCCATCTCGTCGTCGTCGTCGCTGTCCAGGTCGGCCGGATCGATAACACCGTCGTCGTCAAGCCAGGATGGTGTTGAATCGACTGGCTGAGCGGTCGAACTTCGCAATGCCGCCAGATCTTTTCCTCCAACAGTGGCAAGCTCCTTAGCCAATTTGTTGCCTGCACTGAGCCTTCCTTCTCGAAGCGCATCCAGCTTTTCCTGCCCCTCTTTCATACACTTCTCAACTTCGTACCACATCGGTGGCTTGGTCCCTCCCGCCGTCCTGACAATGTTGGCCAGGTCGTCCTCTATGAGCTGCAACTCCTCCCTCTGGGCATCCGTCAGAATGGCGTATGCCTTCTTCTTCATTTGGGACTTGTGTTTCTGCTTGTCGTCCTCTTCCTGCACGAATAGGCTGATGTACTTCTCTCCGAGAGGGGCATACTTGGTGTAGTTCAGATCCACCTCCGCTTCGTGTATTGACTTGTCCAACTTTTTCTGGGACTCCTCATTGTCGGAAGGATTACTCGACTCCTTCAGTTTGAGCAGTTTCTTGAGGGTTCGCTCCGCTTTCTGACGCTCGACGAAGCGGACGAAGTGATACCGCTGCAGATTCTTCCTGGTGGCATTCGCCAGTTGAGCCTTTTGTTGGTCGAGGAGCAACGCAGCTAGTTCGCGTTCTTTCTCTTGGCGCACTGTCATGGGTAGCGACTCCCGGCTCAGGAGGTTGCGCAGTGAATGTATGCGGGTGGAGGGGTTGGTTTCTCGTTCTCGTTTGCTTTTGGTGACTGCCGACCTCACCGGAGATAGACCTTTGCTAGGTCGAACATGCCCTGGACCCGAGCCACGGTTTGGCCGGTAACGACCACGCTCAGGACGCCATGAGTCGACGCGAGTATCGGCTCGTACGTCTACTCGGGCAGCGTCTCGTGGAGCAGGTCGATACTTTGCCATGACTAGGAATTCGGAGGTCACGAAGACAAGAGTCCACAGGAGCGGCGTGTGTTAGGCTCAGACGTAACTGAGGAGAACGGTCATCTTCTGTATTAGTATTGGCCGTCAACTAACAGGTAAAGAAGTAGTAGTCGGGGTCAAGATTGAGAATAGTTTAATCATTCTCTTCTGAGAGAAAATAGCAAGCGTTGAAATGATTCTGCCGTTCAAGTTCTTCACCGCCTACAAGCCATGCACGTGATGTCACTTGGCGATATATCACGCTAAACCAATTCGGGATTGAACGCTCGACGACGTCCATCTCGAGTTACGAGGCAGAGAAGCCTCAGTATCTGGGCATACGCATTGCCGTGCGGAGGACGACGATGCTCGCCATTGACTTGAGGGCGCGAAACTAGGCGCTGAGAAATGAGTCGGATTTCGAAGTATATACGGGATCTGCGGCATGGAGTCCGCCATTCGCTTCTCGCAGAACTCCCTGCCGGGGATCGATCAGAGGTTCTTATACGTGGACGTGACGGGCAAAACATTTAGACTCTGCAAGATCACCAAGGAAAGTAGGGCCAAGGTTCAATATGAGGCGGTCTGCACATCGACAAAGGTGCCGGCTTTCCGAGCCTTCGACTGGCACCCGGTGAACGAGGAGCTGGTTGTTGTTGGACAAGCCGGTGGTGAAGCCACACTCTTGAACATAGCCGAGAGTCAGCAAGACTCGCTCTCGTTCCAAGTGAGGAGTCAGCGGTTATGTAATTCCGTGGCCCTCAATACTCAGAATCTGTTGGCGGCTGGACTCGACAAGGTCCGGACAGACTTTTGTTTGAACATCTGGGATTTCAACCAGCGTCTTCCTGCCCCAGGAAGTAAAGGCTTCTCGAAGAACTACTCGGATCCTCTTCACAAGCTTGCAAGTGGAGAGCCAATCACCAGCTTGAAGTTCTTTCAAGATGATCCCCATCTCCTGGTGGCAGGAGTCAAGGGCCAATTTGTCAGACTGTATGACCTGAGAGAGCCGAGCGTCGGGAACGGGCTGCAGTTTGCGACACGTTGTGTGCATAATCTGGCCATTGATTGGCGCGACGAGAATTATTTTGCGTCCTGCTACCCTACAAACGATCCGTCAATATGTATTTGGGACAGGCGCATGATCAGCCGCGTCAATGCTCCGCACTTGAGTTTTGGTGGCGGATCGAACTCTGACAATCGACAGCCAGAGGTCTCGCTGGAGCTGAAGAATGTGATCGAAAGCCCTGGCACGATTTGGAGTTTACGCTTTTCCAAGGCTGAACGAGGCTGTCTGGGTGTCCTTTCGAGCACTGGACACATGAAAGTGTTCAACATCACCAAAGATTTCATGAACGACACGCGCAATGTCGAGCAGGATACGGGCAACGACCTGTCTTGGGAAACGACAGCGCCCCACGATGTCTTTCTCGACCGTGCCCAAGAAGTCGCGAAATCATATTCACGTCCTTCCGTCCAGCATGATGAAAAGTCTAGAATCGTCTCATTTGACTTCATGACATCGACCACGAAATCAGGACAATCTAAGATCTTGGGTCTTGATGGATACGGAAGCATTCGAGTCACTTCGACCAACCCCTTACCAGAACCGACGGCTTTCTCTAGTGTTGGCTTTCTCTGCAAGGGCGAATTGGTTGTCGGGCGGCCTGCGGCAGAACCTCTTGAACCGAGCCATACTCTGGAACAAATCCGACGACATGCGCAACCACGGAACGTGCTCAAACAGGCGTTCAAGCAGTCTCGCCAGAATAAAGCCGCTCTTGACAAGAGGAAAATGTCCAGTCTGGATGATCAAGCGTGGCACGCCGATCTAGGCTATTACGAGAAGGATGTACCGCTTGCAGATATCCTGACATTGATGTCGGCGCAACGATTGCGCTGCAAAGCCGGCTATTTGTTGGACCCATCCAGGAACAAAGCCATCGCTTCTGATTCTCACTGGTTACAATCGTTTTGGGCATGGGTCGAACGTGCGACTAAGATCTCGAGGAACGGCAATATGACACAGGACAACTTCGATTTCTCCTACATTGGCGTATGCGGTCTCTGGATGGAAGATATCAAGGGCAAGAATCGGACGTTGGGCCCCAGCTCCAACCAAATGGCCAAAACCATTGAGAGTTTGGTTCGTCGCCTGAACATCGCCCCGGTGAAGGGCTCACCATCAGAATATGCTGCTAACAGGCAACTTTGCTTGCACTCCGCTGGATTGGCCTGGTCTTATGAAGAACTTGAGACCATGGTCAAACGGCTCGTAGCGCAAAATCAACATACCAAGGCGGCGGCGCTGGCCATGTTCGCCCTGGAACGAAAACTTGCATACAAGGCGCTTCGCAGCAAAAACTCCACCCAATCTCTCAAGATGCTTGCAATGGCCATAGCAGGCGCTGCGAGGAGGAGAAATGGTGATGAAACAGGCACAACTACCGGCGAAGAGTCAGATGCTCAAGACGACTGGGCCGACACCATCGCCTCATTGGCCGAGGATCTGACTGACCCGTATGCGCGTGCCATCCTCGCTTATGTCAAGACGGGAGACTGGGCAAATGTTGCCAGGGAAGGATCTCTCCCACTTAAATACCGAGTCTGTGTGGCCCTCCGACATTTTGATGATGACGCCCTCACACGGTATATCTCTCAAGCAACCCAAAACGCCGTAGAGGAGGGTGACATCGAAGGGATCGTACTTACGGGAACTGGCACGCAGCAGGGGTTTGACCTGATGACGGGCTATATCCAGCGCTTTGGAGACTTACAGACTGCCGTGCTGGCTCTTGCGCCTACGATACCACGATATGTTGACGGTGAAAAAGTTGTGCGCAAATTCGACGGCTGGAAGAACACTTACAGGAACATGATCAATAGCTGGAATCTCAAATTCGAGCGAGTACGGTTCGACATTGCATGCCAGAAAGCTGCTGTTGACGAGGGTGGCAGACGACTTATCCCGCCTGCAAAACAGCAAGTACGCCTGGTCTGCGGGTTTTGCGCCCAAAGCATAGCTCATACAGCCGGGACGAATGGCGACAGCGGTCCGGGCAACAAAGTTGTCGAAACGGCACAACATCCTTTGACAAAGGAGAAGGCCGCAGCAATTGGGACTGTCTGCCCCAACTGTGGTCGACATCTGCCACGGTGCGGCGTGTGCGACTTCTGGCTCGGCGTTCCGGACGAGTCCTACATGCCTTGGTACGGGCCGCAACAAGCATCGAAACTTAATGGGGTGACAGACATGAGTGCTAGCATGACTGGCAGCATCCAAACCACGATAGGGCCAGGGCCGGGGCCTGTGAATGGAGCCTCAAAGGGGACCGAGTCGCCCAGGTTGAGGCAGCCAATGCAAACGCCGAACACTTCGAAGAAATCAACTGCAACAGGGTCCTCAACACCCACGGCCATCCCTCCTTCCCATACAAGTTTAAGTGATGCTGTCCGCAGCCTTACCGGGACCGTGCCTTTACTCTCCGGTATGGACGACGACGACGAGGGACAGGAGATGTCTCAAATTTGGGATGTTGCTATGTCCAGATTCACGGTGCTGTGCTTGAAATGCTCACACGGTTGTCATGCTGGTCATGCAAGGATGTGGTTCGAACGACATCAGGTGTGTCCCGTACCAGAGTGCAGCTGTTTGTGCAATGCATGAGTCAACCGGCAGTCAATATGGCGCGTGGCCCGACAGTCCCTCGCGCCAACATCTTTGGTCTGCATGCAAGGCTGGGATATGACGCACACTTATCATCGCTCATCCCGCCTTTCCGGCCCGCCTCGAGGGTCCGGAACTACAGCCAGTCGAGATCAGTTTAACCTCCGAGAGATGGTCCACCGGATGTGCGGCTATCATGGCTTCGAGACGGTCGATTCTGTGTCGTCAAGCGATGAGATTGGTAGATTGGACATTCGTCGCAACCCACACTATTAGGCCAGTAAACTATCTTAGCGTCACGGTCGTCTCCCATCCACAATATTCCACTTCTGTATCCTGTTGAACACATTCAAAGAGAGATTACGCGCATACTGTGTGGAACCACCATGTCCTTTGCTGATGCCCCGTGGCAGCAAAAGCAGAAGCAGAGATTGGCCCCCTTTTTTGACCTTTGTGCTCAACGAACCATGGCCTCTGTGACCAGACTTGTCGGCCTGCTCTTGGCCTTATTCTTCCCGATTCTTCAGCCCCAGCTTGGGAAATTGGTAGCCGATGTCCTGAGATTTGATATTGTCACCAGCTCGAACGTTGCTACCACCGCCCACGTCCTGACGATAAACGCATCTTCTAGAATGCATCGTGTCGGAGATGCATTACCGAATAAGGGCACGAAACATCGCTCCAGGACATCAGATATCTGGGGTTTCCATTCAAGCGGTTTTCGCCTTTATGTCAGTCTCGGGACTTAAAAGACAGTTGACAGGACGAACGTTCCGCTTAAGTGACGCAGCTATTCTGATGCTGTTGGGCACAACCGTTGATGAACCTGTGGCTACAAATATATACTAGCCAGAGCATATTATGGCCAAAGCCGGCTTCTAATCGCTACGTAGGACTCCTTGACAGAAGAAGATGGGAATACGAGAGCTACGAAAGAGAATGCATGGATTATAAGCACAAAAATCGGAGTAAACAGACTCGTTTCGCGTCAATAGGACAGAATATCCAACTACAGGAGGAGGATATACTGCCATCTATAAGTCCCGTCGGTGTTGGTGGCGGTGATGAGGCTGGTGGCGATGCGTGTTGGGGGGAATTGGAATCCCTCCATCTGATCGCCATCGCCATCGCCACCGCAAGCGCAAAGCCAACACTAGTAGTAAAATCAGGCACCAAAGTTTCCGCCTCATCGTTTGTTCATTATGGCCACAGTATCTCTTTCCTCCAGATTCTTATCATGGGTCGAGAGGCTCGTCGAATTCTGATGGATTTTCGCCCTCGCTCTATTTTTCTACCAAGGGGATGCTATATTTCTTCCAGGTTTGTGACCTCACCAGAATGCCTCGAGCCTCCTACTACCACTAGTCTTACGTACCTGGCTTGCAAAGACGACCTTCGCCGCCATGAAATTACTTACTACCCTCTTAACCCTCCTGTTCGCAGGCACCGCCCTCTCCGCTCGGGTGACGAATCCTAGAAAGGTGCCGCGCGATGCCGTTCTCCTCTCCAAAGTCTCTGCGATCACAGTCCGCGCAGGCAAACAGACATCCTCGAGACGAGTCGCGCCAGTTCCCCAACTACAATGCGTAGGCCCAGCCTCGATATGCAAACTCTACTCCGTCGACGTGATGCGCTGCACGAACGAAGGCGCCGACTATGACGAGAACAACATCCAGTGGAGCTGCAAAGCCTCTCTTCCTGAAGAGTTTAAGCTCGGAAGCACAGAAGTGACGTGCGAGGGCTACGAGAGCAGCGAAGATCCATATGTTCTGAAAGGCAGCTGCGGGGTGCAATACAGACTACTCTTGACGGATCAGGGAGAGGAGAAGTACGGTTCACGATCACAATCACCCTTCGATTTTGGAGACTTTGGCAAGGAAAACAAAGCCGAGAAGTTCGCCGGATATCTCTTTATGGCGCTGTTCTTGCTCGTTCTGTTCATCATCCTTCGCAGCCTGCATAATGCCTGGCGCAATGACACTGCAGCAACAAGACGAAGGCCGGGGCCACGAGGAGGAGGTGGCTTCTTTGGCGGAGGTGGAGGAGGCGGTGGTGATGATGACGACCCTCCGCCTCCGTACGATCCACGGCCTCCGCGGCCCAAGAAGGCAACATGGGGATCTAGTTCGAGAACGGCCAATGCAGGCTGGATGGGCGGGGGAGTTCCTGATCAAGGTTGGCGCCCCGGTTTCTGGACAGGTACTGCCGCTGGAGCTGCTGCAGGTTACCTTGCTGGGAGAGGGGCCGGTGCCCAACGCGCGCAGCCTGCTCCGCCACCGATAGTGCCGCCTGCGACTGGAGGATGGTTTGGCGGAGCAGGAGGAGGAGCGGCCAGACCTGCTCCATCTCCACCAAGGACATCCAGTTCAAGTTCGAGCTACTCTAGCTCGAGACATGAAAGTACCGGGTTTGGCGGGACTTCTAGGCGGTGAAAAATGAACAGGACGAACGAGACCACGATTATTGGTATGGGAAGCACGAATGATAAAAGCCTGTCTGGACATTTGGGACGCCTAGCAGAGGTCGATCTGGAGAGAAGCTTCCTTGCGGCCTGGTATATCCAAAAAAACGACCGTTGGCACTAATTTCGTGGACAGAGGCACGCGAATCCACGAAGCCATAGCAGACGAATATACAAGTCTTTGACTTCGGCGACGAAATGCTCGTGTCTGTACTAAGTAAGAGACTGCCCGCCTGAGATATACGAGGGATACAGTAGAGAGTAGACATCAACCTCCCAGCCTCCAAGCAGTAAACACGTGAAAGACACGAAGTCACGTGATATGTACTTTTGTATCAGGTCGTAAATACCAGTAGGCTGCGCATACAACTTCATCCACCTCACTCCGACATCATCTCTAACAGGACCATCGAAGCAAACCCGCAGATGTTCCCATCCACGGCCATTTGGGGATCGTGCTTCGAATCGGCTCACCAGCAAGTTGAGTGACCCTGAGCGGGCCCCAGAGACAACGAGCGGTTAACGGACTCGTCACGAACCTCTCCTAAGCGTGGTCTTATTCAGTCAGGCACACACCCATCTTCTGGCCACTTGCAAGAGCGATGGGAAGCACCTATTTGTGGTGGTAGGCCGTTCTTCTCTTCAGCTGTCGTGAGCATCAAATCCACCCGAAACCAAAACATTCAATAACAGCGGCCTCCACGTATTGCTTACTACTAGTACGGCGGTTGCTGGCGACCTCTATGATTGGACAGCCTTGCTCACCACTCTGCCCTTCCAAGTACCTCTCATCCACAAGACAAGACAGTTCAATTCCCTTGCCATTGTACGTCTTGGTTGCTTCTGACTCTGAGAGAACAACAGGATACTTTCTCTCATGCTTGTTACCACGCCTTTCCTCCCCGAACATTGTTGACTGCTCTCTTGGACAGGGAGCAAGGGTTGGAGGACAGCAATTGGGTCCCGTGTGATTATTTCTCTGCAGGTGCGCAAGAAGAAATACACACAAGGGCAGCCTTGATGATACGTACGATGCAGCGGCCTTAAGAGACGGCCATCGACTATTTGGACGATTGGAAACGGAGGCTGCCAGCATAAGGTACAATCACATGCATGCGCGGCGACTCTTTCAACTTAGCAGCACAACAGCAACATTATTCACTTACTGGCACGCCACGAGCACTTCTCAAAGATCCGGTTCCTCGCTCATCAATTGTCACTCTGAGGGCAAACTCAAATCGGCGTTTCTTGACTCTGATCTCGTCTTCTCTCCTCTCCTTCCACACCTGGAATTTTCAAAGCATCTTCTGCTTCTTTGTGTCGGTGACGGATCGTCGCAGGATATGCAGATTGCCGACACCATCAAGATCCATTGCCCAACAAACTACAGATGCGCCAGTACTTAAACCTGTGCTTGGCTGCTAGTTTACAGATCGGATAAGAGACACCAAACCCCACGCGCTGTATCAGATTCACAACTTTTCTTCTCCCGGTCAAGGACTGCCAGTGCCAGACACCATCCAGAGTACTGGCTCTACAGCCATGCCGCCCAATACCATTCCTCCTGATATTGTCGATCTATCCTCTGACGACGACTCTGGCGCGATCAATACTGTCCCTGCTGCTATTGCTCCATCAAATAGCACAAATTCGACCCGTCCAGGTGCACCGCAGTCGATCTCAGAGACACAAAGCGGTCGTTCACTTGCGGACCAAGTCCCTGTCAGAGGACGGCTGCACGGTGGATACGACCTCGATACGCTCAAATATGAAGAACATCTCATTCCGGACGGCCAGTCAAAATGTCGCGGTTGCAGACTCTCTCCTGTTGAGTTCGACGAAAAGGGCGATGAGATCCCAGCCGCAGTGACACACGAAAAGCGCATGACAATCCTGATGGACCGGTTCAAGGAGAAGTGGGCACGAGAAGACGCTCAGAAGATCGGTACAGGCGACAATCAAGACGCGGCAGCGAACACTGTCACGCTGGATGACCGGCCTATAGATATACACAATGTGATCATCTCCCCGCGGCCGAATATCACTCTAGCCGAGGGACGTGCAAACAAAGCCATCCCTACCCACGTTGTCGACTTGGAGGCAGGCTCAGCTGAAGAGCAAAGCACAGGGAGCCGGACTGAAACTGGAAGCGATGTCGACGACAACGATGACGATGACCTCCAGATACAATCAACATCAGGCGGAACTTCTCGAGCATTGACTCAAGGTGCTCGACGATCTCTAGCTGTGAGCAACAACAAAGGCAAAGGCAAAGGCAAAGCTCGAGAACAAGCATCAATCCCCGAAATTGACCTGTCGTTGCTTGAGTCTGACAATGACGACGATCTCAACATGCGAGCAAACTCATCGGATGCCGTCGACGCGAACCGGAGTGATGAAGAAGACCTGAGAAGAGCGATTGCATTATCTCTACGGGACGATCAAGCTCTGGATACCGTGGACAATGCTGCTTCGTCATCATCACAACAGCTCGACCCTAAGCGAAGAACATTCACACACAAAGTCGGTGGTGCAACAGAAGGAGTTACAATCCCTCCTAATGCGACAAGCATTTCAGGAAACAATCACAACAAAGACACCAGAGATCCACAGACTAGAGGTCAGTACAGTACTGGAGGTGTAGTGGACCGAAGTGCGTGGCATTTTCTCCTTTTGTTACAAAAGCTAACGTTGTTTATCCAGCAGAACAAACCCTCTTGCACGATGTAGACGACGACAAGACCGTTTCTCCCTCGCCGAGAGCTGTGACCTCTTTTTCTTCGTCTTCCCAAATTCGAGCCCTACCGCAGGCAGCACCACGCTCCTCGACGATGGCCCCGTCCTCCAAGGAAGCGAAGGTGGTAACGCAGACCTCAAATCCTCCTCCTTCTTCATTCCACCTCACCGGCCTTGACCGCAAACAAATGGAAGCGGAGCGTCTCGCTCGACTGAAGAGGAAGCGTGAAGGTGAAGGTGAAGGGGGCGGAACCGAGGACACTACAGGTCCCAGCAGCAACAGAAACAAAGCTGCACGAGTCGACCATCTCGCTTCTGGACCACGAGCGCAGGGAACGATCTCACCTCCACCGCTTCGACGGTCTTGCGACACTCAATCAATTCCCGCCCAGAAGCGACAACTCTCAACCACTGCGTCTGCTTCGGCCTCGACGACAGGTCCCTCGTTCAAGAAGGGTCCCGTCCTACCCAGCGGTAGCACCTCCCACAACGGTACAGTTCCAAGCACTATGAAAGCAGGGGGAATTGCAAGAGACGCGAGGCAGAACTACCATCTTAAAGGCGTTGTCTTGAAAACACATGTTGAAGGCTATGGCGCAGACAAACCGAACAGCAACAGCAACACCATCGACTTTGCAACGCTCATCTCGCCGGCCTCCTCGCTCGAATCGTGTCTCTTGTCCTCTTTCATCTGGAACTTCGACTGGCTCTTCCAGCACTTCGATACGAAACGCACAAAGTTCCAGCTCGTCATGCACGCCAAAGTCCCCGGGCAGCGAGAGGCTCTCAAGGCGGATTTCCAGGGCATTCCGAATGTCAGGCTGTGTTTCCCGCCTATGGAACCCAATGTCAACTGTATGCACAGCAAGCTGATGCTGTTGTTCTACAAAGAAGAAGGAGGACCGAGATGCCGTATCGTCGTGCCGACAGCGAATCTTGTCGATTTCGACTGGGGCGTCGGCGGGTTCATGGAGAATACAGTCTGGTTGATCGATCTGCCGATGAAGAAGCCGGGCTCGTCAGCAACAGGCCTTGCCAACCTCGCGACGCATGGTCCTACTGTCATCGGCAATGCACAACCGGATCAAGGTCCAGGCAAGGGTCAAGACAAGACATCGACGTTGACGACTTCTGCAACAGCAACAGCGACAACACAGTTTCAGAAGGCCCTCACGACGTTTCTCAAGGCGCAGCGCGTCCCCAACGATGTGATCCGAAAACTGGAGCTGTTCGATTTCAGCGAGACGGCACAGCTGGGCTTCGTGCACACCATCGGCGGAATGCACGTTGGTGCCAGTGGTGGACTGCCAGAAGGGCTGGGCCAGAGCTGGAGAACGACGGGAGTTTGCGGACTGGGCCAGACCGTCACCGACCTGGGTCTTGCCGGTGGCGGGAGTGGACATCGCGCCCCTATCGAGCTCGACTACGTGACCTCCTCGCTGGGCAGTCTGACCGACGACTTCATGAGTTCCATGTATCTGGCTGCTCAGGGGGATGACGGCCTAGAGGAATACAACAGACGCACAGGCTCGAGCTCAAGCAAACGCATAACCAGTAGTACCTCGGCGGCCAAAAAAGGTTCAGGAGCACGGATGGCGGTTCCAAAACGCGCAGATTCTGGCGAGCAGCATGTTGACATCGACAGCGACCACGATCACCGTCATTATCATTATGACTGGAAGGAGAAGATGCGGGTCTACTACCCCAGCGACGAAACCGTGAGACGTTCAAAGGGAGGGCCGGCCAACGCTGGGACCATCTGTTTCTCGTCCAAGTGGTGGCAGAATGGTAAATTCCCTCAGTCGAACCTGCGAGACTGCGTTAGCGTTCGTCAAGGTTTACTCATGCACAACAAGGTATGTGTTATGCATTTGTTTGGCAGATTGCCCACTGGAGTCCCTTGGGCTGGCAATTCAAGCCGGACGGGCCCGTGTCTTTTGAGGAGATGGCAAATGCTGACATTCCCATAGCTCATGTTTGTGCGATATGCAGCGCCGGTGGAGACCGGTGGATTCGCAAAGATGGGATGGGCATACGTGGGGAGTGCCAATTTGTCCGAAAGCGCCTGGTAAGCCCAAACTTACTCCTTTTTCTGCCTCGTCGGCCGCCTTGCTTGCTGAGGGTCTGGCCTCAAAAATCATCAGACTCGGAGCTGACGGCTGTCTGATGTTAGGGGACGATTGGTGCAGGACAAAGCCACCAAACAACCAAAGTTGAACTGTCGTAACTGGGAGTGCGGTGTTATCATTCCCCTGACTGCAGAGGACAACTGCCCTAGCACTACTGACAATAAGGAAAAGGACATGGGTCAGAAGGCAGGCCTTGAGATGTTCGATCATCTCGTGCCGGTCCCGATGCGATATCCTGCGGAGCGGCTTGAAGGGAAGAAGCCGTGGACCATGTTTGACTGAAAACGAACACGGCTATCATCACGACTTGTGCGATGACAGCCTGAAAAGCCTAGTGCAACCAACTTGAGTGATTGGACAAATCATACAGATAGAATGGCCATTGTGGAGGCGTAAACTTTCAGTTCGACAATGGCGTGTCCAAGTTGGCATAGCTGCAGACTCGCTTCGTCCAGTTCCCAAAGTCAATTCAGTGCCTTGATACAAGGCTAGTCGATGCTGGCAGTTGGCTTTATCGTTAGGGTAGGGAGGCTGGAGCTAGCGCACGAAGGCAGAATCCATGAACAAGGCAGCCCTTCTCGCATGGCAAGGAGAGTTTTCGGCATGACAATGCAATCAAGTCTCTTGTGGATAGGTAGACAACATGTGAATCCGCTTTCATGAGGCGAGCCAGAGAACTGAGGACAGCAACATGATGCGTAATATTGATGCCGGCCAAGCCCTCCCGACCTGAACAAGGATGATTTCCACCTTGGCGACAGTTACCAGCTAGTAGTGTGGTCGAACGGACTGAGATGCTGAGAAACTTGGATGGTCGACTGCAAACAGACATCAAACAATGCTTGACGCCAGTCAGGACCCCGTTGGAGCAAGAAAATGGTTATAGCAACCGGGAATCAATCATTCATGCTCGAAGAATGACAGCATGAGCCTTCCCATTCTGTAACTGCGATGTTCTGCAAACTTGATCGAAGACGTCTGCCGAGCAGGAATTGGTATTCCACTATCACACGATCCGATTCCGACCGTGGGAAAGTAGAGGCATCGACGCGGTAATAGTCAGGCTGGACCACGGCGGTAAACATTGCGTAAGGTCCGACGGGCCGCGTGCCTTTCTTCAGAACTTTCCAACCCCCTTGCTCCCCTTCAACTTGTCACCATGCTCCATGGAAATCTCGAAACATACCTACAGAAGAGTGGTTGTCCTCATGGGCCTCTTGCTGAGCTTTTGGCACGCACACACCTTGACTCCTGAATAGGTGGAGTTCCTGACCCTGGCTTTAGAGTGTGCACATATCTTCACATACTGGGATAGATGAACGGCAGGGGCATGTATTCACACACAAACTTCTCCCTTAATTACTCTTCTTCTGGTCAGGTGGTATCCAACAATGGATCGGCATCCAACACAGAAGAGGGATCCAGTCCGGCCGGGTCCCATCTAGGTTACCTTGAAGTAGAAACCCGAACGTCTTGCATCCTGGTGACGGCGAGCCCAGTGTAATACCTCATGACAGGTTTCACAGGTATCCGAATCGGCATGGATGGGCGAAGTGATCATGACGAAGCTCCATAAGATGTTGCCGTCACTTGGCTACAACAAATTCTCGAACGTGTGCGGGAATGGCTCGATACAACCTTGCTCCTGATACCATGTTGCCTGCCAGGGATTCCGTGTGGCCAAGCCGCGATACGTGCCAATCAGGTTAGTGGAAGCAGCGAATAACCATGTCCAGTACCGAGATTTCAGGCCGGAATTCCCATGCTCGACCTGACTGTCCCAACTTCCCAATGCGGTTGAGGTTGCAACGAGACGAGCTCGACGTGATTGGGTAGGAGGATCAACGACAAGGATGGAGGATTTCCGCAGGCCAGAACCGCCCACGGATTTTCCCCTTCCCAACAACATCAGAGTGCCAGGGAATGCTGGAGGGTAGACGAGATTGCATGCGTCCTTCAGTGACTTGGGATCGGAACCGCACTCAAGGCCGGCCGCTATGGATCGTTGGACTATGAAGGCAGGGACAAACGAACATGTAGTTGACCAGGTAGGATCTGTGGATGAAGTTGTTCGGGGATCGAGACAAATGAAGCTGAGGGATTGTGATAGGAGAGAGTCATTGCGTTCGTACCTGGACTCGTGAGAGTGTGAAGACATCTCACATTTAGGTACCTGCTAGGTAGTATCTACCTCGCTACATAGCACGCAGATAGTACGTACTGCCGCCGGCGCAGGCGCAGGCACCCATGCAAGCTATTAGTGGTCAGCTAGTACTAAAGAGGTAGAAACTATTTTCGACACTTGTGCCGAAGAGGGCTTAGCCCCAAATTCCGGTGTTGGAGCATCTCGCCTGGAGAACACTTGCACACTGCATCTGACCGAAGCACTTTACTACTAGTATCACTGCTGCCCAATTGTGGAGGCAAACAGACAGGACAACCTCTACTAAACAGCATCCGATTGAGATGCCAGTAGCCTGTTACTCCTGAGCAGTATAATGCTGCGTGGTATCTGTCAAGAGATCGATCAGGTAGTGGGATACCAGTAGTAGCAGGCAGGCAGGCAGGTAATAACGCTGCTGTTCAGTAGACTTTCGGCTCACCAACTGAACCGCAGATGCAGGTCGGTGGCTTGCAGCGATGATTACGACACTAAAAATGGGTGCCGGGGTTCACTGCACTTTGTTCAAATCCAACCACTCAAGTAGTTTTTCCCTCGAGCAAAACAACATGCCTCGCCCAAGTTCAGCCACACCATTCCTATCGTCTCCCATCGGCTCGATCGGCGCCTTCGAACAGACACCTTCTCGTCAGTCCGCGACGCCGCCGATACTCCGTGCCTGCATACTCGCTACCTGGTACGGTGTCACTCCGGTTCAAGACCGGAGGGGGTAGTGGTGCACTGGCAGTGGGTGGCGCAGAACTACCTACCTGAATGATGTACCTCACACTGCTATGTAGGTGGAGACTCGCTTTGTTGCCGTTGTTGCATCCTGTGCTCCCTCATCTTGTCCCCCCTCGGCCCAAATCTCTGGATGGTCCCCTTGTCCGGCTGCAGCACTAACATGGGAGTACCCCTAAGCGGCGTCGATGACTTGCACCAGTACCACTGTGCTGGGACACGCCTCCTTTTCTCCTGGCCTGACACAAGGCACCATTCATCACTGTCTCAGACAACGTCAGTAATATTACGGCCGGACCTTTCCAAGCACGGTAGTGGGCTTGACAGTCCTGAAGCAGGGGTACTGCAGGACGTACAAGATTCGTATGCGGGAGAATATCACTTCGAAGAGCTGATGCTGTTACAAATACAAACTACCCATGTGCTGTACACTGAAGATGTGCCTGACTCTTGCGCAAAACCTCTTCCTCCATTATTCTGCCCGATAGGAACATATTACGCAGCACATTCTCATGGCGAAAGTCCAGCAGGAGTGCTGGCCCTTAGAGCTTTAGGAAGAAGTCCCCGACGAGTGGGTTGACGGTTGTATCGAACCCTGCGATGACACCGGAAATCTGGATTGACAGTACCCAGCGCCTTGCGACGGAAACAGACTTTCAGAGGGATCTAGCATTGCGGCACTATCCTAGAAGCCCACACTGAAGTGCAGACATCCACTACCATCCGGGCTCTTCTTGTTCCGAGGCTTTCGATCCCTGACTATGGGCTTCATTGGTGGATGAAAGAGGTGGAGCCCACTGCATTGCCTATCGCTGCTCCCACCAGCGCAATATGGCCTATAGTACTACTGCAACCGCATACCATGACCGGCCCATCGTCCTAGATGGAGTCTTGCCAATGAACACCCCTGCTACGCGCCCTTCAACATTGGGTATCTTGAGTCAAGGTGGTCGACAACGATTGGGCTGGTTTAACACGCAGTGCAGGGGAGGTGTGGCTTCGAACAGTCTGGACCGAGCTGACGGGATCAGATTGGCGTGCCGCTAGAGAAGAACCCGCGAGGGTTCGGTCAAGAGGCAAGACATGGGGAAGAACAATCCACGAAGCACGGTTGCGTCTCATCTCAGGGCCCAGCGGGAGGGCCCACTGCCAGCCACAGCCCTAATCTGCAGCACCAGAAGGCGTTATTGACTGGTAGAAAGTCTAAAGTGGAGGACGACTTGGGGACGCCGAATACAGATGTATGGACGTGCACGGTGGCAGGACCAGGCAAGACCAGGCAAGACTTGAAAGCAGTACCTTTTCTACCTGCGAAGCGGCTCATGAGGGAGCTGCATGGCGCGCCGACGAATTTTTCTCGACCTTGGTTTCGAGGCACTTTTAACGAGAGAGCACCTCAGCCGCGTCACCCCTGCAGTGCTGAAAGAGGAGCAGGCAGCTGACGGCTTTCACAGGCTCCATCCCTCCATCCCTCCATCCTCGCCAAAAGAATGAAGAGAGAGAGAGAGAGAGAGATGGCATTTTGTATTAGCTGTATCCGATCCTCATCCGCCGCAGAGGAAGTGTACCGCGACACCCCCCTGCTCGCTCTTGTCGATCGACTGCCCAATTCACACGTCGCTTGTCGTCCTTCATGCGCCGATGCGTCCTATCATCCCCAGCTGGTCAAGTCCTCATAGAACAAAAACTTTCCTCGCTTGGCTTGTGGAAGTGATGTTTGCATAGATATTGCTGCCATGTACCACAGATCTTCGCTTACGGGATGGCCGAACGGGGGCGATGGAGGATTGTTCAGCCGGTGGACTCCCCCACATCCCGAGCACCATGTTGTAGCGACGCAGGAGACGTGTCCTCCAGCACGCGGCAGACAGGGCAGGGTAGGGCAGGGAGGTCCTCGCCCTGTCTTCAGTGTGCGTGGACTTGTAACGAAAAGAAGACGATATAACGCCGCCAGGATGGAAGGTCGAGCAGAAGGAGACTTGCCGACTCGTAGGCGAATCATCCATCCCACTGGCCATCTGCCATCTGCCAACCCGTGCAGCCCACTCTCGTTTAGGCTTGATGTAGTGGTCCTCTCGACAGAGCCAATCGTGTCAGGTTAGTCCCGTCGGATACGAAAGACTTAGATGAGCCGATCGGAAAGCGCCCCGTTGGCCACACCAGACGACCCCTGGTCATTCATCCGTGCTAGCAATCATGTTAGTCGCGCTGGTAGGGTTGGTAAGGTCGGTAGGGTTGTCTAGTGAGGTGGTTAGGCCTGCTGGGTGGCTCATGCCTGGCCTTGCGCCCCCCGACGTGGTCTGTGTTTTCTTTTGGATGAAGCGACTCCGTAGTAGTGCGCGGTGCGTAGTGTGTACAGAGTAGTGCCCGTTTTTGTCAGGCGCACCTCCTTGCCCGTTGAGGGGACATTTTTGGCACCTGGGCAATTCGAGCAAGCAGCAGGCGCAGGCGCAGGCGCAGGACAAATGCAGGTGCAGGCGCAGTTGCAGGTGCAAATGCTGGCCCTGAGCAAGAGAGACCTGCTCTGGTAAAATTTCCGGTCATTCTCGTTTCTTGCACGAAACGGCAGGGATTGACCTCTTCGCTCGTTCTCCCAAGACGCACATCTGTCGGCGGCTTTCCTCTGAGCCTGAGCAAGCGAGACAACCTCGGATATCATAACCTGACATATTCGGTTTGCGCGACCGCACGACACCCACAGAGTCTTGTATGTTATATAAGACATTCTCAGCTCCGAGTTTAGGTCTCTGTCTGCCAGATCAGTCAGAAACCTTCATATTTTAGCAGCTACTCTACCGCTGGCAGCTGGCTTCCTCTGCCCAAGCCTGCGACTATCAACCCATCCCCGGGCTCCCGGAAGTCAATCGTTGGTGCCCCTGTTGAAGCCAGTCTGTCCCCGCTTCTCAATCTTCTTTGCACGAGCTCTGCGTTCGCTTCAGGCGGTTGGCGATCGCCCCATCACTGGCTATCCATCCTTACGACCTCACGGGCGTGCCTTGGGGTGGATGCAATAGCTGGTTGTGTGAAGCGAAGCCGTTCCCAGTCTGTAAAGTGGGGGGTTACTTCGCCCAACCTCAGGCAGCTCAGCTGCACGCCATTCTTTGAGATTCAATTCCGGTCTCGCTTGGTAGAAAGACGGTCACAGTACGCTCACGAGATCGGCACATCCTACAACCAGGAAGCGCTGCGACGCGGCTATAAAGGGTGTCTCTTCGGGGGTGGTTGCATGACAGGACGGTCACTGTACGGCGACCACGACCACGACTACCACCACCACCACTAGCATCATATCGAATACGGCCCCGTCATCTGGACGGTCTTCTGGTCTATCGGGCCACCGTACATCTCGTCTTGTCAGCGGGTGACCCAACCATCCATAGGGCATAGCATTCCCGCTCTCCGGGCCCTAGTTGTGTTCTGTCATCCACAGCAGGACACGACTGACTGGCACCCTGCTCCTGATCTTTTTCGCACGGCCAGTCCTCTAACCATATTTCTTCCCTCCAGGGACAGACACTCCCCGCCAGAGGATCGCTCCACGCACAAAGTCTATAATCCAGAGCTGTCCACAGCTCTCTCCATTCAGCGACTCGCAGCTTCGACACCGAACTCTCCAAAAAGGCACTTTGACTTGGCGCTATCTCTTAAGCGTGGCTGAGCATTTACCTGCCGCTGGCACGCGAATTCTAACTTCCGCGGGCCCCTCAATAACCAGTTACCAGCAAATCCACTGGCAAACGACCCCCAGCGGGCCTTCAGATCATCCCTCGAACTCTTGAGTGAGTCCACGCTTTCTTGCTGAGAGCCAAACCGCGTGCGCCTGCAGCAACATCCAAAAGGTCATCCAAAAGCCAAACCCTTTGCCCCGGATCACTTGGTGGCCTCGAGGATATCTGGATGGTGATTTACCCTCTCAGTAAATAGCAACTCGTTCCGGGTGCAGTGGTGGGCGGTGGGAATTCGCGATCAACTGCGTCTTGTCTCTCACCAGAGAGGACACATTAACATTGCCCTTGAGCTTCATTTCAACCTGAGTCCTGCTGCAGAGCGACGGTTCAGGAGGTTTGACTTGGTTTCTGTCCCATCCTCTGGTTTCATCGATCCAACCTCTGGTCGGGCGCCGATCGGTTGGGGAGCCTCGAGGACACACAGACCGGGAGAATTCACCTTCACACAAACTAGCGCCAACCGAACATACGTATAACGTCTACGAGACGCTCTGTGACTTGGAGTTTCTTCATCACCACTCTGCTATCGGGTCTTCGCTCTTTGCAACCTTCTACAAACGCATGTCCCTGATCTTGTGGTGTGAGTTTCGCCTAAGATTAGAGTCTCGACCTCCGAAAACCTTCACCCACAAGGCTTCACTTCCCCAGCTTGACTGCGGTGGTTTAGCACTTCTCCATTTCGACAAGCTTCGACAATGTCTTCTGGCGGAGCAGCCCTTCAGCCAACATTCCGAGGTCATGTAGCCACTACACAAGACGCTCTTATCCTTTTTGAAGCCTGTCTGCAGGGCCATCTGTCACATGTGCCCCGGCGACCGCACGATCGAGAACGGAGCACCTTGATCAGGAGCGGCTGCATATTCATCTACGAAGAAAATGCGTCGGGGATCAAGAGGTGGACGGACGGGGTGACCTGGTCTCCTAGTCGCATTCTCGGCAACTTCTTGGTATATCGCGAACTTGACAAGCCCTTCCCTCCTGGCGAAAAGAAGCGCGCCATGAAGAAGCAACAGAGACGGCCCACTCGCCCTGGAGAGCCCTATGCCAGATCAGACGGAGGATCCTTCTCGGACGGACAGTCCGGTCCCCTAGGAGGAGAGCGCAGCGCGGCAGCCGAGGTTGAGAGACAACTTATTGGGTCACTTGTCGATTCATACGGCTTCAAACAGGATGGACTCGTCAAAAAGACGATGAGTGTGACCGTGCAGGGAGTCACCCATCATCTGGTATCCTACTATCATGTCAACGATGTCTTATCGAGCAACCTGCGAACACCCTCCCAAACCGAAAATCTCCAGTATATTCGTCCCCGAGCCGAGCTGATCTCAAAACAGAGCTTTCGATCCCCAATAGAAGAGGTTGACGATGTCGATGGAGGCCAGACCGCCTACGGATACCGAGTCAACCCAGGAGGAGTGTACCTACAAGATTACAACAAACAGCAGTATTACCTGCCCCCAGGCTATCCACCCATGGGCCAGCAGCCCAACGCGTCTGCCTATGGCATGAACGTGGCATCCGTACCAGCAACTTACATGCCCTCACCCGTTACTACACCACATTTGCAGGGACAGCGGTCGGACTACAACCAATATGACCAGGCTGCTTACACGCGAAATTATGAGTCTCTCAACAACTCGCTGCCTCCCTCGTCCAAACCCATCCCTGCGACCCCAACGACGATGCCGACGATGATGCCCGACAGAGCCCCGACCCAATCCAGCATCTACCCGCCCATGAACATGCAACCCCCCATCAATAATTTGAGCCCGGTGTCGATGGATTCCAGACCCCCTGCGCCATACCGGACGAGCCCTTACTCTGTCAACACGAGTGCGTCGCACATGGACCACACGCGCCAAAGCCAGCCATCGGGGCCCGAGTTGAAGTATGAAGATCGCAGGGATTCTGGACCACAGCAGGCGCAGCTTTATCAGAGCCCGAGAACGCCTTACTATCCTGATGCAACTGGACAACCCATTCCGCAGCCACATTATTCACAGCAGTCTCATATGGGCCAGTGGGCAGCTCAGAATCATTCTCACTAGGAGCACGGTACGAGATCATGCCATTCACATCCACCACACACGGATGTTCTACGGAGCTATTTGTACTCGACGCCTAATTGGGGGACAAGAACGACCACAGTCTCGAACCTTTTACAAGGACCCTTTCGTGGTCGCTTAATGGACAGTCATGCTCTACCAGGATGCTCTCAAGCGATCCACAAAAGTCTCTGCGCTCCGGCCTGTGACGAAGATCCATTGTCGCGTTTACTGCAGATGATCGAAGCTATCACACGCCTAAGCTTGGGCAGAAAAGTGTTGATTGATGGCGCGGCACGTCTTTTGCCTGGAAATAGTAGCTTCACCCCTTGAAAAATCCATGCTCATTTCCGCTGGACACAATTATCCTGGTTTCAGCACGAGGGATCTCTTCTCCAAGCATGGGGAGTTATCTCTGTTTGTCAGGGCCACTTCAGCACGGCCCACATGTGGTCTTTCGGAAATGAGGCGTGTCTTATCTCTTTCCCTCAAGGATCTGGTTTGGCGAATTCGTGAAAAGGATAGGGAACTGGAGGTTACGACGACACGGCCGGTATGGAGGATGGACGGATGGGTTCAAAAAGGACGGGATCCACGTTGGCGATGATTCGGATTTGATATACTTTTGTCCTGGTGCCGGAGCGTTTGCTGCAATGATTGATTTCAGGAGAGGAATGGTGCTGTGCGCACCTAGAGGCCTCTTGTTGTGCTCGTGTGATGCCGTCCGCTTGGTCGGCGAGGTCATCTGCGAATATCAAGCAGGTAGATCCAAATTCTTATAGATAGCCGAGCGAGCACTGGCTACGGCCGAGGTCACGAAGCAGAAGTTACTTGCGATATCCTTACCAGAAGGAAAAGCAAGATACATTTTCAGCTTTTAGTTCTATGGAATTTTTACTCTGTAGGCGCAAACTTACTTGAATTTAGTCTCTTAAGTACCTTATTAGGCATCTACCAACTGGGGTTGGCTGAACCTTCGACGACATCCGCATCACGTGACCACCTCCAGGCAGCATCACGTGTTCGCTTGCTTTATGACTGCAGGTGTGCAGCAACAAAGGTTGTCGCAGGCATCGCTGTTCTGCCCATCCTCGCCCTCTGCGCAGTGAAGAACCGCGACGAATCCGGTTGGCTCTATGTTTTACGTCAAACTTCGGTGTCTGACCTGCGAGGCGTGGGCTGATCTTATCTTGCAGATCGAAGCTCAATCGGTGAGGCGACCGAAATCAATACAATGTTCCTATCCTCCGAAGTTCCCCCACCAGGCCGATGGACGGTCGAGGCCCTCGTACCCGGAACTGTAAGCCCGGGCCTCGATGGGATCGGCGGTCTCAGAAGATATTGAAGCAACGAAGGCCTAAGCGCTCACGCCAACCGATTACAACTACCGACAGTACGTCACGCCCTACGGACGAGAAGAGACAGTATCGACTAAGTCACTCGGTAGTCCCACAACCCCTTGCCGCGGTTGTTAGGAGCAAGATGAAGGCGGACAGCACACGCCATCTTTGATCCGTAGATTCTCGCATGATCGTCCTATTACTATTGATGAATCGGCTCAGATGCCCTTCGACCGATGTCGATAGGCCTAGTTACTGTCTCGATGGGGCGCGATCAGTTGAGGGCTTACAGGGATTCGAAATGATGTCTCCATCCAACACTTTCGGCTCAGTTGGAATGGCATTTCTGATGACATGAACATGAAACATTGGAATCAATACACCCAACTCACGCCATTGTTTATATCCAATGAAAGCAACTTCCGGTGGTGGGCCATAGTGCAGATCAACGCTCATCGGAAGTTCAGTTGTTTGACCCTCTTGATGGAGGATTTGGTCAACTCCCCGATCAGGGGGTTACAGCGATAAAACCCGCCCGTCAGAATGGATAGGCTTAGGCCCCTGAAGAGCTCCTTAGCCCACTGCGCACGCCCAACGCACGCTGCGAATCAGTACCTCCCCAACACGTATGCGTGGAGCGTGGAGCGGACTCTTCGAGTGAATGTGTCGTCAGTAAGCTTCAAAGGAGGAAAAGCCAGGAAACGAAAGGCTCTGCGTCTTTTGGGACCTGTGCCGCTGTCAGTAAGTGTTATCCACAGCTGGTCCATATTTTCACCATGTTCCAATATCAATCTCCACCTTGTCACATGCTCTACGCTGTACTATCCAGAAGCCATGGAGAAAGCCAAGAAAAGTCACACTGACTATTCGGAATGTCATTTGCTGCTGGAATTCTATGGAGGTACGTAGAATGGATCAACAGCGTGCTGCAAGCACAGGCAAGACTATTGAACTGCCGAAAAACATAGCTGATTCAGGCCCAAGCTCATCTCAAGGCGCCAGATGCTTGGTCGTGACGGATTCTCGAGTCCCTATACTCGGAAAGCCCCGTGGTCGTTCGAGCCGATGGCAGACCCACACCTACAAGCTACAATGGAGCTTTCAAGTTGTCTACAACAATCAACGACGCGCAGCCTTCCCGAATTAGGCATGTTGTCCTACAGAGTACTGTATGCTTCGAGTCACACAGACTGCCACCCTGCGGACCAGCGGAGGGGTCGCGAATGCTACGTACTGCTCGAGATGCCCTCGTCCAAACCACTGTACCAATGTGCTGGTAATGGATGTTCCCACCTTCAAAGCATCGCCATGACAACAAGCTTGCTGCTGCCGAAGAAGACAAACGCATGGGAGCGGGCAAATCTTTCTAGTGTCCAGCATCAGCACTTCGGCATCGACTTCTTACTCAATCACACAGAAAAGTAGTTTGGAAGTAACAGGCCATCGACACAATCGTCTTTTCCACAAGTCTACCAACCCCAAACCAGGCGGTCTATACGGCCAACTATCCCCTTGGAGAATCTCTGACAATATCGTTCCTGATCGAATATGACTCGGGGGGTGTGTGTCATCCGTGCACGTAAGTTTGTTTCTGCGACAAGGGTACTGACGGTTTTGCTGGACCCCAGGATGATCAGATAAGCAAGCAAGTATCTAACTAATCAGACGTCCCAGCCCTGGCTGCACTGAAGACTGCTGTTGCGGCATGAACTGGTGGTCCCTGGGGAAGCGACATAGCCGTCTTGTCTGTCGCGACGTGCTCCGAGGGTTATGGTTGAGCGATAGGTGGCCGCGTGGGCTTTCGGCTGTGTTGACCTTCTTTGCGTCCTTGCGGTCAGGCTTTGGAAGTCCGACAGCAACCTACCCCTTGCTTGTTGTTCGCTTGGTTTTGTGTGCCGAATTTTGACTTTGGCGACCAACCACTAAGAGGACCATGGCAAACTCTCTTTACGAATTCCAAGGGAGACAACCCTGTTCACCAGAAGGCTAATTGAGCCCCAGCTCTAGCATCCAGCCAGCCTCCCCTGGCACCGAGGATGAGCGTTTATCAAAGAGCGCCCTACTGGCGCGTCTCATTTTCTATCTTGCCGGCTGGAGATTGCTGGTCACGGTCTAGTGTACTCATCTCTAGATGTTTTCGACATATTTGGTTGGCAGCAATGGCGTGCTCCCTTCATTTCTCTATCTTCGATTGTCTCTGTCCTCATAAGCCAGCGCGTTCTCAAAGCAGGGTCACATAACTCGGGGTCCCCCTTGTTCAAACTAGCGGCTGAAGCGTTGTCTCAGGTGATTGACTGATTTGCCTCGGGCATTTTCCACATTCTACACCATTATTGTGTTGTGAACGAGCTGACCCATGAACGTAGCGGCTTGCTGCTTGGGCCAGCCAGGCACTTTCAGAGATGCATTATACTGGCCCATGCGCCAGACATTTTCAGCCGTACAACCCATCAAACAAAGCTGCACGTTGTTGTTGACAGAAAGTGCTAGTTTCATTCCAAGCGAACACACCAGGTCACTTGGAATAACAAGGTCTGCAATTTGGATGCCTTCAACCGGCCCCTCTTGGTTCAAGACTGACGCCCTGGCTAACAAGTACACTTCTAGATAGATTACTACCTACCTATCTGACTCGCGCGCACGCCGGTTAGCCCCTTCACACGAACTATCTGACGCCTTGTAGCCCTCAGCACCTCTCTTGTCTCTTCTCCTATCTTCCTGTCCCTGGGCGAGCGATCCACCGCCTATCAAAAGGGCGCATGCAGATTGCGGCGCAATACACATACACATACACATCTCATACCCATAAGGACCACTTTGGCTCCGTAGGCTGTTTGGTCCTCTTGTGCGCAGCAATCAGCCTCAGAGTTCCCTCCGTTGTCTCCCCTTCTTCGAGAATCCTGAGTGACGGGAGGACCGGCAGGACAGGCTCATTTGTCTCTCTGCTACGCGACCAATATTCTGCCCCTGGCAAGAAAAGACGGAGAACAGAGCAAATGTGTTATCAAGTCTGCTCTGACATTCTCAAAAGATGCCATACCCATTGGATAACACGATGAACACGACGAATGTGGCCAAACAAGGATAAGAAAAGAAACAATGGCACTTCACAATCAAGATCTGTTTCAGAAATTCAGCTGTTTGGCAGGAACTGGATTTGGATCTGGATCATACATATCAATTGTCCTCCTGCCATTGTGCCTGTCTACCTGTCCAGAATTCGAGAGAAGATCATGTGTCGTCTGGTCTCGTTTGACCTCAATGCGGAATTCCGGCATTGCATACTACTCTTTGGTGTCCTATACAATACTCAACCGTGGGAGAAGGCTACTTTGGCCTAGCCGCTGTAAGAGAAAAAGAGCCATCTATGGTCAAATACATCCAAGTGAGTCCGCGGTCAGGTTTGTGGGCGATTAATGGACATTGGACATTATAGGCAAAAGGGGAAACAGCTCGGGAGGGAAGAAGATGGTAGGTTCGGGCTCCTGGTGCTCTATATGCCCCCTTTTTTGCCTGTGGGCAGTCCACAATTACAAGTGAAAAGGCGAGGAGACGTCATACTCACTTCTGCACTGTCCTGGCTATGGCCGCGAGTCTGCGATAGAGCAGAATCGTACTAATCTCTAACACGGACAAGCATAGCCCGCCCTTGATAAATCTCTCTCCCTCCTCCCTCTTTCTATACACAGGGTATAGCTGCGCCGACTCCAAAACTCGGTGTCATGGTCAATGTGGAGATATCTGAAAAGCGGATGTCCTTACATGAGTTTAGTTCAGTCGGCGCCCCAGGCCTTCAAGAGGCTCTATTTTTCACAGACATCGAGTAAAAGTCACGATCTCTCACACTGGTATAGGTGGGTAGGTAGGTAGGTTCACGTACAGAAAGAAGGAGTCTGAACCTTGTCATGATTCTTTCTCAGACGCGGCCCCCTTTGAAAAAGAAAAAAGGACGAATTCCATGAATCCGCAAAAGAAAAAGAAAATGCTATTCCGGTCCCTTCTTGTTCATACAGTGCCCTGCCCCCTGCCCCTCGGACATGTCTCGCTTTGGTACTCAAAGTAGAGTGGTTGGATGACTGTTTGACTGTAGGGATCTAGATCAACAATTCCGGGGAGGTCTCGAATCTCAAGCTGTTGGATACCTTACCTTAGTTAGGTATGTATGTATGTATGTATACAGAAGCTATCTTGTCGTACTCGGGTTCAGAATCAGTTTTATACATGTTAGGATGATATGATATATTCACAATCAAACGAACAGAGTAAAGTCGGTGGCTATTCCATTCCATTCCGAATCTAAGCACTTGACTTTTGTCTCTTGACCCATCCATCCCCCGAGGAAGCGTATACTTTCTTCTTCATATACAACTCGACACGTGTGCAAGGTAGGCTCGTCAGTCGACTATCCCCACCTCCTTTCCTGTCTGGAAGTTGAACAGAGAAAGGAGGTGGGATCGGGTTGAAGTTTGAACACGGTGCACCCCCTGTTCCGCTCGATATGTTGCTCTCCTCTAGGCTCTCCCTTGCTAAGTCTGACCGACGAACAATACGACGTTCGGTTCGCTCGTCATATACTCCATGTTCTTGAGGCTAGTCAGTAACTGTTGGAGCCTTTTCCAAGGAGCCTCGAGGGGTGGTTCATATGTCTTCTTGACGTTCTGCGTCGTGTGTGTTTCTTGTCACTAACTCAAGTCCCAGTATACATCTAACCCGTCAGAGTTGTGAATCATGATTGACGAGCTGCTGGCGGAATGGAAAATGAGATAGATCAACAGCCCCTGGTCCCCTGGGTGAACCCAAGACTGATGCCTTTGGATCTCATAATACTAAAAGTTCTAGGTGTCTTGGTATTTGTTCGCCTTGCTAACACGTGTCAATTCTCTCAGGGGGCTGGTAGGCCTGAATCGGGATACTAACCATTCACCCCTGAGAACAATCCGACGGAGGTCTAAGGATCACGACGTAGTGGAATCGGTGGAACAGGTCTGTCTGTCTATAGCGCGTGGATAAGTTTGTATCTATGAGGTCAATCAATCAGGCTGGCTAAGACCTCCAACACCGTACAAGAATAGCTGCACTTGTCCGCTTGACCAGATCAAATGCGAAGGATGACGACTACTCGGTATATATCAATATCACTTCAACTTCTTGTCGTTCGGCGTCAACCCGGCCCCTTCAGTTCCGATCTCCCTGCCACCCTTGCCAGAGTCATCGGCCACTGCAGATGCATTGGCAGCAGCTGCAGAGCCGAACTTGAACTCCGGGAATGTCAGCTTCCTCCCGATCCTGGCTTCAACCGCCCCTTTCAGGCGCTCGCCAGTCGGCATGGTGACTGTGCTCCCCCTTCTGCGACGAGTTTCCACTTCTTGACGTATTTCATAAATTACCTCGTCGATTTCTCGGCCCGGGTCACTCGGTATACCCAGTGATGGAGGATAGTTGGTTTCTTGAGAAACTGTTTTCTGTAGATATGGGTGATTCCGTTTCGCGAGGCGTTTGGCGAGAACTCCCTTCGCAGGGGAGGAGAAGAATGCCATGAAGAGCAACACCCCGACAAGCCCATAGAAATACACCCTCGCCCAAACTTTCAGCGAGTCACTGAAGCCGAGGATGACGAATGGGGCGGTGGTAAAGCAGAAAACGAGCTGGGTGGCCACGTAGCTTGCAATGTCATAGTAGATCTTGTATTTCGTGGTCTTGGTTCCGTCGGGAGTCAGGAAGAATGGACGGAAGTATCGGCGACAATTCTTGGCCACCGTTTGGATGAACGCGCCCATCAGGAACGCCAAGTAGTATCCTGGATAAAACCCGTGCCAGAACGCCGAGGTTAGAAACGTGGCCAGTGTGGCGCGGAAGCCGGGTTTTCTGCCCTTGGGTGTCACTCGCAGATAGATGTAGTTGCGGAGCCACTTGTTGGTGTTCTTGTTCCAGCTGTCCAGGTAGGCCCGTGAGTTCTGTGCACTCTCAACCCCCCAGGGGTTGACATTTTCGGTTCGGTCCCATCTTGCTTTGCCTGTGGCCGGGTCAATCCCGTTATACCCTATTCCTGCCATGATGCACGCCCCTTCCGTCAAGGCCCAGACACCGTAGTACTTGAGCCTGGAGGTAAAGCCGAGCATTTGCAGGATCCAGACGCGATGGAGGAAAGAATATGTCATGTACTCGTCGGACAGCGTGAGGGGTACATTGTACCATTTGCCGAATTGGAGGAACAGAAGGATCCAGATCAGGCCGACAACAGCCTTTCGTGCGGCAGGCGTCCCGGACCGGGGGATACGACGGTTGCCTCTCGTGGGAGGAGGATTTTTGGTGCCGGGAGGGACCTCGAACATTGTCGTCTCAATGAATCGCTGGTAATCTATAAAATCGAACGCCGGGCCCGCGAAAAGTGAGGGAAAGAAGAAGACATAGCCGGCGTAGTGGAGAAGACCGGGCATTTTGTAGATGGCCCGCTCTTTCTGGCTATCAGTCATGAGCTCTGGCTTCAGCCGTCCGTCATGGACGTTCCAACAGAATGCGCTGAGTTTCATTACAAGAACCATCTGGCCTCCGGTGATGTCCACCACGCTGGGGTCATTGAGTCTTTGTCGATGTATGTGGTTTATGGACAGATGACCCATGAGGAATAGAAACGCGATCCATGGCATCAGAGATCCATCAATGTAGTATGCTATTGCGTATGCTCCTGCCGCACTGTACATCATGGTGCGGATTCCGTCGTATAGGTTGAACAGGCCCACGAGATAGAACAGGGAAACTCCGACGATGTATATATTCCTCCATTGTGGCCTGTTGTCAGGTATCCGTTTGAGAAGAGCGGCTAGCGGGTAACTTGAGAAAAAGACGGCGAGGAGCTTCAACTCATCAACGGAAGCGCCGATGGCTTTGGAAAGGTAAACAAAGGCTGGCAAATATGATTAGCAGGATCTCAATCTATCCAGAGCGTTACATACGCGTATCGATCCCGGGGATCATGATGGGCCACCTTCCTAAGCTACTCACAGGGTAGTAGTGAGGTATTCAGAGCGACGACGAGGTAAAGAGAAATCATGGGGAAAGTGTTGAGGAAATGTTGAAACGTGGGGACAAGGTTCATTTCCAGATTACGATGTCATAAGTCTCCCGCCGTCCGCAGTTTAGCCGGACGCTGGCGACGATAAGGCCAACTTCGACATCTGTTCCACCACGCACTGCGTTGGCTAATGCAGGATACTCTCAGTTGATCTGTATACTAGAAGCTTGTGGTATTTGCAGGCGTCGGAGATGATAAAGGGAAATAGAAGTGATGTCAAGTTGCGTACCTTGGAAATTGCCGCCGTTTTTAGAACGCCCAGGACGACTATCAAACGGCATGGTATTATTCCTAATCTAGCATGGTCTGACACCCCCGGAGATCGGGTTGGTGCAGCACTGGCATCAATACAGAGTGCAGGCTGTGGCACAGGCTACGGTCAGACTAGAGACGACAATCAACATACAACCAGCGAGGCTGCAACAAGACACAACATATACCCTACTTAGCAGTAACTTCGACCTGGACGCCGTCTCTGATTCCGACCACATACCTTCCCTCGCCTCTGCATATCATCCAGAGCTGTCTTCTCTTTGTAGGCCGCCTGCCTGCGCCGTCCTCGTACCATCAGAATGAACCGGTAATACGAGTCCAATCCTGTAACACAGCGAGTCAAGATGGACGTGGCTTCAGCTGTCCAGAATTATATCTCCAAAATCGCCGGCGTCGGCGAAGGGGCAGCGGCGTCGCAGTCGTCAAAGATGAAGATCTTGATTCTGGACCGAGATACTGTGTCGATTGTCTCCACCGCCATCACCCAATCCGCCCTGCTCAAGCATGAAGTCTTCCTCATTGACCGCCTCGACAATCCTGCCCGGGAACGTATGCGACACCTCCGATGCCTCTGTTTCGTCCGACCATCACCAGATTCCATACAATTTCTCATCGACGAGCTGCGGGATCCCAAGTATGGAGAATACAATCTTTACTTCAGTAATATCATAAAGAAGTCGTCGCTGGAGAGACTGGCGGAGGCGGATGACCATGAGGTGGTCAAGGCGGTCCAAGAGTACTTTGCGGACTATATCGTGGTCAATCCTGACCTGATGTCGTTGGATCTGGGATTTCCAAAACAACGGCTATGGAGCCATAGTCCGGATATTTGGAATACCGATGCCCTACAGAGAACGACCGAGGGTGTGATTGCCCTGCTACTGTCTCTGAAGAAGAACCCCCTCATTCGTTACCAGAAGAACAGTCTCATGGCAAAGAAACTTGCCACGGAAGTGCGATATCAAATCACCCAGGAAGAACAAATGTTTGACTTCCGCAAACCGGACACTCCTCCCATTTTGTTGATATTGGATCGTCGGGACGACCCTATAACTCCATTACTCACCCAGTGGACGTATCAAGCCCAAGTACATGAACTCCTGGGCATCAAAAACGGCCGAGTTGATTTGAGCTCCGTGCCTGATGTCCGGCCTGAATTGAAAGAGATAGTTCTCTCCCAGGACCAGGACCCCTTCTTCAAGAAGAACATGTACCAGAACTTCGGCGACCTAGGTGGCAACATCAAAGAATATGTGGACCAGTACCAGACACGGACGAAATCCACTGCCCAGATCGAATCGATAGCCGACATGAAACGCTTTGTCGAAGACTACCCGGAGTTCCGCAAACTATCCGGCAACGTCTCGAAACACGTCACCTTGGTCAGCGAACTTAGTCGTCGAGTCTCGGCCGACTCGCTCCTCGACGTGTCGGAGCTCGAGCAGAGTTTGGTCTGCAACGACAACCACGCCGCCGACCTGAAAACGCTGCAACGACTCATCCAGGACGCCGGGATTCCGGCCGACAACAAGATCCGACTAGTGGCGCTCTATGCCATCCGCTATGAAAGAAACCCGAACAACGCGCTGCCTGTGCTCCTCGACCTGCTGACAACCGTTGCCGACATTTCACCCAACAAACTGTCCATCATCCCGAAACTGCTTGCCTACCATCACAGCCTCCAGCCCGCCCCTGTGGCAGGTGGGTTCTCCGATCTTTTCGACTCCGCCTCATCTCCATTCAGCCAGTTCCGACGCAACCTCAACCTCAAGGGCGTTGAGAACGTCTACACCCAACACTCGCCACGGCTGGAAAACACACTCCAGAATCTGATCAAAGGCCGACTGAAGGAGTTGCAATACCCTTTCCTCGAGGGCCATACGCGTGACAAACCGCAAGACATCATTGTGTTTATGGTGGGCGGCGTGACGTATGAGGAAGCAAAGATGGTCGCGCAGATCAATGCTTCCGTCCCGGGTGTCAGGGTGGTCTTGGGTGGCACGAATGTGCTGAATTCCACCATGTTCCTTGAGGAGGTCGATGATGCCGTTGGCAGCTGGCCAGACCAAGCTCCTGCCTCGGCGCAGGCGAGGTTAGGGAGGGCTGTAGGTCGATAGAGGCAACCACATTTACCTTGTATGGTAGTTTGAATGAAATCTAATGCACGAGGTCTTCGGTTGCATGCAACCACTCTAAATTCTCATAATTGCATGATACTGACAACATTGCCGGCTGCATCGCTCCGTCTACTGTAAGCCGGACGGAAGTAAACAAGGGAGGAAGGGCATGTTAGTCAAACACCATCGATGGAATCAACTCGAAAGACTGCTTTTGAGCCTGAAAGATCTCGGACCAAATCCGCTGGATCCATTCCTTGATGTGCCGACAATACTGATCATACAGCGTCTGGTCAGCCATATACATGTGTATATGTCTACAAGACTCCACAATCCTCTAATGTACATTGAACAGGTCCGTCAACATCGAAGAAAAGCAACGATGACAAAGTTGACCTTTGTCTTCACAACTTCATCTTCGTGTCATCCCCGTTCTTGTCGTTTTTCTTCTTCTCTGCATCAGCATCTTCATCCCTCTTCTGCATCCTCTTGGCAATCTCCCCCGGCGTAAGGATCTTGACGGCATCTTTATTCGCGACATAACTCAACCCGCTCCACACAGTGGTCGTGGCGACCAGATACATCCAGCCCTCAAAGACGCCGGTAAGATTCCACGCATGGACCCACACCTCGGGCAAGACGGGCAACAACATGGCATTGCCGACCAACAACAACTGCAAGAAGGTGTTGATCTTGGAGATCTCGGTCGGATGCACCTCGGCGCTGGGCAGACTGAAGTCCCAGTAACGCGCCATGGTCTTGGGCGGCGGCAGCGAGATCCAGCGGAAATAGATGGCCGAGATGGCCAAACAGACGTCCCGGCCGAGGATGATGGTCGCCAGCCACACAGGGAAGGTCCCGTTCATGGTCAGCGTCACGACGGCGATCGTCATCAGCGCTTTGTCGGCCATCGGGTCGATCACGGTGCCGACCACCGTCTGCTGGTGGTATTTGCGCGCTAGATAGCCGTCGACCATGTCGGTGATGCCGGCGTAGAAGAAGAGTGAGACCGCAAGGAGCGGTTGGCTGTGCAGAATGAAGTAGCCGACTGCCGGGGCGGCGACGAGGCGCGTGAATGTCAGAATGTTGGGGATCGTGTAGATATTCTCGTGGGGCACGGGTTGGGTGAGCCGTGGGGGGATGAGATTTTTTAGTTTGTTTTTTGGAGGTGAGGGAGATGGTGATGGCGTTGGTGTGGACGTGTTTTGAATGGAGCTGGAGCTGGAGCTGGAGCTGGAGCTGGAGCTGGAGCTGGAGCTGGAATTGGAATTGGACCTGGTGATATTGGTGTCCGTATTCGTCCTATGGAGAGGTATTCAAGTTAGTATGGAATGGTAGAGTATGGTAAGGCTGCGTCCGCGTCCGTCATGGGAGAATGAGGGTGCAACTGTGCTTGTGACAGGGTATGTTCTAGTAGTCGATCTGGGTGAGGGAGGTAGTGTAGATCATGAGTCGAGGTGGGAGATAGCAGTACTGAAATGGGAGTGTACGGGTTTCACCAGATGTCCTGGTATGGGACAGTCGCTGAAGAGGGTATACTGGCAATTGGTCTGGCCCACCCTCCGCTCAGGAGCGAGGGATACTGAAATCCTGCTTCAACATTTCCCGGCTGTTCATTGGGAAAGGACTGACTCAAAGCAACGACACCAAAGAACAGAGATCACAAGGCCTTACCCGGTAGTGTTCTCCTTATCCAGATGTGCATTCTCGTCTGGGTTTGTCGAAACTTTGCGAATCTGCCACCATCGTCCTAAAGCCGTCGGGCTCTCCAACGATCTCGTCCACCGGACACTCTCCACCGTCCTGACGAGAATCAAGTCAGTCTCCGGCGCGTGCTGCGCACATAAGGCAGGGAGAAGTCCAAAATCCATACCTTGAGAGCGTACGTCGAGGCGTCACAGGAGACGTGACCACGGAAGATGTCGAGAACAAGCATCTTGCACCCACTCGAGGGGTATATCTTATACCATAGTTCGCGCGAAGACTGGGTCGATCGATCGCCAAAGACGCAGACGTAGAGGCAGATACATTGTTGACCACAGGCACACACGTAGATGCAGACACAAGCCCTCTCGCAGGCCGTGATCGATATAATCTTCCGGGATTCACACCACCACGGCTCCCCAGCTGGACCACCGAGGCCATGACATGTTGTCGTGGCGGCGGAGGGATCATTCAATCCGTGACCATTCACTGGCCGAGAAAGAAGAGAGGAAGGGAAGCCGCGCCAAAAGCAGCTGAGCTGAAGGACGGGAAGACGGACTGGTGGCTGCAGAGCAGGAGCAGGAGCAGAGCCGATATAGCAGAGTTGAGATGATGATGTTGAAGCGAAGCTCGAAAGTTGGTTGGAAGAAAAGAGTCATGGAGTGATGGATGACTAAGCGGCCTCCCTCCCTTTCCTGTTCCACATCCATTCAAGTTCATCACAGTGAAAGCGCCCAGCAACGGAACATGCGATGGATATTGCAGAACATGATACAGGAGTGACCAGAGAGGATCTTTAGGAGTACGAAGCTGGGTTGGAAGGACAAAACAAGACTCGGTGCGAGGCGCCATGTATTTCCCACACTGGTAGACGTCTTTGAGCCTTCTCCCCATGAGAAGGGTTCTCGTGCCCGAGAGCAATATCAAACGCCGGTCGCTATGCTATTTGAAACAGTCCCATCTGCACATCTGTTCTCATACAATTACAGTAACCACCAAACATCACTGGCCCAAACCAGCCGCATCCTCCGTGCCAGGCAATCGTGTCTTCAGCGTCTGCTCGCTAGGCAACGCTGTACTGGGAGTTCTGGACGCAGCAGAATCCGCTCGACGAGCGTATTTGATCAAACGCAACGCTCCGTCCGGGGTAAGTCCCTCGACCCTCCTCGCCATACCCACGCTCAAAGGCCTGACGAGTTTCAAGACCTCCTTCTCCGCCATACTCAACCCATTCACATTATCATAATCAAGGTGGGCCGGTAAAGCAAGTGACTCGTCCCGTAGGAACCCCTCAGCCGCTCGCGCTTTGTAGGAGATATAGGGTGCGTAGAGACTTTCAATCTGCACTCGTGTCTTGATTTTGTCGTCGTAATTGGCTGGACTAGGTAGTGTATCTAGGCGGCTGGCGACCACGTCTACGTCGATTCCCGGCAGGCGAAGCATGTCGAATGCACTTCGTTTTGTCGAATCGACGCGTGTCTGAATCCCATGTTTCACCCATTCCTGGCTGGAGAGAACCGCGCCCTGCAAAGCGTCTTGGAGCTCGGCGATCTGATCCCGAGTGCTGGTATAGTGTGCCCACCGTTTGTCGCCCACCACACCTACTTCTCGGCCCTTCTCCGTCAACCGAAGATCTGCGTTGTCCGATCTGCAGCTCATGCGGTATTCGCTGCGGGCGGTGAACATTCGATACGGTTCACTGACACCTTTGGTGATGAGATCATCGATCAAAATCCCGATGAACGCTTCGGCTCGAGAGAGAGTGAATGGCCCTCTCCCTTGGGCTGAGAGACCAGCATTGATACCAGCAATGATCCCCTGTGCAGCGGCCTCCTCGTAGCCCGTAGTGCCGTTGATTTGGCCGGCCAAGAAAAGACCTTTGATGAGTTTGGTTTCGAGAGTCGGGAATAAATTGCGAGGGTCGATGTAATCATACTCCACCCCGTAGCCTGGTTGCAACATTTTCACGTTCTCCAAGCCCTTGATTGTCCTCAACATAGCGTACTGTGCATCGGCCGGCACCGTCATGCTGATTCCATTCGGGTAGATGATCTTGTTCGGTTCCAGCCCTTCGGGCTCCAGCCATATCAAGTGTCGCGACTTGTGTCCAAAGCGGATGATCTTCGATTCGAGCGAGGGACAGTAACGCGGCCCTTTTACTGTTTCGCGGATGTGGATCGACTTGTCGAGGTTGGCACGGATGATATCGTGAGCGGCCTCGTTGGTATATGTTATCCAACAATGCAACTGACCTTCATTCCCGATCTGGACGCTGTCGTTCAAGTATGAGAAAGGCGTGGGCGGCGAGTCACCCGGCTGGGTCTCAAGCAGTTTGAAATCGATCGTGTCTCGATCCAAACGAGGCGGAGTGCCGGTCTTGAGTCTTCCCAGAGTGAATCCAGCACTCTTCAACGACTGGCTTAATCCAAAAGTGGCGGCCTCTCCCATCCGTCCCGACGGATATGCCTCAAGGCCAATATGGATCTCTCCGCCCAGAAATGTGCCTGTAGTGATGACCACGTGCGAAGCCGGGATGACTTGCCCATCCTCGAGGCGAATCCCGGTGATTCGGCCCTGGGAGACCTTGTCGCTTGGATCGATGTCGTCTTTCGACACAATGATGTCCGCGACCTTGCCTTCCAGGATACTCAGGTTCGGCGTCGACAGTATCTCTTCCCGCATGTAATTCTTGTACAAGTCCCTGTCAATCTGTGCCCGGGGGCCCCAGACCGCAGGGCCCTTCCGTTTGTTCAGCACGCGGAATTGAATCCCAGCTTTGTCAATGATTCGACCAGCGACTCCGTCCAAAGCATCGATTTCCCGCAACATCGTGCCCTTGCCGATTCCGCCGAAACTGGGGTTGCATGAACATACCCCTAGATTGGAGAGGGACGGTGTGACCAGAGCTGTCCGCGCGCCTGACCTCGCTGCCGCCGCGCTGGCTTCGGTGCCTGCATGGCCGCCGCCGATGACGACGACATCGTATGGCCTAGTCGCGTTCAGTGTCAGTCCATGCTACCACCATCGAGGATGAAGAAATTCGGGGGGATGCATACCTTACTGCGTCCGCCACCGCAGCAAAGAACCGGCGTTGGATTCGACCAGACCTCGTCCGAGGTGTATGGCCCCATTGCAAGGAGCCTGAGCCCGGGGACCGCAGGATGGGCCTCATTTTATCCTTATAGCGAGCGAGCGCTTTTTGCAGATCAGATTGAGCATTGCCGTTGAAATCACCTGGGCAGTCGGAGACATTTTCGTTGCATCGGAAAAACTTCGGAGCTTACGATCCGACGAGGCTGAGATTATGTAATATACAGCCTCGTCACGACTACACCTTCACTCTGTACTAGTAGTAATGATACTACACGGGAAAGCAACCAGCCTGCCACTTTGTGAGACCAGGTTATAGTTGCATCGCCTGATTCATCGGCGCATCGTAGAGAGGAGAGAAATATCGTACATAGCTCAAGCCCCGAGGATCATGAGTTGCTAGACCAGTGTGATTAGACACTTCACGCAGAGGCAACACACGCAGTGAAGTATCGGCGCAAACACACTGCGCGATAATAGGGTAGATATATTTAAGTCAGCGATTTTAGTCAACAATCGCAAAGACCCCCAGATGACTCTACGGCCACTATGGCCCAAACTTCTAGCACTGGGCGAAAACCGTACCTCCGAGCTTGAGTTCAATCCTCACTCGGTTCATAACCCTGGAACCCGGGTTTACACCAACCACGATCCTTCTCCAAACGGAAAACCCCTGCGAACCCGGGTTTCACTTCCCACGACCCCCATATCAGAGGGGTTCGTGGAAAAAGTTTTTGGCACTTTGGTGGATGATGATATTTTTAATTTTGGTGCTGGTGTCGGTGTGTGCGTGCGTGCACACGTGAGGGTGCGGCAGAAAGAGGTTACCAGTGAAGTTGAGGAGTCCTCAGTCAGTGAATATCATGTACATTGTGCACCAGGATGCCAACCATTTCTGCTCGAGGCACCTTAGCTCTACCGAGCTGGTAGGAATCGCATTCATTCTCAGAAAACCACGTTCAATACTTTGCCTCCACCAACAACAACCACTCTTTTCCGCTGCTCCCAGTCATATTTCACCGTTAGCCACAAACGGCCTTCATCCGTCTTGAGAACCGCGTCGACTATCTCCGCCTCTCTCGCGGCTTTGTCGCCGGCAGCGGTGCTCTGGGATTGATCGGAGGGGATTTGCGTCGTGAATCGAAGCTTGCCGTTGATCTGGACCGCGCATGTGATGAATGTCTTACGGCTTCGCATAGACGATTCTTGTTCGGGCGTTATTATGTCTCCGGTCCAAGTTGTGCTGAATATACTTCCTGCATCGTCGCCAGTCCTCAAACTTTCCCAGCATTCTTCGGCAAAGGCGGGCGTGATCGGAGCCATCATTCGGAGGAGGGCCGAAACTGTATGATACGCAATAGTCGGATTTAGGTTCTTCACTCCGATGTCGTGAAGCGCGTTTGTAAGTTTGATAAGATCGGAGACTGCGGTATTCAGACTGTACACATCATTCGAGAAGGTGTGAGAAATACTCCGACTCGTTGCCTGCGCTAGCAGTAACATATTGATTTCGTGTTCAGAGAGCGCAGTCAGATCATCGAGGCTCGTTTGCAAGTCATCGACGTCGCCAATAGTTTCTCCTTCGGCAACGAGGTCAGACACAAGACGGTTCACGCGGCCTAACCACCTCTGAATGCCGACGATCTTTTCTTCATCCCATTGTAGAACTTCGCTGACTGGAGCTGCGAAGAGAATGTGAGCTCGCAGAGCGTCTGCGCCGAACTTTTCAATCGCGGCGGATGGATCCACGCCGTTGTGCTTGCTCTTGGACATTTTCTCCCATGTCACATTGGCAGGCTTTCCTGTCGTCTTCATGACAGGAGTTTCGCCATCGAGGTCCACTTCCCCCGGTAACAGGAAGCGGCCAGTGTCCGGATCGGAAAATGTTTTTCCGTGGACCATACCTTGCGCCACGAGACGCTGGAAGGGCTCCTCATTGCCCACTCGGGCTGGAACAAGGCCTTCGCTGCACAGAAACTTGTAAAAGAATCGAGCATAGAGTAGGTGCAGAATGGCGTGCTCCACGCCACCAACATATATATCGACCGGTAGCATGCTTGCTGCGGACTGTTTGGAGAAAGGCTCCTTCTCGTTGCTTGGATCTGGGAAGCGCATAAAATACCAGGAAGAGTCGACGAATGTGTCCATCGTATCCGTCTCTCTTCTGGCAGATCCGCTACACTTGGGGCATTTGCAATTGACCCATGCCTCGATCTTGTCCAGCGGATTGCCTGTTTGTCCCTTGATAGATGAATCCAATCGAGGTAGTACAACTGGCAGCTCGTCCACAGGAACAGGAACTATTCCGCAATCTGGGCAATGCACAATAGGGATGGGTGTTCCCCAGTATCTTTGTCGGCTTACTAGCCAATCGCGCAATCTCCATGTCTCATAAGGCTCTGCCAGGTTATGCTTCTTCAAGTCGTTCACGATCTGGACACCAGCATCTCTACTGGCCAAGCCAGCATAAGAGCCGCAAGCCGAGGTCAAGACACCGGGTACGGTGTACGCCTCCATCAACTCCGAAGGATACAATTTGGTCTGATCTGTATTGGTGTTTGCAGGTGCAACGACCCTAGTGATGGGAGCTAACGGTCTGTGCAGTTTCCAAAAGCTGAGATCTCGAGAATCATGGGCGGGAACACCCATGACCGCTCCCTCACCATAATCTTCCAGTACGTAGGGTGCAGTGAAGACTGGTAGCGACTCCATCTTCGAATCCAGGGTGTGGGATAGTGGGTTGATAGCGCGGAGAGGTAACTCGAATCCCTCCTTGGAGTCCGGAGCGAAGGAGGCCCGTCTATCGAGGAAGCGTTGTAACTCGGGATCCTCTGTAGCCAGCTGTTCCACAAGCGGATGGGTCATTGATAAGGCGACATATTTGACACCAAATAATGTGTCCGGTCGTGTCGTGAACACACGGATAGGCACCGACTTTCCCGCATCGTTTTGTAGGTCAAACTGTATGCGTGCACCGGAAGACCGACCGATCCAATTTCGCTGCTGAGACAACACTCTTTCCGGCCACTTGTCACCTTCAGCCAGATAGTCTAGGTCTCGGAGCAGAGCTTCCCGGTATTCTGTGATGCGAAAGAACCACTGGCGAAGTTTGATCTGTTGCACCAACGCTCCAGACCTCCAAGAGCGGCCATGGCTGTCGACCTGCTCAGACGTCAGCAGGGGAAAGAATCCAGCAGCCAGCAAAAGATGCTCACCTGCTCATTAGCAAGGACCGTCTTGTCAACCGGATCATAATTCACCAGAGCCTCTGCTTGGTACGCCAGTCCACGCTGATACAGCTTGAGAAAGATAGCTTGAGTGTGCTTGTAGAATGATGGCGAAGAGGTTGATATTTCCTACATAAAGCCCATCAGCACTATATACACATGTTCCGAGCTCTTGACCTACAGCATCCCAATCAAAGCTCGTGTTCATGCTCTGAAGCTGCCTTTTCATTTTTGCTATGTTTTCTTCCGTCCAGATGGCTGGATCAATCCCACGTTCGATGGCAGCATTTTCGGCCGGCAACCCAAAGGCGTCCCAGCCAGTGGGGTGTAGCACCTCATTGCCTCTCATCCGCCTGTAGCGAGCTATGACATCCGAAATCGTGTAGACGCGCAGGTGGCCCATATGCAAAGATCCTGACGGATATGCAAACATGGGAAGGACATAAAATTTGTTCGAAGGCTGTTGTCGTCTTGACAAGGCGGCCTCTGAGGCCCATTTCTGCTGCCATTTGGCATCGATGGCACGTAAGTCCAGTCGAGAAGAAGTCTGAGAGACGGCGAGTCGGGGAAAGGAAGCGCTGAAGCAGCGAACGGACTTCAGCCTCGTAGACTGCCGGGATGTGAATCCTAGCAACATCACCTCCGCCCCTCCCACACCAGTGCTTGCGAGACTAGGTAGTCGTATGAGTAAAGACAGTGCGATGATTCATGAAAAAGAAACAAAACATTGAAGCTTCACCTTCACTGTCCAGTGCCCAGTTTCTGGAGGCTTATCGTCTCTTATCAGCACGTGAGGCTCCATGCTTGGCCAAATTCACAGCTTCACTCAAGTTCAACGTCACAGCTTTCCACACGACTCAACTTACTCAGAACCTCACCCGGCTCACGGTTCGCCCTGGTATGTTCCATTCAGGCTTAGAATCCGATACAGACCGCCGTCTTGCCAGTTATGGGCCTGGGCAGCATGTTCGACTTGAGCTGGCCGGTAGGTGGAACCCCCTCGCCATCATCAGCAACGTTGCCATTCACGAAGCTCGCTCTCAGCCTGCAGAAACATGGATTTGGAGAGGACCGCAGATACTCATCAAGCCAGGAGATTTTGCTACCTTGGGATATAGCATATATCTATCATCCTTTACCTCCGTAATCGTCTTCAAGAGGTGAGGGAGAGCAACGGCGCGTTTGATGACGCTGCGTTCGTGGGGAAACGAAGACACTCCTCTTCTCTCGTGTTTGCAGCGAGCGATTGGCCACCTATATCTGTCTTTCCTGATATCTCTGGATCGATCGATGATCGTTCATCCCTTTCCAGTCAAGGGGACTCGAAGAGCAGCCTGCGCCGCTGCCATCTTTGACCCAGGGTGGAAGCTTGAAATGCTTGGACTCTGCAATACATCCGGCAACATTGCCGCTCCAAAGAGGCCCATATCTGAATATGCAGTCTTGCTTGGAGCATATATTTACACTAAAAGACCTGTTTTCCATGTCGAGAACCGACTCGATGGAAATTTCTCAGCTGGTCTCCAGGGTGCCCATGTCTCCACCTGACACAGAACCTTTCGATGATGCAACTGCATTGACTGCATGTGTAAGTTGGTGTCTGTGAAGACCTCTGGAGCTCTCACATGTTCTCTGTGGTGTTCACCCGAGCAAGATTGTTGTACAAGCGCACCGATTGTCACAGAAGTACTTCTTCGCTCACTTGAGCGTCTGCGTCTCACATGCGGCCATCTCTTTCAGTATGGGCTGACTTGCTTCAAGGATTGGCTGCCTTGGCTGCTTTGGCTGCAAAGTGGCTTCTGATTGCTACAGACAATGCTCTTCGCTGGACTTTCTTTCGTCGTCTGAGCAAATACCCTCTTTGAATTCTCTGAGAATCATGTGCACACGCCGTGGCTTGGCTAAAAAGATGCGTCGATGAGCTATTGAGGCTAAGTGACAATAGGCTGCGTTTTCAGGATGCGTTTTCACAGCTGTATTCACTAACCAGTGTCTATTGTGCTCTATCCGCGACCGTGAACCTATTATCACCTGAAGTGGGATTAGCACCCCCAGCCGCGAGGATATAAATCTTCAGCCGACTCTGACTCTCACTCTCTTGTCTTCTTTCTCACTCATCTTCACGTCCTCCTTCAACAAACAAAGGTCTCTTTGACCATTTTCTCCTTCTATCACCGCCTTCAGTCGCGATTGCGAGTGCAAATCTTAAATATACAAAGATGGCTGCAATTTTCACCTTCGGCGGCGGAGGGCCGGGTATAGTCACAGGTTAGCAGCAGCATCATCACGACAGCATCGTTTGCCCTCTAACCATCTTGTGAGCAGGTCACCAACTACCCTTCTTCCAATCTCAACTCGCAAATGTTGACACGCCGCGTCTTACCTACCCAAAAGCTCATCTTCTCTCGCTCCCGAGAGAAGTTCGCGAGAAGATATTCGGATATTTGGGACCATCTGCCAGTGAGGTCGCTGAAGAGCCGCTCACCAGCCGCGGTGCTGGTGGTATAGAGAGAAGTCTGCCACTGGTCTGTCGACAACTCTTCCATGATACCGCAAACGATGGAACTCGATATGTTGTCAAAGTGCCGTGCAACAGACTCGAACATTTTGTGGAACAATCACTCAGCGAGTCAGCGGCATATAGAAATATGAAAGCTCTTACACTAGAGTTGCCGCACAACAGCCCGAACCAGTTCTATCGAGAGCTGGCCACCTTCTTCATACTTGCAAAAACAACTCTGGAAGAAGTCAAAATCTTCGGAGTTGGAACAGACAGATTCGGTAATCTGACCAGTTCGTTGCACCCTTGTGGTAAGGTGAATACCTCTCGTCGAGCACAACTGGGCAGCCTTCCTTGGAATGGCCAAGACTACGAGCGGCGCATCATATTCATCAACAATATCCAGTGGCTTGAAAAATTGAAGGTCCTGGTTCTCGATAACTTGAATATGCCAGTCACTCAAGCGCAGCTTTTCAAGAAGAAGCCTCAACTTGAGCGTCTCCGCGTCGGGACCGACCCTCGCATGATGCTTCATAGTCGATACACGACAGCATGGCAAGGCTTGGGCATGTGCAATCTCATCTATCCAACCGGCCAGATGCCTCCGCTCAGAGAGCTCGACATCTCCATGAATGGTGCCCTCACGACCTGGAAGGTCATTCCACCAGTGCTACCAACTCTCGAGATACTCAATTGGACCTTCCCGGACTTTGCCACCCAGGGTGGTGTCAACTACCTTCGGATTGGTATTAGCCTCCTCACCGGACTTGGCGCGGCGCGGAAATTGCGAGTCTTGAGACTCTGCATTCATGGTGCAATGTACGAGCAAGTCAACGACATGGCCAGTTTCATGTACACCCTTAGAGACAGCATCCAACGTGTCCCCACTCTCAAGGCCATTGAACTGCATGTCCATTCAAAGTCGCCCTGGTTTGCTCCAGAGTTCATCCAAGCTCTTCCGAACTCAGTTGAGAGATTGTTCCTCGCGGATCACTTTGTCCACGGAGACATCAAACGACTTACAGACCTCGTCGGCGATGCATCCAATACGTCTACTGAGCACCACTATGATGACTGGAAACCAGTTGTCGGCGACAATCTTGGCAGAACGGACTATATCCAGTTTGCACCCAAGAATCTGGGCTTTGTCAGCTACGAATACAATCACAAGATGGGAGAGCAGTTCGAGACTGATGTGACCAACTTTATGAGATTGAATGGCCGAATGCTAGACAAAGAGAGAAACAAGCATTTGGCTCCACTCGAAGGCCGACACATTCCATATGCAAAAGGAGGCAAAGCTGCAGATCCACTTGTGACGCCTTGGTTCCCGGACTTTGAGGAAATGATTCCGAGATCTCAAGCCGAAGTTGAACATATTGGCAAGCAGCTGATTCATCCCATCTTTTACGCCGATCGTCACTATTTCGGCAACGAAGCAGCCGCCGAAGAAGTCTTTTGGGCAGAGCCCGTCGCCAAGGTCGCGCAGCGCCTTTGTTCTTCGCTTCCGGTGATTGTCGATGTCGAAAAGCCGTTCAGCGCTGATAGTCACTGGCTGAGCTGCTGAGCGCGTTGAGCCATGGTGTTTCCAGAACAGGATAGCATGGGTGAGATGGTCATTGCAGTGATGATGACAATTGAAATGCCTGGGCCACAGAGGGCTTCGGGTACATTGCAGAGACTGCACATGCGGCGACACAAATGGGCAATATGCGGTCTGGTGATGAGACACTGTATGGTAACAATGGATTGCGCGGAGGGGAATGGATTTCGCTCTATGCTTAGTCCCTCAAGAGAGCCGTCTTCGCGGGCAGAGCATTTTTTTCATGTTAAAGGCTGAGCAAAGGTGCTTTCTTTCTTCTTTCATCGCTCATCATCATCGTTTACAGCAAGCTGGCGGAGCTGAATGGTTGCTTGAATTGCTCAGATACTCTCATCGACGCTACGGGATGCGTCGAAACTTGATACACAGTCATTGAGACTGGGCCAGAAGAGAGAATGATAACATACTTGAATGATAGACGGTGTGCTGTAGACTCTTTCACGTGACTGCGTTGATATGGCACTATTGATTCTATGCTCTGCTGTATGGATCTCAACATCTGCACTTGACTAACACAATGCTCCAACCAAATGTCTCCATCCGTCCTTGTCGCTCAACCTGCATGACTCGTTTACTTTCGATTTGTTGGACTTCGGGATTCATGCATTGTCATTGATGTACAGCGCGAGTCAGCGCCCTCAGACACACCATGCAAAATGATTTAGGTCACTCCAGTACTTCCTCACCGGCGGACAACTTCACACCTTCGTCGCCAACCCAGACGGGTCGCAAGCGAAAAGCCCCCTCTGGCACTCGCGGCGTCTCCAGCCTGACTCCGGAGCAGCTCGCGAAAAAGCGCGCCAATGACCGTGAGGCGCAGCGGGCCATTCGGGAGCGGACGAAACAGCACATTGAGAGCCTCGAGCGCAGGATACAAGAGTTGACGTCGCAACAACCGTACCAAGAGCTTCAGGCGGTGATCAGGCAGAAAGATGCCATCCAGGCGGAAAATGATGAGATCAGGAGGAGGCTGGCCTCCATCATGTCCATACTCCAGCCCATTGTCGGTGCACAAGGCTTGACAGGTATGCGCGAATAAAAGAGGAAAGAGGGAGGTCCAGGGCACGTTGGCTCACTTTGTCTTGTCTTCAGATCTCGCAACAGCAGCGCAACATAATGTCCAACCAGGAGTCGGACCACCGAATGAAGCGTTTCGCGCCGGCAACCTGTCGACTTCCGACCCGTATCTCAACGGAAGACAACAATTTCCCGTGTCGCCTCATACCTCTCAAGCGACCGTGGAAGGGTCTACATATCCACCACCTTTCGGCTCGGAGAACCATGGCGACGGCAGAGTGTGGACGGCCTCTAGAGAAACGCTGAGCCACCAACGCGACAACCTCCAGCGAGGATTGGAACTGAACGACTCTGGAGAACGATTGTCGTTCAACTTCCTTCTCGACAGTCTAGGCCAGCGGACCGGACCCAATGCCACCTCTCAGCCGCAAACCAACTCCCCGGCTCGGCAATCAGTGTACCCTTCTCTGCCTGACCCACAAGCACCGTGGACGATCCTGCCCAAGAACGTGGCACCGACGTGTCCGCTTGACGGCCTGTTGGTGAATTTCCTCCAATCACGCCGTCGCGAGGCAACAGCAGACCAAGACTCTTCGCACAACAATCCTATGCTCAACCCGACCAGCTACCCGAGCGTGTCGTCGCTACTTAACCCGTCAGGCGACCACCAACTCGACCCGCTGTCGCAGCTGATGACCGACATCATCAGCAAGTTCCCCAACATCTCCGATTTGCCGGAGCAGGCGGCAGTGCTGTTCATCATGTTCCTCAACATGCGATGGCAGATCAACCCGACACAAGAGAACTACGAACGTCTACCGGAATGGATGCGTCCGACACCAATGCAGCTGTTTACTCCTCATCCGGCTTGGATCGATCATATCCCGTGGCCCAGGATGCGCGACAAACTCTGTGCCAATTACCACGATTATCCGTTTGAGAATTGGTTCATCCCTTTTACGAGCGAGCTCAGCGTCAACTGGCCTTACGATGCTGTTGATTGTTTGCTCTCCACGTCCGACCGGGATAGGGAAGAATCTGTCATCAATCCTGTCTTCGAGCGCCACGTTCGTCGTCTGGAGAATTGGTCGGTCGGCCCGTCCTTTGCGGAGGTATACCCAGATCTCGTCGACACCACGCGTATCAAACACAAGGACGTTTCTGCTTCCCAAGGTCAGGAGAACTCGGGCAATGGGTGTGCTACGACGTGATGTCCCTGCAGCTTGATTCCCCCTTCGTGCGGCGGAGATGACAAACTGCCTAGACTATGTTCGATGCTATTTACCGAGCTTCTACGGGTTGCTCGGCAGGAGATTCGAGGTCGGAACACATTACGCACTGTCTGTGGGGTAGGATGTCCCTTGCGAATGCGGTGCTGCCATGTCCTTACAACAGCTCAGGAAGATGCTCGTCAGGGTGTTGTGTGAAGACTCCAGCAGCAGACTCTGCATGTAAAAACTGACTCGGACAAGTCCCAAACACTTTAAGAGTCCGCAGATTTGTAGATCATGCAGTCGAGAGTCGAGGAGATCTGGAAGCACGACAAATTAATAGTCGAGCAATAGAACTGCTTCACCGTGTCATAATACTCCCGCTTTCTCTAATTGTCAAGTATTGTTATCCCGATTTTCGCTGTACCAGCACCACCACCCCCAAGACACACGTCTGGAATAGTAGTAAAGACATACCATGTGAGGAACATCCACCTGGCGATCGCCCATCATCAAATGCAGTTCATCCATAACGATGAAGATTGTTTATATTCAAGCGGCGACTTTAGCACTATATTTTGCAGCTGCAGTATCAAACGACTGACTCTTCTCGGCCAGATCCTTCAACAGCGCATGATGGCCATCCTTCTCCTGTAACTGTTTCAGCAGGCCTTGAACGACATCACCTTTCTTGCCCATGACACTCGCCAAGACAACGCTGTTGGCAATCGCCTGGACATCAACGTTCTCCGACTCCATGGCCTGCTGTAAGGCGGCCTCTGCCTCTTCTGTCCGACTGAGATGCAATTCCGCGACCGCCTGGCCCACCAACGCCGTGGGTGACGTGGTGCCCGGCGTGCTCGCCAATTCCTCATACACGTAGAAGGCCGACTGATACTTCTCACTGCCACCTTCGCGTATATTGGTCCAGGCCTCGGCCAGGTTGATCAGGAGACTATCCTGAGCCCAGCGTTTGGCGGCCGCGACTTCCTTGACAGCGAGGTCCGTCCGGTTCTGCGTCAAGTGGATCTGCACCAGCAGGGCGACCGCCTCGAGGCTGCCTTGGTGTTTGTTGAGGAGGTCGATGGCTTGGGCATATTCGCCGGCGGCGGCGAGGACTGTGCCGGTGCAGATCTGCACGATGGGATCTTCGGGGTCGGATTCGGAGAGAGAAGTCGCGGTCTCGAGGGCGGACGAGGGGTCTCCGGAGGCTTGTTGCGCCAGAGCCGCTATGGATCGCGAGGCGGCGTCTTGGGAGGATTTCAGGGACGAGAGCACGGCGGAGGCTTGGCCGAGGGCTATTTGCGCGCGGTATTTTAGGAGTTGGGCGGTCTTTTTGTTCTCGGGGGACAGTGCGGATGTGTCGAAGTCCAGCACGGCCGGGTAGGCATGTGTGTAGAAGGCGGTGGTTATGTTGAGGAGTTCTGGACACGCATGGTCAGTGGTTTGGTTTGGGTTGGGATGGGTCAATGGAGTACGAGGGGGAGGAAACGTACCTCCTTCGCCGGAGAAAGGGTCCATGGTTGGCCTTGTGGACTGTTTTTCACAAGCAGGCGGAGGGATAGATGGGCTGTGTTTTGGTTAAGGTACGTGCTGTTTTGGGTTTGCACAGAGGTTCAGAAGCGTTGGGGGTGTGTCTGGTGTCGTGACAACCGTGTCAAGTGTCGAGGACGTTGGTTGACTTTGTACTACTACTACAGCGTATACTTGGACTGGGAGCCCGGACAGGAAGGTGCGGCGAGGTCGCTTCTCCGCGTAGTACTACGTACTAGTACAACAGTTCACAGACGAGCAGAGTCGGTCTCAACCCCTCGAGATCAACAGCCTCATCTCCACCACCGACCTCAAGTTCACCGCGGTACATACAAATTCTGTTGGCCTCATCAAGTCCCTTCTCCATGATTCAAATTGCCGGAGGCGGCAGACCAACAACTTTGGATCTTTGCCATATCCAACACCCTCTTTACGAGGCACCGCCGAACACTTTCATCCACCCTCTTCTTCCTCCCCCCGCAGTCGATGATCATGGCTCGCGGTGCGAACTTCAGTTTCGCGTACAACAGCATTATCCTTGACCACCGAGCTATCCAAACGCGCCGTGCTCTAAGTCGAGTCAAGGCCAATTATCATCTGTTCCTGCGCAATCAACCCAAAGTACCACAATTCCGCGTGCAGGATCTCCAGCCTGTGAGGAAGTGGCAGGTGCCCAAGATGAAGATCATCGAGGAATGATAACGAACCATGGGACGATGTAACACAATTTTATGATGGCGTCTGTGGTTCTAGGAGTACTGGATTGTTCTGGGTTGGGAATGATAGGGAGGCGGCCACGGGCACGACTGTTCAATCATGAAACATATCTTCTCTCGGCTATGCTGTTATGTATGCGAATCTCCTCTCGCTCCAGACTACATTCGGGCAGGCTCTCCTTTCTCTCACATTTCTTTATCAGAGGATGCTTCTGCATATAGGCTACTCTCTATCAGAGGATATTTTTGCACGTACGCTACTCTCTATCAGAGAATGCTTCTGCACATAGGCTACTCCTTCAGCGGAACAGTGTCGGCAAAGGAATTCTTTGCGAACGCCTCCGGATAGCGCCCTCCATGCACTTCGGTTGCACTAATAGCCTTGCGGATCTTGTCGTTGTCCTCCTTGGTGATCTTGACGTTCAGGGCTCCCAGATTCTCATCAAAGTTCTTGGTCTTGGTCGTCCCCGGAATAGGGATGATGTCGTCTCCCTGAGCCATCAAAAACGCAAGCACCAATTGACCGGGCGTGCAGCCTTTCTCCTCCGCCAGAGCCTTGATTTCGTCGACCAATTTCAGATTCTTGGGGAAATTCTCCGGACTGAAGCGGGGGGCATATTTGCGGAAGTCGTTGTCTTCGAAATCATCGGGGCTTTTGATGCTGCCTGTCAGAAACCCACGACCCAAGGGCGAGTATGCAACCATGGCCACGCCGAGTTCCCGGCATGCCTGCAACAGACCGTAGTCCTCGATCTCCATGGAGAAGGGACTGTATTCCATCTGCACAGCATCGATGTGGACCACCTGTTGGAAACAGTTAGCAATCCGCACCAATGTAGAGAGAAGGTTGCGAAACCAGTGCACCACCACACATACCTTGCAAGCCCTGCGCAGAGTGGCGGCACTGCACTCGCTCAGACCCAGATACTTGACCTTGCCGGCATCCTGCAACTCCTTCATCACTTTGACCGTGATCTCAATCGGTTGGTCCTGTTGGATTCGATGACAGTAGTACAAATCGATCTGGTCCACGCCGAGTCTCTGCAACGACTTGTCGCACGCGGCCTTGATGTATTCGGGCTCGTTGCGGATCCTTCTCTCCCCGGTCTTGGGGTCGACGTAGTTGGCGAACTTGGTGGCGAGGAAGATCTTCTCCCGTGCGCCCGGGTTCCGCTTGAACCATCGTCCGACCAAATCCTCGCTGTCGCCGTAGATGTCGGCACTGTCCCACAGCAGTTCGCCGGACTTGTACACGTGGTCGAGCAGGGCGAATCGCTCTTCGTCAGGCTTGGGCGCGCCGTAGAAGGCACTCAGGCCCATCAGGCCGAAGCCTAGAGCTGTGACCTCGGGTCCGTTCTTGCCGAGTTTGCGGGTCGGGAGTTTGGGGACGGCCATGGTTGGACTGATTGATGAGTTACTGGTTTTGGGGAGGTTCTCGTGAAGGTGGAGGAAGTAATGCACAAGTCAGGAACGGAGTTGGTGTTGGCCAGATTCGTACTTGATGTTTGGTATTTATATGCTGGTGCTCTCTGGGTTCTTGTCCTGTCTGTCTCGGATATAAGATTCCTCTCCACTATCAGTGGACATTCCTGTTGATTCCACTCATTCCACTGATTGTGATTCCGCCGCATGGAATAATGACGTCTGATGAGAATATCGGGGCTGATTGGCTGTGAACGGTCCATTCTCTTCATTCTCTGTCCAGTCTACCAATCATTGCGCCGCCCTTCCCTCTCATCTTGTCATGGATACAGAGTAGTACTGAGATATATCAACCACAAATCTCCACTGCGGCCGCGCGCACCGCATGCGCCGCATGCGGCATATGCGGGAGCAGGGAGTTTGTATTCAACCACGACCGATCTTGTATAATCTCCGCGTGCGAACAGAATCATGCATTCATTAGTCGCGACCTTTTGGATGATTTGACAGATGGTGTTTTTGCGGTTGTGTTGCTGAGAAATCATATTTCGTGCGAGCCCAGTCAAGTGCGGCTGCTGGACGCTGGCGCGGAAAGCTCAACAGTTCACACTGGGCGGGGTTGGAATTCCTATCAGCCACTCAGTCTTGAAGGACGAGTCTTATTCAGTATGCTGCAGTTCTCCATCAATAGTCATGACTCAAGCTGGTAGTTGTCTATCATGCCTGAAGTCGTGACCAGGACGTTCATCCATGGTTACTGATATCATCGGACGCCTTCAAGAGCATACAGATCCCAGGCGCAGACGATGATTGGGGACATGTGTCGTCCTGATGGTATGGTTGCCAGGTTGTGGACATCGTGAAGGTTGCATTGCTGTGGTGAAGCTCTGAAACTATGTCGAACGGGAAGATGCTTGACCTTCAACGGCCCCGATTATGGACCGTGGTGACAATTCGATCATCGAACAAGTCTGTGAATCGAGCTTCAGACTACGTGGAGATGACTGTTGCCGTCTTGAATGAGCAGTGTCACATCCGCTCCATCACACAGCTGGGTCGACTTCCACTTGACTGATCGAGGACAACTGTGAGTCGTGAGTCGCTGCCTAGCATTGCAGCAGAAATGTTCGATTGAAGGCTGTTTCAGCTGCATGATGGGTAACTGACTATACGGAGCCTTTCGCGGGACTCTGGCTTTCAATCCTTCCTTCCTCATTCACGACCGAAATACCAGATTGACTCCTCTGAGTCATCTACCATCAGCCATCCTTGCGCTCGATCAACTTGAACATGCCGATTATTTGGGAGAGCCTTGGGCTTGATGGCCGAGGTGACTCAGTCACTAGATGAGAGCTGCCATTGGGAAGCAGTAAGTTCAGCTTTTTCATTCATTATCCCTATCTTCATCCATCCGATCATGAAACCAGCCCATGCGTCCTGTCTCAGACATAACCACACAACGGACTGACACACTACCACTTGCTGCCTCACCTACGAAACAACAGTCACGGATGTGGTGCTACCAGATCTGTCGTCAAGAGAAGTATGGCAAATTCAAGTCCAGCACTGCCACCATCAAGGGTATATATATACCTCGTTCCTCCCCCTTCTTCCGTCCAACTTCTTTCTTTAGGCCCCATCATTCCAGACAACTCCCAGTCTCATTGTCATCCATCAAGTCCAGCACTGGCATCATCATGGGTATATACATACCTCGTTCCTCACCCTTCTTCCGTCCACCCTATCTTCAGGCCTCCTCAATCTAGCCATCTGTCAGTCTCATTGTCATCCCTCAAGTCCAGCGTTGGCATGCCATCAAATATGATATGATACCTCACCCGGTTCACCAGGCGGTAGACTGTCGATTTACTTTCCCCTTCCATCTTCCTCTCGACAAGACCGTCGTCTATACCATCAAGTGGTCGCAGATGAAAGAGTACAGTGTGATCTTTGATGCATTCAAAAACCATTCCGGGATGGAGGTCAACCTCCGAACACAGGTTGGATTTCCCTCGAGAAGCTGATGCGTTTTCGATCATCGGCCCATTCACACTCATAATCAACTAAGGGTGGTCGAGGATTATATATATAAGGATCCACATGGCCAGGCAGTTTTGATGCTCTTGCTTGGCAGTTGGCTGGATCTTGTCAGGACAGTCGACCCAAAGAGCTTCCGCACATTGATGGTATCACCAAGCAACAATGGAGTGGATAAAGGAAGATTCTGAAAAGGCTTCCTGGACGGTGCACTGTCGACACTTCGACAAGATGGTCCAAACCGGCCTCGAGCAGCCGAAATGGTCATGAACAAGTGGACACCGACTCACCGAGTGTCCTGTTAAGCCGCTTGGGACAGGTCACATTATGTGCGGTTTATGGATGAACTTGTCAACGACACAACCGCCCGTCCGGTTCGAATCCATCCGAAGCGCGATGAAAGCACTCCTTCAAGATGAAGAGTGCAGAACGGACAACGCCAGAAAAGTCAAAATCATGTCTCCCAAAGACCGAAAGGCACTGACGAAAGCATTCGTGTACGTTAGTTCCGCCAGGCGAATGCGAATATCGAAACAGAATCAACTTGCTGGCCTCGGCGCATGGTTTCGGGACCATGAGAATAGCATCAATTTCCAAGAGCCAATCACCAGCTACCACTACAAGGTGCAAAGTGCAAAGTGCTATAGGTGTCAGGAAGCGAGAGAGCAAATATCTCATCATCATGAAGATCCCTATTCCTAGGAATGCTATACTTGAGCAAGTTCACCACTTCCGAGTTTTGAGCTACGTTAAGGAAGCTATGGTGGGCTGGCCCCTGTGCACGTTTTCGGGACCATGAGAACAGCACCAATTTCGAAGATCCAATCACGACTGCCGTTGATAGAAGCTTTCGACGCTGCTCACCCCGATAAGATCCTCCAATAGTCTGGGCGTACCTTTGGCTTTCCGATCTTGAGAAAAGTTCCAACTTATGAGATGATAGAATATATCTTGCCACCGATATCACCTACTAAACATTGTCCAGGGACTCGACGCAACCGATCTGCTTACCACCACAAAGTGCAAAGTGATATAGGCAAAGTGATATAGGTGTGAAGAAGCGAAAGCGCAAATATCTCACCATGATGAAGATCCCTATTCCTAGGAATGTCACAGTTAAGCAAGTTCATTACTTCCGGGTCTTGAGCTACGTTAGGGAAGCCATGGTATGTGATTCGATTATGTCTTGACATATTAAGCGGACTGACCCTTTATAGTACAGTTCATATCTCCATACCTATTAACGAAAAGTGGAACCGACTCTGTTCCAAAACTGTCCATTTGAGAGTGTGCCTTGGTCTCCCCTCCGCAACTCTGCTCCCACTCAGCCCTCATGGATGGCGTCAAAAAGCAAATACCTGTTTGATATGATCGTTCCGGTCTTTGATTTGATGTTTGAGCATCATCGGTCCGACGTTGCCGAATTCATTACCGCAGCGCAACTACAGCCTGACCATGTCATTCTCGATCTTGGTACAGCCACAGGCGTCAACGGCTCTCCTATCCTCCAGTTTGACGTCGTCTTCCTGGTGTGGACTCTGTGCCTGGTCGATCCGGAGCAACGTATCGCACTACTACATGATCTACCGGAACTCGTCAAGCCCGGCGGCAAACTGGTGTTTGACTGGCAGTCCCCAGAGCGGGAGATATATGCAATACAAGTCAACTATGGACCATGGTATCTGGCCCTCTACCCCAGATCCGAATACTCTCTTCAAGAGAACCGGCACAGCGTTGTGCAAGTTCGCCCGCCATAACGAGAGCTGCGAGAAGGCGGTCATTGACATTCGTGAGCGCGTACGCGAGGCTGGGTGGAATGAGAGTCCTAACACCACGGCCCATCCCATGTGGCAAAGCGCCGGGTACGAAGACATCACGCAACAGGTCCTTGCGAAAGCAGAGCGCTTGGCAGCAGAAGGATCGACACTGGCCAGGTGATATCGATTGGAGAACGCCCGGTTTGAATTGCACCAGGAACTATTACAACAATTCAACAGTACTTGTCCCAAAACCTGAAACAATTCGAACCTATCGCGAGTACAACACTGACTATCACCGTCAGTGGTGGCAAAATCTGCTTGAGAAGAAACCCCCAAGGAGAAAATTCCACATCAGGCAATCAATCGAGAGCATGATCGTCGTCGTTGGGCTGCTCTCAAGTCGACAGAGGAAGGACCAACGCCCACAACAGCCCTCGAAGAACAAAACCACCGGACGGCCTCGGTTCCGAACACCTTCAACCCACAATATTGCCCAAAGCCTTTTTTCTTTTTTAAATCATACTCTATTCAAGCTACTTAAAGCTTATAAGAGATTCTATCTATCTATCTATAATAGGGAAAACCCTTACGGGGAAGAAAATCTATTATCCTCTCCGTCCTGCGTCTACCAAAGCAAAGAGACCGACTGCATGCATGCTTTGAATTGTGAGTTCCTTGTGCTTCCTGTCGTAACCCGTTGCAACCCGCTGATTTCTTTAGCTCTATACGCAGAGGCAGACGCCCGTATTGCCCAGGCCGAGGCCAAAGACGCCCTTCGTGCTGCCAGCGAAGCGCGCGCGAATACTCGTAACTCGCCTGGAGACAGAAACCGCCGAGCAGCAGCGCTTACGGCCGGTAACGACCGGGTCGGAAAGAAGAAGAACCAGCCACGTACCTCCAGCCGGATGAGCAAGAGAGAGGTCGCGAGCCTGAAGAAATAAGTCACGAATGGTTGCGATTAGGTTGATCTGAGCGATGGAGTTCATGGCGCTAAGGAGCAGGCTCAGGGCCAATTTAGCTTCCCAACGCAGTGCTGTTGTTGCTCTTGTATTCTTCCGGAACCTCTCGTAACTTTCGGGGGGCCCCATATCCGGGTTACGAGCGGTTACGCCCCGAGTCGCCCGGAATAGAAAATCTTGGCGTCGGTCTTCCTGGGGATATCCTTCCGTTATTCTTCTCGAAACTACTCTCTCCCTTCCTCAACCTCCTTATATCAGTCCTCCTCGTCTCTGTTCGCAACTTGATACAACTATGCATCGGAAAGGCGAGTACCTCTGATGGCAAAGCCGCATTTGCACACTCCGCCCGGAGCCTTTATTGCCACAATTATAATGAGAAGCGGAAAGAGCAAAACCACTCCAGAGTAGCTCGATATCGTGCTAAGAAGCGTGCAGAAGATCTTGACGTTGACAAAGCTAAGTCTGAATACAATAAGGCATTCATTTTCAAACACGGAGAAGAGCTGATCGCAAAGAAACGAGGAAAGTGAGTGAGCTACAGACAAGCTTTTCCCCAATGGTGGTAAAGGCCAAATGTCCATCAAACCCATTTTCGGTCAAGACCGAGAGCAAGAAAGACAAGGGAAAAGCTCGTGCTGATGTGCCCGTCGAGGATGAACCAGTCGAGGATGAGCCAGTTATGCCTGCTCGTGTCGACAAAGGCAAGGGTCGTGCTCGGTCATGGTCTCTCGAGTCGTCGCCTGCGACTCGAAAGCGGGTGCGCGTTGTTTCGCCGTCGCCTGGTCCTTCTTCCTCTGCGACTCGCCGCCGGCTGGACCGTCTTTCTTCAACATATACTTCGCCAGTCAGCCTTGCCGACCTTCTTACTAGACCACCATCCGGCGGCTCCTTAGGTAGTCGGTTGATCAACGCATCACGGTCGTTCATGCTATGCGGTTGGCGTCCTATGCCACCGTGCAGCGGTCGTTAAAGACGCCTAGTGCCCAGTCATCTGCGCGCGGCTTGCAACTTGAAGATGTGTTCAAGGTCATCGACCAGTGGAAGCGAGATGGCACGGGTTCTAACTCTCAGCTAGGTCCAACGGCACCATTGCCGTACCGGCAAGCTGGCGTGCAGGATATTGGGTTGACGTGAATGTAATCTGCTGGTTCTGGAACCCCCATAATTATGTCAACCCTGTACGGCCACATTGCAAACGGTCGGCAGTGCAGGTAAAGCCATCACAGCCTGACCATTTGAAACAGGAATACAGAAAACATTCGTTGTCTGTCAGTTCTACCTCCAGCCTGGCAACTCCGCCTTGACCAGCGCTCCAACTTCTCCAAGACAACCACTTCTTAATATCACTCGAATTCAACGCAGATAACGCAACGGCCTATGGCATCAGGCTCCAGAAGGACACACAGAAAAGTATTAGGAATACGTCACTGAACGAGAAAGCTAACTGAGCCAAACTGTGGTTGAGGCATTGAAGCAACTACCAGTGCGCATGGGGACCAGGAAAGAGATCTTGTCATTTGCAACAGGGTATTCAGCTCTGTCCATGATGAATAGAGTAGTCGGAAGTAAGCTAGTAGTCTCAAGATATGAATGATATATTTCTCAAGGCACCCTCCTGTTTCTCCATCAAGCACCGTGCCTGGGCCTATTCGATCTTCTCTAGAACCCTCCTAGGCCACACGGAATCTCCGCGGAGGTTGACAGCGAGGAGAGGCCAGTCATATGTCTGTCTGTACGCATACCTGAGGTAGTAGGTAGGAAAAAGGTGCCTGTGTCTGGATAGAGACCCGAGTCCGTGGAGGCTCCTATCATCCCGTGCATCTTGGACGAAGTTTGAAGTTGAAGTCGAAACAAGATTCTCGGGGCCGACGATAATGAAGACGATAACGATAACGATAACGATAACGATCGATCGACGAATGCACTAATCAAGTACGACTGACATTATTGTCTGCATTCGTTCGTCATCATCTATCAATTTTCTCCAATCTTCTAATCAGTCATGAAGACGTACAATCTCCCAGTCCTCCATTGCCTGCCGTTGCGTGTTGACACCGCCCTTCCCTAATGCCATGCCGGCTATACATTCAGCGTCGTCGTCGCTCTCTTTCTAACCCATAGCCCGATGGCCTCTACAGGCGGGCGCATCTGCACGCAGTGCCTCAAGACTCTTGCTAGGCAACACCAATCTAGAGTCGCCTCTTCGCGCACCCCCCTGCAACGTCGGGCATTCTCCCAAACCCAACTCCGCGCCGCCTTCGTGCCACCCACTCCAGAATCTCTGGGAAAAGCCGTCCCGGCCAAAGACTTCAAAAAGACAAAAAAATGGTTACGGCGATTCGCCTACGTCGCGGTCTTCGGCACCGTCGCATACGTATTGGATAAGAGATACTACGCCTCCAGCTTGACACGCTGCACACGGACGTTCGCCATAGGCTTGACTGCAGCACTGGACTACAAGATCAATTTTCGAGAGGAACCATTTTTTGCCAACGACATCACGGAAGTGCATGCTCGAAATGCGGCGAGACTGTTTGAGCTCCTGCGAACCAATGGCGGACTTTACCTCAAGCTGGGTCAGGCCATTGCCATGCAGACGGCCATTCTCCCGCCTGAATTCCAGAAGATGTTCGCGAGAATGTTCGACGACGCTCCGCAGAACGAATGGGCCGACGCGCGGCAGGTCATCATGGAGGACTTTGGCGGCCGCACGCCCGAAGAGGTGTTTGGCGTCTCCTTCGACGGCGATCCAGATGCAGGAGTCATGGAGAGAAAAGCGCGTGCCAGTGCCAGTGTCGCTCAGGTGCATTGGGCCCGACTAAAAGACGGCCGGGAGGTGGCCATCAAGATCCAAAAGAAGGAGATTGCTCAGCAGGTCGGCTGGGATCTCTGGGCATTCAAGGTCGTCACGAAGATCTACTCCTGGTGGTTTGACCTACCCTTTTATGCTCTGGTTCCATACATCACCGAGCGACTCCTGCTCGAATGCGACTTCGAGAACGAGGCCACCAACTCGAAGAAGATGGCCGAGTTTGTGCACGGCGAGCCTCGTCTGCGCAACAGGGTCTACATCCCCAAAGTCTACGACGACCTGACCAGCAAGCGCGTCATGACCGCCGAATGGGTGGAAGGCGTGCGCCTGTGGGATAAAGACTCCATCACTCGACCATGGCGAGGCGGCTGGCGAACAGGCAGTCCTGGCTGTCATGGCGCACCGTTGGATCCTCCCGGTGCTGCTCGCGTCCAGCAACAGAGAAACAGCGGTTCGACGACCGAGGAACTCAAACCCGACAGGGCATATTGGAAAGGGCAGGACGGGAAAGGTGGACTCGGCCTCAGCGTGAAAGAAGTGATGACGACCATGGTGGATTTGTTTTCGGCCCAATTGTTCCTCTGGGGCTGGGTGCATTGCGACCCTCACCCCGGCAACATCTTCATCCGCCGCCGACCGGACGGCCATTCAGAACTAGTACTGATCGACCACGGGTTGTATGTGCAGATGTCGCCGACCTTCCGTCATCAATACTGCTTGTTTTGGAAGAGTCTGATGACCTTTGACAACAAGACGCTCGGGGAGATCGCCAAGAAATGGGGCATTAACCACCCGGACGTCTTCGCGTCGGCGACCCTGATGCGGCCGTACGAGGGCGGCGACCAGACTGTCGCGACCCGGATCAAAGGCATCAGCGAGCATGAGCGGAAGAAGCGCCAGTACGAAATGCAGCAGGCCATGCGCAAAGGCATCAAAGAGATTCTGGGCGACGAGACCAAATGGCCGCGCGAACTGATCTTTATCGGTCGCAACATGCGCATCGTCCAGGGCAATAACCAGTACCTCGGCAGCCCGGTCAACCGGATCAAAATCACAGGTGAATGGGCCTCGCGCGCCCTGGCTGAGGACCGTAGCTTGACTTTCACAGAGCGCTGGAAGTACTTCGGCAGCCATGTGGTTTTCAAGCTGGTCTTGTTTGCGAGCGACCTCTATTTCTGGTACAGCAAGTTCAAGCAGGCCCTGGGGAGAGGCAAGGGCATTGAGGACGATATGGAGCAGCACATGAGGCGGATGGCCAAAGACTACGGGATCGAGATCAACCATGGTGTCTTCGAGGGTTGATTCGGGATAGATAGGCAGTGATTGGGATTCTGTTTGGCGGTCCGCTGGAAAATGAATGCTGTTATGCATTTTTATGCTGTCAACAAGCGGCGACGGCACACCGGTCGTGGGCTGTCCCTTTTTGCTTCTTTGCAGAGATTTAGGTACAACGGCTTTATTCTAGACCAAGGCAAAGATTCACATGGGTGGGTTGGAGACGGATTTGCATAGATAGCATGGCGTTGCATGGGCTGAAAGTTGAACCCCGGTACATACATCTCTCATATCTGCCAGATAAGACGGACTTATTGCTCTATCTCTAGATCATGCATGTATGACTTGAGAGGCATTGAAAGAGATCCGGCCAGAGCTTGTTTCAAGTATACAAGCGAGTGGAAAGGCTCTCTGCTCCGGCAGAATCCTGCAACGGCAGCCACAAGCAATAGTCAACGCATGCAACCCATTCCAATCCTGTGCAGGTATAGACTTACGCCGTCGTGATGCCTGCAGAGCGAAGTCTGCCATCGTGGAATCATTACGCCATCACACGAACAGCGGCCGATACCGTCTGTCATGTGATAAGCTGACAGCAAGTCTGGATCTCATGGAACAAACTTGAAGCTCTCGGAGCGATGTTCTTATCATAGACATTGACTGGTCAGTGACCGCTCCTGACTGCAGCCCGCTGTCAGAAGCTGTCGAGATGACAGCTCCAAAGCAGGAACAACTTTTATCGGCGACTGAATGAGAGTTCGGAACAGTCACGAGCAGCTTCATGTCAACTATATCTGAGAAGCTTGATTCATCAACGACAGCAGGATGATGGAAATGAAAGACGACAACAGGCGTCGAGGACGTCATGAGCAGCTAGCAACGCGGGATTCCTTCCCACCTTGACCCCGGCCGGGCAAATAGAACGGGGTTCATCCCTGTTCATCTCTGACGCAACCAAGTTTCCCAAGATTTCATGCAGATGGCCCTGGACACCTTGAATGGACAAATGGAGTCTATCTCGAGGCTTGAGAAACAACCAAAGTTCGAATCTCGAGGCTTGAACTTCAGCTCCTCTTTGTTTCTCATCCGAGGAGATCCTCACCATACAACTCTGTAGGTGAAAGATCAATGAACAAAGGGCCCGAGCATTCCAATAGAAAAATAATCATTACCCATTAGATCCCGGAACGGCCAAGTTCAAAGGAGGGAGGTCGCACTGCATGCATGATGCTCCGGACATTTGGGCGTATCCAATGTTTGCATTCGCCAGTGCGTGCAACCAGAATTCCAGCTGAAAGCCTCTTGCGGTTACGGCCTCATGGAACTGTGCTACCAACGCCGGCGCATGTGGGGTTTTCTCCTTCGTAGGTCTTGGATGTGCTGGCACCTGAGTCTGGGTGCTCCCGCATGCCACTGTCATCCACAGAAGTTTTCCCCATGTAAACCGACTATTGTCAGCCGGAGTGGTAACCCCCGTCGGAGCATAGACCTCAACCATGGCGGCAAGGGGAGCTGGTCTCTTGACACCGACGCCGACGCCGACGCCGATACCCGACATCAACGATGTAAGGAGGCTGAGGAATGCCTTTCTGGTGGACTCCAACTTGAAGGTCGTATAAGTCGAAAGATCATGACACCCAGAATGACGGTGATGACGATGGTGACGAAACTTTTATCATTCTTGTCAAGGCATCATGGATATCTCTACTTTGAGACACGACATCGGGAGTCGGATATTCCGGCACCTTGGGGTGTCGAACTGGAAGTAGGTCGATATCTTTTTATAGACATCTTGTTAGGCGGCGGACTAAAAGGACCAGGTTCAGCCTCCACACAGCCAGCCAGCCAGCCACTGGCGATGATGTCTCCCAACTCGCCCAGAGTAGATTGAGTTCTGTAAGTGCCGGTCGCCGATGGATGCTTTCGCTACTTTGCAGGGACGAAGCCTGAAGAGGCGATCTACTACCTAGGTATCTTGGGCAAAGGGCAGGTAGCCTTTTTGTCCCGTCGTTACATGTCGGTATTGGTACCAGGTAAGGTAAGGACCTGGTATCACGGTATTATTGGCAACGGTGCACGGAGCTTCATGCCACCGACAGCCTCACACCGGCAGCTGAACTCCAAGCTCATCAGGCTCTTCTTCAAAAGGGGACTACTACTGGAGACTGCCACGCACAGGTTGGGACCGAGTAGCATGGTGTGTACCATTCTTCGGAGCGCGATTTCGAGCCCCAAGGATCCACTCAGGGCAGACAGAACTACAGAGGTACACCGCCCGTTCGCAGGAAGAGAGAGAGGGCGGAAGGAGGGCTGAAGCCATCCCACCCCAGAATTCCCCGTTGTCAATCACATCCAAAGTCATAGGCCGGACAGCACTCTAGCGAGATGAGAGCCAAGCCTGATCGACTCCTCGAGCCCACTGAAACAGAGAGGCTGCTTTCAAAACATCAAATAACAATGTTGGAGACTGGCAATCTATTGGGAAGAAGGGACCATCTACGAGAGTTGCAGTGCCCTTTAGGCCTACCAAACCAAGACCGGCTCGGCTGGCTGGCTGAAGGCCAATCGTAGGGAGGTAGGGACGTAGAAAGGAACGTCGGATACGTCCATCTCGGTTATTTTGTTGAGTATCAGCACCCTAAATGCAGCTGAATTCTCCCAAGTCCGTTCTCAGAAGGCATGAGTTTTTGTTTTTGCCGACGACTATCAATGATGGTGTCTCTATAGGGCGTAGGAGGGCTTTCCCACCACGTAAGGCTGTGGCGCGAAGGATTCCAAGGCCGGCGTGATAAAGTGCTACTAGTCAGCGAGAAAAGAGGAGCGAGGCCCCTGCTCAATCTTTGTTCCGAGTCTCGCATTTGATCTTTTTTCTATTGAACCCCTTTCAAGTTTCAGCATGTGGCACGCTGCGATAGGATGGCGTTCTCAGAAGAGAGAGAGAAATATGATTAAGATTGGGAACGATCCAGGCGGAGCATCAAGGATTGTATTATGAAAATCGTTACTCTCTGGACTCGATGAGCAAAGATGATCATGCAACAGGATGGATGTGATGGTCAGGGGCGCCAAGAAGGAGAGAAATTAAAGGAGGAGAAGTTCAAGCTAGCAAGCAGTTCGTGCATACATGTACCTGAGGTAGCTGAATGCCTGGTAAATGATAATATGTTCTCCTATAGCCACTGCTCCTACCAGATGGAAATCTCCTGTGCATCGTGCAATGAAATGCTGAGACCTTGATGATAAAATTGAAAGGGACGACGCGAAAGAAGAGACGCGACCGCGTTCAGAGCTATGACCATGTTCGTTTTGTACCCACTTTAGCCCTACAATCTTGGAGACTTTCAGGCCAAACCCCTACAAAATACTACCTGCTCTCCAGGCGGCCGAGATGGCACACCTCAGGTACCTAATACAGCTTTGTATCTGACCTGTATTGAGCTGACACCGTTTCGGGCTGCGCTTACTGCCTTAGTAAATAGTCAAGCGAGACTCGAAACCAACCAAAGATTTGATTGGGCGTACTTTCGCTTACTTTGCTCTTCCTGGACAAGTGCACGGTTGAGATCCAAGTTCCGGGGAGGACGCGGTGCCCACTAGCACTAGTCGGGGTGATCGGACAATATCAAGTCCGTGGGGAGCTGAGGAGATTTATCTTGACTCAAAGTTTTCCGAGTTCTGTTCTCTGTGACCTACCAAAACAGGGGGTCAAGATTGCGGCGCAGACAGTCCTGATACTAAGGTAGTAGTAGTACTGCACAGTCTGCTACCAAGTACGATGTAGTACAGCGGAGTCCTGTATTTCTTGATTTCCCCTTGGCGTTCCACCGTCCTCACTACTGGCAGGGCTTTCCTCGCTAGCCAAACACGCTACGGACTCATTATAGCAACATTCAAGCTTGCCTGATGAGCCTAGGCACCTATTGGACGCACCCTGGCCGCCCCCGCGGAGAGCCCCTGGCTTCCAATCTTGCTGGACGCCGGCCCATGACCAATGATGCCTCTCTGAGACAAGCCACCGGGCCCCCGTTAAGGCTGTCCTTCTCTCCCCTGATACGATGATTTTCTCTTGCTCGTCCGGCCAGGCAATCTGTCGACTGAAAAATACGTGTCAACTGGTACTCCTCCGTCTATGTTCTCGCAGCACCTAGGTCTATTATCACGGCTTCATGAGCCGCGCACCTTGAAAAGGAATCAGTAGTAATACACCACCTCCGAGGTCCAGGTGTGCCCAGATGTAGCCTCATCCTTCTCCGCCAGCCGATGGTGATGTGATGGTGGTGGTGGTGGTGGCGGCGGCGGTGATGATGATAATGATGATGATGATGGCGCGATAGGCACTCCCCACTTCTCGTTCACCCTGGTAACAGCTCCTTGTAGATAGGTACAGGCCTAGCGCATCTCGATACCCTGTCTCAGTAAACAACCTTGGAAGCCTGCAGTGTTGATGTCTTTCTGGATACCAGCTGCCGGTATTATTGCTCACTGTCCTGCTCGCCATGGTCCTGAGTATCTTTATTGATTGTCCCCTAGGAACTTCACGCATGTTTGCCACTACTATCAATGCTTTCCCGCGTTGACTTTGAGAGTCTGAAGACCATCCCCTTCGCTACGTGCAGGCTGCTGGGGTAGACAGCGCGCTGCCGCAAGATTCTTGCCTGGACATCAAGGTATTTTAGGGAGTGGCACTAGCTTATCGTAACTAATTCCACGTGTGCAGGTACCTAAAGCTGCCTAACCGATGGGCACTCTGCAGGGCTGCTGTATAGTCGTAATTCTGTGTTTCGGTAATGCTTAGGTATCACATACACATTCATCCTCTAGGCATCCTAGGCATCACTAGTCCCTAACCCTGGACTATGGCCATGTGTGTGGGATGTCAGCCTGTAGTAGGATTCCTACAGATCAAGCTGTTGCCATTTCCGAGCCATGGTCGACAAACCCCCAAGATTGAGGCCAGCCAAAAGCCGTAGTCGGAATGCAGTAAGAGCAATACTCACTAGCAGGTCGCAAAGCCTCGCCCGCGCCCCTTCAGATTTGGGGCCTGAAGATGCTGGTCTAAGTAAAGAGTTGCATCCCAAAAGCCCCCTAGCCCCCATTCCTGTGCCTCTAATCCCTTCCCAGACTAAGGTCCCAGTCCATCGCAGGAAGCCAAACCCAAGGCCCGCAGCTCCCAGCACCAAGCACCAAGCGTCCACCATCCACCATCCACCAACCCAGCTTTCTCTCCCAAATCAACTCTGACCCCCTTCTCGCAGCCCGCAGCCCGCAGTCCGCAGTTGGCTTCCACTCCCTCTACCATTCTCCATCCATTCATTCAACTCTCACACTCTCTCCCGTCTCTGGTTCGTCATCCTCCTCGCTCCTCGCTCCTCGTGCGGATCTGTTTCTTGTCCTTCGGGCGTCCTCCCCTTCTGCCTCTTCCTACTCCTCCCCTGCCCGACCGACTACTTACTACTGGCAACTCCTACTTCTCACTCACCATTCACTCGCTCAGTCCGCTCGCTGCCTACCTTACTCCTGCTCTGGGTCTTGTTCCCAGTGTAGTCGACCTTCACCCGCGCCGTCTACAGTAATATATTTCCTCTCAACCCCATCACCCTCGTTGGCAGCCTCATAGACAATCAGTCCACCACCCTGGCGGCTCCAAACGCCTGGGACAGCTGGGAAGTCGCAAGAGGCTACGACTCTCTCCAGCGTCCTCCTTCGGCCCAAGCCCACCAGCAGCAACAACCACGACCGACCAACGTTGGGAGGTTCTCGGCAGCAGACGCACACGCACACGCACACGCAGCCGCCCGTTTAGGTCCTGCAGATATGGAGGATGACACGCGGAGCAATAGCGGCCAGACACTGCGGCCCTTCTCACAACCCACGACAAACTCGAGGTTTCCCTCGTTAAGACGACTTAACTCGACCGAACCGTACCGGCATCGATCGCTACCCGCCGAACCCTCGCCTGGCTCCGACCGCGCCAGCAGTGAAATTACTTTCGCTGTGTTGTACGATGATGGTCGCGATTATCACGTCGGTCACTACGACGATCAGGGATCGATGCAAACGGCACAAAACAGACACGACTCCATGGCTTCGTATGCGCCCTCTTTCCAAACCCGCGACTCACATCTCGTGAACGACGACAGTTACCTCGACCGCCACCCAGATTTTGTCGCCAATCAAAGGCTTCTCGCCGAGGGCTACCTCAACAACGACTCCGTATACGACCAATCCGTCCCTCGATACCCTACGCAATCAGAAGAGACGCTGGCAATGAATGCCATGCAGAATCCATATCGTGATGAAAAGAGACCGTTTTCTCAGACGATGATCGCGCCCATGGATAGAGCGCATAGCAAGCATTCGCATGAATCATGGTGCACCTGTGACGAGGACCATGGTCATGGTATGGCCGACAAGAAAGATCCATCCAAGATCGACATTGAAGCCCAAGATGGCCCAGCTACGCCGGTTCCTTTCCTTCCCAAGGAAAAACAGGGCGATCAATATCTGGTAAGTGGGCGACCACTGGAGCTGCACATTTAACACTCTTGCTGACTCTGTTGGTTCTACCAGGTCAAATTCGATGGTCCCGACGACCCCCTGAACCCCAAAAACTGGCCCGCGAACCAAAAGTGGGCCGCGACCGGGCTGACGGCTGCATTCACTTTCCTCTCACCTCTAGCATCCTCCATGGTTGCTCCCGCGCTTCCTCAAATCCGACGCGACTTTGGTATCACCAACCAGATCGAATCGCAGATTGTTCTGTCCATTTTCGTTTTGGCCTATGCCATTGGCCCGATGATTCTGGGCCCGCTTTCCGAATTATATGGCCGTGTCATCGTCCTCCAATCCTCCAATGTCTTTTTTCTCGCATTCAACACCGCCTGTGGCTTTGCCCAGACCAAGCAACAACTCATGGCGTTCCGATTCTTGTCCGGCCTGGGTGGTTCCGCTCCGCTGGCTATCGGTGGTGGTGTTCTCGGGGATCTCTTTAAGCCCGAAGAACGTGGCAAGGCTATGGGTCTCTACGCAATGGGTCCTCTGCTCGGCCCGGCCGTCGGCCCCATCGTGGGCGCTTGGGTGGCGGAGAAGTCCACCTGGCGATGGATGTTCTACGCAACCTCGATTGTCAACGTGTTCATTCTGCTGGGCGGCTTTTGGAAGCTCAATGAATCCTACGCCCCCTACATCCTCCACAAGAAGGCCAAAATGCTCCGGAAGCGCACCGGCAATGACCGATATCGTGCCGAAGGGGAAGGCGACGTTGACCAACCTGTCTGGAAAAAGGTTGTCGCTACCATTGGCCGAGCATTCGGAATGTTGTACACGCAGCCCATCGTCCAGGTCATGTCACTCTACATGGCCTTCTCCTACGGCATCCTCTATCTCGCCTTGTCTACCTTCCCGGAACTCTACATGAACGTCTATGGCGAAAGTGTCGGCATCTCGGGTCTCAACTACATCTCTTTAGGCCTTGGCTTCTTTATCGGTGCGCCGCTTTGTGGCAAGACCAGCGACAAGATCTATCACAAGCTCAAGGCCAAAGATCCGCGAGGCCAAGGCAAGCCGGAATTTCGTATGCCGATTGTCATTCCGTTTTCGTTCTTTGTCCCCATCGGTCTTCTCATGTATGGATGGGCGGCCCAGGCCAAGACACACTGGATCGTCCCCAACATCGGGTCTTTTATCTTTGGCATCGGGACCATCGCGGCCTTCCAATGCGTCACCACCTATCTCGTCGACACCTACGCCAGGTTTGCCGCCTCGGCCGTGGCTGCGGTCACCATCTTACGATCCCTGGCCGGTTTCGGCTTCCCTCTCTTCGCTCCTGCCATGTATGACGCTTTAGGGTTTGGTTGGGGTAACACCGTCCTCGCGCTCGCCGCCGTTGGCATCGGCATCCCCGTTCCCATCCTGCTATGGCTCTTTGGCGAGAAGTTGAGGAAGAAGAGCACTCTCGCCTCCAAGGGTCCACCTCCTGGTAAAGGAGGCCCAGGTGGTCCCGGTGGTCCTCCAGGAAAGGGACCCGGGGGACCAGGTGGCCCTGTCCGTCCGGGTGGTCTGGGCGGCCCAGGCATTGGTCCGGGAGGTATCCCGACGGGACCTCCTCCACCGTTCCCTGGAGGACAGGAAGGACCTAGGCCTCGCTAGACCGACGCGAGCTGCGGTTGGTCTGAAACGAAAGAAAGGGAAAAGAGACCCACGAAACCCCTCGCAAAAAACTTATATCTAATATAATCTCTCGCCTTGTTTTCTGTATCTATGGGCGAATTTCGAACCCCCTTTTTTCATTATCTCAGTCATGGAATGAGCGGCCAACATGGCGTTTTTGGGTTCTTCGAATGGCCCACGGAATCGGCATTGATCTATCTATCATTTTATGGTTGCGCATCTGCGCTCGGCTATTGACTTTGGGGCAGTGGTGGGAAATACAAACCTTGAGACATGATGTCGTCTTTCTTTGGATGGAATCTGGGATATCCTTCCTTTTTCCTTTGATCTCGTCAACTAGGAAGGGAGAGCGACGAGGCGTATATGCCGTGCCACATGTTTTTCAGTGTGATGTGGTGTGGTCAGATGTCGGGTAGTAGGGTATGGAGTATTAGGATTCTGATTAGGATATGAGAACTGGATGAGAATTGGATGTGCATGTGCATGTGCATATGCATGTGGATCGAAATCCCATGAAATCGAACTGATCTTCTTCTCCCCGGCTTTCTATCATTCTTGATGATGAATCATCGTGCTGAACTGGAGTGTGAAAGCCATCGTGCTGGACTTGAAGTGCGGTAGTGCAGTAGTGCAGACAGACAGAAAGAGAGACGGACAAGGCTGACGTACCAACTTGATCCAGACCATTCATTCCCTAAGAAATGGGGTCTCCTCTTTTCTTTTCTTTTCGGCAAGACTACACTCGGAGTCCGTAGATGCAGTATACTAGTATACTAGTATAGTATGATAGTATAGTATAGTATACGTACTATAGGATATAGTACTATACAGTTTTTCTACATGATCGACGAATCCGAATCTGAATCCGAATCCGAATCCGAATCCACTTATATTTCCTTGTCCACTCTAAGTTTTCGACGATTTCGAACTCGGAACTCGAACTCGAACTCGAACTCGAATCGACAGCCTGAGAGAAGATCGTTCTAGAGACTGACCACCAGAATATTATTGGGCTGTGGTCTAGTGCTTAGAAACTCGAAACTAGAAAAGAGACAGGAGACAGGAGAAGAACATTCACCGCTGGCTCTTACAAGTAAACAGTCTTCGAGTTTGGAAAAAGAAGTACAAATGTTCCCGAGGTAGCTAAGATGTAGATAGATAGGTAAGGAGAACTCCAGAACAAACCGGCCGTAGCCTTCAAATGCTTAAACCCGATATTTTGTCTCACTCGACCAAACGCCAGACATCCAGACATCCAGACTCCAGAAGGCGATACTTAGTGGACTCTCCAGCCGGGATAGAATGAACAACAGACCAAAAACCAAACACAATCTCTTCTGAGAGAGTCGTGCAGATATCCAAGATACCACGAAGCATGGGTCAATTCTTCAATCCTCGCATCGAATATCTTCCTTCCACAACTCCACGCCATCTCATGGCTTCCATTTCTTATTCGTCATTTTTATCTTTTCTCTCATATTGCTTCGTTGCTTGATTGGGGGAGGGGGGATTTGCAGGATGAAATCCTCGTCAATAGGTGTATCAAGTCGAAGTTTTCCAGTTCCAGTGCATGTTTGGCAGGAAGATGGCCCACCACCACTGATCAGTTGTTCGTCTGTCGTTCCTTGGCTCAGAGGACCGGGACAGTCGCCCGAAGAAAATCGGATCGAGGTCGACGTGTGTATCTGATGGTGCACTGTTGGAAGGGACAGTAGGGTCGGCAGCGAGGGCGTGACAAAGTGCGTCATAAGCAGCAGATGTGGTGTGGTAGTCGAACTTGTGCTGATTTTGCCATCCGTATGAAGGCCAAACTAGAAGACGGACGAGTCGGGGCCTCACTGCACACGATCCCGACACGCCCTTGACTTTGTGATGCTGCCATTCTGGCTCTGACGCGGCCGTGGTGGCTAGGTATGGTTGAGCAACCTCGCATCTTTAGGCAGTGGTTGTAGCCGGTGCGCGATAAGCTGAGTGAGGTCGCAGTTGGTTTGGGTTTTTATTGCACCAACTCAATCCCAGTCATGAATAAAGAGATGAATATGAACACGACTTGCGCATAGACAAACAGCTCACTCAGCTAGGCCCCGTGACAGAGACCGATGGTACAGGCACAGTATTCGAGGCTGGAGCGGTCGGAGAGTCTGCGTGAGGATTCGAGACTTTCGCAGCTTCCTTGGTCGTGGAAGCCCCCATGCCAGAGATAGCAGCCTCTTCGTCGACAGTGCTGGCTTTCTTGCCAGTCATTTTGATCGACAGGCGCTCCTCATCGTCACTCTGAGTACGGTCATCGTCATCATCATCAGCATTAGAGGCCGGCTTTCCAATCATTCTGCGCACGAGACGCGATATGGCACGGAATCCCTGTGCAAGGGGATGGAAGATGAAGTGCAGACCCTTCCAGATCGGACGAAGAACAACCGCGACGCCATGCACACAAGCGGTGAAGACCACACCGAACCATGCGTCAGGAAAACATCTGACCAAGACACCCCACAGCAGACAAGGTAGAGCCGTGAGCAGCGAAATGGCCCACTGGGTGCCGTCAAGCCGGGTAATACTGAAGGCACGGCCGCCAATGAAGACGATCATGATCTGCCCACCGACCATGATACAGTTGATGCCTATGAACCAGAAATTGCGATGGATGCCCTCGAAGATGTTGAACTTATTGTCCAGGCGGCGGTTATTGAGTTCGTTGAAAATCTGCATCCACACGAACGAGTTGAAGACGATGGTGTTGAGTTCGGTGCGGTGGCTCTCGTCGTAGTCTAGAATGGTCATTCCGGCAAAATACAGCGTGAACGTGACGATGAGTTGGTAGATTGCTTGACCTGTGATCATCTTCCACATGTTGATTGTGATCAGAGGCTGGGATTTGGGCTGTGGTGGGCGATCGAGGATCTTCTTGGTCGGGGCATCGGTCGCAAGAGCCAACGCGGCCAGGGTATCCATGATGAGATTGACCCAGAGAAGCTGCACGGCGGTAAGAACCGAGTGGTTGCTGTCGTTGGAGACGGCTGAGACAAAGGTCAATATCACAGCTGTGATGTTGACGGTGATCTGAAACTGTAAGAATTTCTTGACCGCGTCGTTGACAGCGCGTCCCCACATGAGCGCTGTGATGATTGAGGAGAAGTTGTCGTCGAGGAGAATGATGGAGGATGCTTCCTTGGCCACCTCTGTGCCGGCAATGCCCATACTAAAGCCGACGTCGGCCAATTTCAGGGCTGGCCCATCGTTGGTGCCATCGCCGGTCACTGCAACCGTTTCGCCCAGGTGTTTTAGCCGGCCCACAAGGATGCGCTTGTCCTCGGGTGACGAACGAGCCAGAACGCGAAGTCTTGGAAGGACCTCGTCCATCTGTTCAGGCGAGAGTTGTCGGAATTTCGGGCCTTCCATGACAACACACTCTTCGTCTTTGTGGAGGATACCACAGTCGCTGGCAATGGCCCGAGCGGTCGTGACGTTGTCGCCGGTGACCATGCGAACCACAACGCCGGACTGCTGACACTGCGCCACGGCTTCAACGACACCTTCTCTGAGCGGGTCATGAATACCGACAACCCCGACCCAAGTCATGTCGTGGAAGAGATCGTCGAAATCGGCCAGCTTGGGATCTTCCTCCAGGACTTTGGCTCCAGCAGGAGGCCACGTCGGATAGTCCTTATACAGCATGCCAATGGTGCGGAGAGAGTGCTGGGCATATTCTTCAATGGTGGCGGCAACGTTCTCGATGTCGTCTTCTGTCAGATCAACCACTTCGTAATGTTTGTCGTAGACGTTCGAGATGGCCTTGGTGGCATGAGCAAGCATGATCTCAGCAGCGCCCTTGACAAATAGTCGGTAGCCACCGTCGATCTTGACCACAATGCCCATGCATTTCCTGGCAGAATCAAAGGGGATCAGCTGCTTGATCTTGTAGCTTGACCGCTCAGCTGCGAGATTGTCCAGCCCGAGGTGTTCTTTGGCAAGGGTGAGCAACGCCACTTCGGTCTTGGATCCAATGAAACTGGGGACTCCCTTTTCTTCGCCTTCGAAAGCCGTGCTGTTCAAGGTGATGGAGAGTCGAAGCAGGTCCTTGATCTCGGCACTGAGCTTGCCGAACATGGTGGCCGGAGGAGAGACATTCGAGTTTTCATCTGAACGAGACGAGGCGAACTTCTCATTCGGGCCCACAGCTCCTGCAACCACAGTCATTTTGTTCTGAGTCAAAGTGCCAGTCTTGTCAGAGCAGATGGTTGTCGCATTTCCCATGGTCTCACAAGCCCGGAGGACCCGGACAAGATTGTTCTCTTTCAACATCCTCGTTGTGGCAAATGCCAACGCCAAAGTCACTGCCAACGGAAGGCCCTCCGGAACGGCGACCACGATGACAGTGATGGCAACAATCAAGATGTCCAAGAACTCTTGGGCCTTCTCAGCGCCAGGGCGGGAGTCTCCGGGCAGGTTAGCAAGGAACTTGATCAACAGGATCATAAAGAGCAATCCAGCGGCGAATGAGCCGAGACCGCCAATCCAATTGGCCAGTCTGCCAAGTTTGACTTGTAATGGTGTAGGCTCGTTGTCGGTTTGCAGACTCATCAAGATCTTGCCGTAGGAGCTGTTCACGCCGACGCTAGTCACGAGATATGTCCCGACACCTTCGAGGACTTTGGAGCCGCTGATGATGAAAGGATCCAATTTGGCGGTGGCAGTGCCGTCTTGGATCCGTTGCCAGACTTCATCGCCGGGAGTCTTCTTCATCTGATCGGATTCGCCGGTTGCGGAAGACTCGTCGCATTTGACTCCATGTCCAGCAATGAAGATGCCGTCGGCTGGAATAGCATCGCCTGGCTCGAGGTGAAGAACGTCTCCAGCCGTGATATCGTGGACGGAGACCTGGATTGATTTTCCGGATCGGATGACCTTGACTTCTCGATCGTCTTTCTAGAAGGAAATATTAGCACTGCCAAAAATGCATGAGCCATATCCCACGACTTACCCGCTTGTTGAGCTTCACAAACTGTCGCTCTTTTTGCCAGTCGTTGACCGCCCCTACGGTCACAACGATAATGATGGCGACACAGATGGCAACACCTTCCACCCAGTCAACACCCGATTCCCCGGAAACAGTTTCATAAATCCCAAGAGCCAATGAGATGACGGCGGCGATGGTGAGCAGAATGAGAATCTTGTCGTTGTAAGCCCTCCAGATCAGCACCAAGATCCCAGCGGGTTTTCGTTCAGGGAGACGATTGTCTCCGAACACACGAAGCCGGTCGACAAAGGGTTCTTTCGCGTCTGGTCCCGCTGGTGTGGCGACTGACGTCTGTCGGCTCAAAGCAACATCTGAAAAAGCCTTGGCTGAACCTCCAGCTGCGGCTTCGTCGAATGGGACTTGTCCTTCGAGACGAGTTTCATCTATGGAGAGCCCAGCCGTGATGCTGGTACGCAGTCCCTTCTCCAGGCCTCTCAGTCCGCCCAGAGCCTTGAAGGCGGAGAGCGATTTCGGGTTTAGTAGTTTGTTGAGCTGGCCCGGAGAGAAAGCGAAAGGGTTGTCCTGAACCTGGAAGTCCTTTTCATTCCCTTGATCGGGCTTCAAGGCCTCTTCGGGAGGTTCGTAGTCAAGACTCGACTTTGAATACACAGTGGCGCTGGAAGTCGCCGAGATGCCTGAGTTTGATCGATATCGGGTCGCTGCGTCGCCAGACTGGATGGACCCTGACCTCGAATTCAATGTCGATCCATCAAAGGCGTGCTTGCGCTCAGGAGAGGTGGGAGACAGATATAAGCCTTCATCGACGGCTGTCTGGGGCGGCGTGGACATGCTGTGACCTCTTTTATGACCTGGTGCAGTTGAGGTCGGTGATACCTCTTCAGGATGTCCGGGATCAGACAGGTTCTGCAACCACAGTATCAGAAAAGCCCTTGAAACATAGCAAATCCGTGCAAAACTCCCGACATTATAGACAAGGGCTTACCGATGTGTCCAGGGTAATCTTAGGCGCCGATGGGTTTTGGCCCGACATGTTTGCGGCAATGGCTATGACGACGTAATAGGAGGATTCGTGGGTGTAGCTGGACTGTTTTTCAGATGTTCAGTGCATGGGGGCCGTCAGTCGGACATGGTCTCTGCTTTCAGCCTTGCGAGAAATGCCTTGGGGCTCAAGTAGTTCAAGGCAAGTTGAAAGATTTTGTAGTTGGGCAACCACTAGATGATTTGTGACGAGACTGAATATGATTCAAGTAGGGGCGATGATGAAGGATTAACTTCTCTCGCCTTCGGACGACTACAACAACCCTGCTGGATATCCATTTGGCCATGGGGAAATGCTGGGAACGGGCGTCTCATGCCAGTGCTGCGGTGGAGGGGGTGTCTGCCCAGGGAGGCTGTGCAGGTAGTTCCAGCCTGGGCGAACACGCACCGAACTTGGCTCATGCCGCAGTTACACATGGATGATGGCCCCATCACTCGAGAGATCGGGGGAGGTTAGAGCAGGCGCCTGATTGTGAGAGATGAGAGGTCGAGATTCTCGGTCTGTTGGTGGAGCCTGATCACAGATCCAGCTGTTTCATGACCTGGTACAGAGATACATATCTTGATGATGTTCACCGATGAATTATTTCGGACGATCTGATTCGAGCCCCTGAAAAGGGGATTCAAGTTGTGATTGGAGGTCGGGATCGGAGCTTGGTACAAGGGGTACACAAGCCAGCCGCCTTTCTTTCCAGATACTCCTCTTGTACTGTCTGTGGTAAAGGGTGGCTGATTGTCGGTGGTTGATCTAAACCGGGCAACGAAGATTGCCCATGTGCAGGACTCGGAGCAACCGCCAGCATCAACGTGCCGACATATAACTCCTCGATGGGATCATCTGTCACCCGTATCTTGCCATCCATCCCATACCAAAGCACAAGTGCCCAAGACTCTTCCAAGCCATTACTCTGCCAACAAGATTTGTTCGAGTCTGGCCGCTGTCTTGGCCCAAGGGCACAATGCTCCTTGGCTTCTTGTCTGTTGACCTCACAACTCTTGGGTCTCCGTCATGTCGAACTTTGTCCTACGGTCCGTTGGGTGGTGTTCATCCTACTAGTACATTCGCCTGTCTCGGAGGTCATAACTTTCGTAAGAGGCTAGGCAACTCCGTTGAGCATGATTGACTGCGGCAGCTGAAGAGACAAGAGCGAGCGGCAAGCTGGGGGAATTGGGCCCAGCGAGTGCCAGTGGGTGGTGAGATGCGATGAGAAATGCCAGAATCCAGATGCCAGATTCCACACACACAAACACAAACACACTCTGGCACCGAACCGCCACTTCCACTTTCACTGGTTTCGCAGCTTCAGCCACAATTTGTACGAAGCCACAATCGCCTCCAGCCACAGCTCCGCACTTGCCACGTGACATGCCCGCAGCCTTGCCACTCATTGTGGCGGAGCACAATATCGATTAGGGATCCTGCGCACAACTCGAAGCACAGAGCCTTCCTCGGTCTAGAAGGTCAGTACGTATCGATGTTCCATCGATCTAGCCTCCTTTGCCTTTTCCAGAAATCGCCTTGGGGGCGGAGTCGAATAGTGGACGTCCTCCTTCTACCCCGAACCTGCTACATGCGAAGCTCGACGCCGTTCGTGGCCAGTCACTATAAGAGTTATCGTGTTCCCAAAACCCGTACCCACTCTAGCACTGTCCTCCATGGGTCGTGGTGCCTGACTTCACCACTCACAAGACAAGCGCATCTTTTGAAGGTCAGTTACTCAGCCTCGTCCGAGACCCACTGGACCTGCACACACTCAAATTCCCACCTTGTCATCTCCACCGAAAAGGAGGGAATCCCATCTCCACAAATATTTCTGCGGTCGAGCGGCACCCGGCTACAACTCTGCTGAGATCTGTTGAGTACTCCGCCTGCATTCGGGCGAAGAATTTCCACGTCGTCTTGAGTAGCCAGAATGTCACTTTCCGTCCGGCATGTTTGCGTTTGCGTTTGCGTTTGCCTGTATGGAAAGTACTCGAGGCACTAACACGCCGGTCGTGACCAGCGTAAACCTTCCAGCACAGCCGACCTCGGCTGTACATCTGCAGTGGGCGCAAGAAGGGAGATGTTTCTCGACACACTGACTTTGAGGTCTGCCAGCTGTATCCGCACGGCTGTGTACACGGTGAAAGCCACCTCTGACGACAGGAGGGGAAAGTCAAAGTCAAGGTAGTAGTCGCACCAATTACCTTTACCTTAACTGGTGTGGGTTTGGATATGTAGGTAGGACTCCTCGAAGCTGTGAGCGCAGACGAGACTCCCACCCCTCCAGTTCCTCGGCGATGACATGCATCTTCCGCAGTCGGGCTTGAAGGCAGTCCATTCCCCACGTCCTTCGCATGTCCTGCTACACCATCTGCGGCAACAGCTTGCACGCGATAGTCAGCATCGAGTGTGACGGGTGCTGAGCAAGTTCACGCTCGCTCTCGGACTGTAAAAGGAACGTTATCTCTCGATGCATGAAGGAAAAAGGCGCTTGCATGGCACGGTAGCCATAAAAATGTCCTTGCACCGATGGCTTGCTGAAGACTCTGCAACCCCCTGTCGAAGATCAAGGCACCGACTCCCAATAGCTGGCGGCTGAAATCGTCCCACGATTGATTGGCAATCAATTCTGACATGGCGCACCTGAGAGCCGCCAACGACAGAGGTGCAGGACAATTGTTCTTGTCCCCTTGGTATGCCGGGAAGGTGCCGTCAATGAGCGGGTGCCACAAAGGAGATCTCTCTCCTAGCAGATGTAGGCCTATGCTGTTTACTGCAGTCGCAATATGCGGCGAAGGTCATTCCTGTCGCCATCCTTTTGATCCCTCCCGCACAGGGGATATCCGCTCCGCGATCGATGTTTTCATGGAGAGAGGAAATGTACTAGAACATGTGTAAGACTAGGTGACTTGGCTGTTCAAGGTGGGGTTTCGCAAGTGGAATACAAATCCGGCCCGCTCGGCAATCTCACGACGACCGACAAGCAAACGGGGGCTACAAAGGAGATCTCTCTCCTAGCAGATGTAGGCCTATGCTGCCTGAGCTGCCGATTGCCTTGGATTGAGTGTGCTTCGGCAAGCAGGCGCCAACTTTTACGTGAGGAGGTTGAGAGCTACCTGGATCGTCAAGATTCAGGTAGCACCGGGGAAACGACTCGTGCAACGTTGATGGCCATCTGCGTGCAGAACAGATGTGGTGTATCGAAGCAAGCGTCCCAGCTCGTCTCGCCCGATGCCCAGAATCTCTCCAGGACACTTTTTGCCGTCAGAGGCGAATACATGCCGACATGGTGACTCATCTCGTGCAGCTGCCTTTGAACGAAGGCATGCATTGCTGTGCCGCCATTGAGAGCTTCCACACCGAGCATGACCAGCGGCCAATACATGGATCGTTTGATCCTCAGGGTTGACAGCGCCTCGTTAAGAAGCACCTGCAGAAGCTGAGCCTATCTGGCGCAAGTGGCTCTGAGCGAGCCATCCAGGGGGATAACCCCAACGCTCTGCAGCGAAGAGATGCAGTAAGTATAATAGCACAGCGACCTGTACTACTTTTTCTAGAAGCATCCAGTCATCTTTTGAAGAGGGTTTGGACTGGGCCCAGTGTTCTGACGAGAAAGCTTGAATACGGTTGATCTTGATGATCTTGATGAACATGGGAGTGGATACATCCGGAAGGAAAACAACCTGTCGCCATACTGTTCAAGGATGAACTCACAGTCCTCGAGGTGCGAGCGGGACATGGCAAGGTCTGATGCTGGCGACGTTGTGTCTCCAATAACCGCAACGTTGTACCCAAGGTCAGTTAAGTTTTCATCTTTGTATCCAGGACATAAAGTCCCAGACACAGTGCATCTCCTACATGCTGGATGTGTAGAGTCACACACCAGGCGGCGTCGAAGACATTTCAGCAGCGCCGCTTTCGCCCGTCCATCTCCAGAGCCCCGCCCAGCTTGTGCTTGAATCAGGATATCTAGGCATCAGCTACCAGTAAATCAAAGAGAAAGTAGTTGGCGATGGTTACTGCTCTGACGCTCTGCCATGGCATCGTTGTTGCTCGTGCTGGAAGGAAGAGGTGTCTTCCAGGTAGGGAGAGGATTTCCGCGAGGCTGCCGTTCTCTGTAGGGTTTGCAGTGTAGAAACGCTGGTGCCTGCCCGGTACGGATCATCAAATATTCTGTAGGGTGCTTATCAGATCAACCAGTGAACCACACCACTGTAGGCCGTCTCCAAAGCCACTCGTGCAATGATGCTTGCAAGCTTTCTGCCAGGGATTGGTGGGAGAGGTTGGATGCAATGGCAGGACAAGGAGCTCGTGAGCATGTGCCTGGTGGGTGGAATGACGGTGATGTTGGTCTCCAGATGTAGTACTTCATGAGACATTCGGATGGAGAGGGGGATTTACATGACCTATGAGCTGATGAATGAAGGGAACAAGGGTTCTGGAAACTGAGATGCATGGAAGCGACCAAGCTTGCGACATGCAGACATCCATAGGTATGATGGTTGGTAGCTGATGATTCCGTGCCAGACCCGGTCAAGGTCAAGTGTGACCTTTCATCTCGACGTCGGAGGGAGTGGCCATCAGATCGTTTCTCTCCTCCTCGATATCCTGAACACTTGTTTTGCGAGTTAGCCAGATTGCCGAAGAGATGGAGGTTTGCTGCTATTAATGGACTCGTAAAGCCCCGAGCGCCACTTGGCAGCTTGGTTATGTAGGTATATTTCGAGGACGAGGCGTAAGAGAAGGACATGTTTGGACCTCAGCTCTAAGTTTGTCCCAAGGACTGCCAGAGCTGAGGCTTTCTGTGCGGGAATCATGTTGTTGGACGGTACAGGACCTGGCAGTTATACGAGGGTCAAGCTCAGCCGCTCTTGTCTGTACACCTTTTGCAAGTATGATCTGCAGATGAAGAGACGCTGCTTCGGTAGCTCAGGTAGAGGGAGACAGAGTACCAGTCAGTACCTTAGGGAGTAACCTGACTTTACCAGGCGCCAGAGATACCTACCTCCTTACCTACCTTACCTCTAGACACCAAAGATTGTAAGCTCTGCTATTTCTTGAATTTGTGCAGGACGGTCAACACAGCTGAAGCAGGACAGCAGTCGCTGTGAGGCTGATGGAAGAGGCAGAGGACTCAGAGGATGCCAGTGACGGTCAGACCAAGGTAATAGTTTTCTTCTTACGGGCGACGCTTGGCAGGATTAGGGAAGCTATAGAGAGGCTAAGGGGCACACCGACGCCTAAAGCGAATATTGGCTGTTAACAGGCTGCCATGATGGATGATGGATGTCGCACCCTTTCTCTCTTCTCCTTCGCTCTTACAGTACTACTACCACCACCACCACTACATCTTACTGCGCCCATCTCACCACCGGAAATACTACTTCGGGACGTAGGGTCGAAGCCTACAAGCAACTTGAACCATTCCACGGTCGCTTTGCCTCTCTATCCATGAAAGACTCCTACCGGCATTGTCCCCTGGCACGAGCATCTCCAACTCCCGACCACGCCATAGTCCTCCCCAAAGCTCCCTTTGAGGGTCCGTCTGGTCTATCGTATCGTCACAATAGGAAGAGACGTCTACTTGTTGCGAGGACTCCTCTGTAGATATACCAGTGGTGCTTCGAATCAATATGGCAGAACTGACGCTACAGATATCTGGCTAGACTGTGCTAAGCCGTCTCCCAAGCCTTGAACGAGATTGCCAACCCTCCTAGGGATTTAGCGAATGCCTGGTCTGACGCGCCCAGGCAACTCGACACGGTTCGGTGCCAGAAATAAGATGAGGCTTGGTGTTTACAAAAGGATCCTTCAGGTCACTCCAACCAGCCCTCCCCATCCCCGTCTCCAGCTCCTCCTAGTATGGAGTGACCTGACCCCAAGAGGACCGGTGGCATCCAATGTCTCCAGCCAAGCAAACACCCCCTGCACATCATCCATGATATTTCCCGTCTTTTCCATGACAGGCTGGGCTTCAGCCACTTCAACGCCGGCGGGCCACGAGACCTGTTCCTGGGGATGTCTTCTCCAAGTCCGCTCCCTTGGCAAACACTATCTACCGCGAGACACTGGACGGCCCAGTCATGCATGTACTATTTTATCACCCAGGTACTCGACGCTTGGGCCGATTCGACGACTAGTGTGCTGTGGAGGGAAGTGTACTGTCTACCTACGGCTGTACCAGGAGTCTCTCCACCCTCCGCCCCCCTGGACCACTTTCCCTCGACCTCACTACACTCAACATTGACGTCGCTTGGCATCTTGTCACAGGAACATGATTCATCCGCGCTTCATTCTTGGTTGGGATGGTTTGATGGACCGTGATCGACCATCATTAATGATCAATACTGCTTGTGACCTGAAATATGACAACAAAGGATCATTCACCTTGACGACAATGGTACGCTGAGCCTTGCACAGTCATCAGCCGACCTTTCTTTCTGACTGAGGATCTGGCATCCTTCAGCCTGGCTTTGCAGCACCTCCCAGATCCGATCTCGTACCGGAAGCCAGAATGTCTGAAATCTATACTGGTGGAATTGCCTTTTTTGATGCTGGACTGCTACAGCTCGCACTGGAGCTACGCGCAACGTCGACCTGTCCTGTGAGAAGGCTTTGTTATTCGATGGCTGCCATCCATTCTCGGCGTCCGTATACAGCTCAGCCCCAAGCCCAATGCCACTGCCCAGGCTCTAAAGGGGATACGGCAAAGTAAGTTTTCTCAGCTCCAAGGCTGTCGAGCATGCTTCAAGGCCATCGTGGCGTGTGAAAATCCCCGGGGCCTGTCACACACCCTAGTCTCATCTGGAGAGCTGCATGCAAAGGACTAGGACCAGGGCCGGTGAGTGTTCCCAAATGGACCATATTATACTATTCTCCCCAACCTCGTTCGCTTCTCGACCGCCTCGCCTGTTGTACCACTGTTCGTTATATCATTCTACTGTTCATTTTCCACCCTTGTTGTCCCAAGGGCCTACCCTCGTTGTTTGTTCTTTCCTTTATTCTTCTTTTCTTTTCGCTGCCCACCATGGCGCTCTCACGGCTCATTACTCTCTTCTTCTTTCTGTCTCTCGCTATCTTCTCATCAGCCGCCCCTTCAGCATCATCCTTAATACCCTCACCACTTAATAAACGTGGCGGCGACACGGTCAAGTTCGAGGTTACCTTGACATGGGAAGACCATTCGCCCAATGGAGGAACACCACGCAAGATGATCTTTACCAATGGCACATTCCCCGGCCCGCCATTGAAGTTGACGGTTGGCGACTCGGTCGAATTCCTCGTCCATAACGAACTTCCAGACCCGACCACAATCCATTTCCATGGTATTGTGCAACAGGGAACACCATGGTCTGATGGCGTCCCTGGCCTGACGCAAAAGGGCATCGCTCCCGGCGATTCCTATCTATACAAGTGGACGGCGGATGCTGCTGGCGTTTACTTCTACCACTCACATTACCGCTCGCAGATCATGGACGGCCTATACGGTGCCATCATCATCTCTCCTCCCTCCGAATCGGACAAGCCTTTTTCGCTCATCAGCAACGATACCGCGGCCGTCGAGGCCATGTCCGAAGCCGACGACAACCTCCAGACCATCTTCATCTCCGACTACAACAAATACACGGCCGCAGAACTACATGAGCAAGAACAGTCCGCCAACATCGACTTTGCCTGTGCCGACTCGATCCTGCTGAATGGCATGGGTTCGCAATACTGCCTGTCACGCGGCGAATTGACTGCCTACACCAACCCGAAAGTGTCTGCTCTCATCGCTTCGGTCAGTCCATCCCAGATCACCGACAAGGGCTGCTTGCCCCCGAATCTGCCAGCCACGCAGGGCAACTTCACATTCGACATCGACTCGATCCCCTCGGACGCGTACTTTGACTGCACGCCTTCCAGCGGCCCCATGGCCACATTCGACGTGGATCCATCCCAAGGCTGGGCGGCCCTGACCTTCATCAACCCTGGTGGGTTCGAAATCCTCAAACTGACCATCGACTCGCACAAGATGTGGGTGTACGCCGTGGACGGCGGCTACGTCGTGCCCCAGCTCGTGGACCAAGTCACGGTCAACAACGGCGACCGGTATTCGGTTCTGATCGAGCTGAACCAGGCTCCAGCGCAGTATTCGATCCGGGTCTCCAACAGCGGGTTGAACCAAGTGATCAGCGGCTTCGGCGTGCTCAACTACAAAGGCTCGTACGGCCCGGCCAGCGAAGACCCGAACGCCCTCGCCGGGATGAACTTCGCGGGCGTCAACTTGACCACTCTGGTCCCTTTCAACGACAACAAAGCCGCGCCATACCCGCCGTCGCCGCCAGCAGCCACGTCCGACGTGACATACAAATTCACCATCAAGAAACTCGGCCAACCGTACGGCGCGTACGACTGGACGCTCAGCGGCATCGACACGTTCAACGTGACCCTGGAAGACGTCGACCCTCTGCTCTACCAGAATGCGAGCACCCTCGAATCGACAGATCTCGTCCTCAAAACCAACATGGGCCAATGGGTCGATTTGATCGTACAGACTCAAGGACCTCTGGCCCAACCTCATCCTATGCACAAACACTCCAACAAGGCCTACGTGCTGGGCAAAGGCACGGGAACTTTCAATTGGAGCACCGTTGCCGAAGCAGCCGCTGTCCTGCCACCCAGTACTTTCAACTTTGTCAACCCTCCTTTCCGCGACGGGGTAAGTCGGAAACACCAATCCTTTTGGTTTTTTGTCATTTGATCTGCTTTGTTCTCTCTCTCTCTCTCTCTCTCTCTCTCTCTCTCTCTCTCTCTCTCTCACACACACACACACACACACACTTTGAACCATAACTAACAAATCCTCCTTTTTGCGTGTCCTCTAGTATACCACCACCCCCGCCGAACAGAACAGCACCTGGATGGCTCTGCGCTACGAAGTCGTCAACCCGGGCGCCTTCCTCTTCCACTGCCACATGCAGACCCATATGGCGGGCGGCATGGCCGTTGCCCTGCTTGACGGGGTCGACGAATGGCCCGAGATCCCGACCGAATACGCCAATGGCGGCAATGGGGTCAAATACTCGAAACTGAAGAAGAAGGGGAAACTGCGTCCAACGGAGGAATAAGTAAAGTCGACCATGGATGGCCAAATCCGAGATGCATCATTGCATGAATGGCAAGCATATTACAAGCATATTACAAACATATCACCTCACATCAGCAACTTTGCTTTACATTACTCCTACTCCTACTTCTTCCACTACCACTGCTACCACTACCACCATCACCACTACTTGTACTGGTGCCACTACCGCTACCACAGCCATTGCCACAACGACTTACCCTCTTCACCATTACTTGAAAAAATTCATTCCCTTGACCTTGGTAATCTTGGTTAATTTAACTTACCTCCATTATTTCCAATGACACCATGGTACGACACGATCGCCACACTCTCGGTTCCAAGGGAGGACACCTCAGCACAGGGCAGTACAGGGAGACAAGGTATTTACCTTTCTATCTACCTACCTACCTATTTTACTTCAGATGATACCCATCACCTTTACCAGCCATGAGCCAAAAATACTGTCTGTGTTCGGGGGGTTTATTTTGATTGATTGCATTGCATTGTATGGACGACTGGACCTTTCACACAAGGCAAAACAGACATGAAGAAGAGAGGAGAGAGAAGACGGAGAGAGAAGAGAGGAGAGAGAAGACGGGAGATTCGCCATTACCATCTTATCCTTTATGAAGCAAGCCTTCTTGATGGGACTGGATTATCTTTTGCATGGATCATCTTCTTTTCTGTTTTTGGGTCTTTTCTGTTTCTGATGCTTGGTTGTCATTGTCAAGTCTATCGAGTTGAGAGTTGAGAGTTGAGATCTCCATGACTCGCGGAGCAACTGACAAGAGTGAAGCACGCATCAATATCAGCATATATGGTACCTGATGTTGGTTAGGTACTACAGGTGGTGTGGTAATTGAAATACTAGTAATTTGGAATCTTGGATAGGTGCTGGAGTCTGGACTGGTCACTGAACTTGCCATTCTCAACATCCATCCCTACAGTACTACTGGGTATACAGTACTAGGTAGTAAGGAGTAGTAAGGAGTAGTAAGGAGTAGTAAGTAGGTAGAGCTTTATCGTTCTTGTTGTCGTCGTGCTCCTCCTCCACCTCCTTCTCCTCCACCTTTGATTGTTTGGATAAAGACATCTCTCGTGATGCACCGGGTCAAATTGCAGGGGACATCACGAACCATCAAGTCAGACTGTCAGAGCCTATCTATCTAGAGCGAGGTCTTACTTCAAAACAGGACAAGTAAAGAAGACAATGTCAAACTTCAACAGGATTGGATTCTATCAGTACTGACGATTGCTTTTCAAGCCAAGATAGACCGTGGGCGCATAGCTGGAGAATGCTCTATGACAGAGAACATTTGGCTGCGAGTCAGTGTCGAGTCGCTCAGCCTGGTTCTGGTTCACCTAGACCAATGCCACCCACGAGTCCACGATCAATGAACATACTCCGCGACATAACCCGATTGCTAACACCCTCACATTCATCTTCGTCGAGTCTTCTCTGACTCCAGCAGCTCAAGCTCATCAACATTCAACAACTCCACATCCCCGTGGCTAACCCCAAGCCCATACACCAGTCCCTGAACTCTACCGCTTATCCGCATCGTTCTCCTGCCCATCTCGACTGAGACACGTGTCAGGGCCAACATTGTGTCCCCTCCCTACCAGCCTACTTCGTCGTTGGCTTCGGGATACCGTACGCCTTGACGTGTTTCTTCTATAGAAACAGAGTGAGCATATGTAGAGGTGACAGTCTCAACTTCTGGAGAATGTCAGACTTACCATCTGTTGACGAATGATGTTCTTGCTCTGGTTCCCACTGAAGTGGGCAAATGGCAATCCCGCAGTATTTGCAGCAGCTTGTCGCACTGATTGATAGTTGAGGCATCTGGGATTTTGGAGCAACGATCGGGTCACTTCGGTCTCTAGGAAGGCAGCAATTCGCGACTGATCAACACTTCCAAGAGTGGGCGAGGCTGCTGTAGGTGTTGCCCCGGATTCAGGAGCTCGCGCTCGCGCTTTGCTCCGAGTTATGGGTCTGTTCTGAATGTCAGTGGTGGTGGAGGCGGCAGGACTAGTAAACATGGCCGTTCTGGTCTGCAAAGAGGCTGCACCCTGCCCCTGTGCTGATCTCTGCGCCGACTGAAAGATCGATTTTCTGGGGGCAGTGAACGGTCGGAGCAGCTCTTCAATGACTGGCTCTTCTGCTGCAATAACTTTCGTCCGATCTGAAGACATGATGCTTCTTCCGCCATCAACAGTGACACGTGAACGAATTGTAGCCTTGATGAAGCCGTCTTTAAGACTGTCGACTTCGTTGTCGTTGCCGTCGACATCCAAAAGAGCGGAGGGACAGAATATTAGAGCCTCACCAGTGCGTAAGCCGACAATTGCTTCGAAGAGTTCAATCTTCTTCGAGTCACTGCTTAACCGCGCGCCTGCAAGATGTTCCTCAAGGATTTGAAACCAAGCAGGTGAGTTGAAGCGGTGGACAATGGAAAGATTGCAAAGATCAAGCAGGCTTGGGGATAGAGTAGGTTCCTGTGTGGCAATGACGACACGGGTGGCCAGATGGCGCTGCTGACGGATAAGTGAGATGAGTTCCTCCGTCAGTTTTTCAGCCTCTCCCGACTTTGTGAGAAACTAGAACTAGTTAGCAGGCTCCGACTCGAAGCCGATAGACACGCACCTTATGAGCCTCATCCATCGCAAGAATTCTGCCGCAATCTCCTCGGTTCTCCATGAAGATAGACAAACAGATGTTGAAGAGCGCACAAGCATCATTTTCGTTGACAAAAGGACAGCTGAGGTCCACGATTGTCAGACTGCCTTCTGCCGAACGAAAAACACTATCGAGAATGTTGCCCGACTGCGTAGACTGTTGGCGGTCAACCAGGAATTCTTCAAGTAATGCCAGGCGCAATCGGAGCGGTCTATTTTGACCAGTCGAGAATCCTTGCTTCCCCAGTCGAGATTTGAAGTCTATGTAGTCAAGACCTCCTGAGCCCTTGTTCTCTCTGGACATGTCTCGGAGAATTTTGTACAGAACTTCCAAGTAGAGAGGAGACTGTCCTCCTTCGTTGACGGCCATCAAGGTCATCATTCTTGTGACATTCAATTGCTGTTCGCGGAAACGGAGCGGAATGACCTCTGGCTTTGGACAACCCATGGGCAATCCGGGCAAGTTGCGGTAAAGGATATTCATCGCGTGGTAGTTGCTTGGGGAGACAAGCACTCGGACTGGGACGCCTGAAGAACACAGGTATGCAGCTTCACAGAGCTGAGTACTGTTCGAACTCGTAAACTTGTCGAAATGGAAGACCAATCCTGCCAAAGGTTTCGGATTCACTCCTGCGGAAGAATTATTCAAGAGTGCATTTTCTAGCAGGCACGACAACGAATGACTCTTGCCAGCACCTTGCAAGCCGCATATGAAGGTCGACCACGGTGCATTCATGTTAGCGAAGACCATGTTATGCCCAACAGGAAGCGTCTTTGGCACGCCGGCATGGATGGAGTTGTAGGTTTCTTCGCGCAGTCCCAACAGGCCAAATTGTGGGAATGGGTCGTCGTCCTGTCCCAGATCTTGCATAATGCCAGCACGCAATGCGAGTCGCACTTGCTGAGAGAAGAGTGGTGTGGTTTTAATCTCTCCCAATTTGGCCTCGTTCGCGCCATTGCCATTAGAATCTTTCGAGCCTGCCCGGAGTAGTTGTAGATATCCTTGGGTCGCGCCCTGTTCCAGGTCTACCCTATTTTGGCCAGGGTTCGAAGGTTCCAATGTTGACTTTCCCCAGCCTGTGATGTTACTGTCCTTCCCTGCAGCAGAATCCGTAAAGGGTCGGCTCTGGAGAGTAACGGGGTCGGAGGCGTTGGATTGTGCGGAGAGAGAGCAAGATCCTGTTGTGAGACGTTGGGGAGGAAAGGACGGCGAACCAAAGGAGATCTTCGACCCGGTTAGCATGTCATATAGGCTGCTCTTCAGTTACTTACTGTTGAGGAGCCTTCGCTGGCAAAGTTGAAGGACTCCCGCTGGCCAAACATGTAATTGAAGGCACTGAATTGTGGACCAACTGTGGACGAAAATGAGTCCGGTCTGATGACAGGCTCTTCGTCCATGGATCCCATGGATTCATCTTCGAAAGCTGCACTTTCGCTGAAGTTCTCCGGTACGGGGTTGTTCGAATTGTCAGCCATTTTTTCTACTCCGGAAAGGAGGCGAGCACCGAGAGATAGTAATCTGTTGACCAAAGTAGTGAGCAACTGTACGGGACATTTTTCAGCAAAATCTGATGGTGGGCTCATGATAAATCCTGCCGAGATGGGTGCGCTCTTACCCAGGCACGATTGCTTCCGGGGTTTGAAAGTTTCCACCGGCAAAATTGAGGAGCTGCCAGCTCAATACCGCTTGCTCTAATAACAAGGATGCAATGCAGGGCAAATAGATGATATAAGGACAAAGGCCCAGGCAGAGATTGACCAAGAGATAGTGTGAGCAACAAAACTGGGATCAACGTTGGCGTTAGGAGAAGCAGGTAATGGTTTGCGTTTCCCTCATCTATGAACCATGGCAACCCTCGCAATTAATGGATGACCTGGCGTAACCGTGGCGTTCGCAAACATGCGAGAGATCAAAGACTCCTCCCCTGAAACACCGCATTATGGTTGTCCCCTTGACTTTCCTCAATATCTCTCCCTTGCTGGAGCAGGTTCACCACCAAGACCAGTTTGGGGGACACTGCTGCCCATGTTCCCCACGCTTCCTGAATGTGCACCAGCACCGGTTGTGGTGCCGCTGGCTGTGGCCTTTGTGCCACTGAGTCCTCCAGTGGGAGGTGCTGTGCCAGGCTCACTGAAATGCTGGTCAGCGGCCTGCATTTCCGTCTTGCCCTTTTCTTTGATTGCGCGGTTGGCCGTCTCTCCTTCCTTCTCATTGAAGGCCGTGTCGATAGACTCATTGACTGTGCCTCTTATGGTGTCGCCTGCTCCTTTGACGCCTTTGACAGCTGACTTCACATCGTTCAAGAAGCCATGAGTCTTCTCTTGGGTTCGGTCAGCCATATTTGAAGTGTGATGCAAGTCGCGTTCAGTTTTCTTTTTGGGATAGTTCTCAAGAAGTTCGAATTCCGTGCTAGGTGGATAGAGTGAGATTGCAAGGGACAAACAGATATGGTCATAACATGAAGACAAAGGCAAGTTTAAGAATTGTTTTTAAGACGTCGTGACTAAATGGCGATGACGTCAACCGGTCCGCATCGGAAAATATATCCGAGCATATCCGGATGAAGACGCTCATTGGTGGCATGAATTATAGTGCTGGATTCGTGTAGTGATGACGTAGCCATTCAAAGAATCAACACGTGATCTGTCCAGGTGTGACCATGTATAGTAATGGCTGTTATATATTCCGACAACAGTGTCCGTGGAAGACAATTCGGCAGGCACACGTGAACATGATTCCAGCTCCAAGAAACATCCTTTCAAGACAAACCACATTTCCCTGGCCCTGCATCAGCCTCATCAGTCTGTATGACGCTGGCGTCGTTCAGCGAGACAGAATCACCTGGACCACCAATGCCATCATTCTCCCAGAACTTATTCTTGTTGTCCTGCCCTCGGATCAGTCCGACCAGGTCGAACGGGTCGATGAGCGTCAGTAGGAAAGACCTCTTGTCAACCATGCCAGGCCCTTCCACCTCTGTTTTCCCATCCACAGCAAGGTATATTTTGTGGTTGCTCGGTAGGTACTTTCCTGGGGGGAAAATGTTCATAAGGAAAGTGTTGACCAGCATTGGAAGAGCCTCAAGGACCCAAAAAAAGACCTCGTCTCCATTGGCCGGCGAAACGGGCGGATAGAAGAACGCGGCAGTCCGATAGGTATTGCGAATGAGGATGAGGAATCCAGAAAGGTAGAGCTCGTAGATGATGACCTTGATGTTGTAGGTGAAGACGCCTCCTACGATGCAACGCCGATGAAATATAACGATCAGAACCATGAAGGCAAGAAACATGCCCAGCAGGAGAAATAGGGAAACTTTGACCAGTACGATGCCCGTCTTGACCTGAGACGCGGTGTTTTTGTAATTCGCAGCGTATGAAGCACCGTTGCCCGCGATGATTCCGTCGATGGTATCCAGCGTGATGAAGGTTGTCCACACTCGACCAGGGTGCAGAGGAGAATGATAAGGCACATAGTAGAGAAGCCTTCCGAAGATGAAATAGTTTGCGCCGTTGTAAACTGGGGGAGCCAGGAAGAGAAGAACCGTGCTGGCAATAAAGACATTCAGGTTGCCGTAGTTATAGGCGCCAACTTCACGGAGGGCGAACCCAACCACGAAAAGCAAGCCAGCCCATGGAAGGAGAAAACCAATGCGCCAGGACTTGTACTTCATTCTGTTCTGCCAGACATGAAGAGCTGTGGAAATGAAGAAGAGGATGGCAAATACGATGGAGATGTGCTTTGTAGGCGCGTAGACCCAGTATGACCCTTCGGCAATGTGCACCATGGTTGGCCTTGAGATGCCAATGGTAGATGTAGCTGTGGGACAACGTAGATTCCAGCAATGTAGGCAGTTCGATGCAGCAATGAAAGGGCGAGATGAAGCTAATCAGTCGAAATATCCGTGCGATGAGGGTAGGTCTGCTGTGAATACGGTTTGAGACCTTTCTGGGGGCAACAGTAATGTAAGTATAAAGAGCAAAGGAGCAACTTATCAGTTCAACAACCCTGGATAGCGAGCCTGGGCGATCGTGTCAAGGAGCCACGCGACGTATCTTGGGTCGACTAGACGGCCAGAACAGAATCATTTGATAGACAGCCTCAAGACAACGCTTGAATCTTGCAGGTTGTTGACAGAAGGAAACCATCCGCTAGATCATTTGTGGGAGAAGTTCCGAAGGGTCTTTGTTCGACACAAGATTGGACGTGCGACGGGCTCTGCAGGCTCCAGTGTTACTGGCAGCGAGAAATCCTCGAGGGTGCCTTGTAGTCGGTCGCCTATGGTTGTCCATCGATGGCACAGAGAGTGTTACAAACATTATTCGCAGAATGAGCCCAAAGCAGGATGGTTCGGCGAACTCTCAGGACCCCTCCTGACCCCTGTAGGGTATTGAGCAGTACTTAGTGCGCCAATCATGGCATTCATAAATGAAATTGAACACAGAAATCCGAATACGAAGGATGTAGAAGAGGAAACAGAACAGAAATAGAAATCAGCCTTGCTGGTTGCCTAGAAGCTCAAAAAGCGGCGTGGCAGGAATTCGGAAGGATCTCTCTGGTCACGTGAAACAAGTCGACCAAAGTGATGTCACACCCGAATCTCGACCGTTCGTCATGCTTGGCAGAGCGCAGTTCTGTTCAAGTGCCAATAATGCAGTGAATCCAATGCCTCGGTTCTTGACACGCAGTGGACAAACAAAACAATTCAACACCTCGCAATCCATTTCTCCGTCCTTAATCCAGCCATCCAGCATCCCACTGGAGGCTGTGATCTATGCGTTACCATCGTCGAATATCTAGCCTCACTGCTTGAGGCGACCTCGTGGCCGATGCTCGCCACGTTGCTCCGCATGAGAAACGAAAGATAACACATTCTTGGAGAGTATGATGGATGTTGCGCAGCATATCTCATCCTCGAAAGAAACAAAAGAGCTTCAATTCCCTGCAACGACAGCCGTCTTTCCACGAGTGAATTCGTCTCCCTTCTGATACCACCAATTCACTTCTCCCAGGTTTGACCCCGGGATTTTTGAACTGTGTCGTTTGATCTCGCCATCACAATTGCCTAGCATCGTGCACTTTTGACCTATTGACGAAACGAGCACCTGTGCCTGCGGAAAACACACAATCTGTCCTTGGTAAATAAAAGGAAATATGCCACCACACCAAGCCAACGGATTGCCAGCAGGGCACGAGGCTGATGACTACTTCCATACGAATCCACCGCCCAAAGCATTGTCGAGTCACCAATCGTTGGCGCGGGAGTTCATCCAGTATCACTTAGAGAATTCACCCAGACGGAAAGTTGTTCTGGTCACCTCAGGAGGCACCACTGTGCCTCTAGAGAACCAGACAGTGCGCTTCATAGATAACTTCTCGGCAGGCACCCGTGGAGCGACGTCCGCCGAATATTTCCTACAAGAAGGATACGCCGTCATCTTCCTCCACAGACAATTCAGTCTTCTGCCGTACTCTCGACACTACAGTCACAGCACCAATTGCTTCCTCGACTTCATGGATGAGGCCGAAGATGGGCGAGTCATAGTCCGCAAGGAATACCAGGACAAGATGCGGCGAGTTCTGCAGCAGTATCACCATGCGAAGGATAATCGGCTCCTGCTACTGCTCCCTTTCACGACGGTTACTGATTACCTCTTCGAGCTGCGCAGTCTTGCTGTCATCATGCAACCGCTGGGTAACCGGGCGTTATTTTACTTGGCCGCGGCCGTGTCCGACTTCTTTATCCCGCGAGAACGGATGGAAGAGCACAAAATTCAGTCTCGCGACAACGACGCTGGAGGCCAAGGGTCAGGGGCCAGTAGGCAACTGGTCGTCAACCTTGACCCGGTTCCCAAATTCCTAAGCACCCTGGTGCAGTCCTGGGCCCCGAAAGGCAGCATGATTGTTAGCTTCAAGCTCGAAACCAACCCGAGCCTCCTGGTCAGCAAAGCGGAACAAGCCCTGAAACGATACCACCATGACCTGGTCATCGGCAATCTCTTGAGCACCCGCAAGTGGGAGGTGGTCTTTGTGACTTCAGATGGCGAAGAAAGGTGGATCCGAGTTCCGAAAGCACGGAGATCCAAGAGTATTTCGGGAGTCGAAGAGTTGGTCGGAAAGGCCGAACGCAAGCATGGAATGGAACACGTTGACCTTGAGGGGGGGACGGTCACCGAGGGCATGGAAATCGAAAGCCTGATCGTGCCCGAGTTGGCGCTGATGCATACCAAAAGGATGGAACAGCAGTCTTGAAACATCGGAATACAACTCCTAGGAAGAGAGCGCCGAAATCACGCCGGCGTCGACGACTCTCACCATCACAATCTACCCATGGACTCTACTCTTTGGGGGTCTGAGGTAGATGTCGCTAAAGTCTCAGGCAACATGACACGCAGCCCCAGAGACAGTTGTTAGACACACTGCTGACGAAGACGCTGAGTTGATGCGCCATGCAGAAAGCAGACTCGTTAGGTGGTTCTCCCCGGCGATTGATTCCAAAACAACTTTCTTCGCGGCGAGGACTACAGAGCGTCTTGAAACCGCCCTTGACTAAGGGTCGGCGCCAGTCGCCGTGCTGTTTTCCAGAAACGGCCTATTCCTAAGGCTTCTCGTCGCATGCGCATGTGCCGGGTCAGATCAGGCAGTCATTCGAATGTCATCTCAATCTAAGCCCATGTACGGTGTAGGACACCGCGACCACCGGCACTCACTTTGGACTCGCCGCTTCTTATGCGAATAGTAGTGGGGAGTGCACGACTGCTAGGGTAGGGATGGTTGGGTGTTATTTCAGGGTGTGTACTCCCGTAGTAGGGCAACTGCCGCGCCGAAGTCCACTGTTAGATCTGGACCCTCGTTCAAACGTTGCGTTGGGGCCAGGCTCCATCCGCAAAGGTGCTTGAAGCAAAGGTGGCTGAATGGAAAACATCGGCGATCCATCTGAGCCTAACAGCATGTGTCATGCAGTGCGAAGTCGGTAGTTGACCTTCGATATTGGATGGTGCCGTGAATGAAGAATGAAACAGGATGAGGTATACGTGACGCGTGCACTGAATCTTTTCGGTTTCTCTATTGAGAACTTGAAAAAATCAGAAAGGGCGGAAGGTTGAAGCGGCCCCTAAGCCCCCAGGCGACAGTGGGCATTGGGCACGGCAGTGGACAGTGGGCACTGGCACTGGCACTGGGCACCCTGTACTTCCACCTAAGACCCAAACTGACGGAGCCCGTAGTGGTGCCTAGGGGCTGCCCACTGTCCACTCTCTGCCCACTGCACCGATCTGCTGCTCCCGTTAGTCGCAAGTCAACACCTGTCAGTCTCCGAGTCTGCAGACCCGACAGCCATCAGCTCTTTCAGACCCTTCAAATCATGCCTGGTAAGCGTGTCCCGAAGTCCAGCAACACTCAGCCAGCTAACCAGAACCCCGCGATCTCAGCAGCCTGTTCGGCGCCCCTCGCTTCGCTCCGTCCATCGACTGCGATCGCGAACGCCTTCGGATGCTTGGATACAGATCTCGTCGCCATCATCTGTTCTACCATCTGCCCAGCCCACCCACACCCGAGCCTCGATTCGACCTGCATCTCTCATCTGCATGTGCGGCGCTGGCCAGACCAAGTTCACCCCGAGTTAGTTTCCATTACGAGTAGAGGACAGCCAGACAAATTTCAGGAAATCAGGGCACAAAGATAGGATCGGACCTCCGGAGAATAAGATCACTGATGGGTGCAGCCACCCCAGTCTGATTGCATACCCGGCGGGATGAAAGAAGAACATGCAAGAGTCAGTGGCGTCAACAGTTGGACTCTAGACTGCCAAACCGAGCATATACGACCGCTGAAAGAGCAAGAGAGCACCGCCCGACAGGACTAGAAGTAGACAAGAACAGAGAGAGGGCAAGCCCGTTGTGGTGGTGTGTTCGTAGATCTGCGTCAAGGAGTGGTCTCGTCCTCTCATTCTCCAGGGACCTGGTCCCTGTCTGCTGCAGTGTGTTGACTCCGGCCTTTACCAACCTAGTCAAGCTTCGTGTCGTACGTTTGGAAGAAGCATTTGACTGGGACTTGACCTGACTGACACTTCATGCACTGATGCCTTACTTCTGCACCTCGCTCGGTCCTTGGGTCTCGATCCTCTGATATCTCAACCTCGAACCGCTCTTCGCACTCCGCCTGCTTCTACGCTGGTCCTTTCTCGTCGTTGCCGTTGCCTTTACTGGTTGACGCCCACTGACTTGCCCTCGACCATACGCACAGGACGTTCGCTCGTCGGGAAGATAGTGCGGACATTGAAGTCTCCTCTTTGTTTCAGATCTCTCACATTCGGATCGCCTCCCACTGATCATCCGCCTGCGTTGCCGTCGAGCGCCGCTGCCATAACATCTCCTTCTTTGCATCAGTCACAACCGACTCACTTCTATCTTTTCCTGCGCCCATCACCATCCCCGGGACGAATCTCACAACGTTTGAGTCAACCCAACGCCTGCCCGACTACCGCCGACTAATTCACGCATACTGGCGTCGCACGGACGCTCTTGGACCGAAAGTCTCCAGACCGGATCAACATCGCGCACCCCACCCGTCTCCTGCCTTCTGGCTCCTCTCGGTCCTAATTTCAAAACGCGGACGCAAAGAGCCCGACTCCTCCTCTTCATCGTTACACCCGCCCTCATACAAGCCGCTGCTCAGCAGCAACTGCTCCTCCAGACAACATCCTGCACAACACAGCCATCCAATAAGCAATGAATTAGGCTACAAGACGTTTCGTCGCTGTCCGATTCACAATGGCGACGGTCGAGCGCCCTTGGCCGTTGCTTGAGAACACTCAAATCCCGACGGGCAAATTGTCCTGGAATTCAAGTGACTCTGGGAGGCAAGCCTGGCCGTTACCGACAAACTTATTCGATGAGTCTGGTTACAATACGTTCGTCCTCAAATTGGAATCACCAGTTTGCGAGGATGATCTGGACGATCGGATCGCCATGGAGGCACAGAATCTCGGCCTGTCGCCCTTTCCAATTACTTCCGACATCCAAGGTCTCACATCCTCCATCTCTACGGCCACAATCGCTTCCGATTCCATGAACCATAGTCCCAACCGATCCCAGTCAACTGCAGCAACGTCTTGTGCATCCAGCGAACACCGCCCTGCAAGGCAAGCCTCACAAGTGCCAGAGCGGTCGTCCACTAGCTCAGAGTCGCCCTCCTCTCCCGCCGATGCCGAGAGGAAAAGGAGATCACCCCTTAGACGAAGCCTTCAAAAGATGACAGGATTTCGAAAGAAAAGGTCCACTGCGCTGACTTCTTCCACCCTGACGAACATGAGCAGCGACGTCGACACCGAGGACACTGAAGACACATCGGTTGAAATCAAGAGCCCGTCATCGATGAAGTCAAGTAAGAGCTCCTGGTCACAGCCTTTGCCTTCCTCGAAGTTCAGCTATGAGCAAGGAATATCACTTGACCCGGGTGCGTTCAAACGTAGCGCTGAGTGCAAGGAAATGCTGGATCTGAGGCTCGCACAACTTGATGAAAAGGCCCGATTTTTGGAATTCCAGGCTTCGTTGATCGCGGAGCTCAGCGCCCGGCGACAGAAGTTGAAGGCAGATAAGAGGCAAGAGCATGAGCAAGTACTTGCGGAACAGGGCGCGAGAGTGAGTCATGCTTGATATATTGTGGCATTACACGCTGACGCTTTCTAGACTGACAAGGCTGTTGAGGATCTTGAGGCACGCCAACTCGAAGAGGAGATGAAGATGGAAAAGGAGCACGAGATCGAGAAGCGGACAGTGATGGTGCGCCTACGACACATGGAGGCGTACTGTCAAAATCCAACGCCTCCTCCCACTCCCGTGGACCCGGCTTCTGGTCGTCCATCGACCGACTCCACTCTGCCGGAGCGCAAAGTTACGGAGAAGGACTACCATAACCTCGCTCAACAGTACCGTGAGCGGGACGCCATGGACACACTGCACACGGCGAAGATCAATGTGCTGCGAGGGAAACAAAAGAAAGCCGTCGAGAGATTAATTGCCAAAAAGGAGCGGGAGACTCAAGAGTTGGAAAAGAAACAGGAGGACGAGCTGGCAGACATTGATCGAGACTTTGCCAGCCAGGAAGCGAACCTGAGACTCACTCTGGTGGCGAAGCGCGCGAGAATCGAGGCCAGATGGCGAACCCAGGCCTTGATTGTCCGGATCAAGATGGAGAAAGCTACGGGGTTGAAGTACGCCCCGTTGCCAGATGTTTTCGCCATTGGCGATTCTCACGCTCCCGGAATCGCATTTTGACCCCGTTCCGGACCGAAAATGTTGACCCACGATATTTGATTGAGCCGAGCCTCAGGCACGACCGGAAAAAGCCGCTTGTTTTCATGAGTTATATGGCGCAATGGTTTCGCTTTACTGATATCAGATACCCCGGCCATCGCTTGTATATGTTTATTGTACGACCGCAATGACTTTGTGGAGAGTTATGATGGCCCTCGGGCGCCCATTAATGGACATCTGCACGGATACGATGCGAGACGAGGAGAGACGCATGGTAACTAACCCTCCCAGCAGACGCCGCTGCAGTACGTTGGCTTCTTCCAGGCACCAAGAGCCGGGAATGACGCATGGCATTGTGGTAACGAGCCGGCTGAGAGTAACCACAACGTGGAGGTAATGGACTAGACTGGCGAGAATGGAATGGCTACCTGTAGTCGAGGAGCAGAGGCAAGCGAAAAATTGCTCTTACCAGGCAAAGGCACTGCTTCCATGAACAAGGATAGTGCTACCTACCTAAGGTATACTACAGATGAACTGTGTTGACAGGACCTGTATCCCGAAGGAGGCACCTGGGCAAGCAAGGCAGCTCTTCTCACTACCGGCCTGCCGACTTCACAAGTAGTAGCGATGTCATGTGACACCTCCTAATGCAGCCCATTAAACTAGAGACTGCGCCAGGCGGCTGCAGCTGTGCCCTACTACTTCAGTTGTGTCTTCTTTGTCACAACATCTTCGAATCAGTTTTCCCAACGCTTATTCAAGTCTGACACCTCTGTACTTGTGGTCCAGACAGTCATCATCTTTCACTATACTCCCTTTGTCTCACAGCTTCCCTAGAGCCTTGTTCACCGGCACCATCATCACCAGACATCATACGAAGCTGTCCTTCGCACCCATCGCCGGCCAGTGTGTTATGGCTCCTCTGTCGTACTCCCCTACCTCCTGCCGTGGGCCTGGACGACAGGCAGTCCCCAGCCCAAGAGTCTGTCGAGGTCAACCAGCTCCTTCTTCCTAGACGCTGCCCTGGATCCCTCTGGGAGATCAGTGGAAGAAGCCTTCGGTTGAGCCGCAACCTTGCAGTGGAATGGCGTAAACAGCTTTCTATCCTTTTGTTGCTAGCGTTGCTGCAGATAGTGCCGACGGATTGGTGACGTGGTGGCTGCATGCACCGAAGATGTTTTCCTTTCGGTCGAGCCTTGGTAGATGTGCTGCATCTAAAGAGTGAGTTGGCTCTTTCAAAAGAGCCCCAACTTTCCTGCGGTTCAACACGTCCAATACTCCGTCCATCGCTTACACATTGACTATGGGACTTCTTTGGCTACGACCACTGCCTCAGCGGTATAACCAGTTTCTTTGTTGAAGACGGCAATCAAGCATTACTGAGGACTGGGGTACACATGAACCACCAACACCAAACGCCAGCAAGCACAAAAGTGGAGGTTGCAAGATATGAAGAAGTCTGGCTCGCGGTTTCTTTGTCTTCATGTGTAGCCTGACTCGTGAATCGCGATGAAAGCGATGTCCATCATCTTCTTTCTTTGTTCAAAGTACCATCCGTTGCAGGCTGCGTCAACTTTCCCCCATCAAACTCAAATTGATAACAAAGGAACCGGCGACAATGGCCGCTCACACAGCGGCTGTATCGTTCGCGGTGTTTCCCAGATGCCCCCATGCTTCCACTCCCTTGTACCGCACTGCCTGAATCTCTCAGCATGTCATCGTCCCCCGCCCCTGATTCCTTTTGGGTTGTGGCTGCTCCTTCAAGAAATTGGGATGATATCCCTACCATCAATGTTTGCAACCATGAGGTACCATTACCCGCGTACTGGAAAATTTTCGAACTATTAGGGCAGGGACAGGCCAAACGAGAGGTTATTCAATCGGTCATTCGACACTCCGGCTTTAAAACCCTCCAGGTAGTCACCGAAGTTGTTGAAAGTGTTGCACAGAACCAGCAGCTTATCTCCCGCCGATCCACCATGTCCAACAGATTGAGCATACCCTTTAAGAAGGCAAACCGGATTAGCATCTATAAGGCTTTAAAAAACGAAACACATTGGGAAGTCCCAATAGTGGAAGACACTTTGAGTGCAGCCAAGCAACGCGAGAGGAGACTGCTGAATGATGCACTTGCCATCGCCCAGCAAAAAGAGCAGCTCAACGGAAAGGCGATGAATCCTGATGAGCGCCGGAATACTGCATCTGCCATCAATGATGAAATGAAACAGGTCCTTCGGCAACACCAGGAGGCGGAGAGTGAAATCAACATGGCAAAGCGGCTCACTGCCGCACAAAAGGCCTCGTTTACCTGATGACGACCACTGATATGAAGGCACTGCTTGATCTCTCAAGTAGTGCAAAGACGCACCGTTGTTGTTGCCCATGTTGATTCTTTGTTTCGGCCCATGGCAAGGCAGTTATTCTTCGATTGCCTGTTGATGTGAACTGACAACATGTCTTGCTGGGTGTGCACTGCCTTTCGTTCATCGATTGTTATAAAATTACATACATATTCAGATACAGGATGGTTCAACTCCTGCAGATTTCTTCGACCTGCTTTTCCAGCAAGATTGCTTTATCTATTACCTTTTCGGCAAAAACCAACAACAAAATGGCGAAGGAAAAGAGCTCATACTTCGACGCGCACGCCTCATTGGAGAGAGAGATAATGCATGACCGCCGATGGCCACGCCTCCGGACACGAACGAGCGGTGAAGTACTCAGCATGACTATGGCCTCTAGGATCATGTACCTGCTCAAGCATAAGCATACCGTGAGTTGCATCCCTTGTCATTTCAAGGAAGAGTTCAACCGAGAGATTGATGAGGATACAGTTCTGGCTATACTAGAACAGCAGTTTGATATCACCGAGGACTTGATTCCCAACGGCGAAATTCTGATTCCTACCCGGCGCCCTGCGATCGATGCGACTGGCTACGTGAAAGGTCATGTGCTGCCGGCAGGAATCTACTGGGAGATCATCAATAGCAGACGCCACCCTCCTCACTTGATCGAGATTCTGGTGAAAGAGCGCTGGGGGTTCACCGTCCACCGGGATACGATTGCTAAGGCAATCAATGACTGGCAAGTTGAGCTGACACTGAGTGGTCGTCCTGCTCCCGATGATGCTCGTCCAAGACATGACGGTCGGCTTCTGAGCGAACTGGCTGTAAGCGCTTCTCCTGCAATGCACAATCGAGCTTCATTCTCAAACGATCCTCCACCGGTATACGAGCCTCGGCCTGTGATTCAGGGCACAACCCTCCGACATCCACGAGAAGTCAATCCGATCGGTAGCCATCATTACCCATACTTCCCTCGAGGACAGGAGCCTCCTGCGCCTGCCTACACAGAGGGAGGGAGCCCGCCGTCATATGGGGGCTTCAATGATACCTCTGGAAGGAACCGACCTGAGACGTCATCAACCAGAGTCTCTCGTACAAGCGCCACAAACGTGGCCGAGGATGTTGACCGGACAATGGTGCCGACTGGTATTCACGGCAGTACTCGGCCTCCCGCAGTCGATACCAAATTTCAGAAGGGGAGTGAGCAATCGTTTCCCACCTTCTCTCGGTCCAACGTTATCGACTACCTTTTCCGCAGCGTTTGTGGAATCGCTCTCTTTCCTCATGGCCCTCATGAGCCGGTCGCTGTTGGTTACACCGGTGATGACATGATGAAGAGATATATGCAATTGACAGCAGTCATACGTCGACGTCAACTACGGCCTGAAGATCTCTTCCCTGACAACGTGGTCAACGCACAGGGAGACCTTGATGAACCCGGACGGGTTCTCGCGAATTTCATCCGCCCCATCTTCGCCGAACTTCAAATGAGCGCCTGTCCATCATCGCGCAAGGTGATGTTGGACTTTGCAATGCAACCCAATGTGGGTGGGCTCTATTTCATGCTCAACCATATGAGAGAACGCAGAGGGGTTGAAGAGGTCGCTTACGCCATGCCTGACATGTTGGCCCGCGCCGTCATTGATGAGCTACGACTGAGCGACAATGCGTACGTGATGCTGGTCCTGTCCAATTACGCTCCAAATTTCATGTTCAATTGTCTCAGCCTGCAGGTCTTGCTGAGAGAAATCTTGGATAGGAGAAACGCACATCCGAAGGTACGGCTCCAGTTTGCCTTCCACCCGGCATCCGGAATTCCTCAGCTTACAGATCCTAGTCAGAACGGTCGGGCTGCCCCTGGCCCTGTAGAGGATGGGGAGCCAGCATTGACAGCTTTACAGCTGATGGAATATCAGGAAGGACTCAAGTTCTCCAAAGTGCTGCTCTGTGCGACCTTGGAATCGATGAAGGAAGAGGGCTTCCTCATGCGCAGATCCTTGCTGGAGGAATACATTCGTGAAGCTATGCGCACTGCTCAGGAGGGAACAGAAGCCTGTCTTCAGCTACGACATGCTTTGACACGAATTGGGGACATGAGACGTGGCACCACAGGTCCAAACTATCCATCGGATTGGTGGGCGGCAGTTCTCACCAATGCTTCTTTGGCGATCGTAGGGCGGTCTACCACATCACATCTATGGATGACAATTCCGGCAATTGCACCACCAGCCACGACGGGGCCGACTATGTCAGAAGAAGATGAAAGAACGGATCAAGGTGTTCGGGTCCCCGAAGACGCTGTGCCAATCACTACACTCATCCCATATGAGCGAGAAATCCCGTTGGAGCAACATGAACACAACCTCCATCGACTGCATACATGGAATGCAGAGATTCGACGCTGGCCCACCGATCTGGCCTTCATCGCGGACGTCCTTCTGCCGGGCTTGCGGCGTGACCGCCGCCAGATCGTTCTACAGCTACATGGACGGCGAATGGTACATGCATCGAGGCAAGAGTATGACGCATTGATGACCCTGCTTGCACAATTCAGGCAGGAGTTCACCATTCTGCGAGACTCACTTCGTCGGCTGATTGACCCAGCAGTTCCCGTCGACCGTCAGGCACAATCTCTTCTCCAACAAGAGATCGCTAGGTACGATTCGGCATTGATGGAGTATGCGCGGGTCTATGTCCAATGCCACGAATCTCCTTTCGCTTCCGTTCTGGACTTTACAGCAACAATGGCGGCGGTCCGACAATTGTACTGGGAACTTAGCCGGGTCAGATTCTGGTCGACAAGACATCATCAAGCGCCGCTTGATGGTCATGACCTGGTTGAACTAGCGGCTTCGGCTGAGGCAGCAGTGACACGATTGCAAAGTGAACGTCTGCGGTTGGAGATGAATGCAGCTCATTCGGTGCACTCAAATGGTGAAGATGATCAAGAAGACCCGGACGCGGGATTGCCGCCGTCGGGCCAGGGTCCTGATGAGCAGTCCCCAATGGATCATGAAGGTTCGGAAGATGCCCCGTCTGATACAAGCATTGGAGTCGCTAACGATGAGCAGGGCCATGTGTCTTCGGATGTCAATTCAAACGACCACCAAGAGCAGCAGCATCAGCAACAGCCGGAGCAAGAGATTGAAGCATATCCTACTGCAAATGCAAGACTTCCCGCCCCAAATGCAGAACAAACACGACCTCCATCTCGGCCTCTCCTGATCGATCGACATCAGGGTCATGACCAAGTTGCTGATCCAACCACTGCCTTACATGGAAGAACAAGACCCGCCATTCACGGTAGTACCCCATTGAGAACCGCTGTCCCTAGGTCTCCACATCCACCTCCAATGCCTGCTCCGGCTCGTCGTCATCCTTTCGGCACTTGGTTCGCCAGCTATTTCCGCTGCGCTTTTGCCAGAGAACGACACCACGGTCGGGAAGACAACGTACCTGGCTCTACCCCGCGGCAGACGTCTCAAACCTACCACGACCACGAATCTTGATTGGGACATCGCCGCAAATTTTCAGAGCAACTGATGCTGTGCTGTGGTTGCTCAACCGCCGCTCGTGTCAGGGAGGGTAGGTCGGAAGTCCCTGCTTGTTGGCGCTGTGATAGAGTCGGTTCATATCTTCACACTTGCTCCACCATTTAACGTCGAGGCTGGACCTTGACAAATTGGCCGAAATGTGGACCTTGTCTGGAATAGGAGGTAGGCTTCCCCTTTCACTGTTTCATCAGCATGCTTTTGCGCAATGGAATGGCGACTAAGCCAAGACTGTCATCGGGAGTTGAGTTCAGATATGTCCAAGGCTGATTCACCCAGGAATAGGATATATATAGATTGATTGTTGATCCAACATCGGGCTTAAAATTTATTTCGTCTTTCCATTCGTTTTCATAGTCTCCTCGACCGGCCTAGTCTTGTGCTTCATTTCGTCATGTTAACTGTGCCGGCGCCGCGTTAACGCGTTCTGATGCCGTTCAACTTCCTCCAAACGCTCACCCAGCTCACGAAGCATTGGAATCCCATCCATCAATATTCGCTCTTGATCTCGCATCCGTCCGTCCAGACCGATGACGACGACCTTCTCTATCCTCCCTTCTTCTGTGATTCTGAGTCGAGCAACGCGTCCATCGGCCCAGATGATTCGGATTTGACGAGCATCTACACTCACAGCGGAGAATTCGCGAACACCAAAAAGACCGACTGGATCATGGGAGGCCCCGTCGTCGTCACTCCCATCCATGTTTTCGTCTTCGGGGTCATCATTATCGTCGTCGTCATCTGGGATATTTTGTTTCATACTTTTGGAATCTTCGTTGGGGTTGGGGATGTCATGAGACTTTGCCTTTGGAATCGGGAGTCCAAGTTCCTCGCGCAGCAAATCGATCGCCTCTTGTCTCAGTCTCCAAGCAATCAGGTCGTGACGGACTCGCTCGACAAGCCCATGCAGATCCTGTGTTCTTGGACCGTCATTGTCTCCTTCATTATTTGCTGTTGTCATGATTGAATCCTCTGCACTTCCGTACCCTTCGTCCGGAAGCGGTAGGTATCGCTTCTCATAGTCCTGCAGCGGGACCAGCGCGGGGATTGTGTGGCGGTGGATGCGTAGGTCGTCGTCACTCGTCCTGCCGTCTCCTGTCCCGTTCCTATTCCTGTTCCCATTCCCATTCCCGGTCCCGGTTCCGGTACCAGTACCAGTTCGTACACAGAAGATATAGTAAGGACTATCGAACCGGCCGGTACGGTCGCATATGTCGATCCTGATTCCTAACAGGGGATTCTTGGACTGCAGTTCGGGACTGGGGTCGTGGAAGGGGAACGATGTCGCGCCGAAGGCTAGGCGGTGGACGTTGTATTGAGATCGTGTTGTTGCGGTCTCAAGAAGGGCAACGATATTTGGATTTGGCGCGGCGGAGTCGGCAGTGTCTCGAAGTCGGGATAGACGACTTTGGACTTTTGTCGTTGAGAGGAGAGAGGAGGCCAAGAGTTTGCGCCGCTGAGTCAAGGCTTGGACTGCGGTGGTTGAGGTAAGTTAGTCTATTTTAGCCACTCAGAGAGTCTGGTTGACGAAGCTGAAGTTTAGGTGAGGCTGTGGATGGAGGGCGGCAGGCATACTTTCGGCTCTGACTTGTGCGATCTCTTCATCGAGCGAGTCGCTCATGGTTTCCTGGACCGAGTTACTTGATATAGCAGCCGGAGGAGACGCTGCGAGAGCCATTCTCCTTCTTTCTCGTGGTCTGGGCCGTGGGTAGTGGGAACCTTTGCTGGCGCATTCGCTGTGTCCAAGCGAAATGGTTCTACCGAGGTCAGTAGTAGCTCTGTCTACTATCGCATTTGTGTGTTTGCAGCCATTTACGCGAGACGCGTCGACGATAAGAAGACGCGCCGTTTATCGGGGGTCACGTGCAGTTTAAGGGATTTGTGTTCTAGCGGCTGTCGCTAAATGGTCAAACAAAAATGCTAGACACATTAAATAATAATCGGGGGGCCACCTGGCGCATCCTCAGCGGGCCATCAACAGGTACAACGAGGCCCAACTCTACATCGATCACCATGACCCTTCAACCTTGACAGGCTGTTGGTGGAGAGGAGGAAGATATGCAAGGAAAGCCTCATCTTCGAAGACCTTTTTTCAGTGATCCATGATCTCATCCCGCTTGGCCTGCTACGTTCCTGACTAGCACTGTCTTGTAACTGGCCACACTTGGTAGAGGACACAGAGTCCTTTTCTTTATCCACCCACTTACTACACTCTTTTTCGCCGCATGGATGCCTGACTCCATTGCCGAACATTTTACATTCCCAACTCACCTCACGCGCTCGTCCACCCGAGACAACACTGTCCTTCCCTACCACCAGAGTCAGAGCAGAATCAGCGCAACCGAAGATCAGCCCCGACGACTTCCAACCCAGTCTCGCGAGATTGAGCTGAACGAGTTGCAAACCCGACACAGCACCCACGGGGGATCCACACATTATCTAAGTCCTGTTGACAGTCGCGAAGAGGAGGAGGACTCTGAAACTGAGAGTTCCGAGCAAGATCACCTTGTGGTTGAAGGATCCCCGTCGCAGATGAAACGCAGCAAAGCCAAGAAGAGCAAAGACAAACGATCGCCTTCGCGCCCCAATTTGCGGATCGAGACTGACCAGAACGGCCATGCGGACAGAAAGGCAGACGGCGGTATGGACTCCCATATTGAGATGAGACGGAAACACGTCTCGAGCGACGACCCTGCCGCCAACGTGGCCAGAGTCATCAGCAGAGAGGATTTTACGCTCGACAATGAACTACCACAGACACCGCAGACGCCGGGGATGGTGACAACCAGTTTCTCAAATCTCCCTATCAAAGACAAGCGCAACTTTCTCCTGCTTGTGCTGCTCTACTTTCTTCAAGGCATACCCATGGGCCTGGCCTCGGGGTCGGTGCCCTTTCTGTTGAAAAGCTATCTTTCATACGGCCAGATCGGAATCTTCTCGCTCGCGATATACCCCTATTCCTTGAAGTTGTTATGGAGTCCAATAGTGGATGCGGTTTGGAGCAAACGGTTCGGACGGAGGAAAAGCTGGATCACACCCATTCAAACTATCTCCGGATTGTCAATGATTTACCTCGGAGGGAGGATTGATGAAATGATGAAGGCTGCAGGGGTGGATGATGGGTCTGGCGTTTGGGGATTCACGGGCTGGTGGTTTCTTCTCGTCTTCCTCTGCGCTACACAGGATATTGCAGTGGACGGGTGGGCCATCTCGCTCTTGTCGATCCAAAACATTTCCTACGCCTCGACCGCACAAACCGTCGGTCTGACGGCGGGGTCTTTCCTGTCGCACACAGTCTTCCTGGCGCTCCAAGCCCCGGATTTCGCCAATGCTTGGTTCAGAAACGTGCCCAAGGAGTACGGCTTGTTGACCCTCGGCGGGTACATGAAATTCTGGGGTTGGATCTATCTCCTGGTCACGGTCGGTCTGGCTGCGATGAAAAGAGAAGACAAGACCAATGATCGGGATAGCATCATGGACGTCTACCGCAGCATGTTGGCCGTACTCAAACTTCCCAACATCTTGACCATCATTGCAATCCATTTGATCGCCAAACTCGGCTTCGTGACCAACGACGCAGTCACAAACCTGAAATTACTCGACAAAGGCTTCGGCCAGGCCAACATGGCCCTGGTGGTCCTGATCGACTTTCCGTTCGAGCTGAGTCTGGGGTATTACGCTGGCAAGTGGTCGACCGAGTACACGCCTTTGAGGTTATGGTGTTGGGCGTACGTGGCTCGACTCCTCGCAGCCGTGTTTGCTCAATTCACCATCATGATCTACCCGAGCGCGCTCGATGAAGCGGTTCCGTTGTGGTATATGCTTGTGGTCATTGCCTCGCACGTCTACTCGACATTCATGAACACGGTCATGTTTGTCGCGGTATCTGCGTTCCACGCCAGAATTGCCGATCCGGCGATCGGGGGGACATACATGACGCTGTTAGCCACGTAAGTTTAAGTTTGAACAATTTCCTGCATGTGATGACTCTTTACTGACTGACATCCTCTCCAGCGTCTCGAACTTGGGCGGCACATTCCCCAAATTCTTCATCCTCAAATTCGTCGACCTCTTCACCAAAGCCACCTGCTTCCCACCCACCGATGTGGACGCTTTCACCAAAGCTCATCCAGACATCACCCCTGTTACGAGCCCGTTCAGCTGTGCCTTGGAGGCCGACAAGAATCTCTGTCTCAAAGGCGGCGGCAGCTGTGTTGTACAGCGGGATGGGTATTATATTACCAATTTCATCTTCGTCGTCATTGGAGCGGTTTTGTTCTGGACATATATAGAAAAGAAAGCTCTTGCGCTGCAGGCTCTGCCGCTACGGGCTTGGAGGGTGCAAGGCGACTACCGTCAGGTTGCAACGGGTTGAAGGTCGTGATGTCTAGACTGCGTTCTCGGTGAGCCATATCCTGCGAACAAGACTAGATGTTTGCACGGGTCAGGTAGTCAGTCATATGAACATGCGAATCTATGTGTTCGGCCGCCCTGCTTTTGAGACGCCGCTTCTTGATATAATCCAATTTTTGCGCTCCCACAGCTCCCAATCGCTGGAGTAATGCTTTGATCCTGTTACCTTCCAAGTGTGGTGGGTGTTAGGAACATGCACGTGATATCAAAATTCTCCGTCACGTGTACGGCTGAGTTCGACTGACTTCGGTACTTTGTTCGCAGAGCAGACAATTTGATTATTGTTTCTTTTTGTCCATCAAGCGGGAGATTCCATGTCCTATCAATGTAAAAGTTTAAAGGAAAACAGTATTGTCGTGCCGGAAGCAGACTGAATTGCAGTGGTCTAGGTCTCTTACAAATTCTTCCACCCTCTCAAGAACCTCTTTGCATCCAAGTTGACAATACGTCAATCCTCCATACAAGGCCTTATACAAGGCTCTGAACTATCACTTCTTTCGGGTTCCAGTCTGGAGCAACAGCACAAACACACACTTTTGCGCAACGTCAACGTCAACGTCATAGACGAACCACAACATCAACCGTGACAGCAACGCCTATCAATGTCTCAGTCCTCATTGAAATCCACCCCTCCCGCATCCTCGCCGTCCACCACAGTCACGACGCCGGAACAGTCCCCCGGCGCGGACGATGATATCTGGGATACTTCGTCTGATTACCACGACCAAGGCTTTGACAATTCTTCTCACCATCAAGATGCAAGCGATGGTGGGGAAGCCGACCGAGACCGAGGAGATTATGGATCTGCTGAGAACGGAAATGGAAATCCAAACGCAACTGGTATCCGGCCCCGGCGTGGCGAGATTCTAAGCGATGTCCCGTCCCTCCGTCGACAGCATATGACGGACGGATATAGAGAGGGGCTGTCTGTAGGCAAAGCCCGCGTGATGCAGGCCGGGTTCGACGCTGGGTATCCCTATGGCGTGGAGATTGGGTTGAGAGTTGGGAGGTTGTTAGGGGTGTTGGAGGGGATTGTGTCTGCTGCGACGAGTGCGGCTACGACTCCGACTACGACTGCGTCTATGAGTTCTAATGTAGGAGTGGACACCGGCCGCAGTCTGAGTGAGAGGAGGAAAGGAGGAAATACCATCTCCAGCAAAACATCCCATGTGTCCGATTTTGCAGGTTCTATTGGTGTCTCTGGGCCCGCTTCCGCTTCGAATGGAGCTTCTTCGACCATTGACAACAAAACGGATAACGCTTCAGTCGAGGTCCGAGGGAAAAGCGCACGAGAAAGTCGCAACGCCAATACTGCCGATGCGAATGAAGGTGTCGTTGATGTGCAGTTCGTGCGCAGACTATATGAACGTGCGAAAGACGAACTAAAGATCTCCGAGCTCTTGAAGGTCTTGGATGATGCGAAGATTGCTCAGCTTGGACTGGAAGATTCAAGCCAGCACCAAGAAGTGTCGACTCAGCTAGACGTCTATTCCAACCGAGAATCAGCAGGGATCACAAGTGGGAGGATAGAAGGGAATGAACAGCAAGAAAAAGGAAAAAGTCTAGATCTGGGCGACGAGGGACGTGGAGGCGACAAACCCAATAGTCCAGCTCCATCTCTACCGCAGGAAATTGAGACCGTGCTGGCGAAATGGGAGGAAATCGTGCTGGGAAGCTTGAGTTGAAGTCATGTCATCGGGCGGAGCAAGAATCTATGGAACTCGGACCCCCAAAAAAAGGAGGATTTCATTCTTCTGGTTCTCGAGGGACAATATCAATATCAATATCAGCCACCCCTGCGCAAAGCGGAGATACAACTCAGAGAGGATGCAGAACTCGGCTTCGGCGCTTGTGGCACTTATTTCGAGTCCCTCGGCGATTGCGGTTCGCCTGCAACTAACTATCCTGTTCTTGCAGAGTGTGGAGTGTGGAGTGTGAACATGGCAAGACACCACAGAGGCACACCCTTCGTCGTTTTCTCGGTCATCGCTTGGAACAGACCATTATCCTCGTCAAGAGCACACCGACGACGACACTGGAAGAAGAGACGCCGACGCAGACGCAACCGGGAAGACATTCTTCGACGAGAACTATGATACGGTACCCTGTCCAGCCGGTCAAGAACCGGTCTCCTAGACGGACGGACGGACGGACCGAGGCCTCATTGAGAAGACACTTTCCCAACGCCGAGAGATCAATGACCTTATTCCAAGAGTTGGACCGGGTCAAATCCTCAGCAAGGCGGCATTACCCTCCCTACTTCCTAGGTATCCACGAGAAAGACGGTCCAGTCCAGCAAGGACGGTGACAAGTCTGGTGTGCGTCAAGATAAGATCGCCCTCGCAGCCACCACCACCACCACCACCACCATGGGGATATCAATACGGCTCACCCATCCATCGCGATCGCGTTTCTATCAAGCAAGCAAGCATCAGATATCTTCCGACGATCAGAGAGGAGTGTGCGAGTGCAAAGAGATTCTCGCCCAAAAAGCCACTCCATATGTATCCTCACCCCAAAAGCCACCACATATACTTTCTTCCATTCATTCATACGCCACCTATGCCTGTCATGATATACTACTTCCCTCTCACTACCAAGCCAACTAGATAGTTGCATGACAGTCAAACCTGGGTTGCGAAGTAACTATCTTCAGTCAACGCCTCTACACGGATTAATGCACTCATGAATGATTTGTCCTTGAGGAAGAGATTCCATATTATACCTCGGAATGAAATGGAAACGGGTTTCCTATATTCTAAGAAGGACCGGTATGGGCGTATCTTCCCATTCCAATTTCGAATTGAATCAAACGCGAAATCGAATCCTCGGCTGAGCAAGCACTGCCATAGCATGCGAAACAGAGGGACAGACTGGAAGAGGCAATCTGGTGTCAAGATGCTGACGTTGAGATCACAATCGGATGGGAAATGGAAAAGCGAAAACCTCTTGAGTTTCGAGAGGATGGGAGGGGGGAGGGCGAGACATCATGAGGGCTCAACTGATGAGTTCAAAGTCGTGAGATCCATTCATGACACTAGCATGAAAGAAAGAAAGAAGCTATGAGGATGCGATTCTCAAACAGCGTGTGCTTGTCAAGTGCTGGTCTTCTTTAAACTCGTGTTCATTTCTTTGGACGATCATGTCAGATAGTATCGAAACAGGGAACGCTGGTTAATATCCTTGGTCGAACTTGAGCACTTTTGCTCCCAGCTAATGTCGTCCTGAATCATAAGATTCTCTCTTCGTATAGTAGCCCCTTTCCTTTTCGCCTTTGCCTTTGCCCGAGCAACCCATGTCGCAAAACTCATGCACAACACAACAAATCAGCAATACAGGGACATCCCCAGAACCGTGTCGAAGTTGATCTGCGAGACTGGCTCTAATCACTAGGCCCTCCTACCCAGTCCAGTACAACGCCCACCACCACAACTCCTAGACCCCAGACACCGGCGTAGCCCAGAGCGCCCGGGAGCTCGACGCCAGCGACCGTGCCCCATACCTGCACCACCGACTCTGTGACGAGCAGTGCCGTCAAGAACACCGTGCGACGGATCAACTCCTTCTGCCGTGCAGTATACCAGCCCCAGGCGTTGTAGTAGACGTGTGCTGCGAAAGATGCAGTGGCCGGATCGAAGGGAATCGCCGGTGGCGCGAGAAGGACGCTGCCAGCAGCCGTGGGTGGGGCGAAGAGGAACTCCATACACGCCACGCCGGCGGGTAAAAGGGCGAGAAGAAGCGTGGGAAGACCCGAAGGACCTCGATGCGCGGGTTCGAGCGTGCGAAGTCCCATGAAGTGCGTGATCAGCCATTCGGGCAGAAACGTCGCGAACGACGCCTCCAGCAGCACGGCAAAGATGGTGGTCGCAAGCAAAGACGTCGCGATGGCCGTGTAGGGGTCCGTCAAGATCGGGCGGTTCCGCAGGCTCGCTTTGGGCGCGGACCCAGGTTTGTGGCTCGGCGAAAGCGGACGGAAGAAATAGTATGGTAGAGCGTTTGCCAGGACTGACGAAAGTGTAGTCGCCGTCAGGGTGATGGGGCTGATTTCGTAGAAGAGGCCGAGGAGAATGCTTTGCGGTGTGAACAGCAGCAGGGAGACACTGGCGACATCGTACGCTAGAGAAACACAGGAGTCAGTCCAAAGGAATTCATCGTATCGACGCAGGAATAAGGTGAGCGAGACGCAACGTACCGTCAAATCCTCGGAACCAGTATAAACTCAGCTTCGCCAGTTTCCATCCCAGGAGGCCCACGATGACCGTGGTGTCCGGCCATCGCGACACCAAGGCCAAATCTCCCGGTGTGACGAACGACGCTCCTGTCTGGAAAGCTGCCTCGAGCAATGTACTCAGTACGATTGTCAGGGTGAACTTGCCCACCTCCTTAGCCTTTCTGGGCACAAGAGGTTGTGCGGCGTCGTCTGGTTTGGTAATCACCACGACCGGCGTCACTGGTCCCTGCGGAGAAGTGGTCGATCGCGAACGTGCCTTGCGCGTGGTCACGGGCGAGGGTGATTTGGATACAGGAGTCGCGGGAGGGAGCATGCCGCCGTTGACGCTGTCGCTGGTGCTGGAGGTGACGCTGGCGGATTTCGAGTGCCTGCTTCGCGGTGCCATTGCGTTCATTGAGACCACTGCTCGTGGAGGAGGCGGAGGAGGGAGAGGAGGGGGGCACGGTTGGTTAGTGTTCCGATTTGAGGAAGGATTGCGGTGAGTTGGAGGAAGCCGTGGAGTATGAAACTCAGTATCGACAGGCTTGACGAGGTGGAATGATCAGGAGGAAGGGAACGAGAGAATGGAGAGAGAGACTGATTTATGAAATCAGACGCGGTGCCAGTGTGGGAATGGAATATTGGAATGGGCGATTGGGAAGTGGAAGGGAATTGTCAATTGATTGATGAAATGCTGTGGCTGGCGACCGTGACCGTTCGTGGCATGGCAGACGCCTGTTTCGCGATCGTGACGTGATTGGTCCGAGTTTTTACCTATAAACGACGTCACAGACAGCAGGCACGTGATGGCGGACTATTTTCCCGACAATGCTCTTGTCTGACACCAAGCTTGGTCCCAAACGCCGAGGACGCTGTCAGAGCTCTGCCACAGCCTTATTGTCAGACACACCCATTTTCTGGCCAATAATCATGGGCCGAAAGCCTCCACTCAGAGAAGTGTTCAGGGGTGATTCAAGTGTATTTACCCTGTATTCTACCGTCAGTGCACGAGGTATAGAGCAGCCTCAGTGTCAAAAAGGGAAGAAGAGAGGTAGCAAAAGCATGATACTCCAGTATCGGAAGAGACAATCGGCATTTGGCATTGTCCTCTCAAACTATATGCCCATCCCTGGCAGGTACTGTGCATTGGAGCACTTTGTTCATGTCCATCAAGGGGGAAGAACCTCCAGTTTCAGCATGATGTTCTTCAAACTGGAAGTGAGCCTTGCCTTGTTGGATCCAAGGTCTGGCAACTTTGTCAAAACATCCTCCTCGTCATGTCAAAGGGAGCCAACAATGCAGCACGTCTCGCTCTAGAGCCATCTGCCTTTCTTTTCAAACAAAGCCCATTGATTGATTGAGAGTTCCTGAATCTCCCTCGGCCTGTACATCTCCTTTCATTCAATGACAACAATGAGTTTAGTCCATGCTTTCCTTTCTCCAGGTCAAAGGATGGCACAATGACATTGAACAGATCGGCCGTCTCTTTGTCGCGCTTCTGTTCATATGAGCTCGAAGACAGCAGCAAAGTCAGCCCAGCTCTCTGCATCTTCTTTCAATCCGCTGCACAGTCATGGCGTTCAACGGCAAACGAAACCCTTGGGAGCGAGATTCCAGTGATGCATCACCAGGTAAGCGCCGGCGCATTGACCTGGCTGGTTCCCAAGCTCTGACATATCCCACCAGCAACCCTGAGTCAAAGAACTTGAAAATCCCGTTTTACAACCAACCGAACTTGGACCTGGTAAGTATCTTCAGCTGCGTGGCGCCATTTCGAGATCGGTTGCGCGAAGCTGGCGGTCTCACAGCTCGCGAATATACTCGACTGCGTATGACTTGTCGCACAGTTGCAGAGCAATGGAGGCCGTTCCCTTATGGTTCACTGGAAGCTGACCCGAGAGACTCGTATTTTGCAGGACTGAAGCCGATCAAATGCGAAGAAGTGGGCTGTTTTCGAGACTCCAGCTCGGTCGCCATCCGTCGCTGCCACGGTAGGTACCATCCGATGGCGGGCATCTTCTCCGGCTGCAACAAGTCCATCTGCTTGCAATGCGTGTGGAAGGCCCAACAAGAACATGTCCATCGCAAAGCCAAACCCACCGAGATGCACTATTGCCGTCCATGCAGTCAGGATATTAGGCATGATAACCCTCACGGTCTCCCCCAGTGTCAGTGCGTCTTCACCATCGACGAGAGCATCAGCAATCAGGACCATTCGGAATGGCAGTGTATGGGATGCCGATCTGCCTTCTATCGTCTCCTGGAGATGAAAGCACGCCACAACCTCAAACACCTGGAAGCGGAAGGACGTGTGCTACCCCGTGACTTTCGAATCCACCAGGACAGCCCCGGCCTGGAGCGCTGGATCGCCAAACCTGGCATGAACAGAAACAATTGCCCATGTTGCGGCCGCTGGTATCGTCGAATTCTTGACAGCTATCCGAGAATAGCACAGTCGAATTGCCGCTTCCCGCCGCCTTCCATGTTGCGACGATGTATGGTGTGTCTCAATCAACGTAGGTGAGACAAGGTCGATGTGGTCAGACGTGCAAAGCTGGATTGGGTTGCAACACTCGGTAAGTATAATTCGGATGCATTAATCGTCGTCTTCGGGTGGATGATCGGGCTGGACCCTCATCTCGACGGTGCCAGTCTCACGTCCCTTCTGATCCCTCGTAGTGAATGAAAACTTTCCTCTTTGTTCCCCTTTCTGTTCGATCCACAAGTCCTTGAATGTGAGTTCCTTGGTACGGTTGAGACTCTCAATGGCCGAGATGCGATCCAACGTGGCCTCTAGGTATTCGTCGAATCCTTCCTCGGCACAAATCTCCTTGAACGCGTTCATCATGGGCACGCTGTCTGCACGCACCATGGCCCTGCTGTCAATAGTGAAGATATTGTCATGGTCGTAGCTCTGGATGAAATCAGCTCGGGTCATGACCTGGCGAGCTTTATAGAGTGGAATTTGAGGCAAGATGTGGCCTTGCTCATCGTCGTAGTTGGTGTCCAATTCCTTATCCTTTTCCACCAATGCTTTGGCTAGCACCATGGCCGCACTGGCATACTTTTGTTGATCCATCACGTCGTCATCCATGTCTTCCCCTAGAATACCACATCGGTTGAGGAACCACGTTTTCTCGGACTCGTTTATCTGATGGCACATCCTTATCATGTCGGAGCTCTTAGCCACGCGACTAAGGAAGTTCAGTCGACCTCCTACCAGGTCGTAGACTTCTTTCAGGATTTTCGGATCTCGTTCCTGATGAGGGAAGTATCTAGCTCGATATCGGTCCAAGGCGTCAATGGCACGATCCTTGGACAGGTCCATGACGGGAATGACCTCCATCCTCGTGGCATAACGTTTCAATCGCTCATAGACCCAGTAGTCGTCGGAATTGAAAATCATGGTGATGAGATTGGCCGCAGCCCATTGCTCAGCACGCTGCTGCATCAACTCGATCAAGTCGTTACCATCCTCGTCGTCGCGGATGAGATGGGCACAGTTGACGATGACAACAAGCGGCCCTTTCCGACCACTGCGCTTTGGACTCTTGTCGCGGTGAGACAGAGCAACCTTTTCCAGTTTGTTAAATGCCCGTTCGATGTCAAGCAAAGCCGTGGTGTCCCTTGGACCCCGAATGGAGAAGAGGGAGCCAATGTAGTCTTCATGGAACTCATAATTCAAGGCCTTGCCCAGTCGAATTCTGAAAATTTCTAGGTCGGCGTGGGCTTCAAACATGGACACTCCCTCGCCGTCAATCTTCTTCATAGCCTCCAGAATCATGGATGACTTGCCAGTCCCCTTCTCGCCTACCATGAGATAGTATCTTCCTCTGGATTCACCCTTGATGATGGCGTCGATCTTGGCCTGTTCAGGCCGTGCTATCCAATCCTCACTGGCCTCCTCTGCAGACTGGGTGCTGGAAGGGGCGCGGACGGTAGACCGAGGCGAAGCAAGATCCAGCATAGGATCTCCGGGGGCAAAGGCCTTTTCGATTTTGCGCAGGACAAGCGACTTGTAGTAAAGATGATAGGAGTAACCAGCCAGACCAAGCACGGCTATAGAGGCGAAAGTGGTGGCAGCCGTCTCGAAGATTTTGAACACGGTCGGCCCAGCCCTGGATTTCGAATCTTGTCCTGGCTTGGAATCTCTTGATGAGTCTTCTTCATCTTGGTCCGGTCCGGGCAATGTGTTCGTCGCACCAACTTGCGACGAGACATAACGTGTGGGTCTCCCAGCTGCCTTGACGCGACCTTTCAAGAGCGAGGGACCAATTCGCGCTCTGGCCATCATCCATCCCTGTACGGCTTTCATGACCATGCGCATGCGCATGCTTCAGCGACGCGCTGCAGACCTGGGGAGGAAACGCCGGTACCGCAAAATGTTGCTAGGGGTTGCGAACAAGGAGACAGATGGGCGGGCGGGACTAAACAGCAGCCACGACAACTCAGAAAGCGTTGAGTTCTTGAAGCTCAAGAGAGAGAAAACCAATGATGGAGGGACAGTTCAAAAGAGCGACGTATACACTTGGAAAATGAAAGAAGATGGGATGAGAGCCATCGCAAAGCTGCTGCTCTCTGCGTGGCAGTGTATATTGTGGGAGAAAGAAGAGCTTAGGCGGGCAACACGTGCCTGCGCAGCCCTATCCCCTCGGGCACCTACAAGAGCCAGATTGACCATCATCGGTGCTAATGGATGCCCAGAAGCTGAGGTTGAGCCGCCGGTGCTAGTGCTTCGTTTACCTGGAGCTTGAGCTTGGCGGCTTCTGCACGCCATTTCAACAACTTGAACTGGCTGCACAGTGCACTGCACACCTGAACACAGACATGTTGGACCTGAAGTCTGGGACACTCGGTTATATAAGACACTACCTACACACCTAGGTACTGACGGGGTATATAAGGTAGTCTTCACGGAGCACAGAGTGGATGTGCATCAGATCGCGTGACTCGTACGTAGTCAGGGGCACTGAGGCTTTCTCTCGGCCATTTCGGCGACAGCTACTACACACAACGAGGCTTTAATGGAATGATGAATGGGAGGATCGCGAGGAATTTCCGGGGGAACTCGGGTGTGGCGGCTGTTTCGACTACTACTCTGTACCTCGTAGATAAGCTGCTTGGGTTCGTTAGGTGCCTCGCGCCGCCTAAGAGGCCGACGGACGCCTATGGAGTTGCCAGCTCTAAGCGGGCTCCGGGCCCATCCACCAGCCAATGCCCGCTGTAGCTGATCATTTCCCCTGTGAAATTTTCTTGCTTGTCGCTCTAGTTTCCACTGACTCTTCCTGCCATCCGACCGGCCAATCAGCGGCAGCATATCGTGCTCCAACTGCCATGCTGCTGCTCCAACTCCAGAAAAATAATCCATCCGTTCATCTATCCATTATTGCTTCATCCTCCGAGTCTCTTTCAATATCCATACAACCCCAAACCTTGCCGTTGCTCTTCTTCTGCGTTGTACATTAATCATCCTCCATCATACTCGTTGATTCGTGTATACTAGTTCTTGGTCACTCCTTTCCGCCCGCATCTGAGGGTACCTTTTTGCTGCTTCTAATCCGGGTCTGTACCGTGTTGTATTCTCCCCAAAGGTCCTAATGGCAGAATCCAATGGTGACGTCCAGCCAAAACAAGGTCCGTCCGCTCAATCCGCGCCGGAGTGGTGTGTTCTAACGGACGGGAACAGATGTAACAGACACCCCAACGAAGGAGGAGACGTCCTCCTCCCCTGCGAACGGTGCCAATGGCCACTCATCCGAGCATGAGCACTCTCACGAGCACGACCATGAACACTCGCATAATGACGACCCGAATGCCGGAGCACTGTTCCAGGTCACCGTGAAGCTACCGCATAAGCCCTACAAGCAGTCGATAATGGTTACATTTCAAGAACAAGTTCAGGATGTGCGCCAGTCTATCGTCGAGACTCCGGATACCTTCCAGTACACCTGCTTCCATCTCGAACATAACGGTCAGCGCATCAATGACTTCGTGGAGCTCTCCGAGGTCAAGGACCTCAAGCCTGATGACGAGGTTGTTCTGGTTGAGGATCCCTATACTGAAAAGGAGGCTCGATTACATGTCGTACGAATAAGGGAGCTCATAGGGGCTACCGGCGACCGCTCGGACCTGCTCCATGGCATCAACGCCGGCCTGTCGCTCCATGATGACAAGTTCGGTTCTGGTCAAGCCCAAGCTTCAGCCCCCAAATCAGAAGAGAATCCTTTGGCTGGCTACGAGGTCGATGGCCGCTCGTCCGTCGAGGCCATCTTGCCCTCGCATCAGGAAACGCTGCCCAAGACCATCAAGTCTCTTTCGGTGTCGCAATGGAATCCTCCACCATACCACTTGCGCCAACGAGGCCATTTGCTTTATCTGCAGCTCACTACCAACGAAGGCGAGCAGCATCAGATTACCGCTACTGTGTCGGGCTTCTATGTCAACAAATCTTCCAGCAACAAGTTCGATCCCTTCCCGAGGCCGGCGCCCAAGAACTACAGCGCTCACTCCCTGCTGACCTTGATCTCTCTGGTGTCGCCTTCCTTCAACGAGGCGTTCGTGGAGCTTCAGAAAATGAATGGTCGGAAAGATCTGCTCACCACTTTTCCCTTCCAAAATGCCATCCCCGCAAACCCCTGGCTGGTGCCATCCTCGTACGCACAAGGAAATCAGCACCAGGCGGATCCCACACGGGCACAAGAAGCATATTTGATCGGTGGAGCAGACGGCGCGGAGAATCTTCGGGACTGGAACGAGGAGTTTCAAACCACCCGAGAGCTGCCCCGAGAGACTCTGCAAGACAGAGTTTTCCGTGAGCGTCTGACCTCCAAACTATTCGCCGACTACAACGATGCTGCGGCTAGGGGTGCGGTGCTCGTCGCCCGGGGTGAGGTTGCCCCCTTGAACCCTACCGAAGGCCGGGATGCGCAAATCTTCATATACAACAACATCTTCTATTCTTTTGGAGCTGATGGTGTCCAAACATTTGCCAGCGAAGGTGGTGACGAGGCCGCCCGAGTCGCCGTAGGCAAAGACGTGGCCGGCGTCAAGGCTGTCAACCAGCTCGACATCAATGGGCTGTTCACTCCTGGTACTGTGGTAGTCGATTATTTGGGAAAGCGGATCGTCGGTCAGAGTATCGTTCCGGGCATCTTCAAGCAACGGGAACCCGGCGAACACCAGATTGATTACGGTGGTGTTGAGGGTAGGGATGTTGTGACCGAGAACGAGGCGTTTGTTCCTGTTTTCGAGAAACTCTCCAAATCTTTACACGTCAAGAAGCATGCCGTATGGGACAAAGAAGGCAAGAGGCACGACTTGGAGGGTAGCGTCGAGACCAAGGGTCTGTTGGGCACAGACGGCCGCAAGTATGTTTTGGATCTCTACCGCATCACCCCTCTCGATGTGGCCTGGTCGGAGGAGGTTGAGGCTGACACTGTTGGCGAAAAATACCCACACCGGATGTCTGTGTTGAGACTTGAGCTGGTGGAGGCCTACTGGCGCATGAAGATGCAGGAATATGTTCGCGCAGAAGTGGAAAAGCGTCGCTCCAAGCAGACCAATGGTCATTCGGAAACCACCAATGGGACGGAAGAAGCCAAGACAAACGGTCATAACACCGAAGATGAGAAGAAGGTAGACAAATCAGGGGAGACTACGGAACAGTCCAAGAAAGAAGAGGCTGCGCTTGAACAGGAACGTGTGGACATCTCGAACTTCAACTTCGCCCTGAACCCGGACGTATGCAGCGGACAGGTACCGCAGACCGACGAGGAGAAGGAAGACTATGCTGCGGATGAGAAAGACGTCAGGGCGGTGTGCGATTTCTTGAGGAACAAGATCATCCCGGAGCTTATTAACGACCTCCACGATGGAGATGTGGGCTTCCCAATGGATGGTCAGTCGCTCTGTCAGCTCATGCACAAGCGGGGTATCAACATCAGATACCTGGGACGACTTGCGAAAGCAGCGGAGGAGAAAGGACCACGCCTTCAAGCGTTTTCGACGGTCGTGCAGCAAGAGATTGTCGCTCGAGCTTTTAAGCACATCATCAATGGTCACTTGCGCCATTTGCCTGCCGTCTTTGCTGGTGCTTGCATCTCTCATCTCTTCAACTGCTTACTTGGAGTGGAAGTCAACCCCAACCCCCGGCCGGAAATTGACGAGGATCTGAGGGCGCTCTATCCCGAGGGAGATTTCTCCTTCGAGAAAGTCAATCCCACGACACTACAGAAGGAAATTGAGAAGCAGATCAAGATTCGATATCGCTATGAGCTGAAAGATGATTGGCGCGCATCAATCCACGCGCTGCCTTTCCTCCGAGAGATCTGCTTGAAGCTTGGCCTGCAGCTGGTGGCTCGAGAATACACGTTCAGCAAAGACGTGCATCTGATTCTGGACTCATCCCCTACGAGAAGCGCCAGTGACGCTCACTCTACCAACGGTGCCCAGCCGGAGGAAGGCAGCAAGAAGAAGAAGAAGAAGGGCGGTGAACAGGCGCAAGCCAACGGTGCCGTTGTCAAGCCTTCGACCACTTTTACTGCGGACGACATCCTCAATATTGCCCCTCTGGTGAAAGATGCTGCTCCAAGGAGCGCTCTCGCCGAAGAAGCCTTGGAAGCCGGGAAAATCTCGCTGGCTCAAGGTCAGAAGCAGCTGGGCCAAGAGTTGGTTTTGGAATCTCTGTCGCTGCATGAGCAGATCTATGGTATTCTCCACCCGGAAGTCGCCAAGATGTATCATTCCTTGTCCACAATCTACTATCAGACCGACGAGAAGGAGGCCGCTGTGGAATTGGCCCGCAAGGCGGTGATTGTGACTGAGCGGACTTTGGGGGTGGACTCGCATGACTCCATCCTGGCCTATCTCAACCTGTCACTGTTTGAGCATCATGTCGGCAACACCAGACAGGCACTCAAGTATGTCAGGCATGCCTTGGATGTGTGGAAGATTATCTTCGGACCTAATCATCCCGATTCCATCACGACAATGAATAATGCTGCGGTCATGCTTCAGTCTCTCAAAGAGTACTCAGAGTCACGCAAATGGTTCGAGGCTTGCTACACGGTTTGTGAGGGCCTTTTCGGACGGCAGTCGGTCAACGCAGCAACCATCTTATTCCAACTGGCGCAGGCATTGGCTCTGGACGGCGATTCCAAGGGCGCTGTCAACAAGATGCGCGATGCGTACAACATCTTCCTTGCGGAACTTGGCCCAAGTGATAGAAACACGAAAGAGGCCGAAAGCTGGCTTGAACAATTGACACAAAATGCGGTGTCGCTTGCAAAGCAAGCCAAACTTCTCCAAGGCCGACGGTTTGGCATTCGTCACTTGCCTCGAATGGGTGCAGGCACAAGACTTCAACCACAAAGTGCCAGCACAGCGGCTCCCAATTCAAACACTGGGCCGTCTGCCGTGGAGCCGAATATGCGAACTGGAACTGGGAATGTCTCTATGGACTCCAGAAGCATCGACGAGCTCTTGAAGTACATTGAGGGAAATGACACAGGGAGCAGCAACCGCACGAATCAAAAGAAAAAGTCACTGAACCCGAAGGCCAGAGGGTCGCGGAAAACCGCCACCGCCTAAAGATTGAATTCGCCCGGGTATGTGAGCAGGGGCAATATCTTTGCAGCTAAGAAGACCGAGTAGGTGAGGTAACCATGGGGTGAGAGGCGCCTGCCAGAGCCATGGTACAGGCTTGTATAATCAGAAGATACAGCTTTCCGGTATGACTTCCAAGACTTCTGGTCGCCGAATTTCATTCGCAAAGTGATATGCCGGAACTGTTGTCACATGTACTATACATAAGGGAAATCGAAGACAGCCGCATCGGAGGCTCACCGGTGCATGAGGTGTTCTAAAACGTGTATTATTGGAATTTCCTCGGCACAGAAGATGGATGGAGATGAAAGTGTGGTTGAGGCCTGGGGCATTTGTTGATGCTCCGTCTCCCCTTCATCTCGAGGAACATGTCGCCGTATCGACCAAAGTGGACAGGGGACATAGAGCAAATAAGCAAGCTTCTCAACTCCGAACTACTGTAGTACCTAACTATCAACCCTGGTTGTCACGTACAGTGCCTCTTAACAGAGTACACGTGATGGGCGATGTCAGTCTGGACATCTTATCTTATCATAGATATCAGATACTGCTGGGATGACTAAGAAAGCGAGGCTGGGATTATCGAAATTTGATTGGCAAGCTCGCCTTTGCCGAGCGTTTGTCAGCGGAACCACTCCACCCTTATCTCAACCTCCTCCGCCTCGTCTCACCCTCCGCCTCCGAACGCTCCGCCTCCTCTCACCCCGGATGTAACAGGATCAGTACTAACATCAACGTTCAGCGCTTTCCACATCGTCCTGCTACCTTCTTCCAACGCAGCGGTGACCGAGTCCAGTCTGTGCAACCTTCGCCACCGGACTCAAAAGCAGTTCCGCCCGCCCCGTGCAAGTCGTGCCCCTCAATTGAAATCTTCGACTGACGCCTCCCGGATAATCGAACGCCACATGCACCCCTCTAGTGGAGTCTGAATCATCTCAACAACGATCAATAAGCAGTCTGACCCAGAGAAGAGACATCTTCAAGTGTAGGGCACAGCACAATCATACTGTTCCTCTCTCGACAAGACAACCTTCACTCTGAGCATTTCTCGCCTTCAGCTCGCCTCCCAAACGCTCAAATTAGCAGCCGGTCATCTGCTCGGTAAGCGATAATGACTGTCACTCGACGACCACTCTCACCCACCACGGCGTACACCCTAGCGCACACGGCACAATGCAAGCTCAAACTGGCCGCCAACCGACCGGACCGGAATCTGCGATTCGTTCTCGGCCACGCATTTACCCTGGACAACCTCATGCTCCGGATCGTCGAGATCGAGAATCATAGCGCGGGATCGGCGTTTCAAGAAGCCAACAAGGCCTCCAGCAAACACGCAGACGAGAATTATGACTGCACAGCTGCAGCCCATCCTCATCACGACCATCACGATAGTTCTCAAGGTCATGAGCACTACGATTGCACTCAAGTGGGACCGACGCCCGCTGAACCAGAACCTGAAGCTGAACCGGAGCCGTCATCGGGCCGTGGTCGCAGTATCAGTTTCCGAGACAACAACGCCCGCCCATCAAGTACTGCCGGAGTCGGCTCTAACAATGGACTCACTTCCAATTCTCCCGGCCGGAAACGGTCGCCTCCGCCAACCTCAATCTCCGCCGTTGACCATACGTATCTGGACGACGATGGGTCCGGGGACACCACGTCTTCCGATGACTACGATGACCCCGAGACCATTCAGTACAATTATGACTCTGGAGGCGCAGCTGCAGCTTCTGCTGCGGAGGAATCTGAAGAAGCCCAGCACCCCAAACACCGGCCTGTCCATGATCCATATTCGGATGAAGAAGACGCGGCTCTCGAGCTCGCAGACGACGAACTGGAGACGGAGGGGGATGATGGTGGCTTTGCAGATGAGGATGCGGACGAGGAGGAAGGTCTGGGCCTGCAACGCTTCGCCTCTGCAGCTGATCAGCCGCCGCGCATGATCCGGTCCACGTCGTCTTCGTCTTCGTCTGAGGAGGAAGATCCGAACGAGCCCGTCTCTCCGCCACAGTTGCCGTCAGATATCGATGTCAAGGAGCTCGTCCAGGGTGAGCAGGACGACGAGCTGACCGATCTGTATGAGTCTGTGAGACGGTGTCGGTGTCATGGTCAGAGAGATAGGGCGGGAGGTGCTGCGTCGGGGGTCTGGGATGTCCCTGTCGAGAAGACGGGCGGGAAGAGGTTTGCTGTTGTTGCTGTGGCTGCTTGATTTGGATAAATGGATAAAGGATAAGGGCAGGGAACGGGAACGGGAAACTTGTTGTTTGAGGGTCGGGGCGCATGGGCAGGCATTGGATGGGCAATGAAGGCATCAACACCAACACCAACACCAACAAGACGAAGACAAGAAAGGGACAAAACAAAACTCTGACAACTTACAAGCTTGACGATCTGTGAAGGAAAAACAAGAGAAACAATTCAGCAAGAATGAATCTTGGAAATCTTATATTCTTCTCCAGCGAACAAATTCAACAGATTGATGGACGATTTGAGCCTGAAACGACCTCTTCCATCTATCCTCTTCGTTTTCGAACTCGTGTGTCCTTTCGAACATCAGCATTCCTACTACCTACCCACCCGCCCGTATGATTCTGGACCAGGCGATGATCGTGTCAACGACAACACTCTCGACATCTTGTTGGTTGGTTTGGTGGTAGTCCTGTCGTTTCCGCTTCTCCTTTTCTTTTCCCTCTTCTTTCCGAACCTGGTTTCTTTGACTTAGGTATATGGATATATGGTTCCACTTGGATAAATGGATATATATATACCCAACCACCATCATTTCACTTCGCAATCGACCATAGGATCGAGAAAGCAGTGCTTCCCGTTCGCTCAGCGGTACTTAAGCTCGATACCGGCTAGTTAGTACTGAAGTGGGTGACCATTTGGGAATCCTAGCTGTTGATTGTTTTTTTGCATTTGTTACAAGTATGTTTGAGGTTGTTTGAGGTTGGATGATTTGTGTGGTGGTGGACAATGGTGGAGCGGGATATAACTTAATAGTACGGGGAAATCCATTTTTGATATTGGAGGTTTCCACTTTTGGGGGCCGGGAAGGCTGTGCCAATTCAATCTGCCAATCAGTGGAGAATGGGCTATTTAGTGTATGTATATTATAGTATCTACCGTCCATGGCTGAAGCTGGTTCGTCTGTACGCTCTACGCTGGATATTGACGTCCATAGAGGGGTGTGCGATTCCTCGAATATGATGGCTTTTACAGAGTACAAGAGAGATATAAAGTCAGGGTTCCTTCAATCATTGCATGTTTTGTTTGGATGGAGCAGTGTAGTGAAACAGACGCGCTACCTAGGTAGTGAACGGAAGTACTTTCAGATGGAGGATGGGGATTGAAGGGCGGGATCTTACTCTACAATGCTTGATGAAATGTATTAAGCTTTCAATGGCTACCTAAGGCAAGTTTCTGTATGTCTGTCTGTCTGTCTTGCCTGATATCACGCGACGGCTTTCCAATCGCAATCCGGCCAAAATATCTCGGGGGGCCAGACTCCAAATTCGCGTTTGCTGCAGTATGCTCCAAGTACCTCAAACACCTCTATATTGGGATCAGCCGCTTTGACTGGAGGAGAGACACTTCTTGATGCAGCAAACTCCACCCGTACTTCGCCGTTCCTGACTGCTGGCGTATGATCTGTGTCGAATACTGAAACTCGAACGGGCCTGCTGTTCTGTGCTTTTCAGCTCAGACCAGCCCTGCTCTCGACTCCACCCAAGTCCTGGCGGTATCGAGGACTGCAAGCAAATCGTACTACAAAACCAGAGTGACATAGCACGGGAGCTCATCATGGGGCTGTCACCGCGAAAATCCCACCCCGAATGCGATTGTCTCGGTTGTTCTCGACTTGGACCATGGACTCGAGGGCAGATGATTGGCTCGAATGGTGCGATCGCCGCGGGAAGACCTATCGTTGCCTGTGAACGGGCGAGAAGCGCTCCATGAGAAGGGGTCGCATATGGCCTATCTGCTCATTCTCATGCACAGAGTGTGTCGGCTCTGTACCACACCCTGCGTTAACTGAACCAGCGCAGATTGAGATGTGGTCTGGATCTCCATGTGTAGCTCGGCCCGATGACCTCTGCCGCTCAAGGAGTCTTGTTCTTCTTCCTCTTATTGTTGTGGGCCGGGGTTTTCTTCCCCTGGCTCGGTGTCGAAGAAGAAACCGTGTCACTGATTCTGACGGATTTTTTGCTTTTCGGTTTGGCCTTCTTTGGCTCTCCCATGCCAACACCCAGAAGAAAACAAATCCTCGTGAAAGCTCCACAGTAGACGAACAGATAATTGCCGTATGCCATCTCGTTCCAGTTGGCCACATCATAGTACGATTTGAGTCCCAGTGGGAAGCAGCTGTATAGATGACCAAAATCGGCAATCAGAAGACCGAGAAGTAGAGTGCGCCAGACTCGCAAGTCGCTTGTCGCCCTCAACACGAGAGCTTCGTTGATGGCGAACGCGACATATAGATTACCCAGCTGTCGCAAGACAATGTTCGTCGCGGTCGGAAGGCCCAGGATCCCCGGCGCAGAGGCGGCGTGTGTCAGCTGGAGATACGTTTCCGGTTTGAGCCATGCGTAGTAGGCACCGACTAATGTCGAGATCGGTTCGATCCAGAGGAAGAACGCGATGTAGGGGAGAGGAATTGGTGCCATGGCTGAATGGTGTGAGGGTCAAACAGATCAGGTTTTGGTCTGTCGCTGAGGATCTCAAAGTCTGAAAGAGTCGCGTTGGGCGATGCAGGTACCGGCACAGTGTATGCGTGTGCTGGCTGAACGGTTGGAATGGATGGATGAATGAGCGTTTGTCTTATCGTGAAGCTGCTTGCGCAAGTCGCTTGCCCAGGAACCGCAAGTGAAGTTCAGTTGATAGCTGGCGGGCAAGCAGCTGCGGACTGGTGCCAGGATAACGGTAAGTCCGATAGCCGCACGAATCAGACTCTCCACCTGCAATAGCTGCGACCACGGGCATCTGCTATCTACAGTCGCTTTATAGGAGGTCCTGGGTAGACATCTTGGGCACCGTCGGTTAGCAAGATGGACTGATCACTCCAACCGTTGATATAGGCATCGAACATCAGTGATCACCGCTACTAGTCATGGCCGAGTGCTGGGATCCTGGTTTAACCCCAACTTGAACGTCATGCTGCAGCTCAGGCAGTGCAGGGTCATGAAACGCCGAATCGATGGCCGCGTGAACGAGGATCAAGCCCCCTGGTCCTGCATTTGCGGGTCATGTTTGGAGTTTCGGGGGGCAACGGGCCTTCGCCTGAAGGGGGATTGGCTTCCTGATCTCCAGGCGAGATCCAGGCGGTTGGGGGGTGTCATCGGCCTGGCCGCCTCCCTAGCCGTTCCTCTTAGGGCAACGCCATTGCCGCAACTTCACCGCTGTCAGTGGTGCGGCCAGCCTGGCACCCTCCAAGCCTCTTCTCCAACGAGAGCCTGGCATTCAAGTTCAACAATGCCCCGTGCGCCATTCATTTATTGACTAATTCCACTTTGCAAAAAAACAACTCCGGACTTTTTCTCTGCGGACGGTGCGGTGTCCCTTAATCCACAACAAAACCCCAGAACCTCGCCTCTGCTGTGTTTCTCTACTACCTCCTCGCTGTGTGGGTTGCGCTAATCCTGTATTTGTGTTGTCGCTGCCGCCGCGCTGCTCGCCTGCAGTGGTTGTATTGCTGTGTTGGAAAAAGAGTCTACTCTGCCTGCGCCGACCACTAATCTATTCCCTCTACTACCCTTCCAGTCGTTCCTCCTTCAACGGCAGCCGGTACTGCTCTGAGTCGGACTGACTACATCGAGGGCCATCTTATCTGAGAGGCGTACCTGCTGTGCTTCCTGGATACTCCTGTTGGACTCGACCCTTCCACTCGACCCTGACCATGTCGTACAACCAACCTTCCTCTTCATCGATAGCCCCCAGACGCAGGACGTCGCTCCTTATCCACAGTCGCCCAAAGACTGCATACGATATTGTGCCGGAAAATGATGGTGTTCACGCGAGGCCGGCGTCTCGGAGATCTTTGATGTTTCCGAGCGCGCACAATGCTTTGGACTGGGGCTCTTTCAATCGCAATCAAGAAGAGACGGGGGCAGACAATAGCAAACCCGAGTTTGTCGACCCGTTTGCAAACTTCTCCACAGACTCTCAGACTCGACACGCCCTACATGAGCGTCGGTACTCCGCTTTCACACAGACCCTCAAGCACGGCATGTCAGAGTTACGATCTCTGACCCGTCGAATGTCGCTCACTGTGAAAGGGAAGCCGCCCAGACAAAAGGAGGACTGGATTCCACCAAAACAGGCTCACTTGCTGTCCTCCAAATCCGGCGAACACATGATGGATCTGAACGAGGCTATATCCACTGGGCCAGCTTCTCATGGAGAACAATTACAAGGTCCGAGCAAGGGTAGGAGGCCCTCTCTCCCCTTGCTCAACTTCCGGAGCGGTGTTGCCGAGCCGAATCAAGATAGCCCCGAACCCCTTGCTCCTCGGAGCAGAGGACAGCCCTTCTTGTCCGATCTGGTCTATGGGGGAGCCGGAGCTAGGGCTTCCGCAGCTGCTCAGAACGAATTGTACCATGCCTCTAGAACCCCACCGCTACCCCCGTATCAGCCGCCGGAAGGAGACCTTGCCAACAAAGACGAAGGCGATGCGGAGAGTGGTATTGGTATTGTGCTTGACGCCACCCAGGATCGTCGTGGGTCGTCTTCAACCACTGCGCACGTGCTCTGTAGGGATCCCGCATCGGTTCTTGCAACAGAGTTGGTGGAAAACATTTTCTCATTTCTGGACGTCGAGTCTTTGATCCAGTCAGCAACGGTGTCTCGCAGATGGCATCAGTTGTGTCAGTCCCAGGCGGTTTGGAAAAAGATCTTCTACCAGGAATATGGGCCCAAGGCTCCATCTTCTTCTGGCGGGCTGCCTCTTGCTGCTGGTCTGGGCAAGAGGTTGCCTGGTCAAGACTTCCGGAAGCTTTTCAAGGTGCGCACGTTGATTGACAAACGTTGGCGCAACGGCGAAGCGGCCGCAATCTACTTGAATGGCCACAAGGACAGCGTCTATTGTGCCCAGTTCGACGAACATAAGATCATCACCGGCTCGAGAGATAACACGATTCGAATTTGGGACGCTCACACTTATCAATGCATCCGCAAGCTCGGACCGCCGAATAACCCGAGGGAGAGACAGACCCTGGTGTCGGCCGCGGTGGAGCCCAAGGGCGCGGTGCCTTTCTTCAAGGCCGATGTCTCGTCTCCGGACCCGGTCTCTCGAGAAATCGAGCTCTGGCATCAAGCTTCCGTCCTCTGTTTGCAGTACGATGAGGAGATCTTGGTGACAGGCTCGTCGGATTTCACCTGCCTCGTTTGGTCCATCAAGGAGGATTACCGACCCCTTTTCCGCCTCATTGGCCATCATGCGGGGGTGCTCGACGTCTGCATTGACAACCGTCGAATCATCACATGCTCCAAGGATACGACGATCAAGATCTGGGATCGAGCAACAGGCAAGTTGATGAACACCCTGACGGGACACCGTGGCCCTGTAAATGCAGTCCAGGTCCGAGGGAACTTGTTGGCCAGCGCTAGCGGCGATGGCATGTCGAAGCTGTGGCGGCTGGAAGACGGTGTCTGCATTAAGGAATTTCAGTCCAAAGACCGTGGGCTTGCGTGTGTCGAGTTTTCGGAGAACGGGCGGACCATTTTCGCCGGAGGAAACGACCAGGTCATCTACGAATACGACACCGTTACCGGCAATCGCATCCGTGAGCTCAAAGGTCATCGAGATCTCGTGCGATCCCTTCACCTCGACTCGGCCAACTCGCGCATCATCAGTGGCAGCTACGATCATTCCATCAAGGTGTGGGATGCGGAAAAAGGAGAGTCTGAAGAAGACGGGGGCCTCCAGATCAACTTTGAAGGGTGGACATCGAGTTGGATATTGGCGGCGAAGAGTAATTATCGCAAGATTGTTTGTACCAGTCAAGACGGACGGGTGGTCATCATTGACTTTGGCTATGGCATTGAGGGGGTCGACTTGGTCGAGGCTTGAGTTGGTTTGTGCCCCAGGGGCGTGGAATATTTTTACAACAGGGGAGATGGTGCGAGACAGTTCGCATTCGGTTCGGTTCAATATGATTCTCATGATTTGGGGAGGTGGATGAAAAGCCAAGGTCATTGCAGGGTTTGTCTCTGAAAACGGTTATGCTTTTCATGAATGCAAGGTGTTGGTGGAGCGTTTGATCCCAAGCGGCACGCAACAGACATGCCTCAGGCTTTTTGTCTTCTCTGAAATCAACATTGGACGTTTACAGCATGCAGGTTGGGGAATTGCATTTTATTGTCGTCTTTAATTCGGAAGGGTTCACTTCATGATTGTACTAGTGACGACTCGAAAACGCGAGAGTCAGGGCTGGTAGGAGACTCGAGAGTTGGACGTTCAAAGCATTCATACGGGTCGCCAGCTAGCTACCTAGGTAATGCAGGGTGACGGGACGGAAGTGATGTCTCAAGTTGTCACAGGAAAGCAGACATAATGTTACCATCGACCAGCAGTCTGACACGGGTGAAGAGTACGAAATGAGAGCAGAGGAGTAGTCAATGCAAACAGAGTGATGGCGCAGATTTAGTCATTGACTCGAGGTCGTTGTTGGTACCGAGTTCTTAGTATCAAAGGTTCTTTTCTGCAATAAAGGAATAGAGGACACTGGTACTACCCGTAGGTCCATATTCCTAAGGTAACCTACCTAATGTACAGTACCTTACCAACACGTAAGATAGCACCCCAGCGAGGCCAGCTCTCAACCACGGTCTAGTACCTTTGGTATCATTATCTGATTATTTACAATACTAACGCGTGACGAAAGACGTCATCATGTTTACCTTCAAGTTCGGCTATTGACGCCGTTGGCTGCATCCAATCGGTAGACCGCGTTAAGCGAGGGAGCGTGCGTATCGATTGTTGATTTTTTCTTTTGGGACCGCGAGCTGGACTCGCGGGAAGAGAAGAGATCTATCTCACCGGCATGGCACAGACGTTGAGGTTTGATATCAGGTACGTACTGCCTCCCAAGCAGCATGGTTTAGGTAAGGTAGATTGAAGAAGATGGTAGCAAGATAGTAGTAGTGGTTGAGTGCCGTTATTTATTTACCATTCCAGGAATGGGCCGGACAGTTGGCTTCACCTTCTAGGATACTAGGTAGTAGCACGTAGTTATGTTGTAGCGTGGGTGTGCCACTCACTGGCCGAGTACCCGGGTTTTAATCCAAGTAAGGGTAGCTCAGTGAATAAAAGGGCACCGCTAACGTACCTGTTGATCTTTACAGTTGGTGGCTGGTAGAAGTCGTAGAGACAACAATAATATTACCTGCCGAGGAACCTTATAAACGATATTTGGGAGGAACCTACATGTATCTTAGATAAGTGCGGACAAGAGGCATCTACTTGGGTGCCTAAGGTAGGTCCCTAACCTTACCTCAAGTACCTGGCAGTTAAGCAATACCTAGGTAAAGCAATGGTACTGCCCGTTACCTATCCACTGTTAGCAGCACCCCCCTACCTACCTAACTATTGACCAAGCTAGTAGTACACGAATCTAGTATATTATAAACCCGGCCAGTGGCGGGACGCTGGGGGGCACAGGTCAACGCGCGTGGGCTTCTGCATCCATTAATTACGCGAAGGGTGATAGATTGACCAGATTGACTGACTGACACTCATACAATTCGGTCATTCCTTTATTCGGTCATTCATTCATTCATTCATCCACCCGCCTCTTCCATCGCCCCCATCGCCCCCCCAAACTGAATGGCTTACTAGGCACAAACGAGTCACTGCACGACGCCCGCAGCCACTCGACTCAAACTTGTGTCTCCTCCACTGCACCAACTGCACCAACTGCGCTCCACTTCCGAATCTTCCTTACATCGAAGCGAATAACGTACACACACTTCCTCTCTCAGAGTTTGCAAACCCAGACATTCCAGAGTAATCCGCCAGTTTACCCTTCAAACACCCCGTTGATCGACTGCAGTGGAGGGCCCTTTTCCATGCTGCGTCCTCGCCTCGTATCCTTGTCCGACCCTCCTTTCCACCCGTCTACTTCTCCAAAATTTCCTATCGCGAAAACCCTGCGTCAGAACCAAAACATTGACGTCGCAAGTCACCAATAGTCCACCTGGCGTGTGCGCACGCTCGTTTGACCACACAACTGGTCTTTCCACCTGCGACACTCCTTTTCACCATCATCTAGACATCAACCTGCGTAGACGTTGTTGTCAAGTGTTGGACGAAACCACGCCCAACATGCCGCCGTCGAAGCGTAAAGCACGTCGCAAGCCTGCCGACGCCCTCCAGTCCTCTGAGCTGGACCTGCCCGATTCTTCTCCGACACGTCCGACTGCGAAGAAGCGCAAGGTTTGTCACCTTCTCGAACGCTTCCATTCAAGCCACAATCGTACTGATTTGCGGAACTTCTAGGTGAATGGTGCCCGCGGCCCAGCCAAGCGGCAGTCACTGTCGCCCGACCCCGAACTTCCCATTGCCCAGGATTCCGGCGACGAAACGGAAGATATCTCCCCAAGCGATCTCATCGATTCCGTCGTGTCCTTCCTTCAAGTCTCCAGAGAAGCCGTTGTCGCAAGGTCCCAATATGCCAATGACAAGGCGCACAACAACAGCCCGCAAAAGGTGTCCGCGTACGCAAAGATTGCCGGTCGAGATTGGACTTATTTTGTGCAAGACCAGGCTGTCAACATTGGACGACCGCCTGATGAGCGCCCGACCATGAACGGCGCCTCAAGCCCTGTCGCAGATCTGAAAGATGTATTTCCGGTTCATATCGACCTGGGACCGAGCAAGATCGTTTCGCGCCATCATGCGTCGATCTACTACGATGCCGACTTTCCAGTCGATGAAGGCGGCTGGCACCTCCGAGTCAATGGCAGAAACGGGGTTCGGGTCAACAACGTCTTGGTCAAGAAAGGGTTGCGCAGGCAATTGAGGTCGGGAGACATCCTTGAAATTGCTGGGACGCAAATGATGTTTGTGACACCTGGTGATAAGGTCCAAATCGATCCATATTTTATCGACCGCGCCAAAGCCCTTGCCGCGGGCGAAGAACTTGCACCTTCCGCCGCGCTCCCCGAACCTACGAAGCAGGAACCTTCATACGGAACCATGCAGCATTTCCCGTCACTCGCACCAGCCCCTCCAGATATGAAGCGTGAGACAACGCCGCCTCCTCAGTCGGACGGGGGAAAGAATCAGCGGAGCGTTTTCGACAGTAAACTGCCCATGTCGCCCATGTACGGCAGGGGAATGATGCTGGAAAGCACTCAGGAGATTGATTACAGTCGAGACAGCGCCAAGGATCTCAAACCTCCGTTCAGCTATGCGACCATGATCGCGCAAGCCATCTTTTCCAGTGAGGAGGAGAAGTTGACCTTGAGCAACATCTATTCCTTCATTGCCGACAAATATGCCTTCTACCGTCATTCCAACAGCGGCTGGCAGGTGAGAAGATTCCTTTTCATTCTCTGTGCCTTCATTACTGACATTGCCAGAACTCCATTCGTCACAATTTGTCTCTGAACAAGGCGTTTCAAAAAGTGCCTCGACGTACAGATGAGCCTGGCAAAGGCATGAAATGGCAAATTGCTCCAGAATTCCGTCAAGATTACTGGAAGAAACTGTTCCGTCGCGGTAACGGCTCTGCGCCGTCCTCGCCGGCATCCGCCAAAGATGTCAATCCCAACTTCCGAGGGCCAAACGGGCAGAATCTTGGCTACGACACGTCCATGGTCAGTCAGTTTTCGGCCCGGGATTCGCACGAACGCCCCGGCGGACAGCCTCCTGGGAAGGCCGCCATTGGTCAGTTTCCGCCGTTCAATCCGGGACAACACTTCCAGCCAGGCCCCAATCTGGCTCCGCCACTTCCACGACCGCAAGAGGCCATCACACCCCAAAGACGTAGAGCCAACACGCAGAATACGCTCACTGACATGGAGTTGGAAGATTCACCGCTCCCGCCTGGCCATCCTCGACCGACGCCCCGTCTGGGAAATGGCTTGCCAGTGTACAGTCTACCCCCCGCAGTTCCGCCCACTCATCACTCTCCGGCCAACCCTACTCTGTCATCATCGTATCTGGACACCCCCTTCCACCATTCTCAGCATAGCATCATCACTCCGGCACCGTTGCGGCAAAACCCCAGGCTCGCCCCTCCCAGCACCTTGGTGGCTCCCAGTAAATTCATGCCGGAGTCATCTCCTGCTGGCCCAGGTCTGTTCTGGAAGGGTTTAATGGGCGTTACGCCAGGACACCCTCCGCCGGACATGTCACCGGTCAAGGACGATGACCCCCGATCTAATGGCATCGATCGACATGTCATGAGTTCCAGCCCGCCACCCATGGATAGTGGCATGGGGAGTCCCAGCAAGCCTGCTAGAGGCAGCCAGGCTCCGCTCACTTCGAGTTCCAGTGCTAAGAAGGAGTCCACGCCGGGCACAGCACACCGAGAACATGATGCGTTGATGGAGAATCACGACAGAATGGGCGGAAATGCAGCCAGCAGCGGGGCGAATGCTACCTCGACGGGGGCGAGACAGATTTCGCAAACTTCCAGCCTCAATCCACAGTCTTCAAGTCACAGTACCGGCATGGTGCCGAATAACGAAGGTGGTGACGAAGAAGGGGACGGCGAATTTGACCTGGCGAAAGGGTTCGCTCCGATTGCTGGGGGTGGTTTCAATTCGCAGAGGAGCAGTAGTATTGGTGTTGCCAGAGCAGGTTCGTGATCAGGGCAGTAAGGGACTGCCCCTGTGGCCGACAGATCAACCATCAGCTGGTTCTTCGGGACTTGCCCAGAGTGCCGGAGCTGTGCAGCATTGACTCTGCACCATCTAAGGACCAAGTGTTCAAGGCATGGTTGTGTGGAACAGGGGAGCATCGGATACGCGTACATACCTAATCTCTGGGCTTTTCAGCATTTATGGAGGGGTTTGTACACATATGGGGATTTGGCAGCATTGCCTGGACTTGGATCCAAATGTGTTTATGAGCGTGAAGCATCGAAAAACGACATGCATGAATTTGAATGATAGCTAGTTCTCCATTTTCTGCCTCACGGAGCTGGCCAGATAGCGGTTGCATCTGAGGCCAGAGTTTGCTGGAGCAAACATATGAGGCCAACACGTTTATATCACCCAATTCATCAATCAGTTCGCTTCATCTTTACGATTCTAGAGGTTTGTGTTGGTTGAGGTTCACGAGTGTAGCTTGAGTGACCGCCTCCTCTATATAACTTAATCACATTTCCGCGCTGGTGACAGGAGTTGTTCACCTTTTGGTGAAAGTGGGAGCAGACAACTTGAACCTCACTTTCAGATACTAGTATCTCTCGCACTCTTCCTGTTTAGATTTCACTCAATCACTTGCTCACAACTTATGATTCAACCCATATAAATCGCTTGATCCTCTCTCCACCTCTCCCATGTCAGGTTGGCCTGTCAATAACAGTCAATCTAACAAACCGACCAACACTCTACAACCACAATGTTCCGTCGACTACCCCATACGCTACCCGCGGATCCAGTGTTTCCCGCCGACCTCGAAAGCCTCGGCTTCTTCGTCAACGAGCAGGACCAGATCCGACTGATCAAGAATCCGGCGCAGAAATACCAGTACCAGATCAACAAGAACGACCGGGTCAATCAGGTGTGGAAGCAAGCGAACAACGGTTAGTTTTGGGTTCTTCCTTTTTTTTTTGTATCGTCTTTTTTTTTGTGACTTATGACTCCCTTCTCTTCTCTCTTCTCTCCTCACAATTTTCTAACAAGCCTAAAATAGATGCTGTCTACGAAATCGTCCAAGATCGCCTATCAAACCTCGGTCTCGAGCGCGTCAGACTGCCCCTCGGCGCCACCGAGACCGACAACCACGTCCCGATCCTCGTGTCCAAGGACCTCGCGACCAAAGACCGCGTGATTGTCTTCTTCGGCGAACGCCATGTCGAGCCTGGGATCCTGTCCTGGCGCGTCATCGGCGACGAGGGCATCAAAGTCGGCTCACTCCAGGAATTCGTGTCTGCGGCCCTGTTCACGCCGACGCCGACGTCTCAGGGCACGGCGCCGGGCATCGTCATTGCAAATCCGTGTCAGCTGCTCTGGTATCGGGGCGGTGGGCGGGCCATGTCTGTGAATGCGTGGCAGAGCTTGCCTCGGGCGTCGGCGGTCCATGAGCCGTTCCGGGTCGACGAGGCCAAGAACAAGATTGCGGCAAATGGTGATTATAGAGAACATGTCGCTTATGTTCTTGAGCAAGTCCTGCCTCGGTTGACTAAGAAGGGGGCGAAGCTGGATATTGTTGGGATTGAATATCCTGGGTCTGAGGTCGTTGAGTATTTCGCTTTACATTGTATGGTGTTCCTTGTCTTTTCTGTGTTTCTCTCTCTCTCTCTCTCTCTCTCTCTCCCTTCTGTATTAGGGATATTGGTGTTATTGGTGATATCACTGCATCCCTCTCTCTCTCTCTCTCTCTCTCTCTCTCTCCCCTTCTCTCTCTCCCCTTCTCTCTCTCCCCTTCTCACTCTCTCTCCCCTTCCATCTGTTAGGAACATGACGATTAGTTGCCTACATCTCACTGACTTCTTGGCTGTAGGGAATCCTACCTGGTCGTCTCGCGTTACTGGGATCTCGCTCATCGAGCCACAGCACAAAGTGCAGGAGCTGCTTGACGGCGGATTCGACGACGACTCTCCAGAGTTCATCAAGTTCTTGTCTCGCCGGTGTCGGGCTTACTTTGTCAGTTCGGCGGCCATTGAGACTCCCATCGCGGGCCGCGAGCTGTACGGGTGCAATTGCTACTCTAGTGGCGAGGACTCGTACCAGGAGAACGCGATGGTTCGGTGCTGGAGGAGCGTGCTGGACTGGTTCAATGTCTTGTATGCGAATCCTGACCATGAGGAGATTGAGTTCGTGACTGTCGATGGCTCAGGACAGGCGGACGAGGTCAAGCTTGGGTGGTAGCGTTCGGGAAGGGTGAATGGTTCATCTCGGAGTCAAATACCATTTAGGGACGTTTAGTCGATGCTGGGATGATCAGCTTTCATCAAGGCAGGGTGTTCAGGACCAAGGGTTTTCTCGTGCTGGGACAAAAGCGAATGGTGCATTTGGCTGGCGCATGTTGCAGGTTGAACGGGAAGAAGATTTATGGCTGAGCGCTCAATACAAAGTGGCATTATGATTATAATACCAAAAGACGTCGACTGAAAATGGCTCGTCACTTGAGAAAAGGTTCATCTCGTCCGAATAGGACGTCTTCCAGCCTGCGAGAGATTCTGGCTGCGAGCAATAGACAAACTCGGCGCTGATGAGCCTCGGAGCACAGATAGATTCCTCAAATACATTTACACGCAGCTACCCAAAAAGGACTTGGGAATGAATGGGCTGTAGTCGCTGAATCTTGGGTATCTTCTGATGTCCTCGCCATCCTCATCATGCCGACTGGCCACTCAGTAGTAGAAAGGCCCCCTCGACTTCAAACAGCAGCATCACGCATCAATCTCACATGGCTTTTGAATCTGCGCTGAGTTCCTGCCTGTGTTTTTCTTTGCAAAGCAGTGAAGACGCGATCTCATACGTCCACACCTCTCTCCCTTCCAACTATCCCTCTCACTCTCACTCTCACTCTCACCTTGTCACTCATCGCCAGCCGACCGCTGTGTTATCCAACGCTCACTCCACCACGGACAGTGTCCTCTGCCCAGTGTTCTCCGCACAAGATGGTCAAGTTGCGCGGCATCGAGATCTGCATTATCTCCCAGTTCGACATTTGCAGAATCCCCGAGTTCCGCTACCCGAGACCTTACCAGGCACCAGCAGACCCTTTCCAAGTACGTGACACGGACAGTGCGAGAGAAGAAACAAAGACAACCGCATCGGCCTTTTCATACCCAACCGCATCTTGCTATGTTCCCGTCTACCCCGGTAGTCAGATCTGGTTCGAATATACCGTCGACGGACCTCATCCTCCAGGAGCGGCGTACTTTTTCAAGCTGTACTTGAACAACAAAGTAGTCACGGCTTGGGATTGTACAGCAAAACACGGGTTCCATGGCAAGATGATGTATAACCTGGTCGTGGATGGTGATGGTGGTGATCCAGCAGCTGGCGAGCTTGGGGTGAGGAGACTGGCCCTGAGGTTCGGAGATGGGGTGGTTGGACAGGCCGGTCACGATGTTTCAAAAACAGGAAAGGGAGTGGACAGGCATACGAGAGATGGATGGCAGGAAGATGTGATCCAGATCAATGTCCATAGGATCGAACACAGGAGGAGAGTTCGGGACTTACAGCCTGGATTGGGATTCGTGGATGTCAATGGCAACCAAGGCGATGGACTGCGGTCAGTGTTTGTTCATTCATCTCTCACTTCCATTTGTTCATTCATCTCTCACTTCCATTTGTTCATTCATCTCTCACTTCCATTTGTTCATTCATCTCTCACTTTCCATTTCGGTCGCCCCTTTGGCTGCCCTTCGATCTCTTTCAAAATCTCAACCTCGCTGGTTTCTTGTTCTTGGGAAGGCTAACTCACTCTCACAGTCTCACCGATAGTGGCCTTCTTGAACCAGGCTTCCGTCCCAAGCGCTACCAATACCAACTTCTTGATCCACTCGACATGCCTTACGCAGCGTTCCGATTCTATTGCCGTCCCTTTGGTAAGCGACTGCCGACTGAGGGCGCAGAAGAAAACTCACATTTCTCAGAATATCTCGAAACCCGTGGCATCACCCGCCTGCGCGACTGGACCTCTCCCCGCAGCTCAATGTCTTCAGGAAGCACTGCTTCGCAAGTGTCAGATGAAGACTCACAACACAATACTGGACAGGACACTCACCAGCGGATTGACTCTTCAGGATCTCCATTGACAAGCTCTCAACCTCACCCAGCTTCCTCTCATTCGCATGGCATGGTCAGCACGGACCTTACCCGGGGAAACAACCATCCTCTTATCAGGGTGGTTAACGGATCCGTGTCAATCCCCCTAAGTGACTCGGACGACTCGCTAAGTGTCAGAACCAAAGACAGCATTGAAGAGTTGCCTTCCTTGGTCACTCGATCGCCCAAATCCCCCCGCTCACCAGGGAAGCGATTACTAGAGACCCGCCTCAAGACCGAAGCGGGGATACCGCCCTCGCCAACCAGATCTCCAATGTTTGCTCGCCACCATCTGAAGAAGAAACTCACAGTCAATATCAGTGGAGCGGAGTTTGACGTGGAGAGGAAGAAGCGGCCATTGAGTCCCTTCACAAGCAGCGGACTGCTTCGGAAAGCTTGTATCCTGCCTCAAACGGCTCCAGCTGCAGTTACCGAGTTTGGGCCTACAGTGGAGGATGAAGTAAGAGAAGAGATGAACAAGACCAGAAGTGATGTGGAAGCCAAAGAGGTCTCCAGGACCACCAGAGCAGAACGTGGGGGCAGCAAGTTGATGGGGTTCCTCGGCAGGAGAATCAATAGGGAGAAATGAGGATAGCGCTTGATATCAAAAGGCATGGTCTTGTTGAAAGGACCCTGCGCATCTTCTCAGTCTTCGAAAGACCATGTCGAGGCTTGCGGGTCAACCGGAGCAGAGTATCAGGTCGAGCAAACCATGGACGGGTCTCAAGTCGCGGATCATGACGATGTTTCGGTCAATGAGAGTGTATGCTGGCAAGCAGTACCTCAGAGCATGTCGTTGGTGAACACGGGACTGGTAAGTGCTGGTCAACGAATGAGTGCTCTGTTCAAGCATCTCCAGGGCGTCTCATCGATCAATGCGAGAATCCATTGCTCCATCAAAGCCGGGCAGAGTGCCTGCTACAGACGTTGGTCTAAGTAGAACAATATGTGATCCGGAGGTCAAAACTAGTAGACAAGCTAAAATGGCCGGGTTGTCATACAACTTTTGGGAATGAGAGCTACTCGGCAATGCACAAACATGTTGATTGACTGCGGATGTTCTTGAGACATCACGGAATCCTGAATGTGAAGCTGTTGATTGTCGCCCCTTTAACACAACGGGCCTTATATGGATGATCGCAAATGGAAGCTTTCCCGAGTCACCACCATTCCATTCCAGCCTTGCGATCCAACGGACCGCATTCTCAACCGTCTCAACTACAGTGTCCAACTCAGTAGTAGTTGCTACTAAGGACACTCCTCATGTCTTGGGTCCATATACAAATGCCATAACAATGTCGTCGTACCGCTCTCGTGGCGGAGCAAACCCTCAACCACCACAGTCCTACCGCTCATACCCTCCTCACCCCCAGCGAGACGACTTCGACTTCTACGATGACCGCCCGAAGTCGAGATCTCCCGACCGCACTCATTCCAGACAGAGTCCTGCACCACATGGTAAACTTATAGCATCAGAACTGGGGTGATATCTTTTTCGGAATGTTTACAATACTGATGGGTCCTTTTCTTGCAAAGAAGACACAACATCCAAGCCGATGACCGTTGAGGCGCAAGAAGGGTTTCGCATTCGCGGCAGAAGCGCACGCAGTCCGGATCGCCCCCTCCGATATGAACAACAGCAACAGCAAACGCAACGAGAGCATAACCATGGCAACGGCAGCCGGGGGGTGTCTCGCGAATACCGTGACGGCGAAGACGGTGATCGTGATCGGGGGACATCCGGCTACGGCTACGAAGGCCCCAGTTCACAGTCACCGCGGCGGCAGCGGTCGTATCACGACCGAGATGATCCTTGTTCGCCATCGCCTCGTCGGGCAAGATCGTATCATGACAGAAACGACTCTCGCTCACCCTCACCCTCACCTCGATCAATAAGACCATATCATGACCGAGATGATCCTCGCTCCTCTACCAACCCCGACAGTCGCAGTCGAAGCGGTGGACGCGCCCGCACGCCACCCGATGAGAGACCTCCGAGTCGAGGAAGACCGAGCAAGGAGATCATGCTGGAGGGATTGGCACCATACCTGACTGAGAATGATGTTCGATCAACCCCATCTACCTACCTACCTACCTACCACAACTGTCTTGTACCACATAAGCAATACCTCTCTTGTTTCAGTCTCCTCATTCTGGTCGATTCGCTCCTGTGTCATGGACAGTTTTGGCTAAGATATGGAATTTGTCGGACAGATTTCACTCGAATTGCAACGATACTATCATGCAGAAGGCTTGGATGATGTCCGCGTCATTCGTGATCGACAAACCAGTAAGTGGGCATGGTAGATCCTTGTTTTGAAGTTCTTGCGTTTGACCGACAATCACGCAGAGCAATCAAGAGGATTCGGCTTCCTCCGCTTCTCGAGTCAAGAGCAGGCAGAGGATTTCATGGACCGGAATTATCCTTTTCTCTACCTCTATGGTGACAACGACAAGTCTAATGGAGATTCATCCAAAGTTCGGATCGCTTTCGGCCGCGAACGAAAAGAGCCGGTTCGGTCTGAAGATGCCGACTGGATCTGCACTGTGGTAAGATGCGAATTGCTTTTCTCTCAAGACCGCGCGCGCACTAATAACTGGGAATAGTGTACTATCAACAATTTCTCCACTCGAAGCAGATGCTTCCGATGTCAGGCTTTGAGACCAGGTTGGACCGATTGCTTCCCCCTGTTCGCTCATATTTGTACTCACACGCGCAGAACCCGGTTTCGAGGTACCCGCAAAAGCACCGAATGTCGGAGACAATGATGTCTCTCCCGATAATGCGCCATCGCAATTCTTGCTGTTCCGCGGCCTGGAACCCTCAGTCACGGAAGAGTTATTTGCCAAAGGCGTGGCTAAGTTGAACAAACCTGGCTCATCAACCACTCAACGAGATGAAGCATCCGGCAAGAAGGGGGCGAAAGTTGCCTCGACGACTGGAGATGCCAATCTCGGAGCTAAAGAGGGCACACTCAGACGAGTGCTTCTAGTACGTGATCGCAGGACCAACGAGAACTGGCGCTACGGATTCGCAGAGTATGCTTCCATCGAAGATGCGCAGGCTGCATTGACACGGTATAATTCGTTCGAGCGGTTCACTATTGCTTCCAAACAGGTCTTGGTCAGCTACATTCACGCCGGAGTCTTTGTACCCGTCCTGAACCCCTCGGCGAGCACGAAACGATTCACATTCAGTCCACTAGGCAATCCGGCCATGAAGCTGGCATACTGGGACGAGAATGCATATGTCGCGGAGCTGGCCGTGTCGAAGCCTGCATCGAGGTCAGACAAGAAATCGTCCACAGCGGACGGCAAGACGTCCAAAGAAACGACTGACAAGCCTAAGAAGCGCAAGGCACAAGCGGAACCCGAGACGGCGGGAGTCGTCAAAAAGCCAGCACCATCCCATCTCCAATTCTGGAGCAACAGACACGCCGAGCTGCATGGCATTGGACAGAAGTCAGGCGACAGTGGTGGCAAGGACGAAAACACCCCCAACAAATCGAGTGATAACAAAAACAACGGCGACACGGCTGCCCCTCCGTCCCAGTCGTACGCCGACCCCGACCGACGGTGCTGCTACCTCTGCATGCGCCAATTCCCCAACAACGCCGAAGTCAACAAGCACGAGCGTCTGAGCGACCTGCACCGCCAGAACCTCCGGGACGAGGCGAAAGTCAAGAAAGCCCTCGCCAAACTGGCCAAGCATGGCATCCAGCCGAACCAGCCCGTCGTGTCGGCCATGCAGTACCGCGACCGCGCGCGCGAGCGACGCAAGATCTACGGCGTGGTCAACAAGAAGGGCGAACAAGTGCAGCCTCCCCCTCCTCCTCCGGGGGCGCAACGGTCGGCGAAACAACCGGCGTCCTCGGGATCGGGCGACGATGCCGACGAACCTGCCGCTCCTGTGTCTGTGCCTGTGCAATCAAAGGGTGCTTCGCTGCTGAGTAAGATGGGATACACGGCCGGGCAGGGTCTCGGGGCTTCCGGCGAAGGCATGACCGCACCAATCAGTCAGGATGTCTATGTTGCCGGCGTCGGGCTCGGTGCGGAGGGCGGCAAGGTCGGCGATGCGGTCGTCGAGGCCGAGCGGAATACTAAGGGCGGCTATGATGCTTTTGCGGAGAGGACCAGAGAAGGCGCCAGAGAGAGGTATGCTCGGTTAGGTTAGGTGAGGGTGCATCTTGCTTGGTTCGCCTACCTACCTACCAACTGGTGCTGAGATGACAGAAGCTGGAGCTGGAGCTGAAGCAGGAGTGGGTGCTGGCCATGCTGAGAAGGGTGGTTTGCATCACTCTCTTTCTCTGGTCCTGTCCTGATGTCTATCTCGTCGCTACATTGCAGTGCTGTACAAACAGGACTAGTTCTGTTTTGCACCAAGGGGAAAGTCAAAGAACCCAGTCTAAGCAGAGCAGAGAAATAATCTTGTAAAGCAATGTCAAGGATGAATGCCATCGGTTACCGCTTCTCTCCTTTTCCTCCTACTCCTACTACCACTACCACTACTCCTCCTGCTGCTGCTGCTGCTGCTGCTGCTGCTACAACAGCCCACCACCCTCATCTCCATTTTGCATCTTGTCGGTCCAAAAATCAGCACTGCACCGACGCAAGAGACATGAGAGCGATGAGCTCCGCTGAAAGAGCCGAAGTTTCAAAGTAAGGTATTTGTGATTGAATCACTCTAATGTAGGGGGAAGGGGGTGGCCTTTCTACTTGGGAGGATAAAAGTGATGGCCATAGAACGTCGTTAGTTATGTATTAGGGAGAGAGAGAGAGAGGGAACAACTACAGACTTAGGAGGACAGATAGGACAGACGCAAACAAAACCGGGCAGCAGGGCAGGAAAGTCATGATCCTCATTTTCAATAATTGCTGATCTCTCAAATCTGTCTGGAGTTCAAATAGCTCATGGTATGGTGGCTGTCTTTGGAGACGCTTTGGCGGGCCTCTAGAGGCACAAGGGCAAGCTGATCCGCCAGAAACAAGCACGCATGTCCTGCGTCAGCAAAAGATGGTGTGTGTCTTCCGAGTCTGAACACAGGTATTGCAGGTATTGACCCGAGTGAATCAAGAACCATAAGCCCTGGCTAGTGTGGTATGGCACGCCTTGACTGCTGCTGTGATGCTCACACCTGTTTTCCATTCTTCAGCACCGCTTGCTGTCGCCCGTTCTTCGGTTAGACAAAAAAGCCCAAGCCCAAGCCCAAGCCCAAGCCCGTGTTGGCAAGAAGAAAAAAAGCCCTCTCCCCTGCTAGGGATGTTCAGCTGCTCCGTTCCGTATATCACGGACACATGCCATCTTTCATCCAAGTCATGCCTGTTCCCCAACTTTCCCAGAAAGTAGGGGTATTGGCGTCCCGACTTGGCCACTCGTTGTATGATATCTGTGCCATTGGGTCAGTCCCTTTCCCCATGGTCATTGTCCTTTGTCGTAGGTAGTAGTCATCAGTTTCGTAGGAGACACGTTATGCTCGCCCGGTTCTAGGACGTGGGGCCCGCTCCACCCCTTGTGCACCTGTGAAAAAAGGAATCCACCGGAAAATGTGCCTCCGTATGCCCCCGCTACACCAGCGGAGCATGCCCGAAATTTCCAAGAAAAAAAGTCTCATAGGTGCCCCCTTAGGATGCCCCAGTATTTCCGCGTTCACGCGTTCGGCTGCGGCCTCCTTTCATGCTCTTGACGCGACTGAGAAAGCCACCACCAGATTTGGGTTCTTCAGTACCCATGCTGTCAGCAGTCACTCTTCTTTCCAGACCTACAAAACCTCGTCGAGGACTGCTAGGTGCACGAGCTCGACCGGTCTTTTGCTGTTCGTCGACAAAGGCAATCTGTGGGGCTTTCCTGTCATAGTCTCTGTCGTAGTCCTGGAAGAATGGATTGGTGGCGTTTTGATCCGATCGTCCTGTGCCTAGTGGACTGCCCGTCACTCCCATGGGCTCAGGAGAGGTCATGCGTCCTGTATCGGAGTACTTTGGACGGACGGATTTGATTCTTTGTGCCAAGCTCTTCTTGCGAGACAATCCTGCTGTATTGGCTGCTTGCTGAGCGGCTTCATACTCGCTCTCGCGCCGTTGGATCGCGGCTCGGCTGGCAGGGGCACCTTCTAAGAATGTGCTTGTACCAAGACCATACGTCTCCTCACCATGGACTGGTTCCGTCCGAGCCGTAGGGTTAAAGCTGGCGCCCCGATCAATTTGTGGGCGACGAAGATACTCGACATCCTCATCTGCGACAGCGGCTTCATTGTAATCGACGTGTGCCTCTTGACCCCGCCCATGGTACTGGTCAAGGTTTAGTTTGGAGTTGAGAGGACCCGAACCTCCAAGTTGCATGTTGACCGAGTCTTTGGGGAATGCTTGGATCGGAGCTTGTCTAGCACCCTTTCGGTTGCGATGGGGATTACAGGCATCGAACGGGCCATCATGATGGAATACTAGAAGTCTGTCAGAAGATCCAGCTAGTAGGGGAATATCAACTTACATCCAGTCCCGTAGATGCTGGTGACGTCGAGTTTGTCAATGATATCCAACTTTGCGCTGGGTTTCTTGGAACGTTGGGAGCCTTTTTCGTCTCTTTGTTTCCTGTCCTTCCTCCTTCTTTCTGCTTCAGGATCCAGCGGCTTGAGCTTGTCGCGGACGGATGATTCCGAGTTGCGCCGAGGCGGACGGGCGGCACGAGGACGATTCGGTGCCGGTGCCGGTGGATCTGCAAAGATGTCAAGCTCGTCTTGCCGGGTTCGAGGGTTAGCTTGTTGGCGTCGACGCTCTTCGTCGGAGTTGCTTGGTCTGTGGCGGGATGGGAGTCTCCTCGGATAAGGTCGCGAACCACCATTTTCTCTACGTCCAGCGCCGTTCACAGATAGTTGTTGCGCAGGCTTTGAAGCCGAGTCATTGATGTTCAGCAATTCCTTCCACGGTCAGATAAAGCGCTGTCGCCAAAAGACATGTTACTCACAAAGAAGTCTGTAGTTTCATCGGCCGAAGGGGTTTTTACATTGTTAGTCGCAGTTGTGGCCCTGGTTGCTCCATCCCGCGACACTATTTCACTGGCATCAAGGAATGGATTTGTGGTAACACTTCTGATGGGAGGAAGCGCTGGACTGGTGCCATTGTCGGAGAGACGGCTGCGGAACGGATTGTTTGATGCGAGGGGAGAAGGCCTGCGTTCTGGAAGACGGATGTCAGTCATATTTACCATACTGAGCAGCGCGTGCAAAGAGAGGAAGTGAACGCAAAATGAACGAGCAGATGACCACCAAGAGCGGAAAATGGCGTAACAAAGACGACGAGCACGCGCAGAACGTAGGTAGGAATGTACCTCACATACCAATAAAAGGTGCAGCCTGAGCCATTGTTACCCCTGACTGCGGATTCAATTCAATGTCTCTCTTCGCAGCGTGAGAAGTGTAGGCGTTGGTGGTGACGAGCAGATGATCGGTCAAGGAGAGTCAGTTGAAACCTAACAAGAAGGTCGTCGTCGCGGCAAAGGGGGAGTGTTAATTCCAAACGATCCACGGTCTCCTTGCTTTGCTGGCTGACAATTCAATTCAAGAGACTTTGTCTGGTGTGGGTCGTGAACACCCGCCGATACAGGAGAGAGTGGTCTTGTTTAGGTTGAGGAGTGGACTGTTATGGGTGGTCCCCGTAACCCCCTATTTGGGAGACAATCACAGGAATACGGGCGGACCAAGACCGTGCACCGGCTAACCAAGAGATCGGTAGGCGGTAGGCGTATCGCTGCGGGATGGAAGGCAATACACAAGTACGTTATACTTGAAGCCGCGGTGAATGATGTTGGAGGAGAAGAACGAAGTAGAGATAGAAGGGGGATTTTTTGGAAGGTGAAGTTGGTCGCAGCGAAAAGCGATTCGTAGGCGATGTCTTATTGTTATTAGGAGCAAGTTGTGCCACTATTGTTGTTTAGTCGCCGCTGTTCTAGGGAGAAACATTGACGCGGAGAGGAAGTGCGCAGGCTTGCCAGCTGCAGTGCCAGGGCTCAGGGCTCAGGGCGCAGTTGCACCACCAACCGATCTCTGGAGGGGGAGACGCAGGCACACCAAGACACCACCACCACCCACAACTCTCCCACACCATAGATCACAGACCACGCACCATACCGAACTGGCACAACTGCTATACAGCACCGACCACCTCTCCCCCTGACTATCGACGACTACTTTGTACAGTAGTGTCGTCGTCATATCCCAAGCCTCTTGACCAGCCAGAACTACGTACCTACTAAGACTACCTACCTTGGCCACATCTTGATCTGAAAAGCGCCGGCCAACTGAAGGTCAATTCGCCAACGGTCCTCCTCAGAGGTCCTAGTGACATCTTTTGGCAGCCGTGGCAGCAGCAGGGACAGCAGGGACAGCAAGGAATTGCCATTTGATCGACTGCGAATCTCCCGTCTGGTCATCGGCAGGATTTGACAGAGTTGATCATCCCCCCTTTGTTGTCCAAACCTTGACCAGGTTGCCTCCAGAGACCCGAAACCCGAAACAACCAGCAGACTGGCACGCTCTGTCTTGTCCACTGCTGCACAGCCTCACCCTTTGCTCCCGCATCCACTCAGAGCCTTGGGCGACGCTCTGCCCTTCGAGAGACTGAGACACACTCTGCGAGTTGAGAATCGGAGTGCTCATTCCAGCACTCCAATAAAATATCCTTCCTAGCTTCCTCATACAGCTTGCCCCCCAGACAGCTGTCACTGAAGGAGCCTATCACTGTCCTCAAGAGCACAGATCAACGGTTTTTAGCACTTTACTCTATGTTTGCGCGAACTCACACATAACACGTAACACGAAAACGGTCCGGCAACTGTCGTCGCGTTACTTTTTGGTCCTGCCACCACACCGCAATCTAACCAAGTGCGGGCGAATGACACCTGCGACGAAAAGCACGAAGTCCAGATAACGTTGATTGTGACATACCATCAGGCTCTTCGACGAACGTTTTCCGCCAAAGCAACCACTAACGTTGATTGATTACCTACGTATCGTCCACGCATACTGGACACGTCTCCTGCATTTACGCGTAAGCCACTTACTGGCATCAACGCAGAACAACGTTGTGCCTGCAGCGGCGGACTTCACACTACTGCTTCTAGCGGCACAGATCTTAGGTTCTGGACCATCGGTACAACCTGTTTGATTCCTCATCGGCCTAGACATCGCATACACAATTGCGCTCAATTCATTATCCACTGACAGCCGTTGCGACGAGTCGACAGCTTGTTGCTCGCATCGAAGCTAGGCGCACACTGCAACAATGGAGTCCACCACACCGCCAACTCCTATCTCGCAACGCTTCACCTTGGAGCTCGAGTTTGTCCTGTGCCTTGCGAATCCTCATTATCTCCAATATTTGGCCGTAAATTATCCCCATCTACTCAACAAACCGACGACATCTCAAGGAGCTGCCGATGATGAAGACTCTGATGCTTCGCGATTTGCAAGATACCTCAAATATCTTTACGAATATTGGCGGACTCCGGACTACGTCAAATACCTGACGCATCCGGGCGCGACTCTTCGAAACCTCGAACTACTACAGCAGGAACAATTCCGAAGAGATATTATTAGACCCGACGTCATTGCCAGACTGCTCGAAACGAATCCTGCTCAGGATGGTCCTGGACATGTTAACGGGCCAGAGAATTCACCTGTCCAACCAGCCTCCTAGGCCGGATATCCCCCTGTATAGCCGGGCTTAAGTTTTTCCCGGACTAGGGGTCGTCAAACCGGTTCATCTGGGCTCTCAACCGCATGCTCCACCTTGAAACGCATTGTGCAGCATATTCAGGTACGAACCACACAATGGGGAAGGTGAGATCATCGGACGGTACTCAGCACCCTGTGTTACGTCCTCTGGTCATTCAACCAGACGGACTTCTGTTTGATTGGGATGTTGCAATATGCCAGGCCACGCTCGGCAAGTCCGCCCTTTGTCCCAATATGGCCCTATACCAACCTCCAGGTTCGACTTCCATGGTCAGGGCTAGGGAGGCAAAGATACATATCACCTCCAGACTGGTGTCTCTCCTCAATGAGCCTCTGATTCTTTGGTCAATCCATAAAAATGGCATAAAACTTGACCTGTTGGCCCTCGTAAGGGACGGGGTCTGTCATCAGCGTCGTATGGGAAGCGATGAGCATCAATGACGTGGATGGCGGCCACATCTGTATTCGCACCACAAGCACCTGCTGCAATGCTTATCAAGCTTCAGCCACAACCTGGTGTGCCATTTGCTGGTTGATCCAAGGTTTCAGACCTGGAATGCCGGTGGTCGCTAAGACTTAGATTGAACGGCAAGTCTGTTGCGAGTGCATTGATGAGGACGATAAGGAAGAGCTCGACTCGATTCGTAATTTGATTGCCAGCAACAATGGCCGAGTACCCATCAACCTGGTCTGGTCATGCCGAAATACACTTCTACTTGAAGGGGAACATATCTTGATACCCACAGTTTTCTGGTCAATTCAACTGACTGGATGAGGTACTTGTCTACTAGAAGCCAGAGGCATGTGGTTTATGGCTACCGTCGCGTCAACCCTTGAAGGATACTCCGTCTCACTATTGGTGGTCGTGAGCTTTCCCCAAGCTGATGATCGTCACAAGAGTTCTATCTAGAGCCTCCTTCCTTGCATGACCGTCTAGGGTTTGATTGATATTGTTCTGATCCCCTCATAGTCAGTACAGCCTAGGGTAGGATAGTCTGCCATAGCTGCCACGCCACAAGGGCAATGGAGGGCAATGATCGTTGGAGCCTTGCGCAATTTTTGTCCTGCGTTTATTTCTGATGTTCATCACGCTTCCAGGTCGGCACCACCGGATCGTTGTCTTGTCGCTTTTCAAAGGAGAAATGACAGTTCTGCAGCAGCAAGCTTTGTTCTACAACTGTAATCAATGATGATGGAGCAAGGAGACACCGAGTTCCGACATACCACCGCCTCCCTTGCCCATCACGTACAACATTTTCTTGGAGTACGATGCATGCAGAGCCATTCCACCTCCGAGAGACCCGTGGAAGAACAGCCGTACCGAAATTAACGGAGGAATCGACCCAGGCCTTTCCATTGCATTGGCTCTCACCTCACCACTGTGCTCGTGACCTATTTGACCAGCTCCCAAACACAGCAAACGATAGTGATACCCGCGCAACCCATGGCGACAAAAACGTGAAGTACTTTAGTACTGCACTCTGCGACTAGATTTCACGCACAAAGCCTTAGTAGTCTTTGTTTCTGTTTCCCCAAAGCCCCCAAACCAACAAAAATAAAATGCAGAGTACGGGTTTCGAACCCCCTTCTCTCTTTCCGAGAAAGGAACGAAAACTCTGACACCTCCGAAACCCAATTACCGCCGGTAGGTAATTGAGGTTCGAAGGGCCGAGAAACCTGTCGGGAGGTTTTTTGTATCCGGTCGTGTTCGTCTGGTTGCTCTCCTTCCATAGGTCCTCGGCGAGTTCGAGGCCATCAACGGCAAAGGAACCTTCATCCATCATCCGCAGTCTCACCACCAGCTACAACCGGTAAGGTTGGTAAAGCCAGCAGCGCTTCAACTCGGAGTCAGTCCAGTCAGGGGTCCGCCTCTAGGATTCACGGCTTCGCCCAAGTGCAAGCAGTCTCATAATCTGGTGGCCACACCCTCACGCCTCAGCTAGCCTAGCTCTCGTGGGAGGAGAGCTATGACCGAAACCCGGGATAGTTATGAGAATTGTTGGAGGGAATTTGGCAACTTGTAATATTTAACCTTGATTTTTCCGGGAGGGTGCCGGGTCAGTATGTTCAGTGAAGCGCTGTGTTGTTCGAGTTGTTCAGATAGGTGTGTCAAATGTTTCTACTATACCTCACTTTCATATGTTGACACCCTCTAGAGTGTACCCTGGTAAGTGATAGTCTGTGCTCATGTAGGATGCTGTCGTCTCCAGGGTTGATATATCGCCGCCGCTCCGCTCTACCCTTTGCTTCATCTGTTTTCCCTCCTGTCTCGTCATAGACTGCAGTCAAGAAGAAAACCGCCGCAACTTGAATGCTACTGCAGCCAACAAGGTAATGCTGTTGATGTCGGGCGATTGGGCGATTGGCTTACTATGCAAATGCAAGGCGCCGTCTGGGCGTGCAGGGGAAAAGTGCTGGTTAAGAAAGCTTGTGCATCTTGGTACCATATATTGCAAGGACCGTTGTATGCGATGTTGTCTCATTTTCAGCAAAGCCTGGGACGTGCCATTGCCATGGGCGATGCTGAGGATGGTAAAAAAGATGTTCGTCTGTTGAATTGTTGGATGCTACCGTACTACTAGTACTAACGAGCTACGGCCAATTTGCACCAATCAATCAGCATGACCATGGTTGTTGCGTGGATCCGGATCGTTTCGAGCCGAAACGGTCGAGGTTCAAGGTGTCTTGGGGAAGGGGAGTCTACTTCGCAGGCAGCTACAGGTGGCTGTGTGCTCACACTCGTTTCGTTCGCCGTGCGGCAACGTCCACTCTTGCGCTTGCAACGCGCTCAGGTGTTTCCTCTCCTCGCGAATACCTTCGGACCGCTTTTCGGCGTCTATCGATAGTTTTTGAGGTCAACGACGCGACGCGCACGACCGACTTTCTCGATTCCGCGCCGATCTATGCGAAACTAACGGTCCTTGCAGAAAGAAGAAAAAACAGTGTCCGTGAAGGGAGAGGTACTCGTGAGACGTGTCGCGTCTCTTGTCGCGCAAATAGGAGGTCGACGGATAAAGAGCCTGTTTTCTGATATCATCACGGCCAGAGAAGTTGGCTACTAGTACACCACGTTCTTCTCCGAGGTTCGGTTGCGCGACTCGAAAGCAGGACAAAAGCAAGGCAGGCGCTTGCGAATTACTGCTTCCTGGAAACACATACACCACCCAATTGCGCAGATCGAGATGGTGTCAACTAGGCACCACCCACGCCCGTTCCCGGAGCCAGCGTCGCCCACGGGATCCAGCCGATCGAACACGGCAGAAGCGACATCGACACCGACACCGAAGTCATCTTCGTCCACACCACCGGACGGCACCGTCACGGTGGCGTCGAGAAGCATTCGGAAGCGTCAGTCAGGACGGTCGGTCGCTGCTAGACGAGCATCGTCGGCATCTGGAAACACGTACCTGCATAAGATACCACCCTTGCTGATGATCTGGCTCTGCGTCTCGCTTCCACTGGTGCTTTGGGACACGGGGTACATCTTCTGTCGGCCTTATTCGATGCCTGGGGGCAGCCTCCATTGGCCGTTGTGGACGCCGTACGCGCTCTACGGGACTGTGGACTATGTCTACGGCTGGCCGGCGTGGAATGGCCACGTCGGATTTTCGGCCGCGCAGGCGTCGTTGAATGCCGTAGAAACAGCCATGTATGTCTACTATTTGGCCGTGGTCTTCAGCAATAGGGCTGGGGCTGAGGGAGTCTTCCGCTCCAGCAACCTTCATGGGTTCTTCGTTGGTGAAACCGACAAGGCTATCACCGGGCCAAGAGTGGCCAAGGCTGTTCTGGTGCTGTACTCTGCGGCGGTGATGACGCTGAGCAAGACGGTGTTGTACTGTAAGTTGTCCGGGGATCAATGTGTGCTTTTACAGTTGCCTGACTGAGATTGTGACACGATTCAGGGCTCAATGAGTACTTTTCCGGGTTTGCCAATATTGGTCATAACACTCTCTCCAATCTGCTTCTGTTGTGGGTTGTTCCCAATGGATTATGGCTCATATTTCCGACTTACATCATTTATGTACTTGGAAAAGAACTCCTTGAGAATGTCGAGGGTATTGCATCCGAGAAAGAAGACTGAGACAGAAGAGGGATGCCTACCTACCTACCCACCGTACCTGAGGCATCGGGGTAATGCGCGAGGAGAAGTCAATCCGTGTCTGCATCTTCTGCCTTGCGTTCAGCCCGCCACATGATGATGCAACTCAATCCACGTCTTTCGCAACTTTTCAGATCATGGGACCTGGTGACATGGTGTATGGTTTTCAGACGTCCGAGTCATGAAGAAGGATGTGGAGCGGAGGATGTTTCCATCGAGACATTGGATGCGCCATCAGAGCCAAGATCTTACAGTTGTGTGGGTCAAACTGCTTGAAGCACTGGCAAGTCGACCTGAATGGAAGCGACTCGCAGTCGATTCAGCCGCCTCTGAATCTGGGACGACATGTGCAGCTGAGGTGTGGGCTCCCAATGGTCTTGGGTTACACCCGCAAGAGATAGCTGGCAGCCAGATGGGGACCAACGACAGGACCTAGCAATGAGCAAGGTGAAGTTGAACGGCGCTCGAGAACCGTGCTGCTTGCCGATGCACCGGCATCTCAGGCAAGGAAGGCCTGTCAATGCCGCCATTGAAGAGGATGAGGCGGGGTCGACTGGCGGGGAATAAGGGTTCTCGCATCGCTCATCACTCATCGCTGGATGTCAGCAGATGCAGAGAGGGGACAGAACGGCATGCCTAGAGTTGCATGAATCGAATGCAGGCAGGCACTGCAAGGGGTCGCAATTGGATACTAAGTGTTTGTGTCGACGGTGTGTAGAACTGGAAGGGTGAAAAGGCGCTGATAGAAATTGGAAGTCGATAAGAATGACCAGATGTCGACCTGAACTGCCGAAGATGAGGCGGAAGACGGGCAGGGAAGGAGCAAGTAGAAGCCTAGTGGATACAGTATGACCCGCCTGGGCACCGCTAGACCTATGGGGTAAATGGCGGACCACCCACAGAGTGACCCAAGATGCGGGGGTGGCGTCATGCCGGGGATTGAGCCGGGATGCAACATCGTCAAACATCCACTGCAGTGTACTGCCAGTACTAGTACAGGCAGCAACCTGATGCCGCAGATCGGATGCAGCATCCCGCTGTGATACTAGTAGTAGGACCGTGTTAATGGACTGTTTATGAGCGGATGCGGAGGAATCTCCTAATGGGGTTGGGCAGGAAGATTTAAGTGACGACAAGAAACAAGGGCTATCATATCACGCACCCATCACCCATCGTGACCTGACCTTGCAGGTACAGTACCTGTCATCCCCAACATGGAGCCTGCGACATATTTCTTCTGTGACGGGAGATGGCCAGGTGCTTTTAGGTACATATATTGCTAACAATCCCAAGGATCAGCTTGCTAGGCAGATAGCAATCGCGGGGTACTAGCAGCACTGCATATGAGCCCCGGCTTGATGCTGCGGAGCTGCAGTGGGCGGTAAGTTTCGCGCCTTGGACTGTACCTCTTGGGGCATATCTCCAGCGGGCAAGTACTTCAAGTTGTCCGCTGCATTGCAATATCCTGCTCGGTACTTGCAACGCATCCTTGCATGCAACCTCAGCTCCTTGCTGTTGTGAGAAAGAAATGGTAACAGCATTCTGCTACACGGTCCAATTCGACGCCACACAGTGTTGCAGTAGCCTGCCAATGCTTCCAGCCCTGGCACCTGCCTTTTCGGAACTGTCTGCGGGATCGAATGCCGCTGCCGCCTGCGACGTTCTAGTAATATTCCATGACTGGAAAGGATTAGTAGGACTAGTAACAGACTTGTAGAGCAATACTAGTAGCACCATAGCAGCAGTTCTGCCACCATGGCAGCAGCCGTTGGCGAGATTGATCCATTCGTCCATCTACTGCGGTATTCTCTCCATCTTGTGATCGAGCCCTTCATTCGATGATCCATTCCTCCACGCCATCACCATCATCAGCCGTCCCTCATCCGCATCCTCATCTCGCATCGTTGACTATATCATCATGTTGATGCCGAAGCCGATGCCGGTCATGACGGATGGTAGGTATTACTGACGGGCATCTGCTTAGCCATCCTCACCGGTAGCCCTTCTTCTACTTCAAATACCCCTCCAGCGTCGTCTCCTGCTTGTCCACTCATTCACTTCCCGTCTCTCTCAAATCTTTCCTCGGCCTACCGACCCGGCCGCCAGCTCAATTCACTGCTGCATTGCATGTGTCAGTGTGCGTGTGCGTATGTGTGTGTGCTGCCACACGTAGGAACGACCGACGGGCTGGATTGTTAAACGCTCGGTACCAGTCTCTGCTGGCCAACAGCAAGTCAGCGCTCGCAGTGGGACAGCTCACCAACATACCAGAATTGTCTGCATGCACCTTGGTGTGTGTAAGTGTGTGTGGCAACGTTGACGTCGACTGTTCGAATTAAGGCTACATCCGAAGCATCTCTAGTCTCTTGCGCCACAACCGTCAAGCAATGTGGCTCCCAACGATCCGGGCGGCAACGGCTGCGGCGGCGTTGGCCGCTGTGCTTGCGCCCATCAATGTGCTGGCCAGTGTGAGTTCTCCCCTAGCCGGCCCATAAAGTCCACCTCCTTAACCCTACGCCCGCGCCCACAACCCGTGTCCCTGGGGCCAATCAAGCCATGGTCCAACTCTATCTCTACCTTCCACTAAAAAATGCTTCATCTAACCTCTTGTCTTTCACTTCCTCAATGCCACCCTGCAATTGTCGATTTACTGACAATCCGTCTCAAAGCCTGTCGAATCCGCCGAATCCATCTACAAGCGACAAGCGACGCAACCATTCAATAGTGACTACACTGGCCCACAATGGACCTCTCCTCCGAGCTATCCGTCGCCCTGGGGCGCCGGGCATGGAGACTGGGGTCCTGCGTATGAAAAGGCCCGGGCTTTCGTCAGTCAATTGACGCTCCTTGAAAAGGTCAACCTTACCACGGGCGTCGGGTGAGTTCCGTCTCAGTTCGCTGAATGGTCGAGCTTTTGAAAAATTGACATCTGGGCAGTTGGGAAGGAGAGCGTTGTGTCGGCAATGTCGGTACCATCCCCCGTCTTGGATTTCCCAGCCTTTGCATGCAGGACAGTCCATTGGGTGTCAGAAATGGTAAGCTGCCCTTCTATCCCTGGTCATGCACTTGGCCCCGCTGATGAACATCAGCCGACTATGTCTCTGGTTTCCCCGCCGGCTTGAACGTCGCTGCCACATGGAGCCGTACACTTGCAAGAGCTCGTGGCGAAGCGATGGGTGCAGAGCACAGAGGTAAAGGTGTCGATGTCCAGCTTGGCCCCGTTTGCGGTCCTCTAGGGCGGTCTCCAGAAGGAGGAAGAAACTGGGTGAGCAATTATTCCCGACCCAAGACATTTCCACTTCTTCTGACCCGAACCAGGAAGGATTCAGTCCCGATCCCTATCTGACTGGGGCTCTCATCGCTCCCACGGTACAAGGCATCCAAAGCCAGGGGGTCATTGCGTGCACGAAGCATTACCTCGGCAATGAACAGGAACATTTCCGTCAAGTGGGCGAATCCAAAAGCAATGGGTATAATATTACGAAGAGCATCAGTGCCAACATCGACGACAAAACTATCCATGAGCTTTACCTTTGGCCTTTTGCCGATGCGGTCCGCGCGGGAACGGGTTCAGGTCAGTTTTGCCAACGAACAATGAGAGGGACGATGAATATCTGACCCAGTCCCAGTCATGTGCTCTTATAACCAGATCAACAATTCCTATGGTTGTGCGAACTCATACACATTGAATCACCTTCTCAAGGACGAACTCGACTTCCAAGGCTTCATCATGTCTGACTGGCAGGCTCAACATTCCGGTGTTGGTACAGCTTTGGCTGGTCTCGATATGACTATGCCTGGTGATACCGACTTCCTCAGCGGCCTAACCTTCTGGGGCACCAATTTGACGATTGCTGTCATCAATGGCACCATCCCTGAGTGGCGGGTCGATGACATGGCCACCCGAATCATGGCCGCCTATTACTATGTCGGCCGGGACACTCATTACACGCCCACCAACTTTTATGCCGTGAGTTTCGTGAGCCGTTCATGAAGGCATATCTCTGACTACTATGGCAGTGGAGTTACGACACTTATGACAAAATCCATCAAGCAGATCCTGCGTCACCCACAGGTCTCGTCAACGAACATGTCAACGTGCAAGACGAGCATCGCGACGTGATCAGACAAGTTGCCCAGGCTTCCAATGTTCTACTGAAGAACACCGGCGGTCTCCCACTGTCGGGGAAGGAAAAACAAGTCGGCATCATCGGCTACGATGCTGGAAGTAATCCGTGGGGCGCAAACGGCTGTCCAAACCGCGGCTGCAACAACGGAACGCTGGCGATGGGCTATGGTAGCGGAACAGCAGACTTCCCATACCTCGTGACTCCAGAACAAGCTATTCAGCAATATGTCGTGACCCAAACCGACGGGGAGGTATATGCCATACTCGACAACTACGCCGACACCCAGATTCAGACTCTGGCCACTCAAGCGGATGTTTCTATTGTCTTTGCCAATGCTGATGCAGGAGAAGGATTTCTCAGTATCGATGGAAACGTTGGCGACCGTAACAACCTGTCTCTATGGGAAGGAGCGGATCGACTGATCAACAACGTCACCAAGTATAGCAGCAATGTCATTGTTGTCTTGCACACTGTCGGCGCAGTGAACGTTTCAGCATGGTACGACAATGAGAATGTCACCGGTATCATCTGGGCTGGCCTGCCAGGTCAAGAGAGTGGAAATGCCATTGTCGATGCCTTGTATGGTTTCATTAATCCTGGTGGCAAGCTTCCTTTCACCATCGCCCGCAACCGAGAAGACTTTGGGACTGATCTTCTGTACGAACCCAACAACGGCCAATTCGACGCTCCCCAAGATCTCTTTTCCGAAGGTGTCTTCATCGATTATCGTTACCTCGACGCGAACGGTATCGAACCCATCTATGAGTTTGGATTTGGTCTGAGTTACACCACCTTTGAATACTCCAACTTGGTCATCACTCCGGCGAACCCAGCCCCTTACACTCCCACCAGTGGACAGACCGGACCTGCTCCTGTTCTAGGGAATGCCAGTACGGACCCATCGGCGTATCTGTTCCCCAACGACACTATCCCATATCGACCATACTTGTACATCTACCCGTACCTGAACTCCACCGATCTGAGAGCATCGGCTGATGATCCTGACTATGGTCTCCCGGCCGATCAGTATGTCCCTCCTGGGGCTACAGATGGTTCACCTCAACCATTGCTAGCAGCAGGAGGTGCACCGGGTGGTAATCCAGGTCTCTATGAAGTTGTTGCAACTGTGACCGCAACCATTACCAACACGGGCAGCATTGAAGGTGATGAAGTTGTTCAAATATATGTTTCACTAGGAGAAGGAGAGCCGCCGAAGGTCTTGCGTGGATTTGATCGTCTAACCATCGCACCTGGTGCCGCGGCGACCTTTACCGCCGAACTAACACGTCGCGACGTTTCAGTTTGGGACACCACCGTACAGAATTGGGTTGAAGTAAGCAATCCGACCATCTTCGTTGGTGCCTCAAGCCGGAACCTGCCTCTCTCTGGTACTTTGTCTGGAAATGGTGGTGGTGGAAGCCCTTCTCCGCCATCTGGGCCTAGTGGGGGCTTCTCGGCACATAGTTGGAGTGGAATTTATGGACATCCTACTCCTACCGTCTGGCCTCCAGTCAGCCAGATCACGGATGGCCAACCGCAAGCCCCCACCGGAGGACCGTTGACTCAGATTTCTGATGGACAACCACAAGCCCCGACTGGAGGTCCAGTGGGTCAGCTCTCTGACGGTCAACCCCAAGCCACAACAGCTTAGAAAGCTTAAGTGGAGTAACAACATGGGGAGTATTGCTGCCGAACGTGATCAATGATATGGACCAAAAGTCAATGAAGTTTATCATGGCCGGGTATTATTTGCCTTTATCGAGAGGCACCACAGATGAGCAAAGTAATGGTCGCCACAGACCACTACAGGAGTTGCGAGTAGTATATGATACCGACAGGCCAAACCTTTAGGCTCCCTAATAATGACAGTGTGCTACTGATTGTTGCGCGCAGTATAATGTAATGGTATTGTATCCCATTGCTGCAGGGCGTCTTGCTACAAGGCTGAGGGTGAAAAGCTCTGATTGGCTAGGGAGGCCCCCATCGAGCATAAATTCAGGAGGTCAGTGTCGTCATCGATATTCCATTTTGGGCCATGCCCCAGATCCAACCTGGTATCGATCGCCTCGCCTAGGGTACCGAGGAAGGGGTGTTATAAAATGTAGATTTTAGGGAGTACTCTACTTGCATTTCGCTATGGGAAGGTCTAGCTAGACAAGGCAAGAGCGCGAAGCCGAAGACTCAGAATCAGAATCAGAAGGTCAGAAGGAGTGGTGAGTCGGGAGGTGGAGGCTGGATCAAGCCATAACGGACAGATACGGTCAGGCCAGCTTTGCGTTGTAATCAATCGGATTCCGAGTCGAAGAGAACCACGACAAGACGCGTTCAAGAGCCTCTCAGGCTCGTTGATGAGAAACGTCGACACCTCCATCCAAAATACCTGTACAGTCCGGTCGGCTGTCACAGGGTTAGGTTAGGATACAGTGAGTGACACACTGCATCTCAACGACGAGGAACGGGATCAAGGATCGGTCATCTAATCCTAGTCCCAAAGCAGGATTGTTGTTCGGGGTCAATCAACCTCAACGAGTTTCCACGGCGTTGCTTGCTCTCCTCTCCGACAAACAACACGACCAAGAACACTCTAGTCAAGATGCCTCCCAGATTCAAGCGACCAAGTCCTCCTCCTTCGAAGGACACCAACGCCACCACCATCACCAAGACACCCTCACTGGCAACCATGGAAGAACCCTCAAGTGTCGTTCCTTGTACTCCGACCTCTCTTTCTCTTTCATCCTTCTCAATCACCTCCCCCAGTCTTCGCATGGTATATTGGTTCCGAACGGACCTCCGCCTCGACGACTCCCCAGCCCTAACGCACGCGCTATCTCTCAACCCAACCACCTTCATTCCCCTCTGGATATGGGACCCGCACTACACCCACCACCAGCGCGGCTCCATCAACCGCTGGTCCTTCCTGCTAGCCTGCATGGACGACCTCTCGGCCTCTCTGACGCGGCTGAACCCGACGCAGAAACTGCACGTCGTGCGGGCGCGCGCGGCGCCGGCCAAGGTTCTAGCGGCCTTGTTGCGCCACTGGAAGATCGACGTGCTGGTCCTTGAGAAGGACCCGGATGCGTACGCCCGGCTGAGGGATGCGGATGTGGCCGACGTGGCGGAGGCGCTGGGGGTGCGGGTCGTCAGTGTGCCGGGTCGGACGCTGTTCGATAGCGATGAGGTGGTGGAAAGGAATGGAGGGAAGCCGACGCTGAGTATTGCGCAGTTTGGGAGGGTGGTGGAGAAGATTGGGGATGGGAGACCCGGGAGGCCCGTCGAGGCGCCTACTAGGCTGCCTGATCCTTTGGGAGGGGAGGAGATGAGTTTGGAGGGAGTGGAGGTGGAAATGATTCTGGAGAATGTGATGGAGAATGTGAAGTCAGGTGCATGTGGTGATACTGCCCAAACTACAGATCTTCCTGCGGCGGAACCGGGTATGGATTATAATGCTGTCCAGCGGACGCTGGGTGCGCATAGAGACACGCAGTTCTCGGGAGGGCTGATGGGGCCGTATGGAACGTTTTCGGTTCCGACGCTGGAAGAGATGGGGATGGACTGCCAGGATGTTCATTCTTGGTCTCATTCTGATCCGAAGACTGAGGCTGAGACTGGTGGAGGGAGCGGTACTGGCACTGGCACAAACACTGGCATTTATTTGGCCAGCGTAACAGCCAAACAACCTTCAGCACAATCAGCACAATCGTCAAAAGCAACGCGACCAACACCATCATACCACCAAGGAGGCGAATCCGCCGGTCTCGCCCTCCTGGCCCACCATCTCGCCGACGAAAACTACATTGCGACTTTTGAGAAACCAAAGACTGCACCCACGGCGTTCGACCCGCCAGCGACGACGCTGCTCAGCCCACACTTGCATTTCGGCAGCGTCTCGGTCCGACGGTTCTGGTGGGCTGTGCAGGACGTGATTGAACGAAGACGTGCTGCAAAAGGAGCTGGGGCTGGCAATATTAGTCCCCATCCGGTAAATCTACCGGGACAGCTGTTGTTTCGCGATATGTATTTCGCCGCATATGCTGCTGTGGGAGTGACGTTTGGACAGACGATAGGGAATCCGGTGGCGAGGTTCATTCCGTGGTCGTTACCGTCACGGTATAACAATGATGACAGCAACAAATACAACAATAGCAAAAACAACTCTGCTGTAAGCCACGGAAACACCAACATCCCACCCACCATCACCGCCCCTACAACAACAGGAACTTACATCGTCAACGACCCCATCGCCGAAGAATACTTTCAACGCTGGAAATACGGCTGCACTGGCTTCCCCTGGATCGACGCACTCATGCGTCAACTCAGACAAGAAGGCTGGATCCACCATCTCGGCCGCCACGCCGTCGCATGTTTCCTCACCCGCGGCGGCTGTTATGTCTCGTGGGAACGCGGCGCCGAAGTTTTCGAGGAGTGGTTGCTCGACCACGAGGTGGCGTGCAACGCGGGGAATTGGATGTGGTTGAGCTGCACGGCATTCTTTGCGCAGTTCCATCGCATATATTCGCCGACCGCGTTTCCCAAGAAGTGGGATCCCTCGGGACAGTTTGTGAGGCGGTATGTTCCTGAGTTGAGGGCGTTTGGGGACAAGTTTATTTATGAGCCGCATAAGGCGCCGATTGCGGACCAGAAGAAGTGGGGATGTTTGATCAAGAATGACGGGCATGGATTGGAGTATTATGTTAAGAATGGAGGAGAAACGAACAGGGATAATGGATGTGAGAACAAAAGTGGTGGTGCAGCTCTCAAACTCTATCCCAAACCAATGTTCGACTTCAGTGAGCGAAGACAGTTCTGCATCGAGAAGATGAAACAGGCATATGATGTGGGATTGCATGGTGATGACGAGAAAGTGCTGAATGGCGAGTGGAAGGCGATATTTGGGTTCGAGGAGGAGCATCAAGGCCAGGCAGAGTGCAAGGAAGAGGCGAATGGACTGATATTATCGACAAAGATAGAGTCTCAACGTCGGTCTCCGCCTCGTGGCATGGATGCTGGATATGGCATGAACCCCGGAGGTGAGTCTCGTGGAGCAGGTACCGGGATGTCCTCTAGGTCAGAGCCGCTGGAGCCAGGACAAGATGTTGCTCCGAATACAGTGAGAGCGCCAAGGACAGGCACTCGAACCGTGGACCGTGAAAGGGGGTCGACTTCGGGGCCTCTTGCTGCACGAGATGGCATCCTGTCTCTGTCAACCTCGGCTTCAGGAACTCGCGGAGTGAAGCGTGAGAGAGGTCGAAGCAGTAACAACGTTGAGGAAATGGGTTCGAACGGCAAACTTCAAGGGATGAAGAACAGCCGTCTTGATCATACTGTGAACGAGCGTGCTGCTCAGATAGATCAAACCCACCCTGAGACTGAGGCAGATGTCCAACACAACGGTCACCACAGTCCTCTCCAACGGAAAAGAAGGACGGAGGCGGCGGAGAAGAGGGCAGAAACTGGGGCAAAGGGCAAGCAGCAGACCCTCGATTCAGTGGTGACAAGGTTGAGATCGAGGCAGAAATGATAGAGGCAATGAAAGGGTAGAGAACAACATGACCTGATTCCGATCGGCAGATGTTGATACCTAGCATCAGCAGTATCATAGTGTGGCGCTTCCAGCTATTCCAACGGCTGATTGGACGAATTCTCGCAACACTCCGGACTGTGAGCAGGTCAAAGCACCAATATTCTTACGTTGTCGGCAGGGCCATCCAAATCGGTCATGGCTTCGAGATCTTCCCAATTTGACTGCTGGGTGGCAGCTGTCAAAACGCAATGTTGGTGCATCAAGTTTGCACGAGTTGCCACGACGAGCAGGTGAAATGCCCAAAACAGGTTGGCTGGGCCGAATCCCATGCAGCGGCTGGCTGAAAGGCAATGAACCTTCGGCGGCGGCCGTCTTTGACAAGCGGGCTGCAATGCAAGATCGGTTGGAAACTTGCTGTAGCTTATCGACCACTGACAGTGGAAGAGAAGGGCTAGACTGTTGCTTCTTCAGATAGACGTAATTTCTTTGGCGACAGCATACTGTTTCTCGATTCCTTCTAGCTGTCGGACAGACCTTAGGCTTTGCCGTGAGCAAAGAGCTCAGTCTTAAGCAGCTGGAGAGGTTGGTCACTTGGCTGAAACATGCGCGACTCGGCGGATGTTATTTCTTGAGGACAACGGCGATATCGCGGGAGGGAATCCGGGCTCGTTCGACGATGCTCAGTGAAGTCGGCCGTATATGTAATCGTCAAGACGTGGCAATGGGAAGCAATACTGAGAGAGTTAGGTGCCTAGTAGTAGGTACCAGGTAGGTAGGTAGCCAGACGTGTTTTCCTGCGCTGGTGAGACCCATCACGTGATTGTCATTTTCTGGGGTCTTCTGGCGGCAGCGCAGTTTTGGGTTTTGTTCTCCAATTCATTTTTCGGGTTGCAAGCTCTCTTCTGCCATTTATGACCACCTTCTACTGTACCATAGGCCACGTTCACACAATGTCGTGGTTCACATCTCTGTTTTCCTCGTCGCGGACACCCTCCTCTCTGCCGAATGTGGAGCCGGCGTCTGAGGACAGACCATTGCTCGAAGAGCCCGTGGTCAACCCAGAACCAGTACTCGAGACACCCAAACCATCCTCTATGCAGCAGTTGCAGACCGAACGACCGAATAGGAGCAAGGTCATCTTTGGTGCCGGAGTCGCCTTCTTCGCCTTCTCTCTCCTGATCACGCGCCGGTCTTTCGCACGGAAGCGTCTTGCCTCAAATCCTGCCTTCTATGCAAATGCCCCGGCCCACCAAGCCGAACAGTCAACCAAGGTCAGTGGGGCCATGGAGGCCATGGAGGCACTAAACCTGGCGACCATCAACGTCTTGAGTCTGGCTATGATGGCGACAGGCGGCACCATGTGGTATCTCAACATCAATAGTATGCAGGATGCCCGACGAGTGCTGAGAGGTGGACTCGGCGTTGATGGCACTGGCAAGACGGAAAAGGATGCCGAGGAAGAGTTTGAAGAGTGGATGGCCACCGTCCTTGCGCGGAAAGATGCAAAAGGTACACGACCACAACCACAGACAAACGAAAGAGGACAGGCGAGGTGAATGTGCTGGACCATGAATGCACCGTGCGTGATACACCTACAAGCTACAGGCTACTACCGTACGCTTGGGGTTGTCTTGCTACGCCTGGCCAATTATGGAGTGCATCGATTCCCTGGAAAGGACAGGCGGTCAATCTACCGCTGGCAGTGAAGAGCTCGACATTGAATACAGGTGTGCGGTTGAACATGGCAACAAACAACATCCTTTGAGGCAGTGGTTGCCTAGTAGTGCGTTTACATCACAACTACCGCAACCACTTCTCATCTACAGCCCCGGTTCCAATACTATCTTCACCAGCTCTTACCACAGTCAATGGGACACCCCATACTTTATCTCTTCGGGTGTTGATTGCAGACATTCGTCCGCATTGAATCGAGAAACTCCGCGGTACCGAACATCTGCTGGGTGTTTGACGGCGACAAGAAGCCCTCAAACGGCGGCTATATATGGTGCGAACGCCTGACCAGCCTTTTTGAGACACCGCAACCTGCATCTTCCTTCATTCTACGGCTCGTACGCATCTCATCATGTCGAGCGACGCGCCCAGTCAACTCCGATCCGCAGATGATTTCCACATCCAGAACTCACCAACCGATATCAACCAGGCTCCCCTGAGCGACAACTACCAAGAATCGTTCATTGATATTGCGGCATTGGCCATTACTTTCCTTTTGATGACAACGTTTATCGCCATCCTGCTCTACGCCTGGCGAAAGAGATGTGACGGTCGACGAAATGCCTGTCGGGCCTGTCACACACGCCAGCACAGCAATCTGAGCTGCCGCGATGACGACTTGGAGGACATTGACCTTGTCTTCGACGACAAGGACGTTGTTGGCAAACAAGACTAAGCGCTAGAGGTGATAAATCTGAATGGGATGTGGGCCGGGCAGGCGAAAGGAGTCATATCGAGCTGGGTGACGGGGGTTGAGACATCCTGACCTGCAAATAGGCCACCCCTACAGGCACAACTGTGTGTCGTGTATCCTCAATTGGGGTCTGTTGAAGAAGCTGAAGGTCTCCTGGGGGGTCCTATTGTTAGATCATGTTGTGCCTCTCGACGGCTGGGAACAGTGACTGAAGCTGAATTGGTGTTTGTGTGCAAATATCACGCAGATTGACCGGTGATGGGGAGTAGTAGCGGTCTACATTGGTGGTCAGAGGGAGATGCTGCCTGCCCTTTAGCCACATATAAGTGCAATCAAATCAACGTTCTCTCGACATGACGGTTTATTCGAACTTGCCCTTCAATCTGCTTTACCACCAGGACCGGCTCTAGGGCGTGTTGTGATACTTCAGTACATCAATGCAATCAAGAGTTTTCTGTACAATACAATAGTCACCCTCTGCGGTCAAATCGGCCAAAGGGATTCTAGTATCCATATTGCCGAGTCCTTTCTGTTTTCCACGAGGCTCCAACACTATCAGCATTCATTTGGCTGAAGATGTACTACTTACTGTGTGGACGGGAAATAGGTGCCTGACCGAAACGACATACGCCATTATTACCTTCAAATGTCCCAATATCCAACCATCGCCATGACACGAGGACACAACGACTGACAGCTCGAGTCTGATTCTTTGCCCTGTCGACTTCGTCACCACTCTTTTCGTCACCCTCAGCCACTGCATCCCGGGGCACTTGTGATTGCACGCCTTATTCAACCGAACACAATTGTAAGCAGCACTGCATGCAATGCAATGAGATGAGATGCATTCGCCATTTCTGTACCTTGCATTGCATTGCCCGATTTTCTAATTGCCAATGACTTGACATGACATGACATGACTTGACTCAAACATCTCTTTACTCTACTATTCTCTTCCTTCCGCCTGTCTCTCGACTTGAGGCGATCCTCAGGTTTCATCCCAGTCAGAAGAAAAATACAGCACATACCTACAGGATACATACACGCTTTGTCTCATCTTACTCACTACCTAGACCTCCCAGCTAAACACCCTCATACGGGTTTCACCTTCAATGCCGCGCCACCAGCGAGATGATGACGAAGAACGACCTCTCCTACTACGTCCTGACAGAGAAACAGCAACAGAAACAGAAGAAGACGTCGCCAGCCAATACAGCGCCCTCAGCGAACACCGTGAAGGGGAAGGTGAAGACACCTCCGACTCTGACACCACCAACACAATCCGCCGCATCGGCTTCGGCACCGACGACCAAGAAAACCCCAAAGCCTGGCCCCCCGGCCAGAAACTCAGCAACGTGGCCATCATCGCACTGATGGCCATCCTCAGCCCGCTGGCCAGCTCCATGTTCACGCCAGGCATCTCGCAGATCGCCGAGGACCTGGACACCAATGAGCAGAAAGTCATCGCCACCACCACCGGGTTTGTCATCATGTTGGGCTTTGGGCCGTTGGTGCTGGCGCCTCTGTCGGAGACGTTTGGGCGGCGGGCGCTGTATGTGTGGTGTTTCTCCGCGTTTACCATCTTGCAGGTCGGCGCGGCGTTGAGCCCGAATATCGGGGCGTTGATTGCGGTGAGGGCGGTCAGTGGGTTTTTTGGAAGTAAGTCTTGATCCTTCATTGTTTCTGAAAATGGGTTTGTTATTGTGGTAGCGGTGTTATGCACTGGCAGTGCTAGCAAAGGGACAGAGTGTCTCCCGCTCTTCGAGTCTTTGAACCCGCCTCCCCCCCTTCGCCTCCCCCAAACCAAGTCTTAAATCCGGTTAGTCTTATATCAGGTCATCTTTGGCTCACATTCAACCCAATACAGGTGTCGGGCTGGCTAATGGAGGCGGAACCATTTCTGATATGTATGAGCCGTCGCAGAGGGCTGGGATCTTTGGATGGTATCTGCTCGGACCGCTGCTGGGTTAGTTCTCCTTCGGCTGACGTTCTGACTTCTCATGGAAGAGGTGGGTGTGAAGCTGCTAATTACTGTCTTGGTTTGTGTTGTAGGACCGACGCTGGGTCCTCTGTTTGGAGGTGTGATTGTGAGTCGGTTGGGCTGGAGATGGATATACTGGGTTAGTCTTGACCGATGTCTTGTTCCTTCACAGTCACTTCATGCAGTGATGGCATTTGATATAGCAGTGATGACCGAGTACTGATACGCGCGTGTGTATATGTGTGTGTCGCAGATTCTTACAATTGTCTGCGCAATCAACACCGCGATAGGATACTTCTCGCTGCGAGAAACCTATGCACCAGTCCTTCTCGGCCGGCGCAAAGCCAAACTTCAGAACGAGGCTGGCGAAAACACCAAGATCCACTTCGACGGGGAAGACGAGCGACCGGTATGGATGAAGCTGAAGGCGAGCATGAAACGGCCCTTCGTCATCTTCGTGCAGCCCATTGTCTTGATCATGAGTTCCTACCAGGCCCTGATCTTCGGGACCACATACAGCATCTACACCAACATGCAGAGTATATATTCCGAAGCCCCGTACCACTTCAACTCGGAACAGATCGGCCTCTTGTACCTGGGGCCAGGTCTAGGGTTCTTGACCTCGGTCTGGTTCTTGGTGCCTCGCATCGACACCGTGTTCAACAGACTGACAAGGAAGAATGGTGGACAGTCGTTGCCTGAGTTTCGCCTACCGCTCGCCAACGTGGGCAGCGTCTTGATCCCTGCTAGTCTGCTCTGGTTTGCTTGGACGGTGCAGTACCGAGTCCATTGGCTGGCTAGCATCGCCGCGACGTACTTTTACGGCGTGGGACAGGTTGTTGTTTTCAATTCGGTCCAAAACTACTACATCGATGCCTTCTCGCAGTATGCTGCCTCGGCCATTGCAGGGGGTTCTGTTTTTAGGAGCTTGGTTGGGGGCCTGGTTCCGTTATTTGCACCCAAACTGTTTGAGCAAATCGGGTACGGCTGGGGAATCAGCTGCTTTGGATTCGTGGCCGTTCTCATCGCGCCGAGTCCTGTCTTGTTCTATTACTTCGGAGCCCGCATCCGTGAGAGATTCCAGTTGAAGTTCTAGCTTCTAGCTTCCAACATGTGTCACTGCAATGGTTCCGAATGTGTATGACTGCATAATCCGTGGTAGGTGTTCATCGCTTGTCGTTGCCACAGGCTTCGATGGCTGTCGGCCGTAGCAAGGATGTCACGGTTCCACCTGTTTAGCAGAAATCATCCATTCGACCTCATGAATTCATGGTTCGTCACGACTAGTTGAATGTTGTGATTGCATTGTGTAACCTGGTGGCGGCTGGAATCCTGCAGGACCAGAAGCCGTTCGACACGCTAGAGGACGATGGCACTGGATATTGTTGTAGCAATCCCCAAAGGAACACCTCTAACGGTTCACAACGTCTCCTGAAACGGGGTGGACCGGAAACAATTAGACTCGTCAATCGTGAAGAATCGAAAAAGAATGATCTCATTATGCATCCGGCACGGACCTTGCGGAGAGGAAAGCATCGTTGAGGTCTCGCAGGTTCGATCAGGGGCATCATCAGCCGGTGGATACAGAGTCGAGCTCGAGCGATGAAATGTGTCCACTCTGTGTGGTGACTAGATGAGTGGCTTCCACGCCAGGTCTGTGTCGCCGTTGAGCCCCGGAGCCGGTGTCTTTTGGTCTGGTCTTTGTTCCTCCAATAGTGTTTCAGTGTTCTCTCGTGGTGTGGCTGACCCTGTCTAGCTTGTATCCAGTGGCTCCCGAGGCGTGTGTTTCCGAAGCAACCCTCACCGATCGCGTTGTTTATCATGGCCATAACCGACCACGATGTCCATATCACACTTGGCCTCACTTCTCTTGTATGCTCATCGGCCCGGAGAATTTCATCACACCGGCTCACCGCCCGCTGCACCAGTCGACGTGGCCTGTGCTGATGCGTGAACCTCCTCAAACGGTGTCTTCGAAAGGTACGCGAAGAGACCCTGGCAGCACGCTTCAGTTGAGGCGCGTCGTCTGCTCAAGGACTCCTGCCTATCACCAGCCAGGATGCTATGGTTGTGGTTGTGATTTGCTCGACCAAAGAAATGTTCGCCGCAGTGGGTTTCATCGGTCCTGCTGCTGAGGATGCGATCCATTGGATATCAGTGCCATTGTTTTGCAGCTCCTATCTTCGCTTTAGCTTGTGTAGGATCGATCTCCTAGGACTTCATCTGTCTGCCTGACGGTGTGCAGTGGCATATGTTAAAAGTAGCTTCAAGAATTTGTGTTTCTTAGGTTGTAGTAGAAAAAGGGAAAAAGTGTGAGAGAAAGCAGAGGGCGCAGGCAGTTTACGACTTGACTGCAACTTCGTGTCTTTCCTCACCTTTGTCCCCCACCGCTGCATCACAAACGCGCCCCAGGGAACAGAAGTAGTATTTACCTTTGTGGTCTTCTTGATCACTACGTGTTATCATTATCATCGCTGATTGTTCATCCACCTCACAAGCACCATTACCGTCACCGTGCAGCCTGCCACATCCTGACTATGGCCGGCCAATAATAGGTGAAATTCCACCTGGGTCAACATCAAAACGCCATCATAGTTCCCCGGAAGACGACCCTCAAGCCGTCGTCGATCTGCTCTTCAGTCTAGCACAAGTCCAAACAAGAGGCCTGCTCCCTGTCTCAAGCCTCTGAAGACGTTTCCCTCGACTTTCCACGCGGTCAGAGCTGACTTTTTGGTTTCCACCTCGCATCCTTCCTCACTCCTTGCGACGGAATCCTGCCAAAGCTTCACTAGAACCACGACTTGCTTACTGCCGCCAACGACACATCTTCACTCCCCGACAGACACAGACGTTTCTCTGCGACACTCCCACCGATCTCCTCCCTGGTGCACGTTGGCCTAGGTCAAAGCTCCATCTACGACTCACACTCACACGTCCCTTGAACTGCCCCCTGCGCAGTCAGCATTGAACATGAAAAAGAAGATCCTGACACTCTCAAGACGGCCGACACACATCTGTTGGGAGAGATAGATATCTCTGCTCCCCAGGGAGCTTCGCTCTCATGGAACCACCTCCGCCACCGCCGCCGCCACATGGCTCTAATGCACAAGGCGGCAGGACGGGTGGTCTCCCTGATGGCAGATATGACATTTTTGTCATCCCTCCGCATTCCGCAGGCTCGGGCTTTCTCTATCTCCCATCGCTACAGACCCAGCGGAATAGCTTCTTGGCCGGTGTTTTCTGCACCGCTGCGGCGTACCTGATCTACACAACGGCTGTGCCGGTGGTGAAAGAATGGCTACTGAACACGTTCAACAGTGGTGGAAGTGGAATGTTTACGATCATTTGTTGTGTCGGAGTCGCGGCCTGGGCGTTTGGTAAGACCCAGGGTGAGTGGTCACAGTCTCCATCGTCCGCGAGCGCTGGATCCAATCCTGGCCCCGGTGGGCGTTCTGGTCAGGGAAGTACGGGCTATGGTACCGCATCAGGACCCCAACCTCATACACAACCTCCTCCTCCTCCCCCTCCTCCCAACCACGGAACCAAACCACCACCACCCCAGTCGTCCTGGCAACGACCACAGGCAAATACTAAAGCCAATGCCTCGAGTGCGAAATCAAGCTGGGAGAAAGCTAGGGAAGAGACACGGAAAAGAGAGGAGGAGAGAAAACGTGCAGAGGAATTGAAGAAGCTACGGGAGGAGTTGGAAAGGGAACGACAAAAACAAAGAGAAAAAGATGCGTTAGAGAGACTTGAGCGTGAGCGGAAGGAAAAGAAAGAGCGCGAGGAAAGAGAGGCTGCTGCTGCGGCCGAGAAGGAGAGACAGGCACGGGCGGCGACAGCATCTGCAGGAGCATCTCCGCCGAAGCGTCCACCCATGCCCTCTGCTAGGACTGAACGCGAAGACGATGCGTACTCGTTCAGACCTTACGATCGTGCCAAACGAACACACAAGGCAAACTCGGCAGCATCTATGTATTCGGAATCCTCGTACGCCCCTTCCGAGAGCACGGCAAAGACGACTCCTCCTCCCTCCACGCGTGGACCGTATTCCACTAAGGATCCCGACAAAATCATCATTAAGGGTGTTTTCTCCTTCAGCAACGCTTTTATGCGGACCCCCATCTCGCAACTTAGGTCAGGGCAAGGTAATGTCACCGACGGGCTCATACTGCGGATCACCACCGAAGGCTTATTCATCGATGACGACGTGCGAGGCGTCCCCCAGAGGGAATGGGATATCAAGGCGTGGACGATCAAATTAGCAGAGGTATGGTGTCCCAAAACATCCCCCGGAGCAAACCCTGGTTTCCCAAGGCGTAAAATCTCCTTTGCAGTTGGTGCCGACTCGAGGCTACCGTCATCACCTTCGCAGAACGACTCGTCAGCTTTCGTCGGCAAGCTGGTGAAGTGTTGCGGAGAAGGATGCAAGGCTGCTTCGTCTCGGACCACCACAATGCACACCTCCCGTTCTTCCTCATTCTCCAGCGCACGAGCAACGAATGATGATGCTGACCCAACATGGATACAGAGCTGCGAACTCGGCGGTCTGCACGTTCTTCGAGCCAGTATTCGAGATCAAGAAGGAAAGAAATACGTCTTTGTCTTGTCCCAAAGCGAAGGCTGGAAGGTCGCTATAGGCCTGCAACGTCTGAGAAGGGGCAGCCAGGTGCGAGCCATGGGGGTTGCCGGCCTTCCACAAAATGAGACCAAAGCGATCCTGGAAAATCTGGGCTTTGTGTGATAAATGGAGTGTGCACCTGGGTCAGTGTCTGTTCTCTTGCTAGTGGTGCCATCCAAACGCTGAATGCAGTGGTGAGCAAGATTGTGAATTTCCAGCATTGAGCATCGACAGTTAGCGAGGCATCAGCGAGGCATCAGCGAGGGAGTTGTGTACATTCATGCGCGATCTTGAAGACAGTGTCTCTCATTGAAACCGGTTCTGGAACTATTGTTCTCTACTACGATCGGAGCCAGATGGATGCAGATTGAGGCAGACCATTGAGACTCCTGGGCCATCGGTGTGCCAGAGAATGATAATCGTGATTAATCTAACGAAGGCCTCGTCCTATTTCCTCGGCTTTGGATGCCAGGTAATCTGGGGTATGCTGTGCTCCTAGTTTCATCTCTCTCTTGACTCTTGTGGCTAGTCCACTCGCTTTGCCTCGTCGCTGTTGGCATTGAAGGGCGCGAGGATATCGACTGCGTTGTGTACTTCTGGATGCAACAATGAGCCGTCTCGAAGCCTTATCAAGGGCAGCTGGATGACGGTGTTTCGAAGGGCTATTCGCAAATAGTGTCGCTCGTGCAGCAATTGGGGGCCTTATTGTCAGTCTACATAATCAGGACTTTTATCCTGTAGATGGTCCCCGTGATTCGGCAGCTTCCAGTCTCGCCTACGCTTGCCAGGAGCTGAGGAGAGGATGGCTGCTGAACAAGCATCGAGGTCTGAAATCTCCATGGTCGTCCCGCGGGGCAGGGGATGAATTAAGGAGGGTACGAACGTCCAACAGGAGTGCGATTTGGCCTGATAAGAAGAGGTTGAAATACGGCTGCCTGGGGTGGGATTGGTGCATGACAGATAGGTAAGTAACAACTCTCCCAAATTCTCTTGCTAATAACTGACAGCACATCTTATGTCTCTCTATAGCCATCCATAATCATTCATTTTCCTTGCGAGGTACCCTCGAGCATGACCGATCCTCATCCTATATCTGGTCGCGCAGATCCGAGACAACACCCTTTGTCTGGGCCCAGAGACCTTCCCTATCTCAACACACTGAATGCAGTAGCATCTTCGGCCTCAACCATTGCAGCCCTGGTGGCGGTCCTCAAACCAGCCTCTCTCTCTGGTTCCATTCGCGTGCTGCACGGCGAACGCTTCTACTCACGCATGTATGCAGCGCGATCCATTCCTTTCGGGATCCTGGCTGGGGTGATGCCGTTCAGCTGCGCATCCACCAGCGCCACCGCGAGCGTTGTAGGCGTCGCTGCTATCATACAAGCTATGGATGCTGCCATTGCCATTGGGCGGAGGGACCGCAAAATGGCCATAGGTGCAAGTGTTGGGACTGCCATACATGGTCTATGCTGCTGGGAGCATTGTTGAATGCGCTGTTCTATAGTTTTTTGTCGCAGTACATGCTACATGTCGCTGAAGCGGCTTATCCTGCATGACAATCCAATTCACTCGGAAACTACCCATTCTCAATTTGTACTTTACGCAATCCATAAGGCTCCTAAAGCTGTCGAGTACATAAGCAGTGTCAATGTCCTCTTAGTGGGCTATATGCTCCGCGTTAGAAACGTCCAACAGGAGTGCGATTTAGCCTGATAAGAAGAGGTGGAAATACGGCTGCCTGGGGTGGGAAGCTCCACCAGATGACAACATACAGATAGACAGACAACTGAGGATGGGACGGCACAGAAAGGCTTCCAACACCATCGGCTTAGGCCTCCTTCTTTCCTCCCTACATTTCTCTGTTGTTGTGTGCTTGACGAACCTGCATCTCTACACCCGGGTGGCTTTGTGTTTCTCGTGGCATACCTAATATCGCAGGTGTCACCCTCAACATCTGTGCCCTCCTCGTCCTCCTAGTAGGCGACCTCGACTGCATTGATAGGAAGATACAAGGACCTTCTCTACCCCGCATTGAAGAGTGACCGACAGCTGTCGTCAGCCGTGGTTGCGTGGTTGTGGTAACCCGCTTCTCGAGTCTGAGTTGATACCTCACAAGATGACCATTCGCAAACAATATCCTCCTCGAGACTACGAGACCTCGACTGGAGACACTCCGTCCGGGGCTGACCGTTTGGTCGACGATTCTCCCACGTCCTACTCCCAGACAGATTCGGATAAGTCAAGATCGGCCGCCGTGGAAGCTCAGAGGCTGGCCTCTCAGGGCTCATGGGCCGACACTTTCACGGGCGGTACGCCGGCGACAAACCAGACCCCGGCGGCATCAACCGTCGACGGCGATGAGAGGAATCTACAATTTCCACTTCACTCACAAGAGCCCGATCCGTCGGACCCCCCTCCGCTCTACACTCCCTCGGACACGACAGTGCCCTCTCCCGTTATTGCAAGATCTGTGGCCGGACTTGAGCTTGTAAGCGCTTCTGTGACTGTCCCTTCTTCCCATTCACAATCACAATTCCCTTACCGCGACGATGACGATGACGATGACGACGACGATGAGGGGGATGAAGAGTACAATGACGACGACGACGACGACGATGATGACGGCACCTTCCTTCCCGAACCGGTCCAGCACCAGGGCCAATCTGAACATCATCATCAACGTTCAACGGTACCTGAGAGCGGCCTGAGTCCTGTTTCGAAACGCTCGCGAGACAAGTGCTCTTCAAGGAGAGGATGTGCTGGACGTCGGAAAAGTCGAGGTTGCGGGAGTCGGCGAGGAGGCCGGTGGTGGCGTAGGAAGGACGACAGAAGAACACGGCGCTTCAAAAGAGCATGCTTTCTCGCGTTCTCCCTCTTGTTGTGTCTTGGGCTGATGATCCCGGGCTTGTTGAAGCCGCTATCTCATGTACACTCCTCCTCACCGCCCAACCATGATAACTGGAATGTGCATTGACTGATGACCTGAAGCAGGATGGAAAATCTCGACTCCCCGTCATCGGCGACACGCCCTCCTTGTCTCCTAAGCCCTCGTCGCCATGGCCACCGGATAAACGCGAACAGCACCAGCATGAGACATCCCAATCCATCAGGGGCACATACCAGCTTTATGACCTGCTCGATCTTTCCACCACCAGTGGTAGTATCACCGTTGACATTGAGGTGCAGCCAGGCGACAAACCCGCTGTGCTCCGCCTCGCGACCACCTCGGGCAGCGTCCGCGTCCGCATGACATCTCGGGGCGGTTTGTTCAGTAAGAGGACCATTAACGAGTCAGTGAGGGAACGCACCTTTGTGACCGAGATCTCGACATCATCGGGCAGCATCTCTGGAGATATCATACATGGCAATGGTGGTTCCACTCGGATTTCCGCCCACTCGGCATCAATCAACCTCGACATATTCACGGTCGGTGTATCCGAGGACGACCCGGCGTCCAGGATCTCGACGACAACGAACTCGGGCAGTCAGAATTTGAGGCTGGTCGCGCCCTTGGGCTCAAGCGAGCCGGTCAGGGCCATCGGGGCCTCTCACAACGTGCTCGGCAGTGGCAGCATGAATATCAGATACCCTATGGAGTGGGAAGGCATGGTGCATGTTCTGGTACAAGGGTCGGGAAGTGTCTCGGCCAATGGGCAGGGACTCATTGTTCGCAGGCAGAACTCCAACGAGTTGTATGGGTACAAGGGCAACAAAGAAGGAAGGACAGTCGAGATTTTCGAGCAGGGCAGTGGAAGCATTCGGTTTGCATGTTGAGACGAACAATGACCATCAACACACGGTGGAGACAGTCTTGTCTAGTTTTGTTATAGTGATGGTATATTGCGAGCACAGGAGGACTTCTGGGCAGGCATATACACTATGGGTATCTAAGGAAATGAGGCTATCGCTGGATGCACGTTACTACTACACTCTGCCTCTTGAAGGACGATATGTTGAGAGGGTCTCAAGTCCTTTTAATCTGAACATTCTGAATCCAGAATTTGTTAGAAAGTGCAGCGGATCGAGGGGATTGTAGTTGTGCTGATGCTGATGCTGAACCTGATGCTGGTGGTGATCTGAACTCTAGAGCGGAGAGTGTTGGTGTCTGGCAGAGGTCAAGTCTTGTCTGCGGATTGTCTGCGTGTATACTACCTACCTATTACTATACTAGTACCTCAAGGGTGGTGAAGACAGCTCTCCTCGAGCTATATGTCATCTTCTCTCACCGCCTGCCTGCTTCATCTTGAGATCGTTATAACATGGGGAAAGAAAATGGAATATCTGCCACCGGAGCGCAGCATGTACGCACCTTCACCTTTCGCTTGCCAGTACCGACTGAACTGTACCTTTTCGATTGTGTTTTAACCAACCGACCACCCAAGACGACAGAACTCGACTTCCGACGGTACACATCACCTGGCGTTGCCGCCCCCTGATCCAACGGTCCGATCGGTCCCCTAGTCTGCCAATGATACCGCCTCTTGGACTACATACAGGTCACTGAAGAGGACAGTATGGCTGCGGCAGAAGAAGCGGAGGAAAACTGCGGACACCTGGAAGCGGTTTACGACAATCCGATCCATAGAGCTTACCCTTAGGGTTGGTGATTCTTTGCGGAAAAGCCTGCTTATGTCTAATCTTGTCTTTCAAGCGTATCCCTCCAGCTCCTCCAACAAATTCCTCAACACCGCGCTGTTGGTCTTTTCATACACCTCCTGCACCGCCTCGTATCCAATGCCAAAAGGCTTCCCTACGACGTTGCTGACATACTTGCCAATCAACCGCGGCGGATCGATGGCCTCCACCGGGATATGGCGCAACAACATCTTTCTGAATGCAGGCATCTTGGGTAGTAGGAAGCTCGAGTGGAACGGCACGTCGATCCCCTCGAGCGGAATGGTAGCTACTCCGCGCCGAAGTTCGATGGGGAACGGCTTCTTCATCGATGCTGCCGCGCACGCCTTCACTACTTGGCTCATTTTCCCGTCGCCAGCTGCGGTGCCAGGTGCGAGGTCTTTGGGGTTCTTGGCGACGTGGTTGATCACGCTCGCCAGACAGTCCAGGGCGATCAAACTTCCGGCACAGACGTACTGCTGACCTTCGACGTTGTAGTTCACTACCTCAAGCAGTTCGCCCGTGGCGGCGGTGATCGCCTCGACAATGCCTTGCAGCAATGGAGTGCTCATCGCCCGGCTGACGCGCGACGGATTCACCGCGACCATAGAGAACCGCGACCGCCCCGATTCGTCTCGTGCCACGGCCGATTGCATAGTGAGGCCTCGATAAAACACGATTGTCAGCAGCTTGTCGACCGGCATGATCTCCGCAATCGTGCTTAGGGCGGTGTACTCTCCCAGTGAGTGGCCTGCGAAGAGAGCCGTGTCCGAGATAAGACCCTTACTGCGAAGGTGTAAGAATTGCGCCCGCTCCATGATGGTCAATGCCGGCTGGGCGAACTCGGTCGAGAAGAGTAAGCCCTTGTCATGCCGGAAGGTGTAGGAAGTCGTGGTCTCATCGATGGATTTGAAGAATTTCTCCACTACGCCGTTCGTCTCGACTGTCATGTCCATATAGTTCTGGCGAATTCTTTGTCCGCGACGACCTCCGAAATGGACCGTCAACTCTTTTGGGTTTCGCTTGACAACGTCGGTCAGGAAGAAGCCTAGGCCGGAGTCAGTGTCGGCTGGACGACCAAAACGAGGCAGAACACTACAAACTCACCATAAGTATCCGAGAAGAATTTGTCGGCCGTATCCCACTCTTCTCGCGCCACTTCACTCGTTGCATACAAGTCCATTCCCATATCCGGCTTCTGGCTGCCTTGGCCTGTGAAGATGTAGGCGGTCAACGGCTGATCGACCTCAGCCTCGCCAACGAGCACTTTATCTCCCGAGTGCATGTTGACCGCTTGGAATGACAAGACCCTGAGGCCGTCCTTCATGGCAACATGACTGACAGACACCTCGAGCGTATCTCCGGGAAGGACCATGCTCACAAAAGATGCTTTGTATGATCGCATTCGCACCTGTTCAGAGGTACCGGCGGCTTTCTCCACCAATTGACGCACAGCCGCGCTTGTATACATACCATGCGTGATGGTCCCCGGAAGATTGGCATATTTGGCAAAGGGCCTCGATAGATGTATCGGGTTGAAGTCGCCGGATGCCCGCGCGTATGCCTGATTGCTGGCAGGTACCGTGATGCGAAGCCAGTCTTGTTCTCCCAGTGGCTGATGATTGTCCTGGCTGTGGACGACCTCGTCTGGAGCCCCGTTGCGCTGGAGGTAGGCCATCACGGGATTGCTGGACGATCTCCCAGCCTGATACTCGACGGTGGCGACTACACGGATGTCTTTGGTCACCGGAGGTTGGTGAATGACTCTCCCAAAAGTCCGGACGCTACGGTACGTGGTCGCAGACTGGAACTTGTACAAACTTCCCAGTTCAAAGACCAGCTTCATGCCCAACAAGTCCTGGTCCTCATCGACGAAGGTGATCCAGTCCTTACTCTTCAGGACCGCGACTTTGGCTGGAGTGTCAAGCTCCACATACATTTTGGTTTCGGTCCTCTTCTCAAAGCACACATCAAAGTCGTTGTAGGTCCCACGGAACAGAAACTCCGAGACAAGCTCCAATACTGGTACTCCATCTCGCTCGAGGATCGCACCGACTTCCACAACTCGTCCGGCCGGCTCATTCCTGATCGCCAGGATTTCTGCGGTGCTCGTGATGCGATCCGAGCCCGACAGTGGAGCGCTGTTGTTGAGTAGGGCGAACTTGTTGGACAGGTGCACCAAATTCAAAAATTCCCCATTGATGGCTTGTGGGAAGATGGCTTTCATCATGGCTTCCCACCCGACGACAATGGCAAAATCCAGAGACGCCATGTTCTTGTCCGACCGGGCCGAGATGACGTTGCTGGATTGTTCAATGCTTTCGGTGAAATCTTGGATGCTTGGTGCGGTGACCCGGATGTCACGTCCCTTGAACACGACGCTGGACGGGCTCGAGATGTTGAATGACTCGGCATGCAAGCCCGCCGGGGTGTCGAGCTCGGTACGAATCTGCGGGAGTCTCTTCGTCTGCAATGAGAGTGGCTGGTTTTGCTTTTGCTTCTCTTTCTGCGGACCTTTGCCAATGACAGCTTGGAGTGCAACGTCCCACGAGCGTGTTGGTCTCTTCAACAGCGTCGGAGACGGTGTACGTCGGTCCGATCCAAACCACAATCGGTAGTAGAACTTGCGAAGTCGATCGTTTCGAGCTTCCATCACCTCATGGATTGGATGGAGGACGAACTCAGGCCGGTAATTGAACTTGAACGTCAGTGGTAGCTTGACTTTCTCCGCCGTCTCATCTGTGTAGAAGGTGACCAGGATTTCTCCTTCTTTCCGGATGACCAACGAGTATTTTGAAGCTGGTGCCGCTGAAGTTGTCGTTTCGGATTCGGATTCCACAACCGCGAACACAATATCTTCAGGACGACTCGCATCGGACACCTCGACATGCATGCCCCGAGTGGGAGAAACAGCACGTTGTACGGGGTTTGTGATGACATTTGCTCTTTGGAACACATCCTTGGATGTAAGTAAAGCATGCAACCATGTTCCGGGTGGACCTGCGATGAGCTCAAGCCAGTCATTGAGGTCAGGAAGTTGCTCGTTGGAGATGTTACCCGCGATACGGTAGTGAGATCTGTCTGCAGTTCGGCTCACCAGACAATAAGGGAACTGTTTGACCTTCGTTGATCGGTGCACATGTGAGCCAATCTCGGGCACCTCTTCTTTGCTGCCATGGTACTTGTCTTCAAGTATCTTGGATATGTGAGCATTGCTGATCTTACCCAGGATCTCACCAACTGGCTCATCAGGGGTAGTTGAGTATCTGACAGCAACAGGACCCTGAAGAATACAGGTCCGTTGTGCATCTTGACCCATGACTGCGCCGAGATCCTCCGATTGCCACAGGGAATCCTTCTTGAACCAGTACTCAAAATCATCGTCGAGGTCCGGGACAAACGTCGGCGGCTTTTGTCCTTGTCGTTTGCACAGGAGGATGAAATACCGCGCATCGCTGAAGGTAATGACTTGCTTCTCGGCCTTCGGACAAGATTGGATGATTCTCGGAAGGGCGATCGAGGGATTCCTCAATCCGAAATGTGTCTCAAACTCGGGAATTGAATCCTGGAGACGAGAGAACATCCTCCGTACAAAGTCGGCCGTCAGCTTGATGTAGCTTGGGTCAATCCACCTCGACTCGACCTGGACATAAAGCAGCTCGACCAGACGCTTCAGAACCTCCACATATGTCATGTCTTCTAGATCCACGACGTTCCCCTGACTGTCACGACCAAACCATGGCTTCTGGAAGTCGTCGTTCAACCGTCTGATGATGTAGGGTTTCAGTTTCTGCAGCTCCTCCAGTCGCTTGGGCTTGTCTTTGATGCTGAAGATCTTGTCATCCATTTCTCGCCACAACAAAACTCCACGTGTTGCCAACTTGTGGATAGGTTCGCCCATCTCAGACTTGACTGTGATCACACCGCCTGTCGGCTTGTGATAGCTCTGTTCCCAAGACACTGTATCGTCAACGCCCGGTGCAGCCACAATTGCCTCCTTCGCGCCTCGACTGGTCTTGGCCTCTTTGGCAACCATGATACGACTGCCGAACAGACATCCATCGAAAGGCATTGCCGGATAGCCCAGCTTGACGGACCAGATGCCCGAGAGATAGGGGTAAGTGTCGTCGGCGCCGCCAAAGCCACTGCCCGCCAGAAGCACAATATTTGGACACCTCCTGATTCGCCCATATAACTTGAGGATGGGATCGTGGAAGTCTTCATAGGAATGGTGTCCTCCACCTCGGCCGCCTGTCCATTGCAGCAGAATTGGGTAGGCAGGGTTACTTCGGGCGATGGTGATGACCTGGTTGATGGCGCTGGTAGACCCTGGCTTGAAGCATATATACCGCAGATTGAGGGACTCAATATACTCCTTGGCTACATCCACCGAAGGGACGCCGGCCCCAAAGGTTAGGCCGTCGATGGGGACACCTTCAGACCTCAGCTTGCGTATCAGAGGGACCTGCCATTGCACTTGCTTCGGGCTGGCATAGATGACATTGATGCAGATTCCCTTGCCCATTGGTATGGTTCGTTGCAGGTTCTTGATGGCGAACGTCAACTGTTCGGCATTGTGATAGCCGCCGCCGGCCAATTCGACATGATACCCGGCTGAGATGACTGCGCTGACGAACTCCCAGGAGGCGGTCGTGGGCGTCATTCCGGCCACCATCAGTGGCGGCAAGCCAAGCAGTCTCGTCATTGCATTGTCGATCTGCAAGTCTCCTTTCCAGGACCTCACCAGTCGGGGTGCATATGCCTGTTGCCAATTTTGGCCCCAGCTGAGGCTCTCGACATCAGTCCTGAAGATTTCCGATCGATAACCAAACTCTGATGAAGTGCCTTCCAGAGTACCTGCCAGGATCACTCTCACACCAGTGCCCTCCTTGTTTCGGTGAATTAAGGCCCCGACACCCGACAAACCGCCCGGACCAAAATCCAGAACATGAGAGGCAGAGGGAAATCTGGTGGATAGCGGCCAGTCGTCTCGCTCGACGACTACCATGCGGATCAATGATGGCACGACATCTTCCACTCCGCTCTCACGGAGATCATCTCCCGTCTTACTGTGGTAAACCGCGGTGCGGAGCTCTGAAGGAGTGATGGCAATATGTTCAAGGTCTTTGGTGGCCACTGAAACGGCCTCATGCAAATACGATGTATGGAAAGGGGCAGTGATGGGCAGAAACCTGACCGTGAACTCGGGTTTTCGTGACGAGAAGGGGAGCTTGTCTTGATCGACGCCCGGCGCGGCCTTGACCTTTCTGAGATACGCGGTCAAGGCACAGAGCGAGAGCACGGGGCCTGACACGACGAAGTTGGCCGGCCCGTTGATCAGCGCGATGGACACCCGCTGATGTGGTTCTAGATAGCCGTTCACGCCGTCGATGAATTTCTGCAACTGAGGCTCCCGACACCCAGTGACATTGAGCATCGGCGTGGGGAAGCCCTCGCTGTTATTGACCGATTCGGTGGAGACACTCGAAGGGACCGCGACTTGCGGAGTGGCCTCTTGTGCCGCCGAGCCGATATGGAACAGCAGTGTCAACGCATTCCCCAGGACAGTGTAGAAGGACTCCCATGTGGTGGCTGTTGCAATCGCCGCCGCGACCACCACCCCTTGAGAGTGGCCAGCCATGCCTGCAAACCGCTCGACAAGCTCGCCTGGCTGCTTCCCCAGCACACGACACACGACAGCATAATTCGCCAGCTGGATCAAGCCGATCAGTGGAAAGCTGACGGGCGCCGAGAGCAGGTATTCCGGCACGGGCGTGGTCTCGGGCCGTCGCAGCCACTGCAGCACGTCCAATCCATGCGCGAACTGCCGCAGTCTAGTGACAGTGGCTGTCGACAGTAACGAGTGCAGAGTTTGACTGGCCGCCGCTACTATAGGATCGACAATCTCCGTGTACGTCGAGTACAGAGAGCGCAGTTCGGAAAAGTAGTCGGTCGTGTTCCCCTGGCCGCCAAAGACGGCATATACTTTGACACTGGCAGCGACGCTACCACTGGCATTCCGAGAAGAGTGAGACCTTTCTTCGCTGCTGTTGCTGTTGTTGTCACTGAAGAGCGCAGACTCCTGCTGCGCCCCAGGCGACTTCAGATCCCCCGCGACCGCCGTGGCCGCGAAATACGCCCTGATCACCGATTGCCGCTGTGCAGCGCTCCCCGGCAGCCGCGACGCCACGATATGCACATCCTGCCCGCGCAGAAAGTCCGACTCGACCTTGCTCAGCAGGAGAGCTATGCATTCCTTGTGCGCTGTCGACGGGGCCTCCACCCAGAGTTCTTCATGTTCGACCAGAAACAGTAGGAATCGGGAGACCAGCTCGGTGAGGGACGATGGTTGAGGTTGAGGTTGAGGTTCCGGTTGAGTTTGAGTGCCATTGTCATTGTCATTGTCATTATCATCTTGGCCTTGACTTTGACGTTGACGTTGACCGCCCCCGTCGCTGTTCGATGATAGTGACGCCACAAACCGATCTCTAGCCCGTGCAACGTAGAAGTGTGATGAAGAGGGTATGTTGAACTGATACTCGTATTTGCCGTGCGAGATTTCCAGCAGACGCAGAGAATATGGCGGAGTGTGAGTGTGGGTGTGGATCATGCTGAAGCGGGATGAGTCGTCTGTGGTAGGTTCTGAGGAACTCATTGTGGCATTCTTTGCTGGTGGTGGTGCTGCTTCCTCTTCTCTTCTTTTTTCTTTCTCTAAACGGTATTTAGGTGGTAAATGATCGAAACACGAAGAGCGTGTAATCCCTGGCGTGGTTGCTATATCGACTGTATAGTGTAGTGTAATGAGCCTGAGAAGTAGTGCTGTGCTTTGCCAGTGATGAGGATCGTATATTGAACAACAACAAAGAGTTTGAGAAACAGTTCCTCCCGTGCTCGTGCTCGTATGGTTCTCGTGATTGAGATTGAGATTGGGAGTAGGATTGTGATTGGGATTGGAATTGTGATTGCGACAGTTGGAAGAAACCTAACAACCGAGGAAGGCAATGTTCATCCACTGGCTGGCTTACTGTAGTCTGTTCCTTTGTCCCAAGCTGCCTCGGACACAAAATCACTGACTGACTAGCAGGCTTACTCTCCGATCGTGTGATCGTAGAAGACAATCAAGTCAGGTCGGTAAGATCTACCCAGGTACCTGATCTCTCGGTGCGGAGCGGGGGCCGGTTCCCATGTAGATAGATAGATAGATACCGAAGCAAAACCTAGAGGGGGCGACAGAGGTTGAATCTCCAGAAGATACACTGGCGAGGGGCGACAATGGGATGGACGGATAGCCAAGGGGTGGCACACTGACAACTGACTGGACTGCAGAGTAAGAGGGAGACTCGGTTCAGCTTTCTTTCTCGCGCCGTCTTGTGGTGACCACTGACCAGCACCAGCACTAGGTCGACAGTCGACTCGATACATCTTACTCGGTGACTTGTATCAGCCAGCCAGCCTAAAATCTAGCGTCTAGTATCAGCATCCAGCATCAGCACGATGGCACCTGAGTTTGATGGTGTGGATCGTGGATCGTGGACACATACATGTGGACATGTTGACATGGCCCCCATGCTCGCTCGCTACCCCATGGCGTGGTAGCTCAGCTGCTCAGAATATGCCTACCCTACCCTACCATACCTTACCTACCTTACCTGCCATGGTATAGGCAGAGGCAAATGCATGTCTGCGTCTGTGTAAGCACAGTGTCACAACCAAATAGGTCATTCATTAGGGGGCCTGAATCTATATTGAGGAGGTTGAGATAAGTATGGGACTAGTATGATGCTAGTACGGGGCGGTAACGGCTTACATGTACCTAGGAATACCTAAGGTAACGTCTCTTTCGGTATTGTATTGTATGTAATACCATACCGTATCGTAAAATGGGGATGGTTGAATACGGTACCGTACCTGACCTGACACAACTACCAAAACACACCTTAGGTACGCACACATACACACACACACACACACACAGAGAGAGAGAGAGAGAGAGAGAGAGAGAGAGATATGAGGGGCAAGGGATTGGCTTCGGGCTACACACAAGTGCACGACATGCCGTGCATGTGCTATGTTGCTAGAAATGACAAGAGTCGATGGATCATCAGTGGAAGAGGTGACTTGTTGCATCTGTCCGTCCTGCTACAGTGTAGGTAGTGTGCCAATACTGACATTTTCCTTCTTCGTCGCAAGTGTAGCAGACCAACTCGGGTACCTGTTGACTATCCCCGAATGATGAACTACGTTAGGTACTAAAAAATGTATGTTGGCGTCCTATGAACAAGTTACAATACTAGAATCTCAGTTGAGGAATGGACATACACAAGGTACCATGGTCGTCATGATTTACATAGACACCACACGATAACAAGTCATAACTCCCCGACAACTAGAAACCACTCTTATGTACAAAATCACAAACTGTTAGGCAGTCTCACAGCCGGATCCAACAACACCTTCATCTCCTCGCATGCGGCATACGGCGGCTTTTCCTTGGCCACAAACACCGAGTTGTTAGACAAGCCTTCATGGAAGCTGCGACTGGCCTTTTTCTCCCGGATCCTGAGCCGTCCTTCGTATGCCCGGAAGTCGTCCCTCTTCATAGTGGCGTAGAGATATTTCGGATGCACGCCGATGACCTGTGCGCCCTTCTGACCGAACCCGAAAGACGTGACCGAAAAAGCCTTGATTTCCTGCCTCTTGACGCCTTTGTTCGGATAGACCAAGAAATCAAACTTCTCCAGAGCATCCTCGATATTGTCTGCGTTGCGGTTTCCAGGCACCAGCCCGCTCTCCATCATCTGGAGACAACCGTTCAGCATCCATGCGCCGGCCGGGCCCTTGGGATGACCGGTGACCGATTTCTGGAAAACGCCGGCCACGACATTCCCTTTCTTCCGGCCAAGGTGTTTCAATTGTTCTTGCACCACGGCCGCCTCGTTCTTCTCGTTGGCCTTGGTAGACGTGCCGTGGAAGGAGATGACGTCGATGTCGTCGACGCTCAAGCCCCAGACCGCGAGGGCGCCACGGATCGGCGCTATCGAGCTGTCATGCACCCAGAACTGGTTGCCGTACGTGTTGAGAGCTTCTTTCTCGTCCCGCGTAGAATCGGAATTGATGCCGCAAATGCGTTGCTCGCGATACTCGTCCAGGTTAATGTCAACGTGTTGGAGTTTCATGTTCTCTAGTTCCTCTTCGAGGTAGGATAGCTGCAATTCGCGCATCTCCTTGGCTTGGTTGAGTCTGGCTCTCAGAGCCCGCTTCCGGTATGCCACGTTCATCAAGGCGGACTCGTACTTGTGATGCTGCTGGATTGCGGAGCCTAGAATCCCACGCCCGGGCGCAGGCAGTGATCTCCCAGCCTTGTCCATGGCGGTGTTTGTCAAGGCCACCACTCCATAGATCGGCAGACCCATCTCCAAGGCTAGACTGGCAGAGGTGACTAGCTGGATCCCCGCGCCTTCGGATTCCACGAATCCTTTTCTGGACGATGTCGCCGGCCGGCTCATCTCCTTGGGCTCGCGGCCGCGAAGGGCGTCTTCGTCCGCGTTGATCGTGGCTTTGAGGTTGGCGAACTCTTCCGAGATCTCTTTCAGCATGTCGTCAAATCCGCCAACCAGACATGCCTTGGCCTTGCCGTTCACAATCAGGTCGTATCCCGTATCCAGTGATTCGATCGATGTCGCGCACGCCCCGACCGGCGTCTTGTTCGGCCCCGCAGCGGACAGCAGGAGCATGTTGATCCATGCACTCCCGGAGTTGATGAATGATTCGGCCAGAACATCGTTGGACGCCGGAGTATCTTGGTATCGGCCCCGGAACATCTTGCGGAGGCTGGCCGCGCCTCCAAAGCCCGACCCCACACAGTTGGCCACGTCAGCAACGTGGATGTACTGGTACAGTTCGTACGGATCCAGAATCCCCGCCGTCCGGAGCGCCTCGGCCGCACACACCAGACCGTAGAGCGTCACAGGGTCGACCTGGCTGATGATGTCGTCGGGGACACCGTAGGTTCGTGCGTCCCAGCCCGTCGGAACCTGTCCACCCACGGTGTGCTGGGTGCGGAGCAGCTTTGGGATCATGATCCTCGCGCCCTTCTTGAGCGTGACTTTGACCTGGCCTGACTCCGGGTTTGGCGAAAGGTGGACATGTTCGCCATGCGCCCTCTTCAAGTCCAGCGCGGCGTCTTCAGAAACCTCAAAGGGTTCGTGATCCTTCGATATCTCAATCTCCTGCAGAGACTCCCTTGCGTTCCAGAGCGGACTGTCCTTTTTGGGCTCCATGAGCCGTAGTCCGGCGTGCTTGAGCATGTGTTTTCCATACTTGTCGGAGATGCCTTGATCCGTGATCGGCTTCCCCGTCTCCTTGTCAAGCCAACCTGCATAGGGCTGGCCGTCGACGATCCCAGAGTGTGCCTTGATCAAACCCATGATCCAAGCAAGTTCGATGCACGACTCGGTGGACAGGCGCCCGTTTGCTTCCATGTCCCACCGAACACGGGCATTGCCCCAGGGGCCAACCTCGGCGAATCCAGCGATGACCACGACTCGATCGAGGTCGACCATACCCTCCAGCTGCTCGGCCAGTGGCGCCACTTCGGTCTCCCAGCTTGGCAAGTCAGGAAAGCTGAACTCCAGGTTGGCTTGTCTTTCGATCTGGGGTTCTACACTCTTTGGTTGAGCATCAAATGCAGCCTCCTTGGACTTGGATCGACATTCCTCGCTTGTCTGGTTGATTGAGTTCCGAATGTTTGTAGTCACGTCTTTGAGGTTGGCCACGCCGCCCATGCCTCCGCTCAAGTCAGCCACCAACGGGTCCGTCTCGGACAGAGGCAGAATGGACGGGCTCATCAAAGTGAGGATGTTGAATGCCATTTCTTTCTGAGAATACGTCCGCATCCCGAGCTTCTCCATCCCTTCTGCCACAATGTCGTTGTCAGACATGAGCGCTGTACCTCTGGTCCATCCGATAATGGCTCCGCATATTGTAAGATACTCGCTCCAATTTTCGGTGCGCCACTTTTCGAACAGAGACTCCAAGCCAAGTTTCGACTCGGCGTACAAGCCGTCGCCGCCAAACATTCCGTGATTGGGCGACAGGGGTAAGATGACCTGAGCAGGTCTGGTCATGATCCGGTGAGACTCTTTCTGTTGTTTGACGAGGCCCAGCAACCGTAGCGTATTGGTCAACATGAGCCGATGGGCCAGTTCGGATTTAGAATCCAACTTGTCCATTTCTCGCCCGACCTCTGAGATGGCGGCGAAGGGAACGACATAATCGAGATCCGCGGCCAACCCATCTTTGGCGTAGATGAATTGCACCAGGGCCTCAATGTCTTGAACGCTGGCTTGGTTGCAAGGTAGCAAAACGAGCTTCGATCCTCGGGCACCGTACCTCGTGTACACGTCTTGATAGTATTTGGTGACTTTGGGAGAGTAGGAGCTTGATGTCACTATCACGTAGGCGCCTGCTTGGAGGACAGATCGGACAAGCTCCGCTCCGATGGACCCTGCACCTGCTCCAGTGATAAGGACCGTCTTTTCGGCCAGAGTAATGCCGGATGATTCGGCGTCTTTGAGCGATTGATGCAATTTGGAAGACAGGGATGCATCGTACTCCCACCTATCCAGGCCTTTGCGCCCGAGTCGAATGTATTTGTTGTCTTCGTCGGTGTCTGCAGACCTTGGCCGTTCTTTGTAGACTATTTTCCCAGTTTCGTCAATCACCGTGACTGGAGCCATGGAGTTGGAGTCAGGGTAAGCAGCAGGCTTGTGCTTAGAAGATGCTTCGCAATCGCTCTGTAGCTGTTTGAAGATCTCCGCTAGGTCACGATCCGTAGTCTGGGATGCTAAGAATTGTAGGGCGTCAATCAGTCTTGGATGCGACCGGTTTTGCAGACTTCGCTTGAGGAGTTGGTACTCTTGGTCTCCATCCCTGAGGCGGTCGATCCGAACCTTTGAAACCAAGGTCAACAGATCCTGTAGCGCCCAATTCCACCAAGAATCGTATGTTCGCGTCTTCAAGGCCGAGAACATGGGTTTGATGCCGGAGGCGTAGACCTCTCCATGTTCCGCATTCCAGAGATCTAGCTGGCTTTCGAGCTCGGCAATCCGCTGTCGCAAGGCGGCTACAGCCACCTCGGAGGCCTGCAAGTCCAGGCCCAGAAGCCTGGAATAGATGTTGAGTTGCTCTGTGAAACCCGTTTTCTGTTTGGCCTCGAGGAAGTCCAGGGCTTCCGCACTGATAGTGGTCTGTCCAGCAGATGTCGCACCGGCGTTGGACGTATCTGGAAGCTGGAGACCGTTCTTGGCGATATAGATCTGCGCAACGCTGTCGAGGAAGATCTTGGCCTCGTCCTCGTTCTTCAACCTGAAGTCCGGTTGCGAAGTGACGGCCCACAGAAGCACGCTGTCCTGTCGTCCTGGTCCGAACCCCCACCGCTGTTTGAGATGCTTGCGGATGCCGGCATTCTGGAAAGTCCCCGGTGACTTCTGAGATATCATCTTGTCGATCAACGAAGCCGATTTCTTCCCGAGCCTGCCGGAAAATGTTGCCTGAAGGCTGGCGCATAGCGCGTCGAGAGGAAGGTCTTCAGCTCCTTCGGGGATCGTATCAAACTCGGCGGCGAGGTCGCCGATGATTTCATTTTGGAGCGTTGACCTGCCTCCTGCTAACGCCTTGATAGACTTGGACATGTCAAAGCCATCGAGGGGCTTTTTCATCCCTACTGACGTGATCGTAGATACAATATCCACCACGCTGGCCGGCGCATCTTCAACTTCTTGCGTCGGTGCAGGTGTGGTGTTGGGAGGTGGGGATGTCGCCGGCGGTACAATGGAGCCTTCCGGAGGAGGAGCAGTAACTGCTACGCTCTTTACGGGCTCTGAATTCGACTGGAAGGACTGTGCCTGGCGCACTTCCGGCGGCTGCACGAATTTCTGGTCGTAAGAGATCTTGTCGAAATTTTGTTGGAAAGTCAGTAATTGTCTCGACATATTCTGCGCCGTGTCTTTCGATTCGTATTTGAGCCCGATGGTCCGCTTTGCCATATTCACCAGCGTATTTCCGGGGCCCAGTTCGATTATGCGCTCGGTGTTTCGAGACCCAAGAAGCAAATCCTGCGTTTGAATCCATTGTACCGGGTAACAGAATTGATGCGCTAATAACTCCACAAGGAGAGTGCGTGCCACAAACTGGTCTCGTTTCGCTGAAAGATCCATGAACATGGTATCCTCGGTCGTCTGCATGTTGGCTGTTGGACAGGCCGGACGTAGATGAAGATAATCTAGATAGCTCTAGAGACCATGTGCTGGATCGCAACAACGCTGAGATATTGAAGAATGCGAAGTAAGACTCCGCAGCTTGTTCCACGCGTGAATGCCGGTCGAGGGAAGATGGCGTACTCGACTACGGCCAGGAACCAGGCTTGTCCAAACCAACTATAGCCCTGTAAGTTCAGATGAGGAGATTCCCTTGTACCCAGGTGAAGTGAGTTGTGATACGATGGGAGGCCAGACAGTGGTTGAAGATCGAATATCCTTTCTTTCAATCAGAGATGATGCTGTCTTTCGTCCACTGCCGACCTCCAATTACTGGGGCGTGTAAATTCGATCTCGACCTCGGCCCAAGGAGCTGATCTAGTTAGTCTCAATTTGTGTCGCGATGGGCCCCAACCACCAAGGGGTTCGTCCATCGCAGGTGGACAGATCAGTCTTTCGAAGGCTGGTGCCATGTCGTAGGGGGCCTGATATCAGCATGTGGCTGCTTACCACAGATTTTGACAGCATATTGGTTATGTTACAGTAGAAGGGGGCGTATTGGAGAGGGGAAATCCGAATGACCACGACGTTGGGCCCCAGGGCCAAAGTACCTACCTTGCAAGCTCCATGTCGTGTTGAATCGAGTACAAGGCGTTGAAAGGAAAAGTGTCAGACGGGATGAATACCATGGATTAGCACCTGCCCCCTCTTAGGCATAGTGCGGTACCCAATCTCCACATGGCGGTATCTGGTTTCAATGTACCGTACCGCCCCCAGGTTGAGGCTTGTAAAGACGTCGAGATAGTTCGACAGGGATTTGTAAGGGCGTCGTACATCGCTCCATAGTATATTCTTCCAATGTACTCTGGCGAGACCCTTAGCCTCAGTTGAAATAGAACATGTCATATTTAGAGCTGCAGGCAAAATGTGGAAACGCTACGTGGCGAAGCTGCGCTTGAAGATAGTCTGCTTACCTGGTATCTCCGAGCTGTTCGCCCTCTTCAGAGGCTGACGCTGGAGGTTATTGCGGCTGCTGGAAGTGGAGGAAAGATTGAAGCCCTCAAAGTAATATAATATGCTAAGCATTCGGGGCTTTGTCAGGGCTATCAGAATGAATTTGTCTGACAGAATCTATAACGAAGGTCAAATCAGGTTGGTGACTGTTCATCATGACTGTAGCACTGCTTACTTTGTTGTATGACCGACATTTTAACATGTTGGCAAGTCCTCGACCCAAATTGAGCCGCATCTGGGCCCATCGCCTAGCGGCGTGTCATCGCCACGGATCCCTGAGCAGCTCTGCTGAGAAAAGACCATTTCGAGAGACAGGCTGAGGCCGAGGCTGAGGCCCAAGTGCTGCCACCACACTGAGGCGCATGTGGTCCACTTCATCACAAGCGCACCAATGCTTAGGTCACTTCTCGCGTGAGTGTCGAGAATGGACTTGTAGATGCTGATCGGTTCAGAAGCTGCTGGACAATATCTTTTAGCCACAAGTGACCCGACTGATCGGTGTTTGGTGCAACAACCTGGATTTCGATCTTCCAATTTCATACAATTCACTGTCGCTGTCTCGCAGCCAACACGTTCAACATTATCGACGATCGTAGCATTGCAGAACAGTTGGATCGTTTGTGCAAGATGGGTCTTGTCTTGTATGCAGTTCAGAGCACTTTGCGTGTTTTCTCGATCCTGCCTGTGATTGCCGTTTTGACTGTAAGTCTGAATTTCCACTGCCTCCAAATGCTTCTTTTGGTGCAGATCACTCATTGTCCTCACATAGTTGATAGCATTCTGTGTCCGTCGCATATACTTTCATCCTCTTTCCAAATATCCCGGTCCTCCTCTTGCCAAAGTCACAGATTTATATGCGGCGTATCATGCATGGAAAGGCGACATTCATGTCGACATGTGGCGGCAGCATCGTCGCTATGGTATGAACTCGAAAAGACAATGGGCCATGGCTTCGCTGACTTGAGGGTTCCAGGTCCACATGTTCGTTATGCACCCAACCGGCTGAACATCGACAACACAAACGCGCTCAAGGACATATACATGGGATCGAAAAATTTCCAAAAGAGTCCGAATTATCGCGTGCTCCGCCACGGGGCGGCGAACACATTGACAATGATCAACAGAACCGAGCATGCGCGTCGCCGCCGCATCATTTCCCAAGGTCTATCAGACGCAGCCCTCCGGTCGCATGAGCCTACAATCATGGCGCACATCAAGAAATGCTTCGATTGCCTGACTGCCACCGACGAGCGTGATCTAGGGCTTGAGCAGCCGATGAGCCCGATGAGCCAAGCTTACGGGCCAAGGGACTCGTGGACACCGCCGCGAAATATGTCGAATTGGTTCAATTGGCTGACGTTCGACATCATGGGCGACGTGATTTTTGGTATCAGATACAACCTGCTCACATCGGCAATCCACCGTCGAATACCAGAAGCAATCGAGCATTCCAACGTTCGCGTCAGTGTCTTGCTCCAGAGTCCCATCATCCGCCAAATTGGTCGCATTGACCGTTGGCTTTTCCCAAAGGCGATTGGCGCTCGGAACCAATTTCTCACTTTCGTTGGAGGACTAGTCGACCAATGCATGAAACCGGAATGTACGCCAATCGCCAGGACGGTGGTCTCCATCTTGAGGTCGTCGCATGATCCGCTCACTGGGGATAAATTGACGGCCCGGGAGCTATTGGCAGAGAGCACCACCCTTTGTGTGGCAGGCGCAGACACTTCATCCACTGCACTCGCTGCCATTTTCTTCTACCTGTCTCACACCCCTCGCGCCTACCAAAGGCTGAAGAGAGAGGTCAGGGATGCATTTGAATCCGAAGACGAGATCCAGACAGGTCCGACGTTGGCCAAACTGACCTATCTGCGAGCGTGTATCGACGAGGCGCTGCGCATGTCGCCACCAGCAGGGTCTTCCTTGTCCCGTCAAGTGCAGGCAGGTGGTGCTGTCGTCGATGGCAGATTCTTTCCAGCGGGGGTCGAGCTGGGCGTGCCGATCTACGGAATCCAACACAACTCGGAGTATTATCCTGCGCCCTTCGAATATCGGCCGGAGCGGTGGCTAGAAGGCGAATCGGGCAACACAAAGGAAAGCGTGGAGCGAGCGCGTTCGGCGTTCTGTCCTTTCTCCGTGGGCACACGAGGCTGTGTCGGAAAAGGCATGGCGATGGTGGAGCTCAGTCTGGCCGTGGCATACGCGATCTTCAGGTATGACTTCAAAGCTGCCGACAATGATGAGACTCTGAAAGGATGGGGATTCGCGGGCGAGTTCCCGCTCGAGGACCATATCACAGGGTCAAAGATGGGCCCTATGCTGCTGTTCAAGGAGCGCGACATACTGAACTCACCGGTGCACACACGGCCGAAGATGCAGCTGCCCAGAATTGTCACCCAGTTACGACCAGGAGTCCGGCCTCGTTCTGCGAGCTCGCCCGCGATTGATTTTTCAGCAATGTGGAAGAACGAGCGGTAGCAAAGGGCTGGTGTATATAGGGACTGTAGCGTGGCATGAGAACCATGAACGAGTAAATGAACCTATCTCTTCATGCCCGGTTACACGCGTGTGATGTTTTATCAGGTTCAAGTTCAGGTTGACCGTTCGGTCGGGACGCGCACCCGCGACGCGTCGCGTAGCCACGTGACTGAAATCTTGGCGCGACGCACCGCAACCTCAAATTGAACATCAGCTCTAACGTTCAAGGTGCAACTTCTCCTCGCTTCTGACCATCCTCCGCGAAAGACAATAGGCAGAGAGACCTGGAGACCCTGGTAATACAGCCACCGCCACAACGATGCTCAAGGCAAAGTATGTAGATTCTCCAACCAACGACTACTCGGTACTACTGCTGCAACAGCCTCAGGGACCAGAGACGGCACTGACCAGGCTAGAGATACAAGGTGAGGAAAGAGGTAGGACTGACTCAGGCCTTTTCGGCCGCTTGCCCCTGTCACGTGGAATGTATCAATTTTGAAGAGGTCTACGCTCTGCAGAGCAGTGCTTACTCAACAGGTCCAAAAATATCACAATCAGGGGCGGCAGCCTCGCGTCAGGCCGGCCACAATAAAATGCGGCCCAACAACGGGAGCTATCGCCTCCACCTGGCTCATCATTGGCCCCGAGGCACTTTTGCGCTACCGTCACCCGTTCTAGCTAGTTTACCCCAATCAATGTTAGGGCTGACATGTTCCTGGACAGTCGGCCTTACTGCTCACCTAGTTTGCCTTGAACCTTGTTATCCTTGTCATCCTTGTCAATATGGTCATTACATTCCTTTCGAGAATTACCATCCACTGTACCATGCCTGTATGGTATGAGTGCTAGGTACCTCTACCTTGGGACCGGTCCCGCAAGCAGATCCCAGGCCTTTGCATGATGTTACCGCTAGTGAGAAGGTCTAGGGGCCATTGTGGCACAAGCTGAGCTTCGTTAGGTCTTACGCAGAATCTCCTGTTCCCTCGGCTGGCAATGCGAAATCCCGTGCACGCTGCCCGCAGCCTTGCTGGTGGACTGAAGCCACAAAGACCTTCGCGATAACAACAGATCGATATTGCTGTGTTAGTTGATTCCACGCATAGGCACTGTCTTGCACGCCCACCTCCAGACTCCAGTCTTCGTCGCTGTTTGGTCATCTTCGCATTCGCGATCACCAAACCGTTTGTACAGCATATGCCGCAATATCGCGAACACTATCCCCTTCACTCACAATTTCTTTGATCCGCGGCAGCAACTTCGTGACGCGCAAAAAGCGCATAGGTAAGATATGAGTGCCCTACTGACCTCTGAAGCAGCAAAAGATGGAGTGGAGTTCTGGGATCGTTGGCAGGTCGAAGCCGAACCCTGCGTTTTCCCTACACTTGTCGACACAACCCGAGCAGCGGCAGGTACTGCACGACTGTCTCTCCCCATTGAACCAGGGCTCTTACCACGACTGCACAATGTCAGTGATCAACACATCTCGAGTTCTGAGCTCGTGCTCGCTGTTGCCTGGGCATTGGTTCTGAAAATCTACACCGGAAACGCAGCGGTGTCATTTGGTTTGACACACGAGGACAGCCAAAACGGTGCCGCGACACTTTGTTCAGCTTCGCTAGACAGTGCCGACACAATCCCGGCAATCTCAGAGGCCGTTAAGCAAAACCTGGAGCAGACAAGGCCATTTCGAGCCGCAAAGCTTACTGATATTCCTGCGTTGAAAGCTACGGATGGCCGACCCCTTTGCACAACTGCAATCAGCCTCGGAACTATGCCTATCACCGAGCTTGAATCACCTTTCGATCTTCTAATGGACATTCAGCTGTCCAAAGCAAGTCTCACAGCAAGCCTAATCTACTCAACGTCCTGTATCGAGCAGTCACAGGCACGGGATATTGCCGCCTCTTTCCAGCAAGCCCTCAGTCAAATTATCACGAAACCGACTCATAAATTGTCCGACCTGGATTTGGTGCATCCAGAATCTTTGGCAAAGTTGTTCTCGTGGAATAGCGAAATGCCGAGTCCTGTCGACACATGCGTTGGACAGTTATTCGAACAGCAGGCCAAAACTCGACCAGGCAACATGGCCGTCCATTCGTCCGATGAAAGCTTCACATACGAAGACCTTGATCGTTTGACTCATGCCTTGGCGCATGAATTGCAATCCAAAGGCGTGGGCCCCGAAGTGGTTGTACTTCTGTGCTTTCCTAAGTCAGCTTGGGCGGTGGTAGCGATGATCGCTGTTATCAGAGCGGGCGGAACCATACTCTTCTTCGATGCTTCTCATCCCATGGCACGCCTGCAAGAGATCCAAAGCCAGGTCAAATCGAAAATAATGCTGACCGCTCCAGAATACTCCGAAATGTGGGAGTGGACGGAGGCTGAAGTTGTGATCGTGGACAAGACCACAACTGAGAGCCTACCCAGACCGAATCAACCGCTCCGGAGTTCTGTTACCCCTTCCAATATGCTGTATATTATTTTTACCTCTGGGTCTACGGGTAAACCCAAAGGTTGTGTCATTGAACATCGACAATTCCTCACGGGAGCTTTGGCTCAGCAGAGAGAGTCAGGAATGCTGCACACCGATAGAATTCTCCAACTAGCTTCTTTCACTTTCGACGTCAGCATCCTTGAAGTCATCACATCCCTCATCACTGGGGCTTGCGTCTGCATCCCTGGAGATGCATCGCGCGCCAAAGGGCCCGCAAGCTGCATCCAGGAGTTCGGCGTCACTTGGGCTTTTCTCACACCATCTCTCGTCAAGCTGATGACGCCGGAGATGGTCCCCAACTTGCGATTCTTGGTTTTGGGAGGAGAGCCACTGGGACGGATAGACGTCGAGACGTGGTCTCCGCACTTACAACTGGCGAATGGCTATGGACCGACCGAATGCTCAATCGCCGCAACTGGAAACCCGAGACTACACCTGCAGACTGATCCAGCAAACATCGGATATCCGCTCGGCGCGTTGTGTTGGATCGTTGATCCGGAGGACCACCGGCGGCTCATTCCGCCTGGCGCTCCAGGAGAGCTCCTCGTCCATGGGCCGATTGTGGCTCGAGGCTATTTTGAAGACCCAGCCAAGACAGAGGCCGTCTTCATCGACGACCTCCCTTGGCTTCCAAAGCAGGGCTTTGGTGCATCAAGGCGAATGTACAAGACTGGGGATTTGGCACGATATAACCACGACGGAACTATCAACTTTATCTCACGAAAAGACACACAGGTCAAGTTGCGTGGACTACGAATAGAGCTCGGAGAGATTGAACATCACATTGCTGTGCATCACCTCGTTCGGCAAGCCGTGGTCACACTCCCTCGCCAAGGTCCTTGTAAGAATCAACTCACAGTTGTGATGTCCCTCAAATCGACACATGATGACGAGTCCGGGCAATTGGAGCTTGTCAACGCAGCTGATTCTTCGATCACCAACTCAATAGCGTCCATCAACCAAGACGCTTCTCAGCATTTGCCCGCATATATGGTCCCAACTGTCTGGATTCCGGTCAAATCAATACCTCTCACCGTTTCCGGCAAACTCAACCGGGTTTCGGTAACGAAATGGGCCGTGGATATGGATGAAACCACGTATAATACCATCACTGGGGCAGAAGAATCTCCACAGCCATCAAATCCAACAGAGGAGCAGATTCTGCAGCTTTGCAGCGATGTTCTGGAACTCCCAATCGGCCGTGTCTACCTCAATAGGTCCTTTGTCAACAATGGTGGTGACTCCATTCTAGGCATGAAACTCCTAGCCAGATTGAGGCAGGCTGGAATACACGTATCAGTCAAAGATATGATCGAGAGCAAGACTTTGGTCGAGCTTGCCAGTCGGACAAGTGCTGAGGCGAATCCAGTCGTGCAATCATTTCCTGTTGTCTACGACATGGCGAAATTTCGTGTGCATCTTTTGCCGCATCTGAATCTGCCGGAAGATGAGATTGAAGATGCTTATCCTCTTGGTCCCATACAACGTGGCATCATGTTGAGTCAAGGCCGAGACGTGGCCAACTACGAGCTGCGCATTGTTTGCGAGATCGTAGGTGCTTTGGGTGGTGTTGACATCGGCCGTCTCAAGCAGGCCTGGGAATCTGTGCTCCAGCGGCATTCTTCTTTGCGAACGGTCTTTGTCCGAAGCATTTCCGAAGTTTCGTCCCATGACCAAGTCGTGCTGAAGTCTGCCATACCTCTTATTTCAGTTGTGAGGTGCCAGGATCTGGCCGAAGTGTCCAAACTCGCACGCAGCCACCACATTGTTGCTGCCTCCAATCAGCCACGAGTTAATCTTGTCATCTACCAGACGCCTGATAAGACCTACTGCATGACAGCGGTTGACCATGCTCTTATTGACGGACTGTCCGTTCTCCTCATGTTCCGGGATCTCAGTGCAGCATACTCTGGACGCCTGGACCCACGAGAGGAAATGAAATTTTCCGAATACATCGGCTATTTGCAACAATTGGACAAGACGGACAGTCTACAATACTGGAAAGACTATCTTCAAGATGTGGTTCCATGCCAGTTCCCAATACTCAACGACGACAAGCCTGAGCCACACGAACTTCATGAAGTCAGTGCTCAGTTTCACGCCGGCACTGAACTTCAGGAGTTTTGCCGGAAGCACAACTTCACGGCGTCCAGTGTCATTCAAACAGCGTGGGCCATTGTTTTAAAGTGCTACACGGGCTTGGACGATGTCTCCTTTGGCTATCTATCCGCCGGTCGGGATGCCCCTGTCATTGATATCGAAGATGCCGTAGGGGCGTACATCAATATGCTGATTTGCCGATTGAAGCTGCCAACGTCTAGCAAAGTCATCCAGCTTGTGGAGTCTGTCCAGGACTCCTTCCTCAAAGGCATGCCACATCAACACTGCTCTCTCGCCGAAATTCAACACGAGGTTCAGATACGAGAACCGTTATTTAGCACCATCATGTCTTTACAGAGTGCCGTGGGCGAGGTTATCCAAGCAGCCGAGGGCGAAGGGAACATTGCATTTCGAATCGTGGACGAGGTGGACTGTACCGAATACGACATTTCTGTCAACGTTGCCATCTCTCGTGAATCGATAAATATCAATCTTCGACATTACACTTCAACGATCAGTGACGCCATGGCGAAGAATGTCTTCCACACATTCCAGCATGTGATCACCACTATTCTCCAACAACCCAACAGCGTGTTTGGCGAGATGCCAGTGTTGAGTCAACACGACCAAGAGCAGTTACAATCATGGAATGTGCACGACTGGGAAGATATTCCCGACTGTATTCACGAACAAGTTGCCCACCAAGTCTCTCAAAATCCTGAAGCCATAGCCATCGATGCGTGGGATGGAAAGCTCACTTACCGAGAACTAGACAACTTCAGTTCAGCCCTTGCAGCACACCTGAGCGTACTTGGAGTCGGTCCCGAAGTCCTTGTTCCCCTGAGTTTCAAGAAATCAGTGTGGACACCTGTAGCACAACTTGGAGTCCTCAAGGCCGGTGGCGCATGTGTGGCATTCGACCCGGCCCACCCGCAGAGACGCAGAGAAGAGCTGATTCGACAATGTGGTGCGCGATTAGCGGTCACTGCTCCCGCACACAGAAGCCTTTTTGAAGGATTGGTCGACAATGTTGTGGTAGTCGAACAGTCACTCCTGGACACGCCAAGCCGTGCAAACCAGATCGAGGCAAACTCCAGGACGGCATCACCAAACAATGCTGCATTTGTCGTTTTTACTTCGGGAAGCACGGGGAAACCCAAAGGCATCGTCCTCGAGCACCATGCCCTGGTCACCAGTGCACACGCTCACGGGCCAGCCATGAAATACGGTCCAGGATCCAGAGTGCTCCAGTTTGCGTCATACACTTTCGACGTCAGTATTGGCGAAACATTCACTTGCTTGATGCTGGGAGGCACTCTCTGCATACCGAATGAAGAAGAACGTATGGACGATCTTGCTGGGGTGATTAATCGAATGGATGTCCGCGTCGCTTACCTCACCCCATCGGTAGCAAGTATCCTTCATCCTGACGATGTGCCCGGCCTCAAAGTGCTTGCACTTGGTGGGGAAGCTGTGAGAGCTGAGAATATTGCATTATGGGCTGATAGGCTCTACCTCGTCAACATCTACGGTCCGGCTGAGTGCTCGGTTTGGTCAACTGGCCTTCAGCCAGTTCCAAAGGGAACATCTCCTGCGAACATTGGGTTCGGTCTTGGTGCTTGGATGTGGATCACCGAGATAGGCAACCCTGACAAGCTCTGCTCCATCGGTTGCATAGGAGAGTTGCTTATCGAAGGACCTATCGTCGCCCGTGGTTACCTGAAAGACCAGGAGAAGACAAATGCAGCATTCATCTCCGACCCGGCTTGGATGCCATCCCTTGCAGGGGGTGGAAGCCACAGGCTCTATCGGACTGGTGATCTGGCGCGGTACAATTCAGATGGCTCGGTCAATTTCATCGGCCGACGCGACTTCCAAATCAAGCTCCATGGCCAGCGTATCGAGATGGGTGAGATTGAACACAATATCCTGAGTTATAACGATATAGCCAATGCGGTTGTGTTATATTCCGGAGAAGGTCCCGTGAAGGAGAAACTTGTTGCCGTTGTATCCCTCAAAGAGCTGCCTACCGCATCAGATACCGACGATATCAGATTCGTGGATCTCTCCCGCAGTCACACCGCAGTCGATCAAGTATCTGGAGCCCGTACTCACCTGTCTGAAAGAGTTCCAGGATACATGATGCCCTCGATCTGGCTGGTCGTTGAGGCCATTCCGCTCTCTGTGAATGGAAAGACAGACCGGTCACGGGTTTCGCGTTGGATCGGAAGCCTGGAGTCAATCCCGGGGCAGGAAATCATGTCATCGGCACCCTCAAAAGAGATAAGCCTTCCAACTACTCAGGCCGAGGACAGCATTTGTGCCGTGATAAGCGTTGTGTTGGGTGTCCCTGGTGATGCGATATCCATGGAACAAAGCTTCGTGGGTCTTGGGGGCGATTCAATTACAGCAATGCAAGTCTCGGCCCGCTCCAGAGAAAATGGCATGGCCATTACCGTCAAAGATATCTTGCTAAGCAAAACAATCCGCCAAATCGCCTCAAATGCCAAAGTTGTCAGCCGGAGTGATGCACTGACTGACCGCTCGGGCGACACAGGCGCATTCACGATGCTCTCGGAAACGGACGTGGCATTGCTAGACCGAGAAGCCCAGCAGATTGGTCTGGCCGGCCTCGATGATATATTGGATGGCTATCCCTGCTCGCCCATGCAGCAAGGTATTTTGATCAGTCAAGCCCAGTCCTCCAACAACTACAAGTTCTACGTCATATGCGAAGCGCGCCCATCCTCATCCAACGCGGTCATTACACCGCAACGCCTTGCTACTGCCTGGGAACGGGTTGTGAATCGGCACCCCATTTTGCGAACTGTCTTCGTTGAGAGCGGGTCCGGAGGCGGTGTGTTTCATCAGTTTGTCCTCAAAAATGCTTCCCCTAGGATTGACTTTGTCGATTCATTCGAGGCTCTGACCAAGTATCCCTACACCAATCCTGTCGACTACGAAGAAAAGACGCCGCCGCATCGGCTGACGGTGTGTGAGATGCCCGGGAAAGTCGTGTTCAATCTGGAGATCAGCCACACTTTGATTGATGGCGCTTCAATGGCTGTCATTATGAAAGATCTGGCTGCAGGCTATGAGCAGCCTTTGCCGGCTGGCCCGCCCTATCGTGACTATATCTCTATCCTTCAAGAACAGTCCAAGGAACAGTCTCTGAGCCACTGGAAAACCTACTTGTCAGGGGCAGAGCCCTCGGCATTTCCCGCTCTCAATGATGAGCTCGTCGGCACGAAGACCCTTGAAGCCGTGAAGGTGGCCATCTCTGAGTCTACCACAAAAGCACTTCTCGAGTACTCGCGGAATCACGGTGTCACCTTAGCCAACGTTTTCCAGCTGGTGTGGGCCCTGGTGATTCGCGCTTTCAGTAGCTCGAATGATGTATTATTCGGGTTCCTCGCCTCCGGTCGAGATGTGGCTGTGCCCAACGTCGAGGACGGGGTTGGACCATATATCAATATGCTCGTTTGCAGAGTCGACACTGGGAACCACGTGGTGATTGCCGAGGCACTGAAGAAGTTTCAGCATGACTACCTCGATAGTTTGCCTCATCAGCACACCTCTCTTGGTGAGATCCAACATGCTTTGGGGTTCAACTCGACCGGGATGTTCAATACTATACTTTCACTTCAACGGCCTATGGCAGAAGGCATCAAATCCGACAGTGAAATCAGCATCGACTATCTCCAAGGAAACGATCCGACTGAGTACGATCTGAGCGTCAATATAACCTCCAGCGACAGGGCGATCGAAGCTTCCATAAGCTATTGGAGTACGTTCTTATCCGGCGAGCAGGCTGACCGGGTGGCTGCCACCTTCTCCGAGGTCCTCGGCCAGATACTCGACCAGAAGAGGACGTCGATATCGGAGGTGGATCTGCTAAGCCCGCAGGATCGAGAGCTGCATCTCCTCTGGAACAATAATGCAGTCGCTCCAGCCAAGGTCGAAGAAATGATCCACGAGGACGTGGCTAAACATGCCTCAGACCGTCCGGATGCACCTGCGATCGCGGCATGGGATGGTAACATGACATTCAGAGAGCTTGACGAGATCTCTACAATCTTGGCTCACCATCTGCGCCATCTCGGCGTTGGTCCGGAGGTGAAAGTACCTCTTTGCTTCGACAAATCGAGATTTGCCATCATATCCATGCTGGCAATACTCAAGGCTGGTGGTGCCTACGCCTCCATGGATCCTGCACACCCGATACAACATTTGTCCAACATTGTGCGGGAAACCGACGCGAAATTTGCACTTGCTGGGTCTGCCATATATGCCGACAAATTGAAAGGCATTGTTGATAACGTCGTGCTCGTCGATGCTGCCCTGTTCAAAGAGTTACGCCCGACGACCTCGAGACTAACCGCCACGTCAACTTGTGACAATGCGGCTTTCATTTGTTTCACGTCCGGGTCCACAGGAAAGCCGAAAGCAATCTGCCTGACACATTCTTCCTTTACGTCGATGGTCACATACAACAAGGATATGGGTATCGGTCCGCAGTCCCGTGTGTTCCAATTTGCAGCATACACGTTCGATACCAGCAACTCCGAGATATTTACAACCCTCACTTCAGGAGGCTGTGTGTGTATTCCTTCCGAATCCGAAAGGCTCGATGACCCTGCCGGAGCAATGAATCGCCTTGGAGTCAACTGGACCTTCTTGACGCCTTCGATGGCCAGTTTGCTGACACCCGGCGACGTCCCCTGCCTACGTACTCTTGCCCTCGGAGGGGAACAGGTGCGCGACGATATCGTGAATGTGTGGAAAGACGATGTGCGTGTCATTAATTCTTTTGGACCGGCCGAGTGCACGATCTGGACATCCATGGCGGACCTTGGTCACGGCAACTCGCCAGCAACAATCAGCAGGGGTAACGGCGGCAATGGCTCCCTTCTATGGGTGGCGGACCTTTCGGACACGCAGAGACTCGCACCAATTGGAACTGTCGGTGAGCTACTGATCGAGGGTCCTATCCTTGCCAGAGGCTACCTAGATTCGGAGAAGACAATGCAAGCCTTCATAACTGCCCCGAGTTGGCGGGGGTCGGGATATGAATCTATCCGCATGTACAAGTCTGGTGATCTGGTCAGGTATCACCATGACGGTACCGTCATTTACGTGGGCAGGAAAGACGGACAAGTCAAGCTTAACGGCCAACGTATCGAGATGGGCGAGGTCGAGGCCCATATTGCAGGGAACGATCTAGTACGTTACGCAGTCGTTCTGGTGCCGAAGAAGGGCATCTGCAAAAGAAAGTTGATTGCGGTGGTTGCGCCTTCGAAATTCACCAAGGTGACAATGGCATCTCAGGAGCCACGGACGATTGCAGACAGAACCACGCGTGAAAGAGCATCAGCTCAGCTTTCAGAGGTGAAAGATCAGCTGCGAGGTCAATTACCAGGTTACATGGTCCCCTCAGTCTGGCTCATAGTCGAAGCTTTCCCTCTTACCGCTTCGAAGAAGGTCGACAGAGTCAGGGTGTCTCGATGGGTTGAGGAGCTCACATACGAGACATACACCAATGCCCTTGACATCGAAGAGGAACAGTTTGACGTGACAGATGCGGCCGGGCCAGAGGCACAAATCCAGAAGATCATATCGAGTGTCCTCAATATTCCCGTCTCACAGGTTAATCTCAGCAAGTCCTTTATCAACCTCGGTGGTGATTCAATCTTGGCCATGCAGCTTGTGGTGCAATGTCGCAAAGAAGGCCTCAAAGTCTCCGTGAAGAATGTCATCCGCAGCAAGACAATCTCAGCACTGGCATTGAGTGCTGAATCATCAGTTCCGGAAAACCTCTCACGCGATGAAACGTTTGGTGTTCCCTTCGAGCTCTCTCCGATCCAGACCATGTACTTCTCCGAAATCACGCATGGCTCGACGAAGGCGGAGTTGAACCAGTTCAATCAGAGCTTCTTGTTGAACGTGACGCGGCAGCTCAATGACGACAAGTTCTCCAAAGCTATCGATCAGATCGTCCAGAACCATTCCATGCTTCGAGCACGCTTCCAAAAAGATAGTAACGGACATTGGTCACAAGTGGTTCCTCCCCACAGTGCTGATTCGTACCGCGTCCGCGTGCGCAGTGCAAGCAACCGTGAAGAGGCCTTGTTATTGGCAGAGCAGTCACAAGGTGGGCTTGATATCGAAAATGGACCAGTCTTTGCTGCCGAATTGTTCAATATCTCGCCAAAGTCCCAACTTCTCTTTCTTGTTGCACACCATCTTGTTGTCGATCTGGTGTCCTGGAGAGTCATCATACGTCAGTTGGAAGAGTGCCTCACCACAGGGATATCCCCATCGACCCAGAAACCGTTCCCGTTCAACTCCTGGCTGAAGAAGCAAGCCGAATATGCCCGTGCCAACTTGGAGCCTGAAGCGGCATTGCCATATGCTGTTCCAGCCGCAGACTACGACTTCTGGTCCATGTCCGGCTCCTCCAATCTTCGCGGCGAAACAGAGGAGATCAGCTTCGACATCGGCCCGGGCGATACCGAGCTTCTGCTGCGAGGCTGCCACCAAGCCATGAGAACGGATGCACTTGATGTCTTCCTCGCGGCAGCATTCCAGTCTTTCAGTAGTGTCTTTGGACGGCCCTCGCCTGCGATCTTCTGCGAAGGTCATGGCCGTGAGTCGTGGCATTCCCAAATAGATATCACCGAGACGGTCGGCTGGTTTACGACCATGTTCCCCTTGTTTGTCACGTCCGATAAGAGCCCGGCCATAATCAATACTGTTCGACAAGTGAAGGATCAAAGACAGCAGCTTCCGCGTAACGGGTGGTCCTACTTCAACTCTCGATTCTCCAACAAGCGCGGTAAAGTGGCCTTTGCCGGACATACTCCTATTGAGATTTTGTTCAACTATCTCGGCGTCTATCAAAGTCGGGATCAGTCCACCGGGCTACTACAACCAGAGCCATTCAACAAAGGTGATGTTGGGCCTCATGTCAGGCGGTTTGCATTGATTGAGATCAATGTCTACGTACTGGACGGCCAAGCACATTTCTCCATCATCTTCAATCGCAATGTGAAGCATCAAGACAAGATCAAAGCATGGGCGGACTCCTACCAGCCGACTGTCATCGAGATGGCCAATGCTCTCAAGAATTCCGAGCGGAGGTTGACCTTAGGCGACGTTCCCCTTCTAGCCACGAACTATCAATCTCTCAGGAAGTTCGAACTGGAGCAGCTGCCCCAGATGCAGATTGATGTTGATGGCATTGAAGACGTCTACGCCTGCTCTCCCATGCAAATGGGCATCCTCTTGAGCCAGAACAGACTACAAGGGGCATATCAGATCCAAACCATTGTTGAAGTGTTGTCGGACAGCAAGTCCCAGATCGATGTTGGTAAACTGGGCGCGGCATGGCGGCTAGTCGTTGAGCGTCATCAAGCCCTCCGAACAGTGTTCATTCAGAGGATCAGCGACCAACCTTACGATCAACTTGTGCTCAAGATGCACGCACCCGATATTTCCATCGTCGACGCACCAACGGAAGAAGCCGTTGTCTATTTGAACTCTTTGCAGAATCTTGACTATGCCGCATTTGCGCCGCCACATCGGCTCACTGTATTGACAGGTGGCAATGGAAGAGTGTTTGCGAAACTCGAAATAAGTCATGCTCTCGTGGATGGAACATCGATGAGTATTTTGATATCTGAATGGGTTCGAGCGTATCAGGGTCAACTTGCAAACACTCCGGGACCGTTGTACAGTGACTACATTGCGTACATCAGTTCACAGCGACGAGACGAAGCATTGAAATACTGGTCCAGCAACCTGAGCGATGTCAGACCGTGCCATTTCCCGGTATTGACGGACAACGAGGCAACACCTGCAAGATACCTCCACAACATGCCTGTGCGGAGTCCAAATGCAGCACGCATCCGTGACTTTTGCCAACAGAACAACATTACACTGGCCAGCATCTTCCGTCTGGCTTGGGGTATTGTCCTACGGACGTATACTGGCGACGATCAAGTTTGCTTCGGCTATCTGACATCAGGTCGTGAAGTCCCAGTGGCCGGAATTGAGGACGCCGTTGGCGCGTTCATCAACATGCTCGTTTGCTCTCTCGACTTCAATCGCATCGGCAAGAGGAAGATTGCGGATATACTTGAGGACTTGCAAGACGAATATTCGAAATCTTTGCCTTTCCAACACACTAGTCTTGCCGAGATCCAACATGAGCTCGGACTTGCCGGGGAAACCCTCTTCAACACCGTCCTGAGTTTCCAACGCCGAACTCACGGAGACTTCAAGGAAGGGGACGTCTCACTTCGCTACTTGGACGGCGTTGATCCAACCGAGTATGATATTTCAATCAGCGTCGCCGATAGCGAAGAAGGTGTTCATGTTCACATGAGCTACTTTACTAGCAGGCTTTCCGATGGCCAGGCTTCGAATGTTGCAAATGCCCTTTTCACGACGTTGACTTCAATCCTTGAGACTCCCCAGTCGAAGGTCACGCCCCTTGACCTCTTCGGCGACCATGACGCCGAACAGATTCTTACATGGAACCGACACAACCCTGCTCCTGTTGACCGATGTGTGCACCAGATCTTCCAGGATAATGTCTGCAGGAGTCCTGATGCATTAGCTGTCGAGTCCTGGGATGGAACGTTCACTTACGGCGAGCTTGACCGGAAGTCCACCCAGCTCGCTCATGAGTTGCTTGCGACAGGAGTTGAGGTGAACGAATTGGTCCCGATCCTTTTCGAAAAGAGCGCCTGGGCAATTGTTGCCATGCTTGCGATCATGAAAGCAGGCGCCGGCTATGTACCCTTGGATCCAGCTCACCCAGACGATCGACTTCAAGCCATTGTTGCACAAACAGGTAGCCAGCTCGCTCTGGCATCTGAAGTCTCAACTGGCCGCGCAACACGGCTTGTGGACCAAGTTTTGACTGTCGGTGCTGCCTCCCAAACATGGTCTAGCAAAGCCACGGACGCACCAAACACCTCGGTCACCGTGACCGATGTCGCGTATACTCTGTTTACGTCGGGATCGACTGGTCTGCCCAAGGGCGTTGTCCTGCCACATCTTGCCGTAAGCAGTAGTATCGTACATCATGGAGCAGAAATTGGCTGCAGTCCGGCCACCCGAATGTATCAATTCGCGGCTTACACCTTCGACGCCTGTATCCTGGAAATATTCACCACCCTTGCTTATGGAGGCTGCATTTGTGTTCCATCCGATGCCGAGCGTATGAGCGATATCGCAGGATTCATCAACAGATTACGAGTGAACACATCCTTCATGACTCCATCCCTCATTCGAATCCTGACACCGGAGCAAATACCGACAATGAAGACGCTTATTCTGGGTGGTGAAGCGTTAGGCAAGGACAATATTGAGACTTGGGCCAACAACCTCCGTTTGATGAACGGCTATGGCCCGACCGAAACTTGCGTCTTCGCCGTCATGAAGACTTTCAAAAGCCCCAAAGATCGCAACGATATACTCGGCAAAGCTGTCGGCGCACAAGCATGGATCGTGCAGCTCGACAACCCGAGCCGACTCGCCCCAGTCGGAGCAGTCGGCCTCCTATTTCTGTCTGGCGCGACCGTGGCCCGGGGTTATCTCAATGATCAGGCCAAGACAGATAGTGTGTTCATTGAAAGTCCACCTTTCCTGCCTATGGTCGATGGTGTGAAGGAGCGCGCCTACAATACTGGTGACTTGGCCCGCTACAATGCTGACGGAACAATCACCTACCTTGGACGACGTGACACACAAGTCAAGCTCCGAGGGCAACGGATTGAACTCGCCGAAATCGAACACCACATCAAGGCCAGCTTCGCGGATGCCTCTCAAGTTGCGGTCGAAGTGGTCGAACCACAGGGTCAGAAGGAGCGAGCAACCCTTGCTGCCTTTGTAAGCCTTCCAAACCATCCGCAGAATAGTGCCACGTTCTTCCACCCGTCAGAGGCCCTGAAGAACAAGATCGCCGAACTGCGGAAGAGTTTGACCAGCCTGCTACCGCCATACGAAATCCCCTCCCTATATATTCCAATCAGCACGATGCCCACCACAACGGCAGGCAAGCTCGATCGAAAGGCACTCCGTGATATTGTTTCCCGCCTTTCTGACGACGATTTGAACATCTTCTCCTTGTCCGACGCTCTCAAGCGGCCCCTTACAACCGAGAGTGAGCTGGAACTTGCCAGCCTCTGGCAAGAAGTCCTCAAGATTCCCATCTCCCAGATCGGATCCGACGACAATTTCTTCCGCCTGGGTGGTGACTCGATCATGGCCATGAGGCTTGCGGCCAAGTCTACCGCTAGAATGTCACTTTCTGTCTCAGACATATTCCAGAATCCCGTGCTGTCAGACATGGCGGCAACTGCAGGGACAAATGTTACTCCATTCAGCCTGGAGCACCTATCACCATTTGCTCTTCTGCAGCCGGTCACATCTGTGAAAGACGTTGTGGCAGAATTAGCATCCATGTGCCAAGTCATGAAGGACCAAGTTGAAGACTGCTATCCATGCACGCCTCTGCAAGAAGGCCTGATGGTGTTGTCAATTGTCAACCCTGGAGCCTACGTGGCGCAAAAAGTGTTCAAACTACATGCTTCGATGGACATGGCCAAATTCAAGACAGCCTGGGAGCTGACAATAGCAAATCACGCCATTCTCCGGACCGCCATTGTCCAGACCGCTTCCGGTCACGCTCAACAGGTTCTTCTCAGGGGCGCCTTCACATGGCGATCGGCCGACTCTCTGGAAGAATATTTGCAAAGAGATCAGGATGAAGAAATGGCATATGGCCGTCCACTCTCCCGCTACGCCATCACCAATGACGGATACTTTATTTGGACCGCTCACCACGCTATGTACGACGGATGGTCAGTGCCGTTGATTCTGGAGCAAGTCCGTTCGTATTATGCCGAGTCCACGGCACCGACTACACCAGGTTTCAATAGATTTATCCGGTACTTGTCGGACACAAGTCCGGATACGGCGCACGAATTCTGGAAACAATATCTCTCGGGAGAAAAGCCTCCGACATTTCCAGAACAGCCTTCTGCATCACACCGCATTAAGGTAGATCAGGAAGCCCACCACTCGATGGCGATCAGGCGCAAAGCTGGTTCAGAGGTATCTATGGCAGCTCTTCTGCGGGCAGCGTGGGCTTATTGCATTTCTCAATATGCCGATTCGAAAGATGTCGTTTTTGGTGTGACACTTTCAGGACGGAACTGTCCTGTGCCGGATATCGCACAGATCATTGGCCCTACCATTACGACCGTACCCGTCAGGGTGACTCTGGACGACGGGGTGCCGGTTTTGAGCTTCCTCAAGAACGTTCAGGACCAAGCTACTGAGATGATACCCTACGAACACTTCGGCTTGCAAAATATAGCCAGGGTCAGCACGGAGGCAGCCAACGCCATCCAGTTCCAAAACATATTTGTCGTCCAGCCGAGGTCTCAATTTGACGTCCACCACAATGAGCTTCTCGGGGCAGAGGAAGTGGCAACCCCGCTAAAGAACTTCGACACTTATCCACTGATCATGGAGTGCAGTCTGGACGACAAGGAAGTTCATCTGGAGGCACGGTTTGACAAGTCCATTCTGTCGAATGACCGTGTGGAGGGCATCCTGTGCCATTTTGAGCATGTCGTGCGTCAACTCAATGATGCTTCTGAGACCATGAAACTTAGAGACATCACCATGTTTAGTGAAGGCGACATGACACAGATTCTAACTTGGAACAAGGAATATCCGGAGACACTCAAGACCACCGTGCCAGAGGTGTTCGCGGAGCAAGTGAAAGCGAGGCCAGAAGCCCTGGCTATCGATGCATGGGACGGACAGCTTACCTACGCCGAGCTTGATAGACTGTCCACGACATTCGCTCTTCAATTGATTGACAACGGGGTGGGACCCGAGGTTCTCGTACCTTTGTGCTTCGAGAAATCCAGATGGGCTGTCGTTTCACAAATGGCTGTGATGAAAGCAGGTGGCGGCTGTGTCAACCTGGATCCCGCACATCCCCTCAGCCGACTGGAGCTTATCATTCAAGATGCAAGAGCAACGATCATGCTTGTTGCACCTCAATTCCGGGAGAAATTCAGTGACATTGAAGGGTTGAAGATTGTGTCGATCGACGAAGGCTTCTACAAGATACTAGAAAACAGCCCTGCCAAAGCCGAGCAGCTTCCTGGCATCAAGCCGAGAGACACTGCTTACGTTCTGTTCACCTCAGGCTCGACTGGCCGACCCAAGGGAATTGTGATCGAGCATGGCAGCCTTTGCTCGAGCTCGAAAGCCCATGGCACTGAATGGGACATTGGCCCTGATACGCGTCTACTCCAATTTGCAGCTTATACCTTCGATGTGAGTTGCGCGGATATCTTCACCACTCTACAAAGAGGCGGGTGTATCTGTGTCCCTTCGGAGCACGATCGGATCAACGACCTGGCAGGGGCCATCAATCGATTCCAATGCAACTGGGCATTCTTGACCCCCACGGTTGCCAGTCTACTCCCAGCTCAGGCGATACCCAGCTTGCGCAAGTTGGTTCTGGGAGGCGAGGCAAGTACTAGAGATACCATAGCCAAGTGGCACAGTGTGCTCGACCTTATTGTTTGCTATGGCCCTGCTGAATGCTCTGTGTACTGCTCCGGGGCTCCTCCAGCAACAGCGACAAGCGACCCAGCTGATCTCGGGAAGGCAATAGGAGCCCTGTACTGGATTGCCGATCCGCTCGACTACAACCGTTTGGTGCCAATCGGCTGCGTCGGGGAGCTTCTCCTGGAAGGTCCCATTCTGGCTCGTGGATATCTAGGAGACAAGGAGAAGACGGCCCATGCTTTCGTATCAAACCCTGTATGGGCTAGGGCCGAGGACGGCGCAGCTCCGCGACGATTCTACCGCACAGGCGACCTCGTCCGTTACAATGGCGATGGCACGATACATTTCGTCGGCCGCAAGGACACGCAAGTGAAGATCCGTGGACAACGAGTAGAGCTGGGCGAGATTGAACACGCCATCCGTGTCAATCTGCCTGGTCTCGCCCACGTCACGGTTGATGCGGTGCGACAAGAGAATCAGGGCGGACGACAAGCGGTTGTGGCATTCCTCCACAGGACGACTGTGAGTGGCCCGGCAAAGGTAGCGGACATGGATGACACCCAGAGAGAAGAACTCATCAGACTTCAACGGTCTCTGAGTGAATCACTACCGTCGTACATGGTGCCAACACTTTTCATTCCTATGGCACAGGTGCCACTGACAATGAACGGCAAGGCTGATCGAAGAGCCTTGAGAGACCTCGCAGCATCTTTGAGTCGAGAACAGAGCCTCAAATATGGTCTCGAAGATGCTACAAAGGAGGAGCCAACCACCGCGACGGAATTCATGCTTCGAGATCTGTGGGCTCAGATTCTTTCGGTCGGTCCAGCCACCATTGGTAGAGGCGACCACTTCTTCAGGCTTGGTGGTGATTCAATCGTGGCAATGAAGCTGGTCGGAGCTGCCGCCGAGAAAGGCCTGCCACTCTCGGTGAAGGATGTCTTCCGCAGCCCGGTTCTGTCGGCGTTGGCAGCAGAGCTCGACGGCCGTACCCACTTTATGGCCAACGGAGCAGCTACCTATGAACCGTTCTCTCTCCTAAGCCAGACGCATCCCAGAAAGCTTGTCGAAGAAATGGCAGTGCAACTCAAAACGCCCAAAGCGAACATAGTTGACGTCCTACCTGCGACCGACTTTCAGAAAACCGCTGTGGCCCATGCCATGATGAAAACACGTGGCTTCCGCAACTATCTGTGGCTAGACGGAGTCTCTGACCGACCACTTGACGTCGAGGTGGCCAAAGAGGCTCTGACAAAGTTCGTCGAAGCACATGAGATCCTACGGACTGTATTCGCCCTTCATGAAAACAACATTGTCCAGGTCGTGCTCCAACAACTGGCGGTGACGTTTGACGTTGAGGAAACAAACAAAGACATTGCAGACTTTACGGAGAGACTTTGCAAAGCCGATGCGGCTCTCCCTACGAAGTTGACCGATCCCCTTCTCAAATTCTTCGTCGTCACCCAGGTGGGAAGCAATCACCACCGGATCATAATGCGCATTTCCCACGCACAATACGACGGTGTCTGCTTACCACGAATCTGGCAGAGTCTCCGTGAAGCATTTGAGAGTACGATGTCCCACACACCGTTACAGCCCTATTCGGCCTACCTGCGAGGCCTCTGTTCCATGGACAAGGATGAAGCTCATGGCTATTGGGAAACCCTACTCAAGGGTGCAAATATGACGAATGTAGTGTCGCATTCGAAGCCGTCCTACTCCAACGTCTACAACACCGTCACCAAGCGCGCCATTTCGACACCTTCACTCTCTTCGCACGGCATCACCTTTGCCACAATCCTAAAGGCCAGCTGGAGTATTGTTCTGTCTTCGCTATCAAGGTCGTCCGATATCGTCTTTGGACATGTCGTGTCGGGCCGCAATCTAGACGTCCCAGACATCGAAAAGGTGGTCGGCTGCTGCATCAGCATAGTCCCAGTCCGAGCGACTCTGGACAAGAGCATGACGAATCTGCAGCTTCTCGAAGCCCTGCAGGATCAACACGCCGCCAGTCTTCCGTATGAAGCTGTGGGCAGCCGCACCATTGTTCGAGAATGTACAGCCTGGCCCAAGTACACTAGGATGAGCAGCATCGTGCAACATCAAAACATTGAAGAAGAGAGCACCGTCGACGTCAACGGTACTCGGTACAAGGTTGACTTTTTCTGTCCGGAAGCCGACGAGGCCGATTTAGCTATCAAGACTACGCCCTTGAAGGACGGCACTACCGAAGTGCTTCTGATCTGCTCCGACAGAGCCATCAAGCAAGACCTACGGAATTTCCTGATTGACTCTCTATGCGACACAATCGAGAGTATGTGCGAAGATCCCACCGGAACTGTCAACGACACGACGGTGCACGCGAGCAGCGCCAGCATCAGCATACCTATCGCCATTCATTCGACGCACTTGGGGACAAATGGCGTCACATCACATGCAAACGGTAATGGCTTGATCGGCTCTGTGGCATCGCGCATCCACGGTTGGGAACCCATCGGATCCAACAAGAGCATTCGAGATGAGCTGGTAAAGGCGTGGCGTGCAGTTCTGGGCTTGCCAAAAGACAAGGTCGCCAAGTTAGGAGACGATGACGACTTTTTTGGATTGGGAGGCGATCTTGTCGCGGCGGCCGTGTTGGCTGCCAGGTTGGACATGGATGGAGTGGGGATGATCACGGTCGAGGAGATTATTGATGCGAGTACACTGGCTGAGATGGTCAATGTGCTGGAAAGGAGATCTTGAGGTAGGAGATCATGAGGTAGGAGATCTTGAGGTAGAGGATCTTGAGGCGTGATGATCTCGGTCCTTGTGCGAGGCGTAGGAATGGTCTCTTCTTTTGGAGTATTGCGGGTTTGCAGGGTTCGCACGAAGTTATATTCATTTCTTGGGCGCATGTACAGGATCAGGTTCTGTTTCGCAAGTCGATTCCAGTAGGTAGTCTTTGTAGTTTGATTTAGTTATAGATTTGAAAAATAGATATGTCTATATTCACCTAGTGCAGGTTATGGTAGAATACACCATTTTTTTCCAAGCATGAGAGTGAACGGTAAGAGCATCCTTTATCTATTTTTCCAAGACCTAGAGAGCGTTCACTTTGCAGCCCTACCAAGTCTGTGTCAAAGTGTGAAAGGTCCCTTGATCTCTATCAAAGGGGCCTGGGGAAGGCCCCAACTAAATACACAGAGCAGGGTCGACTTTGACAAGGCTGGAAATGCCAAGTAGGCCTTGGGAGACTCCAACGTTCAACAGTTCCTTGTTCCAGGTAAGGAGGAGGCTGGAGAATGCTCCGTTGTGATGGTCTGAACCTCATAAGTATTGAAGGTGATGGAAATGCTTGAAAAGATTCCTCGATTGATATCAAAGTGGCCTGGGTTCTATGTTGGATGAAAACACAACGTTGTGGACGTGATGGGACTATACAGACATGACTGAGATTACCTAAGGGTTGATACCTGGGTACTTCACTCTGAAATCTGAATCCCCATTCCCATCCTTCGCCATCAATCATGCCTCGTCCAGGGTGGTATGCTCGGGAAAATCTAGATCAATGAATGAATAGATTATAAACAAATGATTGACAAAACAAGTGACACTTCAACTGTTTAGAAAGGGTCAATTTTCAAATGAATTGTCTGACATTCTAGCTATGGGCTGGTCTTCTAGATGGGACTGGTCAACATCCTCAACTCCTCCTCACTCGGCCCTTGGATTCCATTGATAGACAACATATTGAGCTTCGGCGGAGCTTCCTTCTTCTTCTCCGGGAAAGGCACCTCGTACAGCCAGCCATACTGATCCTCCACCTTTCCGCGAATACAGGCGGTGATTCTGGCACCCAGCTCCACGGCCGCCGGCCCAGGCTTGCCCGCGGGACAGTAGACGAACTTGTCACCCGTGCTCTCGCGCACGATGGCGGCGATGGGCAATACACTAGCGGCGGTGCCCACGGCGAGGACTTCACTGAAGTGGGCCAGCTCGGTGTAGTGAATGGGGCGTTTTTCCACCTTGTAACCCAGCGATTTGGCGATGGTTTGGATACTGTCGCTTGTGACGGAGTCAATGACCTGTTTTGAGTCTGGAACGACTAGAGTGGTGGTAGTAGGGTTCTCTTGCGAAATACCAGTTTCGGTATCTTCTTCTTTTTTGGTTAATACACCAATGAATCCCGACGTGCTGAACTCGTCAATGTAGCTCTGCGTAGCCGAGTCGAGATGCAGCGTCATGTAGAACCCCTTCTGCTTGGCTTCGCGCGAATACTTCATGGCGGGCGCATAGTTGCCGCCGATCTTGGCGTGGCCGGTGCCCCGGGTCGCGGCCCGGTCGAACTGCTCTAGGATCAGACACGGCAGGGGCTGCACGCCGTGGTACGTCGTCGCCGGCTGCACGTACACGGCGAACGTGAAGGTCGAGGGCGCCTCGAGCGCCAGCTGCGGGCCCGACGCGAACAGCACGGGCCGGATGTACAGCACCGCATTGGACGACGCGGGGCCGACAAACCCGGCGTTGCCCTGTACGGCTTCGTTGATGCATTGCATGAACAGCTCCTCTGGCACGGGCGGCATCGACACCGTCTCGGCCGAATGTCTCATGCGTTTGGCGTGGAATGACGGCCGGAAGATGGTGATTTTGTTCGATGGCGTGCGTACCGCTTTGAGTCCTTCGTACGCTTGCATCCCGTAGTTCAGCCCGGGGGATAGCCCGTGTACGCGCAGCCAGGGGTCAGCCACGAACCGTGGCGATGACCAGCTGTTCGTGTCGAGTGAGAAGGTTGCTTCGATGTGGCCGTTGACGCTGTCGTTGACGGTGAGTCCTAGTTTGGACCAGTCTATGTTGGCCAGAGGTGGTGGAGGTGCCATTTTAAAGTCGATGAGGCAGAGAACTGTTCTTGGACGAGATGTCGCTATCGCTTGTCGCTGTCGTCTTGCTCCTGTCGACAATTTTGGGTCTGGTGATGTACTGTGACGCCGGCCTCGAAATATAGTCTTTGTAGAGAGCCTGGTCAGTGGTCACAGATGAAGATGTTCACTCCGTCAGTACCGACGCCCGAGGCTGGACCTTGGGTCTTCTTTCTGCCTGAAGTAAGATGTAGTGGCGGCGGATGAACAACCTCACCCGGGCCCGGAGCCAAAACCTGTACCTGTACCTCGACGAGAAAGGATTGGGATTCAGACTGAGGTTTGTTTGAAGCCAGCAGCCGAAGAATGCCCAGCGCTGCTACAAGAGCAATGATATACGTACCTCAGGACGGTCGGAAACAGCCCAATTCTGAATCCGCCCGAACAACCAGAGCCAAGCGCAACGTATCAGTAATTTCAAACACATCCTATTTGGCCCCCATGACCAGAGAGGCTAGGTGAGTTATCATTAGAACCCATTGCGATGGTGTCGACGGGCTTGACTGATCAGACATGCTCACACACCTCAGCTCCTCATTCCGAGAGGGGGCCATTCCTTCAGAATCCTCATTCATATCCAGTCAAGCTTTGCATATCTTAGGGCTTACTCCTCAGAGATAGGGACTTCTTGCCCTCCCTCGACAGAGCTAATGGCCAGCATGGCGCAGGTAGGCACTACACATTCCTTGTCCTACCGTAAGCACGGGGCGTATGTTGAGCTGGATGATAGGCTGACAAGGCTGACCTCGAGCGAAGGATTCCATGGTTATGGAATCTGGAACGGCTGAAGCTGTCGTGAGGATGGTGATGCATGGATGCAAGGATCTGAGATGTGAGATATCCAAGTACCTGGTAGATAGATAGGTATCTTACACAATTAGGCCACCTGCCTTAGCACCCGACATTAGTGTCACGTAAATACGGTCGTACGAGTCATGGTATTGTATGCGCTCGTGTAAGATACCAGACAGGTATTTTTTTTGTATAGTATTGACATTTGAAATGCTGTAAACTTACCAGGGTGGGGCATGCGCCGTAAGGTACCTGTAATCTTGGTTTTATCAACATTACACAGACAACAGGTAAAGTGGTCGCACGTGGCCGCTACTTCTGGTGTTTCTGCTGCTGTTGTTTCGAACCAGTCTTGCTCAAGGTTCTGGAGACCGTTGCCAGGGACTAGGAATTGGGAAGCTGTTTGACATGGTGTTTGGAGAATCCGTGCAGCGGACATTTTCAGATCATTCCACCCTTCTTTGTCCTACCACATACTGTAGTTGTTGCCTGGAAATGTCGAAACGCTGATCCGCAGGTGGGAGACTACGCGAGTTGCTTTGGTCTTCAAGGGTCAGTCGATGCCTGGCCACCCGATTTCCGGGATATGACCTCCATCCGTGGTAGTCTGGTAGATTGTCTCTGCGGTTAGGATCACGCTCAAATAGTTTCCAAAATCTAGACTTTCGTTTCGTTCAATGCTTTTTCATATTCCAGTATCGATTTATAAACTCCAACCATAATGCTTCGCTGATGTCTTGGGCAATCCGACCTGCCTCTGAATTGTCACCCATTGCAGACTGCCATATCACGATGCCCATACTGTTGCGCCGTCTTGATGGCGGAATAGTCCCGACTCAACAGTTGTACAAGCTAGCACTTCTTTCCATCTTGAGTTGTGTAACGCTATTCTCATGGTCCAGTCCAGCTTCTAGGCTCAGGGGCTGGTGGTCCAGGACTGTTCCCTCGGCTGGCCGGAGCGTAGGTTGTATACGACTCTTGCGGAGCCAATCTCTCTTGAAACGGCTCATACCTAGACTCAACAGGCTCCCCAACTCTTCCCCTTGGCATCGGCGATGGTTCTCTAGACTTCAAAGCTTTGAGTTCCTCATAGCTTGCATTAGATGCCAGTCTCTCATGCCCGCCACCACGAGGCTTTCCTTTGCGGTGACAGCAACAACAAAGTTTGCGGCTGAGCCAGCTAGGCGGTAATTTTGACTCGGGACCTTGCATATATCTTCCCGGATGAAGAGCATTCCAGATCAAGATGGCGAAAAACATAGGGACCGCCTCCAGCGCGTAGAAATAACCTTCTTTGTGTGGAAGAGGGTTATCTTCGCCAAAGCCCCGGGAGAATTCGACGAGACGAAAGATGATGCGCGCTGTGATGGCCAACAGGCAGATGTAGAGCGCGTACAGAATCCATCTCCAACGCACTTTAGCTTCTGTCACGAGTCCCGACCGCTGGGCTTTTGTTTGTTCAAGGTGAAACTTGATCACCAGCACCATGAAGCAGACGATGAAAAATTCTTGAAGCCCGATGCCGCCCATGTAGATGTGGACACCCTTCTGCTGTGCTTCTGGAGTGGCTCCAGGGCCGGCCATGCCACCACCAATGAGCTGAATGATGAAGGAGGTAATGTCCAAAGTAACGAAGACAAACGCCATGATAGACGGGCTGATCTTCCAGACCTTCCTTGTAGGCGCGAAGAAATGTACAATGCGAGCGAACACCATATAAGCGAATGCATTGACCCCTTGGAAGATTCGTTAGTTTCCCCAAAAGAGATATCGAATGCAGGCAGACTCACAAATGGGTGCCAGCAGGACCAGAATTTGAGACAGAGTAGCCAAAGTGGTACTTTGCTGATTTCTTGTGCCGGCCGTTCGAAAGCCGTATGATGCGAACTCCCAAAATGAGGCCATCACCACAACCCAGCAGAAACTCTTTTTGTGCGCGATGGCCTGGGCAAGATGGGCGATGAAGAGTATTCCAAAGAGGACCGAAAACACAATCGCGGCGCCAAAAGATGGATAATACTCATATAGCGAACCACACGTTCCTGGAGGTACATAGCCATTTTTGTCCGGTTTGATGGTCTGGGTACAGGTGGACGACGGCAGATCCAGAGAAAGAGAAACATGGCTATATGAGTAGGGTGTGATATGGACGCCAGTGAAAGAAGCTGCTGCTGCACGAAGTTCGAGCGTTGCCGTCGGCGTAGGAGTGGGCGAGGGTGTTGCTGCAGGTAGTTGTTCTGGTAGTGCTGTTTGTGCAGGTAGTGCAGCAACGAGGAGTCCTGCTCCCCAGAAAACGAGAGAGAGAGCACGCCAGGCCTTCATGGTTCCTGCTTGGTCCGTTCAAGCCGATCAGAGCAAAGGTTTGGATATCAAAAACCAGACGTCAATTCTGGTGTTGTGATGAATGAAAGAGTGGTGAGAGTGTCGAGAAACGTAGTGTTGTAGGTATCGTCTTTTTGGGCAATCGCAGAAGCCATGGATGGAAGCTGCCTCCCCCGTCTGCACTGCCATAGGCGCAGAGGAGTCGCAGCTGAGCGCCAGCTGAAGATAGTACGATCCTCCGCCCAGTTCCAAGTCTGGAGGCCTAAACACATGCCACTGGTTCGGGTTGCCGCAGCATATCATGCCGCCGACGACTGGAGGATTCAGGGGAGACGTTGGAGGATGATGCAGGGAATACGAGGTGGAGCGTGACTGTCATTTATTCCATTTGTCTTGTTACTTGACAGACATACCTACAATACGTGACAAACAGGTGTGTCATTTTAGAACGAGTATCCCAGCCTCGTGTCAGACCAAAACTGCCAAATCCGTCGCTGACATCCCCTTTGGGAAACGTCTAGACCCCGGCCCCGTCTCGCATATGGCCCTTGAAACGAGGTTGAGGGTCCACAACTTCGCCCATGCTAATGTCCTCATGTCAGACGAACCCAGCCAACATGGTGCCAACTATACCGGTAAGTATACCGGTAAGTACGTACGTGTTGGCCAGCTGCTATTCTGAACAAGGCAGTGCGATTACTGAGCCCCTCATCAACCGCCATCGGCGCATCGCGAAGAATGATGGGCAGCCACAAGAAAGGATGTGCAAAGAGCTCCATGGCTGTGCCCCTCATGGTCAGCAACTAGTTTGCGCCTGCTGTGCCTTCTGGACCATTCACCAAGGCTCCAACAGAGATCCAACGATCTCAACTCATGGCGGTTAGATGCGCACACAATAAGAGGATCAACACGACTTCTGCGAACAAACCTCAAACACGATACCCCCGATACATCTGCTTCCCCTGGACGTCCGAACCGCCATGATCCAACTAGCTCCTGCGATACTGCGGTGACCGAGTGCCTGCTGCAACAGCCTGTTTGAGCTCTTGCTTCCAGCCTCAGCTTTCGAGCCATGCCCTGTACCATTCAAGTCAACGATGTGTTTGGTCCAGCTGTCTCGTCGACCTGCCACTATGGGTTCGACTTTACACTTCTCTTCGAAGAAGTCTTTCTGTGTATAGTACCTATTGTGGTCCTCACCTTCCTTGTCCCCATTCGTCTCTACCAGCTACTTCCTCGAAGGCCTGTGTTCAGCCCGGGCAACTTCTATTACACCAAACTAGTAGGTCTTGCGCGTCCTGTCACAAGCCCACATGATTGTATTTCTGACTTTCTAGGTAGGCACTTCATATATGCTTCATCATCATACAATTGGTCAAACTAATCTTCCTCGTCATACCTGGATATGTTCCGAAAACGAGAGCCTCAATCGCGGCACAGGCCCTCTCATTTTATATTGCCATCGTCTTGTGCGGACTATCGCACTTTGAGCATTTGAGAAGCGTCCGACCGTCGGCGCTGCTTTCTTTGTACTTTGGCGTCTCCCTTTTGCTCGACACCGTCCGGGCAAGAACGCTCTGGACACTTCAGAACAATGTCCCCTTCGCTGTGGCCTTTTCGGTCAGCCTGGGCTTCCAACTGGCCCTGTTCATCTTCGAATCCTTGGAGAAGGAGACGGGTTATAATCGATCGTACGAGACCCTGTCCAAGGAGACGGCCGGGAATGTCTTCACCAGAAGCCTTTTCTGGTGGGTGAACCCTCTCCTCCTGAGAGGCTTCAAACAGGTCCTAGAAATAGACCAACTACCTCAGATGGACAACGAACTGAGTTCTCCCGCCCTTCAACGCAAGATATGGGCCGACTGGAGCGCTCTACCCGCAAAGAGTCCCGCTGCACTTTTCAAATTGCTCCTCAAGGAGTACCGTTACAGCCTGTTTCAAGGCATGATCCCCCGGGCGGCTCTGTCGGGATTCACCTTCGCCCAGCCGTTCTTGATCACGCGCGTCGTCAACTTCGCCGTCGACGATGCCGTGAGGCTAGACCATGAGTTAGGCAATGGCCTCATTGCCGCCACGGCTCTGATCTATATCGGGCTGGCAGTTTCCAACGCCAACACACAGCACAAGACGTACCGCGTCATCACCAGGCTGCGTGCAAGCCTTGTCTCACTCATCTACTACAAGACCTTGAGTGTGAGCATTCCCACCGCGCAAGACTCGTCGGCAATCACGCTGATGAGCACCGATGTCGAGCGCTCAGGAACGGGGTTGAGGTTCATCCACGAGCTTTGGGCCAGTCCCATCGACATTGGCCTCTCGATCTATCTTCTTGAACGCCAGCTTGGCCCTGCAAGCGCCGCTCCGGGAGTCTTCTTTATCCTCTGCAGTGCCGCTGGTTTGAAAGTGGCTGCATCCATGGGCGAACGCCAGAGACTTTGGCTCCAATCCATCGAGCGTCGAATCAAGGCAACTTCGGAAATGCTTTCGTCCATGAAGGAGGTCCGAATGGGTGGTCTCCAGGCAAGGCTCGAAGCCGAGCTACGGGATCTACGGCAAAAAGAGATTGAAAGCTCGAGGAAGTTCAAGAACGCATTGGCTCTTATTGTTTGTTTATCTTACACCACAGCAGTCATGGCTCCGGTGTTTTCATTCGGAATCTTCTCTCTTCTCGCCCAGAAGAACGGTACAGCCCCCTTGACGACAGACAAAGGCTTCACTTCGTTGGCAGTCTTTTCGCTACTTCGGGGCCCTATGGCGACGTTGATCGATGCTATTGCTGGATTGGTGGCATCAATAGGTGCCATGCAGCGGATCGGTGAGTATTTGACGACCGAGTCACATCGGGATCCTCACGGTCATGCTATGCCTCCTTCGCCACCCCCATATACTCCCTACTACCCGGACGGTCCAGAGCAAGGCTACGATGCGGTCCCCCTGAGAGAGCTCGGCAACGCCACCTCCAAATCTGGCGTGGCATCTGACCGGCCTTTGGTGGTAGCTACCAACTACAGCGCTGGGTGGGCCCAAGACAAAGCATGTGTGCTTCACGATCTCAACTTTTCGGTGATGAGCTCATCCCTCACGCTTATCGTCGGCCCCGTCGGCTGTGGGAAGTCCACTCTTTTGCATGCTATGCTGGGCGAAACAACTGTCAACCAGGGCAGTCTGACCAGGACATTCTATCAGGCCGCATTTGCCAGCCAATCTCCTTGGCTAGTCAGCGACACCATCCAAAAGAACATCACGGGCACGAGTATGTTTGAAGAGGCGTGGTACAATCAGGTCGTGGATGCCTGTGCCTTACGGGACGACCTCGACCGTATGCCGAAAGGGGATCAAGAGCCGGTCGACGCTGGAGGTTCGAATCTCAGTGGAGGACAGCAAGCGAGAGTGGGAGTTGCCCGAGCTGTGTATTCCAAACAGCCGTTGATACTGTTGGACGACGTGATGAGTGGACTCGATGCACGCACTGAGAACAGCATTTTCACCAACCTGCTCGGCCCAGAAGGGCTTCTTCGCAAACAAAAGACGACCGTCATCTATGCCACGAACGCGCTGCACCGATTGTCGGCAGGAGACCACATCCTAGTGCTCGGCAACGATGGGAGATTGGTCGAGCAGGGCACCTACTCTGAATTGACCTCGATGGAGAAGCTCGCTCAATCTGGCGATCGCGAACCTTCCGAGTTTGTGAACGTCTCCGTCGAACCGGTCGATGCCGAGATGCGAGGCCTGCTTCAAACCCTGACCACCAAAGAGGTAGTAGGCAATCAGAGGCGCACGGGCGACTTAACCGTGTACAAGTATTATGCCCAAGTGGTGGGCTATCTGAACTTTGCCATCTTCATCGCTCTAGCCTCGCTTTTTGTCTTTGCGCTGGTGTTCCCACAATACATCGTCAAGTGGTGGGCTCAAGAGAACCAACGGCATCCAAACAAGAACTTGGGCTATTATCTAGGAGGCTACTTTGCGCTCGGGTGGGTTGCACTCTTCGCCTTGGGCTCGGCATGTCTGCAGCTCGTGGTTAGGATGATGCCTAAAGCTTCTTCGACATTTCACACTGTTCTCCTACGCACAACTCTGGACGCGCCTTTGTCTCTCTTCGCCGGGAACAATCTGGGGGACACCATCAATCGATTCAGTCAGGATCTTCAACTGATCGACATGGAGCTCCCGCTGGCTCTGTTCAACACCATCGTCGAGCTTCTGTCATGCATTGCCCAGATCATCCTCATTGCCATTTCAGCAAAGTACATTGGCGCAGCGATGCCGGCGGTGCTCGTGGCCTTCTTCCTGATTCAGACCTTCTATCTCAGAACAGCTCGACAGTTGAGATTGCTGGATATCGAAGCGAAAGGACCCCTGTTCTCTTCATTCCTTGAGACCCTTTCTGGACTCGCCACCATCCGAGCATTCGGATGGGAAAGCGAATACGAGCAGCGGTGCCAGGAGAAGCTGGACTGGTCTCAACGGCCCAACTACCTTCTCTATTGCGTCCAGCGATGGTTGAATCTCGTTCTCGACTTTGTGGTGGCCGGGATCGCCATCGTGGTGATCACCATTGCCACCAAGACAAAAGGTGACATCGACCCCGGTTTGATCGGAGTTGCTCTGGTCAACATCATCAATTTCAGCGTCAGCATCAAGGCCTTGCTGGAGAATTGGACCACCCTGGAGACCTCGATCGGTGCTGTATCGCGCATCCGCTCGTTCGCAAAAGACACCCCATCAGAGCACAAGACAACAGAAAAGAACAACCCTCCACCAAATTGGCCCGCTGAAGGCCACGTCGCGTGGGACCATATCACTGCAACCTGGGAGGGCAAGTCTGCACCTGTGCTCGAAGATTTGTTTTTGACGGTGGAACCTGGTCAAAAACTGGCCATCTGCGGCCGTAGCGGCAGCGGCAAATCATCACTGGTGTCCGCCTTGTTTCGCCTTCTGGAACCGCAACAGGGTACGATTCTGATTGACGACGTGGATATCTCGACAATCCCACGACAGGACGTCCGCCAACGACTGATCTGCGTCACACAGGCGCCGTTTCTGCTGTCGGCGTCTATTCGCGACAACGTCGACCCTTTCAAAGCCGCCTCCGACGACGACATACTGCATGCTCTCGCGGAGGTCCAGATGCAGGAGGTTGTCGACGAGCTGGGCGGCCTCGATGCGCTGGTCAACGGCGACAAGATGTCCGTCGGTCAAAAACAATTGATCTGTCTTGCCCGGGCCACACTCCGGCCCGGCTCAATCCTTGTTCTGGACGAAGCCACGGCCTCCCTGGACTTGGCCACGGACGAGCAAGTGCAGAAGATCATCCGCACAGCATTCCGCAACCACACCGTCATCACCATCGCACATCGGCTGCAAACCATTGTGGATTATGACCACATCGCCGTCATCTCCGATGGCAAACTCGCCGAGTACGGTCCTCCCGCCCGACTCTTGGAGAACGAGAGCTCTTATTTCGCGCAACTGTATCGCGCCAGCGCCGGCCACACGAAGATCGAGCGAGCCAAGTCCAAAGCGAGATCTGTTTATCGTAGCAGATCTTCCAGCAAGGAGGTTATCCCGAGACTCGGGTCACTTCGTCTCCCACCACCTCTGGAGAAGACTTTCCAGGATACCCTGGATTACACAGCGTCCTCCAGGAGGAACCGCGACATGGAGGGTGATGACGATGCAGCTTTTGCCGCAGCCAGCAGTGACTATTTTGAGGGCTTCCATGAAGAGTCCCACGAGGGAGAGCAACCGCTCATTTCTTCGACGATTCAGGACGTTGCCAGAACGTTTGATGATCCCATCTTCTCGTTTGCAAGTCAGAATTGGACAATTTCGGCTCTCACGCGGCCTAGCGGATTGATGAGCACTCCGTATGCCGGGGTCGCGAGATTGGACACTGTCCGAAAACAGCAGCTGGAGAGACAACGCCGGGATCGGGAGTGTCGGCGCGAACAAGAGCTGGCAAGGTCTGCAGACCTTGATGTCTGGGCAGACCAGGAGGGGGAGGGCAGTGGGAGTAGTATTCAAGAAGACAACGACCACGACCAGGACCCTCACGACCACCATGATTAACAGTGTAACACGGAGGGGTCTGGCTCGTGATGTAACGTATCTGGGGCTCCGAGCATGAACACAACATGGTGTTCTACCTGCAGTCCAGAGCAGTATAGGTCTGGAGTAAGGTGATTTAGCTAGCATTCGTGTAGTAAGGACAGCGCAAGGGTATTTGGTAGCGATCTCTGAGCAACGGGTCGTCCACAGAGGTGTAGATAGAATGCCCCATAATCCAGATCTTGAGAGAAGGCTGTCCGGGCCGGGTGAAGGTGACAGGAAAAAAGCCACAGGCAACGCTCAGTATGTCTTGACTAGGTTAATGGATTAGGTCAATTCAGGCGTCCCGTCAGCTTTTCGAGCGCCAATCTACTGCGACTGCGCAGTGGCCCCTGAAATAGCCCGTCAAACGCGAGTCAGCATGATCTAGAGACTAGAGCAAAGTCAGCTGAAGTTGGACAAGTATTCGTGGGAATTCCTAGTCCCTCCCACGGCATAAAAGAAGCCATACCCTCTCACTGGGGGTGGTCGTAAAGCCACACATTGAATCTGGTTCAACGAATACTCACACTCTTTACTCTTTTGCTTTTGCAACATCAGTCCAGAGTCCAGACTCCCGCGTCGATGGCAGTCTCGTGGCTTCTAGCCATCCCCATCGTTGTATTTCTTCTCATCAACCTCAAAGCTCTCCCTCTTGTGTGGCACGTAGGTTCATTCTCCTCGCCTGTTCTCCCTTTCCCCTCCCGCTCAGAATATTCATTGCCCGGTTCTCCCATGAGTGTCATATCGTCCCTGATTTCCATAGACTAAACCAGACAGTTGCGGCTCTTCACATTCCTCATTCAATCCCGCACATGGCTCAAGCCGTCACAAATCCACGCGACCGACACTGCCACTGCCCCTGGTAAACAACAACCTACAACACCAACACCAACACCAACAATCTTCCAGCCCCTAATATTCCGCACCGCCTCCCCCTTGTTGGAGATAGACTACTACCTGCACAAGTCGAACGCGACGTTCTTCGCCGACGTCGACATCGCACGCTCGCACCTGGTGGCGGCACTGATATGGCCACTCGTGCGGCATCCCACAGCCGCTCTCCTGCCCAATGGCAACGCCGTCGTCCCCAAGGGCCAGATGCTCGCCATCATGCTCGGCGGCGTGCAGTGCTCGTTCCGGCGCGAGATCCGGCCGTACCAGAAATACGAAATCTGGACGCGAGTCCTCACCTGGGATGAGAAATGGGTGTTCTTCATTAGTCATTTTGTGCGGGCGGGCGCGGTTCCGGCGAGGCCTGAGTTCACGTTACAGCGGCGACGTGAGCGTGCGGCAGGCAAGCGCATCGAGCAGGCGGAAATTGGGAAAGCCGTTCTGGCTACCGCGGTGAGCAGGAACGTGCTCAAGTTGGGCCGGGCGACTGTGCGGCCGGAGGATGTGTGGAGAGCTGCGGGATTGTGGCCGGGAAGTCAAGAGGGAGTGGAAGGTGTGGAGATGGTCAGACGGCGAGGGCTGGATGTCTTGAAGAGTGACAATCCTAATGCTGTGCATCGGTTTTTTGAGGAACTGGTGGATCGGGAAGATGGTGTTGTGGCGTTGGGCGAGTATCGCGACCTTTGGGCTTGGTGTTAGGACTGTTAGACATCTATCCTCAAAGCTTGCTTGTTTGTTTGTTACGAAGAGAGGAGGAAGAGGGGTACATGTGGAACAGGTCATGTCTTTGGAAGAACCGAAGTTGTCTCTAACTCCCTGCCTGCTCTTATTCCTAAACTTTTCAGGGGCTGTCTCCTTGAAAGTCAGCCTTGTTGATATTCATCTAACGATAGCTGAGATAACGCTATCTTATCAATTAGAGTACTACTAGTAGTATTAAGGTTATCCTTATCGATAAAGTCTCTATCTAGTATATACCTAGGTATTTACTGTAGACGTCCTCGGCAGTCGAGAGTATCATCTGGAAGTCAACATCAAGGGAGTGCTCTTGTGCCAAACTTGAAGCTGACTGTAAAGCAGAGGAACGACACCCAAGGCCTTTCAACCATGTTTGATGATCCCAATCTCCGAGCAGCAGGGAAGGTATGTCCCCATGTACAGTCCCTCAAGGATAAATGATCTGGGATCACAAATCCAGGATCCGCCGAATGCTGAGATCGATTGAATCAGCGACCGCGATTTCTGGCACGCCGTTAACCCGACGAGGTAGGACAACGCGAGGCTGCGTAACGGAACTAGATGGAAGACTCATCAGATATGGTAATGTCGCTGAGATAGTAATCGTCGTTGTGGGCCAATTACTCATGTGAAACATGGTTCTCCTGTCCGCCTCAAGTCGAAGATAATCATCAAATCCTACACCAGACAGTAGGACAGAAGAGAAGACCGTCCGATGATCACAACCAAGACAGCGTCGTATCTGGCATGTTTACTAAACAGCTGTCCGGCATCGACTGGAGTGAGAAAGATGCCAAAGACCAGGTATGATCGAATAACTAATCATTCCAAAGTCCTTCGCATTGCTACTTAAAGGCGTTGCGGTGGCCGCAGCTCTTGCGAGGGTCAGTATGGTCTCATCTTGATCTTCCAAACCAAACTGCTCATTATCCCGATCATGGCGTCCGCTCATGATGCATCCTATATCTTCGTGGTAGGAGGAACCGGCGCCCAAGGAATCCCCGTGATCCGCGGTTTGGTGAAAGACAAGAAATACAAATGCCGCGTGCTCACCAGAGATGCCAACTCATCGAGGGCCAAAGCACTGCTCGACCTAGGCAATGTCGAATTGGTCGAAGGCACATTTGCCAGTGAAGCAGACCTGCGCAAAGGATTTCGCGGGTGTGATGGAGCCTTCGTCAACATCGACGGGTTCAACTGCGGCGAAAAGACGGAGGTCTACTGGGCCATCCGCAGCTATGAACTCGCGTTGGAAGAAGGCATCAAGTTCTACGTCTACGGCAACCTCGACTACGCGTACAAGAAGGGTGGATATGATCCGAAATTCCGCGCCGGCCATTACGACGGAAAAGGCAGGATAGGAGAATGGGTGCTCCAGCAGAACAGGGACAAGGTCAACAGCCACAGGATGGGCGTCGCCGTTTTCACCACGGGGCCATATATTGAGATGTCGATTGCCAAAGCCACAATCTTCACGCCCACGGTCGAGGATGATGGTATCGTCACTTGGCGTGTCCCGGTGGGTGACGGGGCCGTCGTGCATGTCTCCTTGGACGACTGCGAATATTATGTTCGCTGGCTGTTCGATCATCCTGAACGCTCTAATGGCATGGATCTCGAGGTTGCCATCGATCATATCCACTATGCTGATCTGGCCAAGGCGTTTCAAACCGTCACCGGCCACCCGGCCAGGTACATCGATACTGACTTGGAGACGTACTGGGAGACAGGCAATTGCGCCGCTTCGGCGAGCCTGATAAGCGGGTATAACTCTGATCCCAAGGATCCGGCGGTTATGACCTTCAAGGAGAACTTCACTGGGTTCTTCAATATATGGAAATACTCCGGTGGGAACCAAGGCGTGATAAGGAGGGATTATGAGCTGCTGGATGAAATCCACCCGGGTAGAATCAAGACTGCGGAAGAGTTCTTTAGGAGAGAAGACGCACGAGGCAGGACAGCCGGTCTGGGGAGTCTTTGGGATCGTGTCCAGGAGGAAAATCTCAAGCCTGTTCTGAAGATCGCTGAGGATAAGAGGCGAGGTCGTCTGTGAGGATATCGAAGGAGTGGTCGATCGCGGTCGTCTGTCTGCTCATCTGGGTTGAAGTGGTTGAACATGTTCCAGACGCAGTGCTAGAGTTCAGAGCCATTCAGAAGATTGGGACCCCGAGCAAGAGAGAAGATGACAGCCCTAGGCTTCTTGTTGTGTCAGTGTTAGCACGAGAGTACAGTAGTAGCTGGTGGTGTAGTGCCAGTTGCTGTGTGAGGCATGAAATGAAGCGACCCGCCGACTCGTGGCGCAGTTTGACCAGGATGACGACGCTGGCCATAGAGCTTGAGGCTGAGCTGTTGCGGAGGGACCCAAGTCAATCAATCCATGACACGCGCAAAAGGTGTAAGGACAACCTGTGTAACATAGTAGTTGCGGTGATCGACAAGTAAGGGTTCAGTGAAGAGGTGTATCTGTGTGTGTGACAGAAATCTTCTCAAACAAGGAATTTGGGCGCAGTCGCGAGATCAGAATGCAGATCAAACTGCATTGACATGCTGTGGACAGCCAACTTCTATCACGACTATCCGTCTTGCGACAACTGGTTCTTTTGTTACACCTCATGCCCTCGTCTCATCGCCTTCTACACTCCAATACAATTCTCCTTGCACGCCGCATAGACCTCTTTAACTGCCACCAGCCGCTCTAGGCCTCCCATGGCCACCGCGGTCGAACCGACCTCACCGGTCGAGGCGCCTTCAGATCCTAGATCCCCAAAGACCCCTGGCGAAAACGAGCTTCCTCTGCCACCGGTCCCCTCTCTGATGAATGGCGCAGATGGAGCAATTGGTCCCGCGGAACGAGAACGCGTACAACATGTTTTGTCGTCGGATGTAAGACGCGTCACTCACTGTCCGTATCTGAAGAGGCTCCTAACCAGATCTCCAGGTTGGAATGACCACACTACTCGGCAGATTGAAACAAAGCATAAGTTCTACAAGAGTACGATGGCCTCAATGTCTTTCTTTCGCCACAAGCTAATACAGCGCAGGACTTTGCCGCATTCCTGAAAGAAAGATCTGTCATCGAAGAGAAGCATGCGCACGGGTTGAAACGACTGTGTCGGAGTACAAACGAGCAGATACGACGGCCGGAAAACAGACAAGGCTCTTTTGCGCAAAACTATGAAGAAATCACGAGAATCCACGATCGAATGGCCGAGCATGGCCTTCAATTCGTCACCGCCCTGTATGCAATGTCGGAAGAACTCTCTGAGCTGGCAACGAATACAGAAAGAGGCCGGAAACACTGGAAACAGTCGGGACTGAGCGCGGAGAGACGATTCCAGGACGCCGAGTCTGCCATGGACAAGGCCAAGTCTAAATACAATTCGTTGGCAGAGCAGTACGACCGGGCGAGAACAGGCGAAAAACAGTCCGGCCGGTTTGGCTTGAAAGGAACCAAATCCGCCGTCCAGCAAGAAGAAGACCTCCATCGCAAGCTGGAAGCTGCCGATAGTGATTATGCTGCCAAAGTGCAGGCTGCGCAAAGCATACAACAGGAGTTGTTGACTACACTCAGACCGCAGACTGTGCACGCTTTGCAGGAACTCGTCAGGGAAATCGATGCTGGCCTGGGCGTGCAGATGCAGAAGTTTGCAGGTCTGACCGAGAAGCTGATTCTAGGCTATGGACTTTGCATCACACCACTGAAGGGACAGTCGCCGGCTTCGGGCTCAACTACGAGAAGCCTGCGGGAAGTCACCTCGAGTGTGAACAACGAGAGGGATCTTGTGGACTATGTCCTAAGCTTTACCGGCCGGGCAGCTGCAAGACCACGCGAGATCAAATATGAAAAGCATCCCGCTTTGTCGCCGAAACAGCAGCAATTTAGTCCACCTTACAGTCAACCGCCCGCGGATTCGTACGGGCAAAATTCTGGGCCGCCTCATCAGACCCGACAGGTGTCGGGTGTCACTACTTCCCAAGGTGATGGATATCCAGCCTCAGGATCGCAACCGCCGTATCCTGCTGCAGGACAAGGACCAACGTCGAGTCACCCACCGCCTCGACCGCAGCCGCCACCGCAACAATCAAACTTTGGCCCTGCTCCATCCCAGCGATCAAGCCCACCGCCTTCTGTAGCACCTCAGCTGCCGCAGATCGAGTCTTTTGCGTCTGATCAATTCGCCGACCAGACTTCTGGTGTGGTCAGTACAGGAGCCACGGACGCTCATTACCGCGCACCTCTGGCACAATACAACAACGGCTCAGGACCACAAACTGGCCCACACATGGACAATCTTCGGTCTCCTTCCTCGTCAATCGGACCTACGAATCCCATGGTCGGTCCGGGTCAGCAATATGGTCAGAGTGGTCCAGGGGGCACTCCATTCGATCAACGCTCTCCGTCTTCCTTGACGCCACAGCTCAGTAATGATCGCATGACGTTTCGACCTCCCCGAGGATCTTCGCTGGAACAGTCTAGCGACTCGAGCAACAGTGTCCCTTTGCGCGGCCAACCAAGCACAGTTTTCTCGCAGGTCACTGTGCCGCCTCCGTCGGAACTAGAGGAGCGACCTACTCCACCAGCACATATGCAAGGTGACAGGGCGCGATCCTACGGTTCGGAGGGCGGCCTACCTCAGTCTTACCCTCCTCCAGGATCCATGTCTGGACCTGCCAGCAATGGGCAAATGCAACGACTACCGCAGGGTCCTCCTGATGGGCCTCTGCCACGGCTTCCTGGATCAGGTGGCAGTGTCAGCTCGTTCGCTCCGAGGGGACCATCCGGCCAGCGAGGTGGACCCCCGGTGAGACCCGTGTTTGGAGTGTCGTTAGAAGACTTGTTCCAACGCGAGGGCACTGCCGTACCCGCCATTGTCCGTGAATGTATCCAGGCTGTAGATCTGTACGGCCTCGACGTGGAGGGTATTTATCGAACTTCCGGGTCAGCACATCATATTATGGAGCTGCGACAGCTATTTGATCATGGTAAGAAGGGCGCACTTTGGGAGACAAGAGAAATGCTGACCATCGTCTAGATGCCAATGCGGTGGACTTCCGGAACGCTACATCTTTTCACAACGATATAGCTTCTGTCACCACTCTGCTCAAACACTTCCTCCGGGAGTTACCCGATCCCTTGCTCACGGCGACACAATATCACGCATTCATCGAAGCGGCCAAACTAGACGACGACATTATCCGGCGGGATTCGATACACGCCCTCGTCAATTCGTTGCCAGATCCCAACTACGCCACTTTGCGCGCTCTCACGCTACACTTGCACCGCGTTGCCCAGCACAGCGACAGGAACAAAATGACCATGAGCAACCTGGCCATTGTGTTTGCGCCGACGCTGATGGGACAACATGGCGGCGCAGGGCCAGGAGGTGGTCCCGATATCGCCGACGCCGGTTGGCAAGCCAGGGTTGTGGAGACGATCCTACACAACACGTACCAGATCTTTGACGATGATGAATGAGCCACTCTTGTGACGTTTGTTGGCTGGACTGAGGCGGGATCTCGGGCACGCCGTCTTCACAACCATATCAGGGCCTCGGTGCGTAGACCCTAGGTGTCTGCTAAAAGTTCTCTGGCGTGGAGTGTCGAGACGTTTCAGGTTTGTTCACGAGGACGAAGGGAGCAGCGATGACTCAAGACAGCTCATATCTATCTGATTTAAGAGACGAAATATGCTCCTAGCGTGATATGTAATGATCAATCAAGTCCATCAATGCTTCTAGTAATATGTCCCTACCTAGGTAACCTGAGGTCCGTGGCCGGTTCAGGCAATCGAACACGCATACATGATGATAATACATAGCTACCCAAGCTGGATAGCGCCGCATCGACGCCAAAAAGACCAAAAGACGAAACAGTCCAGCCCAACAACAGTCTAGACTTGAAGCCATTAGATAGGCACTTTATCTCGACATACAAGAGCAACGAAAAAAGGAAGGGGGGTGTCACGCTCCCAACACGTGACATTGTGTTACATAAGCACACTAGCGTGAGGTGCGCCAGTAACTGGCGCACCTCGACTCTCAACTCCTTATGAGTCCTCTTAATTAGAATTCATCAATTAAAGCACCCTATCGGTTCGTGATAGGGGGAAAAGGCCAAAGGGCCAAAAACGAAACATCAAAAAAGATTGATTGCATCCGACGTGGGACTCGAACCCACAGCCTCCAGATTTCGGTCGTAATTCAAAGTCGTAAGAAATTGAACACTTATAGAAGTCTGGCCTATTTAGGGTGTTAACTTGATTGACTCAAGTAGACTTCAAGTTGTGCGTTCAGAGAGACTTACGCGCTACCGTTGCGCCAGCCGGACAAATAAGTCGTGTTGACAAGGGCAATTGAGTCGTGTTTGACGAACAATTTTCAAGTGAATTTTGGGGAATTAAACTTATATATGTTCTTTTAGTGGTGCCGGCGATTAGTGTCCGTTCCGCGTTTATCCGATCCGTGTGGGGTTAAGCCAAGACAGACCTACATATGTAACCACTGCTCCCGGGTGAGATAACCGCCACTAGGTACCTACAGTACATTTGTTTTGGCGCCGAGCCTTAAGGCGTCACTTGCAGTGTTCCACTGGGAACAGAGAGACCCTTTGCGGCTGGGGGGTTGGCGGGCTAGAGGCATCCCAAGTCCGACGGGTTCGAATTTGGGTGGTTCTCCTTGTCTGTGTCTGGCAGTATTTGCGCGTTCATTGAAGATAATACTTTTCCGTTTCCGTTCCACGACCGATACCAGTCTGACAAAGTGCGCACCGCACATATACAGAAGCGAAGCCGGTGCGAAGAGTAGTTTCGCCCAGCTGGCAGATGTCAAGCACCAGTGCGGCATAAGGAGAAAGACTAGTTCATGAGAAATATATACCTGGGAGTGGTGTTCAAGCTTCGGGGATTCAGATTGCCCCTTTCTCTGGAGACAGAGGGGTTTTGTGAGAGATGAAGCTTCAAGACCAGATTGTTCTCGTGACAGGTAAGTGGCCCATATTTGCTACGACAACCCCAGTCTACTACCTTGGGTGCAGACCCTCGGGAGAGAAATCACGGGGAGGCTTGCTGTTCCTTCAACCCAGATGATCTGGGATACACATTTTGGAAGGACATGTCAAACGATACTCACGCACGAGATACTTACTACGTATTCCAGGATCCTCCAGAGGTTTAGGCCTCGCCATCGCCAAAGCCTTCCGGGCAGAAGGCGCACAAGTGGTGCTGAACTACTTCCAATCGGATCCTGAACAGATATCCCGTCTCGCGGAAGAACTCGAGGCATTCCCTTTCCGCGCCGATGTCGCCAACCCCGACGACGTCAACGCCCTCTTCGCCGCGGCCGAAGCGCACTTCCACCGACCAATAACGACGGTCGTGAACAATGCCATCGCAGGGGGATTCGCATTCAACGGCGACGCCAGGCCCAAAGTGGCCCAGCTGACTTGGTCGGACTTCGATGCTCAGCTCCAGGGCTTTCTGCGAGGCACGCTCAACACCACGCAGGCTGCGTTGCCCGGGTTTGAGAAGGCCCGGTTCGGCCGGATCGTCAATATCGGCTCCAATCTGGTCCAGAACCCGGTCGTGCCGTACCACGACTACACGGCTGCCAAAGGTGCCTTGTTGGCGTTCACCAGGACGTGTGCGGCGGATCTGGGCCCCAAGGGCATCACTGTCAACTTGGTTGCGGGGGGGTTGTTGGAGACCACGGATGCAAGTGCGAAGACTCCAAGGGTGGTCTTTGACCAGATCAAGGCGGTGACGCCGTTGAGGAAGGTCACGACTCCGCAGGATCTGGCGGGCGCGGTCTTGTTCTTTGCGAGTCCTTGGGCCGATGGCGTTACTGGGCAGCAGATGGTCGTTGATGGTGGGTTGGTTATGAACTGAATTGAATTGAGAGGTGTTCGTGTCTGGCTGTTCTCTTTCTCTCCTGTCCGGGACGAGGTCTGGTATTTTTGGTGGGCACATGCTGGAAGCGGTGTGTCACTGATATCTGCACATAGCAGGAGGCAAGTACTTGCGTTTGATCTCTGCTGGATGTGATGAGATGTGATGTGATGAGATGAGTTTCGTGGCAGACTTGATCTCTGCTCAGCCTTGATTGAAACTCGAGCATGAGGCGGGCCTTCCCAGGGATGCCTCCGCCTCTGCCTCTGCTGCCGGATGGGATGGAGATTGATATCGATATTGATATCGATATTGATATTCTGCACGGCGTCACAGTTTCGCCGTCTGTGGTGATCGGAGCTCAACAACTGCTTTCCCCCATACCTTCCTAGCAGCAAGGTCGTCCATCGCACCGGGAACGCTCTCCAGACCCAGATACGTTTTATAGATCACAGGCCGAATCTGGCCGGTCTCCAGCATCTCGTTGAACCCCTTCCACACCTCTTCATTCTCTTGCGGGTCGCGTCGTCCCGTCTCACCATATCTCTATAGCCCCCAATTAGCAATCATTCGACAGACAGATCTCCGTGTGTTTGTGTGACACTCACATATCCCATCAACTTCGCACCTTTCAGCAAGACACGATTCATCGCCAACGTCTCCATTCGCCCACCCCGTCCAGCAAACCCGGCAATGACAACACTCCCGCTAAACCTGAGACATCTGATACTCTTCTCCACCAGCCCAACCGTATCATACACCACATCCACACCACGACCGTCCGTCGTCATCTTCAGCACTTCCTTCTCCCAGCCGTCTCGATCATAGCGGACCACTAGTACTCCACCAGCCACACCCAGCTTCCTAACCACTTCAGCCTTCTCCTGACTACCGACCGTCGCGATCACCTTCGCACCCAGCGCGTGAGCGATTTGCACAGCGACAACCCCCAGGCCCCCTGCCGCGGCGTGAACCAGAACCGTCTGTCCGGCCTGGACCCGAGCGACTCGGACGAGAGCGCCGTAACTCACCGGCGCAGTGGCGGCACCTAGGCCCGCGACGTCATGCAGTGTCCAGCCCGAGGGTACTCTGTGCAGCGCGGAGGCCGGGACGGCGATCTGTTCCGCGAACCCGCCGACGCTGGATCCCCAGACTTGGTCGCCGCGGTTGAAGCCCGACCTGGCCGAAGCTGAAGCCACGACGCCGGCAAATTCCAGTCCAAGGGTGAATGAAGGTTTGACTAGCCCGACATGGTTGTTCTGGTGGAGGCCGCGCGCGTAGAGAAGGTCGACGTGGTTCAGGGCGCTGTGCGTAATGGTGACTAGGACTTCGTCGTTTTGGATGTTAGGTATCGGGGCGGGAATGTCTGTGACCTGAAGCTCTGAGAAGGACTCGACGTATTTTGGGATTTGGATGGCTTTCATGGTTGGAATACTAATAGTATGGTTAGTCTCCCCTAGGATGGTTTTTCATGTCATGTCTTTCGTTTCCTTGCTGATGGGATGGTTCGCTTGTCCTGGATTTCTTGAGTATACTCGATGAGGAGGCTCAGGGGGGCGATGTTCTGACGACAATACAACCTATACTTAAGGGAGGGTCTTGTTGTAGAAGAAAGTATCACCCTTCCCACATATTTCGGCAAAAGACACACCTTGTGGTATTCGGAGCAATAAAGTACAGGCGGGTTATACATCATTGTAGACACGTTGGAGGATGAACGGGGTTATGTTCATATAGACGTATTCAGGACCAGCCTCTTAACCGAGGTCCAAATCCGAAGCCTTGCCAGAGTCTTGCCAGAGCCTTGCCAACATCCATGACTTGGGCAATCGTCCCGTATTACAGCTTTGGACACAAATAACAGAAAGCGATGCAGGTCACCGCGGCCACCTTGTTGAGTATGAGGCTTCATTCATGCGACGAGGGACCGCCGATACGCGACCTCTCTGATCACAATATACACCTAGAACAGCACCGTATCTGGTCAAGCCTGCCTTCTGGATGGAGAACGCACGGCGTATTGCAGGCCTTGAAAGTTTTCTATCGATCGTGTGCAGTCTCCGCTCAAGTCAAGGGCAATTCTGAAGCACAATTCTACGGCTGGACGATGCGATTGAGACATGCAGGTTGCAAATACCACTGGCCAAGGGCTCATGGAAGATGTGGGCAATCCAGGTAGATTCACTTCTGTCAGGGGGCGTAGACAGACTCTCTGCACATGCATAGTGATCTGTGTAAGTAGGGAAACCGAGAAACTATTGACCGCGAGCGAAAGGCTCCATTCCTTCACGGACAGTCTGGGGAGGCGCCGACAAGGTGGTTGCAGGACAACCGGAAATGTGTTAACGGACAGTTCATGCAAATGTCAATAGAATGAAATTCCACGCCAGAGGTTGAATGGGGAGGTTGGTTGAGCACACCAGATTGGTGAATGCGTCCGCCGAATATCAGTCACTGATCGCCTGTCGTGTACATTGCCGTGTCCTCTGGCTCGCCAATGTTCTGCCCTATGACGGATAAAACAAACCTAGAGAGTGGAAATCTCGGATTGCATACGGAAGCGCGGGGAGCAGAACCTGAAGACCAGAAACGGGCCTTGGAAGGCATGTACATGGTTCTGAGGAGGAATTCGACATCAGTACTCCAGCATCGCATTGCTGCCTCTGCGGATATTCGAAGGCGGCGCGCCTGGGTCAAAGCAATAGGTCCGAGGATCAAAATGTTCTGAATAAAGCCAACAGACTTCAACTGCACGGTTTTTGTTTTCCACACTTGATTCCATTTGCACCAATGTCTATGCTCGAAGTATGTACAGTCGGGGCAGGCAGCGCTCAAGTCAACGTGGCAGGCTGCTGTATTCCTCCCATATTCAGGAAATTTCGTTCGATTCTTGGACTTTAATGCGCAGGTTTCGAGTCGGCCTTTGCGTTAGGGTTTCGGGGGTCATTCTTGTACTCGTCCGCTGTTCGCCGCCCAAATGTCAGCCATTTGCCTTGCGTGTTTCGGTCGAGAGAGACCGGTCGGAATCGCTCGCATAGGCGCTACTTACATGCCATCATGGCGTTGGCACCGGCGTTGACCGCCCACAGGACGAGGATACCGGCAGCGTAGAAAGGAACCATAGGCTCGGCTGCGCCAGGGTTAGCTGTGTGCCATCCGGGTGAGGCGAGACGAGGTGCGGTAGTACTGACCTAGTTTGCCGGGGAACTTCTTGGGGATGAAACCAGGCATTTTGGCGGATATCTGGTTGCAAGTGAATTGTATGGGTTGGCTTGAGAGCTTCGTCGTCAAGGAGTCTCGTGAAGCTTCCCGACTCGATGTTCTTGAAGCTTTGATCGAGCTAAACCAAATCGGTCGATATCTTGGCGTGTTTGGCCGGTTTGTGGATGGATCCAGTCCGAGTGGTGATTTGCCATGCAGTGCGCAGTGCTCCGCAGCGCGTCCCCCGCGAACATGAATGCAAGCCGACGGACCGGTGTTTGTTGATATACTCTGTAGCGTGTTTGGAGAAAGCGAACACTGATATTGCCACAGCCAGGGGCTTGCGATCGAATCGCGAATTGGTGTACATGATGGCCTCTCTCGGCCCTGCGGTCTCATCGCTACGCTCGTCTCTCTCGTTGCTGGAATCGAGCATATCTATTCTCGACGAAGGAGTCTCCGATTTTCCTCGTCTATGCAAGGTCCTCCAGACCCAGCAACATTTTGAGTTACTTCCCGAACCTACTCTGCGAGAAGCGCAACAGTCTCTTGTCGATGAGATTGTCCCGGCGATCGACCAGTTATTGTCAATCGCAGAAAACCACGTCAACCAACTTGCAAGGAGGGAAGCAGGCCTGAAAGCGCGTTCAGAGTTGTTGGAAGGACGCTTGAACAACAATAGAAGAAATTCAAGCTTCGGTGGAGATATTCGACCCTTTCAGAATACAACCTCAACCCAGGCTGCCGGGTTGGCTGATTCGAAGGTGCTGGAGATGAAGCGGCTGCAGCAGAAGAAAGAAAGACTGCAATATGCTATTGAAAGACTGGAACTGCAAAGCAAGCAAAGGGAACGGGAGCTGCGGAAGAGCATGGCTATTGTGAGGGAGTGAACGGAGACAGGAAACTCATGCACAACATTTCCAGCTCGTGGTGATTGGCCCTTGCTCGGGCGATCGACTGCGCGAAGACTTCGGAACGTGGCAACTCCAAAGGAGGTATGACTAGGCGATGATATGAGAAGCACACCACTAGCCAGCATTTCGCACATTCTAACCGAGTGCTTGCCACGCTGGGACGAGCGACTCTCCAACCCTGCCCGTTTTCTGCAATCGAACGTGGACATCGTTTCAATCAAATCAGCCGGGAAACCAGCCCACGAGCTCCTAAGGGTCAACGATTGAGGACGGAGTCTGGAGGACGGAGTCGACTGAAGACGCTACTGTCGACCGATGAGAAACAAGAACGCGTGGAAGAGGAAATTTTTCAAGGTACTTTTATTGCTCTAACAGGTTGATCGGCCGTGATGGCATGGCCTGTATCATCTTCAGATGCAGAGATAATCTGCCATTGCAGCGATGCATGGAGCAGCAAGGTGCAGGGAGATGATGGTGGACTAGGACTGTTCTAGGGTTGGTGGATGTGCTTCTGATTCCCACCAAGTCAACGAACTCAGGAAAGGGTACAACGCAGAAGGGGTATTCTAACATGGCATGAAACAGAAGGGAATTGCCGGGGTAACGGACCAGGTCTGCTGGGCGACGGAAGGGGCGGCGAGTGCCAGGGATGTCGCGAACCACAGATGATCTATGTCAAAAGATCAAGGGTTCGAGGGTTTCCGAGTCGCAGCAGAAGCTGAGATGTCGGAACTTGCCATGAAAGGAAAGCTCTGCTGTGCGGTAAAGGCTTGTCGGTCAATTGGTGGCTGGCCAGGCAGTGTTCTGTCGACTAGGCTCCCCAACGGATTGGTAGAGAGGGAAGATTGTGGCTGCACTGGCTTCTAGCCAGGCATCTCAATCCTCTTTCTCTCGCCTGTCTCAGGGTTGAACCGGTAGACCTCTCTGCAATCAATGTTGTGCATCTCGGGAAGAAATTTGCAGATAGAGATGTCGCAGGAGGGCCCTCTAGGACACATGTGGCCGAGGCAACAGGTAGGATCTTGGCAGAATGGGTTCCGACAGCTGGATGTTCTGGCTTTGTGTCTGAATGTGTCGAGTTGTCGCTGGGTAAGATGCTGGGTGTGATCCCATTCGCATTTGTCGCCGAACTGGCAGTATCCTTTCAGATAGAAATTGTTGCAGAGCCTGGTGTTCTTGGTATACAGCTCCTTCAGATACTCTTTGTCGATATCCAGTGGGACGTCGAGTCGCTGACCGTATTGATTCTGGTAGATGTAAGGCGGCGGAGTGAAGGGGCCTTTCTGCGCTTGCTGAGACAGCTGGCTGGCCTGTTGCTTAGGAGGCGTGGCACCGGCAGATGTGGACTGTGGAGGTGGCCGAGCCCTCGTGGATGCGAGTGCATCAGCAGCAGGTCTCTTTGTTCCGACAACCTGACCACCGTTCGGCATGGTTTGGATCTTGGTGGTCCTGAAAATGCCGCGAAAGGCGACCTGTCGAAAACCTTGAGCGACTTTTCTAAGGTCATACGGGAAGGGTGGACCTTCAAGTAATGTGATGCGGTCATTGATGGCATTCGGGAGGGAGTAGGGACTCAGAAAGCCGGCGTAGCTGTTGTCCGCAGAGCCGCCGAAGATGATATGCTGACAATGATGATTTCGATAGTAGAGTTCGAAGTTTGCTTCAATCCTGTCAAATCAGCCCAACTGCACTTTTGGTATCGACGTACCTTTCAGCTTTGAGTCCGCAGCTTCTTTGTGATGGCCTGCATCGATAAAGTCGGATAGAGGATGACTTCTATTGAACCCGATCATGAATTGATCAAAAACAGATTCGTCAGGAATGATCTTGGCAGCCTTGGAGGTCCGGCCCAGCCCTTTGGCGTTTGCATAGATCCGCATCACGACACGGTCATCAGCATGGTATTTGGCATGGGTTTGGTAATAGTTGAGGACAGCGGTGCGGAGATGTTTGCCGGCATCCTCGCCACCTTCCAGACCTCTCGAGACGAATTCGTCAAGAAACTAGAAGTGTCAGCAACCACTGACCGTTCTGATCCTGGCATGTCTAGTGGTGTAGTCTGGTTTAATCCACTCTTACCGGCATGCCATCCCCGTCGATGAGGACAAGGACGAATCGGTCGCAATCCTGCGACTAGGTTAGTGGAGGGAATACTCGTGGGGTCTCTGCTCCCTTGGATCACCATGGATGTCTGTATATGAGACTTCTCTGACTCGGCTTGGACCATTCGTTGATAGTATGTTCTGGCAGTATCTTGGGCCATGCCAAGCTCGCCTTTCGCAGCATCTCGCTCCTTGACAAGTTGATCAACCTGCGCCACCAGCTCCTAAGAGGATGTCAGCGTCGATCGGATCTGAGAGGCGGGTTGCTGACATCAAGAAGCCCATTCTTGGCCGCATCGCCTCGCTTCACCTCCTCTACACGCGCCTTCAGAGACGCCATCCTGCAAAAGACGGCCAATCGTAGAAGAAGCTTGTAAGTACAGCGAAAGGGAGAAGAAGTGTAAGGAAAGTGAGAGTCGAGAGATGGTGTTTGATGGAGGAGACTGTACGTAGTAGTAATGGGAACCAAGTCAAATATGCCAAGCTTTAACCCAGTCTTGGCATATTTGTATCAGTTCTATCTCCCCTCGCTGTGTATATCCACGCTCTGGCAATGTTTGGACTTCGGGTCAGTTCCAATACCATTTGTCACTTTACTAGTACGTATATCGTTCATCTTGGCACTTCTTCCTTTCACTTGAAGTGAAGGTGTGGGCCTTCGGCGTGAAGCCACTTCAGTGAGGTTGGTTGCTACCAATGTGGTTTCATTGTTGCTGCTTTAAGCGAGCCCGCCTATTCATTGGATCAACCTTGAGAATCCGGGGAAAACTACAGGGCGGCGTCTCCTTCGTCGAACGCTGCACTGCATTTTCCGTGGCCAGTGTCCAGCGTCTAGACTTCAAACATAAAGGTAAATTCAAGAACCTCCCGTCACTGCGCATTCTTCCTTCGATAATCGAAGGTGCCGTGGTCAGGCCCAAGATCGTGGCGATATCTACCTTTCGAGATGGCCCTGCGGTAACAAAGCGAGGCGCAACATGGCGCCGCCACCTCCTTCCACACCGACTACCGGTACCTCGAGTACTGCCTCGACACCCACGCAGACTCCAGCACCGTCTGCGATCCCTCCTCCCATCCCCGTCGAGACTCATCCGAACCGTGCAAAGCCTCAGGGTAACCGAGCTGCCGCACCCGATCCCAACCATCTCGCTCCGGAAGATGCTTACAGGTCATTCTCACCACCGCGACTACGGCCGGTCCCCGAGATCCACGGATCTGCGGCTGCATCTGCTGCAGCTGCCGCACTTCGCCCTGCAGTTGCATCGTTACGGGCACCACCCGCCATTCCTCCTGTCGCGGCACGGCTAGCGGAAGAAAGGAGACGAGCGGCCAGCAGGAGACGGAAACAACCGCATGTTTGGAAGAAGCTCCTTTGGATCAAGCAGCACGGCTTTCCTGACAACTATACCGACACCGAGACATTCCTGGATCATCTTCAAAGGAACCCAAGACTGCGGCCGTACGAGTTTTGGCCTCTGGTCGCCGACTCGACGGTCATTGTGCAGCATGTATGCTCTGTGGCCATCTTCGTTTGCGCCTACGCGGGAATCTACCAAGGTCGGCTGTCCCCGGTCGCCGTGGTGACATGCGGGTCGATTGCCACGATCGCGGGCTGGATAGTTTGGGATCACTGGATGGGCCAGGAAGAGGCAGAAGAAATGGCAGCGTTGGTTAAGGCCAATCGAGTATCGATTGATGTCGATGATGGATCAAGCACGAGTTCGTCCACCTCAGCCAAAGCCGTATTGAACGGGCACGCCAGCGGACATGCCAATGGCGGTCTAGGTGGAAGGGGTGTTGGGCTCAAATTGTCCACCACCAACCTTGCCGTGAAGGACAACGAAGCAAGGTCTGCAGGAAAGCATGGCCAGTCGCTGTCAAAGTCGTCCTTTCAGTCGATTTCGCCCATCGATCCTCTGGGCGACCCTACCCTAGAGCCATTTCCTGATCTCCGTCCCACGGCATCGCACCTACAAGTCCCTCAATCACCCAGCATCATCCCGTCTCCGACCACTCTGACACCATCCATATCGCCTCGCAACCAAGCTCGCCTGAAGACACTCAAATCGGCGTGTCTCATTTACTTTGCACTCCTGGGCTTGTCACCGATATTGAAATCCTTGACCAAATCCACATCATCAGACTCGATCTGGGCTCTCGCCACGTGGCTATTGATCATCAACATTTTCTTCTTCGACTATGGCAGCCTATATGGCCCAACCAAACCCTTGAATCCCATCCGGCCATTGGAAGTCGCCAACACCACCGCCGCCACCACGGCCACAGCTGATCCATCGTTGGTCCATGCGCATCACTCGGTTCGGGCTCCTCCGTTCCCGTCTTCCTTGTCCACGAATGCTGCCCTGATGGCGAGCACAGTTTTGGCCTCCCGCCTCCTTACGACCACCGCCGTGTTCAGCCTCACCCTCTTCTCCATCCAAGTGTTTGGTCTGTTCCCAGTGTTTCGGCGACATCTCCGCCACCGATCATTCAAGCTGCACCTTGTTCTGACATTTGCGTTGGTCACCATGTCTACCGGCGGGCTGGGATTGATCTTGTCCAAATCATACACCCATACCTATGGCAACTGTGGATTCTGCCTGGGCTGGATCTGGCATGTAATATTACGAAGTACAGTCGGGTTTGTGGTCGGAGGGTTCTGCACGGCGTTTGTAATGGGAGGGTGTTCATGGTGGTTGATTGGTTTGCAACGGTATAAAAACGTGGTCATTGGGCCCTGGGATCCGGCCAAACCAGTTCTGGCTGGCGGTTCATACGGAAGAAGTAGAACAGGTACCGACTAATTCAGCGTGTCATAAGTTGAACTGACCTCTGACCTCTGACCTCTCTCAATATCGTTCGGCTGTGCGTTGCTGTCATCTCCTCTCCAGATCTCTTCTACTCGTGTATAGCTCCATTCGGGACGTTTACACCTTGCACGTTCTCACCCAATCTCCTTCCCTTCCACAGCCCGCAAATGCATGCGCCACACTCCTGGTCCGACATTGGGGTCTTGGGACTCTCTCGGCGCTGAGATGGACGGCCATGCAGAGGATGGATGGGTGGCCCGACGACCGTAGGTACTTTCAAACTGATGATTAAGCTGCACGGCTGAGCATTCGGCGACCAGGATCGGGATCCGGTTATCGGTCGCAGCCGGCTATGCGGGAGCGGCATGTAGAGAATGTGGAGGAAAGAGAGGAGACAAGGACAGCAAGCAACAACTTATCGAGAAGGAGAGAGAAATTGTGCGGGGTTGAAGTTGTTGAACCAATGTTCATCATTCACCATTCACCACTCCGCGGCAGCCAACGTCCGAGGGAGTTGGAGGTATCGAATATGGTCGGATCGTTGCAGTAGGTAAGTACCTACAGTACGTACTAGAATATCTTACCTCCCTGCCACTTCCTAGGACTTTGTTCCCAGGGCTCCATCTGTGTCAATTACCAGGTAGTTCTCTTCCCTCCTCCTCCTTCTCCTTCTCCCTCTTCCTTCCTTACGTGGCTTCATATCTCGCCACCCAATTCTATTTACCACCGCCGACAGCCTTGTTCAACGGCCTCCAATTGCAACTGGGAACAGCAGTGTGCCTTGGACTCCCTTGTTTCTTGCATCTACGGCGCGACGAGGCGAACAGAATGGCTCCCTCTCTCCCCTTCCAACTCAAGGACCCGGGACTCTTCCACCAAGAATCCTACGTGGACGGGCAATGGATCGGGTCGAAATCCGGCAAACGCTTCTCCGTGATCGACCCGGGCAGCGACCAAGCGTGGGCGTCCTGTCCCGACAACACGGCCGAGGACGTGGACGCGGCGATCGAATCGTCGCAGCGGGCGTTCGCGCAATACAGCATCCTGAACCCGCGCAAACGGGCGCAACTCCTCCTCCGATGGCACGAGCTGATCAGCGAGGCGAAAGAAGACCTGGCGCAGATCCTGACTTACGAGACCGGCAAGCCACTCTCAGAATCGCTGGGCGAGCTCGACTACTCGCTAGGCTTCACGTGGTGGTTCGCCGGCGAGGCGGAGCGGATCCAGGGGACGATCGCGACGCCGTCGGCGCCAAACCGGCGCACGTTCGTGCTTAAGCAGCCCATCGGGGTCGCGGTCGCGCTGGTGCCGTGGAACTTCCCGATCGCCATGATCCTGCGCAAAGCCGGGGCGGCCTTCGCGGCCGGCTGTACCATGGTGGTCAAGCCGAGTCCTGAGACGCCATTGACGTGTCTGTCGCTGGCGCATTTGGCCACGAAAGCAGGCTTCGCGCCGGGCGTGTTCAACGTGCTCACCACGAGTCTGGAGAACACCCCATCCTTGAGCGAGGCTATGATCCTACATCCTTTGGTGAAGAAGGTCACGTTCACGGGGTCGACGCGCGTCGGGAAGCTCGTGGCCGGCCTGTGTGCCCGGGGATTGAAGAAGTGCACGCTCGAACTCGGCGGGAATTGTCCGTTCATTGTCTTTGACGATGCCGACCTCGACCAGGCCCTGACGCAGTTCATGGCCCTGAAATGGCGCCATGCGGGGCAGGCCTGTATCACTGCGAACAGGCTCTACGTGCAGGCCGGTGTCTATGACACGTTCACCCGCATGTTGGTGGAGAAGACGAAATCCCTCAAGGTCGGCCATGGCGCCGACAAGACCACCACCATGGGTCCGGTCACGACGCCGAGGGGCCTGGCCAAGGCGGAAGAACAGGCTGCGGACGCGCTGAAACACGGGGCCAGACTCGTCCTGGGCTCGGGGAAGGCTTATAAGAACAGTACCGCTGCAGAAGGCGCGGGTGACGGGAAAGGCGTGGGCGGCTATTTCATGGACCCGACCATTTTGACGGACATGAAGCCCGAGATGCTGCTCAGTCGGGAGGAGACCTTCGCCCCGGTCACGGGCATCTTCAAGTTTGACACCGAGGACGAGGCCGTGCGCTTGGCCAACAATACCTCCATGGGCCTGGCCAGCTATGCCTTTACCAAGAACGTCGACAGGCTGTGGAGGATGTTCGAGAACTTGGAGGCGGGAATGATTGGTCTGGTGAGTCTCCCCAGCAAGAATAGAAAAAGGCAGAAGAATGTAAACAAGATGGATCTTCCCTTTCTGCTCCTGAAGGGAGATTGTTATACGATGAGAATCTGTTCTTATGGGCTAACCGTGGTGGTCCATGTGCGTCTAGAATACCGGCAACTCCTCCGCAGCAGAATCCCCCTTCGGCGGCATCAAAGAGAGCGGTTACGGCAAGGAATCTGGCAAGGAAGTCGCCGTCAACGAGTACCTCATTTCCAAGACCGGCACATTTACGATTGATGGACAATACTGAAACCATAGAAAGCCCCGAAGATGAATGTCTTGGTGGAGAGAAGCGGCCAACACGAATGGAGCGAGATGTGCGGGACCTGTAGAGAGAAGGCTGGTGACCTCGTTTCTTGAGATCGTAGCTAGGTATATTGCGACGCCTTCGGCTGACTGACTTTGAGCATGAACGGACGAATGAAGCATCCCTAACCTCCTGACAACCTTGTCGAGTATTGTCACTTCTGCAAAGCTGTTTTCAATGTCGTTGACGACCAGTATGCATCAGCCGCTCAGAAGATCGACAGAGTTGAAAAATGAACAAGAGAAATCGCCAAAGAAGGGAGATGACTGCACACATAATCATGGATGAGGATTCATACGGTGGAGAAAGAACTTTTGGATGCGCTTCCTTGAAGTAAGGGCATGAGGAGATCAACTTTATATATAGTAGGTACCGCGCGATGCGAGCAGTGTATCGTATCTAGTCGAGATCAAAATCCGTCGCTGAGAATGTTGCTGTAGTCTAAAGGTAATATAGCTTTTGGGAGTCATCAAATGAACTGAAGTTGCAGGTGTCGGGTTTCGTCGTGCGCTTGGGACAGAAAAAAATGGTTCAGCCGTCCTTCTTGTCTGGAATAACAAGCATGTTTTGTGGTGGATGTTCCTTCGGTCAGCTTACTGGCGCCGGCGGCCTCGATCCATCATGAAAGGAGCAAGTTGCGGAATAGATGGACGCTTGAAGTTTCTGGTCAATGTGGGACTGTGTTGGTGATGAAGCCTGTTGCTGCTGGCCCGATGTTGTACTGATCAGCCACTTCGGATACGTTGCATGTCTGAAAGTGGTGTTGGTCTTGGACGATGCCATCCATCTATGAGAGGCATCAGATGTATGACGGTAGTGGCCAACGAAGCGAGGTCAAGAATGTGAGGAGCTGCATCTTCCTTGCATCTCTGGCAACCTCGAAGTCAAGCCCAAAGGAAACTGCGCCGCCTGCCATGTATGCTTTGGTTGTCAAGAGCACCATCAGTGTCACGGTATGCTGGTGCATCCACGCACCTTTCGACAGGTCTCTTCAGTTGCTCGCGGATCGTGATGTAAAGTCCGCTCCGTCAAGTCGCCAGCAAAACATCCGCTGCAGCAAATGTGAGCCATTGCTCAAAAGAATGGTTAGGGCACTGACGGCCTGGCGATCCAAACAGTCTTCCCCTTCATGACTGTCAGCTCGTTCACCGGCTGCTGTGTCGTGCATCATTCCTGGTCAAAGTCCAGCACTCCGAGTCGGCTATATATCTTCGAGGAGTACTGAACCTTTTGATTTCACTGCTGAGCCTCCGTTGACCAATCCAGACCTGCCGGTGTTGATAGTTCCTTGCCCGGTGCCTCGTCGTCAAGATGGTTTTCTCGCCTTGTCGTTTGACATCCCAGCACATCGTATCGATATTGACGAACGAAGGTATCGCAGCAATCGAGAGCATTTGCAGAGAAGGGCATTGTGTTCTCACGTGTTCGAAGACCCGAACTGCTTGGTCGTCGGAAACAGGGAGGCAACTGAGAACCCTCCGACTGAACCGGGGAGAATCCTTGGGCACGAAGGGGGGAAACAGCCGGAGCAACCGCAGTCGGCCAAACTTGCAGATGGCATTCAAAAAGGCGTATTGTTCCATGTCGAGGTCCACGCCAGGGATAGCGGTTGGATGCCACAGATTCTGGATGTATCCGACATCCAGTTCGAGTTGTTCCAGGTCTGGAGCGATCTTGGCCGCAAACAGGATGTCATTATGGCTCCTTTGACTCTCTGCACTGCAAACTGACCACTGTGCGTCTTCGCAATGCAGACGTAAGCGACGGAGTTTGGGTCCAACAAGCCCCTTGATTGGGATGTGGTTGCAGATTCCATCAATCTCAAGCTCGCGAAGCTCGCGCATCGGCTCAAAAGGAATGCGGAACGGCGGTACTATCGGGGCATCGGCAAACAAGCCGGTTGCAGGAACATCATATCGGCAATCCGGATGGTAAAGCCGGTGATGGGCGGCACGAAGCCGTAGTGCTTGGAGGTTGGTGAGTTCGGGAGCAACATCGTGGATGAACTGGTTCAGGGGAACAGTGTATTCCCAGAGAATCGACAGTCTGCGGATGTTGATCCATGGAATCAAGGAGAGGTCAAGATCTCGGAATGAATGGTGGTGAGTCCCAGGAGCACGTCGAACCAGCAAGTGTAGTTCGGACCAGGCGGGCTTCTTAAGCATGCAAGCGCACGTCGCATTCTCGTCTTGTCGTCCTTTGTGGCCAGTTTGAGATCCATCGAGAAGCCAGGACATGTGGAGGTTGATTGCAGATGCTCTTGATATTGTATCATAGAACGTGGTAGTCGCTAGTTCATGTTGCGAGGGTAAGTCCCCGAACACCCCCAGTCCCAGCCGATGACAACCTGCGATCGAAGCTAGACTGGTGGTCGCCTCAAGCAGGTCAGGCCAGTCCGATGAGGTGTAAAGATGATCGAGGATTATCTCGTATACATGGTCATCTGGGAGCATCTTGATGATCTGGTACGCGGCGGCTGCGGAACAGTCAACTCTATGGCAACATTAGTCCGCTGTGTCCGGTAACAAACATCACCAGATCACATACCGAATCCGACGGAGCCCGGGCATTAAAAGTAGACTGACTTGGAGGACGCGCAGATCAGACCATGTGCTTTCTAGAGTAAGGCGATGGGCATCGGCAGTATCCAAGGAATGAACCAATCCGATGACCTCGGGTGGTTGGAGTATATGGAGGGTTCGGACATGAGGGAGAAGGTGAGGATGGTTGACAAGTCGGCGGAGAAGGCCAATTTCTCTCTGGTCGAGCCGGTCTCGAATGATATGAGAGATGGTGCTGAACAGAAATGGCAGCGCTGACTGACGGAACCGATGACAAACCACCGAGAATGGCAACAGGGTGTCGACCTGGCCGAAACCCGTGTTGTAGAGATTCTCTGCGACCAGGTCGAGGATCTCAGGGGGAAGTCGGTCGATAGTTGTCGTGTGCTCCGCGACCGCTGACGGCATTCGCATGGATTTGAGGGCCAGCATGACTGCAGAGGGCGTTGCAACCACGGCAGATGCTCTTCACGATGCGCCTAGGTGGTTGTCGAGGCATCACGGCAGATTTTCGACGCGACACTATTGTACTTACGATGAAGTGAAAAGAGAGGTGGTGGTGATGGTGATGATGGTGTTGTAGTTCGTGACGCCAGGAGTCCAACGAGGCGCGATCACGTGCGGCCGGCATCGGAAAGGCGGGTCTATCGGATCATTGTTTCGCCGTCACGGAGTGGAGAATGTTTCCTCTTTTCCTCCTTTACCCCTTTACCCCTTCTTGTCTGGCTCTGGTGTGCTTTGTTGTTGATCCAGCTTCGACATGTCGACCGAGATCCAGAGAGGAACATGGTCGCTATGTCCTCGATCCAGAGGAGAGTCGCAAATATCGCTACCGGTTACGGCTGTATCCTTATCCACCAACGACCGGCTTACGACGATCAGGTCCACCCGGTCACAGCTTTCACCCCAGCGTCTCCCACGCGGGTGATAGGTGTACTTTTTGGTATCACCATGCAAGTGCCTGAAGATGTCAATGCCATGCATGCCCTTGTCGTCCGTGAAAAACTTGGCATTGAAATCGGCCCGGTTCTTTACGTGCTGCACAGGAGACGTCCGTAGGTTTGGGTAACCATCGATTCTAGCTCGGGCAATGTTCATGTCGCCAACGAGGATAACATGCCGCCCTTTCTCCTGGTGTTGAACGGCCTCTTCCAGCGTACGTTGGTGAAAGCGTAGTTTATGATCGTGTCGAGAGCCGGTAACGTCGCCCGTCACGGGGTTCCGATATGGATTTGACGTGCCATTCACCCAGTATCCGTTGATCACCACGACATCACCTTCCAGCTCATGTATCAGCACCCGCCCTTCCAGGTCCCAGTCGGGACGGCGGGTGACACGGATTTTGCCAGCGAAGTCGTTTCGCACCAAGGTGGCAACTCCATGGACCTTTCCGCCGAACCCTGTGGCATTGTATTTGTCTCTTGGCAAGGAAAAGTGGACTTTGTAGGTGGGCTCATCCATGGCCTGTCCTTGGTTTGCGGCATGTTCCAGCTGCCTCTGGGTGGCGGCATCCTTGGAGCTGATCTTGACTTCTTGTAAACACAGCAACTGTGGCCAGTGGTGGCGTTTCAAAAATAGTCTGAGGGGCGACAGAGAACCGGGGTTGAACGAAAACTGTTTCTGAAGCAGGGGGCCGACGCCATTCACATTCCAACTGAAGATATGAACGTGGTCGGCCACGTGTGTGGCAGGAGGTGAAATCTTTCTGCGAATGGCGGGCGGACTGATGGATCGGCTTGTGCTACTCCAGGATCTCTTGAGCGGAGGAGGCATTTTCTGCAAAGATCGAGGGTCTGGGGGGTCTCGATGTGACGAGTCTGGCGTCGACACTCTCACCAGGAATCGAGCAGCGACGACGATGGACTCGGAGTTCGTTATAGTCGTGAGCTTCATTCATGGTGAGAGTGGTGTATAGAGAACGGTGATTGAATTGAACGTCATTGCGGGTGCGAGGAAGCAAGTAGCGGAGCCCCAGGCACGCACAGGCACTGCATCACTGCATCACTGACGCCAGCAACACGGAGTCTCCAGGCTGCCATCCCGCTTACGGACCGAGCCGTGGGTAAACAGCCTCCCCCGGGCCTTTGAGTTGATAAGCTGCGAGCCCTCCCTACCCCAACCAGAGACTGGCACTTTTAGGCGTGTTTCAGCTTGCACTTGAACAAGTTATCTTTGACTTGGGCCCTTAGGCTAACGAGGGCCCCTGGAAGCTCCATCGATGCTCCCGGGGCCGCCTCCTAAGTCCAACGCAGTTCTGCGGGCTAAGCTCTGAGTCGTCGCATTGACGATGTTGCGGACCCTGAAATACGTAGTTCGTCCCGCTCGCAACCTGCGCATCCCATTCGGTTCACCATCATTCCTCCATTTCCTCTTCCCCGAAATCACTTTGATAACTCGCGGGGATCTCTTCGATGTCTCCTGGTTCGTTGTAACTCTACGTCTGAGTCCTCCGCCCAGACCATCTCGATTTGTGTCTTCTTCAAAGCCGTGCGGGGCATTGCGGGATCGAACACTATCAAACGGACTTGGCCTTGAACGACAAACCCCTATCATCCTCCGCTATCTCGCCGAAAACTATCGTAGCATACTAGTAGGTGCCTCACCTGCCGTTTCGGGCAAGATCGAGATCAAGACGCCGAACTCCTCAGTCGATTGTATGATAAGATGCTGATGCTCTCGCAGATGCGCAGCAGACCTGCTTTGCATGCTCGATCCTTTCTCAACCGCACCCTCGGCCTGCGTCCCTATCACCAATGGCTCCTCAGCCAGACTTTTATCCTACCCTCCATCGTATCCGCGATCTCGAAAGTGCTGGAATACAAGACTTGCAGCAGATCATCCAGACATTTCCCGTCATTGACAATCATGCGCACAATCTGTTGACCGAAGAAAACGCCTATGGGAGTCCCGAATATCCCTTCGAATGCATCACCTCCGAAGCGCAGGGTCATGCCCTGGCAGACCACGTCCATTCGAGTCTGGCTCATATGCGTGGGATCAGGCAGCTGGCAGAGTTCTACCAATGCCCCGAAACACTTCAAGACGTCAAGGCGGCTCGATATGAATGGGTGCGGAGAGACTATCCCGAGTTGATCAGGAGGTGTTTTGCAGGGACACATGCCATTATGCTGGATGACGGACTGTCCCCGGAGATCATACACCCATTCAAGTGGCACAGACAGTTCGTGCCCACCGTGTCAAGGATAGTGAGGATCGAATCCATCGCATCAGAACTGCTGGAACATCTCGCTCATGCGGCGGGGTTCATGAGAGTCGGACTTGATGCGGACTGGGACATCAGCCAGACCGAAAGCTTTCTCGTCCGCTTCAACACGGTCTTTCGCAATCAGATCCGTACGCTGGCGAACGATCCCGACGTCCGCGGCTTCAAGTCTGTCATCTGCTATCGAACGGGCCTGGATGTTGGACTCGAGAGCAGGAAGAACTTCCGTCCCCATCAGTCATTGACCGAGTCGACCCTCCTGCAGTCCTTCCATGAGTTCCTGCAAAAGGCGGTTCGCGACCACCGATACCGCATTGATCAGAAGGAGGTGAATGACTTTCTGGTGGTTGCCGTGTGTGATGTGCTGGAGAAGCTTGTAGACACAGACGGTGAAAACCTGCCTTTCCAGTTCCACACTGGACTCGGTGATACGGACATCGATCTCGTGAAAGCGAATCCAGCATATATGCAGCCATTGATTGAAGCTTTCCCACAGGTTGATTTTGTCATCCTCCATTCTTCGTACCCCTACACCCGAGAGGCTGGCTACCTGGCAGCCAACTACGCGAATGCATGGCTTGACATTGGGGAAGTATTCCCGATGTTGTCCAGAGATGGAGAAGATTCGGTTCTACGACAAGCCCTCGAGCTGACCCCAAGTTCGAAGATCCTGTGGAGTACGGATGGACACTTCTACCCCGAGACTTACTGGCTGGCAAACAAGCACTTCAGGGATGCCCTCGAGAGATTACTTACCGCCTACGTCGCGGCAGGAGATATCACCGTCGCCCAAGGGATTGATATCGCCGTGGACATGATGTTCTGGAACTCAAATCAGCTCTACAAGCTCGACGAAGAACGCAAGTTCCCGGAGCTGCTACGGGCCTGCGGGAGGGAAACCGTAGATAGCATGCGGACTCTGGTCAATGGAGGATCCAAAACACCCTCTTTCAATTCTTATGCCAGCACCGCCGTTGGGAACGCTGCCACTGCTTCAGCACGGCCAGGCCCTTCTCTCCCTGCAGCTCCATTGCCGGTCACGGGTGCCTCTCTGCCGGTTCCCTCAGCAAGCACAAGCGCCCCATCAGGTCAAAGCTCGACAGCAGTGTTCGCCCAGAACCTGACTGTGTTTGATACCTTTCTCCAGACCAATCCCGGCGTCAAGTACATATGGCTGCAGTTTTTGGATTACACGGGCACCCTTCGGAATCGGATGGTGACAGTCCAGCAGTTTCGAAAGCAGCTGTCGACCGGCCAGAACCCAGTCATCACTTCCGCCCTTACACGTCTGCTGCAGGACGACCATCCCGCCACGGGTTGTTCAGCAACAGGACAGTTCCTTCTCGCCCCGGACCTCTCGACACTGTCGCTCAACAAGGGCATTCCGTCTCCGTCCGCCACCGTGCAGACATGGTGGATGGCCGATACCGAAGCCATCCCGAACACGGAACACTGGGATCGCTGTCCTCGCTGGCTTCTCCAGTCGCAATGCAACGCGCTCAAATCGGAGTTCAACATCTCCATGCTAATGGGGTTCGAGCTGGAGGTCATCTTCATGAAACCGGCTATGACCGAGGACCAATCCGACTTTGCCGACTTCGGGCCCCTGCACATGGTGCACTCGTGGTCCAACATGACCCACCAACAACTAGACATGCTGCCCATGATCGAGGAGATTGTAGAATATCTGGCCGAGTTAGACATCCACCTTCCACAATTCCATTCCGAGGCTGCCCCAGGACAATGGGAATTCCCTTTACCACCGTTTGAACCAGTCAAGGCGGTCGACATCTTGTTCAAGGCGAAAGACGTGATCCGCAACGTGGCCAAAGCCCACGGGCTCAAAGCGACGTGCTACCCGCGTCCGTTCGCGTTCACGTGCGGCAGCGCCAACCACGTCCATTTCAGCATCAACGGGCCCGGCGACACGGTCGAGAAATACGAGCCCCCGTTCCTGGCCGGCATTCTGGACCACCTCCCCGCTCTGCTGGCGTTTACCCTCCCGCTCGAGGAATCTTACGCGCGCGTCAACGCCGGCATCTGGTCCGGCGGCGAGTACGTGTGCTGGGGTACGCAGAACAAAGAAGTCCCGCTGCGCAAGTGCGGCCCGGGCCATTTCGAGCTCAAGACCATCGACGGCATCGGCAACTCGTACCTGTCCATGGCCGCCCTGCTGGCGGCCGGTCTCCACGGGCTCAGACAGGACTTGAAGCTCGAGATGAAGGACTGTGCGGGCGATCCCACACTGATCGGCGAGCACGAGCGCCAGAGTCTCGGCATCACCGTGCCACTGCCCAATACCTTGGAAAAGAGCTTGAAGGCGCTCGACAAGGACAAAATCCTGAGACGAGCCCTCGGATATGCCGTGGTCGATGACTACCTCGCTGTCGCGGACAGTCTGACGCAGAAGTGTCGAGCCTTTGGAGAGGAGAAGAGACGCGTCTGGTTGATGTCTCGGTATTAGAGCCCTTGGTCTTGACACTTGAGTCTGGGCTTGGACTTCGACTTGAATTTGAAGGCGCGAGCGTCATCTTGAGCTTTTGCAATGTGAAGCACAGCTTTGCTTGATTTATTTGGGCGCTGGCAGCTGAGCGGAGGCCTGTTCTTTTTCTGTTTCTCTTTCTTTTTGATATAGTCGCTGTTTGTTCTGGCACAAACCTTTCCCCGTACATCGACTGCTCTAGGTCTAGGTCATCCATTCCAATCCATACTACAACAAGGACATCACTTCCTGATTCTTCTATTCCGTTGCGTTTACTGGTCATTCAGAGCTCGAGCGATGGTGGAACAAGGATTATTGATTCATTTCATTCAAGTCAAGACCATTGGTACCTTCGCAGGCAAGTCATGCTGATGATACCTTGACACGCCAGTTTGCCTAGCAAATTTCCATCACATCTCAGATTCAAGAAGCTAAGGCCGGGCTTTACAACCAGAACAAACCCTCTGGGTCCTGAAGCCAACGCCATCACCGTGGCCTTGGCCTTGGCCCTGATTGTTGTTCCTATCTGCCTCCACATCAGACGCACGTCCAAGCCACCAGTCTGACATGTCTGCACCGCAGTGGTCGCAAGCCCGCATCCTTGAGATTCTGCTCGGAGTGCTGATCCTGGCGGTATTTTGCGTATAACTCTGGGTCCATTTCCCCCCAGCTGCACGAGTGGCGAAGAAACCTGACAATTCCTTGTAAAGGGGGCTTTTGGCCGGGGCGATGTCTTGTGAAGGCATCGGATCCTGCGACTTCGACCAGCTACAGGCTCCACCAGAAGAAGCTGGAGGGGTGTTCTTGGTGATTGTGGCTCGACTCAGAGAGTCTATCCGTCTCTGGATCGAAAGACTTCGCTGAATGGGAGGAGTTGAACAGGGTCGTGCTCCTTTGGGCTCGTCAGCACGTCTCTGGAGAGTATTGAGCCCGGTCTGGAAAGGGCTCGGTTGTAGGTTTGCCCGAGCATTGCTAGGTGCAATGGCCTGGTGACCTTGACTGGGCTTGTGGCTGATTCCTTGCGGCGGAGGCTGCAATTGCAAAACTAACGGGGCATTCGTCGACTGTTGACTTGGCACAGGTGACAGAGCGGACGGCAGTTTTGAGGACTGGTCCAGAGAATCCGGATCCTGGGGACGTGTTTGGCAGGGTTTCGATGAGTCTGCGGTATCCAGATATGGAACTTTGGAACGGCGTTGGGACTCTTCTTGAGGCTGTGATTGTGGTTGTGGATGTTCCTTTTGTCTCCGAACCGAGGGCAACAGCGACATCCAGGGTGGCATCGACCGGGAGCCATGACTCTTGATTCCAATCTTGTTTGCCTCGGGGTTCAGCGGATCACTCAGTGAAACGGTCCAACCAGCTCCGTCTAGCAAGCCAGCGGGAGCGTGTATCACAGCGGATTTCGACCTCGACCTCCTGACATGTTGCTCAAGCTTGGCCAGTGATTGTGGTTCGATACTGCACCTAGAACACACCGGGGGCTCGTCGACGGTCATGCCACGATTGTGAGGGAAGCCTTTGTCGTCGAAGTACGGAGGCGGTCGTAACGGTGACTGTAGCCGACGTGTCAGCTTTCGACCTGTCCTCCAGCCGACTCGACTCAAAAGGTGCAAATGAAATCTTTCCGCACCGCGCAAATGAGACAGGAGAAACACGCCCAATGCCACCAACACCAGCCGAAGCCGACCGCGTCGGTCTGGCGAAAGACCACCTCTCCACATCGCCAGCAGATACTGATGCTGTGTAGCCATTCCCAGCAATCGGCACAGACAATGCGGCTTTGCAGACCAAAGGTGTGTGGAGGTGGTTCGTGCTCGGTCCAGTAGATCGTGCAGAGGAAGGTGTAGGACGGTCGGGGAGGCTGCTGCGGCTGTTTGGCCGGTTTCGCAGGGTTCTTCGGTAGAAAGAGAAATGAATCAGACGCGGGTCGGATGAGAGGCGGTCGTAATGATGAAGCTGATCTCGAGGCGCCGAACACGTTCTGTGGGTAAGCCATCAAGATTCAAACCCGAAGCAAGGGGGATGCGAGGGAAAACTGAGAATCAGGAATCGAGTGGATTCAACTAGGAGGTACAAAACAATATGCGATATGGACAAGATAGACAAGATAGACAGTGGCTGGATATTTGCCTGGTTGATGTGATATTGAGATCTGTGTTGGCGGTTGTAACCACCTGCTTCCTTCCCCTTTCGACGAAGATATCACCTTGATTTGCAGCATAATCAATACCATCGTTTCCTGGAGAGAACATTGTTCAGTCGAATCAAAGTCAGAGAGGATCAATCAGTAGCCACGCCTCCTCAAAGCCCCCAGTAACTCTTGACCAACCAAGCCGCATACGAGCTCATGCCACCGATAAAGGCCAGAGTTCCCAGCGATCCGACCGGTCTTCCCCAGCCCAACGAGTCCTTGGCCTTCATGCCGAATTCCACATGGGCGATTCTCAGGAACAGCAACGCCGCCAGCGACGCCGTCAAGGCACGTCGATCGCCCCCGTTCATCTCGACAAACGATGCCACGAGGAGCGCGAACGGCACGTTCTCGGCGAAATTGGCATGCGAACGCGCTGCTATCAACAGGTTGTTGCCGCCGCCAGCGGTAGACGGCGGTTTGGCATCGGATGCCGCGGCCTTGTCTGATGAAGAGCCTTGGTCGCCTATAACTATGTGGGTCGACTGGCGAACAAGGCTGACGCGGAGTGCGAGAAGGACAAAATACGCTCCGAAGGCTGGAGAGCCGTAAGCCCTGGGAACTCAACTAAGAATCGGATCGGGGATTGAGCTAAATACCTGGAGCGAATGTTCCTGTCACGGGCAGGAGTTTGGGGACGGTGATTCCGACTGAGAACATATATCGACGTTGTTAGCGACCGTTGCGACCGAAAAGGGCTGCGATGACTGCGACGCAGAAGAATTTACCTGGCACAGACATGTCGATTAATGGCGAGGATAAGAAGAATATCGATCTGAATGGGAGAGTGTGGTATGTGCAACAAGGAGGATCTTGTCTTGCAGCACTGCTTCGAAGGCCGATGGTTTTCTCTACGCCTTCAGGACTCTACAAAAGGGTTGAGTGCCTGATATCGACATGAGTTGAAGCCATCTCTCGGGCGTTGTCGACGTCATCCATGCGATCCCCTCACGCTCACCAGCGTTCACTCTGTACCCGCATCAGAATCCCCGATGAGGAGTCGACAATGCTGCTATTCCGGTCCTGGTATCATACACCTTTCGACCTATACTCCAAAACTTTCTGACTCGGCACCGGCTATCGCTGCCAGCGGTCTTCGAGTGCGGAGATAAACTTCAAAGAAGGATGATGAAAAGCGAGGACCAGGACGACAAACTGGCTCCCATACGAGCTTGTACGGCGGAAAGGACCATCACCACAACTCTTCAACAGCGCGGCACCACGTAAGAGCCATCTCCTGGTCTCCTGGATGTTCCGGCAAATCGGACCTCGGTCGCTGTTGCACAATATGTGGTGCCTGTGCATACATCGCGTCGACTAAGCTCTGCGGTCAACCCCCATTATGTTTCAGGCATAGCAGATAGACTCCCGGAAAGACTACAGCTCCTCCAATAACTGGATATGGATATGGATATGGATATGGAAATGTAAATGAAACGAGTGTATCGATACTTGCTAGTACTAAAAATCAAACCAAATCAAACAAACAAGGCACCAAATCAAACCAAGATCCCACGCTGAAACTCCTCAGATGCGTGCAAAAAACAAAAACTCCTGCCGCAATGCTCGACCGACCAAGATCCAGTCCGTGTCCGTGTCCGCGATCCCTGGATCCAAATGTAAATCAACCAAAATGCAAAACTCCCGATCCGCCCATCTGTCCAGGCACCCGTGGGCCGTATCGATGCGCCAATGCTTTCCATCAAAAGGAAAGAAGCGACAGTTCCGATGCTTCTTTAGTAACTCATATGGCAGCGCGCAAAGCACTCCTCGACCCCCTTGGCCAGCGAGGCGGGGATATGCATCTTGAACTCGGCGAAGTTGCTGGCATCGATCTGCTTGGGAAAGCCCAGAGCGGCATCGACGACGGTCGGGTCCAAGTTGACGAGGAAGTTCTGGGCGATGGAGCTGGCGCCGGGGTCCTCGGAGTTGAGGCCCGCGATGGCGACGGCGGGCTTGCAGTCGAGGTTCTGCTGGAAGTGGATGGAGCCCTGGGGGAACACGGTACCTTGGAACTGCGACAGAGTGGTATTGAACTCGGCGGTCAGGTTGTTCTCCAGCACGAAGCCGGTCAGCATGGTGGTGTCGGTCACGAGGGTCAAGAACTCGGTGGCGCGCGGGTGGATGTGCGGCGTGTTGAGCCCGCACGGCTGGAAGAAGATGCCGGCCGCGGAGATGCCTTGGCCCGTCAGGACCGGGAAGTTCTTGCGGTTGGCCAGGTCGACTTGGCCGCCGTCGCCGGGCTTGATGCCTGGGTTGGCGGCCGGGTTGAAGTCGAATTTGAGGCTGATGGCCCCCGCCGCCAGCTGGCCTGCGATGTCGGCGAATCGGTCAACCGTCGTGTCGTCGGTCAAGAGCTTGCCCACGAGACCGGGGACCGGCGCTGGGTTGGGCGAGGCTGTCGCGACGCCGAGGACGGTCGAGGTGGCGTAGTTGCTGGCCGCACTGCTGGAGTAGGAGTAGCCGGAGGAGCTGCCGTAGCTGCTGCTGGCTGCGCTGGAGGATCCGGATGGTCTGGATCCAGTCACATAGCTGGTCGTCATGGAATAGCTGCCGCTGCTACTGCCACTGGCGGTGACGTATGGGGCGCTGTAGGAGGACCCCTGGGAGATCGAGGCGTTGTACACGGGAGAGGCGTAGGCCACGGCCGCGAGAGCTGCGACGAGGATGGAAGTCTGAGAATGCATCTTGGAGTTTGGGTTGGTGTTTATTGTATGTATGAGTGAGTGATTGAAGTGTCGTAAGTATTGGCTGATTAGTGAATGTTTGTGTCACAGGCTGTAATATTGTTTCGCTAAAGAGTGTGCGACAACAGTAGGAAAGAAATTAGAAAAAGGAAATAGTTTGAACTGCTTGTTGCTGGCTTGACGATTGAATGGATGATGGACTGGATAGATCGAACAGAGACAGAGGAATGGTCTTATATGAGGCTGGACGTCCAGGCCCATGCCCATGCCCATGACCACCTCTGGCTAGTTGGCACTTTTGTATACACGCCTGGCAGGATGGCTTGCTTACTCTGCAGTGTGCACAGCGAGACCAAGGCTCTCCAAAATGGAAGCAGACTGCGCCGACATAGACCGCTGTCTGGCCCGGCAAGCGTCAACCATGTAGGCTGTAGCCGGGCTGACTGGTGTCCGAATCCTCAAAAGACCCAAGGTGTGCTGTGTTATCACCCGCAGACACCGACCAGATGGTGAAGGCTATCAGCCTCTACCATACGTGCGGCATCGCGAGCGTCTGCGGTCAACCCAAGGCTGATCTGCCGCTGGATCACTAGTGCTCACGATGGATTTTGGGAGGGACCTCAGCAGGCAATATGTAGAGCTCAGCTGTAGTCAGCCATACATTACACCACAGGATATATTTTACACCGTTGGCCGTCAGAGGCCGCGGTTCAGTCGTGGCTGATTGACTCTCGTACCTAGGTCGTGTGGGCAGTGGAGCGTACTTAGATGGTCGATAGGGGCCACTGCATGTAGTGGTGATGAAGAGAGAGAAGATACGAAACAGGACAAGAAGAACCCAGAAGAGCCAGGGGTGGATTTCTATTTTCGAATCGGGGATTATCAGCACCATTCAAGCATTTCTACTGACCGTTTCCAGAATAGCTGCCGCGCCACCTGGCCTGCCGATTGGCCGTGCTGCACAGCCTAATGCGCCTCCCCCGGAAGCAGGTAAGCCGGGCCTCGGCCAGCCTTAAAATAACATCCATACTCCACATTCCACATTGTCCGCATCTGTACTGGTGGTAGTAGTAGACCTGGAAGACTACTCTGTACGGTCGAGCTTGCTTGATATGGTCTACTACTGGTGCTTCAATATACATCAAGTGCGGCATCAACAGAGTCCAACGTCGAAGAAGCAGAGAGGGCTACCTACTGAGCTTCGAAGACAGCGGTTCTTCACACGGTAGATGTCCCATTATGGTATACGGATGGATGGATACGGTGTCTGACTATGACCTACCTACATGCACCATCCATCCAATCCAACAATCCTGGCCACTCCTTCAGGGGACACTCCATGTCTGTCATGTCTGGACTCTGTTGTCTGTCAGATCTCAGCCTTTTACAGCCACACTCACACTCAGCTGTGAGGTCAGATCCAAGCTCAAGCTAAGCTTTCATTACCAAGTCTACTACAGATGAAACCCTTGTCGCTAGACACCAGTCCTGACAAACAGAACCATACCGTCAGGACTCCTACACACTCTTTGCTGGTGATGGCGCCTTGAAGGACGGGTATCCTCGAACCTCTACTTGCTTTCCGCTTGATGCCCACTTTCGCTGGAACGGGAGTACGCCACCATGGAGAGGCGGTATCGACACGCTCCTCTTCGGCCCGGTTGACCACGTGGTCGACGGCGCAGCAGGATATACGAAAATGTCAGAATGGTGACTCTACACTGTGGAGCGGCAACACGACAACAGCAGAGCAGGATGTAAAGAAAGAATCTTGATGATAGGATTCGCCATGCTCTAATCGTGCCAGGATCCTGTGTTCCCTGACATCTCAACGATGTTTTGAATCTAGTACCACTCCATGATCCAACTCCGAGGGAAAGCCTACCCTCGGATCAATGGCTGGTCCTGCCAGCGTAGGATGCCGTAAACACCGACCTTGCTCACCATTTTCCAACACAGCCAATTGAAATCAATACACCCCCGATTGTCCGAGTACAATCGCACACGGCACTGATCTCACGTACTACCCAGTCTATTTTTGCAGGTTCTGCACGAACGAGTCCAGATTGAACTCTTCTTCGTACTGCCGTTCATCCCACAGCTCGCCCACATCGTCTAGCCAGCCTTTCTCGCCTTTCTTCTTCACTTCGCCCGTCTCGAGATCGACCATGTCCTCTTCCTTACCCGCTCCGCCACCGTCGCCACCAGTGTCGGAGCTCTCTCCAAGATTGAACAAATCCAGGATCTGGTCCGTCTCCATACTCCCCAACCCCGCGTTTTGTTGGTTGACCACGGTCGAGGCAACATCAATTTTGAAACGCTGTAAACTCATGATCTTCTCTTCCAGCGTGCCGCGAGTGATGAGTCGATACACGTTGACAACCTTCTTTTGTCCGATCCGATGCGCTCGGTCCATGGCCTGGATGTCCTTTTGAGGGTTCCAGTCATGTTCCACGAAAATGACCGTGTCCGCGCCCGTCAGATTCAACCCGAGGCCGCCAACACTGGTGGTCAACAACAGGCAGTCGTAGCTAGGGTCGTTGTTGAATTGGTTGACAATGTTCTGCCGCTTGGTTGCTTCCACGCTGCCATCGAGCCGGAGGAATTGCACACTTGGCAGAAGCTTTCCGAGCACCTCGTTTTGCACCATGTCCAACATTTCTTTCATCTGACAAAAGATCAAGGCACGATGCTGTGACACGGCGCTACTGGCCGATATATCGTTGGCATCATTCGGCACCCCAATCCCACAATCGACCAGCAAGTCCCGTAGTGCAGTGAGTTTCGGTGCATGAGCCACGTCGCGCAGACTCGACTTGGAAGCCGCTAGCTGCTTGGAAAGGACGTCGTACTGCTTGGTGCCCTCTTTGACCACCAGCGCGGGCGAGTTGCACAGTTTTCGCATGTATTGCAGCGCCTGGAAAATGTGTTGCTTGGCTTCTTTGTCGGCCGACCCGACGCTGTTCTCCACCGTCTTCCGCTCCTTCTTGAAGAAATCTTCAAAGAGTCGCTTCTGCAGGTCGCTGAGGTCGCAATAGTAGTTTTGCAGGATCTTGGGAGGCAGATCGTTCAGGACTTCTTCCTTCAGTCGGCGCAGCAGGAATGGTAACACCTGTTTGTGAAGAGCTTCAATGGCTAGAGCGCCTGCCTCCTGCTCCTTAGAGGATGATTTGGCGTTGCGACTGGCCGCGATGGGTTTCGCGAATCGATCTTGGAACACCTTCTCCGTGCCTAGGAAACCGGGCATGAGAAAGTCAAAGAGAGACCATAATTCGAGGACGTTGTTCTGGATCGGCGTGCCGGACAGAATGAGCCTATGGTTGCTGACGAGCTTCTTCACCGCCTGTGTGATCTTGGCTTTTGGGTTCTTGATCAGATGGCCTTCGTCGAGGACGCAGTAGTTCCAGGTGATGGATGTTAACACGTCGTTATCGTTTCGGCAAACGTCGTACGAGGTGATCACGACATCGGCTTCTTCCAGCAGGTGACGGCGACTGTTGCGTTCCACAGGAGATCCCACATAGGCAACACAGCTCAAGAACGGCGCGTATTGCTTGATCTCCTGCTGCCAATGACCGGAAAGCGTCGGCGGGCAAACGATGAGTGAAGGCATTCGTCTCATATCCGCCGCCTTCGTCTTGGCGTATTCCTCAGCTCGAATGTGATGGTCACTGGCGACGATACACAATGTCTGCAGCGTTTTACCGAGACCCATATCATCACAAAGCACGCCGTGCAGATTGTATTTGTTGAGGAACGCCAGCCAATTCACACCTTCTTGCTGGTAGGACCGTAATTCCGCTTTGATGGCCACTGGGATCTGGAAGGGCTCTACTTTCTTCGGATCCAGCATTTGTGCCATGAACTTGCGTTCTCTCTCACGCCCTTGTAGCAAAGACTCCGGCATACCCGGCGGATCTGGAATACCGGCCTCCAGTGGCACAAGCTTGACCAATGTCGCAAACGACGTCGTAGCAAGGAGGCGGATATCGTGGTTGGCGTCACTCATACGCCCAAGAACCGGAACAATGAGGAAAATCACATACGGTAAGATCCTGTCGCCCATCACCGAGATGAGATGATAAACGCACTCTGTAATGCCCTGTCGATCCCGGAGGTCCAGGGGATTGCTGATATTGGGCAAGATCTCCTGGACGAGCATGGTCATGCCCTCCACAGTGATGACGCTGCAGATGGTTGCAAAGCATTTGGCAGCACTGTACCTCACGACGGATAGCCTGCTCCGCATAGCCTTGCCAATCAAGGGGCTCAGCGACAGAATCCATGGATGCAGCGCGGGGTGTACCATGGGCGACAGCGTCCGCAAGATGGAGAAGGCATCGACCAAGGATTGGCCCTGCGCGTCATCCACCTGGAAGGAAGCAGGATCTGCTGGCTCGACCATCTCACGGATAGGGTTCTCTATCAGTGATTTGAGAATGGGCAGTTTGTCAAGAAGCGAGCCGCCGTAGGCCTGGGCCAATTCGTTCAGGGCACGCTTCGCCCCTCGTCGCATGATTCGTGCTTCCTTGGCCTCTTGTTCGAATCTGGCCGCGTCCGGGTGATCTTTCCTATCTTCTTCTTTCCGTAACGACAGCACTATGTCTTCGAATTTGGAGTTAGGGCCGAACTCGGGAGTCTCGGAGGTGTCCACACAGGTGAACTTCACCAGGTTAGATACCAATTTGTCCACCGGGCCTCGTTTCGGACTCGCGGTGTAGAAGTCAATCAAAGCAGCCACGGCCGATGCAGACCGGGCTTGCAGCTCTTCAAACTCCTCCCCTTTAATGCTGTCCATAATGCATTTGATGAGTTGGCCAGGCTTCTTAGGGACCTCGGCAAGTCTCACGAGAACAGATGCGATTGTGGCTTTGATAGCCATATCCCGACTTTCTTTGACCTTTCTCGCCTCTTCGACGGCGGTCATTGCGTTAGTGCGCGCGTCATTGAGGTACTGTGTTCCCGAGACTCTTTGCGCCGGTGTGAGCGCCTTCATCAGACGATCGAAATCTGTCGTCACAATCCGCTCGGCGTCTGCAAGAGAGAAGGCCTTGGGTCCAGCACCGCTTTCGCCTTGACACACCACTGCTATGGCTGGCAATTTGTCGCGGGATACGTGTGCATTGTTCTGGAAAGCACTGACCAAAGATTGGCATTGACCCCGAGCTGCTTGCAAAGAAGACACAATGTCGGTATACCAATGATTGCCATCGTCGTCGAGAACCCGTTGAAGCTGGGCCACAAACGTTGGTGTATTCGTCGGTTTCGTGGACTGATTCCGGGCAAGCTCTTCCAAAATCATGCCTGCAAATAGTCGGGTGCTGGAATGCGTTGAGTCGACAACAGGAAGCAGGTTTGTCCAGTATGTAAGCACGGATGGCTCGTTCTGTTTGCCCAAAAGCAGGCCCAAGGCACGCGAACAGGTAATTCTAGTCCTCAAAATGACCTCCATCCCAACCAAGTCGACCTCGCCATGAAGCATGTGACCGTCGGTGTTGTGGGACAGATGATGCTGATTCGAGTCATCCTTGTCAACTTTTCGACGTTTTCTCGGCTGCTGATCTGTGTCTGAAGTTGACCCATGCCTTGCGGCGACAGAAGCCATGGGTACACCCGAAGGTTTGATGAGGAGGGAAGCGTCCATTGGGATCGGGCTTCGTGCTTGGCCGACGGGTTGGATGGTAGCCTTCAACATCGCTGTGAAATGCGGCTCCAGACTCGATGTAAAACTCGCCATTCCCTGTCGCTCCATAAAGTCTACGAGGGCTTGCCACACTTCAAACGACGCCCGCAAGACACCCTCGTTGCGTTCGAGAAGCATATTTTGAAACACCAAGCGGATCACGCGGCCGCCCACCCATTCCATGTTGCTCACGTTGGAAATATTCAGAAAGGTTGCTAAGGCTTTCAAGACAGCCAAACGCACACTGGTAATGGTGTGTCTCAGGAAGGGATACAGCCGAGGGACAAGCATCTCAAATGATTGCTCTGGATCCTCGGCTGCATTGGCACGCATAGCTTCCAAGATGGCGTCGTAGGAGCAAAGCGTCGCTAGAAGGTCCATGACCGCACCGGTGCTGGCACTGAGGTCGTCCTGCATGTCGAGGAGACAATCCCATACGACGCCGATAAGCTGGCCAAGAGAGTGCGGCCGCAGTGTTGTCAGTTCTCCGGCAATCGGTATCAATGTTGCGGCACTGACCGATTTGACGTCGTCATCAGCGTGGGCAAGACCACGTATCACGGCTGAGATCGCACCGTCTATCAGCTCGTTATGCTGGAGAAGGAGATCCTTCCGGACCGCAACGAAGTAGCGCAGACCGATCATGCCTCCGTGGCAGACCTCCCAGATCGGCTGTTTCATGCCTGTGTCGGTTTGGTTGATCATCTGCTGTAGAAAGTTGTATACAGAGATAGCGATGTCATCGGGAAGCTGGGTAAGTAGTGCGCCGAGGGTCTGACCGATGGACTCGCGGATTGGGGCCACTACGGTGTCAGAGACATAGTCTCCAAACCGGTCGAGCATCAAGACACACAGCAGACGGCATGCCATATCATCAAGCCAACGTCGATTTGCTAGTTCATTCTCGGCTCGAGACCTGCCATACCGCCGGCCGGCACCACGCCCATGAACACGGAGGACTTCTCTCAGCCCCATCGCGGCACCATGCCGTACCTCCCAGTTGGGATCGAAAAGATCAATTGAAAGGAAGTCGCACATGACTTCAAACGGCCAATCGTGCGCATGTTCCTCATCGGGCTGGATCAGCGGCTTTTCCGGTACATCTTCGCCCTTGAATTCAGAGATCAGGGCAGTGTCATCATCGGGACCTTCCCGCTTGATGGAGAAATAATCCTGCTTGGAGTCTCCGTTCGAGTCGTCGACTCCGTTCAGCTTGACCGGATGGGGAGTGGCAGAAACGGGGGTGTGGCCTGGTTCCGAAGGACGCCGTCCGGAGAGGTCAACGACTCGCATCTTGCTGGCGCCAGCTTTCGCTGCTGATTTGTTTTTACGCTTGAGCTGGTTTAGTTGTCGTTTGCTCAGGCCTGACTCGTCCAGGAAGGGCTGTCCGTTGTTTTCTGAAGGTGAGATGGCACTGTATTGCGAAGGGGTTCCCAGGCCGTCCGCTCGCTCTGCTGTCGATTTTGTGTCCATTCGGGACAAACCTGGGGTTTGTGCCAATTTGTGCTGCGAATTGGCGGCAAAATCGTTCTCGGTAACGAGGTCCTCTTCGATGTACTCACCCCCAAGCCCTAGACGGGCCGAAAGATTCTGCTTTTGATGGGCAAGGCGTTGGGCAGGTGTCATGCTCGCCATTGAGTATTCATACTCCTTTCCAGCGCTACCCAGTAGTTTCTTTCCATGACGAAGGATCATTTTGACATCTAGAGAGGCCAGCTGAAGCATATCATCAGCCTCGGGTGTCTTCTCCTCGGTTTTGACCGAGGTAAGCTCGGGTTTGAGGGAGTCATCCTTCGTCTCCGGATCGTCGGCATTCGGATCGAATTTGGGCACATTTGAGACGATGCCACCTATTGCCTTGGCCGCGGCAGTGCGAGTGTCCCATGACTTGGACTGCAAGTAAGGGAGTACCCTGCCCAAAAGGGCAAAGAGGTTGTCTGGATTCTGTTTCTGTACGTCGGCAAGCTGTGCCGCTGCAGTGTTGCGTATCAGTTGTGTGCTTCCCTTGTCCAGCAAGCTGTGAAAGCAGTGTCAGTTAGGTCACTCCCCTAGTATCCCTTCTCACAGCCCTGTAGGCATGTATAAAGGGTGAGACATTTGGTAAGCACTCACGTGACGAGCCTATCGAGCCTATTGTGAAAGCGGTTAGTTCAGTTCGGCGGCAAGAACAGGGCCACTGCAGGGTTGAGCGACAAACCTTGAATTGGCCATTTTCTCTGATGCAAAGATGCTCAGTATTAATTACGTCGTAGGGACCCAAATAGCCAAGAATGCGACCGGAACGCCATCAAATGCACAGGGTAAGAAAGTGTTGCGGCGCGTCCAAACAATTTGTTATGAGGCGGGAGTGATGGTGTGAAGACGCGACCGGAGAAGAAAATGTGAATGTAAAGACACGTGTGAGGTGCATGGATCTTGTCGTCATTAGAAAAGGATTGACTGCAACATGGGCATTAATTATCGACCTGATTCGGTAGGTGAGAAACAGCGCAGGCAGTGGTGGAGGACGAAAGTTGGAATCGGGGCGCAGCGTTGGGCTTAAGAGAGTCTGGACTGCCTTTAAATCCTCGCTTGCTCCGGGGCAGAACTGCAGGCTTCATCGCCCCTGGCTCCTTCCGCCGCCCGCTTCACCCACTGATTGCCTGCGCCTGCCATTTAGCTGGCGCTAGCACGACTCAAGCTTTGCACTCGTGGCTTGGCGCCGATTCTGACCAATGAAGTATTTAGTTCACTTGCAGTTATTCTGCTTCACAGTATTCTGTATATCATGATGGAGGCAGCCTATTGTCCATATTGGCAATATTCCATGCAAATTCACGCTCATTACGATCAGCCATGGTTGCTTCTGCCTAATTGACGGAGCGGGGCTATATGACTTAGAAGGGCAGTATCAACGTGGCAACCTAGCAACACGCACAACTGGCTACGCCTACCGACGGTCATCTCTCCTCGAGCTGGGTCTGCAAGTGGTGGACGATGATACGACCAAAAAACAGGCATAATCGTGAACTTGAAGAGCGATGGGAGTGCGGCGTAACCAATCATCCAACGACCTGACACTGCTACCACGGGGGCTCCCCAGACTCTCGTCCGGCGTCGAATCCCATAGTAAGCGTGGCGGATGGTATTGTCGACGTAGATTTTGCTCAACGGCCACCAAAAGCAAGTCGATTATCCCTTATTGCCATAGCTGAGCGTCGGGAGACGACGGTTTGGCCTCGGGCAGTCGATCGCTTCTCAAAAAGTCACTCATGATCTTGAATCCTTATTCAGTGATTTCATTGCAGTGCAACTGCGCCCTGGTGATATGTACAACCCGTCAAGCTTTATCGTGGATTTCCTTCCAAGCAGTTATTGTTCTCCTTCGAAAGCTATTGTTTTTATGACGCGCTGAGTATTGACTTTGTTTCATCCTCCTTCCCTATCAAGCCGAGACTTCGGATCTGGCCAACTTTGGGCGCATTCTCTCGTGGGTGTGCTGCTTCGGCTTTTCGTAGCGCGTTCTGGATGGCTACCGCTCTGGCGTACTGGAGTGATTTCGTCAGTCTCGTGCTGCAGCTCAAACCAGGAGCGAGGTATCACAAACTTCTTTCTTGTGGTGTAGGCACTCATAGTAATCTTCCAACCGTGGGGCGCAAACGCCTCGTGCTCTTGCTTCGGGATCATGCTGATTGATAACATAGCAAGACATATATTCTTGCCAGAATGGAAAGCATCGGGAGACACCTGCGGGCGAGGGACGGTGTCAGTGCCGGAGCTTCATGATGATGCGCAGCTGATTCCCCAGGAGTAGGATCAGTCGAACACTGCCAGGTAGAACTCACCTCCTGTCAAGCCATAACCGGACGCCATACTGAGCAACACTAGTTTGCTGCGCGGAAATCCATTCAACGTCGGAGTTTGTTAAAACAGTGCTGGAAGCCGTGGATGTCGTTTCGAGCTGCGACCAAGCAATAGCGGCTCTCCTATTGGCGGGTTTCAGAGGAGAAAGCTCTACATGCCGCTTTAAGTGTTTCCACGGCAAAGGCTCCTCCTTGGTCTATCTGTAGGTAGATCGTCGTCAATTTTGGAAATATATTGGTAGTAGGGACAGCTATCGAACTCGTAAACAGTGAAGATGCCGAATGAATTGCTGTACCTACTCTGTACGCCGCCGTCAAGCGCTCCCGGTGCTAAAGCGGCGCCTCCATTGCTTTGATAGGACTAAAGCAGCATGCATGGTATGTCAAGAACGGTCACATGTAGGCGCCGGGATGGACGTCAGTTTCCTGGCTGCGATTTCGAGTTTCCTGAACACGTCGGCCATTCCCAAAACCCTCTCCACACCATGTTTACAGTCCCGACGACATGACAACCCCGAATGGATTGACGGATGCACACTTGATTCTCTGGGCCGTGCAGTTAGTCTCAGAAGGAGACTTGAAGGTGCTTCAGCGACTTGTCCACCGCCGCCGCGATGTGTTGTCCCATACTCTCATATACCGACTCCTCCTATCGTTCTACCCGGCAGATGTCTCCGAGCAATCTACTCTAATTCACTTCCTCAAGTCTATCATAGAAGTCTCAGCCGATTCGACAGATGACGCTGACGTTGACGAGAAAATCGACCCAACCATTGCCCAGCTCTCCAAGCAAGAAGCCATCCAGCAGTGTCGGTCGCTGAGGCTGCAATCCATTCCTGAGCACGCGGCTATAGATAGCGACAGCACCCTGGCAAACTTTATCATTGAATGGGCCAAAGATTTAGAATCAGTCAGTGGTGCCACGGAGCCGTCGCTGCATTTTGTTGAACAATTCCTGGACCACGATGCGGACCTGCGCTTATGGTACGAGACATATTTAGTGCCTGTGGTCCGACTGCAGTATGAATTCTATCCAGATACCGAGGACGTTGTTGGAGTGCGACAACTCGAGACACTGGCGGCAGCAGAAGGAATAAAAACGTTGCTACAGTATGCTGAGCGACAGCGTACCTCTGCTGCCATTGTCAGGGATCTTGATGCCGTCGTCGCGCCGTGGGTGCGTGGCGCTGGTCGAGCGAAGAGGAGGAAGGTTGGCCATACACAAGTGGATGTGACAGAAGAGGCTACGTCTTGGGAAGCTGTTAATGAATGGCTCGTGTCGTTCAGTTTCAAGGATTTCGACGTTGCAGCCCTGGCATTCGTGCAATGGGATGGCCCCGTACCAAATCCCGATCCATCTAACGAGGCTGTTGTGCGATTCGCTCAGATCGGAATGGCCATTATCTATGGTTGTCCGAAGGCGTCAACAGAGATGCAGTCCATCTGTCGACAGATGCTTGACAAGATTGCTAGGCTGGCAGGCCTGGAGCCTCCAGACTTTTCCAAATCTCACCCCGAGGTGACCCTGCCCCAACCATTTGGTACAGGGGTTGACGAAGCGGACTTGCTGCAGAACTCGCTTTCTCGAAGAGCGAACCCATTCACACAACCAAACGAAGCGTCTATTGACCTTCTCATCGGACTACTTCAGACCTGTGATATTCTGTTGGAGTTAGGGCAATCTGTGGTAATTACGGATGTTGCAAAAATCAGTCTATTCGGGTCAGAACTGCGTCATAAAGAAGAGCTTCGTCGCTTGTTACAGTATGTTCCACGCATGACCCGGAAGGCGATCGACTGGCGTTCCGTGCGTCGACAATTGCTTTGGTTGCAATCTTGGGGTCGCAGTCGAAAACTTACTTCGCCAGCCCTTGAGCCCGCGTTCCTATCTCGTCTCTCTCCCGACTACGTGGAAAGACAGATACTGGATACCCTTCTCCGGGCTGGTCAATACGACATCGTCAAGGAGGTGTATATGGAGACCGCTTTCTTGCCCTTGAAGATGCCAGACGTCGAAGACAGTATAGTTGCCGCTATCCTCGAATCCTATGACAACGCCAGCAATGGAAACAAAGACCGTGGCGGGATGAAACGCGCATACGAGATTTTGAAAGCATTTCGGCCGCTTCTCCCCGACTCTTCGAGCTTGCTTGATCTTGACTACCTCGTCCGAGCCACTCACAGTCTCTCCTTCTACCAGCTTACTCTGCAGCACGGTATTCCCTTCAAGCCGGTGGCTATCCGTGTGCAGAAAGACCCCTTGACGCTGGTGGAGAAGGTCTTGGAGCAGGATGCAAAAGCCTACACAAAGTTGGACGACCTGCTCGAGATAGGGCGCAATCTTATTCGTGCCCGTCTCCCAACTCATAGAATCTTGCCTCAGGACACAGACCCCATGGAATTGCGTGTGTCCGACGCCGAACACAGAATCATCTACTCAGCAGTCATGGCGGCCCTTGCTGCAGATGATTTCGACACCGCGTATGCCTACATCACAACTCGCTTGTCCATTTCCCCAGCGCAGCCTGTGGCAGCCAGCCTGGCGGACGACACTTCGTGGCGGGCAGCGTATGCCGCTGGCAGATATCGACCCAAGTCTACACCAAAAAGTCTAAAAGCTCGAATCGATAGTCTAACTCAGCGGATGGAGCTTCTCTCCCGGGCGTTGATGCTCGCACCATCTGGAGATGCTCTATCAGGGATTCTAGCGACATGGCGGCGTAATGAGGAGGAGATGGATGGTCTGAAGGCACAAGCGATGGAAGAAGAACGCGCGTTCGACGCTCAAGCAGATGCGTCACTGCCTGGCGCATACGCCCTTGAGGACCGGGACGCAGATGCAGCTGAAACGAAGCGTGCCATGGCACGCCGCATTGGACCAGGCACTTCTACCGGCCCGTCGTATGAGGAAGAAGCACCACTGGGTCTTTTCGACGTCGCCAAAGGAGCTGCAGCTGCTCTGAGGAAAAGCGCGGCTTTCCCCCTAGGACCATCAGGATTACAAGACCTCAAGATCCGGGAGGCTGGCTCCCCAGCAAAGAGTCACCCCCCGCGCGAAACTGCGCATCCCCAACTTGGCACTGACGGCCGAGTTCGCAAGAGGGATATAGTCACGAGTATGGTGACTAGCGGGTTGGTCAGTGGCATGGGCTGGGTTCTTGGTGCTCAACCACAGGATCGGATTGACAAGAGGATGGAAAGTGAGTTCTGAGTGTGTTGTAGATTGCGACTGCGCTCGTCTTTCCTCAAGTCTGAGGATGGGTCTCGGTGAGTAGCAGGTTTGAAGGCCTCATTTTTTATGACAGAGTAATGGCTGGTGGAAGTATAACGTATTCCGTTCAGCGTTCAACGTCAGTGTGCGAAGCTGTGGTAAAAGAGCAGCATGAATGGATGAATGGATGTGTTGTGTTGGATGGAAGGAGCACGTCGCATGCTTCAAAGAAGCTGTGTTTGCACTTCGACTTCTCACCACACGATGAGCATAACGCACGCACACTCACACTATTGATCGATATCCTCATATTTTCCCTTGCTCATTCCAAGGTCTTTGACCAGATGTCCTGACATACCTCCTTCAAAGCCTCTTATTCTGTCCGCAGTTGCCTTGTCCCCGTCACGAGCTACCTGTCTGTGCAACTGTCCAAAGGCTCCATATGGCGCCGTTGCCTGCGAAAGCCCTCCATCGTCGCGGAGACAACGCAGGTCGCACATTCTCGATCATATTTGCTGTCATCGCCTTTCTGGTCGTTCTGGGATGTCTCATCTGGGGTATCATCCTTCCAAGATATCGCAAGAGAAATATTCGTCGCCCGCCGCAAAGACTTGCCGCGAACCGTATGACCGTCTGCAACGCTCGCCGGTTCCCGAGCCATCCTGCTCTACTCCGTGGCTCTCGGAAAACGTCCTCTATTGCTCTTGGACAGTACGATCCACGAACTGAGAGTCCTTTTCCGCACAATCCTGCGCAGCCAGGCTCAAGCCTTCCGCCTCCTCGTCCTCCTCCTGCTCATCTCCTCGGGGCGCCAACCCATAGCGATGGCCTCTTCACGCCAATCAAAGATCGCCGACCATCCAGGAACGGCCGATCCTGGACAGAAGCGCTGTTCTTTCGGTCCAAAAAGCGGGTGGAAAATGAAGAGGAGACAATGCCCAAGGTGACGACTGTGCAGGACTATGTGCTTCCCATTCCTGAAGCGCTCCTCTTGAAGCCTAGGGCAGCAGGACGGCCACCGCCACTGACGAAGCAGTTGGAGATGTTTCCGTTACCACATGGCATTGATCATCGTAAAGGAGGACTGATGCACCACTTCAAGCTCTTCCAAGACATGGAGCAGCGAGGCTCTAAATCGGTTGCGAACACTGTTGGAACACCTTGCCCAACACCTTGCAAAGCACGCTGCTCGAGCACTGGAAGGTCGTCAATCTTGCAGGTGGCCGTGCAAGGTGATAACCTAGCTGCCAAATTCACGAACCATGCCCATCCTATGCCGACCCAACAGAGCAACTCTTTCTGCGCGAGGGGCCTTTCTCTCCGCGACAAAGGCAATGAAGGACTAGTGACATCCATGATTCCGGCTGTTTCTATCACAGGCACCCCGGTAAAACAGCTGCCTTTGAACAGAACTAGTGGTTTGAGCAGATCAACAGCCCCAGCCTCTGAGATCCGTGAACTACATGACCACGCAGTCACTGATGAAAGAACTGAGAGCGCTTCTTTCCAGCAAGGACATACACCATCCACAAACCCGTTTACAACTCCTGGGAATTCGTCGACACCTCCAACTTCGTCTATTGTGTCTTGCAACACTTTTCCGGCTCTTCCAACACCTCTGCCATTGCCCCAACCAGCTTCAGCCACGTTCGTGAGAGCCTCCGAGATTTACCATCACCAGACCCCTGCTTCGACGCTTCCTCCTCCAGCCAAGGGCACTCTACCATCCCACATCTTCCTCAGTCAGGCGGTCTATCGTACAGACACGAGTATGGATCCCGCGCAGGCACCCGGCATACGCCCAATAGCTGCGAGACCTGAAACCCCGACAGATTCCACTTTCCAGCCACGTCCGATGCAGACACAGCGGCATTCGTTGTCATCCTTCTCGAAAGTTAACAAGCCAACCACGGTGCCAGCAAAAGGCAACCACATTCAACGCGCAAGCAGCGTCTACAGCCGAGACACAAGAGGAATGAGCATTGTGGGAAACGGAGCCTACACACAAACTGGTCACGACAATGCAAAAGGAAATGCGCAGCCGTGGTCATCTGTTGGAAACCATATGGACCGTATGCAGCCAGAGGCCGACGTCACGAATACTTTGAAACGCAAGATTGACAGATGGGATCTACGCACTGACCATCTCAACGCGCAGGTGCTCCCACCTTCGGTGTACAAGCGAAGCGCTTCAGATTCCGGACCTAGGGGTGCAGGATTGTGCGATTTTTCCATCTTCAAGCAACCCAACAACGCCTGGAAGCGGGACGGCGGTGATGGAGAGAGACAGGCCCCTATGGGTCGCACCGGCCGATTTCAATCTGATGATGATGATGTTTTCGTCAATCAGGTCATGGACCTCCGCCAAGCGAGGGCTTTATCGGCAGCAAAGGTCGTGCAGATGTATAGGCCCGAACCGGTCGTTCCGAGTGGGTTGGCGCCAGGTACTGCACCAGGAGGCGCACAATGGATCTGATGAGCACTAGAGTGCCTAGGAAACAGTGGAGAGACAAGTGTACCAAAGCTGAATTGCTATCTGTTAGAGCAAAAGATGAAGAGGAGTTCGACAACATGTGCTGACAGGTAATGGGCACGGAAACATGGAGCAAGAGAGAAAACAACACTCATAATGATGTCGAGACGGACATACGACAAGCTTCACGGGTGATTGTACTTAGCTACTACTACCAGTACGTACCAGACGTACTTCTGTTAGAGAACCAGATTACTTGATGTATGTGTAAATTGTTTCTTTTCTGTGCGTACGAGATAGAAGGTGAAGGGCTCACTGGTTGGCCATCTGAAGAGAAGAAGCCACGGAGGCTGCTCGAAGATGGAAGCGAAAAAGGGGTTCAAGGTCTAATAACTTTGATAAGGCCCCCTGAACTCCCATCAGCCACTACTACTACTATGTTACTAGACGCGGGTAACGGACAGCGCCGTTTACAACCTCGCCGTTGTGACTCGCACATCTTTCCCTATACCCTGTTGATTCACCCTGTCCGGCCCTTCGGGCGTGGAAGGTGGAACTTATGTCTGGCCTGGAGCCGAAATATCTTGACTGCGGGCTGTTCGCGTCCTGTGTCAATACTGACGGAGGGGGACCGCATCCATGAAGACCTCGGGGCTCATGCCGTTAGCCTACGTCCTACTAGTATCATTGTGGTAGGAGCATGTCCTGACTTCTTTTCGAAAGTGGAACTCCTGTTTGCAGGTTTGAAACGGCCCCCAAGGCAGGCCTGTTGACAATTCTCCAGACCATGCGTCTGTCCCTCTCTGCTAGCAGCGGTGCTACGGTAGGTGGTACTACTATACTTGGTACCAGGAACCGGTCGAAGGATCACCATGCATTTCGGGCTCTAGGGCGGGCATTCTACTCAATCTTGCAACGGTCGTTCACGTTTCGTCTGCTAATCTGATCCCTTTCATTTTCATCTTTCGCGATTTCTGTCAGCAATCTAAAAGATCTTCAGCGCTTCCGTTCAGACCTGTACTGGTCAGTCAGTGGTCACAGCGTTCCGGATCTCGCTCTCGGTAAGCACTTCAGGAAGAAGAGAACCATATACAGAGTCCTGCTCGTTCGGTGTGTGAGTGGAGAGGCCGTGGAGATGGGGATTTCGAGCGTGGTAAGTACAGTACACGACCAACCGACTCTCCGATACAGACTGTCTGCATAACGCAGTCCATACATCCAAGCGAGTCAACGGGCTAATACTTTCCAAAGGTCGTATTGACAAGTCTGCTTGCAGCTCTGATCGATGCCGTCCCTCTCGTGAAGCGAGCCGAAGCCGTGGTGCAGGGGAAACTAGGAACAGATGGATACTGGAACGATTATGACGGTAAGGGTGTTCACCATGCCTTGCTTTGGAATCAGCGAATGGATGGCCAGGGGAGGGCCGTATCTCTGGTAGACTGGACGAGCCTGATGGCTGATACTTGGTGAACATAAACAGGCGGATCAAACCACTATCTACAATACGAAGGAAACGGCTCAGTGGCCGCAGGATGGCCGTCCGATCTGACCTGGGTCTCCTTCAACGACCTATGGGTGGCCAACCAACATACAATCAGTCGGAGCTGCGACATCCTATATGGCGCGCCCAACAATTCCGACCAGGAGACCCAGGACCTCTACGACGCCATCAAGCAGGTTGCCCATCAGACACGGGTCGACCATCGCTTCATCCTCGCCGCCGTCCTCCAGGAAACTAAAGGCTGTGTGCGTGCAAAGACCAGTGTCTCGCCTGATGGGATTCGGAATCCGGGACTCCTTCAATCCTTCAAGGGGAGTCATTCCTGCAACGATGGTGGGAAAGTACAGAATCCGTGTCCTAAGGGTCAGATCGTGGGTATGATTCAAGATGGAGGTAGGACATCTCTATATCAGGAGTTTATTGTTTCGTCTCGTGTCTGAGGCGAGGCGACGTGTTGTGTTTCTGTCACTGACTTGAATGCTGTTTACAGTCGCCGGTACATCGGATGGCCAAGGGTTCGCAACCAATATCAATGCCCAGAGCGATGTCGACGGTATTGATTATGCTGAAGCGTACTATCGAGCTGCCAGGCTGTACAACTCTGGTGCCATCGACGGGTCGGGGGATCTGGGGAAGGGCTCTGCCACGCATTGCTATGCTAGTGATATTGCCAATAGATTGGTTGGATGGACGGATAGCCAGTCGACATGTACTTTGGATGACACGTAGAATGGATGCGGTTTGGGTCTGTCGTGATCTAGCATGCTATTCAGCCATGTCAGCTCTTGCAACTTGAATGGTTCAGTAACAGAGGCAGCGCAGGATGGAGGTCGATGTAGCGAGTTCAGTTGGGCTCAGATAGTGACTCGTTCTGCTACGACTGCGAGCCCATTTGGTAGGTAGACGTGTCGAATCGTTCATACAAACACAGAGGTCTGGAAATGTGGGTGCAGTGAGTTCTGATGAAAACAAGATAGCTAGTATCAATCAGTGAGTGAGTGCATCGTCTTGACCGCTTCAAGTCGAGCGAGGTTGCTGCGGAGCGGAGATAAGAGCAAACCGGCCGATTATCGCTCACGCCCTCAGTCAATTGATTACTACTATTATTGCCTACTCTGCTATAGTATTGATCCATCCATCATCCATCTATCCCGCCCACAGCCTGCGGGTTCCTTCTCGGAGTCACTATACAATCAGCCCATCCTCCTTGACCAGGTATATCATTAATTATGTCGCATCAGAACAACGACCGAGAAGGCCTGAGTCCATCACCCGCCAATCTCCTCGATATCTTCACCGAAGACGACGAGGATGATGACGTCGACAGCTATCAGCCGACCGAAGAGCAAAGTACCAACGCCAGTGACACGCAAGACGACGATAGCGACGCCGCGTTCGCCGGTACGCTCGACAAACCCTCGTCTCTACGTTCTAAAAGTGTTGACCGTTTCTAGATGCACAAGAGACGTTAAGCGGGATTGAGATAGTGTTTGAGACCGGCGGAGACGATGAGGGAGAGCAGACAGAGACCGAGGCGGGCGCCGGTGGGACAGCGACTCGTCCTGCACAGGGTTTGTGTTTGTGCTCCTTTGCGTCCTCTCCTCTGTCCGTCTTGTCCTGATACGGTTGAAAACAGTAACGACCGCCGATATTCGAAGCCTGTTGAACGCGAGCGCACCCCTCCGACAGTTGATCCTTAGCCGATACCGTCTACTGGGACCCTCCGGTCGAGATTTGTTTGGGGACGATGATGACGAAGAAGAAGAGGACTTTGAGAGCTCTTCATATGGCGGCTTCCATGGACGACGGAGAAGACGGCGTCCTAAGCCAGCTGCCGATCGCTTCCCCAAAGTTCCCAGCGACAATGGCCGGGCGCTGATGAACTCCGGTCTGTACGGCACCCGGGATGACTTCGTGGACATCCTACGGAAGAGGAGGCGCACTGTCAGTGAACGGCTGGTGTGGAGGCGGCTCGGACTAGATGGACGATCGACCATGCGACGACAGAACAGGTTGATAGCGCAAGAATCCGTGCCTTCCACCACGACTGCGGACAAGATCATCCACTACGACAGCAGGGCATACTCCGGTCAATTCTCAGACGACGGCAACTTCTTCTTCAGCTGTACCCAGAACTTCAAGGTGCGCATGTATGACACGAGCAATCCGTATGAATGGAAGTATTACAAGACAGTCGACTATCCTTTCGGTCAATGGACCATCACCGACGCCACACTCAGTCCGGACAACAAGTTCCTGGCATACTCCTCCATCCGCCATACCGTCTGTCTCGCACCTACCGACCCGACCGACCATTCCGACCACACTTTGTTAGACTTCACTAACTTCGCGCCGGGCTCGGGCATGGGCCGCCAAACGTATGGATACATGGGCCGGCATGGCTTCGGGATCTGGTCTTTGAGGTTCAGTGGCGACGGTCGAGAGATTGTGGCGGGGACTTCTGACCACAGTGTTGTCGTGTACGATCTGGAACGTCGGCAGTCGACGGTCCGGCTATCCAACCACGACGACGACGTGAACGCCGTGTGCTTCGGCGATAAGATGTCCCCTCACATTCTTTACTCCGGCTCGGACGACCAGACCCTGCGCGTTTGGGATCGACGGTCTATGGCGGACGGCCGGCCCGCAGGCATATTCGTCGGACACACCGAGGGTCTGACGTACGTGGACTCCAAGGGTGATGGACGGTACGTGCTATCGAACGGCAAAGACCAGATGATGAAACTGTGGGATCTGCGCAAGATGATCTCGCCCAACGAGTTCGCCCGCATCGACCTCCACGCGTACACGACCAATTTCGACTACCGCTTCAGCCCGTACGACGAGGACGACTACGTTCCCAATCCCAAAGACTGCAGCGTCGTGACGTTCCGCGGCCACAGCGTGCTCAAGACCCTGATTCGATGCCACTTTTCACCCCCGGGGTCGAGCAACTCACGCTACGTCTACAGCGGGAGTGAAGATGGGAAGGTCTATATCTGGAACCTGGACGGCACGCGCAAAGCAACCGTCGACGTGGGCGAGGCGACTAAGTACACGCGTCCACGGACTGACAGTAATGGGTATGGCTACGAATTGCACGGCCACCACAGTGGAGTCTGGAAGACCTGTGTCAGAGATGCCAGTTGGAGTCCTACCGCACCGGTGTTGGCTGGTATGTATTGCATCACTGATCTACTTCCCTTCCATCACGTCCTGCTCCGTCCCCTATCCCTCACCTTTTTCCTCTTGCATTGCAGACACTCCCGACAACTTCATTTTACGTGCAGTTGGGAAAGTGAAAACCGAAAACAGCGAGAGTGACGAGTTTGCTGACTTGTTCTGTTCGCCCTTTTACAGCAACCTCCTGGAACGGCTGGGGCATGGCCACCGGCACAGTCTCCCTCCACAGCTGGAACGACGGCAACGAAGACGACGAAGCCCAGCCGCCCATGGCGTCCAACTACAACGCCCGCTTGGATCCCCGCGACGACTTCAATGCCGCCGCGCGTCGCGCCCGTGCTCTAGATTCCGATTCCCCCATGCCCGGCGTCCGCAGTCGAGTCGGAGGCCGTGGTCTACGCAGCAGCGTCGTGCAACCGCAGCGGTTGGGCGCCGCGGCTGGGTACGAGGACGAGGAGGACGAGGAGGACGGTGGCATATGGTGACAATCATTGACTGGAGTTGGCAGTGCTGTTCGACATATGTCGAGACGCCTGAGCCTGAGGAGAGGCGCGTGGCCTGATGCAACGGGTCAGGAGTAAAAGATGCAGTACGCACGAAATGATGATGGATCACGATGATGCGGATTGTAATGAATCCTCCTCCTCCGGGCCAGGGTGCCTGTATCGCTGTCTGTCTGGACTTTGCATTACTCTTGGAATAAAAAGCCGGACATCCAGAAAATGACATGTACATGATCATGATCATGGCCATGGCCATGGCCACGTATCTCTATTTTCGAGCATAAATTCACCCGGGTCTTTCTTGCGCCTTGACGGATTCGGTTTGATTGTACATGTCCAGACACATAAAACACATCCGATGAATGTTTAGAAACAGGGCGCGCAGGCTTGAATATTGGGAAGTAGGAGTAGCGATTGCGGCAGTGCAGTAGTAGTAGTACTAATGTTTCTTCCTCGATTCAACACTCCAGCACCTTGAAGTATCAAGATACCTTCCACTGCAACAGGGTATCAGTAGTACTTGTAGCTATTTTCTTCTACCCAAATTCCCGCCTCTGCTCCGGCTCCCGCTCCTCAACTGCTCTGTGTGCCAATCTACCTTTCTTAACCCACCAACACATTGTTGACCGGAATATGTACTGCACGATGATTCAGCAATGTCAGCCACTAGTGTTCTTTTCTGGGATTTTCGATTGTTCGGATGATGTTTCTTTGAGATGTAGTAGGTGATAGGGAATAGGTGATAGGAGGGGCGGGTTTCGAGAAAGAGGCCCCGAGAATAAGAGCAGCCATGCTGGGGTTGGGGTTGGACTTGGACTTGAACTCACTCAGTTTGATGAAGTAGCCGATTGCCCCCATGATCAGGAAACCCATGCCAACTGCTTGCGAGATCTTGATGAATTCTCTTCGATCGGCTGTTTGGGGGAAACAGAATGTTAGTCCAGGTCCGGAATCAAGGGCTCTTCAGGAGAAATGCAGAGATAGATTGATGTTCTGAGGGTCAATATTGGAGAGGATGCGCCTATTCAGAAGGAAGGTAGGTTTGAGCGCATCGTGTGCAGAAGACAAAGTGGGAGAGGTTTAAACAGTATTCGTGCAGTCAGTCGCTTGACATTGGTCAATCGCAAACAGCAACATTCGGTGTTGGGTCGTGTCATGCCATATGCGCCATGCCATTCTCCGTCTCTTTATTCTGGGTATGATTGCACTGGCCTAACTCCAACATATACTCTGCGGGAAGGGAATGCGGGTTTGAGTCAGGAGTAGAGCGCAGCATGGCCATGCAACGGGCCCTCAGGCCGAAGACATGATTGCGTCTGCGATGAGGCCTGCGCGTGATGCCAGACAAGCTCCATTTGCGAGAGCAGGTGCAGTGTCCCTGGGAACATTGCCAACACATCCCGTCTGCAGCAAACAGAAACACTCCGACAGCGCCGATGGGCATGCGCCGTACTGTACGGATGTAGGGGTTCTTTTGCTTCTATGCCTCAAGTCCATCTCTGACCATGCCCGACGAAACGGGCACGAACAAGTGGGAAAATAGTGTGGAGGAACTGTCACGTACGCTTTGTACATCTGTGGATGAACTGTGTTCCGTCTTTGAAGAATTCTTTGGGCACGTCGGCAATCTCTTGCACGAGGTCAGACATGTTGCGCGATCGTGGGGATGGTGGTTAGGTCGTAGACGAGGCGAAGGTCGGTCGGTTGGGTGTTGTGCTATCGCGTGGCTCGTTCTCGATTTCGGTCTCGGTCTTGCACCTCGGCGTCGATCGAGAAGCAGGGCAGGAAGATTGATGTGGAGCGTCCGCGCGCAGGGTCTCTTGAAGGTGGTCAGGAGTATGATCGATGCGGGGAGATGTGGTGGTTATATCGAGTCGACTGTTGTAGTGTAGTAGGTGGCATCATTTGCAGTTTGAAGTTGGAGTTACTATTACTGTGATTCGGGCAGCTTCCAGTGCAGTGTGATATGAGTGTCTTAATTGGGCACCTAAGGTCCCTCCTAAGTGAATGTACTAACTACAGGTAGTATGAGGTACTACTAAGGTATAGCACTAGAAGCCCGCAACCCCTGGTCAGGCCCAGGCTCAGCTTGGCGCGGAGGAGCTCCAGGCTTCAGCGTCACTTGTTACTCTCCTGCAGGTGGCACAGTGGTACCTAAAAGTACTAGCCGTGAGTGGCCTGTTGGGGAGCTGCAGCTGCGCTTCACATTTCAATTGTCGGACGTCCATACGGCTCTGCTGCGCCTCGTGTGCCTTGAGGTATCTCTGCCAACAACTACGATTCTGGCTTTCCTCATATCATTCTACATTATTCATCTATTGATTCCCTCTGCAACTGCTCGAGCTGAGGTTCATTTTGGGTTGGTGAAAGGGACCTCCGTGTGTTGCCGCAGTCCAGATCCTCACCGGCTGTTCTCCTCGCCTGAACTGAAACCCGCTCCCTCCGACCGTTTTACGGGCTGTGACCTTGACGCACCGCACAGCCTCAGCCTCTGTTATTTGATCGTTCATCCTTCCTGACCCTTTCAGACATACTCCAGGTCGAGACCCAAACCCACAATTACTTTGTCCTTGTTTTCATACTATTTGCGGGGATTGAAGGTCCGGAAAGATTGTTGTATCTGCTATTCCCCGAAGACAGCTGGCCTGCTTCATGTATTACACGCTGTGATATGCGTCGTTGAGCTCATGGGTTACTCGATCAAAAGTTCTGTACGTATCTTCTTGTCGGACATCTCCTGGACTTTGTCAGTTAGGCATGCTGCGGTTGGGAGTGGAAGAGGGGAAGAAGCTGATGTTCATGCCGGGGTTGATTTGAGCCATTTGAATTGATCTTCCTTCTGTGTACCTCTTTGCTAATGCAGGATGGATTTTGCAGACCTCATTACATGTCCGTGGTTCTTCTTGTGCATAACCCTCAGGCAGACAATCGACTTGTTTCCACCTTCTAACCACTTTCCAACATGGCTTCCGAAGAAGACAATTTTGACATTGACATTTATGGGGATGGAGAGGGAGACTTGGAAGCGGAACCGGTGCATATGGATTACAAGGTCGAAGATGAAGAGGAGGAGCAACATCAAGACCAAGAGCAAGACCAAGAGCAGGCCCAAGTGCAAGTGCAAGAAAACGGTGGAGAAGAAGGGGAACCAATTGCTGCGGAAGAGACAACAATCAAGACTGAGCCAGACGAAGACACTCAAGCCTATCCTCAGGATTTTTCTCAGGAGCAAGAAACCCCTCAACATGAGCAGCCCAGCAACAACCATGCCGGTCCGACACAGCCGGCTCCCTCCCACGGAACGAAGCGTAAAGAGACCTCGGACGATAGACCGGTCGACCCTGGCGCGACGAACGCACTTATGATCTCGGACTTACATTGGTGGATCACCGAAGATGATATCCGGGGATGGGCCCACGATGCAGAGGCCGAAGATGAGTTGAAGGAATTGTCATTCAGCGAACACAAGGTCAACGGCAAGAGCAAAGGGTAGGTCTCCTTACTGCAGCATGCGGACAAGGAGGGGAATTGTTGACGATCAACCACAGCCAAGCATATCTCGAGTTCTCCTCGCCTCAAGCGGCAACTGCAACCAAACATCAGATTGAAAATGCCGGAGGAAATCAACCAGGCTCTCGTAAACACTCTGTCGTATACACCGCCGCCACCCAGAATCCCTTCAAAACACTCCCCAAGGAGCCATCGAGGGCAAGAGAGGAACGACCACCCGTTCGCGGCTCTTTCCACTCCGCGCCGCGTGCAGACCACGGATACGGAGCGCCCAATCATGGGTATCGCGGCGGCCGGGGAGGAGGGTTCAATCGCGGAGGCTACAATGCGCACAACCAATACAACCGCAACTTTGCGAGTCCGATGGGAGGCTTCAACAACAACAATACCAACAATATGGCGTTTCAAGGTAACATGGGCATGGCCAACAATTATGTCCCCTTCAACCGGGGTGGAATGATGGGGAACCCGATGCGCGGCAATATGGGTGGCATGCGCGGGAACAGAGGCGGCATGAACAGTATGATGCCCATGGGAGGCATGGGCATGGGTAACATGGCCATGAATCCGATGATGGCTGGAATGGGCATGACAGGTTGGTTTGAATCGACCACTCTCGAGGTACTCATCGACTGATCTGATGTGTGGTAGGCTTCCAAGGCAATCAATTCAATCCCGGAATGTTCACCCCCGGGCCAGGCCCTAATTTTGGCGGGGGCGGCGGCGGCGACTGGAACCAACATGGCGTGAAGCGGCAACGACAAGAATAGAGTCTGGTCGAGGACACGCCGCGGTCATCTTGCGTTTCTGTCCATCCAGAGGCAGACGCCGTGCAGCTCATGCCCCATTTGAGGATCTCCGATCTTCAAGATACGCAAATATCCGACAAAGCAGTGACGTCGGGGGCGTTAAAGGGTCTGGAAACCACGGGGCGGCCTTGCGTTATAATAGCAGACCACGATTGGAGAATTCCCGGCGTGCTTGCAGAGACTCGGCGATGGCCTGGAGCGGCCAAAGTACGGAACACCAGCAGATTGGTTCCTGAGGAAGCTGTGTGATGTAATTCTGCGATTGGAATACCACAGATACGAACCTAAGATACGATGCTGACTGGCTGGAAGCTGGAAGTTCGTGTGGAGTTGGACAGTGCAGTTTTAGAGTAGTAAAGAGATTTGATCATTCTTTACCACTGGCAGCTCAGTGCTAGAGAGTAGGACCTCGGCTGAATTGCTGAGATACAGAGTTGAGGAGACAGACCGACCAGACCGACCAGACCAGCTGGTTGTTGTTCTGTAGACTGCAGTGGTATACAGTAGATAGATACCTAGTAGAACTACTTGAGGTCTACTACTAGTGATAGTAGTACTAGTACTCTACTACCCTGAAGCTAAAAGATGGACAACTCTTTTCTAGTGATCGGAATTCTGTTCCATGATCAAGTCATTGGCAGGGATCACCCTTCGTCTTTTGACAAGCGAAAAAAGTTAACCAGCGACTGGCAGCGCAATCCAACGGGCCAAGGCTTGCGCGCGACCCCTCGAGAGGGTCCTTGGATCCTTGGATCTGGTTTCTGTTCTCCAGTTCAGATCGCACGGACAGACTGGTTGATAGTTGATAATGCCCATCAGAAGTTGGTCTTGTTACTGCATATCGCGACCAGACTCCTACTTTTCCCTGAACGAACGCACCGTATCCTCTGCTTTCAGACGCCGTCGGCTCCATCATGCTGTGAACCTCGACACCTGTTGGACTGACCACGACGGCGCCGGCGACGACGAGTCTTCGGGACTCAATTCTGCTCAGCACCCCGCTTCACTGGTCTGTTGACTAGCCATCTGCCTCAAGCAACCAAGACAGGTTCTGATCCTGGCCCCCAGGACCAGCCTGCGACCAAATGTCTGGTCAGCAGCAGCAACCCCCGGCTGGGAAGGCGCGGCCGCCGCTCTCCACGCATGGTGACATTGCGAGATCTCTTCCCCAGGCGCAAGCACCAGTCGCTTCCATCGAAACCCCAGACTCAACGCTTCAGACACCCACGACAGCCACGACCACGACCACCACGACCACAGCGCCGACACCTTCCTCCCCCGCGCAACGCTCCCACTTCCGTATCCCTCAATCGCCCCTTTCGGCTGGTGGCGATGCAGCTTCCAGGGCGGCCAAGGTCCCCATTCCGAGATTGAAGAGATCAATGGATGCTGACAGTCAAGATGCGCCCCGATCCGGCGGGAGACACCGGGTCAATCATGCCTGCGAACCGTGTCGGCACCGCAAGACCAAGTGCAGCGGAGAGCGTCCGGTATGCCGACATTGCCAGGATTTCAAGATTAACTGCTTTTACGCCGATGGCAAACGAGATCGAGTCAAGAAGTGAGTGACGGATCCTCACCCTTATCCCACACCGTGCTGAACTGATTGCAACTGCAGGCAATTCGGTACCATGACTGAAAAGCTTGCCGACTACGAGAAGCTATTGAGGGACCTGGTGACGAGGGTGGGCGACCCAGATGCAAAGGCGATTCGAGCTGCATTGGAAAAGGTATGTCATACTCTACTTTCCATCCCAAATGAGTGATTCGGACGGCTGACGTCCACAGGAAACGACGTATGACCTCGACGACGGTGTCACCGATGCTACCGCGGAGACTGGCACCCTTCCCACCATCGATGGCGACGGGGATCAATCGGAGTCTGGAGCGGAATCTGAAGCCTCCGCTGGAGCCGGCTCGACGGGCGCTCTGGATCGGACCGACGAGGACTTTACTCGCGAGCAAGCCAGGGCGACCGGCTTCATGGGGAAGAACTCGGAGGTGACATGGCTACAACGGTTGAGAGAGGAGAACAAATATGGCGATCTGACCGGCGACGCGGAAGGCACCGAGAAGGAAAAAATACTCTCGGCCACATCTACGGCATCGTTCGCCTCGAGGCGTCAGGTAGGCGACGTCCAAACCCCTCTGGTTGAGATGGACGATGGCTTCACAGTCAACGACTCTAATTACCACCTCGATGACTTCCCCATCTTCACCTTCGAGGCAGTCGATCCCTACGAGATGCCGACACCAGATATCGCCCATCACCTCTTCAACTCATACATGGCTCGAGTCCATCCGTCGTTTCCCGTGGTTGGCAGGCTCAATCTCACCGGCCAGTTCCGCAGATTCGTCAGCGGGACGGTGCAGAACCCGCCGGAGAAATGGCTCGCCATTCTCAACATGATCTTCGCCATTGGAGCCAAGTACTCACACCTGATCAACGCCGACTGGAAAGGGGACGAACGTGATCATCTCATCTACTTCACCCGAGCTCGTCTTCTCAACATCAACTCGGAAACCTTGTTTCAGCACCCTGATCTACAGCAAATCCAGATCATCGGACTCATGTCTTTTTACCTCCTATGCACCAGTCAAATCAACCGAGGGTGGCTGTTGAACGGCCTTGCGCTTCGACAAGCAACTGCCCTGGGAATGAATATGCGCAATGATAGTGTCAATCTACCAAACCCTCTCAAAGAGATTCGATACCGAGTTTGGTGGGCGCTGTACACCCAGGAGCATCGGCTTTGCAACATGACGGGCCGAGTCAACTGTATCCTCGACGACCACTGCACCACGCCGCTGCCAGTGCCGCTCGAGGAAGACCAGTTTGATACTGAAGAGGGCCGGAGGCTTTTGAGCAAAGAGAGGCAGCAAGGAGATCGAGCCCCCGCCTCAAACCCTCAAACCCCAACCAACATCAATTCTACCCCTTCGACCGATCGCTCCCGTTCTCAAACCAAACTGGAGTCTCGATCACCTTCCATGCCTAGTAATCAGGGAGATCTCGAGTGGGCCAAGGATGTCCCGCCGAACTCATCTCTATATTTTCTCCATCTCGTGCAGTTGAGTCGACTGACGCAGAACATCTTCCATCGTCTCTACAATCCGGCATCCATTCAGGGGACGTGGTCTGATGTCCAAAAGACGATCAGTGAGCTCGAGGATCAGATTGAGCACTGGTACCGGAAACTGCCGCCCGCGTTTGCCTTTCGGAGAAAGCAGCGCGATCGCAGCTGCTACGAATATCGCCTGGGTCTCGGGTTTTCCTACTACAGCGCCAAAATGACCATCAATCGGCCCTGTCTTTGTCGTTTGGATCGCAAGATCCCGGGTCAGTCTGGCAAATCTCTCGATTTCAACCGTCAGTCGGCAGCCAAATGTGTCGAGGCTGCCATGGAAACACTTGGGATGATCCCGGATGAGCCGAACGCGGTGGGCTTGATCCGAGTGGGACCTTGGTGGAATATCTTGCATTTGCTTGTCCAAGCCTCGACGGTGCTCATGCTGGAGATATCCTTCCGTGCCAACCACATGCCGGAAGAGGCGGACAACATTCTCGAGGCGAGCAAGAAGGGCGTCCGCTGGCTCCATGCTCTGGCGGAAGACAATTTATCGGCCCGACGAGCCTGGGCCATGTGTTACTCCATGCTTGGAGAGGCGGCGCAGAAGATGGGCCGCAACGTGAATGATCTGCCCAATTTCCCTCCAGGTAAAGTGTCGCCTCCACAAGACGCTCCCGTCATGCCCGCCTATTCAGACGCCGGCAACCCGCATTTTTCAGCAGGTCTTTATGCATCAGGACCGCCTCAGCCCGCGATATACACGATGCCAGATCTGCCAAACACGCAAGCTTTTGCTGCGTATGACCCGATGATGCACTATGACCAATATTTCCCGGGTGACTTCCAGATGAACCAAGCCCTACCGTTCACGCAACCCATGGATGCCGAAATGGAGTTTTTGAGCAGTGTGTATCATGATGATCCATCGCAGCCACCCGGGGGCGTTGATGGCCGAGGGCCACGATATTCATGATTGAGTCTATCGAGCCGATCGAGCGAGCCGGCATGCGTCCACGACTGATGGCTTTTTGGTAATTTTTCGAATGTACGAAATTCCCTGGGTTGCAAGCTTGTACAGCAAGGGGTCGCTCGTGGAGAAAAGGGGGCGGGCGAGCGGGCTGAGTGGTTGTGAATATCGGTGCGTGCAGTGGGCACATACCTGTCGCTTGATCCCTTTGACATTCCGTTCCAGCATGGCGTCTACATACATACCTAGGGTGCTTGTCGCCGGGCTGCTCTGCCCTGCCCTGCGCTCACAAATATCACCTTTTGGTCCGACCACAGTTTCCAGATCGTTTCTCTTAAAGCTCTCCTCCCCTAGGCGACGGTGTTGCAACGGGTCTTCGCTGGCGAAGGCATTGCTCTACTTGCGATTTTCAAAAGCCTTTTCTTTTCTCTTGCTCCAATATCTCTCTGTGCGTACAGAACAAACGACCATCACGACCATCACGACCATCACGACCATCACGACCATCACGACCATCACGACCATCACGACCATCACGACCATCACGATTTCTACTGCAACAACTCCTACTATGGAAGTTTTGATCTGGTTCTTCGCCCTGGTGGTGCCCATAACAGCCATCAATGCCCCGATCAAACACGCCGGCAAAGCTCACTTTCATCCGAAATCAGCACGTCAAGTCGAACCCAACTCACCTGTCGAAGGATTGGGAGTACTGGGCCCACCACCGTCAGACACTGTTTCGACCTCGACCACGTCTTCGTCCTCTTCCTCTTCCCTTTCCTCCTCGTCCTTGATCTTGTCCTCGTCAGCATCAGTACCGTCATACTCATTTTCGTCCTCATCCTCTCCGTCCTCATCCTCTCCGTCCTCATCCTCTCCGTCCTTGTCCTCATTGTCGATATTATCCCCCACCAGCCTGATCGTCACCATCTCCTCATATCAATTCCCCACCACGGTGATCCAAGTCCCCATCGCCGCCGTGTGTCCTGATACACCTGCATCATCTGCAGCCTTCCCCATCGTCCAGCTATCGTCGTCGTCGTCGTCTTCTGCTGCTGCTTCTTCTTCTTTTTCGTCTTTCTCGTCTTCATCACTCCTGCCATCTCCTACAGCACCAACTGGATCAAGAGGAGGAACGGGAACGGGAGATGGTGACATTTACCCTTCTATCAACAATACTACCATCAACGCTACTACAACTACAGATTATCTACCCATCCAAATCAACGCTACAGCCCTGTTACCGAATGGAGATACCACGGTTTTCTTATCAACCACTACAACAACCATTATTAGGACGCTGATGATGATGAGTACTACCACTGGTGTTACCCGTACTTCCATGGCTGGGGATGGTGGTGATGGAGACACCGCACCCTCCTTGTCTCTCTCATCTTCATCTCTGTCTCTCTCATCTTCCTCTTCATCTTCATCTTTATCTTCCTCTTCAGAAGACACACAAGACACCCGACATCCCGAAGCACTACCAGCCAGAATAATCATGGACAACCAAGGCTGTCAAACGATCTACAGCGCCCTCACCACCACTTGGTGCAGCATGACCATCCAACCCGCTGTCGGCATGTTTCCTGTCACAGTGTCGGATTGTGATCAGTGGATTACGTTTTCGAGTGAGAGGTACAGGTATGGGTATGGTTTGGATGGGGGGTGTTCTGCTTCCGTCGCAGTGCCGACTACTATTTCGACACATGGGGTTGAATCTGGGCTTGGATATGGGTTTGAATCTGAATCTGGATCTGGACTTGGATCTTGGTCTACACATGTGCTTGAATCTGGGCCTCAGTCTGGATCGGGACTTGGACCTGGGTTTGTGGAAGATGCCCAACCCACTTCTTCCCCCACCGTTACTGGAAATACCGGTCCTTCAACATCAAATCCAATCCTGTCTGGTGCGACGGCGGGGCCTGTAGCGATGTATGCGGCGCATTGGTACGATTTGGTTAGAGGACCTATTCCGACGCTGGTGCGTGTTGAGGAATGTCTTCCGAACACAGATTCGGAAATCAATGGCGGTGGAAGTGGAAGTGAAAGTGAAAGTATAGGCGGGCGACTACAATGTCGCACATCAAGTGAGAGTTGGGGTATGGTGACTTTGACCAGCACAAGGACCGGGACCAGCGTGGCTTCATTTTCAGGGGTGAGTCGACTTCTTTTTATTTTTGTTTTCTGTTTTTCATTTTGAGGTGTTCTTCGTCTCTCATCTACCTGTTCTCCCTGGGGAATGTTATCTTGTTTGTTTGTGTACCAATTCTCCTTGTTGTTGAGATGGCCATTGACAGGTGATGGATGATCTGTTTCAACAGTTCTGGGATTTATCATTTGGCCTTCTTTTGTCACGATGCTTATCACATCTCAAGTTCTCCCCTGTTTCTCTTCTTTCAAGCAAGAACTTTATTTCGACGTGTTTGATCTCTATCCACCGAGTCTTTTTTTTGATATCATTGACTAACCATATCCTCCCGCTTTTCTTCCCCCGGTACAGCCTGCTATCATAACTTCCGGCCAATATACCGTGACGACAACCCTCTCATTCGAATCGACCTTGACTACTACCAGTCTCGTTACGATGTCTTCTGTTGTGCGCCATCGACTTCAGGGGCCAGGAGAAGTTAGTGGTGATGGAGATGGAAATACAGCAGCGCCCACTGCGACCATCCAACAGCAAAATACAGTTACGGTGGCGGTGACGATGCCTACGACTACAAAGACTTTGTTGTTGGAATCTGTTTCGAGGGTTATGGTTACTGTGACGGTGCAGACGACTACGACTGTCGAGGTCATTGAGACGAGGACTAGGAGTGTTTGAGAATCGATCAACATCAGGACTCGGAATGTATGAGAATCAATCAACACGAGGACTCGGAGTGTATGAGAATCAATGAGGCTAGGCTATGGAAAAGGGATATGAGCTTGGAGCTGGGGCCAGGGGCCAGGGGCAGCGGATAAAGGCTGGGTGCCAATTCAGATTCAGATGGCAGTCAACTCACGCGGGTGGTTCTGAGAAGACCGCCGTCTGTTATGACACCAAGCCTCATGACTGTGTTGACTACGGAAGAAAAGCTACTGTGCTGTCTAAGCGCCTCTGGAGGTATTTGTGATGACTGATATGAGTATTGGTTCATGGCATCCTAGATTGACGAGATTGACTCTGAGCATTTGCGGTAACATGCATCAACACTCAAGTGGTCCTAGTGGGGGAATCGTGGCCAGTATATCTTCCGTCTTTGAGCACTATAGCATACCTACAGCTTATTGGGATGGCCTCTTCCGATATTGAAACTTGTTCCGTAGGTATTTGTGAGCCTGGGAAGGTCCTGACAATCTGCAAGGGATGTATATTCGTTGACGAGATGATCCATATCATCCCATCGTATGCTTTGTCATCCGTTGTTTCTTCTGGGTTTGTAAGTTTTGGTATATTTCTTGTTGTGGATCTCGTTGTAAGTACATCTCCAGGGAATGTCCATCTTTGCCTGTATTATCTTCCCACTGAGCACCATAGATCGTTGATGGCTTGATGCTGCGGCCTTCCCTGACCAAAGCATCGAGGACTCGAGGGAATCTCACCAATGGAATCCTGAACAGACGAATCCAGACGGGACTAAAATGCGACTACTGTCTACCTACTAATCTCCAACCTTTATCACAATCTTTCCCACACCAGACTTGCTGACCAGGGCCTCAAATGCCGCCTTGACGTCCTGCCACTGGTACAATTTCGAGATTACAGGATGAAGCTGGTGGTCGTTGATGATCTGCACCGCTTTCTCGATCATATCACGTCGAGATCCCATCACACCACGAACGACTTTGGCGCCACCGACGATCGCGGGGATGAGGTTGGTCGGTTCGCCTCCGGCCAGGAAACCTATGAGGGAGACCAAGCCTCCCGGCCTGACAGAGCGGATAGACTGTGCAACGGTTCCCACGCCGCCCAGGTCCAGGACGTGGTCGACTCCTTTGCCCTGGGTAATGCGAAGGACCTCGGCCGCCCAATCCGGGGTTTTGGTGTAGTTGATCAGATGAGTCGCTCCGAGCTTGCGAGCAGTCTCGAGCTTTTCATCCGATGACGAGGTTGCAATCACGGTAGCCCCGGAGGCCGATGCTAACTGTGGTCTGTCAAAATGTTGGAACTGATGGTCAAGAGAGGTAAGTCATACCTGAATGGCAAAGCAGCTGACGCCCCCGGTTCCCTGAGTGAGAACAGTCATGCCCTTTTTGAAAGGTTGGGGCCCATAGAAGAGAGCATTCGAGGCGGTCCCGGCGGCCAGTCCTAAAGCTGCGGCTTCTGCGGACGATAAATGCGTCGGCGCAGGGACAAGTCGATCATCGGCCTATCGATGAGGCTGGTCATCCCGAATCGGTCAGGTGTTTCACGGTGGACGAGGCAAGCTTACCAGAACAGCATATTCCGTCAGGGTGCCGTCTTGATCTCCTGCGCCCAAGCTGGTTGATCGATCCATGACAAGGACATCCCCGTCCACCCACAGATTCGTGGTCAGCAGGACCGTGTCCCCAATTTTCCACCTGCTGTCTGGCCCGACCGCTTCGACCACGCCGGCGCCATCGCCGCCCGCTATCAGATGCGGTTTGGCCACGTTGGGGAACGCCGGGCTGCGGGCAATGACCATCGCATCTCGGGCGTTGAGAGCAGCGGCTTTGATCCGCACGAGAGCGCTTCTGGGCCCAGGCGCCGCCGGCTTGGCCTCGTTATCCGACAGATACAAATTGCCAATGGCTTCAGAAGAGTGCCAGTCCATGGGCGGGGACGGCGCAATCCGCCATGCGGAAGGCATTTTCAAAGACCGCGACGAACAAAAAAATCGGCGAACGTTCGCACAGGTAGTTGGTATTTGTCTCATTGAAGTTGGAACTCACCGGATCTGGAGACTGGGGACTTCTGGGGTGGCTTTATACTCGTCTTTCCGGCTTGACGTTGATTAACAAGCAATTGCACTGTACGGCGTATATGGTCCCTGCAGATGCGTATTCGTCGGAGCGACCAATTTTGATTGGGTCTAATCGAGGCTCTGAGCCCCTGAGATCGGAATTCCGCGGCAGATCGTTGGGTCGTTGGTTGTTCTTTTGACATGATTGGCTAGCCTCGCCACGGTTGTAAACCTGTAGATTCCAGATGCGTCTTCGTCCTGATATCAATGGAATAATCTTGTCGGCAATTGACTCGCAGCTTGAGTTCCTCGTCTGAAGTGAGAGGGTGAATATTCAATGAAAGCCTAAATATCAGCCCGGGACACTCACCATTCCCAGGGAAGTGGTCTATACAAGACTGGATATGGGACGTTATGTGGTCAATGTCAAGACTCAAGGTCCACTGAGGGCGTAGTTGTAACCCCTTCGACCAATTCCAATCCCATACTTCTCGCATATGTATGTATGTCCAAACAATCCTCAGCAATCCGGATCTCTCCGTTCCATCATCAACAACAACAACAACTTCACAAGGGCGCCCTCCAGCAACACAATACCACCGACACACCGATCTCGTGGCGACAACCGTCCCTCCCCTAAAGGGTGATATATTTAATATTCGGAAATATGGTCAACAATTCCAGGCCATGGTGGCTCAGTGGAAAGAACGCACAGCATTCGCTCAGTTCGAACCACTCACCATGCCGGGATTGAGGAGGTTTGGCGCAGTCTTCTCTGACTAGCCCGAGACACATCTCCTCTGAGCATCTATATCTCTAATCGAACTCCTTTGGGGGGACTTCGACAAGGATATCGGGATACCCAGAGGGGAGAGAGTTGTCGGGCTGGTATGCAGAGAAGACGGATAGCGCCAAACCTCCGCCCAAAAAACCGCGGGTCAATTCGCGGTTTCACTTCCCTATCACAGTGCAATCCTCTAGGGGGGATTGACCGATGGGGAAGTGTTTTTGTCGTTTGGGTGAACTGTTTTTTCGTTTTTTGAATATCCTTCTGGCTTTTGTGTGTGTGTGTGTGTGTGTGTGTGTGTGTGTGTGTGTGTGTGTGTGTGTTGCCTTTGATCTGACTGACCTCGTGCCCTCCCCTTTGACAAGCACTTCTCTGATATACTTCCTTCAGGTTATCGACACCTCCTTACAGCGTCTGCCTTATACGACCTCGGTGGCATCTACGTCTCCGGATGTGCGACTGAACCCTTCGCTCAATACACACCCATGGTTCTTTCCAGTCTGAAAACTCCGTACCTGAAAGTGACGGCGCAGCCAGTTTGAAATTCTACTCACTCTACTGAGTCCTGAGTCCTGACTACCGATCCATCAAGAAGCAGCGAAGCCGCGAGAATGTGGTGTCAGCTTCAAACTTCGACCACTGTGAGTGCCCGGGGATATTACTACGACTGTGAGACGCTTGAAATCCGAGTCCAGGGAAAGAAGGTCGTCACCGACCCAAGCAGCATATGCATACCGTACTACAGAGCCAGTGGTGCCACCTTCCGTTCCCTGTGACGGATTCTTCTTTTCACCTCGTACAGATCTCTTTTCCTCAAGTAACAGTGACACAGCATGCGGCACAACGAACCTTCGAGAAGGGCAAACACCGTTCCAAAAGATACAGGTTTGCATTCTCCCACTGCAGTTGGAGAATACTTGAGCACAAGAAGAGTGTCAGTTGGTTTGCACCGTGACACCTGGTCGTGTAGCCCTGTCTGGGGCGGGTTGAGCCTTCCTGCTTCTATGCCAACGAACCCATGGTTACAGAGTATTGTCCACTCCTATAAAGTCTGGGATTGCCTTACAGCTTCATTCCTTCACATGCGGGCTTCACAATTCCTACGGATCAAACGTGCATTGAGTCACCTATTCCCCATCTCTTGGTGACTGAAGAAGTATATCAATTCACCAGCATCGTTATCCATACAACAACAGCCACCCTAGCCTGTTCTCCAGCATTGCATTTTCACAAGCCATCGTTTAGTCAGTATCTGCCCTGACAACCAACTTCTCCCGCAGCGGTTTGAGCGCTACCAGGTCTCTGGTCACTTCAAGAGTACATACTGCTCCGCCACAACCATCGCGGTTTGGAACAAAAGCAAACAGAACCACCGTTGGAACCAATTGTCAGTGTCACTATGGGCGACCGGTATATAAATCGACGTTCTCGTTGGAGGCTTTGCTCCCCTACACATCCGTATCATCAGAACGTCTCGACCACTACAACAAGGCATATACCCTCAACGACCGGTTCGGAAGTTCGAAATATACCATATCTGAGCATAACAACTGCACAGAATTCACGTCGACATCTGCCCACAAAATCAGTCTCCAAGATGGGCAAGTGCATCATTTGCGGCTCGAACAAGGGGGAATTCTACCAGTGCAACTGCTCCCTGGACAGCTCTCCGGCTGGTGGACATTCGGTTTCGACAACGACTTCATCGGTACCATCGAAGACAGAACCTACGTCTACGTCTACATCTATAACCACTTCCGGGAATTCCTGGTCGAAGCAGTGGGATTATGTTGGTGGGAAAGTGTCCAGAGATTCCAAAGCTGGCTCAGGTGGAAGTGGGTATAGCTATGGTCGCAGATGAGCCTGTGGAGACCCGGCTCTGGGGAGAGCTGGGGAGTCTGGTCCCTGGAGAGATGATGGCCGATGTTGTTGAAAATTGGGCATACAGAATGCCCCGTGCCGGGCTGCTCCATGGTTTCTGAGTGCTCTAGGTTCTGTCGAAAGATAACTCGACGGTCGGAATGCCTGGTTTGAGGCCGGGCGCGGGAGTTTGTATATGGACCGGATGGATGTCCTACACATTGGTAACCCAATTCGGCAATGGGCTTGACCGTGGAGTTGTATTCTTCAAGGCTATTATTAGGGATAGACAGGACTCTTACAGACGAAGATCGATCCTTGGTTTCTATTGATACAGACCCAACAGCCATGACCTGGCGAAAGCGTCCTTGGTCTGCATTCAAACTTCCAAAGTAAGGGCTGGGGCTACATGGGCATCCTGTAAGCCTGTATATATCTCACCTTCAGGGACTCAGAGGTCTGAAGTCCTTATGATATATATAGGTCGATATCTGATAGGACTTCAGACTTGTAAAGAACGGACTCTTCTCGACATGAGACAGATCATAGATGATTCTATGATTCTGACAGAGGTTTATTCATGACCACCACGCTTGTCAAACCAGGCTCCCTTTCTTCCGATCGAAGAGATTGTTCTGTTGAACTAAGTGTATGGTTGCCAACTTTTATCATTATGATATTTCGCTGACCAAAGTATAACTCATCTGCGACGGCTGAGTGTGTAAAGAAAGGTATGATTCCATTTCACCAGTCCATGTCTTAAATCTTTTGGCCACGAAAGGAAAGACGAACCCATGGTCCTGAACAGATCATTCGCCTGAGGACAGTCTTCCCAGTCTCTCCAGTCATCGATTTGCATACTGCAAGCTTTGGTCGATGCACCTGTGTACCACGGTCCAGCCGGCCGAAGCAGGCCGCAGACCGGCTGGATGAAAGTTGAAACAAACCCCCCAGCTTCAGCTCCAACTACCTTACTGCTCAACCCAAGACTCCTGCTCCTTGAAAAACAGCACGTGCGGCGCACTCCTGACCTTGAGCAGCGACATGCCGAACTTGCCCAGTCTGGGACAAACGTCGTTCAGCTTCTCGACGTCCGACCGTGTCGCCAGAGCAAGACCGTGTTTCCAGTCATCTCCCTCCACTCCAGGTCTGTCCGGGACGCCGACGACCTCTATCCCCTCCAGGTCGGGCACGACGACGACGTCTTTGCGTCCGAACCCCTCGATGAACGTTTCCATCCAGTTCTCCTCGAGGAGAACGCTGACAGTCACATCGGCCAAGCCGGTCTGACCACCACCACCTCCTCCTCCAGCACAAGCATAAAGAACCTGCCCTACCTCAGCAGGCCGGAGCGACCACATTCCCAGATTGAGGACTTTCAGACTCTGAAGGCCTCCGGAGCTGAGAGTCTCGAATCTCTTCTTCAGCGCTGCTGGAGCGCGGCCGTCGCTGGCGAATGGCAGGATTCCTTCGGCAACTTTTTTGTTATCTGTATCTTTTTTCCCGTTTCCTGCTCCAGCACCGCCTTCATCGTCTCCGGCCAGCTGATCCACGACTTCAGGGACAAAGTCAAAGCTGGCGCCGACGACGCCTTTGACGATCAAATTGGGTAATTCCTCGCCCTGGACTCGCGCGAGGAAATCGCTGTCTTCGTGGCCGCGGAACGTGTAGCTGACATCGACCATCTTTAGTCCACCTGGACTTTGACCTCCACTTCCGCCTTTAGGGTCACCTTCACTTTCATCTTCACCTTTACCTTCATTTTCACTTTTCCCTCCATTCGACCGTTTCTCAAAGATCTCTCCTATCGCCTTGAAGAAACCAGGTCTCGCGAACGAATCGATGAGATGCAATTCTTGCAGATTCGGCAGCAGCCGGAAGAACGCTTCCGCGTCTTTACGTGAAGCGTCGTCCAACCCATCAATCAGACAGCTGAAGAAGGTCAATGTCGTGATGTTCGGCAGGGCTCTGGCCAGTCGGCCTAGGAACGGAGGTTTGCCGGGGAACCCGAGCCCGAATAGTTCCAGACTGAGATGGGTGATGGACTGCGGCAGATCTGGTAATGGCGGTTGCGTGGTGATGGCGTCGGACGGGACTTGCACTTTACCCTGGTATTCGTCCAGCTTGATGTCCGCGGTCAGAGTGAGCTGTCGTAGACGCGACGCTTGGGGAGGGAAGTCGGGGAACTCGAATTCCTTTAATGAGATCTGTGCTGCCAGAGGGAAAGAAGCGGCATTGCCTGGTCCAGATGAGCCTGTCGCGGCACGGTTGTGGTCTTCAGACATCTTGCACTCAGAAAGGAGGACACAATCCCCTTCAAACCAACGATCCAATATCAGATATAGTGCTCGTCTAGTCGTCTCTCTTTGCGGTGTCTTCCTTAGGGAATCGTAGGATAAGACTTGGAAAGAAGCTGACCACCTCCCTTGGATCACGGTACAAGAACGAAAGGTTACGCACGCCGCACGGTATTGCAGATGAGGTTATGGACTGGATGGCAAAATAGCGGCGCTCGATGGCCTGACATATATATATATATATATACTTGAAACTTACATTTACATTCCCAGAGTCACATTGTTCTCCTCTCGACCCTGCTGCTTGCTGACTGCCGTGCTTGGGCCTGTTTCCTTCCACAGATCGTGCTTGTGGGTTTACCGTTTACCCCTCAAGAATCTGTCCCGGACGCGGGGAATGGACAGGGATGTTTTGTGGATACGGGGTTCTGACACGGGGAACCGATTGAGGAGGTCGGAGGAGCTTTCAAGGGGCTGTGTTCGGGTGAAGAGATGGTTGCAGATCAGTGGGTTGACGACAGCGAGGGAAGTGAGTGTCGGGGTAAAGGACAATCGTGTAAGAGGATTTTGGTGGGCGTCAAGAAACGGTTGGAAATCTGTCCTGAATCCTGATACCTGATACCATCACTCTCTGAGTCTTTGCAACTGCAATTGATTCGAGAGGAGGAGCTGCACGGTTCGAAAGCGCCAGCATTCAGGCGTTTGTGTTTCTAGAGAACAGACGCATGTCGACAAAGATGGATGCCAATGTGTTGCTACATAACTCAGCACAGGCAATACGGTAAGGGTTCATCTCCTGAATCGCCAGTATTGACAGAAAGTCCAGCAACAACAGATACATTTGAAGCCGGACAGAACAGATGAAGAAAGAAAAAGTCGGGTCCAATCGAAGCAATGCCACTTGAACAACGATGACAAGGTACTAGTAACTCAAAGAAACAAAAGTCCCAGCCATCGTCAGTGCATCCTTAATCAACTACAGATAACCAGCCAGCGTTGAGCCGTAAGAACCTCTTCTCTCTGTATCAATCATTGAACTCCGTGTTCCAGAGGTGTGATATGCCCCAGCTCTCTTCTTCCAACAAGCCAGCATCAACGCCGTGATGCTGTCTCTGATGCACAGCTCGTGGAACTTGAAGGAGACACCAACGTCGCGCCGACCAAGTGGATTGTTGCCGGAATCGGATCTTCCACAGATGACTTCAGATAGCAGTTGTCCGCCTCGTGCACTCGGTCTGGAGCAAAGACGAATCCAGCGCAATGACTTCCAGCACTGCTGGCCTGGTTGCGGATCTCGCATTGTGTCAAGCATTCCTGGAAAGAGCCGGCCGGCACGAACGGATAGATGTTTTGGTCGGGATAGTCGATGTCGCAGAGGATGGTATAGTTGGCCTTCCTGGTCTGTTCAAGGAGAGTCGTGCCATTCGCGGCGTTACATGGCAAGATGTCGGGAAGAAGAGAAGGGCTGGCGCAGTCGGTACCGGTGCAAGGAGTCGCTGGAGTCATGGCGGGAGGCAAGACTGTGACGCCGGCTGCGATGGCGACAGCTTGCTTGACTGTCGATGTGGACAGGGTTTGTCCGTCAAGGGCACGATGGGAGTGTAGTGCGTCTCGAGGGTGGACGGATGCCAGTGTGGTGGGACACATGAAGGTGCAGAGGATCAGCATGTAGCCGACAATGGGGTGGGAAAGATCCATTTGTGCTGTCCAGCGACCATCGTTAGTCGAATATGCTTGGACATCGGCCTGAGGTCTCACCTTGTACTTTTTGTCCAAGAAACTGAATACCGGCACTGGGTACCAAACGATGAGGATACAATCTGTCGAACAGTCAGTGGTCGTCGGCGGCGATCGATGGGAGTTGGATGACCGGATCGCGAGGTTCAAACAACAGAAGGCTTACAACAATCAAAGCGCAGCAGACAACAGAGGAACTACATTCTACTAGACCCCGTTGCCAGTGTTGTCTAGGCCAGCAGTTAAGTATCTCCGAGTCCCTTGATGACGGCGGGCGACTGGATGTCATGCGAGACCGACTCCGGGAGGACTCCAGTGCGGACTGAAGTGGTAAGCCCTCCAAAGCAGCAATCAAAGACCGAGTGAGAATGGTTCGATTGAGGTAATGCTCCTGTTTGGACCTTCATTGAATCATATTGAATGAGCTCAATCGCTCATGCTATGTATCTGGTACCATCTCCTCGCTGTCAAGACGGTCTTCATCAGCAAGCTCATCCTCCATCCAGCCAGAAAGGTCTCAGCTTCCATCCACCGCTATGCCGATGGTCAGGCATCTAATTCGACTAGGTGGCTCCAGACTTGCCCTTGTCCTAGTCCAACTTTACCACTCCAGCAGGCCGTCGCTCAGGTCCGCGCGCAACAGAGAACAGCCAATGCGCTGAACTGCCCGAGAACCGCTAGGGTGGTGAACATGAAGCGACTATTCCGCCTTCTGGGCCAGGTCCCGTACCCAAGGGGACGTTGATGCGTTCTTTTCGATATCGGCAGCCCAAAGTGCTGCGCCCACAGTGTTGGTGAATGCAAAGACGAGATTGGCAAAGGGGATCAACTCCAAGACGAATGCCATCACACCGAACGAGGTGTAACCGCCACGCATCTCGTCCACGTGCACTTCTCGTTGCCGCTTCGACCACCCTTTCAGTTGGAAATATCTCGTATGTGCTGTTGGACCCGCTCGTTTCCCTTGTAGGAGGATGAATAGCACCGTGCCAACAATAGGGATGAAGTTTAGTGGCAAGTAGAGCACATAGCGAATGATGGCATTCGGTGTGAACTTGGCAAAAGGCTTCTTGACCAGCTTTCCCAGACGCGCAATATTGTCACCTCCTCCCGATACCTGTCTTCCTTCCGTGACCAAATTGGTACAGCCCTGTGAAAGGAGAGTGCCATCGAACGTGTCAATGAGGGCGTCTTCGATGAGGAAGGTTCTTGAGAGAAGATTGATGAGCGTAGAGCTTTCGCTGAGGGTAAGCAAAGCGGCAGTGATGGCCGCGACTGGCCCCGAAGTGAAAGCCATGACTGCAGCTTGAGGGACATATGCGACAAGGAACATCAACGTGGTGACTCCGAGGCTGAGAGTAATGGTAGGTGCCAATTTGGAGGTCAATGGTCGCCATAGGTCTTTATGGGAGACGAAGTAGAGGATGCCCTGGTAGATGTGAGAAAAAGGCCCTTTATCATCCCCCGGACAGTGTCATACCTTGAAAGGATACAGGTATGCGTGAGATTGGAAGGCTTCCTGAGCCATCGCCTTGACTCTCTCCGCTTCCTCGGCTGCAACTTGCTTGACCCGGTCGGCCATCTTGGATCAAAGCTGCGTGTAGAGGATGGGTATTTCGAATGCGATCTCAAATGAAGGAAAACAAGAGAATCACTGGTATTTCTGTGTGATAGTGAGGCAAGGAAGCAGGACAGCGCAGGTGAGGCTGGTTTAATACTAATTCTGTCGTCAGAGGCATAAAGGAAACATTTTTGGATGTGACTGTCTCTCGACGGATGATGCTACCGTTGAATGCCAGTGCGTGCCATGGCAGTGTTCATTCGATGCCCAGACGATGATGTAGTGAGTTTGGCTGCGGCATTGAATGACGTCACTGCGCAAACAATGCAGTGGGTCTAGTACTCCGCCGGAGCCTGATGAGTAAGTAGCCTTGTTCCTCTTGTTCGTAGCAACAGAGTGCGAACAGACCCAGACCAGGGAGGTTGAAATATATTGTCGCCCTATGTAGATGGTCGAGCATGTAGTCTACAATTACCAGTTCGCTCCTACGTAGGTCAACCGGGTCTTCAATCAACCACAATAAAGGAGACCAGGAAAATGGAATCTTACAGGAGATCTGCTATTTTCTCAGCCTCGTGCTATAACAACCAAAATATTTAGTCTGACAAAATAACTAAGGACGGAGAGGACGGCTCGTGGCCGGCGCAGGCTCTGTCAGACGGTTCAATTCCCGTCTGGGTCCATCCTCCACTAATCCTTGCCGGCGATCGCGCTAAGACGCGTGCAAGAGTGAGATACTCGTCTCCAACTGGATATCACAACCTTATCTTCCATTTACTACACCACCATCAGTTACACCCTATCATGTTCGCAGCATGCGCCGACGCTCGTGTCCTTCACTGTTGTGACAGCCACTACACATGACATAGGATGGACCGGTAGATCATCAGAAGGTCATTAGCCCCAACTGCTGCTGTGGCTGGCGGAAGCACAGTCGCTTCGGCATCGGCAACGGAAGTGCGCTGGCCGCCAGGGAACGTCAAACCTGGGCAAGCCGCACCAGTACAACGAATCGAAACGACCACTGCCCCTTCCCCTTCCCCGCGGCTGCAAAGCGCAAAAAGGAAGATTACTTCCCTGCTTGAATCCGTGAACTCACCCGGCAAATTCTGTACTCATGTGGTTGACGAAGACCATTGCAATCCGGGTGTGCTCGTCTTGGACTATGGCGGGATTGGGCTTCCCATAGCAGAGAGGGACTCGCAGGGTCTGATGCGGAAGTACAAAGAGCTTCAGAACGTTAAAACCGAAGGGGTCGCCGTCTTCGGAGGTGAGGGATTATCTACTTGCAATCCACGCTGGAACCTCTCTTTCAATGATCGACTGGACGCTTTAAGAAGCATATGGGCCTTGAGGACGGTGTTGAGTCTGGCTACTCGGCGCTTATCGTTGGTAGACCAGGAGCCGACATTTCTCCCTACTTACAGCGCCGGAACAAAGAGACAACATTTGCAAAGCTCATGATCACATTGCCATCCCACCACGTGGGTTCCTCGATCTCACTCAAATATGGCAGAGAAATAGAAAAGCTGCCGCTACAGCAAGGTCATCAATATGGAAGTGTTGCAGCCCTATGGCTTCTTGAAGCTGACCTCACTTGGCAGCCACCAAAGGCCGGGCACTTTGCTGCGCTTGTATTTGACATTGTGCGGCCTTCCCATAGCATTCCCACTATTTCGCCTACACTAGATGCGCCGCCAATGCTCCAGGAAGCCCTCCGAGACTACTTTACTGCTGGCTCCGGCCCGCAAATGCTCGCCTTCTGCCTGTCCAGACCTCGAAATACTGCTTGGACTGCTTCTCCGATCAACTCCAATTTGACAACCAGCGACAAAGGTCAAATCAGCTGCCTCCAGAGAGCGTGCCATGAGGACCACTATACCCTGTACCTTGCCCGGCTAGAAAGGACAGTCATTGGTCTACGCGATGGGGGTCCGCCATTCGACGACACCAGAATAGATCATCTCAGTCATATATCAGCCGACCGACACATACTCACCCAGGTGGAATCCGTGAAAGGCACTCTCATCTCTCGCAATGTCCCATTCGAGCTTCAATGCTTCGTACAAAGCGATGTGTACGATCCTACACGGGAGCCGAATTCGCGAGCAATCCTTCAGCGAGACAGCGGCGCCATGACCAAGATGAAACTATGCTCCAGAGACACGGTAAGTTCCAAGCGAGAGGATGACTAGACGAGTTGGCTGATTCTTTGCAGGTTGTCCTTATCATGGATCCGGAATATGAAGCGGACTTCCTTGTGACGCATAGCAGCGAGTTTCCTCCCGCCACGCTAGCAGACAAGATCCGACGAGCGTATAAAGCAGTGACAGATGATCCCAACGATGAGCACAAGGCAAACAGTCTTCGCCGACTCAGCAGAGCCATCGTCCGGCACATGAAGGACAAGTTCGGGCAGGTCCACTCTGACGACAAAGCGGTGAAAGCAATGGCCAAAACACTGTGCCCTGATTTGGAGGAAGATAAAAAAGTGATCCTGTTCGACCTGCTCACAGTCCTAGAACCCCCCAGAGATGACTTCGTGTTCGAATTGTTGCTAATCGCAGAGTGTACCAGTTGGGAAAGAGCAGTTTCTGAGTGAGTTTCCGGGACATGAATGTCGAACAAACAGCTGAACTGTAATCTTAGGCTCGGCCGGAGATTCTGTCGCATGCCTGACGCAGTTCGCCGCGTGGATGCAATGTTCAGTCTGCTGGACACGGTGCGAGACAGAGCACCAAGAAAGGGCACCCAACTGAAAGAATGGATAGAGGCCAACCTCCACGGACGCATTTCCGGGCTTCCTGTGATTACTCAGGAGGAACAGCTCGTGACTTCCAAAACCATAGTGCGATTCAAAAGCCTTAAGACATTTGACAGGCAAGTCATCTCAAAAAGTGAGGTGTTAAATTGACTGACATGGGCTCCAGTCTTCTTACCAAAGATCATCATCAATTTCCCCTAGGCTCCTGTATCTGGCTATTGCAGCAGATTCTGGTAGCTTCCCCTCCCTCTCGTCCGGGTCTCAGACCATGGCGGGATTCGCAGTCCTATTCGCTCCAAGAAAATGGTGTCGTTATGAGAGTCTTCATTCCTCGTCTCACAGAACGGATCTTGGAGGCATCCGCGCGAATCAGGAAAAAAGTGCGAACGAGCTCTTCGACTTGATACTTGCAGCCTCGAAAATGACATCCACATTCATTAACCGTCTCGTGGAAGCGATCAGCGGAACCGCGGCAATGGCCCATCCTAACCGCCTTCCCTCTAAATTGTTGCCGCGGGTCGTTGAACTCGCCGGAATGCTTGATACGGGCATGCCTGCACATGCGGTTGAAGGGATCCAGAACCTCGTCACCGATGTTCTCCTCAAGTTTTACATCCACGATGTCAGACTTTTCCCACAGAGGTCTATGCCAGTCAGTCGGCCTGAAGTGAAATGCGCAAGTCGTTGCGCAGACTGTGCAAGCATGAACCGCTTCCTCTCCGATCCTGTGCAGCAGATATTCCAGACTACTCATTGGTCTGGAGCAAGTTGCAACCACGTTTATAGTCAATTGTTCAACCTGCCACATCTCAAGATCGAGCATATCACCGGACCTGGCAACGCCGGTCAGCAGCTCCGAATCACCAAGATTGATCCTATCTGGGGGAGTCGCTCAGCAGATGGAACCGAGCTCGAAACCTCTATCTCGACACTCTCGGCCAAATCACGCAGTTGAAGGCCGACATGCTTGAAAGCATCACGAAAGCCAAGTTCGGATTCATAATCGCGGAAAATTGGTACGCCATGAAAGGGACTCCGTTCCATTTGGAGGCCCACGTCTGCTTGGCCGGTATGCGATTCTTCGTCTTCACCAGCCGCCCAATCCTGGACTGAATATAGCGAGCCAAGAGATTGTTTCTTTGATCACGAGTCATCTAGGTGTAGCTGTGCCCACCGCAGGGCCGTTACAGCAATATGACATCGCCGTTGTGGCGGGACCGATGCCACCTAAGGAATTTCTGAGAACAGCATTCGGTCCAAGTCGGAGGGTTATTGACAGAAAGGGCCTGCTTCATCTCATCAATACAGCGAATCTTTCAATCCACCGCCGGCAAATTCGAGATTGCAGTTCTCAAATGCACCTCCATCAGCGAGCACCTCGCAGTGGTCGAACTCAACCACACCGTGGAGAATCACGCACCATCCAAATCCGCCCACGACAAACACGCTGTCGCCATCTATCATTCAACCCACAACAGGAAGAATTAACCATCCTCAAAATCCAACCACGACAAACAAGCCGTCAACATCTACATATCTACCCACCCCTGACAAGACACCCCAAGCAAACCATTCATCCACAACTACTAGGGCGTCGCAATCTTCAAATCCACCTCCAGTGCAGAAGATCGCTCCACGACCTTCATATCTGACCCCCACGAACAAGACGTCCCCAGTTTCCAATTTGCCCACACTAGGGAAGAGCCAACTGCAACCCCCGTCCGCGACTCTGCCAAATTCTGCGCCGTTGCCGTCGTCTTCAACACCAGCACCAGCACCAGCCCAAACCATCCCACAAACAGGCGTCAAGCGTAAAGCAGACGACCTTTCTGACCCAAGCCCCCTGGGCGAGATCTCAAACATTGCCAGCCAAAACGCCAACAGGGTCGTCAGAGCGAAGCCCGAATTCGACTTTGAAGATGACGAAGACGACGAAGACGAAGAAGAAGATATATTAGAAAATCTTGCCAGATACAGAGTCAAGCAAGAGATCGAAGAGATCGACTTGACCGGCATCGACTGATTAGTCGACAGAGGGAGGGTTGAACCGGCCGATCAACCAGACCGACCGTCCATCTCTAAGATTAACCGTTCCCAGGACCGCGGTGTTGCCATTCACCACAAGACATATATCTGTCCATATATATCTATCCATACGTGTCGAATCACACGAGTATCACTCCCCGGACGGGGACCACAAATCTGTGCCAGGGCAACTACTTCATCAACATGGTCCAACCCCACACAGAGAGGACGTCCTCTGAATCTGCTACTCCTCTCATCCAGATACAACGAAGCAGAACCTTGAGCGCCACCGCTGCTGCCACGGTCTCCGTCAAATTGACCAGAAAATCTTCCCGTCGACGTTCTTTATCAGCTATCAAGAACTCGAGTCTCGACCCCAAGGAGTCTTGTCTTCCAAAGCCACCGAATGCCGTGGCTAGATCTGGCTGGGAGTTTCGAACCCTCGAACCAGCCGTCACATTCAATCCGAGACAAACATATTTCTCTCTATATCTCTATATCTCGATGTCCTCTACGTGGGGATACTCCCAGTACTGCTAGGTACCCTCGGCAACGACCAGCGAAAACCTACTATCCAAAATCCTGCTGCTCTCAACGAGCTACCTCAGGTGCTTTTCCACCGAGATGCATCACTATTACACATCTATACAGAATCAATCTTTCGATGTGATATTGACTAAGTACTTACCAGATCTCAGGAGCGTGTATTGTATCCATGGAAGGTTCAACAGGTCGATTGGCACCAACCAGAAAGGTTTACTGGTTCTCATAGGACACTACCACAAACCTAGCGAGACGATTCTCCTTCCCGCCATGGATTTATATACCTCCTATTCGTCTGATTACCTTAGTTCTACTCCACGTTTGGGAATCATGAAATGGAAATGGAGGGAAAATCTCCTCGTGTCATACTATCCATGAAATTGGTTGTACCGTGGCAATCAACTGGGAATATAAAAGGCACTCACTCACTCCCGAGATGCGCTGTCTAACATTTACTTCAACAATCAAGAGAGGCCAGACAAGACAAGATCATACAAAATCATATAGGAAACCCAATATTATGAATTGATCGATGGTTCGCTTCTGAATCCATCCGTTGCATTGATTGTCATACCGATTCACGTTCTGCATCCACCACTGGCACCACTACGCAAAAACTCCATCACTCCATCCTGGAAAACAGTTTACCGTGGCCGCGTCTGTGTCGGTATCCGCATCTGTATTTGCCGAAAAGCAAAGACAACGCCCTCGTCTCAAGGGTTAGGGGTGTGCTAGTGTAGTCAAGACACAGTCACCAGACTTTAGTTGCTGCAAAGTATACGACCGCTCTGCTGTTCTTCCCAACCATCTCCCCTTTGTTGACTTTCATCACTGCTGGCCGACGTACGTAGATCCTTCCTCCCACCGCTGCATAGCACGGCAGAGTAACAGCAGCCTCCTCTTCCGTGGTAGGTCCGACCACTTCTTCTCTCTTCTTCTCCTCTCCTGAGCGGGAACTAGTCAATCTACTTGCACCAAGCGCCTCGGTTCCTGGCACTCCAGTATCCCATTTCCCCAAGAAACCGAAATCTTAACAGGCACAGTTGTCGCTCTTCTGTTTCGCGCGCTCGGCAAGATTGATACGGGCCTCGTCTGCACGGTTGGCAGCCCCGGCCAGAGCAGCCTGGGTACCGCCGCCGGCGGCGCCTCTTGCCCCCTTCAATGACGTCTCCGGGATGGCATTGGCAATAGCAGAAAACACATCCGCAACGTTGTTCCCCGTCTTCGCGGAGGTTTCGAAGAACAAGAGCCCTTCCTCCTCGGCGTAGGATTTGGCTTCCCGGGTCGAGATCTTCCTCGCATCCCCGTTATCTGTGGGTTCCGCCTCTACAGGCTCGGCGCCTGCGTCGTCATCATCATCGGTAGCGGCCGAAGCGTCGGCGGCGCCATCGCTCTCGTCCGACGACTCGGCGCAAAGATCGAGCTTGTTGCCGACCAGGGCGATCACGATGCCCGGTGACGCCTGTCTCTGCAGTTCGGCCACCCAGTGCTTGGCTTTTATGAGGGAGGTGGGTTTGGTCAGGTCATACACGACAAGCGCCGCTTGCGCATTGCGGTAGTACATGGGTGCCAAAGAGGCAAATCGTTCCTGGCCAGCCGTGTCCCAGATCTCGAATTTGATGATCCGGTTGGGCAGGGAAATCTTCTGGGTAAGGAAGGCCGCTGTAAACAACATGTCAGTAGACGTCTTGTAGGATTGGCCGACCTTATTGCAGAGCATTGCCGCATGTAGAACTCAGTGCGAAAGCTGGGAGGGAATGCAAAAACCGACGTACCGCCAATTGTGGGCTCCTTATTTTCCTGAAAATCATTGTTGACGAATCGTAGAACGAGAGATGACTACCTCAATATGTTAGCAATTATCTTTTGCCTTATTCAATGTTTTCGCCTTCTCTTCCTGCCTCGAGCCGTCTCCGCGTGATGTGAGGATAAGGTATCACGATCTCAACTGTGAAACCACCCAATGTCCACAACGGCCGGAAGGTCTGAGGCGTTCGGGAGGGTATGGCACCAAGGCTGCAAGGAGCTATTGGACTTTGCGTCACGAATCTGCGCAACCCACCTTTCCAACGGCTGCTTCCCCTAGCAACACCAGCTTGACGCTGCTGCTAGGTTTGGGTGCCGACGACTGGTCCGCCATGCTCTGGAAGTTGTTTGCAGGTTCGGGATTGCGGATGCGCAGGAATACAACCGGTGGACGGACGCCTCGCAGGGTATGAATGTGGTCGGTTAGTTAAACGGGCAAGGAACAGTACACGCCGCTCGTAATTGTGCTTTGACTATGGCCGATCCAGCGGTGGAAGAGGTATCGATGTTGGTTGATCGAGGGTAGGTGTGCCTGGATGTATTGTGCCGGCGTTCAGGCTTGTGGAAGTCGACACTGGCTCGAAATACTGCGATTGTCGAGATGGCTGTGAGACTGCGGCTCAGCCGTATAAACCAAGAGCGTCGGATAGACTGGCAGAACTGAGGTGGTATGATGGTGCAACGGAGGATGATGGCTCAGAACAACGGACCCGAAGAATAGTAGCAGGCTTAAGTTGGATGGTGTCGCAGTGACGACGCAGCGGCGGGACCCGGCGCGCAGTTGCTGATTGCGCTGCGCTTCCATCCTAATACTCCGCACTTTGTTATTGTACGGAGGACTGTTCGCACAATAGCGTACTAATATTGTTGCTGTTCACCTGCTTATTCTTTTCTAACATGCCTAGAGAGGGATCCCCTTGGTGCAGGCTGGATAGTCCTATGCTCCTGAAGCTTCTGGTGCTTTGGGCTATGTTGCTCGGCTCGTTTCAGAATCAAGCGACAAACAGAGAGAAGTGAAATGGACCGAAGATTTGATCGCATGATTTGGGGATGATATTATTCAATTGCGTATCATGCTGAACGATTCATCGCGCTGTCGCGATGGCTCGAGAGAAGCGCTGAAAGTCAGATGTCTCCAATCGATCTATCCCACTGACATCCAGTGCAATTAGGGTAGACATGTTCTGACTGCGAATCTGCCAATGCCGCAAACCCATTCCCATCGTGATGACCCAAAGAAACTCCGAAAGAAAAATGTGACCTGAGTCATACATTCTATCACGCCGATGCCCTCCATCCATTTTGTTCACCCAGCCGCCCAAGCCCAGTCTATGGTGCAACGCCGAACGAAGAAGACTTTTGATACAGAAGTTGTGCAGGAATTGGTCATGCTGGTGATTTCCCGAGAGACAATGCGCCGCGCATGCAGGGAAACAGATCGCCGAAAACGCTCGAGAATATCCGAGAAACGTTATTTGTACAGGGTAGTCGAATAGCACAAGGGTGAATTAGGTGTTTTGGTGAAAGAAAGCTCGAAATGCTCGGTCGAAAGTCTGGGCGTCGCGTCGCCGCGGTGGAGGCTTGCGCGAGGCAGCTGGACGAAGCGCCAGAATACCGTTAGCCCATGCTGAGGGCTGCATATTGTGAGTCGACCAGCAAAGGAACGAATGGGAGACCTGCGCTGTCCAGGAGAGGTACTGCTTCTTGAAGCGCCCGGGGTGTTTTATTTTGAAGGAGGCTTCGGCTTAGGGACCCCAGTTGTGTCGTACCCACCACGGCCCATGTCGCAAGGAGCAGACGTTGATGGTGATGGTGATGATGATGAAGATGATGATGAAGTCATTGTGTCTGTTTTGGAATTGTTGAGATGCGAAGTTGTAGATAAATCGAGCCGGGAGCCTGATGGAGGCGGGCTTTTATAGACAAGAGAGTTGGCACTCACGATATGTTTTGTACTCTGCCGGTGAGAGATTGGACCAGTGAAGATTGACACAGTCAAGGATGTTGTACAGGATATTGTGTTGATCGCCCGCCTGGACGTCCTTGTAATAGGGTGTCGGGGCGAGCCAAGGGAGGGAGTGCGGCACGAGCAAAGGAGTCACGTTCGGAATTTGAGATGTTGCGCTGTCAAAAGAGACCTAGCACCAGAGTGTGTGGTTGAGGACGGACAGCGTGCGAAAGACGATCGAGGCGATTTAGTACAGGTAGTGTCTCGAGTCTCGGATGGGTGATTGCGCGCAATTGAATACTCGACCGAATCGAGCGCGCGCAGCGTTAAGGGGGGTGGATGTGTCGAGTGTCGGTGACTGCCAGAGCGGCCGGAAATTCACCGGGGGCCTGGACCGGGAATTGATCTGCGACAAGCAAAGTAAGAAAAAAGACAAGATCTGAATACTAGGAACTAAACAAAGAATGTAGAGAGGAGAGGTGCGAGAGACTGAGGGAACGTGTAACAAAAACTTTTGACACCGGGAAGGCGATCTAGATGAATTATATCAGAGGACGCAGGACACCTGCAGCTCCCCCCTTTTGGGACATGGGATTGACAGGGCGTGTTTCCAAGAGGCTGTCTTTTTTGGGTCAGGGAGCTGCAAGGCTTGCGCGCCAGGCACAGGGTGGATGCCATGAATCCCTGGATCCCTAGGTGGTGGATAACACAGAGGTGTCAGAAAAGCGGGTGGTGGGACCCGGAGGCCAGCCACGGAGACTAGAAGTGATCCCTAAGGCTAGGGAAGGGCGGATCGTGGCCAGCATGAGTCCGAGGTCGCCAGGCTGCTCGAGTCACTGCCAGTGTTGCAGGGACAGAGAAGCCGGCACGACGGTAGCCACGGCGTGAATTCTGGTCGGTCCGTAGAGGTAGGAGGTAGATAGATCCAGATGCGGATTCAGCTGGCGAAGCGCCTGATGGCGGATCCATACGACCAGGGCAATGCGCCGTCTTGTGTGTGGTTTGCCAGCTGAGACCGTGAGACGGAGAGTGTTGGTTGGTCTCGAGATGGAAAAGCAAATCAATCCTGCCTCGGTCTCTATCGAGGCACCCGATAAACATATCATTTTGTCGCGCAAGGATCTCCCACAGCAATGCCCAGGTCTGCCATCAATGTTTCCTCCGGTCCTAGCCCAGTGTCACCCTGGATATTCCCTGGGTTCGATTCGAGGACGACAATCTGACAGACAGCTAATGACGCGTTGGAAGGGCATCCGAAGTTGTATCGCTGACAGTCAACCAAGATGGCAGGGAGCCGGGGCCCGTGGAGAGGTCTTGCACCAGGTTTTGGGACTTCGGAGGATAACTCTCCAAGGGGTTCGGGAGAAGGAGAGTTCAAGGGTCGTCGTTGCAGAGGGCTTGAGCCCATATGTCCAGAGCGTCACATCGGCAGGGCCAATGAACTGGCCTGGACGAGAAAGGGAGGGTGTAGACTAAGTATGTGTCAGCGGTGCCAGGACTACGTACTGACAGTGATGTGATCATGGCGATGCTGACCAGGACCGGTAATGGGCAAAGGCAAATGATGGTCCGTCGCGGATGGCAAGCGCCGGCAAAAGCTGAGTATACACTCTGCAAACAGGCACCGGTGCCCAATAGGTTCGCAGAAGCTGAGATCACTGGGGTTTGAATCAAGGGGGCAATGTTCCAGTTGGTGACTCGCCGGTTGGACAGAAGTTGCTAAAACACATCCTCCAGATGAAGCAATACTACTGAGGTATCAGTACTAGACGACTCCGCGGATGAATATAGCGGATGTTGACGAAAAATACTAAAAACACTAGAAACATCTGGTTGCAATCATCGACTGGCACTTCGTTCACCATCACTGCATGGAAAACCATGACAACCAGTGAGTCCTCCACGGCATATCACATCTCGTGTTCCTCCCGCGCCTGCCTGGTTCGCGGTGTGTTTTATTACCCAGTTTCCCCCACCCCCCTCACCCCCCTCTCCTTCTCTTTGATATCACCGGAGTTGAAGCAATGTGAATACTCCTTTTTGAGTGCCTTTCTTCGAGGGTCCCCTGTCTATCGACATACGGCCGATGGCCCAGGATTCGAACCTCTGGCGCCAGACTAACTAACGTACGGCCCATGACTAGTGGCTATTTCCTTGGGTTGGCTGCGAGGCTGGTGCCAGTGGTACGGCACCGTTGGGGCTTTTTGGCTCTTGGAGTGACCCGTTCGTAGCCCAGCTCGTTACTTGTTCCTGACTGATTCCACACCTTGCCTTTTCCGCTTCCGCTTCGCAGCTCGGTACCTGCATAAGCGTCCGCAACGAATCGACGATCCGAAATCCGGATGCGTCGGTCGGAGTAGCGCAGCAGTTCTCCAAATGCACTCAGTTTATCTTGCTGCCAGTCTTGCTCCAGTAGGAGGAGACGTTGGGGGCGCTTTTTGACTGTCTATTGACACCTGTCAATTGTGGCAATGCCGTCAATAATAGGTATAGCGGAAGCGATTGCGAGTGTCAAAGAACTTCGGTTATCGTGCGGAAGGCAAGTCAATGGCAATCAAATCACTGCGGGATGGCGCTCAGTTGTCAGTATCGAAAGCTGATCCGGCGCTTGAAGCTTTGCTCCTCGCGTCGAGAGAGCATCTGATATAGTGTGACCCTCTCAAACCATATATTCGCGAGAAAGGCGTGGAGACGCGATGGAAGCGCACTCCGGCTCAAAACTAAGCCTAAGTGTTTACGACGTTGGTGCAATCCATCCCTGAAGCTGTGTGCCAGTGCCTGCGATGATCAAAACAGGAGATGATGCCTTTGGAGAAAAAGCTTGAAGCGCAGTCTGACTCAGCTACCGCAGGTCAACACCACCACTGGCATTGCACTCCCACCACTGAGAGTTTGACTCGAACTCAGCCGCAGCTCACTTCCGTGGACTTCTTTCTTCTACGCACCTCATGTCGATGCCTTAACACTACGGATGTGTCTTCTCGTCCGCTCCCGTTTCCGCGACGGCTCTCATGTACCTACTCAACAAGCAGTATCTGTCAGAGTTGTTGCTTCAACAGCCGATCGACTTGGTCAACATACCGTCCATCTATCAGAAAATATCTACAGCCTCTCTGATAGAGCCCATCTACCATCGCAGACAGCGGATTGCCCCATCTTCCGGGAGTTACGGCCCGCCTCCAAACAGTCTAGCTGGTCGCAAATTGCTATCTCCTGAGGCCGCTCCCGGTCTCCATTTGCGGATCTTCCCTGTGAGCTAGAAACCCGCTAGAAACCGGGAAATGGCCTTTGGCTTCCGCCCGCTGCTTAGCACCAGAGCCTCCAAACGATACTTCAGCCACGACTAACAATACGCCAGAAAATCGTGAGCACGCGTAAGGACCGAACACGGCGCTACCTTGAGACCTAACGCGTCAGCGGATGGTCGCCGTCTCTCGAAGCAGTACGCAGGATTAAGACATGGTCAGGGTCTAGAAATTTGGCCTATTCAGTTGCAGGCTACCTACATCCCAGCTGTTGTGTGGTAGACGCGTCGAATTGATCGTTGATCCGAGGTGGCACAATCTCATGCTCCTCCAGCCTTCTGGGAGTCGTTGTGACACGTTTCATACAGGGTGTGTCCAACATTTCATGCAGCCACTACCACCTCGATAATACGCCGTAGTGAGCGGTTGCATTGAGTCAACGGGTCCCCGTTGGTTAAGGCTGCTGTGGAAATCCCCAGTCGAAATTAAGTGCATGTGGCGGACAAGGGACTTTACAAGGCTTCCACACACTAGGCGTTTGTTTGCACAGCTCCATCACCCGAGCCACGCCAGTGGAATGGTATCCGCGGCTCCCACTCACGCTCTTTCCTGATGTCCCTAGCTGGCGAAAGGCAGGCAAATCATTACCCGACTTATACACACTGACTCAAGATTGACTACATACGACTAGATTGTCACAACAGCGGTGACACTTCTTCACGGATCCCCAAGTTGCCCTCCGCGTCTGGGCTTAGGGAAGTTCGAATCAGATCTCATTCGATACTCAAGCACTTCCGCTTGAGACTCGCATCACCAAAATGGGAAAAGAAGATTCGGCGCCAGGATTCGATCGAGCAGCCGGATAGCAAGGGGTTGAGCTTCCGGGCCCGGCCGCTCCCCTGCAAGTGTGAACTGCCTACCTTGGCTCACCGGGATCGTTGGCCATCTTTCTGATCATGTTCGGCGTTGGCTGCTGGGTCTTCTCCAGAAGGCCATCAGTTTGATCTCGGAAATTATCTGGACAGCAGCCCAAGAGGTCCTAGGCGCTGTGTACCTGCATTAGCCTGCGCCCAAAGCTGCAAGGTTGTTGCTCCCCGTTGTACGGATGCGCCATAAGCCATGGTCATCCACCAGCCAAGTAGGTGGCTTTGGTCTTGCATAACCGAGTATGCCCAGGTCCACGGAACAAATGTCGCGCTTCCCACGACGGCTGTTCGACTGCCCACAAGCATCTCGCTTCAAAGGTGCCGATATAAAGGAAGACGCAGTCACGAACCTAGTCGATCTCCTTGGAGGCCAGGAACAGAAAAATGGTTTGGCGAGCTCCGTCTATCCCTAAGGCAACCGACTTGCAGCAGCCATGCCATGCCTTTCCGTTGAGCCGCTGTGAAACATGGTCCGATATCAAAGCACCCGGTTCGAACCTGCTGTCTGACGCGTCTGTTCCGAGTCTCGGAAGACCGCCTGGACCATTCTCTCAAGTAACCCATCATCGTTGGACATGCTGCCGGTATATTTGGAAGATCCAATGTACTTGACAGCGGCCAATCTGCTGTCAAGGTACCTGTTGCAAGACTGGAATACATGACACGTCCAAATTCTCCTCCCCTCGCCTCTGGCTGATCGTTCTGATTCTGACTGACGTCCCAACGACTTCTGTGGGTTTGCTTATCCATTCCTGGCCACATTTCCCTGCCTCGTCCTATTGCTCTCGGATCGGCACGCCAGTCCTGACAAGGTAGATTATTCGCAGCACCATACTATACCCGCGAGGAGGAACTGCGCAAGACACTCTGGTAACACCCAGAGACGGTAAAATCTCAAGTCCATCTGGCCTGAAGGTACTTGTCTGGCCTGAATGTGCGAAGTACCTTCAGACCAAGTACGTACTGTGCTCCTTGGCTCACGCGACTTGATCAGAGACATCGGTCACCGATGCATCTCATCCTACAGCAGCTAGGAGAATACCTTCTGTCGGACTGCAAAGCAGCTCTCACAGTCCCGGGCTGACGAATCTTGGATATAATGTCCGCGTCAGGATCTCACCAGACGTCGTTGACACTTCCTCGATTCACGATCTACACTAAACAGGTAGGCAGGTGATCCGAGGGTCAATGAGGGACTTGAAAGATCCATGTAGCTTGGGGTATGGGCTATCGTCCCATTCAACGTTCCTAGACCTGGAAGACTTGCTCCCTTGCGCATCCGTACATAATTGCTTGGGTCGGCAACATCGTGCATACATTACGGCACACTGCCAGAGATGCATCCTCAATGGCCATTGACAAAGACAAGTTGGAATGCTGTGGCTAACAGCATGATACAGCCAATTGATTCTCATTGCTTCTGAGATGCAGACGGAACCCGAAGAGGACTCACAGGTACTCAGAAACTCGGTTTACTTAATACCCCTGCCCACAAGCCCATTGCTGTTCTCTCCCTTATGGTACTTCTTCCGGTCACCCGGACAATACCACTTTACGGTGCGCGGCGGAAGTTCCACCAAACCAACACATTCCATGTGGAACCACTGCCCATAGTCACACTGTAAGAATCTCATGTTAGTAAAGGTGACAACCTTATGGATTGTGGATAGAAGGTGAGGCAAAACGGAGCAGATAATCGGACTGCGGTAGGTATCCAAGTATAGAGGACGGCTTACCTTCTCATCCATCTCGCAACAGATCATCTCACCCCAGCTGACGTCTCCGCACACACAGTATCGCTCTTCATCCGGATCGACAATCTCCTGCCGGCCATCGACATCGATGCGAATTTGCGGCACATCCGGTGAGGCCGCCGTGGACGCTGCCAGAGCTGCCGGTTTAGGAGTCGACTTTTGCTGTTTCGCCGGCTTGGTTCGACGCTTGCTCACACTCACAGCGGCTCCACCGTCCTGGCTTGACTGCATCACCGTCCCGGGCGCATCACGCTTGCTGCGTCGACTCGCTGCGGTAGCCGCGCCAGAGGCGCTTTTCGGGCTCGCTTCGAGTGCTGGGGTCTTTGCGCCTACGACCGACGGAGTCGCGGATGCGTGCCCACTTGATCGTAGCGGTTGTGGTTCTGCCGATGCAGCGGTGGATCGCCTTGACGGTGGTCTCGAAGATACCGGAGGGGGCGACTCAATCTTGGGCGCCACCGACGCGCGTTGGACGCTTCCTGCTCGCGTCGCTGGAGCTGGAGTAGGGGTCTTGGATGGTTGCGAGTTGGCCGTAGATACTGTCAGTTTCAGTGGGATTTTGATGGTGCCTGCGCTCATGCGCGGCGGCGGTTCACTGCCGGCTGAAGTTGGTGCAGATGGCACAACTTCATGGGGACTCGGTGCTAGCGGCGATGGCTTAACTCCAGTCTTCTGCTTTTTCCTTGCTGCATCAGGCTCCGCGAGCGGAGAATTGGACGATGCAGGGATGTCTTCCGCTTTCCGCTTTCTCGAAGCTTTGTCGGTCGGTTTTTTCCCGGCGGCAACCGGTCTGTTGGTGCTGGGCGTACTGGCACTCCGGCTCAGAGAAGCAAGGGCTGACGCGAAAGGCGTGGTAAACAGCGTGCGAAATTTCGAGCCAATATCCCCGAGCCGTCGAGCAGCAAGTTCGGCCTCCTGAGCGGCAAGTGCTGCTTGTGAACGGGCTGGGTCTGGCTTTTTGTCTTTCTTCGACTCACTCCTCCTCACGGGCTTCGGCTTTGGCGCAGGAGTGGCAGTGTGTGCAGGTCCTGCAACTGACACGGTGGCAGCCTCTGACCTTGACTCCTTTTCGAACTCATGGCTCGGCTCGTCGCCCCTCTCTGCCTTGCCCGTAGTATCCGGCTGCTCGATTTTGTCCAGAGCCTCCACATTGTCAATCTTGGCTGATTTCTCAACTTTCTCAATCTTGGGGTTCAGGCGTTCGACGCTATCGATGTCGATGAAGGATGTCCCATTTGCTTGGGCTTCCGCCCGGGCTCGGTAGTAGTTCTCCCAACCTCGCCCACGATCGGCGAGTTCCCGTCTGATCATAACATCACTAGGCTCCCAATTGTGGTTCTTCTTCATCTTCTTTCTAAGCTTATACATCTCGTACTCCGTCAGGTGTGTCCAAGGTTTGTACTTGCTTCCTATTTCGGCATCTTCAGGTGGCGGAGTAGGTTTGCGATATGTCTCAGTGGTTTCTCGCACCGACCGAGCCTTCTCTGCTGCTGGGGAGGAGCGATCCCTAGCTTGCGGTGTGGATGCGGGTGGCTTCGGTTGCTTGAATTTGAGCACTGGCCGTGGAGGAGAGGGAGGAGGCGGGGATTCCCAGTCTGAGACCTCCGTGCTTGCAATGGGCGAATCCGGATCGTAAGGCGGCATAACCTCCCCCGGGACGGTCACACGTCGGCCGCGAGGTCGCTTGAGTATGGCAGAGGCGACTGCACTTCCCCGAGGAGGAAGCAGAGTTAGTCTGGTTGAAGTCCCATTCTCGAGCTTCCTGCCGCTGCGAGAGCGTTTGCCCTGTGCTGGCGCCTGAGGCTGAGGACTTGGATCGCGTGACGGCGGCTTTGGAATCGCATGTAACTTGGCTATAATGCTCTTCAATCTATTCTGATGTCTATCGACCACGTCGAACATTCGGCATGCTTCTGCAAAGGCAGACTCTCTCGCGTTTAATGCATGGTCCAAGTGTGTAGATATCTGTAGGGATAATTCGTGCGCATCTGGGCGAGCCGCAGGTGCAATGGAAGGAAGAGATCCGTAGGTCTTTGTAAGATCGTTCACGGCGTCGGCATCATCGACGTATCTTTCGTCCAGACCCCGGATCAGAGTAAGGGATCGAATAAGATCAGAGGGGAGGTATTCGGTGTAATCAAGGAAATCTGTGACGGCGGCCTGCGCATCGGGGTCGACAGCACGGTCGCTGGCAATCTCTGCCATTGTCACCATCGAGGCTGATTGTTACCTTGGACGGCGCATCGACTCGGTCGGTATAGGAGGATGGAGAGACGTTGGATAGAACAGATGATTTCGCCTTCTGGGTGGCACTCTTGGTAGCCGGAACAATGCTCGATGACTTAGTAGGCCACCATGTTCGAGGCACTTCGTGAATGAATATCGATGTGGTCTACAGTTCACTTTCTCCGCAAGTTGGCTTGTTTGTCCTGCCCACTTGATTTGACGCGCATGCTCAACAATCTACGTCCTCGCGAAGTCAAGGCGGTGACGACTGGCAGAATGACGCAGGCACGTGATAGCGAGAATTGATTACATAATTCATCTTCAAGGCTCGTCACGGGTTGAAGCAGTCAAGAAATCCATCCCTTCGCACTTCTTTGAGACTTCATCCTTCTCGACACGCGAGTTCACTCCATCAAAGAAATGTTTGCATGGTGCCAGTGACAAAGGTGCCCGGCTGGTAAGAGAATTACATGTCTTCCGCCACTGCAATTCCTCCTTGTGTATTGCCTGAGTGAACAAACAGTGAATTGGTTTGATCTTCACAACTGCCCACCTTCCTTGCTCGCCTGCTTGCCTGATACACGTCCCTACCCGCTTCATAATCTACCTACTGTTCTTTCTTTCACCTCATTATCCTATTCATTCATCCTTGGCCACACTCTACCCTCCGAGGTACTTCATACTCGTCTCATGAGGTATCGGGAGATATCACATGTGCCTATGCCTTTTGTTCAGCGCAACCCATTTTCAAGAGCACACGGTTCCCTTCGCTTCCCTTCTCTCGTTGCAGCAAATAAGGTGCTGAGTTCGTAAATCTGATCTCATTCTCGGAAGTAACTCACTTTCAAGCAGAATCGAAGCAACCGTATCTCATCAGATCAAGCCCTGACAAGATGGCCAACCCGTCAGGCACCGCCGCGCGTGATCGCCTGAATCAGCTATTTGCTGGTCAATCCAGGCCAAGTCCTCCTCCTGCTGATCAACGACATTTCTCTGAGCTAGAACTCGAGAAGAAGAAAGTTGAAGATCATCAATCGTGGACCATTCCTCCAACTGCTCAGTATCCTCGGCAGGTCAAATCACCACCACAACCTACGAGGAACGTCGATTGCCTTACCAGCTCTGATGAAGACGACTATGTCTCGGCGTTCAAACCAAAAGTCTCCATGAAGTCTCCGTCTGAAAAGCCTGGAAGACCTAAGGGCAATATCGGGGACTCCCACTCTGAAGGCATGGCACACATGGAATATTTTCCGAACGGCAAGGTGTCGTCCAAGCTCAAAGCAAAGGATGATGCGTCAATGGAAGATGAGCCCGAGGTCTATGACGCTGCTTTGCCGGCCTCAGATGTACAAGGACATCCCGCTACCGGTCACTTCTGCCAATTCTCCCTCGCAGCAAAATTTCCATACAAGTACATGAATGACAGCAACGATAGAGTTTCGAGACGCTTCTTCGCTCAAAACAAGTTCTACGAGAGGACATGGGATCTGTAAGTGATTCTATCATTGTTGGCAAAAGAGAGGCCATCCTGGTCTTGCTGCTAGTTTGATGACTTCTTCCTTCGACCATAACTAACTTTGCGCCCACAGTTACTATCTCAATCCACCGTATACAACGAGTGCAAAGCCTATACTGCTAGTCCCCCATGCACAGTGTCAAAAACTCGTCGACGAAATTGGTGATACATTCAAGATACCAGTGTCAGTGCCAGAGTCCCCCTTCACTCTGACATTTTACGACGATGGCACGCCACAGCCGAAGTTTCTGGGCACATCCAGGTCACGGGAAAAAGCCGGGAAACTCCAGGACTCCATCCCTGCAGCGCCAGTGGAGCATGGTGAGTGCCCAGACGATGCAACACCTGATGTGAAACGGCGTTTTGCTGCCTTCCGACAATTATGTTCAGACGCCCTCGCAGCGAACAAGAAAAAGGGCTCCATTGTCAAGAAGAAGAAGGGAGAAGAGGATCGCTTGCTCACAGTTCGGGATTGGTATTCGCAATTAAGGAGGTCCCAGAGATACTTTGGACTGCGGCCGAAGGCCGGCCAAGTCAAGCACCCAGACCCGGATCTGCCATGGTCTGAACAAGAGCAGTTCCGGCGTCAACAACTTAGGAAAGCTCAGGTGGTTCTGGATCCGTTAGATGTCACTCGACCAGCGCCATATCCCTTCGAGAAAGAGCCAGTAGTTGTCTCGGTCGACATCGAATCCTACGAACGGGACCACAGACTTATCACCGAGATCGGAGTCAGTACTCTGGACACTCTAGACCTTATTGGACTCCCTCCCGGTCCAGGAGGTAAGAATTGGACCAGCCAGATCCGCTCAAGGCATTTCAGAATTCAAGGTCGGGAGCATTTTGTCAACAGAGACTTCTGTGTGGGAAATCCTGATGCCTTCCAATTCGGGCGATCTGAGTTTGTACCCCTTCCCGAAGCTGCTGCTAAGTTAGACAGCTGTTTTGAATGGCCGTTCTCTGTCCAGTTCAAGCATCCCGGATGGTCGGATACGTGGACTTCTGGGCAAGCCAGTCCAACAGGCGAGCATGTTCATTCCAAGACGCTTTCGCCAAGCTCTGACGGTGTGAGTATTGGCCCATCAAACAGCGAGCAAGCTGAAGCCAGTCGGGCTGCGGTCGCGAGTGTATTGGAAGGGATCAGCGGTGCGGATGCCACCAAGCTCGCTATCGACCTAAGTCAGGAAAATCGACCGGATCCAGCGATCCTTCAAAAAGGTCCCAAGGAGCGTAATGTTATCCTTCTTGGCCACGATATTCGCAGCGATCTCGACTACATGCGGACGTTGGGCAGCAAAGTATTTGCACCATCCCGTGGAGCATATCCTGTTGCAGCCATGGGAATGATAGGATCTGACGAAGGCCCTATCAAGATCTTGGCTTCCATCATCGAGGCTTTGGACACTGCACCCTTGTACAGAGTCCTCAAGCAGGAGACCCAAACCCGCAGCCTCTCGTCCATCTTGAACGACCTTGAAGTCCCTTGCTATTTCTTGCACAACGGCGGCAATGATGCCCGATACACTATGGAAGCGCTGATCGCGATGATTCTCAGAGCCAGGTTGGAGGAGGACAAACTCCAAAAGGAAGAGGATGGCATCGCAGCAAAAAGCACGGGAGAAGCATTGGACGATCCGGCAATCACCAAAGTGCCAGAGGAATCTGCAGGGCATGGGCCTTCTACGCCGAGATCAAGGTCAGGAAATGTGCGGCGGCATGAAGGGGTGTTTGCCACGAGCCTTCCCACCATGGCTGAGGTCGACGACTTTGAAGCAGCCATTCTAGCGGAATCGGGCTCCGAGGCATCTCCTCCTCGCCAACTCGACTTGGGAATCAGCGCCCTTGCCGAGCGGTTGAAGCTGGATCCTAAAGTGGATGAGGAAGAACCAAAACGCCCCTTCTAGGCTGACAAAGTGGAGAGGCGAGAGGATATGTGGATGCGGAACCGAGGCAGTCAAAACATCTGAGCACATCGGGAGAGGCAGGTTCGATATAATGGTTCGGAAGTAAGAAAATCAGCTTGAGAACCATTGCCAGCACACAACGACACTGGCTACGTGGGGAGCGAGCTCGTTTTAAAAAGCAGCGGCGAAGATAAAGCGCTGGACGGAGGGAAATGCATTTGCTGAGTGCAAAGGCGGCCACGCGGCAAATGCTGCATTTCTGAAATATTGATATCCAATAAAAGCCTTTGATCCCTATGTATTCCCATGCAAGCCAACGCCAACTCCAGTCCACACGCCGATATTTTTCTTGCGCACTTGAAAGCGAAGCTCACCAACTCGCTTTCTTCACGCCAGGAATGTTACCTTCCAGCGCATTCAACCGGAATTGAAACTGCAAGACCTCTGATTAGCGAGTGTGGAGGAGGCAGACAATCGGCGCAATCAGCCCTCAACCATATCGGAGGCAAGGTATATAACACGCGATGACCTCCGGCATGGTTTGGCGACCGAGGCCCCTGGATTTGAGACTTACCCGACCCATTCTAAATGCTCTTAACACACTCCTGCCCACACCACCCATGGTACATCTGTTCTTAATCTGCGTCGGTCGGGTGTAGCAGCTCGTCTGGGCCAACTGGAGTTGGGCCTGAGTGCGCATTCGCTGCGGGAGAGAGGTGTTTCGGATGATATAGCGTAACGCTTGTCTGAATATGCGGGAAGAGAAGTTAGATATGTTATCCTCAATTCTTGCATTTCCTCTCTTTTCCAAGTGCGTCTTCCCCTTCTGGAATTCCGAACTCTTCAAGCTCTTTCCCAAAGGAGGCGGTTCCAATTTCATTTTTTTCATTTCTTCCAAGGGAGGGCGGGGACGCTACCTTTGAGGCTCGAACTGCTCGTAGGCTTTCCGCTTGGTGTGGTCGCGGATGACTTTGATGTTGACGAAGCCGCCCAGGTCGAGCTTCTTCGCTCGGAAGGCACTCGCCATGGGGAGAGGAGGTTGCTGCGGGACACTTTCTCGCTTGCTCGTTTATATCGAGTTTGGAGAGGTTGATGTGTTCTGGCAGTTGACTGCATGCGACTTGCTCAAAGCGAGGGCAATACTCCCACGTCCAGTCCTAGAGCCTTGTATCGACCTCAAGTTCAAGTCGTCCGAGTCGGTCATTGAACTTTCGCAGTTTCGCAGGCCTTGGCGGTCACGTGTCGAGATGCCTCGAGGCCGTACGGTGTATTATTAGGTATTGAGGTGGCAGCTCGTCCTCGTCTACCACGTTGATCTCCCGCCAGTGGCCGCAGCTTGGGAGCAGCACCGCGATTTGTGGCACGCCCATCCCATTCAATTCAAGTTCCTACCCATGCTGTGCATATCCCACTTTGCGGTACCTGATCTGACACAAGGATGAACCTTCGACGCTCATGATTGCAGGATCGTATTCGCGAGGACTCTGAGTCACTAGCCAAGGAGCTTGCCATGTGTATGGCACCACCGAATGTCGCCCTTCTCACAATCAATGCTTTTGCCGACTGCCATACTAGTACGAGGCGCATTGCATGACTCACGCCAGTGGACCATCCTCGCTCGGATTCGCTGACGCCGTCTTCCGTCGCTGAAGCTTTGCTGGCATCCAGATGTGACATCGCAGCTGAAGGAAAGAACCGGTGCCCTTCCCATAGCGCATACAAATATGATGAAGATATCCTCCCCAAGGCCACACTACACTGACAAAGTCGGACCAGTTGAGTACCAGCGGCACCGTTGAAGACATCTCCACCCTCTGTGAAACCCTCCACGTAACTCGTTTCTTGATTTTCCCTGACAGCATGCCGAAACCTTCCAAGCTATCCAAAGCAGCTGCAATCCAGAGATATGGTGGCATTGTCGTCACTAGCCAGCAGAGCCGCTTCCACCTCGATGCTGTGGATGCCCCTACCTCGAAAGATATCGATGTCAAGGACTTGTCACTTTCTGTTGGCGGCCGGGAGCTGCTAGATCATGCCCATCTCAGGATTCTTGAAGGGGTCCACTACGTGCTCGCTGGGCGCAACGGTACCGGGAAGAGTTCTCTGCTGAGGGCATTGGCAGAGAAACGAGTCCCCGGAGTCCCAAGCAATATCCGGCTTCTTCTACTTGGACAGACGCGCCTCAGCGCACATGCACTGTCAGATCCAGTTGAGGCGGAGAGCATGGCTCAGACAGTGCTTGAGCATGTTATTAAGAGCGACCACAGCCAGGAGCAAGCTCTGAAAGCCTCGAACAGCATGTTGCAGCTTCCGTTTCCCGTGTTGTAAGCTAATGATTGATCCCAAGGTCTTTCTGCCGCGTTGGAGGAGAAAACAGATTCGAAGAAACTCGTCCAAACAATCCGCTCACTTCAGGTCCAACAAGCCCAGCAAGAGCTAGCGGAAGCACAACTGGTTACAGCGAGGAGAAGTGGCGCCAGGGGCCTCAAAGCACGCCAGTTTCTTATCGAAAAGGAGAAGGCTTTGGATGAAGCTCAAAGACGGTAAAGCTATGGCTCGGATGAGATCCAGACTACTGACTCCTTCCAGCCAGCAGAGCCCCCAGACCGCCGAGGATGAGCAAGAAGCTGTGAAGACAGGCCTTGATATGCTTGAGACTACACTCTTGGCCCTTGAAGCCATGGATGCCGTCAGCACTGAAGCTCGCGCTCACATTGTGCTTTCAGGATTAGGGTTCTCAGAGGAGCAGATCAATAACCCCGTCGAATCCTTATCTGGCGGGTGGCGGACCCGTTGCGACCTCGCCTGCTCTCTAATTCAGCATACCGATGTTTTGTTGCTCGATGAGCCTACAAATTTCCTCGACCTGCCAGCCATAATTTGGCTTGAACGATACATTACAACGTCTCTGGCGAAAACTACCGTTGTTCTCGTCACTCACGACCGGGATTTTGCCGATGCTGTTGCTCAGGAGCTAATTCTGGTCCGCCTTGCACCTGCAAAGACTCTGGAAGTCTTCAAGGGCAACTTGACCGAATACGAACGTGAGAAGAGACGACAAATCCGAAGAATGTCCAAGATGTCCGAAGCCCAGGAGAGAAAGACCAAACACATGGAAGACACGATCAACAAGAACGTCAATGCTGCTAAGAGAACAGGTGACGACAAGAAGTTGAAGCAAGCTGCCTCTCGCCGGAAGAAACTACAGGAGAGATCTGGCCTGGAGGTAGGTCAGCATGGAGGCAGATTTAAGCTGAACCGTGATCTGGTAGGCTATCATCTGTCGAACCGGGCTGACATTGACATACCCGAATTCGACCCTCCCGTGACGATCACGCTACCGGAGCAACCCTCGCTGCTACAACATGCCGGGCCTCTTTTCACCTTTGAGAAGGTTTCCTACACGTACCCCAAGTCTAGCGCGTGGGCATTGAAAGATGTTGATCTGGTCATGCATCCCAGTGAACGCGTTGGCTTGGCCGGCCTGAACGGGAGCGGGAAGTCGACCTTGGTCAAGCTTTTGATGGCGGCCAAATCTAGCGGTGATCCAAGACCAACCAGAGGATCTATTGCTGTGCACTCCAAAGCACGGTTTGCGTGTTATTCTCAACATGCTGTCGAGACCCTGGAAGAGGTTGGCCGACATGCCCCAGAGAAGACCGCCCTGTCTTATCTGATGCAGCTCGACGAGTGGACTGCAGATGAGCAAACAGCTCGAGGCTTACTAGCAAAAGTCGGCCTCCGCGGAAACACTGTAACCGACGTCCCACTTGCAGCACTGTCTGGTGGCCAACGGGTTCGACTCGCATTGGCTGAGGTGGTTTTCACTTCCCCTCATCTTCTGGTATTGGATGAAGTGACTATCCATCTGGATGCGGACACGATTGACGCATTGATTGAAGCCCTCAAGTCATGGGAGGGAGCGCTGCTTATCATCACACATGACCGGCATTTCATGCGATTTGTGGTGGACCGAGAAAAGACTGACAAGGACGAGGAGACAGAGGATGACAGCAGTAGTGAAGAGTCGGATCATGGTCGACCTGGCACTGTCTATCATGTGCGCAAGGCTGGTCTTCGCAGGCTTGAGAGGGGCATGCAACAGTACGAAGAGATTGTATCAAAGTCAGTCAGCAATCTCAAGGTCTGACCCTGAGGCACAATGCCCAACACGAGTTGCCGGTTGAACACAGGAGAGGAGGGAATGGTTATCCGCCAGCATCTCGGCATCGGCTTTCCAGTCGGCCAAGGGAATTCGAGCCAGCCAGGGCCTCTTCATACCACCAATGAAAACTTTCACACCTTTCATGCACTTGTGGTGGCCATAACCATGAGAGCATCCTTCCCATGAAGATGGATGTTTAGATCGATCTTATTGATACTTGGCCAGAAGTGCTCTGTTATTGAGGTAGGTTCGTGATCAGTGGATACGCCATTGGACTAATATCCCCTGAGCTGCCGTTGACAAACGCAGCTATTCAGTGATTCTAGTCATCGCCGATACCTCCCTACCCAGCCCTGTCTCGACGGACCACCAACTGACAGATGATCTGGATACACAACAGCGTTCCAAGCATACGCCGCGTGCACTTTGCTCCAGAAAGACTCCAGAGTGATCAACCCCCCGAAGTGCCCGAGGAAAGGCTATCTATATACACAGAAAGAATAGTGGAGACCGCAACGGGGATTCCAAGCCCACGATCAAGGCCAGATCGGATCATGTCACAGTCTAATCTTCCACTTCTGCGGCGTCGCATACGGCATCGCATACGGCGGCGCATCACAATGAAATGCCAGTTCTCCAGACGCGGTCATGACATCGATGGTCTGCCCGTGCTGACTAGGGTAGGGAAGGGTTTTCAGGTATCCGAGTTCTTTCAGGCGTCTCCATGCGACGTTCGAGTGGTCCCGGTATGCGTTGAACCTGACACCGGACAGCTCGATCTCCCCCATGATCTTTCCGCCGCTGTGGTGGCTGTTGTTCAGACACAGGATCACTGACCGACTGGAGTCGCCTTCCAGGGCGTTTTCGAAGATGTCCACCAGGCATGTCTCGTGATGTGCTATCTAGCTGTTGAGATACCATGTCCCTTGGTCGCGACCGTGTCGGCGCGTGCTGTAAGGCATTGTTTCGGGGTTTTTGTACCTTGGGTTCTTGGTATTTATCGGAAAGTTGAGGGACGTTTTGCTGTAGCCGGTTGGTCTGGTCATTCCTGTGGTTTGTTGGGATCGGTACCAGTTGGTTGGTTGTTCGTTCGTTCTTTTGTGCCTTTGTCGAGATAAGCCGAGGAGATGATATGATTTATATGGGGATAGGGAAGCAAGTCGACAGGAGAAATGAGGGTTGTGATAACCCAAAAGAAAAGAACCTTTCTGGTTGTATTTATATAGCTTGTCCATGACAAACGCAGTCCAGACCAGGAAGCAGACGCAGACGTGGGAAGTGACGCTCAAACAAACAGTAAACTCATCAAGCAGAATCAGCAGTGTCGTGTCATGTCGTGTCGTCGTTTGGGCCAGCGCAAATACATCTGAGATATATCCTCAACGGAGGCGTCATGATTCATATGCGATGGACCATGGTGAAGGGATGAAGAATGGACTGTCTGTGACTGAGTCTGCGCACTCCACTCCAGCAACACTTGAGTGCAAGCAAGTCATAGAAAATGAGTGTGCTCATGCATGAAAATTGATGAATAAGACTCATGTTTTGCAAGCAGATCAACATCTGATGTGTCTCCTATCAAGCAAGTTCTAACCTGTTTTAGAGTGTCATGTCGCATCGCATCGCAGTGTGTTGCTGCAACCCCGCTGGCAAGATGAACTGTATCCGATCCCATCCAGCATGACAGGCATAGACAAGTCGAAGAAACCCTCATCCTACAAGACAGCAACAGCGCCCAAAGCCATTGCGCCCAACACACCCCATCCGAGGCTGACAATCGCTGCTCCGCTGTCGCCAGTCGCCGACGCCGCAGCACTGCCGCTAGCTGAGCTTGCAGTCTCGGATGCGGTGGCGCTGGTAGTTCCCGAGGCGGAACTGGATTCGGCATCGCTGTGTCCAGAGGTCTCGTTGGCGAAGGTATATTCACTGGCGGAGAGTGGAATGGCGCTGACACCTGTGCCATTGGTGCAGGAGGAGGGAGATTCAGGAGCCGTCGAGGAGAATTGGATGTCCGCACACTATAATATGGAAAAGCAAGGCTGGTTAGATTCTGTTTTTCCCGACTACTTTTTACTCTCGAGCCACCGATGTGGGTATTCGGAGAGGAAATAGGAGAAGCAAGCAAAGGCAACATAATGGTGAGGAGAGGAGAACAACGCAAGAAGGGAAGATGAAAGAGAGCGGTGTGTGATTACGGGCAACATTGGTCGAGGCTAGGAATTCCAACGACGAGAAAACTACAGGTTGATAAACGTACATTGTAAAGCCCACCGCCCGTGTGAGCGTTCGTGATGACCTGAATAGTCGCGTTCGTGCCGTCGGTGATGTTCAGATCCGCAGGGACGGAGACAGCAGGGAGGCAGAAGTCTCCAGGTCCCATTTCACTGATGGTCGGCAGAATCTCGTAGTTGAAGGAAGACCCGACGTCGTTGCCAATGGCCAGCAGGATCTGCACCAGGTTCTCGGTGTGGCCGAATGCCATTGCCACGGGGATCGACGTCGGCGAAACCAGCGTGCGGTTCTGCGATTGTCCGTACCCGCCGCAGGGGAAGGTCGCTTGGTCTTCGTCGTCGGTGCCCCGCGAGGGAGGGAAGTTGAGCTCGAAATGTGCCGAGGTCAGGAGAGGGAGAGCGAGGAGAGAGAGAAGAGCCTGTGAGATCATTTTGACTGGTTTGATTGAGTTGACCTGGATGTCAAATCTTGGTGGAGAAGGAAGAATATGTATTGGGAGTATTGCTGTATGGTTTGGAATAGATGAAAGGGAAGCTGTAGAAGAGGAGCATCAAGAAGTCTTATACCACTGTCAGTGGCAGTGGCAGTCTTAGATCCCTACCAGGCATGATATGATTCCAGACCCGACCGTCGAACCCTCATTTGAGGAAGGGAGAGGCATGCCAAGCTTCCCTCGGGCGGGCGCAGGGGCTCGGAGCGGAGCTGCTATGCACGCTGCATGTTCGCGTTAAAGTGCTCACCATCATTATGAAGGAGGAATACGGGAAGATTTCCCTTTTCTTTTTCTTTATTTCTTTCTTAAAATATGCGCGACAATCGTCAGGTATGGTATCGAACACGGCATCGTATCAGACCTCAAGTCTGTCAGCTGAAGCCATTCGCTCTACAGAAACACGATATTTCTTCAGAGGGAGACGAGAAGCAAGGAGGGGCGTCGGGAATGGAAACATGCTCACGTTCAAGTCGGGCATTGATGCCAAGACAAGGCTGGCTTGGCAGTCGAGGGAGAGTCTTGGCATGAGCAAGTTTCCAAAATATCAGAGACGCAGACATCAGGCTTCTCAAGACCAGGAGGCAGAGAAGTTAATAAAATAATGACTAGGTACGTGCTATGTGAAACTGAAGAAAGAGACTAGCCCCATGATTCCTTTGTAGTACTCCACACAACATGTCATGGCCGCCGAGCAAGTTGTCCCGGCGCATCATGTCCTCAGCGCAGAGACGAGGCTGCGAGAATTCAGGGGCAGCCCCTATCTGATATCACAGAACCAATGAATTTATCACTCAACCACATCTGCCCTGGGCCATTCGCCCGTGACGCCGATTAATGCCACAGACAAAGCACAGCAGGCTTTGTGTGCAAATCCAATACCTTTCCACTGTCCTGTCCTTCCATGTTCCAGTCCAGGGGCCTGGTTCTCGTCCGAACATGGACAACACAAACTTGTCACCATGCTGGCTGGATAAAGAATCGGATGGAAAACCCGGAGGTACCGTGAGTCAGGGGATCAATTTTGTATGTTGCGGACGGTGTCCAGCATACCTGATCCCAAAAACCATGATACGGCCATCAATTGTCCATTGTCAATGATGTCCGTTCAACCCGTTGGTCAACCCCATTGCCGTTTTCTGAACCGTTTCAGGAGTTGGAGGGGAACGGCGGAGGAGCAGAACATGGCTGGTATCTTGGTCGGATTCGCTTTCCTCAGAAGATTCTGACTCTTCTGCCTGGCCGGCTGCCCCCGGGTTATAATGCGCAAAGCCATTTACGCCGTTGACTCCGTTGACGTGGTGTCCCGCATTCATTTGCATTTCGGGGATGAGCTCGGCGAGGAGGGGGTTGATATCGCGAAGAGGATCAGGGGCATCAACTGCCACTCCATAGTCGTTGACATGGTTGTGAATTCCATTGGCATCACCCTGATGGTTTGCCATTCCATTGCCGTTGCCGTGAATGGCGCTGTTGAGGTGAAAGCTAATAAAGCCAAGGCCGGCGTTGGCATCTTGGATACCAATGGCAGAAGGTGGCCACCTTAACAATCCATAGGGGTTGTCATTAGTAGGCCCGTGGTGGTCGTCATTCTCTCCATCGCTATCACTGCTCTCTTCTTCTTCTAGGTCCCCCAAAATTTCATCAAGTTCTTCAAGCGACCTCCCCTCTTGCGCAAAAGTATCGACAAATCTCCAGGTTTCCTCCTGCTCTGCGTGGTTCTCCAGCTCCGCGAACACTTCATCAGTCAATGGGGGCAGTTCTACATTGAACTGTGGAACCTCTCCGTTTCTCTGCTGTCGAGCAGCGGCCAACGTGCAGTGATGACACGGGACAAATGCTGGCATGTCTCTGATTTGTGTGATTTCCTCCACCAACGCGCATGGGTTTGGCGGGTTGGCATCCAGGCACCGTTGTTCGCGTGTCTGTCGTGGGTTATCCATGATTGCGAAGTAACAAATCTGGCAGAATCGGCGAATCGGGTATCGGACACACATCTTTTCTGGTTATCCCCGTTCTGTGCTTGTTTTTAATTCTTTTGGGTTCTGGTCAACAGGAGACTGTATGCGGCTCGATTGCAGGGCACTTCGGTCGAGGCAGGAATCTCGAAGTTGAAAATTTGCAGCTGGTCCGATGTATGAAGTTCTGTCTTGTTGGACTGATCGGATGGTGTTGCTTGCTCTGGATGCTTCAAGACAGTGGTAGGAATGGGAGATTTAATCGAATATATATACCTGTTCATGTCGTCCTTCATTCACTGCTCTGCACTGCTGTGCTCCATGAGCAAGTCATCGCTTTGTTTCTGGAGGACTCATTGCTGGTATCCACCACACTGGATGGTGGCACAGCCACTGGCATGTCTGAACATCATGCTTTTGCTGTAACTGCGTTCTTGCAGGGCTGCCCGAGCGGCACGCCATGTCATATATGAGTATATCGACGGTTTGTCGAAGAAGGTGACAACCATCATGTAAAGCCTCTTGACACATCTCTGTGGCCGGCCTCATTCATCACGCAGGATGTCTCTGGCGAGACCTCACATTGTTCGTCACCAGTGACACCCGTGTTGTCTGTGAGTTGTCGGCGGAAAGCTGAATGATAGTATATCGCTCCCAGTCACGCTTCTGGGTGACAAGGCTGAGCCTGACAGTGACTTGCAAGGTCCCCTTACCCAGATTCTCATGTGGACACTCCTAGGTTTTATAGTGCTAAGATGGCATTTGCTCCTGCTTTTGTTTGCAACGGTTTCGGCCCAACTTGATTGTATCATTTTCGAGTTTGCTCTGCTTTGCCTGAAGTGGATGCTCAAACAGCGCCTGCCTGACGTTGTCTGCCGCAAAGGCCGATTTCGGTGTCTAGGTGCAACTTATTTATACCTGAGCGCTGTCCTGCTTGCGATTTTGCGCACAATCTCCACAGTCGTCCTTGTAGTAATCCATCCAAGTCCACCGTCCAGCGATCCCGGACTTACACCTCCCAAACGAAGCCATGGCTGTCTCCATGGTGGTACCCGCTTTTGCACGAATTTGAAGTCGATGATTGCGTTCGGCTTCCGGGCATAAGGTCTTGAAGCTGTGGTCGTTGGCGAAATTGCTGCCGCATGTGGTGCACCATCTGCGCGTCGGCCCTATGTTGCACATCGTGTGGGCAAAGTAGGAGTGGCTGGATTTGTGATTGCTAGGATCGGACAGGAGGAGGACAGTCAGTCACCACACGGTCCAAGCAAGCCTCGCTTGTAGCTCACAAGTATGTCCGAGAATGAAAACAGGCTTTACAATCAGGGGTGTCGTTCTCTTGGGAGAATTCGAGACTTTGACTTCTTGACTTGGGACTTTCTTCTACCTTTGGGGTGAGTGTGTTGTCGAAATGGAATGTGCCCAGGATGGTTTATATCGGTTCAGAAGGCATGCTTCGTCTTCCCCGGTTTCCACCAATGATACTCGGCTCTGGTGGCAGTCGAATCTGGTTTGCGCCATGGTGACACCCTTCTGCACATAGCATCCAACAGTCCTGCGCCTGGCAAACGTCTGGAAACGCTCACACCTCCGGAAGCACTGGCAAAGTTTGGCATTGCCGGGTGCAAACCAAAGGGTTCGTTGATGCACTGTGAAAGCGCCAACTCGTTCAAATCACAAGAAATATGCCGTAACTCCGTGGTAGTGGAAGGGTCGCAACAAGCGTTAGTTGGACGAATGCCTGATTTGATCCCTTTTGTAAAAGAGAAAAAGGAGGTTGTCTTGCCGAGTCAGCTGGCCGAGAATCCTCTATACATACGATGTTTTCATAAGATATACTCTGTAGGGCACTTGGAACGTACGCAGTAGGATCGACTCTTTCGAGGCAAGTCAAGCTGCTTTCCAAGAGTAGCATGACGGACATGTTTCCGAATTTCTATTTCTTTAAAGTCTAGACAGTGGTCCACTGATCATTATCGACCTTTGAGCTGAAATAATGTGCTCCGACTCTCCATGGCATGTCGTACAAAGTAAGAACAGGTAGGATGTGGTGGAAATTGCATTTAGGCCTTCGCTAACAGGATTGAAAATTGCCTTTGCGGGTATAGTATTGTCTTATGCAATCAACAGGAAGTGTTCAGCCCGTGGGCTGAACATAATGCAACCAGACACGTTCCCAAAGAGATCGGTGGGCGAGTATGAATAGAGAGGAGCAAGTTGTACCGTTCTTTACTGCTTTGAGGGCCCAATGCGAGATGGTGTTACAGATATGGGTCATTCGACCATAGTGGGTTGAGCAGGACCAAACAACAAGACGGCAACATAGGCGGCCGATAGTTGGATCCAGGCATCAAGACGCTTTTGGTTCACGCGTTTTCATGACGACGATGGTTTCTTCGCCCGTTTCCCGGCCTTCTTGACAACCTTCGAGACCTTCGATGGCCTCTTCTTCTCATCCCCAGCGCTGTCCTTAACTGGGTGTTCGGCCTTCTCAGCTGTGACCTCCAGCACTGATCCAAGCTCTCCCCGCGTGGAAGTGGTTGGATCCTCGCCCAGACGGTCAGCCAAAGCCAAGGCCGTTTTTACGAGGATAGCCATGTCCGGTTGTGTCAGTGTAGGAGGATGCAGCACTGATCGCTCCGCAAGTAGCAGCTCTTGTCGTGTCGCTTCCGTGCCGGTCAATGTGACATGATCCAAGCAGAACTTGACGTGCTGATTTGGTTGCCTTCCCTTCCCAGCATCGGCACTGGTAGCAGAGCCTGCACTCACGGAGACTGCCACCTCGCGCGAGTCAACATCCATGACGTCGACAGTGCGAAGGATATACGAGATGGCCTCTTTCTTGGGAGTCGTCGTCGAATCGGTACGAGACGCCCGCTCATGGCCTTCCCTTGACTTGCTAGTAGCATTGCCACCCTGCTCTGCAACGCCCTTCATGCTATCATCTACAGGCAAATTGACGAAAGGCTGGAAGAGCCACTCGGTCGGCTCGTCAGCTTCAGTCCGGGAGAAATATGCTTTGATCGCACGCAGGAGGGGAGTATGTTGTTGATCTTTCTCAGCTCCTCGATATAGAAGGTCTTGCTTGAGCTGCTGCATTATTTTGATGTCGACCTGACGGCTCGGGCAAAGGATTGTAAAGGACTTCTGTTGGTGTACAGCAGAAACCCTGGCGATGCTGAGAGGTGGCCTTCTACCCTTTACTGATTCTCCCGAGGTGACCAGGACTTCCAATGACGGCCAGAGCTGAGATTGTGTTTCATTGTAAGTTGGTGAGAACTCAAGCCTGAGCGTGGTACGAGCATCTGCTCCGATATCTTTTGCTGGTTTGGAAGAAGCCGGACTCCACGGCTTCATGAGGGCAAGTTGCTGAACCAAATATGGTATCTGATTCGTAAACGCCGGTTTTCCCGAAGGTGTAGATGCGTTCAAGCCCCGTGGACTTGAAGCTTGGATCTTGCCGCCTTCCTCGGTCTCTGCCGCCTTGGCTCTGGGTAGTTCTCCGAATAAAGCCTGTCCAAATCTCGCCGTGACGTGATGGTACAAGTCATTCCGCGACTTCGGACTTTTGTGCAAGCTGGTGAACTCGAACCATTCGCAGATCTTGCTTATCATTGAATTCAGTGGTCTTATACGCTCCGTATCAGGATCCGCAACATTCAAGCCTGGAGGATCATTGGCAGGATTGGTCAATCTAGCCTCTGGCAACTGCAGGATACTCTTGGAGAACTCAGACGGTGTAGGGAACGGTTGAAGAGAGCTTATCTCTCTGGACTCCGGTGGCCATACATCGACTTTCTGTGGCTGGTCATCCGGTTCGACTGCGAGTCGGATTTCTCGGTGCGCTTGCTGGGCCAAAAGATGTTGTTCATGATGGACAATCTTAATATGATCCGGTGTCAAAGCGATCTGCACGTCAAACTTTTGCTGAACGGAGTCCAGAAACCGTTTGATTGCATCTTTGACAGCAGGATCCCGATAGGAGTCTCCCATAATACCCTGAAGCGGTATTGTGATGGGTTGAAGGTCTTTCGCCAACCGTGAAATCCGTGCCAGCGCGGCCGCGGCGTTTGCGGCCACTCCGGAAACCCTGATCCTGGAGTCCCGTCGAAAGAGGTCGATTTGAATATCCAATTCCTCCGCGATTCGCTTCAATGGCTGGCCTCGGTCCTTCAGCAGATGGTCCAGTTTGGCTTCATCTGGGATATAAAGACTCAACGTCCGGGCTTTCTTCTCTGAACGTTTTTCCGTTACAGGCACTGTGAAACCCCATACCTCCTCAACCAGATACTTGATCGTGTCCGGTTTATTCTGTCTGTTGACCCGGTAGAACACGTCCGTTGACAGTGACTTCTTGTGTTTGTACGCGATGTAACGTCTCAACTGGTCGAGCCTGAAACCTTTAGCCAGACTGGATCGGAGTATCTCCCACTCTTTGACCTCCAATTGCCCTCGCTTCTTTTCAATTCCCGAAGACCCGACCACTTGCTCAATGTTTGCCATCAGCTCTTGGATGCTCAGCGGGGCCTGCTCTGATGCCAGCGATTCTTGTACACTCATCCTTGCTTTGTTTTCCTCCTCTTTTGGCACTTTAGGTATCCGGCGGTCTCGCGATGGGAGAATCAGTACTTCCGCCGGCTTGCCCAGGGAGTTGACCCCAAGTTTTGCCGTCTTGCTGGGTCGCCATCGTCGATATCGGTAGGATCTGGCTGCGACTGTCTCTGAGTCGTGTGGGTTTGCTGGAGAGTCAATGTTTTGGGTTTGACCTTCATCATGGTGGTCATCGTCCTCGTCCTGTCGGACTTGAACGGCAGCATGGGCCCATCGCCGGCCTGCCTGCGCGGCGGCAGGATGCAAGGGTGCCTCCAGCGGACCTTTGGCCTTTGAGAGTCTTCGCTGGCATCGGAGGCAGATGTAGGACAACCTGGTGGTACGTGCTAACATATAGACGTCGGAGCGAGGGCCATGAAGGTATGAGTATGGCAGGAGTCTAGATACAAGAGTCCAAGCCGGCGGCGAGCATGTATCGCTGCTATTGTAATAGGTGGCAGGCTTCTTACCTAGGTAGTCAAGAGTGATTAAGAATAGTGCCTGGTAAATAGGCGTCGCTGCAACTTCAAATTGATGCTGAACCTGAAGTCGAAGAACAAAAGTTCCACTGGCAGGCCGGGGACCCTGGAGGCTTGGCGATGCGCGACGCTGCACTTGGAAGTCCACTCCTACTACTACTACTACTACTACTACTACTACTACTACTACTACTACTAGTATGCCGCCAGCCTGATGAGCCTCAGCCTCGTCGACATACCTCATCCATCAATACCTAGGCAGCCTCACGTCGCAAAACAGTCCAATGCTCTACGCATGTCATGATACCCCGTTAATAGTCACGCCGACGATCAGACAGGACAGCGGTAGTGTAGACCAAAAAAGCGTTTAATTTAATTCACCCGAACCTGCCAACTGCGTAAATCATCCCTCAGCTCAAATTCGGTATGTTCATGGAACGGCGGTCGACTTTTCCGCCGCTGTTCCTGCTGGCTTGCATGCACCTGTTGATCAATGCTCGATCGTCCACTGACGGCGCTCACCTGTAAGGGTGGTACCTTCGGCGACTCCATGCTCTTCCCCCTCCTATGGCCATTGCTGGCGCTCTGAGGAGTCAGGTGTTGCCGAGGAGTGATTGGCCTGGTGACCTCGTCGCCTGAGCTGCTATGCAGGCCCTCTTCTCGGGGGCTGCTTCTGGATTGCTTGGTTGATTTCGGCGGTGCAGCGATTTGGCCTCCATCACCTCCTGAGAAGATATCCTCGACCAGCTTATCCGGTGGGAGCTCTCCTGCCTGGCAAGCCCATGTAGCGGCCAACGTCCGTCGGTAGATATCCTGGGCCTCGGACAGCTCTCGAGTTTTACTAGTAATGCTGGGGATGTCGTCTCCTTCTCCGACCTCTGCGGACAGAACTTCGGCAATCCCCCCGATCACCATAGCGGACCTCAGTGGAGGCGCAGTGAAATTTGTGTCGCCCTCGGTCTGTATCATTTTGATTCCAACCTTCAACGTGCTGTTCACCTTGCTATCCTGTAGCAGATATCTCCTCGTGATCGCGCCATCGTCGCCGTCATCGTGCGGGGCACGATTGTTAGTTCCTTCCGGCGGGCGGGCATACTCGGCCAGATTGAGTTTCACACTTCCCAGGTGCACTCGGCCGCCTCGACCACCTTCGCTGAATTCTTGCAAAACCTCAAAATGTAAGGCGCGCTCTTGCAGCATGCCATTCTTGTCGATTGTGAGGCGTACGGGAAAGTCTTTCGTGTAATCCCACGTCGCCTTGTGCTCGACGATGTAGGCTTTATCCGTGCGGCCACGGTGTTCGGCGGCACTAGAAGAGGCGACGTGCCATCTGACGCAGACGGTGCCATAGATGAGGGGGATATTGGTCAGGTCGATGATACGAAGGGTGAGATCGAACTTGGGCTGCATTCACAAACTTCAGTCAGCGCACATGCTCTGTACTCTGTAATCGCGAAGAGGTTGCGACCGTGTGTACCGTACCTTTCGGTTCTTGGGCACTGTGAAGGCGAGGTTGTTCAGCGCTTGCTTTCGCAGCATGATCCTCGCAGGGAGTGCGCAGGGCCCATGATGGAAGAAAGGAGGAACTCACCAAAGGCCTGCATGGCTGCGACGTCACTTTTCAGTGAATTGGGGCAGACACGCTCAGACTCTCTGTGGATTCCATCCAGTTCCGACGTGGTAATTGACGCAGCATTGCGTAGATACCAGATACGTGAGGGAGGGGAGGGATTAAACGGATAGATTGAAAGATAGTGCCAAAAGGAAGTGGGACGCAGAGATAGTTGCGCGCTTAGGCCTAGAAAGGGTTTATGATAGTGATAGAAGAGGGACGCGCGCACTCCGAGTGCCTTTGGGATCGTCCGCGGATGGTTCGGCTGCACGCATCGGTTGGTTGGACGTTGATACTGACAGCTGACAGTTTGATCCATGCGAGTCTGTCACCAATCTGTCTCGTGGAATAGTTTAGTCAGCCGCACAAGCATACAGAGTGAAGATGTCTCCCATTATTTATTCAGATGTCCATTGCAGAGTCCAAATTCGACATACGCTCCCAGGCAGTTGTTCAGTCTACTATCTACTGTTTATTCTAGTAATGTCAAATGTCAAAACCGACCTCCAACAGTCTTGTCAACACTATGGTCTAGAATTTATGCACTTCCTCCTTGGTGTAGCCGAGCTCCTTCAAGATTCCTCCAAGGGAGCCCTGGGTCCAACCAAAGCCTCCTTTGGCGCCCGCAACGCTTTCAGTCATGGCTGGAGGGCCGCTGACTAGCACCTTATTCGCCTTTTGGGGCATCACTTTCTTCAGAATTTCTTTGGTGACGTATCCTTTCTCATAGAGGCCTTCATTCTGGGGCGTGGTGTTGCTGACGGTATAGAGTCGGGTGAATCGGCCAGGATACTTCTTGGCTAGTTCGTCAAAGTCATTCTTGAGCAGAATGTCCTCTTCGGAATTGTTGGCATAGACGAGAGCAATCTTAGTCTTGTCCTCCGGATTGTTGAGAATGGCCTTGGTCAACTGGTATATGGGAGTGATCCCTGATCCTCCAGCAATCAAGGTCATGGTGGAGAACTGATTCGGCTTGTAGTCGAATTCATGCAACGGCTTGAACAGCAGCGTGTCGCCAGGCTGTAACGAGTGCATCTTGCCGGATCCCTTGCCATTGGGATACTTCTTGACCATGAATGTCACGTGGCCGGTTTCGTCTGTGTTCGGTCAGCAAATTCCTTCATCGAAGCCGCAACGAGAGACATACCGTTCCCACTGACGGGAGTGTACGGTCTGAACACGGGAACCCATGCCCCTTCAGGTGTATGTCGAGTGAGGAGAGATGCTGCATGAAGAATCAGTCTCTGGCAGTTGGAGGCATTGTCACGCCAGTGGAACCTACTGATTAGGGGAAGACCAGTAATGGATTGATCGTCCGGCAGGGCAAAGGTGAGTCGTCTGACATTGTGGTTGACCATCTCGGCACTTTCCAGCTTGAGCTCGGTGAAACCCTTCCATTGCACTTTCTTCAGAGCTGCCTGGGAGTCTGAGGGTAAAGACTCGGCATGGACTGTGTTGAAGAAGGACGAGGTAGAATTCCAGTGCTGGTATCCAGCGTAGGCCACACCAGCTCCGGCAGCTGCCAGTCCGGCCGCCTTGACCGAAGGACGAAGATATGCAGCCATCTGGACTCAAATGTGTTGAATGAACGATGAAAATAGGTACACAATTCTGTGCGTGGGTACCGTTTAGGACAATCTGACCAGGACGTTTCGACAAACAGGGCTCAACGAAGAAGACAGAGAGAGAATAACACAAACAACGCAGCCAACGAACGGGCTGACCTTGATAGAAAGATCGTATAGAGTACAAGATCTGGATGGTGGTAGAGAAGTAATAAGACCATCCAACCAAAAAGCATACGTTCATCAGCTCACAGGCAGCTCAAGAAGAAGCCACCATCAACACTCCGGAGTTAGTGCCAATGTGAAACTGACTCGCCTAATCGGGTCCAGGATCGGGGCCCGGAGCATGCCAACCACCGACTTGACAAACTGGACGGGACTCTAAGAGCGGATCAGACCGAGTGGTCTTTACTACCACCTACTAGGTCCCTTGGGAGGTAGGTACTGTAAGATGAGATCCTCTCCAGAATGCACTCCGAGTCTCCAGAAGACGCTGGTTCAGGCACGGCTTCTAAGCCTCCTAGGACACCACCCTTGTTCGTAGGTACAGAGCAGGATGGGCGCTGCATATGTGCACCGGTAGGGCTTAGGACGCTCATCAGGCGATAACTTGTCTCTTATCTCGCCCGCCTAATCCTCGTAGGCGTGCTAGGTGACAGCCTGACAGACTAGTTGGGTGCCCTAAGGCTAAGGTGGCTCCCATTCCGCTTCCAAAAATATCCTACGCTGCCAATCTTCGCCTAAGGCCTGGTCTGGGCCTGGCCTCCTTATTAGCCTACCACCTTTCAAACTGGGTCGCCCTTCAGACGTGCCCAGGGCTGCGATATCAATGGCAGTACGTATCCTCTCTACTAGGTACATACCTATGTCTTGTTGAGATGCCAAAGCATTTTGCTTGGCCTTGCTTGACTGGAGATAAACTACCTAGGTACCTAGTAGGCAGGTAGGAGAATCAAGTGCAGCTCTAGATGGACGCTTCTCTAAGCACAAAAACATTTCAACCCGATGCGTCACTGACCACGAGAAGTTTGTCGAGAATGATAACAATACCACGTGAATCTCTCGTCAGCCCTGCCGTATTGTCGGTCTTTCTCGAGTACATTGCATGCTTTTTCTTGGCTGGTATACGTCCGCATATCTGAAGCAAAGCCATAGAGTTCACCCCGTGGACACCGTGTGTCGATGGCTTCCAGTGAGGTACGTGTGTGGACGGATCGCTGTATGAGGAAGCTATACTCGTCAAACTGGCCGTGAGCTCATGTTGAAAAGAATGCGATAGAGCAGTGCCTTGCATGAACAATACTCCGTGATCTCCAAGTGGCAGATCGAAGTAGCTTGCTTATGGGCTTCTTAGAGAACCATCGCCCGCAATGCCGACTGTACAACCAGACACCGGATGTCTTGACCCGGAATGGCAGTCAATCGACATCTCTGAGAACGCATCTTATATCTGTGCAACTCACCGTGAAAGCTGTGATCCGCAAAGACCTGCTGCACACACGAACGTCACCCATCCATCTCTTGCATTGTGAGTCCGAGCAACAAACATCTCAGATCCGATCCTCCGACATGCAAGGGACTCGTCAAACGCTTGCTGCTCGCTGGATGATGCTGCTCCGCTCAGCTGACGTAGCGATAGGCGCCGGTGCGGTGGGACACGAGGTGAAGAAGTCATCACCAAGTGCTATCACTGATGTCGAATCTGATACTCTAGAACATGACACTGGAGAGGGTCAGTGGTGCTGTAGCCGCTCGGAGATGCGCACAACAGAACTTGACAGAAACGAAACACTCTTTCGGTTCCGCACTCGTCGAGCGATGCAGCGGCTCCAAGATTTCCTGTTTGATGCCTGTCAGCAAAGGAAAGAGTGAGCTTGGTCAAAGTCCAGCGTGTACTGAGGGAGAGGGTTGTGTGCGAAATGTACAGCAGGTATGCAGCTGAAGTGAGATGCGTAAACTTGAAGCGTCGGGCGAGCCCGAAGCCAACTTGAACTTCAAGCTGAACTGCAGAGATCGGCCCTCAGCTTGACAGGCCAGGCCAGCACAGCCACAAAAGCGGCGGGCTTGACGAAGAGAATCGCCCACAGCCACGTTCTCTGCCCCCAAGAATGGAAACAAAGGCACCCACAGTCCCACCGTGACACTGACACGACTGCGCAACTCGGTCCCCGGTCTTAAGCGTTGTCGACCTACCTCATCCATCGTCGTCACCATCATCACTGTTGAGGCCATGCTCGTTGAAACATGCAGCACATGGATCGGACACCATCTTCGGCGGTTGTCGACGCCAGACGAAATAGGTTTGCATGCACACTACTCATCACATGATGCTAGGCGTTGCGAAGTCTGGAGGTCTGCTGTCCAATGAGTGGGCATAGCAGGGATCTTCGCCTGGTGTGCCACACCTATGTCCACCTCCAGCGACCAATATGTTTCCAGAAGTGCCTTCCGACGAGGATCACCTCACTTCGCTCCCGCCAGCTAACTCGGGCGGGTTTGCAACGAAGGGTGGCCACATGCGAGCGACTGGTCATGCTGTCTTTGCCATCTCCAAGTCATCAAACACCCAACCTGGGCAACCGTCCTAGGATTGGTCTATTGTGTACACGGGCTCAGATTTCTTTGAACTCCAGCACCATCTCCTTCTTTTTCGACCCGGAGTACCAGAATCTCTTGAAACGTGCGAGTCGTACCACTTTCTCGGGTCTGCAAATGGCATTGTCGATCCTCATGACTCCCCCTACGTTTCGAGACAGCGGCAAGCCAGCTGAAATGGACGGAATCGGTAGACTTTGGGATGCTTCTACCAATGCGCCAACACCATGGAAGGAAGAGGTCACCCCTTCCTCGGTCTCCAACAATGACAGATGCTGCTATGAGAAGAGTGTAGTTTCAGTTATTCAGGAGGGCTGTAGGCTGTTGCCCTCTTGGAGTTCTTCGGCGGCCTGATTCAACAGCTTTTGAGTCCCAGGAAGCCTGGCTGGGGATCGTCCCAACCTTGCCCTTGCATTTACGAGCAATACCAGATGACAGGGACTAGAGCATGTGGATCTCCAAACTGGTCATAACTCCCGGATATTTGTTCTTCTGGAAGAGACCTTTACCGTAGGCCACGCTTCCTTCGGGCATAGCCGTGGGCAAAACGGGCAGGCTGGAGGGCTGGAGGGCTGAAGTGCATTGATAGGAACGCCACTCGCGATTGGAGGCCCAGGATCTACTGGAGGTCGATCGTGAAGGCGCAGAGTACAACGCTGGTCAATTTGCACAAAAGCAGGTGAATCGCCGGATTTCGATCGAGACTTATATTGGCAATCATCACAGAGTGCGCCTCAGCCGGATGTAGATGATTTCGAGAAAATTCGGCTCCGATGGGTGGCCACCAGTGAGCGGTCTAGGATGAACAGGACAGACAAGGAACGAGACTTAGGCTCCTGAGGCTCCTGAGGCCCTGATCTTGCATATGCAGGTTAATTCTGTTTCTGGTGTTGCGTTGCAGCTGCAGAAGAACAGTTAGGGAAACCGGCTGAGGTGGAACATGTAACAGCCGTATCGTCAAGCAGCCAGTGAAGTGGCCGACTTGGAAGACTTGCTCAGCAGGAAAGTTGTCGAGCGTGCAGTAGCGCAGATGCAAGGTGTGTATGTAGCGCAGGAATTGTGTAAGTTTACGATGGCGCGCAGGACGAGGAGATACAGGCGAAGAAATAGCAGCAGGAGTAGGAGTAGGTACGTATGAGTAGATGGGAACAAGGATAATGAGAGGATCAGGTTGTGGACGATGGCGCAGGCGCAGCGCAGGGAACAAGGCGAGGCCGAAGCAAAGCGAACGACAAAAACGCAGGCGATGATGATGATGACTACCACGTTAATACGACTACTTCCTGCCTGCGTACTAGTACCTTGGTTTAGAAGGTTCCTACTACGACGTAGTACTACACACAGTACTGACTCAATTCGCCTGCGCCGACAGAGCCACAGCTTTTGCCTCCTCCGCCTCCCCTCCACATTCATCCCTCTCTTCCCACCTCAAGATACTAGACCGGTGCTGTGTACTCCTACTTCGGCTACCTATGTTCTCAGCTGTGCAGTGTCGTCTGCACGAGCATGTCACCACTCCTCCCGCTGACTCCGCCATGTCCTGCTTCTTCCGCCCGCCACAGACCTGGTCCGCTCAGACTTCCCAGGTGCGAGTCCGCATACCGCAGCCATCCACCTCGACCGGGCTCCATCCAACTGCATATCGCCTACTGCGCCTGACCGGCCAGGTCCCATCTTTAGCTCTCCCACCCTCAACCTATCACTTCTTCCCATGACCTCTTTTCCTCTCTTCCTCTCGATATAAGGTACGGCTCTCTCCTCCTTCGACTCTCTCCTTGCCCTTTTCGTCAATCCCCGCCTAGCCCGCCCGCCCTCCTCTCTCCTTCGCCTCATCTTTTCATCAACACCTCGCTCCCGACACCTTCGCATTACACGGCGCGCAGACAAGATCTTTCGTTGGACCGCCGGGACCAGGCCTCTATCATTTTGACCAAGCTTCTATTTTACCGTTCTCTCTTTATATTGTCTCCTCTTCGCTTCTGGCTGTCAGCCCTCTCCATATTGTCCCCCGAATGTTCCGGTTCAAATCCATTCGTACCCAGCGTATCCAACGACTCACTCAGGAGAATAACTCATAATGCCGACGGTATTACTACCTGCCTCTGCGGCGGCCTTTGCGCCACGATCGACGTGCAACGTCGTCCTCAACACCAAGGTCGAGCCCTGGTTGACTGCTACCCTCAAAAGAATCAACAAGATCAAACGGCCACTGAACAGCGTTCCTCAACATACGCGATGTCTGACCGAAGCTTTGTCCTCGTCCAACGCCATCTGGTCGCTATGTTCCATTATGGTGCCTAAAGCGCCCGAGACAGAATTGCGGAAAGACTCCAATCCGCTGGTGGAGGCGCTGTTCAACTATCAACTAATTCACATCGAGGCGTACGTGGTGCACGTCGACATGGTGTCCCAGAATGAGGTTGCCTTCAAACTGACGACAGACACGATCGAGTCGCTGGTCGAGTATCACAAGGAAGTCTTCTCCATCGACACGGCTGCCAACACCTGGACGTGGTCCGAGAAGGAGCAACAGCTCAAGAAACTGCATGAAGTATTTGTCCAGGCTGCCAACAAGTTTGTCTACCGAACGAGTGCCCTTGTTCTCGAGGGGATGGAGGAAGAAGGTGCAGGCGAGCTGCTATGTGGTCGAAGCGATGAAGTTCGTGCAGCCATCATGAGCCTTTACGTGCCTCTTCTCCCTCCTCCTCCAAGGATTGTGGATGTCATCCGGCCTACTCCTCTCCTGCCGAGCTCGACAGGAATTGATCAGTGGTGGCCATCCCAGCCCCTGCCAGCTATGCCATCAGGCCACGTCGACGCGTGGAAGATTGTCCCATCGAGCCCGAGCCCGGTCTCTTCTTGTGATTCCGGTCACAACATTTGGTCGGGTGTAGGTGTCACCGAGGTACAACTGCCGTCTCCTACTCCTTCCTTCAGTCAACCATACTCTTCGGCCACGTACAGTGTTTCACATTACTACAGTGCTCCGACATACGGCACTCCCACCACAGTCTCCTCGTATCAGGCCCTTCCTCTTCCCAGCATGTTGACTCAACAACCCTGCAGTACATCTGCAACTCTGAACACGTATGGCTGGGACCGATATCAGGAATATACAATGCCCTACGCAACGGCCATGTGATGGATGAAGAGCGGAGTTGATCAACGTCAAACAGAACGGTTATTGAGGTGGCACGCACTTGAAATGTGAACCCAGACCGTGGTCGACCGGTCGACAGAAGAAGATGGCAAAGGCGGGTACTAAAATCTTTAGCATTTGCATACGGAGTTGATTCGATCGAGCTTTAGCGACACAAAGGATACCACTCTGCATTGATACGGGACATGGGGATAATATGGCGGGACACGGTTGATTTCAGCAAGCGTTGTGCATTTTGTTATGTTTCGTTTGTGTGCTTGTTTGATTTGTGCAATACTACAGCGGCAGGTCGGCTGGTTGGAATACATGATATCCCTGGGTTGGATACAGTCCCACAGTTTTGCAAGATCGGAATGCCTCGCGGCAGATTTGCAGGTGCGGGATACATGCTGGGATTTCCATTTTGCCACGCCGGGGCGCCGTCACATCTTGCATACCCTGAGGCCAGTCCTTAAGGGTGTAGGGTGTCGTCGCCTGTCCGTTTCTGGCTATGCTGCCCGCTGGTTGGAGGCATACCGGATTGGCCAACGGCAAACGTGGCATGGTATTACATCTGGTCATGTAATGCCTGCTGCCTTACCGCACAACATATGTTTTGGAAGATCACAAAGAGACTGCTCGCCGTCGTCACGTCGATTCTCATGCCTGAGGCAGAGGCGACAACCATTCAGGTCCGTGACATGATTGGAGCGACGGTGAAAGGACTCCTGTGACGACCCATCACATCATGGCGAGTGTGGTTTATAGGGTCATCTCCTATATCTTCGGCCTGGTGTCGAAGAAGCCTTGGATCCACCGAGTGGAAAAGGAATCAGATGCAGGTGCTTGAGGGCAATTGCCCGATACATAAAGATAATTTAAAACAAATGCAAATATCTTCAGCCCTTCACTCTGCTCGACCGTCATTCTCTGGAGATCTCACTGGGTACCTGAGATCTCCCCCGGTGGTACTTCCAGTGACAGGATCTGGAGTAGTATGGAGACGGGAAGGTTAAAGGGGCTGAGGGGATTATTTAGTGATACTATGTACATAATACCTAGTCTGAGGTAGCTAGTATGTTGCACATTTTAGTAGTACACAGATAGATAGATAAGATAGGGTGGGTAAGGTATCTTATTAGTGGGCAGCCTCATCGAAAAAAGCCGCGGAACAGACGGTGACGTGCAGATGACGATAGTGAGACGACACACGCAGATTCCCGAGATCCCAGCGCTTCCGAGAGCCAACTTCCCTTCTACAGAGTAATGCCCCCAAGGTCCATTGACTCACTGCTGCAGCATCACCCACCAACAGCTTCGAATATTATTCACTTATTATTCACCACTGTCAGTGGCTCAGTCATCACGTCTATCCTCGTCTCAGCAAGTCTCCCTCAATAATGAATTAATGACCCTCAGTGCCAGCTGGGCATACGTCTCCGCCGCAGTCAACATACTCCATCCGGCCCCTCCACCACCACCATGTCCGCACTTTGAATCACCCACATTCCTCGACGTAAGAACCGGTTGCCGTGTGGAAGACAGAAAGGAAGGTCCTTTCTGTCATGGCCGACCTCCACTTGGCTCTAAAGGCACTCGCCCCGTGCAATTTCTCCGACATCCCGCAGCAACCGCAGGAGCTCGATCAATACCTGGCCGACCTCTTCGAACACGCGCAGTGTGTTGTCGAATCTGTACCTATTGCCGACCCCGATCCTTCACTTCGTCGGAATACTCCAGAAGGGACCGGCTTTGTCGCAAGCAGTGCTTCGGAGGTCATCACCTCTTCTGTTAGAGGCCCTCCGCCGGCCCCCGAATACGCAGCGCTTCAAAAGCAATGGGGAAAACAGATAAAGCTCGCCCCGAAAGAAAATCCCCTGGGCATATCTGTCTATAAACTTGGCGGTAAAGATGGGAAAGGGGCCTGGTTTGCCCGGAGAAGTGTGCATGAGGGGCTAGGATTCAGTCGTTTCAAGCGGGCATTTGAACGAGAATTTCCCACCTCACTGGATGTAAAAGGCCCGCCAGGTGAAGGGAACATCAGAGGGATCGGGGCGGAGAACAAGGTGGAAGAGATTACCGTGCCAAACCGGGGGAAACTAGAGGTCTACCAACTCAGCGCCCAATTCCCGGGTCCGACGACACCAAGGGATTTTGTCACACTGCTTGTTACCTCCTCCAAAGCCATCAAACTGCATGGCGAGGCTCAGAAGGTTCCTGAACTGGCACCACGACATTACATGATAGTTTCCAAACCTTGCAATCACCCCAAGACGCAACCTCGAGATGGATTCATCCGTGGTCAGTATGAGTCCGTCGAATTCATTCGGGAGATTCCTAGGAAGCTAAAGACCACAACTTCTTCCACGGACGTTTCGCGGCCCAGCCACGACCGAGCATCATCGCCATCGGGACACTCGATGGGTTCTGCCTCGCATCAAGACGACCACCGACATGACAAGAAACATTTGAGATTTCACGATCAGGGCTCGGTCAACAGAGAATTGTCTCCTGCAGGCAGGAAGAGAAGTGCCACTGTCGGTGTTCCAGGCAGCCCAATCAAAGGCAAAGATCAAGGTGAACACTACGATCCCGAACAAAACCCCGTCGAATGGATCATGGTCACCCGTAGTGACCCTGGTGGTAGTGTGCCACGATTCATGGTTGAAAGAGGTACTCCTGGAAGCATCTGCGGGGACGCTGTGAAGTTCTTGGATTGGGCTTGTCAGCGCGAGGATGACGAAGAACCTCTGGAAAGGTCCGAATCGAGACCGGCTGGCCATCGGCGCGAAAGCTTTCCGAGCTGGGAAGCCAATGGTACTCTTGCCGGGATTAGGGAGAATGAGGAGAACATGTCGGCCGTTGCTCACGATCAGTCGCTACCATCAAACCCCAAAGCAACGTCAGAAGAGTCCATCCCGTCCTCACAACAATCATCGATGGCATCACCTTCGCATCTGCTGGAAACCGTCGCAGAAACTATTGGCGCTTATACTCCTCAGGTCATCCGTGACCACCTCCCGAACGCAATTCCGGCGGATAGCTCTACATCTGGACCAGATCAACCCCATAGGAAGTCCGGCGCTACAAGACAAGATGTTTCACAGGGGGATACCCTCGCCAGAGACAACGACGCAGCCTCTACTATTTCGACCACATCTTTCGCATCTGCTGATTCACATATCAGCTCCCATAGATCACGTTCGATGTCCTCCAGATCCTTGTCTGACCCAGCAGAAAGCCAACTTCTGCAGCAACATGACAAGGAAATCGCGAAACTTGCGGAACGCAAAGCTAGCCTCGAAGCGAAATTGGCCGAGCAGAAGAAAAAGATAACCGGTCAAGCCCACAAAGAGACAGAGAAAGAGCAACAAGCTTTGAAGAAAGCCGAGGAGAAGCATGAACGCGAGGTCAAGAAACAAGAAGAGAAGTTTCGGAAAGAGCTCGCCAAGTTGGAGGCAAAGAAGAAAAAAGAAGCCAAGAAGCTGGAGGAAAAGAAGCGGAAACAAATCGAAAAGGATGAAAAGGTCCGTCTGACCCGCGAAAGAGACGAGGCCAAAGCGGAGCTTGAGCTGTTGAAGAAGGAGCAGGAGATCTACATCCGTCAGATCGGCGAGCTACAGAAGGAGAACACCATGCTGACAGCGCGGATTGGCAAGCTTGAGGGTAGTAGGACATCTATTGACAGCCCTTCCGGTGGGAGCCAACGAGTGCGGGCGATGACACTGGGACAGGAAACGCCGAGTCGGAGCTCGAGTCTTCTGGGTCGGAAAAAGAAGAGCAACAATGACAATGACAACCATACCAACAAGGCAGATCTGAGCAGCGAAGGTGGATGACAGATGCATGATGTGAACAAGAGATCTATGGACCTTCCGAGATAGAAAAAAGTTTCCCGCAGGACGGCCAAGGCGTGGTGTTTCGCCTTGTACAGAAGTGTGGCCCGTCGGTATTGCTGTCTTTGGGGCATGGTCTGCAGCGTACTGCGCGATAGAGCGCACTGGTGACTGCTGCATATACTTTGCAGTCAATGAATGATGCTCGTCCAAAGTGTTTGATATGGAAATATTCCTTTCCTGCTTCCTCCTTCCTGCCTCCTGCCTTTGCCTCCATACAGCAGGATGTCATGCGCCCAAACGACCGCCCCGATGTACCCATATGCGTAAGTAGAAATACGAGGGGACCGACTGGTCGACGACGAGGGTGGAAAAGGCTGGAGTTAACGCCGAAGTCCGCTCAAATCGCCGTTTATCATGTACTAAGGTACATAGATAAATGCTTCCATATTAGGCGACAATCGAGGTTGGAGGAACCCTACCCCTCTCAGCGAAATGCACATTGCCGTTGGTATCTCTACGGACATCGTGCCGCAGGTCAGTCCAGCAGTATGATGGGATTGTGATCGATTGATCTTCTGCTCCTCGACGCATGAAAATGCGCGGGATACTAGTGCGAGCCCACCTTCTCGCCAAAGTCCTACGGATGATAATGACCACAGATAGGTTATCACGGACGTGGCCACTCACCCCTCCCCCTCTAGGTGCGCCCTAATACATGCCCGTTGAAAGATAGATAGGAGAACGTTTGATGCTGTTCACAATGGTGTCTCTCAGTATCCATCACACGCGAATGCAACGCCCGCCGTGACCCTGCAAGATGCCTTTACCGCACGACAACCCCATGCCATCTTACTGGCTTTCCTTCCCGTCGGACCTCTCGAAACACCGAACGACTGAGGAGCTTCCGCAAGAAGCGGACGTGGTGGTCATAGGCTCAGGGTATTCCGGAGCCGCGACAGCGTACAATCTATTACAAAAAGATGGCGGCAAGAAGCCTACAGTGGTGATACTGGAAGCTCGCGACGCGTGCTCCGGAGCCACGGGCAGGAATGGCGGCCATGTCCTCCCGGATCTCTACTTCAACGCGAGTAGTTACGAGAAGAGGTTTGGACCGCGGACGGCCGAGGAACTCACAAGCTTTGAGATGCAGCAGGTCATCGAAGTCAAGAAACTGGTGGACAGGGAACAGATTGACTGCGACTTCGAACTTACCCGCGCCGTTGGCGTCTTCCTGGACAATCGGGTCGCCGCACCGACGATCGCAGCCTACAAGGACATGAAGGCAAGAGGGTATCAATTCCCCGACGATTTACATTTCATTGCGGACCCGAAGAAAGCCGAGCAGGTCTCGGGCGTCAAGGGTGCCTTGGCCGCGTTCTCTCACACGGCCGCCTCAGTCTGGCCGTACAAGATGGTGACACATCTCCTGCGTCGGTGTCTGGGCTGGGGCGCCAACCTGCAAACCCACACACCCGTGCTCTCCATCTCAGACGCGCCCGACGCCGCTGGCCGGTGGAGCGTAAGGACGGCTCGAGGACAGATCAGGGCGAAAAAGGTCGTCGTGGCTGCGAATGCCTACATCCCCAGCCTGCTGCCTGAGTTTGGCGACAAGATTGTCCCCGCCCGAGGCATTGCATGCCGGATCGCAGTGCCCGACGGCGGAAAGCCTGCTCCGCATCTCAACAACTCGTACACTATACGGTATGGGCCACAGGAATACGACTACCTGATCTCCCGAACCGACGGCAGCATCGTGGTGGGAGGGGCCAAGCAGAAGGTGTTGCTGAACGACGCCAACTGGCATAACAACAGTGATGACTCACAATTAATCCCCGGAGCCGCCGAATACTTTGACGGCTACATGCAGCGGCTGTTCCATGGCTGGGAGGATTCCGGTGCCCAAGTCACCCATATCTGGACAGGGATCATGGGCTACTCGTCGGACCTGATGCCGTGGGTCGGCGAATTGCCCGGGAAGCCTGGGATCTATGTCCTGGCTGGGTTTACGGGTCATGGCATGCCTCGCATTCTGGGCTGTGCCACCGCCATCGCATCTCTTGTGCGCGGCGATGTACAGTACTTGAGCGAGACCAAGATTCCTCCACCGTTCTGGATCACCAAGGACAGACTGCGCATGAAGAACAATATCGCCCGAGAATATATGGCTGGTTCGCGGCCTTCACTGTGAGGACATCTGCCTGCGCAGCAGCACATTCTATTGGAAGAAAAGAACAAAGTCTCCAGCTATTCGGCTGGGATTGTGCCGAAGGGTCAGGTATTTTTATAAAGCAGCTCCAGACTGGCGGAGACCCAGTACGTGGCTAAGGCATTTAGGGCCTGTTTGGTATTGCCCTTCAACCAATGAAACAGAGATTTACTCCACTTATTTACGACACTACTCACCTTATCGCGATAGCGTTATCGTGTTATCCACTCATTTGGAAACGGCGTATTGAACGCGCAATCCTGGGAAACACCTTTAGGTATATAACACTTCAGCCCTCCTGTCTATCTCGTCGCCGTCGACTTGATACTCACGGTGAGGCCGCCCTGTTTTGTTTCCGTACTGCTTTGTGCGAACCCCACCCAACCATGGTCCCAGTCCCAACCGTCATCCGCATCGAAGGTAGCGCCACGATCAGCACCCTCGCCGAACGAGCGGCTCTGGTAGTCCAGATCTCCGATTCGGGATACGACAAGGACCAGGTGTCCAAGAATGTCCTCGACACGGTCACCAATCTCCAAGCACAACTCGACAGTCTTTGTCCCCGCCTTGACAACGGAGAGGGAGATATCTCCCCGACGGCCCCCGTGAGCTTCTACTCCATCTCGTCGCTGTCCACGTCGAGCCGGAACCAACGTGACGACGATCCGGACGATTACAGCTACGACGACATCGGCCCCAGCGCCGCCAACAAACGCCCTCACAGAGAGGTCTTCACCGCCCGGACGAGCGTCGACATCCGCTTCCGAGACTTTGTCAAGCTCGGCGAACTGGTCGCCCAGCTCTCGTCCACCCCCTACGTCAATATCACCGGTGTCACGTGGAAACTGACCGACGACACGCAAGACGCTCTGGCCGACCAGGCTCGCATGAACGCCCTCCGTCAAACCATCCGGCGCGCGAACAGTTATGCCGAAGTCATTGGCCGCACGGCCTCCGTCGTGCCCGTCAAGATCGAGGATGCCTCGCAGTACCGCCCCACTGGCCGCATCAAGCAGACGGCGCGCAAGGCCGCTGCGCCCATGTCTGTGGGTGGAGGCATTGATTTCGAACCGCAGACGATGGACGTCACCGCTACGCTGGATGTGGAGTTTCACGCAGAATGAAATCGTGCATGTTGCTTGGTTGGACCTGATATTGGTTGTTCCCGATGTTGGATTTAGGACGACATCGGACGCCGAACGTCTGGAATTAAGTTCGTCATAACTGGGAGAAGCAGAATTTCTTCTCAATACGCAATACTCTCTATTGACGACAAGTTGTGTCCTAGTACTGGATTGTTGAACGCTGAATGTCTTAAGACTAAGTTCGTCAGGATTGGGCTGCAGGTTGCGCCAATGTTGGGCTCTTGTTCCAATGATGTCCATGGAACCAGCCGCCGAGGACTTCAAAAATTGTACCAATGAAACCTTGACTCCGTTCTCGAAATCACCTTCTCCGGTCCTTTTGCAGGGGCTGAAATACCTGTCTTTTCCTCCTCTCCCCCTTATTCTTCGGTTCTTGTTTCCCGATATACGTTCCGGTAGGCGACGATGTCTTGATCTTGTCTCCAAATTCTTCCCGGTATTGTCTGCGCACCTGTTGAAGAAGACAAGAGACTCGAGCAAAGATTATGCCTCGAACCCTTGGTGCCAGACATGCAGCTCACTCGGTCGATGTCACAAAAGTAAAACGACAAAGACCAGGAGCCCAGCAGGCCAAACTCCGGACGGACCTCGTATCCTTAAAAACAAAAGCGCATCGCAAGAGGCAAGAGGGAGAAAGCCAGGAGCAACGGGGTTGTTATCGTGACATCGAACACATAGATTCAAATTGTCTGAGCCACGACTATTCACACACGGGGAGGGTTGTTTGTTCTCATGCCCTTTGGGAAAAGTTGACACCTCACAATCCAAGATCCAATGTCTGCCGGCTGGCACAACTGCATAACGAGATCTTGCAAACTAGTCTGCCCCTTTCAAACCGGCTTCCAGTCGAAAAGCAAATGCGTGCACGACTGCCGTGCGAGATCGACCTGGCTTACATCAATCCAGAATGATCACGTACCCGTTTTCCCACGAGCTTGGACTGGACTGCATTATTTCAAGACCCTTTGCACATGTACAGGCCAGGCAACTCCGGCCTCGATCAATCACCGTATACTTTGACTTGAACACTGGTTGCCGTACGTCTAGAGCTCCACGGCCACCGGATGCGTGTCGCAAGGCGGCTTTCACGAACAAGCTGTAAGCTCGTCTTCCCCACGTAGAAAGGACACGTATGACATGCGGTTTCGTGAGAGAAATGGCGGCGGCTATTGTCCGGCAGTATAACATATCCGTCGATCGCGGCTCGGGCGCGCATTGAGGCGTGTTGCAACCGTTCATAAAAAACATCGTGTGCGCTGCTTCGAAAAAAAGCAATGGGTTCAGGGAGTAATTTCCCTTTAGACTGGGCACATAGTAGAAGCTCATGTAGTCTTCGTGGGTTGTTCCCAGCCAGGTACTGTCAGACTCCTCGAACATGTCTTTTGGTGCGCTAAAAGCGCAGGTTGAAAAGTCTTGGTTGGAAACCTTCCCATCGTCGAGCGCGTCAAGAAATCTCGTATTGGCTTCGCATTCAGCGTAGTCGTACGTCTGACCTTCGAAGCGAAGAAGACCGGGATACACGCGTCGGGCACACATGGGACGGCCATCCAGTTCCATGTCCTCTACGAACGAGGAATACGAGACTTGTCCTTTGCTGGACACAATAAGTCTGCCAGGATCGTAGACGTAGGAAACTCCTGTCAGACTCCGCACCGAAGTTTCGATCGATGCCAAATTAGATACGAGCGGATTTGTCAATCCAAGCCGACCTTGCAAATGGCTGATGATGTCGCGTTCCAAACGGAACATACTCTCTCTCCCCCCACTTCTCAAAGTCTCCACAAAGTAGACCTCCATGCAATCGTCGGTGTGCAAATTTTCGAATAATGAGGCAAGAAGAAGCTCTTCGAAAAGTACGGCCACTTTTCGGACTTCGTTGTAATTGCGACCTGTCCAGATGGTCTGGACATCTTGAGAGCTTGGGATGCGCTGCTGGTATTTTGGACCATTACTACTGTCTGGAAGCAGTCTCTCCAGTAGCCGGAGGATCTTGCTAGATTCTGGAAAGACTCTTGCCGGGCAGGCAACGATGAAGTCTCCTTCAATCGCACGTAATCCATCGGCGCGTATCCGATCGGGGAGGTCTCGACTAAGCATCGCCAAGGTGTCTCGGACGTTGTACAGTCCATGGTAGGTTTGCAGATCATGGAGGCGTTTTTGAAAGTACGCCGATGCCTTGACCATCCCTGTCCATGGCTCCAGTGATCCCAATGAGCTCCTATTCTCTTGCAGCAATTTCCCCAGGTTTCCCAGTTTTCTGAAGGTCAAAATGCTAGGTGCGCGCAGGTCGGCTGATGTTGGATACACTTCAACCAGCACTTTGCTCTCGCGATGATGCACATGGACTATCTCCTTGGTCTGTTCTTCGGCGTGTGCAAGGCCTTGCACTGTCGGCTTGACACCAAGGCACCAGTCAACGAAGGCGATGATCCATGTAGCAATACATGCGGGAGTCCGAACGATCAAAAAAGTCGTTTCGCCGATCCTCTCGAGCTCTGCCAATGCACGGATCAAGTCACTGATGACAGAGCCGGGCGGATATGCTGATCGCACAAGCTCCTCGTCGGCCCCGAGCTGTAGCTCGCGGATGGCGTTCGTATACAGTTGGCGTTCAGGCATCGCTGCGAAGTGTGACCTCAGCCCAGAAACATCGGACGTAAGCCAAATGTGCCAGCCTAGGAGGTAGTTGTCGGCGAAACCTGCTCTCATCAACTTCGGCTCCAACTTGCTGAGGAGATCACGGAGTTGGCGTATGGTAGGAAGCAACTGCGACTCCGGTGCTGTCATTCTCATAGCGCCGTGGAGTGCCTGGGCCGCTTTGAACGGGCCCCCCATCGTCAGGAGCGGTGGAACGAGGCCGAGGAATCGACCTATGGCAAAGTCAGCACGCTTGCATCCAGAAAGGTGTTCTGTTTCCATCACCTACAACCAGCATCTGTCGATGCGAGATAATCAGCGCTGTCGCCTGCCGACCACCCAATAACGGCGGCCAGATGCTCGATCACATGAGAGGTATGTCGTGCTTTCCCCAGCTTTTCCACTGTCATACAGACAGATGGACACATGGCCAATGTTGCGCCATATAGTTCGGCAGCACTCAGAGCCAACGCCTGCACATTGTCGCTTGTGGCCGCTCTGATGATTCCAGTGGCAAGAGTGATCGTTTTGGAGGTGGTCGTATCGAGACTCCACGAGAGGTTAACCGGTGGACGATGCTCGTTTGCCATACTGCCACACTACAGCGGGTGGGAAGAGAGGAGGGAAGGAATATGAAGCTCCTCCTGTGTTCAGTGTTCTGATAACAGAAGAAAAAGGCAGTCGGTGACCGCCTTGCGGCTGAAGTGGGTGTACTCTGCCCCGCGGCCCATCCTAGATCCCAGGGGTAGACGAGGCAGCCGAAGCCATGGCTGGGGTCAGCGCCTAAGCCTTCCAGACCAACAGTGATTTTGGAGGCTATGGACCTAGCGCAATACCGGCCTGGTAGATGTCTCGCCGTGAGTGGACTGGACTTGCCAGGGTCGCTCCCTGCAGCCGCCGCACTAGAGCAGCTCTTTCGAAGTTGCACATGATGTCCTTGACTTGATGCCCAAAAGTCCAGCAATGTTTTTCTCGCCTTCATGGTTGAGCTTGTAAGGACCATGCCTGGCATCTTACCAACCTGAACTGCTTGGCCTCTTGGTCACAGGCTCCCGTTGTAAGGATATGCAGTGCTGTTCAGCCTCTCCGTGCTGGTACCGCACTGGGGAGAGAACAACAATGTCATAGACAATGAGCCCTTGGGCCACCAGCAGCTGGTCGAAATTATAGACAAATCGAAGGACTTGAGACGTTCCTGGCGGCGGCGGCCATCACACGTCGTCGCTATAACATTATATTCCGGTCCGGGCCGATGGCTCGATGATTGGGTACCAGTGATGAGTGACTGCTTACCTGTATTTTGTCCCCGGGGTTGTGCCATGCCCCGCTTCCAACAATCGCTTCCAAAAATCGCTTCCTTGACGGTGTCCAGTGATCGAGATCGAGGGTCTGCCTCCCCGTTCCAGATTTCCCGAAAGAAGGGTGGTAGGTCCAGATGTGAGGCGTCTACGATGAGACGGTTGAACGCTACATACAAACCCAATATGTGATATAGTCTCATCTTGAGAGTAGACCGGAGTAGTAAAGCCGTCCTGTGCATTCGCCCGCCAGCCGGCGGCCACACAGGGCTCCGAGCTATACTGGGCCGCAAACGTGATTTGCTTCAGTCATGCTTTGATGATCCACGGCCGATGGTTGATCTTCTTGTCGTCGTGAATTGGTGGTGGATTGGGACCTCCCCATCCGGGCGTGAGAAAGTATACCGCCTATGTTTTTTTGTTATGGTAGCAACCTCAGTGAGCAAGAATGTATGTGTATTCCTCTCTCCTCCCCTGAGGAAGAAGAGGTAAGCAATCTATATGGCCTATGGTACCATGCATGGCATGAGCCAACCACTAACCTAGGAAAGTGGGAGGGTGGCAGGGTGGCAACATTTTTAGTCCTGCCAGCCACAATCTCGAAGCTGTCATACAGGAACAAGTGTCGCGATTCGACGTATGGTTGGGTTTGGCCTGAAGGATATACTGCATACAATGGTGACCCATCCGGCTCAGGGCGAGGGACGGTATGTACAAGGAGGGCCTCCAATTGCGAATCGAGACCCCCTTTCGCCGGACATTCATGAACGAGGAAGTTGATTTCTGTTTTTCCGTTGAAGCTAGGCTCGTTGCCCATCGATTGATTGCACATATAGTCATAGTAGGCCCGCAGATATTAATTACCAGGGCCGAACCCTGAGTCCTGACTCATCCGAGAGCCTGCGAGCACGCCTTTCCAAGCTGGTGGCGCATACAATGAATCATCTCGAAACCAGGCTAATTGCTTGCTTGCCTTTCATTCAAAGACGCTATTCGTTGCCGTACCCGCCTTCTTCCCTTCCTGGTACGTTGCGCTGAGGTCATCATACATCTTCCTGACCCGCTGCAACTCGCCCTTCAGTTTCTCCCTGGCTGCTCCGTCTTCGATAGACTCGATCAAATCCGCGAGAGACTGGGCCTTGAAGAACTTGTTCTGGCGATTGTACAGCGGTTTCTCAGCCAGTGTCTCCTCCGTCTCACCGGGCGCCGGGACCTGGAAGACAGATTTGAGGATATCGATATCATCTAACCCAAAGGCCGTTAATATTGTGATGGGAAAAACGCCGTGAGTACCACGACTCGAGAGGGAAAGATGGAAAGATGGAGTCGCTCAGCAAAAATACCCGCATATGCAGTGGCATTGCTCAAACACCGAAAACTTACATGGAATTGCAAACAGATCTCTACTGTCCTCGTATGTGAACATGTAGTAGAACTCATTGAACCCGGACCAGGTGATCCCACTCAAGCATAACGAACATGGCTCGTGCGTGGCGAAGAAGATGCAGTCCTTCGTCTCAGGCCGGCTGTCCTTGGGGATCTTGAAAAACTGCTGGATGCAATTGATCTCGCCGTGCAGCAGGGGTGATTCTCGCTCGTTGTTGGTCTCGGCGATCACGGTCGATAAGGAGGCTCGGTCGAGGATAGCCGCTCCAAACAGCTTGCAGCCTTGCGACACTTGACGGGCTGTGAGAGGGATAATGTCCTTCTCGGTGGTAGCGAGCAAGGCCGATGCGATCTCTTGGGCTCGTGACATTCTTCCTGCTTCTGGTTTTGGTACTTCTAGTTCACGTTCTTCTGGGGAAGACCTTGGATGATTGAATTATTGAATTACCTGTCACTGCTTGAGTCGTGTCTAGGCTTCGACTTTTTTGGGTGATTTATCTTATATAACTAGACCCCAATTTCAACCAGGACTTGCTTCTTGAAGTCTGGGTTTTCTTCCTGTCGTACCTTTGCTTCGTTGATGTGATAAGGGGTTTGACCAATGAGACGTCTTGTCAAGGCAGCTTTTGTACCTAGTTTAGGAGTTCGCCGACCTGCGTCGCTGACACGCATTGTGGAGTGTGTCCTGACCTTATTGGAGGAGGTGGCTCAGAGCATCCACTTCAGTGCCAAGTTCGTACGACACCAAGTTCGGATATTTATTAGTCCATCCCGCTTATACGACTTCCCGTACTTACTCGTACTATCGTCGCTATATCGTATTCTAATGAATAGTCGTTACTCTGCTCGTTACTCCGCTCGTTACTCTGCTTATATAACGACGACGATAAGAGTTCCTAATAACTTGAATTTATCGTACGGGGAAGGGGATGACTAATATTTGACGTTAGTGTGGTACGAACTTTGGTCCAAGTTGGTGCCCTGAGCCATTCCCTTTAATAAGATCAGAAAGTATCCGGTGTTGTAGTCCAGAACAAGGACCAAGAGCGTACTCATGGACAATCGACCAGTGGCCGCAATAACAGCTGTCCATGGATTCGAAAATTCAGACCTCGTCTGTGCAATGGGCGCACCCACCTCCTTCAAGGGCAACAATGGTCGTCGAGATCATGCACCGAATTGGGCAGTGTCCATGCCTTGAGGTGATCCAAGGAATACAGAGCACAGAATGAGAGCATTGCTTGCAATTCCAGTCACACCCAGGCTCTCTCGATATAGCTAACCTATCCACGAAGAAAGTCGAAGAAAGTCGAAGAAAGTCGTATCTGGAGACCACTATTGAAACTCGCTTCAGAGAGCAAGAGTACGTCCTGAACGGAATCGGAATCGGATGCGTCTTGGAAAGTCTACCTCAGTTCCAGTCTGTCGCACCTGATGACTCTTTCCGAACAGTTCGAGCTTTATGTCGATCCAGACACGTAACAATGGTTCAACGGATACCTAGCCATGGAACGCGGCCAACACCGGCACAAGCACCTAGATCTTATACCCGAAATCGACAGCCACAGCTGGCATCCCCCCAAGAGAAGGCTCGATATCTTGTCGTCAACATTCTTGGATTGCTAGGGTGAGCCACCTATGAAATTCTTATGACTCCGGAGATAATGACAATACTTCTCCAATATTTGTGGCATTGTTAAACTCTACTTACAAAGTGTCCATGGAATGTCCGCACAGTATCCGCACAGTGTCCGCACAGTGTCCGCTGTCAGGATATGGTATGCGAACGCTATAACCTCGTTATAACAGGATCTGGTGTCGAATGCCTTTTTTATTTTGACATCTACATAGTATCCGTACAGTGTCCGCACAATATCCGCACAATATCCGCACACTAACCGTATTGGTCGCCTTTACTCCTATCTCCGAACCAAACCCCGCACGGGGGTTGTGATGTCAGTACCGAAAGAGCACCGAACATGAAGCTACGATAAAGACGCGGAATCCCTGCTTGATATAAAAGCATTATCCCTTGAAAGAATACACTCAAGAGAGTGTAAAGTTGCCTACAAGAATTCCATTTACGTCTCAACGTGCTGCGGGCTTGACGATCTAGACCAGGTTGATTTAATTTGACCCCACGAACACCCCCTATCACAAGATGGCCGAATTCTTCAAACCGGCGCCAGAGCCTCCCACGGAGCTTGGTCGCTACAGAATCCTGTCCTCGACAGCCGGGGTGCGAGTATCGCCTCTGCAGCTTGGTGCCATGAGCATTGGCGAAGCATGGAAAGATGTCTTGGGAAGTATGAATAAGGAGCAATCTTTCCAATTGCTAGATGCATATTTCGAGGTGACCGAGGCCCAGAAGCCCAACTACAGGAGCAAACGTTGACATCAGATCAGGCGGGCGGGAATTTCATCGACACCGCGAACAACTACCAGAACGAGGAATCGGAAAAATGGCTCGGTGAATGGATGGAAGCTCGCGGCAACAGGGATCAAATAGTCCTCGCCACGAAATACACGACCCCGTACCGCAACTATGACATCGGACCGGCAAAACCGAAGGGAGCTCCCCAAACGGTCAACTACAGCGGGAACACGAAGAAGAGTCTCCATCTCAGCGTACGTGACTCGTTGAAGAAGCTGCGCACCGACTACCTCGACCTCGTGTATCTCCATTGGTGGGATCACAGCACCTCGATCGAGGAGGTGATGGATTCGCTGGACATCCTGGTCAAGCAAGGCAAAGTCTTGTATCTCGGCATCTCCGACAGCCCGGCCTGGGTGGTTAGCGCGGCCAACGAGTACGCCAAGTCGCACAACAAGACGCCCTTCAGCGTCTACCAGGGCCGGTGGAACCTCATGCTCCGAGACTTTGAGCGGGAAATCATCCCCATGGCCAGGCACTACGGAATGGCCCTCGCGCCGTGGGACGTGCTGGGCGGCGGCAAGTTCCAGACCAAAAAGGCCATCGAGGAGCGGAAGAAGCGAGGCGAAGGACTTCGTGGGCTCACTGGGCCCGGTGAGCAGATGGAGCTCGAGGCCAAAGTCAGCGAGGCACTCGAACAGGTCGCCTTGGAGCACGGCAACTGCTCCATCACCGCCATTGCATTGGCTTATGTGATGAGTAAGACGATCAATGTCTTCCCCATCGTGGGCGGCCGCAAAGTGGAGCATCTCAAGGACAACATCAAGGCCCTCAGTATCAAGCTGTCGGACAAACAGATCGAACATCTCGAGAGCGTTGTGCCGTTCGATATCGGGTTTCCAAACAATTTCATCGGTCCGGACCCGAAGGTGACTGGTCAACCTAATCCACTGACGGCCACGAGCGCCCAGATTGCGTGGCTACAGGGTCCTAAGGCTATCGGGCGGGAGTAGTTTAGTTGTGTGAACTCGAGTCATACGCTGAGTGGTTTCCCACCCAGTAGTAGAGGTTACTAGTAGTAAGTATCAAGGAAAGAAATAGAAGAAGAGCAGCTCATATGCCCAAAACACCGGCCCGATGACCCCTGCATTACTGGAACTTGGCAGGGTGCCGTAGAGCAACGAAGTCAATAGTGTGATAATACTTACCTCAAAGTATTAGTACTTACCACTACTTTGTAGTAGTCTACCTAGTACTCATACGATCCAGCGACAGTATTTCACCGTGGATTCAAAAGTACCAAGCTGTGTCAGCCGGAGGACGATCAGTGCGCAAGGCTGAAGAGGCAGGGGTTCACACAAACGCCATCATTGGGTGACCACCTTCATTTCACGTCAGGTTGGTTGCACTGCACTAATGCACCAAGGGCTCTCGTGTCCCACTTCGCTCGATTCCTGAGAATGCTCAAGTGACTCCCGGCTGAAAGACACAGGCATGATTCGAACGCCTCACAGCGGGAGAAATGTACCTCGTGGCGAAAATCGACCTAGGTGGTACTTCGGATAGCGTCGGGGCTCAACCACACCAAGCGATGCAGACTGCGAATGAGCTTGTTTATTTAGTAGTACTATTCCTGGTATATCCAGTGGTAACTGCCTGAGAAGCAGGGATGGCGCAAAGGATGAGATTGTAGTGTCTGTATACTACTAGTGGTAGTACTTCGTACTTCCTGTGGACTTTCAGCCCGGCCAGTCGTGGGGGAAAGGGGGGATGGGGGACGGCTGTAGACCGTTGACGCCGCTTTTAAGAAACCCCCACGTTCATATCGGTTCAGACTCCGTGAATTGAGCGACCGGGCCAATCGGTGCGGAAACAACCCTACAGCGCAATGATATAATGTGCACAAGAGGCCTCTCTGCTACCTACCTACCACTCAACTCCCTCCCCAAGTGAGATGAGAAACCGCTGATCTGTTCTACTTCATTCCACATACTGTAGATATACCCCAAGGGATATTTCCGCACCAGTACTTATCAACGGACAGCATGAAGCTCCTCTACCCCACCTCTATCCCCCTCGACACGCAGAGTCTGGAAGGATTCAGCGTGACGCTGCAGCCATACGACGTGAAAAGCCCGATCCCAGAGGAACACACCGACGCCGAGATTCTGGTCGCCTGGACCAACTCGGCAGACAACCTCAAGGACGCTGCGAAACGCCTGACCAAGCTACGCTGGATCCAGGCTCTGGCCGCGGGGCCCAACGACATACTCAATGCCGGGTTCGACACCTCGAAAGTCACCATCACCACGGGCTCAGGGCTCCATGATCGCACCGTGTCCGAACACACGCTGGGCCTGCTGCTGAACGCGGCCCGCCGCTTCTACGAGATGCGCGACTACCAGCTGCAGAACAAATGGCCTGGTCACCTGGGAGGCCCGCAGCCTGATCGGCCCAAAAACGCCTTCACGACGCTGCGGGATGCCAACGTCCTGATCTGGGGGTTCGGCAACATCGCAAAGGCCCTCGCCCCGCATTTGACGGCCTTGGGCGCCGTGGTCCGAGGCGTCGCTCGACACCCCGGAGTGCGCAACGGCATCGAAGTCTACAGCGAAGACAAACTGCCCGAACTGCTGCCTTCGACAGACGCTTTGGTCATGATTCTCCCGGGATCGGAGTCGACGCGCAATGCTCTGAATGCCGAGCGCCTCAAATTGCTTCCGTCGCACGCTTGGGTCGTCAACGTGGGACGGGGAACGTCGGTTGATGAGGCAGCGCTGGTGGAGGCTTTGAAGAAGGGCGAGATCGGCGGTGCTGCCCTCGATGTGTTTGTCAAGGAACCGCTGCCGGAGGATTCGCCGCTGTGGTCGGCACCCAATGTGATCGTGAGCCCGCATGCGGCCGGCGGCCGGCCTCAAGATGCAGAGGTGTTGATTGCGGACAATTTGAGGAGGTTCTTGGCCGGCCAGGCCCTGAAGAATGTCATTTAGAAGGAAATACGAGCACGGACTCAGAAGTAGAAGTAGACTTGAAGTAGTACCATCAGACAGATGATATCTACATCGGCAATCCTAATATTGGGAAGGATGAGTCCTACACAACCAAGTAGTTAGTACTTAGTAGCTTCGAGTCCTAGGCCGATCAAAGTGGATTACTTTGGGCTATGTGCTTGTGCGCTTTACTACAGCTTCGAGCTGTAGGTGGTCAATACTTGTAGGTGTTTAGTACTGGTGGTAGTAATCAACCCCTTGAGCCCTCTGGTAAGAAAGTGGTGACACGCTATAAGTACCCACCCTTGCTCACCCCGGCTGAGGCTGGCGCTGATGCGATTGTGTGACGCCGACCCTTATCACAAGTTAGGTATAAAAGACCAAGGGAAATAATTCAACCCGAGTTAATCCTTCGCTTCTACTCCCTCGGCAACCTCCACTCATCATTATTTGCCGGCCAAATGCTCACATGAAAACACAGTTTTCTGTTCTGGCAAAGGTCGCTTCGCATGTTATGATGTTATCGAGCAAAGAGGGCGTTTGTAGTGGCCATAATGAATGGTCTGGACTGCGAAGCCTGTGAGTTCGCTTTTCGTCAAGTTGTTTCTTTGCGAAGTTCAAGGCTGCAAGTGAGAAATGCAAAGAGGGCGCAGGCGGCAGTGGTCGCGGTTGACCTGCAATTAATTGACCAAGACCAGCGAGCTTCTCTGCGATGCATGGCGTTCTTCGAGACCCAATTACTGTCCACCACGGTATGACCGCTTAAGTATCTAGTAGGTACTTCACATACTCGCATAACGCCTCGTCCATCCTCCAACACCTCACGCTGTCTTCGTCGGCTTCGCTTCGCTTCGCTTCGCTTCCATCCTCTCAGTTTCGCGAAGTGGCGGCCTTATGTGGTTACACGTGTCAGCCGCACTGCAGGAACCTCAATCGAGGAGCTTCTCGCCGCCGACTCCCTCCGCTATGCCTGTGTTGGTGCTGTCTGTTCTGTGCTGCCTTCATCCTCCTGAGGAGATAAGAGACCCTCCTGGTCTCCCTCCACCTTCTACCGCGGGTCTTTCACCATAGCACCCTACTGTTGCGGACTATTCCAAGCTTCCTTCAATTTCAGCATTGCATTGCGTCACTGTCATAATGGATACTAGTACTATGAAAGATGGAGCATCCTTGCCAGATCCACGCGAGAAAGAATCCGCTGAGACTGCCTTCGGTCAGCTGCTGTGGTACCGGATCAGCTGCGACGTACTGACAAGGAATCGTTCAGACATCCAGAAAGGAAAAGCGGAGACAAATCAGCCTCGAAAAGCTGAGTGCGTTGCATTTCCAGAAGTGCCAGGGGAAGAGCCAACAACACAGAGAGACGCCTTCGCATCCTACGGAGAAGATGGCACAACTGCCAGCACCGGTAACTTCGCCTTCCTCACGCAGATTACAAAGTATCTGGGATTGGGTCAGTCTGGATTCATGACTCTGGATCTGGAATGGATGCCTGAGCCGTCCATGGTTGAAAAGCGCGCACGACAACTCATGGAACTGGGCCGGGAACCTGATGGCATTGGCTTCGACTTCAATTTCGAGGTCGACTCGAGTGAGTTGAATCCAATGCTCCAGCTTTGGGAGAAGCGATGGAGTCTGGATTTTCTCCATGACCGGTGGCCTCGATACACTTTTCCAGGCAACCGTCATATTTCTGCCACTTGCCAACACTATATCTCAAACGGTATCGTTTTCGTTCGAAGATCGTACTCAGCAACTAAAATTTCAGCTGGAAGGACCGCAAGGTTCTCTGCCCTGAAGTTTCGACCCACAGACTATCGTATACGCGAACTGAACTTTCGAGACCAAGACTGATCCACTGATTCCTCAAGCCACCATGAGGATAAGCTTGGTCAAAACGGTTGCAACGTCATCATAAAAAGCAATCAGTTTGGGGACCCTGACCCACAAAGAGCCAGTGATCAGTACAGCAACGCGGTCTGTTTGGTTTTCGCTCTTTCGGTGAATGGCAAAGTACGAGAGTTCAAAAAATCCAAAGACTGCTATAGCGAGCACTATCGAATGAAGTGCAACCCCGGAGAAAAGTTCTCCATAACCCCAACACATCCGGTGGAGATAGTTGAGGCATACAGATTGCAACGACTTCCGCATGGATCTAACTGGGAGGAACGTGCCAGCATCACTCAGGGAGATTTCCTTGATTGAGAGAAGAAATTGAGGGCAGAGACGTTTTGGACACTGCCTTTCTCACCAAACCCAACAGATGATCAGCTTGACTTCGTCCTACGAAGAAATCTGGAACACATTCTCTCTGTCTGCAGCAACCCAGTGCCATCGATGCGTGCGCAGGGCAAAAGCACCATCCCCATCGTTCTCACGTGCGGAGATCTTTCAGGTCATCGGCTTGTCACATCAGCAAGCTAGTGAGTTTGAGTAGTGCTCCGAATTCCTATTGCTGACAGATTAAGTTTTGCGTTTCGATTCTTACTCGATATGTTTGTGTATCTCCGAAAGGAGAAGAACAATGCGAAATCAGACAACGGTGGCCGCATGCGCAAACACCTACGTAAAAGGATCGAAGACACGTGCAGAGCGCACTTGGATTGGGTGAAAGGAGCCCGCAGGGCAGACGGTTGTTTCAGAACTGACTATTGGGCTACGGGCAAAGAGATATTGCCGAACGCGACTGGCCAGCCCTCTGCCGAGGCTGCACAAGGAGTGAAAAAGATCGAGTCAACCGGGGGTCCACAAGGCTCAAGGGAAGCCTTAAGAGTCGATGACGCCCCGGACTTGACAGCACTCAGTGATACTCCCTTCCAAATCCTTAAGTTTGGCGCCTTTGCTGCCGTCTTTGACAAAGACAGAGATACTCTTCGCGAGGACCTACGTCCCATTGTTCGTGGTTGGGTGCGACATCTGGACAAGGATAACAAACAAGGCTTCTTCGTATTTTCCCGCGCCAAAGGCATTCCACGTGAAAGCTATCTAAACTACCGCCTGGAGGATCATGTTTGCATATGGGATGCGCTTCAGGTTGTCGTCAAATTGGATTTGAGTGACGAGCTGAAGAAAGGCCCGGAGAATAAAAAGAACAAAATGGACCAGCGGAACCCGGAAGAGGAGGAGTCGGAAGAGGACGAGTCGGAACAGGACGAGTCGGAAGAGGACGAGTCTGAAGAAGAGGAATCTGAAGAGGACGAGTCTGAAGAAGAGGAACCCGAAGAGGAGGAGCCTGAGGAAGAGTCTGAAGAGGGCACACCGGAAAACGACGAGTCTGGAGAGGAAGAGTGGAAAGAAGGAAGGCCTGAAGAGGAGCCCGAAAAGGAGGAGGAGGCGCCGTTGTCGCAGGACTATTCTCCCACCGAGTTCCAAAAGATTGTTCTGCGAAGATTCACCGCCAAGATCCCAGAATCGAAGAAGAGTCTTATTGCTGTTGCACGCTCATGGTCGCAGTTTCGGTTTCTGCTCCGCACCAGAGACACTGCTTTATTTCATGACACTGGTGAGGCATTCTTCAAGCCGTCATCTGCTTTATGGAATGCTACAGTTGTGGCCCAGAAGTACCACATGGAAAATCAAGACTCTGCTTGGGATAGTCCTCTACGCTATGGCCTGGCACTGCTGATGGCAACCGCCGGCCATCAGATCAACAGCAGGTCACCCACAGACATGTTGCGGAGGGCAAAGCTCATCCTATTCCAGAGTTCCTCTGCCGACGGTATATTGGCTGGGATGTTGAATGCGGGGACGTCAGATCCGGAAATCTTTCAGGACGAATCTCGAAGAGACTTTTACTGGCACACTAGTTTTGAAACCCTATACATCATCTGGAAAGTCCGCGAGAAACTCACAAGCGGAGTCATTTCAGATGTCGGCCTCACGAACGAAAGTCTCGAGATTGAACCCAGACTGGAGGCAGAGGCGTTCCTGGACCGCATACACCTGATGAAAAAATCAATATCTGTCAACAACCACATCATCGAACATGATATTGTGGAACTATCAGACGAATGGCTATACAAGTTCCCCGACTTCTTGGATTTCAAACCGAAAAGCAAGGACAAACGTGAATATAATTCCGATGAACTGGAGGAACTCAAAGGGATAATAATTGATGTTCCAAAGACCAAGCGGATGGCTGACGGCGAGAAGCGGTATACGTCTCGGGACTATCTGTCTGATGACAATGACAATGTCATTGTCTTGTCGGGGGTTGCCTTTAAACACAAGCTCGACCAGCGAAGGACCGCCAAAGATGCCAAGAAAAGGCTCATTTGGACACCCCAAGCTGACTCGAAAGTCTTACGAGAGGTCTTCGTCGATGCATCACCGCCAGAGACGGAAGATGACCCAGCCTCGCTGGCGAAATTCCTCATGAGGCACTCCCGAAAAGAAAAGTACTTGGGCGATGACATAACGGCATCCTTGAATGTCTGGAAGACAGATTTCCATTTGTCTTCCTACCAACTCTCGAAGGAGAATGGTCCACGGAAGGGGTTAAGCTTTTTTGGCGACAAACGGATTCGACTGGCTGGCATGGGCTTCCGATTCGTGGGCGATATTTTCGACAGATATTGGACTTGCCATGTGCTTGGGTTTGAGCCAGATGATGATATTCGCCGTGAAAACCCCAAGAAACGTTTTGCGCAACTGATTCAAAACCGCATTCCTGAACACGAGCGATGGATCAACCCCTGGCGGCAGCGAAAAGTGCTTGAGCTAATCCTCTTTGACAGAATGCTGGAGAAGATCATCGACAAATATAGAACAATGCTGAAAGAGGTGATGTGTTTCCTAAAAGACCGCTTGCCACACACAAAGAATGACGCCGCCGCTTCGAGCAGCCCGGATGACTCCTCGTTTTCCGAGGCCATCTCCTTGCCAGAGGTAGGTCTCGCTAACAATCCGAATTGGGATTTGTGGAAACTCTGTCCCTTGTTATGACTCATGCCCGATACTGGATTTCGATTCTAACGAGGAAGCAGATGAAAAGCTACGAATATTTGAAGTTCCGAGACCAGTGGCCCTCGCTCCAGTTTGCCCTGCAGACAATGGAAAAGGACTTGAAGGAAACGCTCGACACGATCGCTTTGTGGAAGACACGTCAACAAGACCGACATCATCAGATTCTGTCCCACGCGTCCAAGCTTTAGGTGATGAAAAGGAACCCGGGCCTGGAAATGAAATCCTCTGTTGGCCTGTCGTTGTCTGGTATGTACTCTTTGGTATATATGCCATCTTGCTTTGTGCTTCCTGGAGAAGAACCATATAAGTAGTAAGCAGCTACGCTTACTACTAGTATAGTAGGTGAGGAGAATCCGGGGTAGTTGGTAGTATCTGCTGCCAATGGCGTAGCGAGCAGTAGAGCGCCGACGTCACTCTTACACTGGTACTGGTTAGTGTGTGTGGATCCTAGAGGCAGGCACGATCAAGAGAAACCTCAAGTCCAGTCCGACTCCACGATGAAAGGATTTTGATTCCGATTATGCTGACAACTTCTACACACATACTATCACAACTTGGAATCCCTCGACATGAATTGCTGCAGTTTGCTGATGCGGTGCCCTCGACTCCCACCGGGCGCCGGCACAATTCGACACCGGCCTGGTGCCTGGCGCGGCGCGGCGCAACTCAACTCCGACAAAGTTGATATATACTTCCTGCGTATGTTGTTGGCGCGACATACATTGAAATATGAAGCAACCCGGTGGCATTCAGTTACCAAGTACATCTAGTGCTAGTACCCTCGATTTTTCGAACCAGCAGATCCTGTGTCTCTCTCTCTCACTACATCCAGCACAACTGAACGGCGACCATGAAGGTCCTCCTAGTCGGAGCAACCGGCAATCTAGGCATCCGCCTCGTCGCAGCGCTCCTCACCCACGACCACAGCGTTGTTGCGTTCGTCCGCTCCCCGAACAAGCTCGAGTCTCTTCTCCCTATCTCCGTATACCGCCAAATCACCGTCGTTCAGGGCGATGCCAAGGACGCAGCTTCAATCAAGAAAGCCATCCTGGACGCCGATTGCGATGCTGTGGTCAATACCGCCGGTTTAGCGGCGTTACCGCCTTGGGGGAAAAGCGACCTGCCAGCCATCTTTCGCGCCGTACTCAACGCCGTACAAGATGCGGGATCGGAGAGAAAGAGACCGTTGCGAACTTGGTTCTTGGGTGGTCTGGGAGTATTATGCTTCCCAGGATCAGAGTCGATGCTTTCCAACTAGTAAGTACTACTACAAACAGCCACGGCTACTACAGAAGCAGCGTTTCCCTACCACCTACAACCCCAGACAGTACGATTCGTCGACCTGTCCAAGTATTTACTACTAAGTAGTACTGTACCACTTTACTGAACAGCCTTACAGTATTCCCATCTACCGCGAACATCGCCAAAACATCCACCTCCTCAAATCTCTCCCACCAAACACAAACACGGTCGATTGGTCTATGCTTTGCCCGGGTACCATGCCCCCCGAGTCCTCGGAGGTCACTGTCCCTACGAAACTTCTGCATGGGAAGCTGATTGCAAACGCAACGACTCCACCATTGTGGCAGGATTCGTGGATGAAGCACATCCCCTTGATCGGGAAGCTGGTTGTGTGCGCCATGAATGCCCCTCGCTATGAGACCACGCTGGAACAGAACGCGGATCTGATCGCTACTGACCTCGAGTCTCACGAGAGCCCGTGGAGTGGGAGGACGGTAGGAGTCATTGATCCCTCAAAGTGAGATGGATCTTTGAAGTTTCACACCATGTACTCTGAGTCCCTCTCAAAGATACCTACCTACCTAACTTACTAAGTACTAAATTTCCTACCGAGTTAAGTATTCCTCGAGTTTGATTCACCTTCTACTAGATAAAGGAGTAACCTAGTAGTATCTAGGTACCTAACTTGAAGTCCTTCCTGCTATCTAGACGCCATATCGAAGCAGTATCGAAGCCGTATCGAAGCCGTATCAAAACAGTATCAACACCCGTATTAGAGCTATACTCTATATATATATATATATATATATATATATATATATATATATATATCAGAACTAGATTAGAACTAGATTAGAACTAGATTAGAACTTACCAAATTTAAGGTTCAATCTAGGTTCGATCTAGGTCTAATCTAAGTAGGCTTAGTCTATCCTAGTACTAAATTAGGGACTAGAGTAGTAGGTTGTTAAAGTTTGAACTAAGTTATCTTCGAGAAAGAGCACTATAGGTACTTAGTAGTACTTAGTAGTTACTACTAGTAATGGGTCTAGTTGTTGAATCAGGATGTCATACTTGATCTAAGTAATGCAAACGAAACTCAATTGATACTAGGTAAGTAGTAGTAGTACCTACTTACTAAATAGGCGGAGCTGGAGATGGTTGAGCATCTCCTCAAACCACTTGCTGAACATGCGCCGACCGGTAAATGATAACTTTGAACAAAACTTAAAATGCTTCATGGACCGCACAAGAAGAAACGAATCCATCACAAACTCAATGACCGTGCCAACGAGGCGGACGCTCAACCCAACAAGTGATGATCATGAAGTTTTCCCCGCGCTTCCCGCGTCCCCATGACTCCAGCTCATAGGACCAGCGGTCGACAAACGTCCAACAACGACGCCTCGGGCTGACTGCAGCGTCAAGCCAGCCAGCGAGCGTGTTCCCCGGGGAGTCCGTCAGTCATCAGATGACGGATTCTTCGCTGCATGCGGGAGGCTCCTTCCAATCATCGGGGACCTCTCTAATTGGCCCATCTGGACATTCGTCGGTTGGTTGCCAAAACTTTTCCAAGCAGCAGAGTGTTTTCTTGAAGTCTTCGTGGTCGTTGATGACCAAGAACTCTCCGTGGGCGACTTCAACCTTGACGTCTTTGACGAAGTCATAGCATTCCCAGGTTGGGCGACAGCAGCGCTTCTCTTGCCGGGGATGGTGCTGGCTGGCGTGGCCGCGCTCGACCCCTGTTTCATTGCGTGCAACAAGTCCGGACTCGTTGCTCGTGGAGCCATGTGCGGCTGTTGTGTTGTACTGCCGGCCTCTGAGATGATGTCTGAAGGCCCGAGCGATGTCGTTGTAGCTTGAGCTGTTCGAAGCTGTCCCGTCACATGCCTTGAGTTTGTCCGGGCGTTCGTAGTTGTTTGTCTCTGAGGGATAGTCTGGTTCGCATTTGAAGTAGCCGGCACGGCAGCAGTCAAAGCCATCTGGCGTCAGTGGAGGGCAGTCCACCAGACTGGCTGATGTGAGTGCGATCAGGTTGCACAGGCAGGTAATGGCCAAAGCCACAAAGGTAGTTTAGTTGGGTGCATGTTTCCGATTGTCGGGGGCTGAGATGCTGATGGCAGGCTCCAATGAAGAAAGATTGTGATAGTCTGAACCGAAAAGGCCACACTGGGCTGACCCTTTTTATAGGCAAGTTGTGTGCATGGAGAAATGGTGGACGTCGTGCAGTTCATTGAACGTTGGGGGAAACTGGTCACCATTTGCAGATCGCTCATGTTGGAACCGTGTCGCTTTAGGCTTTGGCCAGAGCTAGTTTCGGTCGATCACCGGCTTGCCATGTGGACTCGGCTGCTGATTGAAGCGATCTCATTCTCCAATTGTCATGTCGTTTAGTGCAGGTTCGTTGCGTGTCAGGAAGCCGCTGACCATGTGTGGGCGTGTTGTCGTTGACCATGTGGTGATCTGCGGCAGGGACTCGGGCATGTTTGTGAATTCGCGGACTGGTCGAGTGGTAGACTTGGCTTGAGATGGAGGCGGTGGACAAATGCAGGAATGGCGGTACTGAATGCTTCAAAGACAGCGTCGGACAACTCAGCAAACAAGTCTCGTCCTCCCTTCGCCTGGGCAGGCCCAGTCCCAGGCCATCGGCCTGCCTGCCCAGTTTCCGCCGGCGCCGCGTGGAGGCGGAGGACATGCCGGCCTTTTCTTTTTTTCTTTTTTTTCTGGGTAAAGATGGCGTCCAAAAACCAGCCACGACAACCACAACGACCACCACAACCACCTCCCTCAGGCCATCGGCCTAGGAGTACGAGGGCGGCTGCGACCTTGGTGGCGGGTCGTCCTCCCAGGAGTCGCTTGCGACCGTCGGCCGCAAGCTATCGACCTCCAAGAAGGCCCGCCTCTCCAAGGCCGTGCCCACCCCCGGCACCCCGTCGAGCGCCCCCAGCTCCACATCGGGGCCCGGGCCCTGCTGGCCACGGCGCCCCCCCTTCCTCCCCCTGCAGTGGAGGCACAGGGCCACCACCGCCACCACCGCCAGCGAGACGAGCGCCAGCCAACTGCTCCCGAGGAGCACCCAGGCAAGAACCCGAAACAGAACTTCTGTCCTCACCGAAGAGGCCGGGGAAATCACTGGACGTACACCGTTAGCACAAGTCAATTTGGAGTCAAATATGAATGAACTTACCCTCCATGGTGGGGGTGGTGGGAGTCCATCGCCGAAGTCTACCTTAATCGTCAGCTTCAGTTTGATTCTCGGGAGACCGCCTCTTTCACCTACCGGGCGAAAAAACCAAAAAAAAAACGAGCGGAAAAAACACTCGACAAAAAAGAGTCTGCAATATGTCAGCTCTGGAGAGCCCGAAAGGACAGTGAGTATGAAGAAGACTCACGGCAAAAACACAAACACTAAACGAGTGGGCTTGTTTGGTAGCTAGATAGACGAGGGTGTTAGCTATTCCATCCATACAAGAGTCATAGTTGTGAGGGGGGACCGGGGGGAGGAGGGGGGAGGGAAGGCCTCCGAAGGGTGGAATGGTGACAGAGTGACAGTGTGACAGAGTGGAAGTGGTGGAAGTGACAGTGAGAGAGTGACAGTGAGAGAGTGACGGTGAGAGAGTGACAGTGAGAGAGTGACAGTGAGAGAGTGACAGTGAGAGAGTGGAAGTGTTGAAAGGGTGGAAGTGTGCAAGTGTGGACGGTGTTGGAGGTGTTGAAAGGGTGGAACGCACCGATGTCGAGATAATGTATGCTGAAGAGGAAAAAAAAGAAAAAGAAGAGGAAATGAGGGAGCAAACAGCATAGATAAATACCACAGAGGGGAACGCTCTCCAACGGCAACCGCAACAGCAACTGCCATACTACGAGGAAGTCGCCTGTTTGCGTTTTTGTACAAACGGCAGGAACTCGGGAGCCTTGTGGGAAGGACACTCTCAATGGAGGCGGAGGCCGGTGGGATATTGAGGCAGGCGGACCTCAACGTACTTACTGTACACCTGGTGCCCTACTAATGGAGCTGGCCTTCGACTCAGTAGTGGCTGTGCTGTACATTGCAGTTTGTGAGCTTCAATTCATTGGATCCTGTTACAACATTGCTGAATATATTGGAGGGGAATCTAGGTGACGTTACGTAAGCAAGGCTTCGAAGTCAAGGGGGAAATACATCGCAAGTTGATTGGTCAAAGCATCATTGTCCTCGGGCACTGCGAACATAAAAATGAACCGGCATGATTTTGTTTTTCTGTTCGAGAGAGAATAAAGCCTTCCAGGTGGCATATGCGGGGGCACCGATGTTGTAAGAAGAAGCCCCTGCTAATTGTGTTTCTCGCCTGTGATCATGGAGCGAATGTGTTTGTTGACAGTCGTATCATCCCTTCTGATTGTTCTCATATCTGTGACTTTTGCAAAAGCAATGCGGCCGCCACGATCGCTGTGACCTCCTGTGCAAACTGAACACAACAAGACTTTTGATGTCCGGTGCAATCCAAAAACAACCATATGCTGGTACAGAGTAATTCGTATACCCTGAGACGACTGGCCCTCTAGGGACCAGAAACACAATAAAATCAACTATACAGAGCCTCCCCTGGGCTTCGCAATCAGGCAGGTCATCAAGCCTGACACGCTAGGGTCAGTCGTAAGTGGCCCAGACTCAACGATATTCATTCATGAAGTCTCGGTGGAAGTCGATCCATCTGCTGATCCAATCGGTGCCGGGTGGAAGGAAGGTTGTTCGGACGTGGAGCGTGCCAGGTTCCTGACCAAATCCGGATCCAGGAACCACGCAGATACCTGTAGTATCAAGGAGACGGAGGCAGTAGAACACGTCAGGGGCACGATCTGCCTTCTTCGCCGCTTCGATCGCCCTAGGAGACAAATGGATGGTGGGAAAGAGGTACATGGATCCCTGTAGATAAAGTCAACATCTGGTAGAGACGAACGCATCATTGCTAGCATAATCTAGACTTACCTGCGGTTTACCAATTTCTACTCCCTCCATATGCTTGAACGCGTCATATAGTGCATAGGCTCTTTCTCTCAAGCCATTCTTGATGCCATTGTATTCCTCGTCGTAGAGTGCGAAGCTCGGATCGCCCTCCTTGGGCGGGTTCACCACGAGTTCCAGCAGACACTGGCCGATGACAGGCGGACAAAGCATGATGGAGACAAATTTGTAGATCTGGGCCTGAACCTCCGGGTCAAACCCCACGAGCTCAAAGTAGCCAGCTCGGTGTCCGCATTCGCCCACCATACCTTTGGACACCGAGTTGAGCGATGCAAGCTCGACGTTGTCATAGGGTCCGGGCTCTCTTCGTTGCATTTGACGCAGTGCCCGCTTGAAAGGGTGGAATTTTCCAATGAAGACATTCGTTTGGTACACTTCGTCGGCCATGATGACAAGATTCTTCTCCGCGGCAAACTTGATAACATCCTCCACGTCATCTTCGTCCAGAGAGGCACCCGTAGGATTGCCAGGGTTGATGATGACTATGGCACGGACATCTGTACCCTCGCTGACCGCTTTGTCATAAGCCTTCTTAATGATTTCGATGTCGGTGCCCCATGAATGGGATTCTTTCAAGTAGTAGGGTACACAACGGGCGTTCAGGATTTCGAGTGTGGCCGTGTACAGAGGATATTGAGGGATCGGCACCAGCACACCGGTCTCCGGTGTGGCACATATGATGTTCAGGAGCGTGTTCACTCCGGACGAAGCGCCGGCACACAAATAGATGTCATTCCTGTTGGCAGGAAACCCGTCTCGTCGTTCAATGAAATTGGCCACTGACTGCCGTATCCCAGGAGCACCGGCGGATTGTGAGTACGCCCCCACGGAGCCCACCTCTTTAATCAGCCATCGAGCACGGTCTATAGCATCTTGCTTGTAGCCAAAACTCGACTTCAAGGCCTCCTCATTGTCCAACAGTGCAGGGTACTCCAGGAGGGCAAGGACTTCTCTGAAAAAGGTGATGGGCTTCTGGTCGAGTTGTTGGGGATTGCCGATGTTGGCGGGGATGATACTGCTGAAGGGCAACGGGGACTCTGGAGGAGTGGAAGGGCCATCCTGTGTTAACTTGTGACGGTATTCCTCTGACTTGATCGCGAGCTCGCCGCGAACAGCATAATGCGCCCTCTTCACATTTTGGTTGATGTTGTCGATTGTCAGACTGCGCAAGGGAGGAGAGGACGACATGTTGCGGCGGCCTGAAGGAAACTTGAACCTGTAGGGCGAGGAAGGAACTGCAGCAACATAAATGTCAGTCTTATATCGGGCGCAGTCGTGTCGGCAGATGAAAAGTCGGGGCAGAAGCAAACATGGGGGTCATTGAGTCATAAGTCGCGTGCACCATTTGCGGCAGCACAATGCGGTCAGGCCGCAGATGACAAGGGGATTGCTTTTCTTACCTCGAGACTGGGTCGTACGTGAGGAAGAGACGCATGAGCAAAGGGGACCATTGGGCACAAGCGAGTTGCAGGCAATTGCAAGTTCAGAAGAGAGACTCTGAGCTCGCAGTAATACCAACGAAGCCCTCGACGCCTGCGCTGGATGCATTTCTGCGGATGTCAGAAACTGAGGACGGATGGACGCTGCCAGTAGTGGTGGGGGGTTTTGGCCGACTCGGAGCTCGCTACCAGGCGGACTGAGTTGAGGAAGCGCTATCGGAGCTGAGACTTCGAGAGAAACAGAAGTTCTTTTCTCCTCGAGCGAATTGTGGTCAGCAAAAGTGGGTGGGTATGGAAGTTCAAGAAAATCGAATTGACGGAGAGAACAGCACCGCCAATCCAAGCGCAGGAATTGAAGCGCCATCTCCATCTCCATCTCCAGCTCTTTCTCGTCTATCTTATCGCTCTCGATGTGGGGGAAATCTTCCTTTCTTCTGCGGCCCTTCAGTTCACCTTACTGCTCTAGGTAGGTGCTATAGGTGCTCGTTCACATGCTATGCAAGGGGTCCAGGTACCTCCCTCTGTACTTTCGTGAGGGAATTTTCAGGCGACGACCCTGTCAATAATGATCTCACTGATAAGCTACTCTGTCGAAAATCACCTTGAAAATATTTTGTTGTCAGAGTCTGAATACCAGCCCGATGCGTGGCAGTGCGTAGGTGGTACTAGTATTCCTTATTTCTACAGTGTCAAGGTATCTTTCATGCCGCCGTGTGTGCAGCGAGACCACCAACGCCGTACGGTACGCTACTCGTCTGCCCTCGAGATCGACACTTTCGACCAGGTATCTGTCTATTCCACCCTATGCTCGCTCGCTCCCTCGTAACCGCACAGCCTGGCCGTATTTCTGCAGCTTGGTGATAAGCGCATCTCCCTGTTTCACCACATCGGCATATTGCTTATTCTTGTCATCCGGCCGTGTGGTCTCAATGACTCCCTGCACTCGGTCGATGGTGCAGCTCACCCGACCACCCGCAATGAACTTGGCCAGGTCCTTGTCCAAGAAATCCACACTGACTCCGAATGCTTGTGCCATTGTCGCGAGGCCGACCACTCGGTAGGACTGAAGCAGTTGTTGGTAGCCTCGGAGACGCATCTCGCGCACAAACCACGCCCGGTGTTCATAGAGATACCGATCCTGCGTCAAGAAGTTCTCTTCCACCGCAGCCAAGGAGAGGAAGAAGGTGCGGTAATTGCCACTGTACAAGCTGGTGACGAGTCCCGCCAAAGATGTAAAATCCATTGGTGTCTCTGTTTGTGATTCCACCGCTGAGCCCGTACCCAAAGTGGACAGATTTACCAATCCCGAGGCCCGTTCCGCAGTGGTCGCGGAAACGTCTTTCATCTCCTCATCTGCACCCGGTGCCTTCTCTTCCCCATCTCCCAAGATCGCCTTTATCTCCGGGGCATCCACGACTTTCGCCTTGAAATCGACTCGTTTGAGAGCGTTGGATCCGGCCAGAACGGCGTACACGACGAGAGAGGAGTAACTGCAGAGCTCGTAGCTGGTGAATGTAGAGAGGCTGTCAAGTAGTAGAGGGGCGGCGAGGTTGTAGGATCGGATGGTGAGGAGGTGCAGGCCTTTGTACGCCTTTAATCGATTTCTCCGATCCCAATCACCACCACCTTCGACGAGAATGTCTGCACGCTCGACCTGCTTTTTCACGAATGCTTTGTCGTTGAAGAAGAGACCGATCCGTATAATGGCCAGGACAATATCGATTTTGGTTCCTAGCGGACCAGTTTTGTCAAAGACATTCTCGTAGGCTGCGATCGCTTTGTCCTAGGCTCGAAGTCAGTGTCCGTCCGGCCTCACTTGTACTTGTACTATCCGAATACTTGCCTTGTCGCCAATTCGAGCGAAGAACTCGGCACGTTTACTCCGAACCGCTTGTATCTCAGTTTCACCGGCCTTTTCTTCGGCCTCCTCTTCCTCTTTCTGATACGCCTCCAATTCCTTGTCGTTTTCTGCCTTGAGCTCCTCGTACAATGCCTCATCCCAGGGTAGGATGCCTGATGACAGAAGCTTCTTGGATGGCAGCAGATTACTGGAAACGAGAGATGCTCTTCGGGAAGGGGCCTTCAAAGGAGGAATCGCTGGTTGTGCTGTGCTTTCGCCCACGGAGTTGAGGATGCCTTCGGTAGGGTGGGCCAAATGCCTATATAGAGGCGCCATCTTGTGTTCTCTGATCGCATTTTGAAGGTAGTTTAAAGACGTTGTTTGCGACGTCCGGGTCTCAATGCCGAGTGAGAAAATGTGCTGTGCCAGAGAGAGGTCCGGGTATTTGATGAATTGTGAATCTGAGCCCATGATTGGAGTAAGTAGAAAGAGAGAATTAAACGTGTTGAGAAGCAGGACAAGAGGTGAGAATTGGTAGGTAGTTGTCTGTGATGTACTGAACCTGGGGCAACACGCGGTCAAACGCCAGCCTGCTCACTCACTGCACTTCGATGCCAGACGCCAAGTCTGACGATGGGACCTTCGAGAATTTATGATCCACCGGACATCAACTACGGGGGATCATATATCCGTAACCACAACTCCTTTTCGAATTCGACCCTTTTGTTGCTTATCAACTCTTACTTGGAAACACATAGCAGCTTCATGTCACCTTCTGCTTGTGCCTCCTTAAATGGTTGTCATACACGCCTTTGCTATGAAGCACCCGCAGGTGGCAAAGAAGCAGTCAAATGCTACAGCCAAGGTTCGGCCTTTGTGAAGGGACTTTTTGGAACATATGCTCTTGATCCATGACAGTGGCGCTTCAAAATCGAGGCTCATGTGGTAGGTAGTATTCATTGTTTTCGTTACAACGTGGATATCTTATTCTGCCAGTCTCTGGACCACTGTCGCCTTGCATTTGCCATGAGACGCAGGTAGTTTTAACATATCATTTCTGGCTTTCGAAACTAATATATTTCAGTTTGGTTCAATTGCTGCTTTTCTGGTCATGACACATCTCTCTCAATTCCTCTGCTCTGAAAATCCTACATCGGACAGGACATCCAAGACAATGCTTGGACTCCGAGAACGCTCCTCGATCAATGTACAAGCTGCAGTGCAGTCCACAACGTCCCGAGTGCCAATGAGACACTATTCAGTCGTAGTCTACCGTCAAAATCCAACGGCTCGACCCATCCCCGAGAGCATATTTCCGCCCTGCTTTGCGGTACCTGATGCTACATTGGTAGCACCCTGAAAGACTCCTGCGGCTGCATCAGCAGGTGCTGCTGTGCCAGAGATGACGTTGTTGTTGTTGTTGTTGTTGTTGTTGTTGTTGTCCGTTTTGTTGAGTTGGCCTTGTTGGCTTGAGCTCTGCCGTGGAGGAAGTTTAGGCGGCACAGAGGGTGACTTCAGGCCCGACGCTTGTCGAGAAAGGTTCGGCGTCGGGACGGATGTGGGTGGAGTGTCGACGCCCGACGCAGCAGACGGGAGACGTTCGAGCTTTGCAGGAGGGGATTTGACTCCAGACCGAGAGGGGACCTTGTCGAGCTTCGGAAGCGGTGACCTGGCGCCCGACAGGACTCGTTTGAGGCCTGCGGCCGGCGATTTGACGCCTGACGGAATGCTGTCGAGCCTTGTTGGGAGAATGGGAGATTTTAGTCCCGCCTTCTCGGTTTCTGAGGGGCTCTTGTCGAGAATGGGCCGTGAGGCCGACGGCCGTTTCTCGAGTTTCGGTGGCTTAGCCCTTTCTTTCTGATTCTGACCGGCACCGCCGAACCCGAGACTCGGCATGCTGACGTTCGGTAAGTAGGACGCGGCTCGCGAAGTATAGCTCGAACTAGCAGCTCCTGTTCCCGCCCCTGTGTTGGAGGCACCGGCATTGGTTTGGCTGCCCAAGCCTGGAAGGGATGCTTTGCCTCCTAATGAAGAACCGGCTTCTGTGACAGCTTTGCCTGCATCGCCTGCCTTGCTGGTTGCGGTATCAAGACCTTTCTGCGTTGTCTGGCTTGCATTCTGTGCCGTTGTACCTACTGCATCCGAGACTTCTGCGGCGGCGGATTGCACAGGTGCTGGTACTCGATCTTTGGCTTGGTGGATGATGGGCGCGTTGTTGGCGACCTGTTTCGTAGATTGCACCGCCGGGTTGTCCTTCGGGTCGAGCGCGTTCTGCACAGTTGGAGAAAGCGTATCGGAAACGACACCTGCTGTGCTTTTCGCGCCGGATGTCGTGGTGTCGGCCGCGCTGGATGCCATGTCGACAGCCTTTTGCGGTGCAGGGGACTCTGCCTTGGATGCTTGGCTTTTGGTTCTGCCGCCAGTGCCTCTTGACAGCGACGGAATGCTGCCGGGCAAAGATTGGAGATATGACGAGGCTTGCTTGACATAGTTCCTGCCTTGGCCAGTGGCGCCTTCGCCGGCTCTGCTTGCTTGCCCAGCAACATCCTTCGTATCCCCTAGAGACGGTTTCTGTGCTGCACTTGTCGGCGTTGACCGGCTCGCGTATGGCATACTAGGTAGGCTCTTGTACAGTTTGGCAGCATAGCCCTGCGTCGAGTCCTGAGCACCTTGCACTGTCTGACCTGCGACGTTTCCTGCCCGACTAGGATCCTGCGCGGCATTCTGCAGGTTTCCAGCTGATCTTTCGGCTTCTGCAGTGCTGGGAACACTAGGGACGTAGAAGTATTCGATCGCTCTGGTCATCAAGCTCTTCTGCGTCTGGTCTTGAACGGTCTTTTCCAACTCGCTGGCTTCGGCCTCTGCTTCGGCCGCTTCGTCTTCCTTGCCGCCAGTGGATTGACGCCGTAACAACCATTTGCGTTGTGACTGTAGTGATTGTTTCTTCTCCTCTTCCTCCATCTGCAACAGCGACTGATGTTCCTGCTCCACCGCCGCCATATCGATGTCCTCGAAGCCAATCTTCTTGAGGATCGCTCCAATCAAGTACCGGTACTTCTGGTGGCTGTCGACGTCGTCAGACACGTCGAAGTTCTCGATGCCACTCAACCCTTCGACCTTTTGCAGACCCGCAACACCGTATTGGACGGCTGATGTGCGGTACATGAACCCTAGAATGTAATCATTGACCGAGAAGACGTTGACAAGTCTCCCTGCAACGACGCTGCGCAAGACTCGCCAGTCGCTGGTATCGCTAGGCGTAGGAGAGCCGATGAGGACAGCATGCTCGATGATGCCGAACTCTTTCCGTTTCGCCAAACTCATCAAGCACGTGTATATGACACGCGCTCCGAGCGAATAGCCGATGAGAGTGACTGGCCGCTCGCCTTGAGCTCGATTGATCAAAGCGTCAGCGAGCACTTCGCCAGCCTTTTCAGCCCGGCTCTTTGCAACACTGAACGGGTTATCAATGACTCGAGCAACCTTGAGCAAGCCGATGGGCCACAGCGCAGCCGCCAGTTCAGCGAAGATTGTCCGCTGGATGATTTCTTTTTGTGCGTAACCCCAAGCGGCCGACCGAACCATGCCATTCATAGCATTGCCCAGATTCAGCAACGCTTCGAGTTCATACTTCAGAGCAAAGACTTCAGCTCCAGTCCCCATCACGCGCCATGGTTTGACGACCTCTTCTTTCTCTGTCAACCAGCCAGAGATGCCAATCGTGACCCGAAGTTTATGGTCATGTTCACTGGCTTGTTTAGCGCCCTTCTTCTCGTCTTCACTAGTTTTCTTGCTGCTGCTGCCGTGAACAGGAAGAAACTGGAAGTCCTCGACCTCGCGAGCATAATTATCCATCATCTGGCCTGTCATTCTGCCTCCGTAAGCGCCGAAGAGGCCACCAACAACGACACTGCTTCCCGCTACGGTACCCAGGTAGGCGGCGGCAGTGGTGGCCCCGAGCCCAAGACCTCCCATGACAGAGCCAACCCCGGCAGCGACAAGAGGTGCAGCAAGACCGCCGGTCACACCGATAATGGCCGCACCAGCAGCCGTGGCCAGACCGACCTTCCATTTCCTCGACTCTTTGTTCTCATCTGCCTTCTTCTGCCGCTCTTCGTCGGCTGTCATCTCCTTGGCCGCCTCAAGAAGACCTTTTGCGGTGGTGTACTCATCCTGTTCGAATGTCTTGAGGGGTAGCTTCAAGGAGGAGGTCAAATTGAGCATAAGTACACGGGAGTAGGCATTATAGTGTTCCAAAGACAATAATAGGAGCAGTACAGAATGAAGTATCAGTGTTCTTTTGTCCATTGGCATCTTCGTCAACGGCGTCTTCGTTGGAGGAAAGAGATCTCTAAATCTCAAACTGACGATCTTGGCTGGGGCCTCCATGACTTTGGCAGTAGTATTAGTCGTCTGCGGTCTTGCAATGTCGGCTTTGCCAGCATTCTTCTGGACTTGGTCTTTGGCAGTCCGCTCGCTGTTGACGACCTGACCGACTCGGAGGATGACCTGCTCACGCCATTCATCATAGGCCTTCAATGCGTTCTTCTTGAGATTCTTCATCTTCATCGTAGCCAGATCCTTGTCGCCTTCTTCCTTGAGTTTGCGTTCTCGGTCAAAGGCGCCAACATCGGCATTGCCAGGGTCAGCAGCCATCATCTTCTCATCCTCGGTCATGCCTTCGCGCAAAAGAGACTTGTCCAGTCCAGCTGTGGAGTCGAAGTTGTCCAAAATCTGTTTGCGCATTGACTCGGTGATGTTCGCGACGAGTAACGTAAGATCCGCGCGCTGAGCTTCGTCGAGAATGGTGGTAAGATCCATTTCGCCCTTTTTGTTGGCATCGCCCCTGCTGGCTGGTTGAGATTTTCTCCGCTCGGCCATACTGTCTGAGGTAGCTCCAGGCTGAGATCAGATGAATGTTCAGGGCGTGCACCAGGGTCTGGCCAAGCGAGCCGATGAGGCGCAGGCAGAGCCGGGCTCCGGTCAGGTGAGCAGGACCTGGACGAGGACAATTAGGCAAGTAGAGCAACGACGATAGTTGATAATGTCGCGTCAACTGATTGAAGTAAGAAGCGAATAGTGCAATGGACAGAACAATACACACAGTAATGGGCAATGCAAGAAAAGAGGTCGAGGGGTGAAGTCGAGAAGCTGTGGCGGTGCAGGCAAGATTTATGAAGCTGAAGACCGATGACGTATTTGGCAGTTTGCATTGGATCCCTGTTCTTTGCCATGAACATGACATGGAACACCATCATGCATTCTTCTCCTGCCTGCGTCTATTGATGCTGATTGGGAGACCTACATAGCGGGAGAAAAGGCGCAGAAAGCAGTAGTAGTTGCAGGACGTTGACCCAGGACGGTGTTGCAAGGTATCTTCATTCATACATATCATGTGGGATTATTTTTTTGGCTTCACCAGTGTCGCCGAGAAGACTCACCGGCAAGATGGTCTAGTTTCATGCAAGTTCCCTACCAAATGCAAGTGACGAAAAGCCACTCCGATCGCCGTTCCATCTTTAAATGCATTGCAAAGACCGGGGGCAGACAGCCTAGAGAATGGTTCCGAAACTGGATCCGACGTCAGCAAGCTTCTACAACAAGCGTTCCAGCCTTCAGCACTTACCCAAACGTCTGCTTGATGCTGCGCACGTAGTAGCCCTCCCAGTTCCTCTGGACCACCTCTTCTTGGCCCACGGGCACGCCTGTCCAGGTAACCCTCATATTGGTCACTCGATCGACGTCGTTCTGATCAAAGAAGATCTCCTGGGTGCTCATATGTCCCTCCGGCCACTGTGCCAGCCTCCACTTCTGCACAATCTTCTTCGGCGGTTCTAAGGTGACGAACTCTCCTGAGACGTTGCCATCGAAGATGGAAAACTTCCCGCCCGGTTTTGCCCCTTCAAAGACCCGAGGAGGAGCACGCGTAAAGGCGGCAAGTCGTTGAGGGTCGGTGAATGTCTGGAACAACTCTTCAGCGGTTGTGCGGAACTCATCGGTTGCCGTCACAGTGGTTGTGTTGACGACGGATGTCTTGCCGGAAGAGGAGGAGGTGGTGGTAGTGGTGGTAGTGGTTGGCGTTCGCTCTCGCTGAGGATGCCATGTAGGTGTCGCAAATCCGCTGGATGGATTGGAGCTCGGCGTATGTTGCAAATCTTTTCCGTGCTCCTTGATCAGCGCAGGTGAGAGGCTTGCGAAGACTTCGCGCAACTGGGGGACGAGTTTCGACCGAACGAGGTCTTTAACGGGCTGCATCTCCTTCTTCTCCGAGTAAATGTCTATGTCGAACTGCATTGAACGTGTCAGTGACCACTGCGACATCGTGCCGGAGCATCAGCATTGGGAACATACAACGTACTCGTCGGGCTCCGTGTCGTAAGCGCATTCGGGAACCTTGATGCTGCCACTGACATCGGTGCCGTCTTCTGTCTTGCCTACGCGAAGTGTTAGTCTCAATGCCGTTCACTTTCCGTTCCTACACCGGTCGTAATGGGAGCGCACCTTCATATTCTAATTGTAGAGCTACATCGTATATCGTTATAATCTTGCCCTTCCGCTGGCTCACCTCCACATCACCGTCCATAGAAATGAGTCGTGTGATTTTGGCCGACACTCCATTCTCCTCAGCTGACACCTTCTTGGATTGCTCCTCTAGATAGTCTTTTGCCCAAGCGGCAGCATCCTTCATCACCCAGTGCCAGTTGTTCGGATTGTGGAGGACCATGTTTGGTGAAGGGAAGTTGGTAACGAGAGGGAGGGTTCTAGGACGATTCTGCCAGATGAATGTCAGTCCGGGAGTCTCGCAAATCTTTGTAGACTGCAGTGCTGGATCGAAAGTTCAGATTATAGGCTTATAGCCTTGGAAAGCTGTTCCGCATGCAAAGAGTACAAGTCTTCTCAGCCTGGTGCCAGCTATGTGTCTCATCCTAACAACAAAAGGTAATGATCGGAAGAGTGACCTACCTTGCAAAAGGGTAGAATAAATCAGAGCGTGAGCTGTTGCATTAGCTATTGTGTTAGGAATCGTTTACGGCGTCAACTTCGTGAGAGTTAAAGAGAATAGGAAACACTCGTTGTACTTTGTAGAATTGGTCACCGACCGGTGGATTTTGGAGAAACCTCTAGAACATTGCAGGGTGCAAACTTCACTCCACGCTCAGACTGCAGTGGGACTTTGCTGCCAAGATTCCATATAAATCCGTATTGGGACGATTATGATGCCGCTCTAAGTACTACTTACGCCTCAAATGGTCCGCAGTTTCGTTTGGACTCGAGTACTAGAGTCGCTCTCTCGCCGTATTTAACGGACTATCAAGGACGCCTGAACTAATGCAGGTACAGATCTAATAGCGCCGGGTACACTGTGGAATGGAGCAGGACACGAGAAACCTGGGGTTGACTGAGGATTTGCTATTGCCCTGATATCTGATTCAAGGCTCTGGAGAGCGCGAGCATGCCATCCCTCCCACCTCGCTCGCAACTCATGGTACTCGTAACAATTTCACAGGGCGCTGGTCCCTAGGGCGCGATGCTCTCTCTCAGCAAGGGCAAATGCGCCATGCTTCAGTAATGTGTGTTTGCGGGCAACATTCGCCGACCCAGCTCCCAGCCTTGTGTCACTCTTTCAGCATCCTCAGTGTGTGGTCTTCTCCTTTACGCAGATTCGCGTCTTCACCTTTCTCGCCTAGCGTGCACTCTCGATGTATTCTGCCGAGGGCTTCTCGTATTTGGCGCAGAAGAAGCGTTGACTGTTTCTCGACAACCAGGTGGTGAGCTTGCTCAACTCCACCTTCAATCTCATGACCGCGTCTGCGTCCATATTGGTCTGGGCGACGATCTCAGGAAGGTTGACTACCAGATGTTAGTAAAAATGGCCTTGTACGACGAAGGCTGTAAGCATACCAATCATGCGCGTCAGATGTTCAGCACCGTAGCAGTCTCCAGGACCTTTGCCTTCCCAATCCTTGTATCTGCCAGATTCCCAAAGCTTGCGGACCTAGACATGGCACGCGTTAGTATCGGTCACAAGAGGCCAATAGGATCATCGGTAGTGCCACTTACATCTTGCAATTGGTTGCGTTCAAAACGGTACAACAAGAGCTTTCCCAGCGCCTTCTCGAAATAGACCTTCAGTCCAGAGACCAACTCCTCCAGGACGTCGGCCTCCGGCGAGCCAAGTCGTCGATTCAGCTTCTCTTGGTTGAAGTATTCGTCAAGAATGTAGTTGGCCGGGGCTTGACTAGGGAGGGGAACGAGAAGCAGAGACTTGGTGACATTCTCCCAGTCGTCGACGAGAATACTTCGAAGGTGATCGGGGATGGAGAGTTGGATCGTAGGGCGGTCGAGGAAATTTTCTTCCTGCTCAGATGATGAATGGTAAGTATAGGCCATCTCTGGTTCGTACAAAATCGCAGTTCCACAAGCAGTAAACAATTTGGTCCAGTCGATGTACACGAAGTGGTAGGTTGGGGTCATGTCATTGTCTTGGGCAGCTGGTGGAAGTGAAGTAGTTGGCGGGTAGTCGGTGACCGGTCCAGGGTTGGGGCGCGCTGCCTGAACCTCGTCCTCCTCCGCAAGATTGTGCTGGACTTGGTCACTCATTCCACTCTCCACAACGTCCGCCGCAAGGCATAGGAAATCCAGGCCACGCATCACTTGTCCGGCTGGCACCCTTGAATGTACCAAAGGTTGAATGTCTTGACTCTGGAGACTGGCAAATGCCTCTTGTTGTTCGGTGAGTCCTTCTCCTGTAGTACCATTGCCTGTGCTGCAGCTTGCTCCTCGTTGCCATTCCTGACGAGACTCATTCCAGAACTTGGCGTCCGCTGGCAGCATTTGCTGGATGCTTCTTGGCTGCTGCTTCAAGACCTCATATGGGAGGCGGGCTAAGACGTCTGGTTGCAGACGGCGCAGGATGCTCGTCGGGATCTTGAGGAGAGCTTCCTGGTTGCACCAGCCGTCCAGGGCCGCCTCCGGCTTGCTGTTGAGCTCATGGACGAGGCGGTCCTCCTGCTTGAGCGCGTCGAATGGGGTGCCCGACCCCGGCGGGTCCAGAGGCTCTATGGCAACGCCATGTCTTGGGACCATGGCTGCCCGGTATGTATGAGCTCTGCCCGCAGCGCAGGCCTCTGCCAGCTCCTCGGCGATCCTACACTTCTCGTCAGTGGTCGTCCCGCCGACCAGAGGCACGTTGTAGTCTCGCTTTCGGAGCGAGGCGCTCTGGTTGCTTATGTATTCTGGCTCGTCCGGCGGAGCCGGCCTCGCCAGAATTTCATCGATCGACAACGCTGCAAGCTCATCACGTGGATCATGGGTGGTTTCGAGATACTCATCAAAGGTCTTGGGACCTGGAGTGTCTGAGGAAGAGGTAGGAGCAATCATGCGTTGAGGTTGTGTGGCTGGCGATGCAGGAGGTTTGGATGATTGAAGAGTAACAGTTTTGGATCTGGTTTTTGCTTTCAACTGCGGTCTCGGTTTGTGTGGTTCTTGTGAGGTTGTGTCAACATCGGCGTTCGCGGTCTGGTCTGTAACGCTTCTCCCTACTGACGGGATGGCATCTTCCTCACTGTCGGGAACTTCATCTTCCTTATCTCCACCACCCTCAGCACTGCTCGACGAGTTCAATCTCAGTGATCGACGTGTGCCAGCAGTAGAACCTCCTTGACGACGGTTTGGTTCATGACTGGTTTGAGATTGTCCTGGCTGCTTATCATTGCGAGTCTTGGTAGGTTTGGAGCTTGTGGACTTTGGTTTACTGTCCCCAGTTGTCTTGATGTTCTTTGAGGAACGTTGGACAGTACCGGTTGTGGATGGCTCTGATCTCTTCGCTTTATTGCCCTTTGTCTTTTCCGCAGCTGGTGTGGCGACACCACTGACTGATGATTTCTTGTTGGCTGTGGTATTGGAGATTGCTTGGGCTGCTTTGACAGCAGCTCTTCGTGGTTGATGGAGGAATTGTTGGAGGCCCAAGTCCTCGTCAACGTTCTTGTTGTTGTCATTGTCTGCACCCAGACCACTCGGAGTATTATTCACACCACCAACACTGCTCTTGTCCTTCTCCCCACTGCCCGAGATGTTTTTCTTCTTAGGAGCCATTGTGTTGAGGTTCGATGCAGACCACTGTGTTGTGGATGTATGTTCGAGTCCTGGATGTCCTGGGGTGTGCCGACAAAGAGTCCAGAGGGTTCCAGAGTGCGGCAGGGATCAGGTCGCCTTACCAAGGGTTCCAGGATCCAAGAAGGGTTGAACAGGGTAAAGGGAAAGCCTTGCAGGCTGTGAAAATTGTGGATAGGACCACCAACCTTTTCAATGTCGTTGTCCCTCGTTCGCTTTGACCCTCTACCAGTGGCAACAGCAGGACCAGATGAGGTGCGCTCTTCGCTTCCTCTTCCTGAGCCGATCTCTGAGCCGTGACCACGACGGGGCTTGGTGGCAGACTTGGGAACGACTTTGGGTGCTGAGGCAGCCAACTCTCGTCTCAGATTCGCTGCGAGCTCCCGGTTGTCGTCGGTCAGCTTGCGCAAGCGGTCTTGAGGCACCCAGTCGTCCCAACTAGGATGAGGAGCAGTCAGTATCTGCGAGTCGCGATGATCTGAGGAGGTTTGGGGATGAACAGGATGGTTGGTCTTGTCGCGGAATGTTTTGGGAAGAGGTGCGCGAGTGAAAGAAAAGTGAGGTTGCTATGTTGTGCACGACTTCACATGCGACAACATCAAATCGATGGTCGCTTATTGGGCAGTGCACCAGGGTGCGGCAATTGACCAGCAGTGCCAGGACGCAACACCGCAGGATCGGGTTTTGTCTTCACTTCACTGCCTGCACAAAACCAACCCAAGAAGCTGCCTGAGTGCAATGGAGGGTGACTCACGTATTCTTCCAGCCCTTATAGTGAACTCGATATTCATGGGGACTTGTCTTGTCCTTCGGATCGTGTCGTCGCACATCAAGCACCTTGGCCTCGTAGAGCAGCTCGCCGTGGAAACACAGCGCCTTCTCGTCCTTCTGGTACATGGGCTTGCTCTCATTCGACTGCGGCGCCATCTTGAGGGGCTGCAAATGGATGGTTGCAATCTATCAACTTCTTCAGTGGCGAGCAAGGTTGAAACGCAAATCGGCGGAAAGACGCCCAACACCTACCGGATCACAGAAAAGAACTTTGCGCCAACCTTGACTGCACAACCAGGTGATGAAGAAGAACTCTCTGTATGAGACCAGCGTAGAGAACTGGGAGAATTGGTGAGAATTGGGGGTGAAAGACGAACTTGAAGTGCAAATAAGTCGTTGGAAGTCGAATTCCGGCTTCTGATTGGCTACTGGCGACGCGTCCCAGAGTCACTGCAAAGCACAACTTGAAGCTTCACTATTGTTAGGATATCATCATCATAATCAGCTACTCCATCTCTACTCACAAGAAGTGAAGAACCGGACAGATATACGCCAGGTGCTACCCTCTCAACAGCCTTTTGCTCTTGTTTGTCTCTACCAGGGCAAGGGACTATACACCAATACCACCACCACCACCATCCGTTAGCCGCCCTGGGCATATGCCCTTTATCTGGGAATTCTCCTGCTGTGGACTACCGAAACACCCCGCATACAGATTGCTCATGACCATTTCTTCTTTGTCTGTTGTGAGACTGGTTGGACCAACCCCTCAGTGGCCATCCTCTGCCATCTCTTGTCTAAACCGGGGCTGCAAGGCTGGGAATTCAGGGTACTCACGCACGAAACGGGGCTGACAATACGGTTTTGATACATCTACACGACCATACGGGCTGGCGACACAAACTCTGTCGACGCATCACATCGCCCCAGCCACACTAGGGCAGTGCAACAGCACTGCTGCCTTCTCTTGTTCTTATAGAATCATTGATCCAACAAAGCGGCGAGACAAAGCCGCTACTTTCACTGAGACTGGCAACAACGTCGTCGTCGTCAAGCAACTTACACATCTTCTTACCCCCAATTTGTGATCCTGTGAGACGATGGGTCAACCATCCGAATCCGAGATACTCTACTCCTATCTCCTCCACCCATCACCGCTGTCCACAATCCTACCATTCCAGACATTCCAGAGTCTAGTGGCCAACAAGCCTTCATCTTCATCTTCCAATTCCGCACGAACCACCTCATCTGCCCATGCAGCTCGCCACAAGCCGGAACTGAAACGGTTATACCGCGACCTCGAATTCCAGCGAGACATCACGGTCGACGGGGTCCGTCGACGCATTGACCAGGAAGCCCGACGCAGCGGCGGACTATTGACACGTCTAAGGCGTCAAGTCAGACGTGAAGAAGGGGAAAGACAGTCTCAATCTACCCTAAACTCACGGCGGAAGAGGAAGCGTGTTACTGATGATGAAGACGAAGCTGGAGCTGGAGCTGGAGGCGATGAGGACGAAGACGACGACATCTCTTCCATTGGAGGAAACAACGATGGCGATAATGGACGACTAGAAACACAGATCGACGTGCATCTCGACGGGCCGCGTGGCCAGACAATCAACCACAACAACAATCCCGCTTCCACTTCCAGATACAAATCCAATCCCAACCATACAATATCAACCCTGATCACGGCAATGGCTACAGCCAAAACAGATCTCGAAGCCGAAATCGCCGCGCTCGAAACCGAACTGGAAACCGTCCGTCGGGAGTGTGAAGAGGGAGTCGGCGCATTGAGTGATTTGCGGTATGGACGGTTCGCCGGACCTGCTTCGGCCAGGAGCATGCAACAGAGCGACAATGACGAAAGTGGAGGTGAAGGCAAAAGTCGTGGTGGCAATGTCGACACCGATGTCGATATTACGACTACCACCACGAGTACAGTCACGACGACGACGACGGTTGAGGTGGGAGTGGTGGATGCATTGCACGACTTTACTGCTCGTCTGGACAGAGAGATGTCTCGAAGGCAGAGGTGAGAGTTGAAGCGTCGGAAAAGGAACGCCAATGACAAGGACCTGGGCCTCACAACCCGTCTTACTACGTACTTTGAGTGTGGTCGGCGAGTTGAACATGACTTGAAGCCTAATCTCTTACAGGGGCACACGTGTCGACAAGGAACGACAGGTCTATTACAGATCAACGCACCAGATCTCATCGGATCCAATGTTCCTGGTCTTGTCATTTTCATGGTACCACGGTTCACACCCAGTACCAACTTTCGTTTCAGTATAGACAACTCCAACCAGGGTTCCCAGGGGGAAAACCTCTCGCAGAAAACTCATTTTCAAGCTGACGGCCCCACAGGTGGTGGGAAATCATCAGAGATAATCTTCCTTGCCCCCCTTCCAATATACTTCTTCCTCGCAAGACAAGCCCCTATTTATGCGCCTCAATGACCTTCTCCATCTCGTCGTAGCTGCCCATGAAGATACCCGATCGATCATGGATGCCGTTAGGCTTGACCGTAAGCATTCTCTGCATGTTGCTGTCGACGGCTTGACCACCGGCGTTCTCCATGACCATGGCCATGGGCGCGCATTCGTACAGAATCCGCAATTTGCCCTTGGGCGACTTCTTGTCGGCCGGGTATGCGAAGATACCGCCGTACAGCAGGGTTCGGTAGGCGTCGGCAACCATGGAACCAATGTAACGTGACGAGTAGGGCTTGCCGCCGCTCTCCTTGGGGTATTTCAGAGATTCAAAGTACGCCTTTGTCTTGTCCGACCAGTATAGCGAGTTGCCTTCGTTGACACTGTAAATGCCTCGCTTCTTGGGAATGCGCATGTCCGGGTGGGTGAGGATGAATTCGCCGAGGGCGTTGTCCTAAAGTCACCATCTCAGTTAGGGGGTTCTACGATGTGGGGAAAAGGTGCATACCATGGTGAAACCGTTGACTGTGCCGCCCTTCATGGTAATAACTAATTGAGCGGAGGCGCCATACATGGTGAACCTGGACACAGTCAGAGAGAGTCGTGGCGGAGGTGTTAGCTTCATTTCTTACCCAGCAGCGAGCAACTCCGTTCCAGGCATCTGCAGGTCTTCCGGCTTTGGCTTTCCCACCACGCTGTCCGGGAGCTTCATGATGCCGAAAATGGTGCCAACACTGACGCCGGCGTCCAGGTTGCTGGAGCCATCAATGGGGTCGCAGGCAACGACATAGCGGGCGTTGGGGTGTTCGTCGAAGTAAATGATCTCGTCCACCTCTTCGGAAACTAAAGCTCTGCATCGGCCGGAGCCTCGCATGGCCGCCACGAACAAATCATTTCCGATCACGTCGAGCTTCTTCTGGTCATCTCCAGTGATGTTTGAGGAGCCCGCCAGCCCGGTCAAGTTGATCAAAGAGGCTCGTCGGATATAGTAGGCAATGGACTTGAAGGAGAATTGAAGAGCGTGGCATAGCAGTCTATAGAAAAGGCTGTCAGAATCAAGACCTGCTTCGGTATTCGGGTCAACCTACGTGAAATCACCCGTGGCTTCCTTGTGCTTTGTTTGCTCTTCTGTCAGGAATCGTGTGAGGGTGATGATATCGGTGTTGATCTTCTCTTGGCCGGTGCCGGTGCTCTGACCATTGGAGTCTCCGTTGGAAGCCATATTGCCTTACTGTGACTGAGTCGAATGCGAAAAGCTCTCAAGGAATTGTTGTACGTAGTAGCAAAGGACGAGCAAGGCCACAGTAGCGGGGAGAATTCGGACACTGCACGCGATGAAGAATGCTCGGCTTCGGGAGAATGGAGAAGCAGACGTCACTGAGCCAATGAGCGCAGTTGATTATAGCGACAAAGTGGTTCGGGCGGAAGAGGGTCGAATATTCACAGGGAAAGCTGTTCACGATGGAGGAACGGCCGTCAGATATGGCTTTTAAAAGTGAACAGGAGATCAATTGTTGAGGGGGCTATCTGCAGATGATATATGAATCCGATCGTCCCCGTTCGCGGGTTGTTGGTCTTAAGGAGAAATGACGGGTTTGGGCCAGACTTTCGGGAGATGTATGAAGAGAAAGTGGGAGGAAAGTGGATGCCCTCCGCATGCCATAGTGTATCGTCATCCGAGGTGATTGATTGATGCATCTATGTCTACTACTGGTGGTAGTCGGTAGATATGCCCCTGGTATGGACGAGTTCTAGCGAGACGACGAAGGCTGAGTGGGTGGAGGGGCAAAGAACAGCTGCTCTCCATCACCGCCGCCGAGGCTACCTCCGCCCGACATTTTCCGACTAGAGGCTGACACCGGGGAGTGTTGCAACTGGCCGTGGCCGCAATTTCCATATATGTAGCGAATCAAAGGCGATTGACGATTTCGCTATCACGGTCGTATCAAGGAGAAACAAGACTGTTGAAACATGCAATCTTCTTCAACGCACAACGCAGGCTCAAACCAACAACTGTTGTGCTGCAGTATAGTACTAGTAGCCAGCAGCCTGTCCGCATGTAGTTCGCACCCAAATGCTCCCCAGTACATCACGTGGAGCGACCTCGGTATCGTCGGGGTATTGACCCCGAGCTTCAACCAGCAGAAATCCGGACTGCGGAGGTCGGATCTTTGCGGAAATGTGTGCCTAGTACAGAGGTAGCTTCGCCTCTACTCTCTTCATTTCCAGCATGGTGTCTGACGCCTGATTACTGTGTACAGCCTGCTTACCTGTGTCTGATAAAGCTGCTCTACGCCGGTCCTTGTCCTTAAGCCGGCCTTGCTGCCACACTGCAGTAAACCTATCCTTCCCGCTACTATGCGAAGACCGCCTTCTGTACAGATCCCCCACCGCTCTGCTTGAAACACCAACGTCAATCTTTGATGAGGGATTCATTTCGGATCGTACAGCGGCGGGCTCCAGTCGACGCCTCTGCTCGTGGAGTTGACAGATGGCAGCGGCCAAAGGTCTTAGTAGTTGGACTCAGATGCGCAATAGCGAGAATGTGTTCCTCGACTGGTATTATACTCGGCAGCGTCGTGATATAAAGGGCTGGCAGAGGAACCCAGGGGTATGATAGCGGCAGCCTTCCTTGATGTCCTGGTGGCCAGTGTCGAGGTTGTCTTTCATTCATTACTTCGTCTATATTGTTAGTCTCATTCATTCATATCCTATGCCTCCATTTCCAAGGATTCATCCCATCCACCGATCTTCTCCAGACACATCTTGACCTGCCCTTTTTTGGCCTGCAACGCACTGCCCAATGCCTCGTACCATTGCTCTTCGATCATTGTCACCTGCTGCTTCAATTCAGCAGTAGCCGAGGTCTCTTGCTCAATCTGCCAATCTTTAATGTCGTTGTTCTGACTCGTATCATCCCCCCTTCTGTCTCTGGTCTCCCTAGCATTAGCAGCTTCAGCTGCTCGACATTGTGCCCCAATGAGCGCTCCCTTGACTTCGTGCAGCAGGCAGTGGAGACTGATCTGCGATTCGATGAACTGATAAGTCGATTTTTCGGCATGTTCCAGCAGAGAATAGAGATATTGCTGTGGGAAGTCTCGATAGCTCGGAGTTTCCGCATACTCGGCTTCCGGTATTTCAATGGCTCCCAGCTGCTCGGGTTCGTTGGGCAATCTCTGAACCAGATCCAACACTAGAGGAGCAATATCCCAGAAGGCGGAGGACTGCAAGTCTACTTCCCGCGCCACGTTCTCGGCAACCAGCTGAACAAACCTCTCATATCGCACAGCCGCCTCTGCAAAAAATCTGGTCCGTCGTTCCAGCCCGTCCCGAGTAAAGAAATCGTCTGTGTCCCGCAGCTTGTCGAGGTTGTTGACCTGACGGTAAGGAAGCAAGACAATGGCTTTGTATTTCTCATTGCGTTCACTGAGGAGATCAAAGACCTCTCGATGCATGTGTTCGCGTGTCTCAAAAAGCCATTTCAATTGGGTGAGGTATTCCAGGATCTCCGGCATAGCGTCTCCCTCCTGTTGCGGGCGGTCAACGTTCTGACCGTGCATTTCTGCCACCAGCTCTTTGGTCAGATCGTCAATCTTAGCGCTGACTTGTGTAATCCGGTCGTTGAGCATATCGTGCATTGGGTTGATCAGTACATCCTGCAGCGTGTCGAACTCGGCTTGCAAGCACTCCTTTTCAGCCTTGTGGTCTTCCAGCCGCAGAGCTTGCTCGGCTTCGGCCGCTTCAGCATAGCTGATACTGCCCTCGCTGATCTGCACTTGAACATGGGCCTGGAAAGACTGCTGCCGCTCATTGACTGTGCGCACGTGCTCCGCGCGTAATGCCTCGACGGCAACGTTATGTCGCGACCTGCGGCTCTGTAATTCGTTCAGGTCACTCAATGTCCGGACCGCATTTCGATAGGTCGACAATCTCGGATGTCCGTTATTGATTGCAGGGTAGTGTCTTGGATATGGTGGAGGCAAAGTGATGAATCGTGAAATGTCCAGCAGCGACGGAGCCTGCGATTTGGACAGCTGCCTGTCTCTTGTCGGGTCATAGGCCCCCTCCGTATATAAGCCGAACGTGTTTTGGTTGACCTTTTCTCCCTTTTCTTCCGGGTACGCATCATCGACGTGGTTGATGTCATGAAACTCCCTGGGCGTTGTCTCTGCTGACAGCACTTCTTGCACCGAAAGCGTTGAAAGACCCATGTACTTGGACTCCCGCTTGGTTCTTTTCATCGTCTTGGTGCCTCCATCGGTCTCTGACCCCGTCTGAGACTGCCACCACCGGCTGGCTGTACGACCTCGGGAGCTTAGCTCGTCGTTGCTCATGCTGGCAATCGGCGAGAGAGCCGGGCGGAACTCTCTCCACCACGTAGCTTCCGGGTGGGAAGATGAATCGATCTCGGGCGTCTGCCTGGGGTGGTCTGTCTCAGTGGCAACAATCTCTGTCTCACGAGAAACATCGCCAAGAGTCCCGTTAAAGAGACGCTGATTGGCCATATCTGCATCGAACATTCCATCCACAAACGGCCCAGGATAGCGTTGTCGTCGGATATTGGACTCTCCGATAATGAAAGTCATGAAAAGCCGCAGACGGTCCAAGTCAGAGGTGGCCTGGCTTTCACGAAGCAAAAACTCGTGATGCCGATGCGATGCTTGGGCGATAAAGGAGTCCTGTTCACCTTGGGCTGGTTCTGAGACTGAGGAAGCGGTCGAGGGTAGAATACTGTGAGCAGAAGCTGGGTTCTTCTGGCTAAGGGGAGGTGTGGGAAGCGCTTTGGAAGAAGTCCGCGGTGCACCAATGACGTTGTTACCTGCGCCAGTGAAAGATGCACTGCGATCATTCATGGAGAGGTAGAGCGACCGCCCACCTTCGGATGGCTGGACTCGCTGGGCCAACTTGTTGAATGTTTGGCCGGCATGCCGCTCGAATTTTGCGCTCATCACTTCTGGCCCAGCGGATTCAAGGATTGGTGAATGTTCGTTACTATAGACGGATGGACTTATAGCTTCAGACCAGGGATCAGTCTCAATGGTCAAAGCACTGCTTTCTGCCGTTGGACCTTCGTATATGCTTCTTCGTTGTTTCCGCCGCTCGAGAAGACCTTTGTATGAAGAGAGCCGCATTGCAGCACTTCGGTTCAGTCCAGCAGGCAGAGGCACCGGTCTGTCCAAGTTCGTTGTCTCTATGTGCAGCGACATCGGTGATTTTCCAGTACGTCGGGACGAGACATCGTCGCTCCAGTTGGCCGGTGTTGGAGGGAGCGGGCTCAAAACTGGCGGCCGCAGAGGCACGCGATAGTTGTTCGCTCGAGAGCTGGGTCCCACCTGAGCAAACGTTGGAACGCCAGTTGCACTCTGATACCTCGAGGACGAAGGGGGTGGCCCAGGAGGCGGGCCTGGCAATGGCATTCCAGGCTGCCAACTTGCTTGCCTCGAAGACAATCCCGGTCTTGAAGCATCATAGCTCTGACTCGATGCGCCGTGAGATGAGATCGCTCCCGTGGAAGCTGCCCTCCTGGCTGCAGGAGGATCAGGTACAGGCTCGTTATAGTCTCCACTCCCTCGAGTGAATAATGGCAGGTTCTGTTGCGCGGCCGCCGTGTTTATCGAAAGAGTCGATATAGAAAGAGGTCTTGTGAAATTTGCGGCGGCCTCAAGTTGGGTGTTGGTGGCCTGCGAAGCCATGCTTGAGCGCGCCAACCGTGAGTCCAAATCATTTGTCTGGGAAGCTTGCTCTGAAGTTCGAACATTACATGCACCAGGAATAGCCTGGTTGTAGCTTCCAGCTAGCGAGGTAGATGCATTGTTCCGGGGCGATGCAATGCCTGATGTACTCGTCGTTGTTGGCTTGTGTGAGTGATCTCTGGTCGCAAATGTTGAGTTGGTTGTTGAGGCGGCTACTCCTGCACTGGTGCACGTAGCGCTGTCCTGCGCTGAAGGCGCCGTGTACGGCGGTGGAGGGTTGACAATTCCATCTGTGGCACGGATGAGACAAGCTCGACATAACAATTTTACCAGTCTTTGTGGTGCTCGAAGTACCTTCTGGGTGAAGCCCTTGACCGCGAGCCTCCGCTACTGACATTCGCTGACTCCCGTCGATCCACTCTCTGGGATCGTACGACACATTGTAGTTCCCTGATGCTCTTGTCGCCATTGGTAAGGGTGTCCTGGGACTCGGGCCTGGCGACGGAGTATAGGCGGGGGAGAAAGGGCCATACAATGAAGTCGCCGAGATGGGAGTAGGAGGCACCAGGCCCCGAGCGGACCCGGCGTTGATGGTTAAGGGAGGGGGAGCCGGGACGCTCCCAGGCCGCACGGGAGAGCTTGTAGGTTGGCCATTCCTCTGAGGTCGAGGCGGTGGGGGAGGCAGGACAGTTATCGAATGTCTGGGTGAGTACTGCGCCTGTTCGGCTGAATGCAGAGGTCGCCTTTTGAAACATAAGAGCAGGCTCCATCACTGTTAAAGAGAACATACATGGCCATGGGAAGTCCTTGCTTCCAGCAATGCGTGCTTGTCCAACCACTGATTTTGAGATTGGTGGGCTAAGCGCTCACCTCGGTCATGTCACATCCGCTGGTCGCTGGTGATGGACCATCTGGACGGTGCACGCCATCGCGTTAGGCCTTGCTACATGTGTGAAGCACATAAATGTAGCAAGGACGGAAAGAGAAACGAGCATTGAGATGGACGGTGATGAAGCAGTGATCGCAATGGAAAGCAACAAAATCCCGGGTGATAACAGTAAATGTTCTATTCTTGCCCTTGGGCTGCAGCTAGGAATCAATCGCTTAGGCCGAGAGCGATGAAGCCAAGGATGCGATTCTGTTGTCGAAGAATACCTAGTATTGGGCTTTCCATGTGCACTGGGGTCACTCCTAGGATGTCACAGATTGGCTGCGGACGGGACCAGATAGAGCTCTAGGTGCAGGAACCCAGGATGGATCAGTGATGGCGTCGTATCGTTCGCTGAGTGATGGACGGCAGACAGCTGAGGTCGGTCAGCATTGGAGTTGTGATAGAGAACAGTCGAAGCCATGTTCTGGCGGCTATTCGAGACCAAGCAGCCAATTAAAGCGGCGAACGGGCTGCTAGTCACGCTGCAGTGTGATCCAAATACAGCAGCAGCAAGCTTGCACCAAGTAGGACTAGTTCCGTCTGTTAGTGGTGCCTGCCACTTGGTTCGCAAACTCTGGGGTCCCCATAGAGTTCACGCCATGCCCGTTGCAGACCAAGACCGGGCCTTAAGCTTTTGGGAAGCCCTTGCTGTGCGGCGAATCAATTGACAGGGTTCTGCATTGCGCGGGACTGCTCCGGCAGCCTCGTCGGGAGCAGGATAGCTTGTCGCTTTCTAAGTAAATAATTCCTTTGGTCTTCGAGTCTGACCACATATTGACGAAGCACTCTCTGTGTAATCAGGATGTCCAGCGGTCCATTCTTCAACATCCCTACTATCGGCTCAAGACCCAGCAATGTGAGCATTCCAGTCCATATAAAAACTGGCTTTTTATGCATATCTGCTCAATGCTTCATTTCAGCTTAGGGGAAATCAGGATCTTGATATGATCATCCTTATTGTTGATCAACTCGTCGAACCCTTTTGCAACGACATCCTCAAGCGAGATACGAGAGGTAACCATCTGTTCATATCCCTTGAATTCATCTTGAGAAAGTCGGTGGTCAGCAGTTGGTAAATGGCATAGGTCGAATTAAGACTTACCTTTGCCCATCAATTCCATGACCTCGGCGAAATCCTGTCTGTTGTAACAACAGGAGCTCAATATTTTGATTTCCTTCAGAAAGAATGGCCAGAAATCTACTACGAGCTGTGTGATTCGATATCCCATTAGACCTGGTACGGTACGCAGTCACGCAAAAGACAAGGACGGACTTACCGGTTTCTCCCACAGAGCTAGATCCACCCAAGTCCCGCCACGCTTCAAGGCATCAAGGCCAGCATCTAAGCCAGGCTGAACACCAGCACAGTCAAAGACAACATCGACGCCCTTGCCGCCAGTCAGCTCTCGACAGATATCTCCCACCTTCTCTGTCTTCGGGTCAATGACTCTGTCGACCACATCCTTCGCATACTGCCATCTCTTTGCTGTTGGTTCACTCAGCAAGATCTTGGACACCCGGTGCGCTCTCAGGACGCATATCATGGCAATCCCGATAGGTCCACCGCCCACGATAAGCACATCCGAGCCCTCGAGGCTGGTACCAGCCACTTTTGCGGCATGATGTCCAACCACAAGGGGCTCGATCACCGCGGCAGAGTCCAGACTGACATTCTTTGGGATAGCATACAAGCGGCTCTGGTCGACGGCGACGAACTCTGACAGGCCTCCGCCGAGCTTGTCGCCACCGTATCCGATGAACGTGAGTTTATCGCAGACATGGTCCAGCCCGGATTTACAAGCCAGGCATGAACTGCAGCCCACATGCGCATCTACCATGACTGCTTGGCCAGGCTGGAACTTCGCCCCTTCACCTACGGCCTTGATGCGGCCGCAGAACTCGTGGCCGAGGGTCACTGGCAGGTGGTCGCCTGTCTGCTGGTTGGGCCGCTCGACGGTTGGAACCGTCATAGGACCTATATGGCGAATCAGTCATTGTGCCCTCGGCTACATCACACGCCATCGAAGTAGTGTCGTGGAAATCGTTGTGATCATACCTGCCAAATATTCGTGTAGGTCACTACCACATATTCCACACCATTCGACTTCGACCAGGCATTGCCCGGGTCCAGGTTGAGGAATGGGAATGTCCTCCACTCGGATATCTCTTCGGCCATGATAGCGCGCGGCTCGCATGGTCGACATGTTGAGTATCTGTTTGTCTTTCCTGATGGCACAGAGGTCGAGATTTCCACGCACCGCCTTGTTATCTGCGGAAAGCAACGTTGAGATGGCACCTTGAATCACTTAGATTCAGCATAGAGGAGCAGTTCAATTAACGTGGTCTGATGTGTGGCTCCGAGGCTCGGTTATCTCGGCAGTTCATGCTCATCTCCGACTTCTCCCCGGAGACGAATCGAGAGATGAGCGGATACTTAGTATGAGTGGGTTTGACCGGTATCGCAGTCTACAACTAGAACGCTTCATAAAATTATGCTTGTAATGAATCAGGCCTGAGTGCGTAGTTCAGCCTCGTCAGAAACACACACCTCTTTCCAGGAGACGCGGAAAATGAATGCGAACGCCGGCAACGAAACGAGTTTGAGACGAAGTAATATGGCTTGGCCGAAAGGCGTCTGCTTGATTCAACAAAAGTGACCCTCGAGACCGGAGTTGATGTACTGATCCACCGCTACTGCAGAATGGTTGTCTCGTTTTAAAGACATGCCCTGTTGTTCTGTTGAGGGGTTCGCGAGACAGCCTTCTGCCAGAAGTGGCGCCCACGAGATCCACGTCCACTACCAAAGATAGTGCACTCGTGTGTATTGATAGGAGTTATGATCAACACCACTCAGAAACTCCCAAAATCCAAGACACGAAACAAGAAGAGTCCGCTTCCAAGGTATAGACTCTTGGAGCATGGCCTAGAGGATCAGCCTTGGGTTCTGCCATTGCGATCGCTTTCATCCTCGCCGTTCCTCCGGTCCAATAGATCTTTTGCTTTCTTCCATGCGACGTGCCTCAAGTCATCGAGCTCGTGTTCCTTGTCCTGGATCTCCCTCTGCATCTGTCTCAGACCTGGACTGATGTCCATCTTCTCCTCTAGACGGTCAATTTCTTTTCTCGCCTCTTCGTGGATTTCCTTCGACTTTGTGGCCACCGTCTTCAAAATTGCAGTGCACCAAGGACATGGAGCGCTTGGAACTTGGCGTCTGGCTGAGCCACCTGGCACGATGGTGGTTTCGGTGGAAGATCGTCGTTGCCGAACTGAAAATGTTGCGCGCTGCTGGTTTTCTCCTTCGGCCGGAAGATTGGAGCGGGTGCCGAGGATATGTGCGAATGTAGCTTGCGTTTCGTATCTGAAAAGGTCTTCTGGATGTTCGACAACGAGGTTGCCGCAGCTCAGGCGACCCCAGGGATGTGGCTTGTCACAGTGCTCCCACCTACTGACGTTGCTGGGGTTGAAAATCGAAGCAGAGATCGGTTCCCGGTGAGGGTAAGGACAGACGGCAATCTTGTACCAGCACATGATGCTGATGGTGGTGATTCGTAGCTGATGTATGCTCTGAAGGTATGGTAGAGGTTTGCAGCAGGTGTGCAGAGAGGGAGGGGTTTGAAGAAGATCAGATGTCAAAGGTCAATAATACTCTGATGAGTATTAGTGAAGCTGTTGTTTGATGCTGTGAATGTTTGACTGTGCGCTGCAACGGTGTCGATGATTCATTCACAAAAGTGAAGATGCTTTGCTATTCAAACCTGAAGGGGACAATCTGAACCCCTCGACACCCGCCTAGGAAACGCAACCGATAAACATGTCACTCACTCTCAACAGGAAGGCGCGACCATGGTCCTTTTTTTTAAACAATGACTCTTTGATATTTGCATACAGGGACTTTTCAACGCGCTTAGAATCATCGAACCAAGAGCAGCTGTGAAACTCATCCTTTATGCGCTGCGCAGCATATTTGTACATTCCTCCCACATTGAACCCTCGACTGGCAGCCGCCAGAGACGATTCTGTTTCAACGATTGAGAGAGGACTGTCCGCCAGGAAACAATCTCTCGATTACACCAGCCTCGAACACGGCGCCGGATGGTGTCAAACCTTGGAATAGTCATCGTCCACTTGAAAGACCACAAAGACAATCGTAAACCAACATTCAAAGCGACTTGGAGCGACAAGCGGCAGCCTGCAGCACCGACAGTTCCTCAAACAATCATCACCCCAATCAAAGAGCTCAACAGCCTGCGAAAGAAAAACTCCCCGACGATTTCCCCGACGAGCCCGACCCCAACAACCCATCCAGTGGCAGGACTTTTCGGCGCCATAGAGCTTTCATCGATACACCAACACCCACCATGTGTTACTTGATCAAGATCGTCCATTTCGGGTGTGAGGACAACCATTCAACGCAGATTTTGGTTCGCTGCAAAGGGGGTTTGGAATACATTTTGGGAATGAATACCAAGGACAGATGTATGGGGATGATGCAGGTGGATGACTGGCTAATGAGCCCATGTCGCTTTTGCAGGGAATATGCCGACAGCAGAAAGGCATCTGGGTCTGTAGGTCGGCACAGAAGGTCTCTCTCTCTTCAGGACACAGGACTTTCTGCACCAAAGGAGGCCGCGGTGTCAAGGGGTGCAACGCTTGACACGCCGCTTTTGGCTCAAGAAAGGGACTCGATACAGGTCACTTTCCATAAGAATGGGTAGACAAATGCAATCCAGAACATCTGCGGAGCGGGGAGAGTGCCCGGTGCTCCTGAGAGCCGCATAGATCTGAGCAGGTGTTGGCATAGTGGCGTGCTTGGGTCATACCGACACCAGCGACATTGCGACTCTGGTGCACTATTCCTGGGCGGTGTCCACGAGTATTGCAAGTGGGCGGAGGCGACCATAACACCCACTGGGGCTGGCTGCCGTTGGAGTTGTGGTGTACTCCTTCTTCAAGCTCTCAGAATCGTTCACTGACCCAGATTGCACTTCGACAGCCGTAGCGAATGACATCCACCAAGGGCTCGTATGGCTGTGCCTCTTTGGCATCATTTTCCACAGCATGGTCCAGATGCTCCAATTCTTCATCACGAATGCGCTTGATGTCATCAATCAGGACCTTGAGCTCAGGATCGAGCTCCTCGCCTCTTGCTTCTAGACCCTGCATCCATTTGACCAGTTCCCGTACTTGGTCGTTGTAATGATTGCCGATTTCCGTTTCCACGGCCTCGGTGCATGCCATTGCTGCCTCTCTTCCCATGATACCGGTTGTCCATCCCAGAACGGTCGCCGCGACCTGCCAGATCGGGTACATGACAGTGGGCCGAACTCGGTGTTTTGCCAACAGCTCATTGAAGGTCTTGAAATGCCCAGCTTCCTGGTCATACATATGCTTCATGAGTGGACGGAGATGGGGGTGCGCCTTCACCACGGGTGGTGTCTGCGCTGTGTAGATGAGGGTTGCTGCAAGCTCTCCTGCTTGGTTGACCCGCAGTGCACTGTCGAGAAACTTCTTTTGCTCTTCGGTCAGGATTGTCCTGTTTTGAGTTGGGTCTTCCGGCGGCGATGGAGAGGTCGTGGTCGTTTGTGAGGACAACTGGCGCGCTTGGGGCAATAGGGAGCGTGGTAAAGCCGGCCGCAGATATCTGGCCAGTGCCAGAGGACTTCTTGAAGGCCGCATGCTGAAAGGCACTGCCTCTAGATAGTATGAGTCTCAAGCAAGGTTGCGACAAGGTCAAGGGAAAGATTCACGGCGAATTAAGAACTGATGGATGCGGAATGATGCGTTGAACTCATGGGATGGTCATGTGACTCCCGGTGTTCTTCTAACAACAAACGGTGTCCGTCGTCTTTCAATCAGTCCTGATTTTAGACCTATCTACTGCTAAGGTTGAAGCAAAAACGTCACATCTCTCGATAAATTGACTGCCCTTGTCTGTTCGCCTTTGCTAACGCGCTGCAGTGGAAGCTGATCGATCAAGACATGGTCCGGATTGACGCTAAGTTTCTACCCCACAGCCTCATCAGCCGAAATCGGCCTCAATTGAGCTCTCCTCCAGTGCTCTGATATAAGCAGTCATATTCAAAGAAGAAGGAAGTTGCACGATTCATTTGCTGATGCATATCTGCCATACAACTCGAGTTGAGGTGAGTTGAGGCTAGTTGATTCTGGCGCATCACTGCAGATCGAAATCTCGTTGGCCCTAGCCTGCAGCACTGGGTCGTGATCGTAGATTTAGATGATCATTGAAGAAATCCCAGACTTTTCTCTATGAATTCTGCGTGACTGCTGCCTCCCTGGCTTGAAATCCGTGGAGAGGTCTCACATTTGCATGGTCCAGCGTTGTCGAGGCTTTTCTCAAGATACACCGCCACAACTTACGTTCCACGACTCGTATTCGTTCTTCTGCCGTCTATGCGTTGACATAGTATGCAATATGCATATCTGCGAAAGCGGTGAGCTGGATAACTGTGTAGAGCATCTGATGTGGTCCGACACGTGCAAGGCTGAGGTTGAATCTCAGGTTGATATCTGCCAAGACTGCTTAGTCATACGTGCCACGGCGGCCGCTGGCTGCATCGGAGTTCAATCGTCCATTCACTGCATTCATCCATCGAGCAACCTCAACAACATTGTTTTGTCTACATCCTCCCCATTCACTTCACCTGTCGTCATCACTGGAGCTGTCCTTGAAGCATATCTGATCGTGTCTAGACACTCAGTGGGATCGGCTTGTCATTCTTGCTCCTTCATTTCACTCAGACCTGGTCTAAACCCACATGTGCGACATTAACACTGTGGTCCTTTCCTACCTATAGATTCAACACCACAAAAAGCCCGCTGGCGGCCGCCATTCTCTTTTGCACTCCAAGGGTCACTGCCTTCTGGTATTCACCTCAGAGTTAATCTTGGCCGGAAAGTCACACGCTGCTTTTAGAACGCAGTCAACCCTGCGCACCGCCTCACCATGGCCGATCTCGACGCTGAACTTCTTGCGCTCGCTGGGGGTGACTCCTCTGGCGAAGAAGAGAGCATGCCACCATCTCCCAAGGAGAAATCGCCATCACCCCCTCGATCTAAAAAACAGTCTCGACACTCCCCAGAACCAGACATGGCTCGTAAAGGCGTTGCAAAGACCGTCAAGCGCGCCAAGCGCCGCAGGACATATTCTGATGAGGAGGACGACGATGCGTAAGATGGCCCCCTTCCACTCGAAAGCCATGATTCTGACATGTCTGCCGTACAGTTCATCGCAGTCACAACATTCAGAATCTGCCTCCATGTCGCAGTCCGATTCGGAAGCCGGCTTCAGTCCTGGAGCAGACAAGCCAATCTTCCCTTACGAGAAACTCTATTACGACGCTGAGGATAAGGCTCGCATAGAAGCGAAACCGGAGATCGAGCGAGAGGAAATCCTGGCCCAGCGCAGCGAACAGGTGGAACGTCATGAGCAAGATCTTACACTTCGTCGTTTGGTAGCTGCCAGAGCCAGGGAGGAAGCCAAACACGCCGCCAAAAACAAGCGCAAAGCTAGTGCAGCTGACTTGGAAGAGACTCAGCGGAAGAGCACCCGTCAACGCACCAAGGTGGGCGGCGGTCGCGCCGGCGAGGCAAGCAGTGCCATCGAAGCTTACAAGCAACAACGGGCGGAGAAGGTTCTAAGAGATGAACAGAGGAAGAAGGATGGACTAACCCGAAGAGCAGCCTCACCTCGAGATGACTACAGCGATGCGGATGCGGATGGTGAGAGTGAGAACGACTACGAGGACCACAAGTACAAGAAACGATCGCCAACCCCACCGAAAGATGAGCCCATTGCAGATCTTGCAGATATCCAGCGAGCTCGTGTGGGCCGTGACAACTTTGCTCAGGTATGCTACACCCCAGGATTTCAGGAGACCATTACAGACTGCTACGCGCGGGTGTGCCTGGGTCCTGGTCGCACTCCTGGCGTCAACGACTACCGGCTTTGCTTGATCAAGGGGTTTACCAAGGGTAAGCCATATGCGATGATCGGTTCCAACGGCAGACCTTTCCCGGTCGATTTGTACATCATTGCTGCACATGGGAAGGCTGAAAGACCGTGGTCTTTCCTGGAGTGCTCAATGTCGAAGTTCACCGACGATGAATGGCGACGATACCGGACAACTATGGCAAACGATGATCTCAAACTTCCCACCAAACGTTTTATCAACTCCAAACTCGAGCAGATCAACAAGCTGTTGGCACATCGGTTTACTGAGGCCGAGATTTCGGAAAAGATCAAAGCCCAGAACGAACTTATTGAGAAGATCACGAGAGCCCAGGAGAAGGAAGACCTTAGGGAGAAGATCAATCATGCTTGGGACGACGGCAACGACGAACTGGCACAGCAGCTCGAACATCAGCTGGCGAACATCGTTCCTATGAAACTGGCATTCGGCACCAGCTTGTCTCGCGCGGATAGTGGCTACGTAAACCCGGACCAAGAACGCCTTGCCGAGCTGAACCTACGGAATCAGAGATTGAACGCCGAAAACATCCGCAAGGCTCAGCTTGCAGAAATGAGGGCAAGAAAGACGAAGAAGCATTTGGCTCCTGGTGTCGATGAACTCTTCGAAGGAGGAAGTGACATCAGTCGGACTGGTACCCCTGTCAACGGCGCTGGGACTCCCAGAGTGGTTGCAGGTATATCACGCGCTACGACTCCAAATCCCAGCAGTCTCTCAAATGGAGCTACAAAACCCTCGGGTCTCGGGAATGGCAGTACTGTGCTGAAGCCGGTTGAAAAGAAGAAAGGCATTCCTGTCATTCGAAAGGCGGCGATGGATGACGAGATTCTGGCAAACATGGATCTGGGTATCGACATCGACATCTGAACAGAAGTTGAGCAGCTGCTTTGCCTGGCAACGGCCCGCATGCCTTGGGACTATTATGTTACTCTGCATGTTCCCCGGACTTCATCAAACCTGGAGAAGCCCAGTTTAGAATGAGACATTCCAGGACCATAGTTCCGCCATTGAGGCGGGACTTCTGATCGAATGAAAAATACTTGATGATCAGAAAAAGGTCGCTCTATGCTTCGAGTTCAAACCCCCCATTTTCTTTGACTGACAAGGTAATGATGACTATTCGTTTCAGCCTTGACTGAGTCCATCTCCATCTCGCTCCACACGTGTATTTCTCGGTGTTAGTCCTGTTGTTATTTGCCCTCTGTTCCTCACGTACCTATATATGACAGACTGTGATCTTCCACATTTCCTTGTCCTTGTCCCACTGTCATACCTTCCCACACTCTACTCTATTTTGCTGTCCTAGTTGCTCTTCTTGTGGACCAAGTCTTGCTGGTCCCATGAGTTCTCATCAACACTGGCACTGGACGAATTCTTTCCTAGTTCCGCGTCCTCAGGCAAGTTTCAATCTCATCTTTGCCCCGATTCAGTGGGTTTGTCAATCTCACTTTCCGCTCTTGGCTCAGTCTACAATTGGAACTCTCTCTTCCTCCCAACGCACAGAATCCACGCTTGACCACTCCACTTCTCTCGAGACTCTGTCCTACCAGTTGACTTTCTCCTCCAGCCACTTCCGACCAACCGCTCGCGGCTCTTCCGATCTATCACGATTGACTCTTCCTCCATCCATGTGAATCGACTTGTTTACCACCAGCTCATCTCTCATCTGCTTGACGGTGTCCCCTTTCTTCAGGCGCGTTGCCGGTCCTCTGTCATCCTCGATCACAAGTCAAGTCTCAGTCAATCGCTTTTCAACGAACCCGCCTCCTCAAGCGGCACGCGTTGAAGAAATTTGAAAGAACGCTAGGATGTGTCTCTACGACATTCTCCCCTGTCCGTGCCCGGACAAAGCGAAACTCTCGCATATCCTCTCCAACAGAGACGTTTCGGGGATCTTCTCGCCATGCAAGTACTACAGTTCTGCCACCGGCGTCCCTGCTGGCGGGATCAGTGTCACATCTTCAGGTTCGGGTTCCGCCAGGAAGGACGATGGCAATGACCACGGCAATGGCAAGCTGAAGTCAACACCAGACGACGACAAGATTGAAATCGGAAATGACAAGTTGAAATCGAAGTCAAAGTCCAAGTCAGATGACACTGAATCTGTCACGTCAAATCCGGCTGAAATCAGCAAGACTGAAGATACGTCGAAGAGGCCAAGTCCTTCTGTCTGTCCCTACATTGTCGTCCGACATGATGCCAAACCATTATCTGATACCGAGAGAGAGACATCTACCACTCCGCAATTCAAGGCCATGGTCTTGATAGAGGTTGCCAGAAGTGCTGGAACCTGATCTCTGAAGCTGGCTGCCTTGATCATCGAGGTTTCGGGAGTCTCGCGAGCAGTGGTGACAAGGAGAATCTCCTCGCCACGATGTGGAAGGAGGCACTGGGCGACGCAGACACCGGAAGTGAAGAGACGGAGACTGAGGTCGATGCCGCAAATGAATTGGAGATCACGAACGAGACGGAGAACAACAACGGGACTGAGCAGCAGAGCGAGACGCAAAACGAAGACAAAATGAAGGTCGAGATCATGGACGATATACAACCCAAGAATGAGATGAAGATGGTGACCATCGTCGACAGTGATGAAGAACGGCTCTCCGATTCGGACCTTGAAGTCGTGAAAGTCGTCAAATTGGACAAAGTATGCGCAATACTGCCAGAAAACACACCATCCACCAACACCAACACCAACACCATTGCCACAGCCACGGCTCCGAAAAGTTCAGCCCGATTCACTCGGAAACTGAAAAGCAAACGCGGCAGCAGTAGAAACGCTGATGGCATCACAAGTAGCCACTTACCGCGAAATGACAGGCCATTACTTACTGTGTCGACTGCATCTACCCCAGAACGAAGGCCCGCACCGATACCGGGACAAATGCCAACTCCCGCTCGCACCCCCACAGTCACCAAGTCGATTGAGTCGATGCCGATGTCTCAGACCGTCGCTTCAATGCCTACACCATCGTCGATCAAACGCAGCAGCCGTGTGAGCTGGCCCAGCGATGGCGAGATTGGAGAGGGAGACGAGCCCAGAAGCGCGGGCAGCTCGTCTCAGCCAACACCACCGCCAACATCCTCGTGGACGATCCGACAGCACTTCACGTCCTCTCAGAGTTCTGCTTCTGGATCAGGTCCGGGTGACGGATCAGGTGAACATATGGAATCTCAGTCACCAACGGCAGGTTTTTACTCCTCAACGGTAACCTCTGCGGTTAGTATGAAGCGTCGGTCTGCAATCAAGTCCACGCTCGTGGAACAATTGAGTCAGGCGAACTCGGCATCCGATATCGACCTAGCTTCGGGTCACCACCATGCAGAAGGGTCATCCATGCCAGCAGCCACGGACAAGCATGTGAGGACATCTCCCTCTACAGAGGGCACTCTAACGCCAAGGACTTCTTCCACTGCAACTGTCACATTGTTTGTAACTGTCAGGTCAACAGGCCCGAAGGTGACAAACCCGCAGACTAGGAAGCGCAATATGCCAACAATGGAGCCCAACGAGGCGGGCAGTCGTGCGACAGTCAGCATTGAGCGCACAGAGAAAGTAGCCCGAAGACAGCACTCAACATTGGACCACCATGTCAAGGGCTCTTTCTATAACCTCCGTGCAGCTGTTCACAGATATACCCGTGCAAGGGCAGAGAGCAGCCCGGAGGAAGAAGGCTCCGACGCGGGCGACTGTAGTCACACAGACTCAACGAAGGAAGAAGTGGAAGTCACAGAAGAGATGCTCGCAGCCGTGCAGGACGGTTTCTACCAGCGCGCACTGCTGAAGTTTTTCAAACTCGAGAAAGACGTTCTCCAGCCCTCATCGTTGCTTGCGTGGCCTACCTTCTCGCCTAGTAGCAAGCCCGCAAAGGAATTCGAGATGTTGCGAAACGACGTTCGACGTCTCAGAGACGACAACGCCACGTTGATGAACCGAGTTATTGCTCTGCTCGAAGAGAAAGCCGCAGGAGTAGAGAAGGAAGCAAAGTTGATGGTAAGAATGGCAGAACTGGAGCGGGGATGAGACTATCATCCAGCATCGACAGCCAGTTGTAACCAAGAGCGCAGCCGGCCCAGGACTCAAAGAATGATGAGGCAACAACAGGTCGTAGGACATCGACTGAGGACTCTCTGACCAGGAAGCACGGGGTGGTCAGGTACTGGAAGTGTGCCACACACTTCTGCTATTATAGACAGCTTAGGCCTATGCTCTGCTTGGTGTGCGGCGTGCGGTGCTCGATTGGTGTGCTATCGACAGTATTTTAAAGAATGTGAGCAGTCGCAAGACCACCACCACAGATCTTTCCTGAGTCTGTCGAGCCAGGGAGAGGACTGAAATGGTGCTGAATTTGTCCATTGCAAATTGATGCGACTAGCAAGGTGGAAGTGTTGATAACCAGAGGATGAATACTAAAGTTAGCAGTCATAAGCACTTGAAGTAGGATTGTATGCAACAAGGCATGTTAGCGCCCTCTCTGCAATGATTCGAACTGCATTGGAGGGCTTGCAGAAGCTTTGTAGAGATAGACCTTGATCTTGATTAACGAGAGACCCAAGACCAAATTGTGATGCATCACGAGAAAAGCGAGAGGCGTGGAAGGCAGATGCCAAGAGGTTGAGCTGATGCATGGACGGTATGATGAATAAAATCACAGGGCAAGCAGCAAGTGAACTGAGCACAGGAGTGAAAATGGCGGATTCACACAGCAGAAGGATTGGGCGTAGGTGATTTGCGCGTGAAAAGCAGTGTAGGTATCAGGAGTTCTCACCAGCTGGTCAGTTAAAGGAACAACAGATCCTGAGTTGATATCAGACAGGCATTGTCATGCCATATGAAGCGAAGGAATCAAAGCTGCCGAAGCATCACCCGGACGCATAATCCTCTCCAGCTCTTCGAGTTTTCACTCTTCTGAAGATGTTTAACTTGTCAATTTCCATTGCTCGGGAGGAGTCCCCAGAGAACCTGGGAATGATACATTGCTTGTGTGACGCGACCAGTCAAAGCTTTAGGAAGTGAAGGAGGGGCGGATGTGAGGTGGTGTTTGACGCGAAGCCATCTGGGAACAGAAAGCTCAACGGAGGGTGGTGTGGTCCGCCGCCTGGACGAGTTCAATGAGCCTGTCCTGTCCATTCAAAATAAGGCGTCCCAGGAATCCTGCCGCAGATAGTTTCGGGATTGTGGGATGCAGGAATGCACCCAGCGACGAGCTATCAACAGAGAATGGAGGGTGTAGGGTATAACCGGAGACTGAGAGACAAACTGAGAGACGATGAACAGAGGCAGACGATGACCTTAAGATCCTGGTGCAGAAGTGCCAGGCGAAGGAGAATTTGAGGTTCAAGTTGTCGTCAGTCTGTGGTGAGGTGCTCTACTTGCGCAGGCGGTTTATCGATAGCAGATAGACCTGCCGGATTGCACCCTGCACGCTCTTCCCCACCACGATTTGTCGGCTCCGAAACTTGAAACGGCCGAGCGGAGCCAGGGGCACGACTAGCCCGTTTCAGGGCTGGAGCCTGCGGTGGAGGAGATGAAGCACACAATATGGCGGGCACCATCCTCTTTCTCTTCTTCGATCGTTATCTGAAGATTTCCGGATCGTCACGGATCATTCAACCAACTCTGTTGCTCTAGGACTGGTACGGTTATCGTCATCATCTTCCCAAGGATGTCTTGGTCCGTTTGGATTGGTCACAAGGTCTTTTGACGAGGTTCAGGCAAGAATCGTTCCAAGAAAGGCAATATCCGGACTGGTGACGGTCTCATCAGCGGAGAGTCAAGCTTGCACCTCCGGCATCTCTTTTGCAGCTTTGCAATCTTCTCTAGGGTCGCCGCTGTCCTATTGGAAAAGGAGGAACCACATCGCATCCTCTACCTCCCACGTTGAGTCGTGTTTCCGGAAGGTGTCGTATATCATCCGGGTATACACTTCCATTGACCGGACCGCGCCTCCAGGGCTCCTGAACGGGCACGCAAGAGGCTGGAGTTGGCAGTAACATGCAGTCCTGATGGCCGACAGTGGCGTAACTTATCTCGCAAGTCGGGCCCTAGCCTCACAAGTTTAAGATTGTGAGGTTTATGTTGATATTCCAATGGTGTTGTTGTTTTGGCGATCCGAAACAACAATAATCTACTGTGTAATCTTTTTCCACACTGTATCCCTTCCATCCCAGGTTCGGCCGATGTTATTGAGGTTACGTAGGTGGCCACCAGCTTCCCCAGAATTTCCACAGAAGCGCGAGACACGAACCGGTAGGTGCGCTAGTAGAAAGACGTTGACACTTGATAGTGTCGGGGGTTCGAATACCGATCTCACCGGCACCAAATTCGCCGTCGTGGGTCGGTAGAAGCTGGCTTTGGTAGTTGCCACCAGGTGGTTGATAATTTAATGGATGAGCCGACGTGATGATGGAATGAAATCCTAGAGAGGAGTAAAGAAGAGTACAGTCCCGTCATCATTTCGGCACCAGTCCGGTCATGTGGTACTGCAAATCGCCCTGCGAAAGCCTTCCAACCGCGTCACATGGCTAGGCAACGCTACCTGTCGCTTGCCTTGCTGGGGCGACAACATCGGGTGAGTAGGCCTGTAGGCGTGCAATGTAATGCTGGCTCCCGTTACGTAGAGGTGACCATGTATAGCTATCGACGCAGTCGCCGGACACGTGCATGCCTGTTCCTGAGGTAGTCATGGTCTAAGGCTCATAGTATCAGCCATTGTCGACGGTCATACTGACGCCAGCCACGGACGGTTGCGTGTGCAAAGCTTGATCAACTGTTCGTTAAGCCACAAGTGCATGCATCCGAGTACTTTATCAATGATAATACGTATCATGTTGTTATTGTTGTTGTTCTGTCAAACCTCACCAAATCATATGTGCTGGATGTCTGGAGGTTGGAAACAGGTTCGAAGTTTGATGGAAGGAGAATCATCAGGTCGGCGTCGGGGGTCCGGAGCGCCGACCACCGATGGCCAATCTCCACCACCACTGGTCCAATGACAGCATCAAGCACCAATCCGTCCGGTATACGATACCTTAGTACCTAGCACAGACAACGTCGACCCTCTTGAAGTCGACGATGGGTTCAATTTTGCAGAGATCAACTGCTCCACGCCTTGCGCTGGTCTCACCGCTGCGTAGGTCACAACCAGCCTCCCTTATGGGTCGTTGATATTCGCAAGATCTCCTGTCAGTGCTCATAGGTCATGTTCCTTCACCAAGTACTCTGTACGGAAAAGGCGACGTCTCTTGCCCCTAGTGGCGCGCACTGGCCCGCGATCCGTAGGAGGCGGAGGCCGGAGGATGGAAGAGGAACGGATACCCGGGGAGTCTCTAAACAGTTGCCGATGGCGCCTGTTTGGCAGTTCATTCTCCCCCAGAATCATGAAGCATAACCAGAATGGAGGCTGACCCGCTAATCTCATTGACGTGACCAGTGACCGCGTGTAGGTACCGAACCCTGAGTGTTCGTAGAATTTAGGCTGTTGGCTGTCCCGTTTGCGAATTGATATTGGACACCAATCGAGGACGTGCTTGCTGAAGCAAACCAGACCTGACTTTGCAACTCAAAGCAAGGCATTCCGAGATTCAAGCTGGCGCCCGGATTTATGCGCAAGCTCCTGCCGATCGAAACGGCCGATCGGCGCATCCGCTTTACGGCTTGGTCGACGGAAGCAGGAAGCCACGAGAGTGAAGCATCATGGCCAGGAACATGGCCACCAATGAACCCCTTTCAATAGTATGCGAGCGCGTCCAATGCCGTCCAGCGGTGCATACCTATGTCTTGGTACAGTATTATCGATTGGCGTTCAATGGCGAGACCGGTCGAGGGGTGAAGTCAGCTGGGGGCAAGGAGGAAGGGCAAGTACTTTTCGGCGTAGCAAACAGGCACGCGTATGTCAGATAGCTAAGGCGTGACTCGGCACACGCGCGGTCAGGACTCTGATTGGGTTCTGGTACATGTTAGATGGCGTCCAGCAGTGGTAGTCCATTAACTGGAGGCAGGGGTAGGACGATAGCTGACCCCAGTACTGTCACCCGCAATTAGGGTCACCACGCAGCGCAAGGAAGGATACTGGCATTGTGGAACCACGGCGATTGTGGATTCCGTGTCACGCTGGAGAGAGAGCGAGGATGGATGAATTGAACATACGTAGTAACTTGCTGAATAGTCTGGCTTCCAGCCATCCTCAGTTGTGACGAAAGGTGACCAAGAAGATGCCTGAAGAGGAGAGCGGCGTTCTTTTGAGGCGTCATTTGGTCACCTGAAGGAATGCTCGAGACCGGGCGATGGAGGTCAAGCTGCGGCGGGCAACAGATGCGGCGTTGTGGTTGTCGTGGAGTTGTCTGTTAACTACAGGGACGGATGGGTTTTCACCACAGCACACTCACATACCTGTCAGAGGTACTTGCTTGCCTCCAGACTCACCAGAATACGATAAAACTGTGCTCCATCGATCAGACTGCCAATATTCAGCATGGCACCGAGCAGGGTGTGTGGTTCTGCAGTGGATTTGCCCATGTCTGTGCGGTGCCGTATGCATTTGCACTGTACGTAGTGACGAGTAGTAGTAGGAGTAGTACTACTGTGTACGTATCCTGTAGCCAGCAGCCTGCACCGCCCAGCGATGCCCAGCTGTGTCTACGCACACCAGAATCCTACTAGTATTGTGGCGACTGCCCACGGTCTAAGCTCTAAGCGTGAAGGGTGATGAGGAAACCCTGCCTGCGCCCAAGAGCCCTAGTCAAAGTCCCTGGTATCCACGCGTATCCATCCCCAAGTCGGCCCGGCCGCTCATCATATGGGCCTGTGCCCGGGGCTTGAGCCTGTGCGCGTCCATGCGTACCTTACTAGGGACCTACCCAGAAAGTACTAGCACCGTGTACACCTGGCGCCTCCAGCTGCAGCTGCGCTGCGCTGCACTGCGCACCCTGGCACTACATCCTTGCAGTCTTGTACCGCACCTGGCTAGGCCCTGGCCCTGGCCCTGGCCCTGGTCAGAAAAATCCTTCCCCTTCGCTTCCCTCTCTCCCTCCCATTTTTCCTACGTTTCAGGGCGTGTCCGCTTCAAGTTCCCAGCCCACACACGTACGCTCTTAACATCCGCCCATTTGCTGCCTGTGGATAGGTCTGATGGAGACCGCTGTGGCCGATGATACTAAAACTCCATCGTCCGCCCTCCACATTGCCCAAGATTCCCTTACTACCCTCCTCAATCATTACTACACACAAAATATCCAACATTAGTCGAGACACACTCTTTATTGCTTTGCTGATTGCATCCGCATAAGAGCTAAAGAGACAGCAGACTCTTCGTCTCGCCTCAGATTACCCTCGCCGTCCGTCGATACGAACGACCAGCCACACTCCTTGGAAGCGACCGACAGCTGCTGACTGTATTCCAACGAGGCAATACTTCCCAAAACGTATCAACGACCTTGAGCCGTGGACTTGTATACTCTGGAGCTTCTATAAGAACGCTCCCCTCTCCTCTCTGTCACGATGTCGGAGTACACATACCCCCATTCTTCTACAACCTCGTCACAAGATAGGCACATGGGTTCCATGGCCGCCGCTCTCAGGATGAAACTGGAGAACCTCCCTCAACTCGATATCCAGAACCTCAAAAGCCTTCACACTTCGCAAAACAAACGACAGTCGTTGGAAGTGAATTCTGCAAACTCTTCTCGCTCTGCTCACTCCTTCAGCTCCAGACAGTCGGACGACACCGATGCCACAGACCTCACTGTGACCCCTAACCGTTCGCGCGCCAGTACATTTGACAATGCGGAAAGAATCACATCTCCCCTTGTCCAGACAGCCCAATGCAAGCCTCCACTACGCGTGGTCCTGGGCACCGCCTCAATGGGCTCTCACCTCTCGCCGCTGGCCAAAATCACCACGGTCGAAGATGCCAACAAGTTTGTCAACCTCTTCCGTTCACGAGGTTATGCCGACGTGGACACTGCGCGGGCATACCCGGTAGGCCGAGGCGGCACCTGTGAGCAACTCTTGGGCGAGGAAGCCCTTCGATTGTCCAAGTGGGCCAATGTCTCCACAAAAGTCGCCAGCTTCATGCCTGGATCTCATCGGGCGAAGAACATTGCCACGAGTATTGACAGATCCCTCGACGCCCTGAATCTGGATATGGTCGACATCATGTATCTGCACGCTCCAGACCGGTTCACACCATTTGAGGAGACATGTGAGGCCATGAACACGGCATATCTCGAAGGCAAATTTGAAAGATTCGGTCTATCCAACTACTCGGTCGAGCAAGTCGAGGAGATTGTCAGGATCTGCGAAGAAAAGGGCTATGTCAAGCCATCAGTCTACCAAGGCCAGTACAACCCTATCTGCCGGGGTGGTGAAGAACGTCTCTTTGCCGTCCTCCGCGAACACAACATCGCGTTCTACGCCTACAGCCCCTCGGCTTGTGGCTTCTTCTCCAATAAGGTGACACGCGCATCTACCACGGACAAAGACAGCCGCTGGAACATCGCTTCACCCCTGGGAGCCAAGTATGCCGGTGACTACTTCCACGATCCCCTATTCGAGGCCGCCGAGGTTGTTCGCCAACAAGCTAGGAAATTCGGCATCTCTGGCCACGCCGCCGCGCTTCGCTGGACTACCTGGCACTCTCAATTGGGCGCTGAGTATGGTGACGCCGTCATCATTGGTGCGTCGAAACTGTCTCAACTCCAGGAAAACATGAACATCCTCGAACAAGGGCCACTTCCCGAGGCCCTTGTGGAAACCTTGAATGGGGTTTGGGAGGGCGTCAAAACTTTTGACAAGGGTCCTCGCTTCTCCTTTGTCTGATTGTATCACGATACGGATTGCTATGATATGATGGTTACACTGGGGGATTCAGGGCTATGATTTTATGAGGCGTTTTTCGGGGGACTCTTCTGGGGCAACGACTTACACCAGAAGTCAAGAATACACTGGGCAAGAAGTTTCTATTGGATTAAGATCCCTCAAGTGCTGAGGCGGATCTATTTTTTGCGTTTACATTCACGAAGGATGTGTTGGCTCGGGCTTGGTTTTTTTTCTTTCGGCGCGACGTTATGTATAACGATACCCATTGCGGCTGTATGTTACTGGGGGATACAAGACAGCATGGAACAAACACGTACCGGTCTCTGGAAGACGCGGGATGGTCAACCCATCGAAACGAAAACGCTCGGATGATTGAAGCTCATGAGCATCTAGCTACACACATCATAGGCAGGTCGACGCGGACGAGTTGGCGCCTATAAAAATACAATTGGACCATGCGTCTATTATTGTTTCCCTAGTTCTTCTCTTCTCGTGTTTTTCTAGAATTCCTTCGTTGTGGCGCCTCTCCTTCCTTGCAAAGTGGTAGTGCTTGTGCGCTCTCACCTCAGTCCTACTTTTATGTGTGGCATCCTGGACAGGTCGCTTGACAACCACAATCCTCGTCAGACACGATCGAGACCCCGTCAAAGCACCTTGCACCTCGTCTACCTGCCGTCGTCCTCGTATACTAGGGCATAAAGCCGACCGGGCGCCTCACCATTGACTTACCTGTCCGTGGGCGCATGGCATTGGTGCCACACAGGATCATGCTCGCTTCCATATCCAGCTGTTGCTGGGCCCGAGACTCGGTTCCAACGCTTGCAGGGAACACAGTGCATCCAACAACCCCTTCAGAGAGCAAGCCACACTTGGGAAAAGCACAAGAACGAGTGCGGAACCATCAGGTGCAAGGTGGTGGGGTAGGAATGTTCGATCGAGGGCTGAAGCACTGGCACCTGGGACCCAAAGAGCCGGAAGCACAACCACGGGGCTGCGATCACATCATCAATGGCCAAAGGGAGGTTGCTCCCAAACAAATGTCGAATCCATGGCAGCGAATCACACCCACATTCCTGATGGTCGGGTAGCGCGCGCCACCTGTAAGCCCCGGCAGGATCCTTCCTTCGGAATGGCACCACCAATCTGTCTGGAAGCGGGGGATCTCTGAGAGACACAGACTTGAAGAAGACACCCACCTCGCGTAGGCCTTGTGACAGCAGACGAAAAGGCAAAGCAATGTCTGGTGGCGCATTCCATCCTCCAATTGATGGTTGCGGCATTTTCTTGCTGGCATATAACCTACAACGTTCATGCGGCTATTTTGTCTAGAATGACTGGGATTCTCGAGCACTCTCTGGTGGTCAGTGGTCAGTCCTCGTCTCGAAGCCAAAATCCTTCAGACTCTGGTTCGGCATCTCCTCCATTAGGAGAGTCTCCGGGAAGATTCTGCCGGCATAACGAAAGTCTCCTTCTGACTTCGGGCATGGCACAAAAGGCCACCCCGGGAGTCTTGCGCGTCTTGCTCGTGTCGCGAGGATGCAAGAGTTCACGCCCTGGATGGGTAGACCCAGGACATCCGAGAGGCAAATAATGACGTTGGAGTGTAGGAGCACTCTTTGAGGCTCTCCTCATCAGCAGACCATGATCCACGAGTGGTTGCCATTGCCATTCGTTGACCCTGGTGATCTGAGGAGTCGTGAGAACCCGTGAGCACAATGAGCGTGCATAGGATCCCATATCAGTTTGCACAACAGTCTCATTCCTCCAAAGGAGGCGGCACACGAGGGAACGAGACAAGGGCCACCCTTCCACGTGGATGGACTCCCATCATTCTGTCTCTCCCTTAACCCAGCTATCGTCTATGCCCGATGCGGTCAAGGCAACAAAAGAGTATGTCGCTAGTCAACAGGCATGGCTTTTCCGCTTGGTGTGCATGTTGTTTGGCTCGATGGTCAACCAATGCATCTGGCTCAACATTTTCTCGGGTTCACCCACAGACTCGCTCATCCACATGCGACCGGAGTGTGGGCTGTGCGTTACCTGGGTTATCCCATATATCGCAACTTGCAGCAGCTGTTACTCAGGCTGAACCTTTAGTGGACGCAGGGGTTGACGAAGCAAAGCCGGGAACAGTGCCTCGAGTCTTAATTCGTCCTCGTAGGCTTACCTGAGACTCGACCAGCCATTCTGTGATTGACGCCACAAAGCTCAACACCATGAGTCTTCATGCCCCCAATTCGATGGTCATCTCGTTGGCTGGGCGTTTTCTTATGGGTGTTACCGCTATCAATAATCTGTTAGGAATTGCGAGCGGGAAAGTCATCACCACCCATCTGCCGTGCTCGCTTCCACGATGTCAAGCAATGAATTCTGCAGGGGGGGAAACTCTAAGATATCTAGGTGCTCTTATGACTCTCAATGGTCCAGTTGCCCCTGCATCTGTTGATGTCTCAAAGCAGACTGTGAACTGGGCTGCTGCATGGCCAGGTTGAGCAGCCGCGAACCAAGCCATCGGTCGAAGCGACACGCCTCGATGTCAGAACTGTCTTGGTTGATCACCGATCGGATCGTCGTTGCTTCGCTGCTCAAACGAGACAATCATAGGTTACGCCCTCCCTAAGTTCGTCTATCCTACCGGCCAACCCGAGCGAGCATAAGCGAGACGATTGACTACTTCGCCTACCACTTCACGCCATCACCTACCTTCAGGCAGGGTTGCCCTCAGCTATACTGGGAGATATGGTTTCTATCAAAATTTGTGCCCACAAAATTGCCAGGCTGAATCTGCTGACGTTGGATGGATCTTCCATGTACTACGTTGTGGTGTCGACAGGCCTATGGTAATATGGGGTAGGTAAGATGCGAATTCCGCGAGATTCGTGTTGCTGAGGTGAGGAGTGAGCCTCTCCATCCGCCTGGTTCATCCTGTAGGGTGGCAACCCAGTTGTTCCATGGACCTTCTGATTGTTGTTTCAATCGATTGATATGTCATCAGAATCCACGGCGCCGACAAGCGAAGATGACTATCAAGAGCCTTTCGACTAGCTGACAACCGAGCGCCCCCGTGCCTTGGATCAATGTAAGCGATTGTTATGTGATGGCAACGACCTCGCTGTCGTATTCTCTTGCCAAAGCACTACTACCCAGCAAACCCATGGCCGCCATGCACCCGTCACTTCGTGTGTGCACCGCACTGCATCCGCTGCTTACTACCTACAGAAGCGGGACTCATATCATCCAGGTCATTCTAACTCGCACCCTTATTTGCCATGCCCCGATGTGAGGCCAGGCGGCAATGATGTGCTTCACCACATGCCATCAGGCGCGCCACAACATTCTGCACCGGATATGCAGCCATGGTCTGGTTGCTGCCATCCACGGCAACCTCGAGTCTAACCACCACCTCTATCAGCCCCCAGGTCACTAGTCCCAAGCAAGAAGATGCATGACTATTACTCCTTTCGTCTTAGATTTCCACACTCAAGTACCATTGCGCTACTGTACCCTATAACACACATCGGTACGCCCGCTTGGCAACGACGAGGACGGACCAGATTATGTCGTCCGTGTCAAAGGTCTAGAACCTGGAAGCGGACCAAGATCGCATGCCACGTGCACGGCGGCCAACGCAGTGACAAAAGGACCTTCAGAAGCCCAGCGATTCTGGCATTCCTCGCTTAACACACTTTTCCCCGGGGGGAAGGAAAGCTTCTAGAAGTCAGGAGTCAAGACATAATTGGACCAATGCCCCAACCTCCTGGAGAGATGCCCACGGTCCACATCTCCCCAGCTTCAGCTGGTGGGCTCTATAGAAGAGCTGGCTGCCACTTCTATTGGTCTCCGGCGTCGCCGGCGGTGTCAGTGCGGCTGAGCGCATGCCTTGTCAATGCTATATTAGATGGCCACGGACGGAGGTGCGTGCTCGAGAATGGCCCAATGCAGCGGAAATGGGAATCTTGAAATAACCGTCCTTCCAAATACGGTGCTGTGGCAAGCATATTCATATTCCGTCCTTGACAGATCTGTCTCTACCTGCCTTAGATGACCTCGGGGCGTCCGAACGAAAAGGAAGAGCTGAATGGGTAAGCGAAGCACACATCAATAAAGTGCAAACATGTACATACTATTCTGGAGTCGAGTCTCACTTAGCTGTCCAGGATTCAGCGCCACACGGACACAACACGATGCACGAGTGGTTCGGATCTTGCCAGCAAAACCGGAAAAGTGAGACCACTCGATTTGCGAAGGCAACCCAGGGTGAGCAAGCCTTTCCACTGTCCAATAGTTTCTTGACGGTGCACGGATCTAGACGAGAATCGAGATGTCAGAAGTCTTGTTTCAAGACTCAGCAAGCATTCTTGCATGCAAGGCGCAGACAGTCGCTTCCTACACGGAGCATACTGTAGTACCTACATCAGACCTGGCAATGGCAACGTCCTTACCACCCACGTGCATGTACTAGAGTCCCAGGGGCGTCTTTGATTGATGACACCGCGCCACGGAACACGAATCCTTGATTACCACAACCGATCAAAGAAGGAAAGCTGATCAGATCTTGACATCTTGTCAAGCTCATGTCAAGAGATCAGAAAAAAAATGCCGGAGACAGGATCCCGGGGATGCCGACTCACCCAACCCCAATGGTGACACTTCTCCCTCTGTTTCTGATTCTATTCTTGTCGTTTGCTGGTCACTGGGTAGAAGCACTGTCACGAAGAACACGTCCTGCCCTTCTTCAAAGCCTTACAGTGCCATAGGCACGTCCCAGTCCACCGCAAACAGATCGAGCGATGAGCACCCGGCGACGCGGGCGGTATCTTGACTAGTACTAGTAGGTAAGCCTCCTAAGCCACCAGCTTGGCAGATTTCAGCCTTCCGCGGTCTAGACCAACTCTCTGCACGCACCATCTCGATTCTCAGTTGGCGGGGATCCCATGGGGTTCAATCATGTCTCGGGGGTTCCGTCCTGATCAGGGACTCTTGCGCGATATTGGAAAAGATATAGAAGCTGGCGACGGCGCCCTGGTTGAGAACATGTCTACTCCTGGAGGTGGTATCTGGGGGGTAGATGTAGAATTAGTAAGTAGGCTGTAATTTGTAGGTCGAAGTAAAAGTAGCCTAAGTAACCATGATATGAATCGGTGTATAACATAAGATGCTGTGATAATGAGTAGGTAGGTAAGTAAATAAGTGTAGGTCTCATCAACCAGCCTTACTAGGCGCGTATTTTGAAAGGATCTAGATACGGTGTAAAGTTCCAGACATTTCGCAACCTGCATGTTGATTCGACGGTCGCAAAGGTCGACAATCGACAAAACAATGATATAGATGACAGTGAGTAAGTAGTAAGGATGGAGAGAGCAGATGCTGTCCTGATTGCAGGAACAAGAATTAATACTTCCATGGGGTGCTTTCGGTTGTAATAAAAGATAATTTATAGGTGGGTGGGTTTAAACTACTAGTAACGCTGCTCATGCGACGAGGCTGAGCCTTGTCAGGGGCTGGCTGATCTGGCCGCCCTCGTCGCTTCCACATATCATATTGGGTGTGTACCAACAACAATCGCTGCAATGATTGAATGGTTCAGTGTGCTCAAGTAAGCTGGAGTCCTTCTTTGTTCCCAATGAACTTAGACTACAGCTGATGGTGCACTATCGTCACAATCACGGGGCATTCATGCTTATGGGACACCTCGCTCTTCATACGTGGATGTTGTACTTCACAAGTATTTGATACTTACCAGCCATTTTCAATTATTGCTTTATGTGGGGCTTTACTCTCGCACGCGGTGAGAAAACCTCTCATCGACACGCAGCGACGACCTATGGTGGTTGCATACGCCCTAAACAATCCACATTCAACCTTGGTCCTCGGGAGACTTTGGAACCGGAGTCATCCTGTGTAAAATGAAGCAGGCTGCAGAACAGAACAATCTTCACCAACAGCGCATGTGATACCACAATCTCCGGACCAGTCTGGCCGTCACCGCCACTGATGATCGTGATCATAACGACGGCTCCAGAAGTCGTACATACTACATACTACACAGAGAGCGGAGAGCATCAGAAGACTAGTGATACCGATCACCATTTTAGTAGGACATGGCCAGCTCAGCAGACTTTACTTTCCTCATTCTAGTCTGACCATGCCCGACAAAGTGAATCTGTAGATCCTCTTCCATTCTCATTCTTCTTCTTCTTTCCCTTGTAACTTGTTTCCATCAACACTTTCTTGTCTCATAAGATAGGGATCCATGAAGCCATATCGTTTTCGATTTCAAACACAGCCGTCATGTTGACACAGATGGCACAACTGCCGGGGATTCGTGGAACATCGGACCACATGAAAGCAGTACTCACAATCACAATCACACCCCCGGCATTTTGTCGTACTTCCTTCTCCACGCATATCCTTGCTGTACTCTGTACTCTGTACCCCGTACCCCGGTGTCCTGTCTGTCCCTTGCTCCACGCTCCGTGGTTGTGCTGTTGAAGAAACCCCACTGTCGCGTACAACAGTACAGCGTAGAACGCCGGGGTAGGTAGCCAAGACTGGTAATGGTATCACAAAGGCAAGGCAGGGCATGAAACGTGTCACGAAAGACAGCATTTGCATCTGCTTCCGCATCTGCGGACACGAGCAGGGGGGCAAGGTGATAACATAAGTAGTGGAACTATACCTGACCCCTATTGTACCTACCTAGGTAGTTGTAGTTGAAATAAGTCGGGATAGGCGGTGTGTCAGGACTCAGCAGGCTAGCCCGTGAACGTCTGGTCCATGAGCATTGAGGGGAGAGAAGGATAAAGTGAATCACTCAACAACAGATGACGAACAGCACTGGACGGATCATGCTCAATGGCATTGGCACCTAATTCGCATTCGAGGCCCTGCAGCCTGCTCGAGGGGTTTCTGTCTTCCCTGTAGGCTGTTGCGGTCGACATATCGACCACCCCGTCCTACCTTGGCCATGCCTTTCTCCATCATGCTGTATCGCTGGCTGGGAACATGGGATTAGTCTCTTCTGCGTGAGTGTGCTCCTTACCTGGCCTGAACTCCATCGTTGTATGCTGTATCCTGGCCTGGCCGGATGTGTGCGAAAGACACAACAGGACGGTGGATGTGACAATCTTTCCATAAGGTTTGAGGGTTGCATGCTCGCTCGACACGTGTCAGCTTGTGGAATGGCATAGTCCAGCCTCAGTCTAGGTCCAGAGCAGCTCGAGATGACTAGTAGCCCAGCCCAAACCCAGCCCAGCGCAGAGTCTGAGATGAAGCCGAAACAACATGTACTCCGCAGCAAATGATGGTACTAACTGGTACCGAACTTGAGCGGCGGGACTGGCGACATAGGCCGCGAAATGCGGGTGTAAAGCGAAACCTTGAAAGAGAGAATCGATACTTACTATGAATATTTCGAGAAGCGTGTTACCTTGTGGCATGGTTATTTCTTGTGTATGTTGCAGGGGACAAAGAGTCGACCCTTGTGGTAGAAATTGATACCACGAGGAAACATTCGTGGTAATCTTCATTGCGGATGGTTATCTGAAGGGACGAAAGTATCCTTTCGCCACTGGCGGGAAGGATGCATGCAAACACCAAGACAGATGAATCAGGCACTCCAAGCGGTTGAGACATGCATGCATGCAAGTACCTAGTGTTTCGCTTCGAGCCGCCACATGTGTGCAGGACGAGGGCCGAGACGGGATAGATACGAGAATCGAGAACATCAAATGTGCCTGAATGGTGGAGCGGCTGAGAACAAGGTTCGACCATGATCAGAATATGTACCTGACAGACAGTTTCCAGGAGGTTGGAGCGATCAACATACAGCATGGTGCAGTCGAGTGAAGCGCATCGTAGGCGAACCACGCCTAGAGCTGTCGACGAATGCAAGACCACGGCATGTCTCAGGACGAGGACATGAAAAACGATTTAGCGAGAGACATAGAGGCGAACAGTCCATGAAGCTGGGGTGGCAGAGCCTACGCGCAAACAGGAAGGTTGAGATGCCGATCGAGGCTCAAGTCCGTAGTGATCGGAGGCCCATGGCGAATAGGATCGGAGGGAAGAATGCTTTCGTATTGTCCCAAAGAAAAGGTGCAACCTGGTTGGAATTGATTCTAACCATGGTATATGCTGTAGACCACCTGCGAAAATCAACCTTCCAACCACCCAGGAAAACCATTCAGCTCGAACGAGTGACAACTGTTCCGATCAACGGTCAAGACAAAGTTATGATGGCTGATGTTGAACAAGCCACGTCCCGCACAATCAAGGCAACTCTCCAACTCTTCATTCGGTTGTATCCTCCAGGCTCTGCTCATGGCCACGTCCCGTGGTGTTGGATGGGGGCTGGCCCATGTAGAGATAATCGTCGTCATCTGGATCCGTCCGCTCGACGAGACCGCTGCGGATGATTTCGTCACTGAGTCGAACCTCGGGCGCATCAACAGGCATAACGGATGTTCCTTTTGGAGTGAGATCTCCCAGATCTTGGACCAGGTAGGTTGAGTCGAGCAGATTGAGACGGAGACAGTACCAGCTCTCTGAAGCCATGGGGAACAATGGCGGAACTTGGGCTGTCGCATAAGCGGTTTGAAGGATACCGTGGCAGTCCTCCTAGATTGCCGATTGCACATTCAGTTCCGCCGCTGTGGTGTTGCGCTGTCGAGATAAATTGTCCAGCCATGTTCCACCCACTCTCACAGACACTCTTGGGAGCTTCACGCGAGGCCAGAGCATGCGCGTTTGGATTGCAGACTCATGGACAGACTCTGGCTCGATCCAGTGCCAGGCAGCCAGGATCTCGGCAATCTGATCAATCCGCCAGATGGGGATGGCCTTGTAAGAACCACTGGCCTGGACGGCACGTATCTAACATTCTCCAAAGACCAACTCGATTTGACATTCGCCCTTGTTGATTCTGTCCTGCAGGAGATCCTTCCAGTTCGCTGCCGCACGTTTTGCTCTCTCGACCAAGGCTCTCATGTACAGTTCACCATGCTCAATGTCGACCATATGGGGTGCTTTTGGGTCTGGAGAGTCGAAAGCTGGAGAGATGCGAATGACAAGCTCGGAGTGGAGGTCCCATGGGAACAGTGGAAGAGCACCGAGGTCAAACGACGTGTCATTGACATGAACAGAGAAGCGACGGTCTTCCCAGGAAACGTTGTCGGCCTGGTCTGAAGACAGAGCCGAGAGGGCCGAGACTTGAGCAGAAGAATCGTTCGAAGACATGATGACAAGTATGATGCGTATGACTGTGTTAGATCATGGATGCTAGAAGCTCGTGGTGAAATGAAGATGTGTCTAACGAATGTAATGTAGGGAAAAGAGAAAGGAGAGAGCACACAGGGAGCGAGGAGAGAAAAGGACAATGTTGCATCCTACCTGAACTGCAACTGCCATTTCAGCTGATCTGGCCCCCGAATATCAGCAGGTGCGAGCATAGATGTGACGAGAAAAAGCGTAGCAGGAAGTGTGATAGAGAAGGAAGTCGTGAGGTAGCTCGCAGAAGATCATGATGGTAAGCGTGATAGAAGTTTACTGTGGAGTGCAAGTATCGGGTAGTAATATATACAACGGAGTGTTTGTGTTTGAGTGCATTTCCGGCAAACCTTCCTTGTCTCGCACTAACTAGATTCCCCCAAGTACTAACTACGTAGTAGAGCCTCGCGGACCAGGCACCCGTTTCCTCCCATTGGCTGACAGTACACCCAGCACCGCGGTCCCTCAAAGTGGCTCCAAGGAACATTCAAGAAGTTTTGTGGGTGCGCAACTTGAAGTGAAAGTTCACAGCGGCGACAATAAATACAGTCTTCGGATCTCTTAATCTAGTCTGGCCAAGTGTTTTGCAAAAGCAAAATTAGATACTTGACTCACACCTGAAGCGCTCACCACTCCGTTACCCTTCGCATAGAAGCCACCACACCATTACCCAGCATGGCTGGCTCACAAAGTGGTAAGGCACATCGCTTCAACGCGAGATGAAAGCCGGCTAACAACCCCCCAGGAAGACCTCGGGTCTACTTCGACATTGAGATTGCGGGAAGGAAAGAAGGCCGTGTCGTATTTGAGCTGGTGAGTAGTGAACATGCCTGTATCGATTGCGCAAAGCTGACCTCCTCTACAGTTCAGTGATGGTACGTTTCTGGGTCCTCATTTACCTCCTTCCGTCCTTTCTAACGAAACCCGCAGTCGTACCCAAGACAGCAGAAAACTTCCGCGCGCTATGTACTGGTGAAAAGGGGGTTGGCAAGGCGGGCAAGCCTTTGAGCTACAAAGGTACGCAATGCGGATCCCATGGCATACATGAAGCGAGGCTAAGAGACGGGCAGGTTCAATCTTTCACCGTGTCATAAAGTCTTTCATGATTCAAGGTGGTGATTTCACAAATTTCAATGGCACCGGAGGAGAGTCCATCTACGGCGAAAAGTTTGATGACGAGAACTTCGAGTTGAAGCATGACCGACCATTCCTGTTGTCCATGGCCAACTCTGGTCCAGGTAAGAGCCCAAGTGTCTACGGCGCTCCGAGACGTGGCTGACATCTACAGGCACCAATGGCTCGCAATTCTTCATCACCACCGTTCCTACTCCGCATTTAGACGGAAAGCATGTCGTTTTCGGCGAGGTTATCAACGGCAAGAATATCATCCGAAAGATCGAGAATCTCCCAACACAATCAGACAAACCTACCGGGGGCGATGTGGTCGTGGTCGACTGTGGACAACTAGAAGGTGACACCTATGAAACTGCCACCCAGAAAGCTCCCGATGCCACTGGAGACCCGTACGAAGATTTCCCTGAGGATCAAGGCCAGGACTTGAAAGGTGAAGATTACTACAAGATCGCGCTAGACCTCAAAGAATTCGGCAACAAAGCGTTCAAAGCAGGGGATATCGAAACCGGCATTGAAAAGTACCAGAAGGCATTGAGATACCTGAACGAGTACCCTGCAGCCGCCGAAAATGACCCCAAGGACCTTCAGAGCAACATTGACCAGCTCCGATTCACTCTACACAGCAACTCAGCACTTCTGGCTAACAAGTCTAAACGATATGCCGAAGCGCAGAAATGGGCCACATTTGCCATCGATGCCATCCCCAAGGACGCCAAGGACACCGACAAAGCGAAAGCCTACTTCCGACGTGGACAGGCTCGAGTTGCGCTGAAAGACCTGGAAGAAGCTCTCAAAGATTTTGAGCAAGCAGCAAAGCTGGCTCCCGAGGATGCTGGCATCAAGGCCGAATTGGCAAAGACGAAGAAAAATCTTCAAGACAGTATCAAGAAAGAAAAGAATGCCTACAAGAAATTCTTCAGCTGAGAAGCATGACTGAGGACAGGCGAGGAAGTGGTCAATCGGGCCCACTTCATTCGTGTGCCGTCTTGACGTTCGCACACACTCCCACATCACGAAGCGGCCCCATGTGGGACATGGGATGACCAGTGAACAAGCTATTGAAAGCCGAAGCCAGCCATAATCGGGCATTGGAGAAAGAGTAATCCACGACATGCCATTGATGCTGATGTCAGCGATGAATAGATGACCATGATCAAGGACAAAAATCATAACCTGAATGATCTTTCCAACTTCCTTGCGAGAGCGCGTTTCCGCTCCAACAGCAGTGACCAACAAATGCCATCTCTGGGCCTGTCCGCTGGCATTGGAGTTTTTCTTTTCAGCGCCAGCCTCGTGCCCAACTCAGCTGCCCAATTCCTGAGGAATGCAACTCGTGATTACGTAGTGTGCACTTTTCGAACACTTGACTCAAGGTTGACTTCTCCCTTCAGGATTCCCGGCAAGGTTATCCGTACTTCTTCCAATCTTCATTTCTTCCTTCCACGTCGTGCGCTCCTGCTTGGCTACCCCTGGTCCTCGATAGACACTTCCATATAGCCCGCTTGCCCAGGATTTGCCTGCTGTTGCCTTGTCACTTTCTCCATCCTTGCTGACTGCCTTGACAGTATGTTTGCGCCGATACCACTTGCCATAGTTCAACAAATAATACAGGCGGAATGAAAGAAAGGCGAACTTGTCGTTCTCCAGGTCCTCCGGGTACTCCGCGCCGAGATCAACAGCGGCAGCAATGCCCGAGATGATGGCGACTTCGTGGGCGTTGACCAAATTCCAAGCGGCGGCGTAGCGCACGCAGCGCTTACCCTGCAAGAACATCATCCAAGGCACGACGAACAGGTAATGGGTGTAGCTGTGGCACAGCTGATGCCACCAGTCCTTGCGGATGACCTTGGTGTCGTCGATCTCGTGGTCCGTCCACAGGTGGCCGTCGCGGTCCTTGTTCAGATAGATTGTCTGGAAAACGTGGTCTTCGAACGGCACCTTGTCCGGGAACTGTGCCTGGTAGTTGGTCGCATCGAAGCACATTTCCAGCTTGGACTTGTCTTCGCCGTACATCTTGATGTAGTACATTGGGCGGAAGTTGGACTTGGCCCACTCGCAGCGCGATGACTGGTCGACTCCAGACAGCGACTTGACTGCCAGCTGGTCGTCGTAGAAGTTTTGGTAGTGTTTCTTCATGTAGTCGGCGTCGGTGTGCGTGATGGTGATATCGTCGGAGAACTTGGCGCTGCCCAAGACACGCCGCTCGCGCCAGGTGGAAGTCTTTGACAGAACTCGCTTCGCAGTGTCGGCCAAACAGCAGAGCACGAGCTCGTCGTAGCGTTCTTCATAGGTGGGCGCGTCCGAGTCGCCGTCGATCGGATTGTGTCCATCGGGGGCAGGGGTGCGGCTCTTCAGGGACACGATGACCCCCGATTTGTCGCGATGCAACACAGCCACGAGCTCCGTGGACAGTCGAACTTTCACGCCACGGGACACGAGGTCTTTGCGCCACGATTCGTAGAACTCGCTGAAATTGGGAAACACCACCATGGGAGGCTGGTTGCTCGCAATGCTGACCCGGTCCAGCGGGTACCACATGCCATACGTAGGACTGGTACAGAGCCGCTCGAGCATGATTGCCGGGACATTGGGGGTCTCGTTGCCAGTGCCGAGAAACAAAGCCGTCATGGGCAAGGCGATCGTGTTGGTAAATTCCTCCGAGAACATCCACAGCTTGAAGAAGACACGCATGGGCATCAGGGCGAAGAAGATCTCGAACCAGCGCATGAACTTGATGGCGGAGTTGAATCGCTTGACTTCCTTCTGATGCCGCGCCAGCAAATCCGTGGGGAAGACATTGGTCCAGAAGGTCTCGTCCTTGCCGAAAGACACTTGCAGATTGACCGGGTCGGCGTGGTAGCCTTGCTGCGCGAACATAGTCAGCGTGTGGTGGAAGATGTAGCTGCCCCCTTGCACGCCTTGGTTGAACCAGCTTGCGCCGTGCCGGGATTTGTCCAGCGGCACAGCAAATGCTTGGCCGCCGCAATAGTCAACCGCGTCGATTAGCGTGATGTCGAAGCCGTCGGCCTTCTGTGAGAGATGATGTGCTGCGGACATTCTAGAGGATAGATAGATCGCACATTGGTTAGTCACAATTGTTCCAAAAGTCTGCCCATCTGTAGGGCGGTAAGGGTGATATCTTACCCGGCAGCACCGGCGCCAACGACGAGAACCTTCTTTTTTCTCTTCTTGCTGCGCTCATCATTGCGGCTGAATGGGTTCTGCGACATCGCTCTGCCTCGAGTTGTCTCGCTCGATGTCATTTCTAGGAACGAGACCGACAAAAGCCAAAAGGTAGTCTTCACGGCCTGATCATGTTGTCCTTCCAGATCTGGAGGTTATATCCCCTGGGAGATCCTGTATACAAAGTGTCCGTGTGGTGTGGTCGCTGCATGACACCTGCGTCGCCTCGACGACGTCATGACCTCCCCAAAGGATCTGTCAATGTCAGGTACCAGATTCATGATTGATTGGCGATGCAGGCGTCAACGAGATCTGAGACAGAGCTGACCTGTCCGTTCACTGGTAGTGGACGTCTCTAAGCTGATATAGTCAACGGCGGGTGCATTTCTGTAGCTACTACCATGCAGCCGACGATCCTGATGATGCCAGCCTTATCCCCCTTCTCGCCAATGGCTGAAACATCATATCTTATCGACAACGCATCAAATCTTATCTAATCTTAACCAGGATGCAGCCCCACCGCGAGCTAGCCCCGCAGTTTCCCTTTTCGGCTAGTGGAAGCGACGTCGGAAGCGTTCCGTGAGTCGCGCAACTGCGGAGAAGAACGACTCGAGGTCAAAGTTGGTGTTTTCCTCTTCAAAGTCCCACCATTGAAACTGCTTCAATTCAGCTGCTTATTACTATTTGTTGAGCGTTTTCCCTCGTCCATCAAGCCCTTTTATGCACCATGGCAGCCAAAGTCGCCCTCGTCACCGCCTCAAGCGCCGGTCTGGGTGCGGCCACAGTCAAAGCATTGGCCGCCCACTTTCGGATCGTGGTGAACTACCACTCGAGAAAAGAGAAAGCCGAGGAAGTGATCAAGGAGGCATCCTCCATCCCAGCAACGTACAACACCTCCACGGGACCACGCTTCCACGCCATCAAGGCCGACGTTTCGCAGCGAAGCGAGATCCAACGCCTCGTGGCCGAGACCGTGTCCACGATGGGCCGCTTGGACGTGGTCGTGAGCAATGGCGGCTGGACGCGAGTGACCGACTTCTTCGACCTCGAGCAGCAGATCAATGAAGATGACTGGGATCGCTGCTTCAATGTCAACGTCAAGAGCCATCTGTGGCTGCTGTACGCTGCCAAACCGCACCTGGAGAAGACCGCCGACGAGGAGGGCGTGGGTGGTTCCTTCGTCACCGTCGCCAGTCTTGCTGGTGTCCGGCCGAGCGGCAGCTCCTTGCCATACGCCGTGACCAAGGCGGCGGAGATCCATTTGACGAAGGGCCTCGCTTTGATTTGCGGTCCCAAGGTTCGCTGCAACAGTGTCAGTCCTGGTTTGATGTTGACGGAATGGTGAGTTTAACGTGTTTCCAGAGCGGCGGGTTGGGGTAATGTGGACAGGTGCTGACATTGTGATTCGCGTGCAGGGGCAATCAATTCCCAGAGTCGAAAATCAAAGCCACGACGGAGAAAACAACTTTGAAAGCGCTCGCCACGCCCGGTGATGTCGCTGAGCAGATCAAGACCTTGGTGCTGAGCAAGTCTATGACAGGTCAGAATATCGTCATGGACGGCGGAATCGCAATCTAAAATGTCCTTTTTTCTCAATCCTCCATGCTTTGCGGCTGTCTAGAGGAAATGTCGATCTCCTCAGCTACAAATTGATTGCAACGGAGTCCGCCAGATCATGTGTTTCTGCGACTGTGCAACCTGATCCTATTCGACCTACTACTAGTTCAGCACTCGTCCGAGCCGGTCCTCATCATCTTATCCTCGAGCTGTGCAAATGCAGCCGTGGCAAATGCACATTTTTCTCATCATGCTTGCGCGGTGTTGCCATAAACCGGCTATGGTTAGTCATCGCCAGAATTGTCGGCCTTTCGATAGAAGATGTTTGAAGGTTGACCTGTGAACCATCCTTTGGCGGCTTGGTACACTTATTAACTTGAGGAGCTTCGTCGTATACGAGAGACATGGGATCTCGATCAGTACTTGGATGTCTGGGCTGGCTTGACGATATGTCTGGACCCCATTACAGGGTATACTGGAACGTTTGGCTAGTGAAGTTGCTCCTACTGTGAGGATCTTGCAGGTAAGTAGCACTGCAAGATGGCTTGGTCTGTTACGTAGACCGTGGTGTCTTATTACAGGAAGTCTGGAAGCTCCATGAAAATAGCCAATAGCCAATCGTCAACCTATGCTCTTGAACAGTATGGCTTCCATGTGATTGATGCTGTAGATTGCGCGACCTAGTCATCGAACGCCGCACTTCCCAGATCCAGCCGCCGAAGCGTGCCCAACGCGATCTTGCAACCTCTCTTGACAGTCTCTCTGTCGTCCTTCGAGACCAGATCCGACTTGCGGACATTTTTTTTGATGAAAAACTGCAGCCGTTTGATGACCTGTGGCGACTCGGCAGTCCGCCCAAAGACCTTCTCCAGCACCGTCTCCTTCCCTTTCGCCTCGGTCATGAGCATGATCAACAACAACTCGACAAACATACTTGTTCGCTCCTTGATATAAGCCAGATCAAGGACCTTCAGAACACCCAACGTCTCCGCTCCATCGAGGATGAGATGCGCATAGAGCTTGGCCAGGTTCGCGACTTCGCTCATCTTGACATCATTCTCCTCTTCACGGGTATCGTTCTCGTCGTCCAGATCCGGGTTCTCGCCCATTCGCCGGAAGAAATCCCACAGCGCGAACTGGAAAGCCTTCCGCATGCGCTTGTCAGCACACAGTCGTTTCGCCACCAGCGTGTAGTAGTGGTTGTAGGGATTCTCGCCAGCAGCGCAGCGCAGGAGGACGCGAGGAACCTCTTGCTCTTGCGCCCGCTTGAGACGCAGCTTGAGCAGTCTCATATGTGCATCTTGAGCGTCGACAGCCGAGAGGAGGGCGACGAAAATAGAGCGTCGCACGTCCGTGTTCATACCATACTGCCGAGCGAGGGCGAGGAGGTCGATGGACTCGTCGTCGTCGTCCAGGATTCGCTCACTCGAAGTGAAGAGGGTGTTGTCTGTTGTCGTTGTTGCAGCAGACGTGGTTGATGGGTTGTTTGTGTCTGTATTGCCATTGCCCTTCCAACTCGCGCCGACGAGCCACCATTTCCCCTTCCTGTCGCTGTTCTTGAGGTCGTCGCGGCTGGTCCTCAAGGGCTCCGAGGCTCGGATGGTGCGATTGTTCAGGGATCCAAGCACTTTTCGCATCTGCGTGATATGTTCGCTGGAGAGGCCTGCATTGTTGGTCGCCGCCTTCATTCGATTGTTTTTCAGATCTGTGATGGTTTCGATCATGAATTTGGTCCGCACGCTCATCTGCTCGCCAGCTGCCGTCATACGCGCAGTCTCCTTCTGCATCAGCTGCACAATGTCCTTGAGGGAAGATGGGTCGTCTTGTCTGAGCTGGGGCCCGCAGTCTCGCATCAACCGAAGGAGTAGTTCGGTATTGCTTTCGCTCAGCTTTTCCAGCAGCAAACGAATATGGTCGAAGACAATAGTGCTGTTGACCACGTGGAACGTGAACATATTGGACAGCAGACTGATCAGGTTCAACGACTCCTTCCCTCCTGAAGCCGCATCATTATGGTATTGGTCGAAGCGCTCGACTATCTGTGAGAGGAGCTCTGCGCCGAAGTCGACGCCGACGACTTTGTAGACCGCAGCAGCAAATGCAGCATGTAGGATGACGAACGTGTTCTGCAGCGCCGATTTGTTGCAGAACTGGGTCAGGAGAAGGTCTATCAGGACGGTGGTCACGTCTTGTCGTGGATTTGTCTGATACACCTTTTCAATCTCGCCCAAGATAGACACGAGATTGGCTTCGGAAAGCTTGTTGAGGTGGCCTTGGACTTGTCGCTTTAATCGCTCCAATGAAGGCCCCTCGGAATTTTGTGCTTTCCTCAAAGACGGTGGAATGTATTTGCCGGGTGGTGCGTTCGGTGATACTGGAGCGACGTAGGGATTCTCTCGTACCTTCTTCGGCGCAGGACGGGGGGCCTCTTCTTCGTCGTGTTCGTCGTCCTCTCCCGCCAAGTCGGAGCCAAACTCCTCAAAGTCGTCGTCAGAAGCACCATCCTCATCTTCGTCCAGTCCCAGCCCGTCCATATCCGAACTTCCATCTTCTTCAGAGTCCTCATCACCAAGATCTAAGTCGTCTTCATCTTCATCGCTCTCCTCCAGATGTTCACTTGCTTTCCGCCTTTTCCTCTCCAGCCACTCTTCCGCCTCGGTCTTCCGCTTGACTCCACGGTCCTCAGCGTCCAAGCCTGCAAGTAGATCGTCCAGTCCGTCTTCTGCGAATGATTTGGGCAACTTGTTCTTCTTGAGTCCGAGCTTTCTCTCCAACGCATTGATCTCCGCCTCATCCTGTGCAAGCCGCTCTTTGAAAGCTTGGGAGGAAGCATCGAGGACAAGACCAGGAGACGTAGACCGTGATCTAGACGACAAGGATAATTCTGAGAGTGACGGGGATGGCTGTCTCGGCTTTTTGAGGATCGACCTCGGTTTCGGTGTAGGCTGTTCCTTCCTGGTACTGGTTGCCTTCGCCGCTGCTGTCTTCTTCGCCGAATTACGTTCGCGGACAGTGTCTGGTCGGTCAGGTTCTTCGTCGTCCTCCGGATCGAATCCATCGTTGTCGGCTGCGGCCCATCTTTGACCCTTTGCGCCTCTTATATTCTGCTTCCGCTCGTGTCTTTCGGCCTTGCGCTGCTCCTTTCTGTCCTTGACTGCGCCATGTTGTCGCCGCCCACCCGTTCGCGGGCCGTCAATGCCTAACTCTTTTTGCAACGCAAATGGCAATTTCAAGCCACTGCCAGGTTGTGACCGACGGGCGTGCGACATCTATACCACAAGCCCAGAGATCAACTCTCACCCTTCAGTTTAGCGTCGTCGCTATGTAAGTGGTATGTAGAAAAACGAGCACTCGGTCCCAGGCAAAACTGCGGCCTGAAATTATTTCGACTCCGGCGGATTTAAGCGGCGATAACCGAAATCTTAGCGTTGGATCTCGCTCTAATCTGTCGGACAGCAAGAAATCCCCCACTGAAACAACTCCATACAAACTCTTGATATGACATCCATCCATCCATTGATGTACGTTCTAACTCCGTGACACTCACACTACAAGAGCATCGCGCGTCAAAGAAACCGCACAATGTCGCAAGAGCGCGTGAGTAATGATGAGGTAAGAAGATCCTGCAGCAAGAGCCTGTGCACTTCTCATAAAAGCCTACGACTATAATGAACCAAACTGATCCTATGTGGCATATATAGTTCCTGAACCGGCTCACCGTTCTCCTCTCCTCGACACACTCAGAAAGCCATGGCTCTGTATACCTGACTCAGAAGCCTCTCATCCCTACCACAGCCGACTCATCATCATCATCACCATCACCGCCGTCACAGATCCTCGTCCGCGCCACGAATGGCCTCTCCAAACCTCATCGCACAGCCAAACCCAAGTCCAAATCTGCCGACTCTGGCAAGCCGAAGGTCAAGCTCGCAACGGTCGTCGAGGTGGCGGACCTAGATGCCTTCTATGCGCGCTATGCGGAGGTATGCAAGAAGGGAATGGAGGGCTTGAGGAAGCGCGATAAGAAGAAGGCCAAGGAGAAGGCGAAGGCGAAGAAGAAGGGGAAAGCTGCGACAGGCGCCGCTGGGGCTTGAAAAGGCATTGGTGGAATTTGACTTCCGAAAAGAACATAGACGACATGGGTTACTCCCCGGTCGGCATGAAGCAGGGTGACAAGCACATTGGTGCTACATCTGGCTCTGGCCGTGGCCCCTTGGTTTATTTCGATGACTGAGGCGCAAGAGAGATCCCCGGTACAGGTCGACCGAAAGCAGTCAGCAGAGAATGGCTTGGGACGTGTCATCAACGGCGGAGCTCAATATTGCTCCATACTAGTCATACCCACTGATTCTATGGCGGACGCTTCAATGGGAGTTAGCGAGGCCAGACTTCGCGATCGTAGGAGCCTTGAAGGAAAGAAAGTCTGCAAGGACAGGAGCCATTGACGGGCCTTTTCGAAATGATACGAGATATCGATGAAAGAAAAGAGCCCGAGGACACGTCAAGGGTGGAATTATGGTATCTCGTTCGAGCCTGTATAACTCCATCTTGGCTACTATCAGCCACAAATTGCGTACCTCCCATATTTCATTGGTAATCATTCAACCGTATCGACTCCCAAACGCCATGCTTTAGATTAAACCCTGTCATGACCAATACTGGCAGCCTGATTTCGTGGGTCCTGTGCTTTCATTATTTGGAGACTCAATCCAAGTCGAATATTGAATCCGGATGGTCTCCTTGAATTGTGGTTGTCGATTTGACGTCGGCACTCTGTGGTCTCCCACGGAGAGGAACGCCAAAGTCATCTTCATCCTCAGAGTCAAGTCGCATGGAGCTCACTTGGTCGGGAAAGCTCGATCTCCGTCGGTGTTGCTCCGGTCGTCGGAACAGGTCTCCGCTGAGAAGATCGTTGACGGTTGCTCCGCCCGCAATCCGAGCCAAGATGTGCACCAGCAAGACGACAGCCTCGACAGGTTTGACAAGTGCCACGTTGCATGCCTTCTGAAGTATCGCCGCGGTGAAATGGCCTCCTTGGCTCGGTGATGATGAAGGTGAGAACAATGTTGCAGATGGTGGTAGCGGTGATAGTGATCGTTTCATATTCAAGCGTCGCCTCAGCCCATCATTCAATGGGGATGGGGTCTGCACCTCCGGCCAGGATGACTCTGATGCGGTGGACCTTCCAAGTGCTGGTGTTGAAGCTTCTTCGAATGAGTCCCTTATCGGTGATCTAGGATCGAGGGTTTCCTCGACATGTTCATCAACCGTGGAAGCTGTCACAGTCAATTCGGAGATGTCTCGTCGGTGTTGGTGAACGTTGATAGAAAATGGGTTGAACGTCTCCGTTTGAGGGGTCCTCTCAATGTCTATGCTCTCGACATTTCCATCCAGCATTTCCTGTGCCAGAGATGCGGTCGTGTGAAAAGAATCCGCACTTGAAACCCTGCTGAGGGCAGCCTCGGGTGTCTGCTCGTGCGGCACAATCCCCACAGGTTCGGGGTCTTCTACCTTACCCGGGAGCAGATCCTGGTTTGTGCTCTCAACGGGCGTGCAAGAGTCGGGTCTATGAGTCGGCTGTGAGATGTCACCAAGCTCTTCAAAAGGCGCCGATGTCTGCTTTTCCGGCAACTCTGCTGGCGCGCCCTCTGAGGAGGCGTCGAGTTCGTCATTTGGCGAGGAACCGATTTCGGGGACCTCAACGGCCGCTAGATTCGACACTGGTTGGGTACTATGCTCGTTATCGCTTCTCTGCACATCTTCCTCGTCGGCTCCTTCGACCAATACAGCGCCTTCCACCACGGCTGATGGGAGAGGTTCTGTTGGTGCTCCTGCGTCTTCGAAGTGAGGTTCTATCGGCGATGTCGCCATAGTAGGTGTCGAAAGGTGCTCTGCCCGGTCTGATAGCTCTGGCATCTCAGCGACCGTCTCGCTTAGCTGTCCGGGGGAGGGTGCGTCTTCACACACAACAGGCGACTTTAGTGGGCTTGCCATGTTGAGGGATTCGCTGCTGTTATCCTGGTTCGAGTTGGGTGTTTCCTGATGAGACCCTTCTTCGCTGGAAGTCTCATCATGCTTAATGTCGCCAACTTCCTCGCTAGACGCAAGGCTGGACGGTGTAGCAGGACGATACCCATCTGGTTCGTATTGGGGCCGTGGAGATGGACCACGACTGGCGCTGAACCCATAGTCTGAGCCGCGACGACCATATGCCTGAAGCGGAGTCGGGGTACCTTGTCCCTGCAAGCTCCATGTGCGAGTGGTTTTGATCCTCTGCAAGGGTAATGGGTCGGTATTGGGCGCTGTGGAAATCGGAACCTGCTTTCTTTTCCATGCCCCTTTCCGTCGAGGCGTAATAGCATCGTCTGGTAGGTCAACGTGGAATGCTCTTTTGAAAGGGCACGGCGTCCTTTCGAACCGTAGGATTTTGCCCAAGACCGTTTTGAGTTCTTGAACCTTTTCTTTATCCGCCTCTGTTTCCGCTGGCAACTCGATCCTATAGTACCGGAATTTCCCAATCCGCAAAACGAATTTCGATTCACCGTCGACGCACCAGCACTGTGAATTCCGCATGATGGTATGGATCACCTTTTGATCGGCAGACTTCAGGAAATTGCTCGATCCTCGAACCTTTTCGATCACTATCGGCCCGGTGGCAGCCAGCATCTCCGTCCGTGACCGCCATGGTAGAGTCTCAATGGTATCGACAGGGTAATCGGTTTCCGGCAGTGTTTCCTTGCTAGTCGATGGGATCGAATCTGTAGGAGGCGAGAATGCGATAATACGGGCAGAAGGGTGCGAGAATAGGATGTTGGAATCGGCGTCAGCCTCGTTAAGACCTGCACGTTCGTGGAAGGAGAGCACGCGTGGGGGAAGAGTGAACGACCTGCGGTAGCCTTGAAGCGGTGGCCGGTCGCCATAGGAGGGTGAGCTGGCCATGCTGCATCTTTGATACTCTCGCAGTCAACGAAGAGACGACGGTATGTGGATGCTGTTGAGATACTTGCTCGAAGTGTTGACTGACCAAGATATGCTAATTACTGTAGACAAGATAAACATTGGTGTGGGCGTAGGTGAGTTTTACGCGTCACGAACCTCAGGTTGGAGAAGCATCATTATTAGCGGTGAAGTGGAGTGGTTCACGCCCTGAGAGGCTAAAAGAGGGGAGGCAACGCGCCCGTCGGGGAGGGAACCACAAGCCACATCAGTTCTTGGGGGGCGCCTAAATGTCTTCAGGGTGAGATCTTAGGCTTGATTAGCCCCTAAAGCTATGCACCTAGATGATATCCTAGTCCTAGGGACCCCCTAGTCCTCAGGCTGGCCTTGCTATAGTAAGCGCCATCCCAAGCCGTGGAGGTCTTGCAAAAGACAGGAGAACAACTCAGCCCTTGTTCTCCTGTCACTGCCATCATTCTCAATGTGATGCACTGAGCGAGTTTCCACACTCGAGTCCATTGTTTACCTGAGTATCAAGTTAATAGTCAAATGGTTGCTGGTGTCTGTTACTCCTGTGAGTGCTCCAGCCTTGTCGACTTCCTTCCCTCCGCCTTTTCGCGCTGTCCACAGAACATCACTCCTGCAGCCTGAAGCCATGGACACGATGGATGTATCCAACTTGAGATCGGCCCTCGTAGCGGACAGCCCTCGCGAGTATCAACCATGCAGAGAATGTCGAGCGATATCAGCCTTGTTCCAGTAAGCTCAGCCTTGTCGGTGGGGGCACCAAGCCCGAACTATGACATAACTCCGGACTGCGTAACTCTCTGGATACATTTCCCGCCTTTAGGCACACGACACCTTTGATGTTCTCATGCCCTGCTCTCCAGAACTTCCAGAACTCCCAGAACACCAAGCGACATAGTTCTCGAGATCTAAGCCAGAACCTTATCTACTAGGTAGGCATTGATAATGTCGAATTTCGACCCCAATGCCATTCTACGCGGCGCTCAACTGACCTTCGTCGGCGCCCATCGCGCCCTGCAAAATCCCGACCTGTTTACTACCACGCACTATCGTCAGGCTGCAATAGCCGTATGCGCGGGACTAGCGATCCGCATCATTCTCAACATCCCCATTTACGCAGTCAAGTTTGCGTTGCTGGTCACTTCCCTCTTCGTGAACCTGGACCAGGAGACGTGGGACGACAAGCTCGTCAACGGTCTAGACTTCATCTCGAAATCGGTCCTGCAAGTCCCTTTCTTTCTGATGATGGTCATGAGCTCGATCACGCCGACCCTGGACAACTTGTTCATGGACTCTCTGGCCTGGGTCGACAGAACGTATCTCCAGAAACACAAGGCCGAAGACCCCTCAGCCCTGCGTGGCTTGTACTACCCTACACTTAGCATGTATTCGACGCACGGCAACCGAGAGAAGAAAGAGCAGCGCACCCCTCTTGATGGTTTAATCAGCGTTGGTATGAAGTATAGCCGGCGCGCGGCGATCTCTCTGGCGATCTATGCGTTGACGTTTGTGCCGGTCATTGGGCGTTTCGTCCTCCCTGCTGCCTCATTCTACACTTTCAACAAGTCCGTGGGTCCTGTGCCAGCGGGGATAGTCTTCGCGTCCGGCCTCGTCCTACCGAAGCGGTACATGGTGTCGTTTCTGCAGACCTATTTCTCCAGCCGCAGCCTCATGTCACGCCTGCTGGAGCCCTATTTCTCCCGCATCCGATTCACCAAGCAGCAAAAGAAGATCTGGTTCCTGGACCGCAGCGGCGTGCTCTTCGGCTTTAGCGCGGCGTTTGCAATCATGGTCAAGGTCCCGCTGCTAGGTGTTCTCATATATGGCATCGCCGAGGCTAGTACTGCCTATCTCATCACCAAGATTACCGAGCCTCCGCCACCACCGGGCTCGGAGACCAAATTGTTCATCGAGAGCGAGGTCCGCTGGAAGAACAAGCACTTGTTGCTGAACCTTCCCATCGCCAAACTTGACGAGTTCAATGCCCGCATGACTGGTGCCGAGACCGTCGCAAAGTCGTCAGTGCCAGAGACCCCAAGACGCACATTTGCTTGATCTCATCACGTTGCAAATGAGACATCCCTTTGCTGTGACGACAGTGAGGGTGACATCGGCACCCCAACATTGTTCTGAAAAGGCGCATTGGGCCGTCATCTGCATGTTTTCGGGTTGGGTGCATATCGAGGAACTCAGTGCTATTCCGGACAAGGGGTCTGGCGCATTTACCTGAAAAAAGACCTCTGCTTTTGGCTGAAATAGTAGTACTGAGAACGGTGATGGGGTGGGCTCAACACAATCTGGGCAGCTACACAGAAGGCTTGATTTGGCTTATGGCCTTGACATGATCATACAATAGCCTCAAAGCCAGCCGCCTTAAAAAGAGCAAAATGTCAGGAGTATCTTAGGAGTTACCGCTCCAAGTCCACCATTATTTTGCAACAATGACTTTTCACTGAATACACTCTTATCTATGAGTCCGGACATATAAACTCCAGTACTTCTCATTTGAGGCACCTCTTAGGGTTATAGTTAGTCCAAGTAAATGGTCTGTGCCAATTGTTCGCCTGCTCCGTGGCCGCTCTGGGCTTGTTTTGGTGAGATCTTTGACTAAGATCGTTGTCGCTTCATCAGCTTCCAGTCTATGTTCAGAAAGCCATTGTAGTAAACAAGCCGTCTTGCATCGGTTGGGGCAGGGCGACAGGGTCATAAAAGGAAATCGCCCTGGCCGTCCAGGCGTGTTGAGCAATCCGCTCACTTGTACTCATAGAATCCTCTGCCACTTTTCTTGCCCAGCCAGCCCGCATCGACGTACTGTCGCAGCAGCACACTGGGTCGGTACTTGCTGTCTCCCAATCCAGCGTGCAGTGTTTCCATAATTGCTAAGCATGTGTCAAGACCGATGAAGTCGGCAAGTGTCAGAGGGCCCATGGGCACATTCGTCCCATTCTTCATGATATTGTCGATGTCCTCACGTGTCCCAATCCCGGCCTCGAGGCAAAGGATGGCTTCATTGATATAGGGCATTAAAATTCTGTTGGCGAGGAATCCTGGAACATCGGCCGAAACCGAGCACACCTTGCCCATCTTTTCACAAAACGCTATTGCCGCTTTGACTGTCTCGGGTGAGGTTTGGAGGCCGGCTATGATCTCCACCCCTTTTTGCACCGGCACAGGGTTCATGAAATGCGTTGACACTACACGTGAGGAGGCCGATGTGTCAGTGGCATCCTTCGTGGTTGCACGCGCGATCTTCGTAATGCTTATACTGGAAGTGTTTGTTGCCAGTATGGCGTGTTTAGGGCATATCTCGGCCAACTGCGCAAAGATCTGTTCCTTGAGAGCTGGAATCTCCGGCACGGCTTCGATGACCATATCCACATCTGAGAGTTCGGACAGTTGCGTCGTGGCCTTCAGTCGGTCCTTTGTGGCCTTCGCGACCTCTTCTGTAATCTTTTGCTTCGAAACATCCTTGGCGAGTAGTTTGTCTGCGAATGCTAGGCCTTTATCGAGGGATTGTTGCGAACTGTCTACCAGGGTGACCGGCACCTGGGCTTTCTGAGCAGCGACAAGGGCGATTCCGAGTCCCTAGCCTTCGTTAGTCCTATATTGTCATTCGTAACTTTTTTGTTCGTACCATCTGCCCAGCTCCGACGACACCTAATCTCTTCACTTCGAAAGCCTTTGATAGTGTCGTCGAGAACTGCCGACTGAGTGAAGCAAGCCGCTGAGATGCGACACCTGGCTTCGGGGTAGCCATCAATCTTGAGGCAAGTTGTGATAGTGACGCCATGAGGGAGGTACTCAGTACAGGAACATCGACTTGGAGAATTCGCGAGGATGTTAGATGGTTTGATCGGTCGGTGAAACGACTGCAGTAAGCCCGGCTCAGTACTGCGCCGCGTATCGGAGTTTCTTCGTCGAGCACACTTGAACAGGAAACAGAAACATGGGACCGAGAGTAAGCGGCAGGCTGGACCGAGGTTGTCGAGAAACTGCGTCAACGAACGGGAAAAGGCACCGGAGAACCTTAGTCAGCGGCGCACAACGCGTCGAGGGGAGCTGTTCGACTACTCCGCCGTACACCCATTTAGCCGTAGACGCGTCTCGACGCGTCTTCTTTAGATGATTGATCCCCTCGAGCATCTCAAATGCACGACCACCCACTTGACCGTTCTTGCTCACTATGATTTAGTATGACCAGCAACTTCTAACAAGATGGAGGAGGACAATCCGTTTGGCAAGTCCCAGACTGTCCATCCTGAAGTACGGGCATATGTCTATAGCCTGGTCAACGCCGTATGTTACCCCGTGCATCGTCAACCTCATACCACATCTAACTTCAAGTAGCTCGGTGGAAGCAGCACGGATGACGATGGCCAATACGTCCTCGGTGATGACGCGCTTGCCTGTCTTCGCGATCTAAAAAGATGGCTGAAGCTCTATGATGAGAAAAACAACAAATTGGATGTAGCAAGATGTCTAGCGGAAGCCAAACTCGTCGGAGGTGACCTGATACCGATTCTAGCGTCATGGCCGGATGATGGGAAGGAAAACAAGTCGAAGGCAAGGGTCGCTCTGGCATGTTTAGAGCTTCTTGTGCCTCTGACATGGCCTCTGGAAAACGGGGGAGAAATGACTGTGAATCACCACAGGCATACTCCATACATTCAACAGGCGCAGGTGCTGTACAAGGCCGCCATCCTTGGATGCGACACCAGCAAAATTCTCCGACAAGTGATCAGAATCGGTCTCCCTTCAATCGCAGTGGCACGAGATGAGAGGACGAGTCGAGACGAAGGCATCCTCAAATTGATGCTCTACTTCTTTCGAAATGTCGCGGTCATCCGACAGATCCCAAACCTTCCCAGTCAGGGCTTCGAATCGGAAGTATCGAGGTCGGCAACCATAGAGGCGTTCAGAGACCAGGACGTTTTTGCTCTGCTGTTGACGATATGCTCGAATATGGGCGAGGACTTTAATCTACAGGATGTTATCGTCCTTGACATCATCTTCAATCTGATTAAAGGCGTCGAACCCAAACGCTTGTGGATGACGGAGCAGGAGAGAAGGGGGCAAGGAATATCGGATCTCGGCGCTGCACTTGCTCTGGAGCATAGCAAGGCCAAAGAAGCCAAACGAAACCAGTGGACTCGCCATGGTCGCTTCGGCACCATGATATGGGTCAAACGTGAAGGGGAAAAGATGTCAGCTGTATCGGGACAAGACAATCTCAAGAGCGACCAGAAGGCGTTTTTCAACATGGACAAGTCCAAGAAATGGAACAAGCCGCAGCAGAAGCGCAAGGACATGGAGTACACCATCTACGACTTCGACCACACTACTCGTCTCACCGACGCAGCCAGCGCAAAGTTGCGCAACTTTGTCGAAGAGTTTCTCGACTCTGGGTTCAACCCCTTCTTCAGTCATCTACGCAAAGCCATTCAGCGCGAAGCAGAACGCCTGTCTGATGTCAACTACCGGCAATTCTTCTATGCAGTTGCATGGTTTCTCGAGGCCGAGCGTGTCCGTCGTGAAATGAGAAAAAACGAGGTCAAACCAGACAAAGTCAGAACCGACTTCGAGGAAGAAAGCTATGCACTAGTCGCAGCCGTGCTGAACCAAGAGACATTCATCATGCTTAACCGGTACATGCAGATGTCTTGGGACAACAAAGAGTGGCAGGACTTGAATGCAAGCATGCGATGTTTCACCCAGATCCTATTGACCGTCCAAGAAATGGCGCAGAGCCCCTTGGAAGAAGATCAAGAAATCGCCGACAATATTCAAAACAACATATTCTACGAAGAGACTACCCATGACCGAATCGTTGGCATCTTGAAGGGCTACAAAGACCAAGGATTCGGATATCTTGATGCTTGCACTGAACTCTCCTATGTTTTCTTGCGCATGCTAGAAAGATACTCAAAGGAGAATGCCGACCTCCAGATTCGCTCACGGAGGCGAGCAAGAAGGAAGCGGAAAGAGACCCAGAAGCAAGCTGCGCAGCCAAGTGATGATCCTGTTGAGGAAGAGGGAAAATCCGAAAACGAGGATATCGCCGATGCCATCCGAGTGTCCAAGGAGCGCAAGTTTGATTTTAACCGGTTTGCCGCAAAGTTTTCCTCCCAAGCGTCCGTAGACACCTATTACGCCCTCATTACCTTCTACCGAGATCTCAGCACCGAACAGCTCAAACGGGCACACCGATTCCTCTACCGAGTGGCGTTCAAACAAGACCTGGCCGTCCTGCTTTATCGTGTTGATATTATTGCACTCCTTTACAAGTTGGTCAATGGCCCGGACGGGCTTGATACAACACACCCGATGTACAAGGACTATTCCGAGTTTTCTCGGCAGCTCTTCAAAAAGATGTTCAAGAAGCTTGATCAGAGGCCAGAGCTGGTGGTTGAAATGCTCTTCAGCAAGATCCATTCCACATTGCATTATCTTGAGTTCGGGCAAGAGAAACAAACTATTGCGGCAAGTCGCCCGCCGGCCGAGTTAGAGATCAGACCAGCACCAGGAAGAGATGTGAAAGAGCAAATTGGCATTGTCGTTACTGTTTTGATCAAAGACGGCAGGGTGGAGCTAGTGAAATGGGTAAAAGAGATGCTCAAGAAGGCTTTTGACGAGAGACATGCATGGGAGGTTGAAGCTGAGGTGCGCAGGACCGCTGCCCTAGAAGCTGCGCAAAAGGACAACGAATCTGCTCCTGAGGATATCAACATCGGTCAACCCAGCCACATAATTGTACGACCCACATCTGAAGATATCAAGACTGCGATGTTCAAGAATGGACGTCTGAGACTGTTGATGCTCCTTGTCGGCTTCGACATGTTAGGGGATGAGGATGTTCTTGGGGCGAGCTGGACTGTGCCTTCAGTTCTCACCGCAGACAAATTGGCCGAGTCCAGGGCGGCAATTGAGCAGTATGAGCAGACACCATGGCAAGGAGATGACGAGAACGAAGACGCCGAAGACATGATCCGGCGTGCCAGAAACAAGGATAAAACGGCCTCACATGATGAAGAAGAGGCACCTCGAAACGCCTTCATCGACGACTCGGAGGGCGAAGAGGAGTTCATGTTTCCCGACAATCCTCGAAGGAAGAGAGCCAAGAACATCATCGAAGAACTCAAAGCCCGGCGTAAGCGGAAGCGGGAGCATGACGATGAAGAAGACGACGTGGACCCAGAACTTGCTGCGGAGAGAAGAGCAGCGCGTGAAGCGGCTGCGAGGGCCAGACGACTGAAGATCAAAAGCGAGGCATACATCAGAGACAGTGACGACGAGTCGGATGCAGAGAGAGACCGCAAGTTTTTTGAGAGGGAAGAGCAAGTGCGTCAAAAACAGGCTGAAAACATCCGCAAACAGATGGCACTGGAAGTCGGCGACCAGGCTACAAAGACCAAACAGAAGGGGAAGAACGCAAAACCGTCGACGAGGGAAGCTCCGCCGGCGGAACAAGACAGCGACGCCGATCTTCTCATGGCCGACTTCGACGACAAGCCCGATGAGACTGCTTCGTCACAGAATCGCCGGAAGTCAGACACTGAAGACGCGGAAGAGGATGAGGATACGCCATTGTCTTCTCCCAGTTCGGCTACAGCTAAGCGCGTGGAAGAGGGCAGGACTGTGCTCAAAGAAATGGCTCAAGCGAGGGTGAATCAAGATGTCTCTTCGAGCGACAAGGCTGGAGACTTGAAGCTGATTGAGAGCGATTCGGATGAAGATGTTGTGCCGACAGCTCGACGGCGGATGCGGGCTGGGTTTCTTGTGGACAGCGACGACGACGATTGAACACGGGGTGCCTAGATACATAGCTTCCCTGTTGAATGTGAGATGGAGTTCTCCTTGTCATCGAGAAAGGGGCGATGAAACAATGATGAATGAATGAATGAACGAAACAATGAATAACTGAATCGGAGGGCGCCGACAGCCTTTTCAGCCAGACGCTGATTGGCTGCAGACTTTGCTTGCTTCTGTGCTTCGTATATTTGATAAGAAGCAAACGTTCTTCGACCTCTACGCCTATATCTGTCCTCCATTAGACTCTTTCTTCTTGTTTTGAGTAAGAGTGCTTCTTCTAGCCTTTATTTTTGAGCATTCGCGTAGACTGGGTTGTTGTTCGTTGTCCAACAGCGGAGCCGGGATGGCGCAGAAAACGATCTACTTTGGCCGCTTCATCTCGACGCCACAGCCAGTTGAACTTCTGATCCGGGTCGGCGCAGTGCTCGTGGACAGAAATGACGGAAAAGGTGTGATCGAGAAGGCGGATTGGACAGTCCGTGATCCCAAGGACGCCATCAGCAAGTTTGGAGTCGATGCGCCTGTTATCACGACGAAGGAGAATGGATTCTTTTTTCCGGGTTTCATTGGTAAGTGCCGTCACTGCGGGAGTCTGTCGAATCTAGAGCATCCACGCCAAATGGCGACGGGAGGTAAAAAGCCTGTGGGCTGTTTCGTTAAGAGACCGGACACCAGACTTTGACGCGGGAAGAGCTCGAAAGGGCGAAGCAACAGGATAGCTAATGGTCCTGTGGTAAACAGACAGCCATATTCACGCATCGCAATACCCGAACGTCGGCATCTTTGGCAAATCGACACTTCTGGACTGGCTCACAACATATACATTCCCTCTGGAATCGTCTTTGGGCAATCCCAAGTCACCAATGTACAAGGATGCCGTTGAGCCTCCGAATCCGCTCGCTCGAGCAAATGCAGTCTACAACAGAGTAGTCTCCCGGACACTTGCGAACGGCACCACGACAGCATCCTACTACGCCACCATCCACGTAGATGCCACTAATCTGTTGGCCGACGTGGCTTTCGCCAAAGGACAGAGAGCATATATCGGACGAGTGTGCATGGACCAGCCCGAGACCTGCCCCGACTATTACCGAGACGAAAGTACCGAGGAAACGATAGCAAAAACCAAAGCCAGCATCGAACACTGCAAGTCACTGGACCCCTCGGGAGAACTGCTGGCACACATCATTACCCCGAGATTCGCTCCCAGCTGTCTTCCCGAGACACTATCACGGCTAGGCGCCCTGGCACAAGAACAAGACCTTCGAGTGCAGACGCATATCTCGGAAAATCTGAACGAAGTCAAGCTGGTCAAGCAAATGTTCCCGGACCAGGCCACCTACACAGATGTCTATGACCATCATGGACTGCTGACGCCGCGCACGATCCTAGCCCACGCCGTTCACCTCAGCAAAGACGAGATGAAGCTCATCAAAGAGAAGAAGACCAAGATTAGCCATTGCCCTGCGAGCAACAGCGCCTTGGGGAGTGGATTCTGTCCGGTACGCGTTATGCTGGACGAGGGGCTCGAGGTCGGACTGGGGACGGACGTCAGCGGCGGATACAGCACAAGCATCCTCGATGCGGTCAGAAATGCCTGCATGGTCAGTCGCCACGTCGGTTACGTTAATGGCGGTGACAGCCGATATAACCTGGGGGTGGCAGAGGGTCTTTGGCTGGCCACGGTGGGCGGCGCCAAGGTGGTTGGCATGGAAGGACGTCTAGGTGGGTTTGAAGAAGGAATGTTGTGGGATGTTCAAGAAATCGTCCTGGGAGATGTCGACTCCAGAGGCGAGGGCGACAACACTGAGGTCGACATTTTCGGGTGGGAGACTTGGGAGAACCGGGTGGACAAATGGGTGTGGAATGGAGATGACAGGAACGTTCGACGGGTGTGGGTTGGGGGGAGATTGGTTCATGAGAGACGGTGACGGGAGGGGATGACAATATCGGGATCTCCAGGACTGAACAGGGGCCGATCACTTGAGTTTAGAAACCGCGACGGGCTTGTAATGCTAGAACTCCAAGGTTGCGATGAGGAAGATTCCTCTAGGACATTGATTTGCTGAAGACAGAGCACTTCTTCAAGATAACTAGTACTCTGTATATCTGAGACAAGGCTGAGGCCGCGGTGGCCGAGGCTATGCACGTGACTGCTGGAGGAGGTATGATGACATAATCACGAATATGGCATTCCGCAGTCTCGCATCCCGCAAATGTGGGAGAAAGTACGTTAGTAGGTACTAATATTAGTTAGTAGGTACTAGTAATGGTAGTTACTATACTGCTAGTGCGTTGACATTAACGTGTCTAGACACTCCGAACATCTCCATCTCCATCTCCATCTGCGCCTTTACACGTGCACTTTTCGTTGACAGTCAATGGCTCTCAACGGCTCCTTTGCACCTCCTCTCCCTTGCACCCTGAACAACGCCTCGTTCCCGATGCGCTTCAAGTTGTCGAGCACGTCAATCTGAAATGCCTGGTCGCAGGTGACCTGCAACTTCTGCGTTCCCTCGCAATGGCGTCTTCACCAGCAGCGAGCCTGGGATCGCCCAGTCTCCCTCACATCTCCCTTCCGACCATGAATACCACTGAACAGGGTGCTCATGCAGAACATCCTGCTGGCTTTGGCTCGACGCTTATATCACTTATCACATTTGTTCCTGGGGCGCTGTTCTGGCTGATCACATTCACTACCATCACCCTCCCAACATGGTTGTTCACTCTTTTCTCCATGAGTCTCACTTTCACCATGAATTTCACGACTCTGTAAGTAAACCAGGCTTGCCAGAGGACTGAGCTGACCCAGAACAGGCTGTTGATCTTTCTCGTATTAGCCTCAACCATCAGCTGGTTCATCCGCTATCGCTACCTCAATGTCTACGCACGTTTACCAGAAGAACCCAAACGAAAAGAGCCGCAGATAGACTTGTTTCCTGATACCCAAGATGGAGACTCGAAACCAGGGCTGGCAAATTATCTGGATGAATTCCTCAGTGCCATAAAGGTGTTTGGATATTTGGAGCGGCCGGTCTTCCACGAGTTGACCCGGACAATGCAGACTAGGAAACTCATTGCCGGGGAGACATTACTGCTCGAGGAAGAGAAGGGGTTCTGTCTGGTAGTCGACGGCCTCGTGCAAATCTTTGTCAAGTCGTTTAAAGAGGAGTCGGAGCATAATTACAATGGTCAATACGGTGTCTTCAACGACGACGAAAGCTATCATGAGGGCAACCAGGGATATCAGTTACTGACCGAGGTCAAGAACGGGGCTTCAATGTCGTCGCTCTTTTCAATACTATCCCTATTCACCGAAGACATAAAGCTGCGCCATGACGACCAAATCAACCCTTTGTCAAGATTTGCCAATTCCATGTCTCATACCCCTGAATCAGTTGTGACAAGCCCTACCACCCAGCCGACGACGCCCGGGATGGGCCGAGAAGAGCCGGCCAAGTCTAGGCTGCCCACAGTACCCCCGCTCACCCTGGGCGCTGCCTTTGATGAGCGCCGATTTCAGAAGGAGCAAGAGAAGTCCAAGCCGGCCTCCTCGGCTCATCCAGATATTGTCGCCAGGGCAGTGGTGGATACAACGATTGCCATCATCCCCGCGAGTGCTTTCCGTCGCTTGACCAGAGTATATCCCAAGGCCACTGCACATATAGTGCAGGTCATACTGACACGGTTGCATCGTGTCACTCTCTCGACGGCACATCACTACCTCGGCTTGACCTCGGAGGTGTTACAGATTGAGAAGTTGATGAACAAGTACACCAGCCATGATCTGCCAAATCATCTCCGGGGCGATGCACTGGACCGGCTGCGAGACAAATTCGCAAAGGAGCGAGATCGAATCGGGCCGGAGGAAGGGATGAAAGGGATTGCCTTGCACAATCCGAGGGCGAACCGGAGGAGGTCTTCAAGTGGCCTTCGACGCGAAGCAGCCACGGCGGCCAGGCTCGCTACAACGAGAGCAATGTCGTCTTCATCAGCCCGACCAGCTCGTCCTCTCTCGGGAGTTGGCGACAGGAATGTGAGCTCTGGCGATCTCCACGAAAGCGGCAGGCTCAGCCAGAGGCCGACCAGCATCCACATGCCCGCAACCTCGAGTTCTGCTATCATAGGAGTGCCAGAAGCATCAAGGACAGAAGTGATCAGTCCCCTGACGAGCCGCGAGCCGCCACTGTCGAGACCGTTCGCGGCCGACGTGCCTCACCTGCAAGAGTCCAACAGTGAAGACAGTCTCTTCCGGGAATCCGTCCTGGAATGCGTGGCCAAGGCACTGGGCCTGAGTGATGCCATCAATCAGACCGTCAGGAAAGGACCGGCTTCTGTGGAGCAGTCTCCCCGCCTGATCTCTTATGATGCAAGAAGGCAAACGGCCATATTCAGTAACGCGTTTGGTTTTATCGACCCCTACGAGGATTCTGTGGATGGTGATTCCGAAACCGCCTCCGCGTCGGCCGTCAGTGTTGGTGGCGCAGTCCAGGGGAAGACGTTGAACGAAGAACTGATAGATGACGTGGAGATCGTTTTCTTCCCTAAAGGGTCGGTGCTGGTCGAACAGGGCGAACGCAATCCAGGTCTCTACTATGTGATTGATGGCTTCCTGGACGTGAGCATCCCTGTCGAAGAGAAGGAAGACAGAAATATCACACAGCCGACGAACGTTCGAAAAGGATCGGGCGAAGATTCCCGCCCCCAACTTCGAAGAACTAAGACCGCCGCCTCCCGTGCATCGTCTGTCCCCGGTGTCCGTGGCCAGCCGAGAGAGGGCAGAAGGATGGTACAGAAGTCTTTGTTTTTGGTCAAGCCTGGCGGGCTTGCCGGCTACGTTGGCACGCTGTCCTCTTACAGAAGCTTCACAGATGTCACCGCGAAGACGGATGTCTATGTTGGCTTTCTGCCCCGGTCGTCCTTGGAGAGAGTGGCGGAGAAATATCCCGCCGTGTTGCTCACGATGGCCAAAAGACTCACTAGCCTCCTTCCTCGCTTGATACTACATATTGACTTTGCTCTGGAATGGGTCCAAGTCAACGCCGGTCAGGTCATCCACCATCAAGGAGACGAAAGTGACGCCATCTACATCGTGCTGAACGGTCGGCTAAGGGCCATTCGTGAGCAGGAAGGCGGAAGCATGACAGTAACCGGGGAATACGGTCAAGGGGAGAGCATTGGTGAACTGGAAGTCATGACAGACGCAACGAGGTCGGCGACTCTTCATGCCATTCGGGACACCGAATTGGCCAAGTTCCCGAGGACTCTGTTCAACAGCCTGGCGCAGGAACATCCCAACATCACCATTCAAATATCCAAGTTGATAGCGCTGCGGATGCGAGCGCTCCTCGAAGCACCTCTGGCAGAGACGGGCCAAGAGCTAGGCAAAGCGGCTCGCACCGACTCAGCCACGTCGAGTCTGAATCTACGCACGATTGCAGTTCTGCCGGTCACTGCTGGAGTCCCCGTTGTCGAATTCGGCAATCGGTTACTGGCAGCTTTGAGTCAGGTGGGTGTGCCCAGTGGCGTCTCATTACTCAACCAGGCCATCATTTTGAGCCATCTGGGCCGCCATGCCTTCAGTCGAATGGGCCGGCTGAAGTTATCACAATATCTCGCCGACCTCGAGGAACGATATGGCATGCTCCTCTATATTGCCGACACCAACGTGAACGCACCGTGGACCCAGACCTGCATAGCACAGGCCGATTGTATCCTGTTGGTGGGGTTGGCGGAGAGTTCTCCTGCCATTGGTGAGTTTGAGCGGTTTCTGCTTGGAATGAAGACAACGGCGCGCAAAGACCTCGTTCTCCTGCACATGGATCGATATACTCAGCCTGGCCTGACACGGAAGTGGCTGAGGAACCGGATGTGGATCAACGGTGGGCATCATCACGTTCTGATGCCGTTCCGTGTGAGTCCCGAAGCCACGCCCCATGCTCAGCCCAGACGTCTTGGTTCGGCGATCAGACAGCGAGTGCAAGTCATCCAGGCGGAAATCCAGAAATATACCTCTCGAAGAGTCCGACAAGCGCCGCTGTATTCCGTCGACAAACCCTTCAAAGGCGATCTTCACCGACTCGCCCGTCGTCTTTGTGGCAAGTCGGTTGGCCTTGTGCTTGGTGGAGGGGGAGCTCGCGGCATTGCTCACGTGGGCGTGATCCAGGCTCTTGAGGAGGCCGGGATACCGATTGACATCGTCGGTGGTACATCGATCGGTGCATTCATCGGCGCACTCTACTCTCGCGACGCCGATGCTGTTCCCATGTATGGACGGGCCAAGAAGTTCGCCGGTCGGATGGGTAGCATGTGGAGGTTCGCCCTCGATCTGACCTACCCGTCCGCGGCATACACGACAGGACACGAGTTCAATCGGGGCATCTTCAAGACGTTTGGCGATTCGCAGATCGAGGATTTCTGGCTTTCATTCTACTGCAACACCACCAACATCAGCAAATCGCGCGCAGAAATCCATACATCCGGCTACGCGTGGCGGTACGTCAGAGCAAGCATGTCTCTCGCCGGCTTGATCCCGCCTATTTGTGACGAAGGCAGCATGCTACTCGACGGTGGCTACATGGACAACTTGACAGTTTCGCATATGAAGAGCCTGGGTACCGACCTCATCTTCGCCGTCGACGTGGGCAGTCTGGACGACGACACGCCCCAGCAGTACGGTGACACGCTCTCGGGTTTCTGGGCTCTCTGTAACCGGTGGAACCCGTTCTCTTCGACTCCAAATCCGCCCACGCTCAGTGATATCCAAGCTCGCCTGGCCTATGTTAGTTCTGTGGACGCGCTGGAGCGAGCCAAAGCCACGCCGGGGTGTCTGTACATGCGGCCGCCGATCGATGCCTATGCTACCTTGGACTTCGCCAAGTTCGACGAGATCTATGACGTTGGATATACGTATGCCAAAGAATACCTCGTCCGCTTGAAGAACGATGGCGAGTTGAAGGGAGTCATTGAGATGTGGGCCGGCAACAATGGCGACGAGGATAAAGGGTTGTTGAGAGCCATGGCGCCTAGGAGAGCGAGTATCTGATGCGTAGCCTCGGTGGTCCGTTTTGGACAGGCACTATTGAGCGGTCAATGGGCTCTTGATGTTGTATGCATGCCATCTTCTCCGATATAGACGTGTAATAGACATAGAACTGGTCTGAGATACTAGCACACTGACAGGACAAGCGTCCCAAGCTGACGGCCTCTGCAGCCGATGAGGTCACTATAACCCACCTACTCCCTTCGTATCGCGACACAAGAAGATAGTGGACTTGTCGGCAAGAGGAAAGGGAATGTTATACCATCAGGGCTGAAAGATATTCGACAGGGGGGAATCCTCACAGCCTCACGGCCCAATATAGGAAGATACGGCGGAGCAAACGCACATACATGACCTTCGTCATTCCAAGTTCCTTGCGCAAGGCTGCGATTCAACGTTAATTTGGAAGGTTCGTAGCCTCGTCGTGTATGTTTTGTTTACTGGTCATTTTTGACGCCTCGAGAGGAAATCCGGACTCCCAACCTCTCACTCACCAGCGACTACCAGCAGATTTCTCCCTCTATCTCCCAGGCTTAGTATAGCCAGCCAGCCAACAAGGAACACCTAGAAACCACTACAAACCAGACCCGGAAACATGCCCGTCAAACCCCTAACCTTCAAAGGCGACAAGAAAGCCAAAAAGCGCAAACACCGCACCTTAGAGACCGCCGACGAATACAACCACCCTCAAAGCCAAAACACTTCCATCGCACACCCACCAGCATCCTCTCAGGGCGGTGGTGCTTTAACCACAACTACAACTACAACTATCCAACCCTCCTCCTCCGCCGCCGACCACGACCCATCCGAAGACGACTCCTGGACAACGCCCGACGCGGCAACCGACATCGCCGGCCCCACCCTCATCGTGCTGCCCACGACCCCACCGACATGTCTCGCCTCCGACGCGCACGGCAACGTCTTCGCCTCGCCCCTCGAGAACATCGTCGACAATTACCCCGAGACCGCGGAGCCGCATGACGTGCGCCAGGTGTGGGTTGCCAGCACGGTCGCCGGGACTGGCGGCCAGATCAACCTGAAGGGCAGCCACGGCGGGTTTCTGTCGTGCGATAGGATTGGAGTCTTGGGCGCGAGGAGGGAAGCGAGGGGTCTGGAAGAGGGGTTTATGGTTGAACCTGTTATGACGGGCACGGACAATGGAAATAATGATACTACCACAACCACTACCACTACCACAAGTACTGGGGGTGTTGCGAATGCCAGGATGCGCTGGAGGATACGCACATCCGCGACGAAGACGGCGGAAGGGGACCAGGGGAAACGGTATATTTGTGCTGTGGTTACCGGGGGGGATGATGACAACGAGAAAGAGGACGGCAAAGAGACGGCAGAAAAGGAAATGAAAAAGAAAACCATCGCAATTTCACTTCGTGGCGACGGCGACGCGGATTCGGAATCGACATATCTCGTGCTCAAGATGCAGGCGCGCTTCAAGCCGCGTCTGATGCAGAATAAAGAGACCAAGGCTAGGGAAAAGGTCAGTCGGCGCGAGCTGGAGCAGGCCGTTGGGAGGAAGTTGGAGGATGACGAGGTCCGGAGACTCAAGCGGGCTAGGAAGGAGGGCACTTATTATGAGGAGATCCTTGATGTCAGGGTCAAGGGGAAACATGACAAGTTCGCGAGCTGAGATGTCGTCTTGAGATGGACTGTCGTCTTGATATGAGTCACCGGAGAATGAATCTTGGATGTTCACTTTCGATACTCGGATCTACTGGTATCCAGTTGACCGGTGGGCGGGTCATCATGATACTATCTATCCTGGGGTGTTCTACAACTCAACGTTGCTGACGTCCTGGACGATTTGCATGGAAGGGAAACATGGGAATGCAATCGGAAAGAAATGTGATTGGAATCAACCGACTATACTGACGCTTTTTCAAAGTCCCATCATGCGTCCAGATACCTTGTCCTCTACACAGCCTGGTTCGGTAAACAGACGCCCACGCTATGCCAACACTAAACGACAAAGTCCAAGAAAATCTCCGCCCAGCATCATCATACTTCATTCAAGATTTGGGAAAAACCGACCCAGGATCCGTCGCCCTGATGCGAGGTTAGCAAGAAGCTCGGTTTCACGACGTGTTCGATCGCTGCAAACTTACACAATGGTCTTGATACGTCCAGCGCTCTTGCTTCGTTCGCCTGTTCGTCATAAGTCCGACCGTGCTGACGGGCGAGTCTTTCTCGTCGCCACGCTCGCCTGGCAGAGACGCCCTGGTTCCGGATGTCGGCGGGCATGTCTTCGTCCACCGTCGGGTCCCTGTTGCTTCGGATCGAGTGCATCTCCGAGGCAGCTGCGTGACCGCCCGCTGCACTCCCATACGGGTTTGTTCTATGTGCTAGAGGCACCGACATCCTTCGGAACCTCCTGTTGAATGCCGCGAAGGCACCAGGGTGACTGTCCGGGTCTTCGGCCGGCGGCAGTTCTGGGACGTTGCTCGGCATGGTCCGTCGGATCAACCTCTCTCTCCTCACCATCAGATTCGTAACCTGCACTGGACAATAACCGGGTGGCAGGGCCGATTTCTTGCACATGGGACAAAGTGAGCTGTTGTTCCGGAGGAAGGGATCGATACATTCCGGATGGAAAATGTGGTTGCAGGGGAGTTCTCGGACGGTGGTCTCTCCCGACACAAAATCATCGAGACAGATTGGACACGTCCGTTGAGAGAAATGCACTTCATGCACCGCAGGGCCGGGCGCAGGTCTTCCGGTCGCGGTCTTGTCGCCGGCATTGACAGATTTGTCTGCTTCGGCCTGACTGTCCGGTTCCGGATTGGCTGTGTAAGTATATTGTGGCATCTTTTCCACCAGATCTGGCGGTACATTGAGCCTCTTAATTCCCAGGGCCTCTAGATCGACTTCGCCATTCGCTACCCTACGCTGAAGGCGGCGGCGGCGTTTCCTTTGAATCACGTGCATGACGATGGAGATGGCCAACACCACGGCGAGCAGGATGGCCAGGACGATGATCAAGAACACCCACAAGGAAGGTATGCCGTTTGATGCAGCAAGGTCGAGATCCGCATAGAGTCGAACGGAGTCGGTAGGGTCGTATAACTGCGTCAGTTCCTTGCCATGGGGGACCTGTGACATGTTCCCAGAGTACAACGCCAGGACCTGCAGTAGAGAGGCTCCCTGGGCTCCTGATAGTGCGTATACCGGGTAATCGTTGGCAGATTTCCACTGCCCGCCGTCCCCCAGACTCCACGCCGGGTCGCTGACCGGAGGTGGCTGTCCGCTGTCGTTACCCGGACGGAAGAACAGCGCTCCGCGGACACCATCGTCGCGCATCACAGTAAAGTAGGAGAGGACGCAGTCTGGTGACGTCCATGGTGCCACAGCAAACAACGGCCACCTTCCCAGCGGGAAATCGGACCGGGTGGTCACATTTGTGGGAATCAAGGCTCGGGTCGCATTGTCGCACGGATTGGCTTGTGGGAGTTGGGGAACATAGAGCAGTCCTTCGATGTCGGAATCGCCACGAGGATTGTTCGCCGAGAGCGTGCGGACCTGTTTTGTGATTGTCCGGGAGAAACCTAGAGTTTTCTTTTTTCCAACTGTTAGCCGTGTCCACCAAGCAGCTGACTCTCATCCCTTCTCTTCATACATTAGGATATTGATATTGAGCGAGTGGCCTGTCTTGAGGATTCGGCAGGATGACCGTATCGATACGAAGATCTTGCGCCGCTTCGAGTGAGTTAGCGTCAGCATTTCAAGTAGATGGTTCATGATCCCAGAACGTCACGGCGACTCACACATTGCTCTGTGATGGCTTATCGAGGCAAGGCGCGATTAATCTCGGCTCCGGATTCGAGTTCAGCGATTTAGAGAGAACGTAGGCATGATTTGCGACCGAGCGCCGGTACGGGCGGATGTGTCGTGGACTCTGCAGCGATTGAGGGAAGACACTGGATAAAGTCGGCGCGGGGAGCAGAGGTTCGCCTCTGATTCAAGTTCTTGATGGTGGGTTGGATGGGGATAAGAGCAAGGATGAAGAATGAAGCATGAAAGGTCTGCGAGGCTGCTATGCCTGGCCAGAACAGTGACGAAGTTGGAATCCATTTATTAATCCACCTGGAAGGTAATATTCCGTCCGCATGGGGACTTGAGGGCCGATAGATGGATTGGATGGTGTGGTGTGCCACTGGCACCTCGTGGGAGGCGGCGCAGGACTGACTGACAGTCGGTTATTCGTCCTCCCGAGGCGCTGAGGCTTACAGAGCTGAGAATTAGTGGGAAAGTTGTGACGCCAGCCTTCAGATAATAATGCCCACAGATGCGACTAGCAGTAGTACGGCGTCACTAGAAGGACGTTATCTTCCAATCGCAAGCGTCGATTTGTCCTCGTCTCAGCTTCAATCGTAATGAGTCAGCAATTGTCCTCGGCGAAGTCCTAGTACTAGTATTAGTGGCCCCCAGAACACACGCTATACTATTTGAGGGTCTAGTACAATCGTGATCTCAGATAGTGTCTCATTATGCACGCTGTGCGGCATCTTAGCCGAAGCATCCATTAGCAATCCCGATCCCGCATGACTGCGATCGCGCTCAGCTGGAACCTCGGTCGCGACAACGACAGACGGGCAAGACTGAGCCTCGACAGTCACAACAGATCGCGAATCGAAGAGACGCGCAGCCGCCTTTCTCCCTGGGGATAAGCCTCCTCGTATGCGAAGCGACCGAACGGTTCTCACCCCAACGACGGCATGAGTCTGCCTGGAGCCTCTTAAAGTCTGGCGTCCTCCTCGATCGGCGATAACATCCTGCCTTCGACACCATATAATTCGCGAGATGCCTCCTCTCGGTAGCGCCGGCAAAGGCAAAGGCAAGACTCGTGATACGCGACGTTCACGAAGTCGCAACACGACTCCCAGCTCCGTTCTCAGCGCGGGAACGGTCTCCGCCGGTCCCACGACGACACCCCTTCTGGAATTGGAAACCAGCAAACTCCTCGTCTCTCCGAAACCCAACTATACCGAGATCATAGATTATCTTGACACCCATGGCACCAAATTGGAGCCCAAGTCTCTGCATGATATTATTGACCAGTTGAAGCATCTGAGCGAGTCGGCGGAGAAACGTGCCGAGTCATGCGAGAAGGCCATCCGGTTGATTCATGAACAGAAGAAAGAGTTGGAGTCGGACCAACAGCATCGCGAACAAGAGGCCGAACAGGCGCGCCGGGCGAAGGCTCGAAAGGACGAGGCGCAATCGCAAAAGAATCTCAAGGCGAAGAAGCGGAAGGAGAGACCTGAAACTTTCGACAGCGTTGAAATCAAGAGAGAAGGTATGTCTATCAACACAAGAAGTAGGCTGCGTATTCGCTGTTCTCGCTATTTGGACTTGTTATCACTGCAACCTCACCGGAGTGTCATACCATGTGTATCCTCTGATCTTCACATGACCTGTATTGATCGCATCACCGTCCAGTGACTGACCATTATCCACAGATGAGCCTACTAAGGTCAAAGTCAGCCGCGCAACGGGTACACCGGGACCAGTCGATAGTCCATCGCCATCAAAGAAGACCAAACTCAGCCCTGGCACGTCGTCTTTGTCAGAAGTCGCCGACTCTCCAGAGGCTGCGGCTGCCAGCGCTCACGCCTCGCCCACGAAATCGGACGTTTCCATGTCGGATACCGAGGACAACCGAATCATCCACGGTCCACCACCAGTACCTCAACAAGGTTTCTTCCCGGACCCAATGGCGCCTGATCCAGTGATCTACCACATACGGGAGGTGACTCCAGACATGCCGGACGAAGAGAAGAAGGAAATTTACGGGGTCACGTCATTTCCCACCAAAGATCTCAGCGATGAAATTGCAGGAACACCACCGGATAAAGACTTCAGCAATGCGAAACCTACCAATCAAGTCGCTGCGAGCACTTTCCTGACCTATGTCGAGCCTTATGTGCGACCACTCACTGAAGAGGACATGGCGTGGTTACGAGAGAGGGTGAGTGCAGCATCACCCTACATGATTCTACTGCAACATAGCTAATGTCCGTTTAGGGCGACCGAGTCACGCCTTTCCTGGCAATTCCCCGTGGCAAACGTTCCTATCAAGAGATCTGGGCCGAAGAAGACGGAATGGTTCTGGTGGACAATAACAATGAAAAGCTGCCGCTCAACCAGCCCCGAGGCAATTTTGATTCGATCAACGATGACAACGTCTCGACCGATCAAGTCTCGACGGGGCCATTGGCGAGCCGGCTTTTATCTCTCCTCAGATTCGAGCATCGGTCACCCCCGAGTGAGACTACCAACGGGATGAATGATCTGAACTTCATGGCTACGGACAGTAACGACACCATGGACCTTGATGGCTTGACTAATGGCCAAGACAACTCGGAGAAGCCTCTTGCCCCGGCTGCGGCGGTCGCGGAGCAAGCAGGTCCCAAGGTGTCGAGTTCTCAACGTCTTGATTACGTGCAGAGCGAAGAACGGATCAAAGGCGAGCTTCGTCACCTCGGCTTGCTTGGCCAGGACGAGACTCCGGATTACGACGCTCACCACGACGACGACATCAGCGAAAGACTGCGGCTGCTGCAGGCCGAATTACGGCGCGTACTCATTGTGAATGGTGCTCGGAAGTCTCGCCTCCTCGACCTTGCCAAGGAGCGGCTGGCTTACCAAGAGTACAGCACCATTCACGAGGATCTGGACAGTCAAGTGCAACAGGCGTACCTGAAACGAACCAGGACGATGGGCAAGACCAAGAAGGGAGGCCCGGGAGCCAACAAACCACGTCCCGGCGGTCACGGTGCTGGTGGACCAGGCATGGCCGTGAGCGTCAACCGGGCGAGAGATATAGGAGACAATGCTCGCATGTTGATGGATCGCAGAAAACGCTGGGAGAGCTGCATCGGGCCGGTCTTCAAGGATATGAAGCATGGCATTCCGGACAAGAACACGACCATCTGGGACCCCAAAGCCATGGAGGGCTACGAGAAGGCCGAGATGGAGGCACTCGAGGAAGAAGCCGAGGCGGGCGAGTAAGCGGGCTCGCATCCAGCAGAGGCTCGTCGAGTCGCTGTTGTCGTGGCCAGGCACATTCAACATGCCAGGGAAAAGGCATATATGAGATACTAGTACCCGACATTGCAGTTCATCACGTTGCCTGTCCCATCGAAGAATGGGTGGTATTGGGTCACTCCCAATCTGGTAGCCGAAGCATTACATCCTGAAGACAACCTCGCAGGTTGAGGGTTCAATTAGACCTCAGCAGCAATGACATATCTCCAGACATCAACGAGAAATGGGATGCAAGGCATATGGGAGCATGTCTTGTAGCCAGTCAGGTCGTAATCACAGGGATATTGTCGCATAACATGACATGGTGCACGTATCGTATCTAGATATCTGCATAGATATCTCTGTATGTCCCCTCTCATCCCGTCGAACGTCCGTCCTTTTTGCCGTCATGGGGGTTCTCCCTAGGCGTCGCTTGGGAGTCTTTTCCTCCTGGTCTCGACTCAGCGGGACTTCTCCTGCGGCTAAAGGGTTGACATCGTTAGGATCCTAGGGTCCCTTATCCCCCGTCAACGTCCCCGGGAGTCTCAGAAGACTCCTCCTTATCCCTAGCCCCTTCGTCTAAGCTCAGCCTTCGGCCCCAGGCGGTCCATCGTGTCTAGCGCTACACCGGCCTCATGCCGGCAAGGAGACTCCCTAGCTGCCGGCAGCCAGGGACCTGGGGCTATCTGAGGTATCCAGTAGGCATGTGGGCGTTGAAAATGACTCCGGACTCGAGGGTGCTCGATGCTCGACTCCCATATCTGGAGCCAAATGATCCCAGTCTGGCGACGGCACGAAGGGTCAGTGACATCTGCCTCAACACTGCAGACCACTGATTGGAACCCTTGACAGCATTCTTACGGCCTGATCTGCCCGTGGGCTGTCATCACCATGGTCCAGAGTCCGTTGCTGCTCGGGATCCTCTGCCTCGCGGTGTTCTATGTCGTCGGACTATCTCTCTATCGCATCTATCTCTCACCCGTCGCACACGTACCGGGCCCGTGGCTGGCGAAGGCGACGTATTGGTATGAATTCTACTACGATGTCGTCCAACAAGGGCAGTATACGTTCAAGATCAAGCAGCTCCATGAGCAATACGGCCCCATTGTACGCATCAATCCCGAGGAAGTGCATGTTGCCGATGCAGACTTCTACGATGTCATCTACGCCGGGTCATCCCAGAGACGAGACAAATGGGCGTGGTTTTGCCAGCAGTTTGGCATTCCAGACTCGGCCTTCGCCACTGTCAAGCACGAACATCACCGGCTGCGTCGCCAGGCCCTCAATCCTTTCTTCTCTAAAGCCAAGGTTCGCAGCTTGCAGCCTCTCATCGAGGAGGTCGCGCACACGCTGCTGGCGCGATTCGAAGACTTTCGACAGCAGGGTCAACCCTTGACTGTGTCTCTCGCGTTCGCCGCACTCACCAACGGTATGTTTACAGTCTGCATGCCCCGAGAGAGGCGGGCAACCATTCTGATGGCCCTATGACAGACATTGCAGAGCAGTATGCTCTGGGGCGCAACGACAATCGAGTCTCGGCGAAGGATTTCGATCCCAGTTTCCACGACGCCTCTGTGGCGGGCGCCAGAATGGGCCACCTGACGAAGCAGTTTCCCATCATCTTCACCATTATGCAAGCCCTCCCCGACTCGGTGGCGGTGATGATGGATCCAAACATGGCCTCCTACGTCAAGCTGCAAAGGGTATGCAGTCTTTACTCGCTACATGCCGCCGCCGAGCGTGTGCTGACAACTATGGCTAGGACATCAAAAGCCAGATTGAGCTGATCCAGAACAATCGGGATGGAGAGATGTACAAGGGGACTCCGCATCATACCATCTTCCACGAAATCCTCAACAGTGACCTGCCTGCGCCGGAGAAGTCTTCCAGTCGGCTCTGGCAAGATGGACAGGTCACCATCATTGCAGGCACCCTGACCACTGCTTCGGCCTTGTCGTACACTCTGTTCTGCCTTCTCACCCAGCCAGAGATCCTCCGACGACTGAAGCTGGAATTGAAAGATGCCATCCGGGATCCAGCACATCTCCCGCCATTGGCTGTCATTGAACAACTCCCATACCTTTCAGCCTGCATCAAGGAAGGTCTGCGCCTCAGCAACGGAGTCAGTTGTCGGTTGCAACGCATCGATCCCGACAACCCGATCGTCTTCACGGATCGACTGAGGGCCAAGGGCAAACAATATCTGCTCCCACCTGGGACACCATTGTCCATGACGGGAATGCTCATCCATGTCGACCCTGCCTATTTCCCGGACCCGTTTGTCTTCAATCCTGATCGATGGCTCAACAACCCCGGCCTGGATAAGTATTTGGTTCCTTTCTCTCGCGGAACTAGGCAATGTATCGGCATGAACTTGGCTTACGCAGAGATCTATGTCACCTTGGCCCTGGTCCTCCGCAGCTACGGCAGTCCAGAGGTCAGCTTGGACGATGACAAGGGCTATCTGGAGCTGTATGACACGGAATGGCACCGAGACCTTGAGATTGTCGGTGATGGAGTCACTCCATTGAACCGGCCGGAGAGCAAGGGAGTGAGGATCCTGGTCAGGTGATGATCGCGACGAGACCTCATGCGAAGGAGGATATTTTGGATCGCATACTAGTATCTGCAGCACTTGAAAAAGACCAGTATCAGTTCAGTACATCTTGCACTGTAACGTTGCTTGCTGCGCTGGCAACGGTTGCTCGTCGTGACCAATCAAGGCTGTCCTGCTATACCGGTGACATTGACAGACCTGTGTAGCTGACATGTAGCCTTGACAGCTGAGGTACCCTGTAGAGTAGACTCCAGCAATCAACGAACGAAGGTCTCCGAAATGGGATAATGGGATATCACACATCACACAGGTTGGCTGCACGAAGAGAAAGGAATCGGGTCAACCCAGCTGTACTAGCCATAGACTTGTTGGTGAATCCCATTGATGGACCGGACGCATATCATGCCCTGCCTCAGGGACCCTACTGCTTCTGCTCCACAGAGTAGAGATGGTTTAACCAGCAACGGCGTGGAGTGGAGTGGAGGGTCCCTCTAAGGTCAGGTCCGGCCCGGCGGATCATGTTGGGGACCCCAATCAAGTTCAGCCCACATCTTCCACTCCAACATCGACCTCCACTCCCTCCTTCGTCTCTCTCTCTCTCTCTCTCTCTCTCTCTCTCCATCGCCTGTTGACATCGCCCACGACAGCCATCCCTCACTTGCGCGATGTGGCCACGCGGATGTCATACGTAGTGGACTTGAAGTCCCCCTCCCATCGTCATCAGACCCTTTTCTTGCTCTGTCTTCCGGCCATGACAATTGTCGTCTTCTAGCAATTCGAGGCAAGCCAGAAATGGCGTCCCACAATGGACCTTCTTCTACCGCTCTCCCTTCGTCCAGTGCCGCTGGCGCTGAGTCGGCCGCTGCTCCAGAGACTGGCACCAGCAACAGTACTCTTCCGGCCCATGTCGATTTGGCCATTGGGGGGGAGGATGACCTAGACTCGGCGTATGGCGGGAGTGAAGGGAGTGAAGGGAGTGGCATGTCCGCCTCTCTCGCCTCTACGGTATCTGACTATGTCTACGAGGTCAGCCACACTAAGATAAAATACCATGGCGAATGCGAATGCGAATGCGATCACTATTTCGCAGCCCCCGCGTCCCGATCTATCACACTGCACCGGCTGACTGGTCTCAGAATGGAAGGAGGTACCATCGATACCGAGAAGGCGCCTACGCATTGCCCAACGACGAACAGGAACAAGAGCGGTTGGACATGTTGCATCACATCTTCCGACTGATCCTCAAAGGAGCCCTGTACAAATCACCCGTCTCGTCGGCACACCATGTCCTCGACATAGGCACGGGCACCGGTTTATGGGCCCTCGACTTTGCCGACGAGCATCCTTCTGCCGAGGTGCTGGGTACCGATCTGAGCCCCATCCAACCGACCTGGACGGCGCCCAACTGTCGATTCATGGTCGACGACGCAGAGAGCGAGTGGGCCTACCCGCCGTCACGGCCATTCGACTACATCCACCAGCGCAACATGGTCGGCAGCATCTCGGACTGGGAGGCGCTGTTCAGACAGGCTTACCGAAATCTCGCTCCTGGCGGCTGGTTCGAGGCCCAGGAATTCGATGTCTGGTTCCACAGCCAGGGCTCGCCCCTGCCAGAAGACAATCCCGTTGTCGAGTGGGCCAGGCTGCTGGACGAAGCGAGCCAGCAGTTTGGCAAGAGGTTAAACTGTGTTGCGGAGATGAAGGAGGCGTTTGAGAAGGTCGGCTTTGTGGACGTGGCTCACGACATCTTCAAGGTGCCGATCGGGAAGTGGCCCAAAGCGAAAGAGGCGAAGGAACTGGGCATGTATCTTCAAGCTCAGATGTTCGATTCCGTCGAGGCAGTGTCGATGGCCTATTTTACACGCGTCTTGGAGTGGAGTAAGGAGCAGACGCTGGTCTTCACGTCGCAGGTCCGCAAGGAATTCGCCGACGATCGTAAACAGCTTTATGTTTATTGTCATTTCTTGAGAGGGAGAAAACCGGAGCAGGACCAGCGACCGGAACAGAGACAGGAGCAGGAGCAGGCGACCGAAGGTTGATATCATCTGGTCAGGAAACGGAGACTGTGTGCCCTGTGTTAGACTTTTTCTCAGTGATATCTGAACCCCAAAAGTCACCAACGCCGAGTATCATCCATCAAGGCTTTCATGCTATGCAGCATATGGTTGACCGTCTTTTCTTTTTCAGGCTATATGCCTATTCCCAGTGGTTCAACTTCCAGACAGTAGTATTCTTCATTTCGACAGGACACGTGAACGGCAGTGGCTCTCAGTATGGTCAAACAGACATCAAGTCCAGGCTTGCGTTCTCGTAGAAAACCCAAGGACATCGTAGATTCGGCGAGACACTGCTGCAAAGTAAGTATATGTCTGTTTCTCGTAGTATAAGGCTCCAAACAGCAGTCCAACGACGGACCAACCACGCCTCCAATTCATGAGCCGTAGACTCTCCGTCCCATAGTCACAGTCACACGACCAGAGCCAGCTCCGAACCCAAGACCTTTTGCAAACCAAGGTAAACACCGGTGAGCCCTTCGCCAAGGCAGGCCTGCCAGACGGCCAGCCTCGCACTCCTCGATCCAGCCAATCACATCATATCACCCACCGCTTGACTTGCCTCGCACGCCATAACTACTCAACTATCCCAGCGGACTCACTAACTAACTAGTAAATTGGACTCTTTATGAATCAAATCCCCAGAATTCTGTGCAACACTGACCAGCCTTGGCCGCTGACTAACCACAAGTCGACACCACCACCGGGGTGGAGTGGTTAGTATAAGCCCTGCACAACTGGTGTCCATGCCTCAGCAGAGAGCGGTTGGACTCGAAAACGGGTGTTCGGAAGAACCCGGGCCACAGACCATGGAGGGTAACAGCTCTGTGCAGGCCCGGATTTCGCTCCCCTGGACCTCACCGAGGGTCGTCGATATATGATTCTGGATCTGATCAATCCAGAGTTCGACCCGGGCTTCAGGGCAAAGTTTTTTGAACTTGTTGGCCTTTGAGATTTGGAGAGATTTCGGACGATTGTGGGTGACTGTGGGACACGTGATGCGAAGATGGGTGAAGTGAAGATGAGATGAGATGTGGTTGAAGGGTGCCTGGGACAGATCGTCGAATCTTTGTTTTTGGTTTTTGGTTTCGGTTTCGATTTAGTTCTGCTGGTTGGAGAAGAAACATCCCAGAGGTAGAACTCAACTGAACTGTCTTGCCTTGGAAGGCATGTCATCTGGTCTGTCTCGAGTAAAGGAGGTAGGGGTGACTATGGCAAGATATATCAGTACTTCATAGCCTGGTGGGATTTCTGGCATGCTGCATGTCACCGCTGGGATCTTGGACTGGTAGGCGGTCGGTCGGTCGGTCGGTCTTGTCTCGATGGTGGTCTCGATGGTGAGCTTGATGGTGGGCTTGATGGTGGGCTTGATACCACACCACAGTCTTCGTCGCTTTCTGTTGCAACCTTGCCGGTGTAGACAGGAGAGATGAAATGCGTCGCCGCCTGCCCTTTCCCCGGCTTATTCACTTGCTTGTGTACCATTACGATGAAAGAATGCTCTTCGATCGAGCTGGCAGCCTCTCTCATCCGCGACATGATATCGGTTTCTGAAGGAGTTCCATGTCTCGAATGCGATGGCGCAGCCTCATTCAATTGTGTTCATGTTGGAATATCATTCATATCTCTCCTCTGGCGTCAATGGGTTGGGAGAAAGTCCGGGTGTTGGGTCTGCTATCAGCTGATCCGAAATGAACATCGATTGATACAATTCGTCCCATTCCTCACCCACAGAAAGCAGACATATCAAGACCCGGGAGGAATATTTGCTGGTGTCGAAAAGACATGGATCGGTTTCCACCATTGCGCATCGCCATATAACATATATCCATCTCTGGACTTACCTCTGACTTAGGAGTATTTGAGCCAGGAAGGCTATGCAACCGGTCAATGTATGGTCATCCGCGACGGACAGCTCCAGCACCCAGAGGGTTGCTCATGCATTGGCATACTAGAAGGCCCATCATGGGAGAGCTCCATCAGTCGCCAGCAGCCATTTGAGTGAGGCTGACGGACACTCGATAAGCATGCTTCAACCACTGCCGCTGCAATCTCTGGAGAGTAAGCAAATTTTCATGACATCGGGGATGATGGTACAGCCTCGGCTAGGCTGGCAAAATGATGGCACACCAATGAATGAATGACCCCGCTGGTGCGACCCCGACAAGCAGCCCTCCGTTTGCTCTACAAAGTCTGGGAGGTGGTGTACATGGTATTTGCGCTCAATTCCTCAGCACCTATCAAAAAGTTGTAGAGAAGATGCAGAGAGACGTATGTCCTTTTCCCTTTTCCTTCGTCGGCGATATTCAGCGTGTTTCCGATGTTGCACGGAGATGGCGCCGACGTTGGGCCTTTAGCTCGTTGCCAAGTTGACGGATCCGATCCACAAGGGCTCGAGAGGGTGAGAGGACACCTGAGAGAGAGGACCATCCGCCCACTGACATGTCCTTCTTATTTTGTCCTCTTCTGTCAAAGATCTTTGTCCCCAGATTTGTCTCAGAACGAAAATGACCTCATCGTGTGCGGAGGAATCGTGGAGAAGAGCAAGGGTCATCGTGTCAAGGTGACAGAGGAGATAGAAGGTATTGGAATAAATACGGACACCCCAATCGCCAATGTCGCTCTCACGGGTAGTCGATGCTATATACAGCATTGGCAATGCCTCCTACAACTACTACCAAGAGTCCTCCATCATGTTGTTGCCCCTTCTCTTGGGCAGCAGCCTCATGTCGGAGGCGTATAGCCGAACAGTACCACAGCAGGCTCTAGTGGTGGACCAGAGAAACCTCAACGCCTTGAACACAGTTCCACCACCTTCAGTGTCCAATCTGACCTCGGTAAGCAAGGGCTGAAGCACATCCCACTCACTCGATATTGGCCAAGGCTGGCCACGGTTGGTACGAAGCTAACTGGTGAATGTGTTATGTCGCGCGAAAGATCTTCTTCCCACCCGGTGTCACGGAAGATGAAGCTCTCGCCAGACCCTTCCACGTCTACGACGATGCCTTCTACGACATAATCGGACCTAATCCCACTCTCACGGTCATTGCCAGCGAGGGAGTCAATCCTCTCTTTCACGAAGCCGTTGTCTGGTTCGACCACCCTTACTATTCCGAGTCCGAGGGCTTCTGAAGCACCAAAGCTAATGCGCCATTCTCGCAGGTACCCTCCCACGGATGAGGTCTTCTTCGTGCAGAACGCTGGCGCAAAGGCAGCTGGAACAGGGCTCAATAAGTCCAACCAAATCCTGAAGATCTCACTAAGTCAGGCTGCTGCTGTCTCGACCGAGCGCAATGCCAGTGGACGGGTAGATGTTGTACCAATTACCGCCAATCCAGCGGTGATCAACTCAAACGGTTCGGACCACTCTTCTACCAGGATACGTATCTTGTGAACACAGATTGCTAAACATTACGGCGTTGTAGGTGCCACCAACTACAGGGGTCAGGTTGTCTTCGCAGGCGAAGGTCAAGGCAACAACACCCCTCCAGCTCTCTACGTGATGAATCCGGTTGAGCCGTACAATACGACGGGTGAGTATAGCTGAGGGGGTCCCATCCCCACGAGGATTGCGGGGTTGTTCCTCTACAGATCCTTAGACTGACGGTATATAAACGCTCAGTCCTGCTGAACAACTACTTCGGCCGTCAATTCAACTCGCTCAACGATGTGGCCATCAACCCCCGCAATGGTGATGTATACTTCACAGACACACTATACGGCTATCTACAACACTTCCGTCCGCCGCCAGCCTTCCCAAACCAAGTCTACCGACTGAACCCGTCGACTGGTGCGGTCACAGCGGTTGCCGATGGATTCGAACTCCCCAACGGTAGGAGTTCCCCTTGATCAGTGCAAGTCGAGTTCTATGTACTAAATCCATTCTTGCGGCGATAAGGCATCACGTTCTCTCCCGATGGCTCCTACGCCTACGTCGCCGATACCGGTGCACAATACGCCTTTTACGGCTACAATTTCACCGCGCCTGCTTCAATGTAAGTCCCACCACCTTCGTCGTGCTGAGTGTTCCACTGCAACAGCGACCATGAAGTGCGCATATGGGGGGCTGTTGGTTGACTTGTTGCGACCTCTAGCTATCGCTATACTGTCGAATCCGATGGCACATTCAGCAACCGCAAGCTCTTCTCTTATGTGTCTCCAGGTATCCCAGACGGCATCCATTGCGATACGAATGGCAATGTCTACTCTGGCGTGGGTGATGGCGTACACGTCTGGAACCCTTCAGGTATTTTGCTAGGAAAGATCTTTGTGGGAATGACTACGGCAAACTTCAACTTCGCGGGCAAGGGACGGATGGTCATTTGTGCAGAGACGGAACTATACTATGCCACGCTGGCGGCGGAAGGTAGTGTGGTCGCTAGTGAGATGCCACCAATGTAAGATGGAGATCTAGTATCACGTCCCAGAAACATTATCATGCTAGGTTGACCTAGACGGCAGCAGGGGCTTTAGCACACCGTATGCTCAACTTACCAAAGGTGTAGGTGTAGTTCGGTGGCCACCTCAAGGGGCAACATTATCACACAGCCTTGCACATGGTGTATGAATTAGCTAATCAATTCCACGTCATTTGAAATTCCTGCTACTGCGGAGCATTTCTCTCACAGCGCCACCAACGGCGATATATCGATTCATCATCCACCGACATGCTTGATCTTCATGCGCCCGCCGCTTCTCCTCGTCTGTCCTTGACAAAAATTGATGGCACAACAAGCGGTCGAGCATGACATAGAACAGGACACCAACGGGCCCTCGGGCTCAAGAGCTGCGCCTTCTGACCTGCAAGAAACCGCACTTCCTCCATCCTCCGACACTCAACCACCTGCACCTCTCGACGCCACGCTACCGCAATCAGAGACTTGCGTTATATGTCTCGATCACATCACCGACAAAGCGATCGCCCTGCCCTGTCGCCACGAACAATTCGACTTCCCCTGCCTAGGAACATGGCTACAACGGCAACAGGTATGCCCGCTGTGCAAGGGCGAAGTCACGGCCATCAAGTTCAATGTGGGTGGAAAGGAGCGCGGAGGAAGCAAGATATTCCACCTGCCGCCACCAGAGGTTCCTGTTTCTGCACGGTCGGCACCAGGCGCTGCAAGGCATCGCAGACCGAGATATAACAGGCCATATGCAAGAGGTGGTCGACATGCGTCGTCCGGACATACACCCGGCGAAGGATCTCGAGACACCGCTCTCAACTTCCGACGACAAGTCTACCGCAATAAATTATACTCGCTTCACGTCGGAAGCAACCGTATTTCCCGCTACCGCAATCTCACGCCCGAGTCGTTCGTCAAAGACGAGCATCTGACATCCCGGGCCAGAATGTGGATCAGGCGGGAGCTACAAGTCTTTGACTTTCTCAATTCAAGCTCGCCCGCCGCCAGTTCCACGTCTGCAGACCGCAGAGCGAGCAATGCGGATTTCTTGCTTGAATATATAGTTGCCATCCTGAAATCGATTGACTTAAAGGGAAGCACCGGGCAAGCGGAGGAATTGCTGAAGGACTTCTTGGGCAAAGACAATGCGAAATTGTTCTTGCACGAGCTGGAATCGTGGTTGAGGAGCCCATACGAGTATTTGAAGGATTGGGACCGCGCGGTTCAATACGCGATACCGGCGGAAGAGGTGGAAAGTGAGAACGGGACCAGCTCGATGCGCAATGGTGGCAGTCTTTGCCATCGTCCGGTCCAGTCTCAGCCCCAGTCTCAGCCCCAGTCTCGGCGCGACAGGGAAACTGTGCCTGGCTGGTTCTCCGATGGCTTTGTTCTTGGGGATGAAGCCGTTCGAACTCGACCGGGGTGAAGGATGTCAGGCACCTCACACAAATCAATGACCTGTTACGGTGTTTGGAACTTGTGCCGGCGTGGATCACCCATAGCGGCATCCTAAATCATACCAGCGCCACGCACAATTGTCCAGCGCTCGTCCAGCCAGGCGTCATCAACGCTGCGGACTGACAAACCGCCTCACCGACTCGTCTCACCCCTAAATGGCTTACGCCCGTCCGGGACCCATGGCTAGAACCACCATCGGTCGCAGTGATTCTTATTGAAGAGGCCTGCTCAGGTATCGTTTGCCACGGGTTGTCTGAGTTCCAAACTAGAGCTGGCAAGAGGTTACCAGCAGAGGAAGTCTGCGGCCGCTGATTCTACTTCCTCACCTGAACTTCTGTCTATGCCACCGAGTTCCACCGCTGCCAGGACCATCGACACGTTCATATAACGAATTAATGAAACACGAACTGAATTCGATATCTGGCCTCTTGTGCTGGCCACCATCAAGTTTATACTACTCGGACTAATCGATTCGGACTCTAAGCATCCTCTGTTCGTCAAATCTCGCTTCCTTCACATTGTTTATATATTTTCAAACCTGCACTAGACTACGTTTGCCCACATCCATTCATGCCTCTCCGGCGGGTTCCAATCGCAACAGCCAGCCCTTTCTTTGTATACTCTGGCGCTCACCAGCAACATACACCGCACGTGAGCGGATGCCTGTTTCCCTGGGAATTGCGCGTGTGTTGACAATCAGCATAGCAACAGCGCAGGTCGCGTCGCCTGCCCTTTGGCCACAACAAAAGAAATTCTCACTGTTTTGCGGTGGGACACACCGCACTCATTCTCGAAGACTGTTCTATTGTCTCAATCACAGATCCGAACCGTCTTCAGATTGGATTCCTTTCTTGGAAGGAAATTGATCCACTGCGCAGCAACGTGACAATCACAAAACTGCTGAGTTGTACATCATCCCCTGCAGGGCCTCACGCGGGAGGTGATATGACATGCGTTAGTCAGTCTCTTATCTGAGGTTCTTAACACGCAACGGGAAAAGCTTTCCTTTCTGCAAAAGCTGACCACGTCAAGTCCCAACAGGAGCAGCATGCTTAGCGTCGTCGAGCCTGAGCCTGAGCCTGAGAACGAGACGCTTGATGACTATTACGCGACCCTTCGTGTCTCAATCAACGACTCAACAGAGACCATCACAAACAGTTTCCTTTACCTCCAATCCGAATTCGAGCCGAGCCGATGTCTAAATTGGCCGGAGAGCACGGCTGTCTTGGAAAACGTGAGTGCCACTCAGTCACAACAGAACCCAGCTCGCTGACGGGACATCCACAGCTTGTGGAAGCACACAACACACTCAGTGACCCCAGATTGCGACGCGAGTATGACGCCAAATGGATGCGCCGTCGACACCGCTATCGAACTCCACAAACCTGGATGGCGCCGGTACATGCGACTTACTCTCAGAAGCGTCCACTCACGGCCAAGCAGCTTGCCATCAAGGCGGCGAGAAAGGAGCGCTTGGAAGCTCTGGCAACCCAGATCAACAGAAATGACCAACAGATTGTGCATGGCCGGATAAAGCTCGAGGAAATAATGGCAGGGGCCAAGATCCTACAAGCCCAGTTTGACAAGATTCATGACAACCTCCACAGTGTCCCTGTCCCCAAGGCTAGATGGCGGCGCATCTTCAAACCATCGCCGACCCCGAAGTCGAATGAGGAATTACAGGAACAGAAACTCGCCAACAAGCAGGAACTGATGCAGATCTATGGGGATTTGTCCAACATGAAAGCTGAGATGGACATGACGAGGACAATGCTAGATTCTGTCGGACGACGAGCGAAGACAGTCATTGAGGACTACACCACGGTTCTACAGGAAGAGATGAAAGAGCGGATGGATGATGGAAGTGACCCGACGCATCGGCCTGAGATGTTCTCGCTGGCAGTCTGGCTCGACAACCTCGGATCCGCGCAGAAAGCTCGGATAAAGGCACAGCAGGTTTCAGAGACTATTGGCGCTTATGGCGACAGACTGTAGGAGCAAGTATGCCCCTGCATTTAGTACGACAGCTGTCAGGGCTTTGTCGTCATAGAGCCAGTTCTATGACCTGTCCAGACACAAGCTTGAGACAAGTTGGACATGGGAATGTGGACAACCAGATTGAATCCAGGACACTTTCTTGCACCAGGACGACTGGATCTATGTATCAATACATAGCAACATCAATGCCATCGGGAGCATCTGCTTTTGCATTCCCTTCAAGTGTGAGGACAATGTTGACTTGGATAGCGAGTTCGTCATCATAACAGTGTGAAGGCTTCGACCGTCTCCCGGCACGTCCACCAAATCCCTATCCGATCTATTTGGCGTCGTGAATTGGACAGTCCAACTGCTCAGCGAACATCCATACCAACCCGGGATACTTCTAGAACAACCGGCCGACAAATATGGCATCCAGACCCGCCTCCAGGAGCTTCTCTGCCTGTGGTCCACTGGAAATACTACCGACCGCACTGACCAGCAACTTGTCGCCCACGGCGCTCTTGACCGCTTTCGAGAAACCAGCCTGATAACAAGGACCACCAACGATCTTCTGTGCATTATGCAGACTGCCGCTCGAAACATCCAGCAAGTCCAGGCTACAGTCCGCCAGCAGAGTGTCAGTCTGATGGTATCGTCCAGCGTCCATGATTCCTTGACGGATATCCCTCGTAGTCAAGCCATTCGGTAGCGCTGATCCGGAGAAACAGAGGATTTAGGAACCTGGGAGCCGAGCGTGGCGCGCAGAAGAGTGACGAGTGCTCCCACTAGTCGTATTCTGTGCTCGAAGGAGCCGCCATACAAGTCGTGGCGGCTGCTAGATAAGGATATCAACCTGTGTGCGAGGCTCTTACTTCAGTGTCACTAAATGAGCTTCCTTTTCGTTCCGCTCAATATCCAACAGACAACGTGCGACGTCCACCACGGTCTCTTCCAGACTTCGGAACTCGACTCCCAAGAGCGATTTCACCTTGGAATTATCAATGGAATATGCACCTGGGGGTAAGGAGCTGGTTCCCGGTTTACCCAGCGGCGTGCGGTGGTTGAGTTCGGGGAAGCGGGATCGGAGAATATCGCAGACTTCCTGGAAGCTGAATTGCCTGGCGGACACGGCGAAGCGTTGATTGCCTGCCTCGGGAACCATCATCGCTTGGAACTGGGCATAGGCAAGATCCTACATACCACATGTTGGTCAGTTAGGTCACAAGAAAAGTCGGAGTCGGATCTGGACTGCCCAGTACTCACTCGGACATCGACGTAAGTGTGTACAGGCATGTACGGCATAGGCGCATCCTCTGTGGAACTGAAGCAAAACCTCCACAGCCGAGCATTCGATTCATTCAGGTTTTCGATACTCGTGATGGAGTGCCGCAGCGGACCAAAAGTGGCCGGCGGACATATCGTCACCAAGTCATAATGCGGCTTTTCTTTGTCGACAAACGCCCAGGCTGTATAGGTAAATCGTCAATTAACATTGCAAAAGGAACCAGAGTGACTCAAATACCTTCTCGTTCCGCAAAAAGCTTACTTGCTCTGTACGCCTTTGACGGATCTCCGTGCACTGCCTCTTCCCAGGCTATCGGGTTCCAATCCTCTTCCGTATAAAGTTTTGGGGGGTCTGAGACCAGGTGGTCGTAATCAACCACGCTGGCGCAGCTACCGGTCCATACCACTCTTTTCACGCTCGGCGCATGGTCCTTTACGGCTTTGAGCAGATTCAACGTGCCCTTGATCGCTGGCTCGAGAAACTGCAGATTGTTCTCCACGTTCTGGTACGTGAAAGGGGAAGCGGTGTGATAGACGGTGTCAAACGACGGTGTCCCCTGCACCGCCGCATGGTATGCGTTCGGGGCGACGATATCGGGGACGACGGTGATGGCAATCTGCGATTGCTGCGCCGCGAAGTCCTTCAAGATCTGGTCGCCTTTGGCTCGTGTTCGCACCGCACAGCAGACGTTGAACCCGTGGTCCAGAAGCTGCGTTAGGATGTGCGATCCAATGAAGCCATTGGCGCCGGTGAGAAGGACGCGGCGGGCCATTTGGTGATGGTAGGGGATCTCTATGGACCAATTCCAATTGTTTAATGGGGCTCCCTCGTGGGCAGATGTCGTGTCGAGGGAAAAGGAAGGAGAGGGCGGCGGACGGGTGGCCATCGAGAAGTGAAGTTGAGGTTATATATAATATTGCGATGTGCTAGTGGTGGACTCGGAGGTGGTGCAGTGGTTGAAGCTTCCGGGAGGTAGTAAAGTAAGTACTCAGGACAGCCCCGAGTGGACCTCGGCGGGGCAGCAACGGCCTCGGGATGGGGTTGATCGCCGGTTGACCACGCCGTTCCGGAAGGACTGAGGCATTTCCGAGTGGGACGGCGCCGGGGTGCCGGTGCCGATGTCGACATGCCCGGAGTTACAGCAGACTACGTCGTAGACTCCGGGCGGGATGTCCAACATGTCCGGAGATATGGGAAACTAGGTACGTCGTAGAGTCCGCGCCGGCGGGATCATGCGGCCGCCCACGCGCGTGTGGATCAGGAGAGTGGGTTCTTTTTAGTGGGTCCAATACAAGGCCGACTGTACATTGCTTGATTGAACGACCTCCCGCAAGACAAGATAGGTATATTCAATGTTGTCACTGACAACAGCTACAGGCACTGTGCGCGCCGAGTGAGACACGCGGAAGGTGTAATATATGGACCTAGATACGTACCTGAGGTGTATAAGATAGTATATTACCTTTTACCTACTCGTCTCCCACGCTGGACAACATCTCTCACCACAACACCATCCACCACCACCATGTCGCAAACAAGTCTGACCAGCATCGAACTGCAGCCACGAATTGCCATAAATGGCTGGATGGATTCTCGACCAAGCTCTCACGGCCCAGGGCTAAATCCAGACGTGGAGGGGCCGCCAACCACCTCAGAACCCACGAATCAGTTTGTCATATCGTCGCCGTCGTCGTCTCGCATCCAACCATTGCCCCCTGCACCCCCTCCACCTCCTCCACGGGATATACATGGCATCAAGTGGGCGTTTGCTGGTAAGCTGGGATCGGAGGATCGATCTGATTCAGTCGTGCGATCCAGGTGCTAACCATCCACGTTATACTTAGTGACCGCCATATTATCAAGTGTGTTCTTGTTCGCGTTGGACCAGACAATTGTCGCCGACGTTCAGCCCAACATCGTTGCCGAGTTCGGTTCGATCAACAAACTGCCGTGGCTATCGGTGTCCTTTCTGCTGGGAAATGCAAGCACGAACTTGTTCTGGTAAGTCGGGCACGATTCTCCGGGTTCCTGCCAATAAACAAATCCCACTGATAGATTCAGGGGACGAATTTATGGTCAATTCAATCCAAAATGGATCTATGTGCTCTGCGTCGTCATCTTCGAGATTGGGTCGACCGTATGCGGGGCGGCACCGAGTATGGATGCACTCATTATCGGACGTGCTCTGGCCGGCGTTGGCGGCGGAGGGATGTACTTAGGGGTGATGATGATGCTCTCCCTGTTCACGACACCGTTGGAGCGAGCAAAGTACATTGGAATCATCGGCGTGGTGTTCGGGTTTGGCACAGTGTAAGTGTCCCTAGCCTAGCCCCCATTGCCGGAGAGCACCGGATGGAATTTAAAAGGATCTTACTTGGTATAACTACTAACCATGGTATCTATCGGTGCTGCAGTCTAGGACCTGTCATCGGTGGAGCCTTTGCCGACAATGCATCTGCAACCTGGCGATGGGCTTTTTATATCAACCTTTGTATTGGAGGCGCCTTTTCTCCCGCGTATTTCCTGTTGCTTCCGTCCCGGGATCTCCGTCCGGGGGTGAAGTTCTGGGACAGGATACAGGCTGTTGACTGGATAGGAAATACTCTCGTCATCGGGTTCTACATCGCCGGACTCATGGCCATCTCCTTCGGCGGCACGACATTTGCATGGAACAGCGCTCGAGATATAGCTCTATTCTGCACCTCGGGCGTTCTGTTGATTGTGCTAGGCATTCAACAAGGTTGCTCAAAGCGGCAGAACAGGATGTTTCCGGTTCATTTCCTGAAGAGCCGAGGCCTCTTGATCCAGTTCTTGGTGGGAGCTTCTGCAGGGACGTCGTCGTTTGTGACGATTTACTTCATTCCGCTATACTTCCAGTTCGTGCAACACAGCAGCTCTCTTCTTGCAGGTGTACGCCTACTACCCTTCATCGGCTCGCTGGCGATATTTACCATGCTGAACGGTCATCTCATGGCCCGATCGGGATACAGCATGCCATGGTACGCCACCGGTTCTGCCCTCGTGATTGCGGCCAACAGCATGCTCTACACGATCGATTTGTCCACGTCAAACGGATTCATCTACGGAGCGATGGTCCTCAACGGAATCGGCACGGGTATGTTTCTCAACGCCCCTTTTGCCGTTGCACAGTGGATTGCTCCACGCGAGGAGATGGCCAGCGCCGTTGCATTCATCATGTGTGCTCGATGTGGAGGACTTGCCATTGCGCTGTCCATTGCAAACGCCATCTTTCTGAACTTGACCGAAAACAAGATCCGCCACCTGTTTCCTGCTTTCAACAACGCACAGGTACAGAGTCTGACCTCGGGCGTGGGGAGCGGTCTATTGGCAACACTCAGTTCTGCTCAGCAACAGCAAGTCCTCGCCGCTATTGTGAGCGCCATCAGTCGTGTTTTTATCACGTCAATTGCCTCGGGCTGCTTTTGTCTCTGCCTTTCGCTTGCTATGGATCGCAAGAAGATCAAGATTGGTTAGGGTGCTAGTAGTACTAGTATCTAGCTGCATACAGTATCAAGACGCACGTATTTCATTCTCCTGAGCTCCCGGGGAGTCTTTGCGTGTCTTGATTTCCGCGCCGGTCTCAGCGCTCACAAATGAAACCACCTTGTACTTAGAAATAGAATAGACAGGTTCTCCTGTGTTGGCGGCGCCTCATGCTATGGGCTGTTGCGCCGGTGTGTACCACGACAACGCTGGACTGCCTCCGTTCAGACATCTGGGAGGTGCAGTGCAAGGCATGGAATAGCCATTTTGCGAATCAATGTTGTGGATGGCCATGGTCGATGATGGTGTAAACACTCTCAGATTAGCTGCGGTCAACGTCAACGTACTTGGGGTTTTGCAAGAACTGTGCTCAGATTCTCAGAGAATACGGACTTCTGCGTGCTTTTCAATGGAGAGGCAGAATGTAAAGGAATCCCACAGAGGAGCTACTGTGGTGTCTGAATGTGTCGCCCGTCGCCCATCAAGGGCCAACCGTATCGAAAGACAATGCTCCACTATAGACCATGGAAGACTGCCCAAGCTAGACACGCTGGGCAAGACAAGCATCGTCCATCGGCAGTACTTGCACAAGTCGACAGTCGACAGTCTCCATATCATCTCGAGCTCAATGTTACCTGCTCTCGATCGGTATCAAGGCGGAGTCAAATCCGTGGTTATCAATGCTGCAGCTGTAGTCATCTCAGATGAACCAGGACCAGCTGCCATAGATGACTACCTAGAGCTCCAGAGTGGTCTGTGCAGGTCTGGATACTATGTACTTTATTCGGCGGTCTTATACATAGGGTGGAATCTGTTTATGTCCGATCGAGAAGCCTGCTGAGCTCGCCGACTTTACATGATGGACACTCCGGTAGAACACCACCGTCAAGCATCATATTCTGCTTTCTGCCCTCAGACTTTATCTATTCGATTGCTACACATCCTTCAACATTCTCCAGAGGGAACAACAGCAAGGTCTTCTGGGCTGAGTATCGCATGTCAAAGATGGGTTCTTCACGCAACTGGCGGTGCTGCCTTCAATCCAAGGACATCGGCAATCTCGCAGTAATCACTTTGCCACAATCCACCCGAGTCCACTGGGTATTGCGACCTCCAAGCAATCATGCGCTGGGCAAGCGGGGTCATGGTCTCGACGATCTCCCGTGGCACGATGAACGGATAGGCCTCCTCAGGAGTGAGATAGCTGGCCTGCATGGACAGCGCAATACCACGGCGCCGGAAGTCTTTGGTTCGATTTGCTCCGCCGCCGTGAGACGTCTTGCCGCTGAAAAGCGTCACATCGCCCGCGTGCATCAGAGCCGGGATCGTCTGCTCCTGAGTACCATAGTCACGGTGATCCGGCCAGATGTGGCTGCCGGGGATGATGCGGGTGGCGCCATTCTCGTCCGTGAACTCGGTCAGCGCGACGAAGAAGTTGATGGTCGCTTCATGTTTGGTCTTGCTCCCGACATCACTGAAGACGGCATACTGCATCTGGTCACGATGGAGCGGCTGGGCCACGTTGCCGGGGCCGATATCAATGACCTGAGCCGTGTTCATCCAATAGTCTCCCGAGTCTGCGCGGAAGATGTCCTCGCAGATCTCGTGCAGCAGCTTGTGGTTTAGCACTTCGTCTCGGAACGTCTTGCTGTGCGTCGGCAGGTTCGTCATGCGCTTGGTGACGAGTCCGTGGAAGTCGCGCATTTTGCTGTCGGCATGTTTGCCGCCGTCCACGATTTTGTCGATCACGGCGTCGATGTCGCGGTTGATCTGTCGAGTCTGCTCGGCGGTGAGAAACTCGCGGATCACAACGCCGCCGTCCTCTTGCATGACTTTCAAGATGGCATCTTTTCCATCGCTGATATGCAAGTAGCGAAGTTTGGGCTTGGGCGCCTCCACCGTCGTCGTCACGGTCTGAGTCTGAGTTGTCGACATTGTCCCGATAATAACTTGAAGTTCTTGTCTATAGAGTTGGAGATAGACTGACCTGTTCTATCCTCAGCATATATGTTATTTCCCTCCAAGAAGCCCACCGTGTCTCGCCCCTGTAAATGGCATGACTCTCGGGCCTCCAGAATTCCAGCGCAGTCCAGGACGTACATCCCAACCAGACCGTATCGGGACTATCATACCGAGACATCAGCAGAGATATCGGCTCTATCATGTCCAGACGTTGCTCACGAGACGGTCAAAGCGATATGGGTGCACCTCCCGGTGTCAGGCAAGCATGAGATGAGGTTTAAACCCGTCTATTGACTTATTTGGACCAGTAGTCTCTGGTCGAGGCCGCCCCGTTACATGCTGGTGGAGTCTCGGGACCCAGATAGCTGATTAGTCTAACCTGTTTAGGCACGGTTTACCAATCCGGCATATCTTAACGACCCGCTGCCGTCTCAGCGCCTTGCTCGTATCTGTTTATCGGTTCTTCTCAACCAATGATAGCCTGGCTGGCCTTGCGACACCACAAATTCTCGGGGTGCATGGGAGAATGATTACAAGGCATCCTCGCAAAGGCTATCACTATGCGGCGCTGACAACCACCCGCGGACAGCCGGATCATCGGTTCAGGGCTCTCTTTCGCGTGGCGAACTCGTGCTTGTCAACACAGCTGACCGCCGACGGAGCATAAGGGTACGATTCTGTAAAGTATATGTATGTGTATACATACATATATATATACATCTTCACGCTTCTGCCCCTGGACTCAAGTCGGCATTGACCGTTCAACAAACAGACCGGACACCATGGACTCCATCCTCACAGAAACACCACCTACCGGTGCACACGACAAGACCGGAGCGAGCCACCTGTTGAAGCCAGCAGAAGAGTCTATTCTCACCTCCGACGAGCTCGAACTTCGCGCACAAGGTCATGTCGGAGAGCTTGCGCGGAATTTCAGCCCCTTGGCGGCCATCTCTGTGGCTTTCACCACCACCAACTCCTGGGTCTCGGTCTCGGCCATCTTTGTGACGCCTTTGTTCATGGGAGGCGGCCCGGCACTGATGTACGGTCTCATTTTGGCTTCACTTGCTGCAACGACGGTTACGCTGGGCCTCGCCGAGCTCGCCTCTGCGTATCCTTCCAGTGGTGGTCAGTATCACTTTGCATTCATGTTGGCGTCGAAGAAAACCCGGAATGCGTGGGCGTTTGTGACCGGCTGGCTCAGCATTCTTGCATGGGCCTTTGCAACGACGTCTTCCAGCGTCTTTGTCGCGCAGATGATCACCAGCCTCGCAAGCTACTATCATCCGAGCTATTCGCCCGATCGCTGGCAAGTGTACCTCATGCACGTGCTGCTGATGCTGGTTGCGTTCCTGATCCTGGTGGTATTCGCTCGGGCGCTCCCCCGGACCGAGATCGTCTTCTTCTTCGTTTCTCTGGTCGGGTTCGTCGTCTATACCGTCTCTGTCACCGCGGTCAGTGAGACCAAGCAGCCCGCATCGACGGTGTGGGTGACATGGACAAACCAATCCGGCTGGAACGACGGCATGGCGTTTTTCATCGGCGTGGGCCAATGTCTCTACGGGTTCCTGGGCACCGATGGGCCGACGCATATGGCGGAAGAAATCCCCAATCCCCGCAGGAATGTCCCTCTGGCCATGCTGGCGACCTGCATCATCGGCGCAGCCACGGCCCTGCCGTGGTCTATTGCCTTTATGTTTTCGATCCAAGATCTAGACGCCGTGGAAGCCTCGGCTTTGCCGATCCTGGAAGTCTACTATCAAGCTCTGCACAACAAAGGAGCAGCTTGCTTCCTCTTGGTCTGGCTCCTCGTCATCTACTTCCAGGCGACCTGCAACTGTCTGCTGTTCTGTGGCCGACTGGTCTGGGCATTCGCTCGAGATGACGGCCTGCCGTACAGCAGCTACTTTGCAAAAATCTCGCGCGACCTCCCCGTCAGAGCAACGGCTGCCGTCGTGGTGTTCCAGTGTCTGTATGGCCTGATCTACATTGCTTCGACCACGGCCTACAACAGCATCATCAGCATGTGCATTCTCGGCCTCCTCGTCACGTACGCGATCCCTCAAGGAATCGTTCTGGTGCGGGGCCGCCACCACCTGCCGGACCGCAAGTTGAACTTGGGCAGATTTGGAGTCGTGGTCAACGCGTTCTCCGTGCTCTGGGTGTGTTTCTACGTCGTGGTTTTCTGCCAGCCAACCTTCCTGCCTGTCACGCTGGACAACATGAATTATCTGAGTGTGGTCCTTGTCGGTTGTATCGTTCTGATTGCTGGCCTGTGGTGGGGCGGCAAACGGAGGACTTTCGCTGGTCCAAAAGTGATACTGGACGGGATCAGCTTTGATCCTGAAGACCCGGCTGTATCAGGCGAGCACGATAGGGTCGTGTCCAAAGGTGCGCTACACCAGGCAACTGAAACTTCAGACAAGGCGTATTGAATGGAACATGGGCGGTGGCATCGATGTTACAAGATGTGGTTACTATCACAAGATATCGTATATTCGCAGCCTCGTGTATTCTAGCCATTACCCTTCCTTGTATCTATGCATGGCTTCCCTTTGGTCCTTTCCATAAAACGAAAAGGATCGTTTCTTTCGACAAAGTTTGACCATTTTCAGATTAGGGGTTCAAGACAATTCCAGGGGGTAAGCAACATGTAAAACTTCAGTCGAAGAGAACATAACAGTTTCCCTGCCAAAGTTGGCCCGCAGCCATGGATTTCGAGTGCTTCTACAGGCGGCGAATTGCAGCTTGGTACTGCGATGGTACACGTCCAGGGGCGTCGTTGTCAGGATAGACGGGGTCTGGACGGGACGGTCTCACCTCGACTCGTTTGATACACCCTGCAGGACACTGCCATATCTACCGATCACTGATGGGTCAATGCTTACGGTCAAGATGTTTGTACCTGAAGATCCTGGCGTTCTACAGACTACATACGATGTATCTTTGAATCCGTAGAGCTGTCAACCTGGTCTCTTATCGGAGTGGAGAGTCTGGACCCATTGAGCTACCAGGGGTGGGGAGGGTATGCTCCACTACTGACCAATTCAGCTCGCTTGATGGCTCGTCGAGACTTTCCGAATCGGGTCCTCAGCCGTGCAGTGTCTACAGACTACAGTTCTGACAGTGAGTACCGTCCATATCGATATTGTTATCTGATTGTACACCCTTCCATCGCTTCATCAATCTCGTGGTGCTTATCGCTTTCCTCTTCCGGAACACATGACCTCTGAACTGCCTGGCCATGGCGAAGTGTCACAGAGAAAGGTTCCGTTGGTAATGCGTATCTCTTCGCTGACTGGACTTTGAGATTCGAACCCATTATGATCAATCAAAGATAACAATGACGCCAATCAGGGCATTGCGTCCGTTTCACCCGTTTCGGCCCTGGCTTGTTGTTGAATTGTACAAGCACGTTGAGATGAGTGGCGCCATGAAGAAGCACGAAAATAGGACCACAGGTCGGTCTCCAGAATGCGGCAGATTTTTCAAGACGCAACCGTTGTCTCCCTCTTCGTGAAAAGCACAATTTCTTTCTAGTTTCCTGTTTTCTCGTCCATCGTCACGTTGAGGACTTCCTATACTAGTCGAGTGAACCATAGCCATGAAGAACTTTGCGTCAATTCACCCTGTGTCGAACCTGACCGTCTCCGAGATCCATAGATCGGTGGAATTCGTTCGCGCCCTGCATCCTGGCGTGCCAAATCTTGTCTTCAAGGTTGTCACCTTGAGGGAGCCCGACAAGACCGAACTCCAACACTATTTCGAGGCTGAGGCCAGTGGCTCGGATCTCCCCAATATCGATCGCAGAAGTTTTGTCAATTTCTACCAGAAGAACAGTGTGAGTTGGCCAAGCCAGTTCTCGATGCGCCCAAGAGGAGTCTTCATTGATTGACAAGCCGGGTCCTAGAATATCCTGCACGAAGTCATCATCAACCTGACCAAGGGCGTTGTGGAATCGGACACGGCACTTGATGCCCTGTTCCACCCCAATGGCGACTACCAAGAGGCAGACGAGGTCGCCGCGACAGCGATGGCAGACCCAGGAGTGCGAGCGGAGATAGCAAAACTGAAGCTGCCTGACCCATCATTGGTCGTCTGTGAGCCATGGATCTACGGTATGTCTCCTCCTGATCGATGCTGGGCGAGGGCGAGAAAGAACGGTTCTGCGAATGAAACAGAAGGCTTTATAAAGTACCTTTTGATTGATATCAACAGGGACGGACGGGATCAACGACACACGCCGCCAATACCAGTGTTTCTTGTTCTGCCGCCACTCCGACGCTCCTGAGGAGCTTGACTCGAACCACTACGCTTTCCCGCTCGCCATCTCCCCGGTCGTCGATGTGCAGACCCAAAAGGTCGTACGGATCGATATCATGCCCACGGGTGCCGATAATGAGATCAAGCCCACAGGTCCGGCCAAGATACCCCCTCGCAACGAGTATCTCCCGGAGTTTCAATCATTACGACCCGACGTCAAGCCTCTTCAGGTGGTACAGCCCGAAGGGGCGGGCTTCAAAGTCATCGAGGACTCCGAAACAGGCCGTCTGCTGCAATGGCAGAAATGGTCGTTCCGGCTTAGCTTTAACGGCAGGGAAGGGATGGTCCTACACAACGTAAGCTCTCCTGAGAGGGCAGCGTTGGCTGACTTCGGTCGCTCACTGACCCACTCCTGTCGCCACAGGTTCGCTACGATGGACGGCCGCTGATACACAGGCTGTCTCTATCCGATATGAATATACCATACGCCGATCCTCGTCATCCATACCACAGAAAGGCAGCGTTTGACCTGGGAGACGCTGGGGCCGGCTACATGGCGAACAACCTGAAGCTCGGCTGCGATTGTCTCGGCTCCATCTACTACCTTTCGGCGCCGCTGAGCAATGCAGACGGAGACATCATCAACATGGAAAACTGTGTTTGCATCCACGAACAGGTGAGCAGAAGAAAACAAGATAGCCTAAAAACTCCTACCTGGTGTATTGCTATCGTCCGTATGGTGGAAATTGACCATGACCCAATCAATCTAGGACAACGGGATCGGATGGAAACACACAAACTACCGCACCGGACGTGCTGTGGTGACTCGGAATCGCGAGCTCGTCCTCCAGACCATCTTGACGGTCGCCAACTACGAATACATCCTCGCCTTTATCTTCAACCAGGCTGGCGAGATCTGCTACGAGGTTCGAGCCACCGGGATTCTATCCACTCAACCGATCGACGACGGCGTCGACGTAGACTGGGGCACTCTAGTCCATCCCGGCGTGCTCGCCGCGCACCATCAGCACTTCTTCTCCCTGCGCATCGACCCTATGATCGACGGGCCGCAGAACACTCTGATAAGCGAGGAGACGCATCCGATGCCCCGATCGGAGCTAAACCCGCACGGCACGGGGTACTATACGCGGCAAACCAGTCTCGAGACCTCGGGCGGGCTCGACCTCGACACCAGCAAGAACCGCGTCTTTAAAATCTTGAATACCAACGTCCACAACCCGGTCAACAAAAAGGCCGTCGGCTACAAGATCATGGTCCCGGACTTCCAGAAGATCCTCGCGGACAAGGACTCGTATCACTTCAAGCGTGCAGAGTTTGCCGACCACAACATCTACCTGACCAAGTATCGGCCGAACGAGTTGTTTTCTGGCGGCCAGTATACGAATCAATCGCGCGGCGGCACCGGGGTGCGTTCGTGGGCGGACCGCAAAGACGCCGTTGCCAACGAGGATATCGTCGTCTGGGTCCAGTTTGGCATCAACCACGTGCCGCGCATCGAGGATTTTCCTGTCATGCCATGTGAGGTGATGAGGTAGGTCAAGCCATGCGTGCAGTTGTCGTACACGATGTGTGCACAGAACTTTCCTGCTATGTTTCGGTTGCTTGTTCTAGATTATCATCGTGCTGACTTGTTGTCCTGCGAGATAGAGTCATGCTGAAGCCCGTCAACTTTTTCGAGAAGAACCCGGCCATTGATGTGCCTCCTTCGACTCAACAAGCCAATAAATCCACGCTCGTCATGATGAGCAACGGCCATGATGGTTTGAATGGGACGACTGATATGAACGGAACAGCCAAAAATGGTCACTGCAACAACTGCTAGGGGATTTGCAAGCTTTTCCATCAAGCGGACACGTTGACGTGTTGACATGTCAACGAGTATCATGATTGGATCAGCTTTACAGTCGTCAGGTATGTATGGTCGAGTAGAGTCCATGGACGGTGACACATCCATATCTCTAGAGATTCGTACCTGGGGGAAGGTTTCAGTCATGGATCCCGATCCCATGGCGCCACTGTGGAAAACTAGAACTAAGGATCTAACAAGCATCTGAATGATACGTACGCATTTTCCAAAACTACTAAGTACCAAGTATTGCTACAGGAGTAGAGCGTCATACACGGGCACGTCTTTCACGACATCTTGCCAGTGAACGTCCATGGCCTGAGATTCAGAGCCTCCTCCCAGTAAAAGCTCTTCCAGCTTCTGTAAATCACCCTGCAGATGTATGCTCTCGACCTGATGAGTTGCAGATGCATATTCGGACGGCCGGCGCTCAAGTTGGGTGGCAACGACGGGATCGTCGGCTCCCACAATGACCTGCCGCGGTCCATATTGAGCCAGTAGTGTTTCGCAAAGGACCGCTTCTTGCTCGTCTCTCCTGCGCCAGACCTCACTAATCAAGTTCATGACGGATGGCACCGAGTTGAAGCCGAGGTGGGTGCGCGAGTCAAACCAGCGGCGCACCCGCTGCCGTTCCTCGCTGGAGAGGGCCTCGAAGGCAATCATCGCTACGGGCCACAGCAGAGGTATCCGTAGCGTTCCATCCGTGCAGTTGAAGGCTTCCAGGTGCTTCAAGCCCTGCTCCACAAAGTCGCGGATCACCGGTGACGACGGTGGGTGGCGCTTGACCCCGCGATGGAAGTAGATGAGACAGCCGTAGTAGAAAAGATGGTGGTGGTGACTAGGGTTGAAGGGCGAAGACTGGCAACCGTTGACCTTGGTCTGGTGGTCTGAAGCCGGGTTCGGCAGAGAGCGGGTTCGGTCATCCCAGACATCTGAGAGGCCGAGGTAGAGCTCTAGACACAAGGTTTCGATCTCATTTGGCATGAGCGTTTGGGACGTTTTCAGTCGGTACATCAGGTCGTTGATCTTGACAATGTTTTTGAGGGCGCACTGCGGAATCCCCAGGAAGCGATCTAAGAAGTACTTTTTCGTGGGAGATTCGTCCTCGAGGGAATCGAGAACGATGTCTTGATCTCCTGAATCGAGCAATAGCTGCGATTTGGCGCAGGTCAAAAGTCCCATGAAGGTTTGATACACCAGATTCGCCGACGTCGAACTGCACCAAAAGCCCGCATCCGTACTGCGTAACCAGCGATAGCCGCCCATGGCATGTTGTCGCCACCCGTTGGGGTCGCCGGTGATGCCGGACGCAATGAAGAAAGAGAGCATCACGCAGAGTATGGCGACGTATTGGGACGGATCTCGAGACTGCAGGTTGAGCCGGAGGTGGAGATACGCAAGTTGCTGGTGCTTGATGGCTAATTCCAGAAAGCTGACGTCGTGGTTATTGAGCAGCCATAGACTGTGAGCAGAGATGCTGCAGATGTTGTGGAAAAGAGCGAGTGATGCGTTGGATTGATCGTGGGGAGAGTCCAACCCTTGCAGCGAGATTGGGATGAACAGACTCCGAAATGGATTTTCCGCGCAGACAACTGGCATCATCCCATCACATATATAGACCACCCAGTGATGTATCAACCTGCTCTGCCGCTCAGGCCTGCTCAAGAGACCGAAATGTGTACCTTTCGGATACCGTGGGAAGCCGTGGAAGAGGTTTGGCGGTGTAGCGAGCAACTTCGTCTTGGATTGGGTTCTGTCACCTTCCAAGTCAACGTCCTCGTCCATGAGAGATGCACGGTCGTCCTGTGAAGAACGGTCTGAGTCCTGGTCCGATAATAGAGGATTGAACTCAATTGAATTGTCACATAAAGCTGCGTATGCAGGCTCGCGGCGATCCGCGAACTTCCACGACTGAGATAGGCCTGATGGCGGACTCGCGGCCACGCTTCGGTTGTCCAGAGATTCATCTTGCACAGGTCGGTCATCACTCCTTGTCTGTAGATTCGATGTTGCAGACGGCAGCCAAGGTGAAGCAGGATAAAGTCGGAATATATCAGGTTGTCCCGCTTGAGGCAACTCTGGCAAGGACTTCTGACTTGACTTGCGAGCGTTTTGTGGCCGTGAACGTGTTGGCTGCATCACCCTGGAGCGACTGCCGGATAGAGGTGTAGCTGGGCCTCTGCAGCGCTTCTGCCCTTCGTGCAGACACAAGGTAGATGAGTCGAAGACGTGAAACAGCCCATCTCCGTTGGCTGTAGGTGGCTTCCTGACATCGACAGTCCGGACTTCGCTTCGACGATTCGGAGGATGCGAAGCTTTGGGAGATTGACTTTTTTCCAATCCTATGTGTGCAGAAGGAAGGCCGGAGGCCATCTTCTCATGAGTCCATATCAACTTGATCCCATAGCCATCGCACTTGATTCCCTTGCGAGCGCAGCGAAGGCACGACGGCTGTCTTTCGTCGCACTTGACACGCCTTGCACGGCATGTCCAGCAACCCGTGAAGGTTCTCCTGCGATTGACCATGTCTGTCTGTCCTAAGTTCAAGTTGCTGTCGCACACATTCTGCGTCGGATTCGTTCTTATGAGGGACAACAAGCACGGGAAATTTGAAGCCGGGCTCGATTGTACTCACGGACTCGCCACTTACGACTGGTGTAAGAGAGTGTATTCATTCATTGCCTGTAGACAGTGAACCAACCCTTCCTTATCTCTGTGTCAGGTTGTGCGGGTCTTGCCCGGCCGCTTCTTTGCTCGTCAACACAGGCAGTCGAGATAAGGAAGTTGTGCTAGTACGTATACGATACGAACCGACAATCTAATCTAGAGCCAACCACGCAATACAAGTAGTACTTGTAATTAGTAGTACGAGTAGTAAGCAGTCACTGAACAAGTACAATATGTTAAATTTACTAGTATGATGTCAAGCCTGTATAATTACAGGTACTACTAGTACAACATCTAATTACTATAATAGTACTAGGTAGTATTACCAACTTAATTCCGACACGGTTCCAACACGGTTCCAAACGCTGATAAGATCGCCGATTTAAGGCTAATGACACGTATCTAAACCGTGTTGAACACGGTTCCAACCTGGATCATAACTAGTAGGTATATCCGAACCTTATCCGAACCGTATTCACTACTAGTATACTAGTGTCAACACCGTACTATCTATTCAAGTTCAAAACCGATTTAATCTACCTACGGAGGCCAGACTAGTACTAGGTACCTACCTAAAAGCTGAATACTACTAGTGCTTACTAAGTAGTACCTAGTACTTTACTTTATCGTTATATTAAGCAAAATTACTAGAACTTACTTATAAGCAACTACTACTAGTAGTAAGTATATTAGTAATATATTGGTAGTACTAGTAGGACTAAATTAATTCATCCTACTACTACCTACTAGTAGTACTAAGTAGGAACTATAATTAATAGAGAGATTATACTGATTCTAGAGTTATATTTATACTAGACTGTCCACCCCTAGTACTATATTACTTATTAAAACTTTATCTAGAGTAAAGTAAGTAGTATTAATACGATTTAGTATTTAAATCCGATTCCGATCCGATTTGAATCCGGTTTGAATTAGATTTCGATCCGATTTAAACTTAATTCGAAATTAACTAAAAACCGTATTAAATATAAATCGCCATTTAAGAGTTTATACGGAAAAAAAACCTAGATTAAAAAAAAACTAGATTAAAAAAACCTAGATTAAAAAAACTAGATTAAAAAAACTAGATTAAAAAAACTAGATTAAAAAAACTAGATTAAAAAAACTAGATTAAAAAAACTAGATTAAAA